AGAGAGAGAGAGAGAGAGAGAGAGAGAGAGAGAGAGAGAGGGAGAGAGAGAGAGAGAGAGAGGGAGAGAGGGAGAGAGAGAGAGAGAGAGAGAGAGAGAGAGAGAGGGAGAGAGGGACAGAGATATGATAAACATTGAGAGTGTAACGCCCTGTCTCTTCTAGCCCGTTCTACCAAGACGCAGCAGGCAGAATCGCGCGGCGCTTACAAAACCACAGGACTGCATGGCCAACTTCCGTGTAGGAGACGTGCGGATATGTGGGGTTCGATGGATTTTGATGCCATGACTGCGAGGCTTGAATCTAAGAAGCGGCAGAAGCCATGCTCGACGCAAACGATGCATGTATATATAACCAACGGGAAGGAGTGCTTCGATGCTTCGAAAGCAAAGATACGAGACAAAGGAAGACAAAGACGTTGAAAGAAAAGGAGAAAGACACGGACGTGAGCCGTCCCACGTGTCCCCAATATAATCCTCATCCACGTCTCCATCGCGATCAACCACCGTAACTACACTAACTGTCTTCGTCAATCTCCAGTTCATACAACCCACATCGTGTGATTTTTTTTTTTTTTGCTCCTATATTATCCGCCTCTCGTTTAAAAAGTTCGTGCTCTTTAAAAAATTTGTTAGTCAGTTGAGAAACAAAAAAATATCCGTATGTATGCTCCTCCCTTTTTTTTCTTGTTATGCAATCTGAGCCGCCCAGTGGGTGCCATCTCTATGTTGAAACGGAATGTTTCCAAGTAGAATCAGCTGGCACTGATATGCTCTTTACCATCATCCGTCACAACAACATTTCCTTCCTCGGGCGCTTTGCCGCCGACGTAAGCCGTGGCTTTCGTCACCTCGCCCGTCGCCGCGTCTGTACTATGCAGAGTTGTCTCTCCCGTTTGCACGGCCGTTTCCGTGCTCTCAGCGGGGTCCTTACTTGCACTGTTTTCCAGTGGGGTGTCTTCAACGGCTGTACCTGCAACTGTAGCTGGCAAGGGCTCGCCCGCGGCTTTTTCTTCGGAGCTAATGTGAATCTCAGCAGGCGTTCCATTCTTTGCGGCCTCGGCGACAGCTTGCGCCGTCTCAAGAGTGGGCGCCGAGACTGGCACGCTGAGCACACCTTCATCCACCTCCCATATTGTCTGCGGCCGCGAAATGGTAAACTTGAAGACTGGTCTTGACGGAGCAGACATGGGGCCGGAGTCGCCACCAGCACCAGAAGGCGAAACACCTGGTCTTCTCCTCTGAGGGCCACGAGCCCGACCCTTCCTCGCGTCTGCTAACGGGGCCTTCTCTTCCGCTGGCTCATCCTCCACCTTCGGCTCCTCCTTCTTCGGCGCCTGCGGACCCAGACCGAGCTTCTTGTTCAGGTCGGACATGAAGCCTGCTTGAAGAGCGGCGATCTTGCCGCTGCCTCCAGGACGAACGGGCACGGCCGGTTTGGACTTTGGAACCGACGCGCCGCCCTCATTCGAATCCCTGGAGGTCGACTTGGCCAGCGAAGCTTCCTCAGAAGCGTCAGAGCCGCGGAACCGGCTTGGGCGTGCCGGCACGCTTGGCTTGGGCCTGGCGGGCACGACTGGAACCTGACGTGGTTCGTCAGATGAAGGTTCGGCCGCCTTCCTGGCGGGTCTGGCCGGTACCTGCGGCTGCTTTGTCTCGACGGGAGAAGTAACTTCTTCGTCCTCTGGATCGATAGTCGTGGTGTACAGCTGACTGCTTGGCGTATCCTCCCAGATATCTTTGCTTGGGAAACGCGGCTGGACGGGAGGACGGGAAGCCGCACCGGCTGCAACCTCTCCAGAAAGCCTTTTCATTTGATCCGGCAACAATTTCTCCTGATCATTCTTTTCAGCCGTCTTCCGGGCCTGCTCGTCCGCAGGAGGTTCGTAGACGCCCTTCGGCTCATGCTCGGCAGCCGGGTGGCTCTCTTCGACATCTTGAGGAGCCTCAACCGTCGTGACGTAGTTCAAGCTATCCGGAGCATCTTCCCACACATCCCTGCTAGGAAAGTGGTGACGGGCAAGATCAGGGCGCTTCGTGTTGGACTTGTTCTGGGCACCTCCAACGGTAGCGGGCGCCGAGTCCGCACGAGGTTCATCATCATCGTCGAATAATGGTTCATATTCCTTGACATCCTCAAGAGGCGTGCCGACGCTCTCGGGGCGAAGTGTTTCGCCTCTGCCGGCGATGTGAGCTAGCTGATGCTCGGAGATCTTGTTGATGCTGTTCGAGCGGCTATGCGCGTGGCTGGTACCGTCCGATAACTCCAGATAGGTAGTGCTGCGGCGCTCAAACTCCGGTTCGACGGCAGGCTGCATGTATTGCGCGTCAGGACGGTACGCAGCCTCGTCAGCGGCCAGGATGGGAATGTCGTCTCCAGAGTCGGCGTGGCCATCAACAGAGCGCGCTGCACCGACATATGGGGATCGCGGAATATCAACGTGAATGGTGTCATCCTCCACCTCGCTGTCCAGCGCGTGATCATGCTTGGAGTGATTGATCTGCTTGACGGCGCTTTCTAACGCGTCAGTTGGGAAGCTCATCTTGCGAAGCGGGGATTCAGCGAAGGTCTGCGAGCTGGGACGGCGAGGCTTCGTTGAGTTGGGTCGAGAGGCCAGGCGCTGCGCGTACTCCTCAGAAGCTATGTAGCCAACATCTTCGCCGGGTGTGCCAACAATAGCTGGTGACGAGCCTGCACGAATGTAAGTACTGAGATCAGGCTACTTGGATTTCCTACAGAACTTTTGAAAAAAAAAATTGGGAGAGGAGGGAGGGGGGTTGAGGAGGAAGATAGAAGGCATTGAAGATGAGAAAAAAAAAGGTAAATGAAAAAAGAAGGCTTGGACATACCGACGCCTGGATGAGATGTGGTGTGCACCAGCTTGTTGAGCTCGTCGGAGCTCAAAGCCCATTCCTTCCTTTCCTCACTGATCGCGGGCCCATACTCGCCCTTTTGCTCGCGAGCTAGAGCTTCTGGATGCCTCTCGTACCACGCCTTCTCGAACGGGTCGGCCTTGTTGATGCCGTGGCCATGCAGTCCATAGCTTCCGGGCGGACCGTAGAAGATCTCACGACCGCTCTTGGTACGCGAATGATGTCTGGGCGTACCCTGTCCACCGCTGCTGTGGAAGCCAGCACCTTGGCCAGGGCCGGCGAGACCAGGAGAAGGCGTGGGCGCCTGCACGTCGCCGGCGTTTGGGTACATGGGTACCTGCAGTCCAATGACGGGAATGCCATGCTCCTCGTGCTCGTTCGTGTCCTGCCTGTACAAGCTTGGAGGTCGCGAGCGTGTCTGCGACTGCCTTGAGCTGGACCTGTCCAGATCGACGCCCACATCCGTGTCAGAGGCGTTGCTGTGGGCCTTGCCGATGCCCAGAGCAGCCGCCTGGGAAGAATCGGTCCTCGTAACGGCAGCAATGCGCTGCTTCGCCGCCGCTACGGGCAGTGAGGCCTTTGGGGCATGAAGAGGCAGGTCGTCCGCTGTGTTGGAGGTCGTCGCAACTGCATCCGCCTCGTCTGCCTGGAGCACGGGGGTTGCGTGGTCGTATTCGCTACCCTCCTGGCCGACAGAAGGCAGCGTCACAGACGGAGGACGGGCGGGCACCTCCTTCGCGAGACCACTGCCATGCTTATCGGAGCTAGGAACCTTGTGCAGATAGGCCGGATTGTTGAGGGGGGAGGGCGCAAATCTGTCTCGGTTCGGACTCACAGAGCGCTCAACACTGCGCCTAGGGCGAGCAGGCACCTGAGGAACATCGATGGTGGCAGAGGCTGCGGGCATGTTCTGCGAGCGAGAAGGACGTGGAGGAATGGTGGGCGCGGCCATGATTGTGGTGGATGCGGTCGTCGTCGTCGATGGATGTTTGTAGAATGTGTCGGGGCGTGCGTCGTTGAGGGAGCAGGGGTGAGTAGCAACTTGTGCACGGAAACGTTATGTGCTAGCTTCAAACGATAGACGGACGGATTGGGAGTGGAGAGGAGAGAAGAAGAGGAGCGGACAAAGCTGTGAAGCGGATCCAGAAAAGGTCAGTCAGATGCGGTGAATGGCGGTCCCAAACGAGGCTGATAAGACGGGCACCATGCAAACAGATAGACGCAGGGTCTCTCTTGTCGAAGGTACAATTGCAGGTAGGCGAAGGACAAGACGAAGAAGTCAAAGGGGGGAGATTGGTGGGATGGAGGTTGCGCGAAGTACACAGAGGGGAAAAGACGAAGCAAGCGTCATGTCTCGGACATTGGCGGCGACGAGGTCTGTATGATTTAACAGACAAGAAAACGGAGGGACGTGAAGTCTCCACCGTTGAACAAGCTTGACGCAGGCGCCCCAGTCGCGAGCAGATTCGTCATAGCCAGGTGCAAGGACGAAGGGCCAGAGCAGGGTTGGGGGGAAAAACCGATCGAGAAGCGCAGGCCAGACCGGGATGCGATTGGTGGCTCACTCACTAAAGCTGAAGCCGCGTGAATCGAGCAGAGAGAAACGACGTTGGCGGCGGCGGCGGCGGCAGCGTCGGGGGGGGTGTGCCTGTGTCTTGCTGGAGAGAGCCGTTCCACCAGGCTGGAGCAGCAGCAGCTGTTGTGGTTGATGTTGCTGTCGTTGTCGTCGACGGCGCCGTTGGGGGCGGTGGTGTCGTCGTGTTGTCGTCACGGCCACAAAGGTACCTGAGCAGGCGCTCGGTAGCAGCAGCAGAATTGGCCGAAGCAAGGAACGGCAAAGCAGGCTACACGACCATCGAGGCCACCACGATAGAGCGGGTTGACGAGGCCCGTGGGATCAGCGGGATTCGTCGACGTCAGAAGAAGAAGACGAAGAAGCAGAGGAGGAAGACGAGAACGAGGCGCACGGGAGAGACACGGGCGCGGAAGACGCCCAAAGACGCGAACAAATAGCAAGCGGAGAGGGAAAGAAGGAAAGAAAACTCTTTCTGATCTCGAGCCAGCGTGCGCGAGACAGGTGGCGTCGTCGTCGCCGTGCAAGGTCGCAGCAGAGCGGCCCTACTGTGTGCTACACGTCCCGAGTCCAGTCACGCACCCACGCTCACGCTCACGCCTGCCTGGAGGAAAAGGAGCTGGGCTTAGCCCGTTCGGCGGCTAGCACCATGCCGCAGTTCAGCGAACAAAGGCTGCTGGCAGTGCTGGGCGCACGCCGTACGCAACCAGGAGCGCGCGGTGGTCTGCTTGGTGGTAAGGAACAGCCAGATGCAGCAGATCCGATCAGCACAGGCGTGGCAACGCATCCGGCGGCGGCCCCGGCAGGCATCTCGACGCCGGCTCGCAGCAGGCACCAGATGCGCGATCCGCATGTTGCTGTGCAGCCAGCCCCATTGGCCCGTCGCCGACGGCTGCCATGCGCCATTTTGTCGCCAGAGCCTCTGCTCCCCATCTCCCAACGCCTTTGCCCTACACGTGCCCCGATGATTCTACAATGCCTGTGCTACGATGCAGAGTTATTCCCTCACAAACCCCGTCGCCATGCACCAGGCGCTCAGTCGAGACTAGGCTGCTCGATCCCAAGCGCGTCCCCCGACCGAGGCGGTGTCGAACAAGCCAGTTTGTTTTCCCCCTTTCTCGTGCTGTTTGGCCAGCAGCAAGGCCATGCGCGCTGTTTGGAGCCGTTTGTTCTGCCACGCCCTGGCCCAGCGCACGTCACGAACTGCCGTGCCAAAGATGATCCGTCTCCAAGCGTACATGACACACCCCAATGCATGACTCCAGCTTTAACTTACACGCATGCTTGCGTACTTGATTCCTTACCGACCCTTCTGCTGTTTCCAGTCCCATACTGGCCCCGGAAAACAGCAGTCCAGAAGGCCCAGCGGGTGTCTGGAAGTCCTGTGGTGCGTTGCTCACGCGCCAGCAAACACCTTTGGGCCACCAGGGGCTTGCGAACGGCCGCCACGTACGGTCACGCATACCAAGGGACCGGAGGAAGAAGAGCGCTAGAACGACTGAGCGGAAGAGAGGAAGAGCCCCAGGATGTGGCTGCTTGCCAAATGAATCAGCAGCCCACCACCACCGCCTGAACATGTCCCCTCGCGATCTCGTGCAGAAACCGGAGTGGGCGGGGGGGTCGACTGCGCGCGTCTATGTTCGTCTATCTATGTGTGTATGGCTGCTGTTTCTCTGCCTCTGCTTGTGTAGGTGTATGTGTAGTCCGTCTGTATGCATGTACATGTGTGTACAAGTATGCAGGTGGATCCAACGACCCGGCTGCGTCATAGCCAGTGTCTGTGGGACCCGCAGCAAAGCGCGAGCGAAGAGCAATAGCCCAGAAGACCTCCTCTGCCCTTGCGGCACGACGAAGGATAGGGACGGATGGAGAAAGGCAAAGACAAGAAATTTCCATCTGACCACCCAGCCCCGTGGAGCTCGCGCCCAAAACGAGCGCACTTCGTACGGGCACAAACCACGGTTCTGCACGAACTACCATTCCTTACCCTCTGCATTCTCCACCCTTCGCCGTCCCGCCGCCGTCGCTGTTGCCGCTCGCTCGTGATCCCGCAAAAATCTTTGCCTTCCAGCCCCATGCAGCAACGTAGTCGACGTTCCTGAACCCGAAGCGTGTCACCTGCTCCCACTAGTCCTGCCGCCTTACCGCCCATTACCCCGGATTTTCGACGATTGCGCCACCCGCGCACACGCTCTCTCTTTCTCGGACAGACACGCTCACACGCTCCTCGACGATCGCCAACCTAAACACTTCCCCTCGCCGTTCGCACTTCGTAGCCATCATCATCATCATGATGCCATTCTTCGCCGCATCCCCTCTTCCCTTCCAGACCCTGTCCCTCGGCGCGCTGAGAGTGCGGGGGAGGGGTAGCCGGAGAGAGTTTTCCTTCTCGTACCGCCCTCCTCGTCCCGTCTCAAAACCCTCTTTTGCGCGAGAATTGGCAATCCTGCAAGCATGCAGCCGGCCCCAAGCTGCGTTCTTGTGCAATCCCCACGAGATCTTCTGTAATTTACGATTGATCGCCAGTTCAGTCTCTCCGCCAGAGAGCAGAGAAGGAGATTAAGAACAAACTCTTTGGAGGCGGGCGGTTTCCTCTCTGTCTTTCGCCTTCGTCGCCCTCGCCGCCTACTCCTCTAATTTTGAACAATACCGTCCCCCAATTTTTTCCCTCCTCCTCTAACGAACTCTCCTCATCTTAACCCTGCCGTGTGCAGAATTGGCGCATAGCATTTCGAGATGGGAAAGAACAGAGGCCAGAATGAAAAAAAAAAAAAAAAAAAAAAAGAAAAAGAAAAAAAAGAAAAAGAAAAAGAAAGAAACGTCCCGGGACCCCGTCGAGCCGTAAAAGAGGGACTCCACATGGGTGCGTATAGGATGCCCAAGAACAGAAAACCCCTCGTGTATGGGTCACGCTTCCTCAGGGGCGCAATTCTGTTTAGTCAATGGCGCCAGCGCACGTCCTTCTTATAGGTCCTCTATTTTTCCTGTTGCTCCTCGTAACTCTGCCTCAGATCGAAAGAGGAAGAAGAGAACCGGCCCGTTGATGGGCCCCACCACCGCCCACCTCTCTCCGTGCCGTGTTAAGCTCGTGATTCCCATTTTTACGTCGAAGTACAATGTCTGGCTTGCGTAGTGGGAAAAACCCAAAGGCCCCCGGCCCACCTGAATAACATCAGCTGAGATCGTGACATGTCTGAGTCGTACCGGAATCTCGATCGCAAGCAGGCACGTGACGGGCGCTGGCAATTGAGAGGCAGATGAGGAGGCATGACCTTCTGGCACATCTGGACGAAGTGGGTGGGCGGGGCGGGTGAGCAGATTGGCCGAATGCTTGCTGCTTCGTTACAAAATACAGTTTCGAATTTCCTCGCATGCTTTTTTTACAAACGATACACGGCGTTTGGTGGTTTCCCTTTGAAAGCGATGAAACCCGTACACACCATTTATCCAATCCCGACACACCATGTTTGACGACGGCGACACACGCTCGTTCGAACCTCAAGCAAAGCAAAGCCTCGCTGAGCAAGGCTGAGCCAGAGGCTTTAGCAGCACAGAATTGCTAAGAGGCCCCTGTGCCTCTTTGACGCCGTCGATATCTCGTACATATGGCACCCTAAGATATTTACCAGAAAAACGCCGCTCAAAATGCTTCCAAACAAATCGTCGCAAGGACAAAGAATATCACGCTGCTTGTCGAAATTGCTCAAGCGGCTCCGGCTCCACGGCCACTGATCTGCTAAAGAGATCAGCCATCCCCTTTAGTTGACCACATTGAAGCCATTCGTCTGCCCCCAAAAAAACCTCCCCACTTCACACTTGTGCCACTCCACACTTGCCACATGCCTATACAATCATTTGCGCAACGCCCTGTCCACCGAGCGTCTTGCTGCTCATAAATTCATCCTTCCTGATGGCCGCAAACCCGTAGCAGGCCGACGTGATGAGCAGAAAGACGGCCGCAGCAACCAGACTGGATGTGCCCACGATTAGGCTGAGCCACTGGACAAGGCTCATGACGCCGTAGATGGCAGCGCGCATGTAATTCGTGCTGAACTTGCGGATAAAGTCATCGAACTTGCTGGACGTTGGGCATATACGGAGCAGAAAAGGCACCTCAATGAAGAGGATCACGAAGGAGCTGGCTCTGTGTATTTGGAAGGAGCAACCCGTCAGCAATTGATGTTATCTATGTTGCGTCGGGTGGGAAGAAAGGGCGAGGGGAGAACAGGTTGTCATTCGACGTACAAGCATATTGCGCTGAAGATGATGAGCAACGGAGTGCCGAAGTTGAAGATATTCTGGACGAAGAGTCGTTAGCTAGATGCGTTCTCACCATTCTTGCGGCATGTGGCAGACATACGGCGATTCCGAGCGCGAAGCAAAGCACCATGCTAACTACACCAGCCCTGAGTCTCCGTCAGCATCGTTCTCGATGACTCCAAGCCCCGTCGTGTCAATTGCGTCGCTGTATGCACAAGAGCCGTAGCACAATGCACACATGCGCGCGCACACGCGGGGGACCATGCCTCCAGAAAACAGCAGATCGTCGCCTCCCGTTCGCCGTCGACGGCGGTATCTAGCTGAAAGGGCACGGAGGCGGGAAGGGCAGATTGCACAAACCATTGGCCGTAGATGCTCCAATTTCTAGAGCGAAACTCCTCTGCGAGCGTCATGGCGATGGACACGTGTTCCAAGAAGAGAAATCGTCTCCAGACGCGATGCCGCGATGTGTCTTCGAAGGTGTTTTGTTGTGATCACCACAAGTGCAATGGTGTCTTCGCTAGCTTATGTGGCAGCTTCTGGGAAGGTCTACGTTGCGTTGAGTAGGGCTGAGGCGCGAACGTCAGATCCGAAGGGGACGGGAAAGGGTTAAGAACAGTTCTCGCTCTTTTGTGCGGACGGGACTTGCGACGCGATGTCGAAAGGACTGAGAGAAAAGGTACGACGCGAGAGGTTATATTGTACAATGTAATTGTGTTGCCTGGAGTCAAACTGTGACGGTTGTGCCATATGAGAGCTGAAGGCAGGAGCTTTTTGCTACCTGCTAACGGACTTGCACGGCAGGCCTACGGGGTCCTGTTGCCAAGCCCCGTCAGAACTCAGCCTCACCATGAAACGTCAAGTCCCGCAGAAGGGATTATACGCTCATTGCAATGGTCGCCCTTAGTCAAAAGGATTTTTTTGTTATTGTTCTTGTCAAATTGTCAAAAGGGTTTAGATTTAAGAGGGATGCTCCTATACATTTACCACCTAAACATCGTCGTCCACCGTTTATTCGTTCCTTTCATACCACGCGTTCGTACACCTATCCCCTGCCATACCCTTCCCTTTCCCGGCCGCAGCCACACATCTCACTCTACATTTTTACCCGAGAGGTAGGGGAAAGTCTTGCCACGCTTTCTGTGATGCCGGCTTACCGCCACGCGGCTTTCGTTGCCAAATGTTTGCCCGGCATGGTTGCGCAAATGCTCGAGACCTGCTTAACCATGGACCAGTCTGAAGATGTCGTTAAGGACATAAAAGCTGCCGTCTGCGGGCATGAGCTGGAAGACCTGGCTGAAGTTCATTGGTCGCTGCTCTTCGTCGACCTGTTCCATTTCGATTAGTCTTCTCGGTCTTGAACGTGCACATGGAATGCATGCTGAAGTCGTCGTACCAGAAGAGCACCGGTGATCATGACGATGATACCTCCATGCTCCCCAGAAGGCTGTGCATCCTGTGTCGTGATCTGGTGCTTCACTTTTGTGAATGAGAGGCTGGTGAGCTTCTCGATGATGGCTGCAACACCTTGGTGCGGGCTGTTCTCGAACGTCATCATCGAGTGGTCTTTCTGTGTCGACATCTTTTAGCAAAACTTCCGTTCTCACTTTTCTCTCGCGGTCTGCGCATGACGTACGTAGAGACCAGCCAGGTTCGATCGGTTTTCATCGAAGGTCTGGTAGTAAAACTGCACGAATTGCTCTTCAACGCGTCAGTCCAACGTTCCCAACCTGCTCCTCCTTTCCGTTTATGTGACGGTTAAAGATAACGCGGAAGAACGTGGGAGGAGCGAATGAGATCAGCGATTTCTTACGTGCAACTTCAGCAAAGTCTATCGTGACAAGCAGTTAGCGCTTTCGAATTCGAGAAAGAGAGCAAGCACCCCGCGCCGAAGGCACACTTACTTGCGGCCATTTTGAACAAGAGTCGTGGAAAAGAGATTAAGAAAACTGTGTGCAAGAGAGCGCTTATGCGACGGCGCAGGCAGAGTAGCTGAGTTCGTCGCGACGTGTGCGTTTGGTGGGTTGCGTGGTCAACGTGTGCGTTGTTGGTGTACCGGGCAGGAACGATCTTTAACCTTGGTGGGGCCTTCCGATTTCGACATGGAAGCTTGGATGCCAACCTCCAGGCCTGCTGCAGAAACTTTTTTTTCTTCTAGCTTCTATCACAACTCCTCCACCTCTGATAAACTCCACTTCCAATCAAGCAACCGGCATTGTATACCATGCATTTTATGAAATAGATAACTCATATGCTTGTACTGTTTTCTTGATGCAATGTTACAGAGTGTCGCTCTCTGTCGCCGTTCATCAGTGATGTTCTCTCCGACACCCCTTTGGGGAAACAGATGCTGACAAGTAGAGCCATTATCAACCTTAGATGATCCTTCAATTGTGTAAGTCAAATCAGCTTTGAAGTCCCGGACATGCATAAAATGATGACCAATTGTCTTCGTTAACAATTCCTGTTGATTTTCTCCATGATTCTTCAAATCAAGCTCAACCGTCTGATCTTTTCCGAATTTTTGGCTGTCAACACCACTCCAGTTGACAAACTCGTTATGCTGACGAATTACACAGAATATCTGCGTCTATCTTACCGTACATGACATTTCAATCAAGCAAGCAATGCCAAGGTAAATTACCACATCATTCAGAAGCTCCGTTGCCTTTAGGGATGACCCAACTTTCCGTATTGACCGAACAAAGTGTGTAGAAATTGTAAACATCTAAACACAATCAAGAATCTGATATTGTTCCCTTCTAAAGGTCTTTTATATCTACTTCTGATAAACGGTCTCTAATGCTGGACACAGATAAGCAAGATCTAGCTCATGCTGGCATTTTGAGTCCAGCCCTCTCAATCGTGATTTTCGCTGATTCGTCCAAAAACTGTCAAGCTCCCACCTCTTTCAGTGACTTGACCAAGTCCACAATGGACTTCTCGATGCTGATAAATTCATGGCCTAGCAGCTCCTTTGCTCTCGTGTTGTTGTATCCGGCAAATTCGACCATCTCGCCTCCCGTCTTTGGTATGACACCCGCGTATTCAGGAAAGTTCTTAATAATAATATCCGCAATCTCTCGGTGTGAAGTGTATCCAGCCGTGAAGTAACAACGCTTGCCCCCAAAATTTGGCTTTTCTAATGCATTTACATGTGCCTCGGCAGTGTCTCGCACATCAATCCACATGGGATTAGCTGTCGGTGGCAAGCCGTCCTTGAACTTTCCTTGGATCATGTCTCGAACCGTCTCATTTGAGGTGTTTAGTGAGCTCAATGAGTTGAGATAGTGCACAATCGGCCCGATGACCAGCGGTGGATTTATGGTTGCAAGATCGAAGTTAGGCTTCTCCTTCTCTACGAAGTCCCAGGCAGCACGCTCAGCAAATGTCTTGCTCGCTCTATAGCCCCACCGTGGGTCTTGAAGGGCATCTTTTTCGGTGATCGGGTCCCAATCTGCTTCGCTGTAGGTGTGGCCGACCTTGGGAATGTCGTACGCATCCAAGATAGCAGCAAAGGACGAGGTAATCACCACGCGCTTGACTGTTGGTGCGGATTTTTTAATGGATCTCAGAATGCCAGTGGTACCTATGATGGCGGGATCTAGCAGCTGCTTCTTCACGTCTGTGACATTGAAATGGAAGGGCGATGCTGTGTGTATCTAGTTCAAAGCAGATTAGAATCCATGCTCCTAATCCATGTCTTGTACGCGCAAAAGTCGCAACATACCACAGCCTCGAATGGGGGATCGGATTTGACAGCTTCGTCGAACGCTCCTTCTTGAGCGATATCCTCTACAATGGCGAAATCAAGCTTGTCCTTGCCATACGTCGGGTGTGCCTTTGCGATTTTGTCGGCCTTTTCTTGAGATCTGACAGTGGTGACAACGGAGTATCTGTTACACAAATAAGTCATGTTAGCTTTCTTCCGTTCGAACAGCGATATTGATTTCTGAAGCTTGCGCGGGGAAGAAAAATGGGGCCCGTACCCGCGAGACAACAAAATGTCAAGCACGTGGGCTGCAATGAAACCGCTGCCACCAGACAACAGAACGCGCTTGGTCATGATGTTTGAAATTTCTCAGGTGATGCTTTGTTGAGTTTCTTTATGCTGATTTACGTAGGTACACTATTTTTGCAAAGGCCAGACGTGGAAAGACCAAGGGGTTTGAAAAAAAAAAATACTGGCTGTAGAAAGGCGTGGGACGAGACGAGGCCGGCTGATAGATATTTATGCTATCTCTCAAAGATGGCTTCGCCCTCACGTCATTGGGCCAAATCTTCCATTCCTATCCACTCCTGAACTCCAGACTCCCAAACTCCGGATCGTGGAAGATTCTTCCGCTGTGAGGCAGAGCATCCCCGCTTTCGGGTGAGCGACCTCCGTTCCTTTCTAAGTTGTATCGCACAGGTATCCTCGGGGCTCACGATAATCCAAGGCGCCATCGCCGTGACGTTTTGCCATGCTACAAAGAGAATCTTGACAAAGTGTCTCCATGGCTCCACAAGCACACCGTCTTGGTTCATGGACTTAAGAAGTCTCGCCGGTTAAAGCCCGTCCGGCTTCGCTATGGCGAAAAGTGGGGAGCTCAAAGAGACGCTTTGTCAGGCTAATTTCCCTCTTGTTTCGAGTTTCAAAAAGAGACACAGAGGCGATGCGGGAAATCGATTGTTCTCCGTCGACTTTTAGAAGTCATCACCAACGTGGGCTGTTCTCAACACCGCCAGAATAGCACTGCATTATCAGAACCAACACACACGTCGAAAATGTAGTCAGAATGAACTACAAGTTCAATTTTTGATTCTAGCGAATCTAGGAATTGAACATCTGCTCATAATCTGGTTTGAGGGTTGCCCGATTTTGCGGTGGTCATAGCCATCAGGGCGAGAAATCACTCATTTATACTGCCTTTTCTTTCAACAAAAAGTGCAGTTGCTCCTCCAGTCTTCTTTGATAAATTCAATGTTTTGTTGTTTTTGCAATGTGGACTTTGCGTCAAGAGATGCGCTCCAGAGAAGGACAACATATCCTTCAAAGTTCCAGAGTCTCTCGCTCCCGCATACAATACAATCGATACATTAAAATTTCGCGTTTATTTCGTCTCAGAAGGTCTAGGTGAGGCGAAGGACAGCTTACTTTAGAAGAGAGCGCCCTGGAAAAATGGCAACTATCATCAGAAACGGAGACAACGTAGGTTTGCATAGCTTTGAACTCGAGTCGAGTTAATTGGTCACATAAAAAAGCAGAACATCTGCAAAAATACTCGAAAATTACCAGTGGATCTTGTAGAACTCCATGCCTATCAACAGCTTTTCTTCAGGAACTCTGTCCATAGGTCGTAGAGAAATGCATAATTCAACTAGGACGTGATGACCATCCCTCCCCAACCACAAAATAAGAAACACTTTGCAAACAGCAACGACAACAATTACGCCTTCCCTTCGATGGAATAAAACACGGCTTGCAGAACCGTACGTTAAAAAGGAGATGAGTTTCTGGAAGAAAAAAATCGAGCAAAAAAGGAAGACTTTTGGACGAATTGGGGATCGAACCCAAGACCTCTCGCATGCAAAGCGAGCGCTCTACTTTAGGGACGTTAGTGAGTGATTAAGGTGATCAGGCTTTAAGCGGCCACGTACCCACTGAGCTATACGCCCGAGATTGTTAAACGGCTTGATTTTATGGATACATAATGTCCAATAATTATTCTTACTTCAGTATCGAGCAGGATTTCTGTTCCTCTGTTTGGCTCGCACAAAGAACGGAAACATGTAGCTGTTTTGGCTGAAGTTTGTTCCAAAATTTGAGAATTATTTCAGAATTACAGCTGACTATGGATGAAAGACGCTTTCGGTTCATGCCTTGGCAAACTCCTTTGACGAGGAATTACTTCAAAATAAGAAAAACCGCAATCTCATTTTGCTGGGGTCTATCTAACCGGCTTGGTGCATTTTTAGGTTTAAATATTGAATAGGCTAATTGCTGGCACGCAGATTAGGAAGACTAAAGAGCAAGTTCATAGTATTCTCGGATAGAATCCAATCTTCAAGCGTCAAGTCGTAACTGCTCAACGACGAGCAGATTCCAAGACGAGCAAAGAGTAGTAATTCATGAGCGCTTTCGTGGAGCTTTAGAGCTCCTGGCTACCGTTTCATTGGGCTAGGACCGTCTCATACTGAAATATCAAAGACTCCAGGTCTGCTTCCCAAACGGGTGTACATATTCATTTGATATTCGAAAAGACAATAATAATACGGCACTTGAGAACAGGCCAGCTATTCGAGTATTTCTCAGCCCATTCTATAAATGGCAGAAATTAATTCAAGACCAAATTGGTACGAATCGTTCTCCCGGAAAGAAGAAGTCAAAAATTGCGTCAACGATGTCGCGGTGCACAACACTTCCAAAACTAGGACTATATTAGCCTTTGATACGCGGTAGTCAAATGAACACTTACCTGTTGCATCTAGCATATTTCATGAATTCAAATTTGAGCTGCCGAAGCATTGTGATGTCCAAATCGATCTTTGTCGCTATTCTTCTGATATTTGCCCATATCTGGACTGGAGTTACGTCATCACCTAGATTTAGCGATAAGCTTGTCTGAAAAAGTTTCTCGAGGCTACTGATGGGCATGGAGAAGGGTTCGTTGATAGGATCCTTTCCGAATCCGCAGTGAAGCAGTCCAGATGCCGTAGTGAACACATGGTGCGGACCATGGTTAAAGTCCGGGGCAGCTCTGCCACCAAGAGGTGCGAATTGCATTTTGTGCGAATACGCGTTTTTGACATGCCCAAGGCAAGGGCGTTCCAGCCTGTAGCAATGTCAGTGCCGACCATAAGTGAACAAAAGTGCCGACTGATTTTCGGTTGATATCTTCATCGCGAATGACCAGTCTGGGACGTCAGCAGAAGCTTTACTGCAGCAGCTGGTCCATGTCATCGTCGTCCGACTTCCAAAAAATCGTGTGCGAGACACGATTGTATCCGCGGAGACAGGGCGTGACTTACTCAAGGACAAAATCGATTGCGGCCTGCGCGTTCATCGCCGGAATTGGACCATAATTGCCATCGGAGCCTTCTCGAAGTGCGATCGGACCGTCTAGACAACCGTAGTCGAACAGCTGAGCTTGAGAGATTGTCGGTAGCTCGAACGGTCGGGTGTCCTGCATTGCTGATGTTACTGAGCACCATTTTTCATTCTCAAAGGTGTTCAATGCAGTCAAATCGATTCTCACAGAACCAATGGAGCTGGCATCGCCCACCGCCGGTGGACTCGGCTCGGAGAGCAAACAGATCGGATCTTCAGGAGAAGCACTGCCGTCCTGGCCAGCAGGGCTGGCATTTTCGGATACGAGAATGCCATTTTGACTCAGAATACCCTTCAATCTGGCGTTTTCAGACTTTAACGCCGTCTCGCTGTCGCGAAGACGCAAGACCTCTTTCTCAAGCTCGCGTATGTACCCTTGAGTACGTTGTCGGTGAGTTCTGTTTATACAAGATCAGAGCCAAGCTGCAAAGTATTTGTGCTCAATACCTCGTACCGCTGGGCCTGCAAAACTTGCTCTCGTCGTCTAGTAGGGGTCTTTCGTACTTTTAGACCTCTGCTCGCTGTTGACAAATTAGAGGCCAGGCTATTCAAAGGCGCGCCTCAGATTAGAAAGCAGGCCCCTTGTACGAAACGCACAGCTTTCCGATGTATTGGATACCTCCTCGCTGACATCCAGTCCCCGACCAATGATCCGCTTGGCCCGAGAAGTTAATGTCTCGCGCTTCTGCGTCGATGAAGCACCTGAGCTTAAGGCTGGAGGCGACACACTCGAATGATCGGAAGCCATTTCGGTCATCGTTTCAGCAACGAGCCAAGATTCTGGAACATCTATCGTATATAGGATTTCGAAGCTTCAGATGTCGTTCTCGCATTCGTAATCCAAGAATATCAGATTGGCCAATCAATGTCCTCACAGCCGAACCCTCACTTATGCCGTAAGCAAGCCAAGTGCAGGCTGTTCAAAAGCTAATTTGAGCCGTACCCACAAACGGAACTCAGTGCGGCAACGAAACCCTTCAAGTGGACGGTTCTCATGCTTACAGTTGAAACTTGATAAAAATAGGCGTTCAGATGCACCATCTTCTACTAGATTGTGCTAAACGGCGGGCATATGCCCTTCCGTCTCACCGACTTTCTTCTGCCTTAGAACGGCGCACGCTGCGTGAAACCACCAGAAGAGAAGACAAAAAAGAGCGGGGACACAGTTGGCAATCTGCTGCCAGGGGCTTGAATTAGTTTGCGAAGAGTGTGTACAAATAGCGAATGAGGGTGAACTTAATAATAGCGGCTTACCCCTCCTCTTTGCTGGACGCAACGATAAGAAGCGAGAGATTAGCAACACTCGTGATTTCAGCCAACGAACCACACGATAATTGATGGTATAACTGATGTGTATTTTAGATTATGTAATTGTAATGCGAAGGACATGTGGATGAGCTTGACGACCTCTGTCACAGTAAAAATTTTCGCTAAGGTAAAACGAATTCGCGATCTATCTGCAAAGTCAAACTTATGACAGTAACGATCACTCTCCAACTTGCGTTTTATTCGTAGAAGACCAAACAACGTACCTCAATACTCTGTCTGCCAGGCGCATCAGCTGGAGTATTGGGGTCAACAAAGGCTGTGTGCGGAGTAGCTCGAGCGATGCCTTTGATACCTTGAGGCAACGAGTCGCCACGGGAATCGAAGCATTTGATGAACATAACCTCGTCTGGTGTCATGTCTTTCAAATAGTAAAATTTATGACTATCGTTCGGTCTGACCGCATAGGTTTCACCTTTGATCTCGTAGCCCTCGGTCGACGTAGTTGAGGCAGGATCGGGGAGTACCTCTTTGCCACGATCATCGTCGTCCTCATCCAGTTGCCGCTTTGGATATAGCAAGTCCACCTTCACAAAATCGGACGGAACCGTAGACCGCCAATCGATCACGGCTAATGGAAAGTCTGACGCGGGATTCTGTATGGGTCGCCAGACATTGATGATTTGATATCGACCTTTGAGTAGCTCCTCCACGTCGGCTTCACGGACATGTCGACGCACTCGCGCCTCAGCAGCAGCCGGAGTTTGATCCACATGCACTTGCTGCACGGGCTGGCGAGGCGAGGACTTTTCCCTTCGTCGAATGGTATGATCGAAAATGACGACTTTCTTTACCCCCGGAAGTTTCTCTCGTAACAGCTCCTCCACTTCCTTGTAGTAGCCTTTCCTAACGGCTTCATCGTCTGTGAACGTCTTCTCCTTGGCCGGCGATGTGTACACAGCAAATCCAGCGTTATCCGTGGTAAACTTTTCCTCCTGTCCTCTCAGATTCTCCACGTCTCTCTGATGTTCAACGAGGCGAAAGCTCCAGCCAGGCCCATCCACCTTCGACCATGGTTTGATAAATGGCTCTGAGCTATCTGTATACGATGTCGGGTCAATATACTTGAATGTCGCAGTCGTCATGGTGGAGACGAATCTATGATCAAGATGTAGAGGACGCAAACTCGTGCTAGCACTCGGTTTTGCGAGCTTCTGGATCAGACTGGTTGAGTTCTTGAGTTGCCGAACTACAGAAAGCATATGCAAGAGGACAGAGGAGTGTCCAGAGAGAGAGCAGATTCTTGTGACTTTTTGGACCAAAATTTACCTACCAGAACGTTGCCTTGATCTGACTTATAAGTGCCGGAACGAACAACCTTACGCCCTACTACACTCGAATTGCGTGCCAGAATTTGAAAGCAAGCTTAGTAATTGGAGTGAAGATGGGGAATGACGCCAGACTCTCGATTGACAGAAACGTAGGTGCGGATCTATCCCGGCGATTATTCGCATCATGCCAAATCAAGCATAAAACTAGTCTGGACAGAAAGCTAAATGATAACAAGCGAATTAGTGAGACTATGTAGTACATATAGTGGTCGTATTTAATCATAAAAGCATAAGAATTTGTACAACATACTAGATATTTCTCTAAAAACCAAAAGCAGCAAGCTAATTGATGGGTTCGCGACATGCAATAAAAAAATAAATTCTCTCTTGCACTCCGAAACTGATGTTGACTGCGAGGTCCTATTCTACTCGCATTTTCACGCCAGAAGAAGGGCACTCTGGGACACCTAAGGTCGGACCTCGTACATCACGACCGGCCAGGAAGCTTCCTCCTCGGAAGGGGCATTTGGATCGAATAGAAAACAGACACGCGCGTCAAGGTGGAATGTATACATCGAAGAGGGTACGTCAAGTGGTTGTGCCCTGGTGAGCCCAAATGAAGCAGGGCGGTCAAAGGTCGCAAGATCACCGCATCATGGCGCGAGAAAAGGCTTCGACTACGCCACAGCCCAACTAACTGGGCCTGCCCGATCGAATGTTTTCGTCCTAGGCTCTGCTGTTGGACTGTTTACTTGGCTCTGAGGTTGACTGATTGACGAGTTTTTGGGGGAACCAAGTATAGTTCGAGCCTTCTAAGTGCAACCCACGAGTTCTTCTTACGACCGCAGACCTGATGCATTGCACGAGATCCTCCCAGCTCTGATATTCGACCATATATAGCAACCAAATCATGCGTAGATGCATAGGTCGCACAAGTGAAGATTGTGATGCGTTTTCATTAGAGCCTCTTGATGATTTCGTCGCTTCAAGGTATGTAAGAGAGCCAAATACATTCGAAATAAGAAAAACTTTTTAAACGAGTAAGCCTAGCGTGACGGTAGAGACAGAAGACTTCATATTTTCACCCGATGCTATAGGTTTTTTTTTCGCGTTGACTCTAAAATGAAGCGATCATGGTCTTACAAAGAGCCTTTTCCAAGGTCACCTGCGAGGAATTTAACACTTAACACCATGTCTTTACAAGCTGACATCGATACTGAAGAAAACCAGCGTTGTGAAAGAGTGGTTTCTCAGCGGGGAATACGCATTGTTTTCGCAAACATTGGGGGAGTGAAAATGTTCGCATATGGGAGTGGCATGTTAGCACACACATTCCAACGTCACAACACACTGTTTTGACTGTTCGTGAATATCAATAACTATTTTTTTTCTTCATATTTCAATTTTTCTTCTCACCAATTCATGTATGAATCACCGTGGGCTTTCAAAAGCAGCCTGGAATGACCATCTCCTAGAAACTCACCGGGGCCAGTGACACAAAGCGGTGGAAGACAAAATGAAGGCATAGGTCTAAAGATATCGCAAATTGTAGCGAACGACGGTCCAAGACTCCACGTTTGCATTCCGAACTTAGGCATAGTTCTCACAATCATAATCTTGAAGGGCGGTACTCCAGCTCATCGAATGGTCGACCGAAGTGCTGATTTGATGAACGACTAGGCCTAGAATTAATCGATGTGATCAAAGTATAGCAAATGTGCAGAAGTGATTGAACCCACGAGAGAATGGCAGGATACTTTCCCCATGACGACGCAGCGGAAGCGTAACCAGTGCTCCGCGCTGTAGTCAAGCATGCGATCCAGCTATTTCATCCGTCACCGCTGACCAGAAGGAGCGGATGTAGAGCCTTTGGCATCACATGAAAGAGAAGAGATCAGGTCGCGAATTTGATTCCTCTGAGGATTCGCAGGCCTTTTGAATCGGCAGAAAGCTGAGGCGTTCGTTGGACGGCACATAGTCATGCCCATGCTCTTGGCTTGACGCGTCTGCGTCGCATCAATCGACCACCTTGAGCTTCATGTCGAGAGCAGTAACACCTATCACATTTGAACAGGAACGCCCTTGGCAGGAAGAGGGGTAACAGATGGAAAACAAATTTTGGCGATCGTGTGCGGTATTTCCTACGTACCGGCGTCTATTCACATGGTCTCATCTGTTGTTCGTTCATTGTGTTCCATATCATCACGCAACCCCCGCCTTTCCCCCGGCACAAAATTCCCTTCTTCTAGTCAAGCGTTGACAGCATTGCACTCGGTCTCTCCCTCCCTTCTCTCAATGCAATCACATAGGCGTCTCCTGCTTTCCACGGCAATTTTGTACAGTATGTGCGCAATCAGTATCCAACGCCCTTCAAGTACTCGGCCAGCTGCTCCACTGTTGCCGAACATGCGTTGGTTAGGACGCTCTCTGGGTGGTGTGCGATGATCAATGCCTGGACCGTCTTGGCAGCCACGAGCCCTTCCTTGCCCTATGTTATGGTCTTGTGTCAGCCTTGAAATGCGATTTCTGCAACATTTGGTGGTGTGCCTAAACAGGTAAAAAGGGAAAAAAAGAAAATTGCGCCCCACCTTCTTCGTTCGCAGGACATTATCAAGGACCTGGATGACGGTGTACTTCTCGCCATTGATCTTGAGGCCATTTGCGTAGGCGGAGTTGGGGTCGTCAAAGGCCTTCAGAAGCTCTGCCATTTCATCTGCCGATATCTGTCACAACGACACCGTTAGCCCGCAATGTACTTCGTGTGCAGCCCACCCACTCGGGCCACTGTGGCCACAGCGCTCGTCATTGAAGGTTCCATGTACCTTGAAGTTTGCAGAGTGGGCCCAGCTGTCCTTGCCGTTGACGCTGAAGATGGCGGCGGAATCGACGTTGCCGGAGCCGACGAGGCTGTTGTGATGGATGTCAGTCTCGCCACAGGACACGGTGGGCTACCAGGGGTGCGCACGAGGTGTCGATATATGCTATGCAGCGGTCAGTCACTTCCTGTACAAGCCGAGACCAGCTCAAATTCTTGGGCAGCACAGGGAGCTCACCTTGCCAGGACATGGTGGGGGATGACTGTTCCTCGCTGTGGGTGCAAGCGTTCTATTTTACTTTTTTTTTGCCTTCCCGAGACAAAGGCCAGGCACGCAGGTATGTGAGTGTGCGTGTGTAGGTATGTGTCAGTGGAAGAAGGGAAAGTGATCCAAGTCAAGGCCTTCTCAGGCAGCGAAGAGTCAGTGGGAGCCAAGGAGCGCTTTTGCGGCGGCGGTGGAGGAGGAGGAGGTGCTGGTGGTAACGAGGCAACAAGACAGAGTATGGCGTAATGTGAAACGCGGACGGGCTTGTGACGGAGGTCAGCGTACTTGGAAGGGAAAAGAGAAGAAAAAACACAGCAACACACAGCACGACAAAACACACGCACCAGCACCGACGGCCAACAATCCCCTCGCCCGTCCACAGTCAGGTCAGTTCCACTCGCGGCGGGGATCTGCTTGCAACTCCACCCCACTTTGCTGCCTCAGGCGCCGTCGACTTTTCCTTGTCCTTGCCGCTCTGCTCGTCTCTCCCGCCCGACACTCAAGCACGTCGCGCGTGGCCGTCGGGTGCCATAGGGATGGCATGTCTCCTCTGCCTTGTTGTTCTGGGCATCGAGCCGGCAGATCTCTCCCTCGTGCGGCCTGACCCTGTGACGGCACCGCGTGTGCGCTGTGACCTCATGCAGCAGCATGATTGCCTACGATGCGGGTGTAACCGGCCGTTCGCAGCATGTCATGCAGCAGCCTCAGCATGCGCGTCAAATCACCTATCTGATGTGTTTACTGCATGCGGTTTTGCATAAAGCTTTTACCCATCAAAATGAGACAGGTCGGCTCTTTGTTGAACTCAGATCGCCTGCAGCGTACGCCCACATCGCTTGTCGTAGTCTTGCCGCCAATGGCATCAAGACTCCCCTCGTTATCGCAACATGAATCACTGTCTCATCACCGGAATGACTGTGCTGTAGCCCACAAGGTTTATATTGACAGACGAAATGAGACCCATCCAACAAGCCTGACGTCCGATATCTACATTCATGGTTTTACGATGCAATGCACGAGAATACCCAAAGGAGAAAAGGGACTAGACCTCCTAGAACAGAATACGAGGCGAACGACCCTGTTGTTCGATCCGTACATCCATCAACAAATCGATCACTGCACAAGCTTTTCGGCTGCTCTACGAATGACCCTCGCGGCCGTATCGACCTTTTCCTGTGCCTTAACCCAATCCTGCTCCTCAATCGCGTCTCTGACGTGCGGGAACGTGTCACCCTCGTAACCTTGCCACTTCCGCGGCCCAATCACCACATGCTTGAATTGCTCACGAGCCACGATCCCATTCTCCGCCGCTGTGCCTGCATTAATCGTAGCGCTCGGGTCCTCGGTGCTGTTGTGCTTAGTGTGCACGTTCCCCAAGCCGCCGTGGATGAGCGCATCGAAGAACCCGCCTACGCCGTGTCGACTAGACGACGGAGTTTCCGCATCCGGTATGTCGAGCAGGTTTGTCTCGAAGTCAGAGGCGCGCTCGTTGTGAAGGACACGCTGCATGGCGAGTGCGTTTGTCTCGAGGCCGCCTCGTCCATAGAACTCCATGTCCCACCAATTCTCCCAACTGGAAAATTGCGCAGCCTTCTCGACGAGAAGCTTGGCTGCGTCCCATAGGCCGTCCAGCCTGAATCCGCCATTGCCCTGTTCGTCAGCCCAGGGTGCGCCTTTCGCTTCAGAGAACCTTTGCAAGCTCTCCACGTAGCCGACCACGGCATTCGCGTATTCAGCAATGTCAAGCCGAAGGATCATCTCGCCACTAAGCTCAAGAATGAGAAGGACCCACACCTCGGCAAGGAGTTTGTGGTATACAAGATTCGGATCTCCAAACTTCATCATCCACTCAAAGGTTTCATAGCAACTGTGGTAGGGGTAGGATTGGTCTTGGAGGCTCCCGAAACCAAAATCGATGCTCGAGGTTCCGGACATGGTTTGGAAAGCCAGATAGTCACTTCCTGCATTGAGATTTTGGACTTGGGTGTTGTCTTTCTTCCACAAATTGAGGAGCGTATCGTTGCGTACCGGGTCTGAGACGCGGCCGAGAACACGGTAGAGCGCTTCTTTGAAGAGTGGAGCAGCTGCAGTCCAGAAATTCTGCCCGACGACACCGACATCCACATTCAGATACGCAACAGCGTCTTCACGGAGCTCAGTCAAATAGTTTTCCACATGCTCCGTGCTCCCAATCAAGTTGTACTCCTCGGCATCCCAAGAGATGAATTCGATCGTCCTCAATGGCCGCCACCCTTGCATACGAAGATGCTTGAAGACGCTGATCACCTCCAACATAACAGCTGTACCGCTCCCAGGGTCACCAGAACCGAAGCACCATGCATCTCGGTGATTGCCAACGATGATCTTCTTGTGTGAGCTCTCCATGCCTTCAATAGAGCCTACCAAATTGTAGATTGGTTGCTTTTCTACCTCGTCTTGGTCGTTCTTCAGGTTAACGATGGGCGAGGTTTTGTCTCCTGACCACCACTCGACATCAGGCACACCCCCTTGAAGCTCCTGCGGAATCTGTTGACCATGTCCCTTGAGTGCCTGAAGAAGCTTCTGCGCATCCTTCCAAGAGAGCGGCAGACTTGGTATATTGACTAAACCGGGATTCTCATCCTTACTTATCCTCGAGGAATCTTTTGTTGAGGCCCAACCGGGGGTAAGAACGTCTCCCGCGATCCAGCTGGTAAGTCCTACTGTACCGCGCTGAACGCCGTCTGCTGGTCGCCATCGTCCTTCAGGCCACGGCTCACCTTTCAAAAATCCATCATCTGCAGGATCTGAGTAGATCAAGACACCTTTAACTCCCCATTCCTCTGCCGCCTTGACTTTCAAAGCCCTATCACTCTGGTCACCGTAGTACTTGACCAGCGCAATCGTTCCATTGATATCAATACCGCTGTCATACATGCGCTTGTAATCTGCTCTCGAGCCATAGTTACAATATACAAGAGGTCCACTGACATCGCCACCTCGTGATAGTCCGTGGAAAACCAGTGTATTGCTCTTGGAGTTGTCTCCCGGATAGACGGGTTCCTCTTCAAGCTCTGCTTCCCATGCGAGTTCTGGAGGATCCCCGATAGCAACGCGTCGGCCTCCTGGCTTCGGATAGTTCAGATACACATAATATCTAGAGAAGATTAGCATCCAGCTCAAGAGCTTTTTTTTTTTTTGAGTTAGCATACTTGTCCAAACGAACCGTATCCATCTCCGCGTCCACGAACAAACCCTGCATCCATTTTGCCAGATACAGACTCCCCTCTGTGCCAGCCATATGGTCAAAGCTTGTAACATGTCTTAGGTACTCCTCTATTCTACTGCCATTAACATGCGCCTGCGCAAACTGGCGCACACTCTCCTGATCAAACATCATCTGGCCAAGGGAATTCCGGGCATTCGGCAGCAGTTCAAACACAAACAGCGCATAGCCAAGCGCGATGATGAGGAACAGCCCTAACAATCGCGCCAGGATGGGTAAGCTGGGTGTGAACCGTTCTGGGAGCGATGGTATGCTCGGAAGACCCGTTGTGAGGCGACTATACACATAACCCGTATCCCACGACGGTCGCCAACTCCACGACCGGCCGAGCCGTCGTTTGAAGCCTAGTAACCTACCAACCCAGCCCTTTCCACGAGCTCTCCGGCCGTCCTCCAGGTCATCCATGTCCATCTGCTCAACCTCGCGGCGCAGCCCTTCGGCTTCATTGTCAGTATCTGATTCATCATCATTGTCAAGCCCCTCCAAGGTGTCCGTACTGCTGCGCACAGATTGGTCACTGGCGGGCGGGAAATACCCGCTTCTTCTGGACAGGCTTGAGCCTAGCAGTCCCTGTCTTTCGACTGTGGGCGTGCTTGAGGTTGCTTCCTCGTATGTGGGAATGGGGACGTCTTTCGGGTCCATCTTTCGTGGTTTATGTGTTCGCTTCTGCAGGTTGAATAATGAACTGAAACTACGAGGCTATCTCGAACTCTTCAGTGATGCCATGGCCTTGCTGTGTATCTTCCACGTGGATATGTATGGCACAACAAGAAATTGTGCAGTCGATGCCTATCGCGTACCACTCACTGTGGCACGAGCGCGCTGTTTCAGGGAGCCGTTTCGAAAAGCGTTCGAGCCTTATGCGGAAAAATATCGAAGGAAGGTGAGATTGGATTTCACCAAGAAGCAAGAAAGAGGCGCGTATGCGTAGGAAGTGAGAAGATGCTTGAGGTCGCAGGCTCTGCTATCGAAGCAGCCCTGGGCCGGCGAAGGGGGTATCTTGGTATCTTGGTACGGCTCGAACGGAAAGAGGGGGGTTGCGACGACTGTCAGCACGAAGTCAACGAAACAACGACGAAGAAGAAAGACAAAAAAAGTACACAAAGAAAGAGAGGTGCAAAGTATTAACAGATTGCTGGACAGTCTAGGAATGGTTAAAAAAAAGTAAAGTGGTATGGGAAGCGAGGTGTTGTGCAGGCACAGAATGGGGTTACGACGATCGCAGAACGGGAGTTAGCGGAGGCTTCGAGCTTCGAGGCTTGGCCGCACCTGGGCCCTGCTGCTCGGTTGCGAACTCTTTTCCCTCTCGACGTCCAACCATCCAATTGAGGTCGACACCCACTCCACAACCATGATCGCGCAATCGTTGAGGGCTGCGGTGAGTCCCTGATGATGGTTCAATTCCAATTGACAACTTTGCTGATGGACACAGCGCCCGTTGATGGCTCGCATTGCCGTCCAGTCCGCTCGCCGGACCATCTTCACACCTTCTGCCGTCCGCTCGGCAGACCTTGTCCAGGACGTATGTGTCATCTTTCCGACCTCCGCATCGCTCTAAGAGACCGCTATGTGCTCACGTATGTTGCCTAGATCTACCTGCGCGAAATCAAGAACTACAAGCAACCCACCATCAACGTTGCGAAGGACAGCGAGGGACACGTCCAGGTAAACACTGTCCCGCCCGGACTACAGCCGTCAGCAGGCAGCCCTAGGTGGATGGTACTGATGCTTGGGAGCAGAAATTCTCGGTCCCAGCGACACCAAAGTCTCCGGAGGAGACTGACCTTGCCAACGATCTTAAGAGCTACGAGACCCAGCAAGTCGAGGTCGAGGGTGCAGCAAGTTCCGACGGTGCTGACTCTGCTATGGTTGAGGAGGACTGGTTTGAGGTAAGATTTGTCCCGTAGATTTTGGTCGACATCTGCTGCTTCGGAAGCTATCGCTAGCGAAGGAAGCGCTGATGCTGGACCTGTGGAGCCTTCTCGAAAAAGCCCTGAAGTGTCTTCGCTGACCACATTAACTTGTGTAGCCCGAGGAGGAGGCCGCACCATCTGCGGCGCACTAGATGCCACGCGCCATGTAACAACAGCGGGGAGGAGTCGTGATAAATGCGGTCCACTATGTACATTCCAAATAGTGCTCATAAAAGATCATCATAGAGAGATCGCGAAGGAGAATTCATCCCGTTTGTTCTGCTGCATCCTATCTACGTATTCCGCCACATCTGCTCTTGCCGTTGAGGAGTCAGCTCTTTCAGATGGCTTTTGTTATTCGGACTCGTGCTCATACACCTAGCGTCGTATTTTTCACTAACAGCTTATAACCCTCACGAAGTACAAAGTAGTTTTAGATGTGTAATTGGAATTGGAAGCCGGTCGGCGCAGAAACGGAGGACTATAGGAAGCTTCGAAGAACACTATTCGAAGGCTACACTGGCAATCGAAATAGTCCACGTCGTTACTGATATCGGCACCCACCTCTAGTTCTAGGTGTATCCAGCGGAAGCAAACTAAACCACAAGCTCGATCGAAATTGATCAGAGCGGATAAAAGTAATCTACTCCAAAGACTTGAGCTCACCGTCCTTCGCCTTTCCAGCGGCCTTCAATCTTGCGACTTCAGCTGCAAACACCGCCTTGATCTCCCCAGCATCCTTCTTGCCATTCAACTTGGCCGTTAGTTCAGCCAGCTCCTCGTTATCAATCTTGGTGATCACAGCATCGACGTCGTTGAGCACAGTCTCGATCTGGCTGGCGCTCGCATCGCCCTCAGCGAAGTAATTCGCGTCCTTGGCCGCGCCACGGACAACACGCTTGTTCTTCTTCGCTGCGTTCTTTGCGGCCTCCTTTGCCTTCTTTGCATCCAGCTTCTCCAATTTGGCGGCAGCCTCACGTTCAGCAGCCAACCTGGCTTCCTCTTCCTTCTTCTTGGCCGCTTCTTCGGCAGCCTTCTTTTCGGCAGCTTCCTTTTCAAGACGCTTCTTGTTCTTTTGGGCGTGTTCCTCCTTGCGGAACTTTTTGATACGCTCATCCAAGGCTAACGCGTCGTCTACCAACTTGCGCAACCGCGCTGTGTCCTCTGTCTTGTTCTTCTTGCGGGCGTTATTGTTCTTGCGTTCAATATGACGCCTCTGGTCGCGAGACTCGTTGTCGTCAGGCACGTCCTGATCGAGGTATTCAAACGAGCGCCACGAATCGAAATTGTACCAGAAGTCGTAGAATTCCTCAACCTCCTCCTTAGTCGAATTTTCGTCCCCGAGCTTCGGTACAGGATGCTTGTTGGAGAATCGGGCCTCGGACTCGAAGACGGGGCCCCATAGCTTATAGAAATTGCCCTTTTGCGTCTGCTTCTTGGTGGGAGGTTCGACATTTGCACCTTCATCAACAGAATCGTACTGACGGCGTTTGACGGGGTCGAGCAGCACTTCTGTTGCCTTCTGAATACACTTGAAGAAGGAGTCGTCCTCGTTGCTGCCGGACGCAGCCTTCTTATCTGGATGGTGCTTAAGCACCTTCTTTCGGTGGGCACGCTTGATTTGCTCCTCGGTTGCCTTGTAGCGGTACTTTGAGAGACCAAGAACAGCATAGTGGTCTTGCTCCTACGCATGCCATCAGTGTTGGGTCATCAGATGTTCTAGAATTCATCCACTACCGACCTTCCACTGCTTAGGATCGCGTTGTAACATCAGTGGATCCTCAGGCTCGCTGATCTCACCATCGTCTTGATCCTCAACCTTCTTAGCATTTTCAGCCGCCTGGATACGCTCATCCTCAGAGAAAGTGCGCTTGAATCGCTTTCTGCGAGCGTATGCGAGAAAATGAGCGCCCACAGGTTCAACGCTCCGATGGACAGGGCTGGAGAGGCTGCCAACAGCTTTGAAATCCTTCTCAGCGGACCAACCGCTAGGCAAGACAGGCAGCGGCAGCGAGATCTGGACAGTGTTCGCCATGCTATTTTATTTGTCTGTATGACTATGCTGTAGTTCCGCAGTTGTGTACTTGGCGGATCCCAGAATAATTTTTTCGAAATGCGGAATGTCCGTGCACAGATGGTGGTCAAAGTCGAAGGCTCGGGAAACGGAACATTCACACGACGACATCGTCTTTGCACAAGAACATCAATTCGGCAGATTCTGCGCATCTATAAAGCCAACTTGGTTTCTGTATACAGTCGATCGTCTTTGCGGCCCTAAGCTCTCCCCAGTACATCATTCGAGCCTTTCGATAATCCAAGATGGCTCTCGCCGTGTACAGACAGCTGCTGCGATCCACAAGGATAGCCTTCAATGGTACAACAATCAAGCTTTTATTTCTATGCTGTTCTAAACGAATGACAGGTGACACTCGGATGCTACTTTCTGCCCGCAAACTCGCCCGCGAGGGCTTCGAGGCCAACCGCTCTCTTAGCAACCCAGAGGAGATTCAGAACGCCATCCAACATGCCAAAGACGTTGGTATAATACTGAAGCAGAACGTGGTTCAAGGCAAATACGATGAGGCAAACCAGAGATATAAGCTCAACATTCATGAGCACATTGAGAGGGGGGACAACGAAACAATTAAAAATCCGCCACCCATCATTCGCGGGAGGAATACGTTGAAAAATGCCAAAGTTGGCTCGTTATCATGATACTGAGTCTGGGAATTGGTGTATCTGTGTTCATATTGTATAAAATAACTAGTGATACCCCAAGCATCAATGAATGCTAAGAAATATTCCCGATACCATTCAAATCTACATGAACAACCTATGCTGGTATACAATTCCGACCCTTTTTGGTACGCCCATATGATATCAATATATGCATTTTGTCGACATAGAATCAGTTTCCTGCCAGTGCTGCATATTGGACGTCTTCTTCACCCGGTGGCTTACTTGGTACCAAAGAGTCGAGATCCTCTGCGGGTGTTGCCTCAATGGCATTCTCACCAGTCGGTCCCTGCAATCTATGTGAAGAAAGTGGAGCGACTGCTCTACCAGCCTTTGCATTCTCGATTCGCTGCTCCCTGTCCAGCGTATCAAGTGGCTTTGGCTTTCCCCATTGCACCCTCAGCGGAACTCCCTTTACAACAGCTCGTCCCTGGCATGCTTCCGCAGCAGCTTCTGCCCCCTGCCTTGTTGCAAAATTGACAAACGCTGAGTGCGCTCTATGCGAACAGACGAGCGAGCGCAGTGTGCCGAACTTGGTAAAGAACGTCCGTATCTCATGCTCGGGAAGATCGTCCTCCACGCCGGTGACAAAGAGTGATGTGATATTTTTGTCGGCAGGCGGTGCAATATCTTCTGGCCGTATCGGCACGGATCCTCTAAATCCCCCTCTAACGCCCCCTCGTCCACCTCGCGAGTTTCCACGTGCCGCCACCGCTCCAGCCAACTTTGCATCTCGCGATCTCACAGGCCCGGTGCCTGCAGGCGGTAAAGCTTTCATCCCTGCAGAAGGACTAGCCGCTCCCTCGCTTTCAGCTTCAAGTTCTAAGCGCCGTTGCTTTTTATAGTAGGGTTCGCTCGCGGCTAATCTTCTTAAGAGATCATGTGCTTTTTCGTTCGTCTTGTTGAATTCCTCGGAAACACCCGATTCCTCTAGCAGCTTCTCATTCTGCTGCGCGTGATACTGCTTGTTGATATCGCTGTTGGGGCCACTGACCATCTTTAAGGCTGTGTCTCTGATAACAATGGGCAATCCGAATTGGAGATCAAGCATGCAATGCTGACAGCAGTTCTTCGTCCGTGCACATGTTAAACAGATGATTGTTCTTTTTTGTCGACTTGTTCGGTCTGTCTTCCATCTATTCTGCATTAGCTTCTGGTTTGGTCAAAGGAAATATGAATCTTTTTAAGACCAAAAATAGCAAAAAGACACGGAACCAAATAGCTATCAATCGAAGCTTAAGAATAGCCCAGAACGTCTCGTAAATATGCTGAGAGTATGCTCGCAGGTCGTGAGTACTTACCTAAACAAGGTGAAAGGTCGGCTGCAGATCTTGCATTCGGCACCGTGGCTTTCCTTCAGCATTTGCATGAATTGCTGGTTCTCGCCAAGGCATGTCTCGCACACAGAAGGCATATCTGTTTCCTCCCATCCCGCTCTGTTCACATCGAGTTTCGGAGCCATAATTTCGACTGTGGCGCTACGCAGCGCAAGCCGCTTGCGCTATCTAAAGCGACTTTTAATTTGAACGGAATACTGGGATCTGTATCCGGTGCTGGTACGAGATCGTTTCTATGACCGTGTCTGAACGAGACGAACGAAATAGTGGGTTTACCGGCCCGGATCAAGTCGTATCCGACCAAGATGCGTTCAGATCCTCGTTTGTCTAGATATGAGGTTCAGTTTCCCTCCCGTCCGTTCAAGTCGTAGCTTTAGCTTCGCATAAGTTGCTTAGAATGCGTACATGGCACAGTTGGCTCCAGAAGTAGGCGTTGAGATCCCTTGGGCTGGTTGATAATCAAGTGAAAGTTCTGGCCTAACTTACAGGCAGGGTAATGGTCACGTGACTACGCTAAGCGGAATTGGGAAAATTCTTGTGCTGCGCCTCGATATTTGCCCTCGAGCTGATACACGCTGCTTTCAAGACGCTGTATCAGCACTGTCAGCAAGTAAAATCGAAGAAGCATGAAGAATTATATCCAGGGCCGTGGCAGAGGCGTGGTAGGCGTGGCACAGTCGAGCAAGGAGTAATAACATAAAGTTAACACGGACACTGAAGCGCAGGTTGGAGTGGGCAGCTGGGTGGCGTTGTACAGCTGTTTCCGAGCCAATGAGAACAGCGCAGCTTGGCCGGAGGACGGATGTTTGGTTGATCCCTGGAACTAGCACGTATTGGGATCTTGAAATGTCCAAGTCCAATCTCCGCGTTGAAAACAGTTGAGACCGCCTTTTGCTAATATTGCTTGATCTTGTCCACTTCAAATCCCTTTCAATTGCTTCCTGAATCCAGTCGGCTGCATTCACTGACCCGCCAAAATGCCTATCGCTCTTGAGAAGGAAGACCACCAGCGCGATCTGGACTTTCGAAATGCGCTACATGGCAAGACAGCGACGAAGGAAGCCGGTATTCGCTCCATGATAGGTATGAGCTCTCTGGCATCTATGCCTTACATCGCTGCGGAGGCTGATGAAATCGAGCAGGCAAGGGCAGTGAGGCGCAGAAACTTGCTGTGCAGGACTATTTCAAGCACTTTGACAACAAGAGCTCCGCAGAGGAGACGGAGGCCGACCGCAAGGCACGCAGAGACGAGTACGCCACCCTTACCAGACACTACTACAACCTTGCCACGGATCTGTACGAGTATGGCTGGGTATGTATCCTTAATATATCGGAGTCTGCGATTGCGGCTGAACGTGCACCTAGGGCGGCTCGTTCCACTTCTGCAGGTTCGCGTACGGCGAACCCTTCAGACAAGCTATCGCACGTCACGAGCACTACCTTGCACACCAGATAGGAATCAAGGAGAATATGACCGTTCTTGACGTCGGATGCGGCGTAGGTGGCCCGGCCCGTGAAATTGTTAAGTTCACCGGTGCAAATGTGGTCGGCCTGAACAACAACGACTATCAGATTGAACGTGCAACTCACTACGCACACAAGGAAGGTCTGGCTGACAAACTCAAGTTCGTCAAGGGTGACTTCATGGTGAGTGTTCCATCTCCAGTGCGCGATTCATGCCGCTGATGAAGACTTTTAGCAAATGACCTTCCCAGATAATTCCTTTGATGCTGTGTACGCTATCGAAGCCACTGTCCACGCTCCCTCCCTGGAAGGTATCTACTCAGAAATCTTTCGCGTCCTTAAGCCAGGTGGCACTTTTGGTGTGTACGAGTGGCTCATGACTGATGCATACGACAACGACAACCCTCATCATCGGGAGATCCGTCTCGGTATTGAGCAAGGTGACGGTATCTCCAACATGGAGAAGGTCGAAGTTGCGCTTGCTGCAATGAAGGCCGCCGGTTTCGAACTCATCCTGAACGAGGATCTTGCTGATGAAGAGCACGAGAAGAGGGACTATGCGCCATGGTATTGGCCATTGAGCGGCGAGCTCAAGTACATCGGCAGCGTGTTCGATTTTTTCACCGTTGTAAGGATGACGCACACGGCGAGGTGGACTATCCACCGTCTGCTAGGTCTTGGCGAGAAGATCGGTATCATTCCACACGGTACAGCCAAGACGGCCGATTCGCTGGCTCTGGCTGCGGACTGCCTCGTCGCAGGTGGCAAGGAGAAGCTGTTCACGCCTATGTATCTGATGGTTGGCAGGAAGCCAAAGGCATAGTCACTGGGTTGTCTCTTTTTGTCCGATTTCTCGTTTCCCGTGGTTTCATATGACTTTGTATTTTTTCGCAATCTCTTGCCTAGCTTAAACTATTATAATGTCGTCCGCATCGGGAGCAGCGAGAGCATGGCGCAGGTATGGTGGAGCCGATCTAAATACAGGGTGGTTGTAGTAGCATTAGGATACCTCGTCATACTTATCATTGGAACTTCCCTTCCTCCAAAATAACTGTAGCAGAGCTCTATTCCTCATCAGCTTGGTTGGCGACAAGGCATGTTGCCAAGGCTTTATAGCAAACGACAAGTAACTCGTCTTTTATCACGCTTTCTCGCGTTTGTAATGACTTGGACGCAACTTCAGCGTCCCTAAAAGACAGAGACCATTCCTCAGGAAAATCCCAACGACTTTGGACCTGCTCGTTGGAGGGCCCTTGTAATTTATCTCGATCATAACATGGGAGTTTATCCCAATCAAAATCAGCTATTTTGCGAATGTTAAGCGCCCACATAGCCATCTTGCTTGAGACGAGATCGCAGATCCATGCGTATTTCAAATCGAATTCCAAAAATGTGGCTAGCTTTCGCATGTTCAAGCCGGCCCTCACCTGGACCTGGACCGCAAACCGGAGCCATTTACGATCCTCCTCTAATATTCCAAGTGTGTTGGTCAGAGCGTAGAGCATCACATCGAGCTTCTCTGGTGCGATATTCTTTAGAGCGTGAGCCTGGTCGGAACTGACATCTTCAGGATCGATGTTAAGGACATGGCAGGCAAGAAAATAGTAGAAAAAACAGAGCCATAATGGTATTGCCGGATGCATAGCCTTCGGTTCTTCCAGCAGATAGCATTGCAGTTGAACTGCAAAGCTCGCCTGATTTGGTGTTGTTTCAATTGCTGCCATAGCGGACTGACACAGGCTTGAGTACACCAGATCTAGATATTGCTGTGAAACTACGATTTCAGACCACAGGTGCATGCCGAATGGATCGGAAGCATTCTCGTTCAAACGGTTGGCACCATCGACTACCGCAGGATGGTTCACGTAGGAAGAACTTGAAGGTAAAATGTATCTCAAAGCAAGAGTCCCTTCGCGACTGAGCAATGCGAATGCAAACGTATCTGGCATTGATAGGTGCAAAAGTACAGAGCCAGAATCCAGAATGATGATTCTATGGTCTCCCAGGGGTATCGACATGATGTGGTTCAGCCAAAACCCCATGCATTGATCCAGATCTTTCGGTATCGAGAGATTCCAAGCCTTGCCGTATTCGTGCATCAGCACAACGGCCCAGCCAAGCAAAGTCAATGTGTGTTCATGCTTTTTCCTGCGCAGGATAGGGAAACAGCATGACACAAGGTTGCTCTGCTTCAACAAACTTGGATATTGTATTGGCTCGCCCCAAGTGGCACATGCAATGACATCTCCCGGTCTTGCAGTCGCTGGAACCAATAGCAGGGGTGGGCATCGATCCATAATCCCATCTTTTGGCTGGAATCTTACAATCTTGAAAGTTGTGTCGGCTGCAAGTGCGGCCGGCATTAGTTGTTGCAATTTTTGTCTCAAAAAGGCCTCTTCTTTGAAACTTGGGAAATACATTCTGGCAGTTGCTTCCATACGCACTTCATTCGTGAGATCTTCACAGGGTCCGTACTCTCCGTGAGATAGTGTGAATGTGTAGAGGAGCTGTAATCTGTGCATAACGCCAGCATGCTGGTCTTCTGCACCCTGCACGTGAGAATTTACCATCTCTGCATATATTTCATTGGGATTGATCTCCAGGCCCTGGAGTGTCATTGCTTCTGCTACATCTTGCAGTCCTCGGAGCACGTTGAGTCTATCCTGTCCTTTTGAGTGCTTCCAACAGAAATCATGGATAATACGAAATAATTGCAAAGTCTTGATGTTGTAATTGGGCACAATCAATCGTGCGGGATCTTCCGTTGGAAGGAGCGAAAGTAAAGCATACACTTTGTCCCGAGGGTCAGTGCAGCGAAGTTGCCTGTAGACTGTGAGCAGCGATAAAAGAGTTGAGCTGCCTGGCGAATTCGCTGGAGGTGACTCGCCGCGAACTCGTGCTGCACGGCTTCTGCACAAACTAGCCAACCTTGCAGATTGACCAGATCGGTACTCTGCGGCAGCATTCTGCGCTCTTGATCCCGAACCTGCCGTATTCTTTAACGCGGCTGAAATTGTATCCCAGCTCAGAGTATCTAAGCCGGAAAGAAGCAATATCTTTGACGCGAGGACTAGCTCTTGTGTGATCCACAGACGGCTGAAGTAAGTCAAGGAATCAAGTTCTTGCAATACCACGTCCGACTTGGATTGAACGTCCTTCTTCAAACTTGACTCAAGGCGTGACAAAACATCGCTGGAGCCGATGCAAGCCGCAACACAAGAGGCGTTTGAGTAAATCTTACCCATCAAAGCTACTTGCAAGGTCTTCTCGCGGTCATCGCCCTGATTGATACAAATTGAATCAATCCAAATAGCAGGCGAAGAGACCCCATAGTAGTGCCGAACTTGCCAAAGAGCATACCAGCAATGCATTCCCACTTCAAAGATATGACCATTTATTCTAAGCCGCAGAGATGGCGCACTTGGGCCCCATGTGTATGAAATAGCCGTATACTCTGGCCATGCATCGAAGCAGTCATGAACCTTTAATGTATAGCAAGGCAAGCCATCATCGAAGCCGGCAGTCAGATCACTGGTCAGAAGCCTGATCTGTCGTTCTGGCGACTTGAGAGAACAGTTAGCAAATAAAGTATGCATGCCGGTTGCCAACGGTTAACATTAGGCGCCGAAGTAAAGGAAAAAGAAGAAAGGCTTATCAGAAATTGGGAATGATGGGAGTACGGAGGACATGGTGACGAAGTTCTATAAATGGTAAGGTCGCTTGGACCCCTAAGCTTTGAAGCTTGTTGGGGATTTGCCCAAAGCTCACCAGCAGAAAAGATCCATGCGACGCATCTCTCTCGCGAACCATTGAACACCCTTTCACACCTCCACTCCGCTCCCTCATTTACTTCCTCTTCAATTCAATTGTCGTCATGTCCTCGGTCCGCCTCCTCCGGCCGGCAGTGCGCCTCCTTACGCCATCGCGTTCGGTGATTACTCGCAATGCCCCCCGAGCACTACCCATCCAGTCTCGGAGAACATACGCATCATCAGGAACCAAGGAGATGACGGTGCGAGAAGCTCTCAACGAAGCAATGGTAATATGAGTTCGATATCGACGAAAATTCTCCATTCATGAGCTGACATAGCGGAACAGGCGGAAGAAATGGAGGCAAATCCTAAAGTTTTCATATTAGGTGAAGAAGTACGACTGCACCCTCATGATAAGACAATCGTCGAAGTTCAGGTTCAGAACTAAAAAATATCAGGTCGCCCAATACAACGGCGCATACAAGGTTACTAAGGGACTGCTGGACCGCTTCGGCGAAAAGAGGGTCATTGATACGCCGATCACCGAGTCGGGTTTTGCAGGTTTGGCTGTCGGTGCAGCATTGGCGGGCCTACATCCTATTGTGAGACCCCTTGTCATGCCACCAAGATGTCCAAAGGGCTGACTGGACGACGCAGTGCGAGTTCATGACTTTCAACTTCGCTATGCAAGCCATCGACCAGATCATTAACTCCGCCGCAAAGACGCACTACATGTCTGGTGGTATCCAGCCATGCAACGTCACCTTCCGTGGTCCTAATGGCTTTGCTGCCGGTGTTGCGGCACAGCATTCACAAGACTACACTGCTTGGTACGGCGGCATTCCGGGGCTGAAGGTTGTCAGCCCATGGAGTTCTGAAGATGCAAAAGGTCTGTTGAAGGCTGCGATAAGAGACCCGAACCCGGTCGTGGTGCTTGAGAACGAGTATGTCACTCCCTGCTCAGGAAGACGGTAACATTAACACAAAATGCAGGCTGCTTTACGGTCAATCGTTCCCCATGAGCGAAGAGGCACAGAGAGACGACTTTGTCATTCCAGTATGAGAACTCACCTGTGGGAGACGAACTCATTTCACTAAACAAGTAATAGTTCGGTAAAGCGAAGATTGAACGCCCCGGCAAGGACCTAACCATCGTCACACTCTCACGCTGCGTGGGACAGTCTCTCACAGCCGCTCAGCAGCTCAAGGACAAGTACGGAGTTGAGGCGGAAGTCATCAATCTACGCTCTATTAAGCCCATGGATGTTGAGGCTATCATCAAATCTGTTAAGAAGACTGGTCGTCTGATGGCGGTCGAGTCCGGCTTCCCTTCATTTGGTGTTGGTGCTGAGCTGATTGCGTTGGCTGTGGAGTATGGCTTCGATTACCTGCAGGCACCACCTGTACGAGTGACCGGCGCCGAGGTCCCAACACCTTACGCGCAGAAATTGGAGGAAATGAGCTTCCCGACTGAGAGCTTGATCGCGGATTACGCGGCGAAGTTGCTAAAGGTGTAAGATGAATCCAATAGAAGTGCGACGAAGAAAAAGTTTGGATTTTTGAGACAGATAGCAACGGAGCTTGCATCTTTGGCGCAGTTTTCATTTGTGTGTAAAATCTTCTCAGGAAATCCGGATTTCTAGGTAGCGAGCGGTGGGTGTCATGTCTCATGGATAGAGCAAACGGGTGTAGGTCTAGTTTAATCGAGGGCGTCATCGCGTTGAGAACCCAGTGTCACAGGACGGTTATGATGTCGTCCGACTCTATTCCATCCAACGTTTATACGAACATGTTATCAGAAGCGAGCCAGATTAATCATGTTCTGTTTATCCCGGCATTTATTTCCTCAAACAAAAAGCTCAGTCAATGTTCACGTGCCTTTCGTCATAGCGACCGCAGAGTACGGTATTATAAAGCTCACTGTTTGATCAAGTACAATCGAAGGCTCCGCTTTCCGCACGCCGACTATGATCATATCTCACTGGGCTACATAAAAGTACGTCGACGGACGAGAATCTCTTGTTCACCAGTCCTGTACAAAAATCTGCTCCGACAGGGATCCACTGCACAAGCGACGAGTTTAGACAATCTCTACTTTACCTGCTCTCGGCTGAGATGGCTTCGTCAAATACAATCATCGTTGGAAGCGGCATCATAGGCTTGTCAACGGCGTACTACCTCTCCAAGTCACCCAGCACACAAGCGCAAAGCATTCATCTCGTCGACTCGTCGCAGGAGTTATTTCAGTGCGCGTCGGGTCTTGCAGGAGGGTTCTTGGCCGCAGACTGTACGACTGAGGCCCGTCCCACGACGTCAATCTGTATTAACGATCTCTGAAAGGGTTCGCGCCCGCTGCCTCTGCGCTGGGAGCGCTGTCGTTTAAGCTGCACCGAGAGCTGGCAGAGAAACATGACGGACGAGAGAAGTGGGGTTATTCTCCCAGCGTTTCGGTGTCGTACGCGATATCCAGGAGCAACAAAGTCAAGACTGTCCGGAGTCCGAATTGGGTCGTAGACCATGCGTCGTGCGCGACCGCAGCAGGCTGTCCTGAACCTGGCGATGGAGAAGGTCCGACGTGGCTGACTCGCTACGAAGGGGACGACCTCGAAAGGCTGAGCAAAGGTACCACGACTGCTCAGATAGATCCAAAGAAGCTGTGTGAGTGGCTGTTGGACCAGTGCGTTCGGAGAGGTGTGCAGCTACACCAGCCAGCAAGCGTTCTCAGCGTCAGCAAGGACGCGAGGGACGAGCTGGCAGGCGTACGCATCCTGAGCGCGAAAGACGGGACGGAAACGGACAGTACGTCGCGAGCAAAGTTGAGCAACCATGGCAAGAGGCTCGGCTCACGCAGAACGTAGTTCCATGTTCGAGGATCGTCGTCACCGCGGGGCCGTGGACGCCCAGCGTGTTCCGCACTCTGTTCCCACGCTCCAACACGGTGCTTCCCATCACGCCTCTGGCCGGCCACTCGCTGCTTCTGCGCTCTCCACGCTGGACGAGCGGCGAGGCGGACGCCCACGCCGTGTTCTGCACCGACTCGCCCGGATTCCAACCGGAGTTCTTCTCGCGCACCTGCGGAGAGATCTGGTTTGGCGGATTGAACAACAGTGCTATTCCCTTGCCTCCGAGTGCTGACAAAGCCCAGCCGGATCCAGACGCAGTAAAGCAGCTTGTGCATATGGCGAAACAACTGCTTGGTGTGCCGGGGAAGGACGACTTGCAAGTGGTAAGGGAGGCGTTGTGCTTCAGACCCGTTACGCCAAGCGGACTGCCCATCGTCAGCCGGGTTCCGGACGAGACGCTGGGCGACGGGCTGAAGACCAGAGGTGGTGGCCAAGGCGGCGTGTTCGTCTCTGCTGGTCACGGTCCATGGGGCATAGCCCTCTCTCTGGGGACGGGGAAGATACTCTCCGAATTGGTCGAAGGGTTTGAGCCGTCGTGTAAAATCGATCAGCTGGTCTTGTAGACATTGCGACAAAAGGGTGCTTTACTTGTTTAGTCTTTTACGCTTCTACACACAAAGCGGGTATCTGTGCCTATCTCATACACTTCCAGATGTCCCGACATGACCAGCATCCCGAACCCAGATCTAAGCAGAAAACAAAATTTCATGACCAATACCATCGTCCCACTATCCTCAACGCCGAGCAGTCAGAGCCAGAGTACACGTGCTTGAACGATGAACGTTTTCAAGATGGAGGGGAAAAAAGACATTCGAAGGCGACTAGAATTTGCCGGTAGGTCCTTGAGCATAAGAGGTATGTTGTGGTACCGTATTGGCGCTCTTCGAGAAGCCGCCGTTCAACATCTGCATTCTGTACTCATTGAACTCCGCCTGTTCCTTCTCCCACTGCGCATCAGCGATGGCCTTCTCCTTCTTGCCCTTGCGCGCCTGGACAACACAGCACACGAGCAGGGCAGCCAAGAGCACGCCAGCGGCCGAGATGGCACCGATTACGATACCAGATTTGGCACCAGTGGTCAACCTGTCCCACAGGCCGGTGACGCCATGCTTTTGGTAGATTTCGTTGAGGATAGTTGAATTGCCGCTAAGTGTCCCCGTTAGAGCTGATCTCAACCAGCGAAAGCTAACTTCAAACTTACGCAGTGGCTTTGATAGACTGCCATGAGCCTGACATGTCGGAGTATGTGTACTGCTTGCCGGTGCTAAAGTCGGTAACATTGACCGACTTGACCATCATCGTGTATATGTCCTTGTAGTCGGTGATGCCGCCAGCCCATTGGATCACACCCTCGGGCTGCTTGGGGTCACCACCTGCCCAGATACCCTGGTCCATGTTAATTTGTGGATTATGAAGAAGTGGAGTCGTGCAGAACAACGCACCAATCTGACGGTCATGGGGGTCTGTGGATAATTGTAGCCGTTGAGAGTACCATTGCCATCATAATCCAGCGACCTGACCATCTGGCCGTCAATCCACCATTGAAGTTGCTCGGCCGTCCAGTGGACGGTGTAGTTATGCCAGCTGTTCTGCGGATCGTCGACGGGATAGTAGATTGCACGATTGTACGTGGTGGTGTTGCCCTTGCCGAAAAAGTTGGTCTCGACGTGGGTGGTGTTGCCGCCCATCCATTCCCAATCGATTTCTACGGTGGTGTCAGTGGACCGCACTTTCCGATTGCGTACCGCATTGGACGGCGAGACTCACCGTCTAGATCGTCGGACTCCAGCACGATGCTGCTGATAATGCCGGTTCCCGATGCAGCTTTCAGAATCACGGACACGCTTCCGAACATGATGTAGAATTGCGATTGGATCGTCGGGGACTGCCCTCGTTCGCTGATTGTAAACTCTGCGCCGTTGCTCGTGTAGCTCATGGGCCCGGCTGTGGTGTTCCACACGGCTGGATCGACCTTCTGCGTCATGTCGAAGCTGGCAAAGCCACCCAGGGCGGGATCGGGAGGGCACGTCTTGTTCAAAGGGTTACAGTATGTCCAAGTCTGAGCCACGGCGTGTTGGACGGCAGCAAAGACAGTCATTGCTGCCAGAAGGATTCGAGCGGCCATTGTGACGGTTGACTTGTGGCTGGATCGAGGGCAAAAGCTGGGAAGCGGCACTGCCGTCGAGGATGAGAGGGCAAGGAGCGACTTTGCGACAATGCTCAGGGCGTGGATTTAAAAAAAAAAAAGATAATGAGCGACAATTGCTGGATGCAGCCAACAGAGAAAGAAAAGGAGTGAAGCGGCGCAGCCCGTCGACGGCAGAGAGCACCTTAGCAGACGAAGAAGCGAGTGGTGAAGAAGGAAAAGGGAAGACGGTGACAGGAAAGGAGCGTGAAGATCTTCAGACCTCTCATTTTGAGCCTGGCCAAGTCTGAGATTGAGGCGCGTTTCAGTGACGGTTTTGTCCAAGGAGAGACAAGACCCGGTCGGCTGATAGTGGTTTGCTTCGCTAGTCAGGAACAGGAAGCCGTTGGGCCCGGCCTCGACCACTCAGGGGCGGCATCGTGCAGCCGCTGGTGTAATGCGACGCCCAATCGGGCTTGAGATGCAGCCGTGCTTGGCGCATCTCCGAACGAGGGGCGAGGGAGGTGATGGAGGAGGGAAAAGGCAGACGGCATGGGATGGGACGCGAGCGACGGGATGGTTGGGTGGAGTCGTGGACGGGCAGAGCAGTGCTGCACAGTCGCTGAGCCGGGCAGACGAGCGCCGACTCCAGCTGCTCTCCCCGTCTGTCCTTCGCAGTCTTCGCCCCACGCGAGGAGATCAGCGTAGCATCGGCTGCGCGGTGGAGAGGTTTTGTTTCTGCCTGATCTTCGTTGTTTGGAAACAAAATTTCCTCTCTCCATCGCTCGCACAAAACACATACACGCAGTTCCACTTGCAATTTGCGCGCAAACACCGGATCGCTCTGACCACATTGGTACTGGCCATGCGGGTGGCTCACAACGTACTACAGGTCACCGTGTCGGTTCTCCCTGATCCGCCAGTCAGCGCCGGCGAGTGCAGACTACAAAAGCCAATCGGTTTCATCATGCCCATATCTTCGCGGGGAGAAGACCAGACGCTTGCCGCGTGCGGATGAGAATCGTGACCTGAGAATTGATTCCAACATCCGGCCCGTCATTTTGAATCTCGTCTGCCCGCCGTATTTCTGCTTTGACATCGAGATGACCCTGCAACAGTCCAAGCACCCGGCCCAGCCGTATGAAGAAGGAAGATTTGACCTTGACCAGTCTGCACAGGCGGCTTGCATGAACCTCCCGGCGTTCTGCTCGCTGCTTGCATCGTCTTGGCCAAGCACACGACAGCCTAGATCAGGTCGAGTTCCACGTGAAAGATCACGCATCGCGCAATACTTATCGCATTTCCTTCATTGCAACGACCGTACACTGTCTTTTTTCGTCTCGTATTGCCCTGAAGAAGGGCGAATGCTAATTTCTAAAGATGGACCTGAACGTTTCCAACAGTGGAGTCTAATGTAGTCACGTGAATCGGCCGCATGTCACCATCTAAGTTATGCGCTGAAGTCATGGCCTATACACATCGCTGGTGTCGCACGTACGTGGCAAACAACAGCGCAGCAACCATGTCTAGATCCTTCTGGTACGGCGGCTAATGCATGCTGAGCTTACATCCGTTAACAGCGTGCTTCTAAGCTGCAAAGCCGGTGGATTCACGTGCTCGTCTTGGAACAACCTAACTCGCGTTCCACTACCTCCGGATCACACACGCCGAATCACGATCATTCTGACGGAGGTTGTGCTGCAGCACGGCTAGGACTCGCAGAAAGTAGTGAGCCAAATGGCGCTTGGAATATACATGTCGTTGAATGTGCCGAACACAGTGGATTCGGCGAGACCATTGAAGAGCTCAACCTGTCGTCGAGCGAAAGGACGAATGAACCCATAGCGTGAGTGTACAACAAGTGTTCCTCTCTAAGGACGAATGAGAGAAGAATGAAAACAAAAGAATCGGAGGGGGAAAAGATCACCTGTTCCATTTTGGACATTATGAAAACGGCCGCTTTTGTTCTTGATTTTGCATCTTCTCCTAACTCCCTCCCAAGAACCAGCTATAAGCAAAACCCCTTTTCAAGCCACCGGATGCCCTCTTCTTCCGTCGATCCTGTACCACCATCTGGCTCGTCAATCGCAATTCAGACTTCTCTCAATTCGCTTTAGACCTCATTTTCCTCGAGCTCTCGGTAGCGTTCCAGTGCCTGCGAGAGATATTCAGGTTCGGCCCCCAGAATGCGCGCCTGTCTCTTCTGCACTTACTTTGCGTGGTGTCAGCGGCTGATAGAATCTCACGCCGTTTACCCGGCAGCTTTCAAATAAACCGTCGTATTCGATCTCAGCACCTCCCAAGAACGGACACCGAAAGCGTGGGATCGGCCACGATAGTAGTTTGGGCTTTGAAATTTTAAAAGTGTCGTTCCGGATTTCCTCGTACGGCGTCTGAACCTCGGGATGCTGGAAAAAGTCGTAGACGGCCTTGTTTGACTCATGGAGTGCCGTGACGCTGCAACGACAGTATGTCTGCCAGAAATCTCGTAGGTCTCTCAGCATTCTCGCGAGCGTTCCAGTATCAAGGCATGCAAGCGCATATCGCGCAGCTGCAATGAATTGATGAGCGTTTGTGGCTTGTTCATACATGAACCGAATGTCTTCTCTGCACACAGTGGATTTGGAAACAATGTCGTTCTTGGCTATGTCCATGCCGTAAAACGCAGTGCAAAGCTTGCGAATCTTCTCGAACATCTGCCAACGTACAGCGCTGGTGCTTTGGAAGTAGCGTATTGTGTGATTGGACCATGCATTCTTCAATGACTGCCTCGCGGCGTCCACCCTCTTTTCAAAAGTTCTCGCAGCTCCGGCCCCCTCGATTAAAACTTTGTCCTTTGTAACAACAAATTTAGTATCACTTGAGTGGAGACTTCCTGAGCCATAGCGTAAGACTACAGTCTCGTGTTGGACAATTGGCTCGAAATCCACGATGACTAGCACACCTTGAACTGCTCTAACGACGGCAAATATTTCTTCTGGGTACGACCAGTCGGGCATTCCGCCATCGCCCCAGGAGAGTTCATTGCTGTCAAAAGAGTATTTGACTCGGCATGACCTTGTTTGCTCGGGATTGGTGACAGTGTGTTGACCCTCAACGACATTCCGGGAAAACGGTGAAGTAGTTGATCCTGCGTGCGGTCTGGGAAATATCATCAGCAAATCCTGCCATATCGGGGAGATAAACTTCGTAATCACCGCTGAACACAATAAAGCATTCTCTGAAACCCCTCCAGGAATTCATAGAACGCACAATCATCCATCAAAGCGTAACCAAGCTTGATGTTGATCTCGAAGTGCCGAAAGCGGTACACGCTTGACTTTGCCAGTGACGAGGTATCTATTGGCAAGAAATCTAAGAATCGGGTCGAGTAAAGCGTCCCAGCCGAGACGCCTCTAGGCCAAGCTGTTGGAAACTGGATGACGCATGTTCTCTTCGCAGACCCAAAGAAGAGGCTTGCGACTTCGTTCGAAATCTGTTTGTTGACGCGAAGCAACGCCGCCGTGCTAGACAGTCCATTGCCGGTGTTGTGAAACGAAATGTCCCCTTCGGGGATGAGCAAGTCAAAGATCATGAGACGCAATTCGGTCGGCAGCTTCATGATGTGACATGTCAGCTGTACCTGGAAGATAAATCAGCACAGGAAAAAAAGGATCGGTGCTTTGTTGGTCCGAAAGCGTCAAGTGTCTTTCAGTTTGTCCCGAATCCAAAAAAAAGGCTTCTTCGTTTACCTCTTCATGGTCTTCACATAACTGGTTCTCTGGCGGCTTACATATCACAAGGCGGTTGCAGCGCTCGCCACACTCCGCAGTTGCTTCGCAGTACCCGCGGTAGATATGTTGTTCTCTATGAACGCCGCATACAGGCAAGTATCCGTCGGCAATGAGAGCTTCAGCAGCGGCACGGTTGACCTTGTAACGACATCGCTGTCCAGATTTCTGGAGACCATTACACCTGGTCTTACGGATCTCGTCGTCATTGTGGAGTTGGCATCCTATGTGACCGTTGTCAGTCTTAGACGTTCTCTTGACTCGCTTTCGTGACATTGTTGTGGTGCAGAGTGACATGTGACGAATGAAGAGCAAAACATAGACGGTTGACATTGAAGGCTGAAGTTGAGAAGAGTTACACAAATCACGTGTTACTATAGCGTCAACTGTTTTATTTGCTCATATATGGTCTGGCGCCAGCTTTCTTGCCTGTGAATGGGAGATTGTCATTTTGCCCGCCACTCCTTCATTCGGAATTGCCTTATGTATCCGAACATCCACATCAGGGCCTGACTCTCGACCGGCAGAATTGTGTACTACTAAATAGATGTTGCCCGGACGAAGGTCATCTAGATGGTCCGAATGGTCCTGTATACCTACTTTGCTCTTGCCATCGGACCCCAATTTGCTCGGGGATTGAGCTGATACCGTACCATCCTCTTACTCTTCACTGGCTCTCTCCCCAACTTCTCGTCGAACACAATCTTCCGTCCGCGGGAAGCCGAGATAACGTCCTTCGAATCTGAGTCACGAGGAGCTGCCTCTTTGTTCACAATGGCACCCACAACAGATGAATCATTTTCCGACTCCGACCTTTCTTTCTCCGCATCGAGACTGGCCTTCTCCCTTTCTTCGCCTCGTTTCATGATCTGATATCCTGCCATGCCTTCTTTTAAAGCCCCTTCTCGAATCGGTTTCAACTTCGTCCATGCAATCATAATATCCCAAATGGCTTCCCAGGGAGCATCTGTCTTGATCGTGCCAGGAAGCGCGTGGCTTCTTACGGCTTGATAGCCAAGGCTTTTGAGTGCCCCCCGAAACTCTGCATCCGATGGCGCTTGGCAGTGCAGCACACGGGACAAAGCGGAGGGGACAACGTAGAAGGGATGCCGATCAACGACTGAGGTGTTAAGAGATTCGAAAAGATGCTTCTGAGAGTCTAGAGTGTCCTGTGCTTGTGCATTGTCTTTGCCATTGGAACTTTCTTCGTCCTGTCCTCTCTTTTCGGATCTCTGTTGTTTTGGTACTTCATTTGGCACCGTCAGCTTAGCCAGCTCCTGAATAGCGAGCTCCTCCTGAGCCACGCTCAACATGCCTTCGATCCGCGGTAATGTCTTGTACACGTCCGCATCCAAATTCGGTATCATATCCAATATTTTTTGGATAAAACTTGGGTTATGCAGTGGGCCACCCCACATAGGTCCTACAATATGCATTTTGCTCCCACAGCACTCGCACAGTCGATCTGACGTCGGGCCCTGCGCAACAGTATACTTGTAGTATACTGCACCTTTCTTTCCCTGCTGCTCCGTGCTGCGCATTATGAATTGAGGGGTCCATGAGCCGCAGCCGTGGTCGCAAGCGTAGACAAGCATGGTTTTGCTGGCAAGGAACTTTACATCTGCGGGAGATTTTTTTACTCTGACGAAAACGCGGGCATAGTAATCTATGGATAGGGAGACAAGAGGCTCGATGGCTATTCCGTATTTTGCAGCAGTAGCGGCGATGGAGTGCAGTATCAGGCGCAAGCCCGCTTCATGGCAGTAATCGCCTCTTGCAGGAATGCCTCCGTAAAGGGCGAATGCCTTTTCGGCGTAGCCCACGGAGTTGAAGACACCAGTATCTGTGCAAGTTACGCAGAGCATTCCATTGTCGCTTACAGCCTGCACTGCCGCATCCAGGAAAGGCACCGCAGTGCCATATGGATCAAGGTCAATAACGTGATATTTTGAGCCCGGTCCGCCCACACCTTCTTGGGCGACGAAGCTGTACATATGAGCATTTGCATTGCCAACTGATGTTTTGATCTTCTTCTCAAGCCGGTTATGTTTTACGTTCAGTTTGATCGCTTCCACTGCGTGTCTAGAGATATCGTTGGCTGTGGTCAGGGTGTTGAAGGGCAGTTCCTTTGCGTATCTGAGTGCTCTCAGACCTGTTGCCGACAAGGCATCAAGTATGCGAAATTGTGTCCGAGTATCCTGATCCTCAACAGGCGCTTGAGAAACATCCGTCGACCCATCGGCCGTCTTCTTCTCCACGCCTTCCGTCTCACGAGAGGTTGAGAAAGCCATATTTTCCGCCATTGAGCTTTCGACTGCTAGCAAATCATCGTCATTGATACCTCCGTCCTCAAACTCCGCAGCCTCTGATGTCAGTTTCTGCTTCTTTCTCTCAACGTCTCCTTGTGAATTATCGTCCAACTTCCGTTTAGTCGACTCTGCCGTTTGCGCTGATTTCATGCTCAGAGACTCTTCTGTATTCTCCACCACGGCGTCTGCACTAGAAACCGCATTGTCCCCAGCAGTTGTGTCGTTCTCCTTTTTTCCATCCTTGCTAGATTGACCACCTCGCTTCCCTCTTCTCTTTTTGCTCTTCCACGCCTGCCTAACGAGAAGGTCCTCTCCGAATGCACGAATGGCCAGTACGGTAAGATCTCTGTTATATTGTTGTATGGGATTATAAAAGACAGACTGGGACGGCTCATTGGCGTGAGTCTTTGGGTCTAGCAGACGTGGCGTGTCTGGCGGGATCAAGATGTATGCCAGACCTTCTTGGACCGTAGTGTACGTCTTGTCCCCATGTTGGACAGTCTGCCCATCTGCTGGTGGAGCCGTGATATCTACGGGCGCCGCATTTGTCACCGGGGCTGACTCAGGTTCCGTCTTTGGCTTCGCCGTTGCCATCATTGTGTATCTAGGTCGAGATCGGTTCTCGAAGCTGCGGAGCTTAGGAAGGCTTAGTGGTCGCGCATTGTGGATTGTTGTTTGAAAAATCTGGTGAAATCTCCGCATACAGTTCTCATGCTACCAAATAGTTCGTCAGAAACGTATAGAGTTAGAATGTAGGGAGTGAATTGATGTGATACGAAATTTGCGCTGCGTCTAGAAATTTGGTCGCACTGAGATCGGGTCCCTGCCTGCGGAGCTCGATGCATGACTCGCACAAGGCTGAGGTACCCGTCCAAATCAGCCTTTCGACCTTCGCGGCAGGAGAGGACCCGCCATTATGAACAGACAAGTGAAGATAACTGATAGACTTATCTGAAAGCATATTGTAATTCTGAGATCGGTGTTTACGTTTACACGCCGACTCTCATTCGTCCTGCATTTGTCTGAATTCGTCCTCACGGGACGTCATCTTGGCTCGGAAATCTGACCGGATAAAATCTTGCACAAATCTCAGATATGCAAATTTGCATTGATCTCTCCAGTGGAAGCCTGATGTCTATTTTGAGGATGCGGAAACGGCCATGTGTTCGGGAGAGGAGGTCTTGCTGACGAATGGCTGTTGTGTATGACAGCGTTGCGTTAAGAATTGCTAGGAATACTGCTGGTGCTGCAATCAGCATTTCCATGTGAACAAGACTAGTACAACGTGTCTCCCATATTTTCGCTGTTTCAATTCTTGCAACTATCACTGAGAGTCATATCTATCGCCACCTCATGGTCTCCATTGATTAGGTCCGAGCTATCCGTTCTGTAATTGTAGCAGTTTTTGTGTGTGCAACAAGCGGTATAGGCCAATATACGATTCTTCAATTCGCCAAAGCAGTTCCTAAGCCACGACTTTGCGTCAGAGGACACGCGCCAGCAGCAGGCAAGCGGATTCAGACAGAATATGAAAAGATAAACCCAGAAGGGAGATTTATATTTACACAAGGGAACATTAGCAAGATCAGGAACAACGAGTTGTGAAGAAATCATGACCAAATAGAAGGCCATCAATGCTTTGCTCCTATCTCAAGGAAGCTTGGATGCAACAGATAGATTTGTGCTGACTCGCTCCTGATGAATATGAGCGATGCACGTTGTTGGGTTAGCTAAGAGAGAAAGTGACGGAAGAGCGTCTGCCTCTGTTCACGGCTTTGACTACATACTCGCGAAACCGAGTTATTGACCAGCTTCTCCCCCTTCTCCAGGATGCAAAGAACCTAAGTCGAACGGTCGCAGTTCTCTCAGATGTACATACCAAAGCACTTGGCAACGACGACTTTGATATGGTCGGAGTCCCAGTGGCCAAGCACATGGCCATAGTGCCACACTCGTCACTGTCGCCATGGAAACATTCTCGCTTCAAGCAAAAAATGTCGCATTTTATCCACTCCTTCCCTGGTTTGGTGCGTTCGGACATAGACAGGGGCATGAGAGGTTCTGTCACTATGACTGTCGCCAAAGTCGCGTACAGGACTTTGGTCAGGATGATTGGGATCCTGGAGCAAGAGTCTAACGAGAGACATATCTTCTCGGCTAACAACGGTAGATATCCTCAGAGAGAGAATGGGTCATTTGCTGGCACAGGTCTAAGTGCTGCCAAAGGATCCGACGGCGCCGTGGGCTCTGGGTGTTATGCTGTGGATGAGCACGGCGAGAGCCGAGGGCACTGACCGGAAAGATTCTTGCTGGATACAGAGATGACAGCACTCGTGACAGAATTCGAAAGCACCACGACGTTAACGTCTCCAGGATCATTCAACCTGGGTCCGCCTGATAGCTGGGCAGAGGTAGCTCAAGGTCAAGGCCGTCCCTTCTCTCTGACTACGTGAATGGCCGAAGGAGCACTTGCCCTTGTAATGCGATAAAGGATTTGAATTTAACCAAAAGAAGTCTGCAGTCAGGTTGATGTGAATACAGGCCGTCCTCTGATTCAGTCTGACAGGTTTCGGTCACGAGTCTGAGGCGACAGCGTGGCACAGACGAATATGGTCGACCATTGATGGCGAGCCAGACGAGCCTACGCTCACATCACCAGCTTTGTAGCTCATTTGTCTGGCGGCGAAACCACGAGAGCACTTTAATGCGGCTGCGACATTGTATGGACTGTGGACACCATCAGCACATTGCGGAGTGCTCGATCGTGGTGTGTAATTAAGTGGGCGGCGTCAGGATTTGAACGTGGATGCTTCCCGTGTTGCGCGCCGCCAAAACCGGCTTAGTCATGCGGGCTCTGGCAGGCAACCACGGCAGAGCCCAAGCGCTTTGACTCAAATTCTCATGCCCCGCTAAGGTCAATTACTCCTTCGACCAAAGCAAAGAATTTCCGTCAGCTTTCTGCGTCTCAATTCTCGGCCGGCACCACCGAGAACCTCAAGCCGCCACCGCCAATCATTGTCCACTCCTTTTGAATGGGCGAGGCTGGACGTAAACACGAACGTGAGATTCAGCGTCTGGAGAGTTAAACGATATTGCAGTTGGCGGCGAGCTTTGGAGGGGGCTTGGACAATTTTGACTTCTGCGCACACTTTTCACCGTTCGCCAAACATCACTTCACCCTCAATTGCCGTCCTATTCCTTTATCATTTCGTCGACCATACGCGCACGCTCGCAGCCTCGTCGAGTGGAGAACATATTCAGTACATATTCTTGGTCCTTCTTCGCCCTACCCTCAATGATTCTCTAGCATGGCGCCACCAGTACCCCGCGGAGGCGGACGAAAACGAAGGCTACCCAGCATTCGAAATCCTAGTCGCTCTCCGAGCGTCGCTGCCTCACCAGCACCTCAATTGCCTACGCAGCCGGAGTCGCGGCCACTAAAGACCGGTGCTCCATTACTCAGTGATCGCTACTCCTGTCCACAGTGTCCCCCCGATGAGCAGGACATCCAACTTTCCGACGATGGAGGCTACGTCGTGTGCGTGAACTGCGGTACTGAAATCTCCAACAATCCTCAGCTGCAGAACGAAGTTGCCTTTGGCGAAAACGCACAAGGTGCCGCTATCGTGCAGGGAACCACGATTCAAGAGGGCCAACGACGTCCGCACGTCCAAGGTCTAGGCTATCGGGGCGCTCAAGGTCCAGATGCTGAGGAGAGACTTCGCGTGGCCACTCTGACGGGCCAGGAAGAGATCAGGCGTCTCAACTTCCATCTTAATTTGTCACCCGCTACTGTCGACCGAGCCGTGAACTTGTACAATCTCGCCAAGATCCACGCCTTCCAACGTCCCGTTTCAGAAAATGCCGCCATTTCTATTTACACGGCCTGCCGTGAGGTTCCTGGCAACACCGTGTTGCTCATTGATCTCGCAGAGATCATTTCCGTAAACGTATACGACTTAGGAGCAGCGTACAAGAAGTTTCTTGACCGCATCGACCTCACGGACAAGTACATGGGCTCAGACAAATTCCAGAGAATGGTTGAGCCCGAGCCGCTTATCAAGCGTTTCGCTTCGCGTCTGGAATTCGGAAAGGACACGAACAAAGTTGCCGCGGACGCAGCTTCCATATTAGCCCGCATGAACCGCGACTGGATGGTCACGGGACGTCAGCCGATGGGCCTCGTTGGCGCCTGCCTCATCATTGCCGCGCGCATGAATAACTATCGTCGCACCTTGCGTGAGGTTGTCTATGTCGTTCGCGCCGGCGAAATGACCATCTTGAAGCGCCTCAATGAGTTCTCAAATACCCCAGCAGCGCGATTGACCGTTGACCAGTTTCGTCAGCTGAGAGACAACGAGGCTCTAAACGCCACCCTGAAAGAGGCACTACCGCCATCCTTGTCCAAGCCGCCGCGCAAAAAACGAAAGATTCTGCGTGGACGTGATACAGATTCTCTTGAGCCGTCCTCGCGAACGTCTTCTGTGGCACCTTCCGATATTTCCGACGCCACAAACGGCGCCTCGGAAGCCGCACCTCGCCGCGACAAAGATGGCTTCGTGATCCCTAGTCTTCCGCCACGTGCACAACCTCACTCTGAGAATAGTGCCTCATCTCCGCCAACAAGCAGCATCGACGGTCATGAAGAGAATGATGAAGACGAGGAACTTCGACGCAAACCCGGCCGTCCCAAGAAGATCCCACTCCCAGAATTCAGCGTCACTGAGGAAGATCTACGTGCGGAAGAAGCCATTGAAAAGGACATAGCCGCAAACGTTAAGGCAATTGAGAATGACGAAGCTATTCAAGAGGAGCGAGGGCCCGGCTGGTTCCGTGCCAAAGCTTTGGCTGACGCTATACGCGAACAGGAGCGAAAAGCGTCAAAATGGAAACTCTCCGAACTCGAGATGTTGAATGAGACCATCGAAGAAGATGAGTTCGAGGACGATCCTGAAGTGAAGTTTTGTAAACTTACCGAGCGGGAGGTCCAAGTGAAGGAGCAAATTTGGGTTACTCACAATCACGATTGGCTTCGCGCACAGCAGGAGAGACTTCTCCAAGAACAGCTTAACGCCGCCAAAGGCAAAAAGAAGCGACAAGGTCCAAGGCGGAAGATGGCGCGTCGCGGCGATGGCAGTGTGCTTGGCGATTCACCCGTCAGTAGTGCTGCGGATGCAAGCTCGAAGATGATGGCGGCGCGTGCCAAGCGACACAAGTACTCCCGCCACGTCGATTATGCCAAACTGCAAGAGATTTATGGCGAGGACGACCAGTACAGTCGAGCCGGTTCGCCCTCCGAGCAGAGCGATTCTAGAGCAGGTTCCCGCTCAGCCGCTGGAACCCCAGCACCAGCAGACCATACAGCACGTGGTACATCGTTCTCTCCTGATGTCTCGAACGATGAAAGGAGTCCTTCAGCGCCACCGTCGGCGGTCACACGACCTCAAGATGAAGTTACTGAGAATGAGGATGAGGAGTATGAAGATGAGGACGAGGAGGGCCTCGTCGATACTGTGCCTGAATTCGGCGACGATGACGAAATCGAAGAAGACTATGAAGAGGAGGAGGAGGATGTACTGGACATAGCCCAACAATACGGCGTTGATATGGGTGACCGTTAGCTCGGTCAAAGTGGACATTTATATACTGCAGCTATTCCTAAAGCTTTCGATTGGATGGACGTCGAGAAACACGGGATTGACTTTATGCATAGCGACTGGGACATTGGTTTGCATTGGATGGCGAGAGAAGCGACTTTATGGATAACACTCGCGCTTCCTTCTGGATGCAGCGTGGATCTCCTTATCCACATCACTAAGTATATTGCGTGGCAAAGAATAATATGCATGTGACCACCAGAACATTCAATTATACTCTATCAAAGCTCCAAGTCATTGTTTCCGGTTTCGCTTGCACTGACAGCCTGAACCATGGCTTCTAACCAGCCCGCGAGACGAACACCTGCCGCCGTGATAGCCTTCTCAACAAGGGGCTTCGCACCCTCGTAGTACTCCTGGCTCAAGTCATGGCTTTCAAGCCAGTCAATCGGCTTCTTTAGGACGTACGAACATACTAATCGGTTCGTCTCACGCGCCCAGAGGAGCGAGCACTTCTCTGAATCTGTCAAGTCATGGCACTCATCCACAAGATGGACACCAACGGCAGCACCAAACAGCTTGTCAGCCCAAGACTTGGCGGCAGACTTCTCCTCAGCCTTGTCAGCCGAGCTCCTGAGTCCGACGATTTTGTGCGGGATGTATGTGTCCCACACGGAATGCAGGTTGACGCGCGAGCATGCGCGGCCGAAGCAGACATCCAGCTCGTTGCCACCGCGGTACGCGTCCTCGGTGTGCAACGGTTGGTGGATATCGCCGATGAAGTGCATGAGGTACATAAGTGCTTCCTTGCGCAAGTTGTCGGGCTGGCTGGTGTCGGTGAAGATAGCCGTCTGGTTCGCGATGGCGGTGATTATGCACCCATCCTCTGGATTGTCGCCGCAGTCGTCAGGATACTTTATTCCACACTGGCTTGGGGGACTGTCTCGACCATCTGTATTGCGTTCAGCACGTGGGGCAAAGCTGTTTGAGCGGAAGTCTATTTACCAATGTAGTGCCATGGTTTTGAGTACGGTCTTCTGTTCCTGATTGCGTCCGGCCATGTGGCAGCGTCTGCAAAGTCGAAGCCTTGATTGTTGGCGAGAAGGTCTTCCAGATATGACCTAGTATCGGAGCCTAGGAACTCGTATGCTAAATACGCGACTGTCTGATGACCCAATCCACCCCAGCCAAGAGCATGCTGGAGAAGCGCCGTAAGTAAGACAGTAAATCTAAGGAGGCGCATGGTGCTTAGGAAGGTGAGAATCCAGGAAGAGCGTGTGCGTTCGTGTTATATATCGTTCGTGCTGTCACAATCTTTCATTCATGGCGAGCATTTCAGCCTGAGCGCCAAACGACGAGCTGAGACCCTCTGTGACTCTTAGATCATGACCCAAAAAAGAAAGATTGCTCTACGGCGGTTCCAGCCACACCTAAACAAACGTCCAACTATCATCCATCCATCGCACACGGGCTGAATGCGTGCCAAACCAACACGAAACGAACCTTCCTTGGCGGACTGGGGAGATCGCCCAGTCCTGCGACCCTTCTCGGGGAACGGGCATGTTCCGCTCCGTCTTAGTTCTAGATCTCTTGGCCGTGATAACACATCCCAAAACACGACGTCCGCAGAGCCCCCAAGAATGGCAACTCCCGACGGCTGAACGAACATGTATCCATGGTAGCGAACTTGGTCTCCTGACCGCCTGGACTCCAGGATTTTTCTTTGTTTACATGAGCAATGCGGCCGGTTTGTTCAAGGTTTAACGCGGTGTGCGGAAAGGCGAGAGGCCTGAGATGCCTGAGAGGCCTGAAACGAAATGCAGACTCAATCGTTACGTGCTGGCTAAAGTCTGGCTAAATCGATAATGTATTCTCTACGGAAATTTTTACATGCTTTCAGCCATCCTCCATGGCCGTCAATATCACCTATTCGTTGGAGCAAACTTGCTCCTCGCCCGCAGTTTTGCGCCGTAGCGAATGAAGATAAATGGTACGGGAATTGCAGCTGCGGCTATTCCTCCCAGTATGCTGCAAGCTGGCCCGACTCCCAGGTTGCTGAACATCGGTCTGGCAGCCAAGGGCAGCCCAGCCGCCATGATGGATCTCAAGAACGTGTTTGCTGCCACGGCACTTGCCGCATACAAGGAGTAAGTGTCGACGAGAAAGTTAATGCACTGCTGGAATATGATGTTGAACTGGTGGTTCCGTCAGCCAAGGTCTTGAATTCTGTTGATGTGAATACTTACCCCGGCTCCGATGAAGCCAGCTGCTATCACCGACGGCACCCAGTTGATAGATGGTTTACTAGTCCAGCCAAAAAGAAACAGTCCGGTGGCGAAGATGATCGCACCGAATATCATCGGAGGGAGTCGAGCCTCCGGCACAGCTTTACCACCATTAGCTTCAACCGCGCGTCGATACCGAGGTAGATTTGCCAGATTCACAAACACTGCCGAAAGCACACCGACGAAAAGACCGATGAATGGCAGTGTAGACGTAACAAGTGGCCAACCTCGATCTTCGTTGTAGACTATGCTGAAGAATTCCAAGGTCATGTAGAGAAGAGCGAAGACGAAAGAAGCATACACGGCAATCGCTGTGACCATGGGTTCTGTCAACAACATTCGAATCGGACGTCCAAAATGCTTGATAACGATGGATTTGACGTCGATCTTCACATCTTCGTGTGGATGATAGTATCGCTGGTCACCCATTTGTTTCCTCAGGCGCTGGGCCCGTCGTTTGAGTAGATAAGGCTGGTAGACTTCCGGCAGGAAGAAGTAACAAAAGCCTGTAGAAGCAAAGGTAACGATGGCGAGAATGTATTCTGTCCTTTTGCAAACGGTCAGCTGTGCGTTTCACTCGATGATTTGGTTCAGCTTTTCTTACCATCTCCAGCCCATATGTGGGTTGACCACAATCGCTGCTCCGATCGTTGGTCCCAAGGTCGGACCGCCCACGACTGCCACTGCATACAATACAACCGCGGTGCCTCGCTGCTTCGGCACCCAGATGTCGCCCAACGCTGCGGACACGTTCGCGACGGCGGCCGAGCCGAACAGCCCGGAAAAGAATCTGCAGACAAATATAGTCGCTGCGTTCTGCGCCACGGCGCACGCAATACTGAAGAGGGCCAGGCCGCACAGCGCTGGCAACATGCTCCACTTGCGGCCCCAGATCTCCGACACGGGTGCCCAGATGCACGGCCCGAAAGCGAAGCCAAGCACGAAAAGAGAGATGGTCAAGACGGAGACCTCTCGACTTACGCCGAAATGCTGCGCAATGACACCATTTGCGGGCGCCGTGATGGAGGAGCCCAACGAGGCGGCGAGGGCGAGTAGGCCCAACTGGCCTGTGATGAACCACTTCTGCCAGTCTGGGAAGTTGTAAGGGTTCTCTGGGTCGTTTTCGTCCCATCCGACGAGAATGCGATCCGACGCGTCGGCCGGGTGCGACTTGCATTCTGCGAGTTGTTCATTTGGCATTCTATCGTGGTCGGTGCGAGTCTCTGGCTTGTCGGCCTCCTTCTCAAGATCCTTGGTCTCTGTGCTCGAGGCCACGGACCGCTCGTCTGACGTTGATGATGGCATAATTTGCAGTTTTTGCACCCAAGCTAAACGAAGGCAGGAAAAAATACGGGGGGAATCATGGTATCGAAGTGCCCAAGCTCTTTATATGTTGGGTCAAGATGTACATCGAAACTGGAGGGACATTGTGGAAAAAAAAAACTCCACTATGCAGCGGCGAAGACATGAGAAACGCGTGCTCCTGGTCGGATAGCGGCTACCGATGACGGCATTGAGCTCAAGTTCCAGGCTATCGTCGCATCATTCCATTCCCATTCGTCAGACGTGGAAAACGGCAAGGGACGGGTGCGGCTCCACAAAGCTTGATTATGGAAACGAGGAAGAAAAAAAACTGCCCTTCTGGGCAACAGGCGAGACAGTTTGACGGCTGCCGTGCAGCACGCGCTCGAATAGCAAACATTACGGAGAGATTGTACGCTGTTTTACTCGGCGACATTCTTGACCGTTCGTGCGCTACGTGCGTGTGCTCAAGCTTGCGAACTGCACGCAATGGGGCGAGCATGATGCATGGTGGAACCGTCGTCAGGTTGGATTCGCGCCTCGGATGCCGATAAGAAGCGAGCAGCAAGGCTGTCGATCATTCCCACCAATTGGGGCCGGCCTTCCAGGCCGGTAGCGGCTCGTCAGCCTGGCTTGACCGAATGTGGAGATGAGCACGGTTACAACGTCCGCTTCAATGGATCTCAAAGGATGACATACAGTCGTACTTCAGCTTGTGAATGCAAAGGAGTTTGATGGAAACTTGTGTTCAAAACAACTTAAAAATAAATAACCTCACATAGCCAAGTGGAGCAGATGATCGTTAAATGCAGACTCTAAACCGCGTGGCACCTAACCCTCAAAGAGAACAAAAAAAAGTTGACGATCAGTCCAGAGAGTTACCCGGCCATTGAAGGGAGATGTCTCGTCAGCGATTTTGTCTGAAACGTACAGCACCACTGTCGCTGGAAAAAACAAAGTATAAACACGACATGCTCAACGCACGTTGACAGTTTGTACCGCGCTCTGGAAACTCGGCATAAGGTATACAAGCATGTCGCTAGCTGAATTTCAAATTTGCAGCTCGGGTTCAAGGGCGAGCAATTATCTGATTATCTGCAGGATCTGTCCCGCATCTTTGACTTACAACCATACCCTTGCAATGCCTCTCTCCGGCAGCCCGTTCGCTTCTGAAACACGACTTGTTCCCATACGCACAGATTTCAAGTGTTGATCTGCATCGGTGCAAGACATCGTCACCATACTAGCCACTCAACCCGACATATAGACTTCCAAGCCATCTCGCGACGACATGGCCCGTCAGGGTTTTGTTCAGCCTCAAAGACAGCCTCATTGGATCTCGCATTGTCGTTGAAGGAGCACAGAGAAGGCAGAGCGGACTCTTTTGCGTCTAGACACAAGATTTCACCCGTCACTTCGCCGTCTTCTGTGCGTCAGGTCTAATCTCCCATATGTGCGTGAAGCCACGCCGCTGCGCCTTTGCCTGGTTTCATTCCCACCCACGCTCTTCTTCGCACACCAGCCGGATCCTGAATACCTAGCCATAAGAGAAAAATGATGATAGGTACCCGTTAGCCTGACGTGCAAAAAATGAGCATAGAAAGAAGGAGAGAAAGGAATGCAAGTTTTTTCCATTCGATGGACAGATAACCGATGGATACTCCACACAGTCATCACACTCCATCACAGATGTGAAAGGTGCTGATACTCCCCCCGCTCGAGAAATACAGCGCATATCGCGCCTGGTCGAAGCTGAGGACCGCAGATGGCATCTCAGATAGGCAATCGAATGCAACCGCATCGGCAACGCTGAATATGTGCCTGCTTGAGCTTACCGTCCTGACGGCGAAGTATTCAGACAAAATACGATGCAAACGGCCCGCTTCCGTTGTGTAGGTCGAACGTGAGGCCCCTGTTAAAACATGCGCTTATGCTCATTGTTCTCATACGTCAAACTCCTCTCCGATCGCAAATTCTCTCTCGTGTTCAACCTCTCCTCCTCCCAGATCGTCGCCTGCTTCGTAATCATCACCAACCACGTCGTCAGCCTCTCCGTCGTCAAAGTACTTCTCGCCGTTGTAGTCGTCCGCCTCGTCCTCGTCGTCTTCCCAATCCTCGTCCACCTCTTCCGGTTCTGCCTCGCCTTCTGCGTCGCTGTCATCAGCGTTTTCTTTGTCGGCGTTTTCATCATCACCATCCTCGTCTCCGTCGGAGAAGTCGTCGAGGTTGAAGGTTGGTTTCGCTGTTGCAGAGCCTCTGCCGTTTCCGCTGCCATCCTGAGCACCGTTCTCGGCGCGCGCCTTGCGCAAGGAAGGGTCGACAACGTCCCATAGTTCTTCGGGGAGAATTGCTTTCACTGCGACGCGAGCGCGTTATACGTTCAGCATGCGTTCTTTTGAAGCCTCGCCCAGATAGCAAAACGGAGAGGGGCGGATCAGATCATGAAAAGAGAAAAGTGAGGAAAAAGAAGGGATAAGGGGAAAAGCTTACGCCAGAGCTTGCCCGCGAACTTGGGCCTGACCCGCCACTTGCGCTCGTACTTTGTGCTATAGGTCTGCAGCGCGTTGAAAGCGTCGACAGCGGTTGCCCCGGGAGCGGCGACGCGCGCCTTTGCGACGCGCGCATTGCTGTCGACGACACGGCGTACAAAGAGCGGACCATCTCTGGCTCGCTTGCGCTCGGCCTTCCACGTCTCGATCACGGCATACTCACGCTGGGTCGGCAATGGCGTGACCGGGTAGTGCATGGGCTTCCAGGGCGTTAGCCAGCCGCGCTGGGGTGAATAAGAGGTAGGCTTGGGCTTGGGAGCTGGTGCAGAGGGATTACGCCTGAAAATGGTGTCGTTGGTGTTGGTGGCGGGGCGGGCACGAGGACGGCGCTGGTGCTGGTGCTGGCGCTGCGGAGCAGCCTTGGAAGATGAGGCAGACGGCTGTGCATTGTGCTTGGTTGTGCGGGAGTGCGGTGCAGAGGAGGAGGGGTGCTCGCACGCTTTGCGCTGCCGCTGTCGCCGCTGTCGCCGCTGGTCCAGCAGCAGCTGCTTCTCCTCGCGGGAGGCGAACTTCGCGTCGCTGGGCATGGTGCTTGCTGCGTGAGAAGGGTGACGGCGTCAAGACGCAGGGTGCGAGCGAAGTGTTGGGAACGAGTGCATAGAACAAGATGCAGTGAGTGCGGGCGGGTGGGGGTATTCCCGGGTCGCGACTATGCTATGGCGAGAATGGATAGCGGCGGCGGAGACAGCGGCGGCGGTGGTGATGGTAGCGTTGGTCGTGGTGTTGGTGGTAGTGTCGATCAGACTCACCGGGTAACGCTCGCGCGGTTTGTAGCTGATATGGGCCTGCAATCTCTCCTGGCGCTCACGAGCGGCGTAGGCCTCTTTGGCAGCAGCAGATCCTCCTCCATCCTTAATGGGTGGCAGGCGATCATCGAAGAGCTTCTTCTTGCCCCCACGCCCTGCGCCTCCAAAGCCGCCAGCCATGGTGCTGCTGGTGCCGGCGCTGGAGCTGGTCCTTGTTGTGCTGCTTGTCGCTGTACTGCGAGCAAATACGACTTGGACGAAGCGTGAGATGTAGTGACGACGTCTGCGGTGCTGAAGGAGATGTTTAAGCCATCTGGACGACACTGGAAGAGCGGCAGATGAATGGGATCTGGCGGTCTATTGTCTTGAGGTGATGAGTCGAACTTTTCTATCTTTTCTATTGTCTTCTCAACTTATTGCAGGCGAACAATTTTTTTTTTGCCTCTGGCGAGTGGGCCTGAGTGGCTCCGGGAGGGCGCCCAAGCTCCCAGGGACCGCGGCCCTGTGTCCGGCTTCCAGGCGCCCTCCGGCCCCTCCGTCTCTCTTCTTTGGCCCCTCTGGCCCCCCTCTGTCCCCCTCCATTCCCCCTTCGTTGCCCGCCGCTGGTTGGCGCTGCCCCTCCACAGCGGGGGCTCTTGCAGCCCCTACGTCAGGTCATCGTCGTGTGCCATCTGCCTGGTTGACGCCCAGTACCATCACGCAATCTTCGCTGAGAGGCCTGGCAGCTTCTTACGGAACGGCACCCGCTAACGACAACGCCCGCTGTCAAGGGGGACTCCGCCTAGGAACCGTCCTTCTGCTGATGCAATCGTGAGGTGTTCAGCCATATGCCCCTGTCTCAAAGATTCACCTCACCATCTTGTAGGATCCGAGTAGGCAGAAACACCACGTCGCTCGACCATGAGCACTAGCCGCCACCGGATCATATGAAACCTGGTCTTCCTAACTTCGCTGTCTCCGCTCACCTCGCTTCTCTCTCCCTTCTCCAGTAAGTCATTATGGACGAGCAGGCTGCACAGTTGCTGCGCCTTCGGCAACACCTGAAAGACGTCCACGACAACCCCTCTATCATCCTCGACGAGAAGCTGTTAGACCAAGCGAGATACTCGCTCATCCCTACGCTTACCAGCCAAGACAGGCAAGCTTTGATTTTACAGGTGTATCAGTTGCTCCCAAATCTCCAGCAGGATCCCGCTCCCACCGTCAGTCTTCTCTCGAAGCTCCTCGAACCTGTGTCTTTGTCAGACGTCCTTGCACTCGAGCCACCTGTCGACTTCATAGCAGGTCTTCAAGTTGCCACTACACCGTTCAATAACCTCACACTCTCCTTGCTGGAAAAGGCAGATGGAAGCACGGCACGCATCCTCGCGTCCGCCCACTCTCATCTCTTCATCGCCCTCGTCGAGCTGTGGCTAGGAACTCAAGATGAAGGTGTTGCCGACAAGGCAGGAAAAGTGTTGCTGGCCCTCCTCAAGGCTGATTTGCCAGACCCGGGAACTATAGGCAGAGATGGCTCTGTCTGGAAGCGCCTATTCCGTGACAGGGACGTGTATGAGCGCATATTTGCCATCACCGACACAAGAACAGGACGCGACGTGTCGCTCAACGCGAGCCGAAAGACGGTAGCGCAAGCGCGCCTGCTGGATTGGCTTCCGGCCGTGGCCGCTCTTGACTGGAATGCCGTCTCGCAGAGCTACCATCCGGACGTAGAAGCCGCATTTGGGCTGAAGGATACAGGCCATCAGAGCCTGTTGGACTACGCAATGTGTCACATGGTCGACTACAAACGTGACGTGCTCATGCACCGAACTCTCATGGCAGCGTACGAAGCCCTCCTTGCCATCAACCCCTCAAGTTCGCTCTCTGGCTCACCTGCGCTTGACTTTCTCTCCAAAAATGGCTTGCATTCTCGAACGCTAAAGTATTACATCGCGCCTGAGGATCCCGCTCACGACCCGCTCGATGTCTCTTTTTTGTACGGTCCGGCAGCAATATACACGGCGCGCTGGGCCGAGATGTACCCGTACGACCTCGAATCCCCAAGGAATGCAGAGCTCAAGCGAGCAGTTCTCAAGAAGGCAACAGCAGCCGTCAAAGTACCCGCAGCGCGATGGGCACATTCCCACTCCCCAGCAGAGGATCTGCATGTTTTGGCGTCAATCCCAAGAAGTACCCTGCTTGCTCTCGGCTCCTCGAACCCAGTTCTGGCCATACCGTCACGTGTTGCCAATGCGGACGCACTTCGCTGCTTAGCGACCATTTTCCATGGGCCTCGCGTCGACGATGGCTCCAACAGCAACGTCGTAACATTTCCGGCCCCCGCTCATCTGCCGACGGACGCCGAAGAGCTCAAAGCCGCACAGGCACTCTACAGCCAGTACCTGGCGCACAACCCGCGCCTTTGGACAGATGCTACTACACACGCCGACACGATTGCCCTAAAGGACCAAGCACTTGCCTCCATCCATCTACTCACCTCCGTGTTGTCAGCGCGCTGGGGCGGACTCGCCGCCGTCATGGATGATTCGTCACCTGCTAAAGCCGCAGTCGTGCCCTGGCTGTTAGGTCCGCCGAAGACCTTTTCCAATCTTGTCGGTGGCCGTGGCGACGCCGAGAATGCAGCTTACCAGATTGCCACGGCTCGCTTCGACGCCCTCAGGCTATTTGCCAGGTTGCTAGGCGATGCGGAAGGCTACGCGGACGTCAAAGCTGCCGTGGAACAGAGGATTAAGGAGGGACCTTGGGGTCAAGCTCCTGAGGCGGGTGGCAGAATCGCCACGATGGAGCTTTAGTGGACAAGATCACGAACATGCAAGGTAGATCAGGGTAATTAAAATCGACGGGGACGCAGTGAACGAAAAAAAAAGTACTTTTTAATGAACCAATTACGCAACGCACCATTTCAGAAGAGGGCATAATGTATTCATCATTCAATAAAAATTGAACCCTATCCGTAGGACGGACTTCTGCGGAAGGTAATTCTCTCCACGATGTACATAGAACGATTCATATATATGTATTCAGACGTCTATCCCTTGAGTGTGAAGCTGTATATTCCTTGTTCCGAAGCTACTCAGGCACGAAGTGAATGAAGCTTCCTGCCGAGATTTGTTTACAGCACGTGACTAAATTCAGGATAACGCAGCCCCGTGCAGGAGCAGCCTCGCGTCCATTCGTAAGTGGACGTAGGCTGACGCACTGGTAAAACTGCGCGCATGTACGCCATGAGCAAGCCGGCTGACCAGTCGAATTGGGGGAGCCTTGTGAGGGTTGGATCAAACTGTTTTTTTTTTTTTTTTTACCTTATTTTTTTTGGGGAGAGCGAGTGGCCCAAAGGGCGGACTTAAGCTCTTATCATGGCCTCTTGTTCTGGCAAAATGTGCAAGGGTCCGTACGAGCAGCGAGATTGTTCGTGTGGCCTGCAGATGCGCGCGAAGGGACAGGCATATCACCTTTGTTGTTCGTGCTGTTTTGACAGCTAACGCGCGGGTTCGAAGCGGAGGACGAAAGACCGCGTGTGTGTCGTTGCTGCTCCGTACGCTAAGGAGCCTAGAGGAGCGAGTAACCCTTAGGGGTTGTACCTGCTTTTGTCGCCCTTTTAGAAGAGTTTGATCTAGAGCCGCCAGTCCTGAGCTCTGTCGGTACGGCCGAGCGTAAACAGAGTCAACTACAGCACAGGCAGGTCGGCATGAGCGAAAAGTAGTGCGCACAGCTTCCTGTTTTCTCTAAGTGATGGAGAAGCAAAAAGCAAGGTATCCTCTGCCTCTCCAACCGTGTCGGAGCTGATCATCTCGAAGAGGTAAGCCAGGTTTGTCGAAACAGATGGATTTACATCCGTTGTGGAGAGGACGGTCGGACTTTTTTGCCTGACTTTGATGATACAACGCACAATTTTCGGGATGGCTCATGTTAAGTTATCCAAGAGGTGAAACTGATAAAGGATATGTTCCATAAGCTTATTTACTTCAGCCACATCGGGGGCTTATCAACATCGAATCAGCAAAGGCCCGGATCATTCTGGATGCAGTCATGCCGTGATTCGACACGTCTTTCCTCGAAGAGAGAAGACATGGGGTTGCGGATCTCATGCTGCTACATTAGAAGACAGCTAGTCGAATGTGCTCAAGTGTTTGATGGATCACGGGTGAGGCGTCTCTTTTGCAGAGTAACACTATGCTCAAGGTCACGTACAAGTTCTCATGTCCGTGTTCATAAGAGACAAACCGCCGTTAAAAGAGAATACGTAAAGATGCCCTGCGCAGAATGCGGGTTTAGAACGGGCCAACAGTGTGCAGAATGTTCACAAAAGTTACCCAGAATCCCGGGAGGTCTGTGTAAGCGGTATGCCTTTAACCTTTGGATGTCTTGCCTATTTGGTCTGGGAAATCCGGCGTGAGGGTAAAGAGCACTCGGCTCCCAACGTCTTACCAGATCTTCGTGCCTGTTGCTTAAAAGGTGATTCGACCCTGGCCCTCATCATCACGATCATTCTAGTCAGAACCTCTCGTCATATTCGGTCGTCACTAGCACCACAAAGGGTCCAGATCCAAACTCTCGAAATGTCAGCATGAGGGGGAGGAGTGCGAATCCAAGACACTGATTGGCCTCTGCATCGAATCTTCCGATCTTTTGACAAAGCCGAGATGTCATGGCAGAAACACGCACGGTGAGAGGCTGGTGAGAACTATCAGATGCTTCCAAAAAGGGGCATCGCTTTATCAAGGGCCCAGACGCTCGACGAAGCTGAGAAAGGCAGGATTGAAATCTCACCACGAATAAGGGTGGGGGGGTCCAAAGTATGTGAGATCCAGGCCCGATTGAGATTTCTAATGGAGAGATTTCTTGACCATGCGACGCCGCAAAACCACCAGTCTCCGTGCTACGCTGCCCGATTCTCCACGGGCTCTACTTTTAGACGGCGAAATGGCAGAAAACACGGGGGCTATTGGCCTTGTCGATTCATCATGTTCGCCGTCACCAGCCGCAGGAGACGCCGAAAGGACGTTCCCTCTCGCCCTTTCGCAGACGAAAAACTGAGGCCGGATTGCGGCACCCATAACTCTCCGCCAGCGTGACCATCCGCACGGAAAGCGCCCGCAGCGCCAGCGTGCCAGAAGCCCAGGCGCATCAGCGTGGTCCAACCAGCAACGCTTCCAAGTCGTCCCGCACCCAAAACACAAAAGCGCATCCGCACATCATCCGCGAGCTCGGTGGGCTAGAATATCGACGGGAGTCGAGGCTGCCGGCTGACGAAAGAGCAACATTGCGCTTCAAAGTGAAATGTCGGGCAAAATCCCCCAGTACGGCAAACCCCCTCGCTGCTATGTCTTCCAAATTTCGCCCCTGCCGTTCTCGCCAGTCCTCTTTGCTCCCAAAGGGTCTCTTGAAGGGACGGCGGATGACCGCAATTCACATGCTCGTGTGGGGACTTGGACGCGCTGGGCAAATGGGGTGTGCCGTTGGGGGGGGGGGGGGGGGCCAAGCAGCAGGAATAAAGCCTGTTTCGCAGCCGCCGTTTGAGCCATATTTCTGCTCACCGGAAGGGCGTGGAACGGGGTGGGGATGAACAAAAAGGCGTGAGGAGTGCGAGACGAGCAAAACTGCAAGTGTCCAAGTGACAGCTTGTCGGCCGTGGTTTGTCGTCTCTGCGGGCGAGACAGCGATGACTCCCCATTACATACGGCAGCGCGGCCTGCGGGTTCTCTCGCCCAGGCCGGGTCTTGAAATGCGCCGGTTCCGGGGCGTGCGCTGGCAGTTTTCGTCCGTCCGGCGCCGAGGCCTTGCTCGCTCTCTGGCGCGCGACGCCTGCTCGGGCTCAGCCTTATCCGCAGTCCTTGCCGAAACATGCATATTTCTTTGCGCTGGAAGGCTAAAAGTTGCCGAACCATCACGTTTTCCTCTCGATGCCTTGGCCGTACGCCTTGCCATTCGCTGGCTTTCGTCCGCCGAACGGCCGGCTACGTTCCTTTCTCGTTCCGTAGCGGAGACGGGTCAGTTGATGCCCTTTTTCCCGTATCGTCGTTCCTTGGTTGTGGCTCCCACGCAGACTTTGGGCCATCTCGATGGCGCCATTGCACGCGCTGTTTCTTTGCTTGCGTGCTGATTTAGACTGTGTCGGGTGTGATCTTCAGTGTTGGCCGTGTGTGACTCCAGGGTTGTCCTTGACGACAGATGATTTGATCCATGTGGAATGCTGCGAAATAAAACTCCGGCAACATGTTCTGGCCAATGAGGTGGACAATGGACGTTCGACGGTTCGACGGCCGCGTTTCGAAGGATGACACACGTGGATGTCCCTGCAATTGTCAGCAGGCGGCATGTCTTAGACAGATCAAGCTAAAGGTCATTTCAAGGCAAGGACGAGGCGAAACTCAAAGAAATGCACTTTGGAAAAGACAGTGATCGAAAAAAAAAAAAAAGAAGCGAAGATGGACAAGAACAGGTCTTGATCGAATGTTTTGATTCAGTTATCCTAGCAAATGTGGTTCCATCGCAACCGCCATGCCGAGTCTCAAACCTGCCAACGCTGTTGAGGGAGAGCTGCGACGAAGGCTGCGCGGCGGGGATAGCAACTTATTGTTTTCCCATCATCCTCCCAATGTGATCGATATAGTACATGCCGTCCGTAGTTGAGTTGGGTATACTCAAAAGAAAAAAAAAATCGCTTTCCCGCAGCAAACACCATGCTTTGCACAAGTCCCAAATCGCTAATAACGCTGTAAACAGCAAAGAGAACCAATGGCGAACGAGCGTGCTCAATAAGCAGCTATCAGCGGGGCATCCCTCCCTCGTATGTAGAATGTGTCATCGATCAGTGCATCTTCCGATATCGAAGCTTCCTGCTTCTCGTCGAACAGATCCATGTCGAAATTTGGCTGCGGCGGTGAGGCGGGAGGGCTGTCATCCTCTGAATCGGAGTCGTCAACGAGCTCTGGAGGGTTGGCGGAGTGGGATTGTGTTCGAACAAGCGCGAGCTCTGGCTCGTCCTCCTCTTCGTCGTAGTACTCCTCCTCCTCGTCGTCGTCCGGCTCTGCCGACGAGATGTTGACCGGTGCTTGCCGTATCGAGCGGATCTGGCTGAGCATGTGGAAGTCCTCCTCGTCAAATTCCGAGTCGGAGTCGCTGTCGTCTGCTTCCTCGTCGTCCTCGTAGTCGTCCTCTTCGACGATCGTGTCTGCCCATTGGACGTGCTTTGGCTCGTCCGCCTTCTGGGCCTTCTGCACGGTCTGATTGAACCATGCCTCCTGTTCTCGCTCGGCGTCCTGGAGGTCGAGCATGAGAGAGTCGAGAAGGTTGGCATGGCCAACAAGAAGCCTCAGGTTGTGATCCGGCCTGCAAGCCTCCCGGCCGAGCTTTGCACGAGCCGACGAGGCAATGTAGTACGTCTGGGTGAGCGACATCTTTTGCTTCTTCTGCGGTGGCGGTTGCGTGATGCTGGGGCGAACAATGCCTGTGGATATCGAATCGAAGCTTTCTTGAAACCGAAGTCTGGAAGGCATCTTGAAGGAGTCAAATATTGGTCTGGCTTGAGCTGTGACTCAAGGCAACAAAAAAAAATCTCAAGGCGTAAATATGACTAGTCGGGCTATGGCGCGATCCAATCAGCAGGGCGGATGGTCCAGGGGTGCGGTGCCTCGAGATGAACAGGCGGTCGGGACAAATGGGTGGAGAAGGCTGTTTATACAGACACCAATTGACGGCGAACTGCGGCTGCGGAATGGGCGTGTCGTGCTTTGATGATGGTTCGAATCGAAGCCGAGCCGTGGGCAGCCCGGCATGATATATCACTTGAGCATGATCACTCATTCTGGAGTTTACGGTAATACGGCTGCTCCGGGGCCTAGCGCGCACCCGGTGCAGGGGCGTGATCAGCCTTCACCGCCCTCAGGCCCTGCGCATGCAACTTTGGTCCGAAGGGCGGATTGCCAAGGGTCGGATGGTCAGGATGCTTACCGCCGAGTCGCTGTGCTCGCCGCGAGGACAAGTCGACGGAGCCGAAGCGTGAGTAATCGTGGCCGCAGCCCGTGGCCGTCGCTGATGGCATGACTCCAAGGCAGACACGTTTTGGCTGCACCGTTACACGAGTCGCTCCGTCGAGCGTCTGTCTGGCCCACCCGTTTGCCAGTCGCTTTGGGTCGCATTCCACGAGCTGCTGAGGCTTGGAACCCGTCACCCACCGCAACCGCGACGAGCCCAGCCGTTGCCCTGTTGGCATCTCGTTCGTCGACACCCCCCCAGCAAGCAGCGTCCAGCAGTGCAGTGTCGTAACGTGGGCCAATCGCTCGGCCAAAGCCGTGCAGCCCCCTCCCATCCGCATCGGCGTCGTCAACACGATTCGTCGGCTTTGCGTGGCTTTGTTTACGGAGTGCTTGTCTCCTCTCCTGTGCACCCAAGAGAAGCCGCCGTAAGGGGGAGGAGCAAGCGTCGTACAAGGCATCGTATTCTTTCTGCCTCCCAGCCCACGTCGATCCGCTCCCGCAGGTGGTCGCGGCAACGCGCGTATCGGTTGCGTGTAATTTGCGTCCGCCACCAGCAAGCGTTTGTGTGGCAGCCTGCCAAACGAACCTGACCTTGCGACGAAAGCTCAAGGCAGCCGAATTTCCAGGCCAGGCAAGAGACCTGAAGTGTCGCCGACATTGCTTCGTACAGAACCCGTGCTGCGTCGCTCCTCGTTTCCGTTCCTTTCTGCACACGGCTTTCAAATCATTGCCTGGACGGCCCGCGGCCCCGTCAGACGTCCCTGGGCACCGGATTACAGCAGCGCAGAGGAAGCGGTCCCGGTTTGGTGCTCTCGCCCAAAGGTGTCGCGCTGATCTGGATTCTGCCGTGGTCAGTCCGCACCCGGAGTTTAGTCATGACCGGCTCCCTGGACCTAACGAGATCGCCTCAGAGATCCGCCCGCATTGAGATCATTTCACCACGTACCAACAACGGCGTTATTGCCCTCTCTTCACGGACCAGCAATTTCGCACAGCTTGTGCTTTGCATGCCCGTGCAATGCGCGTCTCCTCAATCTGCCCGCACGGAGATCACAGCGGGCGTGATGCACTGCCGCCAAGTCCTGGATGTTTCTTTGACTGGTATGTTGTGCTCGTTTGGTGATGCACAAACGTCATGATTGTTAATCCATTTTCTGGCGTGCGTCGAGCCGTTTCGCAGCGAGCAAACGCCCATGTCGTTATCTCGCACACGTTGTCTTGGTCATCAGCCCTATCGCATACGCTTACGGCGCTGCTGATGCCCCTTGCCAATTCGCTCGATGGTTGGAAATCCGAGGATTACAAACAGCCAGCGTGTCGCATGCTAGGTCCCACGTCATCCCTCAAATCCCGCCCAATAGACACCCCGTTCTGCACTCGTCTCCCATACGCCCAAAGAAATGTTAAAATGCAAGGTGTTTCTAGCTTACTCCCAGCGCAAGTATGCTCTTGCGCATCGAGTCGCTCCACCGTGAACATGTCCGGGGCGCGTCGAAATCGCCTGAGTGCTGCCTTGTTCTTCGCACAGCAACTAACTCAATCAATCACTTTCGCTACGAAGCGACAGCACGGCATCGTCTAGCGTTGCGACCTTTGTTCCTTTCGCTCGCGCAATACCGCACATCGGGATTTCCGCAATTGCTCCTGTTTGCGATAGCCATCTTGTGCTTGCTAGCTGCAAAGAAAGTAGAACGACTCCTTCTGTCTTGGCCTTCCCGGAATCCTTCTATGCATACGGCATAAGCCAATAGGTTGCATTTCAAGGCCGCTGGAAATCAGCCGTGTGACTCCTCCCTTCTCTTCCCTGCGTCAGCCCAACACCGCTCGGTTCGCGAAGCGCTGAATATGCCTGGATCAGGAAAGTGTAGCAGTGTGTTTCCTTCACCGCGGACGCCAATTATACAATGTTTTCTTTTGCTGCATCGCTAGTATTGTCAAAGCGATTATGCCTCCTGAGAAAAACAGTCACTCAATTTTACCGCGGAAAGTGTATTTGGTCACCGACGCTCCGATGACGGCTTCCACGGCAGAAACGAAAAGTATCATCTAGATTTCAAGCAATCACTTGGCTCGAGCATCACAACGAAAAATTTTTTGCACCGGGTGATAAAGTGATCTCTCTCCTAGAGAAGGAATTCCTTAAGACGCACTTGAAAGCTCCGTTGGACTCGGTCTTTTGAACACCTCCCGATCCGAAGCCTTCCAGAGGAGCTCCGTGACAAGAGTGGATTTCTTTTTCTAGCCGTGCCGTCTCCGATCTCAGCCGAGCAATATCCAACGATTCAGCTGAATTCATACCTCAGACGATATGGGACGGTTGCTCAGACACCCGAGATAGCATTGGCGCAGGCCCAATGTTAGATTGTTTGTGTCGAATAAAAGCTCCAGTCACAGCCGTGAGCTTCCGCAACGATGAATGGAGCAAACCGTCCGTCCCTCCGTGGCAAATGTAACTAGAAGGGTCGACGATGCAGTGAGAAGAAAAAAAAAATTTTTTTTAAACACTGAAAATGGGAATTTCTCCTTGGTTCACGATCCCGTTGCGTAGACCTTGCCATATCTCGAGCGTTCACGACCGCGATGATAGGTAATCTTGGGAATGATTTCGTGAGTTGTCTGTTCAGAAAATTATGAAGGCAATGTCACTTCTGGCTTAGGGAACCCTTGGACTAGTCTGAACACTAGCTTCCACCCTGCTCTCTGTTTGTTTCTTAAGTCACTGGGAATCTTGTGTATTCCGTAGACTCATTCCTTACTTGTAGAGCGTGCTACGTTGGAAAGATGAGGTTGGCATTAGTCGTCTGTAAGATTGCTTAGGTTTGCTCAAGCTGTTTTTGATTTAGTCAGAAGTAGTTTTCTCATCGCAAGAAATAGTGACATGAAGCCCGCCGACATGAGCGGATGTGGTGTCCAGACAATGACTTCGATATCGGAGAAACAATTGACTGTGTTTGGAGGCCATTTTCGCTGAGGATATCTTGCCAACAGTAGCACTTGTCATATCACTGCACTTTTGCCCGGCTATCGTCGCCTTCGTAGTCTCTTCAGCACACGACCAGTCGGCATCCTCGCGCAGATTGTTTTCTACATGCTGACGCAAGAATACCTTATTGACCTTCTAGGTTATCAGCCGCTGCCTTTGGTATCACCTCTACAACCACGAAAGCGATATGAGTGCATTCACTGCGCCTTGCACGCATTTGCTCCGAGAGAAGAAGTCGGAGAAGGAAGACACTTTCACATTATGCGACAGGACCCATGTAAACCGGCGTCACAGGGGCAAAGCCGATACACTATCATACAGCCATCAAAAATTGCCCGTGCAAAGTATTAGACAACGTCAAGAACAACCAATTGACACGCGGAGGGCTCCCGACATGGCAGCAGATACGACTTATACAAATACCGTGTCGGAGGCAAGTGTCGTCGTTCTCAACAGAGACGACGCTGATGAGTGGATTAACATTCATAAGCTTAAGAAAGAAAAGTCGGAGACAGGCAAGTCGACGCAGAGAAAGAAATGCTGGAAATCCTTCCGCCGCAATTGCCATGATGAAAACCCGTTGGCAGCTGAGCAAGCTGATCTGCGGGCTTCTCTAGAACTTGCTCTTCAATCCTGCAAACACGAGGCCGACACCATAAACGTGAATAGGATCGCAAGGAACAAGTCCAAACGTCCGGCTTCGAAACGAAATGTGTTCCCCTTCTTGAACCTTCCTCGTGAGTTACGCGATGAGGTTTACGAAGAAGCAATCGATCTGAGAGGTATTACGACAAACATCAAGAACGAACTCTCTGGCTACATTGAAGGAATGCGACACTTTGATTCGAGGAGGGAGACCTATAAAGTTCAACAGCTTTTTGAAGATCTGAGACAGCGACATGGCAATCTGAAATCGCCAACGATCCTTCTCATCAATAAGCAGATTCATAGCGAAGCTCAAGTTATCTTGCGTAAACGTACACTTGTATTCGAAGCTCCTCCTGTCAACAACGTCAATATATTCCCTTTCTATCAGATGGTGAGCCGTGGGCTTCTTCGAAATGTCGCAGGCATTGCTTTTGAAATGCAGATGAAACAACACACGGAGGCGACCATGCTCGGCGAACTCGAGATGGGCACGAACTGGATTTCGTACGCTCATCGGGGCAACGAGAGTCTCGACAATGCCGATGCGTGGGCGTACTTCATGTTTGACTGCCTCGGCATGCTTTGGGCACCGGGGCACAATGTCAGGACCCTTTGCATATCTATTGTTCACAAGACTGGTCGCAGAGAATACAGACTAGAGCCAACCCCTTCCAAACTTGGCCGCCTTGAACAGACCATTAAGAGCTGCCTCGAGACACGAAACCTGGACCACTTCTTCAGCCACCTCGAGTATGCCGAGGTGCCTGTAGCGAATTCCACAGCCTAGCAGCCGAAGTTAGAGAGAACGAGATTTATGCTGAAGTGCACCTATGCAATTGCGAAGACTGGACCATACATGCTCGCACTTGTTTCACACCCTCGATGCCCCAGGCTCTTAGAAAAAAAAAATCGGTGGTATTATAACATGCTATAAGTCATACCACGTAATGAGAAGGAGTTTCGGACTGGAAAACAGCCCTGTGTCTGCATATATTTGGACAACCGGGACAAGCGCTTCAAGTGGGAGAAAGAGGTTGTGGATGTCGAAAGATACAACGTGATCGACGTACCTATTCAAACAGATTCAGGTAGAACGCTGTAAGCTCTACATTCAGCTTAATGAATGAGCAGGCGAAATAGCACCTATACGAAACATCGATAGCGGTGAATCAATACTCAATCTTTGCCTCCAGCCTCAATGACCATCGCCCTTTTCCTCTCGTCATCTTCTGATACGCTATTTGTGAGCATTGGCGATCCATTCTGAAGAGAATAACCCGCCGCCCAACGCTTGAGCTTAAGCCGGCGAGGTTCAAGAGTAGTGTCACTTACAGCAGAGGTCGAGGCGCGATCCGTATGCAAAAGGACATCCGAGAGACCTGATTTGACGGACGACAGTGGGTCAACCGCGCGGAGCTGCAAGCCACGGATGACGTATTACACGATCAACCGGAGCCTCCGCCAAGCTCGACCAATCACATCCAACGCAGCTTCCCCACAGATTCGCCCGTGCCTGAACAGCGACCTCTCGAACCTTCGTCTCACAGCTCTTCTCATCTCACATTCTTCCTCCCTCACCCATTGCGCACCGTCGCAGCCATCGCAGAACCGTCGTGACCACATCGCGATCCAGTCTTGTTCATTTCAAGAGCTTCTAGCCAGCCGAGTTGCTTCTGGTGCGTTCGAGTCCGTTATACCCGCCATCATGTCAGCTGAAAACGTGGAGAAGGGTGACCAAGGTAAGTCAACAGCGTCGTCGCCGGCGTCGCAAAGCTGTCGCAGGACCGTCAATGCCCATTTTTTGGCTGTCGCTTGACCTGCGTGGCCATTATGGAACGGCTTCTCCGCCTGCACTGGGAGCGCTGGCTTTGGCACGCGGATCTTGGTGCCCTGGTGACCTAGGATTTAAATCCGAGGCTAACTCCGGAATCACAACAGTCTCTTGGCAATGGTCTGGTGGTCGACCAAGCGGCGAAGTGAGTGAAGTGGTCAAGGAGGGAGAAGCGACTGTGACCAGCAACCGGGGCAACGAGATTAAGAAGAATGCGGAGCCTGACGATCCGGCCTTGAAGATCAGCCGTGAGGGCAACGATGTCGTGAAGAAGGCACACGAAGTTGACATTGAATCAAAGGCCGATGGTACCAAAGAGCCCGGTAATGAGGAGAAGGCCAATGGCGTCGCTAACGGTGAGGAAAAGAAAAATGAGAAGGAGGACGAGGAGATGAAGGACGCAAATGGCACTGCCGACAAAGATACTACGAATGGCGACACTGTGAAAGCGGGTGAGAAGCGCGATAAGGAGGAACAGCAGAAAGGCGAGAAAGAAGCTGAAGAGGCTGAAAAGAAGGAGACGAATGGTGAGACTAAGCAAGACGGAGAGAAGGAGAAAGACGAGGCCAAGGATGAATCCAAGGACGAAGCCAAGGACGAAGCGAAGGACGAAGCGGACCAGGACGACGAACCCGCCGCCAAAAAACAGAAAATCGACGACGATGACAAGGCCGACGAGGCTGAGAATGGTAAGAAGGGGCGAGGACGCCCGAAGAAGGAGGCCAACGGCGCAAAGAAGGCGACGCCGAAAGCTAAACGAGAGCCTAAAAAGGCGGCAACGGAGGACGGCCAGCCTCGACGCAGCTCGAGAGCTACGACAAAACCTGATTACACAGCGTAGGCTTTCTCATCAAAAATTTTCTCTTTTTTTTTCTTTTTAAAAAAAAATTCGGCGATTACCGCTATCGAAAACCCGCGTGTCAGCCGCAGGATTTGTTCCTTTGGATGACCTCATTCCTTGCATTATTCCGCGGTAACGGCGAGAAAACTGATAAAACGACATGGGGACAGATGAATATTCGGATCAGAAATGGCCACGTCAGTGTATGGGAAGTGTACTGTATATCGTTTTGAATGAGAATTACCTTATTACGCGTGACATTTTACGTAGTGGCTGAGGCGGAAGCGGGTATCCAAGATCAAGATGCTACCTGCACGTACAACGAACTCTACCGAAGTGCTTCAACGCTCAAAGCTTCGGCTCGATGGGTCGAGCTTTCATGACATTGTCAAACCCCTTTATCCTCTTTTCTTGGCTTTCTCTCATTCTTCTCAAGCACTCCTCATCAGACATGACGGGATCACCCCCGGGAGGCACGACCTTGATTTCAAGCTTCTTAGCCGTGACCCAAATCCCTTTGCTCTCGACCTCTGCTGGCTTCTCGACAAAGGATTTGATAGCGTTTGCCCAGCCTTCGAAGGACATTTCAGAGATCTTAGTCTTCTCGAAGACCATGCAAAAAACGTGCGGCATGGCCTCGTACTGCTCCCACACGACCTTTACCCCCTGTGCGTGCATGCGTTGGCACAATATCTTGTCTTCGTCCGCCAGGCACTCCTCACCCGTCACCACAAAACAAGGCGGCGCGCCTTTCCAGTCCATGGCCGCAAGCGGCGAGACGAGTGGATGGCACAGTGCACTGCCTTCACAGAACAGATCCGCCCTCGGAGGATTTGCCGGCCAGATGTCGCACGGTGGCGGTTCTGGGTCGCCGTTCTCTGGAGGTGGAGGAAGATAGTCATACTTAGCATTGGCCCAAATGGAGGGCATGCACCGGTTTATGTCGAGCCACGGGCTGTTCATTGCCATGCCAGCGGGCAGTGGAACCTCTATTTCAGCCCCATGGAAGCGAACTTTATTTCCCTCCAAGCTACGATTGATCTGCAGTAAAAGCTGCATAAGAGAGGCACACATCTGTCCGCCGGCGGAGTCTCCTGCGAACACGATCTGAGACGGCTTCACAGGCTTGTGTGGTGAGCCCGGCGGAGGATGTAGGAGCGCGAGATAGGCGAACAGGCCATCCATCAGCGCCGCAGGAAAAGGATTCTGAGGCGAAAGCCGGTATCTTACGGATAGAACTCGACCACCCGTCTTCCTCGCCAGCTTGGTGACCAAGCCTCGATGGGATGCCGGATCCATGAGGAAATGCGCTCCACCGTGGAAGTACAAGATAACGACGTCACTCGTCACCTCCTTCATCAAGTTCTCGTATTTGGCACTTTCTGCGATAGAAGGCTCTGGCTGGTCGTTTTTGACACCTTTGCGATATCCGGTCCACTCCGCCTCGAGGGGTTGAAGATCCGGCTCCCAATACGTCTCTGAACCGTCGGCCAGCTCCTTGATACTTCGCAACGTGACCTCCCGAATGCCATCCTCAATTTCTTCCGGCACTGGAAATTTGACTCGCGAAACCCACATCTTTCCCTTGACGCCTCCATCCCGTATCGACATGGCCTGCATGCGCGAGATGGGCTGTGGCGGTCCCGACGTCAAAGATCGAATAATCTTCACCGTCAACTCCGTCCGAAGATCCCATTTTCCTGACGTTGATGTCAATCGAAGCGCGTGCCCGATGGCAGTTTTGCCAATATACGGCAGCTTTGGAAGTAGGATCCTCGCTAGCGCGGAGGGCTTGATATCCATGCCACCCTGGGGTTGTAATCTGCGCGTGCGGAATCTTGAGAGCAGCTCCTTGATATCTCCAAGCTTTTCTTTCCTGCGCACAATGCCCAAAGACCAGATGGTGAGCCAATGAAAGAGAACTAAAAGTTCAAAAACAAAATCCAAAACCGGCCAGAACATGGCTTTAATCCGAAGTCCTCGAAGGGGCAAGATTAGATGCGTTTGTCTACCTCGGTTGCGCGATCGAAAGTGGGAGGGCGCTCTTCACACGACGCGGCGGCGGCATGGATATTTGGCTTGACTGGCCAAATGAGGATCTCGCTATTCAGTTACCTGCGGCCGAAAGGGCATGCACTTCGTTGTTGTGGCGGCTAAGTGCCGCTGCTGTAAAGACCCACTTCGAAACGTCATGCGATTTTCGTCCGGCAGCCCCTGAGTGGCAATTGCGCATGTGGCAGTCTTTGCTGTTGGCGTTAGCCAAAACATCTTGGGCGAGTTGCACACAACGAAGCAGGTCTCTATCTATGATCTGAAGAACAAGTGTTCAATATCGTCTCCTCACGCATAATTCTGAGTCAAGCTATGGATGTACGATCAACTCGAAATTTGATTCAAAAGGATTCGAAGTCAAATTCTATCAAGTGCACTAGACGACTTGGGTATATCCATGATTTAGGTAGACGCTGGACTCGCAGATTCGACAGCGCAATATTGGATGGAATACGATAACGTCACCAGAAAAGCTAGAAATACTATTTCTTCAGCTTTGAAGCCCGAACACTCACCGATTTTTCCTATCCACGACGCCACTCAGTTCAGCAATCTCATCTAGCAATGAAACGGTCTCCATGGGGTTTGCAATCCACGCCGTTGTGCACGCTAATCTGGCCTTGAAGTCATTCGCGCCAGCACTAAGGAATTGATCGCCGATGTGTAAAGTCTTGCTTCCTTCGATTCCATTGAAAAATCCTTGACAGGCACGAACGCCCCATGATTTGTCGCCGATGTCGACAAAGACATCGTTTCCGCCGTTGAAAGCGCAGAATGGCAGTCGGCGCCCCACGGCGGAGAGTTCAAGGATCTTCTGGGTGACGAGCACGGTCTCCTCAAGCGCCTCGCGTGGGAATCGGTGGCCTGGTTTTGGGACGATGCCTACCGCTCTGCGTCCGTACGTATTAGTAATATGTCTTCACGAGATGAGTGTTCTGTAGCTTTCTTGCCTCTCTTTTCGCAAAAGCAGTCCGTCAAGTCTCAGGTTCTTCATTGAATCTTTCAGCGCAAGCTCAGCTAGGTCTAACAGCGCGGTAATGTCCTCTTCCTGCCACATCCTCATCTCATCGAGCAACCACTGCTCGCGCGGAATCAACTTCAGCCTGTCTGGAGAATTTGGAGAGTATTGGAACAAATAACTGCTTTCACCACCCATTACAATAAGATTCTCTTTCAGTGAAGATGGCAGGGTAGTAGAAGCGTGTATTGCGTCGAGCAAACCTCGCAAGCGCTCATAGTAACGCCTTGCCTCTGTGTATCCGGCGGCGGTTACGATGCCGATCTTCGTACCGCGATTGAGGAGATCCATGAGTCTAGGGATGACAATGGAATCTGCTTCGAGGACCCCGCCATCGTCATACAGTGTAACGTCACCGTCGAAAGTCACGAGTTCAAGTGGACCAGCCGCAACCAAGCTCATAACTTGGGCAGTGTTGAGAATTAAGCGTATATCATTGAATGATGGGGCAACGAAGCGTCGCCAACTGATGAAGCGCTTGCTGTCCTGATAGAGAAAGGCATCATGGAGATTCAACGGGGTGAAGAAAACGCCAACGGAGGGGACAAGTAGCTTCAGCTTGGAGCGATCGTGTGTTCCGGCCCGTTGATGTGCGACTTGATCCCGTTAGCCTATTCTAAGTTGGCAGATTTGAAGCCTGGGAACACACTATGATCGTTGATCAGTTCTTCGACATCTCTCATGATCTCCACATATCGTCGTTGAGCTATAGTGGCTTCTTTTTCTGTTGATTCTTTCTGAGGTTCAAAAATGGCCGTAGGCTGAGAGTGCAGCACGAAAGGGACGGCCATTAGTCCCTAAACCAGATAAGTGAAAGAATCCCAATTCACCTGGAAAGACTACCTTGATCCATTCAATCTGTTTCAGAATGAGTGTGTGAAGTACGTGCCTGAAGCAAGGATATTCGACGTACCAATTGATCTCGCCTATGAGTCTTGTGGGTGGTGTAAGCGTACATTTCCTGGCAGCAACGACCTGTTCAAAACGTACTTTCAGAGCATCTAGCCGCTATCAGCATCCAGCCTAATGTGACTGTCTTGGATAAAGCATACATTCGACACGATACCTGGTAGTCATGATTGCAGATTTAGCACAAACAAAGAAAAGAGGATAAAAGAGTCAAATCGATGGATTAGATTCAGACGAGTGAGCTTGCCAGCGAGGTCGAGCTGGGAAGTATGCTGAGCGGAGTATGAGCACGAGGGCGTTTTCACGGTCAGAAGACAAGCATGCACAGCTTGCAGAATGCGCAATGCAGGTCAATGCTCCACGATCAATGACATCGGCGCAGACTATGCCAGGAAGCACCAATAGCGGCTCGTCGTCAGCGTGCAAGGAACGCCGTTCGCAGAACAGGCGGTGCTGAGGTGGCAGAACAGCAGCAGAATGATTGAACGCAGCTCTTCCAACCTGTCTTGAAGCTTTGAATGACTAGTCACGGAACACGTGCCTGAACCCAAGGCGGATCCAAACAATCGAACGCTCACGGGACCCGAGAACAAACGTATGCATCACCAGGCATGTGGTGCCGGTCACGTGTCTCATGGCTTGCCGCCCCTTGGTCGCGCTTTCCCCATTCGGCCGTCGCGACCTTACAACTCTGGACATTGATTCAGACGCTCGCGCAACGGCAGTCGCAGTCTTGACATCGCTGATCTACGGAAGGCGCATAGTACAACGCATATCCAGATGGCGCGCGCGAGGACGAGAGGACGGCTGCGGGCAAGCGCGGTTCAGCGTAAGGCATCCGCTGTCGCTGTTCTTGCTCAAGAGAGAGCGGCGCTGTCGCGACCGAAGCACGCATGCTGACGAGATCTAGGCACTCCGACGCCCGAGCAGCCATCGGATGACGAGATGGTGGACGCGGACGAGTCGAGGCAGGAAACACCAGCCCAGGATGAAGATGCGGAACAAGAAGAAGACGCAGACGAGGAGGACGAGATGCCCCAGATCCCGTCCGATCCGTCGACGCCACCTGACGCGCGCAACTTCGATCCACCACGGAAGAAACGGCTGGGCAGACCGCCGAAGAACCCTCGACCTGGCTGGGAAACACCATCAGCCAACGACGGGGTGGAGACCCCCCAGCGTCGCAAGCGTGGACGACCTGCAGGCTTTGGCGGCAGAGGTCGAGGCCGCGGTTTGGCCGCCTACGATGGACCCAAGATGACCAAGATCGATAAAGAAGGTACTCTGGCTGAGGTCAAGGATGACGAGGTGGAGTTGCCAGAAGATGAGGAAGGTGAACAAAAGGTTGACAAACTGGGCAACCTGAAGGGTGGCAGAGATTACAGAGTGCGTGTCTTCACGGTCAAGAACCGTGGCAAGCGTTTGTACATGCTGTCTACTGAACCTGCCCGATGTTGCGGCTTCCGCGATAGCTATCTCTTCTTCGCGAAGCATATGAAGCTGTATAAGGTCATCGTGGACGATGATGAGAAGGCAGATCTCATTGCACGCGACATCATTCCTCACTCGTACAAAGGCCGATCGATTGGTGTTGTCACGGCACGCTCAGTTTTTCGCGAATTTGGGGCACGGATCATCATCGGTGGGAGGCGCATAATAGATGACTACTATGTGCAACAGGCGCGTGAAGCTGGTGTCGTCGAAGGCGAGCTTGCAGATCCAAATGATATCCTCCCTCCAGAGGGCAAGGAATACAATAAGAATCAATATGTTGCATGGCACGGTGCGAGTCAGGTGTATCACACAGGTATGCCCACCGTGCCTACTGCGGCCGGGAAACAGATGCCCGGCAAACGTAAGGTTCAGATCACTTCTGCAAATTGGCAGCTGGAACATGCGCGAGCTGCGAGGTAAGCTCTTTCCAACCTTGAATTTTGCTGCTGTTGACAAAATATAGCCACTATAACTCGATGCTCACTGCAACGCGCAAAGCCAATCTACGGGGCGTCTACGATCCGCACACCAATATGATGCATTACCCTAAGATTATGCAGCCTACCCATGCACGCTGGGAACAAGTGATGGACACAGATGCAGATGAGCCATTGACGAACGGATCTTCAAATCTCACAAATGGCGTCAACGGCACACATCACACTAACAGAAGCACCCGTAGCACGATCTTTCCTCCCGTTAAGCCAATCGTTAGCCGCAACTTTTTAGTGGTTGATACTTTTTTCGAGTCGCCGCCATATTCCGGCATGGGCATTCCTGGACCCGACGGCGATGCAATGGATGTCGGAACTAACGGCATATCCAACATCAGTGATGACATCCTTGCAGAGCTGCCAGCAGAATGTCGAAAGGCATTTGAGGATGCAAAAGCACGCGAACTCGAATGGAAAAACAAGTGGGGCAGTGAACATAGAGATGGGGCACGTGGCAATCTGAAGATTGGTTTCTTGGGCTTCCCGGTTTGAATTGTGAACGATCTTCCTGGCGTCTATAATATAGCCTTTTGACAAGTACGAAGCCGGTATGTACACCTGCTTCATTTGAGTCAGCAAGGGCACCCATTTAAGCTTGAAATGGGTTCCAACACTCCAAAGGTCAACACGGGAACCTTACTGCGAGCTTGGGCCATCAATAGATTTTAACGGCATATTGTATCATTATGCTTCCTACGTAGCCTCTTAGGCCCGCGATAGAGAACTATGTACCTAAGGAAGCTGTCCTGAACAGACAGCTTTCTTAAACCGAAAGTTCAATTGAAGACCGCGGAGCAGTTGAACGCGAGTTTCAATGAAGCTGATAGCCAATGCATATGATTCAAGGAATTCAACACACATGAAATAACCAAATTGTGTTGGCAGACGAGATGTACGAAATATGGGGCTTCTAACTTTTGAACATATCATCATTATGCATGCGTTAACCCCTCCATCAACACCCCCTTCAGGCAAAGGAAAGGAGCGGACGGCGCGAGAATGGGGGAATTGGTATCTTGACTCGCTAAGCAAAAAAAGATTATGGTCGATCTATCGTTTGCTCTCCCTGACTTCAGACCTGAACTCGTGATCATAATGCTCCGTGCTAGCCAGCGAATATGACCGAACGCCAATGCCGCAATGCATTTCAGGGGTGGTTTCGCAACATGCCACGACAAGCACTATGTTGCATGCAAGTGACTTAGTAAGGCTGACGCAACAACTGCAGCCCGCCAAGGGGAGTATTCTAGCACATCTTGTACTCGCCACTGCCCTTCGCCTGGCGTTTCGGATCGTCCGTTAGGAGCTCGTAGTCGATCCTGATGTCTAAGTCCCGCTTGTTCTTCTCATTTGGTTTGTTGTCCAGCACGCCTCTGATTTTTTCGCCCTGCTCGACGGTGAGCACGTCGTGCAGATAGAAGACGGTCTGCTTCCAGTGTGTGTATTTTGTGTGCGGTCCAGTGCTGAATTTGATAGGCTTGTGACAGGCCGAGAACTCGATGTCGAACCACGCGATCAGGGCGTGGACGAAGTCAGAGCGACGCACATCAAGTGTGAAAGGTATGGTAAAGGCCAGGTCGGAGGTCGTTACGGTGTACAAATCAAGCGTTAGCACAGGTGTAGGATCTGTGACCACGGCCTTCATGTCTACAGTATCAACGAGGGGCTCAGACATAGCAGTCGCTTTCAGTGGGGTGTAATCGAATCCCCAGACGTTGTCCCAAACTACACCGTGGTCAGTTGAAGCTTTGAGCGCGATAAAATAAAGCACCTACAGCCAATCTTCTCCTCTTTGTACTCGCCATCCTCTATTCCGGCCATATAGATTGTGGCCTTGTCAGGAAAGATGAGTCCACCAGGTTTGAGGTACTTGTCTCGCGCATACAACACGGTGTCCAACATGCTCTCGTATAGCAGGAAGTAGCCCATCCACTCAGAGATGATGATGTCGACCTTGTCAAAAGGGAGTTCCACCTCTTCCATCTTGCCCTGCAGGAGAGTGATTTTGTTAGACATGCCGTTCACTTCAACAATCTCCCTCGCTTTCTCTATGATAGTGGACATGTCGACGCCTATGACGTGCTTTGCGCCAGCTCGTACCGCAAACCTGTAGCTCCGCATTAGATTTTCGGGCACGAGAAGGCTATGCAGGTCTTTCCGTACATGCTGAGAATAGAGGTGCCGCATCCCACATCGAGCACCACCTTGTCCTTGAAGAGATGGCCATTCTGATAGATAGCGTCACGGTATGATCTCGTCCGAACTTCATCTTTCTTGAGGCACAAAGTTAGCCCAGACAATGTTGCAAACGGAGTGGGGCTGAATATACAAGCATTTCCTCGTGGATGCCTCAAATCATGTCAGTCTCTTCCTTATTGTGCTTCTTTAGCCGGAATTACACACCATGATGGTTATAGCTTTTTTTTTTGACTTTAGCAAAGTAGATTTTAGCAGCTGTGTGGACGAAATTTAAGCGTTACCTGTTAAAATAATGGGCTTCAGAATGCGCCATTCCCGACATTGGGTCAGTGGCCGCCAGAGACGGCTGACTTGAAGCTGTATTAGCCATATCGGCAGTGCGAGGCGAATAATATCAAGGTGAATATCCTTTTGGGATGCGAGTAATCTTGCGATCTAGAAAAATATCCCTAGCGCTTGTCAGAACCAGATACAGCCTAGTCCCGATTTGGATGTATTGACCTCGAGCACTGCAAACCGTGACTCTTTATCAAACCGTTGTAGTCATCGAACACTGATGTGAGAGACACCTGAGTTCCGTGATTTCGCGCCATATGGCATACTCTAAATCCATTCCGAACTCGCCGAGGGAGATGCAACAATCTTTCTTTCATGTTGTGGCGCCCGAAAGGCTGATTACATCGTGCCCACGTGCAAGAAAACAGGAGCAGATCATTCGGCCTCCTTGTCGTGCCTAGGCTTACCTACTTGGCAAACATAAGATGAAAGTGAGAGCTTACGGCAACTCCTTCTCCTCCAACACAATTACTTTTGTATTTGCGGAATTACTTTAGTTTTGTCCTGCTCGCGCTTATTTGCAAAGATGCCGACATTTCGTCGCACAGGTGTTGTATGTTCTCAAAGTGTGGTGAAACAGATAGGTTACTAAGCGTAAGCACGTTAGGTGGTCTTCACGCTACTTGCACTTCATCCCATTCTATCAGAAGTCTTATATCCACTTACCTTTCTGATTCGGAACCATCCTCGTTTCTTAAAGACTGTCAATGAGCTGCCTAAGCATAAGATCAAATGGCAGAATGACGTCCGGAATTGTGAAGACGTGGTTCTGGATGAATCTTCAGGAACGGCCATCTTTAGTTGTGATCCAGGACGAGACAAGTGGAACACAGTGATGGTATTTTCGTTCGCTGTTAATTTCACATATGTTCTCTAAGCATGTTATAGGGAACTTTCATCAGCGCCACAGACATGACAGGATGGATCTATTACTATCAATATGCCCAAGGCTCTCTTGAGGACGGTAACATCAGTAAAATGGAGATTGAAGGGTTCAGCGACGAGAAGAAAGCGGTTTTCCACCCTCTTGGAATGGCATTTTTACCGGAAACCCGCAAGTTGTATGTGATAAACCACGGAGAGCACCCCCCTGGAATGGAGATATTCAAAGTTAATGATGCTACGAACAAGTTGACATACGAACGAACCGTCAAAAACGCGCTTATGAGGACACCAAATTCTGTGCTACCCATTAGCGAACATGAGATCTACTTCACAAATGATCATTACTATCCGGTTCGGGAGAATAAGCTGCTCTCCATGGCTGAGAACTTCCTAAAGATTGCGAGAGGCAACGTCGTGTACATGAATCTCAAAACTCAGGAAGCGAAAATCGTAGCGCAGGTCGGATTTGCAAACGGTATTGCTCGTCTAAACTCTACGCACATCGCATTGGCATCGACCACTGGGCTGTCCGTCTATGTCTTTGAGATTGGTGCGGACCACGAATTACACCAAACTCTTAGGATCGAGTGCAACTTCTGGGTCGACAATCTGAAAACGGACGCAAATGGGAAACTTCTGATCACTGGCCACCCACAACCGCTTTTGCTCGAAAAGGTTGGTAAGGAACAGCACAAGTACAACTTGGATGCAGGCAGGACAGACGGCTTGGATCCTGCTGGTAGACCGCATGCACCTAGCTGGGTTGCCGAGTGGGATGGCAACGCGGAAGGAAAAATCAAGAATTTGTACATTGGGAGTGATTACGGTATGAGCACCTCAACTGTCAGAGACGTGAATCGCGGGGTCGGTTTTATAGTTGGACTTTATGAGCGTGGCATCCTACAGTTTCAACAGTGAGGAAGTCTATGACCACGAAACTAGAAGTATTAAAGGGGTGAGGGAGAAAATTCACATTCACCGTACCCTATATGGTATCATAGTCTAACCAAGACCTTCGATCTATCTTCGCTCCAGAACTCAACCGAACATCAAGCAAGTTTATGGTTTGTACGCGCTGGTGTAATGCACCAATCTACCTTTAACCCAAACCGCAAGCGTATTCTTATCGTTTCCATTGTACACCCATTTGTGCACCTTGTTTTCCCAAGTCTCCCATCCAAAGATATCGACCGGTCCGTCGTGCTCGCTTTGACCCTCGCTGTAGCGATTGACTTCGTCCAACTTGATCATCTGCGCGTCCCATTCCTTGCCAACCTCAAAGCCACCAATCTTATCCGAGAGACCCACGACCTTGGCACCGCCGCGCGTTGCAAGGTAGAGCACTTCTTCGACGGAAAGTTTTGCATGGTCGCCGTCTAGCATGGCCACGAAACGCGAAACCCAGATAGCCTGACGAGCAGTCTCGAGGATCGAGGGGGAGAAGCCACCGGAGACGTCGGAGCCCAGGCCAACGTCGATTCCCGTGTCGAGATATTTCCGGATCTTCGCACAACCGCTCGTGAGGGCGGTGTTACTTGCGGGACAGTGGCTGATCTTCGCATCGCGAGCCTTGACAAGGTCGATCTCTTTGTTGCTCAAGTGCACGCAGTGTGCGAGAATCATCTTGTCTGTCAAGAGTCCAGTATCGTCGTAGACGGCAGTGTAACTGTCACACTCAGGGAAGAGTTCACGCACAAGCTTGACTTCGTTGGTGTTCTCCGCCAAGTGCGTTTGACACGGATAGCCTGTCTCCTTGTGAAGTTGTCCCAGCTTTTCCAGGCAGTCCTTTGAGCACGACGGCGCAAACCTAGGCGTGATGATTGGAGTGACGAGCTCGTGCTTTGGATCGATTTTCTTCACGTACTCGATGCATTCTTTCGACTTTTGGATAGTTGCTTCGGTGCTTTCATCTCGGTAGTACTCTGGCGAGAGATCCGTATTCATGCACACTCGGCCGATTAGCGCCCTTTGACCTTTGTGCTTGCATATGTCAGCCAGAAGATTGGTTGCCGGCACGTGATTGGTAGCGTAGTAGGCCGCCGTGGTTGTTCCATGAGCAAGAGTTCGGCTAATCGCACGATTGTACACATGCCTTGCTCGCGAAAGGTCTGCCAAGGACGATTCCAGTGGGAACGTGTAGGTGTTTAGCCAGTCGAGAAGTGTCGATTTTCCAAAAATGCCCGCATTCGGATATTGGGATGCGTGAATGTGCGTATCTTTCGAGCCTACATCAGCATTTTGGGCTTATCGGCCACCTTTCTCTGCTGCTTAGCTCACCTATGAAGCCCGGAAAGAAGAAGCCGGAGTCGTAGATCCTTACAACCTTGCAATCATCCCACCCATGCTTCTTCACTACGGTGTCTAACTCCTCAAACTTGACATCCCGGTCAATAAAAACAATGATGCCATCTTCATCCACGCCAATAGCTCCGGCTTCACAAATGTCGAGCTCGCCAAGAGATACGCAATGCACAAAGGGGCCGTGGAAGATCGTTTTTGATTTCGCTGATGCTTCGAAGATTGGCATTTTGACAGACGCAAAATTTATGATTTATGAACGGCGCATGAATAGATTCAATTGTGCCTCAAAGGTTTTTTTTTGTGCACAGAGTCCAAAGTCAATCTAGATAGTGATGCTTTATCGAGCGACAGCTGTCCGGGAAAAGCAAGCAACTTAAGTGGCTGCTCTGGACTCGGCCTCATCCGATCAATCAGCGGCGCGGCCGCTTCCGAGCCTCTTTGGTGGAGCTGTCGCCCAAACGCTCTTGTAATAAGAACTGAACTGGCCCATTTTTCGCCCATCGTGCTTATTTCGACGTCTTAATTTTGATCTTGTACTCTTACCCTACAAAGAACGGTGACGAATTCAGATTTCGGGCACGCATTCGCGATCAACTGTAGCCCACAGGAAGCTCTTGTCTCGATGCTTACTATACCAGGACCAAGGCGCACAAGTAAACAAGGCGTTCATATGGCCGTAGAGGCCAAATATCCACCTCCAATGCTTGTGATCGACGCGCTAGCGCCTTGCAAACCGGATCTGTCATTAGTATTTCAAGCTTCGATTCGCCGTTCGCGCGCACTTTGCACTTAATTTTACTCCTTTTGTGTGCTTGAACGCTCGTGAAGCGTATTTCAAAACACAGTCTTCTAAAGCCAAAGAACATGTCCTGATCTCTGAACGGACGAATGCGCCCTGTCGTGAAAAGGTCGTACAAGTTGGCTTCAAATGTCGTGAACCACTTTCTAATATGGCTAGCCGAAATTCCCATTACATTTAGAAACTCGAGCCTAGAATTTGTGCGACAGTGCATCCTGCTTACTGGCCATCGAGGAACAAAATGCGGCGAGTGAGTGTTTTGAGGAATCAAATTTCAACGCACATATGGCTACGCCATAGTCACCATAGGTAGGTGAAGAGCAATGCGCAGTGGGTTGGAAACATGATGAACAATACACTTTTATTTTTGTTTAAACGATATTCGAGCTCGTTATTTCATACACTCAATTGACTCATATCCTGCCAGGTCCACCAAAGCCAGCAACGTACGGCCACGGTTGCTCTCGTACATTCAAATACGGCTGTCTTGGCTCTCGCTTTGTCTTCACCGTCGCGTGTCCTCCATCTGCTTGTATAATCGCCCATTCGGCGACCGTTGCTCCCGTCCCGTTTCCGAAATTGAGGAAGTCGTCGGTTTGCGCACCGTAGATGAGTAATCGAGCATATCGCCCGCTCCAAACAGGGCTGTCTAGCGTTATATCTGTGGTGTTGCTAGTGTATGGAACGATAGCAGCAACATCAGCTATGTTGAAAGGACTTGAGACCGTAATGTTGTCGCTGCTTGTGACATTGACATACTTCGCATCGGAGCTCGTGAATGACTCGTTCGAGAAAGCGATGTAGTACGACGTCGGGGGAGTTTGAGCCCAGTCGAAATGGAAGCCAGATATAGGCACGTAAGGTTCTTCCAGCTCGACAACGAGTTCAGACGTAGTGTTTGCCTCAAGCGGCTCCCATTTTGTTGATATCGCACCATCGACGGCTGAAAGTGGGAGCTGACCAGGGAGGTAACCTTGATTGGAGCTTGCTGGACGACATTGAGCAATGTTGCCTGCAATTGTTTTGTTCTGACCAATCATTCTGTTGCTTAATACAAGAGTGCCATTCGGAGGGAGCTGAAACGTTTCGTTCATCGCAAGCCCGATCGTAACTGGAATATCGCCATTGGTGTAAGTTGAATTTGCATTGGCCAGCGGTTGCCCAACACGCGAGATGCTAGTATGTGTTGCATTAGAATATGCCGAGATAGGATGTCCCTGCCAGTAAAACATCCTATACTTGAGATTTGTGATCTGCGGAGGAAGGCTCGGATCCAAATTCAGTGAGTCAACAAACAAACGAAGACCGAGGTAGCCAAAAATGGCGACTCGATGAGCACCACCCATGCCAGTCAAAAATGGAAATGCTGGGTGGGTTCCGCCATTGGCTTGGTAGTTGTCCACAAGCTGTTCCGAGTATTGAAACCAAGGCGCTCGGATGTAAGGCAGCGACCCGTACAAGTCGTAAGTATAAGAGGAACAGCCAGACGGTGAAATTTCGTTTGCAACAATGCTGTATACGCCATAGGTCATCCCTGGGCCATTAAGAGACTGCTTTCCAGCGTAGTAGTCAAGGTCTGACAGAGAATACGGGTTGGGATAATCCAAGAAGTCATCGACCAGGACAACGTCGGCCTGTTTGACACTAATCGTGCCGTTCATCTCCTGGTACTCCAGAATGATATCTGCCTGCTTGTCCACAGGAACATCTATCTTTGAGATTTGGTCTGCCCATGTTGCATTCGGTTCCATGCTAAAACGAGCACGAAGCTCATTTGCAGTGGTCAGATGTGTTTGAATCAGGGCCTGTGTGTATGCGGCATTGTCGACATGGTTTGCGTACTCGTCCTAGCAAGAGTAAGTGATTTGTAGGTACAAATTTTGTCGAAGGACTTACAGGATCTGTCGCATTCAGCAGTTCATACTTATCGCTGCTCGAGTTATAGAAGAGCAACTGCGAGTAAAAGTGCGCAACTGCGTCGTATATGGGGAAAAAGTCGTTTTTGAATGTTTCCGAATCTCCAGTGGCGACATACCAATTGTACAGCTCAAGGCCAATATCACCGTTGAGATGATACTCGTAATCAAAGCAAGGCCCAGCAGCTGTGCAATTACCATATCGTCCGCTGACCCAAGGAAACACTGCTCCACCAGGCGTAAATGTGGTTTTATTTGTCGAACCTTGGTATGATTCGTTGACATTCGCTTGCGCCCGTGGGAACAGCTGGAGGCGATAGTTTGCAATTTGCTTAGCTGCTTGCGGATTCTGCACGACAAGACCAGGTGCCATCCATACTTCAGCATCCCAGAAGATCCAACCAGCGTACGAACTTGAGCCCAGCCCACCGACGGATATACTCCAGATGTCCAGCTTAGTGTTGTTACTGGCTGCCTTGATTGCATTCGCGCTAATTGTGTTTTGCATCAGGTACCACGGGTTTGTTACAGCTATGATCTGAAGAGTGACCAAGTTGACGTCATCCGGAAGCATGCCACTCTGCGGATCAACATAGCTGTCTACAGAATCGCTTGACATAAGCTCTGCCCACTCTGCCGCATTGGCCTCCAAAAGTTTGCTGAAGCCCATTGCTGCAGCTGTTTGTGATGCGTTTAAGGCAGTGCCCTGAGGATCAGCAAAAGCGTCTGTAGAGGCGGCACCAATGAATTTCGTTATGACGCTCGTCGTTTCACCGCGGAGTGAGACCTGAACAGACTGGGCAATGCTAGAAGAATTGCCGCCGATGTAGGCCGAGTCTTTGTACCTTACTCTCGAGCTCATATCCACCGACTTGTCGCCGGTAAGGGTCGAGTATATATATGCGGTGACGTTGCCAACCCAGTGGGGGCTCACTGCGCTCCAGATTTGAGCTGCCTTTTGCTCGTAACCTGAATTCTTAAAGTCACTTCTAACCGCACAGTCGCCGTTGAAGACATCTATAACAGTCACGTTTGTACTCTCCTCCGCAGTGATTGAAAGTTGGACCGCAGCCTGATTGATATAGAGCTTGTGCACTAGCATTTGATAGGAAATATTCAAAGACGGTCCACCGGGAGGCGTCCAAGTGTAGTTCCAGCTCTTTAAGCCTTGTTTCAAATCCAAAGTCGAGTTGAAGTTGGTGATTTGATCGCTCGGCACGGATGCATTTAGCACGTAGCCACCGCTCTCTACCAACAGGCCGCTCCAATGCGGAATACCTGCGATGACGGACTCGCCTCCATATTGAAGCAACCAAGGAAAGTTCGTCCCGTTCGTATCAGCCTCCGTAGCGTAGAAACCGGCAACCGTAGCGAAGGTTTGTCGACGATCGAAGAGCGGCCACCCGTTTATGATATCTCCGTCGACTGGAGTATCGACCTCGAAGAAGGGGCCTGCGGCTGCGACGTTGATGCCCAGATAACCGTTCGCAAGCGAAATACGCGATTGGTAGTGTCCTTGGTCTAAGACTGACGTTGATAATTTCCAGCCCGCGTCGTCCCAAGTGACATTGTCGAATGTCGTGTCATAGATTTGAGCGCTGCACAGCGCGGCAAACAGGGTAACAGCGAAGAGCATCTTGCTTATTCTACAACCGCATAGCTCGCAACTCTGTGCATACTGTTAGATGGCTTGCTCGATTCGCCGTCGTGTGCAAAAACCACCTACCCAAAATGAAGTGGTCAATGAAAGACTCCGTCTGCTTTTCTGGATCCAAGGTTCAATTGCGGTCCTTAATAAACGGGGTTGCTTTGCCCACACCCAAAATGGAGAATGTCGAACCGTGAAAATTCAAGGGAAAGTAAACAGCAACAAAGCTGCCACTTCGGCGACCTTTAATACGGCGCCCCCAGCCTCATCCTCCGCAGTTACATCCCGCTGAGAAAAAAAAATTTGGTGAACCTCGCGTCGATTAGTGACGCAAACCACACACCCCAGCATGTCTGTGCCCACCCCGCAATACGTGTGGATCTGCGCGGCGGACCTGCACGGGCAATTGCCCATTGAAGTACCTGTAAACGAGGGAACTGGGCGTGTTTACGAGAGCAGATCAGCGGCATGGTTACTTCGTTGGTTGTCTAGCGGGTTCCTGGCTTGCCAATCCAATGGCGGACGGAACGATGCTTGCGGAAGCGGTTCCATGGACGGGCGATTGATACGCTCCCGAACGGCGTGCATACCTCAATAATGCTGATCTTCGAACGTTGAACGAGGAGTCTTGCAACGATGATTTTCATTGTTATGAGGCCGTTCAATGACCGGGTCGCGAAGCACGTCGAGTCATTCTGGGTTAGATTGCGGAGTGCTGCATCCGGCGTGTACCATGCAACACCACGAAGCTTATGTTGCAACCACACGCAAGCCACAATGGCGTCATGCATCGTGAGCACGCAGTAAAACCTGGCAATCCGGGTCTGGTTGGGCACACAACACTGCGTTGACAAATTCCATCCAATCATACCCTGCAAACATTACTCAAGACCTTCGAATCAAGCACTCGACAATGGCTGAAGACGCTGGGAAAGCACCTACCGAGCGGTCACGTTAAGTAACGCGCGTCTGGGCAGGTTAGACCAGAGTCGGAAGGTATTTCGGTGCGACTCACGTCGAGATCAACGAGAGCAGAGGGGGGAAACAAAGAAAACTAATTCCACAAAGTCATTTGCTGGTTTTACGGCGTCAATGTGCACCTTGAATTTACGACACAAACAAGCTTCCACACAACTAATGAGGCCGTCTCTGCAATGTCCACTCCAGACCCCTTCAACATCTCAATACAACAATCAGCGTCCTACAGCGCCGTTGTGTGTGTGCCTTGTGTGTGTACCTGTATGTGCATCGTGGAATGCACATACTTCTGAGTCTAAATTATCGACAAAAAAGGGGATGTGGAGAAAGCGAAGCCTTGGGCTCGCCCAGTCAAGACGCCGGGCACGAGCAAAGCTGCCCATTACCCGGTTCACTCATCAAACAGTAAGCGAGATCGTAGTGGAAAAAATTGCCCCAAGCTGTATCAACTTTCTTTAACCATCCTGTCAATCAGTCAGTGTGTTTCAGCCAGCGAGTAGCATGTCCCTTTGAGGAGTGAAGAGTTTTCAAAAGCCCGCCGCAAAAGTATAGCTGATGCCCTGACACGCCAACGCTTGTGAAAAGGTTCAATGAAGACAAGAGGAGCTAGTCGTTCGTATGGTAGCGATCGTTCATTTAGGTGGTTGGTGCTCGTGATTACTAGTTGTAGCATTTCAATGTGATCAGCTTCAGGACTCATCAACTATCCAATGGCTGCAGAGAGCGAAAGATGGGGCCGATTATGACGGGTTTAGGAACCATCATAGTTCCTCATCTTCCATCTCCTCGGTTGGTCTTGCAAGCGCAGGTCCAGGCTCGAACTTGCCTGCCTCAGTCGAAATAGCCGGCGTTGCTCCCAGGCTATTCGTCAGCGCAGATGTCGTCGAGGTAATCGCGCTCTCGCTGTCCCGTCGCGGCTGGCCGTTGTTCGCGCTCTCTAATCCAAGTTTTTTCCGGACATCACTATCAAATCCTGGTAAACTGGATCGCTGTTTTTTGAAAGGTGATCCTACTGAGCCTTCTGCACCGAGATCCGGCATGGCAGAAGGGAGGCTTGAGGGAGGTGGCATCAAGGAGCCATCCGCCGACTTTGTCGTGCTGCCATTAGGTTGACTGGCCATAATATTCAAAGGAGCCTCTACGCTGTTTGGCGTGCCCGTTGCTGCGGGACTATTCTTGTCCTGCTCAAGAGGTGAGGGAGCGTTAAGTGGCTCAGCAGAGTGTGCACGTTTTAGCTGGATTTTGATTAGACTTCCGAAGAATTACGCAGAAGTGAGCTCAAATGCGACTAACCTTGGTCTTTCGAAGCTCATCCGACAGCTTCGATTCCTCGAGCACTTCCTCCGCTGTCAAGAACGTCCTGGACACGACATGTTCATCTTCGTCATCTTGGATTCGAGGACGTCGATCTTCATCTTCATCCTCATCATCGCTGTCCATGGCATTCATGTCTCTCCTTGTCGATTGATGGGTCTGAGACGTTGCTGGTTTACGGGACGCCTGCCCTTGACTGAGTGGAGCCAGGCTACCAAAGTCTATGCCACCGGATTTCCGCTTCGCTGAAACAGGAGTCTTATCCGGCTTCGGAGACGCTGGCATCATGCCCATCTTCTGCAGTTGCTCTGTTTTGTGTTAGCCTGAGTTTGATGTGCCTGGAAAGGACAGCACTTACTCGGCCCCCTATACAGAAAAGTGAAGACTGCATAGGGCTTGTCTGGCGGGTCTATTCCAGTGACAGTTTGCGTGCTGATAGTCTTTGGATCAAGTGTCTTTGGTTTTGCGAAGGAAGTTGTGTGGTCGATATCCTCGGCTCCGTCATTACTGCCCATCTGATCCTCATCGTCATGCACGTCGAACTGAGGCGAATATTCGCCGCGCTTGACCTCACCCGAAGCAAGCACTCTAAAAAGTGCTACCTTTATCTGGCCAGCGGCTTCTGGCATCGGCTCGTCATCTTCAGACTCATCTTCTAGGTCGCTATCCTCTTCGTCGTCCGTCAACGTTTGGACCGGCGCATTTCGATCGTCGCCGTAGCGTAGAACACCGTTGTGATCTCTTTCCCGCGCTTTCCGCTTCTGGAGATCGCGCATGCTATCATCCTCATCATCAGTGTCAAGCAACTCCTTCTTTATCCGCCTCTTGCGCTCGAATCGCTGACGTCGCTTTTCCACCGTTGCAGCTGCAGCCTTTGCATCCTTGCCTTCCAGATCGAGTCCATTCAACCATCGCTCCAGCCCCACCTCACGAAAGATGAACTCCTTCTCAGCTAAACCGCCACCCTCTGATTCCGGCACGCTCACCCATCTCGAGTTGACCCATGTTTCCTCGCCGCGTCTCAGCAGTGTGGCGACCTCCTCCTTGGGTCTGCCGTCGAAATAGATATATGCCGCAACCGTTTCGTTTGGTGAATTAGACACAGGCGTGTACGGCGCGATGACTCCGGAGTGTTTGTTACGAAAGCCACTCGAGTCGGCGTGGCTGCCGACGATCTTAGGACGTGGATGAGGATCCTCGGGAGTGGGTGCAGGTTGTGAGTACGGTACCGGGAGACCAGGGGTGAGAAGAGTTATGGAGATGGCAAACGTCGCGGGCTCTGGTTTGTTCGTGCCCGGTTGCAGTCGCGGCGTTGGAACGGGCACATAGGTAGTTATACGATGAAACTTGGACTGCTTCTGTATTCCAAATTCGGCGAGCGGTCCTCCACCGGGGCCCGTGGTGTGTATGCTCACGGCGAGACCGTGGAAGCAAGGCATGGTTGCTGCCTCTTCGCGTTGTGTGGGGCAATGAAAGCAATTGTAATTTTGATTCTTAATGGCTAGCTGTGGGCCTTGTTGTTAGCGCACGCGGTGGTGACATTCGAATGAAGATAATGCACCGAGGCGTTGGCGACGTGGGATAGTCTGAGTACAAGCGCAAAGCCCGACCAGAATTTCTTTTGCGAGGCTACCTTGAGGGAGGGTCACCACTCGCTGGGACCTCTCCTCCTTGTCTTCAGCGAAAGAATGCGATCGAGCTTCCGCAGACGTGTTGGTGGCCTCAAGATGACCGGTATGCGGCGCAGCGAAGACTGGCTGGCAGCACGTCCTCTTTGACTTACCTTCTTGATCGCAACCACTCAAGATGCAGCCGCAGAAACCCTGAGCTTTCTACCTCGTCTCACCGCAGTTCGAGGGCGGAGATAGGTGGACGTGTGGCGGATGGCGAGCGCAGGGTGTGAAAGCGGGAGATTTGAGGGAGAAGAAGCGACTTGGTACGATGTAAGCGTGCTGGAAGGACGAGGTCTCGAGCAGTTTATGCAGCACTGACGAGTTGGAGATCCGAGGGGAGGGGAGAAACTTGCGGACAGCACGAGTCACGTCTGCGTGCTGCCGCGTCCGACAGGTCGATAGCAATGGCGTGCGTGCTATGAAGGCGTTGACACCTCTCAGGAGCTCAGCGCAGACGGGTTTCTAGGCAATACGTGTGTGAATATTGAGCTGTGTCTGCCCATGAAGTCTCCTACACCGAAAGAGAGACGGCGGGCATGGATTGACATGGCTTGGCACTGGCTTCCTACCCAATCGGGAAAAGTTCTGTCGACGGCCGGCAAGGCTAGCCGAGCCCGGGTCGTTGAGCTTCACCACCGCTGGTCTGGGCCATGGCTCATTCATCAACCTCATCTTTGATTCTCTGCAGCGGGCAAAGCACAGTGTATTGACGGGACCCGATGAAGCACCTCGTGGGCAAATACATGTGCGGGGGAAGCCCGATGGTCACAACGCAGGCCCCCGATCTGGACTCGAGCCGTGGCGTGCTTGAATGCCTCGAGGGATGACAGGAGCACGGTGTCGATAATTAGTCCGTTCCCTGCAGTATTCTACTACATGCAAGTGATCTGCGCTTTACAGGATAGCTGCCTCCTTCTTCCCCGCGTCCTCCACCAAAGGGGCGGCAGGAATGTCCACCTTTTCGACTGACCATTCCATCCCAATATACCCGTCGCTAACCACTTTTACGTCCACGGCGCTACCTTGTACACTATCTGGAACCTTGATCGCCGACTTGACGTTGAATCTGGCTCGACTAGTCTCTCCAGAAGGCCAGCTGATGCGTTTCAATGCAATCAGATCATCTGTTCCAGCTCGAGACACCAGCAGGAAAAACCCCTCTGATTGCGGCTTTGGGAAGCTTGGTGCGTACATTCTTAGGTCCGGATGCTCAAGTTGTCTGGTGCGCGTGATGTGAACCGAGAATCCCAGCGCATTGATGCCAGAGGCCGCAACGTTCAGATCGGGGAGTTGCGCAACCGCTTTCAAGAAGCGGGACATGCCATTTGGCTTAACACCTACTGCACCGCCGACCTTCTCGAGCTCGGCCTTCGAAGCAGTCACCAATTCGTTTAGTGTCTTCAAATTGTTCGTCTCTTCACCAATTCGTGCCCTTTCCTTTTCAACTTGCACCCCAGGAAACAGGGCCAATGGCCCGTCTGCACACCATCTCCCGGACTTGATGCACTGCATCAGGCCGATCACAGCCTTCACAGCCTCTAAATATCCCATCTCAGCAAGAACATCCACCATAGCCTGACATACCCGGATGCTCTGATCGAGAACACTGTTTTGATCGCCTACATAATCACTGATTGGCAGATCGACCCTCTCAAAATGTGCTTGAAGCAGCAAGAAGGCCTTCACGTGCGGATCCCACATTGGTAGTTTTAGATGCGTGGCTTGTAGCGGCAGGTTCTTGCTCAGTTCCGCATTTATCAGGTCTTCGTTATGTCGCACAGGCAGCTCATCAAACTCAGTTGCCATGCTCAGCCACGAGAGCACATCGGCGAATTTCGGGTTGCGTTCTGCCGATTTGAGGAAGTGTCGGATGGTCTTATGTGAGAGATAGTAATAACTCATGATTTTACCGTAGGGTGTGGGGTCAATGTCGCCATTCGAGTGTAGCTCTATACAGTCAGACTCTGCCAGCTCATCTAACGACTTGGAGACAAGGTTGACTATGAAGTCGTTGGCTTGTCGCTGTGCTTCGACAGTATCATTCTCTTCAGCAGAAATGTCAAGACCGTAATATGTGGGATTTTTGTGCAGACGTCGAAAGAAGAACGTCCACGTCAGGTAGTCAAGTGCATCTTGCTTCGTGCCGATGGTTTCCGCGGATATCTCAGCGCCCAGGTGGTTGCTCAGCGAAAGGTGTAATGAACTCTCGACCGGGAATCCGGTGTGTAAGAAGTGTTTGTAAAAGGCCTTCTTAGAATCCTGCGTAAAGATCCGTGCGATTCCTGAAGAGTCGAACTGTGGCCGTCCGGCTCGGCCGAGCATCTGCAGCACATCTGTCAGATCCATATCTTTATAGCTTTCCGTCTTTGCATCAAAGTACTGTGTCCCTTTGACAACAACCAAGTGAGCAGGCATGTTGATCCCCCACGCAAGAGTACTAGTGGCCACAAGGATCTGTATTTTGTTGTTAAGGAACAACTCCTCCGACAGTTGACGATCAGTCTCGACGAGACCAGCGTGATGCAGTCCGATGCCGAAGCTGAGCGCTTCCCGTAGCGACTCATCCTTCACCTTGCTCAGATATAGAGCCAAGTCTTCCTCAGGCATCCGCAAGAATCGTCTTGGGTTGTCCTCCATGCCACAATAATTGATCAAATCCCTTGCAGTAAGACGTGTTTGCCTTCTAGAAGCGACAAACACGATCACCGGCTTCTCAGGCGAATGTTGCTTGATTGCTAAGAATGTTGGCCTGTTCATGCTTTGCATCAATGGGCAAAATCCGCGCTGCTCAGGAAAGCCATCAATATATATTTCCAGGGGTACAGGGCGGACAGAATGCCGGAAGTTGAACAAGCCCTCCTTAACCCCTAACCAGTTGCCTAGATCAGTAGCATTTGCTGCTGCAGTCGACATTCCTACAAGCCTAACGGAGCCCTTCTTTTGCGAAGCTATGTAGTTCATGCGCGAGACAATGATTTCAAGAACAGGCCCACGGTCGCCACCTAGGAGATGAATTTCGTCGATAATCACAAGGCTAACTTTGCGGACGTAGTCTCTAGTTTGCCAACTACGACTAATACCGTCCCACTTCTCGGGAGTAGTGATAATAATGTCAGCATCACGAATTGTTCTTGTGTCCGGAGTATTGTCGCCAGTTAACTCGACAAGCTTTAAGCCCATTGGCTTTGCAAGACGACTTCCCCAATCTAGAACTCTCTCGCGAACAAGTGCTTTCATCGGAGCGATGTATACAACTTTCGAACCAGGATTTTCACGGAAAGCCCACCACATTGCCAGCTCAGCCGCAACAGTTTTGCCACTTCCTGTAGGTGACCCCAGAAGCACGTTGGCTGAGGTGTGATACATGCAGTGGAAGAGTTGTGTCTGCATGGGATTGAAATACTGGAAGCGCTGCGCGTATATCTCTTCTAATAACGGATTCTTCAACGCAGTGATTGGAAGTGGTTGCAAATTCAATAGGTCCGTGTACACACTCTCAGTGTCTGGTCTGATCAAATGCTTAAAGGAGATCGGATGAACTGTCTCCGCTCCCAACCATCGGTCTGAGACTGCGCGAACGTAAATCTGCGAGGGCAGTGGGTCTGAGAGCGGGATCGTGAAATTCAGCTCGTGAGGGTCATACAGCTTCTTTCTGTTCAACAAAAAAAATTCATGATGGTAAATTTCCGATGTCTCAGAGTTTTCGACCCATATCCAGTATGATTCTGAAGTGCCATGATGTTTTTCGTTCCAGACGAAATCCGGCGTCAAAAATATTTTCATGCGCAGGACGTTGCGGTTCAGTGGTGCGATCTCCGAATCAATGCTGAGAGTCGGGAAGTTATCAAGAAGCTTTTTGATCGTTTTTCCCATTTTCTGGTTGTGAACGAGTTGCCCGATCTCCGCTTGATCCATGTCCCGTAAAGCTTCGATAGAAGATGCAGGACTCTTCTCATCTAGATTCCGCAAAACAGATTGCGGAAGGTCGAATTGATGGAAAGGGTGCTCGAAGGGCCAAATCTGCCTCTCGATTGACTTGCACATTGTGAGGAGAACTAAGCATTGATATCCCCAGCGGCGATTGAGAGCGATCATGAACAAAGCCCTGCAAATACGTGTCGCATTCTGAGCCACATATAGGGTGTCTGACTGTAGAGTATAGTCCTCCAGACGAGCGCGTGAAATATGAGATTGAAGCAAGATGTTCGTTTTCGCTTGTGGTGTTTCAACACCACCTTCTACCTGACAAGGAACATACTCCTCATCCTTCAATTTCATGAGTTCCTTTTCCTCTGTATCTCGGGACTGTATATTGTCAAATTCACCACTCATACTTATCATTTTTAGAACATCTGCTTCCGTTGCCCGTGGCCGCATCATGGCATTAAATATTTCGATGCTTGACTGAAGAACATAATATTGACTTGCGATACGACCGACATCCTTCGATTTGAGTTCCTCGGTAGTCTCGTTGAAGATTATCATCTGGCTTTGCTGTAGCACACGAGCGGCATCAATGATGAGTTTTCTTCTTCGCTGTACCAGTTGTGGATCGTCTCGAATCTCAGCCCATTCGATTCCGTAGTTCAAAGGATTTCGTTGCATACGGACGAAAAGATAAGAATACCCAAGCCATTGCACTCCCTCTTGCACCGAAGTTACAGTTCCCAGTCCAATCTCCGCATTCAGGTTGTCCACGAGCTTCTTGGAGAAATTGGATTCAATCGGCCGCTGTTGCGTGACAGCTGTGAGATAGTGCTGCAGCTTATCCTGTGTTGTGCAAATAAAGCCTATACCAGTATCCTGGAATTGAGGCCGGCCAGCACGACCGAATATCTGCAACACATCCAATATACCTAGATCGACAAACTTCCCAACTTCAGCGCTGTAAAGTTGCGTTCCCTTGATCACGACTGCAGCGGCGGGCAAGTTGACACCCCAAGCAAGTGTCGCCGTGCAGCAGAGTACTTTCAGCACTCCCTCTGCAAATAAACGCTCTATCAGGTTTCGATCGGATCTGGGCATTCCGGCATGATGTGTACCCATGCCTTTCGGTAAGAGCTCTCTTAATTCACGAGCCTTCGAGCTTTTCATGTCACGCACGGCATTTTCATAACGAGGATGGCCGGTTGGGTCAAATAGATCTGTTTGAAGATCATGCAGTGCCCTCTCGTACAAATCCTTTGCCGTTTTGAACGTGTCCTTTCGAGAATGAACAAAAACCATAACTTGGTGGCCCAGTTTCAACATTTCGCAGACTTTCTCGAATGTGACTTGCGATAGGTTTTCATTCGACTGCTTTGATCCGGGTTTCCCTTTGACACCGACAAAATGTTGCTCAAGAGGCACAGGTCTAAATGATGCGTCGAAGTAGAACAATCCCGCCATACGGTTAACTTTGAGAAAGTCTGAAACATCGACATAATTTGGGAGCGTGGCTGATAAACCGACGATACGAATCAAGGACTGCGTGCTTTCAACCTGACGTTCAGTGCGAGCAACAAGTGATTCCAGCACTGCACCACGCTCATCATGCAGCATGTGGACTTCGTCGATGATGAGTAGACGAACCTTCTGTACGAGCTCGGTATCGCCTGTGCTCTTCCGTGTGACGACGTCCCATTTCTCAGGAGTCGTAACAATTATTTGCGTCTGTACAATTTCTGCTTTTGTAAGATGCATATCGCCTGTAAGTTCTCGAACATTGATGCCCAGCCATGACAGGCGTTTTCCTAGCTTCTCTGTAACTTCTGCCGCTAAGGCCTTCATGGGCGCCACATACACGATCTTGAAGGCATCAGCCTGGAGGATGAAGTCCATGGCATTTGGCTCATCAATTGGATTTGGTATAACATTCTTTGCAACAGTATTAAGAATTGTGAGCATAGCGGCGTCTGTCTTACCGGCACCGGTAGGAGCACAGATAAGCATGTTCTCGCTCGTCTTGTATGCTACCGGATATACAAGGCTTTGCATACGATTCAAGGCTTTGTAACCTTTGAAGGTTTGTTGGCACAGCCCGTCAAGTTCTTTGATCTTGACAAGTTTCTGATCAGCTCCAACGGTACCAACCCTCGCAGCAGGAATAGTATATTCCTCGTAGAACTGATGTTCTTTCCGCTCGCTGCCTAACGGCAAGGTATATTTGGTTCCATGAGCTGAAAGTGTATTACCCGCTTCATGACTGCGATAGACATGGGGGTATTTTGTACTTGTCCGATCAACTGACGCTTTGAGAGCTTTATTTTTGTGCTCCTCATCAGCACGTCGCAAAGCTTCTTCTCTTTCTTGTCTTGACAGAAGCCGTCCTGTGACAGATTTTGTAGTACTTGTTGTCGTGCTGGGTTCTTGAACTAACTGGGCTCGATGTGCTATAATCGTAGCAACAAAATCTAGCTCATCGTATCCTAGAGTATCAACCAGCAACATCTGAATCTCATCATTATTGCTATCAGATGCGATGATTGCTTGGATTTGATCCTGAAGAGCTTTTGCATCCAGTCCAGCATTACGGGAAGCAACTTCCGTACATCGTTCCTGAAGCCACGTGTGGACGTGGGCTAGGTGATTGGAAACAGAATCTCCTGACAATTTGCCGTCGATCTCTTGATCATCGTCACTGGTTTCTTGATCGGAGGCGTCGCTGATTAGATCCCAAAAGTTGTCAACTGACGTTATCTCCAGTAGGTCAGCATCGTCTACGACAATGTCTTTTCCGTATTGGCAGAAATCTTTATTCTCCTTTGGCAAATCTAGCTCAGTGATTGCCGTTCTCATAGCAGTAAGCTGGATGAGCCATTGTGAATCTGCTTCGTCTAAAGCAGGAGACATAACTGTCATGGGCTTCAGGTTGTCAGAGTTTCGATTTGCAACGACCATAAGTCTACATAGGTGGAATAGTAAATCCACGTAGTTGAATAGAAAATATTAGTACTATTGAATCCTCTGATAGATTTTTCTATCGTTAGCGTATAGTTTGAGCGAAATGTCTGCGGTGTCTAAATTGGCTGAACAGCACGTGACGACATCAGAGCCTCCCGTCAGTCCAGCCACAGTAGCCTCAGCCAATGAGTGGCAATGCTCCAAGGAACCATGATAACTTACTGGTCTCAGGTGGACATGCGGTCAGCGAGACACCGAACCTCTAGGTAACCACATAAATGACCTCTTAGAACACCTCCGCTTGCACAGTTTTCGAACTCCTGTACAAACATCATTCCTCGAGCTTTTTGGACAGGCAATCATGAAAGTGCTTTATATCGGTATCTTGCGCAATTCTGAGCGCCCCGCAGTAGAGCTTGTGTCGGAGAAGGAACTGAGCAGCTTTTCAAGGTTCACCAAGGGAAAGTGAGTTTTACTCATGAACCGACGGGATTTTGGCGTCTCTAACCACATCCAAAACAGCATTGCCGAGTTCCTCACCTTTTTTAGCAAGGTACACCACGCCAAAACATCTAACCGTAGCCATATTCTAACCAGTGCATGATGTGTAGACAGTAGCGGAGAGAACGAAGCCTGGTCAAAGGCAAGATGTTGAAGAGCAATGTAGGCATCGAAATTATTGTTCCCTTTCCATATGAGAGATCTCATGTCCGATTTAGCATACACTTTCCACGCCTATGCCCGTTCCGAGGGAGTTTGTGGTATCATAATCTCGGATCAGGAATATCCAGCCATGGTGGCTCACCAACTTCTCTCCAAGGTCCTCGATGAGTTCCTCACCAAAAACCCAATCAACAACATCCGTAGCCAGCGCGAAGACAACAAGATGCTTTTCCCCGAACTCAAAGAATACATCACCAAATATCAGAACCCAGAGAATGCCGATTCGATCATGAAGATCCAGAAAGAGCTTGACGAGACCAAAGTCGTGCTTCACAAAACTATCGAGAGTGTGCTCGACAGAGGAGAAAAGATTGATAGTCTTGTTGCAAGGAGCGGCGATTTGAGCGAGAGGAGCCAGATGTTCTACAAGCAGGCCAAGAAGCAGAACAGCTGTTGCGTTGTCATGTAGGAGCATAAGTTTGTATGCTTGCGTGCATAGGGAGACTGCAAAGTTCGGCGTTGGGGGCGTAACAATGCGAATAGTGATAATGATTGAATACCTGGGCGGGCTGCTGATTGCTGTAGATGAGGGCAACCTGAGATATTTGTATGTGGCCATGGAGCATCACTTTTCGAAGCTAGTTCTTGTGTTCTACTCTGATGTCGTAGCTTTTAGCACATTTGCAATCACTTCCATCATTTTCAGTGTTTCCTCGTCCTTCATGGGCCTGCCTACCACTTGCAGACCACATGGTGCTCCCTCAACGGCATCGGCATTATCTGTTGCTCTAATTAGCGAGTTAACAAGACTTCGGAAAGGCCAACTTGCATGGGGGTTCATAAGTGACACCTGTTCTTACGAATGGCGCATCTTCCTTCTTGTCCGCCTTCAGGTATGGTATCACACCTGCTGGATAATTTATCAGGTTGGGCAAAACGGTCCAAATTGGTAATCCGTACGTATCATGTGGCACAGCAGTAGCCTGGTATACGGGCATGATGAAACCGTCCAAACTATTCTCAGTGAGTATTTTGTGGTAAGAATGAATGATCTTGAAACGCTCCATATTCATGGCATAAAGATCATCGATACTCGGGTGCCAGCCTTGAGGTATTTCATCAAGGTAAGTGGTCGAGATACTAGGCACCAAAGGCTCGTTCACTTCGGCAAGAATCTTGGCGGGGGTATCTTGTGGATCGAGAGCAAAGTATTTCCAAGAAAGAATGCATGATTCCCAAATTGACGGAATGAGTCCGTCCAAAGGCATGATCATATGGCCTGCGTTCTTCAAGGCCTCACTAGCAGATTTGATGGTACGCAGCACAGTGGGATGTAACATGCGTTTGGGGTCATCAGTGATCACACCAAGTCTCAATGGCCGTGTAAATGGCTCAACGCGTCTCCAAGGCACAGCAAGACAATTAGGATCCAGATCCCAAGGTTCACTATCAATAACAGTCCTCATCCAGAGCTCCATATCTTCTACTGAGTGGCCCTCAGGTCCAATCGTTGGTAGGATAGCTGTAGGAGCCCCAAGTCGACCAGGTGGTACACCTCCAGCAAAAGGAATGCGGCCACTGGTAGGTTTGAAACCAAAGACACCATTGCAATAAGAAGGTATTCGAATAGATCCTGCAACATCAGTACCGACGCCGAGGATAGACCCTCGAATCTTAAGTAGGGCGCCTTCGCCACCCGTACTTCCACCTGCGGTGAGCGAGAGCTTATTTGGATTTAGAGTACGTCCAAAGAGGTTGTTGTCAGAATCTGCAGTCATCATAGTTTGTGGGAGATTCGTCTTAACGTATGGTATTGCGCCCGCGCGAATCAAAATCTCAACTACGGAAGAATTGTTTGTTGCAGGAGGTCTCCTCGCAAATGCGACATACCCGATGGTCGCATCTACACCGATGACATTGAAGCTGTCTTTGAGACTAATGGGTAAGCCGTGCAGGGGGCCTATTACTTGTCCAGTCTTTGCAAGGTGATCGTCTGCTTTCTTCGCGCGAACGAGGGCTTCGTCAAAGAAGATTTCTGTCAAGCAATTGACCTACACTTTGATTAACATACACTACACACACACGCTGTGCAAGAAAGGACACACCAGTTGCTGAGCGATGGCAGCTCTTTTGCAAAATGCCAAAGTAACTGCATACGAACTACCCATTCGTTAGCGTTTATCACGGTTGACGTATGACCTGACTAACGTGACAACTTGATTTGCCATCATTCTAAGCAGCTCAGCGGCAGTATAGTTCTCAGTGAGCTCTACCTCTGTCTTTGTAAGAATTCCACATGTTCGCGGTATATCGAGTACCCCGAAGTGAGCTTGTGGGCTGATTTTTCCCAAAATCTCCGGCGACAGTCGCCATTCTAGTGGTATTTTGGCCGCGTTGGCCTTGCGCTTGGCCGCCACGAGTGTTTGCCACGCTTCAGTCATAGCGAAATGCCCAGCTTTCGTTAAGTCAGACCAATTCTTCTCCCTTCGAAGAGAGTTTGGATTCTGAGGGGGGGTCATATGTAGCGTAAGCTTGGATTCAACTAGCTTGCCTGTAGCTGCAGATGCAAAGCGGCTCCGCACGCTGATGGTATAAGCTCGGAACCTTTTACTGTATCGGCTAGGACCTGGACCCCGATGTAGTGATGGAATTATTATTGTGTTTACAAATAATTACCTTCGCGTTTGGCGTCTCTCGTTTTAAGGTAAAGAAGGGATTTTATGAGAGATTCCTTGATGTAATTGTATTTCTATGGTTGTAAAGTCGTTCCACCTTAGGAAAACGGATTGCGGGTTGTCGCGGGAAAAGATCAGCATATTAAACCACCATGCAGCAACGTGATTTGTAGGTAGGAGATTGAAAAACGGACTTTTCTAACCGAAATCTCTAGAAAATTCAAGCGCAGGAATGTAGAATATATTGCAGATGGCGAACTCCTGTTTTCACGACACTTCACTGTTGTTGCTCTGTCACACCAATTATTATCTCTTTCATTTCCCTATTTCAAACTTCATATGCCACCGCTAATACTGGGCTAAGTATGGATTTTGAACTATTGCACTTCCATTTGCGTTTCTTTCCGAGCCTAGATAGACCACAAGACTATCGACATATCGGAATTTACAAACCCTGCTTTGCGAAATTGTGAAAATAGTATACCAATAATCACGATCTCATGCTCCATTTAGAAGATTTGAGGCCTGTAAACAGAGTATTTGCGGCGTTTTCCTTATGAATCCTTTGATTCGATGTCGGAGAAGCTATGGAACTGCTCTGTGATACAATTGATGGACACTGGTCACTAGAGCTTTGAACAACCGCGTCCGCGTCACCCTGAGCCCCAACACATATGTTTGCATGAGAGTCTATAACTGTATGGGTAGATTCAGCATGCGAAGTGTATAAGTGTTGGCTAACCTCATCGAGTGCAGTGGTTTGATCCACTGGAGTCGACGATGGCGTAGCTGCAGAGGTGGATGAATCCAACAAAGGCGGGGGCAACGATGTTATGGTTTCCTTTTCAACTACGGTCGCAGAATGTTGACCTGGCACGCTTGCGGAATCTTTTAAAAGATTCGATCTGTAAGCTCCTGTGCCAGCTTCCCCTTCGCAATCTTGACGCGCAGACGTGGTTGGATTGACCACAGTTGCGCCTTTATCACTTAGGATGTGATTTGGGTCGTTCGATGGATTACTGTTGCTCGATTTGTTCTTAGCTCTCTTTGGTGGTTTAGTCGTGGTTGGAATGCGGCCCTTGAGCGATTTGAAATCGCGCTGCAATTTCGACACAATTGCGGCATGTTCGTCATCTTTCTTCTTAAGCTGCTCGCTGGCTTCTGCTTTTATTGCCATTATCCCCTCTTCGAGTTTGCGCAAAGACTCCTGTGCATCTTCTAGCTTTCGTTGAAGAAAGGCTCTCTCTTCTTGGCCCAGCTTGATCATCTCTTGGTAATCAAACTCTGCTTCGCCCATTGCAATGCATTGAGCATTGCAAGCCTCCTGTAACGACTCGTAATCTTTCCGGACTTCACCAAGTTCATCTCGAGATTTTCTGAGATCTGACTTGAGAGAACTCGATACCCCTTCAAGATTTTCAATTTTCAATTTTCTTTCCTCCAGTTCTTTACGAAGAATTTCCTTCTCGTTTGTGGCCTCGGAAAGTCGAGATCGAATTGACTGGAAGTCATCTTCAAATTGACTTCGCTCTTTTTCTAGAGTAAGTTGGCTTGCTGTGAGTTTTGTTGCCAAAGCGTCGCACTTGGATTGTGATAAGCTCAACTTGTTCTTTAAGGCTTCAATCTCTTTATTTAGAAGGTTTTCTTCATTCATCAAGGTATTATTGGCGTTTTTGAGTGCCAGGCTTTCAGCATTCAATGCATCAAATTGCCTTTTCAATGAAGCTAGTTGCTCTCTGAGGTCAGGTATTAAGCGATTTTGTTCTTCCAGTCGGGACAGGTTTAGTTCGAGCTCAGCAACCTGATCTGTTAATTGCTTGCTTCTCTTGCACTCGGCTGTCAATTCATTATAGCGCCTTTGAGATGTTTCACCTTGTTTCTTCATTTTGTCTTGCAGTTCCTTGATGTGGTTGTTGGCGGCTGACAAATTTGTTTCGAGCTGTTTGATGCTTTTCGTGTCTTGCTCTGTTTTGGTACACAGAGCAATATATTCCCTTTCAGTGTCCTTATTCTGACGATCAGCTTTCTCAGCTCGAGATCTAGCTTCTTCTATCACCCTGTCCTTCTTGCAAGACTCTGTCTCTGAAGCGACAAGGTACTGTTCAAGCTCTTCGATGCGCTTCTTTGCTCTTAATAATTCTTCCCAAGAACCTGATTGCTTTTCTTGAGTCGCTACCTTTTCCTCGAACTGGCGGATGTCTGCCTCAGCATTAACAAGTTTGACGGTGAGATCTTGGAGATCTACTAGGGCGGCAGTGAACAGTCCTTTCCAGGTGCTCCAGCAAATTTCTGCGTCAGTGAAACGGAAAGACCAAAACTTGCTGAATGGAGAGAACATATAGATATCTCCATCCAAGATAAGACGACGAATTTCACTGGTACATATAGAATCGTTGGTTGATTCGTGTTCTAAATTGACCGCTTTGTGGCTCAGTGGAACAGCCTTGAGCCAAATCCAAATATAGCACAGATTTGTAAGGAAGATGATCGATATGAAAAGATATGCAATCCAGCCGTTAGCCTTCCAAAAGGAAGAGGTGACGGAGGAGACCATGTCGATCATGTTTAAGTTTTCGTACATCAGCTGATCATCTCGCAAGTACACCTGAAGTTCCGTGCAGGTACTTGGCATGACCAGTGTGATGTTTGTCGGCGGAAACAATAGGGGAGGTGGTGGGACCGGGCTGAGTGTAAAGGTGAAGTTTGAAGGACCAACTTGGCTCAAGTTGCCAGTGTAGCCCTCTGGAAGATCGAGTAGAAGGATTTTAGGGTCAATTTGGAGATATTGGACGACGAGTTGATAATATGACCAAAGGTGGAGGCCGAACCATTTCGCTGCCAAGTGAAGTGTCCGGAGCCCGAAGGCTGGAGCTGAAGCCATTCCGTTATATGTAAACGAATTGGTTGTGCTCAGTTCGATGTAAGTTGCAGATTGTAGCGCCTGGTGACTTTGAGAGCCCTGACTTTAGAGCGTAGACTTGAAGAGTTGAGAAATAAGTTTGAACTACGAAATTAGAGCTTTACAGGTTTGTGTGACATGCCTTGGAGCATATTATGTAGCCTAATCTCTAAGGCGCCATATATAGCGCAGTGAATATGATGAACAAGTGAATGACAGGACGAGGGAGGTGAAGGCCAACTAATCTTATCATCTACAACCACGACCATCAATACCACTGCGGCAAGTGGTATCTTGGATCATTTTTGATAACCCACATGCATATTTGCAAGAAAAAACGGTTATGCACACTGTCAATTCCTATGGCAAAGTTAAGAGCTCCTCAACTGACATCCTTTGTGGAAAATTCTTGAGCAGTTCAATATGAGTAGTTGAACATGGATTGCGATACACAACGTGGAGCAAGTGCTAAAGTCCTTGATAAAAATAAGATGAACGTATGCATGTTTCGAACTTACTAACATTGTGATGGTTGATATGATGATTTTACAATCCACCTTTCAAGTTCGACCGGCGTCACCACTTTGGCGCTTATTCTTAGGGAGACGATGATTTTGTTTTATATCCGATATCATGTTCATTCAATTCGCGGTTTCAGCTAACTTCGCCTTTTCGCTACCTACTGCGACCAATTCGCCAACAACAAGATATTTCTCATTAAACCTCTCTTCCCACCCTTGCAAGGCGTCCATTTGTTCTTTGTCAAGATCGCTGAGGGTATCAAGCGGACCTTCAAGATCTTTTGTTAACATGCTCTCATCGAAGCTGCCACACGCAAGTCCTCGGGATGCATCTCTTCCTGCGAAATTCGCGTACGGACCACCCGGGCCGTAGAAGTTTCGACCTGGGGTTACGTCAAAAACCTTCCCGCGTACAGCCAGGAACACTGGCGCTCCATTTTCACCATTGTAGGGCAACAGCGTCGGCGGAGTAAATGTCCGGAATACAATGGGCGGTGGTGGCTTCGGGAGAGTCGCAGGTGCACTGGGCCTCATGCGAAGATATACGATAAAACCAAACAGGCTCAAGAGAACGAGGTTGATGGGTGTCATAGCCGGTGCCCTGTGATGTTTACTTAATCATTGAATCTACTAGCTATAGACTTGGTTCTTACACTTGGCCCGGAAGTGGTAAACCCGAGATGCCTAAACCCTTGGATTAGCTACCTGTTAGAACAAAGACTGCTCACATACCATCTGCCATGGTATACAGCTTTGAAAGTAACACGCTAAAATGGTTGGAGAGAATGATAATGCTGCCTCTTCAGCTTAGCAAACTTCAGAATAAGATGTTGTCGGCTTCCGGGTAAGCTCGGGCCATTGAGATTTAAGTCTTATGTAAGGTGACCATTCGATCGCGGAATGTGCAGCAGGTCACGTGCACCAGCCTCGTCCTCAATTCTTTCACATTCCCCGAATTTGAAAATCCGACCTCTCTAGGCATCGAAATGTCATCGCCCAATGCTAATGCCACGGGCGTACTCTCAGACAACGGAAAGGAACGAGTGACGGCTTATCCGAACGAGACTCTTAGGATGAAATTTGCTGTTGGGTATGACGTAAATTTTGACCTTGAATCGACCACATGCTATTCTTGACGTCGGCATGTCGGAAACAGATTTAAATCCCAAATCGTACGTCATTTTAATATCACATTATGCCGTGGTAGAGGACATTTAAACCAGCTTCCGAGGATAGCATCCACGTCGGGCTTGGACTAAACACATAACTCCAGCAGCGCGCGGGGGGAATAAAGAACCTATAATTCATATTGATCCCGTTCTTTCGAAATATAAGAAAAAAGAAACTGAAATGTCTTCTGTGAACGACGCACAAAACGCGGGGGCCAAAGCCGGCGACGCGATCAAGCAAGGCGCTGCCAAAATCCACGTTAGTGTTTGACTCCATGAACCAATTCATCTAAACAGTGCTTGACGTCTCGCAGGGGGTTGGCGAGGCCCTGCGCGGCAATATCAACATGTTTGCAGACAGTGCAACCAACACTGACAGCACCAAGAGTCGAGAGGTTGCCGAGCGGGGAGAACAAGAGTTCAGAACTGGAAAGTTCATGGAACCGTCGGCGGGCCTGACGCCACGTGATGCGGAGAAGAATATCGAGGGCGAAAGTTCAATACCCGCGCATGATTCTACTTCATCTGGGAGGACGCTTTAGAGGAGCTTGTGAGGAATTTTTGTCTGATGCTCGAATTGTTCCTTGGGGAGATATATCTCGACGACCACAATAGGTGCGATCTTCGAAATATGTCGTTCTTCAAATCAATTGATCTCCTTTATGCCAACGTCCGCCGCAGCGAACAAAAGAGGCGAGCAAACGAAATTTCCCTCAATAGAAGCAACATCAGATTCCCACACCTTAACTTCTACTCTTGAAGGTACACTCGTTCTGTTTTTCAAGAGCTCTGCTTCTGTCAAAATAAGAATATGAAGCTTTAAAAAGATTGTGTCTAGCTATAATACAGACTACTGTTTCCCGCTCGTGTTATCAGCGCTGGATTTAGCTCAATTAAATCATGCCAAATAATCTCAAATAGAGGCTAGAAATGGTGGCCTAATAAGACACCAAGAAAGAGCAGTTTATCCTATCAACAAATCTGATAGAAGACTGGGCTCGCAGAAATCTTACACGCGAGAAGGATCACTAATCAAGCAACAGATCCCCACATTAAAGATCCTAGGTAAACTTGCAAAGGACGAGCGTATATAAGTTTATCTTACATATTACAGGTGCAGTAAGCTGCTACTGGCTCATATATTTGCTGAATATTTCTTCTTTGACTACTCATGACCCTCGAAAAAACACTACCATTCTACCTTGATTGCCTCGTCTTTCTATAGTACTAGGTAGCCACCGTTTCTTCACGCTATCTAACTAGTCATTTTTATCTTGATCCTATGCAAGTGTTGGAAGTGATTCTACACAAGTTGCTGCATGGAGTAAAGCGACGAAGTAAACGCCTGTTCATTAGGGTTCTACTAGCCAATACAGTCCGTAAAGGTGTAATATCAGCTTCGTCTGGAAATACGAACTGCATGATATTATCATAAATTTCTTAATGAACAACTTTATTTGCTTTATATTCTAGTAGTCAGCGCTACTTACAAACAATCTGCGTCAGCTAAGGCCGCCGAGTGATTACTACCATGTTTAGCAGCAGGAGCGATGACGAAAATTTCCAATGTAATGGACGAAAAGAATCGACGCTTCTCGGGAATCTGCTCAACTTTACGAAAGCTTAGTACCATGCAAACATTTATCGCCGCAAATCCTCACCGCACGCATCAACAGACGAATCGGACCGAATGAGAAACTTTTGCACGCTCTTCTCTCTGTATGCGTAGACTGGGCGCTTGTATGGCAGAGGCAGGTTTGAACGAGCAAAAGATCGCAGCTTGCAATGTCGAGTCTAATCAATGCCAATGGGATTCTTGTCAATGTGCGCTGCCGGTGACCCGATTGCAGCTGGACGAATGCTACATTGGCTGTCGGAACTTTCTATTAAAGTGCAATGGCAGCGACATCATGGCAGGCAAGCCTGAATGCAGGACTCGCTTTGAGGATTGTCAAGCATGGTGCATGATGAACCAATTTGGAGAGCAGCCCGGCATCAATGCCGCCCAGTTTCCAAAGAGCCGACTAAATGTGCGGATCCTCGATATTGCTTCGACCTTCATGCAGAAGGGCGACGATGATAATCTCAATCCCCAGTCATCCTTCCCTAACACTATTGCCGCATATGACTCTAGTACACCGAGAACCTCTCCTCTTGAAGCGGTAGTTACAGGACTAGGAAGAGGACAATTCACTGAGGGCGAATGTCAGCAACGCTGCCATGTAAATCACAATCAGTGTCGTAAGGATCATTGGCCGTACCAAGAAAAGCAGTGCCTGGAGCAGTTCAACGCTTGTCAAGACACCTGTGGGCAGTTTTCGAAAACCATCCCGTCACCCACGTTAGCCTCGCCTTCGTTCCAACCTCACTGGACATGGGATGGTATCACGCGTGGTATTCGAGAGACTGGCAAGCCTGCCTATCTGGTAGAATAAGTCTTTTGCGAGGAAGAAAAGTAAGTGATGATCTACTATCTCTCTCGCCTTTTGTTTTCCTTTTTCTCCGCGGGCTGTGGGCTAACCATATATATGCTCTTGGCTGTCAGCGGCCACGGTCCTTGTGTCGTGCTCGGGCTTTTCAACACCGTCTGTATGGATCTTCACAAGGGAAATTGGCTGATCGGAAACGGCAAAGGGAACCCGAAGAAGTGGAAATCGTGGAGAGGCTTTCATTCTGTCGACTACTGTAGATTTTATCCCGCTGATGGGTGTGACGGTGAATATTACACGGACTGTTACGACAGGTGCAATCTGAAAAACATCCTTGGCAAGTTGCAATCAGTTCGATGCAAGTGGAACACCACAGTGTATCCGTCATGATTGGATTGATTGGATCCGAGCAAGTGTTTGAACGCGTTGGAAAGCATTGAAGGATCATTGATTTCATATTGTTATGACATCGTTCTTTCTGCTGGAAAGACTGTGAGACCCGTTCAACAGAACTTTGGTCCCACATCTGTCACGTAATTACATCAGTCAAGGGGTACCCGTGATCGGAAAATTATGCCGTGCTCTCAAATGTTCTATCTCCAGCAAGTACAAAGTTCGAGAGGCTTGAAAGGCTACCATGCAATGCATTTAAGTTTCTATGGTACTGGTGTAATGACGGCCTACCGTTCGTCCCAAGGACCGAACTACAGCGTCACGAACATCAAATCATGCCATCATGCCCATCTATATCATATTCTTCGTGCTGAATGACTTACTGGCTCTTAACAGGCGCCCAGTTCTTAAGCCATTCCCTCGCATGATCAAGCATCCCACCCTCAGCCTCGAGCGCGGCCACGCACCAATTGAACGCATATTGCTCACCTCTCAGCCCTCGTTCCGCAGCCAGCAATTCCGCAAGGCCCCTTCTCTGCTGCGTCTTCTCGTCCGTACAGAAATGCAGGGGTGTATCGCCAGACTGCAATCCCTCCAGAAGCGGTTTGATCATCGGCAACGCCTCCTTCATGCCGACCGAGCCATCGATTCCAAGATTCTTTCGCCCGGTTCTGCAGTATTCGTTCTTGCACCAGGACTTGCCGCAGCCAGTGACGAGTTGGGTGAGATAGCGGCGCTCGATGCGGCGCCTAAGTGCCTTACCATCCGGGTCGTGCATGGCGACGTAGAGCGGCCCAAAGCACGTCGAGCACAGACCGACGTCGTTGCCCGGACCGTTGCCTATTCGCGTTCCCGCTCTCGTGTCACCGCTGTGGCTTGCTCCGTCCAACGTCTTGCCACACAGCACATTGCGGCAGACGCGCGGCTCAGGCCTTGACTTCTTCTCCAACTCGTGGTTAGCCAGGTGAACGCGCATATCACGCAGTCGGACAATTTTGTTGCAAAGATGACACTCTGTCGTGCGTCCACCATCTGCGAGTTCGTGAGGTGTAAGACCAGAGAGCAGGGCCTCTGCGTTGGGCTCCTCAGGGTCACCCTCCTGTGGCACTTCTAAATGACAGAATTGGCACAGGATAATCTTTCCAGGACAGACAGATGTACGGTGCGTTGCTAAAGCCGACATGGATTGGTATGTTCGATCGCAGGAGCTGCAAGTCTGGGCTGTATGTTGGAGGTGGTTGTGTTTCAATTTGCTCAGCGGCGTGTTGCCATACGCAGCATCGTGCTCGCAATGCCAGTGATTTTGCCATTCTGATGACCGTTTCTGAAAGACTTGGCCACATCCTTTGGGGCAAAGGACGTTGTTTCGAAGGCAGAAATTCTCATGCAGAACCAACGTTCGTTTTGGCACCCATTGTTTACAGTTTCCACACTGGACATCGTCAGGGTGATCTGCTGCTTCTGACTTCACACCTTCGTTATCGTTCAACTCTACATCTGGATCGAACGGAGACACTTTAATCGTGTAAGGCTTCGGCGAAGGAGTGACGGTCCCGTCGCTTGTAGATTCTGTGGGTGAATAAGCGTGCACGGAGACATAGAGCGCTTCGGCATGTTCGAGCTCGACATTTGTGGGCTGGATACGTATGCGTTTTGGGTACCTGCTCGATGTATCCGCAAACAGGTGTTCTTCTTCGCGAGGCCGAACTCGTTGCCGGGGTGAAAACGGGCTGACGAACAAGTCGAGTTCAGCGTCGTCGTCCACGCCACTGAGTTCAACCTCGATGCCTTGCGAACGTATCCATGAGGGTACCTCATAGTCCACGTAGTCGCCGCTGAGGACTTGACCATGCTGTGCCTTCATTAACTCTAGCGGACCGCCTATTGAGCTTCCGTTGTTTGTGCCTGGCGCTCGGTGTGACTTAGCGGCTATCCGCCGCAATGTCTCACGGGCCTGCTCTTCGTTTAATGCCTCAATGTCGACCTCCAGATCGGTGTCGACAACGCATATACCTTCTACATCTGGCTTGAATTCATCTACCAGAAAGCGATATTCCTCGCTGCGCCTCCCAACGCCCCTACCTCCAGGCACCACGAGAACTTCACCCTTAGTCAATGTGGTAAAATTTGAGCGCAGGTGCTGCTCAAGGAGAGACTTCCAGTCCTCGGGATCATACCCAGCTTCAAGAGGTCGTAGCTTAACAAACGTGCCTTTGGGCAATTGTTTCGCATGCACCGTAATTCTGCCCCAGCTTTCCCCCGCGGCATCTTCGTCGACGCCGTTTGACCTCTGCGCGCCCCCGTCTTGATCTGTTGCACCAGGCCTACCATCCGCGGGCTTGATGCCGAGTGCGTCTCTGAGCATAGGGCTGAGAGCGATCTCGCCATCACTGGCGCTGAATTCTCGGATGCCAGCATAGATGACCCTTCCATTGTCCGGGTTGACGAGCCGGAACGTAAGTGGATGCGGCAAGTGCGGCTGTCTCTCCTCATACTGTGCCCTTGCAGCGCGCTCAGCTGCATACGTGTAGGGGTTGAAGGGGTCGAAGTTAGACGTGAGAGTGCGGGAGGGCTCTGTGACTGTCACGGGCGCAGCGGAGATGAGCTGCTCCAAAGCCGAGGGAGGCAGCAAAATCTTGTCACCGGGAAGCTTCGCCGTCCTCGAAGGCGGTGCGACAGCGAGGGACGCCGACCATTTCAGGCTCTCTTCAGTGGCCATGGCCTGTGGAATGATAAGTTGCTGTGAAGGATGGGAACAGAACAGAACTGGTTCTCAAGAGCACTTTTCTATCGTCATCACATTCAACGGCTGCACACGTTTGCAGTAGCTACTCATAGGCATGATTAGTGGCCTTGATGAGCGGAAGTAGAGGCGTAGCGTGCATAAATGCCTTTCTCGAAACGCGCAGAAGCACGTCGGCCTCGATTGTGTCATCGTCCACATCGAGACGGGCGACCGGTTTTGGCCTGGGCAGCCTTGCAGGCCTTGGGGCCTTGGAAGCCTGAGCCGCGTGGCGCCTCCTTTGCTGCCTCGTCGTCCTTGGCTGCCTGGCCAGCCCGTCTTCCGACTAACCCAAAGCGGCAGCGCCCCGCCAATCGCCCAGCACGCCAACGGTTGAATGGCGTGGAGGAGGTGGGAGGAGCCGCATCGCACGTGACGCGACCCACACCTCGCCTTCGACAAGGGGCTCTGTGTGCTTTTTCTTCGCTCGTGGTTTTGGTCCTGAGGGGCGACAAGATCTCTGGCCAACATCCCAACCAAGGCGGTGGACAGGACCCGAGACACGCGACGAAGCAGACGAAGATAAAGAAAGGATACTACGCTTCTGCCGCCGGGCACGCATGTAGTGTTCTGCCCTGTGTATCCCGCTGGAGGCTTTTCTTCTCTGCCGCTCTCGACTCTCGCTCTTTTCCCCCCCGTACGCTTCTTGTTCGTCGTGCTTGCAGCGGCCGCCGGCTCTCCCTCTCTGGCAATGCCCCCATCCTCTTGACACCATTCGGCGGTGTCGAAACTGCCTCCTCCACCACGCAGTAATGGTCGCGGCCTCGGCCAGCCAATACCGAGTGCCCTTGAATCTGTTTTGCCCGGCTTTCGGGCCTGTCTCGCCGAGAAATGAACTGACCTCAAGATCTCGCGAGATCTGCACTCGAGCTTTGGTGGCCTTGCTGCAGCCCACTGTGCAGCTCGCTTGGCTCGTCTTGCATAAAACCATCTGGTCATTCGAACACGTCTCCTCCCAACGGCCGCACTTTAATCTCTCTCCGCTCGGTGAGCACGCTGCCGTCATCCCAATCATCTCTCAACATTCAACCTGGCGCCCTGCTGCTTACTGATGCCTGCTGCACATCCCCCAAACCGATAAGCAAAGAAAGCTCCATCCCGCCGCGTCGCCTCCGCGCACCCTGTTTGCTTAGCGTGTGGACCCTTGATGCGCATGGCGTCAGGAAAGTCATCTGCTTGAGCATCGCATCAACACCACCTGTCGGACCGCACAATCACTTGCTTCTTTCGACACCTTGGCCACCTTGGCTCTTCCTTCATCCTGCCAAGCGCGTGGCCATTAGACTCACCCTGTTTTATATCTATTGATATCCCCGGTTTCCTTCTTCTTCTTCTCCTCCACACCTTCTTGCTTCTCTTTGTTTGACACATTTATACACCGACCATGGCCGTTGCCGGATCGTTCGGAGAATGCACTCGACCTCCAGGAGGCAATGTCATGCAGCCACATATCGACCTCTCGATGGCGGGCACCTCCCAGCTTACCCACCCAAGCAAGATGCCACTGACCCTACTGGACTTGCTGTCCAACTCGATTATCATGCGCCAGACGGCGCCGTACATCCCAGTCTCGTCCCTCTACGCACTATCACGCGCCTCAAAGAGCTTCAGACAAGTCGTCGCCTGTTCGCCTGAAGCAACGCGATATCTCGATCTCTCGACCATCAAAGTAGCTACGTTCGACATCTCCCCCATCGACTCTGGGGGGATCAGTTGGCGTAGTCAGCGCATGGATGAAGCATTGACAGAAGTTGACTTTTACTCTGGCCCGTTGCGAGGCATCATGTCACGGTTGCTACGGCAGAACGTCTTGGGCAACGTGGCAACCATGATCTTGGATGGGTTGACCGTTCCCGCCGAATTTGTTGGCGAGATCATCTCGGAGGACAAGTACAACATCCGTATACTGTCCATACGAGAGGCAAAGCATCTTAACGAGCGGAAGCTCATGCAGGTCCTCAACTACGCTGTGCGACCAACGCGGCCGCCAGGCACCCCAAAGCTAAAAGGACTCTACGTCTTTGGGCCAATGGAAGCACGTCCCGGCCCACTAGAACCTGAGATTGGCAGAAGGAGGTCACCGACGAGATACCCAGATTCATCGCCCGCAGGAGTGATGAATGCACTGGGTGCCAAACTCGGCGCAGAGTGGAACAAGAAGTCGCAAGAGGCGCTCAACAACGAGCTTTGCGGCATTGAGGACAGGTGGTATCAAAAGTCTGGGTCAATGTTCAAGAAGACGCCATTGTCAGACTGGGCTACTACTCTCAAGGCGTGTGAGGGTATTATTCATTTCGATGCGGTCCTCTGCCGCGGGCCAAGACACGATCCGAACAACTTCACGAACCAAGATCCGAACTCTCCTCCGAACCCGCATAACACCTTCTTACTTCCTGCTGTAGCCACGATTGCCCTAGGCCCACACGGCTGCAGCAAATGCAAGTCGTCGCCAGAGGGTCCTGCGATTTTTGGAAAATCACCGTCATACCATTTACCTCTGCTCGCGCCACCGCCTATGCATTCATCCTCGATCCGTGCCGCGCAATGGCCCCATACAAAGGACAGCACAGCAGAGCCTCCACGCCTGTTCGTTCGCTGCAAAGAGTGTCTGAAGCATCGCTGGTGTGAACGATGTGGGAAATGGTGGGATGAGGCATGTTACATGCCTCTCAATACACGAACAGAACTACAGAACCAAGAGTTCATGCAGTGGCAGGTCCTGAGTACGGAGGAACGACCAAAAGAGGACATTAAGGTACATATGGGTCTCTGTGTCGATCATTGCCTGGTTGGCGAACATTATGCATGGAGCTGGAGGTGGCGGTATGTGGGGATGAGTTAAGGACGGACATTGTAGAACCAACCAGGCAAAGGCTTATACAAGAAAGCTCTCATTGCATACGTAAATCATCGTGCAGAGGGATAGGCTGACACCAAATTCTGCTAGATGGGCTCCAAACGGGATTGCTTTGGCTGTGGACAGACAGTACGTCAGAACAACTCTAAGCCTCTATCCGGGGGCTGAAACAGAATGGTTGTGTAAGGCTGACCACGTTTTCGTCCCTAGTGCGCCCCATGCAAGGAATTATACATTCGTGCATGCCAGAGATGCAGGTCCGAATACTGCATTGTCGATAACGACGGGTCTTCCCTTACGGCGGTAAGTGGATGTCAACATCCGAAGCACATGTTTTCATATGACCCGATCTTACCCGGCGCCATCATCCAGCCCCCCTCCCCCCCGTCCCACGTTTGCCAAGTACTCGGACACCTGTTACATGCTATCCTTTCTGCGGCCTCATGCTAATGACTAGGTTCGTCCGGCAGTGCGATTGGTGCAACTATTCCGGTAGACGCACCCTAGAACCGTATTGATCAAATCTCTTGCTTTAGCGACATGCGAAAGACGCATCACCTAGCTCGCGCCATTGCGTGCATAGAATGGGTTCCAGCCAGACCGACGACGGCCACGGACGGCTTTGGCTGAAGTCGTGGTTGGGCTTGCAGGCATGGCATAGCGGTCCAGCAAAATCATCACCTGTGATCAAGATACCCTTGCCTCCTTTTTGAGCGCGAACTGAGCAAAGTAAAAATCAAACAACTCTTGACCTATTCTTACAGATTTTAATTGACGAAGAAGATAGCGAAGGCATTCATCTCAACTCTGACTCGCTCCTACGCTCTTGTACATTAGATAACCGGATTTGGAGGATGTGGTATAGTGGATTGCTAGACTAGCCTTTTAATCAGATGCACCATACTATTCAAACATTTTATGGCTCTTTGCATTCCTTCTCTCAACCTACAGCTTCGAGCTGCCGCCCACAACCCTGATCAATGCCCGTCCATTGCTCAGGCTCTGCTTTCCGTCTGCCTTGGTGACGAACCTGATCTCCTCGAAGCCGTCCTTATCCACAATTCCCGTCCTCCAGATATCAGTCACGAGCTTCGCGCCTGGCTTGACAGGGCTAGCGAATCGGGCTTGGAACTCCTTGATGTTCTTTGGGTCGGAACCGCCAAGCACCTTGAGAAGACCGTGAGCGGTCGAGTTCCACGAGAAAAGACCGTGCATGATGGCACCACCAAAGCCCATTTGCTTGCCCGGCTCGGGGTCGGCGTGCAGGGGGTTGTAGTCACCGTTAAGGCGGTAGAGAAGAGCGGATTCGGGCGTGAGCTGCAGCTCATAGGTGGCATCCGGCTTCTTGCCTGCTGGTGGGTCGTACACTGGGTCCTTCTCGCCTGGGATCATTCTGTGTCAGCGCGCCGTGCGTGTTCAGGAGCCCAGGGGGGGAAAGCAGAAAGGTGTTTGCGAAGTCACTTACCTTTTGGACCGCCCCAGCCACCCTGGCCGACGAAGAAGGCGCTTCCGACGGCTCTCGTGTAGGTCTCGCCCGTCTCCGCGTCGACGAGCCTCTGCTCCGTTTCGACGACGCTGCTCTTGCCCTTGTCGTACACGCCCAGCACCTTCGACCTGATCTCGAAGTGTCGTCCGTGGCTCGACACAGGAATCTGCTTGTAGAACTCCATCTTGCGCTGGCCGTCCAGCACGCGCTTGTGGTTGAACTTGGGCACGCCGGGGATGGGCTGTGCGCCGGACGCCTTGTAGAAGTCGATGACCTCCTGGCTTTCATGCTTGAAGGGCAGAATGATGGGGTACGTGGGGAAAGCGGCGAAGTTGGGGTGCAGCTCGTACAGGAAGTGCAGCTCGTCGGCCGTGCAGCCTATGCTGTTGGCGAAGAGGAGGACATCGCGCTTGAGCCAGGAGACTCGAACCTGGGTTTGTTCGTGAGCGTTGCCATCATAACGCCGAGCATGCGTCGACTTTTGCTTACGGGTGGGTATTCGTGGCCTGCACCTGGACCGGACATTATGTTTTACAACGACTTGGTTGTGGTAGATCGAGCGAAGGTAATATGGACCAGAGGGAAAAGTCAATTGGGGTTGTTTTCTCAGTTAAATGCCGAAAGACTAGAGAGTAATCCGCGTCGGTATGGTGGGGAATCGTTTGCATGTTTGACAAGCTCCACATCTGCCGAGGTCGATCGGCTAAGGTCTGTCACCGAGCAGTCCCTCTCTGTCATTGCACCAGCGGCGGACATACCAAAGGGGGAAACGATGAAAGGCGAACATGGCGTTCAACAAGCTTAAAAGACGCGATTTCTGCTCATATCGCACGGAACCCGCTCTGCCGATTTTTGGGAGGAAGCAGCTTACTCTTTCCAAGGCAGTCTACCATCCGGCATTGAAGCGTGACCTTTCTTTCTGAATGATTGGTGCGTGTGGGGATGAAGAGAGGATCTTATCATCGAGATAAGATCAAAGCTGATGTTTTCATCCCCAAGCACACTTCGACGGAGTGCGCCAGCCAACGAAAAGAAGCTAAAAGAGAGCCATTCATACTTTTTCTTCGACATCAAGATGACTGGATGAGGTGTGCATTTCACGTCGTTGGACCGGAAGCTTTACAGCGCCTTCCTATGTCATTATATGGCTTTAATTATTACGAGTTTTAACGTAGAGCGTCATCTCTGAAACCGTCGGCTGTTGTACATCAATTGGCGAAAGCTCCCCTCTCGATGCAGTTGGATTCCATCTTTGACTTCATTGAAGTTATTTCTCTGAAGCTGACATGTTAACCCACTGAGGAGAAGGGCGCGGACACAATAATTTCTTTGCGAAATTTCTGAAATGTGGCTCGCTTGCACGTTTCCTTTTAATGAAAATCCAAGCCTGTCCAGCATCTGCCGAATCATACTCCCGGATTTTTATCAGATCAAGGTCGAATGTTTTCGATGCATTGCTGAATATCGATCAAATGGTCCGGCAATGTGGTGGTCTGTTGCCGCTCAATCATTCGAGAGCCCACGCGACTTACGCTGTTGATGTTGAGTTGCAGTCAGTATTTGTAACGTTTGACGAGAATCAAGCCAGCCCCGCGTATAGTAGCTGCCTTGTTTGATCTTCGTCCATTCCTACCTTGATGTTTGCACATTGTATTGAAGCAACCAAAGTGCGAACCAGATTTCAGTACATCAATATATGTCAATTCAACGACTCAAAGGCCAACTGGTTCATTGATGCCATATATCTGCAACAAGAAACGAAATTAAGGCAGGCCTCGATACACTACACACTGCACGTTGATTTTTTTTTGGCACTTAGATTTGTCATACTTGAATCTACAAGCCGGATTCAATGATATAGCAAGGAGGGCTACGATATTGTCGCCATTCATCGTAAAATAACGACAACAGTACTAAGCATTCAAAAAATTAAGACGAAGAGCTCCAGATCGCATCGGGTAAAACGGAAAGTAGATGCCCTAGCAATCGAGGCAGTTATGCACCGGGGGAAGCAGTTTCAAAAAATTCTCTACTGAGAATCAAATCTGCAAACCAGTGCTAAGTTCGGTATGAAATATAGCCTAGAGCAATCAAAGATGACGGAGTACATCTCAGACTTGAGTAAAGCTAGCTCAGTTAGTTTTCGCAATGCCATACACATCTTGTTGCCTTATAGCCTTAGGCTGAAAAATCTCTCGTGATCGCGGCATCCGAGACCTTTCCGATCTCAAAACGGTAATGAACTTTTCTAATTTACTCGTTTGTCAATCTTCTTTCCGACACACATGCAACTTGATCTTTATACTATTCAGCAACCCGTCCATTAGTAAAGACGCTAAATCATCGAATGATTTTGTTACGTTGGCACACAACCGCATTGCATATGAACTCGACTTCCACCACCATCTCCTAGTCAAGCATAAAATCGTACGATTCGGAAACTACAGACAAGGCATAGCTCTCTCATAATTACGCTGCTCAACCAGAGCCATCCTGCCTCCTCGGATGCAAAGATGGCTCCAAATGGCGACGGCACATGTGAGGGAACCTGCTCATCTCCTGTGTACATCTCATCTAATCCCTCCGTCACAGACTCTGCGATGCAGACGTCCCCTCTGGACCAGTCTCGGGCGCAGGTCCAGTCCGTCACCAAGTTGTCGACAAGTCCGCACAGCTGCTCATTTAGCAACCGCCCAATCGCCTCTCGACGAAACGCGGAGCATCGTTTCCAATGCTGGCGAAGGTAGCCAAGATGTAAATCGGAGTTGGCGGAAGTCAGCAATCTGGTACAGAGTGCGAGATCATGAGATAGAAAAGCCACTTCGCGATCTTAGCTATTACTCGCGTCTACCGCATTTTCCGAAGCCAGAGAGCTATGGCGATTTGGCTAAGGAAATCTTCGATTGTCCACCTCGCGCAGAGGTCATGTCTGCTGTGACTGCATCACTAAAATCTCGACATATCCTGAGCGAGTGGAAAGAGTTGTCGAGGCGGCCGGAACGGATTATTTGGCGCCACAACTTCCTAATTCAAATTGGCAAGGACAAGGTGCAGGTTGTTGGTGAAGGCATTACTCCAGACGCAGCTTATGCTGCTGCATTCCTGAGCCTCGTTTACCGACTACATGTGCTTGGCATGTTAAAGGATGTGTTTGGAAAGGGTGTCTCCAAGGAGGTTTTGGATGTTCAGAAGCATGAATTTGAGTGGAACCCTTCCGATGTTGCTGCCAAGCTGCACATCCACAACTTCGCTGCACGATATCTTCGCACACCGCAAGTCATATTCGAGGATCACCACAGTGGGACTATCAAGGCCACAGTTGCTATACCGGATACGACTTATATTGCGAGCGCATGTGCAGGAGATCGCAGGGAAGCTGAATTCCTTGCTTATGCAGCGCTGAAGCACGTGATTCAGGTCGATCTTGGTCGAGACGGTCATTGGATCGACTTGCAAGATAATGCTTATGTCAATCTTGACAATTCGTCGAGCATTTTGGACCTCTACAAGCTCAAAGAACGATACGGGCATTATCAGAGATTGGACGAGTGTGTTCCTGGTCCACGATCTTCGACTTGGACAGCCTCTCGTCTATATTGGGACAACAGACCCATCTCAGAGTTTCATGAAATGCCCACTCGCAGGGATGCCATGAAATTGGCTGCTCTTGAGGCTGCGGTTCGGCTTGTTCGACGCCAGCCTGCTTTGTTTGATGAATTCCTGGTCATGTCAAAGCAGAATGCAGGATTTATTCCTAAACGTGTATCACCCACCTTTGCTTCCCTTAATCCCGCCGTTGTCAACGCATTATCTGAATGCGTCGAAGCTGCAGATGACATGGATCTGGCATCGTTCCAGCTGTCAAAATACACCCCTGGCTACAAACCAGTCATAGGTCGTCGAAGAGGACGAGTAAAGGCTACAGCGGGAGACCGATACCACAGTATCGCGCAATCACTGGCGGCAAGAAGTGATGAGCTAAGGCTGCAACAAGAATGGGATCGAGAAAATCCGGAGTTCGCTGAAAAACTCGCCGCTCGAGCCCGCTTACCTATTTACCAGCACAAGGCTCAAATCATTGCTATGGTGAAGAATCATGATCAGTGCATCATTGTTGGATCAACAGGTAGTGGAAAGAGCACACAAGTTCCCCAAATCATCCTTGATGATGCAATTGCTGAAGGTCGAGGAGCATTATGCAACATAATGTGCGTCCAACCTCGTCGGCTGGCATGCGTTGCTTTAGCCTTGACCGTTTGCAATGAGAGAGAAAGAGAGTTGGGTGACGTCGTTGGATACCGCATTGGCGGAGACTACTTCAACTACAGTAAAAGAGGCGGAAGTATTACGTACTGCACAACGGAGCTCCTCGCGAACGAATTGGAAAGAACGGAAGATGAGTTGCCTCACAACTTGTCTCACATCATCATTGATGAGATTCACGAGCGTTCCGTTCACCTTGATCGCCTTCTATCAACCATCAAGATGACATTTTCGAAACGCTTAGCTATGGGTCTGCGGGTGCCGAAACTTATACTCATGAGCGCAACGGTTGAGAGCGATCTTTTCGAACGGTATTTTGAAATGATTAGCCAAGACGGTACAATAATTCGGCCTCCCTATCTGAATGTACCTGGTCATATGTTCAAAACAGAGACAAAGTTCTTGGAATCTTATGCTCACCATCTTCCTCCGGAGATATACCAAGCCGTGCAGCGGATGGATTTGCACCAGAGTCCTGTGGATAAATCACACAGCTTCTTGGAACCTGTCGTCGAAAAACCGAAACAGGTTGTTCAGTGGGACAGCTTGTTTCAACAAAGCAATGGAAAGCTTGCCAACGATGACAATATTCTTGCAGTCGCCGCAGCTATTGTTCATATTGTGGAAACGACTCGTGGTGGCGCTATCCTGGCGTTCGTCCCAGGTGCACAGGAAATTCGGCGAGTTCATCGCATCCTTCTCGACACCAAACGCGTAAATTTCTCCGATAAAAACCGCTTTGAGATTCTCATGCTTCACCGTTCAAATCCAGCCCATCTGGTTGCCGCCTTGGACACGGTTCCGAAGGGAGTCAGACGCATCATGATTGCAACTAATATAGCAGAATCGTCCATCACATTTCCCGACGTCGAATTTGTGGTCGACAGTGGCCTACAGCGAAATGTCAGCGATTCGGTTTTTGGAGATATGCAAATGCTTCGAGACGAACGTATCAGCAGATCCAGTGTTCTTCAGCGAGCAGGCAGGGCCGGAAGAACCAAGCCAGGACAATATTACAGTGCTCTTACAACAGAGGAAATGCAATCATTGGACGTGCTTCCAAATTCAGAAGACATGGACAGACATCGATTGGAAGGCCTGTATCTCCGAGCAAAAATTCATTTCCCTGCGGTTTCAGTACAAGAATACTTCAGCAGCTATCTGAAGCCTATACCGTCAACGAAAGTTCAGGCAGCTGAAAGCTACCTTCATAATATTGGGGCACTTGACGCATCGGGAGACGTCTCGCTGATTGGCTACTTTCTCTACCGGACAACGCTTGCCCCGTGCTTTGCTCGCGTGGTCATGCTTGGCATCCTCTTCCGCTGTCTTGATCGGGCAGTTGTGCTCGCGAACTTAATGGCTCTTAGATCGTATCTCTTTGGGGACAGTCGATTTGACAGCAAATCGCCTTCTGAAAGGAGAGCGACTGCTGAACAATACGCGGGAAACATGGAAGGCGATCTAATTGCACAAGTTCGAGCATATGAAGAGTATACGGCGATTCAACGTACAGATACAAGCGCCGTACGTGAATGGGCTGAGCAGCGACAACTGGTTGTTGAATACTTTGACCAGCTTCAGGTCCGCGTTGACGCCACGCGAGATGTCCTTCGCAAGGCGGGTTTTTACACTCATAGATGGGGTCACGACATCAATGCATCAGCCAACAACGTCACATTACTCAAACTGTTGATTTGTGCCGGCTCTTACCCAAATGTTGCCATTCATCAACGAGGACCAAACTTTGTCACACATGAATCCCTTGTCGTAAAGCCAGCGCCCGCTTCTGTGGCCTTGCCGGGCGACTACACGAAACGAGAGACTTACGATAGCATTCATGAAGGTCTTACGGGCGCTATTTTCTGCTACAAAGACGTCTTTGTAGGCAGGCGAGGTGCCAACAAGTATTACATTGCAAATCTCACGCCCATATCTCCGCTCATGCTTGCGCTGTTCAGCAGCAACGTCAAGCCAGCACCCCAGAAGCACAACCAACTCATAATTGATAATTTCATTCCACTAAAGTTTGCGGGAGATGCAAGCGCGTCGCGCATCTTTTTGGATTTCAAGAAAGTATTTGATACTGCGCTGTTGGCCGGTATGCAAAATATCTGTGAGATATGGCCAACGGATCGGCGCAAAGTCCTGCTCACTGATCTGTCTGATGTAATTCTGACAGCAGTGCAAGAGCTACTCGAGTACGAGGAGGGACAGGCAAGACGCAGGGCACGAGACGTTGGGCGATTCTCCCTCGGGCCCGAGAAAGAAGCTTGGGGTGACGACGTCGCTTCTGAAGAGATGAAGAAGACACCTGGAGTCCCATCTCAGGTCTCTCGACTGCATAATCACCTATACGATAGGACAGCTCTCGATTCCAGGGGCTTTGGAGCCAATGCGGCAAAGGCTACAGTGACTTGGCGCCCTGATGCATTTGATGATGAAGATATTGAGGATTTTACCGAATTAGAGGGTGATTTAGACCACCGATAGACGTTTTCTGCGCCGTCCAGCCCATTGCATACTGTACCAAATGTCATCCTATCTTGTACAAATACTGCCGACGCGAGAGAAAAATTCTTGTACAATTAGACGACAACGAAATTTTATTCTACTCCTGACCCTTGCTTCAAAGCTAAGTCGAAATCATTGATTAGGATGCGTGCGGCGATGAAACTGAAAAGGTTTGCTTCATCACGACTCGATGAAAAGTACCAAAATAGATGGTCACAGTGGGGATGGTTACAACTGAACTTGAGAATTTGCGACGGGAGGCGACCTGCGTCGATCCCATGATTGGTGGGAATAGGAAAAGTTGACACATGAATTTCACGAGCGTTCTCTGCTAGCCTGAATAGGTCTCTCGGTCCACAGCGTCGCAATGCCCCATGAGTAAGCTACACGCATCGTGGCCACGACGTAAGGATCACATATGCTTCTGTCTTCTGGGTTAAGTACTTGTTAACACACTATACATGATCAATTCAGAGAAGCAAGCACGATATTCGATCATAGGGTCTGACTCTCGTTAATTAATTCACTGCTCGCGCTTTCATGGACGAACATCCCCACCAGGATTCAGGACATGAACTTCATAATCTAGCCTCCTCTGACCTCTCAAACTCTTCTAATCAACTAGCGGATGAATCAAAACGGTCTGTGAGAATCAACAGCCATGCCGCAGTGATTCCACCACCAGAAAATGTGTCCCGCACTCAACAAGACGATCTTGAGAGCACGGTTACCAGCCAAGATGAGACATCAGCTAATGCTGAAAGCCTCTGGAGGGCGCACACAAAAGGCGAACCGGTTGGCGATCATACTATAGAAGCTCCCTTTGCAGATAGCGAGAAATACTCTGTGTCAAGCAGTACACAGGGAGGGATCTTTTATCAGTTGCTCCAGGCTTACAAGAACCCTGACCGGCGTGCGAGTGACAGCCCAGTTGCATCGACTCCTCCTAGTCCTCGCAACAGACCCGGTTCGTCGGGTAGATCAACGCCTCGCAAGAAGTGGTACGAGCATGAGAAGAGCGGTACTTCTCACGAGACACTTGCTACCCTTGTTGGAGCGTCCAAACAGCTGGCCAATCCAAACAGCAAAGACCCAAACTTGGATGGAAAGCCGCGTCTCCACCACAAACGTAATAGTAGCGGGAACATCATTGCGAAAGCCCTGAAACCGAAAGAAGACCAGGACACAAAGATAAAGTTCCATGTCGCAAGCATTCTGAAGCGACAGCAGTATTTGATTCGAATGTGCCGCGCCATGATGCTTTATGGAGCTCCAACTCATAGGCTTGAGGAATCTCTAGCGCAAAGTGCAAAGATTCTCGACATCAACAGCCAGTTCCTCTACATACCGGGATGCATGTTCATATCTTTTGACGACTATTTGACTCACACCGCCGAGGTCAAAATTGTTCGATGCAATCAGGGCGTCAATCTTTCGAAGCTCAAGGACACACACGAAATCTACAAGGAGGTCCTCCACGACATTATAGGGCTTGACGACGCATTGTCTCGTCTTGACGAGGTCATAAACGCGAAAGACAGATATCCTCTCTGGTTAAACGTCATCATGTATGGACTCGCCAGCACTGCAGTTTCTACGTTCTTCAAGGCTCGACCCATCGACCTGCCGATTTGTTTTCTCCTTGGGTTGCTTCTGGGCATCCTGCAGCTTGTGGTTACCCAAATTTCAAAAACGTACAGCACGATCTTTGAGATCACCGCGACTATCCTAATCTCCTTCCTTGCCAGAGCTTTTGGAAGCATACGTGGTGGTAGCGTTTTCTGCTTCTCAGCTCTCGCGCAAAGCGGAATCGCCATGATCCTCCCCGGATTTCTTGTCTTGAATTCCGCTTTGGAACTTCAATCAAAAGCAATTGTCCCAGGCTCCATCAGGCTCGTCTATGCTATTCTCTACAGCTTGTTCCTCGGCTACGGCATAACAGTTGGCACAGCCCTTTACGGAGCCATGGACAAGAATGCGACCACAGCAACGACCTGCGAAAATCCTCCATCTTCTTACTGGAACTTTCTTTTTGTTCCCCTTTATGTCGTATTCGCTTGCTTCACCCTGCAAGCGAAGTACACTCAGATGCCGGCCATGGTCCTGGTTTCATTTTGCGGTTATGTTGTCAACTTTTACAGCAACATGAAATTTAGCGCCTCTGCTCCTATAGCATACACGTTTGGCGCGTTCGCTGTCGGAGTGATGGCAAACCTCTACAGCCGAATACGCCATGGAGTAGCTGTGACCATTCTCCTTCCAGCAGTCTTCGTACAGGTTCCAGGCAGCCTTGCATCTAGTGGAAGCATTGTAGCTGCTCTCAACACTGCCAACTCTCTCATCAGAGGATCTGAACAGTCTACAGTAAGTAAATTTGTGATCAGCAGGATGTTAAATTCAAGCGCTTTTTGAAGGAGTTCAAATGGGTACTTGATTTATTCTCTGATGCTGTTCTCCTCCCAGTCATAATAACTTTTTGCCAAAGACGTGGCTTGCAACTGCTATCATTAAACTAGAATCTGTTATTTGATTGCGAGCTTTTACTAACATGAAAATAGAATTCCAGTGAGAATCTTAATTCGCTCAACGCTATCGTCTTCAACTTTGCGGGAGGAATGATCCAGATCTCACTGGGGATCACAGTTGGCTTATTCTTCTCTACGCTGCTCGTATACCCTCTCGGAAAGAGACGCAGTGGGCTTTGGACGCTTTAATTTTTGTGCAAGGGGATGCATATTCACACCTCCCATATCTCGTGAGCACGTCGGTCGTAATATTCAATACGACGAAGCCTGACGAGACTTTTTGGCTCCCCTAAAGCTGTTAGACAGCCTCCATTCATGTTGAGTTGGCTCAAATTTATTGCCTGAGGTTGTTTCTTACACGCGCCCTGATTTCAGCCTCTATAGATCGAAAGGCTAAACGTCGAATTCAGACGTGCTATTGCGCTAGAAACGCGCCTCAGCCTGAAAGTTGAGACTGAGCGCCGTTTATTGTACAAATAACTTGAACCGCTGACTGTTGACGTAAGCATTGCAAACTGAGCATGACTGTAACATATCGATTCACTTGATATTAAAGATCGATGTCACACCAAGATTCTTCAGGTGTTCAGTGAGGCGTATCCGTAGGTTCTGCCCGGCAGAATCTTCAGTAATTTCTATTCCACAGCGTGGCAACTCTTCTGTTCTTTGATCTTTCAGGAAACTCCGAACAATTTGTCCATCCATTAAGCCATCAATAGCGCAGTCTCCAACATATGCGAAATGGTCCCCTAAAGGCCGAAGCACGTGCAGGACTGGTGATCCCAAAAGACATTTTACCTCATCACCGCATTTCAAACTTGGGGGTCCCAGACCAACACGACCGTCCAAAGTACAAAAGACTCGCCGACTTCTACTCCACCACAGAAGATGTTCAACAACCCGTTTCTCATTTCCCGGCAGCGTTTTGATCGTACCACGCAACAGTCCACCCAACATCTTGATCAAAGGTTCACGGTGCCATTCGTTACTACCTCGAAGTTTCTGCAAAAAAGGTATCCAGCCTGCGAATAAAGCATTGGCAACGTCTTCAGCGTTTTCCTCCGCAGATTTCTTCTCGCGAAGGCTAACTACATCGGTAGAGAGGAGGAATTTACTCAAGGCATCAGTATCAATCCAACCCGCTGCCCTTGGATCGGAAATCTGAGACGAAACTACGCCAACTGTTGCGACACCGATGCCGTGTAAACTTAACACGCCAGGATTGGAGGATTCCTCAAAAGCTGCCGCGGTGTCATAGGAAGCCGCGTTGCCCCAACACACTTGTGTTAGGACCGAATCTCTTTCCAAGTTCATCGCCCACGTACATAACTTGTCTTCGCCTTCGGCTGGTGTAGCATATCCAAGGTATTGCAGCTTACACGTATTTGTGAGACAATAGAGTGTAGCGTCCCGATACACTTCGATGACGGACTTTGTATAATCAGGCAACACAAGAGCAGGTATTTTCTCCGCGTTGCCTTCACTAGTCATCGAGAGGAGTGCAAAGATTCGGTCGCGGGCATCGCGGCAGTCAAACCAAATGCATTGAGTGAGCATTTCCCACACTGGCCTCGGCTTTTTGCCCGTTCTAATTCGCCATACATGATCCTTTCGAAACATGTCGTCAATCGCCCAAAACGCCTTCTGCGATTTGTCGTCTAGAACATCGAAAAACTTGATGCGGCTGAAGTTGCACACAGCTGCTTCGAAAACATGCTGGTTGAGACGATAGCGTCCAATGTACATGCGAACGTCTGCAGCGAGCGCGAACTCTTGAAGCACCCACAGCCTTGTGAACCATTGCACGAGAAAAAGATCGCGTAGAGGCCTCCATTCCGGCGAGTCTCTGTCTGGAAACCCTTTGATTTCTTCCCTGGAGAGCTTGTGATCCCAATACCCGTAAACAGTTCCGTGTCGGAGCTTACGCTGGACGGGCCCAAGAGCTGCTAGGCGAGAGAGCAAGTCTGCTGCTGCTGGCATGAAGAAATCTTGGGTCCCTAGCCAGATGATGACGCACTTGGCTTTGCTGAAGATGTTGCCCATCATCCCAACCTGATGTCCTCGTTCGATGCTGTCATGTTGATTTATGCACAGCGCGTCAATCCACAGGCGTCCCCTGGAGATGCTCTCATTTGACACGTCCGACAGAGTCTTGTTGCTGAGTGAGCTTGGTCCATGCAATTGGTTTGAATTCCACTGCCGAGAACGTAAGCGCAGGAGTGCGTCGCGTAGATTTTGCGTGACTGAAACCTGAGAGCCATTACAGATGATGTAGGCGGTGGGATCTGGCCTGCCCCAAACATACGATAACGCCTCATAGCTGGGCGCAGCATCAAGACAACTGTACACCTCAAGGGAGCAAATAATGGGGTCCTCCACCTCTCCAGGTTCGATTTGTAGCAGCCTGATCGCGTTCTTTCCCGGAAGCGCTGAATAAATGCTATCTTTACTCATGATATCGTCCAAAGCCATAGGGCTTTATAAATTGTAAAAGGAAGATTCTCTCGTCCTGGCCCCATCAGAGACGGCACAACATGGAGAGCGTGGAACTTTCCACATGCCTCGTAAGTGTACGAACTTTGGTGTCTATTGATATGCCACAAGTTCTATGACTCAATCTCGATGGCCAGGGCCAGGGCTAAAATCTATTCTCGAGCACGAACTTATCTTGAGCCTAATGGTATGTACAGATTCGCTATTGCTTGGAGAGTGATGTGCTCTGTACATGAATGATAAAAAAAACGGTGTGTTGAATCATGCGGCTGTAAGGGGAAATTGACAAAAAAAACCGACACCGATGGGACTCGAACCCACAATCTTCGCCAGACTCCAACTTCGCTGCGCGGGAAGAAACCGGAAAGCGACGCCTTACCATTAGGCCACGGTGCCAATGAGACGAAGTGCTACTTCGTCTGTGACCATAGGATAGCACATAAGAAGGAGTTTTGCACATTTTGCATTTCAAACTCATCTGTAAAAGGCGGATGTCGAATTTTTTTCTTTACATTTCGAAACAGCTAAGCCGTAACGAGAGATCTTTACGATAAGCTGAGCTTGGCGCGCGGCTCACGTGACGTTTGCCAGCCAAGAAATCTTGCTTTGCTACGTCCGTTGAACCGCTTCGACGTAGAAAGTTGCGAATCCTGCGATAGCGCCTGCTCCGCTTTAATGCGCAATCTGCCCTCAGCCACTACTTCCACTCTGCGTCTTTGATTTTGAATCAAGGCCTAACCTGCTGCTGATTCAGGTTCGTGCGCTGTTGCGCCGACTCCACCGTCGTCCCTACTGCAAGGCAGACGCAGGAACAAGACAATTGACTGTCGGTTCGACTTCTTCAGCAACAAACTTGGTTGCAAAGACTCTAGAGGCTAACACTCTTCTTTAAAAACACACTGACAGGCACGAGCTCGACGTCGATAGCATCAAGATGGGCTCGTCGTCGGAGTCGGAGGGAGAGATAATCGAGTCGCGGGAGCACACCAAGGCAATTACGGGCCCATACATTACCACCAAAGACCGCACCATTGACCGTCGATCCAACAGTGCCACGCCGTCTGCCTCAAGGTCACCGCCGAGGCAGTATTCTCGCCGCGACGATCGCTCACCCTCGCCATATCGCCACTCGCGAGGTGACAAACGCAAGCGAAGTGATAAACCTCTTTACGATGCGCGAGATGCGCACGATCGTCGTCGCTATGACTCTCGCACACGCCGCACGTACCATGACCCGGATGAGCCTAGCGAGTTCGGTGGCTTGCGTAATGGATATAACAGCTTCCGTATGAGTGGAGAGCGCAGGCATGACCGCAAATACAGAGCCTCTTCCCGTGAGAGGGACCGAAGTAGATCGCCATGGCGCCCAGGGAAACCCAGCAGCCGTGACACTCAGCAAAGCAAGAGCAAAGATAAGGCTTCTCGCAATGAAAGTGAAGAACCCCGCAGTCGTGAGTCAAGCAAGCAACCTCCATCTTCGGTAGCGGCGGAAGAGATGACCGAGCCTGAGGCGAAGCGTGTGAAGTTTGACAATGCAGCGAAGCCTCCGGCAGAAGATCCAGTTCCTTTGGTCGACCCAGAACCTTTGGACGAAGAGGCTGAGATAGAACGAAGACGTCGCGAGCGTCAAGCTAAGAGGGAAGCACTCCTGAATAAGACTAAGCCGTCATCTTTGCTCACGCAAGCTTTGAATGTACCTACTCCAGCAGATTCTGTGCCAGCCACCCCGCCAATGGACACACCGTCTCGCGAAAGCCGTGCAGGTCAGTTTATGCAGCCTTTAGAGAGTCGGAAGAGGCTAATGGTCGACGTAGTCACTCCTACTATTTCAAACCCGTCAACACCACGTCATGATTCAGCACCGAACTCACCTCTGCGAGCCGAGGAGCTCGCGAGGCAGCTCGAAGGACTTGGAGATGATGACGGCGAAGAGCAATCAGCAGCTATGTATGACCCAAATATGGACGTCGATGAGGACAGAGCTAGGCACGAAGCGGAGCGTACACGCAATGGGGAACTGCCCGCTGGCGCCTACGATGAAAGAAAAGACAAAGACCGCAAAGATGTCCCTGTAGCAGAACTGACGGAACAAACCAAAGCCCCAAAAATCCCTACAAACGATATGTTTGCTGACGACTCAGACGATGACATGTTCGCCGTGGGAGACAAGCCACTTGAGAGCACGAATGCTGTAAAGCCAGAGCCCATGTCTGCACAAGGCCGTGCTCTGGCCGCTGACTTACACGACAATTGGGATACCCCTGACGGCTTCTACAAGACCATTGTTGGTGAGCTAATCGACCATCGCTATGTTGTGAAAGCAGCTTTGGGTAAAGGCGTCTTCGCGACCGTTATCCGAGCTCAAGACACGCAGTCGAAGAAGCTTGTCGCCATCAAGATCGTCCGCAACAATGAGGCCATGCGTAAGGCAGGCATGAAGGAGATCGACATACTTACCAAACTTGCTCAAGCCGACTTGGATGACCACTTTCACATTGTGCGTTTGCATCGCCATTTCGTCCACAAGAATCATCTTTGCATGGTCTTTGAGAACTTAGGCAGCAATTTACGCGACCTTGTAAAGAGTTACGGTCGAAAGACAGGACTCGAACTACAGGTCGTCAAGTCCTACGCCGTGCAAATGTTCAAGGCTCTTGTACTTCTTCGAAAATGCGAAATTCTGCATGCTGATTTGAAACCCGACAACATCCTGAGCGATGCGGGCACAGGCAAAAAAATCAAAATTGCAGATCTCGGGTCAGCAACTGCGGCCTCTGACAACGAAATTACCCCATACCTTGCCTCTCGCTTCTATCGTGCTCCAGAAGTGATGCTTGGTATTCCACCGCAGTATTCTATCGACATGTGGGCTATTGGCTGTACTCTATTTGAACTCTATACCGATGCCATTCTTTTCGTCGGCAAGTCCAACAATGAAATGCTCAAGGCTATCCAAGAGTGTCGTGGAAAGATATCTAAAAAGGTCATTCGTCGTGGGACTGATGAACTCAAATATGCACACTTCGACGCCAACCTTGAACTCTTCGGCAGTGTTGAGCGTGTTGGCATTCCGCCCAAGGATACAATACGTTGGATCAATTTTGGGAGTCAGCCCGTTCCGGGCAAGGACATTAAGACGAGATTACTGCGCGCAGCAAATAAGAAAGGTACTACAAAAGCAGATCAGCTCAAGGAGCTCGATGATTTTCGCGATTTGCTGGATAAGTGCTTAAAGCTGGATCCAGAGGAGAGAATCACGCCCAGGCAGGCTCTTGCTCACCGATTCTGCAGTGGAAAGTCCACTGCTACAATGACCGGCAAAGCAGGTGGCAGATATTGAAGGGCTACAGCTGTGAGGCAGAGCCAGAACAATGCACTTCACAGATTTAGGGCCGGTTGATTTCAAATATTATGAGCATGGCTAGAGTTCGTATTCATTCCATGCGCATGAGAGAGTGTGTTGAGTCCATAGCATAGCGTATAGATGCTTAACAAACAATACCAGCAACTACATGCCCAGCGATTATGTGGTCGAAATTTCGTTTCTGTTTGCTTATGACATTCGCATGTCACGTGGATCATTCGGTCAAAACGCATCAAAGAAATTCCTTTGAGTTAAAAGGTCAAGCGGAAATCTTGTGGATAGTAGCGGCGTGGCTGCCGACGCAATACCAGAAAACAGCTCGTTGTGTTCAAAAGGGGAATAGAATGAGTAGTTGACCGTATGGTTTAGAGATGGGAAATGATTGGGAAAAGCATAATTGCACGGGCAACTTCGAAACCATTGATGAACAAACTAATCTTCCATGACGGTGCTGTTTTCACAAAAGTACTCATTGACATGCATTGTCGTCTTGAGCAGCAATGCAGCTAGTGCAGCTGCAGGAGTCTTTAAGTTATCTTGGATGTCTTCCGTGCTCGTCAGGTTTCTGTTTAGAAGCCGTTCATCTTCCGCAGCGAGATCAATATCCATAAGATATGCATGATAGTGTATGCCATTCTGGTTCTCGAGCTCGCGCGTGATAACGCGGAAGTTATTAAGCGCCACTGTGGGCCACACCAAGCAGGCGTTGTCTGCAAAGCTTGCGTTGGCGTCGGTCATGCTACAAAGAGATAGGTGCCTTACCGATGATCTGCTGACGGAAATCGACGATATGGATGGGTGCCACATCTCGATTGGTGCTGGGGAATGTGTCGGAAATATGAGCCACTGTACGAATCAATTTCTAGATTGAAGACAAACTTCGCGGGGATGCTCACTGCTGATTCACCAGTCCGTTTCTTGATCCCTTTTGTGTCACCAATGATTCTGGTAACACGCTGTGGGTTTCCAATTTAGATCTCAGGTTGGGAAGCAGTGTTTTGGGGGATCTGGAATTCACCCGAACGGCAAAGTCACGATCAAGGAGAGAGTTTGCAATGTGCGCGTTGGGCAGACCCCCAATGATACACTGCCGAAGCGTGCTACGTCGGCATGAGCATACTTAAGTACTGCTCTGCTTCCATTATTTGGCAAGGAGAGACACGTTGAATCCTGGATCGAGCCAACAAGCATCATGGAAGTCGAATCTGCCTTTAGAGCCTGACGAAGGAATGGTAGGCAATGATTCCAGCACTGCTGAAGAGGTACCTTGGGGGTTACCAGAGACAATAAGAGCACGGCCACGACAGGCTACGCCGCAGTTTCAATTCCAGAGTCGAAGTTCAGGTGAAAGTCAGGCTACGAGACGATGCTCTGTTGTGCAAGGGTGAGGCGGTTTGGGCGCGTGGAATTGACATCATGCTCGGGCGAAATCTTGGCAGCGAGCCGTACGCGTCCGTCGGCAGCCACGGCTCTTGCCAAACCTCGCTCAATAATTATGCGTTCATTTTCGAGAACAGCCTCTCGAGTGTAACACTCTTGGACGCCTCGCATGTTATGCGCGACCGAGAATTCTAAGAAACACTGCCGTCATGCCACAGCCGCCCGCGCATCGATCCCGTGGCTTCGCAAGCGAATGGGAGCCATTGCGAAGTCATAGCGCTCTGCAGCTCGTGGAGTCGAGGATCTCGGGACCATTCAACTTCTTAAACCCTACCCGGGCGCATTTTAAGCATGTGCAGTCCAAAGACGAAGATGATGGCTCCAACGACGAAGTGGAGAACAAGGACGCTGGTCGTGAGATGGCACAGCCATCCAACAAGCAAGCGCCGGCCGCACAGGTCGAGTACCGCTGGACGTCGAGAAATAATCGCAAGGGAAGACATCAACTCGTGACAACTCCCGCCAAGGATCTATCCGAAGCGAAGTACCTCGTCCCTGAGAAAACAAGTTCGCCGAGGATTGTCCTGCGCACGATCGGGAAGATGCTGACACATTATCCGTATTGGGATATCTCATGGCTAGTTGCATTCATATTTACCTGGGGATCTATCATATGGGTAACCAACCCAAAAATATACCGTCATCAACACAAACTGATCTTTTTTTTTTCTGCAGGTCATCAATGCCTTCTTTGTGTGGTTGCCGTTGGAGAAGCCATCGACGGAATTCAAAAATGAAGTTCTCACAGGTGGTGGAATCACGGCCTTTATTGGCGCTACCGTCTTTGAATTAGGCTCTATTTTCCTAATGCTGGAGGCTGTAAACGAAAATCACGAGGGCTGCTTTGGCTGGGCCGTCAAAGAAGTAATTGACGGCAGAAGGAAAATCTTGGACCTCAGGCCAGGTCGTGACACTTGTACCCATCATCATCCAAACAGGAAAAATCTATTTGGAAAAGGCTACACCAACAATCATATGCGGTAAAACGTACAGCATCCCTTGTCGATCAACGCTAATGAAGGATGGCAGCTCTAGTGACGAAGAGAATTCAGTCCCAACAATGGCAAATAAACGAAGTTGGACATGGTGGCCAAGTTGGAACGATTTGAAGACACATTATTTTCACGAGCTTGGCTTCCTCGCATGCTCCGCACAGATGTTCGGGGCTACGATATTCTGGATTTCGGGGTTTACAGCTTTACCGGGCATTTTGAATCACTTGTCTCCCGGGCTTGAGAACGGTATTTACTGGACGCCACAGGTCATCGGCGGCAGTGGATTCATCGTTTCTGGCACGCTTTTCATGATCGAAACGCAAAAGAAGTGGTACATGCCAGCGCTAGACACTCTGGGATGGCACATCGGCTTTTGGAATTTAATCGGAGGTGTCGGGTTTACTCTATGTCCAGCCTTTGGTTACGACACCCGAAGCTGGGCGCAATATCAGGCTAGCTTATCCACGTTCTGGGGTTCTTGGGCATTCTTGATCGGTAGTCTGATCCAACTCTACGAGTCGCTTCAGAAATATCCGGTTGAAGTGGTGAAGAATTTCAACGGAGGCCCTTCAGATCTGCGATTACAGGCTGATCAGGATCAGGGGGGGGAAAAGCAGGCAGCGACCTAAATGCAATGCCCTTTCATGGACCCTGGATTGCAAAACTTGATTATTTTCTAATACCTTTCGATAGTTTGGTGGAGATTGAGAGAGCTTCACGTCCACAGCCGCCCATATCAACACATAGTCGTTGCATGACCACGCGCATAATGATGAAGATACTAGCAGGCTCGAATTGTGGTATATGTAGGGGTGAGCAGGTACTTCTTATTGATGCAGGCATCTTTACACGTCGTATTTGGTTACAGGTGAAGTTTGAATATCTTACCAACAGATGGGGGCTTGAGACAGCTGCGAGCCACATTCCGACCGTTCTAGCCTCCCTGAACAGTCGGTGGACGTTGAAAATCAGGCCGATGAGCTTGGATCAGCACGCAATCACATTATTCATCTTTTGTCTAAGGCACGTAATTATGTGGTATTCGTTATCGGTGAAAGCGTCTTGTCGCGGCCCAGCGTCTAGGCCAACTGCTAGTCCATAACGTTGGGTCTACCAAGATTTATCTCATCCTTACCTGTTTTGAGTGATGTATTCACTTGGACTTCACTTTTTCGTAAGATTGTCAGATACGGAAAGAAAAAAAAATTTATAACAAGCACATAAGGAGCTTGAAACCTCTCCACATACATAAGGCATCCACATTCCACTGACTCCACAGCGCTCCTTAGGCTCAGTACAGTCGCAATTGCAGAAGCCCTTTACAAAACACTTCATATAAGACAAGCGCGCCTCAAATCAATTGCAACCGCGATGCATTCGACTCTTGAAGCGTCATCTAGCAACGAGGTATCGCCACAGACCGTCACAGCGAAGGCACCAGTTACCAAACCAATCATGCTTGCTCACGGTATATTATCGTGCGCCGCATTTGGCTTCTTCTTCCCAGCAGGCAGCATTTTATTGCGCGCTCTCCGTGGCAAGCAGGTGCCACGCATCCACGCGTATTGGCAGACAATGTCATGGATTGTGGCCATCGCAGGTTTTGTCACCGGCGTCTATATGTCGGCTCACGGGGGGTAAGTGCAAGATCCTTCTGACTTTCGCAAATAGCCCTTTCGTGCCTACCTGCAAGATACCGGAGCGAGCGACGAGCAGTCAAGAGCCAGTGCCACGTCGAGCGAGCAAATGAAACTGAGCGACCACAAGTTTTACGGTCGGTAATTTGCGGGACACAAAAGAGCTTTATACTCGGTAGCGAGTTCCAAAGCATTGAACGAAATTCACGAAAACTCAACATTCTTGTTGTTCAGCGGTATGTTTGAATTCCGTCCATGTGTTAACCATTATGCAGTCACGGCACATTCGTTTCTCCAAACGGCCACAAGCAAATCGGCCTTGTCGTCATCATCATAATGACTCTTCAGCCTGTCATTGGCATAATGCACCACATGATCTTCAAAAAATCCGAGAAGAGCACTATTTACGGTTACGTTCACCGCTTCCTCGGTCGCGCTGCACTCATCATGGGTGGCATCAATATCGGTCTCGGTATCCAACTCGGCCACGCTACTCTCCAGCGGACGGTTGCGTACTCTGTCATTACTGCTTTCTTCTTCGGTGCCTACTTCGCTGTCACTTTACTCTTTGGACCTGAGTCAAGGAGGTGGAAGTTCTTAGTTGCTACTGGCACGGCAAGGAATGACAGCTGCAATGACCCTGATCGTTCTCCAAGCAATTCTGGAAAAGGAGGTTATCAACTTTGATTTACCGAGACGGCGGCTCTTACAGCCAGCGGTCTAAACTTCCTTCAAAGTCTAACATGGACTTGCACGATCAATTCACGTAGGGGAATATTAAACTCGAGTCAGCATGTCTTAAAACGGTATATGTATATATAAGCTCACTACATAGCAGACATGTGTTTGCTATGCACGCAAAGACGATGATTGAAATTGGAATGGTGATGAAGTTAATTGGAGGCTGATTCATGGAGCCTTGCAGCGAAAGCGAGCGAGCTTCTCTGCAAGGCCAACTTTGTGTAAGCTAGGGGCTTGCAATAGCGAAGTTGTGGTAAAATGGCGAAAGGATCAAAATTTTTTCAAGAAGCCCATGGCCTTATTCAGAACCTTTTCCACTCCGAAATCATGGGGAGCATATTCCATTCTGCCTCCAGGATATCCATGCACTCCCCCAGGTGCCAGATAGTGTTGCACGTTGTCCACGAGCGGACCCACTTCCCCCATCCAAGGCCCGTCTTGGGTCCACATGACTCTCTGAATCCGTGCTTTTCTGTTCTTCCAGCCGTCATTGGGCCCATCGGCGGCATGAAAGATGGATACGGTGTCGCCGCTTACGTTCAGAAAACAGCCGTGTCCCGGTCCGTAGGGAGAGCCACCACGAGCACGGTTTTTCAGCAGCGGATGGCGCGATTTTCGCCACGACGATGGATTCAGCGGGTCGCCGCCAAGATATTGGAGCGTGTTCACCTTGTAGTCTTTCGTCCATGATCCCGCACAAGAGTAAGCGATGCCAATCCATGACCGACCATCGGGATGAGCGAGTACTTGCGGTCCTTCGTTGATCCCATGGTTGTCGGTCCACTCCCAAGGCTCCTTTGGCTGTGAAATCGAGACAGCTTGCGAGGCAGCCCTCGTTGGCGACGCAAGCTCGATGATGAAGATTTCCTGGATGAGATCGGACACCTGAGGATTGTGAAAGGGCCAGCCGGAGTAGACGAGGTAATTTTTGCCGTTCAAAGGAAAGATCGTGCCGTCAATCGCCCAGTGATCTGGCATTCCCGCAATGGGTCCTAAGAACTCCCAAGGACCAGCTGCAGGGTCGTACTGCGAAGGAGGACCTCCGAGCACGTACATTCGGTGTGATTTGTTGCCATGTTTAGGATCCTCGCAAGAGACATATATGTACCAGCGACCCTCGAGAGCGTGTAATTCAGGAGCCCAGATGCCACTGCTGTAATGGGTGTTCGGTGGCGGCCGCCTTTGGAAACATCAATGATCTTTGATTCGTGATGGGAAAAAGCCCACCGTCTTTCCACTACTCACCACACAACGTGCTTCTGGGAAGATCGACCAAGCTCGAGCAGATTTGGCGACGACCATATCTCAACCTTGTCGCCGCCTGAGGTGAATGTCTACTTGTCGTCAGCTCCCATTCGGCCACGTCTTGCTGGGCATGCAAACAAATACGAACCATGTAATATCGCCCAAGGGCGAAGATCACGTACGGGTCCGGGGTCTCGATATCGGAAATGGTCAGGCAGCAGTTGTTAAAGGCCATTCTGTCCGGTTGATCTTTCTCCTGAGGAGCACAAGCTTGGTACGGACTCTCGCCTCCCTTAGTATAGGTCTCGAACATCCCCTGCATACGTCATCAGATCAGACGGTGTCATGCGTGCTCAGCCTCGTCACGACAGGGATTGTGCGAAACCAAACATGTTTGGCCAAGGTTCCGCCTCCGACTTTTCTTCATGAGATTGTTTTTGTTCAGTGCTTCTGCGTGCACATGACCTCTCCATTCCGGATGTAATTGGGAGTCTTTACAGTCCATGAAAACGCTCGTGGTTGGGACGGCTGCATACCTTCTCACTTTGCTTGACGACAGACCCAGCCTTGCCTTGGTTCCACGTCCACCGCGCGCGAAAAGAATCCGACCGCCTCGACTTCACTTGTGAGGAGTTGCTGGCCTCTTTCGCAAGAATCGGCCGATGGCCACAACCGTCCATGTAGATCATTGCAGGAACGACCACGGCAACAATGATTATGATTATTGTGAAGGTGCTGACGAAGAGTGGTATGGCTCCACATAAGAGCCAATTTCGATGCCGCGGACGGACAGCCCCTTGCATCTCGTCATCCTGAACTTCTGACGAGGCAACATTCATGGCTGCAAAGATCTTATCGACGAGATTGTTGGGAGGAGCGACAACTGGAACACCGAAGGACTCGAGTGAGATGTCTCTTATCACGCAAAACGCACATGCTCATTGCATTGTTAATGAGTATAGTTTGCTGAAATGCTGTGGGCTTGTACCGTTGTTCACGACCAAATAATGCTAGAAAAGTGGAACAGAAACACGATGCCCGAGCCATGGACCAGTATTAGATTTCAATCATCCTTTCTCAGAGCCTATCTGCAAGTACTTTTTCCATGCACTTTCCCCCTGCGTATCCTCAAAAAATGGTTCTCGCCTCGCGGCTTTTGTCTTTATGACATGACCCTCAGAAAGCAACGGGAAGGACTAACTCTGGACAAACCTGGACACAAGTATGTGTTTGTTTCCTTGGGGCTCTGCTATATTATCACAAAGAAGATACGATATTTAAGATTTCCAGTCAGGGTTTAAGTCATAATGTACTTAGGACCTTCACCGCCTTGCGGGGTTGACTGTAAGCGGTCAGTCGTGTGTCACAGTGGAGACGAAAAAAAAGGAACTGACCCAGTTTATATCCTGAGAAGGATCCTTGATGTCGCAAGTCTTGCAATGTATGCAGCTGGGGGAAAGATGGTTAGCAGAGTTATGGCTGTCAAAACTTTGATTCACTCACTTCTGCGAGTTGATCTGAAACCTCACGCCGAGTTCTTTGGACTCGTCTTCCACATACTCATACACACCAGCAGGACAGAATCTGTTCTCAACACCCTTGTACTTTGGCCATTCCATCTGCGCATGTTTTGTCCAGTCCTTGACTTGAAGATGCACAGGTTGGTCCTCCTCGTGATTCGTGCCCGTTCTACTCACTGAGGTTAAGATGTCAAAGCTTATCTTCCCATCTGGCTTTGGATACTCAATTCTCTTGCACTCGTCCGCGCTTTTGGTGGCAGCATGATCGGGCTTCCCGTGCTTGAACGTCCAAGGTGCCTTGCCACGGAGAATAAGCGTGTCCACGCCTGAGTATAGGATGCCGCCGTACAAGCCTAGAGGTGTGTGAAAGGAAGGCCGAATGTTACGAACTTGCTTCAGTTCCTTCCAAATGCTGGATTCGCGTAGCATGTCTTCATAGTCGTACAGGAACACAGAGCCCTCCTCCGAGTCCTTCAAGGCTTTGTATGCCGCCTGAGCTGCGAGCATGCCTGATCGCATAGCATTATGCGTTCCCTTGATCTTTGGCAAATTGACGAACCCAGCTGTGTCGCCAATCAATGCACCGCCTGGAAACGCGCACTTAGGTATCGATTGGAAACCGCCCTCTATGAGCGTTCTTGCTCCATATGAAATGCACTTGCCACCCTCGAGGAATTGCTTGTAGTATGGATGTTGCTTCATCTTCTGAAACTCCTGATATGGCGCAAGCCACGGGTTCTGGTAGTCAAGGCCGACCACAAGACCTATGCTGACTAAATTGTCGCCGAAATGATACATCCAGCCACCGCCGTAGGTGTCATAAGACAACGGGTAGCCCATCGAGTGGACAACGAGACCTGAGTTAAATTTCTCCGGTTGAATTTCCCAAACTTCCTTGATTCCGAGGCCGTACGTCTGGTGTTGACTATCTCGACGTAGATTGAACTTTTTGATGACTTGTTTGCTCAGACTGCCGTGGCACCCTTCAGCGAGCAGAGTAACGCGCGCGTGGAACTCCATTCCACGCTCAAAGTTTTCCTTTGGCTTTCCATCTCTGCCTATACCCAAGTCATTCGTCGCCACTCCAATGACTGAGCCTTCGTTGTTGTAAAGCACCTCGGAAGCAGCAAAACCTGGATATACCTCCACGCCTAGCTCCTCAGCTCTTTCGCCAAGCCACTTCACAAGCTGATTTAAGCTAATGATGTAGTTGCCGTGATTGTTCATCTGCGGTGGCTTAGGCAGCGGTATCGCCATACTCTTGGTCAGGAACTTCATTTTGTCTGTCTTAGCCGGGGTGATGTCTGCGAATCGGTTGGGGTTCTCTTCAGAATTCCAGTCTGGCAAAAGTTCGTTCAACGCCGAGGGTTCCATGACGTTGCCCGAAACTATGTGATCTCCAATTTCGCCTGCCTTCTCTAGCACGAGGACGCGAAAGTCCTCATTGCCTGCTTCATTTGCCAACTGCTTCAACCGTATAGCCGCACTCAAGCCAGCGGGGCCGGCTCCAACGATGCACACGTCGACCTGGTCGGCTTCTCTTTCAACACAGCTCGGATCAAAAGAGTCTTCTGCAGCTTCAGAACGGAATCGCGTCGCGTGCGAGAAAGCTCGTCGCTGACCGGCTATTCGCATAGCTGGTCTGAAGATTTTGGAGCGCGAACACACTGAGGTGCATCTTATGGCGCGCGAAGCTATGCGGAGCTTGTTTGAGGGCGTCAGCAGCGCCGAACTCCGTACAGCTGACGATATACGGGGTAGAGCAGCCATCGCAATGATCCGAAGAGCAATTGATGCAGTAATTTGTTTAGAGGGGAAGGGAGGAAATGTAGATGACGCCGTGCGCTTAGGTACGGCTAGTTGCATTCCATGTGCCCGCCAGTCGGAATTCGCTCGGCTTAAGAATTCCCGCCCGACCATTGGAGAAGGCGCAGTGCGGACAACTTGTACGCACAGGCCCCGCGCTGTTTCCCCGGACGCTTCTTGCACCGCCGTCGAGATAATCAAGCCACGGCCAAAAGACACTGGGATTGAAGAGCTACGACAGCTCTAGGTTCACCGGCAACAAGTCATTTCAGAATAACCACTGGAGGCCTACATATCTATACCACATCATTGTGGTCCCTTGTCGGCGAATGGGAATCATATTCTAGACCGCCACGAAGACTACTTCGGAGCGTATGAGATGGAAACTCTCTCTGTACACAAACCGATCTTCCTTCTGTCTCAGACGAAACCTGGTGTTACACATGTAGAAGTCCGTCAAGCCTTATACTGATATCCAACAATTCTCCATCATGCACGATTCCATGGGTGTAGCAGTACCTCCCTCGCTCGACCGAACAAATCCTTTCTCTCCTCGGCACCAAGGCTCTGTCACATCCAATATGGTATAGCCAACTATTTTCCGCAGGAGAGGCTTCGATACTGCTCTAAGAGACACATTGGTTACTACAGACCGCAGGCGTTTCCTCGCGAGTAACAATTATCACGGCTACGTCATGTACAAATCTCTTTTTTCCACATTACGGACCGCTCAGGAGATAGAAGAGGGATCTGCAGACATCCTTTTGAGGCACTTGAAGCATGCAAAATGTACCCACAAAACTGGAGCTTCTTTCAGTAAAACTTATAATTTTGTATCTACTGAAGAGATCCATATCGTGCTGTATTTGGCATATTTCATGGCAATCGTTAGTGTGATAAAGACGTGTGAAACTGATGACTTGGAGGAAGCCGGTTTCTAGGTTCGTCGACCTGTTGAAAGAGATGCAAACTCTCTGGTCGCACTTCCATATAGAAAAGGAAACCACGCCGCCCAGTCAGCGAGGCTCTCACTAGAAGCAGCAGATGCAGAAGTCGCACCGCAGTGGGCATGGAATGCAGAAACAGAATCGTCCAGGGCAAGCCTCGCTGCGCTCTCCGCCCCGCAGGCCAACCGGCTGCCGATCAACTGACGGATCATTTGGCTGAGGCCCTGTGGACACAAAATGTTAGAATCACCCACTGACCTAGAGGGCTCGCTCGTCAATCAGGTGCAGACGTACTCATTCTCATTGGTTCTTGCCTCACTGGCTGACCAGTTTCGATCTTCGGTCCACGACCGAGACCGAGGTGTGCTGGCTGAGGCTCGGAAAGCACCATGATAGCTGTGTGAACGTTTGACAGGAGTTGATGCGCTGGAGTCGATGTGGCCGTGCAGGTGAAGAGAGCAAGTAGCCAGCTTTTGAACTGGGCTCGTATCCAAAATGGGCGGGTGCAGATGAGGCTGGGCTCCAGCGCTACGTCATCAAGCGTTCACTTGGGCACTCTCGCGCAGTTTCAGTCACGCCTTGTCGCTAGGCTGCACGCTCGGACCCGCCTCACTTTTTCAGCTCGACCTCCGCCTGTCGATTTCGCCCGGTCATCAACAACACCTCATAACCCCCCATCATCTGGACGCCGCCTCTCCCGCATCGTGAAACCATCCCTTCCTCCATCGTGTACCCTCAGCAGGACTATTACCTGGAGCGTACCCCTCCCCCTCCCTTTCCATCGAACCCGCCATGAGCGAAGTCTCGAGTACTCGTCTCTATCTGGGGAATCTCCCACGGACTGGTAGGCCTTGAACGCACCCTCTTCCCTTTTGTGGCTTCTCTGCTTTGGACTCCGTCCGAAGACCCTATGTTTTCTGGTGGTGAGCGCACACACGGAAGGAATGCCTAGAATACCTTGGCTTGGAGCTGGCGTATGATACCATCGGCTTTCCTGAGTTTGGCCCACTGCTACTCGCTTTTGGAATCGACCGTCGTACGTTTTGGGGTCCTCAAGGAGGCGCTGACTGGAACCTAGCTACCAAGAGTGACATTGAGCAGCACTTTGCCGCCCATGGAACCGGCAAGATCACCGAGATCAAGCTCATGAACGGCTTCGGCTTTATTGAGTACGAGGATGCCCTGGACGCCCGAGACGTCGTGCCTGGTATGTCGCGCACTGCCCCACCAAACTTTGCTCACGCTAACACTTTGTAGCCTTCCGTACGTAGCCTTGTGGCATAGTTCCTACCTGCCCGTTTGCTGATCTATCTTAGACGGTTCCACCTTCATGGGCGAGCGCATGATTGTCCAGTTTGCACGAGGGGCCCGCAAGCGCGAAGATGCGCCAGCATACCATGAACGCACTGTCCCACGCCCACGTCGCACTCTGTTCCGCATGAGCATCACGAATCTTCCTCCCGAAACGAGTTGGCAGGTCAGCATCTCCCCTCAGCTTTTGGAACCTTAGCCAGCTGCACATCCATGTTCTCTGCTGTTCGTCCTGTTCCGCTGTGACTCCATTGATCCGTTCCATCTGGGCATTCCCACAACTTGCTTCTGGCTAGGCTTATCCTGAGGAAATCGTTGACCAATCTGGATTCTGGACTTACACGGATCTATAGGACTTGAAAGATTTCGCCCGCCAGTCTGGCTTGGACGTTGTCTACTCTGAAGTTGGCCGCGAGCGTGATGGCAGAGGGTTAGTCGTTCCGCAGCTTGACCCGAGGCGCAGCTTACACGATTCTAGATTTGTGGAGTACGAGACCAAAGCTGATCTCTTAGCTGCCGTCGAGAAGTTAGACGGACGCGAATTCAAGGGCGTCAATGTCCACTGCATTGCAGACGTAGTTCTCCTAAAGAGCCTGCGAAATAACCCCAACTGATCCTGAAACAGGAGCAAACCGAACGCCCAAGGGATAGATATCGCTCTCGCAGCCCACGCGGCCGTTACCCCGGACCCCCGCGAGGCGGCGGAGGAGGGTACGACGATTATTACAACGATCGACGCCCTCCTCGAGACTACGAATACGATTACCGCCGTCGCAGCCCACCACGTGATGTCTACGCTTATGAGCGTTACAATCGTGATGATCGAGGTTATGGACGTCCTCCTAGCCGAGGACCCCCTCGAGGGCGTGGCCCAGTTGACGATGGCTATCCTCCTCCGCGCTCGCGTTACGAAGATGCCTATCCACCAGCTGGAAGGTATGACAGAGGGTTCGACAATATGAATGGCCATGCTGCTCACGATCCTAGACCGCCCTATGGGCCTCCATCCCCTCGCCGACGCACCCCACCTCCTCCTGGATATGAACCACGTCCACGTTACTGGTAGAGCATCCCTTTCCTATCTTCACAATCCAAAACCGAAGCTTTCTACTATTGGATTGCTTCTGGCTTGCCCCCCTTTGGGAAATCAGCTCATACTTGTAGATTCTCGTCCTGCGTCCGGTTTCGCCACTCTATAGCTCGGCTGGTCGACGGTTCACAAATTGCTGGGTTTGCAGGAGGCACTAGTGCAAGCTTCGATGTACAACACAAATGGATACAAAATGGACAAAAAGGCTGGACTAGGAGATGCGCTCATTACATAATTTGGACATGGCCTCGCGTGGCTCAAGCATGTCCCGTCAACGAAGGGACCGGATACTGGCTTATGGAAACATGCGATTGGAGCGTGGAGAGGTTTCCGAGAGGTTCTTCCAGCTGCCGTCCTATACGATTCATCATTGGCGTTTTTGGGGGTCATCCTTTCCCATCGATTCATGGCTCGGTTGATATAGTACTCGCTCGCATTTGCAAAAGTGACTTTTTTGAAGATGGAACGCCCTTATCGGCATCTCGCTACCGTGAACTTGTGCACACTCATGCTTGAAACGGCCTGGATGTTTGGTCTCTCAAGCTTATCATCCAAACATTCGCTACGTGCTTCTGGGTCTTTACAACCAGGCTGTCCGGTCGTTCTTCACACAGCAGGACGCTGTTGTCCAGCCCTTGATGATCCGATGCCATAAAAAGTACTAGTCTTTACTGGGACACCAAGTACGTTCCTGTGGATTGGCCGTGTTGTCTTGATACAGGCCACAAATGCCATTTTTGGAATATCTAGCCCTTGACAAATTGGAGCTGATGGGATTGATTCAACAAAGGATTCGACAAAAGTTTTTTTCCGACAAATGTCACGGATGAGGCGTATTATCCAACACTGTATTTTGAAGATGAGGTGTTCACGCCTATGAGCTGATGTGCTCTGTCTGCACGTGCAGCTCACTCATTGTGCAAGGAGCATTAATATGCAATTTGTGGGGCGCCACTCAATCAGAGATCGATGATTCCAAAATTACTCAATGTACAATAAGAATACCTACGGAGACGAGAAATAGAAATGAAAGGGCTGATGTGTAAGAAGAGAAAAAACGTCGGAGAGGAAGAGAGAGAATCGCAAAGAGAATAAAATTCACAGTAGCAAAATGACAATGTGAAAGAGTGATATACGAGAGATGCCTTGGCATGAGCGACTGTGACAAAAGGCTGGTACAACGAGCTTCCATGTGTACGTACGTGTGGCTTCGACATGCAAGCCTAATTACCGGGGAAGAGGCAGTCGTGCGTTACGATGAAAAGCGCCACCGGATAGCTTCCGTGACAGCATACCTATTTTACAGCGCACTCTCGGAATGCCTCGACACATTGAGCGTACATCATCAAAGAGTTCCCGAGACAGGCTTCTCTGTAGGCAAAGACTGTGCGTATATCATCCGAGTCAGCAGCGCTCACGAACAGAGCCCGACTGCAGAGGCGGCGATATTGGGGACGAAATCAAAGCGGGGGACGGTTTCAAGAAATGTGAAGTCGAACCAAACCAGGAAGGGGAGCACGAGAGGACCGCGAGGACGAGGCATCCGTTCGACGTGGAACTGCAGGTGAGCAAATATTAAAGTTGGGTTCTGGGGATAGAGTTTTTGGCTCCAGGCCGAGCATGAGGGAAGAATAGAATTTGCGAGTCTGGCTGGTGACATCGAATCTCTCACGCGAGAGCGTTGAGGCCGGGCGGGAGACTTCGGCCACGACTTGTCCGGTAGCCTAACATAAAATCATTTCGAAGAAAACGACGAGGCCTTTTTATTCTTCTTTTTCTTCTTTTCGCCGCGACGTAGTTTTCAGAGGCGGGCTTGGCGGACGGGTTTTCCGAAGTTGGTGTTGGCAAGAAGGGCCTCGGACGTTTTGCACGCGGCCGGAACGAATCAAGGTGAGGAGAATCAGGATCGAAACGCAGAAACGACGAAGCCCAGAGGCAAAGGACGGCTCTCCACAGACACGCACAGCGAGGCTTTGTTAATGGCGGATCCCGACCGCCGCTGTGCCGTGGTGGGAGTCGGTTTTCCTAATGGGGGAGCAGACGCCAGGTGTTCTTGACGCGGAGCATCTAATCGTCATAGACAACGCGTGCGAGTGTGGCCTGCGGTCCAACAGCTGGGGGCCAATGTCCAGGCAGGGATCCATGCATGGTGCAGCACAATAGATCAGCCCTTGGGTAATGATCTGCTCCTTTCATCGGCGTCGTGTACAGACATCGGAAGGCAGACAACGTACATCGCCAGATCAGACTTTCCGCGCCTGGCCTGGACGACGGACGAAGCGCGGAGAGCGTCGCCATGTCTCGGTTGACGATCCCGTCCTGGGCGAGTGCGGGCCACGCTTGGGCACAGCCTGGCTGTCGAGGACCTTCGTTTCCGCGCGGGCGCGAGAGCACAGTTGAAGTCAACGAAAAGAATCCCCACTCCGTCGTCGAGTGCGTGATCGTACGGGGCGGCATCGCGTGATCTGCAGACACGAGGCAAACGCCCGACAGTCCAGCGAGAATGGCGAGCCGGTCGAGGTTTGGCGAGCACATGCAGTCATCGGTTCTCGCGTCATCGGGGCCAGCTAACCAGAAACATGCAGCGTCGAAGGACGAAAAGGCCTTCGACAACGATAATTTCGATTCCCTCGCCAGGGTCGTTGAACGAACATCGAGACGCTAGACATGGAAAAGGCATCTTAAGCGAAGACAAAACGCGTCGTGCGGTTGCGGCGTCCTCCTGTGTTCCAGCGGTGCGTGCTGGGCCAAGCACCGCATCGACGATCCCTTCATAAGTCGTGCTTCGCATGAACCGCAAAACAGCGCCCAGGCCTGTCTACACCACAGCCGTCCATCCCAGACGAGCCCTTTCGACTGTCTGACACCTTTCCCACATCGGCCCTCTTCTCGCCCTTTGTAGGCGTCATCCACGTTACCCAAAGTTTGTCATCTGGTCCCACTCGAAAGGTTTTAGCCTTCTGTATGCGCCCAGTCTACCACGGCCTTGTTTTGTATCCGCCAGTATATCCGTGAAGCTTGCAATCCGAACCGAAGCCAGCCACTGTTTCTGAATCTACAAGCATACTAGTGCCTGTTAGATTGGCTGTCCTGCGCATCAGATCCCTGACGTACGATAATCTACCTTGCATTGCCACATCTATCAACGAGTCAACGACTGGCTCAGCTCTCGTGCCTTGATCCTCCACCTTGTCTCCGGTAGAAAGAGCTGCTTCTGCTCCTGAATTGAGACTTCCTGACACTAAACATCTACTCAACCAGCGCTGCCACGCCCGAGAACCACGCCCCTCCTCCAGACGAAGACTCTCTCCACTTTGCCGGCCGGCGTGAGATGGTGCAAGAGCATCACGCCATGCCTGAACGACTGCTGTGAATGAAAGCTGTACGATATTCCCCGCGGTCCCCTCCTGCGATAAACAGCGAGGGAGCATCATCCTGCGCAATAGCTGGGTCGGCCGAGACATACATGAGCGAGAGTGATGGCGCTTCAGTCGTCCCTCAGAGGTTGACGGTCGGTTCCGCTGCACATGCGGATCCGAGAGCCCTGGTTCGATTGATACAGTGCACTCAGTGCTCCCTCTTGCTCGATACTCCGGTAACCCTGCCCTGCGGACATTCCGTCTGTAAAGGTTGCCTCCCACAACCCCATCGTCGCGCCAACGTCGTGCACCCGAGCGCGCCTGATCGAATCCAAGGCATAAGATGTCCCGTGGAAGGCTGTGGCCAGGAGCATCCGCTTGGCGACTGCAATATCGATGTGTCCCTCCTTAAAGTGATCGATGCTGTCCAGGCAGTCGCGGCCAGCTCTCTTCCTCTGCCGGAGGGGACCTTGCGACTGGTAGAGGTCTGGAACGCCTCAGATTCGAAAATCCCCCCATCCTCGATCCATGAGCCACCAAGAGAACAGACGTCGGCGGGAGGTCGACTGATTGCGGCGTACGCCATGCTCGCTGCGGGCCGTCTGGCATATCGTGCAGACTTGAACTACGAGGACAGTCCGGACGCTGTCGAAAAACACATGCAAGCGGATGTCGCACTGATGGCAGAGCTGCAAGAAAGCTTGTGCAAGGAATTGGACTGTCAGGTGTGCTACAACCTGATGTATGATCCGGTTACGGCGCCATGCGGACACACGTTCTGCCGCATATGCCTCGCACGAGTCTTGGACCACTCGATGACTTGTCCAATCTGTCGAAAGAATCTTCCCATTCCTCCGTCCCTAACTTCTCAGCCGAGCAACTCTCGACTCGTCGCGCTGATGGAGAGTCTTTGTCCAGACATGGTCAAGGCTCGAGCGGCCGCAATAGCTGCGGAGGAGCAAGGCGGCGTCGGCGAGCTAGACACGCCCCTCTTCGTGTGCACGTTAGCTTTTCCAGGACAGCCGACGTTCCTTCACATCTTCGAACCACGCTATCGGCTTATGATTCGAAGGGCGTGCGAATCGAACCGTCAGTTTGGCATGTTGATGTACAACCAATCCAGGCAGAGCCAAGGTGAACTGGGGCAGGTTCATTTCAAACAGTACGGAGTCATGCTGCAGATCCTGGACGTTCACATGTTCCCAGATGGCCGAAGTTTGATCGAGACTCGGGGCATGTATCGGTTCAAGGTGTTGGATCACGGTGTTCTGGACGGATACACAGTGGGCAGGATTCAACGAGTCGAAGACCTCAGCTTGGTTGAAGAGGAGCGTATCGAGGCCGAGGAGATTGCCTCACACTCCCCAACTGGCGCAGCACAGTATGCAGACCTCGATTCTCAGTCGGCCTTGCGGATGCTTTCCCAGGCGTCGGATCAGGCTTCCAGCATAAATTGCCTCACGTCTAGGCAATTGCTGTCCGTCGGCTTAGACTTTGTCGCAAAAATGCAAGAGCACAGCGCACCCTGGCTTCATGAACGGATCCTTCAGAGCTACGGCGGCCCACCCAACGACCCCGTTCTGTTCCCGTATTGGTTCGCGTCGGTCATTCCGATCGTCGAAGAGGAAAAATACAAGCTGCTGCACACTTCTACCATCCGGGAGAGATTGAAGATCGTCGTGCGCTGGATCCTACGCATCGAGAATCAACGGTGGTGAGTGTCCCGTCCACATGGAGGCGTCTGATGTCGGCTGAAGGCTTTCGCTTCAGGTTCCCCGCATAACGGTTCAACGTAGCTGATTCGTTTGGTTGCCGATAGGTACTCTGGAGGATCATGCTTGATACTTTGATGAGATAAGCCCCTTGGACCTATACCTAGCTTCAACTTGGATTGGCCCTCGTGGGTCGGCTGCTCTGCTTTGGATACTCTTTTTTATTTTTCATCTAAGCGGACATCTCGATTTCAACGCCCAAACTCTCTCATTGCAAGAAAAAGGGGAACGAAAATAAAAGTGGAAACGCTGTGCGGTGGAAATGTTGGGTCGTATGCGTCCAGAGACCATGCTCGGCTGAGATTTTGATGCTTCCAACTTTTGCCCCTTCTTCATCACCGCGTGTATTTCGAGGACTCGTCGAGCACGTACTCGACACGGACTTGTCAAGATCGAACCAGCTTTGTTTGGCTCCTAGAGCGGATGTGGCCGACCGTACACGAAGGTGTCGGCTTCCATCGAACTGGAGGATCATTGAAAGGATGGCATTCATGTTTATATATGTACATTTGTTTGCTGGATCGAGCAAGTGTGGAACGTTACATACCCGAAAGCTGCTAGGCTTTCATGCATTGAGGGAAGGAAATCAGCATTCTAGGGCGCAAAGGACCCTTTTTTACTGTGTACAGGCACGGTCTTCTTTTGCTGCTACGCAAATCAAAAATAAAGGGGAGTTGATGACCATGGCGGCGATGATGATGACGATGATAACGGAATCCGTCAAATACTTAAGGCATAGATTTGACCAAATCCCCAAAACAGCCTCTGCGAGTCCAGTGACCAAACTGTATCTCTAAACTGTGTGAGATGCGCGTTTGCGTTTCGTATTCGTGAATGCGGACCATCTGCTGTCTGAATAGGACACGGGAAAACCGATCAAGGGTTCGTGGGCTAACCCAGATCGGGCCAATTTCTGCGATTAGTCAGTCGTTCAACCAATTAAGTTACACGGAGCTGTGTTGCCTGGATTGCGAGTTTCTCGTGTTATGACATAGCCTCAGCGCTCCATAGTAGCGTTTAAGGTGTCCTAGCTGCGAGCGCCCAAGCAGTTTTTAAGCTCGTCAACAGGAGTCTGAAAAAGATTCTTTCAATTCAGTATTCCTAGATCCCGAATATTTTTTTTTGTTTCCCGCTATCATGGGCAGACTGCATCATGAAGCTCCAGTTGCGGATGGGTCCACGATTTCTGATGCCATGTCGTTTTACACACAGCGATCTGAAGATGAAATGAACGACACGCCTCCTGCATATTCCGACGCTTCGAATCCGGCAGTCGATCCATCGTTGAATCGGCTTGCGGGTTCCGGCTCCAAAAGTCCACTTGATCGACCACCGTTCAGGCAGTACGATGAGCTAGAGCTATTCATGGACGCTCGTTTCGACAGCGATCCTGTCTACGCCGAGCAAATGGTTCGTGAATGGAGTGCCGTCCCAGCTGCACAAGTTATCCACATTCGAGGGACACACGTCGACGAATCTCTCGGGGCCACCAAGTCGGACAAGACCGTCGTTGATTTCGACATTCAAATCCCTCTTGTTGATTACCTAGTTGACCACTGGAGGAAAAACCCGTGGAGCGAGATGAAAGTGGTCGAGAACGAAGAGAAGACCTACCGTGGAGGCATTTTCAAGAGCACCGGCCCGACTAGGCCACAAGCGCAGGACGCCGAGGCCCAGTTGGGGAGCTATCCCAAGTTGTCGCTGACAGCCTGGATGCACCTTTTCTGCGCGTCACATGCCCAGTTCAAATGGTACGTTTAAAACCTGATGTAGACTCGTATCTCGTCTCACGCCTGTCCAGCTTCCGCATCCAGCGATCAGTCTCAGGCCTCGACACCAAATTCATCCACGATTCGCTCCAGTCTCTCATCAGCGGAACAAACTATCGTGGTCACACCCGTATCACCTTTCCGATCACCAACAGATTCACAGAAGTGCACAACGCCACCCGCGTCAACACTTGGCGGTTCAACAATTGGATCCGGTTTTTCTTCTACCTGACTTTCTTGTGGCTGATTGTTTGGCCCTACCTGTTCTTTTCAACCAGGAAGTGGGCTGTCGTGGTTGTAGATTGGCCATGGTCAGTGACAGATGAATATGGAGTCAAAACCTACGCACAAATTAGCGAGGCAGAGTGGCTAGCACGTTGGAAAGGCCTTATCGAGAAATCCGTATTGGACAAGAAGAAGGGAACTCTGACGACGCAAGACCTGGTTGCCTTCGAAACGCCACAACGGCCATTTCGGAGTGGAAGTGCTGCAGTTGACCGAGTGGTTGAAGTCGTCGGCGCGGGTATCCGTGGTGCTCGAGAGATGCGCCGGCAATGGGGATGGGGTGGAGATTGCTAGCAGAAATCTGCCTCTAGAAGTTCCTGATCTAAGAACATTTGTGCAAACATAAGACGTTCCATGTTTCGTGTGTAAACTGCGTTTACTGGGCTTTGCCAAAAGAGAGATCGAGCGCGGCGGACGTGATGGACAAGTCAATGAAGGACCTTGGAGTTGTTCTTGTGTAATGACGTTGAATACTTGAATTTTATATCTAGTTTTGGCTGTCCCGGCATCCGTCTCATCAGCGTTTGCAATTTCTCCTCTGCAGAGAAGTCGAAAGTCGCGTTCTGAGCAACGCGATAGGATAGGTCTAAAGCAGTACCAGCTTCGGAGATCATGTCAGTGCGGTTGTGCTGGTTCATTCCCAGTCAGATTCGCAGTGCTGTCAAAGCTCTAGCCACGTCAAGCAGTGAACTCTGAGGTTCAGACATTCGGTGCTTCAAGCAGGATTTGCAAACTTTCGTAATACCCAGTTAGCACCATATTCTTCATACTCGGCTTTTGTGACCGAGAGGCTCTTCATTAGCTCCCGATTTGATGCCATTCTGGCCGTACCAAGCCAGGTGTACTTAATTGGGCTAGGTGATGTTAGCTGGCTATAGATTGAAAAGAATGCTCAATTCACATACTCAGGTGGACTGGCCACACGCACATTTATCTCCGATGGTGCTAGTTGCCTAAGTTCCTGTCTCCTAACACGAGGTCAGCTTTGGCTATCGGTTGTAAAGAAGTACGCTATACGCACAAGCGATTTGCAAGCCCGGGGATTTTGACATTGCCGCCGACGAGGACGACATTGGCAAGCATGGCAGGTCTGATCCCTTCGGGCATCGCTTCTACACTCTGCATAATTACGCCAGGCAGGCCATCCTCTTGAAGCCCTACGTCAGTTGGGCTGAAGAGAAGCTCTGGTCCCGCAAATCTCTCATTGGTGAGGGTAATCACCGTCTCTCTACTTGGGCCAGTCGAGGTCCTCAGAGCAGCCTTGGAAGCTTGCGGGTCGTGCGGTCGAACGATGCCGTGGTGTAGCTCCTGATAGTCTGGAAGGACGTAGTCGACAACAATGTCCGCATCCATCGCGCGTCGATTGCGCCTATCTCCTTTCCACGTGCGTTCTAGGTCGGCTCGAAAGTCCAGGCTCACGAAGCTTACCGCTTCCTTCATTTCATCTACAGCGTAGGTTTCGTCCATGAGATTGATGGAGCGTATGGATAATTGTTCCTTGAGGTAGTTTGTGAGGAACTTGCCTCCTATTTCCAGACGCCGGATGGCATGTTGCACAGGTCGTCCGTGGATGAGAGGCGTTACGGTAGTGTGAGAGTAGCCCGAATCTACGAGCAGCACGCATTCAGCTGCAGAGACTGGTCGTTCGGAACCGGACGATTCTGAACCAAAAAGCGGCTGAATGTCGTTGTACGCATTCCCTACCGGGGCTAGACGGTTCGTCAGTACAAGTGACCTATCATTAGCTAGGACGCGGTCACGCACCAAGACAGCGATAATATGAAGCGAACTCGAACTCCTCAAAGACCATCTGATCGCAGTTGAGCTGCAAAGCCTGAGGGCAGTTCGGAGCTTCGGTCAGGACCAGGTTGGTTTCATGTGGATCGCACTACATACAGCTAAGCCACGTAATGCTGCGTCTGATATCGCAGGCCGCTCACCTTCAGATCCGCATTTTGCGAGAAGAATGAGTGCGACCAGATGGCTCTCTCACCCTCCCAATTCACCAGGTAGCCCTTGTCAACTGGTCTTCGGAACGCCAGCTCACGTAAATCTTTACATTGCTCAAGCTGCGACCCTATCCATATGCGCTTGTCGCTGTCTCTCGCGATGCAGTTCGGTATGACGTGGCAGTGGCTAGTATCTGGAGATGAAGTTGCAAAGCCAGCCTTGATGGTGTAGCCACCATTGTCGACGACTAGCGTCTTGTTTTTGATGCCGCGGTCATCCTTTTTTGCCGCGCGCGGCATCTTTTGAACGGCTGGCGATTTGCCCTCTGGTCAGGCCAGTAGATTTAGAAGAAGTTCTGTGAAATTTCTACTGTTGGAGAACTATCGGCTTCTCGAAACGGATGGCAGACAAAAGACGAGTATTTGGACTGCGCATGCGCGATGTCACCTGACGAGATCCTTGAACACGGACCCATTAAAGGAAAACAGCAAGTTTTGCGCCGCCAAACACAGGAGATGTGCTTGCTAAAGGAGAAGACGCGAAGGAAGAGGTGAATCGGCATTACATCGCATGTTCGCACCGAATCACCTAATATAGTACAAAACCCCACATGTTTTCGTAGTTCCGTCATAGCGCTCATTTGTTCTGACAATACCGGCGAGATGCGAAAATTGGACAAGCACAATAGCTTAACCGAATCCAAAAACCAAGCCTCGCTCCTTGTGCAATGCATGATACAATGAGATAGGCCTCTGAACAAGGTAAAGATGAGGCTCCCATCCATTCTAGCCCAAGATAAACCACCGGATCATCCGTTTCCTCGGAAAATGGTGGTGCTATTCATGTCCATCCTCCCCAATACAACGCCATTGTCCAAAATCTCTTTTCCGCTCTTCGCTTGCACGTCGCCAAACAGCTGTGCATCTTCGTCGTCATCTTCCGTAGTGTCCGTCAAAGCCTGGCTTCGATTACTGGCGACTCTAGCCATTCCACGATCATCTTCATGGTCATCGAAAAGTGCCCTGTCGTCATCGTCTTCATCCTCGTCGATATCTTCCTCAAGTACGATCTGCCTCATAACTTTCTTGTCGAACAAGTCAATCACAAACCTACATACGGGAAGTCGAAAGTGGTGCTCTTCAAGGATACTCAGGACACGGAGGAATAGACCAGTGCGCTGGAAGGGGAGAGGATTTTTGGCTTTGATCCTGGACAGTGTGTTAGAATCTTTTTTTTTTTGGCTCTTGGAACGGGAGTGCGAAGGCCTGAACATACCCATGTAAATCCCCTGCTGCCTTCTTAGCGAGGACGGTGTTGCCCAAATCCGTCACGCTTTTTAGTATCCTCGCCTCAACGGGATCATCTGTTTCCTCAACTACTTTGTTCTCCGGCTTTTTTGCCACGCTCCCTTCTTTACTCATCGCGTAGGGCGACTTCCACGGCTTCACAGCGAACAACTTCCCGAAATCAAGCGGAATACAGAATCCCAGGCTCTCACCACGCATGTTCGTTGTCCCATCCCAGCCATATTCTAAGAGGATTTCCTGGCCGTGTAAACTGCGAGATACTAGACCCAAAGCAAAGAAAGCAGTCCCCCTCATTGTCATGACTTGTGAGCGCTCGGCAATGTCAACAATATCGCGGATGACATCAGATTGTTCAAGGAAACGTGCCCCATATTCCATGGACCCCACATTGCCGACGGCCCAGAGGCAGCCTTTTACTTTGAGAATGATCTCTGGATCTTCCTCTTCCATACCCCAGTCCCTGATTGTAGCTACAAACTCATCAAAGTGGCCTTTGGATTCGAGGAGTTCACAGCCTTCTTTCGTGCGCGTCAGTTCGCGATAGAAGTGCGGCGGGACGATGCCGTACTCCAAGGCTTCCGGTGCCATGCTATCCTCTAGAATACCAGTCGTGTGTTGGATACTTTGCTTCTCAGGTATGTCTGCCAACGCTCTAGCTAGACTCGCCTCAATAAGCGCAACATAACTGTCGTTCCTCCCCAGGAACCAGTCGTCCATTTCGCGAGTAATATAGTCTAATTCATCTAGGTATTTGTAGCCCACTGACGTGCTCAGGAAACGTAGAAGCAGTGGAGCACCGATTTCGCCTAGATGATCGAGTGCAGGTCGGCATTTGACAATATACTCCAGGCTGTGGATTTGTTTACATGCTTCTTCGAGGATCTTTATCGCTATCTCACAGACCTCGATTTCAGGATCGTACAGTTGCGTGACGAGCAGACGAATTGCCCATTCCACTGTCCCAGCAGTTGTGTCCGAAATCGTTCTCGTCGCGTATTTACGCAGAACACGCGTTGCAAAAATGCGTATGTTCTTGGAGCCTGTCGTCATCGCTTTCGAAAGGATGATGCGTAGGTGAGAGTCTAGATTGTAGTCCATGGACCCGAGCAGCATCTTGACTAAATCGTCTCGATCGCGCAATTCCACGATGTGGTAGAACATGTTGAAAATACGCCATCTTTCCAGAATCTGAAGTCCCCTCACATCTTTCGTGAGAGCACCTAAGAGTTGGAAGTAGCCTCCTGTTAGCGTCTCGTTCATCCTGTGCTCCGTAAACATTGGTGTCTCAGATGTTAGACCGCTCATGCGATCGAAATGCGACAGACACTCTGCGAGCTGTCTTATCACTTTGTCCTCCGCTAGGTATTTGACACCCTCGGCATTCAGGAGCAAGCACTGGAATAATGAGCAGCCAATGCGTACGTATCTTTGATTCGGCTTCGTGTTCTTGACATCCGCAAACCGGTACTTGAACGGTCTATAGAAGCCAAGAAGCCTATGCAGCCACTTTGTTGATCGCATTGCTTCGTCCAGTCTTTTTGGATTGCGCAATGGCCCGTCGATCAAATTCTGAATGATGTCCCAACGCCACTTTGTCCAATTCGATGTTGATAAGCATCCCGTATCAAGCATCATGTTCCTGAACTGCGTCTCATCCATCTGCATACCCTGTTGCGCTTTGGCCTGTTCTGCTGACTGTCGTATGATTTCGGCTTCGGAGGAACTATTCGTCGATCTTGTAGCCACGACGCTGGGATCTGATCGGTAAAGTGTCCTGTTCACACTGTCGATCTGATAGATTGTCCCAACAGCCAGGAAGCGCTCGTCTACGTTAAGCTTGGTGGCTGAGCGAACAAGATTTGGTAGCACTTGAAGTTTTGCGCTCCACTGATTTGGCAAGAGTTCATTAGCCGCTTTTAAGACCTCGCCTAGAACTAAAGTAGTCTTTCGTTTCAGCGGCATGGACAAAGGATCCTCTTCAGCGTGCAACAGAGCCTCTAGAAGACCTGCATGAAGAAACACTCCCAACACAGCGGCTGTAAAGTGTTCTACGAGGTTTCGCTGTTCCATCTCATCCTCGGTCTCGACATTATCCGTGCTCGGAGTCTGAGTTTTTAAGTTTGTTACACGGGCATATGTTGTGAGTCTCCTTCCGGCCACAAAAGACGAGCCCCAAGAAGGCGACTTTATCCTCAAGACGTCGATGATGAGATCCAACAACTGGTGACGAACGTGAACAAGGGGTATGTACATCGATGCGACCAGCGATCGAATAGCGAGAAAGTCGTTCATGGAAAACGTGATAAGGCCAGGCCAGCTTCGCAGAAGCGCGGATATGACCTTTCCACTCGACTTCAGTTTCTCTTCGTGCACGTGTCCTACTGGCGATTCCGTGAACGTGGCCAGTGGCATTTCAAGCTCATGACCAGAGCGCAGAAACTTTCTTCTCTGAGGCGTATCCAGCAGGAACAAGAATGCGCCAACTAAGCTCTCCGCTGCACGATAGTTGCCGTCCCCTAGAGCGTCTGTAAGCGTGCCCATTCCACCAGCCTCAACAAGCCTTGGGGGATCCCGGACTAGAATCTCGGCAAGCGTGAGTATGGCGATGTTTCGCAATCGATCATCGCTGTGTTCTGCGACAGCGACGATGATTCGGATCACGGCTCTGGATATTTCCTGTATGCCATCCTTGACATCAAGGAAGGCCCTGACGAATTTGAGAGCCTGTTCTCGTTCCACGCTCGCTTTGCCTTCCTTGACCAGCGACAAAATGACCAGATAGTCTGTGTGCAGCTCGCGAATGATGCGCAGCGACCGTCTGTCTGTGATCGAATACCTCAGCACTCTGTACCCGGCAGCGACCACTTCGCGGCTATCGCTAAGCAGAAGCGTTTGCATGCGCAGTCCGAATATCGACCACACTAAGTCATATTTCAACGTTGGGTTCCTCTTGAAAAGATCAACCAGCCTGTTGGCGTATCCCACGTAGAATTCCGGTCCCATGCCTTCAGCCTCGAGCGCCTGTAGTATCTCGCTTAGCACATACGTCGGACTTTCGGTCTCCTCCTCCTCCAACAGTTCCTCCCCATTTTCTTCTCCCCGGCCATATGTCTGCCTGCTCGATGGGCGTCCTCCGCTCGTGCTCCCAAAGAGAAAGCTCAGCCTGCTCTCTCCAATTTGTTGGCTCTCTTTGGCCCTCTGTATCTCCTGCTCAAGGCCCTGCTTCAGCTCCGCAATTTTGCGGTTACTCGTGTTGAGCTCGGCCTCAACCTTGAGCTTCTGCTCTTTAAACTGCTTCGGGTTCTTCGAGTTCAACGCCTCGAGTAGGTTCTCAGATCCCTCCTTGATCTTCTTCTCCTTCTCGATCTCGCGAGTGATCTCGGCCTGGCGCTTCTCCGATACGCTGCGTGCGTCCTCCAGATCCAGCGTATTGCTGGCGGAGTAGCTGCTGTCGTTGCGCGCGAAATCTGGACGTGGCGTTTCCGTCCGGGAAGACGTGCTACGCAACTCCGAGCTGAAGCTGCCGGGAGGCGGACCCGACAAGCCCAGCGACTGACCTCGAGGAGGATACAGGCTGGTGGAAGACATGGAACGTGCATCTTTGGGTATGCGGGAGGGTTGGAGCAGAGAGCTGTTGGCGTCACCGGGGCCGATGGTGGTGTTGACCGTGCTGGCGAGGGAGTGCGGCGTCGTAGGCCTCCCCGTCGCTTGCGGCGTTGGCGTCATTGCTGCTGCCCATGTATACGCGTGGGTTTTGGCTCATGCCTCGCGTGTCGGTGCCAGTTTCTTATCTGCGAGTCATTCTGAGGTCACGGAGAAGATGGCTTTGCGCATGGAGGAGACCGCATGCGAGCGGGGGGTTTGGAGTGCGGACTTGCTGGAGGATGTTCGGCTGGAGGAGGAAAGACGGGGCAGGGGAGATTAAGCAGGTCTGGCAGCAATCAAAGGACGTGTGCGAGCGTGTTCAATGGGCAAGACGATCGACGCATTGGAGGAGGAACGAGACGGATATGAGAACTGGCGTAAGATGAGGGAAGGGTTCCCCTACGGTACGTGCCTTCTGGGGGGGGGGGGGGGCGGAGAAGGCTTGGGGCTGGAGGCGCTAAGAAACGGGCGGCCAGAAGGCAAGCGGTTGTCAGTGCTCGGGACCACGGAGCCGGGCTGTCAAATACGCGTGTTTCTCTGTTTCAGCCGGACGCAATGCATGGACCAGCCCCGTCAAACTTGGCCCAGCACCGCTTCAGTAAACTTTACAGACTCTCAGTTGAACTCGCGTAGCTTCTGCTCGACGCTGTACGCGCCAGGCGGCTTAGACTTGCTTGCTTGTGCTGCCCGTGACCTTCATCTTCGCTCGATCAATCGTCGCCGGCACGCTCTTCCCTTCAGATCCACTCTCGTCGCTTTCACGGACGGTTGGCAACAACACTGAGAGATCGGTGCAGACTACGAAGCAGCCATGCCATCCCGCTCGCGAACACGCAGCTCCTCGCGACACCGTCCAGACTCGAGAGACAGCCGCGACAGGTCTTCGCTCTCACGTTCGCGATCACGATCGCGAAGGTCGCCGAGCCGCTCACCGAGAGGCTATGGCGGACGCAATAGCAGGAACTTGTCCCGCAGCCGCAGCAGACGCTCACGCAGCTTCTCAAGACCTAGAGGCTACTCCAGAAGCCCAAGCAGGCGCAGGACGAGGAGCATTAGCCGCAGTCCCACTCCACCGCGCAGTGCAAAGGTATTCACAGCTGTCGTGTCGGCCGAAGCCCATTTGTTGACCATGGCTTCAGATTATCGTGGAAAAACTCACCAAGAATGTCACTGTGGCTCACCTTCGCGAAATATTCGAGCCGTTCGGAGAGATTCTTGACATCGACATGCCTCTCAATCCAGTCTGTCAGTACTTGACCCTTCGTTTCGCTACGGCGATCCTTTCTATGGCCCAAAGCTAACATCCACACAAGTCAACGTAAACCGTGGTACAGCTTACATCTTGTTCGCGACGCCCGCTGCCGCCGAGGCCGCCATGGCTCACTTCCACGAAGGGCAAATCGACTCGTCCACGATCAACGTGAGCATCGCTCTTCCTCCGCGTCGCTTCTCACGCTCACCGCCTCGCGCGACTGATGACCTGGACCCTCCGATGCGCGATCGTGAAGCGCGCCCCCCGCGCAGACGCTGGGGCAATGGTCCACCGCCAGGTCCCCGTAACAGCTATCGCCAACGCTCTTACAGCCCCCCGCCGCGGCGAGGCCCGCCTCCACGGTCACCTCCCCCGCCCCGCGGTGTCTATGGCAGGGGATACAGTGGACGAGGCCCCCCAAGAGGAGGAGACACATATTACCCAAACGGAGGAGGCCGAGGTCGAAGCCGTGACAGGAGCTACTCGCCACCGCCGATGAGACGCACAAGGAGCCCTTACAGCAGTTCGAGATCGCCGCCGCCTCGACGACGGGACAGTTATGGTAGCTACGGTAACTATGGGGGCTATGGTTCTAGTGGTCGCCGTCGTCGGAGTCCATCGTACGGGAACTACGGTTCCCGTAGCCGATCTCCCAGGAGGCGATGAAGGTGAGACAGGTATGTGATTGATTTAAAGATTCCCTCAACGTGTTGCACCATGCAGAACAACCCGAATCCAAGCAGCGCCGAGCCGCGCCTAGCAGAGCGGAGCGGAGCAGCCAATCAAGCTGTGAACCAATTCAGCGACGAATTATGTCACCATTGGCGGTGACGTTTATAGCCAAACTTGTATGAATATGAGTAGCCCAAAACGATCCCAAGGGCCAGAGCGGTATCCTCATACTTATGTATTACGACAATAATATCACGGGGATCACAATAGCATGTGAAAAGTATCAGGCAAAAAACACGTTGAGGCCATTGGCCCATACCCAGCAAGACGTAAACATAATAGTGGAGCGGAAGAACGATATGTGAAGCGGCGGAATACGCCATACTTTCTCAAATCAAGCTCGACCCAAAAAGGAAAGCTGCGTGCTCCAGCCATATCCCGACAGTTTTCCCAAACGTTAAATGATTGCGTTCATCTCTGCAGGTTCAGTCTATTAACACTCGCAAGCCTCTAAGCTACATTCGCAAAGTAAAAGAGTGCGTGGTATAATTAGCGAATGAAGTACAGCCAGCATCCAAAGGTTTTGTAAAACGCTCGCCCGTGCCTGCTCCTTACAAAGGGAGAATGAGTGAGTAAGAAGGTAATAAGAGAAAAGGTGGTGCCCGACGATCTTTGCAACCGAAGTTTGACCCACCAGCTCATCCAGGAGCGCTTCTGGATCTTTCGCCAACAATAATAATAGTAATGTTTAAAAAAAAGAATATCCTGCTGATGACGGAGAGCGCGGGTTCTACGCCATCTCGACGATGCTCGCCGCCACGCTCTTCATGGGCTTGTGGCCCTTGGTGAACGAATCGCCCGAGGAGGCTGGCTCAACCAGCTGGGGCGTCAGGGGCTTCCTCTCGACGAGAGTCTCGCCCTTTCCTTTCTCCACGCCCCTCGGACTCGTTCTCAACACAGGCCTTGCCTTTGCTCCCTTCGTAACGGACATGCTCCTTGCCACCTGGACCTCGACCTTTCCCGGCAGCGGCTGGCTCGTCATCGTCGCGGTCAGAGGATGTTTGGGCCTCCCGCCATTGAGCTTTGCGCGGTCCTTGTCCACGAGCGAGTTCATGCGCAGAGGGTGCCAAACCTGTGGCGGCGAGGGCGCCGCCTTATCGATTGGCGAGGGTTCTTCCACCACCCGCACCGTCTGCGCGCCTGAGAAGCGGTCCCCTGGTTCGGCAACCTTTCCAATCGTGATCATTTCCCAGTCGGGCTCCTGCATCGAGCGATCCTCCCATGAATTTGAGCTGCTCTTGCGCGTGTGGGCCGCATCGACCGCGAACGGATTGTACGACTGCACCGATTTGCCGTCCTCAGGCGTGGCGGGAGAGGAAGGTTCAGATGGGGTCGGCGTAAGGGCTTGCCGGTTGCGCTCGTCGCGACGAAGCTCTTGCTCGACGCGATCAAGCTCGTCTTCGATGCGTTTCAACTCGTCCTCTCCAGGCAAGTCTGACGTGGGTGGCGCGCTGTCCGTGTTAGATGCGAGATCTGTCTCTGTTCCAAGAGCTTCTGAAGTTTCCGACATGGGCGACAACTGATCCATTTTGTTATGTAGACCAGGTGAGAGTGCTCCTGGTGCTGTGTTGGAGCGTTTCAATGGCCTGGGGCGGTGCAGAAGAGACGTGTTCCTCTCGAGTGGTTTAGGCGAGTTTGTGCTTTCCGGGGGGAAGATCAGCAGACGGTAAGATGGAGAAGCATTTGGTGAAGCGTTGGTGTTACGTCGTTTCGGCACAGGTGGAATGTCCAAATCCTAACTCCACGTAAGCGAGATCTTTTTACCCATCTCTCATAAAGACGTACCTGAAGAGTCTGTGGATGCTGTCCTGTAATTCTACTCTCTCGCTTAGACTGTCTACGTGCCAGTAAGCCGCCTGGCTGCTTGGGCAAAATGCCATTGAACATGACACTGTATCGTTCCAAGGTAGTATTGGGAATTTCAACGTCGAGGAAGTCCTTCGGTGGGACTTGCGGGCTGTTCGGGTTTCTACGTCCAGTGGGAGCCGTTTGGGACCTACCGATGCCCAATCTTGGAGAGCTCGCCTGGGGTGGAGCGTCATAGCGAGGAACAGTGTCACTTCGCATGCGAGGTGACCTCGGACTAGCGTGCTCCCACGTGTGATAGTTGTTCAGGCCAGGGCCAGACTTAGGCGGGGCCTCTGGAGAAAGATGATCATCCTGCTGGCGTGCTTCTCGTTGGTCCCTTGGTTGGTTCTTTCTACCAAAGATTGACTTCCACCGACTTAGTTTTGGCTTGGATTGGGATGCATCTGCTCTCTGTTCTCGTGCTTCACGAAGTCCCGGGGTGCCCACCGGTGTAGCTCCGTTGCTTGGGAAATACGATTTCTCATGGACGGGAGACGGTGACCATCGGCTCTCAAACTGTGCGAGATGCGAAGGACTACCCAGGGCAATGCCAATGGTATCAGGCGTATCTGATCTTTCAAGATTCGGTCTTGGAGCCAGGGAACTATTTGCGTATCTGCTCATCAGTCGCGGCGAGGGCCCTTCCCTAAGCGGGGTTGGAAAGTTGAACGTCTGCTTCCCGTCGGTGACACTGATCGGATCTCCCATAGCCATAAGTCTCCTCCGACGTTGCTCGTCCATGGCGGCATTTGCAGTCTTTGGTCTTGAAAGCACCTCGAAGCCAGGCGTGCTTGCAGGAGAAGCATACCTACTTCTAGCAACCCCTACCAAAGGGGAGGAGGAGCCCGGATGCAGTGAAGATGTTTCGCTTGAAACCTGCTCAGAGCTCGGCATGCTGTCAACGCGGGATTCGACCGCAGGCTCCCTAAGTTTTTGATGCGATTTCGATCGAACCATAAGTCTAGCCATGATGGAAGGTTTTGACGCAGTTTTAAGCGACTGATGTGTACAAGTGGTGGGATATCAGAACCGAAGGAGCTAAAATGTCTCAAGTGAATGGGAAGCTTCCCGTGTACGAAGCAATGATAACGAATGTTTCGAAGAATAAGGAACGGACGGCTCTCGCAGAGAGCCAATGTTTCGATCGGTCGACCAGGTCGATATAAGACGCGGACTAGCAGACCTGATCACGGAGCTGCATAGCACGGCGGCCGGCCGACTACGAAGATGTTGCCTGAGAAGAGAAGACAAGAAAGGACTGACAAGAGTAGGAAGCGTAAACAAGGAAATGGAGCAAAGAGAGCAGACGCGTGCCGCTACATCACGAAAGGGATACCAGGACTTCATCAATGTCAAATGATGCGTGTAAGGCTCCGCTTGCCGCTCCACACAAAGACGGTCAGCATGTCCCTACGCGCGGAACGTTCGCAAGGCAAGCCTGGCTCCAACCAGTGCTGGAAAAATTCACGGTGCTGAAGCTGGCGCAGCCCAGGACCGAGGACAATGGAAATTGGCGTTTGGCAGCGAACCGTCGTTCGAGCACTGGATTGGAAGCGGCCAGGATTTGTGGTCAACATGAGGCGGACGCTGTTTCAGAATCATGGAGCGGGCCGAGAAATGAAGCTGTCCAGTGCGGCCAATTTGGCGGGGCCAATCAGAAGTCGGCAGGCCCACGCTTCGATGCCCTCGCCATCGTTCGCAGACACCGGCCTGGACGACTTCACAACCGCTGTGTCTTCGTCCAACATGGTTGGCTCTCTCGTACGACCGCTTCATTTGCGGGCCTCGCAGGTGCTGTGGGCAGCGCTCTTCTACGCTCGCGATGCCGTGTTGCGCCGGGACCTGGCTGCAAGACGTCCACCTCGCGCTCGAGGCCGACCTCGATGTTACCTCCGTGGCCTTTTTTCTCGAACCTCATCTCCCACAGGAGCTTCGAAACCCTGCCACGCGGCAGAAGCGGCCCCGCATGCTCCAACAACATAGAGCACGGCACGCGTGCTCCAGGGTCTTAAGCTTTCCATATCACCACCTTGCTGATCGTGCCTGGTCTTGGGCGAACTCCGAGATCTGGTCCCGAAGTACATGTCCCAGGATTTGAGACCCTGCTTGGTCGATCACTACGAGGGCAGTGATCTGCTTCTTCACATACTTCTGTAATTATTCCATCCGTCTCGCATACATCGTTCCGGAAACTGTTCGCTTAGGTGTGTTCACCTCTGCTGATGCCCCTACATGCACCTCGTGGTATACTTCACGCCCAAGGACACAAAAAAATGTTCCCACAGACTGAGGCTGTCTGCTTTGGCCTCTTATGGAATCTTCGCCCTCATCCAATTCGTATCAGTCCATGTAGCTAGTTGGATTCATTCCTTCGTCATGCCGGAGGAATTTCGCGAGCGCCTTATTAGCGTCGTGGACAACGGAGTAGTCCAAACTCTCAGAAAATGATTTGATTGAATCCTCCGCAGGGGTGGCGACCACGTCAAATCTTTTCATCTTTCACTTTGACTAATGGAGCTTACTTTTTATGTCACGATCTGATTGGCTCTGCAACGCGTAATCAAAGCCTCTTCCGTTCGGCTAAAAAAGAAAATAGAAAAAAAAATCACTCAACTTACGGTACTTGAGGCATATCGTCAAGTGAGAAACGGCTGGCATCTCATGTTGTTAGAGATTTCGCGACACGATTGAGAGTCATTCCCTCTTGATCGAGCCATAGCGAGGCTCTGAACTGGTCCACCTTACGAGACTGTGATAAATTGAGAATGCAAAATATTCTTGCGGATGTTGTCACGATCAAATTTTAAAAGCTCATATCTGAACATTCACTTGATTGGGAACGAATTTGCACAGAGCCTTGAGGTTAGATCGCAGAGATAAACCATGCCGATTACCGCTTCGTGCTCGTTACAGAGGAATGTTGCCGTAATCATGCTCCTATTCCAATGTTAGCAGATCACGACGCGAAAATTAGTCACGTGCAATGGTGCAACATACCTTGATGTATTCACCACCTTTCTCCATCCATTCCGCTCTCGTGACAAAGCTCTGCTTCGATCCGGCCTCTCCAGCCCACTTCGCAGCTCCTCGCCATGCGTCCAGAACCGGGTCCTTCGCCGCCCGAACGTTAAAGTGTTCTCCCTGTGCTAATACAGCCATGAGCTCCTTTCGCAACCTTTCCTCAAATCCTTGGAACAACGTGTTGCCGCCCGTCAAGAAGATATCCTTGAGCATGTCGCCCCTATACGGCGCGTCGACTAATCGCTCGTTGAGAATACCAGTAGCAATTTCGACAACCCCGGCTTGATCCAGTCCTGCGATCGAAGGCTGGAACACCACCTCTGGCACCCGTATTCGCTCAACGTTAAGGTGAACTTGATTCAGTTCCCGCTGGCTTTCCGGGTTGAAGGGCCATGGTCCTCGCAGGAAGGCGTGTACAAGGCTCTTTGTCCAGTCAAGCTGCGCCTCCCGTGTGCTGTCCTCCGTGAAATTCGGATCGAATTTCAACAGCTGGCCTTCGAGGTTCTTGAGCTGAGCATCGAGATCCTCCTCTTCATCGTCGTCACTTTGATCCCCCGTCTGCACTTGGCGGTAGACAGCCCAGTCTGCATCGTCGGCACCAAAAGTATCATCGTCACCACCGCGGCGTCTCTTTTTCGAAGTGTTCTCCGACGCCAAGTTTGCAATAGTCTTCATGCGCATCTGGTTAGCCAGAGATTTGCGATTTCCTAGATCAGCTTTCAGGCGATCTCGTTCCTTTATGCGCTGCAAGAGCTCCTGTCTTGCTTGCCTCCTCTCGTCGACCCAGCCCTCAAGGTCGTTTTCTCTTCGTTCGTTATCTAATCGCTCCTCCTCTGCTATCCGAGCCTTCTCCCTCTCTTTCTCGGCTTTGGCTCGCTGTCGCGCCTCGTAATTTGACTTCATCAGTCGTTGCTGTTTTTTCTCCTTTTTCTGCTCTTCGTCCAGCTCTGCATCATCGATGTCTAGGAGAGGGAAAGTAGGTGGCTCTGCTTGCTCTTCCTCTACCTCCTCGCCCAGGTCCTTCTTCCGTGCTTTGGTTATTGCCTTATCTAAATCACGAATCCGCTTTTCGAGTTGACTTTCATCATCGAAATCCTCGGCTTCTAACAATTGCCTGACTTGCTTCTTTGGTAGATCTGCAAGCCTATTCCGCAGTTGCTTATAGTACTCAAGTTCTTGTTCCTTGTCCATCAGTTTCTTTAGACGCATCTTCGCTGCTTGCTCTTGCAGACGTCTTCCACTCTCTTTCTTACGTTCTGCAATCTGTGCTAGCTCCTCCTCTGTTTTTTGGACTACAATTTGTTCGGTGAAAGGGTGTTGTATGACATGATCTCGATCCTCTAGTCCCGTCCAATCGAGAAAATGGCAAATCTCATCCTGATAATCTTGAGCGATGTAGCAATGATCTCGTACAAGGTCTTCAGCTTGCGGATCAGTAATTTTGCCAGGAAATGTGGGGTACTTCAGTCTAAGCAACTTAAGCAGATAGTCTGCACTTTGTTGCCGACCCCAATTCAGCCTTGTGGCGTGCGTAAGCATGGCTTTGGAGTTGACCACTGGTATGAGGTGGGTCGAAGTGTATGAAGAAGATATCACGAGGCCAGTCTTTCCTTTGTTGTATTTATACGAGAAGAGTGAGTCGATTCCGTAAGCAACGGATGTAGCCCCGTAGCATTCGAACAAGATCTCCGACATGGCTGTTCGCTTGATTAGCTTGGTATTTCGCCAGCGATGGACAGGTACTTACTTCTTCTTGTATATCCTAAATTGGCCACAGGCTCAGTCATGACAATCGGTCGCTCAATGCCCGTACTCGAATCGCCGTCAATTCCAAGTTTTATGAAGATATAGTCGAGAACACCTTCTACTGCATCCCAGTTGTTCACGATATTGTTGCCTGGCTCATATATGTTCTTGGCTTGTCCTCTTGCTGTACCATCCGCGTACACATCCGAGCCGACGAATGTGAAGTAACGATTCAGCTTTCTGTCCTTGTATCGCGCCCAAAGGGGTGGTATCGTGATACGGGGTTTCAAGTCAAATGACCAACCGGCGCGTACGTTTGAAGATCCTTGGTCTATGACTATAGCCGTATCGCGATTACTGTGCTCGTAGCCCTGGGGGTCTGGCGCTTTATAGCCTTCAAAGGGTGGCTCGCTGAGAGTCCATATCTTCGCAGGTGCAGGCTTAGGCGAATTGCGACCTGACTCAGCGATTGGTGTGTCTATGAGGCCTGGCATGTTGATACGTTCTACGTGCTATTCCACTAGAGTCCTCGTAAACAGATGCAATAAGACGCTCGTCTGGATGTCGCTCGCACTCAGCGGTAGCGCAAGGAGTGTTTTGGAAAGGGATTTCGAGGTGAGGCGCGACAGAATTTCGCCCGAGACTTGGGGAAGTGGGCCGAACGCAATCAAGGTTTCGACATAATTCAAACGCAGATAACGAAGCTAGCCATCAAACTGGCATCTGGTATTTGAGCATGCTCGACATTCAAGATGCGGACTTCCGTGTGGTCTGAGCTTTGGAGATGCGACCACACGCGCGCTTATTCTCGTGTTTTGAGAGATCACAACAGCTCAGAGACGCTGCTATACTGCATGTAATTTTGGAATTTAATGAAATAACTGGAGAAGCTTAATATTCCATAAGCTAAAGCGCTAAATAATGGCAACATAAGGGCACCTCCTATCAGCTCCATGGTATACTCCTATCCTTCGCTCCATTTCTCATGATGTTTAAACATATACACCCTGTCCAAGCGTACGACTGGCCTCAAAATCCTTTTTCATTCAAGAAGGTTCCTTGAGCTCGTCGGTTGCTACGCACATTAGCAGTCAGATCGTAGACCGGCGTTCACAGCTTCGTACCTTCAAGATGGAAGAGAACATTTGACTGATAGTTTTTGAACATTTGTGCTACCAGCTCGACGTTCATGTTTTGAAAGTTGATTTCCTAGGTCAAGTTGGTCTGGAGGTCCAACCCTAGATACTACATAAACGTACTTGCAAGCTTTTGTTCAACACCATGATTGCTTCGTTGAGTTTCTCCTATCGAAGGTCAAAACAACGCGTCAAACCTCGTGTCGAGGTTTATGCTGACCACATTAGTGATAATGCGAGAGAGCAGCAGGCTCTGTTGATGTTCGTGTGGGCTCTCCTAGTTGTTTATGTCAACATAGAATACAATTTCCACGTGCACAGGAGACGCGTACCATTCTATTTATCAAAATGAACTACTGAGTCCCGCAGAGAGGATATTTGAATAAAAGACAGAGTTTGAGATACGGTTGTGTCACCATTCTAATCCCATGCTGGGAGGGTATGAAGGTGGTCCTTCGGGGCGCGCTTGTCGCGTCTATTACGGCAGGTGATTGACCACCCAAACACATCTCGACTTCGAGATTTAGGTCACGATCGCACCTTACGCAAAAACTAATCCGCCATGGCTCCAATAACTAATTCTTCAAACGAAGCAAATCACCAAGCTCTACTCGATAAACTCGACATATATAGCGTCCCAAAACCATTTCGCAATCCATCATGGAAACCACCCCAACGCCGCAACAAGAATCTTCGTCAGATAATATCTGAAGCGCAACGCAAAGAAGCCTCTATGATGGGCTCGCAAGCCGTGTCAGGTTCCTCGACGCCAATTCCAGCATCGGACTTTGCATCGACAGGTGCTATGACTCCAGTCTCAAACGGTAGCGTCGCCCATCACGGCAACACGAACATCGCCCAGGCGGCGCAACGCCTTGATCGCCTGGTGTTGGAACGGAATCAACAAGCCGCATTGGGGATAACCAAGCCAAGTGGCGACACTGGTAGTGCATTTGGGGGCGGAGCGCAGAGCATGAGCGTCACATATACAAACATTGAAAGCGCACCGAGCTTGCACCCCAGTAGCCAAAAGAAATACTGTGACATAACAGGACTGCCGACGAGCTACACGGACCCAAAGAGCAAGTTGAGATATTACAACGCAGAAATATACAACTACATCCGGGCGATGCCTCAAGGACAGAAGGAGGGTTATTTGGCAATACGTGGGGCTCATACGGTACTTAAGTGAAGATCGGTTAGGATGGATCTGGACAAATATATGCACTAAACATGGCTCCCAATGCCAGAAGAACCTGTAAGGACCTCGAGATTTTGCCAAACGCTCACATTGGCAATGTATCGAGCAGCCTTCTGTTAAGCGCAGCAGATGATAGATATTACCTTTGAAGAATCGCGCTTGGCGAGGACTAAGACTGAGGATCAGGCAGTAAAGTAATTCTGGTGGCACTCGGTCGTGTCTGTTGCCCTTTCTTGCAAATCGGTATTTGAAGGGGACCTCAATGTTCTCAAGAACGAAAACGAAAACAGCTTTGTACAAGCACCCAATGTTCATGTATCGTTCCAACTTACGAACGAAAAAGATAAGATTGGCATAACCACGTTACACATTGTTTCCTTAACCCAATCGATGTCTATCTTGCGCTGTATCAAGTAGAAATGCAAATGGCATCTGATTGACTGCAACAATAGGATCCATCCTCTTTATATATGGTATGGTTTTAATAGTGTAATGTGTGGCTACTGAGCTCAACGGCGGCATTTAGCAAAACCTTAAAGTCTCCAGCCATATAAAAACGAAGCCCTACTCTTGTCTCTCGATCGAGCTGATGCTAATAGCACTTGTCTAAATCTGGCCCTGGATACGCAATTACTAAAGGCCGTTGATGATTCCATCCATGAACATCAATTGATGGTAGAAGTCTTTTCGGTTGGCAATCACGACCAGCAAGAATTATTAGAATCGTGAAATTTGAGCAATTAATGAATTTTTTATTCTGGACGTTTGGACAAAATGTTCACATATTGAAATGGGAGATCAGCGAAAGCCAGCCAATGAGCGGGGTGATAAATGCAACCCTATCGAATCACACCTATTCAATCTTCCATCTTACTGCCAAACAAAATATGGGCCGACACTTTGAACATAGCAACCATGCAGACCAACATTTTGAGAATAGAAGAGACCGTTCTCGATCGCGTTCTCCATATAGACCCTCACAGTCACATCGACACAAGCGTAGACGCACGGAATCCCCAGCATCAAGGCCACAAGTGCTGCCCTTCCATGCCCCGCTTTTAAGCAAACATGACTTCAGAGAATACAAGGCCATTTTTTCGCTCTACCTCGATGTGCAGAAGGAACTCCAGCTAGATACCCTCGATGAGCGGGAAGTCAAAGGACGTTGGAAGAGTTTTGTAGGAAAGTGGAATAGAGGAGAGCTGGCCGAGGGATGGTATGACCCGAGCACGAAGAAGAAAGCGGATCATTCTGCATTGACTTCCGATCTTCAGAATCATACACCACAGGAGAACGAAGAACATGATGTTAGCACGCGAGATTATTGTTCTCGGGCACAAGGTAATCAGAGCGACGATGAGTCCGAGGACGACGAATTTGGCCCTTCACTACCAGCAGAAACAAGGAGCGGCAAGATATCAGGACCAGCAATACCAAACATGCAAGAACTCGAACTTGCAGCTGAGCTCCGAGCCGAAGAACAATCTTTGGCTCGAGCCGAACTCGCCTATAGCCGCCGAGTAGATCGAAAACTACAGAAAGAACAGCTTGAAGAATTGGTTCCGCGCGCGGATCCCGGTTCTCGTGAGCGACAACTGGAGAAGAAGAGGCTATTAAATGCGACGATTGGCGGATTCAAGGAAGCAAAAGAGGGTGGTGAGGTAGAGGTTGGGGATAGTGACTTGATGGGTGACGACGGTTTGGAGGGTTTCAAGAGAAGGAAGGCGGAGATGGAAAGGAAGAAGACTGAAAGGGAATTGAGGAAGGAGGAGCAATTGAGGGCGAGACGCGCGGAGAGGGAGATGAGGCTAATGAAGGCGAAGGAGAAGGAGGAGAAGACGATGGAATACCTGAAGGCGTTGGCAAAGGAACGATATGGCTGAATGAGTCTGCCATAACTCTCAGGCTACGAGGCCCTTAACCAGCCAACAATGGCATCCAGAGTGTAGAGTGCTGGAACGCCGTGGAAAGTAATTGAAGCTTTATGATTGATTCTTGCTCATATCAAAAGCCTCGCAAAATATGCATCGAGGCCCCATACATAAGACCATAGTACTCCATGCCATGTTCGCATTTGATTTGTTGTTGCAATAGCACACAACTAGAGATTTTTGCACATTCAGCCCATCTCTTCTCGAACCACATTTGAACAACGAGAACACCAAGATTTCGCTGTTTAACGGTACGATTTCTGGTATCTTGCGCGGGCACCTGGACCACCGAACTTCTTCGGCTCCATTCTCCTGTTGTCGGCTACGAGCAGCGTGCGGTCGTACTGAACAAGGGTCTGCTTGATCTGGTTCTTCGCGTACTCATCAACATATTTCTGGTAGTAGGCGACGATGGCCTTTGCGATAGCCTGGCGGATAGCGTAGATTTGCGAGGTAGATCCACCACCGGAGACGCGCACACGAATGTCAACACCGGCTAAAATTTGCAAGCGTCAGCATTCGAACTAATTTCATGCCACAACTGGAGTATAAGTGAATGCCTACCGAACTTATCAAGACCAACCAGCAGGATTGGCTCGTAAACCTTGAAGCGCAGGATCTGGGGCTCGACGAGGTGCAGAGGCTTTCCGTTCACTTTAATGAGGCCCTTGCCGCTGTTGTCTGGTCAGAATGATATGTGCAATTCGTGTATACGAGAGGTGAATCTGCGATGTATTCGAACATACGCTTTGCAGTGTGCTACCGCTGTTGAATATGTCAGTATACTAGGTTCGCCGCTTGAAACTGGGTGGAATGCAAAACCTACCTGTTGCGGTCTTCTTCTTGCCGAAGCTGCGCATACTGTCAGTCTGTGTCTCTCATTTGTAACAGCAGGTAGCCGTACGTCTGTACGCTCTGGGAAGCCATGCTGGATTATCAGAATGGCGAATGGAGCGAGGTGTGGATATTTGCCGTCGTCGTCACTGCGATTGAAGTCCGAAAGAATTGGTGCATGTGTGGGCTTGGCGTAGATTTCGCAAGGCATTTTGGCCTGTGCGCTCTTCTTTGCCTTGTAAGTTAGGCATAAATACATTCTCATGACAGTAACATTAGCTTTAGCGCTTCTGCACACAAAGTTTTCTAGCACACAACATGGCTTCCTCGTCAACCTCAATTTACAGAGGTACACGTTGCTAAAATCGAAATGAATGGTGAAACCGAGCATTACAAATGATTCGAGCTCTTTTAACTACCTTATTCTAGCGTACATTATGCTGCTCAACTTAGCGTTCTTGCTCCGCAGATGCTGTCAACGAGAACACTGAATTTGTGTATAATCTCTCGAATCAAGTCGTACGAGTTCTTCTCTTGGCTGACACCACCGGTTACACCGACGGTCATCAGGCCTAACTTTATCAGTTCAAATTGTCTTGATGCAATGGTAACAAGCATAACAAAGGCTTGCGAGTCTGGAACCCCTTTCGCGTAGATAGCCATGACCAACAAGGCCTGTATGGACAGCAAACTCGCTGGCTCGAAGATGAGCCGATGAAGCACCAACGTAGCATTTTTGTAGCATTCATCCGGAATACTGCCCAGTGATTTCTCTGACCCAGGGGCTATTTTGGATCGTACAGCCAAACCAAGAACCGCGTTGACAAGACTCCACCTTGCGTATTCACCAGCAGGCTCTGTAGTGTTGGCTCTGTATTGTGCATCAAGATACTCCATGAATTCTGGGAGTTCAAGCACCTTGTGTCCGGCCATAATGTCCTCAAAGCAGCGAGGCACAAGGACGCTTACAATTGGAAACGGCAAGAGCGGCGTTGCCATCTCAAGTGCTTTCGATGATGCGGCTTTTTGGATTCCCTTTAAATAGCAACCAAATTTTCCAGGGAGCAAAAATTCTGGGAATCCCCAATACCGCATTCTTTCTGAGAGATCGAAGGTAACTTCTTCCCCAGAACAGGATGACCGCTCAGGCTGAGATTCGGCTGTAGCTCTGAGTTTTACAGTGCTTTTACAAGCGGAAGGAGTTTCAAATTCCTGATGAGAAGTTGGTTCCGAGTCGAGTCCGGTCTTTCTTCTTTGACTCGATACTGTCTCCGCACAAGTCTTAGCAGGCCTTTATGTTTCCATTATTCTGTTGTTCATTCTCCTTCAGCGTTCAAGATAGAAACAGCAACTCACCGTTTAGCTGGTCCTCTCATTCTGCGGAACGCTGCGTAGGTGCATTCTGAGCCTTGCGAAGCACAATTGCTGCATGATGGTACCTGCCCGTCGCAGCGTCTCTTACGGGTTTTACAGCGTGAGCAAGCCCATGGGAAAGTGAGCTTATGCTTTGCTTATTTTGTGTTCGTTCAGGATTGAACTAAGTTGACTCACAATATAGGTTTTCTGTAGCTTCTCTGCGGCAATCTCCGCATCCGTCGAATGCATGGACTCAATAAATTGTTCCAAAAGGTTATTTTGATACCTTCGGGCTATTCAGGAAAATCGGTGGAAGCAAACTGAGCGTCCTAAGCTGCAAATGCTTTTTTTACTTGCCGTTGCGGAAGCTAATCTACCCCCGCCACCACGTTAGAACATTTGCATCCGCAAATGCTTGTTCAGATTAATAAAGCCAGCGAACCAGGAACGTGAAATTCCATAGAACGCATAGGTAAATCGGAAATGAACTCATTAATCATTGTAAAGATTTGAAATCAATTGTCATGAATAAGATGATCGAAAAATGCTGCAGCATTGCTTCCGCGTCGATCGTATATATGAACTGAGGAGCTATATATCAGTGTCCTACGTTTATTTAAACGATTGTTTCAAATATTTGTACTTTCGAATCGCAAGTTGAAAGAATCACTCGAGCACCCGCATAAGTTGCAGAACCTACGACATGGGTACTTTCACTCGTGTAAATGATGCACTCTTGTCCAATCCACTACCAAATGCGACCGAGATTCTCTCCTCTGGTGGAGACGATTGGTTGTGGGCAGCCACCGCTGTCTTCATACTGGCATTTGTACGTTCCACGACCTTCATCTTGATATTCCGTCTCATGTGTCTGTCATGCAGATCTGCTAACTTTGGTGGTCTTAAAGCTTGTCGTCCTCGTCCCCTGCTTCACTGCACCTGAAAACCAGCGCGTCTTCCATTATCTCTTTGTTATTACGCTTCTCACCGGCGCAATTACATATTATGCTCAAGCATCTGACTTAGGTTGGATCGTTGTTTTCGACGATAGCCATCCAAGCCGTCAGATATTTTACGTACGATATATTTATTGGACTTTGTCGTTCCCGGCCGCAGTTCTAGCTCTGGGTCTCGCATCCAATTTATCTTGGACAACTATCTTCACCAATATCTTCACCGTCTGGATCTGGATTTTGACATATCTCACAGCGGCATTCACGGCTAGCTCGTACAAATGGGGATTTTTCTCCTTCGGTACACTTTGCTGGTTAATTGTGACGATGAGTACGCTGAACGAGGGTCGTGAAGCGGCCACACGCGTTGGTATTGGAAAAGATTACATGCTGCTTTCGGTTTGGCTTAATGGTGTGTGGCTCCTTTACCCTGTCGCATTCGGTTTGAGTGATGGTGGTGGTGTGATCGGTGTGGCAAAAACTGCGATTATGTTTGGAGTGCTCGACATATTGATGATGCCAGTTCTCAGCCTCGGCTTCATCTTCATTATGGGAAAAAAATGGAATTTCGAAAAGCTACACCTTGCTTTTAGTGAGCATCGTTATCCCCCTTGCATATCGGACGTCTAGACGCCAGGTCGAAGCGCCTGGGTCGAAGCGTCTTACCTCTAATCTGGTTTGTTGACGGCATAAAGCCATCATATCTGTGTGAAATAGAACGTCCCCGGCTTTGACAGATAGGACTCTCAACTTATTTAATTGCTCCGGTCATGTCTATTCAATAAGCAAGTTCTTGTTGATTCGTGCAAGCTGTTATGAGATTGCAATACCTTTGTTAGCCTGGTCTGATTGGCTGCAGATGTGGGACGTGGCTCTATGCTCGAGGCTGAAGCTCCGCAGGTTGAAAAATACAAAATTATCTTTGATGGGTTTTGATGTCCGTCTCCGTTGCTCACTTGATTTCCCCTGGCTGAAGGCATTCATGTGTGTCGTAGCATCCTGCAAGATAGTTCGCTCACGAGAGAGCTTCGAGAAGTCAGCTCCATACAAGTACCATGCCCTAAGCGGTGTGCGATAAACAACATCCGCCAGAACATTTAAAAATCACGCAGAGTTTCGAGTGTGTTTTCAAGCGATTAGGTTGTCTCCAGACTTCCTGCTACTCTGCAGAATCTATCATCTTGTAGCAATCGAAGGAGGTCCTGTCCGACCCAATCTTGGCTCAGAGCTTAGACACTAGAACAACTTCGAACTCAAGGACCAGCATCCTGGTATCGTAAAGCTTCCAGACCTCGGACCTTCATCGCGAGACTCAAAGTCGGAACGTCACTGCTTTTTTTACCTTGAATTGCCTACGGTTATCAATCACATGAATTAGCAAGAGTTCTTCGTGATTCTCAAATCAGAGCCACCCTGAGGCGGGGAAGCGTGGGGTAAGCATCATTAACGCACAGTCATCATCTGCGACAAGACTTTTCGTGCAACGTCCGTCCTCGTCTTGCGGCTCCTTCATCGAATCACGAAGTCGAAATCAGAAGTGTTCGATCGACTCTTCGGGCCAGGTTAGGTGCTCACACGACCTAATTCTGGACTGCGGCACGGGTGACGTTGTTCGTGCCGAACCTAGCTCAGCCGTCTAGCTTTCGAGGCACGCTCCCCGGATTCTTATCGTAAAGACCCAATCAATGGATCCCAACTCGACATCCCCCACGTCGGTTTCCCCAGGTTCGCAGCCTGTCGACGTGGGTAAATTGGCTTCCGCTGGAGAGATATCACCAACTACGCAGCCTGTGACCGATCCTCCCGCGTCTCAAGGAACACATGATGCTGGCGCTGTGAAATGGCCTGGTGCGCCGCTCGAACTTCCTTCATCTGCAACAGTGTCCCTCGACAACATTCGAGATGCAAGGAAGCCGTCTATCCAGATTAAGCCTCACTCCGTAATGTCAGGCGAACCGAAGAAGAGGCCTTCGAGCCAGCGGAGACGTTTATCATCTCCTCCGCCGCCGCCGTGAGTATTTCGCATGTGTAGAAGCACAGCAAGCTAATCGTGGAAAAGAGTGTTCCGATCTAGGGTGTCTTTTGATACCTTTGAGATACCAGATAAGAAAGAGGAACCTACAACAGAGCCACCATCCTTCACATTGAACTCCAAACATAAGGACTATGAGTACAATAAGAGATCCCGAACATTTCTATGTGGTCTTGACTCCAACGATTACTCCGAATATGCTCTCGAATGGCTCATTGATGAGCTCGTTGATGATGGAGACGAAGTCGTGTGCCTTCGAGTTTTAGATCCAGAGGTTGCGAAAGACCGTCTACCGGCCAGTAGGTACCGTGAAGAGGCCGAGATGGTCATGAGGTCAATTGAGAAAAAGAACCACGAGAACAAAGCCATTAACCTTATTCTTGAGTTCTCCGTTGGAAAAGTTGAGAGAGTCATCAAAAGAATGGTAGAATGGAACTCTTTAAAAAAAATACTACAATGTTCTAATTCTTCTAGATTGAATTTTATGAACCCGCAATTTTGATCGTGGGCACGAGAGGACGCAGTCTGGGAGGCTTCCAAGGTCTGTTACCGGGATCTATCTCAAAATTCTGCCTCCAGAACTCTGCAGTCCCCGTTATTGTCGTGCGACCAAACATGCAACGCTCACGGGGCAAACGAAAACGTCAGCAAGACCCGACACGGCAAGGATACAGAGACCTGCTTGACCGCGCTGGCTTTGAAGGTCATATACTTGACGAGAAGAATCGTTACAGTGTTGATTATCTCGGCGGGAAGGAAGAAGAACGACCCGCATCTACAGACGAAAGTGCTGCTGTGGCTGCAGCAATCGGGTTCAGGAAGCAGGAACGTTCTGCATCTAAAGGCAGTCCACTCACTAAGGTTGAATCAGCAACCACCGACGTGACCACAACGACAGAAAGCGAAGCAGGTAGCGAATCTGGAAACGCGAGACTAATGAAAAGTCCAGAAATGATAGGATTGGAAAGCCCCGAGCTTAGCGGCGAGTCTGCCTTTGGTGATGATGATACTGAAGGTGAAGGACCATCGACGCCTTCAAGTCCAGAAACTCTTAGCCGCCAGGCCCCGAACGTGATCGTAAGAAGGGCAACTGGCGAATTGGAATGACATTGGCATGCGTCGTCACCATGTAAGGCGACACAATCGATTTACTTTTCATGAAGTGACGGAAAGGCTGAATGCCGCTACAAATGCGGCGGGCGTCGATCATGTATGTAGTGGAGCACTCTTAGAACATAAATGAGTTTTCGTATAGCCATGTATTCTACGTATCTCGAATAGAAATAAAGCCACACGTTAAATGCGACGTAGCAATGAGATTCCGGCTATCTGCGATGTCTGAACATGCTCTAGCTACTTCGTTCATTACTAGGAAACGCACGGACCTCCGTCAGGTGTCCTTGGAACCTTAGCAACTCCTCGCAGTGACCGCGACCGACGGTCATGACAGGAAATAATTTCTGAATCTTCAACTCTACTGACCTACCGCTTCTGGATCCAACTAAGCGGTTGTAGCTATAATATGTGCGCGTAGCGGCTGCGTCCAGGCAGACGCGCAGGAGGGGACGAGTATCATGTCTCTCGTTAGCAAAGAAGCCCTCGATCGGCTCTTCTCAGAGCTCAAGAGCAAGTATGTAATGTTCGGAACCCAGTCTATCAGTGTTTAACTAACTTACGTTACAGAAATGATGAGGTCCGGTTGCGAGCCGCAGTAACACTGCGCCAGAATCTTGAGGCCGTTCACAGAGGTAGGAATCTACGTTGAGTGAACCACTTGACGACATGACGGGCTAAACATGTGTAGAATTACCTGCAAGCCAGTTCCAAGCACATTACAATGATATTACGACGCGCATTTCGATTTTGGTCGTTCAAGGAAATGACACAAATGAGCGAATAGGTGGCATTCATGCTCTAACGGCTCTCATCGATTTCAAAGGCGACGATGCATCCCTTAAAGCGACGCGATTTGTGTCGTGGCTACGACGCATATTGCAGGGAAATGATACGACCGCCATGATAGTAGCTGCCCGTGCTCTCGGTCGTCTAGCAACACTAGGCGGCACAGTCACAGCCGAGCTGGTTGAGGCAGAGGTCAAGACGGCGCTCGAATACCTACAAACAGACAGGCAAGAGAACAGGAGATTTGCAGCAGTGCTAACTCTGCGCGAGCTGGCTCGAAACTCACCCACACTACTCTTCCAGTGGGTGCAGCAGATTCTAGAAGTGATATGGGTCGCACTACGAGACCCCAAGGTCATGATACGCGAATCAGCAGCTGAGGCAGTAAGCGCATGCTTTGAGATCATGTCCGCAAGGGACCAGGACATACGAACAAAGACTTTCACCAAAGTCTACGAAGAGGTCATTAGAGGCTTCCAGATCAATACGATTGAATCGATTCATGGCTCGCTGCTTACCATCAAAGAGCTATTGCTGAAGGGCAACATGTTCATGCATGGCCCGCGATATAAAGAGTCTTGCGAGTTTGTCATGCGTTACAAGGATCATAAGGATGGTCTTATACGGCGCGAGGTCATCAATATCATCCCGACTCTAGCTTCTTATGCCCCTTCAGAATTTACAAGTAGCTACCTGCACCAATGCATGCTGCATCTTACGGGCTTAATCAAACGAGACAAGGATAAGAGTGCGGCCTTTGTTGCAGTTGGAAAGGTTGCGGGAGCAGTTGGCAGCTCGATTGCACCGTACTTGGAGGGAATATTGGGCTACATTCGAGACACGCTGACGGCCAAGGCCAAGAATCGAAGCATCAATGAGGCTCCTGTTTTTGAATGTTTGAGCATGATTTCCATCGCGGTTGGTCAGGCTCTCAGCAAGTACATGCCAACACTACTTGACCCTATCTTCGCATGTGGCCTCAGCAATTCCCTTACTCAAGCTTTGGTTGATATGGCACACTACATACCTCCAGCTAAACAGGTTATCCAAGAAAAGCTGTTAGATCTGCTAAGTCAGGTGTTGAGCGGTCGACCATTCATACCACTTGGAAGCCCCTACCATAGCACTGCAATCCCGCAGATATGGACACGGGATCACAAGGATCCGGCAACTATCGAGCACAAGGAAGCTGAAATAGCTTTGGCTCTGGACACTCTAGGAAGCTTCGACTTTTCCGGTCACATACTGAACGAATTCGTCCGTGACGTCGCCATTCGATACGTAGATGCGGACAATCCAGCCATTCGCAGAGCGGCGGCCCTTACTTGCTGCCAGCTGTTCGTTCGCGATCCAATTGTTTTTCAGACAAGCCACCACGCGATCCAAGTTGTCGGCGACGTAATTGAGAAATTGCTCACTGTAGGCGTTGCCGACCCTGAGGCCGAGATTCGTCGAACAGTTCTAATGTCGTTGGATGCTCGCTTCGATCGTCATCTAGGCAAAGCTGAGAACGTCCGCACTCTCTTCCTTGCCTTGAATGATGAAGTCTTCGTTATTCGAGAAGCAGCTATGACCATCATCGGACGATTGACAACCGTCAATCCAGCATATGTATTCCCATCTCTTCGAAAAGTTCTCATTCAGTTGTTGACCGATATTGAGTACTCAAATAGCGCTCGGAACAAAGAAGAGAGTGCTCGTTTAATCAGCCATTTGGTGGGAGCATCTTCCAAGTTGATCAAACCCTATGTGCAACCGATGGTTAAGGTACTTTTGCCAAAGGCAACAGATCCGAATCCTGAAGTTGCATCTACAACCTTGCAAGCGATTGGCAATCTTGCGGAGGTTGGCGGCGAAGATATGAAAGAGTTCATCCCTGAACTGATGACTATCTTCATTGAAAATTTGCAGGACTTGAGCTCAGACTCGAAGCGAACGGCGGCACTGCACGCTCTTGGACAACTTGCCGAGAGCTGTGGTTATGTGATTGAACCGTATAGGCAGTACCCAGAATTACTCACAATCCTGAAGAACATCATTCGAGAACAACAATCGAGTATTCTCAGACAAGAGGCGGTAAAGCTTCTCGGAATACTTGGTGCAATCGACCCCGATGAACAGGACAAGCTAACTGAAAAGATTCAAGAGGCGCAGATAGTTGAGGAAGCAGAGGAAGTTTCGGACGTTTCGTTGATCATGAAAGGTATCACTCCCTCCACGGAAGAGTACTATCCGAAAATCGTCATCCAAACCTTGATGGGTTTACTGAAGGACATGTCCCTCGCACAGTACCACTCCCAGGTCATCGAGGCAGTAATGAACATTTATCAAACGATGGGATTGAAGTGCGTCGGATTTCTAAAATACGTTATTCCTGGTTTTGTGTCTGTCATCCGAGCAGGTGGTCCTATTGCTGCAGAGGGTTACTTCAACCAGCTCGCAACTCTGGTTCGAATTGTTCGACAGCATATTCGGCCGTTCTTGCCATCCATTCTATCCCTTGTCCAGGATTTCTGGAGCGCTTCACCACAGCTACACGCGACGATTCTGACACTCATCGAATCCATTGCGAAAGCCCTAGAGGGAGAATTCAAGCTATATCTTGCTGATGTTCTACCTTTAATCTTAAGTGTGCTGGACTCGGATAATACAGCCAAACGAACCCCTTCGCAGAGAGTGCTGCATGCTTTTTTGGTATTTGGTTCAAGTGCAGAGGAATACATGCATCTGATCATTCCGGTCATCGTTCGTATGTTCGACAAGATCGGACAACCTCAACACATTCGGAAGCAGGCTATGGAGACGGTCGGTCGCCTATCAAGGCAAGTGAATATCTCTGAATTTGCCGCCAAGATAATTCATCCATTGGCAAGAGTGCTCGCCGGACCTGACGTTTCGCTCAAGCCAACAGCACTCGACACATTGTGTGCTCTAATCTACCAGCTTGGAGCTGATTACCTTCACTTCTTGCCAACTATCAACAAGATCTTGGCCACGCAGAAAATACCTCACAACAATTATGCCATTATTATATCCAAGCTGCAAAAGGGTGAATCATTACCACAAGACCTTAGCCCGGACGAGAAATATGGCGAAGACGATGATGACCATCTGTATACCGACGTCAACATGAAAAAATTAGCAGTCAACCAGCAACATCTCAAGAATGCTTGGGAGGCGTCTCAGAAGTCCACAAAAGAGGATTGGATTGAATGGATGCGTCGTTTCAGTGTTGAACTTTTGAGAGAGTCCCCACAGCAGGCTCTACGTGCATGCACCATGCTTGCAAGCGCATACAATCCAATAGCTAAGGCTCTGTTCAATTCAGCCTTTGTGTCCTGCTGGACGGAACTTTATGACCAGTATCAGGAAGAACTTGTACATGCTATTGAAACAGCCTTGACTTCAGCAGAGATTCCCCCTGAAATCTTGCAGATGCTCCTAAACCTCGCAGAATTCATGGAACACGATGATAAGGCGCTTCCTATCGATGTGCGAACACTCGGAATGTACGCTGCTAAGTGTCATGCTTTCGCCAAGGCCCTGCATTACAAGGAGCTTGAGTTCAATGCTGAACAGAACCCAAGCGCGGTTGAAGCACTCATCAGTATAAATAATCAATTGCAACAATACGATGCAGCTTTTGGTATCTTGCGGAAAGCTCAAAATTACAACGACGTTGAACTGAAGGAGACTTGGTTTGAAAAGCTCTTCCGATGGGAAGAAGCTCTTCGTTCCTACCAGAAGCGTGAGAAAGAGAGCGGCGAAACGTTCGAGACAACTATGGGTAAAATGCGCTGCCTACACGCGCTCGGCGAGTGGGAAACCCTATCCTCGCTCGCTCAAGACAAATGGATACATGCTAGCGCTGAAGTTCGAAAGACAATTGCGCCACTGGCTGCAGCTGCTGCATGGGGACTCGGTCAATGGGAACTCATGGATCAATATCTGGGTGTTATGAAAGCTTCTTCTCCAGATCGATCCTTTTTCGGTGCCATATTAGCGATTCACCGCAACCAATTCGACGAAGCACATGCACATATTGACAAAGCACGTGGCCTCCTTGAGACTGAGTTGAGAGCTTTGTTGGGCGAATCATACGATCGAGCGTATCTCCAGATCTTGCGTGTGCAAATGCTTGCTGAATTGGAGGAGATCATGGTCTACAAACACAACCAAGCATTAGGAAACGTTGAGAAACTTGAGCTTATGAAGGAGACTTGGATGAAACGATTGAGAGGATGCCAGTCAAATCCAGAGGTTTGGCAGCGTATGCTCAAAGTAAGAGCTCTGGTCATCTCTCCTAAAGACTGCCAGCAAATGTGGCTTAAGTTTACCAATCTCTGCCGCAAAAACCAACGTCTGGGACTCGCGGAGAAGTCACTCAACGGGCTACTTGACACTGATGAACGAGTCTCGGTTTACATCCAGCACAATGTTGACCGCGTGGACCCGCATATTGCATACGCGACTCTTAAATTCATGTGGGCTACCGATGATCGCGAGACGGCCTTGAAGACCCTAAAGGCCTTCAGTGCTCGATTAGCAGACGATTTACAGATCCAAGCTCGCGAAACCCAGATCAGACCATCAACAACGATGATTAATGGTGTCAATGGTATCACTGACGGCATTAACGGATTAAACATGACCAGTAGTGCCCAGCAAGCTGCCCAAAAGCCACACTTGGAGCGACATAGATTATTAGCCAAATGCTATCTCAAGCAGGGCGAGTGGCAGTCGGCGCTGTCTGGTGGCGATTGGGGGGGAAATGAGAACGTGCATGATATTCTAGCCGCCTTCAACGCAGCCACAAGGTATAATCCAGTTTCGTACAAGGCGTGGCATGCTTGGGCGCTTGCGAATTTCGAGGTTGTTACGGCAATGACTTCACTGGGTGATCGCGAAACTACCGAGATCCCCCAAGCAGTCGTGCAAGGACATGTTGTCCCTGCTATTGAGGGATTCTTCAAATCAATATCTCTGTCCACTTCGAGCGCTTTGCAGGATACGCTTCGTGTACTGACTTTATGGTTTGCTCACGGTCATCATCACGAGGTCAATAATGCTGTTAATGAGGGTATTGGCACTGTCCGCGTGGACGTATGGCTTGAAGTCATTCCACAGCTCCTAGCACGTATCAATCAGCCTAATGCTCGTGTCAGAGCCTCAATTCACAAGCTCATCAACGATATTGGCCGCGCCCATCCGCAAGCTATGGTCTTTCCTCTGACCGTCTCAATCAAATCGGACATCTCAAAGCGCTCTAGATCTGCACGCGAGCTGATGGAGGCAATGCGTGCTCACTCACCTGTCCTAGTTGAGCAGGCTGATCTTGTCAGCCACGAACTGATCCGTATTGCCGTTTTGTGGCATGAACAATGGCATGAAGGTCTTGAAGAAGCATCGCGTCTCTATTTTGGTGACCACAACATCGAAGGCATGTTCGCAACTCTTGCCCCATTGCACGCTATGCTAGACAAGGGCCCGGAGACACTGCGCGAGATTTCTTTTATTCAATCATTCGGCCGGGAGCTGCAAGAAGCGCGGGACTGGTGCAACACTTATCGGCAGACGAACGAAATCGGGGACTTGAACCAGGCCTGGGACCTCTATTATCAAGTTTTCCGTAAGATCGCCCGTCAGCTTCCCTCTTTAATGACTCTTGAGCTACAGTATGTGTCGCCAAAGTTGAAGGCCGTGCGTGGTCTACAGCTAGCTGTTCCGGGCACGTACGAGAGCGGTGCACCTCCCATCACGATCGAGTCATTTGACCCTGTGGCTACTGTCATCCAATCTAAGCAGCGCCCTCGTAAGCTTGTCATCCGTGGTAGCGATGGAAAGGACCATAAATACCTGTTGAAAGGCCACGAAGATATCCGACAAGACGAACGCGTAATGCAGCTTTTCGGCCTCTGCAACACTCTTCTCGCCAACGATAACGAATGTCGAAAGCGACATCTAAATATCCAGCGCTACGCAGCTATTCCCCTATCGACTCAATCAGGTATCCTGGCCTGGGTGCCCAACAGCGATACACTCCATGTGCTTATTCGCGAGTACCGTGATAGTCGGAAGATTCTTCTCAACATTGAGCACAGAATCATGTTGCAGATGGCACCGGATTATGACAGTCTGACGCTCATGCAGAAGGTCGAAGTATTTGGCTATGCTCTCGATAACACAACAGGCCAAGATTTGTATCGTGTTCTATGGCTTAAATCCCAAAGCTCTGAAGCTTGGCTCGGCCGAAGGACGAACTATACTCGTTCGCTTGCTGTCATGTCCATGGTTGGCTATATTCTCGGTCTAGGAGACAGACATCCCTCTAACTTGATGCTCGATCGTATTACGGGCAAGATTATCCATATCGATTTTGGAGACTGCTTTGAAGTTGCCATGCATCGTGAAAAGTATCCTGAGAGGGTACCATTCCGGCTCACGCGAATGCTAACATATGCTATGGAGGTTAGCAATATTGAAGGAAGCTACAGGACAACTTGTGAACATGTTATGAGGGTGCTGAGACAAAACAAAGAGTCTGTCATGGCTGTCTTAGAAGCCGTTAGTATACCCATCATCACGGGTCATTGTTGAAGCTAACTGTGCAACTATAGTTCATCCACGATCCTTTACTTAACTGGAGGCTCAATCGAGAGTCACCTCCCGAGCCGACATTCCAGTCGGAGCGTCGTAACAGCCTCATTGCTGGAATTGAGACTCGTGGTAACGCAAACCGTCCTTCAAGCAGCGTTGCCGCCGCAGCCGCAAATGGTACGGTCCCAGAGTCGGGACGTCCGGACATGTACCGTCCCCGCAACCGCAGTAGTGCTTTCGCCACTAAAGCGGAAGAACAAGAAGCGAAGGAAGTTCAAAATGCACGTGCCATTCAAGTTCTGGCAAGGGTCAAGGAGAAGCTCACAGGCACTGACTTCGGGCCAAAGGAAAAGGATAAAAGCTTGAATATTGCAGGTGGTGGAGCTCCAGTAGAAGAGTTGAGAGTCGATGTTCAAGTGGATCGTTTGATCCGGGAGGCAACCAACCTCGAGAACCTTTGCCAGCACTACATAGGCTGGTGCAGTTTCTGGTAGTTCTACAATAGACTTGCGCATTGCCCTTACGTTGGGGAAAACTGGAGTATCGGTTCTATTTCGAAGGGCTTTTCGGCATTCGTGGTGAAGGAATTGTTAAAGAAGTAGCTTTCGCAATAGAGAGCAAGGGATATATTACGGACGTTGGAAAGCATTGCGAGGGCGTTTTAGCTGGGATTTTCATGCTTGATCATATCCTTTGCAGCTCAGATCGTATGGCACACGCGTTGGTGACTAGAAACACATGACACAAATGATCACGAATGCATTTACATATTAGGGTGTCGTAACATTCTGAATTCACATACTCGTCACATATATTCCCCAACAGAAGAAAACCTATTATCTGTGCCACCTCGTCTTGGAAGTGCCTGGATATAGATCCAGTCAAGTCTGAATTGAGTGTTTCAAAGCAACTGCATTGCCCGCTTCTATGTGATCAATAATAATGGTTGTCACGAGAACAACCATATATTTTATGATGAGCATTCCAATATTTATCCCTGGTCTTGGTCCATCTTGTCTCTACCACTTCCCTTCACACGCCCATGCTTTCCCTTTCCGCCCTTAGCTCCATTCTTCGCATCCTGAATCTCCCTCATCTGCTGCTTTGCTATCGTCTGTGCTTCATTCACGCTCTCCGCATGCACCATTGCAACGTCCTTTTCGACACCTTCTAATTCGTCGAGTTTCCTTCCTAACGCATGCTCTATCCGTAGGAACACCTCGGCATCATACTGGGTCACGAAGTTGACCGCCTTTCCAGATTTGCCAGCCCGTGCTGTACGACCCACGCGGTGCACGTACGTGGCGCTGTCATCAGGGATGTCAAAATTGAGGATCAAGTCAACTGAAGGTATGTCTAGCCCACGTGCAGCAACGTCTGTGGCGACAAGTATCTTGCGCGATTTGGAGCGAAACTTGCTGAGAGCTCCCATGCGCGTGGATTGTGACATGCCGCCATGTATTGGAACGGCTTCAAGCCCGAGAGCACGGAGCAGGAAGGCTAGTCGCTGTGTCTCATTTTGCGTACGTGTGAAAATGATGGTTGTGAGGCCAGGGAAAACATCGGAGAGAAGGTGTACAAGATAGAGGTCCTTGTGTTTGTGGGGGATAATCAGGACGCGCTGAATAAGTGTCGCAACCGTTTGACGTGCCGTAGACGATATTGAGATGCGTACAGGATTTTGGAGCGAGGCTCGCTGGAGAGACTCAACCTTGCTGGACATGGTAGCGGAGAAGAGATATGTATGCCGACCTTCTCGCGGGAGAACCTTAAGAATCTTGTCCAGCACGGGACCGAAATCAAGATCAAGAAGACGATCTGCTTCGTCCATAACCAGGTACTTGAGTTGACGTAATGAGAATCCCTTCGTCGATTCGAGATGATCAAGCAGTCGTCCGGGAGTAGCCACGATAATGTGTGGTTTCTTGGATAGCGCGATCGCTTGAGCAACCATATCCATGCCGCCAACAATAGTAGCACATCGAACACCAATGACCGACCCCAGCGCCTCAAATTGCTGTGAGGTCTGGTACGCAAGCTCTCTGGTGGGAGCAAGGACTAGTCCGAACAGCGCTTGTGGCTTCTTCATGAGCGCGTCTAATATCGGTAACGCGAATGCAGCCGTTTTACCTGAGCCGGTCTCTGCGAGACCGATGACATCTCGACCTTCTAAAGCCACCGGAATTGCTTGTTCTTGGATCGGTGTTGGCTTTTTGAAGCCCATCTTGTCACATGCTTCGGCCAACTCCTTAATGAGTCCTAAGTCATGGAACGTCTTTTCAGCAACGGTCTGGTCATTTCCTGCAGATCTCTCTGAGATTTCACCATTGTTCTGGTTTGATCTTGGTCTATCATCTTCAGGCGATACTCTGCTCTTCTTCATTGAAGAGTCCTTTGATTCGCCAGTCTCATGTTTTCGCTTTTTCGAGGCCGAAGACTTATGAGCCTTGGCTACGGAAGACATCGCGAACAAAGAGTTATCCCTTGCAGCAGAATCTTGGTCCGTGGTTATGTTATGGAGATGGGATTGCTGTTGGAAACTTTTTCCTAACAATGCGCCCTCGACGAAGAATTGCGGACTGCTTGACATCTGATTGGTCGGTGCTGCGGGTAAACCCTTGCGCTTGCAGGTTCAAAAAAAGTTCATCTTTGAAGAAGCTCAGAACATTACCTACGACTTCGCTTTCACTCGACCATCTTTGCACAAATCATGGCACGACGGCGAACAAAGAAGCGAACGCATATCGGCGCCAAAAATGGCAAGCATGCCAATACAGTGAAATCGATTGAGCGCTCACCGAAGAGCATGGTCATCCGGATTGGTGCGAGCGAGGTGGGACCGAGCATAAGTCAGCTGGTAAAGGATATGAGACTAGTTATGGAGCCAGGTACGGCGAGCAGGCTGAGAGAGCGCAAAAGTAACAAATTGCGGGATTATACGACAATGTGTGGCCCCCTTGGTGTCACACATCTGCTTTTGTTCTCCAGAAGCGAGTCTGGGAATACCAACCTCAGGATAGCCATCACCCCTCGTGGGCCTACATTGCACTTCAGAGTAGAAAATTACTCCTTGTGTAAGGATGTCGCTCGTTCGCAGAGAAGACCGAAAAACTCGAAAGATCTTTATTTGACGGCACCTCTGGTAAGTTCTCGCCGTTCCGGTCTGGATTCTCAACTAACACAAAATCCAGCTTGTGATGAACAATTTTTCAACATCAAGCCAGAATCAGCCTGCGGATGGGCCCGAAGTTCCAAAGCATCTCGAATCCCTTGTTACCACAATCTTCCAGTCTATATTCCCGCCGCTGAACCCTCAGACGACCCCGCTATCCTCAATCAAACGAGTGCTCCTTCTTAATCGCGAGCCTCCTTCTGATCCCGAAAACAGCGCTTACACTATCTCATTGCGACACTACGCTATCACGTCTCGAAAGTGCGGCCTCAACAAACCGATTAAGCGTATATATCAGGCAGAGAAGGGCGACAAGAGCGAACGACGGGGCAGAGGTGTGCCGAACCTTGGTAGGCTCGGCGATGTAAGCGAGTATTTGCTAGGCGGCGAGAATGGCACCAATGACGGAAGTTACACGAGTGCGAGTGAGACCGAGACAGACACAGATGGAGAAGTCGAAGTCATGGCGCCACGAACGAAGAAAATCTTAGGTCGCAAGGAGCGAGAGAAGCTTCGAACGGCAGCAGGAGAAAATGGCGGCTCGAATTTAGGGTCAGAATCTATCAGAGGGGCTGAGAAGCGCGCTATCAAACTCACAGAGCTAGGTCCGCGGATGCGACTAAGGCTTATCAAGGTCGAGGAGGGATTATGTGGAGGCAAAATCATGTGGCACGACCACATCTCGAAAACAAAAGCGGAGGAACGAGAATTGGATCAGAAGTGGGAACAAAGGCGAAAAGAGAAAGAAGAACGAAAGAGAATTCAAAGGGAAAATGTGGAGAGAAAGAGAGCGAATAAACAGAAGAAAAAGGAGGCAGATGGTGAGGATAGTGACGAGGAAATGGAGTATGATATTGACGATGATGAGTACTGGCAAGACGCAGGTGACGGAGATGAGAGTGGGGATGAGGTCGATGATGAAGAGGATGAGGACATGGAGGAAGGTTAAATTTAAGATGATGACCTCTTCCAAGTCGACAACATGTAAAGTCGACAAAGATGCGTCTTGTTTATGACCTGTTTCTCCATGATCATTCTTCAGCCGTGACATATTCAAAATCGGTCTCCCATCCAACTCCCTCAGACTCTGACTTGGCTGGATCTACCAAGAAGAAGCACGACTTTTTGACCCATTCTGTGCACTCTTCATTGCGCTGTGGGGCATGTCTGGGGGCAACTTATTAGGAGACTGTTTTCAGTTATGAGATTATTCAACGCTTCAATACCTCACAAGAGGAAATTTGATTAATATCTGAATCTCCGGTTTTGATTATTCTCTTTTTGTACTAGCACTTCAAGACAACACCTTCAGAATGCTTTGTTTCGTCTTTGCTTAGATGTTTTGAGATTTCTTGATTTGTATAGTCTTACCACAGTTTAGTTCCGACTCCAACCTCCACCCAACAAGTGAATTATATCGCTGGTTAAGTGAACTTGTGACTCATTTAAATCTCGTGGTTCTTGACCCGGCTTTGCCGATAGTACAAACATTTCTCAGATGAGTTCTGATTTCTGCACTTTTCACACATGAGATACTCGAAACCTACAAAAAACACAATCATTTCCCATCTACAAAACTGCAATTAATTTACAATTCAGCATTTCAACTGTAGAGGAATTTAATTAAAATCAAAACAGTATCTCTACAGCAGTGTACAACGTGGACGACAGAAGCGCAGAGAAATGATCACAATGTCAGCTTATGTTGGGCAACAAGACTCTCCATATGAGGGAGAGCCCCCAAATGTCGAAGAAGAGTTCGAAGAAGACACTGGAATCCCGGAATACAAGATCACTCGTGGCTTTGTGCGAGACCGTTGTATGCAAACATCTTCCGACAATGAAGATAGCTATGTAGATATCTCTTCTGACCCTGAAGATAACCCAACAGATGAGATATATGAGCGACGCCGCCATAGGCATGTTGCATCCCATTCTCATTATTCAAGAAAACTTTTAGGCCATGGGATTAACGCAGTAGAAGACGTGGTGTCGGCTGCTGTCGATGTTGCCAGCATTGCAATCCGCGGTGTTGTGAGGAGGGCAAAGTTCTTCTGGGAGACGACCGACAATGGCTCCACACCGCGACCATTGTCCAGATCTGAGCCAAATAAGTTGATCAACGGAATGTATTACGGTACTTTAGATGAGGCGAGGATTGACACGAAGAGGTATCATAATAGACTGTGCAAAAAGAGCCAAGCAAAGCCACGACTACGGGGATCATATCACGTATCCAATCGATGCGGAAGGACTAGAGCACTGTCAACAATCGATTTACACCTAAGACGTAATTACGAGGGACATGCTTGCCAAATCTCAAACCAAGTGCTCGGAACACGTATCGCACGAAATGATTCAGGCGATCTCATTGAAGTCAGAGAAGGCGGTGACGAATGTGCTTTTCTCGAAGCTCGAAATTTGGAATATCTTGCAGCGGTTAAGTGTAGAGGCAGAGATAAAATCACGGTCTTGGAAAGCACAAAGCCACATACATCAAGTCGAGGTCTTTTCTCTGGCATCGACGACTTTTCCGAGCTCGAAAAGAAGGACCCAGACATTGTGAGAGACGGCGACACCGTCTGGCTGCCTGACAGATATACCAAGCTCAAAAACATGACCGAGCTGGCTGTCATGTATAGTACAAAGGCTAAGATGAAAGAGAGATTACAAGAACGAAAGAAGAAGGATCTGGAGCGTATGAAGAGAGAAGATGCGAGAGAGCGGAGAGTCAAGGCAGAGATCAGCAAGATTCGACAAGAAGAGCAGAATAGGCTCCAAGTGCTGACCGAAAACGAAGAGCGCTTGAAACGGGAGCTGGAAGAGTGGCCCGATGCCTACAATGGCATGCTTGGTCAACAGGAACAAGATAGCAGCGACACAGACGAGCCTGTTACTGAGGAGGTAAGGTTTGCTAAATACCTTTGGGAGAAGCAAGAGGCACGTGAAGTGGGAGAGAAGAGAATGCTTCTAAGGCGCCAGTACGGGGTAGATCGACCACGTATAGAAATGGACAGAGATGAACTCCTGGACCCAATGAAGCATTTGTGCTTGAGTGAGCGGTCAAGGAAAGAGGCCCAGGCGCTGTTCTCAAAGGATAGGCAAGTCAGGAAGGCCAATGAGCGAGACGTCTTCCAAAAGCTTAAACCGGTTTTTGATGCGTATTTGAAGAGACGGTTGACGATGTGAGAAACCCTGGATGGCGAACGTCATCCGTGGAATACTACCTACATTGATCTTGCCAGCGTTGAGCGGACAAGGAGACGGAACGAGACTGAAGTTCATGATAGGCTGCTTCCCAACACACGATATACTGTAATCTATAGAACGCTAGCAGAAGGTGCACCCAAACAATGCATCTACAAATATGAGTGTCTTCTGATCCGATTTATTTTATTTTAATTTTTCGGAATGACGAAAGTTTGCAGAGTCCAAGCTATTCTAAGCCGACGTGACACAATCTACGCGTTGGTACAACAACACGTTGTGACTCACTCTCGCTACTGCTCCCACGCTATCATGAGACTTCCTATTGCTTCGAGATGTAAAGCATTCGGAGGAAGATCTTTTCTCCCTTGCTACCAACTCGAGGAGAGATCATTGCGCAACGCAAGCAGGTCCCACTTCATGGCGAAAATGGCGTCCGACGGCAAGCACTACAATGCATGCCTGACATAATTTGATCTAACACGAGTGGAAGCATACAATTCGGGCCCGGTTGGTCCTGCAGTCCCTTCACACTCAGCACCTCGGCCACAGAGAGTCACGCTAGCAGGGCGGTTTGTTAGTCTACTCCCATTACAGCCCGAGCACGCCGAGCAGCTTTTTAAGCATGTCGGGGAAGAGGCCAACGCTAAACTCTGGACCTACATGGGGGATGGACCATACTTGACCCGAGAAGCATTCAGCGAGGCAATTCTGTCAAAGAGCAAAAGCGAGGACCCGCTCTTCTTTACTGTCCTGTCCCGGCCGACAAACGAGCCCGTGGGATATGCCACGCTTATGCGCATTGACACTACTCATCGCGTTGTCGAGGTAGGAAATGTGATGTTCTCTCCAGCTATGGCAGGCACGCCCATGTCTACCGAGACCCACTACCTCCTCATGAGATACGCGTTCTCCCTTGGTTATCGCAGGTACGAGTGGAAATGTGATGCGCTTAATGCTCCTAGCGTTCGCGCTGCGACTAGACTGGGGTTCAGCTATGAAGGAACCTTTAGACAGCATATGATCTACAAAGGTAGAAGCCGTGACACGGCTTGGTTCAGTATCGTAGACAGTGAATGGGAAAAGGTAAAGGAGGCTTTTGAAGCATGGCTCGATGAGAAGAACTTTGACGCACAGGGGAAGCAGATTAAAAAGTTGGAGGATTTTCGCTTGTAGATAGACCTTAATGGCACATATACACTCAGATATGCCTCAGGAATAGAAATAGAACCTGGCAAATTTTTCGTTTGCTTAGTTGTGAGAGAATCTGGCAGAAATAGGTAATAGACGATTCTGAGTCGTGTTTCCGCTTCATACGGCGACGGCTGCTCCTTAGGCTACTGTTCTACCTGTCCTTTTGAATCTGTCGCTTAATTACAATCTAGGAAAAGAAGTGAATCAATGGTGTTATAGCCTGCACGGTGATGCCAGTGGATCAGCAGTGGCTGATGTAATGAAAGATGTAAGCCGCCGAATCTTGATTGTAATGCGCGATTGATGATCATGTATACAAATTTCTCGTTGGCTAATCCAGCAATGTGATAGTGCGAAGACGAACAGAACAAAGAGGAAAAAAGGAGATGGCAAATAAAGCAACTGCTGTAGAGCATGACTGCATTTCGCGCTGGCCTAATTGCGCGCTGGCAATGAGAGCTGATGCTGTTTAGATCTCCGACAATGTACGTATGGCGCTTGAGAAGAGAGAAAAGCTCATAATAAAAGAAAACCCTTTTCCTAAATGGTGTCAGAGGATTTGGATTCAATCCTCCGGCATGACACCTTTTTGACGCCGACGAAACGTTTGTTGTCAAGACTGAACTCCCATATTACGCCAAAATTACCCATCTATTTAGCCTCCTCGCAACAATGCCTTTTTTGCAGTTATTCCATTGACCGATATTCAAAATCGAAGCTTCGTCTCCGTCAGGCGGACGCGAAGCTGCGATTTTGATGTAAGTCAGTTTTGCACAATGGACATCCCATTGCCTACGCATCGAGCCTTGATTTCCCGGGCCAATTGGGTCCACTAGAGAAACGACAAAAACATGATGCAATCTATACTGAAGGTGGGGGCTAAGCATAGGTTGCATAGCGAAGATCGTAGCAAGGGTTCAGCCAATTTGAGAGAAAAAGTAGACGGCATTCAGGCGGAGTAAATAGGTTCATAATAGCAACACATAAGGAAATGATGCTTAAAGCAGGCTGATATATGTTCTCATGGAGTTCCCATCGTTGTGTACGCTTCGCACAGGAGATTGAGCTGGCTAGACTGGAGTCGACGATACCGCTAACGGTCCTAGTATTCACGCCTTTCTGGTCTTCTTTCCAGCTCCTTTCTTTTTGCTACGTGTTGATGCTGCAGGCGAATCAGTGTCCGTATTCAGATTGGCAGTGTCCGCATCACTAGATTCGGCAGCTGTAGGCTCAATTTGCTGGCTCTTTGGAAGCGTCATTGCTTCCTTGTTTTCAGCTTCGCTCTCATCTTGAGAAGCATTGGAAATATCTTCAACAAGCTTCGCGGTCTCATTCTCAATACCATTCATCGTTCCGCAGGCAATACATCTCCACTTTCCGACATCTTCCAGAGTCTTTGCTCCTGGCGGGGCCTGTCCATTAACCAATCGACAGCTAGAGCATATCAGCGCAAATCTGTTCTTGGCCGACGTCTCATCTTCGCCCAGTAGCGCATCCAAGATCCGATCGTACCACGAGCCCTCACCATACGTCGGCGGGGCAGATGGGGCGAGCTCCGAGAAAGCATTTGGTGCAAATTCGGCTCCTGGTGTAAGATCTGATGGGCCCAAACGTTGGGAAGATTGAGAACCGGTAGTAAAGTCCGCCGATGGCATCCCATCAGGCCGTCCGGGCGGAATTTGAGGTGGAGGAAGAGGACCACGAGGAATATTTGCTGTTGGGGGGGGCAGTGTGAATACTCTTTGGTGACCCTGGGCTCCGACTTGTGACTGTCTCTTCTTTTTTTCGTCTGGGGCCTGCTTCGGTGTCGTTGGCTTGGACGAATATTTGTCGATCAGCTCCTGCGTAGAATTATACTTCGTAGCTTGCTTCAGCCTTTCTATGGTGCTATCCCTCTCTTTGTTCAAGCTATCCAGATACTTTTGTGTGTTCGAGATTCGATAATCGTACCATGTGGTCAAAAGCCTTCGCACACCCCATAGCAGAACTGGACCACCAGCCACAGTAGTGTACTCTATCGCTCCCCAGTTCTGCCATCCGGTCACGAGGATGAGTATCAGTGCTGTAAGGATATAGGTGAAACCGCCGTAGATAGTCCAGCCTACTTTGAGCTTGCGTGCTCTTTGTCGAAGAGCATCATTCTTCGCACCCGTCTTCGAAATCTTTTGCGCGATGCCACTAAGTGTCCGCTCGAATGACTCTGCGGAGGTGCCGTCGCCCTTTTAACTCTGTCAACGAAGTCCCATTTGCTGTAGAAAGGGTGCTTGATAACAGACTCACTCTCCATGGCCAGAGACTGACCATTTTGCTACCTAATGATCAGTATTTGGTGAATACACATGGCAGGTTGTGTTCCGTTTTCTTGCTTCTCAAAGCTGGAGCAAAGCGCGTCATTGAGAGGAAGGCTAGGGGTCCGAATACTACGTGCACACCTAGGAGCCCTACTTCTGTCTGCATCGTGTCCGCAGCGGTTTGGAGCCAGTTAAACTCAAGTCGGACACTTTTATATACTGTCTATTGTGCAATGATGACTTAAAGACGCTTGGAAATCTGCATAGCACCAATTCAGCACCATGTGGCAGGTACGTTGACATCATTGTCCAACCGTTCATGGCCAATGCCCTGGCTGTCAATGGCTCGAGTAACTGTCGCCAGCTAACATACCGAGCAGCGGTTCAAGGATGCCGTGGACTCCAGAATACAGGAGGAGCAGGCGAGGCAACAAAACAAATCCGCTGGCATTTCTCCGCGAACCAATACGTCGAGGCCTAGATCAGGCTCAAGAAATCTCTCGCCGTCGAGACGCCGGGGGAGGAGAGGCACCGATGCTGAAAGCAAAGTCATGCCTACGGGCAAGGAACCCGACCCGTCCGAGTTTGAGCCAGAATTTGTTATCGGTGAAGAAGGCGACTCATCGACGCAGCCAAGTAGAGTGAGTACGCCAGCTCCGAAAACGTCTGCCACGTCGACGCTGGCGCCGACATTATCAGTTACCGACGAGGAGGGCAAACCCGGAGCTGTGACACAAAGAGACATCACAGGCGCTATAGAGCCAAGCAAGGATGGAGCAACCACATCTATTCCCTCACCGCCTCAGGAACTGTCTCCAGACGTGCAACAGCGACTTCGAAAGCTTGAGAGGCTGGAGCCCAAGTATTCAGGTGAACAACGCTAGGCATGTTGAGCCTGATGTTCTCAAGCTAATTACCATACAGAGCTGCTCAAATCATACAGAATAGCCCATGCGAGGAACAAATTCATCGAACCATTCGAAGCCGCACTTCGTGAGAACACACCTTTAACGTCTATCAGTGAGCCCGCAGCTCTTGTGGAGTACCTCAACCAAGGCAATCTCAAGACTAGCATGGTTTTGGAAGAGCTAAAGCGAGTGACAACTGAACGAGACGACCTCAAGAAGATGCTTGAAGATGCGGTGAAGGAATCAAGAGAGACAAGCGGGGAATTAGAAAAGCTCAAAGCCGAGAAATCGGCCCTAGATGCTCTCAAAGTCAAATCGAACAAGGAGAAGAGTGAGGATGATGGAGAGGACTTATTTTCGTATGAAAGCGAGTTGCTTCGTTTACAGGAGGAAGTGCAACAGCACGAGAGCAAATACAAGGATTTGCAGAATGAGAATGAAAGTCTGAAGGGTGATCTGACGTCTGCAAAGGAGTCTGCTGAGCGTTTGGCTCGAGATCTTGAGATTTCGACACGTGATCTCCAGGCGATGCGAGAGAGCAAGGACAGTGCCGAGCAGAAAATTGTTTCTGAAGGACAAAAATTGAAAGCGACGATCGATGAGCTTGCCGCTCAGCTTCGAACTGCCGAGAAGGAGGCTGAGGCGCATAAAGAGAGCGCTATGAGCAAGGACGCACAGTTGACGGAGCTTAAACAAAAGGTTGACGATACTGGTAAGGAGCTAGAGGCTATGCGTACTGCGCATGCAGATCCCACATCAACAAGTATAAAAGCCAATAAAGAGCTTGAGAGCTTGCAAGAAGAGCTGAAGAACATTACGGAGAGCCGGGATCAGGCTCAGAAGCGAAATCAGACGTTCGAGAATGTGCTTTCAACTCTTCAAGAGCAGCTTAAAGCCGCAGAGAACGAGAAGGCACGATTGGTCTCTGAGGTTGAAGCTTTACAAAAGAAATTAACTTCCACGACCTCGAGCAGCGTGAACGGGGTTTCTAGCACGGCCGCTGCTGATCCTGCCGTCGAGGCTACAAACGGGATTTCAACTTCAGCGGGGAAGAAGAAGAACAAGAAGAAAAAAGGAGGCAAACCAAAAGCTGAAACTGACATCAGGCCAGAGACCCCAGTTAGGGAAGCAGCGGAGGATGAGAAGCTAGAGGAGCGCGCTCAAACAGTCAGTGAGCTTCAAGAAAAAATCAAGTCCCTCGAAATCTTGCTTGAGGAGAAGCAAGTCATCATTGCACGTCTTGAGGGCAAGATCAGAGACCAGGAAGGCATGCAGGAAGAGATAGATAGCCTGCGGGATGACCTACGTGACTTTGGCCAAGAGCACGTAGAAGCCAAAGACAAACTGAAAGAGAGCGTAATTGAAAAGAATAGACTGCAAGAAACGATAAACAAACTCGAGAAAGAGATGGCTGAACTAAAAATAAGTAGCGCAGCTCATGCTGACAGTGTCGATGCGCACAAAACCTTGAAGTCAGAATTTGAAGAGCTCAGGGCGAAAGCAGAAACGTTACAGAGTGACCTGACAGCAGCAGAGCAGCTTGCAGCCTCCAGGTTCAAGGATCTCACTGAGTTGAAGGATCTTATGGCTAAAGTTCAGCCTGAATTGACTTCACTTCGAGCGGAAGTTGCAGAATTACGGAAGTCGAAGGTCGAGCTTGCAGCTCGAAATGCCGAGATTCGCAGGCTGGAATCAAGGGAAAAGGACCTGAAGGCCGAGATTTCGAGGCTCACTTCACAGATGAGAGAGAAAGACACTGAGATTAGATCCTTGAACGACAAACTCGCTCATAGTAATTCCCAACGCAGCTCCTTGGAGGAAAGTCTGCGCAAAGTGCAAAGAGATCTGCAACGCTCACAAGGTGAAAAGACTGAGGTCACGGAGGCGAAAGAGAAGCTGAACAAAGATCTTGGTCGAACAAGGAGCGAGCTAGACATGGCAAACTCAAATCTTCAAAGACTCGAGCAGCAGGTAAAGAAATTTGAAGCTGATGCCGCTTCCATGCGCGAAGAGCTAGAGCTCAAGACTGCTCAATACGCCAGTGCACAGAGCTTGATGAATAGCATGCAAGATCAGGCGCAAGAAATCGGAGCGCAAATGAAAGAAGTTCGCGAGAGATGTGAGAGCTTGGAGGAAGAGCTGGCAGACGCTCATCGGTTGCTCAGCGAGAGAAGTCGTGAGGGCGAGACCATGCGACGATTACTCAATGACAACGAGTCTAGAGCTGAGTCAAGGATCAAGGAGATGCGTGCTCGTATGGATCTAGCCATCGAAGAGCGAGATCGAGCAGAGGAGCAAGCAAGCACCATGAACCGACGAAGAGCCCGCGAACTTGAAGAACTAAAAGCTAAACTCAAAGACGCTGAACGAGCACTGACGCGGGCAGTCGAGGAAAAGGAGCAACTTGAGCGTTCTGAGTCAGATATCCGCCGGCAGAAAGAGGAGATGGAGAAGAAGACCCGTGCTGAAGAGGATGAAGTTAAGGAAATTCGAACCGCCATGAGTCAACTCAGGGAGGCACTCGACGAGACGGAGAAGCAGCGTGGCGAGCTTGAAAGGGAGCGAGCAGACCTGAAGCGCTCCCTTGAAGATGCGACGTCCCGTCTTGAAAAGCTACAGAAGAGTTCCAAGGCCATGGCAGATGAGCTTAAGGCCATGAAGTTAAGGACGTCCATCGATCCTAGCATCCAGTCCTCTTCACGCTCTAGCCTTGAGTCTTCTCGGTCGCCCAGCCGTTTAGGTTCACCAACTCCGAGCGGACCGCTGAGTAAAGGCCGTGTAGGTAGCTTGGCCAGTGGCGAAGCTGGAGGAAGTAATCCTCAGATGGATTATGTGTATCTGAAGAACGTGCTACTGCAGTTCCTAGAGCAGAAGGACAAAAAGCATCAGCTGCAGCTTATACCTGTACTGGGCATGCTGTTACATTTTGATAAGAAAGACGAGCAAAGATGGATGAGTGCTGTTAGTGCCCGGTAGTTTGTATTAGTATCATATTCACAGGATGTTTCGAGCTTTTATTAATCGGTCATAGCTCATATGAATGACATCAGATGCATACAGCAACAAGTAGCCTCCTGGCTTTTAAGAGAGTCTATATGCAGACTTGATTTCTCGAAACGCTTTTTGTTGTGCCGCATTTTAATACGGACCTTCTTCACTCAACCCCGAATAGTGATTGATCCATTTGAATATTTCTCGATGCCACACAAGGCTGTTCTCTCTGTTCAGTACCCAGTGATTCTCATCAGGAAAGCTGAGAAACTTGCTCGGCACACCTCTCGACTGCAGGATATTGAAGAGCATGATGCCTTCTGATTCGGGGAGCCGGTAGTCAAGCGTGTTATGCACGACGAACTGTGGCGTAGCCCAGTTGTGAATGTGGTTGATTGGATTCCAGCGTTCGTAATTTTCTCGATTGTCCCATAGAGTGCCATTGAACTGTCGTAAGATGAGTTAGTTGAATGCGTTTTGGGACTTCATGCTTTGAGCTGGACAAAGAGAGGAGAACCTACATCGTGCTGCATAAACCACAGCTCCTCTGTGGTATATTGAGCGGTGGTATCCGTGCTACCGTCATGTGTGACAAGGGCTTTGAATTTGCGGCCCAGATCGTGGCCCTGGATCCAATTCGTCATGTATCCTCCATAGGAAGCTCCCGCAGCGATGCCATTATCCGTATCAATATAAGGAAAGTTTTCTTTGACGTAGTTCCAGCATTTCACAAGATCATCGTACGGGTAGGAGCCCCAATTATTCTGTATGGCGTCCTGAAATGCCTCTCCAAAGCCGTTCGAACCCGTAGGATTGGGTGCGATGACGACGTATCCCTGATCTGCCCAAACTTTGAAATTCCATCTCGTTGAGAAGGCGTTCGTATGCTGGCTTTGGGGGCCACCGTGGATGATGAATGCAAGAGGGTATTTCTTGGATTCGTCGAAGTTTTGGGGATACACGATGAATGAATGAACGTCAGTGAAGTTACCGGGGAAGTAGAATTCTGATTGAATGGATTCGTCAAGACCTTCGTACCCAGGATCAACTCTGTTGGCGTGGAAAAGATCAGCGAGCAATTCCCCGCTTGGTGAGAGTATATAAAAATCTCGAGCCGACCACATTTTGGAGTCGGATACCAGCAAATTGTTGTCAGGGAGCACGTAAAATGCAGCAACGCTGCCTCGGTCGGTGATGTTCACCGGCTCGAAGTTGACTGGCGCGTCGAGTGGAATCATCTCGAATATCCTGTCGTTCCCGCGATGAGGAGCAGCCAGATACAGACCAGTGCCGTTTGAATTCCAATGGAGAACACTTGGCGATATGTCCCAATCTTCGCAAAGAACTCGAATTTCGGGTCGCTCCGCGTCTGCTTTGGCGACGTAGATCTTGTTTCTGTCCGACTCGTACGTGATCTCGTCCATCTGCAGATACGCAATCATGGAACTGTCCGGGGAAAATACAGGGCCTGACGAGGCACCTTCAGCGCCTGGTGGTGTTGATGCTGCTCCCAAGCCGTTCAGGACTCTGGGCTCAGAGTCTCCGTTGAAAGGCACCAGCCAAATTTGGCTGCTTGTGTAGTTTGCCAATGGCAAATCGATGTTCTTTGTTAAGAACGCCACCACATTGCCATCTGGAGAGATGTCGTAATCGCTAGATCCACCGAATGGCATAACAGGACTCTCCGCTCTCGTCAGGTTTCCGAGCCCTTGCATTAAATTTTTCATGTTGCCGTCGAAGGTGTATCCATTATCTCCAGACTTAAGTGTACCGGCAAATATGTTATTTTTCTTGTCCGTTAGCCATGTGTCCCAGTGTCTACTCAGTGTCAGTTACATCCATCTGCAAAGAAATTGTCAAATTCTACCTCACGTAGATCTCTGTGTATATGCGAGCGGTAGAGATAGGCTTTTCTTCAAGATCAGCATTGTATGCGGTTCCGTTTTCGTATGCTTGGCAGTACATAAGAAAGTGTATATCTCCGCTAGCCGTCTTTACGGCCTTCAGACCAGAGTATGGTGCAGGTAGAGATCCAAGAAGCGTGCTTTGGATGTTAGACGAATAAGAAGCATCGTTTTTGCGCACTTACGCATCTTCCATAGCATTCACATCAGCAGAATAGAGACTAATTCCACCGTTCCCCTCTTCGTTCGTTCCATTTACGTAAATTACACTGGTGTTAGTAGGGCCAATCCAGACCAATTCAGAAATGTCGGACCCTTCATAGAGAAGGGACACTTCTCCACTCTTTAAGTTCAGAAGATTCCACACGGTTTGGCTTTCATGTGTCTCAAATGAATAGTTCGTTGATGTGAAAGCCGCCCATTCCTATTCTTGATCAGTCAAAGCCGTTAAAATTTAGCTGCCAAATTTACTCCAGAAGGATTGGGAATCGCTTCCGACCTCCGTGGTGCCGCAAGCATCTGTCTAAACACGATTAGCTGCAAAAGAAAGACCAACAGACTCGGCGTCTCAGCCTACTCTGGCGTCATCGCATGCACAGCGGTTATTGCATATGCTGCAACAGCCGCTACGGCTTGGAGTTTTGCCATGGTAAAGGAATGCCCAAAATTGAGTGGTCTGCCACTTTGACGTGTCAATAACTCTACTCGCGGATGGCAGTACAAGCGCACTTATATGCTCTCCCAAAAGCTTGAAATGTAGCTCAAGACCTACATGACCATGGCTGCATGAGCATGCCATCATCATCAGCCGGTTGTGCCAAGCATTACCGACGTGGATGATGCGATTGTGAGGGCTTGTGTCGAAGGTTCCATCATGTTGTGATGCACCATGTTACATCGGATATGTTAATTATTGTGCCTGGTTTTTGATTGTGCCGACCTGTCAGCAGTCCTACTACCTCTATACTGTTAGTGTGCATTCCGGTGGTGAACGCGGAATTTGTGGTCTTCCTTTCTGGGGAAGATTTCCGCTTAAGAAACTTGCCAAGCCAAACGCTTTCCCTGCATCGCAATCTGGGCGACGAGCTACGATTTTCTGGGCATCTGGCAGATCTCTCTGGGCATTACAGCAAGCTTCCTATTATAGCCTTAGCATGGTTGCATCGTGAGAAATCCCCTTGCTTCCTAACCGGGCTTCTCTATCTTGATGCTGAACGGTGCCAAGCAAACAGAGTGGATGGCTATCAACGGGCGAAGGAAAAACCACTAAGTAGCTTTCAGTATATAAGCCTCTTATCAGATAATCTTTTATATACAGAGATAGACGTCTTTACTTAGAAGGTGGCTTAGAAGCATATAAAGAATCCCGGCAAGCTAGAGCTTCTGGGTCACAGATAGATCCTGCGGCGAGACGAAGTGCGAGACCTAATCAGGCGTTATCAGTCAATCAGATTCCGGGAACATACTTTTCCTCGTTACAACAAAATAAAATTAAAATACCGAGAGCTGAGATGATCAGTCTGAGATAACGGTCTACTCGGATAGAAGCTGACAACACCTTTCTAAGCCATATTTACGAAGACCATCAAACCATGCCAAGCAGTTCTGAAGCAACTTTCCCAGTAAATTCATCCTGTGAAGCTTCAGATACCAGAGGCCCAATACGAGGAGTCAGTTATAGGATATCTTTTTTCGTATATTCTCCCTCTGATTGCTTGCTCGTATCAAGAACTGAAATATATCCCCGAAGCTCTTGTGAAAATCAGCTTTGATTCAAGCATCTCAACAATGGCGGTTATTGAGGAAGGGGTAAATAAGTAGCTATTTTCTTAGTACGAATTTCGCGGGCATAGAGTTTTCTAGACAGCTGTCGTCAGGATCCAGGTCCGCAATAACATCATTTTTTGCTTTGATGGCCTAATGATATTTTATCAGACTTTAGCCAGAATATAGAAACTCAAACGTCGCTGAATTCACTCAACAAATGAAGCTATATCATTTGACTGCTCTGAACTCGTCTTACAGCTGTTCTTGGCGTGTTCAACTCTGATTTCCTGCTGGAAACAGGACACCGGGTAATTTCAAGCGCGTTTTTAACTGCAAATAATACAAACCTCCATATTCAAATCTCTTGTAGAAGGCTTTTAAATCGGTCTGTATGGAAATGCAATATCATTCCAGCTATATTTATCTGCACCACAAGTCTAGAAAGCCTGGTAAATGAGACGAACACATCTCGAGGCTTAGGCCTCATCATGCGGCGAGAGCTGTGGAGATCATGATCAACTAACCAATCACAGCTGGTGAGGCTTCGTCGCCAGACGACAACGATCATAACTTAGGAGATGAAGTTGAAGTACGACACTCAAGAAAGGCGACTGAGCTCGGTGCCTGTCATCGCACGAGTCTATCGAATAGCGTGACGATGCGACTGTAGAGAAACAAGCGGTGGCATCAATAGCAGACGCTTTCAGCAACTTGGGAGATGGGAATGATGAGCACAGCTGTCCTAACCAGAACAAAGCCGATGAAAGCAGACAGCCTGGGCCCTTGTTAGCTAAGTCATGGCATTCCAAGACTGCATGAGCTCGCGTCTGCGTCGTAGGGAACCATACGATCATGAACGACCCGCAAGTTCAAGACTTGCTCTACCCCTGAGCTACAGCATATGCATTGTTGAAAGGTAGCCGAAGCACGGCCAGGTCCAAACGAGCACAGCACGAGCGAAACGATGCCGGACCGCGCAGAGAAGTCAAGTTGCCGTGTAGAAGTCTTGTACACGGTTCTATAAGTTGAGGACTTCTTCCACAAGCGCGTCATCGGACCCCGCAGACCCTTGCCGCGTCCCCACTTGACGACAAGCTGACAGCCTTCCTCATCGAGCCGCAGAGCAAAGTATCCAAGTTTCACACGCCTGCGCAGACCATTGTCGCTTACACAAACAAACAAATGTGTCTATCTCGTCTCTAATACTGTTACACGCTCCTCTGGCACCGCAACTCAGCCTATGCGATAAAGTCTGTCAGTGTCTCACAAAGAACCCTGTCCAAGCGGTATATGCTAGGCTCAGCCTCCCGTTAGGCGTTCTATATATAAGTCAGCTTGAGAGACTTCAGCTCACCATCCCTACCATCTTCGCGGTGCGCGGGCTCGTCAGCACAAAAGAAGCAACATTGTCTCCTTCCCATCCTTTTTTGTTCGCTCCGGTTTTGTTTGTGATCTGTACAACACGACACGATGGATACTTCAACCGTCAGCACCGAAGCTAGGGCGGCAGCAAATGTCGAGACTGCAACGCCATCGTCAGCAACCACAGACGCGGAAGCTGACATCACACCCACCCCGACGAGCACGGTGTCGGATACATCGAAGCTGGCGGAGCAGGACACATTCTACGCTGGCGCGCTGAAGAGAACAGGGACGTTGTATGAAGGCGCGAAGGAGGGAGTGTTGAAGAGAAGTGGCACCATGGCTGAGGCTTTCAATGGCGGCTTGAAACGCACAGGTACTCTGATAGGTGGTGCAAGAGATGGCTTTGTTCAGCGGACGGCAACAATTAGGGAGACGGCCGGTCAAGGACTGCAACGTGCGGGCTCGGTCTTGCAGCCCTACAAGGAGGGTGTAATGAAGCGCACTGGCACATTCACCGAGAATGCTAGCGTGGGTCTGCAGAGAACAGGTTCGATTCTGGCAAATGCCAGTGCTGGCGCTGTGCAGAGAGCCAATTCTTTTGGTCAGTGGGCTCAGGAATACGCCAAGGGCATTTACAATCCAGATCGGCCCTTAAAAGCCACATTCCAGGAAATCACTGGCGTGTCGCTTCCACGTTCGGGACACTCGCTCTCCGTGATCAACGGACGAGCATACATCTTTGGTGGTGAAGACGAAACTGGCGCAATGGCAGACAACCACATGCACGTTGTAATTCTGCCTTCGGGGGGCGTTCTGGAAGCGGACTACAAGTCTATCGCGCCTCGGCCACAGCAGGCGGATGGCGAGATTCCAGCTGCAAGAAAGGGTCACACTGCTGTCACAGTCGAAGACGAGATCTACATTTTCGGCGGACAGCTCTCTGAGAAGGCCAAGCAAGAAACGCCAGGTCGTGTTTGGGCATTCGACACCATCAGCTCGCGATGGACATTCCACGATCCACGACCGGACGCGCCTTTCCCACCTCCACGCGTTCTCCACTCGGCCGTCGCGGCAGATCTCCCCGGACGTGTCCATCCCTCGATCAATGCCATGGACTTGCAGAGACGGACGTACCTCAACCCGTCTATGCAAGCTGCCGCACCAGAACCATCCCCTTCGGACTCTTGGGGCACCATGTTTGTCTATGGCGGTGCAAACTGCGCTGACGAGACAGTCCTCAACGATGCATGGGCCTACGACATCTGCACTCGTTCATGGTTTCCTCTTCCTCCACCCCCAGGGCCTGCGAGGCTAGGCGCCAGTTTGGTGCTAGTGGAAAATCAGCATCTGTACCGTGTCGGAGGCCAGACTGATCCCGAGCACGTCCTTGAAGTTGACTATCTTGACGTGAACGAACTTCTCAAGACACCTTTTCGCCAGCGGCTTTCTTTGCCGTCGCTGCTCAGCGAATGGACAACCGCCTCCATCTCCGCACCATTGCTAAGCCCTTCGATTCGCCTCACGAATCCGGGTGATGGACGAAGCATGCTGCTTTCCATCCAATCTGAGGCCAAGACCGTCACAGCTGTTGATATAAGCCCCAGCGGTGGCATGATGCTCCTCGCCGGCACAAACGAGATCGAAGAAGGCGACGAGATGAAGGCATCCAAACAAGTGCAGGCTGTTCAGGTCCAGTATGCGGATCTATATGGTGAGGTCATGAGGGGCTCGATTGTAGGTATGCACACGTTCAGCCAAGCGAGTGGCTGGGCGAGCGAGCGGGGCACGGAGGTTGAAGAGGCTAGCCTGATTGTTTGGGGCGGACAGGATGGAGAGCGGAATACTCTTGGGAGTGGGTGGATGATCAAGGTAGAGCAGTGACAAGGAAACGACGGAAAATATATTTCAAATGTGGGACAAAATATACACTGTATGTTACTGATACGAATACGCGCAGCGCGCTTTTTGGGCGCTTGAAGTTCAATGAATGCAGCCTAACACCGAAACGCTCAAGAAAGACGGCATCATCAGGACGTGTTCGTTCATATCGCGATTGCTGAGTTCAATTGCTATCCTATGTCTGCTAAAATGCGGAATCATCTTTTCAACTCGGCCCCCTGTGCGTAAAGTCAAATGCGGTGAGTAGTCCACGCAAATGCGTCGCCGCCGCAATTAGCACCAACACGTGAAAAATTTGATGTGACGAACCCCAGATGTCGAATCTACCCGGTGCAAAGCGTTCAGGCACTCTCGCTGCATATATAGACGCGCCGAGGATGTATAGTATTCCCTGCGTCAATAACCAGTCGAAGCCTATTGCGTCCTTCATGATTGAGTACCCATAGATCTGAAGTCCATGAAGAACGGGGAAGATGGCGGACAGGCCCATCCCCACAAACATCAAAGCTCTAATCGGGCGGAATGTTGGAGTACGGAACACGGGCATCAATGTCGCCGTGGCCGTCATTGCGCCGATGGTCGTGATCATGATCCAATACTTCGTGATCAGCTGCGGGTCTCGCTGGAATCCGTAGTAGATGGAGGGGATGAACGATCCCCAAATGAGAAAGACGATTCCTAGATAGTCAAGCTGGTTACCGAAAACTTGAACGGACCGAGAATGATTGCTGAATAGATGGAAGGCGGCGCTTAAGCCTAGACAGGCTGTCGCGCCGAGGAAGAAGCAGGAAAAGACCAGAACGTCCTGCGTGGTTGCCGACTCATATCGCGGATGGATGATGCTGTATAGCCAGAAGAATGCAAGCGCAGAAACCACGGCTCCAATCAAATGGGTGTAGATGTTGACAGTCTCGTTATGGAGATAGGCTAAACTGCAAAGATTTTAAGCAAGGGCACGCTTTTACAAAATTTGCCGGACACACCTTTTCGCTGACTTCTTGAACGAATTCGACGCGGGTCGGTAGCCACGCCGAATGAAAACATTGTCTCGTTGCCACTCCTCTATCTCGTGCCAAAGCAGAGTCAATTCGGCCCCAGCGGCCTTCTCGAGCTTCAGAAATGCCTGTCTGATGTCAGGCATGTTCGGCTGGCGGCTGACGTCCGACTGTTGGAAGCAAGGATCGTTCAGGCACGAACAAAATGTGATTCAGAAGCCGTGTAGTCAACAGACGAAGAAAAATCTCACGCATCATGACGGTTCGGGCACGATCCGGGCGCGATTCGCCCGCCGCTTCCGTCGGCGCCAAGGCTCATGAGGCATTCCGAAAAGTGTTGAGATGGAAGGAACGTTCGGTGCTTCACGTCGAAGCAGGAGCGATCGACTGATTTGGGGAAAGCGCGGATCACGTCGCGAGTCAGGACATCGACGCCTTGGAATTTGTGCACGAAGCTGAACAGCAAATCAACACACAACACAGGAGTGCAACAATGACGACGCATGCTGGGCCAACGGCTCGCAGGGGGCCGTCGGGAGCCTGGTCTCGACTCAAGGCTCCGCCGACAGATCCGCTGCAGACGTACGGACTGCCGTCGAAAGGAGAAACAAGGCCGGTTCACCACAGTGCTGTGCTCGAGTTGATCATCAGCTGACGCTGTCCCAAGACTCAATGACCTCAAGGCCCAGGAGTCGTTCTACAACAAGATCGTTGAGCGATATATGAAATTTTGCGCGGCGTCAGGAAGTGATCTTGAAAAACATTTTGCAGCCTTGTCCTTAGATCCAGACCACTGTGCAATGACTTCTGGGCTGAACATTGATGACAGTCAGATCCACGTCAACAAGTCAACGTTACCTAACGCGAAGGAGTTCAACAGCGAAGATCCCTCGCCCGAGCTACAGCTGATACTGATGGCAATGCGAAAATTGCGGGAATCCATTGTAGCCACCCGTCGGAGAGATGTTTTCGCTCAGCGATGCTACATCTTCATCATCCGCGTTGCCATCCTTGTCTCCTCGTGGGAATCATACCTTCCCGCGTTCACATATTTACTCCACGAAATTCACCCAGTCACGCCCTTGGATGCATCAGAGCTTAACGAAGTCGTCAGCTTCCAGATTCTTGACTTCGCCTGTCGGTTAGGTGACTTCCACACCGCCTATCTTATTAAGGTAGCATATGGCATAAAGGATATGAAGTTGCAAATTATCTTGCATAGTTTGACTAGGGATGACTGGTTGAGCTTTTGGCGGATGCGAAAAAAGGTCGACGGTTACCGTCGTACTATTATGGGATATGCGGAGAATGATGTCAGACTGCGGGCGCTCAAATGTTTAGGAAAGTCATACTTTAGCGCGGAAAAGAGGTTTGTGGAAACGGTAGCTGATCGTGATTGGGACGAGCTCGTTGCTAGCGGAGTCGGATGGGAGTTACAAGAGGACAACATGGTGATCATCAGAAGAGCGAAAGCTAGATGATATAAGGGTCACGAATCCGGCATTGGCTTAGGTTCTTAGGTGATACGTCGATACGGTTGCAGGTATCCACCTCAACGGGATCTTCAGGACTCGGTTTTTTTTTTTTAAAAAAAAAAAAAAAAGTAAAGATGCATGCTGATCGTTTGAGCAGGATACACAAACGCGTATCGATACACGTAAAAATGGGTCATGACGAGCGAAGATAAGCCAAGGTCGCCCAAAGCCGAATATGAAACATCAATCACAAATAAGAGAACTATCAATGACCTATTATTATAATTTCGCCTTCAAAGATTGAGCCCTCTCCGCAGCCTCGCTGTCATGGCCGGTGGACTAGGACTCTGCCTCCCGTCGAAAGAACCATTGTCATCAACGTCGTATTCAGGCGTAGTCGCAGCAGTATATGGACTGCTGTGCGACGATTCAGACCACATTCGTGATCGATGTGACGAAGTACTGCTCGCGCTCCCAATTTCGTGTCTGGCTTTTGACGGTCTCTCTGGCGTCACGAACCCTTTCTTCTCACACGAGGCTCGCTTTTCAGCTAGTATAACGTACCAGCCGCGTGCAATTCGCGTGCTGTTGTCGTGCACACCTTCCCTATGCCATCTTTTGCAAAGCATCATTTTTGCCAATGCGTGCAGCGACTCCATTTTGAATAACTTTGGGTCGTTTTCTGATCGCATCTGTTGCAGGATTCTGACAGCATTTTGCCCATTTGCATCCTCTGTTAAAGCTACCCTGTTTTGACAACGCCTGTTCCTTTGCGTCAGGCCGATGCAGGTAAACCCTCCAGCCTCAGGATGGAGACTTAGTGGATTCACAAGAGCAATATTCTCGGGCAGCTCGAGACTAATAGTTTCGCGTGTGCCAGGGCGTTCATTGTCTAGCTTTTTCTCTAGCGATTCGATCTCATTTTTCAGAGACTCTTTCTCATGTTCAAGATAGCTAGTCCGCACTTCGAACGCTCTAATTCGTCTTTTTTGAGCGTCAATTTCCCCAGCTAGCTGAGCATTGCAAGTCTTGAGTGCTTTGTTTTGAGCGAGCTGTTTTTCAAGACCTTTCTTCGATATCGCCAGTTTCAACGCCGTGGCTAGGTTCCTTATTGCGACCTGTCTAAGAGCGTCATTGTGTACAGCTAGGTCGCGCTCCGCTGTGGCCCTCAGATTGCCAATCTCATCAGTCAGGACCTGGTTTGCTCGTGCAAGATCCTCGCTCCTGAAGATGGCTGATTTTAATTCCTGCTCTACTTTTAGAAACAAACGGGCATGATTCTCTGCCCTCTGTCGATCGTCGAGCTTTTTCTTCTCGGACTGTGCTTGCAACTCGTCGCAAACGCTGTTCAAGATGTGCAGAACTTTGATGACTAAAATTGACCAAACGGAGATCAATCCTGGGACGAGACAAATCCAGCCAGCAGCACTGACTATGAGAAGCGACATGGAGATGCCACTAATGGCCTGCAGTGGGGTCTCGTTTGCCATTTTGTGGCCGACTGAACTCCAAGAAAGTTTATCAGATTTGAAAAGTAAAAAAATCAAATCTCTTCACGATCGTAATACATCTTGACATATTTATTGTTCGAAAGGTTGCCAAGTGAACCCCAGCTTTCAGCCCTTCAGACGTTTCGGCAATTATGGCGTCCAAAAACGCGCACCCTCATGTTGCCCTTGGAGTCTTTGTCGCATGCCGGGATTGCATGACCTTTCCGGACAGCCAATTGTGCACTCGCATGATGACAAGACTGCAAGAGTGCGAGACAGCGCAGCCACAAACGGTTTTCTGCAATCCTTTTGGGGTCACTGCGCGTGTCAAGGAGTGTAACGTCGTTTAGACAAGTCGTGCGACTTCCGTATCATAAAGAATCCTTCTTCCTATCTTTCTCTCTCTCTCTCTCTCTCTCTCTCTCTCTCTCTCTCTCTCTATCTGCATCTGAAATGACAAGGAGGCTGGCGACCAAAGCCCCCCCCCCCATCTTCATGTTTGAAGCATGCAACTGTCTTGTTTCGTGTGGGAGCCAGGCTCTTGTGCATCGGCCCAACATTATCCAGGATGTGAACGCTAAAACTTTTTAGTAAGTCTCTTCGTCTCTGGCAGAAGCGAAGGAACCGCGAAAGTTTCCACGTGAACTTGGAACGGCCATTAAAAAGATAGAGGACGTTGGCGAGCCTTATCGCGATTGCTTAAAATCAATGGAATCACGCATTCGGGCTTATCATATCCCTGAAGATTAGGCGTATTCCACTCTATACGTATCTTTGTGCACATCACCTAGGCCTTCCGGAACATGAGAATTGTTGATTTAGATATACTTATTTGTTGAGCAAAATATAAATGAAGGTCTTGAGTAGATCATCCGAATAAGTCTGCTGGTTTATGAAAAACAAAAGAAAGCGCCTACACTGTTCCTCGGAGGCTGTAAAGCTCCCAATCTCCCCCTTAATCGCACGTGATAATGGCCCACGACGATTAAAAAACACAATTGTGCGATATTCCTCGAGTCTCGTCCTTTTTGGCACTTTAATTCTTAGTCTGGCTTCTGGAAACTCGCCCACCTCAGCTGCACCGCAATAGCAATAACCGGTAGGACGGAGACAAGTTCGCCCAGCCCAGCAAACTGTGGTGGAATCCTTGCATTTGCAAGTACTCCTGAACCAAGCAGAATGGCAATGGCGTTGTACGCGAACGCCCAGCCGAAGTTCAATGTGATCCGCCACATTGCCGCCTTGGAAAGATCGATAAGAGTCAGAAGATCCTTAAGCGAAGATCGAACAAGAACGACATCCGCAGCGCCTTGCGCGACATCCGTTCCTTCGTTCACGTGTACGCCAATTGTGGCTTGAGCAAGGGCAACGGCGTCGTTCGTGCCGTCTCCACAAAACACTGTCGTAGACTTTCCGAGGGCATTGAGGTCTTTCATGAATTCCCGCTTGTCTCCAGGGGTACATCTAGATTTGTAGCTTGTGATGCCGAGTCGGCGTGACAAGGCAGAAACAGGTCCTTCATCGTCGCCGCTAACGATGGAGACTAATATGCCTCGTTGCTGGAGCCCCGAGACTGTGCGAGCAGCATCAGGCCGCAAAACGTCCTCTAGACCAAATAATGCAGCCAAGTGGTTGTCGACCGTGACGCAAAATGTTGTGTAGCCTTGGGAAAGGTAATCCTGTACCTCAGGCCTGCCACTGAGACCAAGCCAGCGAGAGTTGCCAGCTTTGACACTCCGGCCACTAATATTGCCTTCGACGCCTTTTCCGGGAAGCGCAATGACATCGAAGGCTGCGATATGCGGTGTAGTATGATCTTCAAGATAATTCCTGACTGCGATAGCCACGGGATGTTTGACGCTTGAGAGAAGCGAGAGCACTGCACCTGCGGTCGTAACCCTATCTACCTCGTCGGTCTCAAAGTATTTGCTCGCCGTTACTTTCATCTTGCCTTGTGTCAACGTACCAGTCTTGTCGAAAACTACATGTGTTATCTTCCTCGCAACCTCAATTGTAGTTGCATTTTTGAATATAAAGCCGTGTTTTGCAGCTACACCACTGGCAATCATAATCACCATGGGGACAGCAAGCCCAATTGCACACGGACACGAGAGGATGATGAGAGTGATACCGTAAGTCAATGCCTCAATTACTGCTCGTGAACTGTTGTAACCGCGGACCTTTATACCGACCGCGATCCAGATCAGAAAGACAATCATGCCAATCGCAATTGCAATTGGCACGAAATATCTTGCGAATTTATCGGCGACATCTTGAATCTTTGGTTTAGAAAGTTTCGCTTCATCAACCATTGTTGCTATAGCGCTGATGGTGTTGCTGTCTGGCAGGCGATTGAGTCGAATGTTAAGAACGCCAGAACCATTGACTGAGCCAGCAATCACAGTGGAACCTGGTTGCTTCGCCACTGGAGAAGATTCACCGGTTATCATGGACTCATCTGTTACGGAAGTGCCAGATACTACTGTGCCATCAGTTGGGACCCGTGTTTCTGGAGCGACGCAAATCAAATCACCATACTGGAGGAGGCGCGCATCAATCTCTCTTTTGGAGGAGTCCTGCTCATTGACTATTACAGCTGTAGGAGTCTGCAAAGAACGTACGGAAACAGACTCGACGGCTTTCTGGCGGGCGAGGGCACTGACGAATCTACCAACCATGATAAGAGTGACGAGAAGAGTGCTAGTCTCGAAGAATTCTCCAGTAGCAAGAGGTTTGTTGGCAACGGTGTATCCGAAGGAAACTACCGAGAATATGTATGCTGCACTCGTACTGATCACGATCAGCAGATCCATTTCAATCATGCGCGAGAAAATTAGACTCTTCAAAGCAGTAGGGTAAAACGGGCCGGCTATGGCTAACTGCACTACCGTTGCCAGCGCTAGCGACACGCTCCCGGACACAACAGGATGCGCGTGAACTGGAGCCCAAGCAAGGAGGAGAACTGGAATGGTCAACATGGTTGAGAGCAAGGTCATGACGCCGACATGACGGACGTGTTTGCTACCCGCTGTGAGACCTGGATCAGGTTTGATCGGGGCCAGCTTCAGAGGTCGACCGAAGCTGTGTTCGATAAGATTACGCGCCCCGACGACAGACGAGTCAAACCGTATCTTTGCCGTGGTTTTGTCAACAGCCTCAATGGCGAGGACACCTTTTGGCAGCTCCTGTTGGACAAATGCTCGAGTATCTGGTGGGCATACCTCAATCTCAGAGCCTTCTTGCCTTATTTCTTCGACCTTGAACTCTGTCATCCGCTCAATCTGCCGAATAACGCTGGCCACAGACTCAGAACGCAAGTCCAAGTCGAACTCTGCTCGGCAAAGTATGAGGCTGGTCCTGAGATTCCGAATCGCTTTGATGCTAGCCAAGGAGCGTTGAAGCTTGTTCTCGCAGCCAACACAGGTCATGCCGGACACACTGAGAGCTACGTGGGTGGACTTTGAAAATCCGCCCTCCAGATGGGCAGCACCTAACTCTAGCTCAGTGGAGGAGGCCTTGACAGGGTTTGGCTCTTCGGTTTCGCAGCAGGAGCCGGCACATGGGTGGTCAGCCAAAGCACAGCTTGCCAAAGATGCTGTTGTCAGCTTTTTCCTGCACTGTCTCTGGCCCATTCGATTCCCGGGTAGATCGACAGTGGTTGCTCTAAAAGTTTCCGGTGAAGATCGAAGCGGAGGGGCGCAGCATGGAGGCTCACCTCGACTTTTAAGAGTGCGACAGAGGCAGCCTAGGCTCTTGAGCAGATCCTGGTAGAATTGACGAGTACTGATACCATTGGGGCAATACTGGTTGGCATCATAGGATGTCGAAGGGGCGAGAGTAGCCCTAGCCAGTGTTGTCTGGCCATCTAAGTAACATCAGTACCCCGTCGATATCACAACAATCCGAGCACATGATGAACATACTTTCCATGTAATTCTTGCGCTCGCCAGCAAGTATGCGGTCAATGCAGGACTCTACAGCACACTTAGCCTAGTTATGAAGTAAACAGTGTGACCATTTACCATTGCAGCAAGGTTTTTTCTTGCCAGCGCAGCATTCCAAGTCTTCGTCTTCGCCTGACTCTATTGCGGCACGCTCCGGAGCATGTTTTTCAAGCTTGTCTTCGTTGCAACTGAACTCCCCAGCGGCAATAGAAAGATTCGGATTTTCTAGCTGACAGGTTTCCTCCTGACCATCTGTTGTTCGAAATTCCTCAGTCGTGACTATTGTCTCGCTGGACTTGATGCGCGTTTTGGTTTTGAAGCCAACAGATTTAGAACAGCAACTTCGCCCGCACTGGCTGGTCGCGATTGTCTTGGTCATGGTACTGAGTTGGTCGGCGATGTTGATTTTGTCCTGCACAGAAGCGCTGCCCCGGCGATCGGCACCGTTCTCCGTGTCTCCAGGACCAAAAAAAGGACTCTTCTGTTCCTCGACTGGTGCTTCCGAGGAGCCTGAGTGGAGTTCAGGACTGCGAATGCTCTTGGAACTGCTTTTCATCCCGCAATCTTCGAATTGCTCTTGCTTCTGAGCTACAGCAGCCGCGCAACAACCGGACTGACGTTTGCCTTCATTGAAGAGATCCGACTTGTCCATATCAGCGACAAGCTTTGTCTGCTGTATTCAATAAATATTGACAACACAAAAGCCTGGGGATTTTCTTCTCTTGTTGATTTGTGGAAAGAAATGGAACGACGGAGCTGATAGGACGGACGAGGGCGGGGAGGGGTCGAAGCAATCTTTCCAAGCAAACGAATCCTGGCCGCATGAGCATTCATTCCTGCTCCTATTATTGCATTTGATGGAGCTAATTTTTGACGTATATGAATTTTCTGTGCGAAATGTGATTCATTGTGCACTTCGTCGTTACGATGCCTTTCTTATTGCGGTCAATCGTCTATGCTTCGTGGATCAAGACCCCTATCAATGTCGCCATCAATGGCACATATGGAGGCTTTGTTACTCAGACACCCTATTCCCTTGAGAATGGCTCAAAAGACGAGACTGTGCTAGCTGACTTTAGCTAGATTAGCTGAGCAGACAATATGTACATATCCTTACAAATGTCCTGTCTTGCTTACATTCTTCCGGCCTCTAGCTACTGAACTTTTGACAGTGTTTTGTGTTGTGTAGAGAGGCATGACGAATGTTCTTGGTAAACACTGGCAATCTGGATTCTTGCTCTAGAATAGTCGTGCTGACAGCGGCCGAAAATCTCTTCCAGTTGTCAATACCAGCCGCTGAGAGAACGCTGCACGTCTACCTGCTTGTAGAGCAAACAAACAGAGCAGTAAGCTATCTCACTGGGGCCGCGAACTACAGCCATGCAGTGTGGTACATTGCATAGTTTGAAACGACACTTTAGCATGTCCTGACGGGATTGACCGAACAACTGGAGGGTTAGGTCAACAATGCCAGAAAGGGTGCAAACTCGTGTTCCAATGCAAGCCTGCATTATTGCATGATACGTTTCCTTTCTTGCGGCTCTACGACTCCGTTCCAAGTTCTACAGAATGGCCAGCTTTGGCAGTGATAATGACGTTCGTTTGTGTGCCTGCGCTTGCATGTATATATCAATTGTTTTGAATTCAATGACGCAGGTTGGCTCCTAAAGGATTGCCAGCTTGGAGTACTTCACCTGATCGAGGCGCCTTTGTCTCCTCCTAACGCATCGCCAACATCGTGTGCGGTTTCTTGTTGGAAATTGCGTCCAATACAAGGCCTTCAAGCTACCTCTATTGGAAAGGCTTGGGCCGCAACCGTTAGATGAGATGAATATTTTTGTTAAAATACAAGTTCGTCATCATTTCTCTACCGATGGTTTGTAAGAGTGAGCTTCGTGCTTGAGCGCCTCTCAGCCCCTTTTGTGGCCGTTGCGGGCATTCACTTGGCGCTTACTGTGCCTGGTGCTCGTCCAGGCCACGCAGCTGAGTACAGCGCAATGGTCATCACATCGCACTGCGCTTCGCCTCCTTCAGCTATGTTGGCAGGCTTCGGATTAAGGTACAGGTACTGACATCACGCCGGACAATCGACCACGTAAACAGAAAGATTTCAATGTCAAAGATGCGCAAGCGTCATGGCTTTGAAGCACTAAATGTATGCAGATCCGACAATAAGCACCATGGCCAGGTGGTCACCATGGGCTAAGGCTCAGAATTGTCGGACGACGGAGCAATTGAATCTTAGATGAAATGTCATAAATTACGCGGTTTTCTCGGGTTTCGCATATTCTTTGCTCAACTCCTGGGTAGGACATAGACCTGAGAGGAGAAGCGCATCAGAACTTCCTAGCGACATCCAGTGAGAATAGCTTGCATAGGACGTGATGATATCGGGAAAAACGCAACGGCGCGTCTCACACTGTCTTCGGGGGGTGCTTGCGCACTGAAAATAAGCCATCAACGCGGTTGTTCTCGTTAGACAGTGGCACAGAATGTCGTGAGCACAATGACGGCGGATGAATCCAATCCTCCGTTGAGTGTCCGAAAGCTGCTCGGCGCTGCCGGAGTTAATGCATGTGGGTACGTGGCCGACGAGTGAACCGCAAGCTAGTAAAACGTCATTCCCGAATCGGACGAATTCGAATGATTGTCGCCTTTCTCGAGCGCTGGCAAGGCCTTCAAAACCAGCTGGAGCCTGATCGTAGGTCCTCCGTTCGGTTTCTGCACATTCGCTGCGGCTTTCAATGACCTTGTTACAAAGGTTCGTCCTTCGTACCTGCTCAGCGTTCAAGACAAAGTCGACCACCCGCAAACCAAAGTCGCGTCCATTTTCGCAGGCTGTAAAGATGTCGGCCGCTTCAACTAGCGTGGCGCTGTACGCGTCTGTGATATCAGCATCGCAGGTTAAGGGCGCCGTTCCGGAAGATGCAGCAGAGTTGAAGCATCACTTGAAGAATGGGAAAGGTTTCAGGAATCCGTGGGATTCATTTGTCGATCCGATCGGACCCAAAATTCTGCTGCAGATGATCTGGTACATCTTCTTGCCTGTTCCGTTTAGAGATGGACTTATGATCTGACAGGACGGCACAGGCGTCAATTGAGCGGCAAAGCCAACAAACCAGACACGACCCCTCCGACAGTTCCTGTACATACGCCGAAATTCCTGCCTTCAAGAGAGACGGCAGAGCTTCGTGCAACCTGGCTAGGGCATGCTTGCTACTATGTGGAGTTTCCGGGCGGTCTGAGAGTGCTCTTCGACCCGGTCTTTGAGCACCGCTGCTCACCCTTTAGCTGGCTCGGTCCAGGACGCTACACACCTGCACCTTGCAATGTCGAAGACATTCCAATCATAGACGCCGTTATCATATCGCACAACCACTACGATCATCTCTCACTCCCTACCGTGAAGAAGATCAAGGAAAAGCACCCAGGCGTGCAATTCTTTGCCCCTCTCGGCAACAAGAAATGGTTTACTGCAAGCGATATACACAACATGACTGAGCTGGACTGGTGGCAGACGAAAGACCTGACATTGAGTCGTAGCGGCGTTCCGGACATAACCGCAACAATCGGTGCTGTCCCGTGCCAGCATATGACCGCGAGAGGCCCCTTTGACCGAATGGAGACTCTTTGGGCATCTTGGATCGTAGAAAGTGGAGGAAAGAAGGTTTATTTTGCAGGGTATGTGTTTGTGCTCAGCCTTGTTCTGGTGATTCTAATTGAATGTACAGAGATACGGGCTATCGAACGGTTCCAGAGATGCCAAAAGGTGAAGATTCGTACAGCGAAAAGTACGCCCATCTTCCGCATTGTCCAGCATTCAAGGAGATAGGCGATCTTCGTGGACCTTTCGATCTCGGACTCATCCCAATCGGAGCATACGATCCTCGCTGGATCATGTCGCCCATGCATGCGGATCCATTTGACAGCGTAAACATCTTCGTAGACACAAAGTGCAAACGAGCGTTGGGCATGCATTGGGGCACTTGGGTGCTCACGGAAGAGGACGTTCTTGAGCCACCTCGACTGCTCAAGCAGGCTTTGAGCAGGAAGGGAATATCGGAGACGGGAGTGTTTGACGTGTGCGATATTGGCGAGTCGCGAGAATTTCCAGCCCAGGACCCTCTAGAGGCGAAGCTTTGACAACCTTGCAATTCTTCACGCGTGTATCATTTTTCCAAGACTACGCATTTGTAATTTGCTTTGCTGGCACTTGATGTTGACTTTGTAATATCAACCTCTCTTCGGAAAGCATGTCATTCGCCAGGGCATACGGAGTTTGGTTGCTCACAGAGTTTAAGAGCTTGTATATTGAAGATATCCACTATTGAGATGGCAGAGTGCCTATTCTCCGTTTACTAATAGCGCTTCCTTGCTTCTGCAATTCAAGCATACAGGCATCGCATGTCTCGGGCACGAAGGATACTGTATTACCATCACAGATTGTTCCGCAGCCACGAACGGGCCATGAGAAGCCGAAACGTAGAATCTGGATGAGACGAAGGACAATTCTGATTTCATGATGAAAAACGCGCTATTAGACGAAAGAGAGATCATGATTCGCAGCACCTTCGCAATTGCAGCAGATAATCAGCAATTTGTGTCTTCAACAAGGATCTGAACCTGAACAGAAACATAACGAATGTTGTCTGCGAATCAGATGAATAGAACAGGTCATCGTGTCAGCGTGTCCTTCATAGTTCATGCCACTAAGCAAACTCATCAGTTTTTAGAGATGGGACCGCGTTTCATTTCTGCGCCGCTGGAAACCGCAAGACATAACATGGGTACTTCGTGATGCGCCCGGTGATGACACATCTGAAGAGCCGTGGCGTCATCGGCGCACTCGGGTGATACGGGTTAAAAAGACTCCAACAAACAAGCTGGAGCTGTGAGAGCGCAATACGAAGTGAAAATTTGAAGAAGAGGATTTCTGACTCTGTAGGATCGAATTTGCCTGGGTCGCCCGCACCACGTCGACGTAGCCAGACGTACCTCTTGGAGCAGGTTCTAGGCAGGAAGGCTTCTTTAAACGTCAGAGGGGAATTTCGTTCTGTCTTCGACACCTTTTTTGAGCAACTGGTTTTTGCTGTTCATGTAACTCGTATCGCATAACTCATGTCAACGGCACCGTAGTTTCCCTCGATGCCTTTCGTTGCCTGCGCTCCGTTCGACGCTTAGAGCCACGAGCGGAATTCATTGTCAAGTGTCAACATGACACCCCGTCGGTTGAGCCTCTTCTTCTTGCTCTCTTTGTTTGAGTCGAATGAAGCATCAGGAGTAATTACTTTCGGGATCGGATACGGCTCGACGGCCAAATTGTTGAAGTCGGCTATAGCATCGTCGATTGCGCTTCCAATGACCTCGTCGACGGATTTCTGATCAGAGCGCCTCTTTGAGGTGTTGCGTGTGTGTTCATTGAAGTCGCGAAGGGTACTTTGACAGCCGCTGTTCGACGTGCTGGATTTACGCGGAAGATTGGGCAACAGTGGTAAAGCCCCAGCCTGTTCGAACTGGCCGACCGCTTCAGAGCGCAGATACGCGATTTTCTCAGCTTTTGTGAGGTGGAGCATGGTGGATTCTCACGACGGACATGGACTTGTGACGTCCGACTGGATTCTGCATGACGTGTAAAAGGAGGGCAGGACGGACAAACGAGCGCTCTTGATTTTTATAAGCCTTCGATCAGGCAGCTGCAGCTGCCGCATAGAAACCTCATTAATTTCATCGAAGCATTGTTTCCGTCCTTGAAACGGAACAAATTCATCAACCTCAAACTTTATTTCGCAGCCTTGCGGCTAGATCGAAGCCGTGTCTGCGCGATCGATTCGATTGGGCGAAGATCGCACTCTGCATTACGTACCCCAGCACCCCAACGCCACCTCTGCTTTACACTTCCTGATCGCACAGCTCCTCGTGCAATCTGCATGAGTTGCACTGTGCTCTTCCTCACGCTTCCCAGGCTCTCTGCGAATCTTTCAATGGTCCGTGTATCGAGTGAGCCTTTGCGCGCCTCCTACGCCTCTGCAGGCGACAGATGTCTTCCATGCTAGATGACGATTGCATCGATGACTGTGTTCCGGATTATCTGAAGCGCTCCCGCAAGAGCGTTCTCTTTGCGAGCTTACCCTTCCTGAGCACCTTCATTCTCGTGGCGTATCTTGTGCTGAAGAGAGTTTATCCCCTTCTGTCCAACGCCGACGATGGCAGAGGCGGCGAACGTAGAAGAGAGGGCCAGGATGCGAGGTTGCCGATGCATAACCTTGAGCTGAATCAGGCGGGATCTAGGAAGAGCCTGGCAAACAGAATCAAGAGCCAAGTTGCGGACGCGCGCAGAGTGTCGAAGGCAGTATTTGCAACAACCATCGCGCTCTCTGCTGTGCTCGTAGAATTGATTCTGTGCGAAATATCCAACAGCCTCGACGCGACCGCACGGAGAATCACGCTCGATCTGACCCTACCAACCCTCCTGGTGCTGGTTATTGTAGTGGCGCCCGGTCTGGAGATGCGGTCGATAATCGCAGCTACCGGGCTATCTTTTCGTAGCACGGGCAAGGGCAGACTCAATGCCGCCTGGCTTTTTGAGAGTGTTGCAATGGTGGTTTGGTTGCTCGCTTTTTGGTACTTCGGGCATGGCTTGATCGCCGTGTTCCGTGAAGACGTGCTGCATCCCGACAGTCACGGCATCAGCGAGGGCTGCTTGGAAAGAGTGGGCATCGTGGGCATCAGCCTCATGGCCAGCCTTGCCGGCTTTGCGGCAGTATCAGCGCTGTGGCAGACTTTCGGCGTGAGAGACAGACCAGTTACAGAGGCAGACATAGCACGGAAACAGGCGGGCTTGGACGCCATGGACGACATGCTTAATGCGAAGAAGAGTCGATTACGAGCCATAACGCGAAAAATGTCCGAGTCGAGAGGCGGCGAGGGCGTGATAACGAAAGTGGTCAGCACAATCCGCGGCAACAGCGATTCACAGGAACGATCAACACTTCAGCTTGAGATCTCAGGCCTCCAGATTATGCGCATGTCACTGAACAACAGCCTCTACTCGCTGCGAAACAGACGTGATGCACAGCTTCGGTCTCACACGGTTGGCGGCAAGCTGATTTCGGTATTCTCGTCTGGATTCGCTGTTTATTGCGCTTATCGTCTTGCCAACACCGGATTCAACATCCTCCGACGCAGCCTTTTCGGCTCGAACACAACGTCGCAGGACGTGGTCACGCACTTCCTAGCTCTGCTCGCCCACTATTGGGATGCATCCATAGATCAAGAACTGTGGTCACGGCAAATCTCTTTTTTACTCTCGGGTATCATGCTTCTGCTCGCCTTCAACTCAGCACTACAAACTTTTCTCTTACTGGCTCGTGCCTTTCCCTCGCTGTTGACCGCAGCTCTCGGGGGGTCCAACTTTGCTCTGCTTGTCTCTCAGGTCTGCGCGAGTTATGTTATCAGCTCGGCACTGCTTCTCAGGAGCAACCTGCCTTCAGAGGTCAGAGGCGTGATCACAGATGTTCTAGGTGCCCCTTTGGCGGTCGGCAAAGTTGATGCTCTATTCGAGGCCTGCTTTGTCATTGCAGCAGCACTAACCGCGACGGGCATTTGGGTGGGCAGGAAACTGAACGGACCTGATGATGACGGTGCTGCTATGGATGGTGGCGAAATGAACAAGATGAGCTGAATTGTCTGTCCAACTTGGCTTATGGCAATACGATGGCCTGAGCACAACAGGTGGAACGAACAATGCTTTTTTAATTGAGCCACGATATTCAATCAACAGAGCTTACGCTATAGCATCCTTCTACTATCAGGAAGAAGCCTAGGTCTTTCATCCAGCAGCGCGCCGCGTTGTACTATTGCTTACTGGTTACAAGCGCGAATTTCCTTTCGTCGCGTAGGTTAGTCCGGTCGTTGACCTACGCTTCTCCGGCTCAGGAGTATATAGCCTAAGTGGCGAGCCTGACGTGATTTGCCTCCGGTCTCGTACTAGGATCGTTTATATCGCGCAAGAAAATGTGATGCATTATGTGTCAGCGTAGACTAGCAACACCACGAACCACCCACTAATAGATGAGGCATTACAGCAGCCTTGCTACTCATCAAACAGGCTGGCACATCGTAGATTCCGACGACAAAGAGCATGTACGAATGTGCAACTTGAAGAACCCGTCGTCAATTTTTTTTCGGTGGCGACTCTTGCAGCGGATGGAGATGCAAGCATGACATTTTTTTTTTCTTTGAATTCGTCGCTAGGAACTTTGCCGTGGCTGCATATCCTTTGGTCCAGCAGCGGACTCCTTCTCCGACAGCATGTTTGCGCCAAAAAGATTTTCTTTGACGGCATTGAAAGGTGGATTTGCCGGGATTGTGATGTATCACAACGCCATCGCAAGCCAAAACGTGTCCAACACTTTCGACTCGCGTGGCATACTTTGCGGCCAAAGGATCCTCCATTCCCCCCCCCCACCCTCTCTCCTGCATGGAATGATAAAGGAACGCGAAGGGGCTTACATAGTTGTGGGGGATCCGTCGTCAAGACAGAACAAAAATGGTGAACGGTTCGGTGCAGGAGCCACGATAACGCGCTGGAGTTGGAACAGAATCGGACTGCTGAGCATGGACACGCCCGAAGCGTCGCTGGTGCATCGCGTCTCTCCGCTCCGCTCTCTCTTCGTCAATACGAATATGTTGTGATCCCGCATGCACGCGAGATCCGTAAGCCACGGCAGGGAGCTGCTTCGCGGAGTCACTTCCCTGATACGTACACGAAGGAGGGTTGCACAACCGAATACCTTCCCACGTGGTGGCAAGTTGTGTGCCCAGATCTCAGTAGTTCGCATCGCCACCGCGTACACGCAGATGTTCTAGCGCGTTGGTTTGGCTCGCCTGTCACAAGGCTTTTCCTGAGCATGCCTTGACCAGGCAGCGGCTTGTCAGGTCGTTACGACGGCGATTCAGCCATGCTGGGCCCGGACGGGATGTTGTTTGAACGCTTCCCGCCGGGATTTTGACAAGGAACGACTTTTCCAAACCATCCCTTGCGTGTGAGCATGGCGGGGCTGTCAGGATGGGAGATGGGATGAGAGCATGGTCAAGACAACGGCAGATATACAAGTACAGACACACACAGGGGTGCCACGTTCCGAGACTAATTCGAATCTTGTGGAGGAAGAGATCGACAGATCCCAGATTCTTTGGCTCAATCACAAACCAGCATGGACAAAAAAAACCTGCGGCCCGAACACCACGAAAGTCGGGCAGCTCTGCAAAGTAAGCTTCTGCACTGCCCGTCACTTTCTCCCTCTCCTTCCTGCAGACAGTCGATACTGTTTTTCTGGAATGCAAATCATTCGCCTTTCGTCAAGCGGCACGAGAGCGCCGATCAACCCACCAAGCCTACTCACCACAATCGCGTTGTCTCCTCTCCGTGGTTGTTGCCCCACTGACACTCGCTCTAATTAAGGCCTTCGGATCTGTGCCGCTGTCCTTGCTCGGCACGATCGAGTCCGTGCCTTGCACATCAGACCATGACTGCAGTTGTGGCCAGAAATGCCCACGCCTCTCGTTCAAGTTGACTCAGCAGGACGGATCTCCGCGTCGAGGAAAAAAAAAAGCGACGATGAGGGAGAACTGCGTGGAGGATGTCATTCGTCCCATTCGACGCGGGTCTCTCAAGCTCACAGTGCTTCTTCCGCGTCTCTCCCAAAAAGACTCATGCCGCATGCGCTTCGCTTCATGAGGTTTAGACTCAACCCCCAAGGTGTAAAAGCCATGCATGGAGCCCTTGGGGACGTCAACTTGCTTTTTTCTTCTCTTTCGGAACGTACGGAGGACATTCTTTTGGTCTCTGATCCAATCTACACTGGCGCAGCCCAGCTGCAGTAGCATGAATCGAAGTGTGATCCCATCTTGACGTATTACTCCACACGAGACCTTGGCACTACCATGGACCTGCAGCGCAGCGAACCCGTACTCCAGAAAGAAAAAAAAAACAAAATGCTCGCTTGTGCTGGACCAACGGTGGAAGAACGGTCGCAAACCTGCAGATACCCAATCCGTTCTCAAATAAACGTTTCAAGGCGACGATAGCTACTCTTGACAAAGATGATCTTTCAATTGCAAGTCCGTGCAGGATGACTTTTGTGCTCCAAGCACCTGCATGGATTCTTTCTGAAACACCGGGAGATCGAGCAGAGGAGCGCCATGATCTAAAATATCAACCGTCACATTCTTGCCTTTATAATCGCTATAGCGTCGTACTGCCCTTGATAATTTTGACTTTTGGCTGCTTGACGTCGATGCTATCGAGATTTCCAGAAACAGGTTGTGAGACACGCAGAACGGCCCGACGAAAATCATTTTCAGCGTCTGTTCTACTACTGTCAACGTTGTACCACACAAAGCTCCCCATCTCCAGACATCACCATCACATCAAAGGTCTGCACTGTCGGACCCGAGTCAAGGGTTCATATCCCAGTAGATGCATGCGCTGGTGCTCCTATCCAACCATAACGGCTCATCTGGAAGAGAAAGAAAAACAAAAATAATGTGGCCCGCGCTCATGGTGGCTGCCCAGAATGCTTGGATTGTATCCGTGGCGGTAACTTCATCTTCCTAGTCACGTAGCTAACGTTGGAATTTGCAAGGAACAGCAGAATATTGCCGACGGGCGCCATTTGATTTGCATACACACCGAGGTTTTGGTTAAGAGTGGCGATAACGTACGACCTCAGCCTCATCTGTGTCTAGCTTAGGCCACTGTTTGGTGCCAGTGAATCTGCATGCAATGGCGAACTTACTTATTTTGTGGACCACGCCATCTGCGAAGGGGTCCTACGCAAATCTTTTATGTCCTACTTTGCGCATGGCTTTTTCTTGCTGTCTCACCACGCAATCCATTCTCGGGTGTGAAAGAAAATCGCCGTTAATATTTGCCACCATCACCGGCTGGACACCAACCTTTGCGAGCCGTTCTTACATTGTCTGGGTAATATAGCGGAACAAACTCTCGTTATTTACATGGTAAGTTCGGCCATATCTTCTGCCTCATCGAATTCCGATTTTCGAATGTTTATACGGTTTTTCATGACCCCTTTATCTCTGTCCACACCCTTGTGTTGAGAATGGTGCGTAGACTGACGTATCAGTACAAAACAGCCGCATGTATGCGCACATTCTACATCCCAGACATGACTTTGTTCAACCTGCCTGAGTCAATACGTCATCGTATATACGAAGAGGTGTTGTCAGAAGGCCGAAATACGGTCCCACTTCTTCAAACGTGCCGTCAAGTCCTTGCTGAAGCCCAACCTATTGTCTTTGAAGTCCCTGTCACTTTCAATTCCCAGTACGATCTGGTGGAGTGGTTTAGTACGGTGGGTCCAACCTACGCGAGAGGTGTGAAGAAGTTACACCTCACCATACAAGACCTCGAGGTTTTACCTGCAAACAGAGACAGTGCGCACTTATCATGGCCTAGTCTGTCACTTCTGGAGCTTTACCAAAGTGAAGCGGAGAAGGTGACTGAGCTTCTGAGCCGGTTCCCAAATGTCATCGAACTCAGCCTGCTTAAACCCGAGACGGTCCGCTCGTACTTGTATAGCGACTACTACCTCGCCATTCTCCGGAAAACCACAGCTGATCTTTCGCACCTCAAAAGCATTGAGTTCCATAGCGATGAATATCCTTTGCAATTTGCCAAATCTTTACCAGCCTTGCGAAAACTGTCGTTCACGGGCTATTCGAGAAGTTCGCCGATGGAGACTTCAAGCATACTTTCGCGCCTCAGGCACCTTGAAGAGCTTGAGCTCATTCTGCCTACAACACCTACCGTGTTCGGTGGCCTTGAGATTGAGACAACTTTACCGAAGACGCTTTCTTTGACACGAGAAGTCATCCGCGACCTTCGCGGTCTTAAGAGCTTTGTCCTGCGGGAGCTCAAGGACAGCTTCAACAGGCTGCCCGTGTTTTGTACCTCGCGTTTCATACAAGCGCTTGATTCGACGCATCGGCCGACTCTGCAGAAACTTAAGATTGACCTCAGCTTCACACCAGATGTGCCAAGTCAACGAGCAATCAAAGCGCTCTGCTCCTCTTCCAATCTAAAGCATATCGATGTTGTGTGGCCAGGTATGCGAGGAGACTTACTCAATTCTCTACCTAAGAATTTGGTTTCGCTGAGAACAGCACCAACCTTTGGCCGACCACCGTATTGGGTCATGCAAGTTGTGCAGTGGAAGCGTGCAGACCTGCCTAATCTTCGGGAGCTTTGCTTAGTGGGGGACTCCAGATCTTCCGCCTTGACTCATTCGGTAGGAACCTGAATTGAGAAGGTTAGACGCTTTGATACTAATGGATACGACATAGTCCACAACAACCCAAGCATTCAGGTCAGCCAAGACCTTGCTCACTTCCTTGGGTATTAAAGTATACGTCGAATCGTTGCAAGTTAGCGCTGGAGCCGCGCGCAACCGATCGACTTCTGGCGGAAATAGCCTTGTTAGACACTCATGCTGAGCGTGTTTGTCAAGTCTCTGTGCATTTGATTATCGGCGGTCAACTTGGTTCTTGATTGAAGATTTGGAGTATATATTGATCGAGATACCTGAACATCCATTGTTTGCATTCATTTACGTAGCAACAATGACGACTTCGTTCTTCTTTTCCTCTGGGAAATTATTGGTGTCTACCGCTCAGTGACTTAAGTTAGTCTCGACAGTCGGGGCATTCGGTTGAAAGTCACGTGACAGTACTGTGCCTTGCCGAGGCACCTCGTTTACCCCAGACCCGCCTTCTCATTTCCATCCTTTAGTCGATCGCTAGCCGAAGAAACAGCCATATTGACCGCATTCCCTCTGCCGCATCTCTCATAATTTCTCAGCACATACATTTATATACTGTAAGAAGGTGCATGTTGCGATAGCTATCTCCTCAAGATGGTCCGCGAGGGCCTCATCGACTCTGCAGTACGTTGTTTCTCTAGCCGATTGCTCTCCCATCTTCGCAAAGCTAACGAACCTAGGTCGCTTGTACGTAATTCAAGGTCAAAAACGGGCTCGAAGCATATCTAACTAGGAGGTCTCTGTACAGTTCTTCAAGATCCAACAGTTGCGCAGGCCCCGATCGACAAGAAAATCGCGTTTCTCCAATCCAAGAACCTCACACAGGAGGAGATTGATGTCGCATTAGCACGGGCAGGAGATAGCTCTGCGCCAGTGCCATCCTCCTCTGGCCCACCAGCGAATTACCAGTATCGGCCTCCATATCCGCAGCAGGGCTATCCTCCTTATCCTCCATATGGCTTCCAGCAGCCTCCACCAGAGGTCCCGAGGCGCGACTGGAGGGATTGGTTCATTATGGCCACTGTTTTGGGTGGAGTAGGGTACGGCCTTTATTTCACTGCGAAGGTTTGATACGCGTATCCAGAAATTCATAGTGCTCAGCTAACAATCGGAAAGCGATATATCGTTCCGCTTATTGCACCCCCCACACCACCTCAGCTTGAGCAAGACAAGCAATCGATAGACCAGTCGTTTGAGAAAGCATTCGCCCTCCTAGACCAGCTGAACACTGATACGGAGGCGTTGAAGGCAGCTGAGCAAAGTCGCACCGAACGCCTAGATGCAGCGCTGGCGGAATTAGAGTCTGTCCTGTCATCGCTGAAAGAAGCAGAACGTAAGCGTGAAGATGAAGCTAAACGGAACGCGGACGAAATCAGAAGCTTGCGCGAGCTCATACCCAAGGCCTTGGAAGGCCAGAAAGATGTCACGGAGGCGCGACTGAAGAACCTTGGTGAGGAGCTGAAATCTCTGAACAAGCTCGTCAGCAACCGCGTCGGTGGGACTGCCAGTACGACACCAGCCTCGACAACGGCGACTGCTCGTCCTGTTTCTTCCGCATCCGGAAACACGCTTAATACGTTCAACGCGACGGGCTCCTCCTCGGCGGCGCGTGATAGTACGTCACCTGTGCCGCCGTCTCCGACTACGAATGGCAACGTCTTGGGTAGCAGCTCGCAAACGCAGACCGAGACCTCTGCACCAGCAGAGGGCTCTCGGAGCTCCACACCGTCAGCTTTGAGCACCAGATTTGGCTCGGGCAGTGGCAAGGCCAGCATCCCTGCTTGGCAGATGGCCGCGGCTAAGAAAAGCACAGAAGGATTGAAGGACGAAGCAAAGAAGGACACGAGCGCCAGTGGCACTGCAGTTGATGCTACATCGTGATGAATAACACTGATACATGCCGAAAACCATCTCTCTCTTTGATCTTGGCCTCTTCATTACTGTATTGCTAAACTGGTGGATTTCAGCTAATGCCTAGTAAAAGGTCTGGTGAGTAAGGTAATGCATCGTCGGCGGCGCTTACATACTCAGCTTAAGTGCGCTCTAAAATCTCAAATAAGTGCGCGGTTCTTGCCGTTGTTAGCTTATTTTGCTTTCATCATGGGACAGCGCCACGTTTCCCTTCGTCATTTGATCGATCATGAGTGAACTTTGCCGTTTTATTCAAAACCAAGACGTGCCATCACAAGTTCCCCTACAGCTGTTGTAAAATCACTTCCTCCCTGAGCCCTTGCCTTCTCTTATTCCAAGCCCACTTAACCAGGCCCCGATCTGTCCAGGCCCATAGGATGTTCTTGTTTGCGAAAGCCAAACTAAAAACCACGCCTCTCGAAGGCAATTCTATCGGCCGAATACCCACGATCCGTTTTCTTTCCTTTCCCTTGATACGAATGTGATCATGAAAATAACCTTGAGCGCAGTTCGTCGTGTAGGCTTTGTCGTCAAGCGCACCGAATTCGTGTCGCAATGCCTTGTTTTGCTTTCCTTCCCACGTGCGTGAGAAGTCGAAGGAAGAGTGCGTTGTTAACAAGGGCGGAAGAGATCCATGTTCCTGCTTGAAGAATGCATCGGTGTGAAGCCCCCATATTTTGACCTTATCCCAGTCTGCGATGGCAACCCACTCCTGATCGGGCGAGAGCGCGATGATGTGCTTCATCTCGGAGGACGACGGGACCTTCAAGCCAAGCAGCATGGCAACGACCGTGAACTCCATTGCTGGTAGCTCGACGTTGATGTTATACGGCGAGCAAAAATCTTGCTCTTCAGCATACTTGACGAGAAAGGCTCCGCTTTGTTTGCCTCTGGTAATGACCAACTCCAAGATCTAGGCCACATAAGCATATAGGCCATGGCTTGCATGGCAGAGTCCATGACAAGGGTCACTTACCGTTTGAACGCAATACGTACTTCCGTTTTCGTATTTTCCACATTCATGGGCATGATGAGACTTGATGGGCAGCCCTTTAAAGCTTGTTGGGTTGGTTGTAGATGTGAAGAGAATGTTACGCGGGCGAGGTCTGCCTGAGGAGTACGAAAATCTTAGAGATAAGACGCCCTCGCTTACACAATCAGTCACTATATCCAAAGGAGCTGTATCGGACCCAAAGATCCAAAGTTCGGGATGTCTTCCCGATGTAAAGCGTGCTCTTGTGATTGGTTCAGAGAAGTAATGGCCGGCCACGGCATCTTGCTCCGAGGCTATAACGGGGACGTGGACTGTTCTCGTATCTGTAACCTGATATATAGAGAGCTTATATATGTTTATTGGCACTAAAATCTTCCGGAAGATGACTGCGACGGGATAGCATGTGTAGTCGGCAGAAAAATCCTCGGTCGTTGCGATTATGATGGGCTCATAGTCCGGAGGAGCCTGGACCTCGCGGCTAAATGCTGGTTTGGTCGTGTCTTTGCAAAGTTTCCAACCACAAAGATGGTAGGTGCACTGAGCCTTCTCCACTGCCTCCGTTACAAACTTGCTTATGTACGAACCCTTTGTTCCGTGCGCGGCGCTCTCTACGCTGTAGCCGAAGAGAGCGACGAGATGATCCAAATGGGTGTTGTGGCAGCGCTGCCACCGCATCGCAACGCACCGATAGCGAATATAGGGGGAGTCATCTTCGTCCAATCCGAGATTTCGAGGATCCAGCTTGTACAAGGGAATTATTCTCCCTTTGCGAATGCGATAAACATGTATCGTCCCGCAGTAGTCCGCTGCGGTGGCTAGCACACCCCTATAGCAACCGTCGACGCAGCATCTTTGGATCCAATTAAACTTCGGTCGAGTCCACAATTCGTGAGACTCGGCAACCGACGGCTTGTTAACGATGACATCGGCATATGCTTGGAGACCGTTAGACGCGTTCAGGGCGGCTCTCCGATTGAATGTACGTAGCAGTTCGCTAATGGTTGCTTGGTCAGATGGACGTAAGCCAGGAAGTTTGAGCAGCTGGCATCGCAGAATCTTTGGAGTCGCAAGGATTGCGGCCCGTAGGGCTTTGGAGGTCATAAGGATGATGGCAAAGCTGTCCGGGGGCAAGGCCAGGAGAATCAGCTCCAGAATCTCCGGCGGGAGATCCAGCAACATCTTTGGAAGGATCTACTCTACTTCCTTCACTGCTTCAACCTCGGTGGAAATTGTCTTAGAAGTGGCATAAATAGTGCTCTTTGAACTGGTCGCTACCTGTCTCTTGACCGGTCGTTGAGACTCTCCCGTTGAAGACATCTGCCTGTGTAGCCTTGCGGAAGTAGCACGTTTAGCTAGGACGAGAATCCTGCGATCTCCGAACCTTTTTTTTTAACTTGACTTGATTGCCTTGGCAACCATATAAGGCTGTTCAGACGAGTGTAAGAAATTGTCTCGTAGCTATAGAGACATTCTCTCCGCTATGAAGACGAGGCGGTGATGGCTTGCGCTTGGCGGATGCTCATTGGTCCGCATGTCTTTTCGCCTCATCTAAGAGGAGGATGGTAGTCGGTTCCTACCCTCTGAAATGAAAATATCGAGAGGTATTGATTCTTATTCAACTATTTCGGATCATTCGTCGGATTCCTTTATTGCTAGCCCAGCCTGGAAGCCCACCTTGAAGACTTCCTCTTTGCATAGAGATGATCAAGTTAAGAGATTCTAGGCAGAACTTGAAATGGAGAGACCACATGATTGAAACTCACACAGCATCATTGGATATCTTTAGCTGAAAGCAATGAAATACTGGAAATGGAAAACCTGATCCGCAAGACACAAGTCGCCCTGTGGATAGCCTATGGGCTCCCTAGCAACTCATTCTCCTCGCCCTGCCACCGCTTCGCTTTTAGAACTCTTTGGCTCTTAAGCTTTACCGGACTACGCTGAAGCATTTCTCGCTCCAAAGCTTCCACTTTCCGCCGCAAAGCCTCATTCTCGTCCTCCAATTCTTTTACTCTGTCGTTCTCGGCTGGCGAGTCCTCATATACGTCAAATGTGCTATCTATACCCTTGGCAAGAATGTCAATCTTCCGGTCTAGATGCTCGTCGTTTCGATCAGCCTCCTCCTCCCAGGCACCTTTCCATCGTCTGCGCTCCTGGTCTAGGCGAGCCTCGAAGTCGTTGTAACATTCTTCGCGTACTTCTTGTTCAATATCTTGCATTCGCTGCTCCGCAGCGGCCCAAGATGCTTCTGCAGCCTCACGTCTGGAACGTTCCTCTTCGAGCTGAAGTGACAGGATGTCGCGCTCTTCGGCGAGTCGAGCGATCTCTCGAAGGGCATGGTCCAAGTCCTCTTGCGTGGCCGATGGCGAGGCACGTCCACTATTATTTGTGGGCAAACCAGCCGAACCGAAGACTTGCTCCGTGACAGACGGTATTCGTGGCACAGTGACTTCACGTGCAAGAGCCGAATACCGCAAAATCTGAGACGTCGCATTGAAGTCGCCAGTAGGGTTTGCCGTTACAATCATAATGGCTTTTTGCGGATTGCGGTGACTCGTGTGGTAGTGATTATGATGTGATGTGATGGACGCTGAAGGGAAGGAGTTTGAAAAGAGCAGCTCCGTCAGCTTACACTGTCTGAATGGGACAATATTATGCTTGTTGCCGTCTTGGTTGTCGCTTTGCATTTGCATACACTGGCCAAGGTACATCAGGCTTTCATTGATTTTGCCTGCTTCGGCCAACGTGGCGCCTGCAGTCTTAGCTTGCCGAGCACGTTCGGAACCTAATGGATATCAGTGAGTGATGCTCAGCTTACACGAAACAACGATACTCACCTGCAAGATCTACAATTGTTAGTGTACTAGAAGACCATGGCCCCTTATTCAACCGGTTTCTCTTCTTTACTTCGAAGCAGAAAAACCCGTGGCTTCTAGAACTGACAGCATTACTGCCAGTTCCGGCAACACGACGTTCGATCAGACCGGTCTCCAAAACTGTCAATGCTTCTTCGAGTGTCGTGCATACAACTTTCCTCAAACCTGCCACCACTTTACGATCAGGACTCATCTCCGTGCTTTTGAACAACAAAGCTCTCCGCTTTGCATGGTTCAACTTCGTGCCTCCGGGTGTCGAGTTCCCGGCGAGCAGATCGAATATCCGATCATTATAGACTTCGAACATGGACAGCACAATGGCGTACTCAGCCGATCTATCGACGTCCAGAATGAGTCCATTTAAGGCAGGAGCCTGTGGTAGGGTACTCGGTCGTGGGATGCGGTGCTTTGACGATGGCATGCTGAGGAATGAGGAATCCTTTTTTGGTGATTGTTTAGTGTGACTTCTAGCGAGACGTTGAAAAACGGATGTGATACTTGTTTTCGATGCCCCTTTTATGACTAATTTTTGAGGTGACAACATAGAATGAAAATGTTGGGAAAGAGTGGGATAAATTCCAGGCAATGCTTTTGAAGGGCAGATTGGAGAGCTAGGAAATGGTGAATTTACCGGCATTGGCGTTTGAGCGCGGGAGCAGCTTCCTCGGGCTGAAGCTCCGTCTCCATATATGGCGTCCAGATAGACTGCAGCTGGGAAAATCTGTGCCTCGGAAACGTCTGATCCAGATATAGACGGAAAAACTGAGGTTAAGTTTGTGGGGTGGACGAGGTTTTCGCCTAGGCTTTGGTACAGGAGATCAAGGGCCAGCTGCGTCATACCGCGCTGCGACTTGGTTCCCAGTATAGTATGACTCTGCTGCTGTATCAGTACGACGTATGCCTTCATTGCGGTGTTCTCTTACCTTGCCCGAGCCTGTCATGCCCAACGTTGCCAACAGACCATCTCGTCCCTGCTTCGAAGACGCCCCGAGGACGCCTTCGACAAGAGCTCGCACACCTGTGCCGTTGAAAATATCTAGCTGCGACGCATCCTCCTCGAAGACTCTTGTGAAAGCAAAGCGTTCCACTGCACGTTTGCGGTGGTCGTTTGCCGGGGGTTTGATAGTGATGTGCTTTGGGAACTCGCCCACATCGGCCGCTTCGACGTCTAGAAAGCGCTCAGCCGTTTCGGAATTGGATGCGACAGGAGGTCGCAGTCGAAGAAATACTTCGAAAAGGGAGTTGGTCGTCTTTTCCATCTTGAGTGTTGTCGACCAGCTGGTTTGAGGTTCGAAAAGGTTGTTTACTGGTAGGTAAACAATCCGGTAACCACGACAGGGATGTACTGTGCGGCAGCTGTCCTTGCCGCGCTAGCAGCTTTGTGCGTTGCACACTAGCTCATGCGGGGGGGACGGCGTCCCATTCCGAGATATACGCCATCTTCTACGCGCCCCCTCGCCCTCTCCTGCCTCGTCCCCGCCCAAAACCCACCGCTCTTCTTTTGGCGCACTGGAGCTGGAAGTTTCCATTAGTGGCAACCTCCGAGAGAGTTTCCGATGACGCCGGCCTCCGACACTCTGACGCTTTCCTTCTGCATCGCCTTGGCCAATCCATACGTAGTACACTCCTCATCCTACTCGGGATAAGAATCCTCTTGAAACTGCGGCAACAATGCCCAAGTCGACAGGCGACGTAGCAATCCTTCCTTTGCCTCGCGAGCAACAGGAACAGCCATCGCCTACCTCATCCTACACTCAACTCGTCCACGCGCTTTACTCATCGCCACCATCGCCTCGACCGGTTCACTCTACGACGGCTCGCCAACGTAGTCGTAACTAGCATCCAAACAGATCTCAGCGATTGTATGCTCCACTTCTGATGGAGGAAGGTATCACTTCCCTACTTAGATCGAGCTTCCTAGACGTCTTACTGCACTCGCTACCTACGCCATGGGACGTGGCGTGGCCTCGTTAAGCATTGCTGCTTACTCTCCATTGTGCGCTCGTGCTATTCTTGTCCATGGCCTGGTCTCCCCAGCACCGCAACCAAGTTCGGCGCCTGAGCTGATTCCGTCGAGCGACGATCATTGTGTGATTCGAGATCAAGTCCACCGGGACGTGTCGTGTTGGAATCCCTCCCCCAACGCCTGCCGCTCGTACTCGCCTGCAGATATGTGGAAAGATACCTCTGTACTGCGGCAGGAAGACCAGCGACCAGCCCTCTGCCGCTGCTAAGCGTGTGATAACGGAGGTATCCGCCGTGTGGTGTCACTGTGCATCGTAGACGCGGCTACCGTTTCGGCGCCCAAGACATCCAAGAACGCGCCACTCAGGGACTATTTCTTCGCATCCGCTTCGACCTCGGCACTGCCTATGGAAATCTCTGTTTGGATTCCCGGCACCGACTAGCTGTTATCATTGCATTATCTCCAGACAATATGACTGAATCTCGGCTCAAGCACCAACCCAGGACTTGAACTGGGGTAGCAAAGCCAGTGCCAAGAGGCCGCCCAGATTCTCGGCGTCGATCGAACAAGCTCTCTTGCTTCAACAATGTCTTCAGTGGCTAGCAAATGTTCCATCGCCGCTTCTAGCGGGGTTCCTATCTCTTCAACGTAACTGTAACCTTCCTATTTGATGATCTTACCGTATGTGAAGTTGGCATCCAGCGGTGGTCTTTGGTCGCGCGATAGCATATCGACAGTATGAACCCTTCTGTCCACAACCTCTTGGCACAATTGCCACCAGGAAATGGAGTAAATGTGTATATGAAGTAGGACATGGTCGCATGCTCCTCCTGGTGCGAAGATCATCGAGCTCGACCATTTCGTCTTCACCCTCCCTTTCTCTCCGTAAGCCTTGGCAACAGGATCATCATTCCTGCTTGCGTGCCAGCCAGTACAAGATGTCGCAAAATATCGATGTCGCCGATTTGGCGAAAGCTGAAGTTGCCGATGCCGCTGTCGCCGGCACCAGGAAGGAGTCCATCATCGGCGATGGCAAGATGGCCGATTATGAGCATTATGAGAGCGACTCGACTGATGAGTACCACATTTCGGACGAGGACCTTGCGACCCTTCGCCGCGTTTCTGGCAAGATTGTATGGGTTGCATTCACAATTGCCTTTGTAGAGTTGTGCGAACGATTCTCATACTATGGCACGACGATTATCTTCACGAACTTCATCCAGCAACCGCTTCCACAGGGCTCTCGGACCGGTGCCGGTGGTGCTGATGGCCAGTCTGGTGCTCTCGGTATGGGCCAGCAAGCTTCGACTGGTCTCACTACCTTCAACCAGTTTTGGGCCTACGTTACCCCTCTGTTCGGCGCTTGGATCGCTGATGGCTACTTGGGGCGCTTTAGAACTATCCTAGTTGCTGTGAGTAGAATTATTGCAACAACTCATCAATGCCTCGTTGCTAATATTTGCACCAGATCGCTGTTGGCATCGTAGGCCACGTTATACTCACTGTCTCCGCAGCACCAAGCGTGATAACGAGGCCGAACACGAGCATCGGCGTCTTTTCCCTAGGCCTCATCATCTTCGGACTGGGAACCGGCATGTTCAAGTCTAACATCTCCCCATTGCTCGCTGAGCAGCAGACTGACACAAAGATGCGCATTATGACAACAAAGGACGGTGAGCGTGTGATTGTTGACCCAGCCGTCACAACTTCTCGCATCTTCCTGTATTTCTACATGATGATAAACATTGGCTCTGTCACCGGTCAAATTTCCATGGTCTTTGCCGAGAAGTATGTGGGATTTTGGCTTGCCTTCATGCTGCCAACAATCCTGTTTCTTGTTGCACCTCTAGTTCTTCTTACGTTCAAGAAGCGGTATAGGCTTTCACCGCCAACAGGCTCTATTCTTGCAAAGTTCATGAGGATGTGGACTACCGCAATGAAGGGCGTCTGGTCGCTAAACCCGCTAACTATGAAGAAGCGCTTCTCTTGGGACAAGGTCCGCCCATCTCTCATCCCCCCGACGGAAAGGCCAGCTTGGATGACGTACGATGATGCCTGGGTTGACGAAGTTCGACGAGGTTTGAAAGCCTGTAAAGTCTTTCTCTTTTTGCCCATCTTCTTCCTCGCCTACAACCAGATCAACAACAACTTGACTTCACAAGCAGCGTAAGTTAACCCCGGTAATGTTTTTCGCTCGATCAAAGCTTAAAGTAAAACTACAGGACTATGAATCTTCATGGTGCTCCAAACGACCTTATTACAAACCTGAACCCAATCTCTATTGTCATCCTGATACCCATTTTGGATTTCTTTGTCTACCCCGCCCTACGAAGGAGAGGGTATCACTTTACGCCTATTAAGCGCATGACAACTGGTTTCTTCTTTGGTAGCGCTGCTATGATTTCCGCTTGTGTCACCCAACATTACATCTACAAGATGTCTCCATGCGGTTATTCAGCTGCGACTTGTCGAGACGAGGATGACAATGTGCTCTTTGCGGACATTAACGTCTGGGTTCAGACCCTGCCCTATGTTTTGATCGGCATCAGCGAGATCTTCACCAACGTGACCTCGCTTGAATACGCTTTCTCCAAGGCGCCGAAGAACATGAAGTCTTTGGTCATGGCCGTCAACCTTTTCATGAGTGCCATCTCTAGCGCCATCGGTCAAGCTCTCGTCCCGCTCTCTGAGGACCCACTGCTGGTATGGAACTACGGTGTAGTTGCTGTCTTTGCCTTCTTCGCTGGTATCGTCTTCTGGCTCTGCTTCAGGCATCTTGACGCTGAGGAAGACAAATGGAATTTGATTGCGGAATCTGCTTATCAAGGTCGCAGACCCAGTGTTGCGACTTTGGAAGCACCGCGCGAGGCTTCTGCTGTCAGTAATGCGCGTGCAAGTGACGAGAAGTCAACTGCTAAGGCTTAAAAACATTGAAATTAAAGTCTTGCACTATGGAGAGAGTGAGTTTCCAAAATGGATAATAGTATAGCTTGCTCCCGTTGCCTATCTCGAAGAATGATAATACAGTCAGCCAAATTGAGCTCGAATATTTCCCTTCCGATCAAATATCAGACGTCATTAGCTTCTCTACAGTGCTTGTGTCCTAATCATGGGGCTCGAGATATCCATGCCTGTCGTATATGTTCTTCATTTGCCAAGATGCTTTCATGGTGAGTTGGTTTGACTTGCACTTGGTCTCTGCCATTAGCGTCCACCAGAGTGCAGAGCTGCAGTGGCGGTTCGAGCACAGTATCTTTTCAAAAGGCCTCTGCTTATGTGAGTGTTTGCAAAATTGCAGCATCGAATTCATTTTACGTTGGCATATAGGCCGGTGCAGAGTCATGATTCTCATCGCACCAAGTGTTGATAAACATCGCAAGACGGGTGAAGATTTTAGTAGCAGTATTCAACTACCTTGAAGTAAAAATAGTGTGCAAGACAAGATGTTGGAGCTCCCGATCTACACGAGATAGTCGACGTTGGATCGGGTTGGCATGCCTTGGGATAGTTTGCCAGATTTGGTGTGTCGTTGAACGTCCAAAGCAAAACTGTGGAGCAGTCGATCCTTCAACAAACACCAAAAAACTCCCCTCCAGTAGTTCTTTCTTCCACGGCCATCTCCGACCGCAATCAACATGGCCGCATTGAAGTTTGTACGAAGCGTAAGATTGTAACTGTCCGCTGTGCTCGACCTTGCGCGCTGATCTCTCATCGGGCAGGTGTGGGAGTCGTTTCGGGTCAACTCCGGGCTTGAGCCTAGGTGAGTTTGATTGCAGAGCCATTTGATCGGGTAACATCTCGTGCTTAGCAAGCCTGAAATCCAGACTGCTCGACGGCGTAAGAACCTTTTATTTCTTTCTTCCCCCCCCCCCCTCTCCCCTTCATCTCGCCCTGCATGCCGTAGGCTGCGGGACGGATCAGGGACGTTCTTAAGTGCGAATGTATCGCTCAAGCATCGCAGCTCAAAGTGACCGCTGCCCAACCGGGCAAAGTCACGCTCGAACTCGAGATTCAGAAGGAACACACGAATAGGCTGAACATCCTGCACGGGGGCACCATAGCCTCAATCACGGATCTGGGAGGCTCGCTTGCCGTCGCCTCGCGCGGTCTTTTCAGCACCGGCGTCAGCACCGACCTCAACGTCACCTACCTCAGCAGCGGCGGCAAGGTCGGAGACAAGATCCTCGCCGAAGTAACCTGCGACAAGTTCGGCAAGACGCTCGCCTACACCAGCGTGAGGTTCCTGAATGAGAAAGGAGAGTTGTTCGCTAGAGGGAGCCATACGAAGTAAGCCGACTCTTCGCTCTCGTCTTTTTCCGTATCACTGTTTGTTCTCGGAGGGAGAACTTCATCCTTCAAATCTAAATGCAAAGGTCATACGCTAATCTCGAGCTCGTAGATATGTCGCTCTCGCCTGGAAGGATCCGAAGAATATCACGGAGGAGCTTAGCCCAAGGCCAAATGATCAGAAGGCCGAGTAACCTTGGCCTCACAATCTGCTCGAAGCTGACTTGTCCATACATTTTTGTATCATTTGCATTCAGGGTATCATATACAGAGTACAGCTAAGCCAAATCTATCGGAGTGCCTAGAGTTAATACACCCTTTTGGAATGCCCCGACTACACAATCTCCAGATCGTCATCGTCGTCTTCTAAGAATGCGTCCCCAGGTGCTGCTCCCAGGCTTTCCCTGCCAGGAATTCTAACGCCTTTCCCATCCAACAACAACCTAGCCTTCTTTCTTGGCGATGTATCATCTTGAGCTGCTTTCATGCTGCTCTTTCGTGGACTCATCGAGGTCTCTTTCTTACTCATTTCTTCTTGTGATGTTGCTGCTTTCTGAAGCAGTCCGCGAGTGAAAGCTCCGCTCCAGCCCAAGGGCCCTGATCTAGAGTTTTCTGTTGACAATTTGAATTTGCGCTTCACCGGGCTAAGGGAGACTTGCTGTGCTGTTTTACCGAGGAGACCTAAGGATGCAGCATCTAATGTTTCCGGTGCAACGCTTGGAACAGCTGTAGCGTGGTCCTGTGAAGAAGCATTGACAATCACTCGCCTATCTCTACTCTCCTTCAGCGAGTTTCGATGCTTCAAATATTCACTTCCGGTGCCATTTCCTTTCAGTCCCAGAGACTTTGCGAGCTCCTCCTCCTTCTCCTTGTCTCGCTGCCTTTTGCGCCGCGCTTCTTTATTCATCATCTCATCTGTATACTCCTTATCCAGCAGGCTTGCTGTGTTCAATCCCATCTCTTTCGGCGTGATCCACATTGTTTCGTGCAAATTCGTGTTGTGATACTTGCCCTCTGGAGCTAGGCTTCTGAAATTCCTAACATACTTGCTGTTCTTCTGATCGATGCCAACAGTATGATTCATACCAAAGTTCCCGCCTCGCCCAGTACCGGCGGCGCGACGACCACCTGTCATGGTGCTGAATTGCATCCTCTCCGCGCGTGCTTTGTCGACTTGCAAACTGATATGGTACTCACAAACCTCAGTTTTGCGCTTGTCAACCCAGGCAGTGCATTGGCTGCCATCGGATTTCATGGCTTTACAGACTCCAAGATCACGAGAGCGGCCAATTTCAAGGACTGTGTCCTCCGAGCTTGTAACTTTAAGACTGAATGCACCTGTGTCTCTGACTCTTGGTGGCATGATTCCCGGATTCAAGACCGCAATTAATGTTCCCTCCTTCAGCTTCCACCATCTTTCGAATCCAGTGTCGAAGAGAAAGAGATCGACCTCATACTTAAAATCAGTAAGCCGGAAGACCATGAATTTTGGTCTAGCATGATCTTCTTTGCCGGACGAGTCGATCGATTTTGGGTAGTTCTTGTGATCTCTTGGTGTTGATTTTGAGCATATAACCCCAAAAACTACATAATCCGACTCACAATCCGGTGCATCGTACGATGGTCCCTTGATTTCATGAAGCAGTCTTGGGATTGGATATAATTCCTTGCCTTGGAGTGTTCTGGTCAGCGTGCTGTGATCTATATCCCGTCTCTTGAGATAGACACCACTATATGGCTCCAGTACAGCTGCTGACTGTGAGGAGTCGATCTCTGAAGAAGGTAAAGACGTGTGAGAGGAGATTTCAGCAGCACGAAGAGATGAACTTGGCCGGCTTGGGGGCTTCGAATCCGAAGAATCTGACATTGGCTCCGTTTTGCTGATCCCGGACGCGATGTGATTCCGAATGGAACTTTTTTCTCGCAAGGAGCTTGATCTTTGTAGAGATCTTGCCACCGACATGTTTGTCGTTGAACTTTGACCAGCAGCACTGCCTGCATGACCATCATTGTTGAGTCCATATCTTGGTCTTGAGTCTCCGAGCATATTTTCGTCAGCCTTGTGCAACCCAAAGCCCTTGCTCCTCGACTCTATTATTCTTTGCTCCTTAGCTTGCTGCTCTTGCGCATTCAATCTGCTCTCTGCAATCCTCTCGCTAAAGCTCTTGACCCTGAGGTCACTCTTGTCTTGGACATTGCGCAGCGAATTTGATCTACCCGCCCCAGCATCTGAACTAGTGGTCCTGGGTCTTTTCAGCGAAACGTCTTGCGCCTTTATCCCTTTGTCGATTCCTAACAAAATCCTTGCAGGCGACTTTGGCTCCGAGGCCTGGATTTGTTTCTTTACAGGAGACAATGGTACTTCTATATCAGGTTTAGAAGCCTCTGCCGACTCTCGCTTCGCACTTATCCCTGCCTGACCACTGGCTGAAGATGCCACTGGGGACTTTTCACCCACGTCAACTCTGCGCGCACCTGCCTCCTTCTTTGCTTTCTGGAGTTTCTTTAATTTGAGCTTGGCCTCGATGGCTTTCAATTTGAGTTGCAAAGTCTCCTCATCCTCATCTTCCTCCTCGTCTGAGGAAGATTCTATGCTCATGGCTTTCTTCGGTGTCGCGCGAATAGGCCTTCGCGGCGAAGGTGATACTGACCGACCCTCTCGGATTCGCTCCAGCCGTTTGCGCCCACTTGGGGAGCTGAGGAGCGCTTCGTGGGGGGAACGAGGCGGCCATTGAGGCTGATCTTTAGGTTCTGCTAAGGTGAGACGGCGCTCCTGTCGAGCCTTTGGATATGAAGATGCTCACCCTTGGCATTGGGAGACTCCCGAATCACGACCATATTGAGTCCATTGCCCTGCTATGGCATCTGTGTACTAATTGGGTTTGGAGCAAAGAATTTAGAAGCCCGACGGTTGAGGTTTCATATTGTGCATCGTCTTGGGTGAAATGTGATTGGCTGCCAGACGCGTCGCGTTTCTTGTCTGGGCAGGAAGCGCGTGCCACAGTCGTACTGTGCATCATGTAACGGTGACGGCAAGTTGACAGCATAGTTTACTAAACCATAGCAATGGTGACGACACGATCGAGTCCTAAGAAACGAAAACAGCCTCAGGGCACGCAGCCAAATCTTGATCAAGATCTTGAGGAGGGTGAGGATGTCGCACCTGAAGACGTCAAGGTCGACATCGCCGACGCCGATGGAGCGGGGAAGAAATTACAACCCAAAGATTCGAATCCGCCGAGATTGTTCATTATACCGAAGGGCGTGACTAAAGAGGCAAGAATTGTTACTTTACCTGAGCCATCGGAGGGGGCAGCCAGCCGATATCTCGTTTGCCCCGAGAAGGGGGTGTACGAGTTCACAAAGGTTTCTGCACCCAAATCACACGCGAGATGCGTTCTGCTTGCACCGGATGACGAGGCCGCCGAGCATATCAAGAGCGTCGACGAAGTACGGAAGTCTAGTATATCTCAAGGTTATATTGCGGAGAGCGCCGATATCTTCGTTGCAACTCCGATCGACCCTGCATTTCTCCTCCTTCCAATTCTCGCGCCAGCGTCGACGCAGAACCAGAAACGCCTCTTTGTCGCATTCGACGACTACGTAGACTCAACTGCGGGCACATTGCGACAGCTTCTGCGCCAGGGACACATCCGGAAGCATTTTGAATCAAGATTGGACGTCCTGTGCGACAAGGTCGAGGCGGGAGATGAATCCCTCTACCGTCTCTCGACCGACAAGCTTGCCTCATTACTTGTATCCAAGGCACAGCGAATGGTTCGAAACGGCTTGCCCGCGTCCATGGAAGAGAAGTTCATCCGTCAAGCATTGCAAGCGCCGATACTAAGCATCAAGCGCGAGGGACCCTTCTCGACCGCTTCCACAACGGAAGAAGCTGCGGCAGGGGAATCACAAACATCCTCCGAGATATCTTCGCAGAAGGATTCGACCTTTTCACAGGCCAGCGTCGCAACGAGCGTTACAGCCGTCTCCATATCAGATGAAACTACCACCTCGGATGTTCCGCAGGAGATAAAATCAAATGAAGCTTCGCCAGAAATAAAACACCTGCTGCGCCTGCGAACGGCGTTGCAGTACATGTCGACGAGCTATATTCCGTCCCACATGCGATCGTCTCTGCACTCCAGCTTTGACACGTTGATAGACTACTCTGCCCTGGATGCATACCTCAAACAGCTCGAGGCCTTGCGCGAGGAAGCGCGGGCCTTGCGCTCGTTGAGTGACAACATGACTAGGAAGCGAGGTTTGGATGGTGGTGACGAGGTAGCCGAGGAACGGGCAGAAAAGAAGCGCAAAAAGGAAGAAGAAGAGAAGAAGAGGAAACAAGAGAGCCACGCGTTGAAGCAGCTCAAGAAGGCCGACATCAGTGGGATGAAGAAGCTAAGTAGCTTCTTTACTAAGGTGCCCAAGAAGACTTGATTCATGGAGATGATGATAGACTTTTGAAAAGATACCCGTGCCTAAAAGCATGCAAGCAGTTGGTTTTGATCAAAGATGCTTCAAATAGTAATACCGTGATGTGCATATATGTAGTGCTACTTGAGCCTCACAAATCGATGATATGCGATTTCTGAACATACTTTCTTTTGCCGCTCTATCCTTGTGCCCGAAAACTCCAGGTTCGTAACTTCCGACACAAGCATCTCAAGTCCGTATCGCGTTACCTAGGGCACCTCCTGTGAATCCTTGGCCTCTGCCCCTTCCAGCACCACCACCGACTCTGCCTAGACCTCCGCGTCCGCGACCTCTTCCACCACGACCTCCACGATCTTGTCTCTCAAATGCATTTGCGGTTCCTTGTGTTCGCTGCTCGAGAACCCTCTCATTGCTCTCGGTGAGATTAGATGCCTTTTCGCTAAGTGTCAAGGCGAGGGCTTGCAGACGTGACAGATCAACACCCTTGCGGAAGTTGATAGCGCCATTGACTTGGTCGAGTGCTGCAGCTAGTTCTTCGTGTGAAATCATCCTGGCGACGATAGCAGAGACCTGACGTTCAGATAGGTCAAACATGGAAGAAAGGGTGGAGAGGAAGATCGTTTCATCTAAATCACTGCGTTAGAATCGAGACGCAACGACAATGAAGACAAAATAGAAGACTTACAGAACGGCGCATAGGTTAGTAGATATGTCTCGAGGCCTGTCTCCTTGATTTTTCCTTCCAGCATGTTCCTGATTTCGTCTGCCTTGTTTGGTATAAGATCCCAGATCTTGATCGCTCGAATTAGCTCAACGCTCCTATGATAGTCGCCGGCAGAAAGGGCCTTCGAAGCTTGCAGGATGTGGTCGCGCGTGTTCTCAGGGGGGCCTTGGAAGACGCTGCGCTCTGAGTAGTCGAGCAATCTGCGGAACGCCTTGCTGATAACTCTCCTTCTCTGATCAGGCAGCGAGGCAAGAGAAGCCAGCAGTGGGATTTCAAGCAACATGGAAACCACCAAGTAGCAAGCCTCAAGCAACTCGATGTTGATATGCATGTGGAAGGGTAGTTGTCGTAGGCGCTCGGCACGCTCTTGCTCTGGCGTGAGAGTGGAATATCGTTGAACCTGCACACCTTGGGCAAGGAGCTCCTTTTGTCTGTTTGACCCGCAGATCTCCTGTAGAGCAGTTTGCGATTCCCAGATCAGGCCTAATCTAAAGGCTGCCAGGCCAACTTGAACAAGCGTACGGTTGTAGTGAATTTGCGTGACTATGTCAAATGAACCGATGGTCTCTGACAAATGCGACATCAACATCATGTTCTTTGCGTCATAGTATTGATCATGAAGCGCGACGAAGTAGATGCGATGGAGAATAGCGCGAGCACGCTGGATGCCCTCGCTATTCTTGAAAAGGAAGTTTGTAAGTTCTTTGATCAGCTCTTGCGGTTGGGTTTGGAGCTTTCGAGGCGAGATGTCGCTATCAATACTCTCAGGAATTTGTGCCCAGGCATCCTTTTCCAACATTTCTGCTAGTTGGCTGTGACGGAAATGAAGGTGTTCCAGACGCTTCAGAATGACAGAGTTGATGCGTTCAGCTTGAACTCGATCCTTCAAATGATCATGCTTGTTTATTCTCTCTTCGTAGATCTGCGCTCTGAGTAGGTCTGTGTATGCTGCAGTCTCGTCGGTCAAGCGAGAGACATAGTCCGAAGTGTGTGGGTCGATTGAGAGCAAAGATCGGGTGAGTTCATCATCCAAACGTTCCGCAGAACCAACGATACTGCCAGGAATAGTAAACAGTTTTCCAGGCGTGAAGGTTGGCTGCTTCTCGTCATCATCCCATTCTTCAACACCTTCCACTACAACAAGCTGATCTTTATTCTTTTCGAGCAGATCAACAAGCTGAACAAATTCCTGATGGGCTTGTTTCCACTGCTCAACGGAAATAGCACCAGTCGTGACGTTGGAGGTATCGAATCGAGCACTGATAAGTGAAATGAGCACACGAATGCGCTGGTAATCAGTGACAGCCACCTCCATCAGCCGTTCCATGATACGGATCTGCTCCATTCGGTCGGTGCCTTTACGACCTCTGGACTCGGCAATGCTTCTCAAGTTCTTGAGAATCGACTCTGGAGTGTAGGCCAATGTTCTGCCACCGGGACCAACAACCTCAAAGCCTGCGTCATCTACAGAGCCAATGGTTGTCCCCAGAGCAAGACCAGTGCCACGCGAAACTTTTGGTTTTTCAATGACCTCTTCTTCCTCTTCCTCTTCCATAAATGCGTCAGGATCTTCGCGATATGCTTCCACGCTCTTGGCGTAATCTTCCTCTCTTAAAATCTTGCGAACCTTTTGTCTCAGCGAATTCAGAGCCTTGGCATTCAACGCATTCATTTTCTAAATCGTGTTAGCAAGCTGAGGGATTCGTGTGGTAAAGCTTCAATGTACCTTCGGTGTGACCTTGGATTTCTCGTATGCTTCAGCAACGTTGGTATCGAGTTCAGCCAACATCTTAATGAAGATTTTGGGCGTCTTGTTGTTCATCTGCCGCGTCACATTGGGCACGAGTCTGATCAACTCATCGTAATGTTTCTGTGCGGTCTGGAAGTCTTGTATTTTCAAACCATCCTCAGTCTTTTTGATAAGACCCTCCAGTTCGTCCAGCCTCTTGTCCTTCGCAGACTTGACTACCACGCCCTCCTCCTCGTCGCTCTCGTCGCTGTCGACACCACCAGCGCCAGCCTTCAAGAAACGGTTTACACCAGTAGCACCGTCATCGTCGCTACTTTCCTCCTCAGACTCCTCCTCCTCGGATTCCTCCTCGGACTCTTCCTCGGACTCTTGCTCAGACTCGTCGACATCGTAGAGAGACTCCTCAGATTCAGAGCTTTCGCTGTCGGAGTCGCCGCCGCGGGCGAAAAACCTGGAGCTCATTGTCACTAAGGGTTCGCGCAAGTCCAGGCAGATATCTAGCTGTTTTGATATCGGCGTTGTTGGCTCGTGGAGTGACTCTTCGCCAGCAGTGGGGTTTTTAGCCTGAACACGCACTTGAATTTGGAGGTGCGTCAAAAACTTGGCGCACAGCCACTGAATGCGAAAAGATGATGTGGCTAGTGAAGTTCGACACGTGACTATCATGATGAGCCAACTCCTCACATTATTGACAGTGTGGAAAGTACCTTGCAGGCTTTGTAGACGAAAGATTTGATGAAGGATAAAAAGGTTGGGCACCAGAAATGTGAGGCCTTTCTCGGGAATAAAAGTCAATTTAATGCTAAGGACCCAGCCGTCTATCATCGCGGTAAGAACTGAAATTCTTCCACAAACTCCATTCACTATCCGTCACAGCACTGCAAGTCTTTGCACGGATTCGCCTCACACTTAAGCTGACAGTATGTTCCCCTGTTCCTGAGCCCTTCTTGGGCACCTTCATGGCCTGCGCGCCCTGTAACCGCATCTCGGCCACATAATGCTGCCCCTGTCTCGCTGTCGTTACAGACAACTCGTGAAAAGGTTGAGAGGGCTGATTTGGGCTCAGGTTGGAGTGTATAAGAATGTACGCCATAGGCATGCAAGCATTCTCCGACCTGCTTAGCTCTTTCCATAAAGCCCTCCAACGTTTCATCCTCTGTGACTACGTGCGCCGTTGCGATTGTCTTCTGCTCGTCCAGTCTCCAGATATGCAAATCATGCACCGACGATACACCAGGCAACTCTTGTATATCTTGTTTGACCTCTGCCAAATCTACCCCTTCCGGCCCACTTTGGAGAAGGATACGTCCCGAGCGTCTAATCAATGGAATGGAAGTACCTAGAATCATGAAAGCAATCGCCATGCCAATAGCGGGGTCAGCATAGTAACGATATTCAGACCTGCTGAACCAAATTATCAATGCAGATATGATTACGCCAATGTTATTGATAGCATCTCCAATGACGTGCAGCAGGACGCCCATCAGGCCAAGATTGCGATGAGAAGACTTTGATGGCTCGTTCGTAGTATGTCGGTGTGTGGCGTGAACACCTTCTCTGACCACCGTGAAAGATAAGCGAACTGCCTCTGCTGCACTTGTCCGATTGGATACAGTGGGTGGAGAGTAGATATGGCTATCGTCAGATCCCTGGCTATGCCCGTGCTCGTGGTCATGCAAGAAGACGACAGAGATGATATTCAGCGCCAGGCCAACGCATCCCACAATAAGAACCAACTTGGGGTTCTCGACCCGCTCAATGTTCACGAACCGTTCCACAGCCTGCAGTAGCACGCTCAGGCCCAGTGCTGCAAGAAAGCTTCCGTTGAAGAATGCACCTAGCAATTGTGCACGCTGCCAGCCAAAGGAGAAGCCTTTGGGTGATGTCACCCGATTGGAGATTTGGATGGCAGCAAATGCTACGATGAATCCGACAAGGTCAGTGAGATAATGGAAGGCATCTGCGATGAGGGCGAGGGAGCCGGTGAAGAACCCAATCGAAATCTCCGTGATGAAGAAAGAGAAAGAAATGCCAATCACAATGGACAGTCGTTGTATAGGCGTCATTGAGGGGAGATGAACGTGTGGCTTGGTGTGACCCATGGTCGCCGGGGATGAATATATTCGAACAGCAAAAGTCGAAAAGGAGCAAAAATTAAGACGACAATCACGATCAGAATTAGCCTTCTTTGAATCGCTCCTTACGTTTAGGATCCGGATTGTGAGAAAAGATGCAGAAAACAGGAAATGGCGGTGACGACAGAAATTGGGAAAAGACGGAGCCGCATTTCTAGCTCCGGGCGTCTCAATTCGCCGGCAGTGTACAGGTGACTCCATGAGCAAACAAAACATCACGTGGGAGACGTCAAGACTAATGTCTTGTCGTGGGTTCGCAACCAAACCCGCCGTATATCTATGACGATCATGATGATCTGAGCTTGATCTTACTCATACAGCTCTTCCATGCTCTTTTTGCAAGTCGAAGTCAATGTCACATGATCACGGTGCAACGCCCAGAGTGGAGGCAAGTTTGACCTTGTGTGTGAACTTGTTTAGGCGCGGAAGCGCGTGCGTATGCTTTTGATGCGAGGTAACGTCGTCATGGGTGCGACCATACGAAGCGAGCTCAAATTGCGTGGAACAGATAGCGCAGGCACAGCTGCTCCCAGTCCGCGAGTGCTCTGCTCGGCCCCGGACCCCGTAGAAGGGAGCGAAGGATGCATTGCACTTGTTCCTTCGAAGTTCGGTCTTGAACATGCTTGAGACGGCCAGAGCAGAAGACGAAGAAGAGAACGGCGAGCCAAACTCGGCCAACGGAGCCCGCGAGAATGGCTTTATGAAAGAAAGCGTGTGTCCATCATGGTACTCTGCATCTCACGCTCTGATTGGCCGAGGGCGCCTCGACCCGGACATGTCCAATGGTCCTAGCCGATTCTTCGCTGACTGCGCCTTAACCTGCTTCTGTATTGTGACATCTTATCAGGAGCGCATCGCTCCAATGCTGATAGTGCATTCATAGGGTAGAAGTCATCTCTCGAATCGATGGTTACTCTCTTGAGACCAATATACTGCCATCGTATGATATAATCGCTGCCAGCTTCCATAATACTTCACATACTATTAATCACCCTACTCGTTCTTCTCCTTTTTTTTCCACGAAGCAGATGGTGGCCTTTCACCATTCCCGCGCTCCATCATTGTTGCTATGGATCCAGAGCCTCGAAATGGAACATTGCCGAGAAGTCCGACCCACGACGAAAAGGCCAAAATCACTTCGCTCATGCGGGATTGGCGAGACCAAGCATGGAGGCTGCGAACTGCTTGGGTCTCTACGAAGATCTATCAAGGGATCAGAGATTTACTCTCAGACTACGTGTTTGACCTTGTGATGCCGCCATCTACTTCTGCGAAGAAAATGAGCTCGCGCCGCAATTTCAATCCTGATTACAAACTTCAGATGTACGAGAAGGTAAAGAGGCCTATTCTGGACAAATCTCCGAGAGAATTCGATGGAGTGAGCCCGTTCTCATACTCGGCTATGAATTTCTCGGATGATCGATTTGCTACAAGGTTCCTGATGCTTCATCCGGGAGATGACGAATCTCACATTCAGATTACCCTGGAAGTGGGTAGCTTACAGTCGTGCTCGCCCTATGATGCTCTTTCATATACCTGGGGCGATAAAATCTACCATGCAATTGAATGTAACGGTAAGATGCTGCGGATTCAGGAAAATGCCTGGCTGGCATTGCATGCATTACGCCGTCCGAACGAGGTCCGGAAACTCTGGGTTGATGCTATCTGCATAAACCAGGACGATACAGACGAAAGAAGTAGACAGGTGCTTCTAATGAGACAAATATTTCAACAAGCTACGATAGTCATAGTTTGGCTCGGCCCCGAGTCGTCGGGAACAAAGAATGTATTCGACTTACTTGGTACACTTTCGAAGGCTCGTGCAAGCGAGGAACTAGAGAAGCAGTCGCAACCCTTTACAACCCAAGATCTGTTAACGGCTAGGCTTCCCGGACGAACCGAACAAGCATGGACAGATCTGGACATGTTCTACTGGCAGACGTGGTTCACGAGAGTCTGGATCATTCAAGAGATGGCCGTAGCTCAAACGATAATTTTCCGCTGCGGGCGACACCTTTGTACATACGACGACTTGGAAGCTGCGTCCAACTACATAGTATCACACTCCTTAACGGCCCTTACCGGCGTTGACCCATCAAAGTTCATCCGTCTCTCCCAGTTTCGGCAGGACTATCAACAGCGTAATCCAGATTCCGCCTGCATAGACCTCATTTTGTGTCGAGCACGACAGAGCTATAGTACTGACGCACGAGATAAAGTATTTGGAGTGCTTGGGCTGATCCGACAGTCTCGTACCCCTTTGCCATTGACGCCCACTTACACACAGAGCTATGGACGTGTATATATAGATACTGCAAGACTTATTATTGAAAATTCAAAATCCTTGGATGTGCTGAGCGCTACAGATGACCACCGGAGTAGCCTAATCGACGAGCTGCCTTCTTGGGTACCCGACTGGGAAGTGTCTCATCCTAGATTTTCACCTTTCTGCACGGCCAAAGCTTTTGCACATTGGCAGGCCTCTGGAAACCTCGAGCCCTCTCTCGAATTTTCAACCGACGGGCTCAGACTAGGCGCCGTTGGTTTTCTTGTCGACGCAGTCAATCACGTCTCAGATTCTTTTTTGGAATTTTCGCCTGTGCCTGGAGGAGATATTTCCGCTCATAATGTCACTAAAATCGTAAATTGGAGCTCAAAGTTGAAGTCCATAGCGAATAACACAGTCGATTTCTACGCGCAACAGAGGTGGCGTCAGTGGGAGAGAATCGCAATGAATCTGGGCATATATCCAAACGAGAGTGCGGTAATGGATGTCTTTGCGAGAACCATCACCGCTGATTATGATTTTGGATCTACTTCTTCCCTAGAGATGTACAAGTCCTGGAAAAGAATATGGGAATATGCCACAACGTACGAGGGCAATAAAATTGAGAAAGCCTATGATGGAATGACTTCAGCTGAACTTGCCAATGCCATGAAGTTCTTAGAAGCACACAGGAAAGCCAGTTTCGGTAGAAGGCTTTTCACCACTACTCGCGGATTTATGGGGATTGGACCGAACAGGCTGCGAAGAGGTATGCTCATTTGGGTTTTGGGAGGTGGAAGGACCCCATACGTTCTCCGCAAACGTAAAAATCAATCCTACACCTTTTTGGGTGAATGCTACATTCACGGGGCCATGGAAGGACAACTCGTCCCTCGAAACGAAACGGCAAGAAAGATTTGGATCGATTAAGTAGCATCCTCTGCTTTATGTGAGGTGTCTGAAGTGATCCCTCAGTCATTCACGAAATTTTCCTCATATATATAAGGCAATGTCACTTATGTTAGTTCAAAGCTTACTGGCTGATATAGTTGGTCTGATAGCTATAAGTCTACGTCACGAATTGAATCAGTAGGTGTAACTACCAGCTCATCCCGCGGTAATTATGTAAGTGAATTGTCAGAGAATAATATTGCTTGTCACATTTCTTCCATTTTCAAAGCATGAAACATGTTTAACTATTAAGCTATTGATTATAATTTTATTAACATAAGCCCCAATCTGGAGATGTACCTCATGATCAATTGAGATCTGAGATGATTATGTCGATCACTATGAAAAGAAGTAAGTCTAGAAGGCGAAGGAGTAGACGTGATCTATGGTGAACTGGTACGAAATAGTATAATAACTTCCAATATTATAAACTTGATCGTCAAGGCATCTTCATCTCAAATTTCTCATAGGCTATATGCGCTGATATGATGCATGTATTCTACACATTCAGCAACAGTAGACAGTATTTGTGGCACAAGTTTGCTGTGGTTAACAAGCCCGTCCTTCAGCTTGATCGAAGCCCTTTGTCGACCATTTCATCTGAACGTTGAGGGCTAAAGGTGTAGATTGCAAAACAGTTGGATTTAAATACCTCAAGTTGAAGGAAGGTGGAGCATGATGGTTTCAACCTATGAGCTTTCAGCTGGCGCTCTGTACTTGTTGTTCCAATGTTCGTTACGTTCAAACAAACGTTGAGACTGATCATTCAAGATGCCTGTATTGGGGCGTTCATAACTGTGAAGCTCTCATGAAAGCATGATTCAAAGCGCTGCCGGCTCTAAGCCATGGAATCTGCCCTGCGTGATAGCTGTGATTGAGCTTCGCCTCCCATTGCTCTCCATCTAAACAGTCGATGCGCATGGTCACCGGCTTTTCCGGTTGAAGCTGGCCTTCCTCAACGCCCACCAATGTGATCCTGTCACCCAGCACGATTTTCTCATAGTCGGCTGGGTCCGCAAAGATAAGTGGCAAAATACCCTGCTTCTTCAGATTGGTCTCGTGGATGCGCGCAAAAGAGCGAGCAATCACGACCAAGCCGTTGAGAAAACGAGGTTCCAATGCCGCGTGTTCGCGAGATGAGCCCTCGCCGTAATTCCAATCGCCAATGATACACCACTTGACGTTTCTCCTCTTCAAATCCTTCGCAACTTCCGGTATAGTGTCTACAATGGAGAAGTCGAGCGGATGGACGGCATGGCCCAGCTTATCTTTCGCTGGAAGGAAAGCATTGGTTGCCGCAAGAAGCATGTTGTTGGATATGTTTTCTAGATGGCCTCGGTATTTGTACCACGGACCTGCTGGCGAGATGTGATCAGTCGTGCATTTGCCCTTCACCTTGACGAGAATTGGCAATCTAGTCGCTGATCCCGGCTGCCACGGTGGAAATGGTGTAAGCAGCTGAATACGATCTGAGTTAGCCTTGACGTTGACATCGATTCCGGCAGAATTTTCGGCTGGTGGCTGGTATGCCTCGTTACCGCTCTCGAAACGAAGAGGAAGCTCTCTTCCGATAGGTGGAGAAAAGCGAAGGACCTTCGAGCCATTCTCACCAGGAATACAATCGACCAAAGGGTTGAAGTCCATACGACCGGCGTATGCAAATGTAGCGACCATCTCGGGTGATGTGACGAACGAACATGTCTCCGGGTTTGAGTCGTGCCTCCCAATGAAATTACGGTTAAAGCTGGATATTACTGTGTTGCGTTCCTTGCCTTTCACATTGACGTCCGTGCGATCCCATTGACCTGTTGGCAACTATCAGTAATTGAAGCGATTCGAAACATTGTATTTTCCACGTCGACCATACCAACACAGGGGCCACATGAATTCGACAGAATCACCGCACCAGCATCACGCAGCTCTTGTAAGATCCCATCAGCTTCTGCGGTGGCTCGAATACTCTCACTACCCGGTGTGACCAACAAAGGAGCTTTTGTCTTCAAGATTCCGGCATTTCTTGCTTGTCTGACTAGTTGTCTTGTTTTGTCAAGGTCTTCGTAAGAGCTGTTTGTGCAGCTACCAATCATTGCATGACTGATTTCAACTGGCCAATCGTTCTCGCGAAAGGCTGATTTTAGTTCAGAGAGAGGATGCGAAAGATCTGGTGTGAATGGGCCATTGATGTGCGGTTCCAGTCGGTCCAAGTCGATTTCAATGACATCGTCGTAGTGGCTCTCTGAGCCTTCATCAGCGTTTAAAAGTAGCTTGCCATATTCGTCGGCAAGTTTTGCGATTCCACGTCTTTTTGTTGCAGAGAGGTATGCTGACATACTTTCCGTGTATGGGAATATACATGATGTGGAACCGATTTCCGCGCTCATGTTGCAGACTGTTGCCATGGCTGTTGCCCCCAGTGTATTCGTACCGGGCCCAAAGAACTCGAAGACTTTCCCTTTCCCACCTCTGACAGTCACAATTCCAGCGAGATTGCAGATAATGTCCTTCGAGCTCGCCCAGCCGGAAAGTCGACCAGTAAGCCGTACGCCAACGACTTTGGGACAAATTAGTTCCCACGGCATTCCTGACATTGCGTCAACAGCATCTGAGCCTCCGACACCAATTCCCATCATAGCAAGACCTCCAGCATTTGGAGTGTGAGAGTCTGTTCCAATTATCAATCCTCCTGGAAAAGCGTAATTCTCAAAAATAGTTGTGTGTATGATACCGGCCCCAGGTTTCCAGAAACCAATTCCATATTTCTTCGCCGCCGTGCTAAGAAAGGCGTAAATCTCCTCATACTCGATGTTTGCCTGACGTAAATCTTCTTCTGCGCCATTTCTGGCTACTATGAGATGATCGCTGTGTACAGACGTTGGAATTGCCACCCGGGTGAGGCCCGCACTGATGAATTGCAAAAGGGCCATTGTTGCTGTGGCATCATGGCACGCAACCCTATTGGGCCGAAGCTCCAACGTAGTGGCTCCTCGTTGTATATCATCCAGGGCCCATATCTTTTCCGGACGTGGATACAGATGTGAGTATAGTATTTTCTCCGTTAGAGTCAAAGGTCGCTTGGTAGAACTCTTGCGCACCTCATTTAGGCGTTTGAGTTGTGATTCATAGTCTAGAAACACATTCTAATGGCTTCATATTAGCATTTCGATAGCTCCATAAAGTCCTTGGGGACTGACAGGATTCAAAGGACTGATAGGTGTCGCTGTTCTCTCTGTGGCGAAATTTCGCCACTGCGACCCTAATTTGATGTTTCGACATTCTACAGTCCATCTCGCTGATGAGAGGGTATTTCGAAGCATTGTGAAAAAGAAAAGGAAACTTGAGATAATCGGCACTCATTAAGAGTTTGAATAGAGGCGTCATGTTTTATCCAAATTTGCCATCCCGCAACCGGCTCCGAACGTTGAACCGAGTCGGTACCGGGGACAATTCCATAGCCCTTTCATCTCCTCTGAGTTGATTAATGAATATGGTACAACAGTTTTGAAATTTGGCCGCACAGTATCCGCGTCACAAGGAGTACTCCGGGGCCAGGGTGGAGAGCTCCGAACGAGCCTTATTGTGAACTCCACAGCGATGAGTTTATTTTAAATGGTAAAGGAGTCTTGCATGTGAAGGAATGCTCCGGAGACGAAGGGACATTGTAGCCGACGCACAGGTTGAAATGTAAAAAGAGATGCTGAAATGATCTGCTTTAAACTAATTTTCTTCGCTCTCAAATTTATTACCTGATAAGTCCATTGCATAAAACCATTTCTTAGCGGCCCAAAATATGGCTTCAATAGCGAAGGAATCTGTGCTAGCAGCTCTGAGGAAGTTCACAACCTGCGATGTACATCATAACTAAGCCTTTAGAAATTATTTAAACTGATTCTTTAGATTGGAGACGCTCTTTTTAGGCTCAAAGTTCCCCACGGAGGTTACTTGTCAGGTCTCCGCATGTTCTCCGCGCCTAATCGCTCAAGGACTTCCAAAATTCTTGGTCCCGCATACATGGTCAAAATGGTTCTTGCTTCCGACACAACCTCACCTACACCGAATCAGCACTTTGCAGACACCATTCCAGCTGGCAGCGTCGTCTTCGTTTCTCAACCTTCCGGCCTAATCAGTGCCTGCTGGGGAGGTTTAATGAGCACTCGTGCCACAGCACGAGGAGCTGAAGGCGTAGTGATCGATGGTCGTTTCAGAGATATCCATGAGCACCAGGCTCTAGGGATTGGCCTGTTTGCTCGGGATGGCAGCATTCTTGGATCCAACACCTTTACACGAGCATCAGAGCTGAATGTTCCTTTGTCATATAAAATCAAAGAGCTTCCGAATGAAGAGATTGGAATACGCCCAAACGATCTAATTATGGGCGATGCCGACGGCGTGGTTGTGATTCCTTCGGAATTTGCAGAGAAATGTGTTGAGCTCTGTCAGTTAAGGTGGGAGATCGACGAAAAAACCAGGGAATGTCTGAATAATGGTGATGATATGGGTGCGACAATCAAAAGGTTGCGGAAGTAGATTGATTTCAATTTGTTGGTCCTACGATAGTGCTTTTAAAATATGTTCCAGGTCGTCCCGTTGTTCAAAAATTCTGTAATGAAGACATCAAGCGTATGGTCATGAGCCGCTATGCTGCTGTTCAAATAATCAGAGGGCTGGAAAAGATATTCAAGCCTTGGATCGGTGATTGCAGGATCAATTTCAGAGAATTGCTCATTTGAGGAAAACTCTGAACTGTCCCAAGTCAAACCATTAGAACCCAACTGGTCTGTCAAGCCTTGTAGCTGATTTTGACTTCCGTTCTGCAGGCAGCATACGACGACAGAATTCGACCCTTGCTCTGTTCGACGTATCTGACTAGGTGGCCCAGTATCACTTGTCATTTCTGGAAGCCTTGAAAGATCGAGAAGCCTAATCAAAGCGTCCATGGCACGTCCAAAACTTTCTTTTCCCTTTCTGACAGAGGGCCACCATTCTCCGCCGGCACTGAGAAGGTTATCGCACGTACGCAGTGCTTTGACAACGCTTGCGTACGTCGCCGTATTTCTCACGGTAGTGGATGACCATAAGCAGTAGATCATTGTAGCTCCGGATGAGAAGATTCCCTGAATACTTCGCCAACTGAAGAACAGATTATCAGCGTTGTACATTTGATAATAAGTTTGTAAACGCTCCGCGGCATAGCGGTAGCACAGAGAAATGTGATCTTCTTGTGGCTGCGGGATTGCCTGTGAAGGTTGGTAAAGGAGAACGAGTGCTGCGTAGTACTGACACCGAAGCTTCATTTCGGAAGCAGCCCAATTTTGACGGCTTTCCTGATATTCAGTGTTCAATTGGACTGCCAGTTCAGAAAGTTCCGTATTCCACTGATCCAGCGCTCTTCGAATTCGCGCCTGCTCTCCCGAAAGATCTCTAGGCCATGAAAAACAGCTTCTTTGGTTTGGAAGATGATAGAACAACATCTTGATCTCAGAGATGATGGGGTCAAGTCTGAAACGATGAAGAGCAAATTGAACTAAGCCGGAGACGGGCACGTCCGGACTTAGAAATTCGTAGTTCTCAGGTAGCGCATCAGCCTTGATTTCTACACCAGTTGGCATTTGCACGTCGAATGTTTCGTCCCTGATACCAAGGGGACGACCTTGTATTGTCGCAACTGATCTGAAATATCCTTTAGGAAGAGTTGGTCATTTATGTAAATGCACTTACCTGTCCAAATGATATACATAGTAAAACAATGTCCGACGGACAGTAATTGCTGTCCCAGAGAGCTCCCCGACTCGTGGGTCTCGATGAAGTCCCAGGTCGACACAATGTGCCATTGCAATATGGGTAAGTGTCCAAATGTTGACTTCGGCAGGATTGAGCAAACTATGGACTGCTAGACACAGTGTGGCTTGCAAGCTTGCAATTGACACTGTGGAAAATGTCTGTTCTGCAGCAGCCATTGCCACCTTGTAGAATTGATTTGGAGCAAAATCGAAGGTTTTCTCCCTGGTCCTTATGATTGAGGCTAGAGTAAAAACCATGAAGATATGGAATGTGGCTGTGAAGATAGAGATTGGTGTAGCGTTTTGGCCACGAAATTGTTCAAAGTCCCCATTATAGGGAAACGGCTCCAGAAATTCAGGCCATCCGCCACGACCTATGTTCGCTGATTCGCTTAGACTTTCGCATACATACAACGCGTCCAAAGCATTAATCAAGGAAGGTATGTGAAAGAGCGGATGATCCGCATGCACCGAGCGGATGTAAATATCTAATAACAATCGGCTATCGTCTCGTGACGGGAGGTTCTGGCGATTGTAAGTTCATCTCAGTCAATAATCTGGATATGGTGCGCACCTTCTTCAACATTCCGAACAATTGTCGACAACCAGCGGAAAACTGTCTTAACGAGGCGTAGGGGCTAGAATTGACCGGAGCAACAGAAAATGTAGGAGAAGGGGCAGATTTCTCGGACATGCTGCCCGTGGAGACGGTCGATGAAAACCCAACAAGCGACGTAAAGAGCCGTCCGGAAGAGCTTCCAAGATAGTGTGTCTGTCTAGAGTCCGAATTCAGAGACAACATACCTAGATCAAATGCTACAGATCGAGCTTCTTCAGAAAGAGGCCTTTCGGATTCCTGCTCATTTTCTCTCGGCAAAGAACGCTTGTGTCCGGGACTGCCATAATCCTGGATACTCCGTGATATTTGATCCGATCTGGGTGCTGTTGAAGGCTCAGATGGTCCAACCGCCTCAATTACTTGATCCAGGTTTGAAGGTGGCTCATAGTTTTCCATGAATCGGAAGTCAACAGCGGGGCCATTACTGGTGTCGAAGTTTGGTGAAATTCGCTTGATCTCTTGTTCCAGCCAGTGGATTCTTGCACGTGCCATGACCGCAAAGCTAATTATATTAGCACAGCTGCTGCTAAGTGCCAAAATTGAACATTACTCTCGAGGTATAGAGACCGCATTGTTGCGTGTGTCAACATCGACACAGGACTCGTTTGCCTTGGAGCAGTTCCCACAAGCAGGGATTTGGCCGTCACACTATCCGGACAAGTCAGACACCCAATGACTTGCGACAGCGCTGTGAAAGGCAAGCACCAAAACTAAACAGACCTTTATTCTCTTCAAGCGGCAGCGCTTACAGGCATTGCGCACCTTACGTGGTGCCATGCTCTCAGCAGAGCTCGTCTTCAGTGGCAACATGTCGAACCGAACCAGTTAGCATCGTAACTAGACGGGGTTGGAAGAGAAATAGGAGATAGCGTTCACATCGCACTTCTGTACGATTATTTCACTAACGGAAAGGCAAAGGTAGGTTGTACAACTGCAAAAGTAATGTAATGTTGACCATTTGCGGAGAACCCAGTAGAGCCAAATGAGCTTGAAGGTCTAGCAGGTCTTAGTGTAGGCCTGAGCTGGACTAGGCGAAATAGCACTGCAAATCACAGCGATTTGAACACTAACAAAAGATGCCCAGCGTTTCTATTGCTTGAAAATGGCTTTAACACATCGAACTTTTGCATTGTTTCGTCTTCATCAAAGTTTAATCTACAATTTACTCGTAAAATTCGCCAACTGCTTCGTATTCTGCTTTTTATCTGAGCTCTCTCCTAACCAAATTTCTATCCAAGCTACATGCAGCTCGCAAAGGGCTATGTAACCGCTAAATTCGTATCCGCGCCCTTTACTATATATGACTGTGTTAATTGTAGACCTCCTTCCTCATGATTTGCTCTCATATGCGATCGGCGAGCCTAGGGTGAAATTTTGCATAAAAGCCACAATCCGTTCATAAACACTGAAGCTTATTGCACCAGACACCTACATGACGGTTAGCAGGAACGAAGGTCGAGTACGTCTTTGCATGCGTACGCTTAGTCGAACTAGTCGAGGTGTTGTCCCCTTCCACAGCGATCGTACACCACCTCGCGACACCATTTTCCGAACGCAGTCCCAAGATCCCGTGTACATCATTCTGCCCTCAATGCTCTGCAATTGGGTTTTGACGCTGTCGAAAGGCATTGTGTAGTAAACCGTTATTGCGCCCGCTAACGATCCGCATACTATACTAGCTGGCATGCCATAGCTGGATAACCTTGGACCCAGATAATCCTTCAAAGCCCCGTAGCTTGTGAATCGTATCATAGCGTTGGCCGATTGCTTCATCGCAACTGGCCATACTCCGTAATAAAAACCCTGAATACCCTCCCTCCTCATGATTTCTTGCACAGCATGGTGGGTGGACCGATACATACTGGCACCTGCACGATCATCTATCATCCTTGTCTTGATTGTTTCACCTGGAGTCAATACAGCAAAACTCTCGGCTACACCGGCAGCAATACCTGCAACGATAGTTGCCATGACTGAGACACTTCCATCTGGAGTCTTTGGGAATACATTTTTGACAGTTTCGAAGCTAAGGAACCGAACACCGGACTTGGCCGCGTTTGACAAGCAAAATGCTGTTCCGCCTGTATAAAGACTTCTAACTCCGTTTTTTTGAATGGTGCTTATTAGTATACTGAGTGGTGATCGCGAGGCTTTGGCGCCTTTTAAAAGTTGCTGCCTTGTTTTGATATATTCAGTTGGAAACTGTTTACTCGATTAGGGCAGGTATCAAATGAGATGAGTTGCTAACTAACAGTAGCGAGTGCTTCGAGACCGCCAGCAGCCGTCCCAGCAACAATCGACTGTAGGGGTGATGTAGATTGTTTCGTAATCATAATCCAATTTGCGTAATTTGGATGTGTGAGATGATTTGAAATAATATGGTGGCAGCGTCCTAAGTATTTGACTTTTGAATGATAATTATCATGTCAAACAGGTTACCAAGAAACGACTTACCCTGCAAACGGGTAGTTTTGTCTTATCCCTGAAGAGTTAAAGCTTTCATTAACGGCATGGGCATATGCGACTCGCTCTCGGAGTGAGTCTAACGCGCCTGATAAGGCGTTTGTGGAGCGCTCCATGTTGAGATCCGGAGCGCTCCAGAGCACGCATCGTAACCCTACGTTAGACCTCGAAAGTGGTGACCACCGAAAGATACTTAGTCAACAATATTTGGGCGGTGGAACAGAGACTCAAATCTTTCGAGTTCATTCGAACCCATCAGATCTACATTTTTACGTCCTCGTTCTGATTTCGGAACTGCATTCGCTTGCCATGGACGTGGAACAATCTCTACACTTACCCCTGAAGCTATTTCCAAATGGTGGATGGGACGTACACCATCACATATTTGAACGCATGTGACCTCTTCTTGTCCATTCTCTTGAAACAAAAGTACTCACATGGCTTCAGCCGAGCGATTTGCATACGCTCCTAACCGTCATCTAACGCCACCTTCTGCGACCATTAGCCAGTTCCAAGATTTCAAGGCTCGTCTCGGGATCACTCATTCTGTGCTCACTCATGGGCTTTCTTATGGGGATGACTGCAGCTCATTGAAATCCTTCGTCGCCGAGCTAGGGCGCTCGTCTACGGTTGGAGTTGGCGTCATCGACCCGGAGACGGTCACGCCGGAGGAATTGGCAGCAATGCAGGCAGCTGGGGTGAGAGGCATCCGTGTCAATTTGTACAAATATGGCGCGATGCACGATGTCGAAAGACAGAAGATAGCCCTGCGTCAGCATGCGCGAATCCTGCGTCGATATTGTCCTCATTGGAGCATGGCATTTACACACGTGCATCCAGAATTCTGGGGAGATCTCAAGCCTGTTATTGAAGGAGAGATCTGTGCACCAGGTATAAGGCTGATTACCGATCACTTTGCATTGCTCAAGGGCGCCAGCATGCTTCCTGGGACGCTGGCTAGCGCTCCAGCCGATTAGCCAGGTTATAAGGATATTCTAGATCTTGTTCGTTCGGGCTGTTTATGGGTCAAGATCAGTGCTCCGTATCGGGTCAGTGATATGAGCCCATCGTACACTGATCTAAAGCCTCTGGTTCATGCTCTAATTGAGGCTAATCCTGACAGGATTATTTGGGGCAGTGACTGGTAAGCTGTGACGGCTCGTCTGCTGGAGATCTCTAACGAAGGCGCAGGCCGCACACTCCTCAAATGAAAGTTCGAAGTCATGATGAAGCTCTTTCGGAAACTCCATTTCTCAACTTCGACGATTTGACGTGGCTAAAGGTCCTCAGGTCCTGGCTAACAGATGAACAGTGGGACAAAGTTATGGTGAAGAATCCATCGTCCTTGTATTTTTCTGATGATCGGGACATAAGCGCAACAGAGGTGTGAGAGGCAAAAATAAACGTCAATCCGATGTTTCAACCTTGCTCTATTCATCCTTTTTGTGTGAAGAGAGCGCCGCGCTAGTCACTACTTAATGTCTAGACTTGCTGTGATTCTGCTCATGTGTCATGTAGCCTCTCGGCCGATGAGTCAAAGATCATAGTTTGAAAAATGAAACGGAAGCAGTAGCTAGATCTTTTTCGATCAGCAGCTCGGATTGACTCAAGTGTTAGACCATCTTACCCGCTGATATAGTATTCTTTATCAGCAGCACCAGCGTAACGAGCATCCATTCTAATGCTGAGGTAATTTTTCAGCAAAGTACGAAACTGAATAGCGCAGAACCGTACATTGGAGGATAGGATGAATATGAGCAGAACACGCAGTAGCATTGCGGTCACAAACTATCACGTGTGTAACACATCTATATAAACCTCGATACTTTATCCTCGTAAGAGCTACTCACCTCAAGGTGGAACGGCTGCAAACTCAAATCGATCAAAATTTGTCCTAGAATACAGCGCTATCAAAACCCACAGGAAAGCACACCGAGAATCTCAAATACAAGGGATGGAGTATCGTAAAGTGAAGAGAGTCGACAGGTTCAAATACAAAGTAGTCCTTCCACAGCGGTCACTGTGCTCATTTGATCGTGTTTTCAAACAATGTCTCGAGTGTCTTTTGTTTGTGCAGCCGACCTCGACATCTCAAAGCGCAGATTCACTCCCGTTTGACCATCCTGTCAGCTCGGCTGGTCGGAGCTTGGATTCTGGAAGATCGAGATTGCATTTTCATGTTGAATGCGAACGGTTGGAGAGAATGACGCTCTTGCGTCGAGATTGCGCACGTCAAGCTGGCCCAATCTTTTTCCCAGTTTTGGGGGTGTGGTGGAAATCCGGGGATCCAAAGAGAGGAGCAGACCAAGTGCAGGCACGTGTCGGTCCGATAATTTAGCTTGCGGAGGATTCCTGTGTCCCCGCAGGAAGACTCCGGTTCCCCAGATGTAAGAATCTCCACAAACCGGGAGGCTCCTGATCATACCAGCCAGCAACAACGATGGCGTCCATCTCCAGCGCACCACAAAGCTGTGGGTATATATGGTCATGCAGGCGCCGTCGCAACAGCCATCACTGCGCTCAGAAACGACGACGAGGATTTTCTTAGGTCCTGAGTTTGTTCCTCTGCTGTCAACACCACCTTTTGAAAGACTCCCTGGCCCCGTAAAAGCCTCGCAGCGATGGCTATCGGCGACTCGATGGTTGAGAAAGAGAGGATCGAGCTGTCCGAGAGCGTCAAGGTTGAATCCGCAAGTACACTCGACGATGAGTTGCAAAGAAGTTTGGAGAGAAAGCTCGTCCGTAAGCTGGACGCGGTACGATATTATCAAATCCGTGCTTGTCAATTGCCCTGACTCGAGTGAAGACCTTGATGCCAATTGTGTGGATTCTTTACTTTTTCAACTATCTTGACCGCAACAACATCGCGTAAGTCTCACCTACGGCCGTGGAACTATTTGAACCAACAGAGATGTGCAGGCAGGCTAAACTCGGCAACCTCGACAAGGATCTTGGCCTCAAGGGCAACCAGTTCAACGTTGCAGTCTCGATCCTCAACGTTGGCTATGTGCTCATGCAACTTCCGTCTAACATGATTTTGACAAAGGTTCGCCCCTCGATTTACATTCCAGCCTGTGCTATGCTGTGGTCTTGCGTGTCAGCAGCCACGGCTGGCACAAACAATTACTCCGGGTTGGTCGCCGTGCGATTTTTCCTTGGTGTCGTCGAGGCGCCATTCTGGCCGGGTGCCTTCTACATGCTCAGTGCTTGGTACACGCGAAAGGAACTCGCCCTTCGCACTGCAATTTTATACTCGGGTCTCGTTCTTGCCACGGCATTCTCTGGTCTCATCGCTGCCGGAGTCTTCGCTGGCCTCGACGGTGTTCACGGACTCGAGGGATGGCGATGGCTGTTCATCATTGAGTCCGCCGCGTCATTTGCGTGTGCCTTCGTCGCCATGTGGATCTGCGTTGACTTCCCGGAGTCTCGCAGTGGCGCAGGCCAATGGCTGTTTAGCGAAGAGGAGAAGAAGCTTGCCATCGACCGAATTGCGCGGGACAGGGTCACGGCCCCGGTAGACAAGCAGTCAGTAAGACACGGCCTGTGGCTAGCTATCAAAGACTATCGCACATGGGTCTTCGTGAGTCGCGTCATGCAGGATATAGTCCGCCGCTTCGCTGACGAACAAAAAGTCCCTTATGCTCTGCAGCAACCATTCAGCGTACGGCTTCGTCAATTTCTACCCTACCATCGTCAAAGGTTTCGGCCTGGGCTCAAGAACCATCACTCTAGTTTGTACTGCTCCACTGTACCTCATCGGCGCGCTTATCTCTTTCGCTGTGGCCTTCAGCTCGGATCGCAATAAAGAGCGCGGCTGGCACATCTCTATTCCACTCTGCGGTGCCATTGCCGGCTACATCGTCACCGTCGCTACCCTGAACGTACCCGCGCGGTACTTCGCCTCGTTCCTCTACATCGGCGGTTGCTTTGGCTCCAACGCAATCGTGTATACATGGGCATCAGCGACGCTGAACGAAACGGCCGCGAAACGTGCGTGTGCCACGGCTATCGTGAACATTATTTCTCAATTCGGCAACATCTGGTCGCCGTACTTCTTTCGCCCCCAAGACGCGGATCGATACATTCTGGCAATGCTGTTGATGATGGGCTTCTCCGCGCTCAGCGTGTCGACGTGTCTGTTCATGAAGTGGGATCTGAGACGGGCGAACGCCAAACTCCGAGAGGAGGCAGACCGTAGCGGTCAAGACGTCAACCTCTACCAACTTTAGGACATTAAGAGGAATGGCGCAGCGAACCTGGACGTGAGCTTAAAAGGAAAAAAAAAAATTGTGTTTCTCTGCTGTCGATGTTTCTGCATTGCGAGCCCCTTGCGCGTGTTTATAACTTTTGGCCATGACCGTACACGACCTTTTCTACACATTAGGTGACAATAGATCGTACTTGACACAATTCTCCACGCTCTCCACGCTCGCCTGCAAGAAGCTTCTCGCTTCCAGCCCCGCCCAGATCTTTAGCATGCTGAAGTCGCCGCTCTTGATCATGTCTACCGTGGAGCCCTTCGCGCCCAGCTGTCTAAGAATCGGCAACGCGCCAGCGAACAGGTCCAAGTCTGGATTCAGACTCCGACCGATGCCTTCGAGCAGCAGGATGGAAAGCACGACGTTGACGAAGTCGCCCTCCAGACGAACGTGATGCTTCCGGACCATGCTCATGACCTGGTTGAGGATGTCGCCGATCTTGATGTTGCCCAGCGCGAACGTCCGCGACTTCACGCCTAGAACGAGATGCTGCATGCGCAACGCGAAGACTTCGGCGTCCAGGACAGCTTCGGGCTGCCGACATCGTTCGACCATCAGATGCCCCGCCTTGTAGCCGTCGAATTCGGCGACGGCCTTGAACAGATCCAGGAAGTTCTTCCTGTTGACCGCGTTCAGTTCAGTGACCAAACCCGTGTCGATGAAGATCAGCTGGGGTCTGTAGCCCTCCCTGTCGAGCTGGTTGAGTTGGGCTTCCCACGCCTCCTTCTGGTTGCGAAGCGGCCGCAGACGCTTGAGCACTTCCTCGGTCACGTCGACGGAATTTGCGATGGCCTCCTTGGGGGATTTCTTGGAGCGCGAGGTCCAGCTGGGGACTTCGACCTGCTGGGGTTTGTAGAATCGGACCATGATGTTGCCTGGATGCAGGTCGGCGTGGATGAAGTTGTCGATGAGGACCATGTGCAAGAACGCATCCAGGCCTTCGTTTGCTATCTCTTTTTGAAAGACACCACCCCCGTTTGCGAGAAAATCTTCGAGCGGGATTCCGGTGGCGAATTCTTCGACAAGCACCTGCCGAGTAGTGTAGTCCGTGTACGGGTAGGGGAACCACGCCGTTGTGCGATGAGCAAAGTGCTTGCGGAAAATCGTCAGGTTTGCCGCTTCGATGCGAAGGTCGAGTTGCAGCCTCATCATCTCACCAAACTGCTTGACTTCGTCCGGGAAAGACAGCCATTCCATGGTGGGTATGATGTTGATGAGGGCGGCGAAGAAGCCCATGATCTTTAGGTCACGGCCGACTATCTTTTCGATCCTCGGATGCAGGACTTTGACCGCTACGTAAGACGACGGCACTCTGGCAGGGCTGCTCTTCAACGTCGCGTCTACATTTTTCCGAATCTTTCGCGTGTAGGATTCCGGCTCCTGGATGTCGACGTCTCCCGGCACCGCCAGATCCGGCTTGAGCCTGGCTTTGTACACCTGCGCTATCGCGCCGACACCGAGCGGTTTCTCGTCGAACTCGTCGAAGATGTCCTCGAACTTGCGCCCGTCGAAAGCGGCCTCGATCGTCTTCTTGGTATGCGAAAGAGGATGCGCAGGGGCGTTCGAGTGCAAGGAGGACATGATGGCACACAGTTCGGTGGGAAAAATGTCCGTTCTTGATGCTGCCCATTGTCCTAGCTACGGTATGTTAGTATTTTGTTCGGAAGGCATGCTGGCCCAGACGAACCTTGATGAAGGCGGCACCGGCTCTCTCCATGGACCACACGAGATAGCCATACCACCATAGCGTGCCGCTTCTCTCGTCTGACCTGTCCTTCTGTCTCTTTCCGATCCAGATGGCTGGGATCGTCACGATGACGGGCACGAAGATGATGATGAGGTGCAGGAAGCGGAGTCCGGTGGCGATGGGCTCGACGATCCAGTCGTCCACGAAGAAGTAGATTCCTCTTCTGATCCGCTTCGAGTTCTCCAGTCGCTTGGGCACATGTTCGTCAAGCTCCTTGCGCGACGCCTCGAGCATCTGCTGCTCGCCCGTCTTCCCGTCGCCATTGTCACCTCTCTCGCTCAGCGACACAAACGCGGCCGGGCCCAGCGTCGCCCCGGCGAACAAAAGCCGCCGTACGCCGGGCGGAGGTTGAGGCACACGAAACCGCCCTGTGCGCGGACGCGTCGAGGTGACGATGCGATGCCGTGTCGACGGAACCACGCGCGGGATGCTGACGCATTGCGGACGCACGCAGAGGCGGCCGAGGAGCAGCACCGTCCTCATCGTAGGCTCCTACCTTCATGGGCCTGCCGATGCTGGCTGGGTATGCGTGTTATCTCGAAGAAGTGCGGACCTTCATTGTCGTGCACCGTGCCAAACGGCCACGCTCGGGTAGCCGTCCTGATCAAGAATACGTCATCGGCATGTGTTCGTCGGCATCTCCGACATCGTCCCTCTTCGCAAATCAACCTCTCTCCAATGCACGACAGCTTTTCCCTCGTGGATCGCAAGCAACAACGGCAACAATGACAGCGTCCGAAATTGGCAGTCTCCATGCTCAGCAATGCATCGGTATCTCTGGACAAAACATGCCTCATGCGCATTCTCGTTGTCAGCCCAAGAAGAGCCATCTAGCAACCCAATCTCCGCGCTCCGCGTCCTTAACATTGGTGAACTCAATTTACACGCAAACGTCTCTCAAATGTCAAATAATCTCAGTGTAGGAGTTCCTTCTTAGCATCAACCTCTGCTCTGGACACAGTCTCGCACACCCTACCCTTATACAACTCGCCAACACCCCCCCCCCCCCCTTTCTCTCTCTCTCTCTCTTTCCCTTTCCAGTTTCTCTGTTCCAACATTTCGTATCTCCCAAAAGCTCAAAAGTCACGTACACGTCCCCTCCCGAACCGGAACTAGGTTCGCGCAAAGGCCACGCCGCTACCGCCGTGACCGCCGCCCCGGCCCCCTCCCCCCCCCAAAACCCACCGCACGTGCGTTCCGCGCGTCCGCGCTCATTTCCACGCTGCGTGTGCGTGTGCGCGGCGCGGGCGCGTGGAGCGGTTCCGGCGGCTCCGACGACGGCGGCTGTTCGCGCACCCATGTGTTCCTCCAGGGGCGATCCTGGCCGTCTCGAAACGCAACGGGCCGCAACCTGTTCGAGACGGCGGCGAGGGCGCGCGGGACGAAGGTGGAAGAGGGAAGAGGCTGCGCTGGATGTTGGCGCGCGCTTGAAGAGGGGCGTTGCATTACGGGCGTGACTGGTCTTGTTGCTCGTTGAACACCCCTAGCACCCCCCCCCCCCCCCCTCTTCGACGGCGACGGGTGGAGCTAATTGATGATGACGACCGGGTCCTGGACGCAGGAAAAGGGGCCCCCAATGACTAGGAAGCAAAAAGGTAATGGACGTAGAAAAAGAAAATACAAGAAGAAAAAGAACAAGGATAAGAATAAGAAAAAAAGGGGAGCGAACAAAGGGACGCAAGCCCATGGAATGGATAAACATCGTTTCTGAATGCTCTTGTAGCCCCAAAAACCAAGTTGACCGCAGATGGAAGACAAATGCCATGCCCGCCCTCATGATTTTCACAGCTTTTCAAAGAAGTCTTTGCTTCGAGCCTGTATGTATGTTGGAAGAATATAAAAAGAGGAAAAAAAAAGAAGAAAGAGAACAAGAACGAAGACAAATGCTTCGTATTCCTCCTCATGACATCCCACCTCCAATGTCTTGCCCCTTCGTGCCCTCCTCCCCCCCTCAAAAAAATACCCCCAAAAGATGCCGGCACAGATGTAAATAAAAAAAAAAACAAAACCATCGGCAGTCCTTTTCACGTGATGGTAGCCCTCCGTGTATACATATGTATATATATAAACGTTTTTGTGTCCTGTTTCTCATTAAAAAAAACCCCTCAGTAACACATGCGATCCCCAGTCATCAAGGCGGGTGTTTCGTGAGCGACATCTCGCATAAGAGAGCGCGAAAATAATAGAATAACGTGGGATTTTTTTTTTAAAAAAAAAACCAGACGTCAGGTTCGCATGTGTCCAGTCCCACCACTATACCCCCACTCCCAAAAATTAAAGATGACCCAGATGCCAACATGGCCTGGGACAAAAATAAAGGCCGAAATGGTGCCTAGAGGGAGAAAGGGGGGAAAGATGGAAGGCGAGGGGGAAAAGAAAAATCCGGACGTATCCAAAGGACGCCAACCTGCCCAGAAAGAACCGCCCAATACGTACGTACAAATACACACTAGCTTTAAACATGAACAGACATTAGGATTGGTAAAGAGGCAAGGGGATCTATTGAACCCTCTTCCGCTTGCTGCTGACTGGGTCGACTTCCTCCTCGTCGCCGGCAGCGATGGGGTTCAGCAACGAGTGCACGTTGCTCGCGAGGCTCGATCTCCTAGTTGGCGGACCGCTGTCTGCGACACCCTTGAATGAGAAGCGTGCGCCCGGTAGCTGCCATCCGGCGTCGGTTTGGGCACCTCCGGACTCGGCAACGTGAGGTGGCTGCGGCGGAGACGGCTGTCGCGAAGTCTGTGTCGAGGACGGGCCCCGAGGCAGCTCGTACTGAGCCAAGGCGTTGCGGAGCTCCTGGTCGCCGCCGAGGGGAGTCCGGTGCGGCGAGCTGGGCCACTGCGAGCTATTTTGTCCCGAAGCGGATGGCGTTTGGTCTAGGGCAGACTGGCCTGGCTGCCAGCCGTGGAGTCGGATGTCGGCCGAGGTGTGGCGGCGAGGGAGGTTGGTAGGCGGAGACGTCACGGTGGCCAGAGGGTGTTGCATCGGCGGCGGCGGAGGCGGCGGGGGTGGAGGCGCGAGATGCGACGGCGCTCGGGCCGAGGATGGCGAGTACGTGTTGCTGCCGCTCCCAATGGACCCGTATCTCCTTGGTGAAATTGAAAGGTGTGGCGCGTGCGGCGTCCGGAAGGGCGTCCGAGCTTCCGGGAGAAGCGAGGGTTGGGAAGGCCGCCGCTGGTCGTTGACAGGCACCTGACGGGGAGACAGGGGCGCGCCGTTGTCTTGTGCGGTGGCCAAATAAGAAGCACGGCCTGCGCTAAGAGGCTCCTGTGGCTCGTCAAAGGATCGGAGCATGTCCGTCTGTCTGGCGATCTCTCGCTGCATCATTGCCACTGACGCTTGTTAGCACATCATAATTTTATGCTGCATAAATATAGCTCGTACCATCCTTGTGAATCTGGTCGTCCGGGTTAGGCACAATCGCCATCAAGTACGTAGCGAGATCTTGATTCCACTGTCGCGTAATCAGCAATTTCGTCTCACCCGTCAGACGATCGGCAACCCGTACCTGATGACACCGCAGCAGGCCTTCGGCCAAAAAGGTGCACTTTGTGTTGAGAAAAGCCGCGGTGTCTTCTGCCCGTGCCAACCGTGCGTGCAGGTCGAAATAATGATGCTCGAGCATCGCCAGTCGTGCCTCGATGGGATCGGGCGCGCCTGAGGCCTCGAGGATCGTTCCTTGCGGAGGAGGTACCGGAGGCTTGGGAGCAGCCGAGAATGAGTCGCGATGGATCAATGCATGTCGTGAAGCGCGGCGTTTTATCTCTCGTAGGCCGACCAGATCCCCACGCTTGAAGTTACCGTTGCCGTGCTTGAATTCCCACAAGGGCGAATCGGGCTGTCCGGTGTGAAATACGTCGCTCACTGCAAGCCGTTGAGTACATGATTTACGCACACGCACGTACAGAGCTCGGAAAACCCGTGATGCGTACCTTTGTGAAAGCCGTACATGTTCAACTGGCGGACGAAGGAAGAAATGTTGGTGTGCTTGAAGTATGATCTGCGCCATGCGTAAGGTCGGAAGCCTTGACACGATGGGTTCGCTTTTGCTTGGACTCACGATAAAACTCTTGAAAACTCGGTCGAAGGAGACATTACGAAGCTGTCGTTCGTGCTGGACCACGATATCAAATGCTGAATGCTCGGATCTTCCAACATACTGGACCAACATGTTAGCGTCGTGCCGGCAAGCACCGTTTGTGTCGCGCCCACGATCTGCACGTACTTGTACAACTTGTGGATGAATGCCGTCTGAACCACCTTTGGCTGCTGCGTGGCTGCCGCCGCGCCCACAGCGGGTGCGCTCGTCCCGTTCGACGTCGGCTCATACTCGCCGTTTGTCGCGCTCGCGTTGGGAGGCCGGTCCGTGGTCGGGCTGCTCATCTGCGGTGGTCCCATTGTTGTAGTGCTCGTCGTGCTCGTCGTGCTCGAAGGTGTGATGTCCATGGGGTCGCTCGCGGCCGGCAAAGGGGAATTGGTGGAGGACGAGGAGGGGAGGATAGGAATGGATTTGCGAGGACCGGTGGATGCGAAAGGATCTGTGAACGGGCTCCGTTGCACTGATTCTGTAGTTGCAGCCATGTGTGGGGGAGATTGTCCTTGCCAGCGCAGCAGCGCCGTCTTCAATGTCGGGGTGTACTTTGTTGGATTCTACGGTGTGTAAAAAAGGAACGTGAGCGTGTATGACGGTCGTATGCCCAGAGAGCGCTCTTGCTTCAGAGACAACGGCCAAGCGACAGCCGAGGAGAGAACAAAATGAAATGAACTCGTCGGCCACTCCACACAATGCCGTCGATGCGATTCGCGCTCTGTCCCAAGATCACATCTCACGAGCTCGCGAAGACGAGAGACGGCGCTGTGGAGGGGGTGTACTCGGCGCACGAGCAGTGGCGGAGAAGTGAAGGAGGAGGTGCAGGATGGGCTATAGGATGGATGCTATCATAATTGAGGTGTGCAATGCGCGCCTGGGTCGCTCGAGACGGAGGTGCCAATCGACGGGCACGCTGAAATTCTCCGGCTACGGCAACGAACCAGCAGGAACAAAGTGCCTGAGCTCGGAGAGATTGCGCTTGTTTGGTAAGGAAGGGCTACCCTACCTCTCTCGGGTCTGCGGTTCGTCGGGTCAAGTTTCGTCAGGTACCTGGCAGGGCACGAAGGACGCTGCGAGGTTCCGATTGCGCAGCTGTTTCGCCGACGTGAGGCACGTTGTTGGTTCGAGAAGACCGCGGCTAAACCAGCGCAGGGGTTTTTTGGGGGGGGTGGGAAGGAGGAAGAACAGCAGGAAAGCGTGTAATTATGTCGGCGGCGAAGCGATGGACAATTCGAGCATTGGCGTGCCCGTGATCTGTCGACGGTCGAGGGGTTGAGTGCACCGCGTTCCAGGGTGGAATGGGGTGTCGGGGGGAGGGGGGGCTACAGCGATCTGAGCTGGAGCCGGAGAGGCAATGTGACGGAGCGCCGGCGGCCAGGAATCGAAGGGGGAGGAAGTGGGAGAAGGATGTAGCGAAGTTGGGGGAGGATTGCCTTTGCGAGCCGAGGGAGATTTGAAAGAGGGTTATGGTTGATGCGACCGAGTCGAGGACGGAGAAGGAAGATGGGGGATGAGGATGGGGATGGGGTTTGGGTTGGGCGGCAGAAGGGTCCAGCAGCCCGCTACGGCGTGCTAATGGGCACTGCTCCAGTGGCACGAGATTAGCAGCAGAAGCAGAAGCAGAAGCAGAAGCACACAAGAAGAGGAAGAGGACGAAGAAGAAGACGAAGAAGCGCGAGAGGTTGGAAAAAGGACGAATCGTAGGTGCTGGCGGTAGCTACAGCACCAGAGGTCCAGCACCTCCTCTTCCTCGTCCTCATTCTCGTCCACCACCTCGTCCACCACCTCTTCCATCAGCACCACCACCACCACCTAGGAGATACAGCTGCAAAGAACCAAGCGCACCGCCGTGAAGATCGCGTGTGGCTTGCGCGCAACCTTACCACATGCACCCCCCCGGCCGACGCTTCCCAGGCCGTGCAGTAGCTCGTGTTTCCCAGGCGTGGCTCCCAGCGGTGATGGTAATCAATTCGGGACGGGACTACGTACAAAAACAAAAAGATCCACCGCGTGCTGCAGGAACGCCCAGCGTCGTGGGCGTCTGGGGATGCGAAAATCGGCACGACAAGGAGCACGCCAAAGACGGGAGAAAGACGAGGACGGAGCGGCGGCAGCAGGCGACGGCAACGCAGAACAAGACGACGATGACGATGACGACGACGACGACGACGACGATTCTACTGCTGCTGCTGCTGATGCTGATGATGATGATGATGATGATGATGACTACACTGTCAACGATGGCCTTGTCTTGTTGAGTGTGTGTGTGTGAGCCTTTGTTTTCTGTGGTGGTAGTGGTGGTGGCGGAGGTAGCCGTGCTGGGTCTTGGCTGCGGATGCGCTAGACGAGGAAGACGCACGAAGCGAAACGTCCACACAACCGATGATGATAACGCACATCTCTTCTCTCCCGTCCAAATCTCGATGGGCACCAAGATCTGGACCCCGGACGACGAGGGGGCGTGTCTGGATGCTTGGTGTAGGGACGTCTTCCTGCTGCCGGAGCCCGCCACAGATTACGACGAGGCCTACGACCACAACCGACCATGACCGCGCACGCGGCCGATGGCGTACTTTTTTCTTTCTTCCCACCTGCCACATTCCGGCCGTCGTTCCGTGGGCTCTAGAAGCTTTGCTGGTCTGTTCTCGAACGCGGCAGAACAGAGCCGGAAGCGGAGGCTGAAGCAGGCTAAACGTGGCCCACCGCAACCGTAACCTGTCGTGCCACTCCGCCCTGCTTGTTACAGTGCAGCTGGAGTAGGGAAAGCTCATGCCACACTTGCGGCGCCGTCCGTGATGTGCAAACGACGCTGCGTTACAGAAGGCTTCCTGCCCTCAGACGTACGCGGCCGCATGCTCCTCGACTGCTTCCCAGCTGTGTGCTCTCGAGCGCCCTTGCAGACCAGCTCGCACGCCTCGATGTGCTCCATCCGTCGCGTCTTCGCCTTCGGTCGAGCAGTCTTCATCCAGGGCGTCCGTTCCCTCTCTGCCGGACATGCCCGTGCATGATTCCGCAGTGGACATGAGCCCTCCCACGGCTTGCAGCCCTGTGTCGCCCGTCCGTCCGCTGGGCGTCTGTTTTCGAACGTCCGCCTGCCGGCCCAGAATCGCGACAAGCGAGCGCGTCCAATGGGCGGTGCGTTCGTCGTGTGGCCAGCCCGGCGCCCCCTCCCCTCTGCCAGATGTCAGCCCTCCGGATCGGCGACGAGGAACGAAAACGAGTCCTTGTGGCCATGATGATGCCGACGGATCCTACGCAGCATGACTAAGTTGCTGCTGCACCTTAACTCTAACTTACTACCACGACGTGATCGTGAAACGGGCACGCAAATTTGCTCCTTGCGCAATCCGCCGCCGTGCAATGATTCGACGGGCCCCATCATCACCCGCATGCTGCCCGTCCTGCTGCACCGCATCCTTGGCCTTTGTAGTTTCGTCCATGCAAGTGATTTACTGCTTTGGCGGCCGCTGGATCTCCCTGTCCCGTTTCTTTTTCCTCTTTTTCATGCACTCGTCGTTGACCCCCAATCAGCTCCTCCGCCCACCTCCCTTTCCCTCTCCCTCGTCACGGGGCTAATTTCCTTCCTTCGCTTTTCTTTTTCTTTTCCTCTTTTGTTTCTTCCTCCCATGTTGTCCTCGTTTCTCGGTAACGGCTCCCAATGAGAGAAGGAGGGAGGGGAAAATGAATCGTCAATGCCGCTTCCGTCGCGCCCAAATCTGCGTATGCTCTGACTCGCATATCAGACCTGTATTGTTGTTAGGGGGGGATTTTTTTTTCCGCACCTCTCTTCGTTTGTACCCTATTCAGATCTGGCCTGCTTTGGCTTTCGGGTACGGTCCGGTTCTTGCTGGTCTGGACCTTTTTTTTTTCTCTTCCTTTTTCTGTTTTGCCTTTCCTCTTCCCTTCCCTTGATCCGCCGCCCTTCAGCATTCCACGACGGGTATTCAGATGCTGGGTCCGCTCGGCTGGTCGACAACCGATATGTGTCTGCATTGACATTGTACCGACGCAAGGAAAACGAAATCCCCCTTGCTGAACATCTATTCGTGGTTTTTAGCGATCAGAGATAATCCTTCCGTACAATGCTTGAACCCGGCGTAGCGAGCCACGGCCCTCTCGTGTTGTGCCCCTCACTTTTCTTCTTGTGCTCCGCTTCACTGTTACTACTACGTGGTGCTGCCGCTACCTTGTGGTTCCCGCAATCCCTCATTCTAGTGTGGCTCACTAAGCACGGGGCATACCTAGCCCGCCGCATAGCTCGCTTACTGTTCTCGCCTCTGTTTCTGACCTCAGCGCCTTCACTGCTGTAAATTGCCTTCCTGTGCATTGACTTGTACACGAGCATGCTCGTATGCGTCTCATTTGCGACCAGATGAGGACTCGTAAAACTGGACGGGCCGCGTATCAGCGTGCGCGTTCCCGAGGATCGCCGCCGCCGCCACGACGTACCGATAATACGCAAACTCGATCCATCTGAAGCCGCACGGGATCGTCAGACGAACTGGCGTGTGCATCAGGCGCCAAACCCGTATCAAGCGGTCGCCATCGCTGAATCAAACGGCATTGAATTGACACGCTGGCTGCATGAGCCGCGTGACACGTGCTCGCCGTTCCCATGCTGCGGATCGATCCTTTCACCAAACGCGTCTTTGGCCCAGCGAAATGAGCTCTTCTCCTCCAGCATGTGCGAGGGCGAGAGCGGGACCGCAAAAGACCATGCTTCGTCCGTCCAGCATAGACAGCTCGCCGCGCTCACCATCTGTGCCGCACACGTCGCAGAGAAACATCAGATCACGTATGCGCTGTCGCGCAACCGCTGCGGTCGCGCTGCGACCTGTAAGGCTATCCAGCCTTGTCCAACGTCGATGCCAGCACGAAGATCACGCTGCTGTCGGACTGCTCCGCAAAGGCGAACTATGCCACAACGGGACCTTGGTACAGGGTCTCAATCAACCTACTAGTAACACTTTTTTTTTGGTGGCCTCACAATTTTTTTTCTCTCTTCTTCTCTTCTCTTGGGCAACTGGAGAGCGAATCGTTAGCTACGAAAGCCTCGTTCCTTCTCGAATTTCACCGGTTGCCCCCAAACCGATCAACGTGAACGCATTTTTTGCCGTATCATTCCTGTCGAATCCCGCGGCGTCAAAATCACAGCCCCCGCACTCGATCTAAAACACTCCGTAGAGGAGCAACGAGGGGAAAAGAAAAGAAAAATGGTCGAAAAGATCTACGTGACGTACAATCAGGTGAGCAATGCAGTCGTACCCTAGCACTCGGAACGCCGCCAGACGCATCTTGCTGCGAAGCACAAAAAGCGGTCGTAGAGCGAAACCATTCCTTCACAAATGCTTGTGGAAGTATCTGCGATGCTTGGGTCGCACTTTTTGTGTCGTTTGGACGCACCGGGTGCCCGAGCGCACACAGAGGTTATGAAAAAAAGAAGAGAGAGGAGAAAAGGAGGGAGAAGAACGAAAGACCGGAAGCAAACAAAAACGAAAATGAAATGCGCCGTCGGGAGCGAGCGCTGACGTTGGCCCAATGTAAAACAGGTGCACAAGCTGTGCCAGGAGGCCGCCGATAAGATCCTCAATGAATTCAAGCCGCACCTTATGGTCGCCATCGGTGGCGGCGGATACGTGCCGGCGCGTATCTTGAGGTGCGTGTTGCTACCTTCCCACTGAGCACGCGAAGGACAAAGTGACTTACCCCCGTCGACGGACGTGCAGGTCGTTTCTCAAGAAGCCCGGGTCGCCCAACATTTCGATCCAAGCCATCGGTCTCTCCCTGTACGAGTCTCTCGGCACCGACCCCGTCGAGGTGCCGGGCACCAAGGTCACCCGCACTCAGTGGCTCGATCTGACGAGCCTGCACATGGGCAACCTGATCGGCAAGAACATCCTGATCGTGGACGAGGTCGACGACACGAGGACGACGTTGGAATACGCCGTCCGCGAGCTGGAAAAGGACGTCAAGGAGCAGGCCGCGCGCGAGGGCCGCGAGGGCGAAAAGACGACCTTCAGCATCTTCGTCCTGCACAACAAGGACAAGGTCAAGAAGGGAAAGCTGCCGGACGAGATGATGAGCAGCGGGCGATACCTGGCCGCGCAGACGGTCGGCGACGTCTGGATCAACTATCCGTGGGAAGCTACGTACGTAGAACCAGCACAAGCTCCCTTCCACTCCCGTCCCCTGCCGTCTCAACTGCCAAAAAAAATCGTGCTGAAGCTGACCTTGGTCCTTTTTTTTGCTTTCTTCTTTACAGGGATATTGACGAGCACGACAAGAACGCGGCTCTCCAGGAGCAGCAGAAGAAGCAGCAGCAGCAACAGTCGTAATACTAGTATTGGTGATAGCAGCCGGCGTGATGGGCGAACGAGGTCACGACGAGGTACGATTTAGAACCGATAGACGGCCGAATGAAACGGGCGCATGCAAAAGGACAAAAATATGAGCCAAGATACTAACTATGTACTCACTTTTTTTTTCCAAAGAAAAAAAAGTTGAACAAGAAAAGAAGAAGAGAAAAATTAAAAGCAGCTTACACCCGACGAAGACAGTTGTGCCGATTCTCAATTGTCGATCTACCTTTTACCCGTTTTTTCCTTTTCTTTTTCTTTCTGCCCCATCACAGCGACGCCTTCCCCTTCACCTTCAGATGCTCGATGCAGAACTCAATCGCGGCCTTGTAGCCGTAGACGCCCAGGCCGCAGATGACGGCCTCGGCCTTGTCGCTGAGGTAGCTGTGGTGCCGGAAGGGCTCGCGCCTGTGCACGTTGGTGATGTGGACCTCGACGAAGGGGATGTCGACGCCGGCGAGCGCGTCACGCACGGCGACGCTCGTGTGCGTCAGCGCGCCCGGGTTGATCACGACGGCGTCCACGCCGTCGCCGCGCGCCTCGTGGATCCGGTCCACGATGCCGCCCTCCCAGTTGGACTGGAAGTGCGCGAACGCGACGCCCGCCGCCGCGCACTGCGCCTCCGCCGCTGACACGACGTCGGCCAGCGTCGTCGAGCCGTAGATCGCCGGCTCCCGCGTGCCTGTGTCAGAGACGGTCGTGAGCCGGATGCAGACCTTTTGTTTTTTTTTCCTTTGTTCTCTTTCTTTCTGTTCACATCGCGCGACGAAGCTGTCGCGTCAAGAGGGGCAGAGGGAGGGGAGGTGGTGGGGGTGGGGTGGTGGTCACCTCACCTAGCAGGTTCAGATTGGGCCCGTTGATCAGGAGAATGGACTTGGCCATTGGTTTCGCCGTCGTCGAGCGCGTCTCTTCAAGTTATTTCTGATTTTTTTTCAATGAACATAAAAAACCCAACCCTCTCTTTCGGTCTTGGGCAAAAGAGTTCAAAACAAATCGAGGACGTCTGGCTCTTGTTCCTCTACTTCTGTTTCCGTTCTTTCTGTCCTCTTGCAGACGCTCTACCGCTCAATTCTTCGGTGGACGCGCCTCGTCGGTATTGTGCTTCTCCTCTAACTGAGCCCCCGAGTCTCGCCGTGTTGTAAATAACATGCTATGCGGGCACAGCGTGGGCATATGTTTTAACGTCGGTCGGCTAAAAATACTTCCACCTTCGCGCTCTCTGTTGGCGACGAACTGGGTAGAGAGCTCCGTTTTCGGCTAGCTCCGCTTTGGGACGGCATTTCTCACCTTGTTTGTCGTCCCCAAGAGGGAAAGGGGGCGAGAAGACTCAGTCCCACATGATTAGACATAGATCAAACCGAGAAAAAAAATAAGATTGACCGTGATAACCCTCAGATCCTCAATACAGAGGTTCTCAAGCGTCCGCTGCAACCATGGTTTCTGTCACGGACGAAGAGCTAAAGAGCATATACGCATTCGCCGTGCAACTTGGAAAGGATGCTGGGACACTGCTGCAGACGGCCGCCCAGGCGCGGATGGCAGGCAAAACGAGGTCGAAAAGCGTGGAGAAGGCGAACGCCGTTGACATCGTGACCGAGACTGACGAGGGTGAGTGCGACGCCGCGCCAGGAGCCATGGCCCTTTTCTCAGCGGTTTGCTGAGAGAAAAACGTCTCTAGATGTGGAAGCCTTTGTCAAGCGGAGAATCAACGAAACTTATCCCTCGCATGAGTCAGTCCTTTCAGAGAGCCTGTTCCTCCACGCGCCGCTGCCGTTGCGGACGGTCCCTTCGCAGAGGGTGAGCGCTGACGCTGGTTGCCAGGTTTGTGGGTGAAGAATCTTATTCCAAGGGAGAGTCAAAGCGGTACCTGATCACGGACAAGCCGACGTGGTGCGTCGATCCTCTCGACGGCACCGTCAACTACGTCCACCTCTTTCCCATGTACTGCGTGTCCATCGCGTTTCTGGTCAACGGCAAGCCCGTCGTCGGCGTGATCAACGCCCCGTTTCTGAACATGCTCTTTTCCGCCCGCACCGGCGGCGGCGCCTGGCTCAACGAGACCCAGCAACTGCCGCTGGTGCGGAGCCCGATCCCCCCGCTGCCCCAGGACGCGCCAAAGGGCTGTATATTGTCCTGCGAGTGGGGAAAGGACAGGAGGGATGTCCCGGACGGAAACATGTATCGGAAGAACGAATCGTTCATGAACATGGCCGCCGAACTGGGAGGGCGAGGCGGCAAAGGAGGGATGGTGCATGGAGTGCGCATGCTGGGTAGCGCGACGATGGACCTCGCATTCACCGCAATGGGAAGTTTTGACATATGGTGGGAGGGCGGCTGCTGGGAGTGGTAAGTCTCGATCCCACCCCGTCCACACAGTACACAGGCGCACACGCAGATGGCGTGGCTGAACGTTCATCCCGGCTAATGTCTTTTTTTTCTTCTTCCACCAGGGACGTGGCTGCGGGGATCTGCATTCTGGAGGAAGCCGGTGGTCTTGTCACCAGAGGAGACCCACCGGAGGATGCGGAGACTGCAGCCATCGAGAACGTTAATCTCGGTGGTCGACTCTACCTGGGCATCCGACCTGCTGGTCAGTCGGACAGCGGCGAGACGGCGCGAGAGAGCCAAGAGCGCGTCGTGCGCGAGGTGTGGAAGAGAGTGCGTAGACTTGACTATTCTAGACCCGGCGTATAGCGAGCAAAGTTCTGTCCCACTCGCTTTCCACCCCCCCCCCCCCCGTTTTGTGTGTTCATCAAAGACATTGTTCAAGTTCCATAGATAGAGGATATCAAGATTTCTGGCGGTTTTGCTATGTACAAGCTTTCCTCTGCCACTGACTCCTTTTTTTTTGGTTCTCTCCTCATTTCATGCCGCTTTGGCAAGAATTTTCGTGTCTAAAAGTAAAACTAGCCCGCAAACCTGCAATTCTCATGTATCGTACATTCTTTTCTTTTCACGGCCGTTATAGATGCGGCTGTCCAAGCTTCGCCGCAATCACGCGTTTGACTTTTTCCTTGGGCAACTCGTCGAGCGTCTTGCCCGTCCACAACTTGTCCTGCTCGAGACCCTGATAGATCATTGCCTCCGTGCCCAGAATGACCTGCCACCCAGCTTTCTCAGCGATGCCCCCAATCTCCGTCCACGGGCTGGGGTGGTAGCACATTTCCAGCATGGCTCCCTTCTCGGCCCTGTTCAAGAACGTCTCCAGGACGGCCCTCGCCTGCTTCTCGTTCTCCGTCTTGGGCGGGAAGTCCGGCACGCAGGCGACGATGGCTCCGGGCGTCGCCAGCCTCTCGGCCTCCTCGACCGTCTCGACGTGGATGAGATTCTGGCCGTAGCCTTTTGACTTGCACTCGGCGATCACCGCGTCCACCTCGCCCTTGTCCCTGTTTACGAGGTAGACTGGCTTGCACTGCATCATACGCCGCAGGCTGTAGACGGCAGAGCGGGCGGCGCCACCGCCTCCAACAACCATTCCCGGCTTGTTGTGGAACACCTTCTCGGGCTCCTTGACGTTTTGGTAGAACGACTCCCGGATGCCGACGACGTCGGTGTTGTGGCCAACGTACTTGCGGCTGCCATCCGGGTTCTTCTGAATCAGGACGGTGTTGACAGCTCCGCAATCTCGACCCTCTGGCGTCAAATCGTCAAGATAGGGCAGTATCGCCACCTTGTGAGGCATCGTCACCGCACAGCCTGGCCAGACATTAGTGAACAGCTAGCAAAAGGCCCGAATGTTTGCGCAAACTGACCGTAGCATTCTGGGCTCTTCAGGACGCGCAGAAACTCTGCGATGTCCGTGCTCTCTAGAAAATCAAAGTCCCAAGGTATGTTCAGATTGCTGAACACGGTGTTGTGCATCAGCGGCGACATCGAGTGCGCGATTGGGTAGCCAAACAAGACCCCCTTGCCTCGCGGTTTAGCGCCTTCTGAAGTTGACGGTGTCACCATGGTATCAATCTACTAGCTCAGATCTGGGCTTCCTTTCGATATGTGGAGTAGTCTTATAGAAATCTGCAAGTGACAGCCCCGAGCTCTGGGCGATGGTTTGGACGGTGTTGTGATCAAGGACCGCACACCACAGTGGATGCCTGCTCTCAACCTTTCTACTTCAAACTGTTTCGTGTAGAGCCTCCCCGGCATCTGCTCGTCGAGGCGTAAGTCATATTCGTCGACAGTTAATACGCTTCAAAATGCCGACGTTCTTAGTGCTTCGAGGATAAATGCTTCTAGCCGAAGGGGAAAACCCTTATCCGACGTGATCAGCCGACACCTCTCCACACACGGACCTCATGCGCCCCGCAACGGATGTTGCTTCTTACCCAGGCCTGGGTAGATCCACAAACGTCCACTCAACCGGTCCCCAATCAGTGTCAATTGGTTCGTAAACCCAAGATGGCGTTGCCAATGCTGGCATTGGTCGGTCTTACGTCCGAGCCGGGGAGCACGCCGATCTAGATCTTCCAACGGCGCCAGAGCAAAAACGCAAAACCATGCTTGGAAAATTCTTCTGCCCCAGGCGCATGGGGCAAGTTCTCGCTAGGATGATTTCGCAACAACAAGTTTACCCCGTGGAGTGTCATTTGTCTTGAGTCGTCGTGGAAATCCGGGGCAGATCAAGTATATAGCACCCCCAGTCTCCCGCTCTGTTCGCCTGCCTCCGCATCAATCCCATCTTAGTTCTTCTTTCGGGCCCCCAGAGATCAGCGTTCCATCATCCATCATGGGTCTTCTTGCCTTGGTCGAGGATAGACCGACACCAAAGGAGGTGTACAACTGGCGCGTCTATGCCTGCGCTGCTGTGGCCTCGTTCGCCTCTTGTATGATTGGATACGACTCTGCTTTCATCGGAACGACGCTGGCACTGCCCTCTTTCGTGGATGAGTTTGGATGGAACAAGATGTCTTCTTCGCACCTCGCGACCGTCAAGGCAAACATCGTCTCCGTCTACCAGGCCGGCGCTTTTTTCGGCGCCTTCTTCGCCTTCGCGTCCAACCACTTCTGCGGACGTAAGATCTCACTCTACATCTACTCCGTCGTCTTCTGCTTGGGTGCCGGCATGATGCTTGGTGCAAACGCACACCGCGGCTTGGGTTTGATCTACGCTGGACGTGTTCTCGCTGGAATCGGTGTCGGCGGAGCCAGCATGGTCGTGCCCATTTACATCTCAGAGTTGAGCCCTCCCGCTGTGCGTGGACGATTGGTAGGCGTGTACGAGTTGGGATGGCAAATTGGCGGTCTTGTGGGCTTCTGGATCAATTATGGCATCTCAGAGACTCTTGCCCCATCTCATTCCCAGTGGCTAATCCCGTTTGCTGTAAGTGAACTCGCATGCCGTGCCGATGCACCGATGAACAGACACTGACGCAAACCTAGGTTCAACTTATTCCTGGAGGCCTGCTGCTCATTGGAACGACTTGGTTAAGAGAGTCCCCGCGCTGGCTTCTTACCCAGAACAAGCGTGAAAAGGCGATCAAAAATCTGTGCTGGATTCGTCAGTTGCCTGCTGATCACATCTACATTGTCGAGGAAGTTTCGTTCATCGATGCGGCCATTGAGGAGCAGAGCAAGGCGATTGGAACCGGTTTCTGGAAGCCCTTCCTTGCGGTAAAGCGCAGCAGAAGTCTGCAGTGGAGACTCATTCTAGGCTGCCTTCTTTTCATGTGGCAAAATGGCTCCGGCATCAACGCCATCAACTATTACTCCCCGACCGTTTTCAAGTCGCTGGGCATCAAGGGAACCAACAACGGCTTCTTCACCACGGGCCTGTTCGGCGTGGTCAAGACGGCCCTCACCATTGTCTGGCTTTTGGTTCTCATCGACCGTCTCGGTCGTCGCAAACTTTTGATGATTGGCAGTATTGGCGGCTCCCTTTGCATGTGGTACGTCGGAGCTTACATCAAGATTGCTGGCACCGACAGTTCCTCAAATCCTAACGCTTCTCTGACCGGTGCCGGTGTCTCTGCCATCTTCTTCTTCTACTTGTGGACGGCTTTCTACACTCCGTCCTGGAATGGAACCCCTTGGGTGCTCAACTCTGAAATGTTTCCTACGTCGACCCGTGCACTTGGTCAAGCAAGTGCATCGGCATCAAACTGGTTCTGGTAGGTCCAGTTTCGCCTTTACAGACCATCAATCGCCTGCTAACTTTTAATGATCAGGAACTTCATCATCTCGCGCTTCACCCCTCAAATGTTCCTCACAATGTCCTACGGTGTATATTTCTTCTTCGCCTCCTTGATGATCCTCTCCGTTCCTTTCGTCTATTTCCTTGTCCCTGAGACGAAGGGTGTGCCTCTTGAGGCGATGGATCGCTTGTTCCAAGTTCACCCAGTTCGTAAGGCTCACAAGATTGTCATGGAGGAACTCATCCGTGAGGAGGAATCATTCAGACATGATGCTGAAGGAGCCGGTTTGGAGATCGCAAAGGAGCACCTCAAGGCTGCACATGTGGAGAAGGTTGTTGCTCAAGTCTAGAAAGATCTCTCACAGGGAATTTGCGAGTGTGTATGAATACCAGGTACTAGCTTAACTCGTCAATTCATTTGTTCAGAAAGAGCAAATGTAATTCAATCATGAGCATGAAATGTCGATCTTGTTCAGCCTTTCTTCCATCTTTTTGGCTGCTGCCTTGGCATCCTTCGGTACTCTGTTCCGCGCGTATTTCCTGGAAATAAGGAAGATGGTAGTACCAAAACTCATGGAATGCAATCAAGATTGTTCTTAAGTCAATCGACACTTGAAGTTGAAGTCATGCAAACTATATGAGTTTTGAATAATCTAGTGAAGGTGAAAGTCATCGATTTTAACCAATGATTTGAGGCAAGCACGCAAGTGTGGCCCGTATGCAATGGAGAGGCTGTTGTGAGGGGAAGCGATGCAAGGTCGTTCTGTTGGAGTGGAGTTTCTGTATCTATTCGTTCCCTATACACGTTGCAGAGCTCAAATAAGGTTACAGGTCAACAGGCAAGCCGCTCTCCAATGACTTTTTGACGGCTTCACACACAGCTACGGCTCTCAAGCCATCCTGTCCCGTGCATACCGCTTCCGCATTGCCCTGGATGACAGCAACGAAGTTCTCAACCTGCAGCTCGAACGGCACCCGAGTCTCAGGCACTGGAATGTGGGAGAACGAGAGTTGCTCCGTCCAGCTCTTCTGCTTCGCGCCAACATATGTCGACAGCCGCATATCAGGGAAACTTAAGGTTCCTTCAGATCCCATGAAACGATATGTGTCCATGCCAGCCTTGGGAATCATGGGGTTCTCCCCTGTGCCGCTCTCAAAATTGTGAGGCGATGGCACAGCATCGGACAGCACGAAGGTGCCAACCACTCCGTTCTGAAACCGAAACAGGATTGCCGCACCCTCCTCTGCTTCAAATCCTCTTTGGGATATGGTTCGCTCCGCGTGAACCCGAGTGATCTGAGACTGGACTAGGAATTGAAGAATGTCAACCTCGTGAATTAGATTGATCAGGATTGGGCCCCCTTTGGCCCCCTTACGCCACTCCGTTGGCGCTTCAAAATATTCAAGAGGTTTATGCAACGTCCAAAGCCCAGATATAGCTACCAGCTTTCCTAAGGCTTGTTTGTCAAGGAGTTTCTTCGCCGCAGACACGTACCGATTGAACCGTCTGTGATGTCCGCACAGCAGCTTCAATCCTTGACGACTAGCAAATTCAATCTTTTGAAAAGACAGAGTACGTCAACATAACTCTTTCGCCAAGTATCTTCGCATGCATATATAACTAGGAAGGGAGAATTGCCTTACCAAATCTGCCCCTTCTCTAACGTCGGTCGCGAGCGGCTTTTCGCAGAGAACATGAACTCCAGCGCTGAGCAGTTCTTTTGATACAGCGACATGGCTTGCATTTGGAGTACAGACTATGGCCCCGTCTGGCTTACCCTTTTCTCGCAGCATCTCAGATATTGACGCAAACCATTGTACCCCATGCTGTTTGGCGATCGTCTCCACAGCAGGGTTCGGATCAACGAAGCAGAACAATTCAGCTCCGGGCTCCGCCTTAACAGCGTCAGCATGCCGTGGCCCGATCAATCCTGTGCCAACGATTGCTATAGTAACATGGGACGAGTGTCTTGTCGGAGACATGATCAAGATAAGTCAAAGACAGTCGAAAAAAAAATATTCCTTGTTGATGGAGAACCACTCCAAGCTTACAACGGGCGCTCCGCCAAAGCAGAAACAAACCACCCCATGCCCCCACAATAACAAACCCCATTTTCTAGATTCAGTTCCTTCATCCGAGCATCGCAGGGGAAGTTGTTCGGAGGGAGTGAGGTACTAAGTACAGGGATAATGACCTACATGACTCAAGTCCTTGTTCGTGCAGGCCAGAGGATAAATGCTTTCCCCCCGACTTACGTCACACAGGTCCAGAACTTTTCCCCTCCAACTCTTCACAGACAATCCAAGAGATACGAACCGCAACACCCGCCTTTATCCGTCACAGGGTTTAACTTAGCATGTAACGTAAAATGAAACCTAGTACACTCGATGTTGACCGTGCGCTGTTGAGACTTAATGCCATTACCCGTGGAAAGTGATTAAGGCTTATCTTCTTTAGGTCGTATTCTAACCGCTATAACAATTGAGGCTCCATCATGCAGTGACTCTGTGCCCAGCCTTTCTTCATTCTATCTCTTCTAAATTGCTAGCTGGACCTCGTGTTGTCGACAAAGTACTCACAGGCTCTGATTACAAAGGCCGACTCCGTTCTTTTGAACTTCACCAAACCCTCTAAAGATCAACTTCACTGTGAAAGCAAAACGAGATGATTGCCGTGGCCCCGTCCCACCGATATCGACAGGCCATAGCATCAATGTCTCTTGGTCGGGCCTGGGTACACGACTTACCAGCAAAGCTTGATCAGGCTAAGAAGCATGGCTTCGAGGGCATCGAACTGTTTTACGAAGACCTGGAATACATAGCCAAGGGAATAGACGAGAAGATTATGCCGGAAACCTTGATCCAAGCCTCGCATCTGGTTCGCAACCTTTGTGACGAGAGAGGGCTCGAGATCATAGCGCTACAGCCGTTCATGCATTACGAAGGACTGAGAGACAGAGAATGGCACGCTCAAAGAGTTGTCGAGATGAAGCTCTGGCTGAAGCTTGCGAGAATACTCGGCACAGACTTGATTCAAATTCCCTCTACTTTCTTGAGCAAAGATGCCGTCACCGACGACCGCGACGTCATCGTCGGCGACCTGAGGGAACTCGCTGAACTAGCCATAAGAGAGGAGCCGCCCATCAGATTGGCATACGAAAGTCTTGCATGGGGAACGTACGTCGACAGGTGGGAGGATTGCTGGCAGATCGTGGAGGAGGTGAACATGCCCAACTTTGGAATCGTTCTCGACACGTTCAACATCGCTGCGCGTGTTTACGCGGACCCTGCCGCCCCGTCGGGGACCAACGCAGATGCCGACCAAGCCGTCGCCGAATCGCTGCAACGAATGGTCGCGAGGATCGACCCCAGCAAAATCTTCTTCGTACAATTGGCAGATGCGGAGCGATTGGCTAGTCCCCTCGTCAAGGGGCATGAGCTATACAACGACACACAGCCAGCGAGGATGAGTTGGTCAAGGAATTGCCGACTGTTTTACGGCGAAGAAGCTCAAGGTGGCTACCTGCCCATCAAAAGAATAAGCCAAGTGATTTTGAAAGAGCTAGGCTACCGTGGTTGGATCAGCTTTGAGCTATTTCATAAGTGCTTAGCATCTCCCGAAGAGGATGTGCCAGAGAAGATGGCTTCTAGAGGACATGTGTCGTTCAAGAAGTTCGTAGCTGATCTTGGCTTGGATGCATAGAGGCTTCGTTGCGAATTATTCATATACCCATAGAAAAACGTCGAAATTTCAAAGCACGTAGCGTCAATTAAGCATTATGGTTAGATTTAAACTCCCCAGGACCAGATTTTCTCGTTCCCAAACCGTTTCCCGTACATTCTGATGTCAAGTGCAGCAAGTCAGCCAGCAACATCCGACAAGGGTGAGATTTTCTCTACATATGCGGGACAATACCAGATTCGCATTGGGAGCTCGAAAATTACGAACAGTGATGTGAAGGCGCGAAAATGAACTTGATATATGTCATTTTGATATGTTCGTAGTGGGTAGCAAGAAAAAAGCGCAGAGTCGCGCTCTTGTAAGTCAACAAATCCCCGGTCACGGGTCTTGATCGTTGATCTGCGCCAGTCTTCTCTCGATAAGCTCGGGATCCGGCCGTCCATGCTCATCGCGATAACCTTTTAGTACCTCAGCTCTCATCAATCTGCGCGGAGCACGCCGTCCAGTAAATAGCTCGAATTGAGCAAATGCTTGCTCAGGAAGCAGATCGAGTCCATCCATGGTTACCCAGCCTTGCGCAGCTTTGCTTCGGATCTGCTCTAATAATGGGGTGCGGATGTTGCGGTAAGCAACCTCCATAACCACACCTCCAGTGGGGCTTTGAAGCCAATGCTCGGGAAGAACGAATTCAGGAGAGGGAACATCTCCTATGCGATGTGTTGGGATACAAGAGACAACAATCGTCGGCTGTGAAAATCCTTCAGGCCATTGCTCGTCAGTCGAAGACAGACAATGGAATTGTAATTGCGTATCGTTACGCATCGATATTCCTAGAGGACTTGGACGACCTTTCATTTTGTCCTCAAATAGCCCTTGATAGTGTGCAACTAGCTTCTCGGCATTAACCTTCGTACGGTTATATACCACAATATTCCGAACGCCGAGTTGCAGGACCGCATAAATAGCCGCCCTCGCCATCCCGCCGGCGCCTATAACAAGCATGGTGGTTTTAGGCGAGACAGCATTCGCTGGAGACAGTCCACGCCGTACGCAAGCTCGGATGCCAATCCAATCTGTGTTCTCTCCGTAGAGAGACTTCACGGGTCCAGCTCGGTTTCGGGCCTTGAAGAATTCAACATTTTCTGGAGATATGGAACCCGTTTCTGATTCACGTAAAGCTATTACAGTGTTGATGGCGCCAATGGCCTTTGCGTGGCTGCTGATATTGTGCATAAGATTCATAACCTCCAGCTTGAAGGGAAGGCTGATGGAGCACCCTCCGAATTGTGGATCATTGATCAAAGTTCGCAGTTCGTTGAGATCTGACGTTTGAAAGGTTTTGTATTTGTGGGACATGCCACAAACCGTGTAAGCGGCATTATGCATTGCAGGGGATAGGGAATACGAAGATGATGCGCCGAGGATGTAAAAATTCAAAGGCTCAAATACAAATGATGAGAACAGAGCTTTGGTAGCGTCGATAGCGGATATCTCTGGTCTATGAGGCTCTCCGGAAACATCAATAAATTCCTTGTGTGTAACTGGCTGGAGTATAGGGTTAAAGCAGGCCGAAGTTCGTCCCAGAGGTCCTGTGTTGTATGCGATGAGAGGAAGATGTGGTCCAGGCAAATCAGCTATGCGGGAGCGGAATGCTTGAATCTGGAAGTTGTCTTCCATGCGTTGTGCTGGCCAACAGAGTCGAACGATATCAAAACCAAGTCGCTGCGCTCTTCGATAAGCGTCTATCCACGTCGGATGTGACCAATCCTGTGTGGCCGGATCGTCGGAATAAAAATGCGCAATCATTTTGGCTTTGCCCTTGGAAGCTAGTAAAGCCGTCAGATCTTCATCGGCCAAGATGAGGTTGAGGGTGACATATTCAGATGCAAGTCGTAGCCCATGACCGACAAGATCGATGTATCGAGACCGCTGCAAAATATCCTCTCCGCTTAAATGATTCCACGGTACATGGTAGATGATCGGCACGATTGTGCGTTTCCGAAGCTCCGCTATGGCCTTGCTCACAGCAGTGATAGAAGCAACGTCTCCGTCAACTTTGACCTCAAACGCGTCAACGCCCTCCTCCAATTTCTCAGCATCAATCTTCGAATTTTCCAGCTGGCGTGTTGATAATCTCATGGCGTACGTATAATGTCTTGATTCGACTGCAACCTGTGACAATGGGAAGACCTTACCAATCGCAGGGCTATTCTGAATGCTGGTAGCGAGAGCCAGGAACTTCAGGAAACAGCGCTCAGCTTTCTTTAATGTTAGATGCGGTGTCGAATGACGCGGCATACCAGTAGAATCAGCAAGGGCATCTGGATCCTGCAGCAAATCCCCGTGGTCATTCGAGATGTTGAAAAATTCAAGATTTGAGCACGTTCTAAACAGCTTCTCGGCAGAATGGACCATATCCAAGACTCTTGACTGGTCGAGCCCCAGGTAAGCCTGTATGGATTCAATGTCTCGAACCACGTGCACGATTGGGTGTGTTGTCGCGTATCGAGCAAGCGTCACCTGCGCTTCTTTGCTGAGTGAGAGCAGGCCACATACAATCACGCAATGAGTGGAGTGGTTTTCAAGGATAGATTCCAATACTTCCAAAGCCTTTTGCTGATACTGGGCGCTACCAAACGCTTTGCGGTATGCCGTGGTCGATTGGCCGGTCATGTGCCGAAAGATGAAGTCGGTTTCGACCAGTCTCCTCTGCAGCGTTGATGCTGCGATGACGCCTAAGCTGGACTTGCCCGTCCCCCTTGCGCCGACAATGATGAGAGACGCATCTGGGTCAAATACTCGTGGTAAGAGACGACTGCGATTTCCCGCAGACGGCGAATAAATGCCATTGGCTGCTTCTTTGTCAGCTGGATTGAAACATGCGAGACAATAGAAAGGAGCAGAGCACCACGGACCGGACGTGGGTTGGCTGGGTTGGCCTCCGGGTTGACTTGGTGAAGAAGTCCTGGATGGAGAACTCGACGGCGCGTGCAGCTGCTTCTGGGGGCGCAAAGAGTCGATCGCGCGTCCGTTCATTGAAGCATACGAGCGCTTCGTGCCGATAGCAGCCGTGGCCATGGTCAGCACGCCTGCACATCTACTGCTACCCAAGAGGTTTATGAAAACGGTCTTTGGAGAGCATCGGCTCAAGGTACATGTCGACGAGCGAGCAGGCCTCGACCAGGCTGGGGCAAAACCTGGGGTCGACACGAGATGGCGAGCGCGGGCGGCGGATGGCGGATGTGAGATTGGCCATGGGCCGGAAGAATGCTTATCCAGACCCGGCGTAGTCCATTTCAGGCAACGAGGGCGCCGTCTCCGCACTCTGACCTCCACATCCTGCGAGCGTGACTAATGGAGAACTTCAAGTGGAGCGTCGCTTCCACCTCACGCCTGCTGACTCCTCTCACAGCCCATGTGCGTGCGCCGCGATTCCAGTGAGTTCAGACGTCGACGATGACGAGACGGGGCCCTAATGAGCATGCAGTGTCGCAGCTGGTGAAGGAGCGGTTGATCCTGTTGCCAGGATGAAACTATGAGACATGGTCGATAGCAAACGCAAGAATCGCGCTGGGGATCCCGAGCCCGGCTCAAAAAGACAGCGCGTCAGTCGGGCCTGCGATCAATGCCGGAGTGCACGAGAGAAGTGCGATGGCATCCAGCCGATTTGCTTCACCTGTGCTTCATCCAACCGCGACTGCACCTACACCACCAACCCAAAGCGCCGGGGGATCCAGCCTGGATACATTCGCACGCTTGAGCTCACCCTAGCATGGACTCTGTGCAATGTGCCTGGATCTGAGGAAGCTCTCCTTGAGCTTCTGCAGCAAGAAAACGGCCAATTGCTCATCTCCAGCACAGACAGTGCTGCGTCCAACAAACTCCATAAAAAATGGAGAAAACACATCGTATCCAAGGCTATCGATCGAGTGCTTTCGGGCGAAGGTATAGCTGACTTGTTTGAGCATGGTGTTTCGACTTCAGGGGATGATGAAGAAGATGAGAACGCTCCCGAGGCCACCACCGGCCCCGTAGCTTCGCTCTTAACGCCAGAATCGCTCAAGACTGGCCATGCACAATTCCAGTCTGATCACACAATTCTTCCCACAATGCCTGAACTGCCTGTGCAGAACATGCAAGAAGCTCATACCGATGAGGCAACTGCGCATCAGATGCTCCAATTACCTGCGAACCATTGGCGTCTTATCGACGTATATTTTGCCTATACGCACTCATGGCTTCCTGTGACTTCGAAAGAGCAGGTTTTGAAGCTGTGCTATTCGTATCCTAAGGAGGGTTTACAGTTCTTGCCTGGATCTTCATCCGCAGATCATGCAGAACTGTGGAGCATCCTGGCTTTGGCCTCGCTTCAAAACAGATCAACAGCATCTCCCATGGGAGTTTCGAGTCTGGAGTTGCTAAGAACTGCCGAAAGTCTCTGCTATACTGTCGTGGATGACTTAGACATTGGACACGTTGGGGCTTTTTTAACGCTCGCGCTCATCAATATTGGGCTACAGAGGACGCAGCTTGCCTGGCTACTACTCGGACGGGCAATACGCGCAGGCTTGTGGTTGAGACTTGATCTTACACAGCAGACTTCGACTTCCACGCGCAAGATGGAGAGGCTCCAAGCCCTCCTCCTTGGCTGCTTCGTTGTCGAGACTGTTCTGGCGATACAACTAGACGCCGTGCCCAGCCTGCGATCGGACCTTGTTCGAGAGCTTGATTTGATACCTGAAGAAGGCTTGGACGAATGGCAGCCATGGACAGGATGCGATGGTTTCCAATCGAGCAGACAGCCTGCGCGCCCAACGCTTCCTTCGCAGGCAAAGAGTACATTCAACCAACTCGTGACTCTATGTTGCATTCTTAATGACCGAATCATCGAACGGAAATACGGCCAACAGACGCCGCTCACTTCTGCTTCTCTTTCCAACTGGCTTGCTAAATTACCTGCATCTCTTGGACCTTTGCATTCAATGAATTTAGAGCAGACCTCGCCACAGAAACTGCATTTATTTCTGGCATTCTTGGTCGGTCGTGCCTACGACTCTTCGAATCGCGCTACGATTGAGGAGGCTCTTTCAGTCCTTGATCACTTTACCTATGCACTTGGTCTTTCAGCCATGCCGCCTCTTTTCGCCTGTTTTCTGACCATTCTGAAGGCGAGAGCTAAAGACGATGGTTTTCAGCAAAACCGGTTAGCCGGTATCCTTACACGATTCTGGTCCGTCTGGAAGCACCCCAGCAGAGACGGTGGCGCATCAGTCTCACCCGCCAGCATTGACCTTTCAACGCCGGATAATGACAACGTGGCAACGCCTAGGCCCCTAACTGCAGCAAATACGAACGTCAACTCCATGACTTCACCACTCGCTGCAGTTTCACCGCAGCTGCAGCGAACGGAATCGATACATGTAGCGAGTCCTGCTTCGGCAGTGCTTCACCCACAGCCCGTCCAAACCATCGCAGTAGCACATCCAACACTACCTGCACCGCCACAGCTTTATGACGACTCGAAGATCCGCAGCTACAGTGTGGATCAATCTATGGATCTCGACGCTCTCTTCGATCATTTCACAGCAATCGAAGGCACTGATCAATCTGCCTCACATCCACAATTCATGCAGAATCTTGGATTTGCGCCGAACGTTAACTTCGCAGATCTCATGACGAACGAGTACGGATGGGAGTTTCGTCCCGGGTGAAAATACGACTGTGCGGCATTTTGCAGGCAGAAGAGAAACGTAGCATACAGCTAAGACAGGCCAACGTCTGTCAGGCTAATAACTGGTTTAGCATAAGAGCATACTCTTGCATGATCCTGCTTCATAGATGACAAACATCTATCTCCATGGGACAAGACTAAGCCTCTCTGACGGACAAATATGATGGGCATGGAACAATACGACAATTTGCCACTGTATATAACATGAGATGATACCCGCAGGCTATTGAGTTGGTATATGATACATTTCGAAACAGGCTTGAGCCCAATGCTCTCGTTCCATATTCTCTAACCACATGAAGGGTAGAACATGCAGAATTGGTCCATATATATGAGGACACTTGTGTAAAAGCACATAAGGATAATTTTTCAAGGCGATGGACAGAAGAACGTCAAGAATGACGATTGTATGATTAACAGCGCGTCCGTCGATTATAGCGCCATTACTAAGATGTTTGGACTTAAAAAAAAAAAAAAAAAAAAAAAAAAAAAAAAAAAAAAAAAAAGAAGCCAACTCCTTCGCTACGCAATCTCGTTAGATTTACCCACTCAGTGGCTCTTGCTATGTGCAACCCATTCAAGCCCTTTGAAAGTATTTGCCCTTCTACGAATGAGGGTTCGGCTCCGCTGGAAACAACGAGCACATATCAGGAACGTTTTGTGGCCCTTGTGACGCTCGTCATCAATCGACGAATGCGGCCCCGTCCTTCGGCATTCTGCCCCGAGGACATCGCTGTCAACTCCTAGTAAACAGCCAGTCCATGTGTGGAACAAAGCCCCCTCGAACCGAGACGAACTTTGGAGAGGATGTTTAGTTCCAGCGCGTGTCCGCGCACCCTTGCAGCCGTCCGGCCACAGGCCGACCTCGCCGAGGACGTTGTTGCCGCTGCAGAAATCGTCGCCCAAGGCTGGCAATCCACGTTCCTGAGTTGGCAACATGTGCTGCGGTAATACTAGCACAGCGTGCAAGGACTCATCAGTATCGACCGGGTGGCGCAATCGACGCCATGTGTTGAAAGTCGTTTGTTTCTTGGCTTCTGGGAGCCTAACGATGACGCTCACAGGTACGCTCAAAACAAACGTAAAGTGCGGGCGACGAGGGCACAGCTGGCAAAGAATGGGCTCTATATTAGTGGGCACAATCAAGGAGACAAGAATTCAATCTGGCTTATAAGCCAGTAGGAGATATTGGTCGGGCTGGAACTGAGAGTGAATGGAGATGAGAAGTGCCAAGGCTCCCATTGGGTTATGCTTGGGTCTTTATGTACAGCTGCCTGGCAACCAATAACCAGTGTCAAAGATTCTACGATCTTCTCTTTCCCAGTTCTCCCACAAGTGTAGAGAACAGGTGCTGATCCGTTATGCTTTTCCGAAGGTGTCATCGGTCATCCTCAGCCGTGGCACGTCGATACCTGGTCCGATGCGAACATTCGGAGTCGCAATCTCATGGTTGACTTCAAGTTTCACGGCCTCATCATATTTTCCATCGGCTGAAATCAGTCCAGATGCACGCACGCAGAATCTAAGCTCTGCGAAGTCAAGTAATCACGCCACCAGGAAAGCAGGCCAACGACTCTACCAACCTTCGATTTTGAATTCGAATATTCTGTCGGCATCGCCTTTTGCAATTGGATGTCCTAGCTGGTCATAGAGTGTTCTTTCAAAGAACGTGACGCTCCCTTGCCGATCGACAAGCATAACGCTCTGCTTTTGAGTGCCATACACGCCGCCTGTAGGATTGAGCTTTGCAACTCCCGTCGGCGTGCCATTAGCGGCCGCAACCTGATCGGAATTTTTCCTGTTCACGAGGTTGACGTCGCCAATAGCCGGGATGAAAATGCTGTGCCGCAGTTGGCGCAGATATATCTCGAATTCTTCGCCTACCTTCTGGCGAGGCAGCGTGTCGCGACTGAGGATGTCCAGAAAGCGGTTTATCATGTCGGATTTGCCTTCCTTTAGGGCCACTGCTTCTTGCACGCCCTGCTTGACAAGCCGCTCCGCGTCTTGCACTTTGGGCCAGCTTTTGTCCTCAAAGTGGGAGTTGCTCAGCGCGTGTGTTTCATTGGGGGTTTGCAATATCCAGGTCACGTCTTCGGGCTGCAGGCTCCGATTGGAGACTATGGCAAGTCCGCGCTCCTGGACTTTCTCGTTGTTTTCTCCGTGCAGCCGACCAAAAAGCAGACTAAAACCTCCGATTCCGTCAACGCCTTCGCTGATGAGCTTGTGAGCAGCATCCTTTGGCGATTCGGTAGAGTCGGCTGGTGTCTTCAGGAATGAGTTGACCACGGCGCCTCTGCTTCGACGTCCTTCAATGATAGCTTGACCCTCTTCCCTGAAGTTGGTTAAGCAAGCTATACGGCCTTGCTTGGTGATGCCGAGCCATGTGCCTCGCTCGGCACGGTGCATGTCCCGTCCTCCCAGAACATAGCTGTGCGGCTCCTCCCACCAGTCAGCTACTGCGGTGGGTCGCTGAAGAAATTCCTAAAAGTTTGTCAGATTCATAAATCCGAGCTCAAAGTATCCTTTTGATCACCCACATCTCTGTTGCTAAGGAGGATCAGAGGATACTCTGGATGGCTGTTTGTCACGATTGCTATGCACATGATTTCAGAGCTGGAGTCGATTGTGAAACGAATGGTTCGGAGGATAAGTAACGAGTCGAGCACAACAGAAAGCCGCCAGCCAACATATTTATGCAGAGGCTTGTTGCAGGAACACACCGCCCGATTGCGAGGCTACTGCTGGTTTGACGCAGAATGCATGAACGGGGACGTGGACAGCACTGGTTCGGTTGGCTGGTTGTGCCTGCACTGCCAAACGACGGAGTCACAGTGCGTGGCAACAAAGCCAGCGAAAAAATTTGCGATGATGGTTCGATGGAATGCAAGGGCTCGCGCTGCCACGAGTAGCGAGATCTGATGTGCTGAGGCCTGGTTCGTTGATGACGGAGCCGTGGTGGGCGTGGCTGCCGTGGCTGGGCAATGACAAGCTCTTCGGCGAACTTCGGAGTACGGGTGGACACGACGACGAAGAAAGCGCCGTCGCCCGCCGGAAATGGACGACAAGCAAGCCGCGAGCGCACAACCAAGAAGACGGCCAGGCAGCTAGGTAGTGTCAGCCACTGCCCTTGCTGCTGGCTGTGGGAGCCAGCGCTGTCACGAGCTGCTCTGACCCCGAGTCGAGCTGCCAGTGGTCACGGCGTGTTGCGGCTCCGACTTGAACCAAGATCTGGTGACCCAGCGTCCATGCCGCCACGCTCTTTCGTCAGATCACGGCACGCGCACTGCCTTTTGGCGTTTCGGTGACGATCGACGACGAAAAACAGCTCACGTCAATTCTGCGCCCACTCGCTCCACGGTCATTGTTCAGGCTCGTACACATTCTCGACCCGAGCCTCGTTCCCCAAGCCGTTCATGTGTAATTTCAGCCTGGCCGGAGAGATCCCTGCATGCAGGACCGCAACTGGCGCCAATCGATTACGCTACAGTCCGTGCTATCCTAAGCTCCACTCCCGGAACTCCCCCTCCAGAGCGTACCGTCGTTATCCTTCTGCCTTGACAATCTCACAATCTGTCTTCTTGCCCAGAAGAATACTTGTCCTTTTGAACCTTCAGGCATAAAAGGCCACTGGGTCTATTGTTCAGCGCCCAAACCCCCATAGGCACCAGTCGCCATGTTTTCCGTTATTGCGGATTTGCTCACGTACGTTACTTCAGCCTTCTGACCCCACATGCACGCCATGATAAGCTCTTGACATGCATGTGCTCAAAAAATTTGTGCGCGAGATGCGTCCCTCTAAGTGTCTCAAGTATCTGCGACGAGAAAGCTAAGACGTCCTGCGTAGTACCGTCACCACAGTTCTCTTCCCCATCTTCGCCTCATACAAGGCACTTCGCACCTCGGACCCGGCCCAACTGACGCCATGGCTCATGTATTGGGTCGTGGTCTCTCTCTTATTCACCGCTGAGAGCACGCTAGGCTTCGTCTTGAGCTGGATTCCTTTCTACTCTTGGCTCCGACTTATGCTACACCTCTACCTCGTCTTACCGGGCAAGCAAGGCGCAACCCTTCTGTACCAGGAGTACGTGCACCCCTTCTTCGCGGAACACGAGAACGACATCGACAAGTTCATAACAGAGGCACATGAGAAGGCCAAGGCAGCCGGGTTGCAGTATCTTAAGCAAGCTGTCGAATGGTTCAAGGTGAACGTGTTGGGCATGGAAGCAAGACCCCCAACGCCACCAGCACGCCATCAGGGAAGCTACGCTCAACAGCTATTTTCACGCTTCAACCTCCCCTCAGCACGGGAGGGACTTGCAGCCCCCGCCGGCGACTTCGTCTCCCTCCTTGCCTCTGCTCTACAGTACACGACATCCACTGGCGGCAGCCGCGAGGCCCAAGCACAGGATCTCAGCGCGTCCGGCACGCTTATTCCGCGTGAGCTGTCCACCAATGCTGAACGCATGACCTACATATCCACACAGCGCGAGCGTCTGCGCGTGCTCCTCTCCGCCTTCGACAAGGAAGCGTATAACTTAGCCAGTGCGCCGCCTGACTCTGAGCCGTTGACCAGAGAGAGGAGCACCGGTGACCTCAGCAAGAGCAGGAGTGAGGCGGACTTTGACAAGATTGAAAAGGACGAGGTACAGTCGAGTGCTGCGCCGGGCCAGGGCAGCTGGATGCCCTGGAACTGGTCGAAAGGCAACCCTCAGACGGAGGCGTGGGCGAGGGACAAGGACGCACCTCCTCAGGGCAAGTCTTCGGGGGTGGACGTGGGACTTTAGATCGTCATGGACTACGAAATCTTTCTTCTGTCGACTCGCCTCTTGTGTAACGGATTTACTACACCTTTTGTATATGATTAGACGCTTGTATCGCTAGATTATTGTTCTCACGACGAAGGGATACAGAACTGGGAGATATGGCGCCGAGAACGACGATTTCAATTCTAGTGCGGAGTGGGTATATGTCGCCAGGACAATGCAGACACATCTACGTCTATCTTCATGTACATGCGCTTCCTAGCGCGACTGGATATAGAAGAGCACATTGCACTGCTCTATGCACGTGTTATCAGTCCTTCAGGAACGTCGGGCAGTCAACTTTCAAGTGACTAAATGCCTAGATCTTCTGTCGATCTGCTTCCCGAATCATGTGCCTTGGATGTCTGGGGCCGGGCTGCTGTGTTCCACAATGCAGCAATCGTCGCACGAGCTTCCGTCTCTCAAGACATGGACTCTTTGTATCTGTCATGAGAATTTGAATCCGCTCGGGGGGACATCAACATCCTTGCGCATGAAGATTTTCTTCTTTCGCTTGCTCGTGATGTGTTCGACCCACACCTCTTTACTGTACTGTGCCTTGAATTTGCGGATAAACACGGGGTCCCACAGCTCACTGGCTATGCCCAGATCTTTGCAGCATCGCATGAGTGCGTTAGATTTGCAGCCTTCCGTGGCGGTCGGTATTCCCTCTGGGTCAAAGTACTGTTGTTCACCGCGAGCTATCGAAACGAGTCTATCGCAAATATTAGCACTTTCTCCGACAGAAATTACGCGTAAGATGTGAAAGATCATACCGTCCGTGAACAACGAGTCCATACTCCCGTGTTACACTCTTGCCTGTAACGATTGTCTCCCCTCTCGGCGCAAGTCCCCATCCTCCGGGCCCAAACGCTTTGTTGAGTATCCTCCTGTACTTGATTTCAGGCAAGTATATTATACCGTCGGGTTTGATTTCTACATCATCGGGGCTTAGAGGCGCCATGAGCGCTTCCGAGGCCTTTTCGCTGAATGGCACGGAAGAGAGGCCATGAAAGGAACGCGACCAGTCCACTGGGTTGCCACTAGAACTGATGGGATTCGCATCTGGCAAAGGTTCGCCTGAGGGGGGCGGTAAGTCATTGAGACCGGAGGATAGAGAACGATGGTTTGCAGGGGATATTGCGCTTGATGAGAAAGAGTTGGGCTCAGTTGGCGGCGTAGCCTTGGGTGCCACCGCTGCTGGTTCTGAAGCTGCCGGCTTTGCAGCTGTGGTGGCTGTTCGTGATGTCGGTCGCGTCAAATTGACGCAAGCTCTTGACGAACCGGAGAGGTATCTCGCCCCGTTGATAAGGTCTATGGCATTGCGAGGTGCGAGATTGACTCTTCGTGGCGATGAGGCTCGAAAGGTGCCAATGAACGAGCGGAGGGGCACTGAGGTATTCATCGCTAGGCTGGCTCGGCACAAAAGGTAAGGAATACTTGCGGAAATCTGCTCGATGGATGCGGGAAGAGCACAGAGAAGCTCACCGTGCCCAGAAGGGGAAAGGTTCAAGCCGCGGAATCACGTGACTTTAAGTCCTCCCCCGCTGAATATCCAAGTTCAAACAAGACGACATTTCAGCCCCCATTGAATCCTAATTGCAGCAAATTCACCTTTTACCTTCGTTGGTTAAGTTCAGCTTGTACAGAGATGCAATATGTGATGGTGCACTAATCAGTTCCACGCGCGATAATGCAATGACGAGCAGTGTTGGTTCATACTTGTCATCGTCTAACGTCCTTTGCCATCATAAACAAGTTGCCATCTTCGATTGCGCGGAACTGTCAAGGCCGATGATAAGATTCACCCTGGCACACGAAAGTATTGCACAGCTAGGCTGCTTGTCAGGATTTACACGGCAAGACCCGTACTCGAAAGCTGTAGCCCTTCCAGTCCCCCCGGGATTAGATCTTCTTCCAATCAAAGCCAAATTTCAAATCCTCGAAACTTCAGCCATCCATTATATTTCACCAATCATGGCATAGCAGGTTCATTTGCGTGACTTTACGCCTGTTGTTGAATGCCAATACGGGTTTCACCGTCTTATGGCCAATTCTCTTTCGGAACATGGCGCGTGCCTATGACCTACTTTATATTCTTTTTATTTCTATTGGAGATTTCCGACCGCAGAACCGGGGAATCTGTGCTTACACGGATGCAATCTGAAACTGGACAATTGTGCAGCTGTGCAGCTGTGCAGCTGTGCAGCTGTGGGTTATATTGTGTAGATATTGTCGCCAGCATTAGCTGCGGTCTCATACGTCCTCTTCACACAGCAACATTTACCGCCTTCAATGCAGCGTGGTAAAAATGGCCCAAGTTATCCCCCCTCATCTTCTCGCCTTCGAACATCACCCGCTCTACACAGAGCTACTCCAGGGGGCACCTTATCCGCTTGATCGACCTTAAACCGGGAGAATTCGATGCACCAATTGTGATCACGCTGTTCATAGTCGATCTTGAGTATGCTCCCGAATATGAGGCACTTTCTTATGTCTGGGGTAACCCAAGAGATCGCACACCGATAAAATGCAACGGGCGCAGACTAGATGTCACATTAAATCTTGATGCTGCATTGCGGAGGGTCCGACTTCCTGATCGATCACGCATGATATGGGCAGACGCGATTTGTATTAACCAAAAAAGCGACCGTGAGTGTAGCTACCATGTTTCATTCATGGACAAGATATACAGGAACGCGAAGCAAGTCCTGGTCTGTATGGGAGACGCCGGAGACAAAAGTGCTGCCGCAGTCAAAGCATTGGTAGAAGAGTTCAAGATGAGGGCTGCTCCGTTTGAAACTATAGCGGATATGCCCGTTCTTGCATCAAATGACCCAATTCTTGACGATTCGAAATGGCAGGACTTTGCATATCTCATGAAGCGTCCCTGGTTCACCAGAGCCTGGGTTCTTCAAGAGGTTGGTGTGACGCAACGACCCGTTGTTCTCTACGGCAAGGAAGAATTTGACTATCGGGCCTTAACTCAACTGTGTCGTTGGATCACTCGCTGTGCGCCCGGTTTGCAATCAAAGGCGGACTTGTTCCTCCTGACTGTCCATACAGATTGGGAATTCTGGTCACCAGATTGGCGCGATACGTCGGAGAACCCAGAATACACTTTACTGGACTTTCTTCAACACGCAAGAAACTTGGCTTGTGGGAGGCCACACGATCACATCTACGCATTTCTAGGCCATCCCTTGGCCCAGAAGCCGGATGGCAGTGGACCGGTAATAGTACCGAATTACGCCCAACCAATCTCAGAAGTCTACATGGATTTCACCACTCACTTGATAGACGAGTATGGACTTCGTGTTCTCTCTGCAGTGGAGCACAACGAAGAGACGATCTTGGACGACTACCCAACGTGGACCATTCGCTGGGACGTTGAGTTGACGCAGTGCTCTTTCGGCTATTGGATGGGATTCTACTACGCTGCAGCGACTGCGATCATACCCAACCCGCCTTTTGTACGAGAAGGCAAGGGCTTAAAGGTCAAGGGTCAGATGTTTGATGTCATTAAACAGGTTTGGCAGTTCTCAACTACATCTGAAAACTTGAAAAAGCCCAAAGAACTATCTGAAGTCCAGCCTGGGGGACAAAACAAGGGAATCTTAGATGATATCTGGAATCGCTTACAAAAAGACGACACTCCATGCGTCTATCCACCGGAGCAGAAAGTGCATGTCTTCGGTCTGACATTGGTTGCCGGACTGACAAACTACAAGCGAGCTGAGGACGATCTTAAGACGCATACCGCAAACTTTGCGGCTTATTGGAAATTAATGTCGCAAGCGACTGGCATTCCATGCCCCTCTGAACTTGAAAGACTGACCGGTGGTGATCCAGACAGATTCTGGGTCGACATGACGCTTGCATGCGAAGGACGCACATTCATCCTGACCGAGTCTGGCTATTTTGGCCTTGGTCCGTGGGTTTCCAAGCCCGGCGATGCGTGTTGCTTACTTTTCGGCGCCCGAGTGCCAATGGTCTTGCGTAAAAACAGTGAAGCTTCGTACAAATTTCTTGGTGAGAGCTACGCTCACGGTGTAATGACGGGCGAGCTTCTTAGCGTCGATCAACACGCAACGAACTTCGTTTTAGTGTAAGGGAGAGTTCTATGCACTACTCTTGTGCAATGTCGAGTCTTGTGGCATTGTGATACCGTCGACTAAGAGGGACAACCATGCAGGTGAATTATTCCACGACGGTAAGTGGATTTTGTTTCTTGCTCAAGGTAATTATCCTCAATTAACTATCCTCAATTTGAGAATTTCTTCCCTAGTTCAGAATGCTTTGAATGGTCGACTTGTTACATTATGATCCAAAAGTCACTGTCAATCAATTATATTCAGTTTGATATTAATGCCTAAAGGCTCAATATTTTCGTTTTCCTCTCGAGCCCTATCTTTAAGACCACTTCTCCACAACCTTTCTTCTCGCTCGAGTTCACACTTGCATATCGGTTTTCTCTTTGCTTCTTTACCGAATAAACTGTTCTCGATCTCGGAGTCTAGCTCGACACAGTTATGACAGCATCTTGGGTCTTGTGTACGTTCACAATCATCACACACAACAAGAATAAGGTGACATCTTCCTGAGCGACATTTGCTCAACCGATCTGAAGGCTCGTTGCATACATGACACGTAGACACGGGAAAAAGGCCGCTGTTGTTCGAAAGTCCAGTTGACCCTCGAGCGTCGAAGACATAATTTCTCCCTCGGAATAGAGAATCGCTTGGCTTTTTCCTGCCTTCCTTGATCTCTTTGTCCATCCAAGTAAGATACGCTGCAATGCCTCCCTTCAAAGTACAAATGGCATCTCCGTCTCGAATTTGCAGTTTTTCGGCCATCCACCTGACACCTTTCTCGCACCTGATACCGCCCGTGCAGTACGTCATGATATTTCTCCTCTCCCCGGACTTTGCGGCACCGCCGTCTAGCTCTGCCATGTGCGTCTTGACGTAACGTGGAAACTGTGAGAAACGCCTAACTTCGGGCGTGATGGCCTTGTCGCCCGTCCTCGGGTCGACGAAATAGCCAATCCGGCTCTCGTAGTGATTCCTCACGTCGATCAGAACCTTTTTGTCGTCGCTCCAGCACTTCTCGTGGAATTCAGCCGGCGACAGGCTCCGCACCGAGTCCCAGTTGCGGGGAGCGTAGTTGGTCACGCCGAGCGGCGTGATCTCGGCCGCGATCCTCACGTTCGCGCTCTCGAAGGCGCACGCGCAGCCGCCGGGGCCGGGCTTGAAGAACTCGTCCCGCTTCTCCCGCGTGTCGAGATCCAATCCTTCAAAGGTCCAGTGCTTCACGCATTCCTCGACGTAGGAGGCGATCTCGTCGTTCGTGCCGCCCACGGTGACGTTGAACCCTTCGGCCGCCACCCGGATCTTGCCCTTGAGATGCAGTCTCTCGCACAGTGTCCGGTGGAAAGCCGCAACCTCGTCAAGAGCCGTCAGACGCGGGCGAAGCTCCGCCGGAAGTTCTGGTGGCGCCGCGTAGTAGCGGTAGAAGAGGAGAATCGTGCCGCCGCCGTCGTCCTTTGCCGGACAAGTGCATTCGAACGATACCGGATCTGATTTCCCCATGAATTACTTACTCCGTTTGGCGGAAAGGAGAGCGAGCTCAGTAAAGGAAGTCGGACAGTGAGCAGCTCTGCACCAAGCATTTTTGAAATGTGAAGACAGTCACATGACACAATCAACTCATCTGTCCTCTCATGAGCGTACGGCAACGATAATGATAGAGAAAAAAGAGAATTTACGCGTTCATGCCTAGACGTTGTCAAAAAGCAACTTGCATAAAGGGCCCACGGCATTGGCTGTTCAGCTGAGAAAGAAAATAATGCTGCAAATGTGCAAACAGAACATTCCAGTGCGTAGTATTTAAGCAAGCAGATGCCCAATCTTATGCCAGAAGGATAGAGAAAGTAGGTTCAATTGGAAGCAATGCTGGCTCCTTAAAAACTTCTGCCTACAAAATGGCCTCATACAATCAACCGTTTACGAGTCCATGCTCGAAGCAACAAAGGTATCCTGAAGCCAAAAAAATCATGCGTATGATGCATTTTCCCCGTCCGAAAAAAAAAGATGCCGAACCAAACTTTTTTGCTCGCGCGAGCTAGAAGATCGTAGAAGATCATCTTAAGTCCAGCTGCAGACACAAAGAATAACTATGCTAATACATCAGAGCTTTTACCCGAAATGTGTAAGAACTATCTTCCAGATCGCTCCTTCATACGCTGTCTTCTTGCCTTTTCCTTTGCTGTTTGCAACGTTAGCTTATGGTCTTCATTGGAAACGGACATTTGAACACGTACCTTCGTCGTAGATCAGGAACTCGTGAAGAGCAGAGCCTCCTGGCACCATTGGCAGCACGGGCACCTTCTGATCGGTCACGATCTCCAGAAGCGCAGGACCTTCCTGATCAAGAAGCCACTGCAGCTTTTCTTCTAGCTCCTCAGGCTTGACTGCCTTGTTAGCCTTAACACCCATGGCATCAGCAAGTTTTATGAAGTCCGCATTCCGCTGATGGGTATGGCTAAATCTGTCTTCATAAAACAGAGACTGCCACTGCGTGACCATGCCTTGCTCCTCATTGTTAAGAACGATAACCTTAACGCCGACATTGAACTCAGCTGCGGTGCTGAGTTCGGTCAGTGTCATGGAGAACGAGGCATCACCATCGATATCTATGACGATGGAATCTGGGCGCCCGACCTTGGCACCGATGGCCGCAGGGAGGCCAAATCCCATGGTTCCGAGGCCACCGGATGTAATCATCGAGCGTGGATACCGCCAGCGGAAGTGCTGTGCTGCCCACATCTGGTGCTGACCAACTCCAGTCGTAATGATGACCTTTTCCTTGAAGGGGTCGGTAAGTTTTGACAGCGTAGTCATGACAGTCTGGGGTTTGATGAGGCCGTTTTCACCCTCCTTCTCATACGCCCACGGATACTTCTTCTTCCACTCATCAATCTGAGCAAACCATTCTGGTCTTGATGAGACTTCCTTGAGGTGTGGGAGTAGAAGACCGAGGTTCGTAACAACGTCACCTTCGACAGCCTCGGTGGCTTGAACAACTTTGTTGATGTTCTTCGGCATGATCTCGAAATGTACAATGCCACCTCGTCCTTCCTGGGCAGCTTCTTTCGCACGTGGCGCAAACTTCGCCACGCTGCCCGTAATGCGATCGTCGAAACGAGCACCAAGAGCAAGAATGAGATCGGCTTCTTGCATAGCCATGTTTGCATAGGCCGAACCGTGCATGCCGAGCATGTGCAGGGACTTCGGATCCATCTCGTCGAAACCTCCTAGGCCTTGGAGAGTTGTGGTGACGGGGATCTGCGCCTTATCTGACAGCTCCTTTAGAAGCTTTGGTCCGTTTGGATGGCTGAGAATGCCCTGGCCTGCATATATCACGGGCTTTTTGGCAATATTGATGAGTTCTGCAGTACGCTTGATAGACCCCTCAAGCTGCTTCATACTGAGCTCTCTTGCGGCTAGAGTAGCCGCACTCGGATGCACAGGCAGTGCGCTCTGCACGGGAATTGGTCTTTGCAGAGTACCACCAGTGATATCCTTGGGCAGGTCGATTAGGACCGGGCCGGGTCTTCCAGATGTCGCGATCTCGAAAGCTTCATTAATTCTTCGTGGAAGCTCAGCGATACTCTTGACCATGACATTCCACTTGGTGCACGCCCTCGAGATACCAATGACATCTGCTTCTTGGAAAGCATCAGAGCCTATGGCTGAGGTAACGACCTGTCCCGTGAGGACGACCATTGGTGTGCCATCCATGAGAGCATCCTGCATGGGTGTGATGACGTTGGTCGCGCCCGGACCTGAAGTGACAATAACAACTCCAGGCTTGCCCGTCGCTCTAGCATAGCCCTCGGCCATGTGTCCGGCGCCTTGCTCATGTCTCGGGAGAATGAAGTCGAAGTGGGGGGAGTTCATGATAGCGTCGAAAACAGGTAGGATGGCACCACCAGGGTAGCCAACTGTAGCAAAATCATCAGTTTCTCGAGCCGAGATGATAGGCGCGGGTGGCGTGACTCACAAACATGCTTGACGTCTTGTCTCCGCAGCATCTCGTGTATGATCTCTCCTCCAGTCTTCCCAACGAACGAATAGTCGAGCTCTGGGGCTTTGTAAGGCCGTAGAGGGTGGACGTCCTTCCATGACTCCTCACGATTGAATGAAGGGCTGGGTCGAGGCCTGTCCTGGGTGGCGGAGGCTGTAGATGTACTTTGCGTTCGTTTCGAGGCGTCATTCGCCTGCTTTTGGCCTGAAGCCTGAACAGCTTTCCGTGCGTTTGGAATAATTCCTGCCGCTGGGGCGGTTGTTGAAAACGGCCGAGCCTTGTTCAGACACTGAAGAGTGCCGCGTGCACGCCGAGGGATCATGCTGGCGGCTGTGTAGGGCGTGAAGAAAGACGTGCAAAGCTGGAGATTACAGGCTGCAGCACAATGAAGCAAAGAGGATGAAAAAAACAAGGACGGAAGAGAGCAATTGACGAGTATGAGAGATTGTTTGAGTCACCGAAGTGAGCAAATGGACGAGGTGCGCCTGGGTCGGTCGGGAAGTCATAAATTTTGCTCGACATTGACTAGCGCGCAGCGAATAGGGCGGGGAAAGCGCCTCCGATGATCGGAGCGGACCCATGCGACGCACCTGGGCCCATCATCCGCCCGACCGCCTTTCTCGCCCACGATGGGTTGCGTCTTGCATGTGCGCATCCAAGCCCGTCTGCAACGTTGTTGTTGCTGTTGGTCCTTCTTGGTGCTTCGAGCGTGCACAATCGCGAAGACAGCCTCGTGCCGACGATCGCCTCCGCTTGCTGGATTCAATCGCTAACGACCAGGACTCGCCTGACCGCGGCCTTCTCCCACGTCTTGCAACGCCTCGCAGCGGACACTCAAGAGGCCGCCTAAGTAGTATTTCTTGACCTTGAACGCCTGTCACATGACTCTAGTCACCTCCGGTTGTGGTCCCAAGCGTCGTGCGCAATCTGTCGTTGCTTGTCTGAATCCATCGCGTGCTGTCACGCCGAGAGACCGCTCGACATGTCTACTTTGAAGGCCCCCCAGCAGGGTCGTGCCCATAGAAGGTCACCCAGTGACGATCGGCGACAAGGTAAGAGAAACAGAAACACAATGTCACTAGTTCGCGTCGCTGCGACCCACAACGGAATATCGAAGAGAGACGCTGATAGGCAGCCCAGCAGCCGTTCTGAGCCCTTCCAAGAAAGGCCCGCTAGAAGATGAGCCAGACTTGTACGTACGCGAACGGCGGTTGTGGGCATTCTCCGTCATCCGACTCACTTGTATTCTAGGTCATCGAGCACAGTGCCCCAAGCAGACAGAGACCGATCAGTGTCACCACTTCCCCCTTCTCAGGCGCCTGCACAAGGCGTGGACCAGGTTCGCCAGAACATAGTAGCAATGATCTGTCGCCCAGAAATATACCGACCCTTGCCCCCAAATATGATCCCACAGGCCTTCCTCAGCTCTGTAAACGCAGCAAAGGCCGATGCGTCGGTCGAGGAATTGGTTGAACAGGGTCACTTTTATGCAGCCGCCATCATGAGTGCAAGGCGCCTCGCAAACCTCTACGGCAATGCGGATCTTCTTACTGTCTTTAACCTCTTTTACACCCGTCTGGCATGTCTCTCCTTGATAAACAATGCATGTCTTGAAATCGCCGCCGTGGAGTCGCTCGAACTGAGGGATCTAACAGCGGCCATGTACTTGGATCCTATCACGAACGAGCACATTGTACCGTGGCATCTTCGTGTCCTAGCAGTGCGGCTGCAGTCAATCGGTTTCAAGGACTGGCGACGGGGAATCATGTCGTATTACCTACTTGCGCATGATGCTCGCCAAAATATAGCAAAGGCACGCCATAAGCCAGACCCTGAAAATGAAAAGCTATGGTCTGCTCGACTCCATGATCTCGGTATTCGTGTAGCGAACATGCTAGTCGAGATGAGTGATTTAGATGCCGCGGGCCGGCATCTGCGAACGCTGTTATTGGATGAAAGAGACGAAGCAGAGAAGAAGCGTCTTACATTCATGCAGATCCTGGTTTGGCTACAGATAGGTGATCTGCGAGCAGCGCGACGGTGTCTCGCAACCTTATATGGAGCATCGGTGCCGGTGGCTTCCCCTAGTCTAGAAGCTATGGACTTGACAACGGAGGCATCTGAGAGTTACACCGCACGTGTCCTCCATGCCCTGACCCATATGGCGGAAGGCAACTTTTCGACTGCCGCAGAAGAGTGGTCATCAATCCAGGCATCGTATCCTGAAGACGACATGATCAGGCAGAACAAGGCCATCTGCCTCTTGTACATGGGACGTATGCATGAAGCACATCGGTGTCTCGAGAAAGCGGTGGAAGATGCTGCGGCTGCACCTTCCCACTCATTGCTGTTCAACCTTTGCACTTTCTACGAACTTTCCAGTGACCGGGCGAGGGAGATGAAAGGGAAGTTGGCCGAGAAAGTGGCGGAAAAGGAGCCCGCAAGCAGCGGTTGGCAGAGAAGCACTGCGGATTTTAAAATGGAGACTTTGAGAGCTTGAGGGTAACGAAGAGACGAACATCGGTTTCAAGGTCACTGAACGGGCGTGCGTTAGGCTCGCTGACGTTTTCCTGCGAAAGGACGCCGTCACAACAGAAGATCAAGAAAGGGTTGCGTAATCTTCGAGAACGTGATTTGCTGCGTCGGCGGACAAGTAGTGCGATGTCGAAGAGTGGCAATCTAAGTTGTGCAGAAGATCAATCCGCAGCTGCCGACGACTCTGCAGGAGTGCTCCGACTTCTGAGACCACAACATGGGTTCTGCACGACCTCACAATTCCAGCGGGCCTATAATTGCCGGCAAGGCTTCGTCTTGAGCTCAGCTTTCATGTTTGCGCCTATAAAACGGCACAGGATCTGCGAAAGGATAATGTCTTGATCATGAAGAAGGTTTATGAACTTCCTTCCAATGATTTAGAATGATCTCATCTCCATGTATTTTCGTCAGGACTGTCGTTATCCCGACTGTGAAGATCGATGGCGAATGAGACAATGGAGAAGGCGCAGGACGACCGTTGGCTCTCGACCACAAATTCACCAATACATCTCAAACCTTATGTATATCCGCTTGGGGCCGTGTGGCACTTGCAGAAATGGCTGCGCTTTCCTACCGCGTCAGAAAGCAGTCGAGGTCACAATGCTGTCATTGAGTATTGAAACAGCAAGGTCAGGCCGGCCATGATTTCGCAATACGAGAGAGATGCAACCATCGCTATCCTGAAGTTTCCTTTTATTGCCATGCTAAGGACAGCACGAAGTAAGTCATGGGTGTCTCAACCAGACCCGTCCATAAGCTTGTTCGGGATCAGGAGATCATGACCTGGAAATACGCGAACTAGCAGCGACGAAGTGCGTCCGTCCACTAGGGCCGCCCTACAGACTTGTTCAGTTTAGCGTGCCATCGGAGAACAGCTATGTTTTTCAAGTGCCACGTCGGTGCTCAGGTACCAACAAGCGGACGCGCCCAATCAACCGACTCCGAAACGAACGGGGCATGACAGGATGTTCACAGCGCAATAGTGGCCCTCTGCAATTCGACCTCGTTCTGACTTGTCTCCGGCGGGCGATGCTATGCCCAGAGCGGCTGCTGCGCTGACGTGAAGGGAACACAACATGGTCTTCCCATGGCATGTTCATCACGAGCACAGGGATGAACAACAGCAAATCGCATATGAAGAAGAAGAAAATTCCGGTTGCTAAATGTGGAAGCCTAAGCGGCAAGCGGAAGCGCCAACAAGACAAGTCCTGTTCCTGCTGAGGAAATCAGGGGCCGCGATTGGCTGACTCCTGGGCTCTTGGCAGTGATTTCAACGGCCGTGTCCGAGTGCATGTGGAAAGTAAAAAAGCCATAAGGGGCCCTCAGCCGCATGGCTCCTAACGAGGCTAGCATCCTTGGTGCGGAGATGGCAGACACATGTCTTCCGAGCTGCGGACAAGAAGCTTTGCGCAGGACTGAGCAGGTATGAGGGGGATATCGTCTCGTATGGTCCGTGTCGCGTCGCTCTGGAGCCTGCAAGACGATCGTCAAATCTCTCCGCATGCTTGTTGCTTCTAGGCATTGACGGTCTCCCGCTGACAACAGGGAGTGCTTCGCGTGATTGTTGTTGATCCCGGCAGATATGGCAACCATCAGCCCGACAAATTTAGATTTCTCGATTGCTATCGCGGAGGCAAAGTTGAACATTGCCAAGACACGTTAGCCCTTTCGGAGCCAAGCTCACTTCGTACAGTTTTTAGCCCAAGCCTGGTATCCTGCACGATGAAATTTGCAGCCCTTCACGCTGTCGACAGTAATTGGTCGCCATGTCTGCTTGCCTAAAGCCCGGTCTCAAAAACAAAAGCAAGAGCACGATCGCAATCTAAAGTTACATCTCCACGTGGATCCTTCGGGCTAGACCTGCTCAAACTCTCTCATGGCTAGCCGATGTGGCGTTCACAGCTCTTGCCATTCTCCGAGTCATAGGGGAGCAAAGCCATCGGCGTTGAAGGCGTGCCATCCTTATCCTGCCGCCCATGACAGTCAAGTAATTGCTAAGCACAATCACACTATCAGATTGTGGCTTCCGCATTATAACTGAAAACACAAGCTGGAGGAGCTTGAACACGACCAGTGTCTATTTGTGGCTTCGCTACCAAGAATGCATCTCACCATGATGGGGTCAAGAATGTGCCAAGGCTCACCCGTAAGTCCTTTTTATACTCTCCAGCGTCGATGGTCTCTCACTGCCACTCTTTGTCAATCATCTTGCTCCCTAAGCATTTCTATTGGAGTAGTTCTACTCCGTCCCTTCGTTATCGAAGTTACCGTCGCTCGTTAAAGCCGCGTTGTTATCATTATCTTTCTTGTTCTTCTTAGATACTTCAGTTTTACATACTAATCACTACCATCTGTGACCCGCGATGAAGTTTTTCACTGTTGCGGCCCTTGCGGCCACAGCGGTTGCCTACCCAGGCTCCCACGGCGGCAGCAAGAGGGATCATTCAGGTGTTTTCAGGCGCATCATTGAGAGGGCGGGTGAAAGACTGGCAGAGAGGCAAGGTGCGTGAAGACATCGTTTCTTGCAAAGGTCAATACACTGAAACCACAACAGGACCACCTGCCCAACCTGTGATCCTAATTGGTGATCTGCAGCAGGCAGGCACTGGTGGTACTGCTACCAACGACCAGATCATGGGCTGTTTTAACTCGCCCAATGGCGCTGCGTGCTTGTCAACGGAGACCTACACACCACCAACGAAGGACTCTGAAGCGTGCGCTGCAGATACCTGCTGCATCTGGTCTTACATCAAAGACGATCTCGTACCACTCTTTAGGGAGGCCGATGGTACTTGCAGTGACATAGCTCGTTCTGCTGTCCGTTTCGGTTTCCACGACGCCGCTGCTTGGAACACCGCCCAGACTACTGGTGGTGCTGATGGTTCGCTTCTTCTGTCTCCAGATGAGACCAATCGCCCTGAGAATGCCGGTCTGAATGTTGCTAAGGCTGCTCTGCTTCCCATCTATTACAAGTACAAGAGCTACGGTATCTCAGCCGCTGATCTGGTCCAATTCGCCCACAACGTCGCTGTCGTGGTATGCCCTCTTGGCCCACGTTCACTGACCTACATTGGCCGCCCGGATTGGAACCCAGCGGAGGGCGAGGCTCCTACAGGCCTTCTTCCATCTGCCACCGCTGATGCCGATACCAACTTGAACCTCTTCGCTGACAAGACCATCGGTGAGGTCGACCTCGTTGCTTTGCTTGGTGCTCACTCCACCGCCAAGCAATTCTTCTTTGACACCTCCAAGGCTGGTATGCCTCTTGACTCTACTCCAGGTGTGTGGGACGTCGCCTTCTATTCTGAGGTCTTGAATGGCTCTGCCCCATGCGGTGTTTTCCGTCTGCCTTCTGACGATTTCCTTGGCGCCGACGCCTCCACCATCGGCGGTTTTAGGGCCATGTCCGCTGGTTTCCCATCTGACACTGGTGCCGGTCAGATTCTTTGGAATGGCCTCTATGCTAAGGCGTACCTTCGTCTCTCTCTTCTCGGCGTCGCTGGCATCCAGGGTCTGACTGATTGCTCAAAGGTCCTTCCCCCTGCCATCTCTACCTTTGAGCAGCCACCAGACGCCAAGGTCACTTGTCCAGCTTCCAGCAGCAGCAGCAGCTCCGTCATTCCCTCCTCAACCAAGTCCTTCAGCTCCTTCAGCTTCTTCCCCAACACCACGAGTCACAACAGTCACCCCACTCACCCAGCATCGAACAGCCATGGTGGTCACCCCACTCACGCGGGTTCGACTAGCAAGGGTGGAAATGGTGGAAAGCCCACGGGTAGCTACGGTAATGGAGGCTATGGCGACGGTGGCTATGGAAATGGTGGCTATGGTGACGGTGGCTACGGAAGCGGACCTAAGCCAACCTCGTCTGGAAGTGGTGGTTATGGCCACGGCGACGGTCACTGGGGCTACTCCACTTCGACCATCTACACGACCAAGACTATCACCATCACCGACAAGCACGGTCACCCGACTGAGACGTGCGTCACCGAGCCCGTTGGAACCACTACCTGGCCAATCGAGGGTCCAAGCAAGACGACCACAATTACAACGACGAAGACTTCAACCATCACTATGCACGGCGGCAAGGTCACGACCAGCACCTGGGAGGAGCCAATCACAACTACGGTTTGGGACGACGCCTGGACCTGGGTTTCTCCAACTGTCACTGCTGCGGCTACCAAGCCAGCAACCTGCAAGGTCAAGACCGTCTCTATCACCACCACTGTCTGGGCATGAATGCTCAGTTTGGGGTAAAGGGAACGTCATGCGGTCGCTTGTGGGGATGCTGATTCGTGCTTGTGTTTTGTTTAGAGCGGATTATTTATACTCCCTCGCCATGTCACGATGGAAATGATGTCACCGTTTGTTTAAGAATCCTTTGTAAAGTGAAAGACCACATCAAGGGAACGTTGGGGATCATGTATTGCTCGCCAACACCTAGGATTGGGCCCTTTAATAGATGTAATTAACTTCTTCGAAACTCTGACCTGCATTAATGGGTATTATTCGATTCTTCTCACGTGCTCTTCTTTGGTCTGTGGCGTTACCAGTGTTTTGTGTTAGCTAAAGCCGTGACCATGGTCTGTATCGAACCTATTTGCTATTCCCTGCGGAAATCATCACTTGTTGATCAAGACAGAATGTGATCCCGTGCCCACGTGCTGTAGAACCGTAACACAATGTTTCCGTAAGGAGAATCTGAATGTTTGCGATTACACGCGCAATCAGGACGCTATCCTCTATGCTGGTCGGGGTCCCAAACGTCGCCTCATAATCTGCTCGCAGAGGATCTCCAGTCCTTGCTTTGCGACAGGTGCGTCCATGTACATCCACGGTTCGATGAATTCCGCCTCCATCAGGACAAAGGCGCCATCGTCCCTGATCACGCCGTCAATGCGCGCATACAACGGCGGGTCGTCGCCTGATCGTTCAAGCTTCCTGTCCACGTGTCTCCATATCCGTTTCGCAATCCGCGACGCGTTTTCGTTAACTTGGTCCGCTTGCAGAAACTCTTCGGCACCCCCGAGCTCGGCTTGGCTTCGAAAGTCATCCTTCCGGGGAATCTTCCTGACGGCGTGCGAGATCACGCCGTCGACCATCACAATCGACAGCTCGCCGGACGTCGTGATCTCCGGCACATACTCCTGGATCATGAGCTTGGCGTCGTCGCCGAGGCCCTTGATGTCGTTGAACGAGCTAATGGCCGCTTCGTCGGCCTCGCTGAGGGTCTGCGCGTCCCGAATCAGATACGTCGAGAACGAGGAGGCCGATATTGACGGCTTCAGAACCACGGGGGTTTTGCTCTTCCTAAGCTGGAGCACATGATTAATTGCAGTTGCTGGGGCAGGGAGGGGCAGATACGTGGTCTCGATCACGGGAATCCCGGCCGTTTGCAGCTCGGGCAGATACTTGGCCTTGTCCATGTTCCACAGGACGACGGTCAGCGGGTTGTAAATCCTCGTCTGTCCTGAAAGCGAGCGAAGCTCCGACACGAGCGAGCCCACTCGGCTGAGGTGGAGGTGGTAATCCCACAAGCGAAGGAAAAGTATGTGCGAGTACGCCTTGAGGTTCACTGGCTGGTCCCATTCAAGAATGGAGCGAGCCGAGACCTCGACGCCGCATTGTTGTAGACGGACAGCTACAGGATCCTGAAGAACCTTCGCATTTCCTTCGTCCGACGGTTCCGCGGTCAGGAAAAGAACACGTCGAGTCGACGCGACGGAGGGCATCAGGCTTGACTGCACCATAGCTTGTCTTTGGAATACTTTGTGCGAAGGGAACAAAGAAAAGGGCGCGGTGCTCTAAGATGCAAGAGCAATCGAGCACGAAAACGACGTCTTGTATCTGTATTTTTGGGGGATTTTTGCTGACGTCTACCTTCCAGAAGCTCATTGTGCGCCTTTCAACACGAGACTGTTCCTTTGGAGGTCTAGTGGGCAGCTCCAAAAACTTACGAACATTGTGTCCCGTATCGTGGACGCAGAACAGACGGAATTGGGGGTCTCCTTTGTAGCGATGGGCAGCTCAGTTTTTGAACGCGGGCCACGTCTCACCAAGACTCCACAGTGTCTCGTCCGCGCGAGGTCGAGAGAGCGCAGATGGTTGAATTTCTGCTCATCGCCTATTGTAGCTATATTTAGATCGGCCATGTTTTGCCAAGCGACCGGTCAAGCATTCTTTCTGCCGTGGAGAGAACAAACGGGTGCAGTAGTGCTGGTAGGCGTATTAAGCCACCGATGTGCTAATTTCCTCTCGATTCTGCCGTTCGCTTCGAAGCAATCACGACATTCGAATCCGACTCTTTCTCGATCCGTGGACCCGGCTGAGCTGGTTCTTCACACGAAACATTCGTTGTCGGCAAGCAAACCTCTCCACGCAAGGGAGATTCCAGCGCGGATATCTCGATAAGGCTGAGAAGACAAATCCCACCCAGAGCTCTCCACTCGGCTGTCAGCCCCCGATTTCGTCGAGAAGAGGGAGAAAATACGACCTCCGAGTCGCTGCACTCCTGGGGCGCGCAGGAGTCGTTTCCTGCACGTCCATTGTTGTATGCTTTGGGCTGATTTTGGATCTTGTCCTCTGTCTGCGCCACGCTTTCTAGTTCAGTTTGTACTTGCGCTGGTTCCTCGACGTTGTCGTCTTCGCGGGAAAGGCTTGTATGTCAATCATGGTATAGCTTTGCGCAGTTCTTCCTACACTTTTGAGGCCGCTGCCTTGCTAGCATGACCATTCCCGGTCTTGTTCTGAACCCGTCCATTTCGTTGCCCGTTATTTCGCGGCGATGGCGAATTTACCTCCGTCTTTACAAGCGGGCACGCCTGTAAGTGAACGAGGCTTCGCATCGTTTCAATGGTATCCAAGCACCTCAACTCCAAGTGTCGACTCCTCGTACCAAAGAGCAGAGGTTGAGACCAGGCGACGCGAATCCACAGTCTCCATTGGGAGTATACGGACGACACGCCAATACTCTTACGGAGACGAAAGCGCATACACACCCGACGAAGATCTTTTGCCTCTCCGCAACATCTCACAAACGCATTCGCCCACATATTTCTCGCTGAATACCAGATATGAGCCCGTAACGAACCCGTTTGATGCGACAGGCGCTACGGCCCAAAAGCCTGCGCGCAAGCAGAGTTTGCTCAGCAAGATAGGGTCAATTCGCTCGGCCAGACGATCTCGATATGGATCTGTCGACTCAGAGGACCCCGAACATGGCCTCAGCAGAGCTACTCGGCACCAGAGGCTCGCAAGCGTGGACGAAGAAGACGCCGGTTTAGAGTACGGGATCGATCTCTCCACCCTGGAAAGCCCTTTAGAAACAAAAAAAACAACGCAGATCTTTTCACGTCATAGACGAATGTCGCGTTTCGGCAGCGAGGAGATTGCGCCAGAGCAGCTCGCGGTGGCGCTAGGCAGTGGTCTAGACAACGTCAGCACAAGGTACTTTGACTCAAGCAAGGATCGCTCCGTGACAGATCTCAGCGCGCGCAACAATGCGCAGATCTTAGCGGACAAGAGCGGAGAGATTTTGGCTGTACAGGAACGACATTCAAGCGTGTCATCTGATATCACGGCCTTAAGTGGCGGTTTCAATGCGCGAAGAAGTTCAGCAAAGAACTCATCGAGCACATTTGGCAAGACAAGCTACTTCTTCCCGACGGATCCTGTGCAGCCCAATTGGAGGCCCGTAACGATGCACTGGGCGTACATTCTCATGCTTGTGATCGTCGCCGTCGTTCTGGCAGGCGTGCAAGAATACTTGTGCCAAGTTTCACTCAAGAGGCAAGAGCATAACGGTGGGCTATTAAAGTTCAAGAAGCCCCAGGATCTGACGCTGATGGAGTATTTCTCGTGGAAGTACATGCCAACCATTGTCCTCCTGACGTACGGTATCATGTGGATGGTGGTAGACTTCGAATGTAAGCGCTTAGAACCGTTTTACCAGCTGTCGAGGAAAGGAGGTGCCACGGCCAGAGATTCGTTGAATCTCGACTACATCACCTTCCTGTCGTACTTTGTGCCGATCAAAGCGCTTAGATCGCGACAGACGGCAGTCATGCTTTCGTCAATGGCCACCCTACTTGCCGGCTCTGTCACCCCAATCTTACAATCGGCAAGTGTCGTCATGGAGCCAAAGCCGCAAAGTCGGCAAGATGGCGAGTTCAAGTTTGTCCGGATCGATCCAAGGTGGTCCCGAGCCGTGACTGTTACGTTGTGCCTTGTAGCTGTCCAAGGCATTGTTCTGCTTGAACAGCTGAGGCGGCGCAAGAGCGGTCTTCTATCGGACCCGAAAGGCATTGCTGGCATCGCATCCATGGCCACAAAGTCGCACATTCTCAACGATTTCAAAGGATTGGACAGAGCATCAAATCAGGCCATCCACGATCGACTCAGGACGCGACGTTATAACCTGCACAAGTCATCCCTCTGGCAAGGTGAGTATATCAAAACTTCGGAGACGGCGCAGGAGAAGATCAAGGAGGAAAATCCTCATCCGATTCTCCTGCGACTGCACGCCGGCATTCCTTTCATCGCTTACATGGTCTGCCTCGGAATCCTGATCCCGGTCTTCATGTTCGTCAGGAACGCGAACCGAGTCACGGAGAAACTGCCGTGGCTGATGACAGCCCTTGCCACTATCGTCAAGCTGCTTTGGGGCTGCTTGGACATGAATCTGCGCGTCATAGAGCCGTACTACATTCTCAGTCGGGGCAAGGCTCCGCCAAAGACGTTGACCATGGATTATACCGGCACGGTGCCAGGTTGGCTAACCGTCAAAGCGGCTATGAATGGCCAGTACCTCACGGCCCTGGTGGGATGGGGTGCGATCCTCGCCGAAGTCCTCACAGTCTGCGTTACGTCCTTCAGCGTCGACGGCCTCAAGTTCATCTCCGGCGACGGTGGTAGTCCCAATGACGATGACAGTAACGATCGATATAATACAGACCAGACATTTCGATCCTTCTGGGTAAGCTTTGCTCTGGCGCTGGGCATCCTGATCTATCTTATCACTGTCGCCATCATCGTCTACATGAAACGGTCGCACAAATTCCTGCCTCGGCAACCTGGTACGATTGCCGGTGTCCTGGCGTATATCCACCAGAGTCAAATGCTACTTGACTTCGTAGATACTGAGGAGCTAAACAGCACGCAAATGACCAAGCATCTGGAGGCAAAGGGAAAGACGTATGGGCTGGGTTGGTTCACGGGAAGGGATGGTGAGGATCACTGTGGCGTAGATCAAGAGCCGCTGAGAGCGAAGTACAAGTTCGGCGTGGATTGGTCGCAGACGCATGTCTCTGGCGCGCAGATTGGTACATGGGAGCATTATTAGCATCGCAGGTTCCGCTCATTTGTAAATATCGTTCGCGTCTGCGTTAATTTCGTCGCTAGAGATACCCCTCGAGCATGACGCGACAATCCAATGAATTTATTTACTGCACATCCTGCACGCTTCGCTTCTTCCGGGTCCAACAAGAGCCGGGAATGCAGTAGATTAGAGTGATGGCTCAAGCCTGAAAGCAAGTCTACTTGCTTCTGATGTGACAAGTAGAGCACGCTCTTCTGGTGCCTCTTTCGTCGAAATCTGTCTCATGTGCTCTTCTCCTCTGCCCCATGAGATTACCCGTGGAAAGTCTGCAGTCTGCTTAGCAAGCATTTACTGCCGTAGTACCTGCACTGATTCTATGTGAGGCCTCAGATGATTTGAGGGAAACAACACTTGTGTCCTCAGGCACCAATGTACGCTTGACCTGACGAGTGCAATATTTTTGATTCGATGAGGCAGATCTAGTATCGAAGACTATAGTTACAGCAAACAATTTGAAAATGCGAATGACGCAGTGCCACAATATACTGAAGAAGCCTGCCATGTACCGCATAGTAGAGAAATCCTCGGTCTGATCGTTAGTCTTGTTTACTTGATCTGCACACTGCTCGAAGTAAGCGACGTTCAAAGCAGCCTCTTCGAGTCATGGCACTTGAGATCCCAGGCGACATCAAGTTGCACGAGCGCTTCATGCGTGAAGCTCTTGATCTAGTTAGTCGAAATCATATCATGAAAAGTTTTCTTTTCCGCTGACAAGATTCACTGGCATGAAGGCGGAGCATGCTCTTGCGGTGGATGAAACGCCTGTGGGATGTGTTTTCGTTCACAATGGCGTTGTAATCGGTCGTGGGATGAACGATACAAATAAAAGCATGAATGTGAGTTCACGTTGTCTTCCACCGCATACCAATACCAAAGCTCCCTCCTTACACATCGACAGGGAACACGCCACGCCGAATTCATGGCAATGTCCCAGATCCTGCAAGCTCACCCTGCATCCATCTTGCATGAGACCGATCTCTACGTGACAGTTGAGCCTTGCGTGATGTGTGCGTCGATGCTTCGTCAATTTGGAATCCGCGCCGTTTACTTTGGCTGTTACAACGAGCGGTTTGGTGGTACAGGCGGTGTTCTTACCATCCACAAGGATAGAAGCGTTGACCCCCCGTATCCCGTTTATGGAGGCATCTTCCGAGAGGAGGCGATCATGATGTTAAGGAGGTTCTATGTGCAAGAGAACAAAAAGGCTCCAGAGCCGAAACAGAAGAAAGAGCGCGTTCTGAAGACGGAGATTCTGCCGTTGGACGTAGACAAAAAGTCTTCATGTGCACAGTGATCAATTGCCATCCGTTGAATTACAGAACACCATCTGGTTCTCCCTTCAGACGTTCTACTCTTTTTTGCTCCCAATTGTCGAGGTCTTTGGCGGCCAATCTCTGCTCCCAAGTTAGCCTAGTCTACAGCTTCTGACCGGAGCGTACGGACGTAGTATTCCTCCTTCATATCTACTTTTCGCTTGTTTTTACCGACATTTAGTGCCTCCTCTTGACTGACGTATTTGATTTTGTTGTCGTGCTTCTCGTAACGCAACGCGGTCGCTGGCGTGAGGAAGAAACTACCTGCAACCATGATGCTGATGAAGGGAAACCCGAACAACCAAAATGGATACTTGTTTACGAGTTTACGGTACTTCGAGCCGTAAAGCTCCTTGCTAAAGCTTTTCGATTGGAATACTGCCATGTTGGGCAACGAAGCGTAAGTTGATTGTCAATGCGAAGGTAGATGGCGCCGAATCCAGTCCAAATGAACGGATTCCGTCACCTGACTTGGCGTCGCTTGCTTGAACATGAAAACACGCTTATCCGCGTCGACACACTACCTGACATTCCACCCATCAGGTGCATTCTACGAGTGGGACTTTATTTGCTCCAATGAGCAGCGTATGGCATCTCGTTCACGAAATTTGCGTTCAACGCAAAATGGTCAGTCCGGGAGTATGCAATCCACAAACGGGAACTACCTACCGCCATCTACCATAGCTGCTCAGATTGTCCACAATCGATCAACAGTCGCTCGTTCGGAGCCCGAGAACAAGGCATTGTTCGGAAAGCTATTGCAAGAATATTTAAGGGATCCTATAGTCGAGGATTCAAGTATCGAGACTCATGCCCAACTAGTTCAAGTTGTAGCCGAAGCTGGTCTCGATGTCTTACTTTCAGACGATCCTTTTGCACTTGACAGTCTGGTACAACAAGCTAGAGATAGCTTGTTAGTGATCAGGCTGACAATAATTCGCAAGCCGGATGTGCTTTTCTACAAGGGTGAAGGTGAAGAAGAAAGGCCACCGCTACTACTATGGCTCCTCGCAAAGATTTTGAATCTGAGCGGCCGTCGTACCCTGTCATTGATTCAGATGGACCTGAGAGAACTGCTTCAATCCATTTTTGCTGTTTTATCTACGAAGAATCGCACATTGTCTTGTTCTTTCGACTTCAAAATGTTGCTCACGGATGTTGTTGAAGGTATACATATTGACATCATTCGTCGAACACGCTAACAGATTCATAGACTTATTGAATACTCTCGAGAGGAGGCAATACGAGGACGACTCTGACAAGCCGCCGATACGCGCTGTGGTTCCCTCGCCAAATGCAATGACGAGACTGTGGACACCTGCGGGTAGTTTATTGGTTCTTCCGACAGGATACCAGGCCGTCATTCGAGATCCGATCCAAGCGCAGGTCCTCATAATGGATATTGTCGCCGTTTTATCTCATTGCAGTACCGGGCATTCAAGCGATTCATTTATGTCCAATTCTGATGAAACCCTGCAATTCGACTGTTGTCACCGGATCTTGGATTTTTGCGCAACTGCCCCGAGTACAACAAATGAAGACCATGATCGCGTTTTCGATTCCGTTGCCAGTTTTCTTCTTTCAAAAATTCAGAAGCGATGCCCGAGGCGTAAAATTCACCCAGCTGTTGATCTTCTTGTGCACCTGTTGGATCACTTACGACCACAACGTTATCCTAACTTTTCAAAAACTGTATTAGAGGCCATTGAGCAATTGCTACAACGTTGTTCCTCGCAACCAAATCACGCTGGACTTTTGCAGCGCAATCTTCTCCCTGTTCTCCAGCATATCGCTCATGATTTCAGCCAGGATGTCGATGACGAATTCTCTGCGCATGTTGCTGGTATTATCGCACGATTAACGAAAACCACCGCCTATCTTGACGGAAGTTCACCACCTACAAAGAAACTGAGACTATCAACCATCAGATCAGATATATATGAGGACTATCGAAAGGGTATAGCAAAAGAGATCAACAACCTACTTTTTGACATTCACGAGACAGATTTTCCAATACTAGACGAGAATGCTTTACAACGACTGCGGGAATTTGATGATGCCAAACGCGCTACGATTATTGGCTGTCTAGGAAGACTTGCTTGTGCCTCTGCAGGGTCTTCCGCTCTGGAGCTTGATGGCTCAGCCAGCAGTCGTTGTAAGATTTGCGACAGCATGGCTGCTCCTGCTGAAAGAGCTGGTGTGGACGCTAAGATAACAAAGAGAGCCGAAGAATCAAGCATTCATCTTCTATCCTTCATGGCCTTATGTATTGAAGATAGCAGCCTATGCCGCTCCAAGATATTTCGAGTAGCCGTTGCCAATTCAATTCGTCAAATATCCAATCATCTGGATGACTCAGAATGTTCTGTGCTGAGCTGGAAAGGCATCGGACCCTGGCTCATGCGTTCTTTGCAAAGTTCTGTACGAGAGCTTCGCATTGCATCAGCTGAGGCCTTGGTGGCTTACTCGCGGGAAAGCTTATCAGAACCTGTACGAAGTCGAAACAGATTGGACACGTTGGATTTCTTCAAGTGTCTCGCTGATAAAAACAATTTGACTGATCAAGAAACCCTCACATTTGCATGGGGATTGATTGGCAGGACGTGCGGCGATGCGGAGCTAAACTTGGCTTTGATACAGCTGGTAGACTATCTTGGACATTCGCACTCCTTGGTTTCCGGTGCTGCTTACCAGGAACTATTACAGCTTGCTGATTCCCGAGAATGCTCACCATCTGAGCTTCTAAGACCGTACTGGAGCAGCCTGGCGATGCACGTCGTCAAAGACATCTACGCTTGCCCACAGAAAGTCCAGCAATTGTCCGAGCTCCTTGGCATAACTGTCAACGAATTGCTTATACAGACACAAGCGGACACAGTACCATTCTTGGTTCTCACACGAAAGAAGGATGTTTTGCTGCGCATTGCTCAAGCCCGCGGACCTTCCATAAATGTACAAGACTTATGGCTGCAGCCATCCAAAAATCTCGCTGCAGTGCTTGCCTTACTTCTTATTCAGCCTTCAGAGGATCCCGAACAAGCTGCGATTGCTCTACTCAAAGATGCGTCTCCTGCTTTTGCTGAGGAAGATCTCTCCGCACTCGTGAAGGCTGAATCGATCCCAATTGCATGTGAGATACTTAAACATGCTGCGGACCTTCCTGACGTAAGAAAACCGCAAGCACATCAAGGCATGCGCCTCCTGGCGTGCATAAATGAGAAGAAGTCTACGAGCAGATCTTCCAGCAAGTCAGGCAAACATCTCTCCGCATTCCTTGATGCGCATATTCTTGGGATCATGTCCCACTTTACCGATATCATAGACGCACCACTTCAGAGACAGCCCATGGTGGAAAAACATCGAGCACTCCGCGCTGTCCAGCAGCTAATCATTCTTGGGGATGTGCAAGTAAGCATTGTAATTCCTCAAATTCGTGCGACCCTACAGTCCGCGTCAAAAATTCCGGCCCTGGTTGACCAAGCATTTCTTACGTGGGCTGCCCTGGTAGCCGCAGCAGGTGAAGATGAAATCGAGCTACTCATCGACCAAACGTTCGCCATGATTGCTCATCACTGGAATGGTTACACGTCGAGCACACAGCGTCGGGCCTATGACACAATCGCAGGTCTCCTGAAGAACCATAACGCAATGGTCAGAGATCGAATACAAATGCTACCTTCACTCGCCGGTATTGAGATGCTCAGCAAATTTGAAAGCGAGATAGCTAGGCTTAAGGCGACTTTGGACCCGATTTTGCATTTCGAAGCCTATGCCCAACGTTGCAGTGATGAAAATTCCATAATTGTATTACGAGCTTTGGTCGACCTCGGACCATTTCTGGAGCAACATCAGAAAATCATTCATGAGTCTGCAGTCAGTCAGCAGCCGTCACCCGTGATTGCTCGACTATCAAGGGCGCTATTAGACGCTGTCGTACGTTTCAAAGAGAGTGATTCGACAATCCCTGAGCTTGCAGCTAAATGCTTGGGTGCAATTGGCAGTATAGATCCGAACAAAGTTGATCATATGAGAGAAAGACATGAGCTTTTGATGTTATCAAACTTTGGGAAAGCGAGCGAAGTTGTCGATTTCGTAGCTGTAATGCTTGAGAGAGTTATCGTCGATGCTTTCCATTCTGCACCCACAGGGAGGGCCCAAACATACCTGGCATACACAATGCAGGAATTGCTCAAGTTCTGTGACTTTAGAACTGCTGTTTACAGGCCCAGGTCCTCTCAATCCGGACCAAAATTTCAACGCTGGATGCAAATTCCCGAATCAGTTCGGAGCACGCTTACGCCTTTCTTCAACACAAAATATGTTCTGGTCCATCCATCGTTACCTGGAGATCACGATTCTTTTCCGATTCTTAAACCCGGCATGGTACACGGAACCTGGCTTCGAACCTTCGTTTTCAGCCTTTTGCACAAGGGCACCACGGAAAATGCTCAAATGGTGTTTCCGGTATTATCCCGCATCATTTGGGGACATGACATATCCATTCCTACATTCCTACTACCGTTTGTGGTTCTGAATGTTGTGGTTGGCGGAAATGATGATGACGTTCGTGCCATCAATGCTGAGTTCCTACGAGTATTATCTATCGACATTGACGCAATAGATGCTTCATCTGCGGAGGAAGTCAAACATTGTAGTGAGGTACGTTGGGAAGTCTCCTAATCTGAGATATATACTGAATATAGTCAGAATATCTTTCAAGTCCTCGACTATCTATCACGGTGGCTTCAGGTGAAGAAGAAGTTGCTGGGCGAATTTGGTGGTGGTAGATCCGTGCAAGTTCCGAATGATTACGATGAGGTAACGGAGACCTCACATATCAGCAGTGTTGAAGCTGTATTGTCATCTATACCAGCAGATGTGATTTCTCAGCGTGCCGTCCACTGCCGCTCTTTTGCCCGGGCGTTGTTCCATTGGGAGCAGCACATTCGTCAACTTGCGGATAAGGCCGCGCTAAAACGAGAAGATATTGAATTGGATCAGCAACTCAGACATCTGCAGCATATATATGCACAGATAGATGAACCAGATGCTGTTGAAGGCATGTCAACGAGACTGCAAATTCTTGATCCCGAGCAGCAAATACTTGAACACAAGCGAGCGGGTAGATGGACAACGGCGCAAACGTGGTTCGAGCTATCGCTAATTGAGAGACCTAACGACCGTGGACTGCAAATGGAGCTGCTCTCTTGTCTGAGATCGTCGAATCGTTATGGTACGAACATGTGGGACGCTTAGTCGTACTTTCACTGACTATTTTGGCAGGCTCACTCCTCGACACGGCACAAAGACTTACTGTTGAGCATCCTGATTCCATAGCCCAAGTACTGCCATTCGCAGTTGAAGCAGCATGGACAACCGGCAAGTGGGAATCGCTCGAGCGTTTCCTAAGCTCAGATGCCGCTAAAGATGTCAGAGACTTCAATACAGAAGTTGGAAGGCTCTTCTTGTGTCTCCTCAAGAAGGATGTATCTGGATTTGAGCGCCTATTGTCGACACTGCGAGCTTCTATTGCCTCTGCCTTTTCTCTCTCCACAACCTCTTCTCTTGGCACAGCACACACACACACTATAAAACTCCACGCTCTTTATGAACTTGAGCAAATAGGTGCACTCAAAGACCGAGTGATCACACCTGATCAGCTTGTCGATCGTCTAAGCAAGCGGCTCGATATTCTGGGTGCGTATACCGCTGATAAGCAGTACCTTTTGGGCATTCGAAGAGCCGCTATGCAACTCTCTGCGTAAGTTCTGATATCACGTCTTGATGCTTTCTTTCTCACACGTGTAGCATGGGCTTCTCAAAACAGCAAATTGGCGCGAATTGGCTTACGTCGGCGCGTTTGTCTCGCAAAGCTGGATTAAGGGATGCTGCCTATGATGCTGTTCTACATTCAACAAATTTGCACGACGGCGCAGCAATGATCGAGCACTCCCGCCTGCTGTGGCAGGATGGCCACCATCGAAAAGCTATACAAAACCTTCAAAGTGCCATCGAATCGAACGTTTTTCAGTCTTACACTACCAGTATGATCGACGATCAATCTCTTACGACCGACGAAGGTCATTCAAATAAAAATCAGAATTTCCTAGTCGCGAAAACACAGCTTCTTCTCGCCAAATGGATGGATCGTTCTGGGCACAGTAAGTCAGAAGAACTGCGGGCTCACTTTCTCCAGGCGTGCAAATCCTTTAGTAGATGGGAGAAGGGCCACTACTATATGGGCAAGCATTATCTCAAAATCCTCGAATCTGAGAAGGCATTGCCACGAGCAAAACAGACCGATATCTATCTTACTGGTGATGTTCAGAAATTGGTCATCGAGAACTTCATGCGTTCAATGGTCTTTGGTGCCAAATACTATTACGAGACCGTGCCAAAGATGTTGACCTTGTGGCTTGACCTTGCTGCTGACATCTACAACGCCGAGCGAAACCCACGAACCCTTGATCAACAATATCACTCCCTGCGGGTCAGAAAGCTTGAGGTCGTTCACAAGCAAGTGAAAAAGTATGTTGATAGGTTGCCTTCTTACGTCTTCTATACGGCGCTTCCACAAGTTACCAGCAGGATTAACCATCCGCATGCGAAAGCGAATGAGATTCTTTTGCATCTGATTCATAAGGTTATTAGCATACATCCTCAACAATCGCTTTGGAGCATTTTAGCCGTCGCTAAGTCAAGAGCAAGTGACAAGTCCAGCAAAGCGGGGTTGGTCCTTCAGCAACTCCGACGGACGAGATCTGAGACTTCTGCCGTCGATGTCAAGCTTCTGATCGCTCACGGAGAAAAACTTACAAATGCTCTTCTGGCAGCATGTGAAGTAACTGTCGAGTCAAGATCTTCTCGAGCCAGTCTTTCTCGAGATCTGGGCTTCAATCACAAGCTCGCACCATGTCAGCTTGTTGTGCCAGTTGAAAAGGCCTTGTCAGCAAATCTTCCGACAGGCATTGGTGGACCATGCGTGAGGAACCATAAGGCGTTTCCCCGGAATCCCATTACTATCTCGTCTTTCCTGGACGACGTTTTAGTGTTAAGCTCACTTCAGCGGCCAAAAAAGCTGACAATGCGAGGCTCTGATGGTGTGAATTACGGTTTGCTCTGCAAACCAAAAGATGACCTTCGAAAGGATCAACGCTTGATGGAGTTCACAACCATGATTGACCGTGGTTTGAAACGCGATGTAGAGTCAAGCAAGCGTCGACTGTATATCCACACATACGCCGTAACACCACTGAACGAAGAGTGCGGTGCGATTGAATGGGTTGATGGTTTGAAGCCAATGCGCGACATTATCCTCGCAAACTACAAAACGAAAGGCCTACGGCCAGATTATGGTGAGCTTCGCCAATTGCTAGATCGCGCATGCGCAGATCCAGAAAAGGGCTCTTGGAAGATCTTTCCAGAACAAATTGTTCCCAAATTTCCGGCAGTCTTGCATGAATGGTTCATTGACACATTTCCTGAACCTGATTCATGGTTTACAGCGCGCCTTCGCTATACTAGGTCTTGCGCCGTCATGTCTATGGTCGGTAATGCTTTAGGCTTAGGTGATCGCCATGGGGAGAACATTTTACTAGAGGAAGGGAATGGAGGATGCTTCCACGTCGACTTCAATTGTCTTTTCGACAAAGGACTGACTTTTGAGAAGCCTGAACTTGTTCCTTTCCGTTTGACGCATAACATGATTGATGCGTTTGGAGTCTACGGTTACGAAGGTCCCTTCCGAGTCGCATCAGAGCTCACATTAAAGATACTGAAGCAGTACGAGGACACTCTCATGACCATTATGGAGACGTTCGTCTATGATCCAACCACGGATTTCATTTCCAAACCAAAGAAGAGGGTTGTGGGTGTACCAGAGACACCGGCTGAAGTGCTAGAAAGTGTCAAAGCGAAGATAAACAGGCTTCTACCAGGCGAAACCGTTCCTTTGAGTGTTGATGGATATGCAGACGCACTCATAAGAATGGCTACTGATCCAAAACGCTTGGCAGGAATGTACATTGGCTGGTGTGCTTTCTTCTGAGACCATTTATGATCAGCTCCGAAAGCATTTTACAAGTGATAGTGATTATCCGTTGTATCATCTGAATAAATGACGTAAAATTTGAAAATAGCTTACTTCAGCGGAGCAGTTTCAAATGTTATAACCGGATTTCAAACCTCGAAGTGAGCTTTGTGTCTTGGCCACGTGATGTTACAGTGACTTACGGTGCCACTTCTGAAAGTTTGCAGTGAATTTCAACCACCATCTCCAACGACTTCGCAGGCAACCAGGTTTTAGCGCCTTATTTTCCCGTGGGCTAGCCTTTTTACGAGTCTACTTTCAAGTTTCAAAGCCGAAAATTGTTGAGGGGTTGGGTCGTTCACAAATAAGCCGAAAATTCAACATACTTGACACAAACTCAACTGCGAAGAACAACCCATTAAATTGTGCGCGTCGCCTTCTGATAAACTAAACATCTACCGAAATTCACTATGGAGGTACCGGTAGCCACCTCGCTAAATGACATATACCCAAGTGATGCCGTAGAGCCACAGACTGCGCGTTGGGAAAACCTGTTGGCCTCGTTCAAGAAGGAATATGGGCATGCTGCAGACTTTGTATCGCGAAGTCCTGGGAGAGTTAACTTGATCGGTGAGGTAAATTTACGCACCTAGTGAAACGTGTTTGTGCGGCTAATACGTGGGCCAAGCATATCGATTACTCGCTGTACGAGGTCTTACCCATGGCCGTTACGGTCGACATCCTGCTCGCCGTCAAGGTCACGAGGACGGAAGGCGTGTCGAAGATCGCCATCGCGAACGTCAACGAAAAATTTCCGAAGCGGGAGTTCGAGGTGCCGGCCGACGGCGACGTCGAGATCGACGCTTCGTCGCTGGAATGGAGCAACTACTTCAAGGCCGGCCTCAAGGGCGCCGCCGGCTTGCTCCGCAAGAAATACGGGAGCTACGTGCCCGTCAATCTGGAGATACTGGCCGACGGTACCGTTCCTGCCGGAGGCGGCCTCTCTAGCAGTGCAGCGTTCTGCTGTGCAAGCACACTTGCTGTCCTCCGAGCCACGGGAGAGAAGACCATTGGCAAGAAGGAGCTTACGGAGCTTGCCATTGTGTCTGAGCGAGCAGTCGGTGTCAATTCTGGCGGGTAAGTATCTGTTTTCTTTGCTCTCTCCTCCCCTCTTTCAAACCGTTGACATCAACTGAATGACGAGAAATGCAGCATGGACCAGTCTGCCTCTGTATTCGGGCAGCGCGGAAGCGCTCTCTACGTCTCGTTCACACCAACGTTGAAAGCTACACCAGTCAGCTTTCCCGACGTGCAACCGGAGATGACCTTCGTTGTTGCGCAGAGCTTCGTCCAGGCCGACAAGCACACGACCGGCCCGATCCATTACAACCTGCGCGTGGTAGAGTGCAGCCTTGCCGCCGTGGTCTTGGCCAAGATCTTCCGCCTTGCAGACTTGCCGAAGGATTCGTCACCCCTTGGCGTCAGCCTGCGAAGCTTTCAGGACGCCTTCTTCAAGCAGCGGGGCTCGATCTCAGGCGAGTCCAAGGACGCGTCCGACTTTGCCGGTCAGCTCGAAGATCTTTCAAGACTTGTCGAAGACTATCTGCTACAGGAAGAAGGCTACACACGGGACCAGCTGGCTGAGATTCTAGGCGTCCCTGTCGAGGAGATTGAAGGGCGTTTCATGTCCAAGTTTCCCGTGCGAGCTGAACGATTCATGCTGCGTCAACGAGCCTTGCATGTATTCCGAGAAGCGACTCGCGTCGCCAAATTCAAAGCGCTACTGGACAACCCTCCAGCGGAGGGTTTGCTCAAGGATCTGGGCGCTTTGATGAACGAAACCCAGGACAGTTGCAGGGACATTTACGACTGCAGCTGTCCTGAGCTCGATGAAATGTGCCGCCTCGCGCGCGCGGCAGGGAGCTACGGTTCACGTCTGACGGGTGCTGGCTGGGGAGGATGCAGCGTTCATCTGGTGCCCAAAGACAAGGTGGAAGCGGTTAAACAGGCTTGGATTGAGAAGTACTACAAGAAAAGATGGCCGGACATCTCGGACGAGAAGCTGAAGGACGCAATCGTAGTGAGCAAGCCAAGTAGCGGCAGCTTTCTGTTCCAGGTGACCGGAGATAAAGTCGTGTGAGCATTCGCTCCCAGGTGGAACAGGCATGCCGAAAAAACGTGTCGATAGTTACAATTGACCACAACCCAGCTGTGCAGTCGAGTGTTCGTTGAATGGAGATGAGCAATAAAAAAGTATGATAAATACATGCGCGCAAAACGTCTTGAACAGCTTCCAAGACGGCTGCTTCCACAAAGCTGCACACCGCGTTCCTGGAAGCGTGCCCTTCCCTCTGGCAAAACATCATCTCTTCAGCCAACACTTGTCGTAACCTCCGCTCCGGTTACGCCTGCCCAATAATCCGAACAGACTGCGCATAAGGCTGCAGCAAAGTCTGAAAAGAAGAAGAAGAAGCAAAATCGAAAAAGACATTAGCGAGGCAAGTCGCGCCGACGCAACGCTGGAGCAGGCTTAAGACGCCCGTCCGTGCCCGGTCACGAAAGCCTTCTACGGTACCTCAATGTGGCCCTGATCATGCATGCCCAGACGCCCAACCCGCATATAATTCTCCCAGCCCGATAAAAAAAGGAAGAGTGAAGTAAAGCACGTGAAAGGAGGACAAAATTGAAAGGAAAGGGAGAGGGAAGGTTGGATCCTCCGCTCCACGAAGTGAGCAATCCCTCTCCCCAAGATACTGCTCAGCCGCGTCGGACCACTCACGTGCGGCAAGACAACGGACGTCACGCCTCCACACGTGCTTTTGGGGCGACGAATCTCGTGGGGTCAGATGCGTCGAGGGAAAGCGCGAGGCGCGAGAGACCGGGCAAACGCGTCAGGCGCCGTTGATGATTTTGAGAGCCTCTTTGGCGTAGGGGAGCAGGACGAGCTTTTCGGCGTAGCCGAGACACATCGGGATGCCGAAGATGTCGGTGCCGCAGCCGTCGGCGTCGCAGCCGCGGAGGAGGTGGCGGAGGTGCGGAGGCGTGAACGTGTTCAGCTCCTCGAGCGTCAGCTGGATCCGCCTCTTGGGTTTCTCGGTCTGCGACGACATGCGGGTGCGAACGTGGGGAGGCACGTACTTTCCCGGCTCGGCGCACGCGGCTTGGTCGTCGGTCGTGTTGAGGAGACGGTCAGTAGTATGCTGGGTGGCACCAGCGGCTGCTTGGTCCCATGCCCGAGAATGCGACTTCTGCTGGGCCTGAGGGTGGGACACGACTTTGAATTGCTTTTGTTAGCTATGGTTCTTGGTACGGATCCCGGTGCGTGGACTCACCGATTCCTTTCGAAGGATCGGCCGGCACGATCCCCCGGAGCACTTCCTCGTCGATCGAAGGCTCTGGGAGAGCCCAGTGTTGGATCCCTCTGACGGGGCTGAGGCCTGGTCGATAGATGATGCCGACGGTGTTGGGCTGGCCGATCTGCATCTTGCCGTTCGGCATGACAACGGCGCCGTCTGGAAAGATAGTCTGGCCGTTACGATGTATGAGCGTAAGATTCTTGTCGATCATCAGGCCGCTCGGTGCAACGAAGACGCCGTTGTTCTTGCGCTCCCAGTGATCTCCGTACACGATCGTGCCGTCAAGGCGTCTCCACGGCTCCTTGATGATCCACTCGCGAGCGTTGCTCCTGTCATTTTGGGGACAGATTATGACCCCGTTGTAGGTCATGTAGTTGCCGTTGTTGAGCAAGATGGAGGTCTCATCGCTGGCCTTGACCGTGTCCATTAGGAAGGGTCGCGCTTCTTGCGGTGCTTTGGCCATGACGTCCGCAAAGGTCTCTAGGTCTCCAAGTTTGCGAGACTGAAATCCTTCGTGACGTTCTGAGCTGGTGGCTGGCTTAGGTTTGGACATCGTAATCGATCTCGGCCTGAGTTTGACGACGAAAATGTGACTTGATCAACACGGAAAGCAAAGATGCCTTCGGCGCAGCTGAACAAACGTACCGACAAGCAACAGGGAAGAGAAAGGATTTTGCAGAGGAAGGAACTCGAAGTGAGAGGGTTTTGTCAGGTCTGAACGGTGAGAAGAGTGTTCAAAGCGAGGCTCCAGGTTTGTGTGTGATTCACACAGTGACCCGGCTCTTGTTGCGCAGAGTAACAAGTCACCGAGCCCCTTTGTTGAGAACCAACAACGACCGGCTTCCATAGCTTTCACATCCCAAACAAACGGCACGACGCGCAACGAAGAAAGAAGACACCCGGTTTCCGGAGACGTGTGAAGTGACGAACCGTTTAGCTTGAACCGAGAGCGTGAAAGACGAGAGGAAAGCATGTGAGATTCGGCTGCCAAAGTCTTACTCGCAATGCTGGCAAAATAGGGACAGTGAATTACCTTGACTGTGAATGTGTGAAAAGCCTATACATATGGTCTGGGCAACTGAGGACCTCAGAGCGACACGCAGAATGTGAAGCTGTTTCGAACCAGAGGAAAACTCACCGATTTCATCCCCATTCCAAATTTTGTAATGACCGTAGCCTCCTGTGCACGCACGATAACGAACGTTGGGTCGAAGGCTTTTTTCAATTGCTGTACCATTGATTTTCGCGTGATACTCTACATCCCGCTATGTACCCAGTCTACATCGGATCAGACTCGAGCGCCGGTAGGGCCTCCTGGCGCCTTTTCTCCTCATCGATTTGTACCGCCTGACTGTTTTGCCTCTTCTGTCGTAGGTAGTCTCTCTCTTTCTTGCGCTCAAATCTCTGAAGAGCCTTCTTCTTGGCGTGTAAGGTCAACTCCTCGTCCGACAGAATCGGCTTGTCCCTCAGGCCGTTATTCATTAGCCGTTGCACAGCGTAGGTCCACGTCGCCTTCCGTCTCTTGTAGTCGTCACGTCCAGATTGTTCCGGCACAGCGTCCGAGTTCAGAACTCGGTCAAATCCACTGACGACAAGCTTCGCCAGCTCCAACATGGTCTGCATGTCTTGCGCCGAGCCTTTGGAGAGAATCTCATCCAGCCTTGTGCGCTTGGGTGTCATGTACGCGAGAGCCACCAGGGTGTCTTGGACATGCGGGCTGCTGAGCGCGAGTTTCATGTACATGATGCTTGCTTTGATGTCGACAACCTTGAGGCGCATGAGCATGATGTCCATTAGATCGGTGGCTTCTTTCATAGCATAGGGCGAGATCATGTTCTTGACACACGCGCTGATTGCTATGCGGAAAGTCTTGCCGGCAACAGGCACATCTTTCATGTCATCCCGCACGAAGAGCACTGCGTCTGCACTGGCCTTCGATTGACGAAGCATGCGCAGGTAAGCGTGGCAGCTGACCTCATCAGGAGTGATGGCAAATTTTGGATCTTGGGTGAGCAGCTTCCAGTACCTCTTCGCCGGTCTTGGCAGGAACATCTTTTGACAGGCTTCAATCAACAACGTCAAGGTAATGTTTGTGGGCTTCACTTCCATGCAACCTTTACGTGGAACGCAGAACTCCTTGCCGATCTTATCGGAGACCTCATGAGATGGCAGTGGTATAGTCCTATCAGAGCATCCAAACGGCGCCGGACTCAGATCTGGAATCGTGGAATGGTACGTCGAATCGCGCGCCGATAATGGAGGAGCCTGGCGAGGAATGTCCATCGTCTGGGCGAAGAGTGAGAAGATGTCGTCCCAGTCATGCGCACGAAGGCTTGCGTGCAGCAGTCTTCCCATTGCGCAGACGAGGTTTTCGTCAATCACGAGCCGGGCGTTGGTCCACCGGTTTACGATGTCAATCCAGATCCGACGACCCTGAGCGACTGCGGTGTCCAGGGCAACTTCCTGTGCCTTGGTAATATCAGAACCAAGCTCTACTTCGGTATCAAAGCGCATAGCGTTGAGAATGGTCGTGTAGGTAATGCTGTTCGCCGCTTCAGGGCCGGAGTCAGGGATAGCGGCAGCGATTGCCCAGATGGCATCCATATCCTTCGCGCTCGCACAGGCCTTGAGAGCTGCATTGGTGAGCAGGATGGTTGGCCTGATCTTCGAGTTCGGGTTGTTGAGCGACTGCCAGAGGGCCACCGCGCGTCTTCCAATGTTCGGTACCGTGGAGTTAGAACAGAGGCCATTGAAGAGTGTGGAGTAAGTGTACGAGTCCGGATGCTGACCTCGCTTCTTCATCTGGAAAGGTCATTTACGTTAGCATATGTGCCTCGTCGGGCTGGGTGTGCGTCTGCATACATCGTTGTAGAGCTTGAAGGCTGCGTTGACCTTCTTGTCCTCCATAAGATCACTCAGCAGCGCGTTCCACGCGATGGTGCAATCATGGTTTTTGCTGACGAGGCGAACCAGCTCGATGGCTTCGGCCCGACGTCCACTTTTCAGCAATGTCTTCGTCCGCTCCAAGACCTTCATGCGATCGCTAGCCAGCCATGGGAGCTCCAGCTTCAAGCGTCTCCACTGCGCCGTCGTGACGAGACTCGTGCTGCTATGTGGGACCGAAGCTATGCTTTTGACAGCCCTGATGATCGAGTTTTGGGGCTTCTCGAACGTTTCCCTCCCCGGTTTGCGAAGAGAAGAGGCATGTCGGATGGAGATGTGAGGCGCGCCCTTGGCGCGAGGTCGTCCTTTGGACGGCGAGAAGCCAACAAACGGCGGTGGAGATATTTCAGAGCATATTGCGCGTAGGCACCTCCAGAGACACGCTCTACACTCCAGCATTGGGGCTGCTCTGGCTGGCTGATGATACTTCAGGTATCTTTCTCATCCACCCAAGGAAAGTTTCGATTTAGGAATAGGGCAGTTTGTGCCCTGCGTGCCTGACAAGTAGGGCACTCACTCAGGACGTCTCTCAACCTGCAACGGACCACAGCAACAGCCACCGTCGGGTGTTTCGCGATTCACAAATCTGCGCATGACGTCCGATGGCAGAGTAAGGCATCTTCGAGAGACGATCGATAGGACCTCTACGGATGCGCTCCTGTCAAGGCCTTTTTGCTTCGCATTCCCAATTCACGGCCGTAAATTGGCTGGTACATACGGTTGGGCGGGGCCCGCTCTACACTTCCACGTGGGTAGCGAGCATGGGTGACTGCGAAAATGACAAAAGCCCCGGGGCAAACGGTTCACCCGAGCATCTGGATAGACTACAACAAAAGCTTTCTTTTTAGCTGCCGTTTTTTGAGCAGCGCCCGGGAAGGGAAGGGGAACGGGGGGGGGGGGGGGAGGGATATGCAGGACATGGGAAGATCCCGTTGGGCGGGGGGTTCGACCATCTGGATTTGATTTTCGCTAGAGTCTTAACTTAGCCCGTGCCTGTAAGAATTGAGAGATTCGCGAATCCTTCACTGGTGCTCCTGCTTTGCCGTCTTCAGCAAGGCGCCCGTGGAACTTGCCGAAGTGATCGTCCTTTTAGTGAGGAAACGTGCGTGGAAAAGTGCTCGTTTGTTTTTCTTTCAAGGGGAAAAAGAGGAAAAGAAAAAAGAAAAAGAAATTATGAGATCAAACCAGTTCTGCGCAGGTAATCCCCTCCCCAAAGGAGAAGGGAGAAAAAAAAATCCACAAAATAAAAATTAAAAGGTTCCTACAAAAGGTGACGCAAAGCTGTACATCAAAAGGCAAAATAATGTGTTGCCTTGTTGCCTCCTCCACCTCACAAGAGGGACAACATCCACGAGCTCCGTCGCGTTCTTCTCCTTCGCAAAAACCAAGTTATGTGTAAAATAAAAAGAAAAACAAAGTGAAAAGAAGTTGGCCTTTCGAGCAAGCCGTGGCGGGTTCACTTTTATTTAATCATGTGATGGACGAGGGAAAATTAAGAGACGAGAGGCCACACACGCAAACACACACATACATACGCGCACATTAGAACCAGAAAGCTTATCGGCGTGACGGTCCAAGGCCGTAGCGCCGCCTCTTGCGTGATTGCTAACGTAGCGGGCGCGCGATCTCAGATTCGTCTTCCTCTTTGACAGCGGAGTGAGCCGTTCAGGCCGCATTGCCGTTTGGTGGTCTCTGCTTCGACGCGCGCTCGCTGCATAGGTCCGTCACCTCTACTGCTGTTTGCTGCCGCAGCAGCAGCAGCAGCAGCAGTAGCAGCAGCTACTACTACTACTACGACTACTAAGACCACTACTACTCCAGCTGCGAAGATCTGTTTCGCCTCGGGCCGATTTTATGAGCGTGCTGGTGAAATCATGCTAAATCCCACACCCCTTCTCCGACGCACCCACCGTCGATATGTGCGCATCAGTTCGTTTGCCGACGCTGGCTCGGATCGCAACTGGCCAGATCACCGAGCGTCTGGACGAACTGTGGTTCATGCAAGGCAAAGCAAAAAGCTCGAAGACGGGTGGGGGAGGTTTGTGAATGGGACCAGCCGAGCGTTGTCTTGCGGGCGCTGTGTAACAAACAGGCGATGGGGGAAGTGCGTGGATAGAAAAGGTGCTTCTTTCAACCTCTTCACAGTCCACCAAGCTTCGTCTCTGGACGGCCCACCGTGCCGTTGTCGTTGTCGTCGTCTTCGTCGTCAAACCCCAGAAACTGGAATCACTCCGCTGCATCGTCTCCCTTTCTTTCCTTGTCCCCCTCGTCTCTGACGCTCCCGTTTCTCGTCTAGACATTCTGACGAGAACGGAGTTTGCCTCATGAACTAGGGCAAACTCCGTCGCCGGTGACGCGCAAAATGCGCCTACCCGTCAAGCCGTGACGAGATGATTCGCATGATTAGCTTGGGATGCCGGGTGACAGAGGGGATCGTCACGCCGCCTCTGCAGTGAAGAGGCGGAACTCCGTATCACGTCCATCCCACCCGCCCCTGGTAGCACGTCAGGAGCCGTCGTGATTCGACGGGTGGCTGCAGGCTATTTGCTGCGTCTCGGGACGACAGTGCACCTGCGATACTTTTTCATTCTTGGACTTCACCTCCAACTGCTGAGGCCTACACTCCATTCAATCTGAAAGTCAACAAAGACAACATGTGAAAAAAAAAAGGATCAATGTCGTGGTTTATTCCCGGCCTGCTCTTCCCCAGCGTAGGACCTCTGCCACGGCGTGTCCTTGTCCTCACGTATCCGAGCCGTCGGCATGGTTCGCTTACAAAGGCTCATTCCTTACCTTGCTCCATTGCTCAGCTTGATCATCGTTGTTTGATGTCAGCGTGGTGTGGGCAGAGAATCGTTGGCCCTGGTTCTGCATGAGTTGGAGGACATGCTTTCATTTTTGAGAAGAGATCCTGTCAGCCTACAACAGCTTTCCAGCCGTTTCGCCCTTGATAGTCTGCGATTGAAATGCTGTGCCTTGGTTCGCGGAAATGCGTCTCTTATAATGGTCCGGCACGTAATCTTTGTTCACTCTATCAGCTCTCCGTGACAAGAATATCCCGCTCGCCGCAGATTTGGTCCTCGTGAGCCCGGAAAGTTCGCCGAAAATGTCTTGACACGACAGAACCCAGAGACGCGTCTTCGCAGGTAGCTGAACAAATCTTAACGATAGTTGTATTTGTACACTAATGCACGAGTGCTAATGCCGCAGAGTGAGTGTGACCAAAATGTCACTTGACGGGAGCCAACACCTCTTCCTCCTCTGCGAAACTCGACGATGTTATCCCCTGATGACATTTCTTCTTCAAATAATGGTCCAATTTAACAAAATCGTTTCATAGCGCCGACCTATGCAGTCGGAGAACAGACTAGAAGTGAAATCGTGGAGAGATGGGGTGGGAGGGGAAAGAAAAGGGGGAGGGGGGGTGGGGGAGAGAGAATTTGTGCTAGACGGGTAGCGATACGCTTTTGCGGTGCAGCACCAAACCTCCTAGAAAAAAAAAGGCCGTCCTCAGCTGTTCTTTCAGCAGTGAGATCAAACTCTCCACTAGAAAATGAGAAGCCGTCCGTGACCTAGGAATAGGAAACGGTCGTCAAAATCATACACACCCGGCCGTCACTGCCCCACAACGATCAAATCCGCAAACACCGCTCAGGCTACCAGTATAATGCAAAACGAAAAAAAAACATCTGTGTGCGCCACACATGCAACCACAACATGGAGCATGTCATAAGTCTGCAAAAACCTTGCCGCCCGCTCCGCGTGAAATCCTCATGATGTGATGCGTGACCTCGAATAACCGGGATGAGAATTTACTGTTGATAATTCTGATACTTAGTGTCCTCCTCTGCGCGGCAAAGAAAGTTAGCTTCGTCTGCTATCCGGAGTTTGGGGAGGGCTGACAACGCTGTTGGTACACCTGGTTGCTTTGACCATAGGGTGATTGAGGGTAACTGCTTGCATTGTCAATACCAAAGTCTGTTAAGAGAAACCGACACTCAAAACATACTGTCCCATAGAGTCCATTCCAGGGCTAGGCTGCGGTTGGCCATACTGAGGCTGCGACGGCGGGCCACCCTGCTGCGGCGGGTAGCCGATGGGCGGTAACTGAGGGCCGCCCATGTTTGGAGGAGGCCCGAGAGTTGTTCGCATCTGACCGTACTGCGCATTCTGGTCATGCTGCTCAGTGCTGCGAGGATCAGCCTGGCGTTGTCGCTCCTCCTCGGCCTTTCGCTGTGCTTCCTCCTCCTTTTTCTTCGCCTTCCACTCTTTGCGGATTTCCTTAAATTCTGCACAAAACTTCAAGTCAGCCGTCTGCCTTCGCCATGCATCAGATTGAGAATAAGTGGAAGCCGGCGGCCCGGACTACACTAGTGCCCCGAAAACACAGCACGCGCCACGCTAGCTCGAGTAAGCTCGAATGCTAGACAAGCAAACGCGTTCCGCACGCCAGTGCAACGAGAAGAAGATGTGCTAGTATCGCATTTTCACAGAAACGCGTTCAGAAAAAAAATAAAGAGTAGAGAACAAGCAACAAGTGGATGGGGGCGATTTGCTAAATGGTTCCGCAATGGGGACTAACCTTCCGGAGTGCGCTTTGGTCCGTGGGACTGCATGGTGACGTGAGCATTTAAATGGTTGAGTGTGCCGTACGCTTTCTCGCAGCCGTTCCAGCCGCACTTGTACATGCGTTCTATCTCTTCGTATCGCCGGCGCGGGCGCTTGTGCTGCTGTGCACCAGGGATTGGGACGAATGAATAGACAGTGGACAAAGGATGTCCGCCCTGCACATGCGATCGTCAGCCTTTGTCGCGATCCCACTAAATTCGCGTGCAATTTCTTTTCTTCTTTTTCGTGTGCACCTACCGTTGGTGGTCGCTGCACTGGCGAGACCATCGATGGTGTCGGCGGACCTGAGGAAGTCGCGCCGTAGTGACCCATGTGTGGTGGAGTCTGATATTGTCCACCCGCCCAGTCAGGTCGACCGTAAACACCAGGATGGCCAGTGGAATAATGGCCCATCTCGTGCTGCGCTTGGTAGGGAGAGTATGGCTGGTGCGGAGGAGGGTATGTAGGGCTCGCCGCTGCGATCGATGGATCTATAGGAACATCGGAGTCAGACCTTATGCTGCCGTTTGGATGGTTGGCATGCCCTTCCGGGCCGGGTTGAGACGGACTTGTAGCTTGCGCCATACCTCCTGCCTGTGTGCCTTGACCGGCTGGAGGGTAGTGCTGGCGTTGAATGTACTCCGGAAACGAGCCTGAACGCGCAGACGACGGAGGAAGTCCGTACTCAGAGGTAGGAGTAGCGGATGAGGAAAAGTTTGCGGATCGTGGATCCTGCCCTTGCGAATACTGAGCAGCAGACGCTTGATCTGCAGACGTTCCTTCAGAATGGTGGTCGTTGTATGCGTGATAGGGTGGGCTCAAACCTGACTGCGGGTACTCCGTCTGTCTACCGTCCATATGCTGTGTATGACCGTTCTGCAGGTGAAAGGCAAGCTTAGCACCTGGGGAGGATGGACTGGTTGGTTGCGCAGGAGTAGAGGACGTGAAGCCAGTGGACATATCACGCTTCAAGACCGTCGAATGGAGGGACTAGCTCGTCGTAGGGCTAGGCACGGCGAACTAAGTACAAAAAGGCGGACAACGGACCGTGGCCACCCAGATCCAAATCAAGGAAGGCCGATGACGAAGGGGAACCTTTCAGGGCGATGCTGCGGATGATTTGCAGAGCGGCTCCTTCGCTGCTGCTTGTGCTAGTAGCCTGCACTGGCGTCGGTACAATGGTGCCGGGGCCTTGATAATTCGCAAATTGGCTAGAAAGACCAAAGAAGAGCTGGACCCTCAGCAAAGCTAGCGGGCCCTAGAGCGATCTCGAGTCAAGTAGTGCCGCGAGCTGGAAGGTCTTGAACGGTGTGCAGCGTGCGACCTGGAGGGAGAAAGGGCACGCGAATGAAAGCGATAGGCTTTGTGCACCGCGCAAGGTGAAATCGTGGTCGGGCGCAGGCAAAAGCTGGAGCGCGTGGCGTAGGTCGTTCCCTGGGAAAAAAAATCGTGTGGCAATGCTGTTGACCTGGGAGGTTCAAGGACCGCAGAACAATCCAAGCACGCGCGGTGAGGTAATGCTGCGGGCTGGTGCCAGATCGAGGTAGGCCGAGCCGCTACCGTGATGATGCTTGTGCAGCTCACGTTCTGTTTCTTTGGGTCGACCGGACAAAGGCTTAGCGTTGAACGAGACGCGCTATGCTGGATCGATATCCGGCTATCAGGATCCAGCAGAAAAACAATGCACGACGAGCGCGCGGGCGCAAAATTTTCTGTGGAATCGAGAGGCCCGCAATTCTGAAAAGCCCCGCCAATGACAGGCTGCAGATTCAGCGAACGAGCAAAAAGAAGGACCGAATACCGACACGCCTCCCTGTAATCGAGCACTTGTCACAGGGATTGTCTCCTTCGTTCAAAGGGGGGGGGTGGGAGCCACCGGCGGTGATTTGCAATTGTAATTATCTTTCCAGAACGGCCGCCTTGTAATTTTTTCCTGTTTCGTTGCTCCAAACGGGACGCTACCGAAAGTGCTTTGCTACCTCGGCAGCGCCTAGTGGAGGCAACTTGCGGCAGCGAGGTGGTACAAGAACGACAAGTGTATGCGTGCTGATGGCGTGGAAAGATCGGCGAAGATGTCAATGCTGCGGAGCCTGAAGCTAGGCAAGGGTTGTTGGGTTAGTTGCCGATGCGACGCTTTTCGCTCAGCAGCGTGCGCGGGAAGGTTGGTCGCAGCGCTCGAACGAGAAGGGTTTCGCGACGAGGTTTTTTTCTTGGGAAAGCGGAGTAAAGAGCCGATGGGATGGGACGACGTGCGGCGGAGATGATGTGGATGGTGCCTCAGCTAGGCTCGTTGACCAAGCTTTGGGAGGAGAGAAAGGGCGAAGAGCACGTTGCGCAAGCTGTGCTTTAGAGGTTCGAGAACGGCACGTGTTGCTAGCACGCGCCAGTGGCCAAGACGGTGTGAACCTTATCGACGGTAGCCAAAGATGTTGTGCAGAGGGTTGGCACGCAGATTGAAGGCCTGCCGTTTGGTGGAATGATTCTGTAATGACGGGGGGGTTTTTTTCCCTGGAAAGGTGGAGGGCCACCAGGAAAGCGAAGGGGGGTGGAGGAGGGGGGTTGGAGGAGAGAGAAGGGGGGGGGAAAAAGAAAAGAACGGCAAAGAAAGAAAACAGAGAGACACGAAGAGAGGGTGGGCTCGTCTTCACCCGCAATCTGCCGACGCGTCAGGTCAGGCCTGGTCGCGACGGTGATGACTGCGGCGATGGTGTTGCAAAATGGCCTTCGAGGTCGCCGTCGAGGCCGTAGTGGGGGAGCAGAACGTTCGCTCGGGCGTGTCACTGCCTGCACCTCTACGCAGGGAAAAAACACCACCACGAACAGCGCAACAAGCACCACGCGCCGGTCGTGAGCAGCGAGTTGGGACGGGTGTCGCAGCGCTGCTGGGGCCCGGATGAGCGACAGCAGCGGTTTGTCGTGTGCGTGTTTGCTCGTCGGTGATGGTCGCGGTTGCTGGAGCTTAACCAGCTTCAGTAAGCGTGGTGGACTAGCGGTCGACTTTTCGTTGCGAATCTCTGGGGTAAGGTCTAGTATGATTGAGGCTCGACTTAGCTGTGCATGAGATGGCACTAAAAGATGCCCGTCTGGCAACGTCGGGCGATGCTTGCTCTGGGGGCTCGCAGACAACAACGACAGCACGCTTGGTTGTTACGCGTCCAGAGGGCGTCGACGCTGCGCCGGAGTGCGGAGAAAACCCAAATCAGCCGGTGGGCCGACTGCTGGTCAAGGGATTGAGGATCTCGCCCACGCGTGGCCACAGTCGGCGGCGAGGGGGGCGAAGCTGCGATGCGACGCGATGCGAAGCGGCGATGGCGACGGGGAAGAAGACGATGCCGAAGACGACGTTGCAAGAGTGTGCGTTGCAGAGAGCGCGAGAGTCCGGATGTGCTGCTGCTGACCGAGCAGCACGCCTGCGTGAGCCGGCCAGAGAGCTGACAGCGGCGCGATGCACGCCCACCACTCACCTCCGCCAACCGCTTCTCTCTCCTCGCCGTCGACGTGCGCTCGATGCCGTGGCACCGTGGCAGTGGGATCGATGCCCACGCCTCGTCTCCCCACGCCCAGTTCACCACCTTCGTCTTGCCATCGCGCACGTCCACGCTGAAGCTCAATGCCAGCGCGCGAGAGCATCGCTCAGCCTACGCGTCTGCAATGCCTCGCCTCTCCCTTCGCTCAGTCTTGCATCCGCCAACGCGCATCTCTATCTACTCTCTCTCTCTCTCTTCCTCTCTCTCTTACTCTTTCTCCGACGCGCAAACCCTCTCTCCTCTCGTGTGCACGATGCTCACCGACTTTAGCAGCCAGACAGCGTCGGAAAGCCACCCTGCGTTCTCCCCACAGATGCCCTGAACACCCTTCGAATTCGCTGGTTCACCATCTCCCTTGGCCGTCAAATCGCAGCCACTTCTTGGAAGCGTCTCCGTGAATCACATGTGTGCTCGTCATATTTTGTTTGAATCCGTCCCAAACACCAAAACGCAGCAACACCTTGCGCTGGCAACCCTCACTTGGGCGAAGGATGATGTGGCCAACGGCGATGCACAGCCCATCCTCCACACTCGTGCCCGTTCCCAACATCGCGTCGATCCTGGGAACAAAGACGCCTACCAGCCTGTGCCAATCTCCCCGACGTCGGTCAAATGGAAAACTGGCCCGTCATCTGCGAGCAGCAGTGCCGCGCCGTACAAGTCGCTCGCCCAAACCCTGACGCGGTGAGGGCAAGGCCCAAGCAAAAAAAGGAAGAACAAAAACCCACTCTCGCTCACGCGGCGTCCGCTGCGCGGCAAGAGGGGCTCTCGGGAAAAATAACTCCTCTTCGTCGCCTACGCGCAGAGCATCTCAGGAAAATACGGCTGGGGTGTGTGTTTGACCACCCTTACCGCACAAAGCGGGGCCCATTTGCTGCTGCCTCGCACGATCGGCCATGATTGGAGAGAACCAGCCCCGTCCAGGTCTGCAGATTCCTGGAGCCTTCCCAGCGCTGCATATGCATCGTCCATCCACTCACGATCCCGACAAAAGATGGTGTGAACCAGATCTTGCTTTCCGTTCCTTTCTATCAGTGTTGCGAGCGGACGATGGCCTCAATCGAGGTGGCCTTTCGCCTGCCATTTTTCTTCATCCCCCTCCAGTTGCCCTCTCTCTCGTCCTTCGTGACGAGGAACGACGAGGCGCGTGTCCCGCATCACCTCTTGCTAGGAAACCTTGCAGTCAACCCACGGCCCTGTTACATTCACCTTCCGAAAGTACCGACGAAGGCCAGAAAAGGACGGCATCCGACGCACAAGAGACCGCGGCAGCCATACAGCAAGAATCGCTGCATAAGCTTGGACCAGAGCAGCGATTTGCAATGATTCAGGGCAACCCGCTCCGCATGTTTTGGGCGGAACACCATCAGGTTAGCCTTTCTTATATCCGAGTATTGTGATCGATGATGATATCCGAAATTAACCAAAGAATTAATTCCATCTTCGCGTGCTATTGTTCGTTCTTTGTCTCGGATCTAGTAGCTTTTCGCGGAGTACCGGATCGCGCCCGGCAATGGTGAAGAGAATGCCAATCGCTACTCCGAATCGACATGGTTTGCTCTCATCACTTCGCACGCTCCATCCGCACGCATGGGCGAGCTGACGAGTCTCATGTGATTTGCTGTCCCAAAAATAAAAAAAAAAAAGGGCCGCTGGCTGCAGGCTTCTCGAAGCAACCAAGCGAACGAGCGATCTGCTGTCCGAAATGACGGGGGAACCGCCGCTGTTCTCACCACCAGGCCGTAAGATCCATCTGAATCACGCAAACTTTCTTTCAGCCGTCTCATCTGGCCCCATATTGTGGATAAGGAGCGAACGGGGCCTTTGCCTCGTGCCAAGCCCCGCGCGCGAGTGGATCCCACAGGCTGCTCCGTGGCTTGGGTCACTCCCCTGAGAAAATCTGGCCGACCAGCCCCGGCCGTGAGCAAATCAGCGTCCGCGTTGCCAGCATCCCAGCAAACCCCATCCGGCAGAGCTCAGAGATGCGTGACGTTCTGATACCGTTCGTGACTACGCAAAGTGACATTGTAGAATGAGAGCGTCGACTGAGCGTATTGCCCAGCCAGAGCGAGCCCACTCTCTCTCGGGCTCCCTTGGGACCAACTTGGCCTCACCTCCCAGCGCGGAGCTGATTCATTGTCGTTACAGGAAGCGACTGGGAGGCTGCGTCAGGACACGGAGGGTAACGTGCAACGACTGCTCGATAGCAACATTTGAAAATGCTCTTTGTTCGTGCATTGCAAGCAAGCCACCCTCCGTACAGGACTTCAGCTTCGTCGACATTTGTTGCGGTAACATGACTCGACGCAAACCCACGCCTCGAATCGGAGCGCTCTACTCACCCCCCGCCCAACAAACGTTTTCTTATGCGCAACAGTGCTTGAATCAATCATGACGGAATTGTTACTTCTGTGCTTTGCCCAGCTCGCTGGCACATCATTACGGTGGATGTTGTGGAGATCGTATCTGGCCCACTTTTGGATGCCCGCCGAATGGACCAGGTCGACTGTGCATCCTTTCGCGGTAGCAGCCATCCGCTCAGGCGTGTTCAACTTCCCCAGCCAGAAAAAACGTGCGTACATCACGGCCACAATTATCATTTCGCTCTGTAAGAGATATGGGTCCAATTTGACCGCAGATGCGCGTGGCTTCGGCGCATTATCTCATTCCAGCGTCCTCTTTACGATGCTGAAGCGAGGCCCAAAACGTGGGCAATCGTGGCTCGAAAGGGCGAACAGATGATGCTGCCTTTCCCAGTCGTATGAGGTTTTTTTTTCCTTTTTTTTTCCTCCTTTGCGGCGCGTCGAAACAAAGGCAATACTTTCCCGATCTTTATCTCCCGTTGTTTATTTCGCCCAAAAAAAATTGCATGCATGGCCACGCACGCCCATTTCCATGTTGCATGCATCATACGTGCAGGTCCACCCTCCCTTTCAACCAACACCCCCCCTCCTCCTTCCAACCTCTCGTTTCCAGCAGACCGTCTCTGAGAGCATCAAAGTCGGTAAACCCGACGTCGTTTCTGCTTTCCTTCGCGCTCGTTCACCTGCCAGATGAGGCAAACTACCTCATGATTGCTGCTGCATCCAAGGTCCTGCCATCCGGCGAATACCCGATCGCCATTGGCAGTCCGCGGAGAGCAGTTCCGCCTGTGCGGAGAGCAGTCCGCGATATCTTGAATCGTCCGGACCAGATATAGACGACTTCGGCAGCGGTACAAAGTTCCTGTGTAACATGCCAAACACGCCGAACTGGAATTTGGACCTGATCTATGTGAAAAGCTTTGTGTTCAAATCGAAACTACGGCAAGGCTGTTGGCTTCATACGAGTGGATGGCGAAGCTTGCCGTAAGTCCTTATTCAGCAGGGAGAGTGTCTCGTCTCTCGTCACCGATGATGCAGATGTAACGTTCAAACAAAGTTCAGCGCCGTCGTCGAGCCGGTGATGCCCGATGTTAAGAACTGGGGATGTTTTCTAGGCTGACACTACTCGCTTTCGCCCGCAAATCCAGTTTTTGGATGTTTACGTCAAAATTAGTGTAGCCGCCAGTTGCTCGTACCTTTGCACGCTAGCGAAAAAGCAAGGGCGAGAAAGAAAGCAGCATGGGAGTCACCCCTCGCACAGGTGTGAGGTTTAGTGCTAAGATGCATGGTTCGAGGTAGCGTCAATCGCTCCGAATGCATGGGTCTGCTTCGCGAAATTATTCCTAGTCGGCTGCATTTTAACACGTTCCCACCGACCTGACTTGGGCAACCCAGCTCCCCCTACGCAAAGACGGCTGCTAAGATCTAGAACTAGCACATGGAATCCAGTCCCAAGATCTTGACCGAAAAGACCGGTCGTCGCAGTACCATGGACGACTAGCCCACCAGATGGCGCCTCTTCGCGCAGTGTCAGGTTCCTCTGGTACCTCTAACGCAGGAGAAAAGATTCGAGAACCAGCTCATTGGGCGGGCAGATCGATCTCGTAGCGCCGAACTTTGAAATTCGGCGACCATCCACCGTTTTCCCTTGTCGCTCCCCTCCCCAACCTTTGATCAGTCTCGGGCCGACGTGCGAGAGCTGGGAAATGGCAACCACCGTCGCCTACCGGCGAACAATCGATAAGTGCTGTGATAGAGCACAATATGCGGGCATGCATTGAATACACGGCTACGGCTGCAATGTATGATGACATCTCCCGTTACCAGTTCCCGCATTTTTTTCTGGACGGGAACGAGTTTCGTCCAATCACCGGAAGTTTGACAGCCGCCGATGGGCAGTCGGCTTCGGTTAAGCACCGTCGCGGGGCAACCAGAAGAGAGTGGAAAAAGGTTGGTCCCGACAAGAAAGAAGCTCACAGTCCGTCACGGCTGTCACCCAAGGAGTCTCGGCTCTTGAGTTTTCAGAGTGCCGGTAGAGATGGGACCCAACACACAAGCCTCCACGCTCCCGAACATATCGACTTGCAATTGCCTGGCGCGGAAGCGCGTCTAGAACTGTACCCCTCCGGAATGGAAGCCATTCTCTTCGGAGAGTTCGTGTTTCTAGCGTCCGATACGTCGCAAGCGACTTTTGTGCTGTCTGGCTCGGCCTTCACACAAAGAAGACAGACCCTCACGCCGGAGAGGTCGCCTTTTTGACGACCTGCTTCGAATGTGGGGCTGTCTTTTGAGCAGCATGCACCCCGGCTTTGTAGGCGTGATGACTTAAAAAAAAAAATAAGAGGCTCTCTGCGGTGAATACCGAATTGACAACGAGCTGAACGCAGACTGCTCTTTGTCGTGTCTCCTACGGAGGAGCCTCCGCCGGATTCGAGACTCGGAAATCGCAGCGGAGAAGGTCAAATGACTGACACGCGCTTTGTTCGGAGAACATCTCAGCAGACTCCGTCGTCGACTGCATATCTTTGCTGAGAGAACGCAGGTCATGGGTTCCAGCTCATGCCCGTACAACTCCGTCAAACTGTGAAGTGGTGTATCTCAAAAAGTGGTATTCCATTTTTTTTTTCTTTCGGATATCACCGCTTATGTTTCTTTTTCCCCTCCCCACGCCTCATCTGTGCCCCATGAACGCCCTCTCTCCGCAGCTCACCATCAGCCATCAAACGAGATCCGGGAGGGGCAAAAAAAGGGGATCTATCTTTGCGTCCCGATACCAGTGCTTCGACCGCAGAATGCCGCGAAAGCCGTCCGCGGACTCGAAGGCGCCGTCACCGCCAGTCTCGTGAACCAGGATAGGTAGCATGAAAAAGAAGTATGTGAATGGCGGCGAAGTACCGAATGATCAGAGGAACATGCAAGGTGCTCGGGTCTCCCAAATGAGGTCTCTTCGTTAACCGCCTTTATCTTGGGTGGGTGGGTTTGCGGCCCCGTCTTCATCATTTACATTAACACCCTTGCAATCTTGGTCGCCTTGAATATGCCGGCCATTTCCACATTCGAAGCGTCGTCGGCAAGGGGGGCCATTGGGTAATGGAAGCGCAGATCGCTCTAGTTGTGGGGAGAGGGGCTTGTTTATCTGAGAGACAATCGTCCACGTCGGCCGCGGAGAGTGGAAAAGAAGACTGTCCTTAGCTGACATGTGAACCGACGACTCGATGGTGAAAAGAAACGAGAGCGAGTCACTTCACCGGCCCAGCGTTGCTCAATTGGTCGGGGTGAGCACGTTTGTCATCACGACCCGATGGTTGAGAAAGGGGGGAGTTGAACTGAGTCGCTGGACTCTTTCACGATCAGAAAGGACGTCGCCAGTCGAAACCCTGTTAGGTCTTTCGGCGTGTCGTAGCCAGACCGCGTCAATACGGATGCCGTGCAGGCTTTCAAGCCCAGCGTGTTGGTGAACCGGATGACCTTTCAAAGGACACGATTTGTCGACATGTGTATGGCTTAGTAGGGTAGCGATGTTTGTCTGCTTCGCAGCCCGAGCACACGTCAGAGCAAAAGACGGGACAGTGACAGAGAGAAACTATATAGAACAAAGCAACAAAAGACGAAGCTTTGGGGTTGCTCCTAAACGTCATGGAAAGAAAGCAGCAGTCTTGCAAGTATTTGCTCAAGACACGAAGGCAATGCGAAGTGGAGGCTACCATGCACAATACGCCTTCATTATTCATGGCTCAATTGATGTTGGAATGGGAGCAGCAAACCCAATCAGCTCTTATTCATCTCGAATTGCTGAGTCGCAAAGAGATTGCGTGGTACGAAGGTCCATTTAAATCCCCATTTCAATAGAAATCTTCGTGACCATAAGCCGGATCCTCAACGTTTCTGGTGCGGAATGAGAAATGTCGGAAAAACATTCGTAGTGACTTTTTGATTTTGATGAAGAACATAAACGAATATACAACAACCCCCCTTCTGGGAGAAAAGGCTGATAGACTGTGTCTGCCTTCCTAAATTGCTGGTCTATGTGCATGATGCAAACCTTACTTTTGAAAAGAATCAGCTGCGATCATTCGAGAATACCATTGTGAGCGTGGCAGCTTAAATGCCACGAATTCAAGGCAGCAGCCCAAGTCCACCCGCCCCTGCATCGAAAGGTAGGGGAGGCGAATGCAAAATAGAAAACCTAGTCCATGCCCCTATCAATTCTCAGTCTATTCTTAACTCGATGAGCAAGTTCCAACGCCCGAAAAAACAAAACGCCTCGTCTGTAAATGTGATAATGACTATGCAACAACACAAAAGGTCTAATTGGTATCACATGGCCAACTGCCACGGCAGAAGCTCCCGGTTTGCTGGCCCGAGTGTAATCGAGTATCCGTTCGACTCGAGGACTGGAAGGCTGATACTGAGTGTGCTACAATCGCCTGTGTGGGATATACAGCTTCTTGGTGTCCTAGAGCAGAGGAGCAAGATAAGCATGCAACGCCTCCCACGAAAAGGCTTCACCACCGGGAGTTCCGGATCGGTGCAGCGTTACCTCCAGAGTAGCCTATTCGAGATGTTAGTGGAATGAACCACTTGCGAAAGATTAAAATTGAGCTACGTACCACCGCCACGGCCGCCACGACCGCCACGGCCACCCCACGAGCGGTGGCCACCTCCACCACCACCGTAGCGAGCCATTTCTGCAAGGCGTGGATCGATCTCTTGTTTGGATTCGCGGAGAATATTGACAAGATCACGAGCCTGCTTAGAGTCTGTGCATTGCGTTAGAGAGAGAACAGCGATAACATGGTGGTACCGAGTGAACTTACTCTCCGTTGTAAACAGAGTGATAGCGGTGCCTTTGGCACCGGCGCGACCTGTACGGCCAATACGGTGAACATAGTCTTCCGAGTTGTTCGGGTAGTCATAGTTCAGCACGTGAGTAATATTCTTGACATCTTTAAAAAAAAATCAAGTTAGCATCTTCAAATGGAAGTATAAGAGCGCGACGCGATATAAGAATATCGCGTGATCCGGAAGCATCATGATGCATCTGTGGTCACTCGGTGCGCAACACCATAATTGATATCCATCACGTCGTCCAGAAAACTTAGAAGGGCTGTGATTGATCCTCCGCCCTCAGAATGCCCATCGGTTATGATCTGTGTTAAAAGACCTGTACCAGACATCGTAGTTCAATCTACTGTACGCAGGTTAAGATATGCTACGCCCGCCCACCAACCCCACTAGCACATATTTGGAGTCATGAACTGCAGGCATTTCAAGTAGACATATTCCGTCTGCGAGCATCCGAGGAGTGCCGGAGAATCGGCCGATGTTTGCAAGCCCTGGACGAGGTTATAGTAGTGACAGCACGTTGAGCGCACGAGCAAAATAGAGCAGAGCATAAAGCGGATCACGCAGAACAATGAAAAAGAAAGGAGCTTAAACAAGACGAAGAGGGAGCGGAAAGAAAGGAAGTCGCGCAAGGAGTCTGCAATCATACCAATGCCACGGGATGCCACGTCGGTGGCAACCATAATAGGGCTTTTGCCGGTCTTAAATTCGTTGAGAACCCAATCACGCTCGTTTTGCTGTTTGTCGCCGTGAATTGCTGTTCTGCGTTAGTGTTATTCATCAAAAAAATGGACATGAAAATGGCTTACAGAGTGCAGGCCATCCATCCTGGCGGAGGAAGCGTGTGATATCGTCAGCCACGCGCTTAGTACCAGTGAAAATGAGAACCTTGTTTTCACGATTTTCCATGATCTTCTCAAGATGCTTGATCATACGGTCACGTTTCTCCATTTCGGATACAACCTCAACGATTTGGGTGATACGATGGTTGGCTGAGAGATCCAAAGAGCCAATGTTGACTTGAATGAAATCGGTCTGGAAATCAGCTGCAAGCTGGCGGACTTCCTTGGGCCAAGTAGCAGACCACATGCATGTCTGTCGGTCTGGGCGAATTTGTCCGATGATCTTACGAATCTGTGGTTCGAACCCCATATCAAGCATACGATCGGCCTCGTCAAGAACAAGGTATGTCACGCGGCGAAGGTTAGTCTTACCAGACTCCAGCATATCGATCAGACGACCTGGAGTGGCAATGCACACTTCTACACCACGCTGGAGATCGCGAATCTGTTGACCCTTGGGAACACCACCGTAGACGCAGGTGTTCCGGATGCGGGAGGAGCGACCGAACTTGTCAATCTCTTGCTTGATCTGCACGGCAAGTTCACGAGTCGGGGCGAGGATTAGAACGATCGGGCCATCACCGGGAGCGAGAAGGGGCTGAGCGTTGATGTGTACGATGGAGGGAAGACAGTACGTCAACGTTTTGCCGGAGCCGGTTTCCGCAATGCCAACGACATCGCGACCTGAAAGGGCCATAGGCCATCCCTGCGCCTGGATGGGTGTGGGTTTAGCGAAACCTTGGGCCTTGACCTCACTCATGACATAAGCTGGAAAGCCAGCTTCATCGAATGTAGTCACAGGCTTTGGCACATCGCGACCTGAGACCGTGATCTGGTTCTCACGTCGGAATTTCGCAACCTCCTCTTCTGAGCGTGCAGCCACTGCTGGGTCTTCTTTGTAAAAAGACTTCTCGAACTTTGGAAGCTGACTCAAGTCCCAATTCTGTTGCTTTAGGCCAGAGCCTAGAGACGACATCTTATCGCCGCCGTAGTTGTTGTTATTGTTGTACGATCCGCCGTACGAGTATCCGTTACCGTGACTGTATCCATTGGAGTATCTTCGCGAGGTAACAAGTCAGCGGTGTTGCCCATTACAAGTTCATCTTTCTGCAGTCGTCCTCGAGGTGTTGTGTTGAATGAACGCAGTTAGGCTGATTGTCGTCACGGTCACGCGAAAGTCGAGTCGCAGACGTGGCGACCAACGAAACAATCGGCAGTGCAAAACAAAAGCCACTTCATCAAAGCGACGACGCCTTCTTGAGTAAAACAAACTTACCCGTTGCCATAACTTGCAGTGTTTCCGTAGCCACGATCACGGCTTCCGCCGCCGTAGCCGCCGCCGTACGACATCGTCATGAAGAAAGTTTTTTCCCGGTCGGAGGAGTCCTGGGATCAAAGAGCGTCTCGGCAAGAAGACGCGAAAGAGAAACCGTCAGCCTTCTGCGACAGGAACAGACGCTGTGTGTCACGTATCACAGCTGGATGAAAGGAAGACGGACGGAGGGGAGAAAAGGTGCGAGATGAGAGGTGAACAAGAGCGAGGTGGATGTTGTGATGGAAGGGAAAGAAGATGAAGGCGAAGAAGTTGCGGCGGCTCCGTAAGAAATTTTGCGGGAAAAGGAAAGAAAATGTCGGGCTTTGCCACTTTGGTCATGGGCCCTGGAGCACGTGAGCGCCGGCTTTGCGCTGCCTCCTCGATTCTCTCATTCTGATTCGCCGTGACGTCGAACCAGTTTAGCTGAGCCCGTCCATCAGTTTTGTTCTGTCGGTACCGCTACGAACGATGAGTCCCGGCCAGGCCTTGGAAATGTGCTTCCGCACTGGAGACGCGGCCCTCGTGAGCGAGTCTGGCCCGCTCCGAACTCCTGAACTGGTGCATCGGCAACGTTGTACGTGCGCATAGCTTTGTTGCACAGCAACATTCAACGCCAGTGGGGCGCCCAGGAGACTGCTGCGCTGCGTCGACGAGAATGGCACAGCTGGCATTGTCCACGATCATGATTCGCACCAAAGTCATGGGAGAGTCGTGAATCTCAAGCATGACGAGACCATCTAGACGAGCTACGACTCGCCGCAGACAAGGTGAAAAGAACACAAAGCATGTCGATTGCGTCGATCTCATTTGTGGTGGGACGATTACCCCAATATTCTGACGGTTTCGTGGCTTCAGCTCTCTTTCGGCCGATTGTCCACAGTTAAATCAACGCCGTCAAGCACAGTAGCTGCCTCAAAGCAAAACATCGTCATAGACGGCCCTGGATTATTACCCTGATTAGTTACCTATTCAGCCTCATGCTAAGCCATACTCCAATTCCCAAATCCCACGCTCATTATCCTGCTTTGGGGGTTTCCAGTGTTTTTCGTCATCATCATGTCCCTGCCCAGAATGTGAAAAGAAAAAGGAAAGATGCATGGACGTGGCCAGCGAGTCTAGTCTCACAGGATAGCGCCACATCCCAACATGGACCAATTTGTCATCTCTGATGATTATAAGAGAATGTTAGGATCAAGAAGATATGGCGCTGCGTGTACGCTTAGCAGCCTGATCGGCGCCTACCGGAGAACCTTCTCTCTTTGTTCCTTTGGTGCTTGCTGCACTGCCCACCTTTCGTCGCGGAAACGCATCAAAAGCGCTCCTCTTCTTTTTCTTCACCTGCTCCTCTGCAAGCGCATCCACTAGCTCACCCTTCAATTGCTCGTCTGGGATGGCTTTAACCCTCTTCGCCCTTGCGGTTGTCGGCGGGGTGGCAATATGACCACCACCTTCACCAGCGTCAAAATGTACTTTCGTGGGCGTGGACAACTCCTTGAGTGACGATGACGGCTGCGGCATCTCAATGTCTGTCAGAGCTTCCTCATCGGCCTCTGTAGCCTTTTCCTCACGTTCACGGCGCTGCTCCTCGTTTGGAAAGAGCAAACGCGGTTTGATTGACGAACGAAGGAAAGGCCTCGAGGCCGCAGGGCCAGCTTTGCGGCGGATGTCCATGTCGCTGAGATTGTCGTCTGAAATGTCGCTAGCATGCGCGGCGTTGTCCTTGGCGACAGGCTCGTCGAATTTGCGGAAGATTTTTTTGCCACGACTTCAAGCACGGGTTAGCATTGATAATCTTTGGTTATGGTTGGATGGCTATACTCACAAGACATAAACCACACCCTCGTCATTTTTTGTTGCTTCTTCTATTTGCGTGTCCCGTGCGCTCTTCTTCTTTGCCCTCGACCTTGCGCTTGGTTTTGCCGCATTCTTAGTCAAGAAAGGATTGCTGTCATCGTCATCCATCTTTGGCACTCGCTCCTTCGTATCCGTGTAGATCTCGATGCTGCTCGGCTCGGGCCTTACATCGTCATCCTCCAAGATCGAGAAGGGATCCAATCTCGACTTGTTGCGAAGCTTCCTCGGCGTGGGGGCCAGTGTGCCCTCATTGTCGCCGAAAAGAAGTCGCGCTGTGCCATTGAGGTTAGTTTCTTTGTGCCTGCGTGAAGGTGTCTTTGACGGAGTGTTCAGCATGCCGAAGGTGTCCTTGCTGCTAGTACGTCTGTGTGTCTCCTTCTCGGGTAGGATATCTGTATCAGAGTCTGAAGCAGGAAGTGGCGAGCTACGAGACTGTTTGGCGGACCGTCCGCGCCTTGACGAGTCTTTTGGACTAATAACTAGCACGCGCCTCGAAGGAGAGGTAGGCGATGAAGGGGGCGAAAATGTCTGATTCGAGGCGCGCGTGCGACCGCTCCGAGTGGTGGACGGAGGGGTAGAGGCCGAATTCTTCAAAGGTGATGAGCTGATCCGCGGGCTCGGGGTTCCTTTATTTTGCTGCGCGGCCACTCGGCTCGATCTCCTAGGGGAGTATGGTTCATAATTGTCGAATTTTGGACCATGGAGCGGTGTTGGTGGAGTGTGAATACGCCGCGGAGGTGGCGGCGTGGAAGCCATTGCAGTGTACCGGTGGGCTTGGTAGAGGGCTACGTTGTGAATGCGCTGCTTTTCAGAGGTTCTGAAGTGACTTGCAACTGAGGTAGATTGTGATGCGTTGTACAGCGCTTCCAAGGGTCACCTCTGAAACTGTCAACAAAAGACGTCGCGTACGGTTTTGACCAGCACCCATCCAAAATTCGAGATGAAAAACACAAGTTTGTTAGGTCTCACGTTGAGAAAACAATGGACAGCAGGTTCATGAGTAGTTTGAATGCGAAGAAAGGGAGATGCGAACTGTGACGCCTGGAGGCTAGCTTATGGCTAGTTGGATCGACTTTGGCTTGCTCAAGCTCCAGCCTCCGTCATTTCGTTTCCAGGGCTGGGCTTTCCGCTTTGATGGCCTGACAAATGAGGCCTGAACAATGAGGATGCCTCGTCGCGGCCCAAACACGCGATCGAAGTCCAATTTAATACCATGCGCCCATTGCATTTTGAGTTCTTTTCACAAAGAGTCGTCCAGCCTCGACCTGTTCCATTGTCATCCTCGCGAATAGCTTGCTACAAGAACGGGATGTCAAAATACGACGAGGACATTATACACTGGTCTGACGACGAGGACCGGCTGTTTGACTCTCCGGCTTTGTCCAAGACAGTAGACGCGGGAACAATTGGCAAATCAGAAGACCCTCAGTCGCGGTCGAGGGCACGATCAGGAGAATCTCCATATGGCACTGAAGAAGCACGTGATGCAGCGCTGCAGCAAGAGCTTGAGAATGTTCGAAAGATTAATCAAGTGATTGAGGGTGTGGTGGAGAGCCTCGAGAAAGCCAAGAACAACATGGAGGTCAGTAGTTTACGGACATATCCCTTATGCATAGCAAGGGGAAGAATACAGTACTGATTAATGGAAGACCGTCTCCCGAACAGTCAACTCAGCCACCACCCTGCTCCAGACATGGACGCGCATCCTATCTCAAACAGAGCACAACCAGCGGCTAATTCTCAACCCTGCGTGGCAAGGCGCAACCCATGATATCACCGAGCTTGAAGCGGAGGAAGAGCGCAGAGTACGCGAGGCCCAAAGACGGCAGATTGAAGAGCAACAACGTCGCGAGGCGGCAGCGCGCAAAGCAGAGGAAGACGAAAGGAAACGACAGGAGGATGCTGCAAAAGCCGCGAGAGGCGCGCGGGGCAGGGGCAGGGGCGTGGGCAGGGCAGCGAGCAGCGTGTCGAGCTCAGGATATGGCCAGCAGAGGGCTGGAATGACGAAAGGCAGTGCGGCAAGCAGCTCGTCATCGAGAGGCGGGACTGGGATTGGAAGGGGACTCAGAGGACGGGCCAGAGGCTGAGGATGACATGTGTGCGCGTAGAGTGGAACTTTCATGAACATGATACGGAACGAAGTATGATACCCCGTTGTGCAGAGCGGAAGCCCGCAATACCAAAGGCTGGTTAAGGCCAGATTCTTAATGTCTTTATTAGCATATTTGGGTAATCTGTACAAGATCGGAACAAAGAAGTGCGAGGTAGTCACGTTGTGCAACTGGCCTCCATAATTATCAACTCAACTAAACCTTGTCTCTTTACCACACGGACAGAGACAACGAGAATGAACATACGCTGACTCAAAACACTGAAGTCAGTGATGTTGTATGTTGAATTCTTAACGCGCACATGGGTTTGGCCTGCGCGCTGAAACCTGCTCTCACCATTCTGATCGCGCTGCAACCGTCATCAAGGTAAGAATCTTCCCCTTCTTCTCGCCCGTTCAAAGCTAGCTTTTGGGGGAACTTCCACTGATAAAACAAACGCACGTTGCGCGCTTTGCATCATCACATCCGATACACTCATCCACCGGACTGCAACCACGTAATCCTTTTTGTGCGGATGTTCTCCTCTTCAGTCTCATTCACGCCTAAAGCTCTGCTCCTTCCCCACTGGGTTCCATCTCGAAGTTGGCAAATGAATGGGTGCGCGCCGCTGTAATGACAAAGCTTGGCTACGCTTGAGGGCTGATATCGCATCGAATATCAAAAAGCGCTGGCAACAACTCAGGAGCTGAGACCTTCCGTTCACGATTTTGTCGGTCTGCGCCCATGCAGCTTGCATATTGAGCTGCATCTATGTGGATGTGCCCTGATCGCATCGCTCGGGCCCTCACAACTGACTGAATTCCCTAATCGCGGTGAGATGATATTGCTCAAGTCCTCTCCCAGAAGTTCTTCGGCCTTTCCTATTCTGCTCGTCATGCCTGATCTGTCCGTCGATGCGCTCGGCCTCCATGGCTCCTTCGGAATGATCTGATGAGGTGGAGGGGGTAAGCTAAACCTGGCGTTCGCGAAACCTGTCTGAATAAACTCGAAAGACTCATTAGACTCGTCCTTGCGCACAGGAAGTTCCTCCACTCTGGTGGACCCAGACTTGAGAGATGGAAAGCGCGCGTATTGCGTGGCGTGGAAGCTCGAATTGCTGAAGGACGAATTCGTGCCGAAGATGCCACGGAAAAGTGGCCGCAGAGTAGCAAGCGAGCTGGCGCATATACCTAGCCCCGGTTCGATGGCAGACCAAATGGCTACGAGGTTGGCATCTGCGAACCAGGTTTCCACAGCGGTGGCGAGTCGAGATACGTAGTTAAGTCGAACCATGGATGCAACACCGCCGCTAGTTCCTTCATAAACTTGCATTCTCCAAATCAAGGAGTGGCTTCAAACTTACATGGCCGCAAGAGCTAAGATCGCGACGACCGTTGCCCGTTCCCGCGTGCGCAATTTCGACTCTCTAAGCACGGTGAAAGGAAGGAGTGCGAACACTATGTCAGTCACGCTGGATATCGCGCCGTGCGTGTAGGACACTCCCAGAAACTGTGCAGGCGTGAGACACTTCTTCGCGAGCTGCTTGATAAGGAATGACATCCCTCCTCTTGGAACTCCACATTGGAACACGATGAGGAAGAAGTAAGCAATATTGATTAGCGTCGCGAGCAGTAGAGACGCGTAGACAATTTTTCTCTGCCACGGCTTGATCATAACGCGCAAGAAGAAGATGGAGACGGAAACCTTGAGCGCGCACATTGTAACGACATAGAAGCTTTCCGCAGCCATAAGCCAGTTGAATGCCGCGTCGACATTTCCGATGCGCAGATAGCCATCGCCCATTGTGGCACCTGCGCAAACAATGCAGGAAACATTGTAGACCGTAAAGAAAATCTATCCGTGATCAGTACTGTTCGAATGAAGTCACGGCACAATTATGACTCACGACAGCCAGTAAAATCCATATATCATCAGCCCCTATGTTGCGTACAAGGACGCCTCGAGTATAGAATCGAAGTATCACCGCGATCCATGATAGCGACATGAACACGCCGCAAGTGACTTGCACGGAAATTCCCTGCTCGTAGGTGCCAACCTTGACAGGAAGGGCATCAGCAGGAATGGCAGTCCTTTCTACGATCTGACCAAAGACCGTGGGAGGAACCATGATGGATAGCCGTACTCGTAGGCCGTTGTGAAGGGCAGGAAAAAGAAAAGAAAAGACATAGATATGAGCAGGTTGAGCTGTCACAATGGGAGACTCAAAGAGGACGATGTAAGAATGCAGAGCATGTCACGACTAATCGCTGGGTCTTGCATACAAGACCCTTACGAGGGAACAAAAAGGGTACAGACGACTCGCGTGTCAAGACTCACTATGTATGTACGATTGTTCATGCACCGGCTACTTTACCAAGATGGTATGATTGCCTCGTGGAGGCCACTATCAAGTGACAATGGATCATGGGGAACGGCGGACCATCTCAGGGCGTCGCCAATCGCACAAAGCTGGGGTACATGCACGACAAGAAACTATCATCTGTCATTGACGGGTAAGTCAGCGTCGCGAGGCTTCATGATTGGTGCGAATCCTTGACATCCACGAGAGACCGCCGAGGCACAGGGATAGAATGGGAAAGTCAGAGGAAGCGGACGGAGTATTTTGGCGAGGAAGCAGTAGGATGTGTCAACGGAGTGGTTGGGATGCGGGGCAATCGCGCGTTCCTAGACTAAAATCGAGTAAAGCCGGCCTTGCACAAGTGCGCATATCGCACCAGAGTGGCCAATGACAAGGAGCGTTAAGTGTCTCAGAGTATGCGAAGAACGTGAAGTTGGGCGGTGGACGCCGACGTCCAGACATGCCGGCTAGTGGCGGGGGTAAATTACAATTTTGAGCAGGTCGGTATCGCATGTGAGATGCCGCGACTTTGTGGAGGTCGAGCTTTGGGGATATGAAATAAAGACGCCGCCGCGTGGCTAAACCATCGAAGAGATGGTTCCTGTGTGCAAGACCTCGCTGCCTCAAGGCTGGCGAGCTTAAGCGAGAGCATGATGAAAGGGGGGGTCAACGTCACACAGATTTGCAATCTCACCGTCTCGTGTCTTGAATGAAACCATTGCATGATCGGGAGTCGTTATTTGCTCGACGCCCTAAGCGAGCACTGGCCGACGTCGTCCACTAGAAAGCCACGCGAGTTCGCACACCTGCAGCCAACACCAAAGCCATGCCAAAGGTCGATTTCTTGCCATGCGGGCTGGAAAAGATTCCTTATGTGCACAGTATATAGGAAAGGCCGCAGACTGGCTTCGCAGTGTACATTGCAACTGTCGGTGCCATAGATTGAAGAGAGAAAACGGCGGACCAGAGCCCCGAGTTCAGTCTTTGTCTCTTTGGAAATCCCAGGAAGACCTGCAAAGTCATCGTCTTGTAATCAAACCAACTCGATTTCTCTAGAGCTGAGTCAGGACGTCGTCTGGCCACGCAACCCAACGCGACCACTTGGAGCGAGCGAAGAAAAGATCGAGCGAGCAGTACTGAATCATGCCTCAGGCAGCAAGTCTACCGAGCCTTGCCTCTTGCCAAAAGGGGTTAGCGTCTTTTGAGCTCCGGATATGACATCGTTCCCATTTGGAGTTGGACGTAGAAGCCGTGTCGTGTGAGTATCCATAGGGATCTAATACATAATTCTCATACCATTTCTCAACCCTCCAAGATTAAAGATGCCCGCTGTTGTCATTGCATCTTTGACGTCATCCATCTCGCTTTGCAAAACCCCGCTGGGAGTGACGTCGTTTTCGTAAGCGTGGGCTCGAATGCTGTTCACACCGCGCGTTTACCAGCTTGCATCCGCGCCAGACCGCAACCTTGAGGAGATCGTCACATCGTCGCCGTACCTTCGCCTGTCACCGGGTTGGAGAACCCTACGATTTCAACGGAAGCACGCCAGGAAGATGCTTTTGGTTCACCAGACGGGGAATTTAAAAGTGGGCGAGGTTGTTAGGTATATCAGTGGAAATCTCTTCTTTTGCGGGTTGCTGGTTGCTAATGTTCATTGAGATATACGGTGACGTATGAACCTTCCTCCGATCGTATCCTTCCTTCTCCGCAGCATCTTTTCGTGCGGATAAAGAACAATGCTGCCCTTCCGTTGCGAGCCGCATACTTGCATGGGCCATACACCCTTCATGTTGCGGCCTATCCTGCTCACTTCAACCCAAACGAGAAGTTGACAGACGTTAAAAAGCATGGAGCCCCGCAATTCGAACCCAACCTCAAAGCTGGAGGAGTATGGAACGCAAAGATCCCCGTCCCCGAGGAGATACGCGTCACCGGCAACAGTGGCGGAGAGGCTGAAGGGGATGGGCCAAAGAAACTAACGTGGATTATTGAAATAACTTCGCAGATTATTTTCTCTTCTTCAGCTTCCGTGAGCTTTGAACTGCTCATCAGCCGTGACGAACGATCGTTGGACTTTGGCCTCACAGCTGTGGGCGGCCATGAACAGCGGCAGAGTTTTGATGGATCAGATCAAGTACACGACCGCCAGCAAGGTAGCCACAGACACGGTGGAAACAAGCCAGCACATACGAAGGGCGTGTATTCGAAGGCCATCAAGCTGAAAGTCGACGACACGGAGAGCTTATGGAATACGCCTCCGCTCCCCGGATGGGAGGCAGAACAAGAGAAAGGCAAGAAGGCTGTGGAGCACCCTGACGATAAATCCAAAGACAAGAGCGAAGAGCGACCACGTAAAAAACAGAAAATTCATCTGGTCATTCTTACGCATGGTCTACACAGTAATCTGAGCGCCGACATGTTGTACATGAAGGAGAGCATAGATGCAGCAGCTAAGCAGGCGCAAGAGAGCAAGAGGAAGCGACGGGAAGCCAGTAAAGCCACACCAGGAACGAGCAGTACAGCAGCAGCAAATGCGGAAACAAAGCCGGTTGAAGACAGTGAAGACGAAGATGAGGATGAGCAAATCATGGTTCGAGGTTTTACAGGAAATGCTGTCAAGACAGAAAACGGTATACAGTACCTTGGAAAGAGAATGGCAAAGTACATATTGGACTTCACCTTCCCTGATCAACCGTACAGACCGATTCGGAGATCGATGAGTGAGAAGTTCAGCAACGCAATAAGCAGCAACAAGAAAGCCCAGACAACAGATGAACAGGGCCGGCCCACCCATTCTGGAAGTACAATCAGAATGGAGGACGTCTCAAACGCAGATCTCGCTTACACGTTTTCAAAAATCTCATTCATCGGACACTCGCTCGGTGGACTTGTCCAATTGTACGCCATTGGATATATACAGAAGCATGCGCCTCAATTTTTCGATTACATCAAGCCTGTTAACTTCGTTGCGCTGGCTTCACCATTTCTTGGCCTCAGCAACGAAAATCCCATGTACGTCAAATTTGCGCTGGACTTCGGTTTAGTTGGTCGCACTGGCCAGGACCTGGGTCTCACCTGGCGACCCCCATCTCTGGCAAAGCAAGGTTGGAATGCTATCGGCTTTGGTTCGGCGTCCAAGGATCCTGACCAGCCAGATCCTGGCGCAAAACCGTTGTTGCGGATATTGCCGACTGGACCGGCACACCGGGTACTTAGGATGTTTAGAAACAGGACAGTCTACTCAAATGTGGTGAATGATGGTATTGTTCCTCTTAGAACGAGTTGTTTGTTGTTCCTTGATTGGAAAGGATTGAGCCGTGTTGAGAAGGCTAGAAGAGAGAACGGAATTATTGGAACGGTGGCCAACTGGGGGTGGTCAGAACTAACAGGAGCAAGCAGCTCTTCCAACGCACTGATTACCGAAGATGAGGGCGACGAGAATGCTGGAGAAGATGCGCAGTTGAAAAGGTTTGAGACCACCGTACCTCAACCCGCCGAGGATGAGACAAACCAAGACTACCAAGAGCAGGGAGGCAGAGGCTCAGCAGAGCACCATTACCTTCAACAAGAATCCCAACCGAAATCTCCTCCGATGAGCCCAAGGCCGCTCGACGGGCTCCGCAATTTCTTGGGCTTAACCTTGAAGACTTCTAAAAAGGATCTGAAGATGTACAAGCGCACTCAGACATTTAATGCTGAAGATTCCGAAGCACGTAATGGACAATCCGAGCAGCCAGAGAGAAGTCCAGGCCGGACTGATCGGCCAGTGGCAACAAGAGGCGACTCGATGACAGATGATCAGAATTCAAATGCGCCTCCGAAGACTAGCATCTTCGAGTCGGCAGGAGACATTCTGAATCCACCTATACCACCACTCTCATGGATTATTGATCCGTCTTCGCGAGCTAGAACCATTTTCCACGATCGAATTTACCATCCTGAAGATATACCTCCCCCAACCATTAAACGACGCAAGACTTCCGAAAGACTTGGTTTGAGTTCTCAGAGTGGTTCTGCGCATGCAGGAACCGCGGAGGCATCAACTGCGGATTTAAGCGGAATGAAGGTGGAGGAAAAAATAGCTCGCGCGTATCACAAGGACCTTTCGTGGCGGAAAGTGCTAGTGCGTCTCGAACCAGACGCCCACAACAACATGATTGTACGTCGTATGTTTGCGAATGCGTATGGCTGGCCGGTCGTTCAGCACCTTTGCGACACACACTTCGCAGACACCTACACTGCACGGACGCGCGACGAACTTGAGCCTGCCACAGACCGCGCAAAAGGAGTAGAGAAACCTGTTGGCGAGCATGGCGAGCACGTTAAAGGTCAGCAAGACACGGCGGCACCAGACCACCAAGCTAGCGACATGCGCGAGTCTGCCGACGAATTGATGCCACTTCGTGCGGAGAGCGGTGGCAGCGTCAACATTGCGAGATCAATGACAGATACGTCTACAACTCGAGGCTCTAGCTATGACTCGTATGATGACCGTTACTATCAAGACAACAACACGGACGATGAAGAGAACCGTGGCATAATTCCACGATTCTGGAGTCCTCCGCCTATCTTCAGCGGTGGCAAGGCATCTCCGACAAGCAGTAAGCGAGCATCTGAATCAAAAGACGAAGAACACTGTGGTACGAGCCAGGCTGAGATTGCAGACTTTTTGACGGCGGAGCCACTACTCTTGGAGGGTCACAGGGGCTTAGAACCTACTCCTCTAATGCCTGGACAGTCGACTGGAGATGTGGGCTTGAAGGGCTTGGAGGCTGTTCGACCGGAGAGCAAAGGTGGCAAGGAAAGTGTGAGCGAGAATGTGGCGAAAAGTATAGGGAGCTCACAGTCACCAGCAAAATAATACGTTGTAATAGCAGCTGAAATAAATTGTCTGTTCTAGAAATACCCTTCACAAGACACATGTTTAATAGAATGCATAAGAATAGATGTTTGTATCATCGATTTTATTCGCAATATGCACAAATGATTTAGCGAAATGCCAGCAATCAAAAGTCAGAAATGGCCAAGAATTAACTGAACTTCCGGACTTGCTGAACCAAGATCCAAAGTTGCGACGCCTCAAGACTGTAGTGGTGATTACATCATAGCTATGTCGGTCGTGCGCCACTCGCTGCGTCCAAACATGCTATTCCAATCATTGCCATGCCAAGTTCGTCGAGAAGTCCATGTATCAAGTATTTGGTCGTACAGACCTGGCAAAGACGTCACGGCTGCCTAGCACATACGTAGTTATATAGTTTTCCGTCCAAAAGCGCGTATCGAGATTCTTTGCAAAACTCAGAGCATACACGTCAATCACCCACGAGACACGAACTTTGGATCTATTCTACTCTTCACTGGAGAAAGAAAAAAAAAAAGTTCGAAAATAAAAAGAAGGAAAATGGTCTCGGTCTTCTCTGCGCTGGGTGACTTCGTCAAGTCGATCTACGAGCTTGTCGTGAGCATGTTGCAGACCTTCTTTGGCCTCGTCGAGACCTTCGTCAGGCTGATCGTCAACTTCTTCACAAGCGTGATCCAACTGCTGGTAGACACCACGCGGGGCGTGTTAAGTGGCATATTCGATATCATCGGGGGTCTAGGAAACTTTCTTCTTGGTAGGCCTGTGCCTTTGCATCCCAAGTCTCCTGGAGACATTCGGCTAACAGAGTCACCAGCTAATGCAGCAATCATCGGCCTTGCGGCGGTTGGATTCTATGGATACTTGGTCTACCAACGACGCCAGGGACAAGCCGTGACGGTTCAGGGCAAGAGGCTCAATTAGGTTTCTTTCAGTTTTCCTTTCTTGGGCTGAAATGCAAAATGATGCAATGACTGTACTATATATGATTGCGCAATAGCTGATAGGCGGATCGCGAAACGAGGGAATATCTAAGCAACGAGAATGATACCTGTATTTTCATTACCAAGGCCTAGTAAAGTTCATCGTTTTGACGTCGTCTCTTCTTAACTATCAGCTCCTATCTATGCATATCTGACCTTCAATTTATCCGATATATTTTTTGTAGCTGTCGTATAAGGTATACTCGCAATCGGTCCGACTCTAATTGATCTAACATACTCTACTTTGATCGCGGTAGAGATGATTGTCTTGTTATCTCACCTTTAGGCTGTCCCCTTTGTGAGGCGGAAAAGGCAGGTTAACAGTAAGCTACTGTTTCCATTTCTCGAGCATTCTCCAAGCGAACACATCCAGCATGTTCCAAGTAATGGTATTTCGACAAAGTATAGTTGGAGAGAATGCCGATGACGACCTTATACACAATAGCCGTTGTGAGGCAGTGGATCCGTAAAAGGTTTAGCAGTTGCTGCTGCGCTAGGGTAGTTGATATGCAATAAGCAAGATGGCGAATAAGCAGACAATTCCGGTGTAGTAATAACAGCCAATAGCGAACTGCTTGAACATGAGCGGATTGGAACGACCCCAAGTATATATGCCTTGGTCTAGTAGCACAGGAGATGTGAAGACGTCGAGTAGACGATGAGCCAATACTTGTACAAGATCTCGCGGAGTTGAACTTTTAGTTTGGTAAAATGACGATGCATACATGTATCGCAACGAGAATGCTGTGTTAAAACGGCGTAGATTCCTGCCATGTGTTTGCCCGACTCCTGCATACCTCGTGACAACCTGCAAAGCGTCCCGGGGCAGATTGACTAATCTACTGTAACGCCCTTTGCCCGCAGTTCCGTCTTCGCTTGTTCGATTTGAGCCATCAATTCCTTATGCGCCTCTGGCACGTCGTTGAAGGTCAACACTCCCCAACCGAGTCTTGCAAGGAGGTATGCGCCGAATGATACGAGAGCCCAGAATGGGAGCTGTTGATGGGTAAGCGTTTTGCGCATAATTGCTAAGATGCTCAAATCATACATATGGGACAACTTCGTTCTGGACTTTCTCGGGAAGCGGCGCGTAGCCCATGAAAAGTGACATATAGAACTGCAGAGATGTCAGCCAGAACGCGTTGAAGGCGCAGTGATAAGACATACAGATGCAAGGAGCACCAGAACAGCAGCCGTTTGCGTTGCTCGCGACATTTTGTATGGTAACTGTGTGATGTCAGCAGCTATTGAATGTATTCAATCACTTTCCCGTCGCGAGTAAATGATCTGGGAATGGAGCGCGCTGGCATCTTGCCATTTCTAGAAAAGATCCAGGGGCGGATGCTGTAAGGCTGAGTGGATGGCTTGGCGTGGCAACCTTGCAGAGCGCGCAAGAGCTGTGGTGATTTAAGTCAACTCAAACACGGAACGTTGACAATCCGCCAGTCTGACGTTGCGATCCATTCCAATAACTCTGGAGAGACGAAGCTGATATCGGATAATCTTAGTTTCTCGCAGCTTCACCACTAAATTCAAAGATGGAACAATTCATGCGTAGCATCGATTCCTCGAAAGCGCTTTCAGATGAGATGCATGCTGAGCTAGTCCAAAAATTTCAGGAAAGTCTCAAAAGCGAAAATTGGGACGATGTAGAAGCTGTCGTTGTTGCCAGTCGCCAAGGTGAGTACGGATAATGATGCGGACGTGAATGTTGAAGAGATGGAACTGAAGTCGCTTAAAACGGTTGCCCTGCTCATGGTTAACAGTTCCATAGAAGATTGGAGGGAAATACTTGCCCAGAGAGATATACTTGGGGTATTTTTGGACCATTACGTGTGGATCGACGTGAATCCCGTGCAGACCAGACCACTGTCTCTGGCCATCAGACTTGCTGCAAATTGTTGCCTCGCTTCAAAAGAGCTTCATGCTGCTTTGGCACAGCATATTGACCGCATAGAACAATTACTTGCCATATCCGGTATATGCGAGGTAACCGTTGGTCTCCTGGCAAACATGCTCTTTGATGATAATTCGGTGCTGGAATTCTCCGTCTTGCTTGAGAAGGGGTTTCAAGAAACCATCGCCAGGCAACTAGCAATTCACAATCTTAATACAAGTCATCCCATGTTTGAAACCGCCGTAGAGATTATTGACTCTTTGGCGGAGGAAGATATGGAAGCCAAGATCCCAAACGTCGCTGCAACAACTGCCGCAGTCGCACATTTGATCGACTTCCTGTTTAGAGCATCACAAGCATCATCTGACCGCTCGAATAACCATCGGCTCGTTGACATACTGCTTCGGTGGACGACTTCGACAGAAGTGCGCAAGGAGATTAGCCAGCCTCTTTATCAGAGCAGCTTTTACAAGCTACCACAAGTTTATGAGTTGACTCTGCATCACAGCCAAGAAGTGTTGGAAGAAAATGTCGAAAACAAAAGATTGATCTCCAAGTTTGAATCTATCTTAGGTGAATTTGCGTCGCAATCTGCAACTGCAGAAAAATCCGATGCCCTGTCTGGTAGTTTATTCGCAAAGGCTGCAGAGTGGATACAGCTCACTAGGCGCAGCCCAGTTTCCGACAAACTCTGCTCTACAGGTTATCTAATTCTTTGCAATATGTGCAATGACAGCTTTGCTGTTTCAGCGGTCCATGAACATGCTCTTCACAAAATAGCATTGGCGGCACTCCTCGATTCTGAATCCAGTGAGGTGCGACAAAGCGCTGCTGCCTTCCTGGGGAACTTATTCCACCCAGTTGCTAACAAAGAGACTCTGCTTCAAGCTGGTATCATTCAGACCATATACAAAGCTGATGAAAACGCGGCCATAAGGCTCATGCGTAGGCTTTTAAGCAATGCAAGCGGCAACCTCGTTACCAGCATTACAAACGGCTCGCAACAAAATTTGCCTCTCCTTAAAGATATTATCAACAAGCTTCCTGATCAAAAGGCTCTTCAAGATGGCCTGCGCGAGATTCAGACGGATGGAAACGTGCCAGGAACTCAGGCACTAAACTCGGAGCAAATACTGACGAAAGATATTGCAAGTATTTACGTGATTACACGGCGTCATACCACACTTGCAAATCAATACATTACCACGTCTTTGATATGGTCTCTGGTTAACCTTGTATTGCTTGGAATACGTACGAGCAACGCGATCGATCTAAGCAATGGCGTTTTTGGCCTTGGTTTGGTGCTCCAGAGCAAAGATCCTCTGACCGGCTCCTTTGCAAAGAGCACCGTGGAAGCATTGCAACATGGCGATGGCTTGCTTGCTTTAAAACAAGTCATTGAGATGGCAAGAGACGATCAGGCCAATCCTGTGGCGAAAAAGGTTGCGGAGAATGCTACGAACGTTCTGCATAGGCTGGTCGAAGAATTAGAAAAGGATGACAAGCTCGATGACATGACACAGAAGCTAAACGATGTTCTGAAGCTTGGACTAGATGCAAAGTTGGAATCATAGCTATTTGACTGAGAATTTCTGAGGTAAATCGAAGATAATCCTTATTCCATCAGCTGAGTTAATGGAACTGAGCATAGTATCTTCAAAGGTTTGGTGAATAAATATTCCTGACAGCCAAATTATTTCATGTGTTAATGCTGATCGTGTTCGTTACATAAATAATATACTAATGAAAGTGTCAAAATTATTTGCGGAAGTTAGAGATACCTTGGCATAGTCTTGAACGTGAATTGTATGGAGGGAACAGTTTCTTATATAGTTCAATATTTTAGAACGGTAGCGAAGTTCAATTCATAGATAAAGTCATCTTTTTCAAGTACATCAAGCTGAACGACTTCTGACGTGAGATTTGAATGAAGATTGATGCTATCTATCTTCGATGGTATGAGCAACATAATTTAGGGCTGGTTCCGGAATAGCTTGGAAAACTTCAACACATACGGTTAGAAATTCGAAGGAAGCGGAGATGATCTTTTTATTCTTGAAAATCTATCAATCATGTCTAATTTCTTTACCAATCCTGGAGTACGTGTGAGTTGCAATGACCTGTCCGCTCCGAGCTTACATAACGCTGACTCAAGAGGTATGCCGCATGCCCCATCGATCATGACAAAGCCATCAGCTGCGTGGACGAGTAAAAAGAATCTCTCGTTCGAGGAGTTGAACCTCGATCCCCAGCGGCTTGTTCTGTCATTGGAAAGACAAGCTGGGATGCTACCGTTACACCAAACGAGATTCCGCTTGACCATCTTTCTGATCTTATGGTAATAAACTGAATGCATAGAGTGATATCGTGCTGAACAGCCTGGGTCGAGGGTGAGGCCGATTGAGATTACTCAGCGTTCCGCTTTAAATAAGCATTGTTCCTCTTTGATTCTTTCGTATAAGCCACAGGGGCCCGGTATATCGATGAAAGCGGACTCGAAATGTGCAAAGAGAATTTTTGCGCACCATATTCAAGACGTGAGCTTTTCGCTGCAAACTACCTTTTCACAGTTTTAGGCTGGCTCTAGGGTCCTTTTTCGCTTGGATGTACAATGATTCTGATTCTGCCATGATCTTTCGTTCGCTATCTTCAAGGGTTCCTTTGATCCACATTTTTCGACCCTCTTGTTTCACGACCGTTGCTGTCGCCAATATGATACCTGGGGTTGGAACGGGGGCCAAGTATCTGGTATTCAGATAAGCGGTCATGTGCGAAATTTTGTCGTTACGACCGGTCTTGCTGTTCTCGTATAGTTGAATGACATTCAAGACGAGACCCATAACCTCGTCGAGCATTGTGGCCACAAAGCCGCCGTGGCACGTGTTTGGGTATCCATTCACTCCCTTGCCAACCTCGAAAAACACAAGCACTTCTTTTATTGGCGGATCTCTGGATGGATCAGGAATAGAGTTGATCGTCAGCAACCGCTTGATTGTATCCTCTGTTTGAAGTGTCTTCGCAAAGAACTCGTCTTCTCCAGTAGGTTTTGGGAGTCTTGTGGGTGTTACACTTGGCACATATTTCGGATTATTGATTATTGCTGCGCACCAGGGTACAGATTTGAAATAACCGAGATTTTCACATCCGGCACGGTAGTGGAGGAGGTTCTCTGCATGAACCATGTTTAGGAAGAAATCATCCAGTATCGCCAAGCATATAACGCGAGAACGAAAGAACAAGAGTGTCGACCGTGACGCGAACTTTTTGCTAGCGACGGACTTGGAGTGAGGTGCCTATTAGGATCAATGGAAGGCTAGAATCAAATATCTTTGGCAAGCTGCACGGGGCTTCGAGTTACCGAGGGTACAACGAGATAGCCCATTGCTGGGGTCAGTTACACGGTGAAGGAAATGCACTTTTGCCGACCGAATTTCGGAAGCAGCGTGGAAGCCACTTGCGACGTCATTGGTTGGTTGAGACCCATTTGCGGACAAACGAAAATGGTTCCAGCTGTAAATACCCCGTCGAAATTCTTCGAAACATCAGTCTGGAACCACGAAAATCGTCGAAAAGATGGACGTGAATCAGCTTAAGGAGATCAAAGAATTTCTTATCGCCATCGCCCATGAGGCGGGCGATATGATTACCACGGCTCACCCTTCTACTGGAGCGAGTGGCTCGAAGAAAAATTGTAAGTACGCTCGTTCCAAATGGCGCTATAAATATGGCTTTCAATCGGCATGCACTCGCATGAATTGCCCATTTAAGCCAGAAGTTCTTTCGAGTATTTCTCTATGAAATATATGCTGAACTATGCAGCCGTGGACTTGGTGACGGAAACGGATCGAGCGGTCGAGAAGATGGTCTCAACTAAGCTACGAGAAAAGTATCCGGGTTTCAGATTCATGGGTGAAGAAACATACAAGCCTGGAGATATCCTCTCGGATGAGCCAACTTTCATCGTAGACCCAATAGATGGGACCACCAACTTCATCCATGCGTATCCGTATTTCTGCATCTCACTAGGCTTCGCCATCAATAGGATCCCGACAATTGGAGTCGTCTACCAACCTTTCACGAAAACTATGTACTCAGCTATCAAGGGCCAGGGCGCCTTTATGAATGAGTCGATACCTCTCCCCCTGAAATCAAACCCCGAACCTCTGACTGATCTTGCACGTTGTTTGATATGCGTAGAATGGGGGAGTGATCGCAGCGGAAATGACTACGCCGTGAAGTCCAAGACTTTTTCAAAGCTCTGCGCAGCCAAAGAGGAAGGAGGAGCCATGGTTCACTCCTTACGGTCACTGGGCTCAGCGGCGCTCAACCTGTGTGCCGTAGCGGCAGGACAAATAGACGTCTACTGGGAAGCTGGATGCTGGGCCTGGGATGTCTGTGCTGGATGGTGTATTCTCAATGAGGCCGGAGGCTTGATGGCTGACGCAAATCCCGGTAATTGGGAGCCGAGAATTGATGAACGACGATATCTGGCGGTGAGAAAAGGTGAGGGCCAAAAGGCTATTGTAGAAGAGCTCTGGAGTTATGTGCAAGGCAAATTTGAGGTTGGACTTTGAGTTAGAGCAATGGCCACTTACCCGTCATAGACTATTTCTCAAAAAGAGATGCTTTGCTCACATAAAAAGGCTTTCCACATCTTTATAACTTAACATGCCTTGGTCAAACCTAAACTTTAGGTTGACCATGGGCTGTGTAGCGATACATGACACAACACAAACTTGTTATCATATGAACATTGCATCTCATAGCAAACGCTATACTCTGAGTTCGAGAATAATGATTGTCACCATCGCTAGGGGGACCTGCTAAGTGTACGTTTCTAGTCAAAGTCATGGTCCAATCAGTTCGAATGCACAATGGAGAAGAAATGATCAATGCTATGGAGCGATCAAATATGCATGTAAGCGCTGTCCTAAGTCCAAACTGTGAATGAATTGGCTAGAAGGAAGTTGGAAACCTCCAAACTAACCCATATTTGTACAATATTACCAAGTTTGGATTGGCGTCGATTTCCATAAATGGCAAAAGTCGACTTTTTCGTAAATACCTCTATGTTAGGATGCGCAAAAGTCTTGACTTTTGCGTAACAAGCTTAGAAATTCAACTGAATACGAACTCCGGAAGATAAGAGCTTAGGGTATATATACTAGCTTTTTCCCCAGATAGTATTTTGACCATGTTTGCAAACTTTCCCAGTATCTCGATATAAATAAGTCGCAATGACAACAGCACAACTGGCAAGAACACTCTACATCGTTGCAGCCAATGGCATCCGATATGCATATCGAAAACTTGGCCAGATTGGGGGCGTTCCCTTGGTAATGCACAATCATTACAGGTCCAACATGGATTACTGGGATCCGCTGCTCGTCAACGCACTTGCTGCTCAGCGCCCAGTCATTCTATTCGACCAAGCAGGAACCGGTCGTAGTGGCGGCGAAGTCGCAACTACATACAGCGGTTGGGCAGACCACGTCATTGAGCTCACTAAAGCCATTGGAATTGACCAATTCGATCTCCTTGGCTTCTCAATGGGCGGCGCCACGGCACAGATGGTCGCCCTGAAAGCACCACGTCGTGTCCGGAAACTTGTCATATGTGGGAGCTTCCCCTCTGTACCCGGACCCAACTCTGATATTTCTGGAATTGTTTGGCCGCAAGTTCAAGCCGACCCGAAGCATCTGAAAGAACTCTCAGCAGAGGCAGAGAGTTGCGACCCAGCCGAAGCGATTGCCTTCTCCTTCTTCTACAACACTGACGAAGGACGCGCTCACGCTAGAGCGTATTGGAACCGCGTTCTTGAGCGCAAAGTTGAGGATGAGCCTATCATGACCAGGCTTTTGAACGATGAAGGCAGTAAGCGACAAATGATCGCTGCTGGAGACTGGCTCAAGCACAATCCTGAGAATTCATACGACCGTCTTCGCGAACTGAGGATGCCGGTTCTGATCATGAATGGAGACAACGACTATCTTATCCCGACAAGTCGTAGCTGGGAGCTCCTGATTAAGATTGAAAATGCCCAGCTAATCATATATCCAAAAGCTGGGCATGGATTTTTATATCAATATGCCACTTTGGTCGCACAGCATGTCAACATGTTCTTGGACGGCTTCGGAGAGGCTAAATTATAAATTTAGATTAAAGAATAAATTTTGAAGTGCATGAATCCAAATTTTGATGCTAGCAGATTTCATGAAGCACGATTTTCACAGAGCACTGATTGAATGCTATGCCTCGGCAGATACCGGGGTTAGCTGACTACGCGATGCAATCTTACAATAGGTAAGGGAACGAGGAGAGTGCAGAGGCTCATCTCCACTCTTAACGAGTAGCTGCAGTTAAGGACGTGGTCCTCCAAGAAATGAGTATCTCTATGGCGAAGAATATTTTTAATTATAAATACCTCTTTACTACTTTAGTGCCGATCTTAAAACTGGTGACTCTGGTAGAGAACAAGGCAGCTTTATTCCCTCACTATTTGCGCGATCCCATATGAGTTGACCAAGAGACTTTGCAGCGTTTGTTAGGAAAACTATCGCCACAAATTGTTGATGTTCTAGAAGATGTACAACTTGAAAAGACGAGCGTGAAAACAAATGTACCACCTCAGGAGTACTCGAATTTGATCTCTGCAGCACTTGAGAAGAACGATGCGCTCAAGGTTCCGTTTTCCAGTTGCGGTTATCGACGGCAGAGAAAGATATACGGCGCGCAGTCGAATTCTTGTAGTTTTAAATATATGACTCTTGAGGCAAGCTTATTTCCTTTTGTCAAATTTGATGGCTGTCAAAAGTAACAATCTTAATGGCGCCTTCCTTTCGGGTTGGGGTTCGTTCTCTCATAATTAGCGTTGCAAAGTGTTGCAAAGACACAATGCCATTAGAAACATTTAGCCGGACGTGAAGCCAAGGATATACGCACATTGTAACGTAGGGTTAAAAATTGCTCTTTACTAATTTATCTCTACATCATCAAATAGGTACATCGTCATTCTGAAGAAATGAGTCACGTTTCGTATTTGTAGCGATCGTTTTGTTTGTCTCGGCCTCTGCTTGGAATTCTTTAGAGGTTGGCGCTTCAATCATACCTTGACTGGGCCGACCTTCTGCAGGTTGCGTCGGTGCCTCTAGACTCGGAGCTATCGTTTGCGATGATGACCTTTGCTGCCTTTCTCGTTCCTCCCAACAACGATCCTGGCACAACTTGCATACTCGGCATTCCAGCATCCGCTCTTCAAACATCCAGGTCTTTCTCTTCAAAAGTCCTTGGCAGTGAGAGCAAGGAATGTCTACCATAATTGTCGTCCGTGGGCAATTTCTCCTCGCCATTTCTAGCCCTCTCGAGCTTCTCGTAACCAGCCTTGGCGTGCTATTGCTTTCATCCACGCCGTCAAATATAACAAGTTTATCGTACCTGCAGTACCAAGCTGGCGAACCACTGCAAGTCCGGGCATGGATCTGCTTGGTTACGTCAAGTGCTTGCAATGCGCGTCGCGGTCCCAGCAGAATGCACCCAGTATCTACAGGACTTGACAGACTCGATGATAGTGCTAATGCTGAAGCTAAGTCTAGTTTAGGGACATGCCATGCTTTGGAGCTCATGGCGACGTTGGTTAAAGAGCCGTTGTCGGGAACAGGGACTCTGCCTTCTAGGAATGGAGATGAGATAAATTCAGGGGCTGGGTGGTTGAGCTTCGCGTATAGTGATGCGGTGGTGTTTGTCCTCTGTCGGATAAGAGGCCCAGGTGTGTGTGTATTTAGCTGCGACGCTGCCTGGTCCTCGAAAAGCTTTTGGGCTGCCGCGAAGCGACTGGTTGCCCTTTCCTTTGCTGCTGTATGGCTTCCCGCTCCAGACTCGTGTCCATCGTCACAGAGCTTCAGGGACGTAATTGTCCTTTCCAAGGCTTTTGCGGTCGTCCGGGACATAGTTGATGCTTTCCTTCAAGAGTTAATCCTCCCGGTTTTCTACGAGACCTTCTAGAAGACCGTACGTCCCCTTAACTATACCGCAGAGTTGGGTAGGACGTGCAAGGCTGTGTTTCTTATGCAATTTTGCATAACGTTGTCTCACAGGCGAGCGAGCTAAACATGAAACGTTTCCAAACAAAAAGACATCCCGAGAAGCAAATAGGGACGCGGAGAAAATAGGAATGTATGAATGGATGGACCTGGCAATGTAGACCCTTTCATTTCGGGTTAGGACAGAGACTTGCTCGTCTTTCATGGTAATGCGATGCATGCGTTGGAACAGGCACGAGGTTTGCGACAAAATGCGTGTCTCAATGTCATTGCATGAGGTCGAGCCAGCGTCCGCCATCGTGGAGTCGACTGTAACCTGGTGGCAATTGACTGGTCGTATCGGGGTACCTTTACATCGCGTGCGATTTGCTTACATACAGATTGAGCGCATAAATGCTATTGAGAGTCCCGAAGCATACGTCGTTCTTTGATGGATTCCCTTTTACGAGTCTATGCTGGCAGACGATATGGTTCTGGATATATATGACTATGGTCTGACATGTACACTACAGCGAAACTGATCTATGCTGTTAGTCATTCAGTCCGGGGAATCGATGTGAGGCGTTAGCGACGAAATATTGGTGTATCTAGGACGACTGCGGCGACTGTGTGGCGTGTTACAAAGCACTTGTAGTCTTGTTAACTTGTGTTTGTAGCGAGCGAGCCGCGCACGGACACGTCCGCCGTGGACACCTTGAATCGTAAGCTATGGCAACCTTCACGGCTTCCATCAACGACAGGTATCGCATCACCAAATAGTACTCCAAATACCGTTAATCTCTACGCCATCTTTACCTGCTACGATCAACTTCGAGTCATCGCCGAACTGTCCTGTACCCCTAGTCATGGCTAGTCTAGAAGACCTAGACGATCTCGAGCGCGAGAACAAGGACGACAAGAAAGATGAGAACAAGAAGACTGGTAGTGATGTTGATGCGGATATGAAGGATGCCGAAAAGAAGGAGGAAGAGGATGACGATGTCCTAGACGAGGAAATTCTAAGCTTGAGCACACGAGACATCATCGCAAGGCGGCGGCTGCTGGAGAACGACGCGAGAATTATGAAGAGCGAGTTTAACCGGTTGACACACGAAAAGCAGGCTATGCACGAGAAGATAAAAGATAACCTCGATAAGATTGAGAATAATAGGTGGGTTTGATATTAACCCATTATAAATCAGGTTTACGGTTCAAACTTCAGTCTACTGACATGTACCGGTATAGACAGCTACCCTACCTAGTCGGCAACGTTGTTGAGATACTTGATTTGGATGTACAAGCTGAGGCTGCGGAGGAAGGCGCAAATATTGATCTGGACGCCACGCGTATAGGCAAATCCGCAGTCATCAAAACCTCGACTCGTCAGACTATCTTCCTTCCACTGATTGGTCTCGTTGATCACGAGAAGCTCAAACCTGGCGACCTTATTGGTGTTAACAAGGACTCGTATCTTATTCTTGATACACTTCCAGCGGAGTATGATAGCAGAGTGAAGGCCATGGAAGTGGACGAGAAACCGACGGAGAAATATTCTGATGTTGGAGGACTAGATAAGCAGATCGAAGAGCTCGTTGAAGCCGTGGTCTGGCCGATGAAGGAGGCGGAGCGATTCAAAAAAATTGGCATCAAGGCACCCAAAGGTATGCAAGTCTTACACGTGTCGTCGGACGTTTCGCTGACAGTCAACAGGTGCACTTATGTATGGGCCACCAGGTACTGGGAAGACGCTCCTCGCCCGCGCATGTGCCGCCCAAACAGATGCTACTTTCCTAAAACTCGCTGGCCCGCAACTTGTGCAGATGTTCATCGGTGATGGTGCCAAGCTCGTCCGTGACTGCTTCGCACTCGCCAAAGAAAAGGCTCCATCAATCATTTTTATCGACGAACTCGATGCCGTTGGCACCAAGCGTTTTGACAGCGACAAGTCTGGCGATCGTGAGGTTCAACGTACAATGTTAGAGCTTCTCAACCAGCTCGACGGCTTCGCATCTGATGATCGGGTCAAGGTCCTGGCCGCTACCAATCGCGTTGATGTACTTGATCCGGCTCTCTTGCGGTCTGGTCGCTTGGACCGGAAAATCGAGTTTCCTTTGCCTAACGAAGAGGCTCGTGCACAGATTCTGCGTATTCATAGTAGAAAGATGACCGTGGACGAAGGTGTAAATTGGATGGAGTTGGCGAGGAGCACTGATGAATTTGGCGGTGCGCAGCTGAAGGCTGTATGTGTGGAAGCGGGCATGATTGCACTGAGGAGTGGCCAATCTAAGATTAGTCACGAGCACTACGTCGATGCCATTGCGGAAGTGCAGGCCAAGAAGAAGGAGACCATCTCGTTCTATGCATGATCTATGGCATGCGTGAAATGAACGAGGATTAAACTTGCGTCGATCAGGGCTGTATTCTACTGAGATGTTACACCACTGCGTCGATATCGATACGCCAACTTGCATGTCGAAGACCAGGCACTGACATAATAGAACATATGGACTTGTGTGCTAGGAGTTTGCACGGTATCTTTGACTTAATCTTGTCCACATTTGACACTCGTCATTTGGAGTGAAGTTGGCGATGAAGGAGGTCGTCTCGAGACGTGCCAAAACTAGGGGTATACGTCGGATCTGCCTAAGCTGAAAGGACCGCAGCGGATTTTGGGAGGGGATGCGATTGCTTTGGTTGGACTGGATCTAAACGAACGGACACAACGTTCAACTTCCGGATGTGTTGCGTAGCCTATGCTTGACGAGTCGCTACGCTCGTCGATGCATCCTGTACGAACTGCTCTAGCCACAGAAAACGTTAACCACAGAGGTCGAACATCTGCCAAAGAAATCAGCCAAGAAGGTTTTTGCTCCGTCATTATCATCATCCTATTCGCATCTCAAGGCTTTCTTCACCTCTTTCAAAGAGCAGTTCATAGTGCGTCGTCATAAACTATGCATACTCTAGATGGCACAAGTTCTATTGACGAGAGTAACGAGTGAATTTGCAAATGTCGAATACACGTAGCGTGAGTGGTCTGGCAAATGATTCATACCACTCTAAGCTCCTGGTTCATCATTCACAATACTTGTTTCTATTAAAAGTCTTGAGGGAAAGGTGAGGCCTTGTGTCGTACCCTAAGAGCTCCAATCTACGAGCTCTAAGGTATGAGCATGAAACAGAAGTGCGAAATAATGGAGAAGTGCAACGGAGACGAAAGGGAGTAGAAGGCAGTAAATACACAATGTATAGGTACGTCACAGAAGTGAGGAGTTAATTCTTGAGTAGTTCAACCTTAGAAGCAAAAATGAAATGCATAAAAGAACCGGAATGGAAATTTAAGCAATGTGACTGCTTCCAGAATCCGCAGAATGCGTGCAAGAATCCTTTGCGATGAGAGTAGCGAAGAAAACTTGGGCCTCAAGAAAGACCCAACATCGTGGACGAGTTGATGGCTTACAAAAACGGGTAATGTAAGTGGTCACAAGGTTCCGTAGGTTTGGGGTCACACAGAAGCACGATGGAGGTTACGAGCTGATCTAAGAATGCAGCATCCCACGAAACTCGTATCATTATTCATTATCTATGTGTAAGTCCATCCTCCACAAGCATCGAAACGAAGCCTCGAGACGCGTTACCTTCGCGCAAGCCGATATCGGCATCAGAAGTAGAGTGCAATCTCCAGTTGCTCAATATCAATTAGAAACTCGACGATGTTCAAATGATCACACTATTAGCTCGCTCTTCATGCCCAGCGTCGGCAGCTGAACGAATCAGAGACGTAATCGGAACGGAAGTGAGCTCGGCAGACGCGGGTGAGAGCTTTGACTATGACGGCCAGATGACCTGCCCAAAAAGATGTATCCCACAGTGTTCTGGACTGTTCAGGCTTTCCCACTGCAGGAAAATACTCAATCGATGGATGAGGGATGAGACAAGCGAAGCGTACTGTAAGTTCGGAGATGTCGGACATGCTTGTTGTGGGCAAGCGGACAAACGGGGTAGGTCATTAGAGGGGTTTCCAGGAAATCTATGACGTTTGTAACGTGGAGGTGGATAACGATTCATAACGGCATCTTTACGAGCCTATCTTACAGCTTTTTTGACGGATATCTCGCTGAAGCTAAAAGGAAATCGCTGCAGTGCGCAATAAATGGATTGCAGTGACAAAGCCTTGTCACCCTGTCCCCACATCAAGATTGGGTCAGAAAGTAGGCGCCTCTGGCCTGCTCAAGGATGGAGCATAAACGGGCCTATATTTTGACTCGCAGCGTGCTTCGATTCATTTTCTGAAAACTCCGTTGTCTTGATCTTACAATCCTCAACAAGTTCGCCGTCATGTACACTCTCTTCCCGTATCTCCTTTCCCGACCTGGAGCTGAAGACGACTTTCAACCGACGTCAATAGTCTTCTCAAACTTGCAGGGGTCTGCGGACGAACTTGTTTGGGCTTGGGCGAACGTGCTGAGCGGATACTCGGGCTACGATGACCAGGTATCGTTTGTCAGGAACGATAGCGCGATGTTAGTTACGCTTCGTGGTGATACTGTGCAGATTGAGGAAGTGAACAAGACAGAACCAATACCACGTGAGGCCACCGCGGTCTACACGGATGGCGTAGGTGAACATCTCAAAAAGAAAGAGATCTTGGAGCTGATAACTGAAACAGAGAGAACCCTTACAAAATCTTGCTTTAGAAATATACGTCGATTTACGCACCGGGTGTGGCGCTCTACATACCAATGGATTTGTCCCGGCCAAACATCTAAGTCAAGTCATTTCTGTTCTACAATGCGCACCGGGTCAAACAGGGAACAACCTGTGGTCTACAATCTTAAGTTCAGATCCTCGGGTTGAGCTCTCTATGCTAAACGAACGACCGACTCTTGTGCCTGGCCCAAATCTGCTCCACATGCTGGTATCTTCGGCACAAGATGGACAATCTATTGCGATCGATTATTACGATGCCGACATGTCAAATGTACGAGTTTCGTACGATGAACTGTATGCTCGCATCTCGAATCTTGAGCAAATACTTTGTGAACGTTTAGCACAAAGGACTGTGAATCAGCGGCGGACAATTCCTATCTTGATTCCTCACTCACCTGAATTGTACATTGCCATGATTGCTGTTCTACGGAGCGGATGCGCCTTCTGTCCACTTCAGCTCGACGCACCTAGAGATCGCTTGGAATTCATCGTTCGAGATGTGGGAGCAACTGTTGTAATAACTACGTCTGCATATTTGTCCAAAGCCCAGAGCATATCGGATGTCGATATCATTGACGCCAACGTGTCAAACTCACACATTAATCGCAAGCCATCCTCTGGACCGAAAGATATTCAAAAAATAGATCCCAGCGATACGGCCTACATCATGTACACGAGCGGCTCGACTGGAAAGCCGAAAGGCGTGCCAGTGTCACACCTATCAGCTACTCAGAGTCTCCTCGCTCACGACCGACATATACCGAAATTCTCTCGCTTCCTGCAGTTTGCCGCACCCACATTCGACGTGTCCATCTTTGAAATTTTCTTTACACTGTATCGACATAGCACGCTCGTTGTCTGCGAACGCTCTCGCCTCTTGAACGACATTCCATTCGCAATGAGGTACATGCAGGTTGACGCAGCGGAACTTACTCCTACAGTTGCGGGCGGCTTACTACAGCTGAGAAAGAATGCTCCTGGGCTAAAATTGCTACTTACAATTGGCGAGATGCTCACGCCACAAGTTGTCGCTGAATTCGGTGGAGATGAGAGCAAGGATGCAATATTGTGGGGTATGTATGGTCCTACTGAAGCGGCTATCCACTGCACTCTTCAGCCCGCGTTTTCAACCAGGCATAAACCTGGAAACATTGGATTTCCCCTCGACACGGTCTCTGCGTTCGTAATTGCTCAGACAAGTGGAAAATCTCAAGTCGAAGATGTTTTCCAGCCCTTACCACAAGGATTTGTCGGCGAGCTGGCAGTTGGTGGGTTTCAATTGGCGGACGGTTACTTGAATCGACCAGAGCAAACAGCAAATGCGTTCATCCGAACGAACTCGCATGGTTTAATTTACCGTACTGGGGACAAAGCGAGGATTCTTGTCGATGGCACAATTGAGTGCTTAGGCCGCATCTCTACTGGCCAAGTAAAACTCAGAGGTCAGCGCATTGAACTTGGAGAGATTCGTCACGCCGTCGCGAAGACTCCAGGTTGTTTAGACGCCGTTGTCAGTGTCATCAATGAGTCTTTGGTGGCTTTCTGCCTTTCGAATGAAAACCTTGCAACTGAAAGCGTGATGGCAAGCTGTCGGAGTTGGCTTCCATCATTCATGGTCCCATCTGATGTCGTTATACTTCAAGACTTTCCTCGACTCCAATCAGGTAAAGTGGACATGAAGGAGCTTGAACAAAAATACGAAAAAAATTACTTCCCAGAGGCCGGAAGGATCGAAAATGATACCAGCAACAACGCTTGGCTAGCTTGCAAGGTATTGAGAGGCATATCGAGACGCTCTATATTACCTTCTCAGAAGCTTAGCTCGACGGGAATAGACTCATTACTTGCAATAAAGGCCGCTAGCCAGTTGCGAAGACATGGCTTTCGAGTGTCTGTCACTGATTTACTGGGGGACAAGACTATTGAAGAGCTTGTGCAAGATCAGAATCTGGGGGGCCTCTCTCAATCTACTGAAAGCAACATAGTGAACCCCAATCCACCTCATCCTTTGTTTGCTGAAGTTCAAAAGCTCGCAGCAGAGTCTATTGACTCCAAGCTACTTGGCGGTGCTGAGCAAATATACCCGTGCACTGCGTTGCAGTTAGCTATGCTTGCAGAGACTGTTGCAGATCCACGCAATTACTGCAATTGGATTGAGTTGCAGATAGAGCAATCGCTGAGCCTGAGGCGTGTCATGGATCTTTTCCGACGTCTTTCTTCCGTACATAGCATGCTACGCTCTGGATTCTGTCAGCTTTCATCCAGTAAAACTCCTTTCGCTTGCATCACTTACAGAGAGCTTGAGGACACGCAGTTCAGTGAGGTGCAGGACTTTAATCGAGAGTTTTCTTGGAGAGAGGACGAACTACTGCGGCCACTTCAGATTCAAGTCAAGCATGAACAAGACTCATGCTCGATCCTGTTGCAGATACATCACTCGCTTTATGACGGATGGTCTATCGATTTACTGGTGAGAGACCTTCGCCGTCTTTTAAATGATGAAGTTCTGGCTGCCATGCCTGGCTTTGTGATGGTCACCAATTTCTACCTCAACGTAGACTGCACTGCCGCGCTTGACTATTGGCAAGATCAATTATCTGATTTTCAGCCAACTAGGCTTCCTAATTTCAATGGCCAAGTAGCCAAATCAGCTGAGGTCAAAGAAGAGGTATTCAAAATGAGCGTTGTTCCCAAACGGGTCAGGCAGCTGGCCGAAGAACTGCAAGTTAGCAAGCCTGCTATTTTCCAGACCATGACGGCTTATGTCCTAGGCACTTATCTCGGATCGGCGGATGTCGTACTCGGTACAGTAACGTCTGGACGATCCATACCACTTGCTGGTATCGAGGACGTTTTCGGACCCTGTTTGGCCACAAGCCCGTTGAGAATCCACTTTAAGGGTGGAGAATCCGCAGCAGAAGCCTGTAAGCGGACAAATGTTCTAAATCGACACCTTCTTGAACACGCAATTGTTCCGCTTCAGACAATCAAGCAAGTATGCGATATAGAAGCCGGTAAACCGCTATGGGATGTTCTTTTTGTGTGGCAGGAATCATTGGATAGCCACATATCCGAGGAACGCCATGTTCATGTCGTTGACAGCGCAGATAAGCTTGAATGCGCTGTGACACTGGAGTTCGAGCCCAGAGATGATGGAATTTTTGGTAAAGCGACATTTAAAAATGACATCATCTCATCGAAGCAAGCAGTTCTGTTGTTGCAACAAATTGATTCACTTGTTCTTGGATTAATTGAGAAAGCTGATGCAAGCTTCGCGGAGCTCTGCGAAACACTTCCTCTTGAGACCTTGTCCATATCGAATCCATCTCCAGACAAGTTGCTTTTCGATCACGGTGTGGAGCATGCCGTGGAATACTGGGCTCTCACACAGCCTGATCATCTAGCTTTGACTTTCGCTATTGAAGTATCGCAGGACAAAGCTATCTGCGAAAGTTTGACATACAAGCAACTGAACGAACGTGCCAATCAGTTGGCACATTTTCTATCCGTGAAAGATCTCAAGTCTTCGGAGCTTGTTGCAATTTGCATGGAAAAGTCTTTGGACCTCTACGTCGCGATCTTAGCCGTGCTGAAATTGGGACTTGGATATCTACCTATTACACCAACTACACCACTCGCACGGATTAAAAAAATCACTGATGAAGCTGGAGTGTCCTTATGCCTCAGTCAACGTCAAGTATTCCATCATCTTCCTCTCGAGAGCATTTGCGAAGTTCTCAATATAGACACCGTTGACATAGCGAGACTTTCAACTGCCAATCTGGAAACAAAGTACAATGGATCGCGCGCAGCTTATGCAGTGTTCACCTCTGGCAGCACGGGAACACCGAAGGGTGTCCTAGTCACCCAAAACAACCTAAGGAGTAATCTTGCGGTGCTTGCTGAGATATACCCCACCGCCAATGGAGACCGTCTACTTCAGTCGTGCTCACAAGCCTTTGATGTTTCCGTTTTTGAAATATTTTTTGCATGGCAAGAAGGCATGTGCCTGTGCACCGCAACGAACGATGTCCTCTTCAAAGACATTGAGATGGCAATCAGAGCACTCGAAATTACTCATCTTAGCTTGACGCCAACTGTTGCAGCTTTGATCCATCCCGACAATGTTCCTAGTGTTCGATTTCTTGTGACCGCAGGTGAAGGGGTGACACAAAAAGTGAAGAATATGTGGTCCGATCTCGGCTTATTCCAGGGTTATGGACCATCAGAAACGACCAACATTTGCACCGTCAAACCCAATGTCACAAGGAGTGATGCGATCCGGAACATCGGTCCCGTATTTAGGAACACTTCAGGTTTCGTCTTTGATCCAGCTGGCAATACCATCTTGCCGAGAGGTGCCGTTGGGGAGCTCTGCTTTGGTGGCGACCAAGTCTTCCGTGGCTACATAAACCAGCCAGAACTTACTGCAAGTAGAATCGTAACCCATCCAAAGTTTGGACGACTCTATAGAAGCGGAGACAGCGGAAGGATTCTTTGCGATGATTCGATTTTGTTTGAGGCTAGACTTGACGATCAGGTTAAAATACGTGGTCAAAGAATAGAACTCAACGAAATCAACCACTGTATTCTGGAAAGCGCGGATGTTGCAGATTGCGCTACCATATTTTTAGAAAAGGAATTCTCTAATCCTCGACTGTTCTCGTTCATTGTCCCTAAAGACACCTCAGCGGAGAATCTCAGGTCTGACGATGGTTTACTGCTACCTCTTGAAGATGAGGTTCTGACTTGGTGTAACATGGTGCTCTCGAATGCTCGGAAATTTTTGCCCGTTTACATGGTGCCATCCGCGATTATACCTATTGCAAGAATACCAATGACGTTGCAAGGCAAGATTGACCATAGGATGCTCAAGATGGTGTTGAAGAATCTTGAACGTGACATGATTATAAAGCTTGGCGGAGGTGAGACTTCTTCCTCTTCGACTGAAGTGCGGGAATGGCCAGAAAAGGATAAAGCAATTCTGGAAACACTGAAAGAGATTCTTGGCACATCAGCAGTGGCAATATCTCGGGGGGTATCTTTTCTTAGTCTTGGCTTGGATTCAATCTCGGCGATTCCCTTTGCCAGGCGTCTTTCAACATTGTTGGGTCGCGACGTTCCGGTTTCAGCAATACTGCGCAATCCATCTATCGCTCGTCTGTCACAGTGGATGGAAGGTTCTCCCTCAAATGCTTTGAGCTATTCTTCTCCAGAATTTCTCCTTCCACAGACCCTGGTTGAGAAGGCTCAAATCGCTGCAGCAAGAGCCAAAGTAAGTGTACGACGCATATTACCATGCACTCCGTTGCAGGAAGCTATGCTTTCAAGCTCCAGTCAGGACTCGAGTATGTATCTCAACGTAATGTACTTCGATATCAGGTGCGACCCGGATCAGCTGAAGGAATGCTGGCGGAAAATGTTTGATAGGCACGACCTACTGAGGACAACTTTCTTATCGACAAACGATCCAGACTATCCGTTCCTGCAAATTATTCGCTCACACAGCGACCTCCCTTGGAAGAACGAGACAGATTTCACCGCTAGGGACTTGGTAGAGATTCCTTCTGCGCTGGACACGTTCATCGTTCCTGTTCAGCTGACAATATTTCAAAACGACTTCAATAATGTTCTACGTTTATGTTGTCACCATGCTCTTTATGACGGAACGGCGATGGCGCTTCTCCTGGATGACATTGAGAGGCTATATCGTGGAGATAATCTATTGCCAATCATAGATTACAGTCTCTTCTTGAGAGAAATGGTTGCACAAAAGAGCGCAGAACATATTAATTTCTGGCAAAGTTATCTCCATGATCTTCAGCCTGCAATTCTTCGCCCAAAAAGCCGGCACCAAAATTTCATACGTCATAAAGTTGCAAATCCATTGAGTTTGGTCGAAAAGAGTTGTCGACAGATGTCCGTTTCTCTCCTTGCAGTCTTTCAGACAGCATTCGCAAAGACACTATATTCACTCTTCCAGACTCCGGACGTTTGCTTCGGAAGTGTAGTGAGCGGTCGTAGCGTTCTATCCGACCATCTTGACTCTCTGGTTGCATCGACTTTTAACACCATACCGACTCGCATTCAGTTGCAAAGACACGAACTCAACATAGATGCCATGAAAGCTGCGCAACGGTCCAATGCAACCTGTATGAGTCATCAGCTGTGCGCTCTTCGTTCCATACAGTCCAAATTGGGATTCACTGAGACGGGTATATTCTCCTCTCTATTGTTGCTTCAAAGCGCGAGTATTGACCTTGATCCACGCATCTGGCTTCTCGAAAATGAGAATGGAGCCATGGACGTATGTGCTTCTAAGATTGCTTAGTGAAAATGAAGAACCTGCTAATAGTTGCCAGTTTCCGCTAATTTTAGAACTAATACCCGACAAACGAAATGATAGCCTTGTTGCAATTCTGCACTACAACACGTATGGCCGTTGATATATCTTCGCGTTAAACTAAGCTTACTGGTGCTAGTTCAATACTCCATAGCTTTGAGGCAGAAGAGGTAATATTGCACTTCCTAAGTGTATTTGATCAATGCATCGAGAAACCCAATTTCCCAACAGTTGCTTCTCCTCCGCTTTCTTCACAATTATCGGTAAACTTTTCAACAAAGATCTCGTGGCCGAATTCCGTCAAGCTTGCACTAGAGGATTCGAAACCCTCGAACACAATGAATGAAACTGAAAAAAAAATCCTCGAGATAATCTCAGAGATTTTCGGGATTTCAAACATTCGAGCGTCTCCTACAACATCGATATACCAACTTGGGATAGACAGCATCGGTGCTATTCAACTAGCGACAGGTTTACGCGCTCGAGGGCACTCAAAGATTACCGCAGCGCAAGTACTTCAGAATCCAAAAATTGCTGATCTCGCCGCCTTGGTTAGTGAACAATCACATGCTGCAGAATCTAGCGGTATTGAATTCGATTTGGACAAATTCTCAGCGAAATTCATATCCCAAGCGTGTGAAATTAACGGTCTGTCTCTCAGCTTGGTCGAGCACCTGTGGCCTTGCACTCCAGTCCAAATGGGCCTAATTTCTCAGTTCTTAAAAGATGGAAAGACATACGTGAATCATATTACGTACTCCACAAACAATGATATCCCTCTGGATCGAGTTCGATATGCATTGGAACATTTGGCAAGAGAATACGAGATGTTGCGCACTGGATTCGTGGCTATTGAAGATGATCCTCGGCATTCATATGGTATGGTAATTTTCCGCGCGGGAGTCTTGGAGCTCCCAGTGGAGATCGTGCCGAGTTCTGGTTTTGACTTAGATGCATGGAGGGAAGAAAAAACCAAGGATTTCCACGAGTTTCTTGCAAAGCCATCCTGGGCAGTCTGCTTACAATCCGCATCTTCGGAATTACTTATGCATGTTAGCATCTTTCACGCTATATATGATGCGACCAGCCTGGACATCCTCCTCGAGGCGCTCGATGCCGTAATGAACGGACAAGAGATTCCTAAAAAGTCGCCAATTAAACCAATTCTATCAAATATACTTAACCATAGTTCTTTGGGATCTGATAATGACAACGAACATGTAACCTTTTGGCAACAAAGCTTACAAGAAATTAATCATAGTCGATTCCCTGATCTGACACCTTTACGCGTCTCAAAGCTCCACACTTTAAGTGCTGAGAAGGTTCTCAGGATGGGGAGTCAAAAGCTCAAAGAAAAGTGCAAGTCAATGGGCTACTCGATCCAGGCTGTGGGCCAGGCAACTTGGGCCAAGATACTGTCAGAATATCTCGGCGAAGACAATATTTGCTTTGGGGTTGTTCTTTCTGGCAGGGACATGAAAGCTGGAGCAGATCGTGCTGTCTTTCCTTGCTTGACCACCGTTCCATTTGGAATCTCTCTTACAGGCAATACGAACGATCAACTTGTTAAGTTTTCAATGGCTTTCAACTCTGCAGTCCGCAAGCATCAATTCTGTAGTCTGCACGACATACAACGATGGACTGGCCGTGAGGCTCTCTTCGATACAATTTTCGCTTATCAGAAGACTGGCACCTTATCAAACAATGCACGATGGAAAACTGATAACGAGATTGCAACTGATGAGGTAAGATAGAAAAGACGTCTCATTACACGACTAACCAAGTTCAGTTCTCTCTCTCCATGGAACTAATACCAACGAACTTAGACGACATCATCATACGAATTACTTTTAAGGACAATTTAGTACCAATGGAGCAAGCTCGAGTAATCTTGAACCAGTTTGAGACATTACTTGAGGAGCTATTCGATGAACCCGATACTGCTGTGTCTGAACATGCCGTTTCATCAAGCCACATTCTATCTATAACCCCTGCCCAAGAACCTCTCTTGGACTCACCAGTTGAACTTTTGCATGAGTTTGTCGAATTACAAGCAAACAAGAATCCTGACAGGGTTGCTTTTGAGTTTTATACCAAGTCAGAAAATGGCGAATTTTTGAATCAATCGTGGTCGTATAAGGACCTCGACAGAGAAGGGCTCAGAGTTATGCAACTACTCGCCCTACATGGAGTACACGCCGGTTCATACGTTGGAATATGCTTTGACAAGTGTCCAGAAGCATCTTTCGCCATACTCGGCGTTTTGAAAGCGAATTGCGCTTATGTCGCAATTGATCCATCAGCTCCTGCGGCTCGGAAGTCATTTATTGCTCAAGACGCTAAGCTTTCAATTATTCTAAGCAGCAATCGCCAAGCCAAGCATTTAGATTGCATATCAGCCAGCTCTCCAATTATTTATCTCGATGAGGTTCTTTCAGAACCTGTCCCCGATTCAATCGTAGCGACGCAGAGCATAACATCTGACAGTGTCTGCTACTGCCTGTATACCTCAGGTACTACTGGAACACCAAAAGGTTGCGAAATCACACATAAAAATGCTGTGCAAGCAATGCGGGCTTTCTCAAAGATCTTTAGAGGTCGATGGAATGAGAGATCCAAATGGTTGCAATTCGCCTCCTTTCACTTCGACGTTTCTGTTCTTGAACAGTACTGGAGCTGGTCAGAAGGTATATGTGTTGTGTCAGCACCTAGAGATTTAATATTCGAAGATATCGAAGCGGCTATCCGAACGATGGGAGTTACCCATATCGACTTGACTCCTAGTCTCGCTTCGTTGGTTCAGCCGGCAAATGTGCCAAATCTGTGCAAAGGCATATTTATCACTGGTGGCGAGCAACTCAAACAAGAGATCCTTGATGATTGGGGTGAAGAAGAGGTCATTCACAACGGTTACGGGCCAACAGAGACAACAATTGGAGTGACCATGTATCCGTGCGTACCAAAAACCGGAAAACCCGCCAATATCGGCCCGCAATTCGCAAATGTTGGAACCTACGTTTTACGTCCAGGTACAAACCATCCTGTTTTGCGGGGCGCAGTAGGGGAATTGTGCGTCTCAGGAGCGCTGGTGGGAAAAGGATATCTTAATCGCCCTGAGCTTACAGCGGAGAGATTTCCTTTCCTCGAGAGCTGTGGTGAGCGCATATATCGGACAGGAGACCTCGTCCGCATTTGCCATGATAACACATTTCTTTTCCTTGGCAGAATCGATGATCAGATCAAATTACGCGGTCAACGTCTTGAGATTGGTGAGATCAACAGCACCATCCGGAAGTCCGTGTCAGGCATAACAGACGTTGCCACATTCGTCCTTCGACACCCTAAGCAGCAGCGGGATCAACTGACAACCTTTTTTGCAATCGGAAACGTGGAATCTGGGAATGAAGAAACTGTCCTAAAAACCCGACATGGTCAAGAAGGGGTTATAGAACAAATTCGTGCTGCCTGTAGGGAGCAATTACCTGGCTACATGGTCCCGACGTTTATTATCCCTGTCAGTCGTATTCCACTATCCGCCAATAACAAGACAGATGCCAAAACACTCAAGTCATTGTTCTGCGAAATGTCGTTGGATGAGATCCAGGCCGTTTCTAAAGCGGAATGTCAGTCGCTAAACAGCACAGAGAGGAAAGTTGCGGAAATTCTCTCGGTATTCTGCGACATACCAACAGAGAACATCCAACCTCGCTCAAACATCTTTGAACTCGGTCTGGACTCAATTTCTGTCCTTGGCTTTTGCAATAAATTGAGAAGATCCGGTTTTTACGGGGCTTCCCCTGCTCTTGTTATGTCTCGTAAGTTGCTCTTTGATGTGTTCAAGTTGACCTAACACATGAACAGATCCATACATTGATGCGTTGGCAAAAGCCTTGCTGGAGAACTCGTCAGCAAAACTCGACGCCAACTCTACCGAACAGGTCTGCCAAAGGATATCAAATATGCACGCCAAGTATCAAGAAGAATTTTCGAGCGTATTGCGCGTCCAAGTAGATGATATTGAGGCGATTGCGCCGTGTACTCCCTTACAGGAAGGTATGATCTCAACATTTCTTGGGCAAGAACAGAACGGTGCATACTTCAGCACTTTTACATTCAAAATGCGTTCAAAAATCGAGCTGGAGAGGATTCAGAAGGCTTGGCAAACCGTTTGCAATGGTTTGCAGATTCTCCGAACACAATTTCTACAAACCGAGGACGGATACATGCAAGTGGTTCTCCGAAACTACTCACTGCCTTTCAAGATCTTGGACAGTTCCGCAACGCTAAATTTTGAAAATGCTGCCGGTCAGCTTAGACTTGCATGGTTCGCTGCTAATGAACGACACCTTTTTCGTCCGGTAGAAGTAACAGTTCTGCGCACAAACAAGGAGGATGTGATGATCTTGAACATTTTTCATGGAATTTATGATGGAAACTGCCTAGAAATGATGATTCGTTGCGTATACGACGCTTATACTGGTAACGGGGTTCTGGAATTTGGCCCTGCATTTCATGACGCTCTAATATATGGTCCTCTTCGCACCGTACAAAATGCCAAGACTTATTGGGCTTCTCGAATAGGACCGCCAGTCGCCGAAAGACTCGACGTGAGCGGACAACATACACAAGAGACTCAAAGCATTGAGTGCGGTGGTCGCCTAGAGACATGCAGGCGGAGTTTGAATGTTACACATCAAGCAGTTTTGCAGGCAGCATGGATAACTACTCTCGCTCAAATTTACCACCAAGAACAAGTGTCAACTGGCGTGGTTTGTTCCGGTCGGAGCATTGATTTCAACGACGCAGCCAAGGTCATAGGCCCTATGTTTAACACAATCCCATTCCAGGAACGACTTCTACCTAACGACTCTTGGTCATCTTTGATCCATCGCTGTCATAAATTCAATGTTGATTCTCTCCCTTATCAGCACACGTCACTACGTGAAATTCAGAAGTGGATCCGCAATGGAGACGCTCGAAGCCTGTTTGCATCGATTTTTGCCTTTAACATGGAGACGAGCACTGCTACAGGTGGATTTGATAATGAACTCTGGAGTCTACAGGATGATGATAATCGCTCAGAGTATATACTTGCTTTGGAAGTGGAGAACAAGCTGAACGGTAGTGTTCGTGTTTTGCTTGCCTCTACTGGAGACACAGTAAATGGCGCATCAATCAGGGCTATACTCGATCAGTTCCAAATCAACCTCAGACATGCTATGGAATCCTCAGAATCATTGATCTCAACTGATCCTGTTAAATGGGATAGAGTTTCGCAGGTCTTCACCGAAAAGAAACCACTTCTTGAATTTGACCAAAGCCCAAGCTCTAAATTCACGTGGAATTCGATAGCTAAATTAATTAGAGCTGAGATATCTTTTTTGACCGGTGTACGAGAGGATGACATAACAGAACATACATCCATTTTTGAACTTGGACTAGACAGCATTGATGCCATTAAGCTTTCAGCTCGACTGGCAAAGAGATCTATACACATTCCAGTAAGCTCGATAATGCGTTACGCGAAATTGGTCGACATAGTCTGTCACGCCAGCGAAAGAAGAGGCGAAATACACGATAAATCAAAAGTTCTGGAAGAGATGGAGAGCAAGTTATCACAGTGGTTAAATGCTCGAGGAAAAGTTCTGACCAACACCGAGAGAATTCTTCCAGCAACGTCTCTGCAGGAGGCTATGGTTAGCATTATGGTCGAGTCGGACTACAGACAGTACTTTAACCATGATGTGCTTCGTTTGCTGCCTGAAACAAACGAGGAAAGGTTGCGTTCGGCTTGGAAACTTGTTTTTGAGAAAACCCCCATACTCAGAACCTCCTTCATTCCAATCAATGACACGGAGATCCAAAGTACATATGCCCAGGTGGTAATGCGCGCGCACGAATTGCCCTGGAATACGATTCATCTTGAACACGCGACACAGATCGAAAGGGTGATTGAAAAGCTCCGGGTTGAAGCCAAACAGTCTGGAGAATCAGCGTTGCTTTTCCGTCTAACTTTAATTCGCGCGGAGGATGAAAATTTCCTGGTTCTTTCATTACCACATGCGTTGTACGATGGTTACTCTCTCAATATGCTTCACAGCGATTTAGCTGAAGCATACCATTCTGACACTATTGAAGAGCGTCCATTTTGGGACAAAGCTTTGGAGGAGATTCTGGTAATGACAAACTCTTCCGCAAGTGAAGAATTTTGGTCACGATGTCTCTCTGGATCTACTCCTTGCTTGATCTCTAATATCCCTCTCAGTCCGTCGGCTTTTGGCCACACGGTTCACCGACATGAAGCCCAAAGCCAGACGACATCGGAGGAGTTACGTCAATTCTGCAAACAGCAAGGCATAACTCCCCAGGCTTTCGGACAAGCTTGTTTCGCACTTGTGCTAGCTTCATACACCAAGCGGCTCGACCCTGTGTTTGGCAGTGTTCTTTTCGGTCGCAATACAGACGAAGCACAACAATTATTCTTTCCAATGATGAATACAGTTGCAGTAACCCCAAAATTGGGTGGCACGAAGTCGTCTTTTATGCGTTCCGTTCAGCGCTTGATGACAGACATCTTGGCACATCAATACTTTCCACTCCGTCGAGCTCAAAGATTTGCGTCATCAGATGGAAAGCAGCTGTTCAATTCACTATTCATCTTCCAGTCAAGACGAAAAGAAGTCAAAAGAGCAGCACGATTATACGAATCAGTTGAGAGTTCATCCGATCTCGAAATTCCCGTCTGCGTAGAGCTAGAGCTCATTGATTCATCTATATTATGGAGAGCAGCTTGCCACAGCGAGTTTCTAGACAAGTGTGGAACGAAGCAATTACTCTTGCATATGGAGATCGCTGCTAAGCATTTGATGCGGGACGTTGACACCGAACTTATACGAAAAGATGAAAATGAGGTTGTTATTGGCTCGCTTCCGAAATTCTGCATTGAATTCACGTCAGAAGAAAGTGGCGTTGGCATCAGAGAAAGGAGCAATAACGAATCTCACGTTACTGTAGACCCGCTGATTAAAACAATCCAGCAAATCCTGAGTCAGGTGGCTCAAGTTCCGATTGAAGATATTGGCCTTGGAACGACTTTGTATCACATAGGCCTTGACTCAATATCGGCCATAAAAGTTTGCTCCTTATTGAGGAGCAGAGGTATTACCATCACTGTGAGCAATCTCCTTCGTGCGTCAGATTTGGCAGGCATCGCGAAGGCTGTCACCGTTCCGGAAAGAGAAGATCCTGGAAACGATGCTACTGACGAGGTGATTGCTCTAGCAAAAGCCGCTCTGATGCTCAGAATCCCAGAAGATAAATCTCTTAGCAAATCCATAGACGCCATATTGCCTGCGACTTCAGGGCAGATTTACATGTTAAAGATGTGGGAGCGCTCATTTGGCCGGCTGTTTTTCGATACGTTCAACTTCAAACTTCGGATTTCAGAACTCTCACCCAATTATATGAAAAATGCCATCCTGAGATGGGTTCGAAGTCATCCGAGTTTGAGGACACTATTTGTCCGTTCGCTGGACAAAAGAATGCCGGTCTTGCAAATTATTGTCTCAACAGACAATGTAGGAGTTGAAGAGAAACGCGAATCGGTAGATATCGGAACAAAGGACGCTTCGTCGTGCGCTGGCAGTTTCCAAATCAATGTTAGCGATGAAGTGTCAATATATGGGTTCTACATTCCGCTCATTATATACTATGAACGGTCAGAATCAGACTTATGGAATATTGGGGTTCATATTCACCATGCGCTTTACGATGGCGTCAGTTTGCCAGCACTTTTACGTGATTTGGAGGCTCTTCTAAAAGGCACTCTGACTGCTTCAAGTCTACAAAGCCTTTCGAACTACTCGAACTTTGTGGCACGTTCTCATCGGCTTACACAAAATCAGGAAGCCCGGAACTTCTGGACTAACTATCTAAGTGGCACGTCGTGCTGTTTCACCAGCCAGAAAGCAACAGACTTCGATTATTACCACAAGCGATTTGCCAAATATCACTCAAATTACATAAAGAATGCACAGCAAATCCTTGACGCGGCACGCAGACATGTCATATCAGTGCCTTCACTGTTCCTTGCAGCGTACGCACGATTGCTACACAACTCCACACCGGCGCCATCGACTGAACGAGGTGAGAAGACGGCAAGTATTGCCATCGGTTTGTACATGGCAAATCGGGGTCACGGCGCGCAGGACATTAGCTGCTTCCCAACTGTGAATCTGCTACCTTTAGCGGTCAATACATCCTTGCCACTCCTTGAGGCAGCAAAGAAGGTTCAAGCGGATCTAATCACGATCAGTGAGTTGCCTAACGCCTCTGTTGGGCTTTGGCAAATCCGAGATTGGACTGGTGTCGCTGTCAGAAGCTTCGTGAACTGGATCCATCTACCAAGCTACGATGACGAGAGAAGTGGAAATCTTGACAACTTCAGTACAAAGAACGAAATCAACCAGCTTATAGAAAATGACGCCACAGATTTCAGCGTACCTGAAGAGTTGCAGACAGATGAACTGTTAGAAGCTTACTTGGTATGTTTGTCTTCTTCAAGAATGTTGACCAGTTCACAGCTTTTGCTAACGATTTTATAGCCTACCGTTGACCTTGAAGTTGCACTACGAGGTGGAGCTTTAGATCTAGGTATATTTGGACCTACTGCGATGCTAGAACAGGAGCAGGCCGAGGAATTGCTCTCGAAGATCAAGGAAGAGCTTTACCGATTTGTAGGATCTGAATGAAAAGACGGACGATAGGATGTTTTCGCGCTCATTCACTAAAGTTTCTTGTTGCATCCGATAGCATAGAACACCGACACGCATATAGAAAGCAATATTGTCAAGAGCGCTTCGATCTCAATCAGAGTCACGGAGAAGTTAGCCAAAGCCAATAGCATCATACTAGTCGTCTGGGCGATTTAAGCGCTCCTTAAAGGTGCAAAATACATGTGAAATGTGTTAGACTCTTCTCAAGTAGACCCATTGGCGTCCTTGCTTTTTGTGAATTCACATAAAAAATTTTCCTCAGGAGAGTCCACTGTTTTACGGCTGTATCACACCCCACTAGAATTATTTACGCAGAACTGTAAAGTAATTCCGCACCCGTTCCGTAAATTGCGGTTCTATTACATCGTCTAAACCCCACAACTAGGACGATCACAGAGATTGATAAGATGATCAGTGCAACCGAAACCCTTCGTAAATGCTCCAGCACACGGTAGAAATGCCTGAGCTGGGCAAGCTAAGCGAATCCGGACCTGCTATTTCGTCAATCGTACGGTTAAAGTGGATAATCGTGGTCAAAAGGTGGTTGAGTTTCCAGGCTAATGCTTATCGAGATGATCAGATAAAATTCTGCGCCGATCTCGCTTCCTTCCCTTATCCACCCTCACCACCAGGGTGATGCGGCTAGATTGACATTTCGTCATCTAGATTGTAGCAAGACTTGCCGGTGGCACGTTGGAATCACCAATCGTGAGCATTTTGAGAACAATTAAGGCATGAGTAGGCGCGGCTAGACCCGGACTAAATGTCCTGCTAATGTCTTGGGCGTGGCAGGCAGGGCAACAAGCTTGAATGCACATGCGGCATGGTCGCTTCACGGCGGCATGGGAGCACAGGGTTGACGATCAATCGCCTCGACGAATTTTCTGAAATTGATCCGAGTCTCACGCCATGAAAGTCTGTGCCTGAAGAGGTACTTTAAGAGAGCTCATGTCCTCCTGACAGCCCTTGCGTCATCACTTCTTCTCAAGCCGACAGTTTGTTTGCGTTCCCCTCCTAATTTGACCGCTCTACCGGGTCCTCTTCGCTAGATAACTTTGGGCAAGTTATTGGGCTGCAACGCAATTACCTTGACGAGAAAGATTGGAGCATACTATCGTTGTAGCTTGGGTCATCAAGCCAGAAGATATATTCTCTTGTCAGCTGCCGCGGCGCTTGCATCTCCCTTTGTTAGCACCCCACCGATAGACAATCTTGAGAAAATCTTCCATATTGTAGGGATTGCCTCCACTGGACTAAAGCCAAATAAAACCGTACTCCGGGCAAATCGAGCGCGGCAATCATGAGCCCGTACGCTATTCATTCAACAAACTTTGAGGAGGTTCATGTGAACGGAAGTGGGGGTTATTCAAATGGTGCAAATGCGGAATTCTTCCTCGACAACTTCGAAAAGGGAAACAGGTCGTACCTGCAGCCAACCGACGAGAATGAGCTGCATGATCTTGTTTGTGTTGGCTTCGGTCCAGCTTCTCTAGCAATTGCCATCGCCTTGCACGATTCCTTAGAGAAAGAGGGCCTAGGGAGCAGCGAGAATGGCCCCAAGGTTGCGTTTCTCGAGCAGCAACCGCGATTTGCATGGCACGCGGGAATGTTGCTTGAGGGCTCGAAGATGCAGATCTCCTTCATTAAGGATATGGCAACACTGCGTAACCCGCGGAGCTCATTCACCTTTCTAAACTACCTGCATACCAAAGGCAGGCTTGTCCAGTTTTCAAATCTCGACACATTTCTTCCTTTGCGCATAGAATTCGAAGATTACCTGCGCTGGTGTGCCGAGTGGTTTGACGACGTTGCTCATTACAACCAAGAAGTGCTCGAGGTAAGGCCAGAGAAGTCCTGGAAAGGTACACAACAAATAGACAGCTTTGCTGTGGTGTCTAGAAACAAGCATACAGGAGCTATAAGCACAAGGAAGGCCAAGTACGTGGTGCTGGCCGCCGGTGGCAGACCAAATATACCTCGATTATTTCCAGAGCAGCATCCGCGCTTGCTGCACTCTTCTAAATTCGCGTATCAGATTCAGAATATGTTACCGGAGCGTAATGCGCCGTACAAAATCGCAGTCGTGGGAGGAGGCCAAAGTGCGGCGGAAATCTTCAACAATCTTCATAGCCGATATCCAAATTGCCATACCAGGTTGATTCTAAAAAGCTTCGCTTTGAAACCTAGCGATGACTCTCCTTTGTACGTTTTATATGTGTGTTTTCTCCAAGGTTCTAACACGTCTTCCAGCGTGAACGAAATCTTCGACCCTGACCGCGTCCAGCCTTTCTTCAACCAGCCTGCCGAGAAGCGTGCTGCGATGATTCTCAATAATCGTTTGACAAACTACGGTGTGGTCAGACTGGAACTAATCGAACATCTGTACGAGACACTGTACATGCAGCGTCTTGTGCAACCAGACGAGGAGCGTTGGCAACATCGGATCTTGAATAATAGTAATATTGTTGCTGTGGACGCGGAGACCAGCGAGAGACTGACATTGCAAATTGAAAGAGACGGGCAACTGACCGGCCACGACTTTGACGCAGTCATACTTGCCACAGGCTATGCACGAGACATGCACGAGGACTTCCTTGCACCAGCTAGATACTTAATGCCTGGTGGGGACGCACCTGGCAAGACTTGGGAGGTTGAGCGTGACTACCGGGTCATCTTCGAAGAAGGAGCCATAAGCTCCGATGCAGGTGTTTTCTTGCAGGGCTGCTGCGAGAGCACACACGGTGTAAGTTCAACTTCATTTAATTGGAAAGATGCGGAGGCTCATGTAAACTCCAACAGCTTGCCGACTCGTTGCTCAGCATCCTAGCCGTGAGGGGCGGCGAGATCGTCCAATCGATCTTTGGCAATAAATTTTCCAGAGACGCTAGAATCGGCCAGTTCGACTCCATTACGGGAGAACCAACCCTAGCCGTGAAGCCCATCTACTAGAATGTAGTTCGAAAACGACTAATACCAGACCGGTTGAGTTCGAGCAAAATAATTCTGACTGTCAGAGTGAATTTGCAACCGGTTAAACTGAGTAGCAGGAAGAAGTTTCTGCAACAGAGATAGATACAATATAGATAAGTGTTGTTGTCCTTGCAAAACATCAGACACTTCACTGCATGGTTGTTTCTGAACTAAAAGCATGTCGTGATGCAGCTTGCCTCCCATCAACTCGTCCACGACGACGTGTCCAGAGTCAGAGCTGAGGAAACGAAAAGAAGCGTTCCCAACATTGTGGTTTAGCTCTAGCTCATGCCGACTGCTTTCTAAGATATCGTCAGCCTTCCGGTCGGTGCCGGCCACAACGTGCTTCTTTAGCGGCGGGACACAGCCGTGGTTTCAGGATTCGTGGACGACGCGTCGGCTGTCTGCCTAAGCGACAGTCGCAGTCACGAGAAATTCGTGCTATTGGAGCATGAAATTGGTTTGCCGCGAGAAACAAATTTGCGGAACGCTTTCACAACGCTGACAAGGGGGCCGCTCTGGATTGCGCCTCTCGTGAAGAATCGCCAGGACGTTCTGGAATCAAGACTGACGAGTGTATGCCTGAGCAAAGAACAGAATTCAGGACTTAGTTGCATTTAGGCCACGTTTTGGGCGTGCATATTTTACAGTCACTTGGGTCCGGTCGCACGTAGCACCCGTCAAAGGCTTTGATTCAGACCCAAACCGAGTCATGGCGGCCACAGCAAAACTCACCATCGAGCTTTGATCTGCTTTCAAAACAATTGCCACGTAGAGGCCTTGTGGAAGCCGTGGCGATGCAAGCAATAAGCCCAATCGAAAATTTGTTGTCAAAAACGGATCACTTTCAGCCCTGAACCCGGTGCAAGTCTAGGAACATGCGGGATGGAGGCCTTGCATTATCGGACGATGAGATGCTCGATCCTTGCAGTCGATTAGACGAATTTCAAAAGTTTCGATTTGGTCTATTTCGATCTCGCAAATCACAGGGCGCCGGGAACTTCCAGGCACTTGGGCGAAAAGAAACAAACGGGACAACCCCGGCCAAGCTGTGGTGTAAATTAAATCCAGCTCACCCGCCTGCGGAATCCTTTGGGTTGGAGCACGAGATGCCGAGTCAAAAAGACGGTCCTGTTTCATTCAAACGTCCTGCGCTCACTGAATCGTGTATTCAACGTGCAACTCTCTTACGTTTTGCGCAATGTGAACACGTCCTTCAAAACAGTCGCTGGCGGCACGCCCCCTGCCTTAACCAGCTTTTCTTCAAGGCACACGTGCAGTCCAGAGCGACTTTCGGCTCGACCAGACTCTCGCTTTGCTGGCACCGGATACGGAATAGCCTCAAGCCACTGGACTTGGTGGGCGCTGCTGGAGGTGGATGCGGGCTTGCGCCATCAGATCGGCGCCTTTGAGGGGCTGCAGGGCGATGTAGCTGAAGTCAGATATAGCGTTCCTTTTCGGCGAATTATCAGTTCTATTGCTGGTCGCAGAAAAATTGACCGTCTCCTCCATCGGCAGCGTCGATCATTCTTCATCCTTTTGGTTTCTTGATTCCGAGGTTCCACTGCTCAGCTCATGCAACACTCTCATTTGTCCTCCATACTTGAAAATCTTTAGCTATGTTGGTCCTTCAGCGACAACAGCAGCAGCCTGACAGCGTTTATTGTGGGTATGTGAGCCATCTTTCAGCTGAGCACTAGGCTGTTTAGTTTCTTCAACCCATAAGTACGTGCAGGAAGCTTATCAGCAGATATAGAGCAATGGCGGATAAGATGTCACTGAAAGATAGCCTAATATCTCTTGCTACTATTTCGTCTTCCAAGGGCACTTTGTCGCGCTATTCACACGACTCTGCTTCTGGGTTTACTTCACGAGCCTCAGCGAGCTCATACAGCGCAACTTCCGCTTCGAATGGCATCCACTTTGAGGACGTTCCGCGATTGGTGAAAACTCCATGGGAAGCCGATCGATCCATGAGAGCATCTATGCCACGAAGCACGCGAAGACCTGCAGCCGGGCGTTCGAGCCTGCCGGAACGAATCTTTCGCGAGCTTCCAGACGAAATCTACGAGCGCATTGTGACACGGTTGGAGCTCAACTACTTTTGCGACGCATCGGGAACGTGCATCAATTGTTATACGAGAGACCTGTACAACTTATCGCTAACAAGCCGAGCGTGGTGCCGTGCCGCAAAACAGCAGTTGTACTCCAAGATATGGATCTTGGCCGACTCGCACAACGGCTCGTCAGAGATGCCGTGGCATAAACTCAAGCTGCTGCGGAGGACATTGAGGGAAAATCCACTGCTGTCACGTTTTGTGAAAGAGATGCATTTTCCCGATGCGCAGATTGTGTACCAAGAAAGCCAGATAAAAACCCGTCAAGCAATCATCAACACATTGGCATCTCTGGTAATGGCAGCACCAAACCTGGAGAAGTTCTCAGGGCTTTATCTGACCTACGACCACGTCTTTGACCGACTGACTCACGCGTTGTCAACTCGTGGAAATTTAAAGGAAAAGACATGGGTACTTCGAAGGTCTGACGTGGGCGTTGATGAGGACGGTGTTTACTGGTCAAACCACGACGAATTTGGGCAGGCCGACAACCACGATGCATTTCTTCGGAGTCACGATAACTGGAAAAATCTGGAGCTGCTCTGTCTGTTCGGTCAGACCACCGGGCGCATGGACTACCGCTCCTTTGCTGCGACTTTCCGCAACCTTCCTTCGCTCAAACACCTTCTCATCTCTGACTTTGATTCATCTCAATTCAGCGACAGGACACTCTATGCAATTCCACCATCGCTCCAGTCACTTCGTTTGCAGGATATCCCTGGTGTCACAGAGAAAGGATTGGCACGTTATTTCAACACGCCGGCAGCGATAACACTTCGAAACTTGTCTTTGATCAAACTGGAGATTGCAAGCGCTCTTCTAATTTCCAACATCCTCGCTAAGTGCACGAATCTTAAACGATTCACACTTGCGCAAGACGTCTCGCCCGCCCTTCCCCTAGGCAGCGACCCTCCGCATGAAGATGGCATACTCTATGCCAGCAACAGCCTGGAGTATCTGCATTGGGATACCATTGCGTATGGACCTTCTATTCAAGACCTTGCAAACAGCATTGCTGGGCATGCGTTTCCCAAGCTCAAGGTGTTACGTGCTCCTTCGGACGACGGTGGCGTTCTACAACGCCTTTGCGCTCCACAGCCTGGCTGGTCTCCGGATTCTCCGAACTCGGATGAGGAAGAAAATCCGTTCAACCACTGGAGTCTTCCGAGCGCGCAGCGTGAGGCTCAACGAAGGAAAACGGCGGCTTCTCAGGACCCCTTCATCACAATCGTGGTCTCTGACGAGGAAGGCAACGTGCAACACACTTACGTGCTGCGGACGTACATGGGCACACTCGACTCCACTATAAGATATAGCCTAGACCCGGATGTGCAAGGCAGCAACGACTTTATCGCGGGCTTGAACGACCTGTTGATCACCCGGGAGATTGTTCTCGATGGGGGAGAGAAGTACTGTTCGAATGAACTTCATAAGAGTGCAGGCGCTCGTGGTTCCTTTGAAAGCAGTAGCACCTCTAGCAGCGGGAACAGCCTTCGTAATTTGGCGTTGGGCAGACGCCGCAGCATAAAAAGCAAGAAGCCTGATTTTTTTTACAAGGGGCACAAAACCAGGAAAATCCTTGTCAGCCCAGAGATGCGCGTTTTCTTTTGATATTGAAAATGGGTCAGTGTATGACGATGACGGAATGATTTGCAAACGGATACCCCTCTTCACTGGTAGTAATGAATGATTTTTTTTATCTTGAAGTACATTTATGCGTCTGTTTGTTCCAGCTCCCTGCTAGGGTTACATATAATTGGTACAGCCCACCACCTTTCCGATTTTATATTTTCTCAGTAGACGGCATCGAAACTCATGTCGATAGGCGCATCATGCTGTCCGTCAGCCTGTGGCCCAGATTTTCAGATCCACAGTCCCCCAATGATCATTTTACGAGGGTGTATAAGCTGTTACGGATGGCGTCAATAATCATAATCGACAACGCATGTTCAGCTTCTTAACCTTGACTCCTTACCCCTAGAAAAAGCACGTCCAACCATGATCATTACCACATAGCGCCTGTCACTTAGTTCTAGGCCTCGCCATAATACCCTATATCGCCGAATCTACTTCCTCTCTGGTACTCGGATCCAATATACCTCCTCCTTCTCCGTCTCTGGGTTTGTCCTCCTGAACTCCCTGTAGCGGTTCCCATCTGGCCCAGGGATTGTTGTCAATATACTCGGAGCATAAAGATCATCTGGGTCTTCGTCTTGCTCAGGTTTGGGCTCCCGCTCCTCCCCCGGATACGGACTCGGTGTACGTGAGCAGAGAGGAGGGTGTGCGGGCCATGGCTCCTCAGGTTCTTCTTCCTCGACATTATTCGTTTGCGTAGTGGCAGCTGCAGCACGCTCTTTGCGCTTTCGCTGTTTTTTGGTCGGCTGCTGACCACCAGTGCGTGTGGCTGAGGATGGACCCACTACTTCGTTGGCAACTGAATTAGCGGCATGCTGTGTTGTAGAAGATGAGAGCTTGTTCACCACCTGCTTAGGATTGCGAGTTCGACGACTGCTCTCAAGAATATTTGATTGATCAACTGCGGTTAGAGTTGTAATCGCGCCAGAAATTGGTTTCAGAGTCGACTTTTTGAGCTCTTCTGGTGCTGGCGCAGGCGGCAACAGACGAGGCGGCTCTCTCACTGGTGGTGGTGGCAAATAGACGTCAGGAGCAAAAGCAGCCTTGCTTTTGCGCACGAGAGCCTCCATGAGAGTGACATTGCTACGATGGCCAGAATGATCACGATTCTTGCGGTACTCGTATTCGAGCATTGTCTGGAATGCTTGAGTACGAACGTGGGTGACATTTATGACAGGTTGCGGTGGAAAGCGTGTAGCTACGTGCTCCATGTTAAAGTCAATCTCCTCTTCCACCTTAGCCTTGCTCTTGCTCTTGCTCGTGCTCTTGATAGCCTTTGGAGCAGCCTTTAGAATCGCCTTCGCCTTGTGCGGATCTGTAGCAGCAGTGGTGATAATAGTAGCAGCGACAGTTTCCGTTTTGACACGCTTCGAGGAACGAGTCGAACGCCTCGTAGCAGCAGAGCCAGATGCTGATGCCTCGATTGACTGAATGGGAATGTCAGCAGACGCCTTGCGTTTAAGTGATGATAACGACGGTGTTGCGCGGGATTTGCCGTGGTTTTCGGAAGCAGCTTTCGCGGTCAGATCTTGAGTCGTCTCTTGATTTGATTCTTCTGCGTTGGCAATCTTGGTGTTGTTCCTTTTCACTCCTATGGCAGCCTTCTTCATGCGTGGGGGCGCCAGAGGTTCAACAGTGCGAGTCTTCTTCGTGACCGGCACGAAGTCGACCATGGCACCCGGATTAACATCTTCTTGAGAATCAGATATAGTACGCTTTTTACTGCGTGTGGACCGCGGCTGGGCAGTGGATTGCCGGGTAGTGTCTGCTGGAGTTGGGAATGCGGAGGCACCCCGACCGAGAACGTTCTTTGGCAGCTTGGAACTGCTGCGTGTGATTCTAGTAGATGGGCCCTGGCTATTCTCCACGTCGGGTTTGGAGCTCGTGACCGTTGATGATGATTTAGGTGCCATATGTGCTTTAATTTCGCTGCTAATGTGATTCAAAAGGAAGTACTTCGCGAGTTCTGAAACGATGATAGAAAACAGGTTGAGTGTCTAAAAAGGGATTAAGAGTCTGACCAGAGACTCTAGTTGGTGTGAATAAGGACCATTGTGCTAGCTGAAGTGGAAAGAGATACTTCTGAGTAAGGTTCTTATATCAGGCGTGGTGAATAGTGAACAATAGACTAGGAAGTTGGTCACCACAATATGCAAAATCCATCGCTAGCCGAAGCAACTTCCAACCCTCATAATAGCAATTCGGGCCATTGAGAAGAGCCCTAGCCTATTCATAACTTATTATGGCCAAGAAATTCTTTACGCGTCAGCTTGATTCTATTGTTGGCTACGATACTCACTGTTGGGATGAAGGGAAAGAATTATAGTACTAATTCAGATCTGACGTTCTCCTTGAAGGAAAGCTTACGATCATGTTCTGTATCTGAGGATGGCACTTCAAATGCCATGGTTGATTTTGGCCCGCCCGCTGTTGGCTCCTCTGTACGGGTGTGGAATTCAGTATGTGATTTGGTGGTTTGAATTTCGCTACACGTCCGTGAAGTAACCGCGATGGAAGGTTGCGTAGAATAAGGATCCCCAAAATGAACCTCATACACGTAATGCGGCTGTAGTCTGGAAGACTGCGAGTACGATAGAACAACAGTATCACTAGTAGCTTCCAAGGTAAGTCTGCATTCCAGGGCAAAAGTTCATTCTTCACAAACGTTGCACGGTCACGACTTTCGCTCGAGTAGCAGGGGAAGCGTAAGAGGATAAGTTCCCAGTAAGTGGTATTGGGATGTGATGATACATTATAGAGTTGAAGATGCATCCTCCAAGGCGAAGTTGCTCAGCGTGGACGAATGCCCGGCCCAAGCGAGACCAAAACCAGGCGCTGATCCGACTGCATCTCCAGCTCTCGAGGAAGCTTTGACCTTCAGACCTCCAACAACCATAGTGAACCTATTCACCCACCTCCAGATCCCATCGATGCAGTGCGAATGCCCCGGAAGCCTGACTGCTATGACTGTCGCGTAGCCAAATCGAATATCCCTGCCCCCAATGGATACCGCGTCGGGTGCGTCGGCGCCCCCAAACGGCAGCTCGAATCCGTCGCAACCACCCCCGGTTGCGGCGATACCGGTCACCTCGAGTACGACACCAGCACTGACGCCGACGACGACGAAGACGGGAAATGGCAGTGCGCCCACTACGAGCACCAGCTCCATGCCCACATTTCCCACTCTCTCCGCTAGCACCGCCGAGCTGCTGGCTCGCGCGCGCGCGAGCGTCGCGGGGAGCGGGACCCCTGGCTACGAAGCCGCGCGGGAACAGCTCATGAAGAGTATGGTGATGAGCGACAAATTGCCAATACCGACGACTAGCACTCTGCCCAAGCGAGGACGTGGAGGGAAAAAGGCACGCGGGGCGGACGGACGGTCACCGAGCGAAAGCACGCCAGGCTCAGTTGCGACACCAACTTCGGAACGAGGGAGGGGGAAGACGGCAAGAGGAAGGGGACGAGGGAGAGGTGGTGGACGGGGCGGGAAGCGCAAACGAAGCGAGAGCTTGGAGAGCGATGTGAGTGTTTTCGTCGCCTTCTTGCAGCACTCTGTGTGTCAATTGCTCCAGACAATCACGGTCCACGACAATGCACACAGCAAACACACAAATATACATATGCATGTCAACGCAACAGATATTACAACAAAAAAGGAACAATTTTTCTAAACAGTGCGGGATCATGACAGGCCTGGAATGATACAACCTCAGACTCGGACGCTGACCACACCAAAACAAAGGACGACTCGGACGACTCAGACGACGCCTCACACGCCTCTGCCTCGTACACGCCGTTGCCAAAGGTGACCAAGTCTGGGAGGTTCGTCAACAAGCCGTCGCAATACGTGCCCGTCATCCCAGAGCCGGCCTCGCATCCCAACAAGAAGAAACGACCGTATCGACGCAACATCGACGCCGCCGTTTGCAAAATGTGTCACCGGCCCACCAGCCCGACCAACAATCAGATCGTGTTTTGCGACGGGTGCAGCACGCCGTACCACCAGTACTGCCACGACCCGCCGATCGAGAATGAGGTGGTGGAAGTGCAGGAGAAAGAATGGTTCTGCGTCGAGTGTGTGAAAGCGCGGGCTGGACTCGAGAAAGGCGACGACGAAGGTCTGGTATCTGGCGAGCGCCTCAGCATGGACGAGGTATGCACATATCCTTCCCGGCTCGAACACCCGTACCAATCTTGGACGCATTTTCATTTCCTTCCACCGCGCACCCTTGACTGCTCGGAACGTGTTTGCTGACCCGTGATGCTTTTCCTTGCCGCACCACAGAAACGTTCGCGGTTGAATGCCTTGCCCCACGCAAGACTGGTCGAGATCGTTCTCCGCGCCTCGTCGCTCCAACCCACCCTCGCTCTCTTCCCCAGCACGAATCCCCCGGCCGCACCTCCCGCAACCACAGCAGCGACCGCAACAACGTCGTCTGCGGCATCGTCGGCTTCCCTCTCTGCGACGGCCGCAGTGACAACCCACCACACGTCCGAGGCAGCCTTCCACAACGGCGCCGGCAACGCAGGCGACGCTGAAGAGCCCTACGACGGCTACGACACCGATCCGCCCGCCCACTATCCAAAGGCGGGTAACGGTCTGGCCAGAACGCTGCCGCCCGAGACGGAGGACCTCGACTGGCTCGTGGACGAGAACGACGACGTGTTCAGCCATCACGTCCGGCCGCTGAGCCTCGGCCTGAACGGCGGCGACGTAGGCATGAGTGGATCCTGAGCACTTCTAGAAATCCGCGCATTTCGTACCTCTCACCAATTTGCTCCCCTCGCCTTGTTGCTGAAGACTTCCCTTTGAACTACCCTCTATTTTTCTTCTACTTTTTATATCCATTTTGCTTCCCCCCCCGCCCCCTCTTATGCTCGTTCGAAGCAGAGCAAGACGTCACTACGGTTGCTTTTTCTTTTTCTTATTCTTTTATATCACGGCTTGGACCAGGCTTTGGGAAGGCCGGGCTGGCCGGGGCGCCAAGGTATGTGTGTTTTTGGTTTTTCACGGAAGGAGTTCTGGGGGCGAGGGAAGGGAATCAGCGTCAAAGACGAAAGGGATGCGCGGCTGGAGGAGACCTGGACACGTTCTGCTATTCTACGTTCTTATCTCTTTTTGGTTGGAGGCGCGCGCGTTCTTGGAGGACATCTGCCTTGCGCCAGCGCTCCAGGGGGCCAAGCGGAGGAACAAGGAGCGAGACCTACACAGATGACATTCCACCGCTTCGTACGCGACTTATGATCATCGTGCGAATTTTAGGAACGGAGTCTCGCAGGAAAAGAAGAAGAAAAAGTGGGGAAACGGAACAAAATAAGGGAAGACGTGCAGAGGGGCAGGAAACAGCCTCGATTTTTTTTTGGCCTCGAGCAATGACGTCTAATTTTCCCAGGTGACCGATTCGTCGCTAAAGACTGAATGGGCAAAGATTGTTCTCATAACGATTTCTCCTCGCTCCTCCCTGCCCTCTCTAAAGACGTGCACAAATGTACATACATGTGTGGGACATGGCATGTGTGTGTATGCGGGTGTGTTTGTTTATGCGTGTGTGCGTGGAATGGGAAGACTTGTTGAAGAGCAACTGTGAGAGTGTCATGTCTGTGCCTCCGTGCGATGCGCGTAAAAACCTATGCCCTCGCCCTCGTCTTCGTGACGTTTAAAGGCAGCGTCCACAGGAAGCGGTAAGCGACATGAAAAAGACGGAAAAAAGAAAAAAAAAATAATTCAGTGAATGCGCCAGGAGGGATGTACATTTCTCCTCCATGATCCCCCATTTCTTTGAACATTCCCTTACTGAGTCGTGAGAGAAGAATTGCTTTCCAAAGCCCCCCAAAAGCGTATGAAATCGATCTTGACGACGACGACGACGACGATGATGATGATGATGATGATAATTATGATGAGGTGGAGGACTGGAGATCAGATGTGGACTCTTACGACGAGGACAGCAAATATGACTCTTTGGGCTGAATAATTCGGCTTCCCGTTATTTTTTTTTTCCTTTTGCTTTCGTTACTTTGATGTCTTGATTTAGTCGCGAGAGCGTCCTCCGAGACGTCGAAGCGCGTCACCGCGCCGGCGAAAAGGTGCCAATGCTGTCCAAGATACTGATGTCTCCATAATGTTTTGCGTCGTACGGATTGCTCTCTTCTCTTGCTAGTACAGTGCCGTCGATAGGTTCAGTTGCACCACCATGATCGCCGCCGCTTAGCTCCCGCAGTGTTGGCAGCGTCGGGGGAAGCGGACTCGTCACGCCAAACAGCCTTTCACCCGCGCTCAGCGGTCGGTCTGGCGGCGTGGTTGCCTTGGGCGACGACTTGGTCTCGCCGCTGCCATGACCGCTCATTCCGGGACTCAGGGGCGGTGAAGGGCCAGGATCTGCATGCTCGACGAGGGGGCTGTTGTCGCCGCTAGTACCCTCCTCATTACCAATGACGGCGGCCAAGCTGCGGAAGTTAAACATAGGCTCCGTCCCCGCACCACCGCCCGGTGGTGTCTCGGAGTATGGACCCCCAACAGCTGAAGAGGAGCCGCCCTGGTCAAGATGCAGCCCGGAGGCGTTCGGGCTGGTGTCTTGCGAGTCGATGAGTGATGAGGCGGATGAAGCGCTCGACAGATGTCGCAGCGCTTGGCGATGCGGCGGCGTAGAGGCGTGCGAGTGCTGCTGCGAGCCTGGGACAGACATGGGTGCAGACTGGATGTTCGCACGGGACTGCTCGAGGAAGGCTTGCGGATCGTCCTTGGGCATGGTAGAGGGTGGCTCAGGAGACGGCGTGTGGCTACCGCTCTCCGCACGCGCCTTGCCTTTCCCTGCCGTCGTCGCAGCCGCCGAAGTTGACGCACTCGCCTCCCCGCCAGCGCTACCCACAAACCCACTGGCCTCGCTCTCGTTGAGGCTCGCAGCGTACATACCGCTCGCGCCCCCCGCCTCAACGCTACCACTCTTCTTCGCGTCCTTAGCAGCCTTCTTGGCATCCTTTGCACGCTGCTTTTCCTCCTTTTTCGCGCGCTTTGCCTCTTCTTTCTCCGCCTTCTTGCGCTCCTCCTCTGCGCTGGCAAGACTCAGCCGTATGGCCTCCATGTACATCAATTCCTCCAAATCTTCGAGACGCGTCCGCCGCGATGATCCCCGCCCAGGAAACAGATCGACCGAAGGGAATTGCTGCTCATTACCGCCATACTGTCGCCCGCCGTGAGAGGAGGAGGAGGAGCTATGCGCAGCCAGCAAGGCACTTAAATGCGGGAGCCCTTCCGTCCCGTTCCCGTTGTTGTCCCCGAAAAGAGTGCGCCTCCTTCTGCCAAACGCGATTCTTGACCCTAGATCTCCCTGGTTCCCTAGCATGTACGCCGCATTGTGCAGCGCTGTCGCCGCAGCGGCACGCCTCAAAGCGTGCGCGCGTGCGTCATCGAGCTTCTTGCGCCAGTCCGGACGCACAATATCTGTTGTGACGACATTGGGAGCGTCGGCGGCCAGACTGGTAGCACGACGCCGCGAGCCGCTGCCGGGTGACTGGGAGTTGATGGACGAGGAGGACGACATGGCAGACATGACGCTGCCGAGACGGTGGTGCTCGCTATACACGACGCCTCGGCGAAAAGGCGGCGGATCGTATGTCACGCCGAACTCTGGCTGCTTGCAAAAGGGACATGTTGCCGCTTCGGACACCAGCTCGTATTCTGCCTCCGCAGGAGTTGTCTGGTTTTGATTGTTCGAGTCGACGTCGTCGTGGTGCTCCGGCGGATGGGGGTCCGGGCGCTTGATTTGCACGAAGCACTCGGAACAGATGGGCTGGTCACAGCATCGCGTCCTGTTGAGATACGGTGGGTAGTACAAAAAGCAGATGGGACATTCGGCCGCATTCTTGTACAGGAAGACCTCGAGAGGCTGGCCATTGACGTAAGGGTCCTTGGGCAGATGCACTTCGGTGGGAGTCATATCCGTCTGCGAGTTGTTGCGTGGCGTGCTCAGTGAGACGAGCGTGCGTGCGCGAGTCCTGAATGACGCCGGCTGCGGACCGAACAGCGTCGAGACTGAGTGCTCCGGGTTCGACGGGGAACGCGGGCGCTCCGTCGCGAGAGGAGGTCCTGGTGCGGGCGGAGCTAGAGTGCCTCCGCTGCTGGTTGGTAGTGCACTTGACGAAGACGACGAAGCCGCAGCTGCCGCTCCCGTGACTGTGGTCGTCGTATTCGAACCCTTCAGCAGCTGCTCGGCCGTTGGAGTCGGGCCCGGTTCCGGGATTGGCTCCCCTCGCACGGCAGCGACAATTTGGTTGTCGGCCCAGGTATCTTCGTGGTCCTGTAAGCCCTTCCAGAAGGGGGCTAAGCGCCTCTCGATCATGAGCTGCCGTACGACTGTCTTGCTGAAGTCCTCCGGCCCCGTGTATGTGCCGAGAGTGACAAGGTATCCGCCGTCCACGCCCTCCTCTTTGATGCTACGCTCCCGCTCAATGGCACGTTGCTCGCGCTCCTTCTCTCGCTTGCGAGCCTCACGCTCTGCGCGCGTCTCCCGCCGTGCGGCCGGATCCGCAGGATCTGGTTCATGATGTGCGCCCAGCCTGAAAAGACTCATGTCGTGCCTGCTGTTTCCCCGTCTCCTGCCATGGTCGCCGTTCGACGACTGCAAGGTCGACGTGCCGGATCTGTGTGAAGAAGACGGTGCGATGGCGTCGCCGCCAGCCGAGCGACCGTCGGACTGTGATGACCCCGACCTCGACTCCTTGGTCGGGTTATTGCCCATTCTGCCGGCAGATCCGGGAGGGTCGTTGTTGGGTGTTCAAAAAAGTGAGGTGCAGGCTCCGCACTGCTTGGAGGTGGGTGGGCACACGGACGGAACGAGAGCGGTGATGTCAAACGCGCGGCTCTTCTCAGTGGGTGAGACGTTGGAAAGAAAAACAGAACGAGGCAGACAGAAGCAAGAAAGTCAGCCAGACTTAATTGCCGGCAGGCTTCTGGCTTTTGCCTTTTCTTTTGTTCTCCTTCCCAGTATAGAAGATGCGGTTAGGATAAAGCTGTGGGGGACAACGGAAACGCGAATTGTTAACTTTAATGCGCCCGTTCGGGCAGAGGTGAGTGACGAAGAGGAGAGGGGTACCGACGAGGATCTTTGCTGCACCTGTCGATGCCAAACTTTTGTTGGCACGGCTATCACAGGTGTCTCTCTATCAGTACAGGCGCGTGCCCCAGTGTCTTGAACGTCCAATTTGTGAGAGTCTCTGCAGAGCCTGTCTGCTGACCGATCCTGACTTTTTCCCCAAGACTTTTGATCCTGCACACTACAGCACCGCTTCCGCACGAATGGAGTGGGTGGTGGGCACTCCTCCAGACGGGCGTGGTGGAGGTGTTGGTGGTGTGGAGGAGTGTGCTTGTGATGGTATGAAAGGCAAGTGTGTGGATATGAGTGTTTGTAAGCGTGGCAGGTCTAGCTCGCGCGCCACTGAAACATGGCTGAGATGGAATGGGGGGGCAGAGTGGTCGATCAGCTAGATAACGAGCGTGTCTGATAACGCTGCTTCTTCCCTTCTTCTTCAGCGTCTTCTGACAGATCTGGGTTGCGCGTAACTAGAGTGGATGTTGGTGGCGGCGGGGACCGAGTCACGCGCAAAACCACCAATGGTCTGCCGACGATAGTGGATTGGAAGCAGAGGCTGACAAGCAGCTGGGCAGCCGGGGGGGGATTTGTAGCTGATGACCGGCTATGAACAGAAGCAGCGACGGAGCAGCAGCAGTGTGTAATGGCGGATCAGAATTGAGATGGGAGGTGGAGGTGGAGATGGGAGAATATGGTGGTTCGGGCCTTGGAGCTTCAGAGAGCGGAGGAAAGGCGCACAACGGCTAGGCGGGAAGTTATTTGTTTAGGGTCTGAGCCAAGTTGGTCGAAGGAGCGGCCCCAGCAAAGGTACGCAAGTAAACTTGTGAACAGGTCGCCGCCGTCAACGTAACTAAACAAAGTAAAGGCCGCTGCATGTGCTTGTCCCTGCTGCTTGACCCGCCGCGCTGCCAGCCTTGCCTAGTGCCGGCCCGGCTGTCTACTGCGTCATCGGGCCCCGCGCTGGCCAAACGCGGTGTCTGGGCGGGACGACGGGGTGATACGGGGGTTGCGGAGCAGGCGAAGAAGGAGAAGAGCAGCAGAGGGGGTATGCTCGGGTCATGCACGAAGAGGAATGGAGAAGAGAGGGCGAAAGAGGGAGAGAGAGTGTGCGCGTGAGGGTGCGAAGCGAGGTGACGCCAAAGACGCGTACGCGGACAGAGTACATATCGAGATTGAACAGCAAAACGCAGCAGCGCCGGAAAGGAAGCAGTACAATCGTAAGCACACACGATGCACAGTCGTACATGACATACAAGAGCTCACGGATGGATAGATGGGGTGTCGTATGAACACACACGCGCGCGCTGTCCGTAGCCCACCGCAAAGGCCCGAGTCTGTCGTCCGCTCGGCAGACGCGTGCAGGAAACGAAACGAAACAACACAAACAAACAGATCAGATCCCCAACGAGATCATCCTTCTCCACCGGGCATCGTCGACTCCTGCCAGCTCACAGTCGCACTGGCATCCGCACACCGACTCCCAACAAGTACACACGCGTTGTCCTCCTCGCTGACATCGGCGGGGGCCCAAGAGACAAGGCCCACCCCCGCGATGCGCATCGCCCGAGCGCACAGCGGCGGCAGCAAAGCACACGCTCACTGGCACCGGCCAGTATCAGCGCCAGTCGATCATCTCGACACACGCAGAGAGGGCCAACGAATGAGCACGAATGAGAAGGAGAGGAAGGAGAAGAAGAGGAGGAGGAGGAGGAGGAGGAGGAGCACACGAGCAGGACCAGGCCGACAGCAGCGACAGGAGCACAACCAGCCAGCGCCAGCTTCGTCCATGGCGACCCCGTCTTGCGTCGCGCGGGACCCGGCTGCACTGCTGCACGCCCGTTTCCAACCACGCCAAACATCACATGTGCATCGCCATTGCGTGCCCGTCCCCCACCGCTTGCACAGATGAAGAGAGAGAGAGAGAGAGAGAGAGAGATTCGTGCCTGAAGCCTCAAGCTCTTGACCGCGCTCCGCTGCGTCGCAGCGCGTGCTCGGCGCCGGCATCAGATCCAACATCTTTCTATCCCATCCGCAATCACCGCCCGCCCGTCTCTGGCTTTTCGCCCGGACGGGTTCCTGTCTCGCCCACCACGCCTGCCATCGCGCTGCCATCGCCGCCTCTCTGGTTTCCTGCGCTGTGCCATTCCATGCTCCCCGTACGCCTGCCGCGCGTGCTGTGCTCGGCCATCGCATTTCGCCATCGCATGGAGCAGGCCCGCGTGTTTGTGATTTGTGCACGCCCGCCGGGCCACGGCCGTTCTGCTGCCTTTGCCGCTCCGCCGTGACACCTGGGTGCTATTCCCGTCTCCGCGGCACCAGCACGCCGTTCGATCTGGTGTTGATGTCACTGTTGCGCGAAGACGGGCTCGACTGAATCCACCCTTTGCCTCTCTCTCTCCTTGCCCCGGCCTTTCTCCGAGTCTTCCCGCGGCCCAACAGCCAACCACTCTTGCAGGCTGCGCTGGGCTGAATTGTCCTGTGCCCTTCGATGGGTGCTTACTACGTACCCTGTCCAGTGTCGTCACAGACACGCCTCAGGCCGGGTCACCCAATGCCTGGGCATCATGCCGGAGTTCGAGAAGTCGAGCCGCGTAACAATGCTCTCTGCACACGAGCCCGGCACACTTTGACTGGCGCAGACAAAGCCTCGCGTTGAGGGCGCGATGGGTCGTGCTCATGCCAGCAGAAAAACACCGCATTTGCCGATCAGCTTTCATACTTCTATCACGCTAGAAGCTTGCGCCACAGTGGCGGTTTAGAACTACTGAGTCTATGTATCTGCAGTGTCCGGGTTCATCAGAAACGAGCTGCTCCACACTGCCAGACGTGTCCGCCCACATGAAAGCCCTTGGTCGGCCCTGCTCGTCGACCGTTTCAGTCGCCGGCAAGTCGCTCAACGCATGCATCTGGCATCCGCATGATGCGCACATGACGCACCCGCACGCAGCATGGAGGAACGTGCCAGAGTCGCCCAGTTCCTTGCCCTACCCGACACGGAGTGGAGGCAGGATCTGTGGTGGAGGACGCGGGATCGCGGTCGCCTCATCTCAAATCCACATCGGGATTGGGCCGCGCGAAGAAAGTCCGTCGACAGCGAAGACCGAAGCCTGCCGCCCTACCAGTACACCCCGCTCCCGGGACCCAGGGCCATCCGCCTTCTGCGGCCTCTTTACGTAGACCATGCGCTCTGCATCGTATTCGCGGCCGTGACCACCCGGAGCGTGGACGACGCCGACACGTACATCGCGCTCTCGTACACATGGGGTCCTGCGGAGTCCTCGCCAGACCAGGCCAGCGGATCCGACCAGTTCTCCGTCCCGTATTCTTTGCGTATCGTGAATCAGTCGGACCTCGACGACATCGTCTTCGACTTTGTACGGACGCCGGATGTGCCCAATCCGGGCCTGTGCTGCGAGCACCTCCTGTCTGAAATCAGCCTGACCCAGAACCTGTCCGACTTTCTGGTGCGGTACGCCGACTACGCTCCGTCCTTTCGCCGCCAGGATGGCACGTGCGACATCTGGATCGACGCTGTGTGTATCAACCAGGCCGACGACGCCGAAAGATCGCGGCAGGTACGTCTTATGGGCGACATCTACCACAACGCCAGGGGCGTCTTGGTCTGGCTTGGAAACAACGACGAGGGTATCGACGCATTCCGGTGGATGAACGATCATTTTCTAACGGCTCTGGAGAATAACAAGTCCAACGACGAATCGTGGGACGCGTATGCGAAACGGCTGCAGAAACATTCGCCGACCGACGAGAAGCATTTGCAAGACTTGCTCGACCTGAAACCAATGGGTGGTGACTGGCTTCAGCTCTGGGATCGGTTCTTACGCTTCATACAAAGAAAGCGCTGGTTCAGGCGGTGCTGGATCCTGCAGGAGTACGCCCTGGCCAAAGGCGTCGTGTACTTATGTGGCGAGAGCCGCGTCGGAGACCATCTCCACTTGCTCATGTACCTCGGAGAGTGGATCACCAACCTCGAAGAAATCCAGGACTGTTCCTACAACCTGTCCCCGACCGTGCACCTCTTCAGCGTAGCCAATGAGTACATCCGTCCGTTCGCCTCCCGACCAGGCTGCTTCGCGAACTTTTCTGCGGACCCAGAGCCGGAGCGGTCGGCCACCGAGGTGGCTATGCAGTACCTCAGCTCGCTTTTGCAATGGACGCGGGAGCGAGAGTGTGCTTTCGACGCAGACCGCGTCTTCTCCGTCCTTGGTGTCGTCTGCAGGCTCCTGGGTCCGTCCAAGGTTCTCCATCCGGGCGTTGAAGACTTACTAGATCGCCAATCACCCGAGCAGGTCTTCACGTGGGCGGCCAGCGCCTACGCAAACACAGTCTCGTACACCGACATGCTTGCAAACGTCGAGCCACGCGGCGATCGGAAGCTCGTAGACTTACCATCTTGGGTGCCAGACTTTTCCGTCGGCATAGCCGTTTTTCCTGTGTCCCTCACGGGTTGCGATGCCACCTTGACGGGTACGACGGCGTTCGAGAGACCTCGAGTCCGCGGGTCTACCCTGACGTTGGGTGCGCGGTATGTCGACGTCGTCGTCGAGGCTTATCCGGCTTGCTTGAGCATAGCTCTCCTTTCCATGTGGGGCGACGCTTTGAACAGCATGATCATCGATGCTTTGAAAGAATGCGACACTTTCATGGACGGGATGAGCTTGAAAGACGTCGGTGCCTCTATCGAAAGCGGGCTCCAACTCATGTGGCCCACATTCAACACCAAGGGGAGGTTGACGAAGCAAGGCCTAAGCAAAGCAATGGCCATGTTGGACGAGATCGGACAAGATCAGGCCGCTCTGAACGCGCTCGTCCTCTTCTTCTGCAAATGGACCGTCCTGCTGAACAACGCGTACAACAAGACGCTGTCCCACGAGGAAATGTATCGCATCATAATGTTGCTGGATTACCGCGCCGCCGGCGGTGCAAACGTCGATCGAGACCGATGCGTGTTCGCCCGCAGCCTCTTCCGCACCTCCAAACCCTACGCCGGGCTCGGTCCCGCCTCGATGCAGCCCGGAGACACGCTGTGGCTACTCGAGGGCGGAAAAGCAGCGTACGTCCTGCGTGAGAACAAGGGGCAGGGTACCTTCACCTTGATCGGCGAGTGTTATGGGCTCGGGATCATGGACGGCCAGCTGATGGAGCCCGAACGCGATGCGAGCTTCATTTCGATCGATCTGGTTTGAGCGCGTGTCGTTTCCGTGACCCACTTGACACGCACCCGGAGCCTGTTTCCTTTGGGCTCGCGAGCATGCCCTGGTGCACTTTGGTTGCGACAGTCCTCTGCGACCGGCATGTTCGTCACACAAACACGATATTCAGCGCAACGCGCTTGCTGAATACATTCCTGCGACGCCCTCTTCCCCCCCCCCCCCCCCCCCCCCCTCTACTACCCCCACTCCTGCTCTCATCTCTCACGAATAGTCGCGCTTCCTCTTCCCGAGTCACGTCACGGGTTGCGGAGTTTGTGGTTGAACGAGGAGCGAGGGATTGACTGCTATGTTTTCTGCCCACCTCCGCGGCTTGAGATTCAGGGGACGCTTGAATTCATGGAGCTAGTTCTTTTTGAAGCTGGCATCCAGTCATCCATACAAGGACCTCTCCCTTGGCATCGAAATTCTCAAGCAGAATCATGAACTGCGTGTGGACGAATGCTGCCTTAAAAAGGAGTCCTAAAACGTCGAGGCGAAAGTGATTGGCAGCTTAACCAGCATGTCGGTCCGCTTCTGTGAAAGAATCATGGCCTGGTATTGAAACAAGCATAGATCAACGGCCAATATAGAGGTTTTAAAATTCAAACGATTACCAAACAAAAAGAGAGAGAGATTTCTCAAGATGGCTCAGCCATAGATCTAGCGCGCCAAACGCCAGGGTGTGTACTACTTTATGGGCAAATCCTCCGTATAATCGCAAAAATGCCTGAAACGCTTTTGATTGACCAATGAAGGCTTCTCCCAAGCCCCTGATTCGTCTATAGGATGCAAACTCAGAGCAGAACCCTCCCGACCCAAGCAGATGAATGAATGCCCAGACGCCCAAATGCAGATTCACGGGGTATGTTCGTGGAGATCTAGTTCACTTTGCTCGCCCATCGTGCCGTTCCCACGCTCTTTCTTCCCAGATCGAGCCCTGTTTCACACTCGGCAGCCGTTCCGCGCACGAAAGACAGTTGTGAATGAAAACGATGGTTCGCGGCGGGGTCATGAGACAGAACTGGTCGTGTGTCACCCTGTCCATGAAGGCACGGCCACCTCGAACTCTCTGCATTTCTCTTTCGTCACCCACAGCGACTCTCGCACGTTCCTTCTCTTAGCGGGGAGAAAAGTTTTATACATATATGTGCAAGTTGAATGTAAGCATCTCTTTCTAGTTATCCGCCCCTACGGTTTGCTTTTTTTAAGAGCGCCAGAATCAGCTACTATCTGCAGAGTGGATTAAAGTAACGGATGGGAGAGTGTGTTGGAGAAGTCAGGGAGAGGGATTGATTGTTCAAGTACTCACCACAAGCCAGTCCATCCCTTCGTTAACACCCCGCCCGTCGATGGCGCTGCACCCCACGATGCTCCAGTTTCGATCTCTCAGCTCAGCCAGCCTAAGCGCTTCGCTGATCTCACCGGCGCCCTTCGCGCCCGGCTGGTCCTGCTTGTTCGCAAACACGAGCAGGTTCGCGTCTCTCAACTCCTCCTCGGCGAGCATAGCGGCCAGCTCCTCCGCAGCCGTGGATAAGCGGTCCAGATCGGTGGAGTCGACGACAAAGATGACGGCAGCCGTGTTGGCGTAGTAGCAGCGCCAGTACGGACGGATGGACGTTTGGCCGCCGAGATCCCAGACGTTCAGGTTGAGGGGGCCATACTTGACCGACTCGACGTTGAAGCCGATGGTGGGTATCGTAGTGCTGTGCGTCGCCGCTGTGTTAGTGTGTCCTATGCGTGCAGACGAGGTCTTCGTGGGTAACCTACACAACTTCACCAATCTGTTTGGCGTCCAATGTCAGTATCATCCTCCTCGCGGCATCACCGCCTCATCCAGGAAAGGGCAGAGGACACATACCTTCAACCTATACAGTAATGTCGTCTTTCCTGCGTTATCCTACGCGGCGCAAATCAACACGTGAGCTCTTAACTACCAGAAGGCCATGAACCCAACAGCAGGCCTGCAAAGGATGAACCTACCAGTCCTAGAATTAAGATCCGAATCTCCTTCTTCGACCACCACATGCTCCATAGCTTCGTCAATGAAGCACCCATGGTCCCGGCGGTCAACGAGCCTATTTATGTAATACGTACGCAAGACGGGGGTTGTCGCGCGTAAAGTGGTTGGAAAGTGGGGTCGCGCAGAGCACGAGTTGACGCGTCGTCGTGTGATGCCTATGTGCGTTTTTGGATAAAGTAAAGGTGTTCGTAACGAGTAGTCCGTCGACGTGAAACAGAGACTGGGCGCAGATTGCTACACGCTACCTTTGGAGTTTACAAGGGAAGTTTGAACCGGTTAGAAGAGCTATTCGATGGCCAAAAGAGCAATTTTCTAGATGAAGTGACGTAGAAGATGTATGAGATACAGCCAGAAACGGATGGTGGCTGTGGCGTGGATCAACTCTGTTCTTGGGGTTGTTCATATTGGCTTGCAGCCACTTCCGAGTGCGGACATCATTAGAAATCCGGGGTATCAATGCGGCCTCCCGGACCAAAAAAGCACTTCGGGCAACAGTCTTGTACTATAACTATGACCCACGTTCGATTAAATTAACTGCTACAGCAGCACTCCATGATACATTATTGCGTGTGATGTGCGCTAGAGCGCTAAAACATGTTGGAAACATTGGCATCCCTCCCTAACTCCAGCAACCATCAGTATGGTGCATCGTAAAAACAAATAACAATCATCCGTGTCGAAATTCCGCTTGATTCAGTGATGTATCTCTACTGCTTCTGTCAGCTCAACTTCTCAAACAACATGAAGCATGGTCAATAAGACGAGCAAGAGCTTGAGCATATGCGAGCGGGCGTATATTGACCCTAAAGTTCACGTCAGTCAGAGACAATTTGGTACAGAGGCTGAGAGACTACTGAGTCAATTTAACAGAACGGATCATTCCCATAGGTCCTACTGTCCTGGATCGCGGATAGCTTGATAGTTGGGCGGCCCATAAAGAGGGCATGCTTGGTGAGGGCCGCCAAAGGAAGGTCGAATTTAAAAATCATCTTCATCCATGCATGCTGAATAAATCTTGAAACTATGAGATCAAAGCCCGCTACAGAGGCGATACCCACGAGATCGATTTCGATGTCTTTGATCTTAATCATGTTTTGAGTTACGCGATCCCCGTGTTGAGCTATGAATTCCTTGACTTCTTTTTCGCGTTGCCCCATGTCTGGGAACTCGTACGAGTCAACATAAGCGCGGATAGACAGGTGCCGAAGGCGCGTTGTTTGTGACAATATGTTAAACAGAGAATAGATTCTAGAGAAGTCGGTGACCTGGATATCGAGAGTAATGGTAGTAAAGGCGCCGAGGCCAAAGATGCTGATGGCCTTGAGGCCTTCCGGGTGGTCAGGCGAGTAGTATACGCTGAAGTTGTTGGCTGAGAATAACCACTCTCGTGCCTCAACAAACGTGCGATGATCGACTTGGAGCAGAGCGCAGTGGTCCTTATAGTACGCCTTGAACTCACTCAAGCTGATAGCTTCCCCGCCATTGAGAGGCGGCAGCACATTCTTGTAAATCATAGCACGTATGTCTAATATCTCAGTGTAAGATTCTATCGATACCTTCAGTGCCTTCAACTCACTAGGGGGCATGTTGTCCCAGCCGCTGGATGTTGCGAACTGGTGGGAGATGGTAGGTTGAAATTCCATGACTTCAGTCATAGGCGAAGTGACGCGTTCGTCGTAATTAGTAAAGTCGGCCATTGCAAAGCGAAAGCGATGAATGTAGCGAGTGTGTGGTAACGATGCCAAAGAGTATGAGATGAGAGTGAGAAGTGCTACGGGCAAAGAGTGCCGCGAAGAGTAATGCAGAATGGGTTGAAGGTGAAGAGGGAGAAAAGATGAGCAAGGTGAGATATAACAGAAGCGACAACGCGACAGCGTGACCGCGCAACAACGCGCAGACCGAAACCGGCTATGCGTGAAGTACTCGTCACTGGGAGACGGTCTAGGAGAGGAAGGTACGATGATCGGGTCTGGATGCAGCCTTGGCTCGGTCAGCTCGCAAAGGGAAGGGACGCCAAATTTGGTCACTGGGAGGTCATCTCGGGGAAGGAGCGACAAGGATCAGGCAGGATGTTGAGTGAATTGGAAGAAGAGAAACTAATGCAGAAACAGAGGAGAGGAAGAAGTGTGAATTGTCCAGAAGAGACAGACATAGACTCTCGACGAAGAAACGCACCCGTTGCAAAAAATCTAGCTCAGCCATCGAGGTTCTGCTCAATACACTCCCTGCGATCGTGTTGGCGGCAGTGGTGGTGATGCTCGTCGTCGTATCGTGCGCAGCAGTCAGGCCTTGCGTCCCCTTAATCAGCCGTTGCAGCGATGCCAATCAGCGACCCCAAGTGTCTATGCTCTTCGTGTGAATGACGATACCCAACTCCGCAGCGCCATGCAATGCAATGCAAGATCATTCCATGATCATTATCATACAGTATGAGAACCTCTCCCGGACTGAAGAACCAAGTCCCTGTCTCCGTTACTGGGCGGCGGTGGTGGTGGTGGTGGTGGTGGTGGTAGTGCCCGCGTTTCCTTCGCCGAGTACCCGCGCCATCATGATGTACACAAAAAAAAGGGTCAGTCCAATGTACCACTTGTTGCGGCCGATCCAGCTTTGGCCTACCTCCCTTGCCACCTGTGCTCCCTCGACGACAGCACCTGCGCCCGAGCTGCCCACCGTCGCTCGCCTTCTTAGGGCATCTGCAGCTGGAGTGCACGAGTTGAGCGATGACTCTGGCACAACATTACCCGTAGCTGGGTCGATTCGGCGCTGCCTTAGGTACTCCCAGTTCTCCCTGTCGATTTCCGGCCATTCCTTGCGAAAGCGCATGCCACCATCGCCAGCCTTGATAGCTCCTGCTCCCCGACTCTGGATGCCAGGCACGGTGCGACTGGACGTACCACCGCCCGTGCTATTCCACCACCGCGACTTCGCAGCAAAGACTCTGCGCTCTGCATCCGACGCGCGTATGCTGCCCGTCGTGATCTCCTCGCTCGTCATGAAGCTGAGGACACCATTAAGTATGGTCGACACGCCCCAAGCTGGATTGAAGGATTTGGGGTGAAAATCGCTGATGCTAAGGCAGAGCCGTGTTGAAGGTTGGAATCTTCCACTAGGCGTGTGCATGCGGATGGCTGGCGGCGCAAAGGGGTAGTTAGATGGGAAAACGAGCGTGCCCCAATATTGGCCACCTTCGTATGGCGTGTCGGGAGGACCTGTCAGGATGTAGTGCCATTCAAGTATGTTGCTTTCCGAAGGATGTGCAATGATGTACGGTGGTGGCGACTCCTGAAGAGACTTGTATTCGCGTGTGAGACGCTTCATAGCACCCGGGGTGGCCATCCTCGCAAAAACCGTGGTCGTCGGTGGTGATGTGATGTTGCTAAAAAAGTGTTGGCAGATAAGGAGCTCTGCAAATGACTGATTCACTTCAAGTCAACGATGACGCGTCGGCGCTGTGCACAATTTCAGTAGCGTATTTGAAGAAGAGATGTGAAGCCGATCCAGCAAGCGGCGACCGGAACAGCCAAATGTGGATCAACCTGCCACAGAGTACCGCGTGTGGGGGAGAGAAAAGGCCTGATCGACAACGGAGACGTGAATTTAAGGCACACACGTAATGGAAACGCACACGAGTGCACACAAAGCGAACAGAAGGGTTGTAAGAATGAGTAGGTAGATTCACCGTGAGCCTAGGCGAGAAGTGACGATGTCACACGTCGCTGAGCAGATCCAATCTTGACGCCTCAGGCATTAACACCAGAACCAGATCTGGTTTTCCTAGCGGGTGACACCGGGCCAATCACCAACCAGCATCGCCGAGTTCTTCCAAGGTCGGACGAGCAACCCACCGTGAAAGCGAAGCAAGAGTGCAAAGCTATCAGCAATTGATCGCTGACTGATCTTTCAAGAAGCTTCAATGGCTTCGCCTCTTGAAGATGATGTAGGTCCACACTCTGGATAATCAATGCGATGCGAAATGAGATACAATGAGACTAACAAGTGTGCACTGCGCACCTCTAGATCTTCGAGAAGCTAAGGTCGCAAGTGAAGCCTGAAGAGCAGGAGAAGAGAATACAGGAGCTTAACAAGCGACTACACGAACAGTATGAGAAGCAGCAGTTGAGGGAAACGGCTATTGTAGGCGAAAGAGGGCATGTCATTGTGACTGACGAATTCTAACAATGGCTAGCTCGAAAGCAACAACACACTTCCAGTGACGATATCTGAGGTTCGGGTCCTCCATGCTGTCAACACCAGACGAAGTTTTCTTCAGGGCATCGTTAAACCACTTCTGCGTCGAGATGCAGAGGAGCCATTTACACTTCGGGAAGCTCGCGAAACGATAGACTCGGTTGGCAAGAAACTGGACAAGCTTGGTACAGCATAAAATGACACCAAAAATGGAGAATGAGGCGACTAACATAGACAGGCATCTTTCAATCGCCTATAACTGCTTACGTTGACAAATCAGAGAAGTCTGACCCATCGACAACGCCTACAGATCTCAGCGTTTATTTCCATGCAAAGGAACGTGGCAGATATACCATCAAAACCGGGACAGAGGCTGGTCACTCGGAAGGCTCCGCCTATGCGGATGTACAGTTCAGGAACCTTTTTGGTGGAGCTGAAGCCATAAATGCGCATGCATCGTTGGGCACTAGGACACGATCAGCGTACTCCGCAATCTTCGATACACCCATCTTCGGCAATCCTGACAGAAAATGGCAAGTGGGTGGCCTAGCGAGCTCGACGCTAAAGCCGTGGGCAAGTCACGAGGAACGGCTGAGAGGGGCTTTCTCCAAGATCCAAATTGTCACCGAGAATGATCACATCCACGAATTTGGGTACTCAGGTTCATGGCGGACGATCACCGGGTTAGCTGAGAATGCCTCGCCGACAGTGCGGCTTGACGCGGGCGATAGCTTCAAGTCGAGTCTCACCCACACTTTCATCAATGATAAGCGAGACTATCCTCTACTCCCCAACAGTGGCTACCTCTTCAAGACTGTTAGCGAGATCGCAGGTTTCGGGCCCCTCCGTGGTGATGTGGGCTTCTTCAAGACTGAGCTCGAGTCACAAGCCGCAATCCCAATTCCTCTTCCTGGTATTGAAGGTAGTAGTGGTGTATCCTTCAACCTCGGTCTTCGTGGCGGCATGCTGTACCCGCTCACAGCGGGTGGCGGAGACATTCCACTGCAGTCGCGCCTGAACGATCGTTTCCAGCTCGGAGGGCCGACAGACGTACGCGGCTTTAAGATCTCAGGCCTAGGACCTCATGACGCTGGGGATGCTGTTGGTGGTGATGTGTATGCTGCAGGTGGGGCAAGCTTACTCATGCCGCTCCCACGCGTAGGCAAAGATACGCCGCTCCGTCTCCAGGCCTTCGTCAATGCAGGACGGCTGCTTTCTCTGAAGGGTAAGACCAAGGACGGGCAAATGACGAGCGAAGAAGTGCACTCAAATATGAAGCGCACACTCTCGGAACTACGTAATGGATTACCCAGCGCATCGGCAGGGCTCGGCCTTGTGTATGCGCATCCGATGGCAAGGTTCGAGCTCAATTTCAGCTTACCTCTTGTGATGCGAAGGGGCGAGGAGGGACGTAAAGGTGTGAGCTTTGGCGTGGGGATCAGTTTCTTGTAAATAGACTATATGCGTGCTTGAACGTTTTGTGTGCGAGAACATCTGTAATAGAAACAAAGCAATATATGTGCCATCCCGGTCCATTTGCTGTTCTGAGTTGAAAACTGTATGGTGTTCATATAAATGACCTATTTTGTGGCCCGCCGTCTTTAAACGTCGATGTGGTGGTAAGAGCAAGGCCGAAGAAATTTTGGGGCCAATCGGGCGAGAACGGAAGCCGATATTCGAAGCAACTAGTGAAGAGCTTGGCTACGTGATCCACATTTGAATACCTGGAGCAGCTCTGATTTTTATCTATTAACGTGGAACTAGGCTGCTCGCGCTGAATGCTGTGAAGTTGGGCATTAACTAGGCAAAATTCTACAATTTTACAAAAGAGAAAAGATCTTCTAAGGAGAGCTAGACATACAAAGTGCCAACCAAGACTTAATTGAGCGACCTCGCGAAGTTTACAAGCAAAAGAAATTTGCGCTCTGAGTCAAAAGAATTAGACCTCTAAAATCGCGTAAAGAGTGCGAGCTGTCGAAACAGGATTTTACCAAACAAATTCTCTAGTTGCCCTTTCTTCAAGGATGGTAAACGCGCAGTTCAAACGGAATACAATCATAACGACGGATCGGTTACTCATACGTCCATTGCAGTTAGAGGATGCGGACCATATATTTGGCATGAGGTTCGATCGCGATGCATACAAGTGGACGTGAGTTTCGCACGCGCATTTCTCTTCCTTTTTTTTTATCACCGTATAAATGATCGCTAACCGTAAGTATGAAGCATGGCAGGTCAATGGCATGAGAAATCGCAAGCATTAGACTGGGTTGAGAGCGCTCTTGCATCTGACGATAATTACAACTTCGTCGTAGAACTGCTCGCGCACGACATGTCCTCTGGTCTTCAAGATTCGAACCCATCGGATGCGAACAAGACTGCGGAGCCTGTGGTCATAGGCTCAATGGGCATTATGCCGCACCATCAGCTTGGGTACATGTTTTACAAGGATTATTGGGGTAAAGGGTATGCCTCCGAGGCTTTGAATGCGTTTGTGTCGAAAGCGTTTGAGGAGCTCCCAGAGGTAGAGAAATTGACAGCGAAGGTGGATTCCGAGAATTATGGCAGTCTTGGGGTGATGAGGAAATGTGGATTCACGGAGGTTGCGCGGGTGCCTTACGTGAATGCTACCATGGGTGATAGGACGGAGGTGCAATTCGAAATCGGTAGAACGAAATAAGAATTTCTTAGACTCTGGACAGCTGGCATCTGAATCATAAGGTTCAGCTACGTCGAATCTGAAGTTTTTTTTCCTCGAAACCATTACTTTTATAACTTCAAATCCTGGCAATTGGCAAATTGGATCATAGCATGAAGGAGGAAGTCTTATTGAACTAGGTAAGACCGTGCGGAGTAGAGAAAACAGGAATGTATGCATTTTCAAGTCAAAGATGATCGCTAATCACAACGACTGCAGGATTTAGTCTCATCCGATGGCATAAAGGACGCGACTCTGCTCGACAAGCAGACTTGAGCCCTACACTTTGTCATCATGATCCTTATGTCCTATGAAGCACTGTCAGATGATTATTGCATTTGAACCTTTAGCGGTTTTTGATAGTAGAATGGTAGACGGCAGGTAGGCCCTATGACTAAGATTCGAGGCAAGCTTCTGAAATGGATTTGCAGACTGAGATCCATTTGATGCTCATGGCACGATGCAATGTTCTGCAGAAGCTGACTGAAGCCTTATTGTGGTGTTACAGGCTTGCAGCTTTCTGTTCAGCTTGCCAGCCACATATGCAACTTAGACAAATCAAACCCATGCGAAGCTGCCATATAGGACATCAAAACACAAACGCTCACTCTAGGTGATGATCACTGCAGGTGCTTACTCGTCTTTGCATGGTTAGTTTCGACAGGTTCTAATCGTTGGCGTTTGCTTATTCGCATAAAAAAACATTCAGCTCCAAACCACAGGGCCTAGAACGCATAAAATCGTGGAGGCTAGCCTTTGAGCGAAGCATCGAAGCACGATCCAGACATAAGCAAATTGCGTCGCGAACGTGTCATGCAAGGATAATAAGAGTTAATGCGCACGAAGTAATTAGCTTTGGAAACAGGGGCATATCCCAAACTCATCTTTTACTCTGTTACGGACAAGTCGATGCGCCTTTCCCTTCGGAAAGACATGTTAGAATAAGGGCTAACTTCATTCAGTGAACTTCAGGAAGCTTGTTATTAACCTCGAAAACAGTACATTAAGAACTCTGATTGTGTTCCACGCTTTTTTCGAGAGCTGTACACAGAAGAAGCCCAGCTGCTGCAATACGTGATCATACGCAAGGCTGACATTGAACGCCAGGTGACGGAATTCGCCTCTTGGAGCTGAATTTTGAGTCAATCCGTTCGTAGCTAAACCTTTGCATAAGTCCAGCACTTTGTTCTGCATCGACATACGTCTCGCCTTCCGGTTTCAATTGGCTCATTCGTAAAAGCAAGACTCGAACTATGTGCTAGGACCCCGAACCTGCGCACCCATGGATCTCGACTACGGGCCTTCCAGTGGATATCAAGCTGAAATTTACGGGGCTGATGCTTTGGTCATGAGACTGATAGCCTTCGACGTGAATCTGAAGCAGCTTTTGTTGAACGTGCGTATTTTATGAATATATAAGGCCTCTCAATCTGAAAGAAATGGAACCAGTCACTTTTCAAGATACTAAGCTCAAACTGCACAATCCAGAATGACCGACCATTATGACATTAAAGGCATCCCCGTTAAGGGAAGTGCTATTCCTGAGCGGACTGAGTTCAATACTTGGGCGACGAATGACCCGGAGTCCAACATCCAAGTTTCTCTCATGATTCGCGCACTCCAACGGTTTTACAAAATCCCCATCGAAGACAGATTGTCGTACTTCCAGATTGCTGGTAAGCTTAAACCCTTCATCACTTGTTAGATCAACTGGGCTCAATCGCACTAGGAATTCATGGATACCCTGCCATCTCTTGGGACGCCTCGCCAGAGCCTGCAGAGAAATTGGGCAGAGATGATTCTGATAAACCAATATATGTTTACTGCACCCATTCTACAATCCGCTTCCCTACCTGGCATCGCCCTTACATGCTGCTCTTTGAGGTTCGCCTGTTATCAAACAAGTCACTGAAGAATTAACACTAACTAGCAGCAGCAACGTGTTCACGAGCTTATGTTAGAGGCCATCGATGCCCTGGAGTTCAAGCTACCAGGAGAGAAAGAGGATTGGATCGCTGAGGCCTACAAATGGCGACTTCCATATTGGGACTGGGCTCGGAACCCACAGATTCCAGACTTGTTCAAGGACCCGATGATCAAGATCCGGCTTCCAAGAGCAGTGGACGGGTCTCTGCCTCCTGCCGATCCAACTGTCAACCCGCTATGGAGATACGAATGTCTCGTGGACGAGAAACCAACTCCAATGGGCGAGTTGCCTGCTCCTTATGCAATAAAAAACGTTCGATACGATAGAGGTCCGGAAGATTTCTATCCAGTACGTAGATCTTGAGCGTTCAGCACGATAAATCACTAAGCAGTAGCCTTACAGTGGGCAGAATGCTCTGGAACAAGCAGATGGTCCGTGGGAAAGCAGGATTATGATTGGAAAGCAGGATATAACTATTGGCAAGGTACAGATTCAGGTACGTTATGGAGTCCAGCGACGATCAAGCTTCGTCAAAAGTCACGAGTGAAGAATGCTACATCTGTTGGCCTTTTGATATCTAACACCAATTAGCACTAAGAGCTCATGATTATTACACACCTGGAGTGAGGTCAAACCCACCGATTCCGGGAAAAGAATCTATATCAGACCTCGTCTACCGAATGATGACAACAGACTACTTTGGTTCCTGGCGAACGTTCTCAACCACCAAGTATACACCAAAGCAAACTCAAGATTGGACAAGCTACTTGTCTCTCGAATACATCCACAACAATTTACACGTGAGTGCCTCCCCCGGCTTACAACGGCATAGACGAATTGATCGTGTAGGGATTCATCGGCGGAGGTGATACCAAGTCCCAAGGCTTTGGGCATATGGAGAGTGTTCCGGTCGCGTCCTTTGATCCAATTTTCTACTTCCACCATTGGTGAGTTCTGCGCTTCGAGTACTGTATACATGGCTAAAGCCAGTAGCAATATTGATCGACAATTAGCCATATGGCAGACTCTCCACCCCAACAACTGGTTTGACGGTTCAGATGTTCATGATCCAAAATCGAGCGACCCACTCTTTCCTTTTTGGCACCGAGATGAAAACAGTGAATGGAGGCCTTACACCTCAAATGATATTCAAGCCTGGACTAAACTCGGATACCAATATGATGTTCTAGCACGGCGGTCGGATGAAGACAAAGACGATGACAAATATCTTGACAGAATCAAAGCGTACGTTGATAGCTACAAGAGCACCAGCAATGCCATTTTGAACTCGAAACGAAGCATTTTTGGGAACGCCAAACTTGCTCCAGATACATATCCAGACTACATTGTCGATGTGCTATACGACCGGTAATATAAAAATGCCCGTTAAGAAAAACGTAGACTGATGAGTTACAGACATGGGAATAACGGCTACCCGTACTACATCTACTTCTTCCTCGGACGTGTTGCGGATGCCGACGTCATGGGTTCAGAGAGTCTCGCCGCCGCTCATCCTCAGCATGTTGGGACTATATATACATTCAGCAGTAGTTATGAACAGGGTGAATGTGCCAACTGCGACAAACAGAAAGCAGAAGAAGACCTGTGCACGGCACAGATTGCGCTCACATCGACTCTGATTATGCATGCAAAAGACACGTCAATTCCACAGTTCAACACAATTGACCTCGATAGCGTCACAGCATACCTAAGCGAAAACCTGACATGGAAGGCCGTCTCCGTAAGCGCCAACGTATGTCGCAGAGCAGGGAAGTAAAGCTGATACAAGAATTACACAGGTTAACGGACAGATCATACCCGCGGCGGACTTGCCCAGCACGAAAGTGTTTGTTCTTCACGGCAAAGGGCAGCATTTCCCGGAGCCAGAGAAGCTGTCAGAGTACTCGGACTATCAACCGTTGCCACAGGCCACGGAAGGGAAGGACTGGGGAGCGGCACACCACGAGTACTAGCTTTTGATGCATTTGAGCTCGACCAAGCCGTACGGATGGTCTCACTCTCGTTGAGGTTAGCGAGAGCAACACACTGAGGACGGATTGTTGGGTTGGGTGGCAAATTTCATGCAAGGATAAACACTCCCTGAAGTTCTTGATGTGACGATGCGAACGCGTGATCTCTTTCTAAATATTCACTGGGGTAACATCTATAATGAGAATGAAGCGTCATGAGAAAGTGCGTCTGTTCCTTCTAGCCGTGAACTCCTTCTCTCTGGCCCCTGAGAATCCTCCCGGAAGTCAGGCTCGTCAGCTTGTTCTTCTCCCATCTCTTCCTAGCAGCAAGCACATGTGAACGGGGGAATTGCTCGTCGAGGACTTCGTACAGCAGAGAAAAGAGCCGGCCCGCTCTCTTTCCCTCATGAGGCACGATTGCACGCCTGAAGCAGACCCCCGTTTCCGCTCGTCCAGTTCCATGACGTGTGCTCCCGACGCCAACGACGCAGCGAAAAAGTCATGGACGAGGCGGCCAAAGACAGGTCTTGTCGGGGCTCAGATGGAAGCTTTGAAGATGCTGCGTCGATCGTGGAGCAGCGACGATAACGGGTCGAAAAGGATCAAAAGAGACAAGAGAAGCGAATTGAGTATTGTTTTTCTTTTTCAAATGAGCATGCCATTCGTCTAGACCGACGTTGTTTCTCTAATCCCCTTTCTTTTCAAAGGCCAACACAGCCCGTTGCCCCTTTCATCCGTATGTCCCATGATATTACACAACTGAACCCCCCAAAAACTCCATGCTTTGACGAAGACGACAGTGACTGTGACTTTTGAAAAGAAGAAGATGATGATACTGTCGTCAATGATGATGATGATGATGATGATGACCATGATGCACAAGCAACAAGAGGAAGCGCTGCAGAGGAGGTGGGGGTTGGAGGAGATATCTATAGTCCTTCCCACAGGACCAAATGAACCATATGAGCCCGGTATAGAAGCAGACCGAAACAAGAGGAAACGCTCAAGAACGACCGTAATACTCGTACAAGTGAGTGAGTGCCGTGCCAAATAAAAGGTCAAACGGAGGGAGGAGGTGAAAACAACTCTGGCTCGCGGACGACCCTGTCTTACGGAACCCAAGCCACCTTGCAAAGAAGAAAAAAGAACGAAAGGGTCAAACAAAGTGCGCAAAGTGACCGGGGAACCGCATGCGGCACTTCTCGCAGTCATCTCTATACCCAAACACAACTCTGCGGCCGCCTTTCTCCTGCGGATGGGGCGTGTTGCTGGCGCTGAACGCGCCGCTCCTCGCTCTGCCCACGCGTCCCGGCGTGGTGGGCGTGGGCGGTATAACGTCGAAGGACAGGGTGTCGGCAGAGGAGCCCGACGAAGACGACGTGGAGTGCTGCACGTGGTGCTGGGAGGACCAGATGGGCTCGTCGTCCATGTCCATGCCGTCCTGCGACACGCTCAGGCGCGAGAGCTGACTGGAGGGGAACCCAGCCTCGAGCTCCATCGAGTCCTCCACCAGCGGGGACTCGGCGATGGGGGAGGGCATCACGTAGTCGTTCTCGAGAATGTTGCGCATGGGCACCGCGAAGCGGGGCAGGGCGCTCACGTCGACAGAGTTCGTTGCCACGGGCAGCAGCGAGTCGGTGCGGCTGCGCGTCGGAGCTGGAGGGGCGGCGCCGAGCGGGGTCTGCGCGAGGTTGAAGTTGGAGTGGATGGGCGTAGGGATCCTGCCTGCGAAGGCGTCGAGCCCGGGCGAGTTGAGCTTGTCCGGGCGCAGGAGATGCGGGTACGACTTCGTGAAGGGAGAAGGCGGGGAGGCGGAGCCGGCGATGGAGACGTGGTGGTCCACCGCGTTCATGTCCACATCGTCCGCGAGGTCCGCCGGCGAGTCGCCGCTGCTCGAATCGGTGGGCGAGTGGCCCGCTTCGGTCGTCTCGATGATGGATGGTGGCTGCGAAAGAGGGGCCGAATGATCGAGACGAAAGGGCAGCGATTGCGCTCTGTTCATCGAGGGCCGGACATCCGTGTAGTCATGCAGCCATGGCGTCGACTGCAAAGCAGCAATGCCTCGATGTTTCTAAGATCACATTGATCAGCATCGTGTGCGTCTCGGTGCAGACAAGGTGGCCGAAGGTCCTCTGAGTACGGCGTTGGCGGTGATACTCACCTTGTCAGCGGGCACGCCTTCGATGCGCACACCAAAAGCTTCGTCCTCATCGTCCCTGCTTCGCTTGCGGCTCCGAAAAGATAAATCCATGGCCGCACGAAGCAGGTGAAAAAGGTCTGCACAATACCAACGGGAGAAGTGGCTCGCAAGCACGATCAACGTGCGTGCTCTGGTGGGAACCTCGGGTCTCAGGGCAATTTAAAAGGCTGTCGGGACGTGAACAAGGCTGGCGACCGGTCACGAAACGTCTCCCCCACAAAGGCACCTATCGCCAACGGGCCATGGCACGAGACAGACAATTGCGATCAGGTGTCAGGAAGGAGAGCAAGAGTGGCAGCGGAGGAAAAAAAGAGGGGGGGGGAGTCACATTGCGACAAGGAAACGAGGAGGACGACGATCGAGGCGGAGGTCCGCACAGGTCGATGTACGTGTGTAGGGGGCTCAACTTCTCGTCGCGTCGCACCGCCCCGATAGTCCTGCGGGTTTTCCTCTGCTTGCCTGGGGGGCCGTGGTTCTCCCTCGAGTGTTCCTGAAATGCCAGCGGGGATGGTTTATTGGCCCTTCTGTTTGGCCGTCGAGTTTCAGATGGCCGCGACAGCCAATCGCCGCCGAGAGGTTGACCGACGCCGAAGTGGCCCGGATGCTGGTTGGGTGCATGATTTTTTTGCTAGCGCAGCTCGGTCGGGGGGTTCTCGGGTGATGCAGGGAGCCCTCAGGCCGCCGCCCACTGGGCCCCCTTCCATCCTCAGGCGGGCTCCCCTTCTGACCTCTGGCGGGCCCCCTTCCTCGCTCGGGGCCCCTCCCTCTCTACCATCCCCCTCTTCTCCCTTCCGCCTCAGGGCCGCTCCGCCGCCAGAGCGTTGCCTTCTGCGCTTCTGCTGCGGGCTCCCTTCTCCCGCGCCACCTGCTCGCTGCCAGCCTAGCCCGGACTGGCTCCCTGATCCCGTCCCACCCCCCCCCTCTTCTCCCGTCCGGCCCTGCATGTGCCCGCCCTCGTCCAGGCCCCGCTTGGACTTTTTTTCGGTCATGACACAACCAGAGGCGAAAGAATGTGCAGAGAAATTTGGTGGCCATGCTTTGAGTCACCGACATTTCCTCACGCCTGCACCCGGCACTCTTCTCTTTCTCTATCTTACATTTTTCCCTTCTTGACGGCTTGAAGGTGCCATTTGGCCTGCTCGACTCTTCAATTGACTTGCAAACATGCCTGCTCTGGACGCCAGTGGCCAGCTCGAAACAAGTGACGATGTTCGCGGTATGTACCTGGGCGTCTCTATTTTTTTTTCGTGCACATGCTTTCAGCAAAACACCACGTCCTTTTCCCTACGCTGGCTCATGTGTTTGGATGCTGCAAAATTCCTTGGGAAATTATTCACAGGCGCCGGCCTCGTCTTGATTCTCGCGCCATTGCTCTTTGCAGCAACGCTGTTGTGCTGCGGTGGAGCTTGCAGTTTGACCAAGCGCGCCCCGCGGCAACCACAGGCACTGGGGGTACGAAGATCATCGTGACCTGCTTATAAGTTCATGGTTGTCTTCAAGTACCGGTCCAACCTGAACGCCGACAGAAGTACCAGTCAGGCGTTATCCATACCGCTCCGCACTGCCTCCCCATCACGCCACGAGTCGCAGTTCTGCTAACACCAGTGCGATGAACAGTCCTTGGTTACGACCCTCTCATCTCACCCGCCCTCCTAGCCCACGAGATTGCACCCACCAAGGTCTCACTCGAGACCGTTGTTCGTGGCCGACAGGAATGTGTCGACATCATCACGCAAAAGGACGATCGACTCATGGTCATGGTCGGACCCTGCTCGATTCACGACCCAGACACGGCGCTCGAATACTGCCAACGCCTCAAAGCGCTGGCAGACAAGCTCAAAGATGATCTCCTTATCGTCATGCGTGCTTACCTCGAGAAGCCGCGCACGACTGTCGGCTGGAAGGGTCTGATCAATGACCCAGACATCGACGAGAGCTTCCAGATCAACAAGGGCCTTCGCGTGTCGCGCAAGTTGTTCTGCGACTTGACAGGCATGGGCATGCCTATTGCTAGTGAGATGCTTGACACAATCTCTCCTCAGTTTCTGGCCGATCTGATCTCCCTCGGCGCCATCGGCGCGCGCACAACGGAGTCGCAGTTGCACCGGGAGTTGGCAAGCGGTCTGTCCTTCCCCATCGGTTTCAAGAATGGAACGGACGGTGGGTTGGGCGTTGCCGTAGACGCCATTGGCGCTGCGAAGGCGAAACATCACTTCATGGGGGTGACGAAGCAGGGCTTGGCCGCTATCACGCGCACGAAGGGCAACGAAGACTGCTTTGTGATTCTCCGAGGTGGAACACGCGGCACAAACTACGATCCTGACAGCATCAAGGCTGCAAAGGAGGCGTTGGGCAAGAAGGGCCTTCGGCAAGTCATGATGGTGGACTGCTCACATGGTACGTGCTCACTCTGTCGTGTAGAATATAGTGGACTTTTTTTTTTTTTTTGAAATGGCGTTGAGAACTAAGACATCTGTAGGCAACTCTCTCAAGGACCACCGCAACCAACCCAAGGTCGCACAGTCGATTGCCGAGCAGATCTCCGCCGGCGAGACGGGCATTGTTGGTGTCATGATCGAGTCAAACATCAACGAGGGTAACCAGAAAGTGCCCCCAGAGGGACCCTCGGCGCTTAAAAAGGGTGTTTCCATCACGGATGCGTGCATTAACTGGGAGACTACGGTCGAGGTGCTCGAGAAGCTAGCCGGTGCGGTAAGAGAGCGCAGAGCATTGGCAAAAGGCGAGAAGCTCAACGGCATCAACGGAAGCCATTGATTCATACCCATTCCTGTAGGCATCAAGCCTTGAAAAAATAAAGTTCAAAAAAATGGTCTCTTGCGGCGACATGACGTGAATCATGGTCGTGTGTGCCCTTGAGACGTATTGTCGGCGGGCGTGCATATATGTATATTCTGAGACAGCAGGAAGGATTTGAAAGAAGCATGTGACCTGCATTTGATGGCCGGGCATTTTTGTTATGATGCTTTTATTCTTACCATTTTCAGAAAAAGTAATCCATTGAGAGTCAGAGGTCCTAGTCTAAAGTTGCAGTCAATAGCACACCATGAAAGTGCGATTTCTTTTCTATGCCCAGGAGTTGCCTGAACGCCATCATGTAATTCTGGAGCGTCACATATCAGCACTCAATTCGCATACGCCGCATTGCCAGACGCACCACAACGCCGTTTCCAGTGCAAAAATTTTTCTCATTTTGCTTGCACACTACTCATCCGGCCGTTCCGCATCCACGCGAGAACCCTTCCGTTTCTTCTTCTTCCGCTTTGCGCTTTTTTCGGCGAGAATCTCATCCAGGTAGCTGGTGGCCCTCCGCTTGGCCGGGCCTGCGGGAGCAGCAGGAGGAGCAGAAGCCCCATCCGGCCGCACGGCCAGCGCGTCGTCTTCTGCGCCCTCGCGGTCGGCGCCGTCGCCGCTCTCCTTCCCGGCCTCCTCCGCCGGCTCTGGCCCTCCCACCGCATCCTGGCGTTCACCGGCTCCCCTGCCTCCTCTCCTCGCCATTCCCTTCCCGCCAAAGAGCGCCCCGCGCCCCTCGTCCTCAGTCTCGCTGTCTTCGCGCCCTCGCGTCGTCCGCCGAGCTGGCCCGCCGTCCGGACGCGAGGTCACGGCCTTCCTCCCGTGTGCGCCCGCCCCTCCGCCGTGCACCGCCGTCGCGGCCGCCTTGGACGCGTTCCGCCCCAGCAGCTGCCTGCGCAGCGCGTCGAGGGACGGGTCCTTGCGCTTCACGACGCCTCTGCCTGCGCCGCTCGCGGTCGCCGCCGCGCCCACTCCCAGCCTGGGGTCCCGTACCACGTCAGTTGCGTGCACACTCTCCTTCTCCCAAAGTCGCGTGGCTCGTCCGCGCCCCCTCCCTTCCCCTTCATCGTCGTCGTCGTGTCGTCGCCTTTCTTTCTTTCTTTCTTTTTCTTCTTGCGTTTCTTCGCTTCCGAGGCAGACAGAGACGGCGAGACGCGCGAGCGCCGGGGGAGGTCCGGCGCGAGATCAAGGGATGAAGGGAAAGCCAAGAGTACTTACAGTTCGTTTCCCGCCCGCAAATCCCCCTCGTCATCGTCGTCGTCGTCGTCGTCGCCATGCCCGCTTTCGCGCGCAAGCTCCTCCTGCGTCTTGGGCGGTAGCCACGAGGCGATCAGCCGCTGCGACTTGGCCAGGGCGACGGAGGCCCGCGTAAACACGACGTCCGCCTCCGACGGCTCAGACGACTTTTTGGGCGGCGCCATCGTCCTTTCGGGATCGTGTTCTTTTTTTTTCCTCTTTCGTTCTCCCTCTCCCTCTCCCAGCTTTTCTTTTTCTTCTTCTTTTTTTTTTTCCTCTATCCCCGTTCGAATCTCTTTTCTGTTTGATATCTCCCCGTGCGCCGTCGCCTTTCTTATTCCTTGAGCGTCCCGGAGAGGGGGGGATTGCAGGAACGCGACGGGAAAGGAAGATACTTGGGATACTGCCCTCCAGCCCCGAAAGAAATTTGGAAGGGAAAGGTGCATGGCGCACGGGCCAGGACTCGGAAAATGCGACTCTCAAATTTGGTCGGGTAACGGGGGGAGGGGGCGGGGGGGACCTGGGGTGGAGTCGTGGATGAGGCTGAAAGGCTTGGCTGCAGAGTTCTGATTTAAAGGCACTGTGGGTCTCCGAAAATGTCTAGCTCTCTGGCAGATGTTCGGTTGTTCTATATCTTGGATAACCCGGGTACGAGGGTGTTTCTTTTCTGGAACATTGGCAATGGAGATTTCATTCAACATCTCGAGTTGTTGGGAATCAAAAAAAAGTCCCAAGTGTTTTTACATTTCTTTTTTCGGCCAACTATCAACAAGATTCGCGTTCCCTCTTCGTCTTTCATTTGTGTTCTCGCCCTTTGATCTTGTGAAACAGAATCGCTCTACTCGTGGCTCCACTCGGGCTTCTTCTTCTCCGCAAAGGCGCCCATGCCAATCTTCTGGTCCCGGCTGCCAAACAACCCGTGGAAGACCCTTCGCTCGAACTCGACGCCTTCCCTGAGACCAAGATCCTGACTCTTGTTCACAACCTCCTTGCAGGCCTTGACGGCGATGCGGCTGTAGCTGGCAATCTTTTCGGCGGTTGCGATCGCGCCGTCCAAGCACTCCTGCGGCGTGTCGAACACCTTCGCGGCGAGCCCCCACTCGCCGGCCTGCTTGCCGGAGAAGGAGTTGCCGGTGAGGATGAGCTCCATAGCGCGGCTTTTGCCAATGGCGCGCGTCAGCCTCTGCGAGCCGCCCGCGCCGGGAATGGTGCCCAGCTTGATCTCGGGCTGGCCGAAGTTGGCGCCGGCGGAGCAGTACATGATGTCGGCCATCATGGCGAGCTCGCAGCCGCCGCCGAGGGCGTGGCCATTGACCGCGCTGATGACGGGCTTCTTGATCTGCGACGCCATGTCGGACCACAGCTCGATGAAGTCGCCGCCGTACGCGGCGGAAAACGTCAGGTCCTTCATCTCCTTTATGTCGGCGCCTGCCGCGAAGGCGCGCTCGGAGCCGGTCAGCACGATTGCGCCGATCGAGGGGTCCGCGTCGTACTTCTTGAGCGCCGCGTTGAGCTCGCGGAAGAGGGGCGTGCACAGCGCGTTGAGGGCTTTGGGCCGGTTGAGTTCGACTGCGAGACAGGAAATTCTTGTCAGTGCACTTGATCATTGACGACAACGGGGATGTACTGCCCGTCCCGATCCACCATTGCTACGTCTGAGGTGCCCGGAGGCGCACGCTTCGTGATGTAGGCGTTGAAGGGGCTCTGCACGTACTCAAGCCAACGCCCGGCTTGGGCGACGACACCTTGATGAACTCATACGTCGAGCTCTCGGCCGAGTAGCATCTGAGTATCCGGGGAAAGGGACGCGGCTGTGCAGCTACCTTGGTAGCAATTGGTCTCCAGGCTCTGATGTTCAACATTGCGACGGCTCTCTGTTTTCGTGACTCTCTGCTGGTCAGACTTGGCGCGTTCTCACCACCGCAAAAACCAAACGGAGGTTGGTGTAGCCGGTGTTTTGTGTGCTGTGAGGTAGAGCTGCACCCCGGTTCCGGTTTTCGTCTGGGGCCAAGCTCATGCTTTTTCGGCTACAGTCGGCAAATGATATCCCGCTTCTGCCCTTTTGGGGGGGGGGGGGGGGGGGGGGTGGAATGAGTTCCTCAGGCCGGGCAACCCACTAGTAGCGGCCCACGGAGCGCCGGGCGCCCTCGAGTCAGGCGGTAGAGCCCCCAGCCGGGCCCCCTGCTCCAGGCGGTGGAGCCTAGTTGCTGACGGCGGCGGAACCATCTGACCTTGGCTGCAGTTTCACTTCTTCAACCAACTTGATTGCACTCGCAGGTCAGAAAGATTGATCGAAGAGGGCATGTTATCTGATCAATCTTATCATATCGATTTTCCCCTCCCTCCTCGCCACCCCAGGCTCCGAATCTGCGTTGCAGCCCCGAGAAGCTGGGAACTGTGAGTAAGCGCAGAGCGGGCCGGCGCGAGTCAATCATTATCTGGCAGAACTTCGAAAGGAAGCTTGGCCATGAGCGCAACGTGCAGCTTTGCATAGTCATTAGACAGCCCTTGTGCCCATTCGTCCCCATCGTTTTTTTCCTTCGTGTGCACTCCGTCGCATTGTTCATACGTGATGCCGCATTAAGCGACAGCCCGCCCCTGCATTTTCTTGCGTTGTTGGTGCCCTGTTTTCCGCCAGTGTGGTCACCCATCTCCTGTGTCGGAGCCGGCACCACCCACCATCACTCAGATCACGCATCCACTCACGCACTACTGTACATACCAAGTCGTTATTATTCCATTCCCGCTCAGAGAGCTGCCGGCAGCCCCGAGTCTGCCCCGTCTCAACGCTGGCGCAGCAGCAGCGCAATCACCTAAACCGCCCTCACGACCTCGTCCCACCGCCCCAGAACGCAGATCAGTCTGCTGTTCCTGCCTATGAGCTCACCATCCTCAACACGCCACCAGACGAAGGCAGCAACCACAGCGGGACCTCGCATGAGCTCGTGGCACGCTCTGCCGGCACCCATCCCACGCGGCATGCATTCTCCCCACAGCACCAGTCTGAGCGCGAGCATAATATTCTTCCCCAGCACCCGCTCTCACCTCCTCCAGCCATCCCTCTCTGTGCTCATGAACCTCCTGCCGAGCCCGTAGACCGCCAAATGTCGCGCACGCCACTGCTTCTGCGCTCGTCTCCGGCCCTTGGAACTGGATCGTACGGAGCTCTGCCCACCGAAAGGCTAAGCAGCAGCTCCGAGGACGAAAGCGACCTGACGCCGCACCAGAAGTTCCTGCGCCATTCGGTCGAGGGAAAGATACAGAAGGGGAAACATGCTCTGAGAAAGGCGTATACCGCGGACGACGGCGATGAGTATACCGCCGCTTCGAGGATCGACAGGAATGGTAGTAATACAACAGCGAAGGCGAGGACGGCTCAGAATGGCGATGCCACTTCAGACACGATGCGGTCGGAGGGGGGGCTCTCGCACCGCAAGGCAGCGCGTAAGAGGAGGAGCAGCACGGGTAGCGAGCTCGGGGAGAGAGCCAGCACCCATGCTGAAGATCTTGGCGACTATAGAGACAAAGACAACGAGTTAATCAACCATGAAGGTATCGAGGCACGGTTCACGGGCAGCGCGCTTCCCACCTTTGCCCCCCTGGGCAAAAGCACCTCGCGGAGCAGCACTCGCAAATCCATGTCGGATGAGCGAGTGTTGGACGAGGACTTGGTCAGAAACGACGACGAAGAAGACGACAACGACGACGATGATGGCCAAAGGGCAAACGGGAATATACCCATCCCACCGGCGGACGATTCGCCCTACGCGCAGGTTCGAGCATCCGTACCGCCGACGGACAACACTATGCTTAGCATCAACACGCCTCGCATGTGGATTCTCAGCATCGCCTTCGCCATATTCGGGTCCAGCACCAACCTATTCTTCTCCCTGCGCTTTCCCAGCGTGAGCATCACGCCCGTGATCGCGCTGCTGATCGTCCACCCGATTGGGCTACTCTGGGATGCTTCCCTGAAGCGTGACGACGATCCAGACGAGGTCTTCGTTAACGGTACGCTGCAGCACTTTGAAACGAGTGAGCCCGACGGTTGGATGTCAGGCTTAAAGGTCGAGAGGTGGACGAGACGGGCGAGGCTATGGCTGGCACAGGGGAGGTGGAACGAGAAGGAGCATTGCTGCGTGTTCATCGCGAGCAACGTGTCGTTTGGTTTTGCATTTGCTACCGATGTATGTGTTGCTCTCCTGAACCTTTCCTGTCCTACGACCGTCCCCCCACCCCTTGATTTTATGCTCCTTGAGCAGAAGCGGACCTTGGTAGACTGTTTGGCACCATTATTTGCTGGTGTCGTAAGCTAACCTCTTACCGCCTTTCCGGGCGCAGGTCATCGTCGAGCAAACCAAATTCTACAACCAAGACCTCTCTATAACCTACCAGATCCTCCTCACCTTGTCCACTCAGATTCTGGGCTACTCTCTTGCGGGCCTCACTCGTCGCTTCCTCGTCCGTCCGAGCGGCATGATATGGCCTGGCACTCTCGTCTCGACGGCCATGTTCAGCAGCCTCCACAAGGAGGAGAACAAGCCCGCTGACGGCTGGCATATCTCCCGCTTCAGGTTCTTCGCGTACGTGTTCCTCGGCTCGGTTGTCTTTTATTTCTTGCCTGGCCTGCTGTTCCCTGCTCTCAGCTGGTTCAATGTCATCACATGGTTTGCGCCGCGCAATGTGGTCGTGGCGAATCTGGTCAGTATACTATCACCAAATCCTCCTTTGCTGCTCAGCATTCTAGGGAGGGTCAGATGTGTGATATCGAGACTGATGTACAATTTGGTAGTTCGGAGTAACCTCCGGCCTTGGATTGTTCCCAATGACCTTTGACTGGTCTCAGATCGCGTACATTGGATCTCCTCTCGTCGTTCCCTTCTGGGCTGCTTTGAACATCATCGGTGGCCTCGTCATTGTTATGTGGATCATAGCTCCCATCTTGTGTCAGTCTCTCCCCGCATGACAATCTGATTGGCTTCGTCGCAACGACTAATTCGCTCAGACTATACAAACGTCATGTACTCTTCGTATATGCCCATCCTCTCCACAGCTGTATTTGACAACGAAGGCAAGCCGTACAACGTCCAACGCATCCTCACCGACAAGTTCGTATTCGACATAGACGCCTATCAGAACTACAGCCGTGTCTTCCTTCCGATTACTTATGTTCTCAGCTACGCGCTTCAGTTCGCGTCACTCTCTGCACTGCTCACCCACACGGCTTGCTGGCATGGCCGCGACATTGTACAGCAATGGAAGCGCTCCTGGCGTGAGATTCGCAGTGAGAAGTTCGTGTACCAGCCCATCTCGAGTGAGAGCAGCAATGGAGATTTGGAACCCATCCAAACGCGTACCTCCTTCGCCTCGATTCGTTCAGAACATAGCGAGCCAGGGCTCGACCATCTCATGTCCGGTGAGGACGTGCACAATCGGTTAATGCGCCGCTACGAAGACGTGCCTATGTCGTGGTACCTCCTCAGTGGCATCAGCATGTTGGCCATAGGCATGTTTCTGGTCGAGTACTTTCCGGTATACTTGCCGTGGTATGGACTCCTCATGGCGATTGGCATCTGCGCCGTGCTCTTTATCCCAATAGGGATCGTTATGGCCATCACCAACCAGCAGAACAGCATCTATCTCATCTGCCAGCTCATCTGTGGCGTTGTCTTCCCAGGTCGTCCCGTGGCTAACATGGTATTCGTCACGTACGGCTACATCAGCAGCACTCAGGGCCTCAAGTTCTCCTCCGACCTCAAGCTTGGCCACTATATGAAGATCCCCCCGCGCGTGCTGTTCAATCTCCAGCTCACTGCCACCATCGTGTCGAGCCTGACCCAGATCGGCGTCCTCAACTGGATGCTAGCCAACATCCCGGGCATCTGCACGCCGCAAGCGATCAACGGATTCACATGCCCCATCGCTCGCGTCCACTTTAATGGCAGCATCCTGTGGGGCGTTGTTGGCCCCGCCCGCTTCTTCGGACCCGGTGCGCTGTACCGGCCACTCGTATGGGCCTTCCTCGTCGGTGCCATCGCTCCCATTGTCGTCTGGCTCGTCGCTCGTCGGGGCACCAAGAAGACACGAGCACTCCTCCAGAAAGTCAACTTGCCCGTTTTGTTCGGCAGCTTAAGCTGGATTCCTCCCGCGACGGGTCTGAACTTCTCCGTGTGGGCGCTCGTCTGCTGGCTTTTCAACTACCGCCTCAGAAGACAAAAGAGTGAGTGGTGGACAAAGTACACGATGACGCTCAGCGCGGCGCTGGACTCCGGGCTAGCGGTCGGCGTGGTCGTCGTGTTCTTCGGCATCGTGTGGCCCGGCTGGATGGACGGGTTCTCGTGGTGGGGGACGGAAATCTACAAGCAGGTGAGTCCTTTGCCATTCCCTCCCACTCTTCTTTTCTCTAAAATACATTTTCGTCATACGCTTCAGAACCATCTTGGAAACTAACAAGCTGCGGCGATAGGGCTGCGATTGGCAAGCCTGCGCTTACAAGACGCTTGCACCCAACGAAAAGTTTGGGCCCTCGAGGTGGTGATTCTGTACATAATCTAGTTGCATTAGCGTGACGAGTTGAAATGATGAGATGAGTAGAACGGCCTGATTGGATCAAGTACAACCATAGATAGCTCTGCCGTAGATAGCATGAATCATTTCTATGGACGAAGACTCAACGCGCCCAACATATTCCCGCCTGCCCACGCGTGGAGTCATGACGTTCGAGCCAGCAACCGCAGTTCTGCTTTGGGAGTCGCCGAACTAGCCTTTGCGACGCTTGCTTGTGAAAGCTGCTTTTTTTGAGGCCGTGTGATTCTATTTCTCTTTGGACGTGTACTTAGCAAGGTGCTCTGCTCATCGGTCGACACGGACGAATTGAGATGTGGGAATGCGGTATCAGCAGCAGAATTCATACCATTGACATACTAACTCTACATCGATCCCCCCCCCCCCGTGCCCCAAAGATGGTCCACAGAGAGAGAGAGAGAAAAAAAACACCAACCAGAGACACACTTCCTCGCTTTAATCCTCCTCATTCATGAAAACACAGACGCACACATACGCACAAACAGAGCAAGAGAGAGACACATGCCTCATGTCTGGATACACAGCGGTCTTGACATTGTATACGGGTAGGAGTGAAAAATAGGACGTAGGGTGAGGTTTTGTTTAGGTGGGGGAGGCAAAGGTCGCGGAGAAAGAAAAAAGGGGGGACCTTCGTTTTTACGACCCTACAAGAAAATCACGGCCGTGCGTCAACACAAGTGTATCTCGAAACCGTGCACGGTAAGCGAGGTCTTTGTTTTTATTTTTTTTTCTTTTTCTTCATTCGCGGGGCCAGCGTGAGGAAAGGATTGGAGAGGAAGGGGTTGTGTTTGTGTGTCAAAGATGGGTGCTTAGATACCGAGCGAGAACTCGACACCGACGTCGATGTCGCGGGCGATCTTGACGAGCTTGGAGAATTGCACGGACTTCTCCGCAGCGTTCTGGAGGTCGTCGATGGCGAAAATCTTGAGACCGGAATCATTGACCTAGACGGCGCACATCAGCCACACGTGATTACAAGCGAAAAGTGGTTAAAAAGAGACAATTGGTGGTGAAAAGGAAACTTTTTGGGAAGCGGGGGTCGGGAAAGCGAATAAGAGGGAGAGACATACAATTTTGGCGGCCTGCTCCATGTTGGTACCTTGCAGTCTGGCGACGATTGGTGTCCTCAAGTTCATCTTTTGTACAACGTTGACGAGACCCATAGCGATGTGGTCGCAGCGCACGATACCGCCAAATATGTTCACGAAGATGGCCGTCACCTTAGGGTCGCTTGTGATGAGATCAAAGGCGTTCTGGATAGCAGCTGGCGTAGCTCCACCGCCGACGTCGAGGAAGTTTGCTGGCTGCCCACCATTAAGCTTGATGATGTCCATGGTTGCCATGGCCAGACCGGCGCCGTTGACGAGACATCCAATGTCACCGTCGAGCTTGATGAAATTGAGTCCGTACTCGGCGGCCTTCACCTCGTCTGGGTCCTCCTGGGTCGTGTCGCGCATGGCGAAGACCTCCTTCTGGCGGAAATCAGCGTTGTCATCGAAGTTGAGCTTAGCATCCATGCAGAGGACCTCGTGGTCCGTTGTCTCGCTCCAAGGATTGATCTCGATCTGCGTCGCATCTTTCTCGTTGAACAGCTTGTACAGCTTCTTGATCTCGCCAGCGGCCGTATCGACGCATTGCTCGCTGAACCCAAGCTCCGTCACGACCTGTTTGGCCAGCTCGTCCGTCACACCAGTGTGGATGTCGATGGGGTACGTTTTGATGGCAGCAGGGTTGGTCTTGGCGACTTCTTCAATATCCATACCACCCTGGGAGGAGGCGACGATAACGGGACCCTGACGCTGGCGGTCCATGAGGATGGCCAAGTAGAATTCGCGGCGGGCGAACTTGCGCTCGACAATGTAGACGGCGTTGCAAGGGCGGCCGGCGGCGCCGGTTTGCTTGGTGATAAGCTTGTGCCCAATCATCTCTTTGGCGAGAGCGCGAGCTTCGGCTGGTCTGTCCATTCCTCGTTAGATTCTCGAGTGAGGAGAGCAATGTGCATCAGATGTGCCGTACGAGTAGATGACCCTAACACCGCCCTTGAAGCCGTGGTCGAAATGTCCCTTGCCTCGACCTCCGGCGAGAACCTGGGCCTTCATGACCAAGTCATCCTCCTCTAATCATTGTCAGTATAGCCTCTCTGCCGCCTGTAACAGCTCGTGCATACTCAATTGCTTCGCAACAGCCTCTGCTTCCTCCGGTGTCTTCGCAACCTTGCCGGGCGGAACACCAACTCCGTACTACAATCCATCTCGATCAGCATTGTCTGTCCCAAAAGCCATTGCGTCAACACACCTGTCTCAACAGATCGGCGGACAGGTACTCGTGGATGCTCAGATTTCGCCGCTGCTGTTGCGCAATCGCCGTCCTGATGGGGGTTTCCTGATCTCATGTTAGCGCTCTTCCGCGTGGTCGTCACTCCCCCAAGTGCGGTAGGCGAGATGACACGAGGGATCCATCATACGGCGCATCTCCGCAGACCGGAGGCCAGCGGCCTGCTGCGAAGGACTTTGTACATGGCGGATCTAATGGACGCCGTCTCGGTGTGTCAGCGGCGAGATGAGGATGAGAACGTGTATGTAGGCACTGGCAGGAGCGGAAGCTAAGCTGTGATGCGGCACCGCCAAGCAGATTCGAACTGCATGTTGCACCCGACCCAATCAGGCAAGCGCCTTATCCTCGGCGGCATTTCAACCTCCGTCCTGTCCAATTCGCGTTCAACTTCAAGAATTTCCGACAAGACGTGTGACTGTCGTGCCTTGCTGGCTTTATATATTGATGTCTATGTACTGTACATATGGAATCTAGCTTGGTGCTTATCATCCTCTCTTTTCCTTTTAACCAAGCGTTCCTTTCTTGACCAAGCTTACCAGCACCATTCATACGGGATCGGGTATTGATATCAGCCCTCCCTTGAGGAATCCTTTGCGCTTCCCCTGTCAGACTAATGCTTATGATCGCATATCTGGTGCCTTGTTCTTCTCCTTTATCTTCTCGGAAAAATGCCGATTGTCCAGACGTGTTCCGATCGTATCTCTCTTCAGAGTCCGTTGCATTTGTCCATATCGACAGAATCAGCATTTTGAATGGCGGAATGTGTCTTTCGTTGAAAGGTTAAGCGGAAATTCAGCCTTCTAGCTCTAACAGCTGAGGGCTTTTATGGCATCTCTCGTTAAGGGTAGAAGTTTTTTCATTCTGCCAGAATCCCATTCTTCCAGTCAGACATTATCCTCTCTTCCCGAAATCGAAGGTGATCTTTAAAATAAAATTTGCCCCCGATTCTTTTGATTCCCTCGTGTGCTTGCAACAAAGGTCAGGTTCATCATTGTCCAAGGCATTTTTATTTCCATCCAGGTCATTTGGAGACTGCTTCTCCGTCTCTTAAGAGAAATAAATTGCAGGTTGGGGGGGACGCCAGCGGCCAGGTTTTTCCAAGGCAGAGACGAAGTGTCTGGCAGAAGCTAGTGTTCATATTGATAGCGACTTAAATAAAGAGGTTCAGGACTTCAATTGGTCCAATTTGCATCGCCATAAGTCTCATTCAAAACTCAGCTCATGACAGCACTCAAGGAGGAACTTGGTTACTGTGATTTAGCAGGGACGGAGACGTTGCTTCATTCCGCCTCAGCCAAGTGCATTCAACGGGTGCTGGACGAACGTGTAAATATCTAATGCTCCCTAGAGAACGTTTAGACATCGTAAGAGCTTACCTCGCACAGTATAGTGTAGCGTTGAAGTTCCGGTCGAACGTCGAATCATCTGTTCTCATGGTCCGCGTAAATTGACCAAATCGGGTAGGGCCCGAAAGCGGCAACCATTGATCCCCACGATCTTTTTATCGGGTAATGACTGCACCACGACTGTGGAGTTATGACAGACACAGAGAGAGGGAGAGAGGATAAATCCCCTCAAAATTGAGCAGCCTTGGAGGTAGCATATCGCATCTTGACTGTCTGCTTGGTGAGCTGTCTTAGAAGTTGTACCGGGCACGATCAGTTTCTTGATCCAACATGTTCTCCTCCTCCGCTGCCGCCACGTTCCTCGTGCTTGGTGTAATATCCTCGGCAGCGTGGGCGGTGTTCCGATGGCGAAAGGTGAGAAACGATACAGGATCATAGGAGCGCCAGCTGAACGAGACAGGCTCAACACGCAGCCCTTGACCCGGCAGTTTCTCGACTGTACAGAGACATCACGCCGCTGCGTCTGGATTGGAAATCCAAAGAGCAGATCCAAAATGCGCCGTTGAAAGGCACCTACCACCTTACGATGGGTTCGTATTTTTTTTTTTGGCCACCTGGGAAATGCGGAAGTAAGGTGTTCTGATCGACATCAGCGTTGCAGACGTGCTCGTTCGACGAGATGATCGATATGGACAAGACATACATGGACAAAGTCATGCTCCGACGGCAGATTCTCAAATCCGAAACCAGGACCGCCACGCAGGCTAATCCAGTCGCCTCCAACGCTGTCCATGAGCTGTACGAATGGATGTTCGGCGTCTACCTTCCGCAGCGATATCCGACGATGTTCTCTCGCCTGGACGAGAAAGGCGTGCTTCACAACATCGCCTTGAATGAGTACATACCGCTCACGCCGCCGTTAGACCCTGTGGAGTGCCTCACGATCCTAGGGTCACACGTTGACACGGACTTCCTTCTCCTTCTGCCTGTCGCAGATCCCAAGGCCAGACCGACCCGGGCCCTTCCAACGCCAAATCCAGCCTTTCCGTACCATCTCCACGCCTACGTTGTCTGCTTCCCGTCGGGCTTCGACATGAAGCAAAAGTTCGGGCTGCCTCTTGCCGCCATTCACCGGCCCGTGCCCGGGTACGCGCAGAAGCTGGAGAAATCCATGGACCGCTTCTTCACCACCCTTCCGTTCGGCAAGGTGGTCAAAAGGGCAAATTGGGCCATCCAACAGGGTCCGGCACTGTTCAAACCCAGCGGCAACCACTTGGCCACGACGCTCAAGCCGGAGACGATGGCGCCGCCTAAACACGAGCCCACGGAGCAAGAGTTGAAGGAGTGGGCAGAGGACGCCGAGAAGGTCGTTCCTGAAGAATGCATGTTGAGAAGCGAGAGGCAGACCTTGCATCGGTTGGAGAGGTCTGGCGCGTTGGTGTTTGCGTTCAAAACATATCTGTATCCCCTGCCAGAGGTCAAGGCGGCGGGCTTGGGCGAAGACCTGGCCGATTCCGCCGAAGGTCTGTGGAAAGGAAGTGTGCCGGCGATGGCAGTGTATAAGCGGGGCGTGGTATGGGCTCGCAAAGTCGTAGAATACTTAAGAGCACCGTAGCTGATGTGCGGACACTTAATCTAAGGAGGATCATACGGTTCATGGCAATAGATGGGGAAGCTAGATGAATGTGAAAAGGGACGTCTTTTGTTCCCGGTTACGCATGAAAACGAAAAATGCCTTCTAATTCGCATGTTTTAGCTATCGTATCAACTCATCTTCCGCTATCGTCCTTGTTTCTCCAACTCTGCTTTGCCGGACTCACATTCTCCAGCAACCAATTCATTCAATGCTTTTTCTTCATCAACTGGAACGTGATTACCTTCATCGACAACCTGCACGGTCGATCTTTTCACTCTCCCACTCGCTTCAATGTCCTCCCTCGTCGCGTCCCTCTTCTCCCTCTTGAGACTCGCACCACCATGCCACCCTATCCAGCCCTTTTCCCACGGACCTCTCAGACAGAGAAGCAAGATCGCACCTCCGCATAGTCCCACACTCATACTTCCAGAGTGAATCCAACCGCCTTTGGCGTACACCGTGTTGCCAGCCGAGGTTCCCGTGATCTGGCCGAAGAAGGTGAACAGCATGAAGGCCGTGTTGATTCTGTTGCGGGCGCGCGGCGCGATGCTGTAGATCTGGCTTCGATTTGCGACCTGGCACGTCTGCATGCCCGCGTCGTGCATGAGCGCCTGGACAATTGGACCGGCGACGGTAAAGGTGCCGGTGTACGTCCCCACGGTGACGGACACAAGGACCATAAGTAGGCCGACGAGAACGGAGAGCCAGGGGTGGAATCTGTCCGTGACCAAACGGCCGTATATCGGGGCGAACGCGATGCCCGCGATGCCAATCAGGCCAAAGAGGCCGATTGGCAGCGGTTTGTAGTTGTACGGCTCGCCCGCGAGCAAAAATGTCAAGGTGGTCCAGAAGTTGGTGAAGGTGGCCGAAACCAAGTACGAGATAAGGCAGGCTTGAATGAGCAGCGGCTCTCTGACGAAAATCTTGACGATGGACCACATGAACTTGAGGTAGTGGAAGCCGTCCGGATTCGTTGACGGATAATCGGGCATGAAGAGCCACAGCAGGCCAAAGATGAGGTACTGGAGGCCGCACGACAGCCAGTAAATGTTGCGCCAGGAGGTGTAGTTGACAACTACGCCCGAGAGAACGCGGGCCACGAGGATTCCCAGCGTCAGGCCGGCTACCACGACGGACAATGCGGCGGCCCGTCGGTGTAGAGGGGCAAGATCACCAACAAGAGGAAGCATGATCTGCGGCGTCACTGTCGTGACGGCAGTGATGAATGTGAGAGCCGAGAAGACGGCGAGGCTTTTGGTCAGGCACAGTCCAATCCTATTTCAAACATCAGCACGAGCGACTGACGGCGGGCGGGGAGGGTTCGTGGTTGAAGCATACCAGACGGTGGCGGTAAACAGCACAAGCAAAAGCGTGAACGGTCTCCTTTTGCACACATCACCGAGCGGGCAGAGCAGGCCCAGCCCAACGGCGTACCCGGCCTGGGCGAGCGTCGGCACCTGGGAGACCTGCTCGTACGTCACGTTGAAATCATGGGCCAAGATGTTCAGGATGGGATGAGAGTAGTACAGATTCGCGACCGTGAACGCGCCAGCGAACGCGAACAGGCAGTTGAGTGCCATGGAGAATTTCGGCGGATCATCTGGGTTCCACCGGCATCGAGGCGGCGTCCACGAAAGGATCCGATAGACTCTGGAACGCGTTACGGTCGTCCATGTTTTCGAAAGTCGGGACGGTAATTTCTGGGATGCAGCCTCCAGGGATTCTGAGCATTCCTCGGACTGTGGTGGTGGTTCAGATACGCCCGGTGTAGCGTCGGCTCTATCTCGACTGGGGCGGCTCGAAGACTTTTCGTCTTCGGTTGATGATAGCGTCATTGCAACGGGCTCGGCGCAACGGGTGGATTATCTACCGCCCGACATGAGGGGAGAATAAAAACCAACACGAAATGGGGAAAATAGAGATACGGTGAGGGCGGGCATTGGAACGCGACGAGGAGCCGTCTAACTGGCAATTATCAATCAATTCGATCGCTATGGTAGTGGAGAACACGATCCTTAACTCCATAAGCAGGCAGGGCCGGCTGAAGTCAAACGTAGCTATTCCCGCGTGCCGGCTGCCGGTGACGGCTGCACCAGACGTTCGCTAAGTTTCGAGTCGAAAAAAAAAAGCCGCCTGCACGAACAATCTAGCGTGGAAGCTGGCCAGTATGCATTGGGTATATGTCTTTACAAGCCCTCTCGCCGGGCTCGTGCGGTGCGCAACAGAAGGCCTGCTTGTTGTTCTCTCGCGTATTCGGCCGTTCCCCATGATCGATGGGCTTTGCAAACGGAACTCGGGTTTCAAGAAGTTGGCTGGAAGCTGCTTTGCGTTCGGACGCCGAATGAAAGATAAGCTAGTTGTATGGGGAAATGCAGGGAACCTTTGTGAGCGACGGGCTGAAGCTCTCCGAGACGAAGGTGAACAACGGTAAAGTGCCGTGATTTGGCTTGCCGTGCCACCACATATTGAATACGTTTGCAAAGTCGTATTCGCTTCGTGTGCTTTAGTATTGCCTTTCACGTGGCTAATGGGTCGTCGCGGATCTCTTTAGGCGACAACGACGAGAGAGCCAAAGGTTTAGCAGTCTACCTTTGACGACTCTTGCACCGCTCCCTAAGCTGCGTTCCTGCTCGTCAAACGACAAACTTTGATATCTGAAATGGGACCTCTGCCTCAGGTCTCCCAGCTGGTTTTGCTTGGAGCCGAAGGGCTTGGCTGGAATGCTCAACCATCGTTACTCAAGGGCAGCAGGACTATCACAATTCAGTGGACCTTCGGGCCCCGTTCTTGACCTTTGATCCATGATGCCGACGAACCCTTTATTTCACTCAAAAGAATTCGTGTAAGAGCATGAAGCACTCTGAACCAAAACCAGCGGAGCCTGTAAATGGACTCCATGCATTCCGCAAAACTCATTTGACGCAGCACGCATCAACTTCGCGTTATTTTGATACAGTGGAGGATAAGAAGTGGTTCGGCAGAGCCTGTCACGCACAGCCCAGCCCGGGAGAGGTTATGGATAAACCAATGGTAGAATTTGAAGGAGGATTTTACTCTTGATTGTGTGTTGCTTTCAACGACAGTGCCGCGTCAACTTTATTCTTCAGCCCTCTGCGTGGCACTTTACAGTGTCTCACCATCGGAAACACCCAAAGACATGATCCAGCGTGTCTAAAAGAACCCTAGATGCTCCCAGACTCCATTCCGAGCTTCCTATATTTGCTACAGACGGCTTATCGGCACGAAGACGAGAACTCTTATTATGAGGGTCCAAGCCGCTGAGCGGAGATACTTGTACCCGTGATGAGCATTCCGAGGAGAGCATCGTGGAACAATTGGAGGAAGATGCGCGGAAGCAACACGCATGGGCTTTCGCTGAGCAATAACGAAAAAAAAGAGATCTGTAAAGCAACTCAATTGATCAGCATGGAGCTTTTGCTCCGTAAAAGACATTGATTCATCAACTTGTGCTCGATTACGTTGTATCACACATCAACTACGGTGGTATGTACGATCGTCCCAAAGCGACCATAGACTACGCCAAGGACATAGACATGCAACATAGGTCGCATATCAATTTTCTAAAGTGAGACGTGGAAGAGTACCTAAAATAGACCTCAGGTTTTGGAACCCAGAGGCACAAGACGCGTTAAGTAGACACAACAATTCGTGAAGTGAGGTGAATTAGATGACAGGAACTTAACCATTTGCTCACGATCTCATAGCGTTCGGAATCATGGTAGTCATTGGGTGGAAGAGATGCACGGTGAATTGTCTTCTGACGCGACCTGCACACTGCAAGATCGTCGGCTCACATCGTACGTATGTGATGTCTTGGCGCACGGAGCTCGATGGGCCCCCGGGTGTGACCTGCGCGAGCGCCTGCGGCGTGTTCATCGCCGGACGATGAGAAGGACTGCATCGAGATGCGAGAAGAACTGGGAGCTCGAATGGACGCTCAGCGGACAAGGAGAACGAGTAAGCTTACTGCAGGCGAAAACAGCAGCCGCATGCTTTAACACGCAGCAGCACACGAAGCGAATCATGCGAAGGAGCCCTGCATATCGAGATGTGCGGAGGGAACTTTCGCTCACCGTGCTACGGGATTTGTCTTCTCCATTCATCGACGCCTCGAAAATGAAAAAGGGGGTCGCACCTTGTCTCTTCCTCCTCTTCTCGCTCTCGTCTGAACACGATAAACCACAATCCATCCATGTGAGGCGTTGCTGGGGGGAGCTCGGAGCCAAGGCCGGCGCCTTTCTTATCGCACAAGCAGTCGGTGGTGATGTCCCCCAGCCTCGACGCTAGCCGAAACAAGGCGGGCACATTGAAAAAGGCCGCTCGGCTCCTCAGCCAAACCCCTGGCGCTGGGGGCGAACAATGGGCTGCTCCTTGTAATGACCGTTGCGGGACGCTGAATGATTTTCGCCGGGGAGGCTCGCGCAGGGCGAGTGGACTTCCGTGACGGACGCGCTGGTGTCGTCATCGACTCGAGCGTGAACGAGCAGGCACAGCTTGCGGGTGTCTTCGCACATACATGTGGGCATGCACGGCTTCTAGCTTCCGGCCATGCAGGGCGGAAACAAGGCCAAAGACGAAGCCGGGCAGAGACACAGAGAGCCCTGCCTGCGCGGAGTCTGAAAGAATGCGGGTTGGCGGACGTTCGATTTTGAGTGTGGCGTGTGCCCTGCGCAAAACACCCAGCGCAGCACTGGGCGGTGGATTTCCTGTAGTCTCCCCTGTGCCGCTGTGGACAGAGTGCGCCTCGCAATCCCGACTTGGGGAGTCCTGGAGAGCGTAAGGTTGGGAGTGGCGGCGCGACGCTGTCAGCAGCTGTGGCCTCGCGCGGTGATGCGTGTCGTCAGCGCTGCGGGCGGCAGCGCACGGAGGTGGACGAGGGGACGGACTGAGGGCCAGCGGCTCTGCAGCAGAATTGGGTTTGACGCAGCAGAAGGTAGACGCAGCGGAAGGCCGTCGGACGATGCTGATGCCACGGCGACGCCAATATGGTCGAACAGGAATCACGGGCGTGCCGTGTTGTCGTTCGTGGAGCTGGCGTGTCGCCGGGAGCGACGATGGGCACACGCTTCACCACTCAACCACGCCATCGCCATTGGCTGCGCAGCTCAGCTCCAGCCTTGAAAAGGTCCAAGCTGTGACCGCCGCTGAAGCCGAACAAACAACTGGCAGTCCCGTCCCTCCTCTGTCGTTACCGCAACAGATCCCCCAGACCAACACGAAGCCCGTCCCGCCCGTCGTTCGATCGCCCTGGACGCAATCCAGCCGGCGGAGGCCGAGTGGGCAAACCAAGCAGACAACCCGAACAACATCGTCCTGGTCCACATACCGTATCCCGTTGCGCTCCTCCGCCGCTCGCTCTCACACGTACGCCCTGTCTTCTATCTTTCTCACCCCCATCACCTTGCACCGGCAACCGACCCCGTGGCTCCCCGCTCCATTGCACGCACGAACAGAAGCACCCACGCTGCGGCTGCGCCTTGGTGTTGTGTCCGTCTGAAGATCTTCTCCCCCAATTGCACCCTGCCAGACAGCCTTACCAAGTAGTACGGGTCTTTGCTCCACTTGTTTTGGCCATTGCCTTTGTGTCCCGAGCAGAATCCCTCTCGCCTCGTCGACCGGACTGCTTCTCTTCTTGTCAACACCACTTTCATCCCAACGCTATCGGGTAACAGACACGCCTGCTGGGTTTTTGGGTAGCCAGCCATGTCATCGTCCCCGTAAGCTAGGATGTGTATTCGGGGCCACGTCTCGACCCACTGCCCATTGACCTGAGTTGCTGCCTCGACTATGGCTGCCGCAGCCGTGGACACCTTCACAATGGCGTTGGAGTTCCACGAAAGCAAGGAGGGCAGTCTCTTCGATGCCGTCTTTGGAGAAACCGCCGTTTTCGACAACCCCGATGTCCCCACCACAACCACCTCTTCGCGTGAAGGCTTGCCGCGGGCAGCGAGCTACAACGACTTCTCGACCGCCGTGCTGCACGAAGCCCAGTCCGACTCTGCCAGCAATGACGACGTGAGGGATTCATCCTCCATCGACGACACCAAGGCCGACGGTGTTACCTCAGCCTCTTCCGGTGAAACAACTCCAGAGTCGGAGGCTGCTCCTTCTTCCAATACAAATGCCTCCCACAAGAACGGCAAGTCCCCAGCAATGGAGCGGCGGATGGAACTGCCGAAGCTCGACACCGCCGACAACGTCATAAACCGCAGCCCCGCCGGCGAGTATGCCATGACGGCGCCCATCCTACGAACGCCGGCCTCCGCAGAGAGTGACGAGGTTCACGAGCTCCCCTCGCAGTCCTCGAACCATTTGACGGCTCGATTCAGGCGAAGGTCGTGGATGCCTGGCTCTCGCTCGCCGTCTCCCGGCAGCAAAAAGAGCACAGCGGAGGGCCTGGTGGACACGCTTGGCAAGGCTTCGAGCGTCGTCAGACGATCGTCCCCATTTCGACGCAGCACTGATTCTGACAACGGGGATGGACGTTCAAGAAGCAGGAGCTCGTCGCTGTCGAGATCGATAACGAGCAAGCTGTCGAAGCGCCCCAACAGCGCTGTATTCGAGTCTCCAACGAAGGGTTCATCCTCCCCTGTAAACAAGCCCTCTCAGCCCTCGCAGCTATCCAAATCCTTCTCTACGGACAAGCTCTCGCTCAGCAGCTTCACCAAGAAGTCTAGCGGCTCCACGCCCCCGGTACCGAGGCTGACGAGCAAGGATAAGCAGCGATTAGCGAACTCTGAAGTGACAAAGAAGCGTGACGAGCTGTGGACCGTATTTCGCAATTTGGAGGGTGACTTTCAAAAGTACGTGCGGAAAACTGATCGGTCTACGTACAGCGATTTGAAATTGGACTGACGTCGTGCCAGATTTCAAAGCAAGCCAACGACATTGAAAGCCAACGTAGTTCGGGCTTCGCTGATCCCTTTCCTCCGCGAGTACCAACACCATCAATCTACGTACAATCTGCGCTTCGAAGATCTCGAGCGACGGGCAAACATACTACACAAGTGGTGGAGTGGGCTGCTTGAGCTCATATTGAACAAGAACAACCAGTCCGTGTCTGGCACAGATAGACCAGTTGTGTTCGATGGAATCCTCGGCATCATGGAGCGACCGGAGTGGCGGCTGGCGCCTTCTCCCTACGCTCCTCTGTGGGACAGGCAGCAAGCCGCGAAGGGCCACCAGAAGTCTACTTCGGTCACTTCGACTTCGTCCGAATCGTCGGACGTCATGCTAGGCGACTCGGTTGTTCACAACGTACGGAACTTGTTTCAGCAAAATCTTATCGATCAGATGGGCTACGTGGTCGAAAAGATGGCAATGCGGAATGCTCCGGCGAGCTCCGTGTCCTTTTGCGGTCGAACCTGTGCTTATGCGTTCTTTTTCTGCCCTGGTATCGCGGACGTCCTCGTTAGGCTGTGGAACCCCACGATGGATAGCTTGAACCGTGTTCTGCAGGAATGTGGGCACAAGCGGTCCATTAGTTTGAAGGACACAGCGGAACGTATTGGACAAGGATTCCCATCGCATCTGAAGTCGCTGAGGTTCCATAACATCTCTGCCATATACAAGGCTCTCCGAAAGCCAGCGCCATTGCCGCTACGGACGCACACACTACCGTGGAGCAGCCACCCGTGGGTTAGCAGGTGGTGTGGAAAGGACAGCGACCTCTTTTACGTGTTCGCCAAGCACTACCACATGCTTGTGGTCGACTTCTTGCCTGCTGATACAACACGCACCGAGCGACTCTGTGCACCAGGTCTGATCTTTGTGCATGCTCAAATACTGATGAACATGGATGCGACGATCCACCGAAACGTGATGCCAAATCCGATGGACCCTGGAAACAGCAATGGCAGCACGGCGAATAGCACGTTCGACGACATTCTCGGCGATCCTGATTCTGCGGCTCCGCCCTTCCCTCTGCCTCCCGCCGCCAACGCCGTGCGACAGATGAGCGAGAACCGACTCATCATGCTCGTCCGAGATCTGCTCTCGGAACGAAACACGAATCCAGAGGAGGTTCGGATCATATTCGGGATGGCGTTTGCTGACCTGCTCAAGGCTGCGGCTCGCAGGACGTCGATATACGACCCTTCCGCGTGCTACGTGCTCTGCGACTTGTTGGAAGAGGCGTTCCTGATCTTAGTGCGGTACGAACAACTCAACCCGGTCATCGGATCCGTGCTTGATTGGTCATTCTGGATGGATGTGTGGAGGCGAATTGTGGAGAGTCACAACACCACGACCGAGATACGTCTGTACGCGTTGCTCTATAGCTTGTGGCCTGCTTTTGTCATCGAGCCTCAACGGCGAGCTGAGCTGTGCGCTTCTTTCCTGCTAGAGCCAAAATTCTTCGCGAGCCGATTCAACCACTGGTGTCCCATGGTGCGGGCGTACTATCAACGCCTTCTCTGCTGGCGTGTCGCCCGTTTCGACGGCGAAGAGCAGCCCGGCGACGTAGAGATTCTCAGCCGGCTATCTGAAAACCTTCAGACACAATACGGATACTATCTATACATGCGGGATGCGGCGCAAGGTTCGCCAACTTTGCTCCCGTCTACAGCGCCTTGTAATCCTGCTCCAGGGCGGCGTCTGCTCATTGTACGCACGGACCATCTTGCGGAGAAGTCCCGTGGAGCTTTCATGTCGTTTGACGGTGTTCTGACTCCCCATCCGGCCAGTAAGAGGCAGTCCATGTTAGCAGATCTGTCAGATTCCGAACCGCGTCCGGTCTCCAACGACTCCACGGACAGCGAACCTGAGCTCGAGGAGCGAGGGCCTCGGAAATGGGGTCTGCTTCGCACCATCATTGGAACCTCTAAGCAAGAAACTGCGAAGGCCGGTCAAGCATCGCAGGATACGAAAGAGAAGAACTCGGCACCCCAGCCCCAGCTTGTGAAAAGACCATCGGACGGTTCTGATGAGTCCCAGGAGGATCGGTCCAGCTTCAGACCGTTCACCTTCAAGTTCTCGCTCGAGTGGGCCGATCGCCTGGACAGGCGTTTGCAGGCACCAGGGCCAATTCGCATCTCGCCGCCAAAGCTGCCGATGCCCGCGCAGACTCTTCTGAACGAGTCGAGACCTGCGACGCACTCATCGCTGACACCCCCGCGCAGCATTGACAGTGTCTACACAGACGCGAAGTCAACAAATTCGGATAGTAACAAGAGCGTGGACGTGCGACCGCTCGAGCCCAAGGGCGAGGCTGTCATGCAGGCAAAGTACTCCGGACGCGCGCTTGCGGAGTGGATGCTCGTCGTCCTAGAGTGTGGCAGCTTCTTCGATCGTAGAAAGGCAGAGGGTGTGCCGGGCAATCGGTGGGTCGAGACGCCAAGTCTCGGTGTTGAGTCTTTCAAGAAGCCTGGCTAAGCTGCTTGAGCAACATTCGCCCATTTGTGTGGAAGAAGGTCTCAGTGACAACTCCACACGACGTTGACAACCATCCCACGTTGGACCTGCTGGTCCTGCTTTCGCATCTGGATTGAGCGAGACACATGCATTCATTTGCGCATTTTGGGGTCCCGGCAATCATTCTTACGGCAGGCTGAAGAACAAGTAGTCATTTTTTTTGTTGTGTGGTTTTGGCAGGGGTTTTTTTTTATTATTATTATTATTAGTATTTCCTTTTTCTATATACTTGATTCTCCCCATCATCTTTTTCTTTTGGGACGGGGTATCATAGTTCACTTCTGATAGTATGAACTATACACAATACATTGTACATAGTTTGTGACAGTACGGCATAGAAATTTGGGAACTATCTACAAGGATTTGGCGGGCCGGATGGGTGGGTTTGAGGTTCGGAGTATATTGTTACCTTTCGCGGTACGCCATAGTTAGATTGGTGAACTTGGAGTGGCGAGCTGCCACCGTAGACATCCAACCAATGCAAGAACTTTTGAAACCCATGCTTGGCCCCTCCTCCCCCCCTCCCTTTCCAAGTGTTTCGCCGAGCACCGTTCCCCTGCCAGCGGATTGTTAGCAGATAGCACGAAAGGCGACCGCCGAATGGCGGCTTTGGTGACGGCGTGTCAAGGGGGATCTTCAGAGTCCAGAATGAAGGCTTGGGATCATCGTCAAGCTATGCTTGGCACACTGCGGTCGGCCCACTTGTCAGCCTCGCGGCGGACGAAACCCTCCATGCTGAGCATGGCGACGACGAGGAAGCCGAGCTCCTCCCTATCCGTATCGAAAACCTCCCACCACTCGTCGCCGGGAAGCTTGACGCCGACCTCCCTCGCGGCGAGGTAGATGGCGGCGGTGGCCAGGGAGGACGGCTGGTGGGTCAGGAAGAGAAGCTGGGGGCTGAGCAGGGCGGTGTTGAGCTGGGCGAAGGCGCGTCTGGCCAGCCGCGAGGCGGCGTCGCGGTCGGCAAAGACATCGAGAGCCTGCAGGTAGTTGACGCAGAGGCTGTAGGGCAGCGCGACGTGGACGTCGAAGCCGAGGGTGCGCAGGACGAGCAGCTCGTTGGCGACGAGCTTCTCCCTGCGCACCTGATACGCGCCCTCGGACACGTAGTACGCCTCGGCGTCGCTGGCCTCCGCATAGGCCCGCGGCGCGACGAAGGTTGCCTTGAACGAGCCCAGGTAGGCGTACGTGTTGACGACGCTTCTTGGCGACTTGGGCAGCGCGGACAGTTTCGCTGCCAGATACAGCGCCGCGGCGGAAATGTCCTGGGAAGCGGCAAACGCAATCGTATCAGCTTGCTGTTTGGATGCTCACGGTTGCCAAGAGAAAAGGGGGAGAATAGAGGGAGGGCATGGGCCGGCTGACTTGAACATCGTGCTTGTGGAGACTCCCTCCTTCGGGGCCGACCCAGAAGCGCTGGAAGAGGACGATGGCTTGGGCGATGATGTCCTGCGGCAGCCTGAGCAGCATCCCAGCGGCTTGTGTCAGTCGTGACCCGGCGAAGATCATGGACGTCTCCAGCTCGGCGGAGACGCCGTCTTGCTGCGAGTTGGAGACGGCCAGCTGCTCTGGCGTTGCCAGAGCGTTGACCAGGTGCGAGGTTTCATCGCTAATCGGCGCCATGGTACCGAGAAGAGGCGCGGGGCCAGAAAAGAAAAATTTCGTGATGCTCTTGACCTGACCGGCAGGTTTGGATATGGGGAGGTCACGATCACGGGGTGTCGCGCTGCGCACAGACCATATTTGCTTGACGTGTGAAGGACACGGTAACAAGCTTCTTCCCAAGCACGAATTCCCCAAAGGGACGACTGCTGCATCATGGTCTGGAACGAAACAACATCGTCGTCTCTTTCCTAATTACCAGCAGATGACGTTTCCGAATTCACGATCAGTCATAGGATGCCGATCGAGGCCGTGTAAACGTCATAATCAGGACACAGCACAAGATTTCACCAGGGAGGGATCATGACTGCAGATTCTGAAGAAAAGGGCTGATTGTCCAAGAAAACGGTCCAGCGTTGGCGAATGGGATACTTGGCCCAGAATAGTCGGAAATCATGCTTCAGGTATATACGCGAGCACTCCTCTATCTGATCGAGCAAGGGCCTGTGTCAGCGCATCCTTTCTCTGCTCCTACTTCGCGCCCCAGCGGCCGCAGCTGAATCTGCAGACCGATCTGTCGTGCCACCCAGTGTCTAAACCTGCCGCGTCCGCACATTTCCGTTGGCATGATGAACCATCAACCTATTCTGCGCCCGTCGTTCAATCTTGCCTCACATACATGGGCCAGAGGATACCCCCACTGGGAGGCGCCAAGCCTTACGGTGAAACACGTCAAATGTACGGCAGCATTGACAGCATGGGTACGATCGGGGCGTTATCATTTAAGGTCCAGGAAACACAAGACAAAATAACATTTCCACCACTTATTCTTTGAAGGGACCGCCGAAACTTGTCGACGGGGAGCCGCCCGGAGGTTGGACTCCCCACTTGGTTGCAGCACATTTTCCAGCCTTACTAACATCGACACATCCTCCGCTCACCGCGGCTCGAGGCGGCCACGGCAAACCCATGCCACACAGTGGAGGAGCGTTAAAACACCAAGCTTTTTAATTTTCGCGTGTTCGCCATCGCAACGCAAAACACATTGGGATAGGAATTTTGGGAAGCGAGATGTTTCACGCTGTTTTTCGCCAGCCATCCTCTCATTCAACCCGTACGCCTCCATAGTCCTTATAAGTCGTGCTCGCCGCGCAAGAAAATGCCATCCTCAGGTCGGCCACTCGTTCAGCGTCAACACATTCGTTTCTTGTCTTTGTACAGTTTCATTCATTCCAACAGTTGAGCTGTTTTTCTCGTCCGATTTGCTTTCGATTCTATCCTAGCTAGACGCTACCCTTTCTACCCAATTCTTCCACAATGCGAATCTCCGCCGCAGTCTTCAGCATCATCAGCTTGGCCTACGGCCACGGCATCGTCACTTCACCTAAGCCCCGTCAACCCGGTCCTGCTATGCAGGCGGCATGCGGCCAACAGGTCTACAACAACCAGGCTTCCAATGACCAGGGCAACATCCAGAATATGCTTCAAGTTGGCGCGAGCCAGTCTGACTTCGATCCGGCCAAGTGCAATGTGTGGTTGTGCAAGGCCTATCAATTTGCTGACAACAGCGCCAATGTCCAGACCTACACCGCAGGACAGGTCGTTCCAATCAAGGTCGACATCAGCGCCCCTCACACTGGTGTCATGAACATGAGTATCGTCAACACGGCTACCAACACTGTCATTGGAAGCCCCCTCATCTCCTTCTCCGACTACGCATCCAACGCGCATACAATCCCAGCAAACAACACGGACTTCTCGATCACCATGCCTGACGTGAGCTCTCAGTGCGGCACGGCCGGCGCCTGCGTTATTCAATGGTTCTGGTAGTAAGTCTTGGACCGAAGCCTTCTGTATTTACGTCCAACGTGCTTACAAATTTTCCCAGAGTAAACTTTTAATTTTCTGCGAAGAATTGTCAATCGTGGACTTCATCGTAGATATCATTTCCCTAGCTGTCTCGACGCAGGATCAGTCTTACAGCTAGGATACCTAATCTGAAAACTCATCTTTTCGTCTTTTCTCTCTTTATATATGACGAGATGTAACTAACCCTTTCGCTAGGGATGCTCGTTCGGTTGACCAGACGTACGAGGCTTGCATTGACTTCACCATGGGCGGTAGCGGAGGTGGAGCAACTACTCCTACTACAACAGCTGCTGCTTCCGTCTCGACGACAAAAGCAGCGGTTGCGACCACAACCAGTGCCGCTGCTTCTGCAAGCACGCCTGAGACTGACTGCGAGGACGACACTCCTGCCCCTTCGTCTGTCCCAGAGGTCGAGTGTGACGATGGGTTCATCGCTACAAAGGAGCGTCGCCACCCAAGGGATTTCTCTACCGAAGCCTAGTCAATTTTAAAGCACCCTTGCAACGGCAGCTCTGAAAGCGCAAATAACCTTCTGTGTATATTCTTAAGTGTACTGGTAGATCACGAAGCACTACGGTAGTAGTGAATCAAAGCAAACTTTTGGCCGATTATACATTGTCCACAAATTTGTGTCTTTTGTTTAAATGGTGCTACCTTTTTTATTTCGAGATAGCAGCGAGCGCTTTTGAGGTTCCACGTATTAGGTATGGGACTTGACGTCCTCCCTTGCAGTGCAACCACGGAGCACCGGCCCGAACCCTGCCGCATTTTACACCACTTTGAGAGACAGCCTCCCTGCGCTTGGAACGCACATCTGCACAATCTTGCTGCACGTCGTTGAACCTTGGGAACGAAAGAGGGGCACGGTCGAAAGATGTCTTCCGCGGAAGCTACTGAACATGCTTAAAGCCCCCAAATCCTCCAAACGCAAATCCCTCCGACCGTCCACAACTCCGTCTGGGCTCACGCAGGGAGGTTACCCGGACAAAGAATAAAAAAAATGTCTCTGCCCATCCTGCTCGCAGCCGGCCTCGCGCTGCTCACGCTTTTTGTGGTCCGTCGCGCAGCGGCGTATTTTCGGCTCGCCCACGTTCCGGGGCCTCGGTTTGCGGGCTGGTCGAGGTTGCCGCTGGTGTTGGACAATCTGACCGGACGCCATCACGAGATCCTGTACGAATACAACCTCAAGTACGGCCCGCTCGTGCGGCTGGCTCCGAACATTCTGATCACCTGCGACGCGGACGTCTACCAGCGGATGTACGCGCCAAATTCAAAGTACAGAAGAGCTCCATACTGTCGTTTGTTTCCCCGCCAGCTCGGCTTGGAACGCACGTTGACGTCTTCTCGTAGAGTATCTCCTCACTTGCATTAAGATGAACTTTCTTGGGGTGGAAAAACTCCGGCCTAGCTGAGGGACGCAGGCCGCCCGCGTGCATGGCTTGCAACTTGAAATATTTTCATCCGGCATCTCTACCAGATGCTGAACCTCTGCGGCTAACAAGTGTATAAGATGGCGTGTTCAGATTCAAACCGAGGAGCGACAATCTGTTTTCCACCATAGACGAAGCAAGACATAACGCCGTGAGGCGTAAAATGGCGCCCGGATACGCAGGTAGGGAAGTCCCATACATGGAAGACGACATAGACAAGCACGTGCAGGAATGGGTGAACCTGATCGAGAGAAAATACATCTCCGACGACCGGGAAGTGAAGAAGATGGACATCGGACGTCAGGCGCAGTTCTTCACGCTTGACGTGATCAGCGAGTTGGCGTTCAACCACAGCTTCGGAGATCTTGTCGACGACAACGACAACTTCAGATACGTGCAGACGGCAGAAGAGACCGTCAGCGTGATGACGATGCTTTCCTACTTCCCCAGCGTTCACGGATGGCTTGAGCAGAGCCGCGTCATGGACCTGATCGCGCCGAACGCGGTTGACAAGCTCGGTCTTGGTGCCGTCATTGGAGTTGCGAAACAGAGGATAGCGGAGCGATTCGACGACTACGAGAATCAAAAGGACAAGCAGGATATGCTGGGAAGCTTTCTCCGACATGGGCTGAGCCAGACGGACGCCGAAGGCGAGACTGTACTTCAAATGTAGGATCGAATGAGCAAGACGCGAAACGAAAATGGCGCAAAGGCAGCTGACGGTTCGTAGAATTGCGGGAGCAGACACGTCGGCAACGATCATGAGAGTTGTTTTGCTATACGTGCTCAGTTCTCCGGCCATATACAACAAATTGATCAACGAAATCGACGTCGGGATCAAGGAAGGCCGAATCTCCTCTCCAATCAAGGATGCAGAAGCAAGAAGGCTGCCCTATCTGCAAGGTTGCATCAAAGAGGCCTTGAGGCTGTGGCCCGTGGTTGTCGGTATATCCCTGAAGCAGGTACCTGACGAAGGTGACGAAGTGTGTGGTTACAAGATTCCAGGTGGGACGTTCATTGGACACAATGCTTGGGCCTTTGGTCGCGAAGAAGCCGTGTACGGGCCCGACTTCGAGGTGTACAGGCCCGAACGGTGGATTGAGGCTTCCGGACGACGACTTGAGCTGATGGAGCGCAACAAGGAGTTCACCTTCGGATACGGCCGGTTCAAATGTCTCGGGCAGCCCGTAGCCTTCATGGAGCTGAACAAGGTCTTCGTGGAGCTGCTCAGGCGCTTCAACATCTCCATTCTGAACCCGGCCAAGCCGCTCAAGAGCACCAGCCACGGCATCTTCTTGCAGTCCGACTTCTTCGTCAAGGTGACGCGGAGGCCGCAGGAGCTATGAGTCGTAGAACGTAGAGAATCAGACGCCTTTTTTCTGTACATTTTTTTCACGTCCTGTTCCACCATGCGTCGAGCACGTGTTGCCTGACCTCCCACGCCCAGTGGTGACAAGTCTGATGGATGACGGGGCTGACACCTTCGACGTCGTCTTCGCCTTCGTCCATGACGCTCCTGATCCCAGCCGCCTCGTACTTCTTCAGCAGAGTCCTCCGCCACCGGCCGGTTTCGCCCACGCATTTCTTCCACCTGCTGATCTGCCTCTCGTCGTCCTCGCAGCGGCGGCCTTGGAAGAATCGGCAGTACCACTGAAACCACCCGCGCACATCGTGTTCGTGGTCGATCCACCCAGCCGCTTCCCACGCCTCGATCGATTGACCGGCCGCGACGCCAAATTTGTTGACTTCGGCGTCGTACACGGCGCTGGTCAGATACTTTTTTACGTCCAGCCCCTCGATCCAATCAGCCGGAAGCTCCTTCCAGTCATCTTCAACCGTGATGCCGAGCGCTTTGGAATAGAGCGGCCGCCAATACGTCCCGCCAAAGCATCCTTCTCGCATCATCTCCGCCGGCGACTTGTTGGGCAGAAAGTCCGGATGATCCTCGAAGTGAAACGTCCCGTCGTCGTCTCGTTCGGGAAGTTCCGCTGTCGGTTTCCACATCGACCACTGCTCTCTCAATCTTTTGATTTCATCTCCGCTTCGCCGTGGTCCCTCCACGTGTGGGGCGGTTGTCACTGTGGGCTTGCTTTTCTGCCTGAGCATGGGACGCCCCTCGGACGAGATCAGCTCATCTTCCACGTAGACTGGCTTGGCTTCTGCCCCAGCGAGTCGAGCGGAGCTCCGCTGTGGCAGTTTAGATTTGGTTTCGAGCTTCCGTCGCTTTGCTCGAGAATGGTCTGTCTTGGCATGTGTTCGGGAGCCTTGCAGCACCTCCCCGGCATGCTGAAGTTTAAGCTCTTCAAACAAAGCCTTGTTCTTTGCGATCTGCTTCTGTCGAGCCTCCTCGTAAGAGCCCATTGCTATTGTTGCGATGCGGACACTTCAATTCGAGATGTCAAGCTGTCCGACGCGTCGATAGTGTGCACGCCACACGACGTCATCAAGCACCACCTCATTCCCCAGATCGTGCAAAATCATAAATGGATCCTAACTTCTTAGAAGTACAAAATGATCGCACAATAGATATTAGTCATAGAGAAGTTTATTTCTGTCTTCTAAGAGCGAAAAAAGAATAAGAAGGAAGGCTCCATATTTCCCCATATCTTGTCCACCCGAAACAAGCAGCTTTGTTTGAAAATGCTTGGCCAAATAACCAACCATTCGTCTTGGAAAGCCAAGATATGTGAAACTTGGTACTCGTAATCTTTAAGGACCAACAGTGCGGACATCCTTCCCAAAGCTTCGGGCAGAATTATCCTGGAGAACGCGGCTTTTGATCCCGGCAATAAATCGTCCTATCAAGAGCAATGAGGTACTGCGCGTCTTACTCCCTCACATTGAAAACAGATGGGCAATCATATGCAAGCGGAAAAACGAGGGGGGGCAATTCACGATAGATTTTCAAAGAGGGCAAAGGCGTCCTCTGTTAAGATAGATTTAATTTGATACTCCACATATTTGTGCTCTGTTCATACATATGTATATATATCGTGTCCGCATGATCCGGCCATTGCGATGCATTTGATCGCTCCTTTGCCTCCTTTCAATTCAATATCCCAGAAGATAGAAAAAGAAGAAAAAAAAGCAAAGAACAGTGAGGTGATATGGTAAAAATACACACACACACACACACACACACACACACACACACACACGCACACACACGTTCTAAACGCCCCAACATCCCGCACTGCTATGCATAGAACAAATAAAAAGGGTAATCTACGGTAAAGAACTAGTTCAAAAGGGAAAGAGTGGCGTCTGTTGTACTTTAAGATGATGGGGAGGACATCCAGACGCAGTGACATGAGTTTTGACTGGCGTCTCTTCTGAACAACTCAGCCAGCTGCTTGTGTTCCGTGTCTCTCTTGCTCTTGCCTGACGCTGCGGCTGATGATTTCAACTCGTTCTGCTGAACCTGGAAACTCGGCGAGTCTTCACTGATAGGCACAATTACGGGGTTGTTGGAACTATCGAGGAGAGGCTGTGGCGGACCTGACTCTGGAATGACCATTCGCTGGCAGTAGGGCTGCACCGTCTGTTCACAAGGAATCCGGCGTTCCTGCACCTTCATTGTGTATGGGAACGGCGGTGCGGACGACGGAGTAGGCGTTGAAGAGATGTACGAGCTGGATGATGTGTTTGTAGATGTTGAGGACGCCATTCGCTTTCCATATTCTGCAATCGCTCTGCGCCATAGATCCCGAGCGTCCGGGTAGCCTGCGTCTGGAGTGTTGGCTTCGCGATGGAACATGCCGTGTGCAGGTGGCTGCGTCGGTTCAGGGCCCGCTTCTCTTTTCGTTAGATGCGTTTGGCTTGGGCCTACGTAAGAATTCATGTATACGAAGCCTTCGAGCCACGTCTGGTTCCACCAGCAGAACCAAGGTTGATCGCCAACAGACACGGAATTTTTGCGATGGTGAGGATCACCAGTCGGAATGGAGTACGAAGTTGAGCTCGAGGCTGCAGCCGGGGTCGCGTAATATGGCGGTCCGACAATTGTGTACGCTGGAACGGAGCTGTAGGAAACTGGCGCTCCATAACCGTATTCCTGATCACGCTTGGCCTTTGCCTTGCTCGGGGAGAATTGGTCGCTGTCTAAAATGACAAGCTTGTCGTACATCGTCTGGAAATGTAGAGCAGGTCCCAAGTTCGGTTCCTCCACGTCAATTACCCAGTACAATCGCTGTGGCGTAGTGACCGTTGGATATTGTGCCCCGTAGTTAAATTCATAGCGTGGCGCTCCGCTGGATGACGAGGACGATGCCACGCTTCTGTTAGGGAACATTTCCATGAATTGAGGTGCCGAAGGCGGGGAGTCAACCTTCAGAAGAGCGGGTTGAGGGGGTGTGTTGCACGTCCAGGCGTTGTACTGATTGGGATTGGTTAGGCAACTCTTCTGCTGCTCCTGAGGGATTCCAAAAGGCATGTTGTACAGGCCGCTAGCGATTGGTGCAATTCCTTTTGGCGTCGGTATTGGCGATGCGTCCAGCATAGACGCGGTGCTTGTAACGGTCACCGTAGGAGGGTTTCTGAACAAAACAATCAATAACTGAATAGTGGAGCTGGAATTCGAAACAGCTTACCGCTTGCTTTCAGCAGACAGTAGACCACCCACAACACCGCCGATGACTGCTGTGCAAATGACTATTACAACGACAACTGTGACAACCATCCACAGCGGGATGCAACCCCCGCAGACTTTTGTGCGTCTCTTCTCCGTGAACGTCTTCTCTTTCCAAGGCTTCTTCTCGCTCAACGACGAATCGCTACCACTGCTTGATGCGGGGAGGGCAGCCGCCTCCAGAGCTGGTGTTCTCTGGGCCCTTTCTACTATCGGGCTCGTTGGACTAGGTAGAATCGGTGATAATATTCGCGTCCCCGCCGGTATGGCCGCAGCGTCATCAACAGCGATCTTGGTGTGTCCATCTGGATATTTAGAATAGGGTGGTAACTGTTCCGTATGTCCGTCCGGCCCGACGATGTCCTGCTCTTCCCCGTCCGGACCGATTCTTCGCTCGAAATTGTCTCTCCCTCCGAGGAAGCCGACGGGAAGGGGTGGCACGGGGCCATCGTCGTCGTCCGCAGCAAACCCTGTCTGATTGTACAGCGCGTATGGCTGGGCGGGTCTCGCTCTGGAGTTAGAACTCTGCCGCCGAGACGGCGAATGCGAAGCGAACGACGAACGGGGAAGTCCCGACTGGGAGAAGCCGCTGAAGCCGTCAACACTGGCATTGCGACCATTCACTGGCGTACTAGATCGGTCTTCAAACGGCGCGAATTCTGACGCGGTGCTCATTGGGCGGTGACGAGATAGCGAATGATTGTCGCCTGGCGTCCGTGTGCCTCCTGACCCTGCGGTCGCGAAATCTCTGGGATCCTTCGCTATACTTCTCCTCCATGTGCGCTGCTGCGTGTTGCTCTCGTTCGCCTCTTTATTCACTATTGAGCGTCGCTCAGTTCTGCTTCCGTTTGAAGGCGTGTGTGATCGTGTCTGTGCAGGTGTGTCTGCCTCCTGTCGTGTGGAGCGGTCCAGGGGCCGATGATCCAGCTCGGCCTCTGGCACGTCGACCTCGTACTCGTCGTCGAAGACGTTGGGATTCGGCTCGGCGGTAGCGCTGGCTCGTTGCCGCGACGGGCTCGCCATAGCGCGGTCGTCCTTCTCGTCTGCGTCGCCTGGGTTTGAACGAAGGCTTTCCCCCCCTAAATACTATGGCAGTCGTGCAGCGAAGGATTGTATCGTAGTCTACAATTCCATAAAAGTTATTACAAATAAAGAGAAGTAGTAAAGATGCTCGATACGGGCAACTGAAGGGGAAGAAAGGACAGCGACTGCACGGCGAATGAGTGAGAGAATGGGTTCAGAATGTGCAACGAATTGGCGGGTGTATGCGCTGAGAAACGTTCTGCGGCAGGAGACGAGGCGAGGCGTCTTGGTTGGCTGTGGGCGTGCTGAGGCTGCTTAAGTTTCACCAACGGGGTCGACAAACCATTCGGGCCACTGTCGCTGGTGCAGGCCAACAACCCTAGGCTGAGTCCTTTTCCTTCCCTTTCGGCTGGCAGAGGCGACACGATCATGTCTGCACACAGCGACAAATCTCGTCCGTCGTGATCGCTCGCTCCAGGCTCGCACGGCTGAAGAGGCTTGCCCTGATGGTGCCCTCTGGCGTGCCCTGGACTTATTTCGCAGATAACCACTAGCGCGGGCCTGGTAGTGTCCGATGGTTCCTGGCCGGACACTCCTTACAACCGCGCTTGGACGAGAATGCAGTCTGGTTTTGAGTATAGCGTGATGCGCGAGTGCTCGAATGCGGCGTTGCACAGCGCCCCCCTAAGCCCCAGGAACAGTCGTCGTCACCAGGGCTGCTCTTCCGGCCACACCCAGACCGTGCTCTCCCTCCTGGGCTCGTTCGTGTGCACTTGGTCCAGTTGTCGTCTGATGGAGCTGGCACACATCCGTCGCTTCGTTGTCATCGCAGTCTCTCTTCGTGACCTGATCGTGGCATCGTTGTCACGGAACGTCAGGATGGCGACAGGGGCACGATTGGCGTCGACATGGTTCGTGCAAAGACCAGATTGCGTTTGGTGCTCTGCATTGATCGTCCGAAACCATTCTGCTGGACGACAATAATGTCTGGGAGAGCCATGGGCGAGACCAACTTCGCCGTTGGATCGTAGCATTGCTGCCACTGGGCACTGGTATCGTCTTGAGCACCCGCGGCCTCGGACCTCTCACCTCTCTGATCTGCGCTTTGAGTCATCAGTCACATGACTCTGCCTTTCCGCGTCTTCACTGAGGCATCGACGACGCAGAAACACCAACATGTTGGATGCCGCAAGCACTGCGAAATGCCTCAGCCTCTGCCTCGCTCTCTTCTCATTTGCGACTCAGGCAAGGGTCGGGTGGTGAGCGTATGGTCACTGAATCCCAACATGTATTGGTTTGTCGACGCTATTTAACAAGACTTGTATGCTCCACAATAGCAAGGGCAGCCTGTCTGAAGATTGGATGCCAAAGCCTGAAAAGTCGCTCTGAACTGACGATCTCTACACTAGCCTGTGTTTGGGCCGGCCTAGACCAAGATGAAGGTGGCAACGATTGGCGTCGGTGTGAGAAGCGCTCTTCTAAGCTTTGCCAGGCGCAAATGAATCACATTGTACATCGCGCTGTACGCGAGGTTGAGACATGAATAATGTCCAACCTGGCTGTCAAATAGTCCACCGGATTTGACGAGATTACATTATATGTAATGATAAGCGTCTACTCTATTCATTGCGGGGCCATTATCGCATCCTGCCGCAGCGTGTACTTGATAAACATGTTCGTGTCCGGCCTCGCTGCCTGATAGTTGTTCGTGTTGACCTTTACGGTGTCCTCCATTTTTCTGCCCTGGCTGTCTACGAGCTCGAAGTCGAACATGGTGCAAAAGAAGGCGGTGATGATATTTTGCTCTAGTTTGGCAAAACGCATCCCTAGGCAAGCTGCGAACGCGTTAGCACTTGAGTCTGGGCCATGGCCTCGTGTCACTGACGATGTCTGCCGGCACCCCACCCGATGAACGCATATTTGTCCTTCTTGTCCTCTGCGCGATCGGGGAAGTAGCGCGACGGATCCCACTTGTGAGGATCGCGGAAGAGTTCTGGGTTCAAGTGATGGTTTCCGAAATGGTATCTGGCAGTGTACATTAGCGCAGGACCTTGCCAGTATTGAATCACGTGTCGTACACCAAGAACCCATCAGCGGGCAGCTCTTTGTCTCCGAGTTTGAGTGGTCTTCCGCTCATGTTCTTGCGAAATCCAGTGCCATGTGCCTGGAGACGAATGCTATCTCTCAAGCAGAGATCGATGAGCGGGAAGCTTTGCTCCCACGCTTCCAGTGGAAGCTTTCCCAACCGGTCGATGAGTGGTTCGTTTCCAGGACAGTACTTATCTGTCGTGGCGCGAACTTCTTTACGAACTTCGTTCAGCCAATACGGGTTGACGGCAAGATAGCACAAGACCCATGCTGCATTGATTCCTGAGTTCAATTGCCCCGCAAAGAGGGCGCCAACGACGAACTTTGTGGCCCTTAGCACATGCGAGCAGCCGTCGGAAGAGGCTGAACTTACACTGATGATTGTTTTGGTGTCATCCCCTTCGTCGATCAAATATTGTAGAGGGTCGTCTTCCCGTGTCCCACCCTTCTGCCGAGCCTTGACAAGTCTCTCGAAGATCATATACATCCGCATACCAGCATAGAAGCGCTTCACCAGTGCCAAGGAGGGAAGCCACGGAATTATCACCTGGTATGGCTTTGCAGACTGCTCAATCATCTCGAACAAACTAAGCGTGGTGTCCATCAGCTTGCGGTCACGGGCGATCTCGTTGGCGCCAACAGCTCGTTGCGTGAGAAGGTAGACAAGTTTGTAAATGCTGTCGAAGGGGTCTGTTATACCTGGTGATTCTACCGCAAGATCATTGAGACGCCCTCGAACGTCTGAGAGAAGAGTCGGCAACGCCACGGCAAATCGGTCGTTCTTCAGTAAGGACATCATCCGCCTGTTGAAGAACCGATTACTGCCCCCTTCGCTATTCGGTTTCGCATTCGAGTCTGCAAAGTCTGGTGCTTGGCCAAACAGCACGGCATAACCCTCCGCGAAGCCAACTTCCTTGCTCTCGAAGAAAACTTTCCTTCCCTCGTCGCTGTTCACGCCCACGAGCCTATGTTTGCCAATGTGGAAACTGAAATCCGGGGATCCGGTCTGCGCAATCACGGCATTCCACCAGTCTCGGCGAGCGGTCCAGAAGCCCAAAGCGCCGACGATTGGCCAGTCGGAGCGAACGACGGGTGGTGCCTTTTCGTCAAAAGGCTTTCGTTTGAACAGGCTCCAGTACGAGATGACGAAAATCAACGCTGAGACGGCGGCATATGCCACCAAGGCGGTATTCGACAAGTCGCTCAAGTCGGAGATCGTTCGTGATGCCATCGCAACAACGAAGTCTTACTGAACTTCCTCGCTAAAAGAGCGTCTGGCGACCAGGACATTGAAGGACTGTAGATAAGAAGGGGTGCTCACCAGCATTTTTGAGCACCACAGTCGTCGTGCTCGGCAAATTCCTGGTTGACGGGTGTCACCAACCTGTGGCCTCATCATCAGCCCAATAGGATCTGTGGGATTTCTTCGTGAACCCACATCCACGTCTCAGCCTGCCGGGTTAGGCTTTTGAGGAGATCATCAATGTCAAGGATGCTTCTATTGGTCTGGTTTTTGCGTCTGAAGTACACAGGCGAAGTATCTTCCATCTATAACAAGTCAATTGGACGTTCTTGAGGTGCGAGCCGGCGTAAGCACTACTGCAGCGTAATCCAGACGTCGTATCTGCTTGGAATCCCCATGCCATCGCCAAGACGCAGGCTCGGCATTTTCCGACATGCTGACATCAGCAATCGTCCCGACTCATCGAAGAAACAGACATTATTAATTCATTATTTCTGCGTGAGACCACCCCTTATTCACCCTTTCATTTGCTTATTTTTTGAGCGTTGAGCGCAACCTGACGTTGCGTTTTTCCAAAAGGTTTGGAGCTGGCACTACGAGTTCTTTTGCCCCGAGCAGTACACAATCTCGCGCGTCAAGATATACACTGCGAAACGCTGACGCTGGCTTATTGCTGCTGCCAGCAATCGCATTAGAAGTAGCCATGTTTGACCGTGCCGTATTAGAGCTCGTATATTTTTTCGGCATCTGGACGCATCATGTTCAAATCCGTTGAGGATTGAGTTGTGAGAATGGCATTCTTGCATGGCGAACACAACATAATGATGAGGCAGGCCATCATGCGGTCCGTACAGTTTTCTCTTGCCTCGTTTCCTGAGAGGTCAGCATGTTCAGCCAAATGCTCTTTTTTTCTGTACCTTCTCTTGCATATCTTTTTTTTTTTTTTTTGAAGAAAGGTTTTTTGGCGGCCGACGTTCTCTCTCACCACCGCGGCGGACAAGTATCGCCTCCACTATTTACATGGTTTGAAGCAAGCGGAGAAGGCTTTGCTGATTTCGTTGTCATACGATTGGGGGACTGAATCGGAGAATCATTCTTCCACTTCTTTCGATTATCTCGCATATATTCACAGCCCAAACTGTTACAAGCCTCTAGAGCGAATAACCCAAGACATACATCCTCACTCAGTATTTTGGCATAGACCCGTGGTACGGGCCGTGATGCCATGCTGACTAGCGTGTCTAGACGTACATTTCATCCATCCGAGCAAATCGGGCTTCCATATGGCATTCGGAAGTTACTCTCCGAGCAGGTTGCGACCACGTTGGCGTCGTCGAAAAGCCGGATAAACCGAGCATACCGGCTCGAAACAGATGCTCCAACCCGCAAGGTTACTGAACGGGAATAACTCGAAGCACAACAGCAACCACCAGACAACTTTTTCCACCATCAAAAGGGACGGCGGACTCCACATAACGTGAAGGTGCCGTGCGGCAGCGGGCTCGATGGCGGTCCGTGTGTGAGTGCGCTAAAAAGGTCGCGTCGACCTCCAAGCGTCCCGCCAACCCTTTTTCCAATCGGGCTCGAAACCACACCTAACCATGGAGAGAACGCAGAGCAATCCTGTCCGCATGCTTCAAAGGCGTCTGCAAAGAAAACTCGCCTACGTTCCAAGCTGCGATTCGGCAGCAGCCGAACGCCCTCCAGATGTGCGGAGAAGCTTGTGAGGCGACGAAAAGCTGTTGCCGCGGTCATTCACATGGCAAAGGCGACGACCCTTTTTTCTCATTCTCTCTGTCTCCTACGATCACCAAACATCCCACGTCCAAAAACAAGCCAGCCACATGCGCTTGCTGCACGCGAAAGCCGTTTCCACGTCTCACGGGGCTCGGGATCGCCAAAACCGAAGATCTTATTACGAGCACGGTTTTTTTTTCCACCTTTGACAGCCATGCCTCTTTACGCCTCTGAAGCCTGGGATCTTAGTTCCGATCCCGTGACCGTGGACCGGCCTTCTTATAGGTTACCCACGGAACAAAACAAAGCAAATGGTAGTCATAGTTCCTGGCCGTTATACTTTTAGAAACAGCGTCCTATGGAATAAGCCCTTATGCACATGTAGCCAATGTGAAGCTGCGCGATCGAGTGCCTTGGGTTCGCAACTCCTCAAGGACAAGCCCGTTTATTACCTTGACATGTGTAGCGACTAAGCTTCACGCCGACGTGACTACATGAGCCGGGACGAGATTATGTTTTATGGAATAGCGTGACGAGTTCAACACCCACCATCTACTCCCTGCCGTTCCGAAGAGTTGGAAATGAGGATCTGTTGTGGCGATGCAAGGAACGGATCTTGAAAAGTTCGGCAGATTTTCGTGAAAACCGAACGGGTCTTCCAAAGATTTTGCAGCCGTCTCTGGGTTGTTCAGGATGGGCTAGTTGCAGGGAACGCGTCATAAACTAGAAGCAAATTGTTTCAGCCCCAAAAGTTTCTTGATCACACTAGTGTTATAGTGAAACTCTCGCAAAGGATTCCACTTCGAATGTGCTTGTAAACGATTGAACACGAGATGGCTGGCTGGCAAATACCTTGTCTTCTAGCCTAATGTACATGCGCCACTTTTACAAAACTCTTCCTATTGCAACTGCCGAAGCCTTACCCTTGGATGGCTCGACAATATGACTATTTGATACAATGATTTCTTCAGTTGCACTGAATTGGTCCTGCCTTGGACGTGTAGATTCCCAGCGCTTACTGCATGAATTGCGGAAACGATGTGACACCTGGTGGAGCACTTAGCATTGAGTAAGATACCGTCGGTGAAGCATGAGACACCATACTCGCGGACAAGCATGGCGTTTGCGTAGACTGTACATCAAGGACACAGCCCTTTCGTGGTATCAAGACTTTGCCTGGGTGTCTTGACTGGCTACGGGCGCTGAGGTTAGAATTGACTTGGAAACCTGGAATATTTGCAACTTCGCTCTATTAGCTGTAGTTCTTTCGATGAAGCAACGTATGCTTACATGAGAAGCCCAAGCCGTAGGGGCTTCCATTTAGATCCACACTCTTTGGTGTCACAGGAGATGAAGTAGTGACGAAAGTGCCCGAAATATCCGAGGAGGCACGTTCACGATTTACGACCGGTGGACGAGGTGGAAAAGTTGAGGCCATGTATTCCGAGATGTTATTCAGGGCCGGTTTGGCGCTGAATTGTGGAGATTGCGCCTCAAACGGGCTGCAGAACGTGGACGATTGGAATGGAGAAGACGGCCCAAAAGCAGAAAGCGGAGGCGAGAACATGGGGCTTCCACTCTGCGCGTTAAGGCAAGTTGATTTCATTTGTGCGCCGCTTCTTTGAACCTCGGAGCCAGATCGAGTATCGATCGCGCTATCTTTTCTCGCATGTGCCTGAGAGCCGTTCGGATTGTTAACAAACGACATGCTGTATTGAGAGCCATCAAAAGGTGATCGTAAAGCCTGGGTCATGTCGAAATCGTCTGGTAATGCCCGAGATTGGACAATATGCTCACGATCGTCCTGAGCCACACGCTTCAACTTGGCACGCCTGGTGGAGGCAATCAGTCTGAGTGATTGTTGCATGCTGCCTCTGTAAGACTACTTACCTGTTCTGAAACCAAACTTGGACCTGCCTAGAGCTCAGTCCAGGGATATTTCGCGCCAATCGTTCTCTCTGCGCTGCGTCCGGATGTGCTTGTCGAGCAAATTCGCTCATTAGATATCTTGTTTGCTGATGTGTCAAGCGAAACCGCTTCATCTTCCTCTTTTCCGCACGGATTTCCGCCGCAGTCAATGGTCGGTCCTCCTTGCAGCCTTCAACATCTTCATTCTCGGAGAAGCATCCTGCGTCATCAATGGCTTGAGACTCCTCTTTAACTGCCCTCTGTTTGTCTAACTCGGGGCCTCTAGACAAAGGATCGCCAGTTAATCCGTTTCCTGATGAACCAGACGAGCTATCATTTGGTATGCTAGGATCCGAGAAGTGATGCAGGGGAGGAGAGACAGCACTTGAGCAAGAAAAAGGTGCTAATTGCTTCGTCTCCAGCGTACTCAATGGAAAGGATAAGTATCTTTTATGACCAGACAGAGAACTTCTATCGGCTTCAGTCTGAGGAAGAGCTTGTTGACCATTCTGCTGCCCTTGATCTTCCAGGCCAAACCTTAAGTGATAATTCTCGGCTAGGTCTATTGACTGTGAGGCAATGGCTTCGAAGTGAGTGCTTTCTACAGAGGACATCCACTGCTCTGTATGCATAGGCTCTACAGGTTTGCAGTCAATCATTTTGCTTGTGGAGAGAATGATCGCGATGAGGAGTGAAATCAATCTATCGAAGTCGTCCTGTCGGTGGAACTTTGCGTGGAGCCAATCAATGGCTATGAGCTCTGTGGAGAGAACGAGTAGTAAACCGACAGTGGTTGTCAAATGGTATGATCCAACAGAAAGAAGGCGTACTGCAACAACAGTCGTGAGCAGTCTTGCAGAAGGGGGTACGTCGCATATGCCTTTGAAAGAATGCTGAAATGAAGCGTTCAGAGAATCAGAGCCAAATCATGACTGACTTTCATGGTCAGATGGGAACAAGTCTCTGATCATGATGATGTGCGCTTACCATGTATAACTGTCTTGTCGATCAACGCAAATCGACACACAGGCTCGGATTTTAAACTTGTGGTAGGAGACAAAGAATGCCGATGGTAAAGAGGACTTGATGTTCAACCTTCTGATGTAGATAGGTTTAGCAAACGACTGTGAAATTAAAAGACACGCGAGTAGGCATGCAACATTTGCGCCGGTAAGTCTGAAGAGGGGCAAGGTCCCAATGACCTGATATGCACCAAGGCCACGAGTAAACGTTTATAACTGTTAGGCAGGTCGATGGGTCAAGTCTGGAACGACGTCCGGGAGGGCGAAGCAGCCGAACTAGAATGTTTATCCATTATAGGTCGACAATAGATCTCGGGATCAAGATATCCTTCGTTCCAAACCGCTGCGCGCGATAGCTACAGCCTGCAGGAAACAAGTGGAGCGCAAGCAGCTGGCATGAGCTGCCTCGGGACCCGGCCAAGGGAGTTGTAGTACCCACCGCAATCCACGACAGGGCCTTGGGATCATGATTCACGAATAGGAAACAGGCTCGACTAACGTTACTGACGTGAACTGCCCACAACGAGGTGACTTCCAGCGCTAGAACATAGTCAGGGCTGCGGGCGGATCTGGTGTCGGCGGGCTGGAAGTGAGGGAGACCCTGGCAAGGGCTGACACCAGCTCCACAGGCCTTCTCATTGGCAGCTGCATGTACCTGACATGGGGCGTCGAATTTAGCAAAGCAGTTAGATCGAGTCGATTAAGGCTTGTATTTGCTGGGGATGAGCGATGCAAGGATTTCGGGCTCCTGCCATGAGCTGGTGCCAAGGGATACCACCGTTGACGTCGACCTCGCCGTACCTGTTGACATTCCCTGTCCATATCAAGGACTCTATAACCACGATGTCTCCCAAAGCGCTCTTGTCGCGTGCAGCACGAGAGAATTAAGGCTTGCTACCGGCGGTCCATGATGGCGTAACGACTTGGATCACGGCTCGAGTCGTCTCGAACCTTGCCGAGTGCATCGACGTGAACAGCACAGCATCCGAAGGGAGCTGGTCATCCTTCTAGAAGCCGTAGGGAAGTTGACGAATGCATCTTGGCGTGACTTCTTGACTGGCATCCATTCAAGCCATGTTTCGTCGCTTCTCCGGCTGCGATCGGGGCGCGCTACCCCTCGTTGTTTGAGACATGGTTTTCTGGGACACAGTTGGGATGGCGACGGGGATTGTAATGCAATGGAATGTTCTATGGATTTGATAGACGATGCCTCTGTAAGCGACTCTATCGTTCCGTCCTCGCTTCGATGCACTACATGGACATGAAGGACGTTGCTGTTGGGAGGAGAGTCAGGCACTTGAAAAGGGCTTGAAATGCGAACTCGCTGGAGACGGAGCGACTGGCTGCCGCGTGGGAGTCGGAGATCCTCCCGCGCGGGTGGTGATACGCAACGTGGTGATGCACGCTGAGCAGATGGGTCCAAGAAGGGCACGGGAATTGTTGACGATTGTCTCTTTATTTTTTTTCCCCTTCAAAATCTCCATCTGGCCGTGCTGTGTCTGTCTCGAAGCAAAGCAAAAGTTCGTAGCTGCGTGGACTGCAGCAGCACTGACAGTGGGCGTGCCCCACAGACCAATTCCTCTGCAAACAGGAGACGAGTACTGCAATTTTAGCCGTCACCTCAGCCGGCAGATGCATGCTGTATACGTGCTGGGTCGGGATAAGATGCATATCATCGAGGTCGGATGGTCATAGGCAACCAGCCTGATTTCCTGCCGGGTTGAAAATGTCTGCTTCAACGCAAACCTTAGTCATGCTTGCCCGCATGGCTGTGTATGATACACGAAACATACAACGAACTTTTTCCGCAGCGGCATCATCTGAATCCAGAGAGTCTTCCTCGCTAAATACCGCGGGATGTCATTTCTACAGGCTACGTTCATATGACAGAGCCACGCCAAGTCGGTCATCCGAACTTGACAGAGCAGAAGCTCAACAATTCCGCCTTCACTCTGTCAGGCTTCTCCTGAAGGCGTAGGGGCTGCTGAAACCTTGTCATCCGTTTCCATCGCATTGTCAAGCAGCTTCTGCGTCTCTTCGTGGCCCCCCTCTCCATCATCGCCAGCCTGCTCGACCACTTCCATCGGATCCTCCTTCGGCTGGATGAAGCACTCTAAATTATTTCCGTCGTCGACCTTGTCAAAAAGACCTAATTTCGTTTTGGACATGAGTCGAAGCGCTCGCCACGTTTTACTCATCTTCTGATCCTCGAGGTCTTTCTTTTCCTCATCCGTGGCTGCCATATCGATGTCCAGATCCACGTTTTGCACATCCCGAACTAGACTGTATGCATCCGGAAGATCAGACCTGCATATGCGTTAACGGACAAGACTTTCGCAATGTGATTTCTCGTGCTCACTTATGAGGATGACTTTGAGAGTCTTCGTTTTCGTTCACGTTTGCTTCTCGTAGGAAGCCAAGGTCAAGCGCACCCATGGGCTGAGCTTTCAACTTTGTAGATGTAGAGAGCCGCTTGGCTCCGTTTTGTGCGGCGTTGAAGTCATCTGAGTGCACCGGCGGTTGCCTGATCTGGTTACAAAACTCAAGCTTCCATCGCACCCAATTTTTGTCTCTGGACAACACCGTTTCCACCATGCGATTGTAATACTTCCCTTCTTGATCACCACCCAGCTGACCATCTGTAAGATACTGTGAAATGTTCTTCCTGATATTCTGCGCCCAGTCTGCATCAGACTGGGGGAGTGTGTAGTCAAAATGCAAAGACTTGTTGGGAAAACTCGACAACTTTTTCTTTGACTTTTCAGTAAGAGACAATAGGAAGTCAAGCAGGATCAATGCTTGTACGAGGATGTGTCTTTGGAACGCAAGATCGCTCAGCTGGCGACGTTAGAAGACCCCCTATTCATAGCCGTATACGACTTACCTCAAGTGCAAAAAGTTCTCGACTGGTAAGATATTTCGGATTGAATGTGTTGGCGAATTCGTCTTGGCCATCGACCTCAATATCACCCCTCTTTGCGCCCCGGCTGTCAGCTGCTGCTTGATTGACCTTTGGTACTTCCCTGAACTTCGCAATCGTCGCTTCGAGTGTATTCCTGAACTCTTCCATCCGGTTCTGCTTGAAAAAATATTCCGGTGGATTTGAAAATGCTTGCTGCATGGTCCAGAACGCAGGATATAAACCGCTCTCTGTAGATAATGCGGACTTCGCCGCGTCAGCTTTGGATCCAGATTCACCACCGTTCGCAGTTTCAACACCAGACATTGCTTCGGTACCCTCGTCATCTTTTGCGGCCTCAGTCTGCGATTCAGCCTCGAATGTAGTGAGGTTTTCCTTATGGAAGTCGCCCTTCAAGTTGACTGAGCTACGTGCGCCTAGTGGAAATGACTGGAAAAGAAACACGAAGACCCTGCCACAGAAAACGGCCTCTTCTGCCCTTGACAAACGCCGGAGAAGCTCATTGAAGGCTCTCAGAATAACGAGGTTCTTCTTCTCGAAGTGATTGGCAACCAACCGCTCCCGGCGAGACTCCAAATAATCAAAGATAATTCGGCAACCGTCAATGCTTTGCGTCTCGAGGAGCTCTTCAATGAGCCACCATACGAGGCATGGATCGCATTGTTCTTGATCGCCACAGACACTTAGGATGTCAAAAAGATTCCAAATCTCCACAAAATCTGGATCTTGGATCCGAGTAGAGGCTGCCCGATTCTGATAGACACGTCGAGCTGCATCTTCGGCTGCTGCTAAATAATAAGGTCGAGCTGTATCGGGAGGAGGTGAAAGTCCCAGTTCTCCTTGAAATTCTGCTGGAGGAAGCGGCGGGTCTATATCCGTCGTTGTCTTGAGTCGCGCCGCCTTTTCCAGCAAGTCGCGAAGCCGTCTATTTGCATATTCGACTGCCGATTCTTCAGGGACAGCCATATCCTGCGAATGCGGTTCTTAACAATGGCGTACTTGCTCGTCCTTAGAGATTATGGGCACGTCATGCTCTGATCATCGATGCGTGTTTGAATAAAACGAGACTGGGGGCGCTCTCATCTATTATGGCTGTCGAAGTCTATGTCTTCTCTAATGAACACGGGGTTCTTTGCAGCAGATGATGGATGCTTTGTGCTTGTGACAGAGGCAGGCAAATTGGAGTCCTAAGTTTTGAAGTGCTCGATCGGGATTAGCGCACTCTGGTGCCTCTCAGCCTTGTGAAGCATCCAGGATCTTTATTGGCGGGCGCGACTTTGACGCGCTCCTCCGAGCTTTCGAACATTACGCGCTGCAGTCCGACCTCTTTCGACCAGCAACATAAGCCGAACATACAGAAAGCGTCCGAACCATAGTGAGAATCGTTCACTGCTCGTTTCCCTCACAATGGCCCGACCGGACGCTGAATCTCGTCCCCAAGACGACCTGGATGCTCTTTTTGAAGCCGATCACACAATGGACGATATCTTCACCAACATTCGACGAGAAAATCCCAAGGCGCAGAATGAAACCTCAGAGGCACAGGAAGTCACATATCGCAGGAGAACAGCAGGTGAACAAAATGATGTAGATGATTCGATCAAAATCACGAAGAAGCGAAAGCCGATTGCTAAGCTTGATGATAAACGGTGGGCTTCTCTGACGACTTGTTTCTGCGTAACTAAGAAAAGCATTCAGGCTACTTTCAGATGCAGGTATTCCTAAGCTGCAGAAAATTGCCAAGGATAGATTCAAGTTCAAAGGAAAAGGTCACGAGGTATTGCTTTGCACCTCCTCACGATCAAGATTGCTGCTGAAACAACTTATAGTTTTCAGATGTAGCAAAGCTTCTACGAACTTATCAGCTATGGCTCGATGATCTCTACCCTCGGGCCAAGTTTGCGGACGGTCTGAGTATTATTGAGAAGCTGGGACACTCAAACCGGATGCGGCTGCAGCGGAAAGCATGGATAGAGGAAGGCAGGCCCAAAGAATCCACCAGCGAAGACATCGACCTCGAAGGAGAGAAAGATGGATCACAAAGACCCGGATCTGTGAATGGCGGCGACATCGTTCGAGAGAGATCAGCGTCAACTGCATGGGCAGAAACTGAGACCCCAAGCAATGCAGCTAACAGCAGGATGGCTGACAATGGTACGGGTATATCCGAAATCTCTGGGCAGAAGACTCCGCATGAACCAAATGAAGACGAACTTGATGCCTTGCTTGCCGAAGAGTCTCTAGCGAAAGGCTCATCGAATAATTTGCCAAAGGGAGCTATTCCGGAACAATTGTCGCAGAGGCAGGAGCAGTCGTTCGAAGATGAGGAAGAGGCTATGCGAGAAATGGGCTGGTACTAATCGCAAATGCCCACTTTCTCTTAGCGATTGATCGAAGTCTACGGGACTACTATCTCGACATGTCACCAAAGGCCTGAACCGGCGAGCATTGAGCGCACATTGCAGGCATCTTGGCCAACACATATTTAATGATTACCAAGCGACGAAACGAACGCTGCATGAACATATATCTCAATTCGGACTACTATGCCCAAGTTTTTGTGCGCTATGTTCGCGACGATTGCGGACCAAATTTCCATCGTGATGTTTGCATCACTGGGCAAATAATTTTTCTGCCCGTCCTGCATTGCTTCGCCGTGCAACAGCTGTTGTAAATTACCCGTCCATGTGAAATCGTAAGCAATGACAGCATGAAAATTGCAGTAGTAGAGAGTTTAATTGCGAATACCCGTCAAAACGAGTCAGGAAAGTCCAAGTACGCGTGACAATTTAGACAACCAGGGAGTAGACTTGACCTCTTGCTTCGAGGACATCGACGTCGAAATGTAGATATTTATGGCGTGAGAAACCCAGCACTTTCCTATCGTATTACGTCCACAAGCAAACGTTGAGTATCACAGCTTTGAACCGAAGATTGAGATTTTTTTTTTTTTTTTTTGAAAAGCAAAGCAAGTTGTCATAATTATAAGATCTGGGAATAAAGCTTTGTCAACACACCGAAAAGAGAGTGAGACACAGTTGCGAACTAAGTTCTGACTTCTTAAACCCTCGGCTTTTCCGCTGTCAATCAGAGAGACGGTGTCGAAATGCATTATGGCTTTAGGAGTATCATAATTTAACCTTTTGTCTTGACAGTGAAATGCTCACTCGTCTAGTGTTTGTCACGTCGTTTACTGGTGTTTGATGTTGGCTTGTGACAAACGAAAGCGGAAAATTCTACCCCGCTGTCGTCACTTCGACGAATTCAATCCGCACCTGCTTGGACGGTGATCTGGGATAACATACCCACTTCAACAAATTCATGCACATGAGCTGCGATAGGTCATAGAGGCTATGGCAGACCTAGAAGATCTGCTAGGCCGCGTCCACTCAACTGCAAATGCAGAAAATGACATCGCTTTGGACGAGATTCTACATCAACAACACCAACGTAAACGGTCTAAGGTGTCCCAGCAGCAGTTAAAGCATGAGCTCGAGGACGAATTTCTAAGTCCTTCCACTTCATTCAGCGCACACTGGCTCAACAAATTGCAGCAACGATGGGAGACACCGACAAATTACACCGAGCTTTTCCAGATTGCCCCAACGCAGACACGTACAATTATCAGATTCAACAGGGAAGGCCTGGAGGGGCGTGTGACTGGGTATAAGGAGATCACTGTTCCTGCGAGTAGTGCCACAGCGAAGAATTCCACTTCTATCCTGCGCAAACCCGCGAATCGAGCGGACTTCGTCCGCGGGGCTGCTGGCTTCTTTCCCTTCACACCTGGCGGACTTGATGGAGTTGAAGCCGTCGCAGCGCTCGAGGACCAAGCAATTCAGGCCGAAGAGAATGAGCGAAGCGCAAGAGGAGGCGGTCTTGACAGGATTATTGCCTTCGGTACAGAAGGCGGCTTGCTTGAGGTTCCGCCGGGTTTCTCGAGGGGCATGAAAATATCCGAGAAGACAGTAGAGGAGGATAACGGCGCAAAGGAGGTACAAGAAGTTCTTGAAGAGGAGCCCGAGCCCCCCGAGGAGTTGACCCAACTGCCTGTTGTAAATGGCAAACCAGATTTAGAGGATGATTCGGACGACGATGGCAACGAATCCGAGGAGGATATAGATTCCCTGCTACCCGTAGAATTTCCCGCCCTGGCTCCTCATGGACAGCTTGCAATGTCAAGAGCACGACGCAGCGGGAAGGAGTGGGCGCACATGGTGGACGTAAATCGCGACATCTCTAACTTCAAAGAACTCGTGCCAGACATGGCTCGTGAATGGCCATTCGAGTTGGACACATTTCAAAAGGAGGCAGTATATCACCTCGAAAATGGTGATTCAGTCTTTGTCGCCGCACACACGTCGGCTGGCAAGACTGTTGTTGCTGAGTACGCAATAGCACTAGCCGCGAAACATATGACGAAAGCTATCTACACGTCACCAATCAAGGCTCTCAGCAACCAGAAGTTCCGCGACTTCCGTAACTCTTTTGATGATGTAGGTATCTTGACAGGAGACGTACAGATACGTCCGGAAGCCAGCTGTCTCATCATGACCACGGAGATCTTGCGTAGTATGTTGTATCGCGGAGCTGATCTAATCCGTGATGTGGAATTTGTTATCTTTGATGAGGTGCATTATGTCAATGACCTTGAGCGTGGTGTTGTGTGGGAGGAGGTTATTATAATGCTTCCAGAACACGTGACCTTCATCCTACTATCAGCCACGGTCCCGAACACCTATGAATTTGCTTCATGGGTTGGTCGAACGAAAAAGAAAGACATATATGTCATTTCTACGCCAAAACGACCAGTACCTCTCGAGCATTATCTGTGGGCAAACAAGGCTCTCTACAAGATTGTGGATTCAAACAAAAAATTCATCGACCAAGGCTGGAAAGCTGCAAATGATACCCTTAGCGGTAAAGACAAAATCAAGGCTCCTGCCCAAAAAGAAGACTCGAGTGTTTCTCGTGGGGGCTCACGAGGCGGATCACAGCGAGGTAGCAATCCAACAGGACGCAATCAACGAGGAGGTGCTCAGCGAGGTGGGCAACAGCAGCGTGGTGGCCGCGGAGGACCATCACAGACGAGTCGGGGAAACATTGCACGCACAGGGCGAGGAGGTGGCAGGACAACTGCCGCGCAAGACCGCAACATATGGATCAACCTGGTCTCACATTTGCGACAAAAGGAATTACTACCTTGTTGCGTTTTCGTTTTCTCCAAGAAGCGATGTGAAGAAAATGCAGAGGCGTTATCCAACCTCGACTATTCTTCTGCGGCAGAAAAGAGTGCAATACATGTGACTATCGAACAGTCTATCGCTCGACTTAAACCTGAGGATCGACACTTACCTCAAATTATCCGAATCCGCGAGCTGCTTGGTCGTGGAATAGCCGTGCATCATGGAGGCATGCTACCCATTGTCAAAGAAGTTGTGGAAATATTGTTCGCACGCGGGCTGGTCAAGGTCTTGTTTGCGACGGAGACATTTGCAATGGGCCTTAACCTTCCCACCCGAACGGTTGTGTTCTCGGGATTTCGCAAGCATGATGGTCGACAGTTTCGAGATCTTTTGCCAGGAGAATATACTCAGATGGCTGGTAGAGCAGGTCGCCGTGGTTTGGATACTGTTGGCACCGTAATCATCGCCACGCCAGGAGCTGACGAGGCCCCATCTGCAGCACGCCTGAGACAGATGATTCTGGGTGATCCCACCAAATTGCGATCGCAATTCAGGCTCACCTATAACATGATTTTGAATTTACTTCGGGTCGAGGCGCTGAAGATTGAAGAGATGATCAAACGAAGCTTCAGCGAGAATGCCACCCAAGCACTGCTACCCGAACATGAGAAGGCTGTCAAACTTGGTGAGGCAGACCTAGAGAAGATCAAAAGAGAGCCATGCCCAATCTGCGATGTGGACCTCCAACTATGCCATGAAGCTTGTATGAAATATAATGAGCTAACCAAGCAGCTTCACGCTGCAGTTGTCGCCACACCAGTTGGGAAACGAATGTTTACTGCAAAGAGGCTTGTCGTATACAAAAAGAATGGCATACGGTCCGCAGGCATGCTTGTCCGAGAAGGTCTCAGCCGTGGCGACAATCCAACCCTACCGATCCTCGAAATCAGCTCCAATAAAAAGAAGAGCATGAGTGACGACTTGCCCTATCTTGGGTCATTCGCTCATCTCTTCACGCCACTTCCTAAAACGTTCAAAGAACTTACGCTGAAGACAAGCTTCATTCCACTTAGCGATGTCGAGTGTGTGACTGAGACTGTCATTAAATCCGAAGTGACCTTCAAAGCGCTGAATAAGAAGGACGCCAAACAACTTGCCGAGGAACAATTCATTCCCCTATGCCAATCGTGGACATTTCGTAATTGGGATGAGGTGAACTGGCGCAAGATCAAAGATCTCACTGTCCAGAACTTGTTGGACGAGAGGAAAAAGGTCGCAGAGGATGCTCAGATCAAAGATTGTCTCAAGTGTTCCAAATTTTTGCAACATTACACAATGCAGCACGATGAGTGGGTAATAAGGGAAAACATAGCTCAGTTGAAGCAATTGATGAGCGACCAAAACCTACAGCTCTTACCGGATTATGAGCAGAGGATCAACGTGCTAAAGGAACTAGGTTTCGTGGACCAGAATTCTCGAGTAGAGCTGAAGGGCAAGGTTGCGTGCGAGGTATGTATTGATGATGACAATGCTTTCAATTCCATAATGTTAACATCAAGCCAGATTCATACTGCAGACGAACTCGTGCTTACCGAGTTGGTCCTCGAAAATGTGCTCGCGGATTATGAGCCAGAGGAAATTGTTGCTCTTCTTTCCTGCTTCGTTTTCCAAGAAAAGACAGAAGTAGAACCCAATCTCACGACGAACCTCGAACGTGGCAAAGCGGCCATAATCAGCATATCCGAGCGCGTCAACAACATCCAAACCATTCACCAAGTTATTCAATCTTCAGATGATTCTAACGACTTTGTATCACGACCGCGATTCGGAATGGTCGAGGTTGTGTACGAGTGGGCGCGCGGGATGAGCTTCAACAGGATCACCGACCTAACTGATGTGATGGAGGGAACTATTGTTAGAGTCATCACTAGACTAGACGAGACGTGTAGAGAGGTGAAAAATGCGGCGAGAATTATTGGCGACCCAACACTATACCAGAAGATGCAGCGTTGTCAGGAGATGATCAAGAGGGACGTTTGCGCCACAGCGAGTCTGTACATGTGACAGTCGATCTGCGGCTATTTACTCAACTTCACAGTCGACGGAATGTGCATCTAGAGTCATAGCGATGATCCTTCAATCAGCCCGTTAATGTAGCTGAGACACATGACTTTAAAGACAAGAATTCGTACGAACTTCGCTGCGATGCTAGCATACATGCTTATGTTCGACAGCGAAAAGAAAAGAACGAGATTTAATTGTTCAAGGAAAGGAATTTCTTCGAAAGATAGTTTTGTTTCTATCGTTTTCTTGACTATCTTCCGTCCCATTTTCTCCGCATATCCTATTCCAATACTTTGAAACCGAGGGGTATCTTCTTACATTTGGGACGCCAAAGGAATTACAAATACAAGCGAGTACGCTTCAGATGCAAGCCAACAAAGTAAAGAAAATGCTAGCCTTTCCTCTTCCCTCCGCCCTGAAGGCTGATCTCATATTGGAACAGCGAGTCCCACACTCCCGCCTTCGCAGGGCTCGGTTTCGGCTTTGCAGGACTGGCGGCAGGGGAGGCCAAATTCGAGCCTTGCGGCGTGTTTCTCCTAAGCGCGTCAAGCGACGAGCCTGCTTTGAGGGGCGAGCTCACAGGCTTAGACTTTGTCAAGAGGACAGAGGAAGGTGGGTGGGGATGCTGCCTCCACAGGTCAGCAGTCATTTGGACACTTAAGGGCCGAATAAGAGATCTTTCCGCACCTCTTCCTGCAACGCGGCGGTATCACGCGTTGCGGCTTCGTCCTCGTCGGACTTGAGCATTGACGCCACGTCGCTTGTAGTTCTGAGATGACTTGGTCCTGGCCCGTTACGGTGTTGCGCGTCTGGAGGTGTCGCGCCAGCTGCCGCGTCAGGGCTCAATGCATCATTGCTGCTAGTGTTCTTTGTGCTGATGCCTAGTCCGGGTGTAGAAACGGGAACGCTCTTCTTACTACTGTGACTGCTGCGTCGACTGTCGAGACTTCGACTCAGCGCTTTGCTCGCTTCTTCGACAGCATCCGTTGGTTTGCGTTTGATACGTATTGCAGCAGCAGTGGAAGTGGTCTTTGTCGTAGTAGCATCACGTGTTGCCGACACAGTTGATGTTGAGACAACAGCTTTACCTAAACCAGGCGTGCTTGGAGCACCAATTTTCTCTTCTTGTGCATCTAGGAGGTACCATCGCAATCCGTCGCTGAGATCAAATGGGTTGTCGTCTTCGTACGGTGTTCCGGCGTCGCTGGCCTCAGTTAGCGACCGAGTATCAACCGCGCCTGGGGAATTCAGCGTCTTGGAAAGATCAACAATCCGCTCCTCGACCTTAGAGATGCGCGCAACAAGCCAGTCTCTGTTGACAAGCCTATGCCCTTCTTGTTCACGTAGGAAATAATGCGGTGCGCCGATGTTGAAAGCAGCCCACGGCTTCATCGCTTGATTTCTCGTTGGAAGAAAGAGTGCAAGATCGCCCTCCTTAAAGCTCCGGAACGCGATCTTGTCGTGTGCTTCAGATTGGTATTTGTGCGCCTTGTCGCGATAGTTACGAGCCTCTCGTTGCCATTTTCGCGCTGTGTGCTCCATGTCGCGCATACGCTTCGTGATTGCCTCGCTGAATGTGTCTAGGTTGAAGCGACCGATGCGCTCCATGTACTCCGCGAACTTTGCCTCTTCTTCTTCCGCAACATCTTTCTCCGGCCAGAGCAGAAGGCTGACGTCAGCTAAATCTTCAATCCAGCGTGTTGTAGTAGAACCTGAAACTGTGCGCTGAATGGTGGTCGATCCGTCTGCCATCATAGTGCTGCCCCCAGCTTTTGAGGCACGTTCAAGTTTCATCTTGTTGTCTTCGAAAGTCACAACAAAGCCAAGCGCTTGCAAGAGGCGCATGAGTCTGTCATTGTGCGAATACAGGCGTTGAGACACAGCTTTCGCACGCTGCGACCGCTCTTGCAGACGCTTCTCGGCTGCCTCGTACAGGTCTTGGAGTTTTCTGTACTTGGACTGCAGAGATAGAAGCTCGACATCCAAGCTATTGATATGGGACCTCGTCTCGGCCAATTTGGTCGACAAGTCGCTCACCTTGCCCTGTTCTTCCTCCAACCTCTGCCTAAGTGACTCCGAGCCCGTCTCGCCCTCCGCAAATTTCTCTCGTAGATCCTTCAAGTGGCCCCTCTCACTCTCCAGTTCTGCACTGACAGAGGCAGCTTTGCTCCGCTCGGCGTGAAGCTCATCTCTTAGCTTCTTTATCTCGTGTTCTTTCTCTTCAAGCTTCTCTTCTAAACGAGTGGTTTCTGCCTTTTGCACGTCTAGCATAGCTTGTAAATTTCCGTTCTCAGAACGAGCCAGGGCAACGGCTTGCGCTACTTCACGTGCCTGATCCTGACTACGCTGCACCAACTCCTCCAGAGCGGCACACAGCGCAGCGGGATCCTCGGGGGCTGGGTTTTCGGTGTCGAGAACGCTGTAGAGACCTTTGAGCAGGTCCATTCTTTCCGCATCGCGCTCTGATCGTTCACGGAGATTCCGTTCCAGACTCCTCGACCGCCGCTCAGCCTGTTTGACCTTTTCAGCCGCATCTCTTCGTGCTTCATCTCGTTCGGCTATGAGAACCTGGAATCGAGCCTCTGCACTTGTCCGGTCATTCTCACGGCTACTTGTCAATCTGTCAAACTCATCGTCTAGTTCCTCGACACGCAGCTTGAGTCTGGTAAGCTCTTCCTCCAATGATCGGCGCTCAGTTGCAAATTCACGCTGCTGGGCCTCCATGTTCTCAAGGAGATCCTTCTTGGTAGAATTTGCCTCTTCGAGAGCGTTTTGATGAGCCTTCTCTTGTCGTGCACGTGCTTCTCTCGCAGCGACCAGGTCTGCTTCGAGCTGCACAATCCGTCGTGCCAGCGTTTTCTCGTCCTGATTCTGGTTATTGAACGACACACGCCTTGACGAAGTGCTCGACCTGCGCGACAAGTCTCCTTGACGCGGAGAAAGAGGAGCTGCACGTTCCCCATCCACTGGTGTCATCGCATGCTCACCGAAAGGAGTGCTCTGCGATGCGTTGCCGATTGAGAGTCTGTTGAACATCGACTGCCGGTGCAATAGGTCCTCAAGCTTCCTTATGCGGCTCTTGTACCCTTTCACCTCCTCTTCAAGCTTGAGGTTCGCTTCCCTGAGCACCTTGGCCTCGTCGTCGCCCCGTAGCATGAGCGAGCCCTTCCCAAATCCGGCTTCATGAACGCTGCCCATTTTGAAAGCCTTCGCTCGCTTGACTTGCTGCCGCGTAGGCTGGTCCATCGACTTCAACGTCTGAGTCAGACTCTCAACCACGGCTTCAAAGCCAGGGATAGCTTGCAGGTTCCGAATATACTCCTCGACATCTGCACGCGTTACAGGGGGCCACGTGCGATCTTCACCCTGGAGATTCACTTCGACACTAAGCACTTTGCCTTCGACCGACGCGTCCGAGATCATGTTCGCGACCCCGCGCATCCACTTACGACGTCGCCGCTGCTCCTCCTCTTGATAGCCTGCGATTTCCTCAGCGAGAACGGCGGAGTCGTGCTTCATCTTGTCGGCCCACTCCTTGCGTCTAGCCCCCTCCAAAAGCAGCGAGCCGTACGTGATAGGAAGCTGGCTCGCAGCGGCCACACGGTCCAAAGCTGCGAGTCCGCTTTCTGAGATCTCGAAACTGTCGAAGGCTTTTCGCAGTGTCGGTATCGAGGTCTCGACGCGTGCGATCGTTTGAAGGTGGTCCAGCGCACGCTGCGTAAGATTGTTCTTTTGTTCGACGAGATATCTCAGCAGCTCATTCATCTCCACCGCACAATCTCTTAGATTCGGGAGAAAGTTCTTCGTGTGTAGCAGAGCCATTTTGGAGGCCGCTCGCAGCGCACTTTGGTCATTCTTCAAGCCCATCACATGCTCATAGTCCGAGGCGACCTTGTTGGCAATGGCTTGTACCTCTTGAAGCTGCTTTCGCGGCTCATCCGGGTCATCTCGAAGAGATCGCGTTTGACTGTTGCCCAAGTCTCGAATGAGACCGTCGTACTCAGCCGTGATGGACTCTAGCCTTGCTCCTAGTTCTTGCAGGACACTGTCACACTTATCTAGCGCTGATCTTGCCTCATCAGCAGCCTTCTCCGTGGAGGCCCTATCAATGAAGGCTGCCAAGTTCGTTGTGTCCTCTGTCCCTGAGTTTTTCCTGCCACTCGAAAGATTGGCTCGCCCAAAAAACTTGCCAAACGCAGTTTTTACGGGCACGTTGCTCATTTTCTCGAGGTCCTCTTCTAAAAGCTGAATATTCGCCCCCGCGTCTTTGCGCACCTCTTCAAACCAGGCCTTGACCTCCCTGTGCTGTTGTCCCAACCTTTGGAGGTAGGTCTCATGCTTCGAAGTTGCCACTCGTAGACCATTCTCAATTGCGCGTCGTTTGGCCAGATACGATTGGGCCTCTTCGCAAAGAGATTTGCACTCCTGAAGAATATTGGATGCCCACTGCCGTCGCTGCCTGAAAAGTGTTTGCCACGCTTTTAAGCTATCTGGAGCTTGGAGATCGGTGGGAAAGTCTTCTGGCACCCACGATTCGGGCACTGGATCCAAAGGAATTGGCTTACGCCCGGCAGGACCTGAGGTGAACAGTCCGCGGTCGTAGAGGAAGAATTCATCCTAAAGCAACAAAGCGAATTACCATCTGAAGCTTAAAACTGCGTGCTCTTCTCTCGCTGCCTCTGCACTGTGTCAACGCAAATACAAAAGCAACATACCTCGGTGAGGAGAGCCTGCTGTTGCACATGCTTTCCCTTTTTCGTGAGGATAATCTGATCTGTTTCCCTTATTCCTGTCTCGCTCGCAGCCCACGCATACAAAGCATCCAGCGTCGTTGGAGGCTGGCCGGTCGAAAGCTGTATGCTGTCGCCTGTTGGCACGACGTGCACCGTGAACGCCATCTTCGCTCTGGTCGGCAACGGCAATGGCAACAGCTTCCACCAACGCTATCTTTGCACCCTGCCTAACGGGTGATGATCAAGCTGGGAGAGGCAGGGTCGTGAGTCAAGGCGCAAGGTCGTCAAGCGATGTGCAGCAGGACGTTAGCACCAAGCTGCAGATGGACGGGAGAGCTCATTTACGGACTGGAGAGGCGGGCGTTGTTTGGCGAAGGACACAGCGAATCGCTGACTGAACTTAGCAGCGGAGCTCGCTGGATGAGGAAGCGAGTTCCAGCCCAGGACGTGCGTGTGTGGCTGATCGGATTCCAGGGTCCAAGCTTGTGCTCAGACGGGCGGAGGTGAACGCGTTCAAGCGTGCAAAAGCACTCTGTCCAGTCTGTCCTCTGCGAAGTAGATTGACGGCGCGCATCTCCGGTTTTCTCTGCTGTGGGACACACAAGGACGTGTGAGGGCTAAGAGATCTCATGTTCGATTCTGCGCTGCACGTGCGGTAGCGGCGTGGGGATCGAGTCAACGCAGATGTCATCTTTGAGACAGGAGGCTCCAGCGTGACCTGGAACTGCGACACAGGCCTCTGTCAGATGACAAGGAAACTTGACAATACTTCCAACATGACGACGGTTGATACTTCTGCCGGCACTGCTGCTCGCGCACAGCAAGAGCTTGGACAGTCCATCGACGATCTGACCAAAACTCCGGCGAGCGACGCGTTTCGCTTCACGGAGCTGGAGAAGAAAATTCTGGAGCTATGGGACAAAATTGAGGATCTGCGCTTGGAGAGACATGTCCTCGAGGCGCAGCACGAAGGTCAGCCTTCCGCTCACCAAGCTATTACGAAGACCATAGATTAAGCCTTGATGCCACAGCTCAGTCGTCACAAGATGAAGACCTGTCGGCACTCTCTGATGCCGAAGTGCAGACCGCGCTTTCGCAGGCAGAACGTGATCTTCTGACAGCACGCTCGACATATTCCATCAGGCAAAACATCATTCAGAACGTTTTAATTACAGATCCGATCCTCAAATCTATTCACTTGAGCTCCAACACGACGTCCCTAGAGCGTCGGCTGTTGCCTCTTGTCCATGAGCGTGATGTTCTCACTATGCTGTCGTCCACCCTATACTCTCGCTTACGAAAGCTGCGTCAAAAGTTTTACAAATTGGAGACAAAGAACATAGAGATCATAGAGTCAAACAGGTCGATCTCGAAGCGAATGCTCGAGCTGGCTAACGATGTGAAAATACGGAAAATCGAAGACGTGACAGATGAGCGGGCGAGAAAGCAGCTTGAGGATCTGGATGCGGAGGTTAGAAGGGCAGCAAAGGAATGGAGGGTTTGGAAGTCCGTAGCTGGCGCTGTAGTTGTTGCAAGCGGAATTGATTGGGCTGAGGATCCGGAATTGCTCGAGATCGTTATGGACGAAGAAGATGAGATGGAATCATTGTGATTGCACGCTGTTTCAATGGCATTCGGCTAGATCACGAAAGTTTGAATTGTGCGTTCGATTTGTACTGCTAATCCTATACATCTAGGAGAATCATAAGTTATCGATGCTGACCTGAAGGTTCCTGAACACAGCGCAGCAAGGAGCAGAGTTGATGACGGACGAAAAGAAAGTCAACGAGGCAGCTTTGTTCTAAGTGAGCAAGATGGTTAGGTTGAACATATTTCGAGTTGGCTAGGACATCCCAAGCATTATGAAGAAGCTTTAATGGTCAAGAACCTGGGCATAAAACAAGCTTGCAACTCGACATCCCAAAGAATTCGAAAATAATGGCATGATGCGATCGGTCCGGTTCATCGTACATACATAACTCGATAGAGAAGAGCTGCCTTTGATGGTCCATAAATAGATGAAGCGCTCCATCATGCTATGAAATTCGGGGCAAGAACCCGAATAGAAAGCGCTATGCGATTTGGGAGTGGTTTAAACGCACGTTGCACTGCGATCCGACTACTTCAGCCGGTTCCTGGAATAGCATCGTCCTGATCTCGGGGAGAATCTTCGTGCATCGATTCAGACATAAAGCACGAATCTTAATAAATGACGTGATATCTTCCCAGCCGTCGAGACAACCGCGACAAGCGTGGATCTCGTAAGCTGCGAAGTTTAGATTCGTGAACCCGCGTGTGTACCTTCGCTCCTTTGCACATTCGTCTGCCAAATGCTCGTGGGCATGAACGAAAGTCCACATACGATGAACTGTTTCCTGATTTGCCCATAGGCGATCTTTGATTTCTTAGACGAATGATGTGGGGAGTCTGTTTCGACGTTATTCTGGAGCTCCGCAATGGTACATACACGTCGCATACGGTTAGTACCCATTTGGCCTGATTACGTACTTTTATGCACGTTACGAGCGACTAATGTTGCGTTTTCCACCCTAACTATCATGTGTTCTTTAAGGAGAACCAACCCGGGAATTCTGGACACGGACAGCTGTCTCGAAAATCATTCGTTTGCAATTCTAAAATCTGTCGGACAATAAGTCTTATCTCGAAGTTATGTGTACTTCACAGCGGTAATATCGCAGATAAATAAGTATCTTATAAGCTCTAAATTTTACCTCAAACGCTATGTGTGCAGAAAGCGACAATTTACGCGCCGTCCTCAGCACACCCTGTGCCATCTTTCATGCTTGCTCTTTACGTTTCCTGAAGATTCAGTCGCTATGAGGCGCCGAGTTCAAAATTCGCAAGAAAGTTTCTCGATTTCTCTCAGTACGAATACCTGGTCCCTTCCGCACGGTGCTTCTCTTTTAATCTCTTCTCTGTTTTCATGAATTCTCGTATTCCAACGGGAATGCCTCCGAACAAATCCTCCTGAGGTGCATCCGGAATGTCTAGTCCACGATCCCAATTCGTATCGCTCCCTCCACCATCATCGTCCATGCTCGTTGCTGCATGTGATAGTGTGCTGTCCGGGGCTGGCGTACTCGAACTCGCCACGGAAGTGTTCGTCGAGAGCAAGGGCTTCCTCGCGGACTTCTCCTGCTTCTGCCGCTTCTGCTGCGCAAGCTTCTCTCTTGCCTCCTTCGTCTTCGCGGCCCAATACTCTAGATCATCGCGGTAGACGTCCCACACGCAATTTACACACCCGCTCATACAGCAGTTGTCCGGCTCTTGCGGCCGTGGTGGGACTAGCACTCCTGCTATGAGTGTGCTTTGCTCATCGACCTTTTTGCGCCGCTCTATAGGCCCGGCTAGCCTGCTTCCAAAGACAAGGCGTGCCTTTGCTATGCGTTCGTCGCGTTCTGCTTTGACCTCTTGATCTTTAGAAGAAGAGGTAGTAGGGGGACGGGTAGACGCAGCGACGCGATGGGGCTGTGAGAGCAATTCGGTGTAGTACCCGGACAGTGGATTTGCTTGCTCACCGGAGCGCGCTATATAGCTCTTCGACCGGCTGTTGAGGACTCGCGAGTTGCGGCGGAGGACTTGAACGCGTAACGCACGCACGCAAGAGGTACATAATCGGTTGCGCATTAATCTAAGGACAGGCGCACGATGGAAAGAGTCCATACTCAAAGCATTGTTAAAGCAGAGGGCAAAGCGAGAGGCTGTTGGGCAGTTGAATTCAAGAAGGCGTTGCAAAAATCCCGAGCATGACGTCGGCAAGCAGATCCCGGTCCGCGGTAAAAGAGTGCGAGTCCGGGCGAAGAGGCCGCCCCGAGGCGCACATGCCACGGAAATCACGACAAGGCGCTTATGCGTTTCTGGCAGTAAACATGCTTCGACGCGTTATCACGGCGTGAATTAATTCACTGAAATCAGATCTCTGAGAGCCACAAGTGAACGCAAATGGACGCGCAAGCGCCGAAAAGGCGCAAGACATCGTCCTTGAAGGCCACTCCGGTCCTCAATCGCAACATTGTTGACCCGACGTCTCTTCCACGCGCCTCGTACCTGTCCCCGACGCGTGCCAGTCTCTCGCGCTTCAACCCGTCTTTAATTCCACCGGCGCGAGCGGAATCTGCAAGATCCGCTTCTCAGAATGTCTCTGCTACTCCAGACGCACGACAGAGCTTGACGCCTGATCAGATCCTGGCAAAAGGGCAGGATGCATTCAATTATATCATGGGTAACTTCAACACACAAATGCAGCGTACACTCTCTGCAATTAGCGGTAGAACTAGGCCTAGCCCTTTGAGCGCTAGTGCGGCTGCTCTCACGACTCCCGGGAAAGACGCGCTTGGGAATGATATGATTACGCCTATTGTGCCGACTGGAGAAGAGACGGATGAACAGATGGAAGCCATGCGGTCCCAGATCAGAGCCCGGAAAGAACAAGAGCGTGCGGAACGCGAAAGGGCAGTCAAATCCGTGCGATCAACTTCTTTGACATCCCCAAGAGAGTATGGATATTTGCCGCCCGAAACCATGCATCTTGGCAAAGATCAGGATGATGATGAGCTCAGTGTGGAGATTGGGAGGATTGATCGCAGGCATGTTAGAACCGATACCGTTCGTCTCAGCGGCACGCCGCCTTCTGCCATAAGGCCCGTGTCTGAACTGGTCTCTGCACATCAACCCAACATGGACGACATGGACATTGATCCCGCAATAGACGAGATATTGCAAATTGATGAACTGAGCCCAGATGTTGCTGAATATCGATCCTCTTCACGACATATCAACAAAGATTCGGCGGTACGGCAATCAAATCCGCTATTGCGTAGATTAGCCACGGAAGAGGAAGATGAACTACCCGAAACTCCGGAAGCGATACGAAGGCAGTTTGAGGCCGAGGATCATCCACCACGCGGAGTGCTATTCTCATCTCCAAGAAAGCGCAAGGCAGTGCAAGGAACACGAAAATCACCGCGGAAGAGTAGCCTTTCTTCGGGCGGGAGAGGGGGACCAGATGGATCACAGAAGCCACAGATACAAGAACCAGAAGGCACGACGAAGTCGGAGAATACTCAAACGCGGCACGTCGAGGAACCCGATCCTCGGCTTTTGGCCAGGCAAGAAACAAAGACCAGGCTTGATGCTGAGCTGCGGAGGCTAAAAGAGGAAGTTGAAAAGTTTGAGTATTTTGCTAAGCTGTACACGGAGAAAAATGAAGATGATTTAGAAAATATGGAATCAGTGATGTAAGTTCGCAATTGCCCTAGAACAATGTTATGCTCTGCTAATAATGCACAGCGAGTTGTTTAACTCTATACACAGGAAGGATGCGGACAAGACACCTGAGCCATCCTTATCATCCTTATTAACGTCCTTTCTACCATTCTCAGTACCAGTGTCTCGGTCTCTGAAGGAGTCTGAACACTCCAAGAACGAAGACTTCATTATTTCACACCAACCGCTCAAGGAAAAAGAGCCACTCCCATTGAGTAGCTTGTTCACACCTCTCAATATCGAGTCCAACACCAGCTCACCTGTTCCAGTCCCCGATTCACACAAGCTCCGCCAAAAGCATAGCGTTGTGCTTTCTTCCCCTGGATCCTTACTCACTTGTTCCCTAGACGTCACAATCATTTCTGAGCACGGTGCGGATTCTACACCTTCTGTCGAGAACTTGGTGGTTAAGGACTTGTCATTTTGGGCGAAAGAAGAAATTGGCACTTGGATTGATCAGAAGTGCAAAGAAGGCGATCTTGCCGCCGTGGGCTACGGATTAGGACGATACTGGGATGTTGCTGTTAAAAGAGCACGATGCTGGATGGTCTGCAGAAAGGAATTCGCGAAGTTTGTTCCAGGTGACTCTTTAGTGGATGATGAGACAGTGAAGAGTGACGAAGTGGATCTTGGCGCTGAGCATACTAAGCTCTCGAAGAAGGCTTTGCTCTCAACACTGGGGCTATCATCCCTAATCCTACAAAACGAGGAAGTAGTTCTCAAAATACCGTGGAGATTACAGTTCGACTGGACAGGAGATGTGGAGTCAATTATTAGCGCAGAAGCGTCGTTTCCGGCGAGTTGTGAGTATATCCTTTCATCATGCACTCAAGAGAACGGTCAGAATGCGAACTAACGTCGTTGTGCTAGGGCATGAAACTGATTCAGGTAATGCGTTACGAAGAATACCCCGAACTTTTGAAGCACTTTTGCGGGATGGCGGCGTTACGAGTGCGGTCAAGGTCGTGGGAAAGTTGGTTTTTGATACCCAGTAGTACTTGAGGCCCATGATTGAAACCCGTTGCATCTTTATTTCTTCATATTTTTCAGCTTTAGCTCCGGTTTCTTCTTTCTCCTTCATTCTTGGTCCACAGAGTAATCGTATATATCACGATGGTTTCACCATGTATTATTATCAACCGAACTTCTGTCCGAAGATCTGCTCTATTCTGATGGCCATGAAATCACACGAGGATTGCGACATCAGATGGCATAAGCATTGTGACTGTCCACCAAAATTTTCGACCACTGCACGAAAGCCACCGGCTGTGCACTTAGTTTCCGATTCCGTTACGTGTTGGTGACATCTCGGCTGGAAAGGTCTTGCGAAAAGCTGACGACAGAGGTACGAATGACACCGACTTTTCTCAATTCCAACCAGTCTAGTTGTGCATCTTCTAACCAGACATGCTCAGTAGTCAAAGACATTTCTTGGCGATGCCTTGTTGGACGCTTGAAAGAGACGAGACATGCACAAATTTAATTTGATATCAAAGACCACTGCGATCAATCGCGTTTGCAAGAATTTTATCGAGATACTATTCCGAAGCCATGCCTGACACATCGCATTAATCATTGGGCGTTGTTGAAATATTTTAAGAGTATATGGTCGGAAATATTTAACCTGCAAATACTTTACGCTAGGAATACAAAACGACGGGCACCGAACAATTTGGCTCCTCAATGCCATCTCATGCGTTTGATTCAAGAACTATTATTTCGCTGCTCATCAATCCAGGAAGATAACGGTAAGGAGTATGGACTTGCAATATATCTCGACTGATCCATTGACAAAGTCAAGGGAATGGACCTCGAAATTGCTCTGGGTCAAGTGATATCAGAGAATGAGCAATGACGGTCATGAAGTCAAGGCATAGAGATAAGTTAGGTAGCCAAGGGCGGAGACAGAGTGTCGCCACTGAGAAAAGTCTCTACACCCTGCCAACTATCGGCTAGGGGTGATTTTCTTCTTGGAACCGAAAGAACCCTTGAGGCAGTAATTGGCAGTCCCTTGAAGTCCTCCATATTTCCAGAACGACGCCCATTTAACGGGCCGACTGAAGCGCCTTGTCCAACAAATCACCTTCCGATGACCATGTGACAAGACTGGAACAGCTAGATCTCTTGATCTGCGCCGTGCTGATGGTCGCTGCTACAACCACATGAAGATCGCTCGTTTGGGCGAAGGGCGACTGGTTGACGCTCCTTTACCAAGGTATTTATTCGAAGAGTAACGTTAAGGTCAGCTTGCTGCATCGGCACGTTGGTTACCCGGCGAATCCACTGCTTTTCATCCTCAAAATATGTAGCATATACATCACAGATCTTGCGTCTCTCTTGACAAGGAATCTAATGCGAGAAAGCTTGACCTCCACAAAACTGGTTCAACTGAGCGGCAACAGAGCCAGACTCAATGGGACCTACGTAATGCTTCGCCGCGCACTTGGACGAACGCACTTGGACGAACGCTTGAGCGGAAGAAGTCGGCTGAAAGACTGGAGCACGATCCGGAGTGCATGAACGAAACGCAAGATGAAATGAAGTATGGCCAAAGTTAGGCTTGGTGGGGTGCAGATATGAGGCTCTCCCAGATTTGCCCCTCGTTACGGCTCGTGTTGACCGTCCTCAATGTGATTGGCAGAGAGCGATGCGCCCCTTAACCACGTCTACTCGTCCCTTTCAGCCTGCACGCTCACAAACAACAACGCACATGGCCGCAGCCCGTGCTTTTACAGGTGGAACGCGTCCGTCCTGTAGCATAGTCATCAATATGATCCGCGACTCTGCCCTGCAATCGACGTGCATAGCCGCTCCTTGACCCAAGGGCGTGTCAACTGCGAACACGGTTTTTGGGCTAGACCCTGAGTGCTAACCTCTTGGACCCTGCGCAGCATATGTTGCTACACCTTTGGTTGTCGAGAGCTTGTGCGTTTTGTATAGCTTCTGATAGGCCTGTTTCCAACGGTTGAATCTGAGCATTTTCGCTGCCGCCAGAAGCAGGCGTAGAAGTCCGCGTGAGCAAGGCCTCAGTATCGACGAGCGTGCCGAACATCGGCTAAAGAGGCGTAGGCCTGGCAGTTTTGTTGAATATATACACGGCACCGCGTGTCTGTTTCTCTCGGTTCTTGAAGTTCCTCGTCTTACCCGTATAGCGGCTTTCAACATGGCCGTCTTCGACTATTTGCCGCTTTCACAGGACCCTTTCTCCAAGGTTGTCGTCGCCGGTACTGTTGTGCTTCTATTTCTTACTGCCGTCTTCCTTTTCGCATTTGTCGACGCGCCAAAATCCGCTCGTCTTCCGGAAACTGCTATTGCGTACGCAAAGTTCTTCTATGGCTGCTTTTTGAAGCCTCACAGCGGTGGCAAGGGCCAAAACCAGCAGGATGCGCTCGAGAGCTTCTACAAGGAACAGGCCACCGCGTACGATACCACAAGGACTCGTCTGCTCCATGGCCGAGAAAATATGCTTGCAATGGTCGCCGCCCAGCTGCAGCTGAAGACTCATTCAACAAAGCCCGTTTGGGTCGATGTACGCAAAGATAACGCACTCGCTTAGAGACGCTAATTACTGAAACAACGTAGATTGGTGGGGGCACAGGATGGAACATTGAACAGATGGGCCAGTATCTGCCAGTAAACGAGTACTTCCGGGCTGTATATCTTGTCGACTTTTCACCATCGTTGTGTGAAATTGCAAAGGCACGATTTACCAGACTTGGCTGGAAGAACGTGAAGGTAATATGCCAGGACGCACGCTACTTCCGCCTCGAAGATCATGAGTCCGACTCGAACGAAAAGCCAGTCTCTTTAAAGCGAAGGAGCTCCTACAATAACGGTGTACCAACGTCGGTTGGAGCGGATGTGATCACCATGAGCTACTCTCTCTCTATGATACCCGAGTTCTACCCTGTGATCGACTCCCTTTCCTCGCTGTTGTCCGCCAATGGGATCATTGGCGTTGTTGATTTCTATGTTCAAAGCCAGGTTGATTACAACGGCAGGAACTACACTGGTGGCGTTATCGACCGTCATTGCACATTCTGGTCGCGTACGTTCTGGAGAACCTGGTTTGAAATTGACCGCGTGAACCTTGAAGGTGCGCGGCGAGACTATCTTGAGTATCGATTCGGCACGAAACTGAGTGTAAACGCTCGCAACCACCTCTTTGGCGTTAGAATTCCCTACTATATCTGGATTGGCTGCGCTAAGGACAGCCCTGCCATGGAAGGAAAGCTTCAGATGTTGGACGCTCAGGCTACTGAATCCCCCTTCATTGCCGCCCTTGATTTGCAATCTAAGAAAAACGAGCTCACACCCGCAGTCTCCTTCGAATCCAGATCAAAGGCATATGAATCAGCCATTGTAAACCTGTCAGGCAAGCTTCCACTTCCATGCTTCTGGTATCAGAATCACCACTGGCGAATCTTCTATGACGAGAAGCTGCCAAAGCACACACAGTTCAAGGACGAGTACATATACGCATTCACCTGGGAGGACAGTCGTGTTGATGCTCGTCTTCTCAAGGTAAATCCCAATGACGTAATCTTTGCCATCACAAGCGCAGGTGATAATATCCTTTCCCTGGCGCTGGAGCAACCAAAGCGTATCCATGCAGTGGATCTCAATCCCAGCCAAAACCACCTTCTTGAACTTAAGGTTGCAGCTTTCACAGCTTTAAGCTACGCGGATATCTGGCAGCTTTTCGGCGAGGGCCGCCACCCTGACTTCCGCTCCCTGCTTGTGAATAAGCTATCGCCGCATATGTCCAGCTATGCATTCCAGTACTGGCTGTCGAATGGCGAATATGTTTTTGGCAGGCAAGGCTTGTACTATACTGGCGGATCCCGTCACGCCTTGATTCTCACCAGACGTTTGTTCAAGCTACTCGGCCTTGAATCAGAAGTGAAGCGCATGTGCGATGCTCAGACGCTCAACGAACAGCGTGAGATTTGGCAGCGCAGCATCCGGAAGGTCATCCTTAGCAGGCTTCTCAGCTGGACTGTTGTGAGCAGCGAGAAGTGGCTATGGAAAGCGCTCGGTGTACCGCCCCAGCAACGTGATCTTATCGAGCGCGACTACCAACGCGGTGCGGACGCTGGCAAGGACGTTAGCAAGTACTCCCGTGACTATGGTCATGCAATCTGGGAGTACGTCGTCAATACGTTGGACCCGGTTGTGAACAACACGCTGCTCCGTGAGGACAATCATTATTACTTAGTCTGTCTGTTGGGCCAGTACTCGCGCCGCAGCCATCCAGATTACCTCAAGCCAACGTCTTATGGCAAGCTGTCCAGTCCAGGCAGTTTTGACGGCCTGAGAATCCACACGGATGAGATTCAAGAGGTCATTGCACGTATGACGCCAGGTAGTTTGACAATTGCCATTGTTATGGACAGCATGGATTGGTTCGATGAGGACAAGGACGATGCTGTGAAGCAAATCAAAGCACTCAACAGGGCACTTGCACCCAAGGGTCGCGTACTGCTCAGGAGTGCTGGGCTAGAGCCGTGGTATTTGAGGAAGTTTGAGGAAAACGGATTTTCGCCGAAGTGCATGGGCAAGCGGGTTCCAGGGTCGTGCATTGACCGGTAAGCCACAGCTTTTGAAATCTACAACCAACTTGAATACTGACTCCTCTTGTTCCAGTGTTAACATGTACGCTTCATGCTGGATCTGTACGAAGGTCAGCGAAGTCGACGGCGTGAACAGCACGCGAAGGGGCCCTTCCCAAATGGCAGAGTTGAGCCTGGGACTGAGCGCCATGGACGAAGAGTAGCAAAGTGCGGCATGCATGAAATTACTGGCGGAAAGTTATTATTCCATTGCTGTTATCGCATATGCGATGATACCCTTGGCATGATGTGCGTTGGACGAGACGACTGTTTTCCCAAGGAAAGACTTGAGAAAATCAACTAGTTCTTTTAAGCCTTTTACACGTTTTTGAGTCTTTGCATCTTGAATATGATGATACCAGACATGTCCGAAATATATATACTAAATTCAAAGCGAGCAAAAAGCTTGAAAGATTATTCGCTTTTAGGCTTGTTTCTCTAGATTGCTTGCATTGTCCAATATTTACAGGTAGATACGAAAATTGTGCTCTTCTTGACAACTTTCACCCAATAAATTAGCCCTGCCTAGCCTTTCGCTCAGCTTCCAATTCCCTTTCGGCATTTTGATAGTACTTGGCGGTATCGACACCATGATATGGGTGATTGACGAAGTTGAACATTGGGAACCAGAAAGACATGATAGCGGAGTAGCGGGAGTTCCTGTGTGCCATGCCTTGCATATACTCCGAGAGTCTGCTTTCACCATACAGAGGCTCGCCGCGCTTGACCTTGTCAGTCATCTCCCGCATGTCCATCTCGATTTCACGAGCGTTCTCTGAGTGGCCATAAAAGCGTACTGTCCCATTTATTAGAATTTCAAATGGTTTTATGGTTCGAATTTGCTAGAGCGCTGAGACAAGATGGGGGGGGGAAGGAGGTGCCGTACGTGATGACCGTGTCGTGGCTAGTAGGAAGCCAGCGGTGATACCAATGGCTCCAGTCAGGCGCATAACACGCATAAAGGAACCGCGTGTGTTGAAGGTAGGCCATCCCTTCTCGAGGGCCCATAGAGCGCTTGGTGCGCCAATTGAACACGCTGCAAAGACCGCGACATCTGAAGGCCGCATGTAGCGTATGACTCTGCTAATGTGTCTGCATAATCATCGTTAGCTCAGGAGATTTCTAAGAGGACTCGATTTCGGGAGGGGCGGGAGGGCCGTACGGGTCATAATCTATGAGCTGCGACTCTGTGAGTATGGACTCGAAGCTTGATTAAAGAGCAGAACCTACGGGATATCGGCCGGGCTGTTGAAGGGCTGGGACTAACGTCCTCGGCTCTGTCGCTGGATCCGGTATGTTTTTCTCTGGGATGTCCCAGCCGTCCTTTTCAGCTGACATTGCGGTAGTATTGAGCTTCAATGGCTGCTGAAAGTTTCATATGTCCGTTCACTTGCGTTGTAGTTGGGGTGATGCGGAGCTTCGACTTCGTCCAACCTTGTTGCCTGAGTAAGGCATCCCACTTGCTAGTTCAGCCTAGTGAACTTTTACAAGATTGGAAACTTTGGAGGTATCGCGTGCAAGCGTTTCGAAATGCGCGTAATGATCCCCTTTGGCCCAAAATTTGAAAAATAAATATCCAACCTGAGGCGCTGCAATTAAGAGCATGGCAGGTGACTCTCCTGCCCACAGGAATGGAACTGTACCCATCATGACGGCGCAGAGCACGACCGAAGCAGCACCGCTCCATACCCGGCCGACGGTTGCGGACCTACATGGCGACAATCATTTCGCAAAGCTGGCACACAAAATATGGCTGAATAATAAGAAATCCTCGAAGGTCAATGCCAAATTGGTGAAGGAGGAGATGTGGGATGTGTTAGAAGAAGGCGGTTTCGCTTATGGAGACCTTCTCATACTCGAGACTCTCCAGGCTTTAGAGAAGTAAGTGACTTGCTGTTGGAGGACGTATATGAAAGACACTCAACCTTGTGATGCAGATATCTATGGCCTGGCTACTCGGAAGCTGCCTCAAATTACCACGTGTTGCTCCTTGCAATACTGGTCAATGTGAAGCGGCGCGAGCGCCTCCCGTCGTGGATCATTTTCGAAGACCGGCCTGCTGACTTCTCCTCGTTCTTTCGACGCGCGCTTTCCATGACAGTCGACCTCAGCATCTCACTGAAGATCAGGACACACCTGCTCTGCTTTGTGATTGGCGCATTTGAGTCTCTTGACAGTGGACTGGTTAGGAAGGAGTGCGCCCCCCTCGTTGGCATAGCTATATGGCAGCATTTGCACAACGACGCAGCCAGGGAGGACAAATTCAATAGTCACGTTATGTTGCGCAAGATGTGGAGGTCAGCAAGCAAGAGATACGACACCGCCGACGATGAAACGAAGGCCAGGATACACTTTGAACGCTCGTGGCTTTATACCCTGTTGATGGATTTCTTGGATCGCCTTTATGAAGTCCAGGGCGGTGAAGCTCGCCAAGAGAACGTTGCATATGGCGAAAGGTTTTTGGAGCTCTTGATCGACCTCGAAAGCCAGCTTCCAACACGACGCTTTGTGAACTCGCTATTACAAGATCTCAACTTATTGCCTGCCATTGCGCTCTCCCCCATGTATAACGATGAGAACAACGGTTTGCTGCGCGACTTATATATCTTATTGCGTCACTACGCAACTTTCCCTGTCGATGATCAGTCTGGTGCTCAGTTGTCACGATCGGAGCACCATGACGAGCAGTACCGCAAGCTAGCAAGGCTGCAGCGGGTCGCCTTTAAGAACTTCGAGAGCAAGTTAAAGATCCTAGCTCTATCAAACTATGGTTCGTTGAGTTCCAGGCTAGACCTTGAGGGGCATTTTGGCGAACTTGAATCCGCTGAATTGCAAAAGCTTTGTGAACTACTGGGCTACAGGACTGAATACCCCACGTCCTCCAAACTAGTCACTGACCGCTCATTTTACCTCGAGGTCCTGATACAAGAGCACGAGAAGCGACCAACATTCCAAGAGTCAGCCAGGGAGCTCACTATCCTTCCGACAGAAAAAACACTTTATGAGCAGTCTTTTCTACGCAATGACACGTACAATGGTTCTCATCCACTCGCTGTACCAAAGCTCAATCTCCAGTACCTTACCATGGGGGACTTTCTATGGCGCTCGTTTATTCTACATCGCTGTGAGTCCTTCTATGCTATCCGTAAGGATGTTGAGGATGTCATTAAGCGCGTAAAACCACGAAATGTGTCTGGGAATATTCGATTCGATGGACAGTCGAGAATGGCAATACCAATTCCAAAACCTGCAATTCTAGATGTGGGCCCCGCTAATGTCGGCGATATTCATCCTTCCCATGTACGCGCTGAGCTCACACTGGACGTGTGGAGGCTTCAGTATAATGTACGCAGAGAATGGGAGTCTTTGAGGCCTGGAGACGTCGTTTTCCTGGTATCAGTAAGACCGCATACCGAAGCTTTGAGTGCGAATAATGGATATGTGGAACCGTCGTCGAGTGACCGCGTTGGCTTAAAATATCTGCGAGCCGCTGAGGTTGTACAAGTTCAAGATGAGAATGGGAAAGTCCTCAAGGAGCCGCAGCCTGATGAAGGAGGTGGTCGTCGGCCGAGTAAAAGGAGGCTTATTGTGAAAATTGATGCGGTGGCATATGAGGAAGATCGAGAGCAGATGGCGAAATCCAAAATCAATATTTACGAGTCTATCAACCTTGTAATCAGGAGGCGCGGTCGCGAAAATAACTTTAAGCCCATCCTGGAGTCGATAAAACGCTTGACGCTGTCCGACGTGCCTGCGCCATCGTGGCTGCAGGGCGTGTTTTTGGGATACGACGACCCTGCAGCAGCGACGTACAAACGACTTTCCAACCGACTCAAGAGCATCGACTTTCGAGATACTTTTCTGGATTGGCAGCACCTTATTGAGAGCTTACCAGGAAAAGCGCTCGAACCGAGCGAAGACCAGAAGGGTAGCTTTCCGCCGCCCTATGTTTTGGAGACTGTTGCATCAGAGCCTGCACCTGTCGAAACGCGTCCATCGAAAAAACGCCGGCGAGAGATTGGCTTTAGTCAACAGCCGGAAGTCGAGGCAGTCAAAGTGTCAACGTATAAGCCGCCAAACATGGGCCCATATCCGACAGATGCGCCAAAACTCAACAGCGTACGGTTCACGCCGGTTCAGATAGAGGCTATAAGTTCGGGTACGCAGCCCGGTTTGTCTATCATTGTCGGGCCTCCAGGAACTGGCAAGACAGACGTGGCAGTTCAAATAATAAACAACATTTACCACAATTTCCCGAACCAGAGGACTCTCCTTGTGGCCCACAGCAATCAAGCGCTCAATCAACTCTTCCAGAAGATTATGGCCTTGGACATCGACGAGCGCCATCTTTTAAGGTTGGGGCATGGTGAGGAGGAGCTAGAGACAGACGTCAGCTTCAGCAAGTACGGACGTGTCGACTCTTTCCTTGAGCGGGGCGCAGGATATCTGGCTGAAGTGAACCGTCTGGCTGCAAACTTAGGGGCGCCAGGTGCACATGGAAACTCTTGCGAGACTGCAGACTATTTCAACCAGGTGTATGTGAAGCCAATATGGACAAAATATTGGGACACTGTACGCCAACCTGAAACGACCGTAGAGCAGGTCATGGAGTCTTTCCCTTTTCACTCATTTTTCTCAAATGCGCCACAGCCCATTTTCCCTCAGGGAGCTACCAAAGAGGAGATCACGGAAATTGTACAAGGCTGCTACAGACACATTGAAAAAATCTTTACGGAGTTGGAGGACATCCGACCTTTTGAGGTTTTAAGGCGAGAACGAGATAAAGCAAACTATTTGCTTATCAAGGAAGCTCGTGTAATTGCAATGACATCGACTCATGCTGCTATCCGGCGACAGGAGATTGCAGATCTTGGGTTTAACTACGATAACGTCATCATGGAGGAAGCCGCCCAAATTACGGAGATTGAAAGCTTCATACCCCTTGCTCTCCAAAACTCAAAAGACGGGAATCTTCCCCTGCAGCGGGTCGTACTCATTGGCGACCATCTTCAAAACTCGCCAATCATTCAGAACCTGGCGTATCGACAGTACGCTAATCTCGAGCAGAGTCTATTTCTGCGCCTCGTGAGATTAGGCGTACCATCTATCACATTAGATCAGCAGGGCCGCGCGAGGCAGAGCATCGCTGAACTGTATACCTGGCGTTACCCGACTCTCACGTCTCTTCCTTCTGTACTGACCAATCCGGAGTATCAGACCGCCAATGCGGGACTCAGATATGACTATCAATTCATCGATGTGCCTGACTACAAGGGGAAGGGAGAAGCAGAACCAACTCCACATTTCATACAGAATTTGGGCGAGGCCGAGTACGCAGTTGCTCTTTTCATGTATATGCGCTTGCTCGGTTACCCTGCGAGTAAAATCAGTATTCTCGCGATGTATGCTGGACAGAAAGCACTGATCAGAGATGTGCTATCACATCGATGCAAAGGCAACAGATTATTTGGTATGCCAAAGGTTGTGACGACAGTGGATCGTTATCAGGGCGAGCAGAATGACTGTAGGTTCTCTCTAAAATTGGAGCTGTCGTTTATTTTATAGCTGACGCATGGTTAGACATCATCCTGTCGCTTACACGTACACTGCGGCCTGGTTACCTCCGCGATCTACGCCGCATCACTGTTGCTCTGTCCCGTGCACGTCTAGGTCTTTATATCTTAGGCCGCAAGTCTGTTTTCGAATCATGCTACGAGATTCAAGATGCATTCACGCGTCTCTTTGAAAGACCCACGACATTGCAGGTTGTCACAGGCGAAATGGCACCCACAGCGCGGTTGCTCAACGATAACGTGGATTCCACGGAGATTGTCAACACTGAGCACCTAATGCAATATGTTTGGGAGATGACAAAAGCGAAGGTGCAGGCTATCAAAGAAGGCGGTACCGCCTTGCCTGAGATTTCAGATGAGATGAGGGTGGATGATGAGGACGATGGTGAGAACGTGATTGACGAGGATGTACCTGAAGAGCCAGAAGAAGAGGAAGATTTTGTATGAGTTCAGCAAGCAGCCAGAATCTGGGTTCAATATACCGGTTGACTGCAAATTCTCTGACTCACATAAATCCAAGAAGTTGGTTAAAACGCCGACTATAGATTAATCTTTCATCGTGAAAATTATTGATCTCAGGGCCAACTTGAGAAGGTTCTGGAATTAAAATCATCAAAGGCATACTATAAAGTATAGGACATTATCAAGTAGATAATATGCGGCGAAAAGACTACCAATTTTGCGTTTCTATCTAAACACGTTTTTTTATCTGGAGAAAAAATCCATGGTATTGACCAGTTCTGTATAGGTGCATTGAGATAATGTACGAGCGGGCTCGTGAGAGCTGGGATAACATTGAAGGAAAATTCAGCATTAAAGAGAGAACAGCTGAACAGAAGATCAGTCGTCAATTCGCTACGCTAAGTAACGGAACTCAGCTGGGCATCAGGAGAGAGGATGTTCTGACACCAAGCAATATAGAATCTCGAAGCAGAGGGCGAGGAAACAAAATTTCGGGCTTTCGGGACATTGCATCAATAATAAATTGACAGCACGAGCGCTATGTAAAAACCTAGGAAGATGATAAATTTAAAGGTCAAATTTCGTAGAGGTGCTCTGTGCTTACCAGATTATACAATCGAGCACCCCACGAAATTGCTGTCGAGAAAGGCATTGATCCATTTGGCTCGGAGTACTTGCGCTCATTTGCCTGTGCTTGCAGAGGAATCCTTCTATTTCATTTCAAGCCCTTACTGTAGAGCCACTTCCAGCAGCATTCGGTTCGCGTCAAGAACGTGGCCCGAGTCACAAGATGGCTCTTGACTTTTCTCCTTTATCAACAAAAATAACCCTTCGCTTCTGCAGCATCGAAAAGCACTTCTACGTATCGGATCTAATAGACAACGATGGAAACATGTTGGCCGAAGAGGCCGTGAAAAATGATCCAGGTACTCTGCGTTTTCGATGCCACGAAACTAGGGGATTGCTGGGAACTGGGGTCTATCTCATCCAAGAAGACAGCTGCGAAGCTTTTCTTGGAATGACATTTTGTTTTGTCTTCTTCATCGAAGTACTTGAAAATTTTAAAAGGAGTGGATGGAGTCTCGTTTTCATTGAGTCGATCATGACCATCTCGCGAGAAAGTAGCTTACGATTTACCTCCACTGGCTAGCTGTATGCTCGGCATGCGAAAACAGATGGTATAGAAAAAAAATCTCTCAGTTGTCTTTAAATTTCTTTGGCCATATCGTAAGTAGAGGATACCGGTATTTCTTAGCTACCTGAGGCAGAAGCTGACGCTCTTCTCGAAGACTCGACACTTGGCAGCTTTACGGGTATACTTAAGTCAGGATACGCAACGGTACGCATTCGGTCAATGTTTCAACGCAATACATGTGGTCGCGGACTGAACCTTTTCCACTTCTGAAATCTAATTTGCTGGCAACATTCGGTAAACGCTAGAAAATGCCCTGCAGAAAGCCTACCAAAGACGAACCTGCCACTTCGTCCAGGGTTGGAACCGTACTTGAAGGCTGCGCCACCACCTCACCCTCCTCGACGATGTCTTCGCCTGCACTTCGAACGCACCACAGCCTTGTTCAAGGCGCAATAACTTTGACTCAACCCTCGGAAGAACTGCTCAAATCTTTTGCCAGTCCTTTGGTATATTGATATCTTCTCAAAGCCTGGGACCCACCACGTTTGGCGATAAGCGGCTGATATCGCTCAGCTTGCCGCGTATTACGGCCAGAGAAATCGCTCAGGCTGCAACGACCGCAATGGCGACTGCTCTAGAGACGTCGCACGTCATCGCCGCAGTGCTTTCCGTGTTCCATAATGCGGCGGATCTGACGAAGCAAATATCTAAGAAATCGAAAAAGAAGAAAAGCGAGCATGCGTTACGACTGAAATGGTTACTTGAAACCCTGGAGTCTGGGGAGGTACAGATCTCGCAAAGGTACAGCCAATATCTACAAGAACTAGGAGAAAGATTCAGATTGGGAGACGGTATGTGTTATCCACAGCCTTTCTCGTTCTATGTGATGGACGTCTGACATGTCTCCAGACCGCTCACGTGACCGGATTCAGCATGTTGCTATCATAATGCAAGCTGAACTGTTAAGGTCTTTACAGCTTGGAGCGCAGTTCGACAATGCTGAGGTAGATGCTGGGAAACTACAGGACGATGCCGCCTTTTTCCGCCGAGACGTCCTTTCGGCGCTTGATGAACTCAGGAGCAGAGTACTGGATCAATCGTCTAGCTATCCTGCTATGTACCCACAGATGGCAACGTTGAACCAACATAGTTCAGCTCCAAGCCCTACCACACCAAGAACTCCGCCAATAGACTTCTTTCCTTCCGGTGTCAATATTCCACCTGCGGCAGAGGACGAGGGCCACGGCAGAATGAGTAGATTGTTCTCCATACGAAGCAGGCCGTACAAAAGATCCTCTAATGCGTCAACAACTATTCAGAATATAGCGGGAACACAAAACTTGAGCTGGTCAGGATCAGCACAAGCAGAAACAGAAAAATTTGAACTAGCAGCTGATGACGTTCAACGACAACAAGAACCTTCTACCGGCTATCAAGATATCAAAGCACCCATTCCAGAGCCAGATACCGAGATGTTGCATCCAGCTTTATCAAAGCAAACTTCCATTGCTCGACACCCGTCGACTTCAACGCATAGCAGCGATTTCTCAAACTACACGAGGAGCAGCGCCTTCTCGGACGAGAAAATCCCAGTGCTTCAAGAAAATGACGAGGCGTTTCCAGAAGCCAGCACAATTGCTGCAGCACTTCCGCCGACCTTTTCTTCGTTGTCCATCCATTCTCGAGCGAACCACGAACGCATGCCGTCAGCTTCGTCGCAATTTGGTACGACGCGCATGTCGCCAACAGAGAGCCTACCGCCGAACTCAGCGGTGGCTCCTTCGCCGACCAGGCTTACGCCAGATTACTCGCCGCAACTGCGTTTGTTTCCTGTCGTCAGCCAACGCACTCCTAGTCCTACCAATCTGCCAGTTCCGGCACGAGATCGCAGTAACACGACCTCGAGCGGCACGTCGTCCTCGATCCAAAGTGTCTTCGCACGATCCGCTTCCGTAACGTCTACTCCAAGCTCGGTAAACACCGTGCAGCTGGTGGGCCGGCCCGAGAAAAAGAACAACTACTGGGGATTCTGCAAGGGCGCCTGGACGATCCGTGAAGACTGGCAAAAAGGCCTTGCAATCCAGGCCATTCCCGCCGGCATGTTTGCGCAGGACCACGTCTGGCAATGCAAGCACTGCTGCTTCCGTGGATCCATATTCGGCGCAAAGAAGCCGTACAAGACGGACCCGAACGTGCACACGAACGCAGAAACCGGTGTGCGGTACAGGTGGATCTTCCTGGCAAAGAGCCACACGAAGGTTCCGCTCGCCTCGACCCGCCGCGACGCTGGTTTCGGTTGTCTCTTCTGCAGCCTGAACAACACACACTCGTCCGTCTACGGGAGCGAGGCGCTGCTGTTCAAACACGTCGTGGAAGAACACGTCCCTGGCATGACGGATTCGCTGGCGAAACGGGCGAACTGCATTCTGGGAAGGAAGGCGGAGGTCACGGAGGATTTTGACATAAACATTCCCTGAATTGAGGACGACTCTGCTCTCACATATTGACGACCTACCTTTTTTTTTTCCTCCCCTTTTCTATTTTTGGATAGATACCCTCCGAAAATGCAGCTCACGAGTTTGAACAATGTGGCGCTTTTGTAGTTCCTGTACCTCTACAAAAACGGTGATTAGCAGACCGTAATTTATGCACGATGGTTCACGTAACGTAGAGCAATTGCATGAAGGAATATACAAGTTTATTTTTGGAGCGCAGTCAAAGCCCGACGTAAGCAGCACTGTAGCTGAAAGTGGACTGGAAGAAAGTTTTTATTCCCCTTTGCGATGGCTAGATACCTGATTGGAGGTGATGACACACCATCTCTAATGCGGAGTGGTATAAGGGCCGGCTTGTTCCTGCATCCTGCTATATAATGCTGTTGGAAACACTTTCGAATGTTGGAAAAACACGTCTGAACACCTCTCTACCCGATTCAAATTCGATTGCCAACAACAATTCGTCCATCCTTTTCACATGAACGCTCCAAGTAAGGCACCTATATTTAGCTCGCTAGCATTGCTGCTTTATTAAAGTCTTCACCAACCATATAGTCATCATGGGCATTTTCTTCGTTCTGTCAACAACATTCGGCATCCGCAAAACTCTCACCAATCTGCGTCCTGCTATTCCTTCACTTCCACTTCATTCGTGCATCTCTCCCTCCTAGTGATCTCAACTCCAATCTCCAGCGCATGACTTGCAAGGGTCAAGCCCCTCTTTCTAGGGGGCTATGTGCAGGGTTTAGTTCTGGATATATACAATTTTTCTCGGACTGCAAGACTTGACTTGCTTCCGGATCCTTTTTCACAGGTACTCAGCCCGACGGCTGGCTCTGTCCTCCAGCGGCAGCATGGCCGTTGGCTTGGTCTGCTTGTGCTTGAGCAACAGCTTCGGCTTGCGCGGCGTGTGCGATAGCGTCGGCTTGATGAACTGCTCCCTGGATGACTTGCTGCTCTTCGGGAGTGAGGTTCTTCATCAGACTCTCATAGAGCTGTGGTTGTGAGCTTTGCAATTCTGAAATTCACCGTTAGTGAGACAGGCGTTGTGCATTGGCTCTGCATTATACATACGCAACAAAGCATCCTTGAACAGTCCATATGGCTCAAGTTTATCAAGTGGCGTTTCCAAAAGACTTTCTTCTTCAAGATCTCCGTCGTCATCATCGTTCAAAGAGTTAAATTTCTGGGCCTTTCGGATCTGAGTCAGCTCGAAGCTCAGCAGGCGAATGGAAATGCAAACTGCAGGTGTCGATTCAATGTCAAGCATATCGCGGACTTACCTCTTCATTAAGGAACTCCAAGTACGCAGTGCTCTCGTCTTTGACGTCTTCGGCTTCGTCAGCCTCGTTCTCCCAATCGCCACTAGCTTCCCAGTCTTCTTCATCGTCATCCTCGTAGTCATTGCTGAAATCGAAATTTTCCTCTTTCGTCGCCTCCTCTCGGTCTTTCATACGTCAGTAAACTGTAAACCTGGTAGCGATTAGGACGGCGGCAGAAACTTACTCTTCATTGCAGCTGGAAGCGTCTGGAACAATCTCACAATGCCCTGCAGCAACCTAGGCCAACCTGGCTGCACACTCTGAGGAATCCTCTCCACCGGCATGGTCAAGAGACACGTGATGGCTGCAATGCTCAGCTTCTTGTCATGCACCCGTGTAAAGGAATCAATATTGCTGAACCAGTGGCTGAAGAATTTGTTTGTCCATCCATTCTGCTCCATGATGTGTAGCGCGAGCACCGGGTTGTAGTAAACCGCATTGATAACGACCTCCATGAGATGCACTTTAAGCGATTTCACCTTAGGTTCTTCTGAGATGAGATGTACCATGCCGAAGGAGATGAACTCGGGAATGTACTCGTCTATCTGACCGCGCAGGTTAATCATGATAATCTCGACGAGCTTGCAACCGCAGATGCGGTCCACACCACCAATCTTGTCCTCCTTGAAGATAACGCGCGCCATGTCCACCATGGCCTCGAGGTACGGCTTGTTCTGCACCAGAGCATCGGCGCCATAGTTTACGAAATTTTCGAGAGCTGGCAGCATGTCTTCCAGGTACAGCTCTGCTCCGGCTTTGAAGGTTCGGTGAATGAGCTCGAAGGCATGCCACATGGTTGGCGATATCGACTTCGCAGCGAAAGTGCAGCTGTCAATTATCTCAAATATTTCGTTGTATAGATCGTACAGTTTGTTTTCGAGTGTGATCTGTATGACCGGCATGAGGATGGTCTCGAGGTGCAAGAGCACGTCTGGCGTGCTCTCAAGCGTGAGGATGAGCGTGCCGATCGTCTGAAGGACACCTAACGCGGTAATGCTCTTGTCATCCAAGTAGTCGCCGTAGGAATCGTCTTCTTCGGTCTTTGTAGCGTTGCGCTCGAGTAGATCTCTCACAATTCGCAGATACGTATCGCGGAGCTGCTCGGTGAGCGCCACCGCAAATGGTGTAAGCTCCTGCGCGAATACCTCAACAAAATCCTCCATCACATTTGCCAGCGCGTCAACGTCCACCTCGTTTGCGAGCTTGAGAAGCTGCTGCATGATCTGGGGGATATTCTGCTGCATTGCAGTGCGAATGATGTCGTGTCGAATCAAGGGCTGCAACGCCAGCGCGGCTTCCACTCTGACGGGCAGCTCAGGATCTGCCATCGACTCGAGAATATTTCTGTAGATAATGATCAAGTTGTTCGGGTCCTTGAATTCCATGCGTTCGAATTTCTCTAGCGTATCGCAAGCCCGTGCCCTTAGGAAGCCATGCTGGCTCCTGAATTCGGGGAAGACATGCCTTACGAAGAACAGCTCCACCTGGTCCTTGATCGGACTCTTGTTGCCCAAGATGACATGTGAAAGCGTGCCAATCATGCGGAGAGCACCCTCCTTTTCGCGAGGGTTCTTCTGGTCATCCGGCGCCTCTTCGTACTTGTTCACGATGCCGTTCACGAACTCAAGCACAGTAAATGTCTGCTTTCTTCGGTTCTTGGTGAGCGTGATGAGGAAGTTCGTCGCGGAAACGTCAGGCGCGGAAACGTCTTCGTAGAAATTGAGCTTTCTGTGTAGATACTCCGCTGGATCATCCTCAAATTGCTCTAGGTCCTCATCAGACTGGCATAGAATAGGGAACAGCAGATGCTGGATCAGAGTCTCCATGTGTGGCTTCAGGTGCGCCCACATCGCCTTAGGTTTGATACACTCGTCTAGGAATGCCAGAGTGTACGACAGACAGCCCTTGCTCAGCCACGTCGTCTTCGCAACCCATTTCTCAATCTGCTGCAGGTAGATCTTCAAGATTTCAGGCGCAAAGTTGGCGATAAAAGACTTGGCAACTTCGGTGTAGTCCTGGTCGTTGCCTTTCGTGATGCTCGTCGGGTTACCGTACCTGACGAACAAGCGATTCAGATTGGCGTATGCCCACTTTTTCGCTTTCCACCAGTGGTTTTGCTCTCTCTCATCGAGGTCGTCCGGCATAGCGCAAGCAGGCGGGTCCTTTGAGACAACCGTCAGGAACAAGGTGCACCAGCTCACCATGACCTCGTGCGATCGCAAGTGCACGGGGAGTTCGAAGTAGATGGCATGCTTGTACGTTTTCATGACCGTGCGTATGATCTCGCCGGCCTCGATGCTCGTCTCTGTGACACACCTGTTGCCAATGCTCAGAAGAAGCGGGAAAGTAAGCTCTACGACCCTGTCGAAGTCACTCCTCACTTCGCCGACCTTGAAGCGGTATACCTTGCAGATGGCGAGCAGGCATTGCACGCCAGCAAACACCTGACCCGCGTCATTTGCACTGAGCAGTTGTACGGTGATGTCAAGGAAGTCGGGCCATTTGGAAGGAAAGTCGTGGGTCAGTATTTTCTGAAGGGTCGGGATGAGTTGGGCGCGAATCTGCGGCGAGGACGCTGCGAGAACAGGGACAAGCCTTCTCCTAAAGCTGTTCTTCTCTTCATCAGGAATGGCCTTGGCCATGGTGTAGTCTTCAGCGGGGTTCCATCCCTTCGTCACTCGGTTCTTCAGGTACACGGCGGCTGTTGGAAAAGCTTAGCACGCACAAACGCGGTCCGCACGGTGCTTAAAAACGTACTGGACAGACGGACAGCGTTGTCTTGCTCCACCTCAAGGACGTTGAGCAGAGCATCCGGGAATCCAGGCTGATCTTCTGCCTGGTTGAACGATTAGCCACCACAACACGTCTGGAAACCATCCACGGCGGCGTTGGCAACACACATATTTCAGATCAAGCTCAGCCTGCCGTCGGGTGTCGGCATTCGCATCGAGCGTTGCCGCGATGCGGTCCCTCAAGCTCGTCATAGTTTTTTTTTTATTTTTTTTATTTTTCGCGGAGGTGTTTCTCGCCCGCGGGCAAGTACCGAGCAGGAACGTGCGTGTGGGTGCACAGTGGGATCCCTTCTACGAGAAGCCGGCAAGCTTGGTCCTGCGCGCAGGTAGCTGTACCGCGTGGAAAGGAAAAGAAAGAAGCGCCAAAATATTGTGGAGAAGCGCACACACACACAAATGTGCAGCGTAATGGGGGAATTTTTTTCGGGTAAAGTGGATCGGACGTTGGTCCTGTATCTGAACGAAAGCTCAGGTTAGGGTTGAAATGCTTGACGACTAACTAGGAGAGTCCCAGCCCGGCGTGCATTTACCGAGCCGCCGGGCGTCTGATTACTCAGCCCTATTGCACCACCAACCCCAGCCAGGTTTGCTCGCGGACAACCGACCAGCACGCTTCAGTGCGAAGAATCCTCCTCGTCCGCTCTGATCATCTCCGTCTCGCTGTCTTGAATCTTTGTTCGTGTGCTGCCAGCCATCTGGCTTTAGGTGCGGACCTGTTTGCCAGCCTTTCCTCAAGCGTCCCCTCCGCCTGCCTGCACGTGATCGGACCGAGGACTTTTACTGTGCGGGAGAGTCTGGAGACATTCGAACTGCCTTGATATAAGACTAGCTCACGTTGCACCTGATGCAACCAGAAACGCCACTTCGCCATCTGATTACCACCATAGTTGATCTCGATCAGTCGTGAAGGATCGGTATCATGCCATCAACGTCACCACCTTAAATGAAGCGTCCAGCTCAACGCCGTCCGCAAAGTTCAGTTCCAGGCTCTGTGAGTCGCTGGAATAGATCGTCTGGATGCCCACCTCCCCATTCCCGCTCTTTTCCAATCGAGCAGCGGCAGGAGCAGACGAAATGCCAAGGATAGTTATTCGACAGATGGTCCTACTCTCACGTTCGGCAGCGGGCTTGTAAGCAAAGGACCCAACGGCGGTCAATGTACCGTCTGACCACGTGAATTCGATCATGGAGATACCGGCTTGCTCAACGCTGTCGCCGTCATCAAGGTAGAGATCACCGCTCGCCTTGCCCGCCGCATCAGGCGCGATAAGAATGTGGAAATCCCGCTGCCTTAAGGACCTGGTGGTCATCGCGCTCGAATTTCGCATCGGAATGATAGCCCCTGCCTTGACGTGAACTGGGATCTGATCGAGTGCAACATCTTTGAGGGTAATCTTCGTGCCTTGGCCACGTATTTGCTTGTAGGTGACAAAGTCGTAGAATAAGTCATCTGGCAAGTACATCTCCACACTCGTTGAATTTTCCTCGGTCACGGGGCTGATCAACAAGTGGTCTCCGCAAAAGAATTGGAGTTCAATGCCAAACACGTCATCGTCGAAAGGGTACTTGTAGAACAAGGGACTTAGCACCGGCGCGCCTGTTTGATTTTGCTTGTAGATACAGGTGTACATGTAGTCGAGCAAGCGGTAGCGCATGTCCAGAGCGCTCCTGGCCGCTGAAGCAACAGTCTCGGAGATGTAGAACTCCTGCGGCAAGGAGGTGTCGCCGTTGTGATTGCGCATGAATGGGTAGAAAGCGCCGAGAGTCGCCCATCGTGCGCAGAGGGCTTCCGTTGCGTTTCCGCCAAACCCGCAGACGTCACTTCCCACCATGGGCATCTGGAAGAAGGTGGCAAAATTGAGCATGCCCTGGATGGACTGTCTGTAGTGCTCCCATGTGCTCAGGTTATCGCCTAGCCATTTCGCAACGTTCCTGCCATCTCCCGCGAAGGTCGATCTGGTAACGATGAACGGCCGTCGTTCCGGCCGTCGAGCCTCCATCGCGGTGCGGGAGATCCTGCTCATCATTGAGCCGTATAGATTATGGACGTCAAGTTCAACATGGCCATCGTAATGTACCACGTCCGTGTCGATAGTGAAGTTCGACAGACCGCCGAACGCGGTAATGTTGTTCTCATTTTTGATCCGATATGCTGGCTCGAGCAGATTCCGACCCCGATAGCCTTTCACGGGAGCGCCAGACTCGGATATTGGTGGCTCTGAGCCGGACTTTCTAGCGTCGGCTGCACCGGCACGCCAATTGAATATCATGCTAAACCATTGTGTGATACGCGACACGCCTCTCTTCGCGTTCGGTGCGGCGTCTCCTGCTAGCCACGGCGGCGAATAGCCTTGGTCATCAGGAGGAAATGGCGAGCAATCATTCGGTTGGAATGCCGCAGGGAATCCAGGCAACGCGCGCGGTGGTGAGCGCAAGGGCGCTCTGGGGGGTGGAAATCCTCGATCCACGGCCGCCTGTTCAGGATCGTCGCCGAAAGAGTTGAAATTCGCTGCTTCGTTCTGCGCCGCGTAAGCCGACCGTCGTTCTGAACAAGCAATAGTCTTACCATGTCAATCCACAGCCCGTCAATGTCAATTCCACTTTGGGGATCAAAGAACTCCGCGAACTGGTCGATCCAGTACTGCGAAGTGCTCGGATTGAACCAGTCGGGGAAAGCTGTCACCCCAGGCCAAACCACGCCCTTGAATATCGACCCATTCTTGCTCAGGAAGAGACCTTCGTCGCGGGCGCGGGTGAAAGTCTTGTATTCCAAACCGGCCTCCCGTTCGGTCTGATATGCAACGGCAGGATCGACCATGACGATGAAGTGCTGGTCGTGGTCATGCAGATAGCTGACAATCTCCCTCATGCGCTCCATGGGGAACCGATCCGGATCCGTCGTCATGATGAAGCGGTTGAACATGTAATCAATGTCCACCCACATCGTCTCGAGCGGAATCCCTGCGGCAGAATAGTTCGAGATGACCTCCGCAAGGGCTATGTAGTCGCGATATCCGTATCGGCATTGATGGAGCCCCAGGCTCCAGTACGGCATCAAGGCAGGCCTTCCCACGATGTCGCTATACTGCTGGGAGGCTTCCAGAGGAGTTGGGCCGGCGAACAAGTAGAGATCGACCACGCCCCCGAGCATGTTGTACTCGAGATAGTGTCCAGCAGACCTGGTTCCGTCGATCTTCACGTCCATCCCGGAGCTAGACAGCATGAAGACGCCATGGGTGCCCTTCTTGCCACGGTGGTCGTAGTAGACCGGGTGAGTGCCGTACAGATTTGTACCGGACGGTATTCCGTACGCGTCACGGGCCCAGAACGTGCGCGTGTAGTTCGTGGTGCCCAGTCGTAGACTGTCCGAGTGCTCGCCGAGCCCGTACAGGTTCGGCTTGTCCGGAAGATAGGTTCTGAGCCGAACGTACTGGTCCGAGAAGATGAGCGGCGCCGCGGAAGAGTCGAACAGCACGTCCCCCGTGCCTCTGCGTTTGACGGTAAAGGAGAACGGATCCTCGTGCAACGTAAACTCGAGCTGGGACTGATTGGCAGGCACAGAGCCGGCCGTGCTTGGACGAGGAAAGACGCTCTCCGGAACCTGGTAGGCGATCCTGTCGCTGTCCTCAATCTTGACGTGCACGCGATTTGCTACACATTCCGGTCAGCACATGCGCTCAGCCCACGGACGTTTCGCCAACCGTCGTCGAAGTTGACAAGCAGCCTCAGGCGCTCAATGTCCTTCCCGTACACGTCACATGCGGTCCCGGCCAGTTCGAGGTCGGCGGCCAGGCCGGTTTCCGTTTCGACGACGTTCGTCGCGCGGTAGCCCGGACAGGCGGCGATGGCGGCCTGTCTCGAGATGAGGCCTCTCGCATCGACCGCGTTTCGTACGTTGCGGATGGCCACTGCGAGCGTTAGCGACACGTACGGTGTGAAACGGCGCTGCCGCCAGGGCGGCGATTTGGACAATCGACCCCAAAGGAAACGCAGAGCATGGCGCGATGGGGCGCCTTCGACGACGACCTAGCGGTGCATTGCTTGCCGAAACAAAACCTCCATTGACAGCCTCTGCCTTCCTCAATGGCAAGATGCGTCACGAAGACAAGCCCCGTCGATGCTCAAGCATGAAGGGCACGAAGAAAGAGTTGTGCGATCTTACCCTGCACTGAGCTCAAGAAACGACTCCACAACCAAGACAACATTTTCAACGCCCCAAGTCTTAGACTTCAAGCAGAGCAGCGGATAGAAGATGCGAGCTTTGGTCGAAACCGGCCCTGCGATGAGACCAATCTAGTTCTCACAACAGTCAAGCCGGGTAACCTAAGCGATTCGTCGCGAAAGTTGTGAGTTGTAAGCCTGCCTATGTCTTTGAATTTGCCCCCGATTTTTAAACATTCACTATATCGATGGATCGGCGTTTGTAAATTCCTTCTGATTTTTTTTTTTCAAAAAAGACCTCTTTTCCGTACGCCGGATATCGTTGCGGGATGTTTGACTCGGGACGGATGCGGTTGCCAGTTGATGAGCGTGGTTTGAACAAGTGATGTCATATTTCCAAAAGTTTCGGGCCCACCCGTCTACCCTGCGCGGCGTACGCTGACAATGAGAGCTTAGCAATATGCAAACGGATGGCCAGGACGGGACCATAAGTGTTCTGCAGAAGCATCAATGATTATGATTTCAAGCTGCTCATTTCGTACAGATACATGACATGGCCCAGCCGGATCATCAAGCAGCTACTCCTACACAATCCCACCAATCCAACCCCCGACTCCCCTGCAAAAGCCCACCAGATCTCCTAGTCTTCTTACCTCTCCCTTGCATACCTGATCCCACTCTCTAAGCGCTACCCTCAGCTCTTCGCTCTCCAGCACTACATTTCCGTGGCACTGCAGGAACACCGACATGTACGTCTGCATGAGCTCGTAATCTCTCTTCTCACGCAATCTTTGGGTAATAACTTCAACAAAGGTCGTGAGCTCTGTATACGGTGGGGATGGATCCAACGTGCGGATCGCGAGATCGGCCGCTGAGGGAGACAAGGTAGACAGATGCGTAATGACTTGGGACGGAGAGTTTCGAAGAAGGGATGTGAAAGTGGACGTCTGTTGAGCGGAAGCAAGTGTTGAAATACGCGACGCCGCTTTCTGTGCGACCTCTGCTTCGGCTGGAGCTGAAGGTGCGGAACTGAGATCCTCAGGCTTGGACTTGTCCAGAGACGGCAAAAAGAAGGGTGCTTTCTCAGGAGGTTTGGGAGCCTCCTTGGGTTTGTTGCGTGAGCGGATCGTGTCGAGGTGAAGCAAGGTCTGCCATTTTGCCTTTGGAACTAGAGACAGCGTAAGAAGATCTGAGCTCAGCTGGTCAAGATCTGGTGCTACGACCACTGCTCCCTCTTCTTCCACGGCAAGGTCTTCTGCTTCAAAAGTGGCCTCCAGGCTGGTCTCGGTATTTTCGCCCGATGCAACCGGCATGTCAATGTCGACGATGTCATCCGGCGCTATTCTTTTCGTAGACACCGTCGTGAACAAGGTCCGATTATTCCAGATATGCACCCCTACACTGTCTTCATGGGCTGTAGCCAAGTACTCGCCTGTTGGAGAGAAGGCTATGGCAGAAGGCTTGCTCCTGAAGCGAATTGCCTCAATGAGATGACCAGTCGGCAGGTCCCACGTGCGCAGTACAGAATCCTCGGATATGGCGGTCAACCAGCGGCCGTCGTTCGAAAACGTAAAGTCCAAGATTTTGCCGCTGGCGCCCCAGAGCTCTCTGACGAGTTTCTTCGTGACGATGTCGACCACGCGTAAGGAGGAGTCATCGCAAGAAAGCGCAATCAGGTCTGTAGAGCGATGATAGCGCATCCCGCGTATCGACGTGAGAGACCAGTCTAGCTCGTGAAGAAGGACAGCCTTGTGAAAGTCCCAGAATTTGACTTTTCCATCTGCTCCGCACGACATGACCGTTTGATTCAGACTGTCGACTTGAATTCCCGTCACAGCACCCGAGTGCTTGCCTTGCCCACGCGCGTACTTATTGTCGTGACGCGCTGCCGGGTTCTCCGCGAGCTGGGCCTGCAATGCCTCTGCTTGCTTCTTGGTCAACGTGGCAGGAAACCTCTGCCTCTTCATCCCGGACTGCAGATTGTACACGTCGATACATCCATTGCTAGACCCTAGAAGCGCAAATGTGCCGCACGGGGAAATCGCTACGCTGGTGACGTTCCCCCCGTCGCTAGTCTCGAACTTCCAGCGCCCGGCGCGCTTGCGGCCCCAAAACCACGTTCTCGCGAACCTGTCGCCTTGATGACCCGTCACGACGCTTTCCCAGCCCGTCAAGCTACTTTCAGCAGTGCTTGCGGATTTGTGGTTCCCCGGAACGGCCCAGATTTCTTTGGTGCCGGGCATCGCTCCCATGCCTCCATCTCGATTGAGTGAGCATGCCATGCACGTAATCTGCGGTGCCTTGAGCTCCTCTAACGAAGGCGTACCATCCGGCCCAGCGATGGCGTTGTTCAGCATGCCCATTTTCTTTGCCTTCTTGCGCACGCTGCCCTGACTCAGTTCGGAGGATTGGGCATCGCGTCGCAAGCTCCAGGCCCATAAACTGCGGTCACGGCTGGCGCTCATAAGCCACTTACCGTCTGCCTCCGATCCATCCGAGCTTGGCGGCAGGAACTCGAGCCTCAGAACAGGGGCAGCGTGTCCGCTTCGTGCGTGCAGCGGGCGTGGAGTAGCCGAAAAAGGCTGTTCATCGAAGATCCAAGTCTTCAAGGCGTTGTCCATGCCGCTTGTAACGATAACGGCTTGGCCAGGGAGAAACTCGATCTTGCTGATTCCTCCAGCAACAAGTTCGCCTTGTTTCGTGGACGGGGGGAAGTGAGCGCCACGAAGAACGCTCATCTTGCGGCCGCCCTTGTTAAGATCCCAGAAGGTGACGTCGCCGTGGGCTTTGGTTGCTGTTGCCATCACTCCAGCCTCTCGGCCATCCTCCCCTGCGCCGATGCCATCCGTGCGAAACGAGATTGTAGTGACGGGCGCCTGCTTCGAGCCGGCACTCAGTGAGATGAGCGGCTTGTCCTTGCGAACATCGTGTATGACGACGTCTCCTGATGCGTACGCAATGGCGAAGAGGGACAGGACTGGCGCAGGCTCCATGGTTGTCACGGCACCCATGTCGGAACTGCTTGGGAAAATGGTGTATATCAGTTTGCCGGTGCTCACGTTCCACACCTCCACACAGCCGTCCGACGTGCCAACCAAGATCTTGTTTAGGTACGTAGGCATGTTGCACACACCGCCACTGATCGTGGCTCGTATTCTTCCCTGAGCAACGTGGATCGTGGTGTGGTGCTCAAACGTCGCCGAACTCCACACCTCGATGCGTGTCTGAGCGCATCCAACTATCCAGGCGCCCAGAGGTAGGATCTGTGAGATGGTTTCGCGCTTGCCTCCCGCAGGCATCTCGAATTCTCCCACTTTCTGTCCGCGCTTATAAACCCACAAGCCATTGCTTTCCCCATCCTTGCTACCCCATGCGGCCAAAGTGTGGTCCTTGTAATTGGCGATGGCGGTGATGCGTTCGGGGGTTTGCGGTCGCGTGATGAAGATTAGGTGCAGTCCCCGGCGCAGGTCGTACGTCTGCAGCGACCTCCCCACACTTGTGGTGATGTTAAAGGTCGTCTTTCCTCGCGGGTCGATAGAAAAGGGTACGTCTGTTGGCGAAATGAGGCCTATGGTTCGAAACGGCGCAAATATACGAGAGGATCTTTTTGCTGCGGCGCCATTGACTTGCTGGTCGCCATCAAGCCTTTGGCGCTTGCTGACACGACCATTGTGCGCGGTGGCGACTGTTCCCGTCGCGGACGACATTGTTGACGCATTCAGTGTAGGTCGTGATCGATGTGCACCGCTGTACAGAAGTCCAACTTCGTTCGACGTCGTTATCGATAACTTTTTTTTTCTTCCCTGCAGGGGAGCTCATGCGAACAACCTGGCCAGCCACTCGCATTCGGCTGTCCCCACATGCCCGGCCGCAGCGGCGTCCTCTCTGAAATGGCTCATTATGCTTGAGCAGGCGAACTCAAACGAGGATGGATTCGGCAGGACGAAGTTATGGTTGCATGTCCCGCTCAATCATCCATAGCTGAGATGAATTGGACCTTGTCCTGGCTCAATTGGCCGGACACGACGTCTGCGGATCGAAGATGGACATCAATTTGGCTCGAAGTGGGTCTCACAGGCGAGTGAGAGGAAAGACACGAGGGTTGGGTTCGAGGCAAGACATGCACCTCGTGGGCACGAACACTCTTCTGTTGGCACGATATACGTATCCAATTCCAGCAACTGGGTCACACCGAGTGGACTAACATGAAGATGCAGGAGATTCTGCTGTTGGTAGAGGACGTTTGGACGTCGTTTGAGATGCCGAACCCACACGCAACATGTGGACGCTGTCGGCAGCTGCACAGAAGACAAGTTCGGTAGGTCTGCGGCGGCCTCTGCTGCAGAAGCAGCAATGCAAGCCAGAAACGACAGACGAGGGCGAACTGGGCAGCACAGAGGCTGACCCGAGGCTTCCATGGACGCGTCTCAAGGACGTCTTGCGTGTTCGTCTTGCATGCCTGTCGTTCATCATGGGACACATGCACGCAACGAGATGCCCGCCCATACGTCAGCTACGTGTGCAGATTCCAGCAAGCCATTGCGCGCTGGCTGGCCTGGAATGGTCAAGAGCCACGCATGAAGTGCACAGCGCAAACGGGGAGACAGTCTGGGGGACCGGTATAAAATGAGAAAAAAAGAACAAAGTGGAGGCAGAGGAACCCCAGTCGACGCGCGGTTACGTCAGTGCGAGTCCGGGTCCCGAACTCCGCCATGTGCTCAGCGTGCGAACGTCTATTTGCCAACTCCAAGGACAAAAAAACAAAAAAAAAAGCCAGCCAGGTTCCACAGAAAGCTTGATCCCAACGATCTAGCCACAGCACTCAGCACAGCGGCTCGCACGCGACACGCCCACGCCGCCAGATCGGAGCAGCAAGTCGAGTGACATTTCCGCCGGCCGCGGCCTGCAATTGGCGGTGCCGTCTGCGCAGACGATGGATGCGTTGCAGCGAACGCAGAGCCGCGAGTCCGCAAGGTCGACGAGCAAGTCGGGCGCCATCAGCTTGTCCTCGGCCTCGTCTGGAGCAAGCAGAAAGGCGCGCTCGGCCGAGAACGAGACGACGAGCAGCAGTGTAGAGCGAGCGGGCGTGTCGATGCCCGCCCCGGCGTCCAGGACCGTGAGTCGCGCGTTCATAGCCAGGCGCCCCAGCAAGGCCTCTGACACCGTCCTCTTGACATCCGCTGGTGCCGCTGGCGGAGCTCTGGAGGCCTCCGGTTGTGCTACTGCGTCTGCCGCCGATGCACCAGTGCAGCACGGCGATGGCGCTATCGCTGCGCCGTATACTGAGGGTAAATACTGTCCCTCTCTCCTTTTTATTTCCAGATCCCCCACTCGATCGTCCCTCCACGCCCCGCATTGTTTTGAATCATCGCAACCCACGCACGCCCACATAGCCTCTGCTCCCCCCCCCCTCCTCTGCCCCCTTCTTCTTCGCCATCGTTTGCAGTGCCCCCCACGAGGTGGGCGTGCGCACGGCGCGCGTTGATCCTTGAGCGCACGTCTTGAGAAGCGTTCGCTATGGAATACGAGTACAATGAGCCGAACCGCCTCTCTTTCTCCTCTCTTTATTCGCTGGGATCAAGCACGTTCAACTACGTCAAAGGATTCACCGGCCCGCCGTCCCTCGCAGACTCGGACCACGAGGGTAGCTGGTTCGGCATCACACGTCGGACTACCTCTTGCTAACACGGTGCAATACAGGGCGATTGTCGGACGCCGGCCTGCCACACCCCTCGTCGCTCACCTCGGCGCCTTATCCCCATCATGGCGCCTTGAGTTCGTCTCCGCAAACGCTGTTGGCCAGAGAGAATGCGTCTGCCGTAGGCTCGCCTCTGCCCGGCTCCGCATTGAACATCCCGGGAGCGGGCGGCTCGCCCACGTCGCAGACGCTCAATTGGGCAACAGCATGGAACGACCGGCCTCAATCGATCCAAAGATCGCGAAGCCGCACACGTACTCAGCGGCGGATAAGCGGCACGGCCTTCTCCAGCAGCGCAAGCCCAGGCAGCGAGAGATCGACGGCAAAGGACAAGAATGACAAGGCGAAGGCGCCACTGGGCATCATCGGCGTGTGTGCGCTGGACACGAAAGCGCGCAGCAAGCCCAGCCGAAACATTCTCAACAAGCTCATGGAGAAGCAAGAGTTTGATGTCAAGGTGTTTGGCGACAAGGTCATCCTAGATGAGGACATAGAAAACTGGCCCGTATGCGACTACCTGATCTCCTTCTTCTCCGATGGGTTCCCACTGGACAAGGCAATTGCCTATTCAAAGTTGCGCAAACCGATGAGTGTGAACGACTTGCCCATGCAATATGTTCTTTGGGATCGACGCTTGTGCCTGATGATTCTTGACAAGATCAAGGTCCCGACGCCTGAGCGAGTCGAGGTCAACAGGGATGGCGGACCCAGGCTTGCCTCAGCAGAGCTAGCACGCGTCCTGTACGACAGGACAGGCATCAGGCTACCTGGCCCTGAAGATGGAACCGGTGGAGGTCAGAAGCCACCGAGAAGCGTCGAGTTGATCGAAGACGGAGAGGCTTTGCGCGTGGACGGTAAAGTGCTACGCAAGCCCTTTGTCGAGAAACCAGTAAGCGGAGAGGACCACAACATTCGCATCTATCTGTCCAAGGAGGACGGCGGGGGAGGCCGAAGGTTGTTCCGCAAGGTGAACAATAAAAGCTCAGAGTACGATCCTGACCTCTCCACTCCACGCTGCTTGTTAGAACAGGACCACAGCTATATTTATGAAAAGTTTCTCAAGGTGGAGAACTCAGAGGACGTAAAAGCATACACTGTTGGGCCAGGATATTGCCACGCCGAAACGCGAAAATCGCCCGTTGTGGACGGAATCGTTAGACGCAATCCAAACGGCAAAGAGCTGCGATACGTTGCCCAGCTCACAAAGGAAGAAATCGAATACGCTTCCCGCATCGTCAAGGCCTTCGGTCAGACCGTCTGTGGCTTCGATATCTTGCGCTGCCACGGGACAAGCTATGTAATTGATGTCAACGGCTGGTCTTTCGTCAAAGACAATCCCGATTACTACGACGCAGCCGCAAAGATTCTCAGGGACATGTTCATCAAGGAAAAGGCCCGGCGCGAAGGCAAAGCTGTCCAACCAGACAGCGTTTCCTTCGAGTGGGAGCAGGGATCAGAAAAGCCAGCCACGTCTTCAGCACAATCTTCTCGCAAGCCCCAAGGCGGACACAGAAATACACTCAAGGGCCTCTTTCATTCTCCAAGCATGTCCAAGCTCACGGGTTCTGTACATTCACCTGTGCATATGCCGGTGTCTCATCGTCATGGCGCAACTTCGCCAGACATAGCAGCAACAACGTTGCCGATTAGCTCGCCACCCAGTACAGAAAGCTCAGTCCCCGCCACTAGGCTTCCACCACCAGTGTCACAGCCCCCACTTCATGCGCCGTCAGCTACTGTCAGTGCGGCGTCTACTGCCGACGTAATGAGTGGATCACACATGGCCGAAGTGCCAGCTGTGCCCGTGCCCGCTCCGGCTTCGAAGGCGCAATGGAAACTCAAAGGCGTGGTTTCTGTAGTAAGACACGCTGATCGTACGCCGAAGCAGAAGTTCAAGTTTACGTTCCACACCAAGCCTTTTGTGGATCTGTTGAAGGGGCATCAGGAAGAGGTGCTCCTTGTCGGTGAGCCGGCGCTCAATAGCGTTCTTGACGCCGTAAAAGAAGCATTCAAAGAAGGCATCGAAGACAAGGAAAAGTTGAACCTCCTGCGCAGCTCGCTTATCAAGAAGGGAGGCTGGGCGGGAACAAAGGTCCAGATCAAGCCTATGTTCCGCAGGAAAAAGAAGGAAGAATTGCAGTTGGAGATGTCACCATCAAAACTGGAAGCACAGCTTACCTCGGATGACACCACTCCAGATCATGGGGCGCAAGGAGAGCTGGAGCGCAAAGAATCCAGACAAGGCTCTGTTCATGAGACGACGCTTTCACGTTTCTCGGCCAAGGAGCATGACCTTGTGCTGGACAAGTTGCAGCTTATCATCAAGTGGGGCGGTGAACCGACGCACTCTGCACGCTACCAATCTCAAGATCTAGGAGAAAACCTGCGCAGCGACTTGATGATCATGAATCGTGAGTGTCTGGAAGATGTGCACGTCTTCAGTAGTTCCGAGCGTCGCGTCACGACGAGCGCGCAGATCTTCACCGCGGCATTCCTGGCCAAAAAGGAGCTTCCCGAAGATTTTATCACAGTTCGCAAAGATCTGCTGGATGATTCTAATGCCGCCAAAGATGAGATGGACAAGGTGAAAAAGAAGCTTAAATTGTTGCTGCGTGAGGGCGACGCAGCACCACCACAGTTTGCATGGCCTGACAACACGCCAGAACCGTTCATCGTGGTTCGAAATGTAGTCGAGTTGATGAAGTTTCATCGCATGGTCATGCGTCACAACATGGCCAAACTGCAGACTGGCGCTGCGACGTACCTCGCCAACATCATCAACCCGAGACCTTCCGAAGCCGAAGCTGTGGCCATGTCGGCCAATGGTTCTGCAAGTGTCTCCGTCGTCAAAGAGTCGCAAGAGGTTGCCAAAATTCAACCTCGTTGGTGCAGCGGTGAGGATGCAAACCTGTTTCGCGAGCGCTGGGAAAAGTTGTTCAAGGAATTCTGCGACGAGACGAAGGTGGATCCGAGTAAGATCTCTGAGCTGTACGACACGATGAAGTACGACGCGCTACACAATCGCCAGTTCTTAGAGTGGGTCTTCACGCCGGAGGAGCATATGCTGGACGAGATTGCCGTCAGCGAGAGCGGACCAACGTCTCCAACGCTCGAAGCACAGCCTAAGTTCTCAGCAAACTCGTCGAGACGAACATCGATAAGCGAACCGAAAGAGGCAAATCACCGGTACAGCGTCGCGAGCGTGGAGAAGGTCTTGCCTGAGAAAGAGCGGTCTAGCATCCTTGCGCAGCGGTTCGCGCACCTGCGCCGACGACCATCGGTAGAGGAGAAGCCGACAAACAACGTAACTTCCAAAGCGTCTGTGAAGACAAACGATGACCAGGAAAGCTACTTCACGCTCTACACGGGGATCACTGGGAACGGACAGTCTTCAAAGGCAAAGGTTGATTCACGTCTGCACAAACTGCGCGAGCTCTACAAGTACTGCAAGGTCCTGTTTGACTACATCGGTCCGCAAGAGTACGGCATCAGTGGGGACGAGAAGCTGGAGATTGGATTACTGACTTCGTTGCCTCTGCTCCGCGAAATCGTGCAGGACCTCGAAGACCTGCAGGCGAGCGAGGGCGCAAAGTCCTTCTTCTACTTCACAAAGGAATCCCACATATACACGCTCCTGAACTGCATCTTGGAAGGCGGCGTCAAGACGAAGATTGAGCGCAAGGCTATTCCTGAACTCGACTATCTCAGCCAGATCCAATTCGAGCTGTACGAGAGCCAGAACTCCACCGCTGAAGACGAACCCGAGAGCTTCAACTACAGCATCAGAATAAGCATCAGCCCCGGCTGCCACACGTTCGATCCGCTCGACGTCATGCTGGACAGCAAGCATTGCATCGGGTGCGCCCCGAGACGCAGCTTGACGGCGCATGTCGACTATCAGGAAATTTTAGACACGCTGAAGGAGAAGTTTGCCAAGTACGTTTCTCTCTCTCTCTCTCTCCCCTCCTCCCTTTACTAACCTATGCTTGTGGACGTTGTCTAACTGTCTCTTGAAGAGTCAAACTGCCAAAGACCTTCACGGCCGTGAATCTTAGTGAAAAAGGCGTTTTTGGAGATAGACCAAATTCGGACTCGCAGTCCATCAAGGCATAAAGTTTTAGATAGAGCCAGGGAAATCATGGATACAATCGGGTCTCTCTCTTTTTTTTTTGGAAAAGTGGATATCAACACTTCGCTGCAAAAAAAGTTTCCCTTCCCTTTTCCTTCTTCCTCCTTTTTTTTGGGTTGACGGAGGGGGGGCGTTCTTGGGTCTGCGCATGCATTCGGGTAGGCTGTCTGAATTATTCCTTCCGAGAATTCCATGTGGGGTTCAATATAGATTGGAAAAGAACATGTGATTGATACGTCGGAAACAGATGAGGGAATAGATATATGTGTCGCGCCAATGGACTTAAAACCATAGGCCAATCTTGAGCAATAATACGTACTGCATGGCTTCTAGGCCACGATCAAGCAGATCATCTTCACCACAGGGTGGTTTTCACGCTCGGTTTCACTGAAGTGCAAGGCCGCTATCTGAGGTACCAATTGACCTTTGCTATCCACCTTATAGCGCGGCCAACACGCCCGGCGAATTTGGCACTTGAACCGATCACATACCTTTGTCCGCACCCGTTCCAGAAGTTGGCCATCTTGGAAAAGGAAAAGACGGATTCTTGACCGGGCATAGCGCCTAGGTCATTTTTGCTCACTGTGTGTTTCACTGCCTACAGACGTATCACGAGTCGGTTCGGCCGATTGAGGCCTTCTATGCCGGTGCTGATGCCGCAGGCAGTGTAGACAGAAGGCTGGACGTGTCTTCACACTTGTGCTTAAGCAAACAGCCTTTCACGGCACAGGATATTCTTGCTCAGAGCAGCGGACGTGTTGAAGCTGCTCTGGTCGCAAGCTGGCTCAGCCCTGCCAAGTTCAGCAGAGCAGACGCCGGCTCAAAACCGGCAGAGGGCCGACCAGGGCTTCTGCGAGAATTGCTCTATGAGAATTTTTCAGATTTGGATCTGACGGCTCGATCCGTGCGACGAACATCGTCTATTTCCAAAAGACGGGTACGAAATCTAAACTACTATGCACTGCGTGATCAAGTTAGCACGCAATTTATGGGTTACAGTAGTCAATTGGAGAAAGGTGCGGATTATGGTAGGTCAGGCGAAAGATGAAAAGCCTTTGTACATTTTGTACAGCATCAGGTCGGAACCTTCAGCTTTAGCATGGAATGTATTTGGTTCATCACATTACTTGTGCGATCGAAAACGGGATGAGAGGTTGAGATGCCTTACCATGAAGATATTCTCTGGGACAAGGGGGATGTCCAGATTTGAGGTCATCCTGCCACGATCAGTAGTGAATTCAGGCTTTGTTTTGATACGAAGCGTAGATAAAGACAAGGCAGAGAGTCAGAAATGTAGAGTTTTGTCCTCCTGATTCATGAAGGTCGGAATTTGATAGTGTCATTTGGTACCATCAGAGGGCTTGGAGGAAGGGAAGAAAAGTTGATAAAGCCGTTTGCATACATTTGTCACAAAATACGCCAACTACAAGTTTGAATACCGATTCTAAATCATTCAACAACATCTCACCTGTCGAGTATTAGCAAAGGCTTCATGATTGTCTGCCTTGAAGGACGGAATGGGAAAAGAGAATCAGAAAATCGCGTTTGGCTTGCGTTGGTCAATCACCATGGTAAATGTTAAGATAGGGGCGACACATATGATCATCATGATGCCTATGGAACCAAGGAGTGAAGAAATGATTTGAACTTACTCGAACGGTCTGATGGATGTTAGAATGCCTCCTTGATGGAAGGAGGTTTGTGGTGAAGATAATCCAAATGATTTTTTTTTTTTCCTTTTATGCTGGAGATGGTCCGTGCTCTCTTAGGTGCCACCATGGTCGAGTATCGCGGTCAAACATAAAAGAGGCGCTCGCCCTCGATTCAAAGCAAACATGTTAGTGACTTTCCACACGGGAATACGCTCTTCAGGTCCTTCCTCTCGCAAGTGCGACGACGCTTGACTGCACCTCGCCGCACAGATCGCATTTTCACACCCATTCTCAAGCCATGAGTGACCGCGAGTTCAGTGGTATGTGCCTCGTTGTTATCTCCATAGAGAGCAAATTGAATACGCACGCACTCCTCAAAAGTGCTGTTCGTGGAAGTTCTCTCTGACAAGAATGGCTGTTGGTACTGACCGCGGACATGCATTGCAAAGGCAACGACGACCTCTCTCTGCCTAAAGCGACCGTTCAGAAGATCATCACAGAAATCCTAGCGCATGACCAAGGCGTGACCTTTGCGCGGGAGACGCGCGACTTGCTAATAGAATGCTGTGTCGAGTTCATCACATTAATCTCTAGCGAGGCCAACGAGATCGCGGAGAAGGAAGCGAAGAAGACTATTGCGTGCGAACATGTCACCATGGCATTGAAGAGTTTGGGCTACGAAAGCTACATTCCAGAGATCCTAAAAGTTGCCCAAGAGCATAAGGAGCAGCAAGTGGTATGTCACATCCACAAAAATCTGGATGTTTCGGTGCGGCGCTTGCATTCTGACTATGAATGGGAACAGGGACGAGAACGCAAGCAAAACAAGATCGAGCAGAGCGGTCTGACGGAAGAGGAGTTGATTGCACAGCAGGAGCAGCTATTCAGAGCAGCGACTAGCAAATATAATGCCGAGCCTGCCGAGTGAAATTCCCACAGTGGATTTGGATGCACTCCAGGACTGAAGGACACCTTTACGACACCAAAATGCGCCCGCAAAGTGAGATACATAAGGAGTACATGCCATAAAAGATGTGGGAAGGCATCAGTGGAAGTACCAGCTACATGCACCGCATGAGTTTCTTGGGGGCTGTGTTTGATAGTGGTGCCCGCAATGCATTTGGCATCGAAGTGACTGTTAGGCACTTGCTGGACAGCACCGTACGGTCGTGCGTACTAGAACATATTACACGTGCCATGACACAGAACTTGTTTTTGTTCGACTTCCAGCGTGCTGTGAAATTCCGTTTTGTGCGTCGAGTACGGCAGCCGCTGGTTCAGAAGATATTCATAAGGCTGGAACGTTGCTTGGCCCCACTCTTGCGCCCAGTGACGTCCGCTGACTGTTGCGGGATTCTTGAACCGCGCAGCCCGTGACTTTGCACTCCGTTCCGCCCGTCTACCTCCCTCGTCTTGAGCGTGCTAAAGCAAAACACATATATCGAGACGATCCAAGCAGCACTTGATAGCTGTTGAGACGCCATGTCTGGTCTGGAGAAGGCTCTCTTTAACCTCAAGGTGAACATCTAGCGCAACCCCCGTTCGCCAGCGGGATGAGCTGACGAAGATGCCGTGCATAGTTCACGGCAAAGCAACTGAACAGGCAGGCGGCCAAGGCAGGCAAGGACGAACAAGCTGAAAAGGCGAAGCTGAAGAAAGTAAGCGCCCCGTCGCCAAAGGCATGGAGACAACGTGAGGGGTTACTAAGCTTCCAACGAACAGGCAATCCAACAGGGTCACGGAGACATCGCTCGTATCTACGCCCAGAACTCCATCCGAAAACAGAATGAGAAGTTGAATCTGCTCAAGTTGGCTTCGAGAATAGATGCAGTCAGTTCAAGGGTGCAAACCGCCGTTACGATGAGGCAGGTGAGCCAGAGCATGGGCAATGTGGTTAGAGGCATGGATGCGGCAATGAAGACGATGGATTTGGAGAAGGTACGGCGTTTCTTTCGCTGCCTCTTTTATTGCTGCGGGGCGACAACACAGCGTGGCTGATCAAGAGACAGATCTCGGCCATCATGGACAAATTTGAGAGCCAGTTCGAGGACCTCGACGTCGCTACGGGTTACTACGAAAATGCAACCAGTTCGGCGACTGCGGTCGGAACGCCACAAGAAGAGGTTGATAAACTCATGAGCCAGGTTGCAGACGAAGCTGGCGTGGAACTCAACCAGGAATTAGAAGGGGCAACACCAGCAGGACAGCTTAAGGTCAGCCCATCGGAGCAAGCCGAAGACGCGCTTGGGGATCGACTGAGGGCTCTAAGGGCATGCTAAGTTTCTTACGTATGTATGATCAGGCGTTATTGGCAAAGAGCTGGGGGCGGCATCGACATTTGTACATGAGTTGAGGCAAGGCGTGTAGCCAAATTACTTTTCATCCGATCCTCGCTGGATGCTAACGAGTAGATGACTACCACAAGATACCTACGAACACGTCGCTGAGGCTGGTGTGCTGTGATTTACCATTACCTACGCCTCTAAAATTCACCAACACATCGATCACGACTTCGACCTTCCTTTTGAACCATGTGGCTTTGGTTTCCATATCCGCTTTCCATTTCAATAGCCGGAGCTTATCACTCATATGGTGCGCTGCTGTAAGAGTCTATCAGCTATACTCATGATAGTTTCCATCTATCCATTTGCAGCGATGTATTGTCGTTGCTGTTTTTGGTCGGAGGGTGTATAGACAGGAGTCCAGTAATCGTAGCTTTGCTTAGGCGCTTGAGTCTTCTAGCGTGTCTGCTCTTATTTCAATTTACTCTATCCTGCAACCTTGGAGGTTCTACCCGACGTATAGGTCACGTCCTAAGATCGAACTCTGACCTTGTCTCATCTCGCTCATTGTCAGCGTAAAGCTTTCCCATGTGTTTTTTTATCCTCTAACAGATACTTCGGATATGGGCTACGCAACGCTTAAAATTTATACTTTCTCAATTTCAAGATCACGGTGAATTTTTAAGGTGATCATATATTTTGAGGACAGTTTTCAGTCTAGGTTGTCACAGTACTGAAAGCGGAACAGCGGCCAAGTGAACGATAGTTCGACCTGTGTAGACCTTTGATTAAACACATCTACTAGATACAAAGCTTTGGGCACGCCAAAAGCTCGGTGAATGTTAGAGATAGGTAAATTTGATACATTTACAAGCCCGCAAGCACCGATAATTAAAAACACTCTTGACCTCGGCCGAAATGATAAAAGATCTGGAGAACACATAGTTAAGATAAACACACATGAGGCTAAACCGGAAGAAGTATTCACCCATTCGCACCCTTGATGCTATATGGTGACGACCGCGGGAGCTCTTGTAACCTAAATTGAAGTCTACGAAAGTTTTTATTTCTACACAAACCCAAACCAACGCACTGTACTTTCAAAGTCTATCCATTCCACAAAGGCAGTCGACTAATTCCCCTATTTTCAATGACATTCAGTAAGGGGTCAATCCCAGAGATCCCACTGATCTCATTAGTCACGTCAACTCCTGAGGATGTCCTTCAAGCTCTGTCCACGGTAGGGTTCATCCATCTGGACCTTGAAGGGACAGTACTGAGGCAGGAAGATGTCGATCGAGCCTTCGAGATATCCGCGATCATCCATTCGATTCCAATGGAAGATCGCAGAGACTCCATGCTGGACGCTAGAAGTAACGGCTACAGAGGCATGATAGACTCGCTGGACGAGCGCAGCAAGAAGCCCGACTGGAAGGAAAGTTTTGGGTGGGGCAGGTTTGAAGCTGGCGCTGGAGAATCGGAAACTACGCAGGTTCTGCCAGAAGCGCTAGAAATATACAAACCAGAGATGGCGTCGTTCAGTAGTAAATGCTTTGACACGTCGCTGCGCGTTCTCGACATGCTGTCCAAAGCTCTTAACGTACTGTAACCCCTTCTTCTTTGCACTTGCACGCCTTCAAGGGCTAATCGATAGACGGCAGCTTCCACCCGACTTCTTTCGATCCAAGCACCGAGACGCAGGTTCGAACGGACTGGCTTTTTTGAATTATCCTGCACGTGACACTTTACCTTCAGGAGAAGACATACGCGCTGGTAGCCACAAAGGTATGTCCCAGCACAGGTTGACCTTGCATATTTGACTCATAGATTTTGACCCAGATGTGAGTTCCTCTAATGAAGAAGCCAACCAATAATTTGTAAATTTGTCACGCTGAGACGTTTAGTGGGGAGATATCACACTTCTCTTCCAGGAACAGAATGGCCAGCCTGGGCTTCAAATATACCTGCCAACAGAAGAAGTAAAAGCACAAAGGGGGCTTCAGTTGATTCAAGGCGATGTGGACCTTGAGTCAGGACTATGGATCTCCGCACCCATCATTCCCAACACCGTCCTAGTAAGTTCGAAACCCGAGCACACTGCAGGAAGCTCATGGCCAGAGCAGGTCAACGTCGGACTCATCCTAGAGTTCATGACCGACGGCATTTGCAAGGCTAACGTGCACCGAGTCATCTTTCCTCCATCGGCTGAAGGGGAACTACCCAGGAATCGCAAGTCCATTGCGTATTTTAGCACACCTAGCTTCGATGTGGAGATGAGCCAGGTCAGGCCTGATGGTACTATAGTAAAGGCGCAAGGTGCGTCCTCTAATCAGTGCATCTGTTTTTTTGATTGAAGCTTATATCGATAAGAGTCGTCTTCTGTGGGCGAATTTTTTGCAGAACGGCAACGCTTGGCTCGGGCTTCTTAACTTAGCGACCATGCTTAGCTTGCGACTGAGATCGGCAAAAATTTCAGAAGATCGTACCGTCACAGTACCGGATATAAACATACCATCGAAATCTTTACTTTGATCCACTGACTATCTCGTTTCTTTGGGAGGGAGGTTAAGTAGTGGCCGCAAACTGCTAGAGATTGGGCCAAGATCATGCTTTGACCTGATGAGCTGTTCCAATTCATCGAAGACTTCATCAAAACTTTTTGTATAATCGGGTTTGATTTGGAATTCCTCGCTCACAAGTCCCAAAAGCCCGTAGATTCTATCACGAGGGTCCTCACACTCGGTCCTCGCGGAAAAATACAGCGCCTGGTCCCACGTCAGTTTGCCCCGAAATCGAGTCGAAACTTCGATACGCTTATCCCGGCCACGTATCAGGTTGCGCAGATGATCTCTGCTTAGCAGACGCCCTGAAGATGGGAGCGTGATCGCGATCGGTCTGCCAGATTCACGAAATCCCAAAAAGAAGCTTCGCGCGGTTTCCCATGCAATGCGTCGTGAACCCCATAGGACTGTGATGTCAGATGCGAGAAGGATCTCTTGAACAACCCACAGACGGGACCAGTACGAAAGACGTAGACACTTTGATCTTGTGAATTGCTTTTGCAGACTGACAATGTCGTCATTGCTGATGGGCCGGTGATGATGCCAGAGCGCGTTCATGCTATCCAAAAGAACATCGCTATCGATCGTGCCAGGGCCTAGCCATACCAAAACCTGCGTGGCTTGTTCGTATACTCGTGCCATCTGTGCCACCTGATGGTTTCTTTCCAGCACATTTGACTGGTCAATGCATATCTGGTCGATCCAAAGGGGACATTCGGCTTCTGATTTATGCGTTGTTGATAGCATCCTGAGAAGAATAAAGAGATTTTCCCGTATTTGAATGCGCTGGTTATTTATCGTGACATGACCGACCGGCGTTGGTGGGCCCCAAGTGTACGATACAGCTAGAGCTGTCAACATCTACCCCGTTAATACGCTGAAAAACGCCCGAAGACAAACCTTTGTATACCGGTCGCATGTCCAGGTCCGCAACGATCATTTCGAAACGAATTTCGTGCGAATTCTCCCCGCCTTGATTCACGGGCAAGGGCTTAATCAATCGTATATAGCTCCCTTCTGAGCTCAGTTCTGGAAATTCGAATCGCGGAGACTCGGTACGTCCTGCAGCCATAGCGGACGATCAGAGCGGAAACCAGCGTCTTTGAGTCTTTCCGATTCGATTCATGGTAACGATGAAATGTATCCCCGGCTTTAAGACAACATTCCGCAGGAGAATCTCCATCAAACTGGGGCGATGTTTCAGCCATCTCCAGGCGACAAGTTCGTTAAACTCGACTCAACATGTACATTATGTAAGCCCAATCAGCGCCTCAAGCTAACTTGACGTTAACTTAAGCCAACCTATTATAGGAGTTGATGATCGGGCTGGCGTTAGTTTTACCCGCGGACTGGTCTGGTGATTGGCTCGCGTGGTTCAACCTGGCATGCGTCATTCCGCCTCGCTGTACATCAAGTCAACAACCCAGCAAACACGGTCGTGACATGCGTCCACACCTAGTGCTACGTCTACATCTTGATACCTATATCGCATGAAACGCTCGGAGATGTGAGCGTCCTGTCACCATGCTCGCAGTTGCCTCTCCGTTGTTAGCCTTGCTGGTGAGTGCTGTATTCGCTATACAGCCTGAAGCTCGACCTGCCGTTGCAGCACCGCTACGGGAATTGCCTTGGTCGCAGTTGAACATCCTACATACTACGGATGTTCATGGCTGGTTTGGTGGTCATTTGCAGGAGTACGTAAACAGAGGCTTTGAACAAATTAGAAGGGATGGGGACTGACTGCATGCTTTAGACCTTCATTTTCCGCTGACTGGGGAGACTATATCTCCTTTGCACATCACCTGCGCAAGAGAGCGGACGAAGATGGATCGGACGTTATACTGGTAGATACTGGCGATCGCATAGAAGGCAACGGCTTGTATGATGGCTCAGATCCGAAGGGCATCTACAGCTTCGACATTCTCAAAGAGCAGCACATCGACTTGATATGTTCGGGCAACCACGAGCTGTACAAGGCGAACTCGTCGAACAACGAGTACAATATTACAGTTCCAAACTTCAAAGACAGTTACCTTGCGTCCAATCTTGATATCATTGATCCTAGAAACGGCAGCCGGGTACCGCTCGCTCCGAGATACAAGAAGTTTTCGACTAAGAACCAAGGTATTCGAGTGCTGGCAATGGGCTTTTTATTTGACTTCAAGGGCAATGCGAACAACACAATCGTGCAGCCGGTGAAAGAGACGGTCAAGGAAGAATGGTTTCAGAAGGCGATACGTGACGAGGACGTTGACTTGATCCTAATCTTTGGCCATGTCGCTATTCGCTCGCCGGAGTATGACACCATATTCAAGGAAATCAGAAGTGTGCAATGGGACATGCCAGTTGCTTTTCTAGGAGGACACACGCATATCAGGGATTACAAAAAGTATGACAGCAAATCATTTGCTCTGGAGAGTGGGAGGTACTTGGAAACTATAGGCTTCATGTCGATTTCTGGCCTGGCCACGCACAAGGGGGACTCGCCGTCTGCACAGAAAAGCATCAAATTCGATCGACGGTACATTGACAATAACCTGTTCTCGCTGTACCATCACTCAGGCACAAACGAGACAACGTTTAATACGGAGCTAGGCTTTAACACCTCCAAAGCAATCCATTCGGCGCGAAAGTCCCTCAAGCTTAACAAGGTACGTGGATGTGCTCCAACGGATCTCTTTGTCAACAGGGCACCGTATCCGTCGAACCACAGCATCTTCACCTGGCTAGAAAACGAAGTCCTTCCCGATGAACTTAGCAAGTCCTACCGTTTCACAAAGGAGAAGCGAAATGCCATTGTTTTGGTAAACACCGGTGCGCTACGATTCGACATTTTCAAAGGCCCGTTCACACGTGATACCGAATATTTAGTCTCCCCATTCACATCTGGCTTTCGCTATGTAGCAGATGTTCCGCTGAAGACAGCAAAGCGGATTCTGGATCTGCTCAATAACGAGGGACCTTTGGCGAGCCTACTCTCGGTTTCGTACTCCACTGCAGCCACGAAACAGCTTAGCCCCCCGGAAAAGCTGGGCGCGTTCGCACTTGAGGAGCGACGTCTACATACGGATGATTTTCAACCCATCCCGGGCGCTCAAGCACCACTCATGACCTCAACACATGATGGTCCAGATCTCATTCCGGGCTACACCACTGAAGATGATGCCGGCACGGATGGCGACGATACAATTCACTCCCCGATCACATTTTGGAATGTCCCCAATGCGTTTCAATCGACTGTGGGTTTCAAACTAAAGGACGAATTGAGTGAAGATGAAACGGTGGATGTGGTGTACAATGAGTTCATGCAACCATGGGTATTGCTTGCACTTGAGTATTTAGGAACCAAGGTCAGCGCGAATGAGACATCAAACTACTTGAAGGGAAAGACAATGACTGATGTCATGGTGGAGTGGATCGAGAGGAATTGGGCGAAGAATTGTTGAAACGAATGTGTGTACAACGTGATGATCTTGGCGTTCTGGTAGACGTGCGGCTTAGATACTCAAGACAGCGCTTACGCGTTCTTCACTGCAGGGCATGGACATTTAACTGAGAGTTTCAAATCATTAAATCCTGCGATCATATTTGTACATCTTTCGAGAAATATGGAAATGCCGACGTCGAACGGAGACACTCTATGTCCCCAAAAATTAATAAAGGAGAGCCGGGAGGTTCATAAAATCCCTTGATTAAATAGAGCATTTTGACCCGTCCGGGCTAATCACTATGACGGCTCTTTTGCATACGCTGCTGGAGAGTACTTATAACAAGCGTAGAAATGAGTTTGTGACTTGGTGGTAAGCTACTGGTACCGTAGCGGAAGTTTGTGTCAATGTCTGTGCGGAAGATCACGGGAACGATGAATGGTGCATAAGTGAGATCGTAAACCTGCTTAGTTCATTGTATGCTGTCTTGACTGATGGATTGTATGGTTGTTCTCCTGTCCCCTACCCCTGGCTCTCCTCTCTTATCTAGCCAGCGTTTGCTTATGTCACGTGATACTTGGTATGTGCTTAGACTGACAGTTTGATCTGTGATTATTCAGCAAACGTGACCCGAGCGTCAAAACTTTTAGAAAGTCGCGTCTGTTGTCCACGAAGACGGCTCCAATCCATCACGCTCTGCAGCTGCCATCGACTTCGCACATAAGACGGCTTGGAATTCCAAGAATCGCAGCTTCTTTATCCCAAAAACCCAGTCGGCACACGGCAATTGCATTGTTTGAGCAGATGGCACCACGCACCACAACCCAAAAGGCCAACACCAAGGCCAAGATGGCAGCCGCGCCTCCTGCAGCTACCAAGCGTTCTCGCGAGGAGGCCGAGGAGCCTAATAAAGCTGTTAAACGCGTCCAGAATGCGTCGAAGCCAGCTGCCGCGTCCAAGAATTCGGCGACCAAAAGTACCGTGGCTAAGTCCAGCTCTACGAGTAAGCCAGCGGCTTCCAAGAAGGCGCCGGTCAAGCAATCGGACGCTGCCAAACCCGCTGCAAAAAAACAAAATCCTAAACCTTCGGCAAGCAAGAAGCGTGCTCGAGATGAGACTGAAGAATCGAAGCCTTCCAAACGCGCAAAGGCGGAACCAAAGAAGGCCACCGTCAAGGAACCGGCCGCACAGAAGCAAGCCGCCAAAAAGCCAGCAAAACCTAAAGTCATCGTCAACACTCCCCCTACTACGACCAAACACATTTATGTAATGGGGGAAGGCAGTGCTGGCGAGCTGGGATTGGGAGCCACCAAGGGTGCGTGCAATGTCAAAAGACCGCGACTCAATCCAATACTCGAAGAGAAAGGGATTGTCGACTTGGCCGTGGGCGGAATGCATTGCATAGCGCTGACGAAGGACAACGAACTCGTCTCGTGGGGCGTGAATGACAATAAAGCTTTGGGGAGACCGTTGCCAGAGTGGTCGGGACGTGACGTCGACGAAGACGCGTCGGACTTTGATGATGACGAAGGTTTAGAACTGAACCCATACGAATCAGCGCCCACTGCAATTCCAAAAGAGTATTTCCCACCTGGCACGAAGTTCACAATGCTTGCAGCAGGCGATAGCACTAGTTACGCTGTCACTGACGAGGGCAACGTTTATGGATGGGGCACTTACAGAAACGCGGAAGGCATCTGGGGCTTTAGGGTTGACGAGGAGGGCAAGATGGTCAAAGAACAAAAAGTGCCCGTTCAAATAACCAACCTCAAGAATATTACCGCTGTGTCCTGCGGTGACAATCATACACTCGCGCTTGATAACAAGGGTGTGGTGTGGGCTTGGGGCTCAGGACAGCAAGATCAACTTGGACGTCGCATTGTGGCCCGTCATGCCGAAAAGAATCTCATACCAGCACCAGTTCCCATCCCAAAGAGCGCTAAGATCGAGAAGATCATCGCCGGGCCAAATCACTCTTTTGCAATCGAAAAGACCGGCACTGTGTGGACTTGGGGTTTGAACAACTTTGCTCAGACCGGCATTCCGTACGGCAAGGACAAGGACAATGACATGATTACAGCCCCAACAAAAGTAAAGGCCTTGGAGGGCCACAAGATCGTCAACATTGGTACTGGAGCAAATCACAGCATCGCTCTTACTGAAGATGGTGATCTCTTAACCTTTGGTCGACTCGAAAACTATGCACTGGGCATAAAGTTCGATGACATTGTCGACAACGAGGACCTTGTCCGCAAAAATGAGCAAAACAAGCCAAAGATCTTACTTAAGCCTATGAAAATTGATATTCCCGCTAAGTTCAGTTTCATTGCTTGCGGTCCAGATCACAACATTGCCATCACAACAGATGGCAAGGCCTGGGGCTGGGGCTTCAACACGAACCTTCAACTTGGCGTTGGACGAGATGATGACGACGTCAAGATGCCAGAGCAAATTACGTCCAAGCATATTGCAGATGTTAAGTTGGATTGGGCCGGATGCGGTGGCCAGTTCTCCATGGTCGGGGCATCCGCAAATACTTCTGCTTAGGCAGAATCTTGTAGAATACTCTCACATATATATTGCATGGGGAAGGCGTTTGAAAGGCATGGTCATGGCCGGTTTTTCCTTGTTGGCCCGCAATTAGATGAATCACTTGTAATGGTGGCAGGTTGTACTCTATTCTTGGGAGTGGGTTATGAGTGAAGGTATGGGCTCGTTACCGCGCACGCTTTAACTCGGCACATTCGCAGGAGTGGTGCTGGTTGGACAGTGCTGGTGCCCAAGCTTTCCGAGATCAATTGAGCCCTGCCATTTGTCTCTTTCTACGGCTTTGCTTCCGTTGCATACCACGAACGAGCTTGACCCTCGTGCTCTCGGGACAGTTCTGGTCTTTTAATTTCTGTACCATTAGACTAATTGGATTTCCGTCTAAAATGGCTTCTAAAGCGCTTTTCAAGGGGGATTCGATGATACAACAACTTTGACCTAGTTGCAGGAATAAATTGCACATGCAGCAAACATGCCATCTCGGCAAGCCCCAGGCGTGTGATTAAGGATTCTGTCATAACTCTAGGTCACAAGAAATAGTAATGAAACCATTCAATCTCTATTATCATAGCTACATAATCTCGTTTCATCGGGTTTCCTTCGGGAACCTCCCTAGAGTCTACTATTTGTCATCTACGTTTGGACGGCCGAAGTTGAACTCGTGAAACGATATTGGTGTCTCCGAGAGTTATCTGTCGCCTGGGTCCGTAGAACCATTTGTGAGCCCAAAAGAACCAGCTAGCGAGAACGCAGATTACGACAATGCCCAGTGCGACGGGCGTGTAGTTGAGTGTTGTTGAAGTGACTGGGTTCACTTGTGGCAAGCAGAACACTATAGTAATAAAGCTGACCTGCGAAGAGTATTAGCAAAGATGCAGCGTTGCCTTGCAATGGGCGTTGATCAAACATAGTTCACATACCCAAGCCACAGAAACGAATCCCACTGGCCGCGACATGATACCAAGATTAAAAAATCCTCGTTTGAAATGTTGCGGCCAAGTCAGTGCTACAATGACCGGCACTATATAGCTAATATAGAGGGCGACAGTCGCAATGCTTGTAGCTGCGGCAAAGGCAACATCGCTACCTAAGCTTGGCAATGAAAGGATGAACGCCAGAGCTACGGCCAGCCAGACCGTACGTATCGGAGTCTGAAATTTGTCGTCTATGTGGTTAAAAAAGTGCGGTAGAGCGCCATCCCGGCTGAAGGCGAACATCATACGCGAGTTACTTGTCAGGGAGAAGAGGCCGCAGAACCAAACACATATTATAATGAGGCTCATGCCTGCCATCGTGCCTTTAGCTCCGAATACGTCTACAAAGATTTGTATAACGGGCTGGTCGCTAGTGACTGTGACCATGAAGTCTTGAATGCTGAAGAGGAGGCAGAGTAGGAGGAAAAGTCCGAAGACGGCGGAGGCTCCGATAGACATTAAGACGCCGAAAGGTGCATTACGTCCCGCGCCAAGCGTTTCCTCTGATAAATGGGCAGATGCATCGAAGCCAGTGATCGTGTACTGCGAGAGAAGCAAACCACAGACAACGACGTAGGCCGATGAAGCACGCTCACTCCATCCGCCTGTCCCATCATAGAAGGTCGCGAAGACAAATGAAGCTGGCTGATGTCGCGGCGCTTTCATGAGAACCGCTATGCCCAGCGCAGTAACGCCAAAGGTGTGCAAAACAACGGAGATGTTGTTGAGATAGCGAAGAACTCGCAAGCCAAAGCTATTGACAAGACCATGAGAGAGGAGAACGGCCACGTAGATAGCCATTACCTTCCCGGGACTAGGCGTGTAAGATGGGTTCATCACAGTCGCCGTCATGCTGATAAGTGTTGCGCAGCCAAAGCTGATGCTCGTTGTGACGGAGAACTGGCCGACAAAGTTGAACCAGCCAGTGAACCAGGAGACGAATGGCGCGTAATAATCAGGTGCAAGAGCGGCAGCCCAGAAGTAGGGACCCGAGGCAGTTAGGATTGCGGACAGAATCTCAGCCATACTAAAGCCAATGAATATCGTAAAGAGTGACACTACGTCTTGTAAGCATCTCTAATGTCTTTTGGTCGTCATCAGACTTACCAATAATCCAACCGATGGTCATGACTGCGGGACCTCCAGTGTTCAACCCATAGCTACGTCTGTCAGGATAGCTCATTTTCGAACCCCTCGTTCAAACAGCGTACCTAAACAGTGTGGTGATACCAGTTATCACACTCTGTCAGATTATCGTTAGTTGCTCCTCCCCGGGCTCTCGTCACGCGCTTCGAGTATTAAGTGTGATAAAATGAAGCGAGAAAGCGATTCATCACTTGACTTAAGGCACCGTTGTCGTACGCGTTCTCTTCCATTGCCAGGAAGTAAGTGAAATTCCAGAGTGGTATATCCCATGGCTAAACTTGAACCTGAAACCTATCTTCACACTTACAATGATCGAGAATGAGATTCCAAAGTTATGGAGCCCGTTCCAATTCCGCCGAAGCTCCTGTCTGTAGCCCAGCTCCGCCAGTAATAACTCATCCCGAGGATCGATCTCGCTGATGTCCCGCCGGCCCGAAAGCATCTTGGTGGGGCCTATTAAGTTATGGCTCAAGACCGAAAAGTTAGAATTAGTCTCAACACCATTCTCTAGATTGCTTTTACGTCTCCACCATCCTCTTATGTCAATTTCTGGGAAACGATAAGGACTCTCCTTCAGGACGTGAGTTTAGATTATGATGCTTCTGTTATCATTGGGTCTCCACTTCATAGCGGAAGGAACAGCGCCTCACGACAGACAAAAGCAAAACTTGTTGTATCCCGCTCGAGCCCACACGTTTGCTGATGATAAGAGCAGCAGATGTACCTTACAGTGCAACCTGACCTTCTGATTTAAAACTAGGCTGCCCTCGTCCTACCCTCTAATTGGCTTCAATACTAGCCGATAAGAGCATGGCTGGGCTTGCTTCTTGGAAGATTGCGTTCCTGCTAGGTTGGCTTGACTCGTGTTGGATGGGGGCGTTGAAGTGTAGCGCCACAGAGCCATCGGCTGGTGGACAACCGCAACTAATCATGCGCGGCCTTATCGCTTGTCTCGCGTGTGTTGAAATTAACTTAGAACCTAGATGCCATATGATGGTAAAGTATGCTATCCCTGAGCATGGAACAATTCGGGCATCGAAGACATGTTTGATGTTCACGAATTCAAATGCCAACGGATAGCGAAGTGTCGTCTGCGTCAAGCATCAAGATCGCTCGAGAGACGTTATGTGACTCTAGAAAGCGCGTTTTGAAAGACACAACCTACACAACAACGCAGCTGTCCAAAGTCTTGCTTGAATCTTATACTTCAATCCAGCCCGAAAATTAATCCCATCCAGTATGCATGCCTCCATTCTGATCACTGCGAGAATATGAATTACACGGACGGTTGTGGTAGCAGCACATTTGAATTATCCCTGCTTTAGATAACAAACTCTTTAAGGGTCCCGGCTTTTCGAAACTTGCATTCAGTCATTCGACGGACCGTCATAGCGTGTAACATGTCTTTGGATTTATCATGGTACAAGCATAAGTAATATATTCAAATATATGGTCGGCCAGCCTTAATTCATCATGTCATTATATGATTCTTGAAGGCTCGGTAAATAAAGCTTGAGGTAGTTTAAGTCTAGACAAATTAATGATACTACGCTTAAGAGAGCTGGCTTTATGGATTCACGCAGTAGATTATAATTTTAAGATAAGAACTTTTGTATAATTGTTATTCTCTTTTAACCAAAGACTTCGCCTTCAGGACTTTTTTGACCATTGGCCTATTCATCCCTTTAAGATGGCCTGGATTTATCCTATAATATGAATATACATTACTCGCATAAAAATATATACTAGTAATTTTCCAGAATGCAAACAAAGTCTCACTTAAAGACTAACGTGCTCCAGAGTTTAAGATACTAAGGATAACATAATAAAAGTATGATATACAATAATCTTGGCAGGTATAGAAGAAAGGATATTATATTAATTTAAAGAATACATAGCAAGTGCCTTTCAGATAACTGCTAATAAAATACTTATTATAGTAAACTTTATATATAAAGAGTTTATTAAGCTTCCATAACCAGGTTTATTATAGGCCAAAATTCACTGGTGTAGTTGATCAAGTCAGCTCTAATATTTAAGATCTTAAACTGGGGGACCACATCATATCCCCATTCACCATTAGCTATAGCATATACTTTAAATATGCCCAAGGGTTCTTATTGCGCTGTAAGAATTGTCTGCTATTTAGATATCCATTGCTTAATAACAGACAGGTTGAGTATGTTAGGGTACCACTAGCTAAGACAATAGTTATAAAGGCACCGGCTAGAATTAACAAGCTGAAGCTATATCTTATAGTAACTATCTTCTCCATTATCTATTTTGCGGCTTTCAACGCACTCTATAGGACATCTCATGACAAATCTCTACCAAGTACGGTGGTGTTGATTGGTTATGGTCCAGTGGGTCATCGCGCTTTATTGCGGCTTTGCATAAAAGGGACAAGCAGCAGCACTTTGATCTCGTTCTCAGAAATTTTCGAAGAAATGAATCTAAGGTTTATTTCGCCGGTACATAGATAGGAGTACTGAGCATAATCGGAAGAAGTACTTCATGTACGATACCACTTAATGCGGTAGAACGGTTAGCGCTGCAATGATATTGGTGTGGTCAGGAGGTGTAATCTATTGCACCTTCAGGCATTGAGCGATAATATTTGCTTGTGATATCATGGCGACTTTCGATGTCCGTCGTATCGCTGCTCAAGCAGACGGTCAAGATATTTTGAAGCCACAAATCAATGTCAGCATTGCGTACGAAACAATCGAAATTGCAATTTAAGCCCTTGTCTCCCGATTAAGCGTATGGAACTTAGCCTAGTAATACCCATTCAGTTGCACTAAATAAAGAGAGAGTTTAAACCTTTAACTTTATAGATATTTAACTATACAAAAAGTCCTTTATAGCGTTAGGAGGAGTAATAGAAATATTAAAAATCTTTACTAGAATATGGTAGATATGTTTCACTTTGCTTTATAGTAGCAATACAGCCTAGTACTTATAATAAGGGCATAGGACAGCTAATCTTACATCTATAGTAAGCATTACTCCTGGATAGCTCTACATAATAATATCTATAACTAGGTAGAAAAAATTAGTTGTTAATAAAGCTTCTTTATTCTTTAACTTAGCAAAGATACGGAAGAAAAGAGGGGGCATATCCTTATTATAAGGGTCAATTGATCACTGACCGTAGGTCCAGAGCTTAAGACAGTGATATTTGTCTCCTCCTATACATTATATACTTGCTTCCCTATCATCGGAGATTTCTCCTCTATGTCAAGTCTACAAAGAAAGTAATAAGCTTCTACCTGGAAACCAGCTTTAGTAGTGATACCAACCTTTACAAATGGCGACGGCTTGATATAGCCGATGTTGCTCACCTGTTTACTTAGTCAAAATCAGATACTAGCCACCACGGAAATATGGAGCATGGTTGGCTTATACTATAATTTCCCCTATTTGTCCAAATCTGCAACTACATCGGAGTTGTAGCAAAGGGGCCCTTGAATCATATATTTGAGCTGAACCTTCCATATTTCAAATATAATCATGTTATCATGATCCTTTTTGCATTATTACATCGAATTCGCCACTAGCTTCTATCTCAACATTTGGAAAACCTATATTGATGATATTTCCCTAAAAGCTTTTTTAAACTGGCAAAATTGCCTCCAGGGACATAGGTTAAGCATTTAAAGAATCTGCGATAAATGCTTGGCCAAGCTGTTTCAGATCATCTGGTTGTCAGTTTAAGTAGTATGCTGCACAACCGTTCGTTAGAGAAGCATCAGCTACTCAACCATAAAGAAGAATGTGTATACCATGCTTAAGGGCCTTAACAATAACCTAAGCTCAGAGGTAGCCTTGAGCGTAGATCAGCTTAAATACCTAATCACTAAGCTTCTTATCTGCAAGTAAGAATGTTAGGCATTGTAAATAATGCAAGATCAACGCAATCTATACCTATTATAAGGTGTTAAAAGTTATCTCCTTCCTTCAGCATGATCTTTATAAGGTCTATAACCTCATCACCACCGACCTAAGCAACTTTCAAGTTTAAGCCAGCAGCTTTAATCTCATACCTAAGTAACCGCACAGATATATAGACTATGATTTCAGCTCCGAATTTCTTAGCGTAAGGGAGCAGGCGACAGCAGCTTGAATTTTCATTGACAATTACTTCTGAACTTATGATATCTAACAGCGTTCCAGAATGTAAAGCAAGTATTTAACACTCAATTTCTGTTGCTATTCCAGTCTCAACATTTACAAAAGATTTCTGAGGGGCTTATGACACCTTTAGCCCGGCTTTAAAACAGTGATGGATTACTTAGAATGCACAGCCTCAGCTTGTTAGGGAGGTGCTCCGTTAAGCAATATGTCAGTCTAATGCAAGGTCCCTGGTGGTGGCAGATCCTGTACTTCGTCTTGGTGATGGTCTGTCCTGCGTAGCCCCTCTCAATCCTCTTGTAGTCATCTGGCGATCCGCCCTGCCTTTCCCGTTTAGCTACAGCATTCTACCGTAAAGGTTGGTGAGCTACTGCTACTTCTACTACTCTCAAAGGTCTTAAGACGATCATTCAACCAGCTGATATCGATCAATAGCTCATCAACGGAGAGTCCTTTTGCAACTCGAGATATGAATAAAATTAGATATTCAAAGTCCTTTCAACCCTGCTTCCACGTGTGAACTGCGCTGTCCAAATTTGTACGCAGAAATTACAAAGACTATTACCAGTAGCCGGATATATATCATTGCCGTGTATTGATCGCGCATAATCCGGGTACCCTAGAAGTGTGTTCCCTTTTTTTCCACATGATACATTAAACGAATGCTATTGCTCTGGTTGGACATCTAAGCGTCGCTGAACGACTTTCAGACGAGCTGCCAGCTGAAGGAAGGGAAACAAGGCGGGTTCTTGTTGACGGGACTGTACAACAACGGTAAGCGAGTCAAGGATCTAGACGGAAACCCATGTTTGATAATGATGAATCTAAAGATGACCCTCGATACTTCGTTAGCTTTACAACATATCATTATCCGCGCTCTACTTGACAATCGGCTCCTGTTATATATTTTGTGGAGTTCTACCATCGACCAGTACAGAAAACCATAGCTTAATATGCCAATAAGAAACGATACTGATAGCCATTTAGAGCAGAATTGAGCTGTTTCATATTAATGCGGCCATATCAAAACAATGCACTGTTGCGAGTTTCTAGATATGATTGATGAGCTAGTGTGACAACCTGCACACTTTCAAAATTTTGTTTTGCAAAGATATTATTACACTATTGACACTGCAAATCGATGAGTGTTCATCTCCGTCGTCGTTTTTCCAGGTTTTCTTTCTTGTGGAAGGGGTCTTCAGGCCATACCCAGCCCCTGATATTCTTTGCGTTTCGCTTTTCTCCGTCCTGAGCCTTGGGGATCCATGAATCCCTTTCAAGGCGGAATTGGCGTGTGCGCTCGGCTGGACCCCCAACGTGAAGCTTCCAACCGGGTTGACCCTGTAGTGGTTCCTCCTTTGCAAGCATATGCATGTACCATAGCGCGATCGCGACTGTGAGACGCGGTTTGTTCGTTTCTGGGTCAAGTCCATGAGTGCTGAGCTGGATTGGATTTGCGGTTTCGAGATAGCCGAACCAAGGTATAGGACCTTCGTCTTGTGCACCCGGCTGGCGGTTCATGGATGCCATGTACTCGTCGTCCTTGGCACCCATACGCACGCAGAGTAGTTCAATTTCAGTAATGATGAATCCGTAACGGCAACGGTGTTCACGCATCACACGGTGCAAATGTGAAAGACCATGAAGGTACTGAACACGCTGGATCTGATCGCCAGTGCGGAGTCCTGTGTTCCAGACCGAGTACGGTTTGACAAGTCCAACGAGTCGGCCACGAGTCTCATCATGGTAGGTCTTCATGTAGTCAGACGCATAGTTGGAGATAAAGTCCGGTTTAGGCCATGTGTTGTTGCTGGCCGAGTTTTGGGCATGCATAAAAATGTGATTTTCGCCCAAGGTGGCCTTTAAAGCGGCATTGACCTTTGTGGCAAAAAACTTCTGATAGATGTCGCGGAGGTGGTGCTCTGTGTCTGGAGCAGTGCTGCTGCGTGCTGGGTTTGGGAGCATAGATGCATCCTGGGGGAAGTGAAGCAGCCGTTCAAAATCTTGGATAGCTAAGATTGTGTCCATGTTAAAGTCAGTCCAGCTGCGGAGGGTACGAACATCCCACCACCACCAATCACGGTTCTTGCGGTGGAAATCGTCATTAACAGATCTTGCGATAAGACCAGGAGCAGGGTTTGCACTGCTCAGATAACTAAGAAGACTTGTGGTCTCCTGTGGGAACGTAAAAGAAAGATCAGTATCGTCAAATGAAAGTGGAAGCTCATTCATCATGAGGGCGGGTCCAGCAGACTGGGAAGCCTGCGTAATTGGAGACGCAGTCGCAGCAGAGACACTGATCTGCGACCCTGCAGTAACGTACTGAGGAATCTGTCGATACTGTGTTGGATAACCATGACGCCAGACAGTATCATGGTCGACGCTAGAAGCGGATGCTGAGCGAGAGTGACCCCCATTAGGGGCTGGCGGTAGTGACGTGGTCCTGACATGAGCGAGAGATGCGCGTCTGGAGGAAGTACTGGACTGCGAATGTGAATGATTAAAGCTGATCGGGGAATTAAGACTACTGTTGTAGCCAGCAGGTGGAGCATTTTCGTTTGGCACTTGATACGCTTGTACAGCGAATGGGGAGTCAACATTTGATGCAAGAGCGGATTGCTTCGTAATCGCGGAAGGGAAATTTGAGTAGCTTGGAAAATTGTTGCTGGCAGGGAAAGTTGAAGCTGGAGCTGCTGATGAAGAAATACCAGGGCCCACAATAGACGTTGAAGTCGACGTGCTTCGACCTTCGGGTGAATGAGTCCTCCGTCGGGATGTTGTTGGCCTTATTATACCGTAAGGATAAGGCGTGAAATGATGAAACGCTGGATTAGCGGAAACAGTCCGGTGGTGACGGACCGGACCAGCAGTGGGTTCTGTGGTTTGATCTTGACATCGAATTTTGGGTAGAAGAAGTGGTCCTCTATTTACCGACGTGGACGCCGGTGGTGAGCCACCTCGAGACGGCGCGGTGATGTCAGTGAGAACAGATTCAGGAGAATTTCCCGTTGAGAAGAAACTGTGAGCCGTGATGTTGCTCTCCGCGCTATTTGGGTAGAACATTTGGGCTGCAGACAGTGGGGGCGTAGTGTGTCTATCAGTATGGAACATGGCGTGCCGTATTCCTAGTCTAAAAGCTGTTAGTCTCAAATCAGAGAATGACATTGAGCAAACTGACGCAAGCATTTGGCTCTGCCAATGACGCGATTAGTTTAGGAATTATGGTGTTGGAGTCCAGCTCCAGGATTCGAAAGTCTATGGCTGTAGGTAGAGAAGGACAAAGGAAAAGGAGAAAAAAAGACTCGTGGGTCTCGTCACGCTTGAGAATTGTGATGGGAAATGATTGAGCGAGAGGCGAGGCGAAGCAGCATACAAGTACTTTGCGGAACTCATGCAGGAGATTCGACAACCAAAGAATCCAGTGACGGACAGGGGAGCATGGTGGCATTCCCTAGCGCGTCTTTCTTAGCATGAGCCTCTGTGAACGCAGATGTTGTACCGCAGCCTTCCCCGGATACTAATGCTCCTGTTCGGGATATGGACATGAAACAGCGGTTTGGCATAATTCCAGACAATACGACCTCAAAATGGATGTACATGTCCTTAATTTGGCTAAATTTGGGCATGCCTATTTGCAGGTCGGCCCATCCCATCGCCGCATAGCAACCGTCTATGGCCGGCCCGCAACAACAAAGGCACTGTGGGGAGACTCCGGGCGCGTGTACGAATCAACGCGTGCCAGAAAGCTGAAACGCTGCATTCTGAGATATTTTGAGATTTGACGCCTTCATATTGGATCTCGGCTGTTTCATGGAATTCTGAAATAGCGAGGCGGGTAAGTTATCGAGTGGGCGCCAACGTCGACGAACAAGAAGACGTTGGAAGCGACCCTATCCAAGTCGGGCGATGATTGGTCGGCTCCAGTTTACCTGCGCTAGTTTGGCATCTCACAGTCATACGTGCGTCTGTCCGGAAGATCTTGAAACAACGAGGAATTATGAGTCACCGACGCGATCTTGCAGACAGTTCGCGATGCAGGTCGCGATGAGAAATTTGGCGTGACAATAAAGTCCGCCATTTCGCATGGCCGACCTCCTTCGCGTCGTGGAGTTTGCTCTGTGTTGAGTTGCTCTTGGCTTGAGTCTGCTTTAACCACAGACCTGAGTTCTCTATACCGTCTGTGGGTCTACCTGACCTGCGGGCGCTTACTGCATTACGGTTGCACGGCTAAGCGCTTTGCTCTCTTCGTTGTAAGCATGGGAATCGTCATGATGGCTGTTACTATTTTCACTGCGACAGAAGTTCTGCCATGCGGCTCTTTGCCAGATCGGCGCGTCGCCTCGCATCTGGTTTCGATCGCGGCCTCCACTTGGGTCTTCAGAGCGCGTACCGGATTTGACTTACGCCACAAGCCTCATTCCTCAATCCAGAAAGATTCAAAGCGTTCTATTTTTCGGGCGTTTCAGCTTCTTCGCTGCCATCTCTGGAACGACTGACGGTGTCGCTGAAACCGGTGGACGTCGCGGAGATGATGTGGTCTTTCGATGTATGTCGTCATGCAAACAAAAGGGGACGAGCACGGCCGAACGAGATCCTACGATTTAGCCGCTCAGTACCCGTATCAGTAGTTTAAACGCTACATATGCCTGAGCCGTCTTAATTTTAGGAGTTGAGCGTCCCGTCTTCTGATCGCTCAAGAGCTCCTCCGTGTGGCAGTGCTCACTTTGTCGTCTCACGAACCGCGAGTACTGCATCTGCAACAAAATCGGGGTTGGAAGTAGAATTTTGCAAGATGGCTTGAGTATATGCTGCGCCAATCACGTTTCAACATCGTCGTACACAGGGTTATGCCACATGTGACTGGAATTAAAAGAATAGCATGTTCGCATTAAGCATAATAGGCCTTCCCACAATACGGAGCACTACTGATGTATCATGCGTAACATAGAACCATCGGCTGGTAGTTCCGTGTCTCAAAGAGTATTTTGTTACACAGTCATTCGCAACGAATAAACATCAGCAGTGCGTGTGGATATGCAGGGCCTCCAGCAGTTCTTTCTGATGTGCGGACTAGAATAATTCAAAGGAGTAACGTGTTCATGTCTGTGGCTTCCCATTGACATGTTCCTCTACTTCCTTTGCCCAGAAGAGTTTCCAGTCCACTGTTTTGCCGGTAGTCCTTGCCTGTTCGGCTGCAAACACCGCTATATGACTTCTGACAACTTCTTCTAGACTGCAGCCAAGGTGCTTCTTCTGCGCCTCCTCCGCTTCAAGATTGCCATCCATGACATCCTTTACAGCGTTCAGAAAATTTTGCACCAAGCCATCGTCACCGCCACCGTGCCCGTCAACTTTTCGCTCAGGCCGATGTACAGAAGTTGTATCCGTCGCAAATTCATGCACTTGGATAGCATAGGAATCATAAATGATCTCGCCTTTTGTACCAAATATCCGACCGTATCGTTCACAGATCTGTTTTGTAGATGATATCATGTGGAGAACTGCCGACTTTGCGCCTCTGTCGTTCAAGCCGCCAAGGTCTCCAGCCAGCGATATCTCATTCGTTGCTTGAGAACCATCCTTGGCTATAGGATCGTCTTCCCAATTGATCGTGACGGTCTGATCATCGCAAACATCATTATCGGATTCCCAGACACATCGACCAAACCAATTCTTCTTTTTAACCTCTTCATCCGGTGTATCTGAATCATAGTCCTCGCTGAGCTTCTCCAACAGCCGAGCTCTTCCCACATCTTTGCCTTCCGTCCTAAACAGATCTTCAATCTCAGGAACAACAATTTTCACAGGCCAACCGAGGAGATTTTTCTCTAGATGTTTATCCACATACAATCTCTTTGCCGAATGAATACAGCTATTTTCGATAGGGCATCTTAGACAGTTTGTCGCATTTCCCGCTGCCTTGGGTTTTCTAGCCTTACGAAACTGGTTCAATTTGCCTGTGCTTGCAAGTGAGCTTGGTAAATGAGGAGGCTCAGATGAACCAGGGGCGGGAGAGCATAACATCCAAAGCAAGAAGTCGATATCATGACAGGATTTTGTAAGTAAAGATGGCGCAGAAGTATCCGAGCGACGCCAATTACCTCTGTTTCAAACGATCAACTTAAAATTCTCGTCAATATCGAGAAGTCATACGAGTGACTAACCTGACATATGAATGCGTAAAGTGCCACCAGCCGACTGGCTCTGTATGCTCAATCGATACTACATCTCCAACTACCTGATCCTCGCGAACCAACTTATGGAGCAATATGTTATGAGGAGAATACCGAAGAACATGGCAGATGCTGAAGATTGTCTTCTTCCCCAAAGTCTCCCATTCTCTTACAATGCTGCTGTATATTCCGATGCAGTCTTTGAGCGTAGTTGCCAACGGCTTTTCACACATGATATGCAAGCCAAGTGGTGCTAAAGCTTTGACAGCATGAATATGCATCTCGTCGAGGACACAAATAAAGGCAGCATCTGCTCCGAGAAACTCGTCATCGCCAGCTTTCAGATCTTCATCGATTATTCTTTGACGCCTCTTTTGCTCATATTGAATGTACTCCGGCCACGAATTAAATGCTTCGTACGGCCTTGCCTCGCGGTTGAATGGTCCCCATACGTACCTTCTTCCAAATTCATTGCGTACGAACTCAACAGGTTCGCAAACACCAACCACGATCCCTGTCCTAGAGTTTACCATAGCACGAGCATACGACTGGCCGCGTGAACCAGCACCAATTATGATCACCCTGGGTGCCTCTTTAGGTGGGGTTGGCATTGTGGCAGTCGAGGAGGCTACATCTTTATCCTCGACGATGTTGACATGCTTACCAGCGGTATCGCCATCCGCCACTAGTTGCTCCTTTAGCTTATTCCTCAAGGACGGAGCGACACGGCCTTCTTTCAACCGGTGAAGGAAAGACATATTGAACAGAATCCAGAACGGGACAACGGAAGCAATCCACCCGGCTTGTACACGCTTGACGACTTGCGGTGGGGAGAATTGCTTTTGTATCTTCCTCTTCGCACGGACAGGGTCAACTAAAACTTGCAAAGCATATCTGGGAGTTTTCTAGGCAGATGGGACCGGTGCACCTTTATCACGGCCGCTGAGACCGGTCAAAGAGGATGCAACAGAAGTCGGAACGCTGTTTTATCTCTCGTTCAGGCATAGTCAGCTGCCAAGCCCTCCCAATCCGGCGTCAACCCCTCAAGCGCCGTAACACAGAATTTGTCGGCATCTTTAGATACTGCAAGTTGGTCAAACATCGATTGTGAAAGTGCATCGTGCTGCTTGTAAGCGTCTAATTCATTGCATTGTTGTCAGTTCACAGCACGGGGTCGCTGTAGAATATTCCAGCCAAGGAACCACTTGAAAAACGACTTTGTTCTTGATCGGATAGACAGCTCTGTGCAAGCCGCTAGGCAATACCTTGTCGGGAAAATTGAACATTCAATTCATTTGGACCCATGTGCATCGCAACATCGAACAAAAAAAATCCTATTTACAGCAATCATCAGATGTGTGGATTGATAATCTGCTAAAGCCGGCCGCTGTTATACCATGATAAGCTCCACTGTGTTATCGAGCTCTTGAAGAGATGGCCATGCACTTTTCAATCACCTGAGTAGACAGTTCGACCCTCGTTCATGGTCCTGCAGTATGCATGTGGTTTATGAGTGTATGGAAAATTGCATTTGAACAATTGCTGGCACTGCAATAGCAAACTCGTAGACTTCACGTCCAGAATCTGTGGGACGAAGGGATTTGATGATCAAATTCGGATGTTATGATAACTTACCGCAGACTTGGTCTCCGCGAGCGGAAATGGCGCTCGGCAGCGCACGCTTGTCCTAGCCATGTCGTGAACATGAAGGCATCAGGATTCTGCACAGAACATCAGTCCAATTGAGCATTATTTTATTGCAATGTTTGTAGTATTTCCTCGCAGACCACTCAGCTCGCGTGTCCAATCTTAGACTTTTGCACAGAATCTTTGGACACCACTTTCGGTTGGGACGGAACCGGAACTTTCGAAGGCCAAGCAGTTTTCATGCCAGACAAACCTCTTACCATTGCGACATATGCAGCTGGAGCCTCGCTTGCTGCTATCACTCTCGTTTACGTCTTTGGTCCCACATTCCTTCTTGACGGCAACGAGAGTGCAAACATTAAGCCCAGCTCACGGAGACCTGCTGTCGGATTATTCAACCCCGCGAACGGTATGCATGTCTCTTCTATCTGGATTGAGACGGTTGCCTTGAGGATGCAGTAGCTGATATCATAGTGAAGATTGTTTTATCAATTCTGTTCTCCAAGCTCTTGCTGGTCTTCCACACCTCCGCAAATACCTTATTCGCGAAACGCATCGACGGAGGCTCGATGGGGAGGAGATATATAAGGTGACAGATGAGGATCTGGACTCTGGATTATCAGAGACCAAGTTATTGCGGTTACAGGGATTAAGAGCGGGCATTGTTACTCAAGCGCTGAAGGATATACTCGATAATCTCAATGAACGACCAATATACAAGAAGACTATCTCCGCACAGCCATTCGTGGTCGCTTTAGAAAAAGCTTTTCAAACAAGAATTAGCCGGCAGCAGCAAGACGCACAAGAATTCCTTCAGGTGGTCGCAGAGCGAATCTGCGACGAATATCACGCTGGTGCAAAGGCACGGAAACATGCTCAGGAATTGACTCTGGCTGATTTGCAGATTCATGGCAAAGATGCAGATAGCCAAAAGACAACAAAGTGCTTAGCAGATGCTGAAAATACTGTGGCAGAGTCAGAAAGGCCATCAGGATCGGAATCTCCATCAGACGATGACCAAGTTGCACAGACTCTAAAATATGTTAACCCTCAAGAAGAGGAAGACGGATTTCCACTAGAAGGCAAAATTGAGTCTCATATCGAGTGTCAGACGTGCGGATTCAAGCCCAAAAGCTCAATCTCGAACTTCGTTACACTTACCCTTCATGTCCCACAGAAGAATTCCACAACCCTAAATCAGTGCTTCGATGGGATGCTTAAAGTCGAAGTCATTGAAGGTTATAAGTGCGACAAATGTCGACTCGAACATGCCTTAGTGTTCAAAAAGGGACAGCTGCATTCGACGTTGGATTCCCCCATGCGACAAGACCTAGAGGCTGAAATTGAAAAAATTGAAAAGGCTATTGAAGACGACCCAGAGAAGCCGCCTGAGGGTGTCCAGCTTCCAGACTTGAAGTTTGCACCAAAAAGAACCATCAAAAAACATATGCGCATTGCCCACTTTCCCAAGGTCTTGGCTATTCACCTCTCCCGATCCATTTTTGAAACGCATTACTCGTCGAAGAACATGGCCAAAGTCTCTTTTCCGGAAATTTTACCTTTGGGAAGCATTGTCGACCAAAAAAGATATCGTTTGCTCTGCGTCGTTAGTCATAAGGGAGGGCACAATAGTGGTCATTACGAAACATTTCGACGACAGGTCACCACCACACCTTTCAGCACGCCGCATTCCTTTGGCGCTGAAGGAGCATATAGTCGTAGTGGAAGCCCTAGCCTCAGTACTGTTGCGAGTCCTCGTCTTACAGCAATCAATGGTAAGAAGCTAGCCGGCCTAAGTGGTAAATCACCGCTATCACCCAAGCCACAGACGGACTACGCTGTAGCACCCTCAGATCTATCGTCGCCTTTACATCCTAGCCCCTCAACCTCATCGCTTTCGTCTCGCTCTTCGTTCAGTTTATCTGGATCTCTGCGGCGGAAATCTCGACCGCCAACTTCTGCGCCGCGAGACTCGACTACTGCATTCACCGAATCGAACACAAATACCAAGCCCAATGAGGAACAAGTACCTTCTTTGAATTTCGATTCAGCGCCAGCAGCAAGAAAAAGCAGTGCATCGCATGCATCTCAGTCCACCAAAAAACGTAAAAAAAGTTCGAGTAACAACAGATGGTGGCGTATTAGTGATGAAAAGGTCAAGGAAAGCAAGACCAGCGAGGTATTGAGTCAACAAAAGGAAGTCTATCTACTGTTCTATGAGTTGATGGACGAAAGTGAAGAGGAATGATAAATGTGTGCTTGCACTGGTGGCAATTTATGTCCCTAGTGGGCCATGGTCTAACAAACTGTGAATAAACTTTTACTATCACCTAGAGATCCATAGAAAGATCCAAAACTGTTCGCAATGTCATGCCTCATTTGTTCAACTCCGAAGAGTGTTCACAGCGCAATAGCTAGCACACCGTTCCATTACCGTATTCGAAGGTATGCGTACCGTCAATGACAACGCAGCCATTTTATCTGGGAATGAAATGATAACAAATAACTGGACGTCGTAATGTCGCACTTTTTTTGGGCGCGTGCGAGTATGGATCCTGCTCGAACTATGTAACCAAGATGATGCCTTATCACTTGTTCCCATAATTTTGATACCTAGATAGTCGAATAGTATCTCAAAGTTTTCGAAGAATCAAATTTCCTTCAACCAGCCACTAGAACCGAACAAAGCCAAATATAGCTTGTGAACGGAATCCGCTGGATTCGCCTCTCCAGAATAGAAAAACGTTCCTTAAGGACAAGACCAGAATAGTGATATAGATTAGAGATATTGAAACAGATGAAGGAGCGATAAATGAAGTTCCTTATCCTATGTACTTATATCTAATAACTATCTGTCAACTATAGCTAGGGAATTTGGAAGTTTTCTTACTTTGCGTATCACAACTTCATAATGCTCTGCACGGTAGCTGCTTTAATAGGGATAGCTTCCCTCATGCAAGCATACATCAAGCACCTTGTACAGGGTGTCAATTACTTAGACTTAATGTAAAAAATTGTAACCGCTTTTGAGAACTTGTCTCCGCCATGGAAGCCAAAAGAAGTCTGGAGTATGCAGTAGAAGTCCATGTGCTTCGTCATTGCTACCTCATCGCCTAAGGCACTACCGCGGTTGATTTACAGTTAAATTGCGCAGACACGTGCATAACGTACTATTGGTTCCTTGCCATCCAGAGCAGCTTTGTTGCACGTCCTTTTTGATAGTTTGTCAGCTTTTGCGTTCCAATAGCTAACTCACTCACTCTCTTATTCAGTGACGGATGTCCGGAATGTATGCATGGTGTACTTTTAAGCCGTGCATCTGAATCTCATGTACAGGCCTTATGCCGAAATCGATTCTGACCAATAGCCAGACCGCAAGTAAATGAAGCTGTCGAAGAAAATAAATCGTCATGTCAACCTCTAGAACAAATGGAACTGTGGCTGCAGCCACCTTGATGGTTCAGTCGCCTCCTCCGTCTGGGACATCAACATTCGGGTTGTTGGGATGGGTCATACTGTCGATCGTCAAAGTTGTACCCAGCGTATTGCTTTCATTAATTACCTTGGCGACAATCACCATACCGACGTGGATCTACACGATACTATCATACAGTCTGACTGTGACAGTTAACTTCAGCACCATAGCGTTCATCGTTGTGGCGTTCGTGTCTACTCTGAGTTACTTCATCAGATACAGGTATCATACTTATGCACGGCTTCCTGCAGAACCTCCAAGGAAAGAACCTGAGGTTGAGTTATTCCCCGAGCAACAAGATGACGAAGCAAAGCCCGGGCTTTCGAATTATTTAGATGAATTCATGAGCGCAATCAAGGTCTTTGGCTACCTAGACCGCCATGTCTTCCATGAACTCACGCGTACGATGCACACGAGGAAGCTCGTCGCTGGCGAGACCCTATCGCTTGATGAAGAGAAAGGGTTCTGCATGGTTGTAGAAGGAAACGTGCAGGTCTTTGTTCATTCGAAGAATGCGGGGCCAGGGGATCGCTATGATGGCTCTGAAGATGAGGAGGCGCATAATGGAGAGGGCCACCAGGGGTATCAACTACTGTCCGAAGTCAAAAATGGTGCCCCTTTGTCTTCGCTCTTCAGCATCCTGTCGCTTTTTACTGAAGACGTCAAGCTCAAGCACACAGAAAAGCCAGATTCTGATTACTTCGGCCCTCAAACTCCTCAGAAACATCGCACAACCTCTGTCCACATTGACGGAAGCTTCGTGACACCTGACAGTTTGACGATTCTAGACAGTCCTTTGCGGATGGGTCAAGAACATCCAAATCCAGGCTCGCACCGTCAATCAGTGGCCAGCGCTACAAGCCCCACGGCAGGCGGTCGACTGCCTAAAGTTCCACCGCTTAGCCTTGATCTTAACATGCCTGAGACAAAGCATACTCAGCACGGAAATAACCACTCTCGAAGGGGTTCAGATCAGCCATCAGCACATCCTGACATCGTCGCCCGTGCAGCTGAAGATTCCACGATCGCCATCATTCCTGCAATTGCATTTCGCCGCCTAACGCGCATTTACCCAAAAGCTACTGCGCAGATCATTCAAGTCATCTTATCACGCTTCTATCGCGTCACCTTAGTAACCGGCCACCATTATTTGAGTCTCACGCACGAGATTTTAAAGACAGAAAGACTTATTGACAAATTTGCCCACTGTGACCTTCCTGGTTACCTTCGGGATGCCCCACTGGGGAGGCTCAAGGAAAAATTCGAACAAGAAAAAGAGCGAACGAAGCCTGAAGAAAGGTTAAAAGGAATAGCTTTGCATAATCCGGGCGCTGGTCGAAGACGACGCTCAAGCAGTACATTACGACGAGAAGCAACTTTGCAGGTTCGGCTCGCAGAAAGTCGATCTAGGAGATTGCATTCGCCTGATGCCTGGAAATCATCCGAACGCCGGACCTCACCTGAAGCAGAAAGGGGTGGAATAAGTGCAGGAGACCTCCTCACTGGCAGTACAGCACACCGAGCCTCATTCTCGCAGCCGTTACAAACTCCTGGTCCATCTTTGCGTCGATTAGTGCGATCTCCACTCGACAAAGGTCATTTTGATCCAAGGCCTAAGCAATTAGAGCGTCAGAATTCTGTCGACGAGGATGATCTTTTCAGACAAACAATTCTTGAAAATATGTGCAATGCAATTGGTCTAAGCAAGGATAACATGTTTACTGCACCAACACCAACGATCGAGCAATCACCAAGACTGGTTTCATTTGATTCTCGGCGAAATAAGGCTGTCTTTGGCAGTGCATTCCAGATGATAAGCGGTAATGACGTTTCAGTCGATGGCGATTCGGTGTCATTAGCGTCCGAGTCGAATTCTGCTTACGGACTTACTCCCACGCAGAATATTCTTGAGGATATGGTCAACGAGGTTGAAATTGTTTATTTCCAGAAAGGCTCTGTACTGGTTGAGCAAGAGGAGCGTCTCCCTGGTCTCTATTATGTACTCGACGGCTTCCTTGAAGTAAGCATGACGACAGAAGAGGAGGGCCAACAAGCCAACATTCTTGGGACTGCAGCATCTTCAGTAAGTCTTGATAGCCTAAAGGGTGCAGGTGGCAAACCAACGGAATTTTCGAGAAGACCAAACACAAATACTCGAAGCAGGAGCAGAGCCAATGTCAACACAAAGCGGCATAGACACACATTGACTCTCGTCAAACCAGGCGCTATTGCCGGATATTTACCAGCTGTTTCTTCCTACCGTTCATTTGTGGATATCACAGCTAAGAGCGATGTGGTTGTTGGATTCTTACCACGTGCATCCCTGGATCGTCTCGTCGACCGCTTCCCTATTATTCTTCTTACACTTGCAAAAAGACTCACTGCAGTTCTGGATCGTACAATTTTGCATATCGACTTTGCGCTTGAATATATACAGGTCAACGCCGGCCAAAAAATTTACAACCAGGGTGATCAAAGCGACTCGATTTTTATCATATTGAATGGGCGGCTTCGCGCCATACAGGAAAAGCCAGATAAGACTCTCAATGTGCTTGGGGAGTATGGTCAAGGTGACAGTGTGGGTGAGCTTGAGGTTTTGACCGAGACTACACGCCCTGGCTCCTTGCATGCAATTCGTGACACCGAGCTTGCGAAGCTTCCTAAGATGCTTTTCAACAGCCTAGCTCAGGAACATCCTGGGATCACCATGAAGATGTCACGAATCCTTGCGAAACGTATGCGGGTGTTGATGGAAAGCTCTCAACATATGCACAGTGAAAAATCACCCACAAATTTTGTTACGGGCAATCCATCCTCTACTGCAAATTTACGGACAATTTGCATTTTACCCGTTACCTCAGGAGTTCCTGTCGTCGAGTTCGCCAGCCGACTTACGAATGCGCTGACCCAAATTGGAACATCAGTTGCATCCTTGAATCAGTCCGCTATCCTTAACCACCTTGGCCGCCACGCATTCTCGAAAATGGGAAAGCTCAAGCTGCAACAATACCTCGCAGACCTCGAGGACAAATTTGGAATGGTGCTCTATGTCGCTGATACGAATGTACAATCGCCGTGGACGCAAACATGCATAGTTCAAAGCGACTGCATTCTGCTCGTTGCAGTAGCAGATGGTTCGACATCAGTTGGAGAATACGAGCGCTTACTGCTCACTACGAAAACTACCGCCAGACGAGAGCTCGTCCTAATTCATTCGGAGCGATTATGTCCTCCAGGTCTAACGAGGAAATGGTTACGCAACCGGGTCTGGATCAACGGTGGCCATCACCATGTACAAATGACCTTTAGAGCAGCTCCAGAACCTTTACATCCGCCAAGTGGTCGGAGGTTCGGTACGGCCATCAAGCAAAGAGTCCAGATCATACAGGCGGAAATACAGAAATATACGAGTCGAAAAGTACGCCAGACTCCGTTATACTCAGCTGAAACTCCATTTAAAAGCGATTTCCACCGACTAGCACGAAGATTGTGTGGAAAATCTGTCGGACTCGTGTTAGGAGGTGGCGGTGCTCGTGGAATCGCGCACGTTGGTGTCATACGAGCTCTGGAGGAAGCTGGCGTTCCAATTGATATGGTTGGCGGGACATCAATAGGGGCATTCGTCGGCGCACTTTATGCCTGGGACGCGGGCATTGTACCTATGTATGGTCGCACCAAACGCTTTGCAGGTCGAATGGGTAGCATTTGGCGGTTTGCTCTTGATTTAACGTATCCTTCGTAAGTTTCATCATTTGACAATTACCATTTAAGATGCATGCTAAATAGACTTTTACAGCGCCTCTTATACCACCGGCCACGAATTCAACCGCGGTATCTTCAAGACCTTTGGAGACTACCTCATTGAAGACTTTTGGCTTCCGTTCTACTGTAATACGACTAATATATCAAAATCTCGCGTTGAGTACCATACCAGTGGCTACGCTTGGCGCTATGTCCGAGCTTCGATGTCACTCGCGGGTCTTCTTCCACCACTCTGCGACGAAGGCTCAATGCTTCTTGATGGCGGCTATGTTGACAACCTTACGGTAATGCAAATGAAGTCCCTCGGTGCCGACGTTATCTTCGCCGTTGATGTCGGGTCCTTATACGACGACACTCCCCAGCAATACGGCGATTCGCTTTCGGGATTCTGGTCTGTTTGGAACCGATGGAACCCATTCTCCAGCACCCCGAATCCGCCCACCTTAGCAGAAATCCAGTCCCGTCTTGCGTATGTAAGCAGCGTCGATGCGCTTGAGCGCGCGAAGACAATGCCGGGGTGTCATTACTTGAGGCCGGCAATTGACCCCTTTGGCACGCTGGCTTTCAATCAGTTCGATGAGATTTACAAGGTCGGATATGACTACGGCGTAGAGTTTTGCAAAAATTTGAAGGAACAGGGAGTGTTACCAATGCTGAATACGGAGCTGGAAGATGGAAGCAAAGGAGATTTGAGACGAACCATGAGAGCAAGAAGAGCAAGCATCTAGATTAATGCTACAAGGTTATATAACTCATAGGTAGCCGCTGAGAAGGATATTTCATTCGATTTACTTTTCCCAGTCTCTGTTCTTTAGAAAGCGCTGCTTACTTACAGTATCCATGATCTTTGAGTGTGTTATACATTCCACAGCCTGTTTCTCAACGCCAGTTCCCTACTCATTCCCAGCTCAAGCGAATGCGAGCGAGCAATTTCATTCCAGCCACACCTTGAATCATGGATTAGTCAAACACGTTTCCATATGCGCGCAGCCATTTTGATCGATTCTCAATTGGAAAGATCCTACAACGCAAACTCCCCAATTCCGTTCGGACCCAATTCGTTGTAGTCCGTCCTCGTCATAAAGCACTTCGTCTGCGCTGCGTCGGTCACAAAGATGACACGGCATAAGACCTGGGCGCCTAGGAAGTAGGCCTCATTGTAGCCTACTTCCTTCCACTCTGGAAAATAATCGCCTACGCGAGCGTACTTAACGCTGGTGGGAGTTTGCCCGTGGCTGCTGTGCACATTGCCTGCTCCACCTGTGGAAGAACCTGGGCCACCTGGAGTTGATGTACCTAGGTGCTGTTGTTGTGCTATGGCGTGCGGATTAAGATGTTGTGTCGTGGCAGCAAGAAGAAGGGGATTTCCTCCACCCGATGGGCCTAGTGGAGGATGTGACGGTCCTTGTCCTGGCTGTGGGGTTTGAGCACCAGTCCCCATCGGAGTTGTCAGGTTTGAGGGAAGCTCGGACGTAAATATAGTAGCGGAAGAGGGAGATATGATATACCGGGATTGAATTGTGCTCAAAAGTGCTTCCCGGAAACCTTTGCTCGCGAATAAAATTAGCAAGCATCAAAAGAAAGTGGAAACGTAAACATACCGCGTATCTTAGCGCCATTGCCAACTACGATAAGATTGTCCCAGAGCTCGCTTCGTTTGGCCACTTCGTTAACAGAACTTATGGTCCTGTGGATGGTATCCGCTATTCTGTCCACGACACCACCACTGGCAGCTTGGAAACGTTCCACGCCAACTTCGATCTCTCGCCGAGGTGCCTTGGTGTGGATAAGTGACGATATGCCCGCTTTAGGAGCATCAGTGTCCATTGCATCGCCGGCTTGTTCTGCAGCAGCTTGTTTCTCGGCCTGTGTCTGCTTGGCTCCCTCGTCGACAGCGGCATGAGCACGCGCCATCTCGTCGGCGCTCATGTTCTTGTTTTTTATCGCGTCGAGGAACGCATAGTCCGAGTAGATGAATGAAGCGGTTACGCGATCACGATTAAGCATTTTGGCTGTTTTTGCTTGTTGTGCCTGCGCTGCTGCGTCCTGCTTCTGACCCTTCTTTATTGCTTGTTTCTCTGACTTTTCCTTCTCCTTTTGTGCGATAAAGTCTTTAGTGTTGCCCGTGCCAACGATCTTCGCAATGTCCAAAACGCCCTCATCCTCACCATTCTCTTTTTGCTCATCGCCAACTTGTGTTCCAGCTCCCGACCCAAGCGCTGGCTCACCCAGTACACCAACACCGTCCCTGTTCCCAGGTCCTAATCCTATTGCGCCAGTTGAGGCAGCAGCCGCTGGATTTGCGCTAGCAGTTTCTTGTTGCGCCGCCTCCGCTGTTCCAGGCAGCGGCACGCCGGGTGGTAGAATCTCGCAAATAGGACTCTTCTTCAGCTGCTCACACATCTCTCTAGTCCATTTCTTGTTCTTCAGCAGCTCGAACAGCCGCTCAGTAAAAGCATCTCCACCGCAATCCGGCACTGCTATTTGCCGTCCAGCAACATGTATGTTGTAGTCAACTATGGCAGTCACGTCCGCCTTCTCGTAGCCAATATCCACCACACATGCGTTTGGGGTGTTGCTATGCGCGTATAAGGAGCACAACGCGGCGTCGACGATGTTGAATGCTGGTGGTCTGAATTTTTCAAAGATATATTGCGTGATCTTTTGTTGATCCTTGACCGTCCAACAAGCTTGCCCCACCATACATATTGGCGTGTGTAGTCCTGGGCTCAGACGACTGTACACATACTCGAACAGGGCGAAGAAACAGCCCCAGTCCACTATCCTGCCCTGCTTTATAGGCCACACTGCACCCTCCTCGGTCTCCTGGTCCTCGTAGTACTCAGTCTCGTTGCTCTGTGCGCCATTTGCATCTGCGTCTTCTTGTTTGGCACCATTTGCTGCACTTGGCTCTCTTTCACGGACTTTAAATGGCTCCCACTTGTCTGGCTGTTCACCTCTAAACATGCGGGACCGGATGCGCAATTGGGCCGGCGTGAGCGATTCTGGGATACCAAGCTGTGCGAGGGTCGTCTGCGATCCTGGCGCAAAGATCTGGATCAGTCAGTAGCCGCACATTTCACGAGGCAGCACCTGGTAAGAAATGCTTGAGACCTCTGCACATGTGCATATTCACACAAACGCGAGAGTTCGTCGTCTTGAGGCTCGCATGACTGACTCACCAGAATCTGATCATCCTTGAACAACGGCATGGCACCCAATCCTAGATGCAGCTGCGATCGCTGCAATACACGAAATGACTATCGACAGGCTCCGCTGTTTGCGCGCACACTCTCACGGTCGCTACTGACCTCTGTTCAAGTTACTGCCAGGGAAAGCGCGAGGCGCGACAGGCTCGATGGCGCTAGCCTGATGCGGCATCGCCCAACCACCGTGCCAGAGCTGTATCACCGTACACAGAGGATACGCACCTCATACGCGATGACAAAGCCCGCAGGTGGAGAATGGCTCACTTCTGACCGGAAGCACAGTTTGAGCACTGTGCTTACCGTGGTGCCATTGCGAAGATCAGCACACAGGAATTATGGCTTCGTCTAACCTGCCAACCTTCGAATTTGCGGAGGACGATGCGACTACAACATCTCCAATGGTAAACAAGGCGCTGGAGCTCGACGAGACGACCTACAGTCGTGATACACTATCTCCCATGTCGGCTCACTTCCCCCCCTTCCTACCTACCAAAAATGCGAATCCTGGCTCTCCCCATCACAGCAGCTATCTTTCGCCGAACAATCCCTCGTTTGGAATGCGCGACAATGATCAGGCAGCAAGCACAAACTCAGAGGCTGACAGGCAGCCATTCAATTTCACGCCCCAGCAATATACTGTTGGCCGGTCACCTGCAGCGTCGCTGGCTGCTACGAAGAGCGCGGAACTGGGAAGACGAAGAGGACACAAGTATGCTAGATCAAGTATTTCCCATCAAATTATACTATCTCCGACGCCACGCCTACCGCTGCAATTACCGACGAATTTGCCCATCCCAACATTCAAGGAGTTTAGGACGAGCATGACAAGTCAGCAGAGGGGCAGGTGGGTGTTTTGCATTCTTCAATTTCTGATTGCGGGCTACGTCCAGTGGAAAGCGCATGATTCGATGTCTATGACTGCCCTCTCACATCTACTATTCTTCGATGCCTTCAGTGCAATCCTGTGCAACGCCATGGATGTGGGTCGCAATTTCGAGGTTTGGACGCGGAGCAGTCTACGTAACCCTTTCGGCCTAGAACGCAGCGAACTTGTCGCTGGTCTAGCCATGAGTATAGTGCTCCTTTTTATGGGCTTAGACCTTGTATCACATGGCCTCACTCACAGTCTTGAGAACACCGGCGGCCACGTTGCACATCACGCCCATATCGACACGCTCATCCACCCTTACAACATCGATGTCGCGGCTCTTTCCGCTATTCTTTCCACCTTGATTTCTGCCGCAACTCTTGGCAACCATTCGCGCATCGGGCGGTTCATTCGGCCTTCTACACAACCATCCTGGCTTCCTTACGCGCTCCAAAATCCCTCTCATCTTCTCACTCTATCCTGTGCTTCTCTTTTACTACTTCTGCCAATGTTCACAAATAAAACATCATCATTGTTTGACACGATCCTATCTTTGACAATTGCGCTGTCCATGATCTTAATTGGCTCTCGTCTCGCCTACAACATCGGTCGCGTGCTTCTCATGAGTTTCCCGGCACGCGACGATAACGAGATCAAAGACCTAGTTGCGGAACTGGGCGAAGATAGTGATATTGTGGCTGTTGATGAGGCTCGTGTATGGCAGGTGCATTACAGCCTTTGCATGGCGAATTTCAGAGTTCGTGTTCGCGGGAGAGAACAAGTTCGAACTGTGAGGGATAAGATTGAGAGACTAGTTAAAAAGCGGCTTGCTGGAGAGAGTGACAAAGTGAGATGGGAGATTTCGAGTATGGTGACCGTGGATAGGGATTAGCAGGAACAGGGAAGCGTGCATAGATATATTAGCCTATCAGGAATATCAAGATAATTTGAAACGGTATTAAAAACAAATCTACACTTTTAATCATTGCCCTAATTTGTCGTCATGCAGGACGAATTTTCGAAGATTACTAGCATTTAAAACTAATCCCCAAATATTATCTTGAGATATGTCCAAAAAAAAAATAGCACGGCTCTTTCTCTGACAACCAATGCAGGAAGCTCTGCTATAATTGTGACACCTGAAGAAGAGTCAGAATTTTGAATTTGTCTGCTCTTCATTTACTAATTACAGCGGATTTATCTTTCACATACGGTCATAGAATGAGGAAAACTAGAGTCCCCGTCCGCTCACTCTTATATAAGCCTCATATCGGCCCATTAGTACTACGGTGGGTGACCACATGGGAATCCGGCGCTGCTGTATGTTTTTTTTTATTTTTTTGCCTAGAGTCGAGCCGCGGGTCTATGTCTTTAGCTTAGATAAACTTGTATGCATGCTTACGATCCTAACATTCACTAGAGTATTAGGAGAATTTCAGAGCATAGAACTTTGGACACTAAGAATTATATGCGCCGCAATATTTTTACTCAAATTCAACAGGCACAGCACACTCAGCCTCGTATCCTTTATTGTCAACGCTTATACCTACGGTACAACCTAAATTCATTCATGTTGTTATCCACGGACCGTACCTCTTCCGGGCTTGCTGAAAGCTGTATGTGGAAGAAGAGGCGCATGCGGCTTGGAAAAGCACGTGCACGACGCACTGCGCTAACCCTAGTGAGTAAGCTTCAGCCTTTGCAGTGCTCCACTTTTTCATCTTCTAGGCGACTGCTATGAGAAATAGGATCCCTTTGTTCAATTCAATGATCACTGCCAGTGAATACTCAATCTGGGACTGGAAATCTTTCGATATTAAATTTAAACTTTTCTTGCGAGGGAATTTTTTTTTACAAAAAAAAGGACATTTCTATGGAAGATCTAGCTCTGTTGGTATTCGAGAAGATTTTACAAAACAAAGGTGCACCAAAGAGGGTTGTGAATAGCGATTTCCGGTTGTTCCAAAAACTATTATAAGATAAAAGATGCAAAGCTCCTTCCACAACCGTACTACGGTCAGCACAGCTGATCTTCTTCCGTAGTCTAGTGGTTATGATTTCCGCTTGTCAACAAATCGCGGACGGCCCGGGTTCGATTCCCGGCGGGAGAGATTTCTTTTTTTCTATTTTTGAATTTCGCATTTTCTTCTTCGTCGGGATGCATATTATGTATATATAGAAATATATGCAACGTTCCAGGCATCCTACGGTCAGCAAAGCTGATCATCTTCCGTAGTCTAGTGGTTATGATTTCCGCTTGTCAACAGATCGCGGACGGCCCGGGTTCGATTCCCGGCGGGAGAGTTCAACTTCATAATCTTCTTTTTTTGTTTCCCAACCTTTTTTTTTGAAACGTATTGGTCTCAGTGTACAGAATTTACTTCGAAAACAAACAACTAAATAAATGGAACTCTTAAGTGAAGAAGACAATATGAATCATATGAGGTACACCTACGTGACGTGCTAGTGAAGTTCTATTGATAAGCTGGCGCAAGTGATTTTAATTCCTATGCGATAAATTTTTTTATTCCCAGGAGGAATATAAGTTATGAGATGGATACTCCTAATACTATTCAAACATTTGGCCGATAGCGAGGAGATTCCTTTAGTTTAGACGTTGAACGACAGCTTTTAGAAGTTGTTATCGAAAATAACACTAGCAATGACTCGACTGGTGTCAATATTTTCTCTCAGTTTAATAATTCCAAAAGTATATTTCCTGCGCTTCAACTAAACTTGCATAGATACGAGAACGAATTCATTCTATTCATGGCATTCGGCATTGTATCCGGCAGCACTCAATTTGAAAAGTTTTGCAGATTACATTGGCGCCTGTGAGAGCAATCATGACGCCTCGTGTGATTGGCATCAACACGACCAGATCTCTAGGAAGAGAGAGGTGTTCAGCACTAAGCGTTGAAACACCAGCATGTAATGCTATGAAAGGCGATAGGCTGCCGCGTTGTATTGCATTCGCGCCGCTGCTTCCAGACGGTCGGAGCCAACTTGCTTTTCGTTACATATCGACGGAGCTAAGAAAGTTTTCAGAGGCGTCTCATCTCCTAGACGGAGTCTTTTACCGCTGCGGGGTGTAGCCATGTGCTCCGGAGAATCAACGGGCAAAGCAACCACATGGCATCGGCAACGGTCTCCGTTAAGATGACTCGTCCCAATGGTCAATAGATTTCCGAGCCATCGAGTAGACCGGGCAGAACGAACATTCCGGAAATCATAGGGAGAGATTGGGCATCTCTCCCTCTCAAAAAAAAGGCCTGAAAGCATGTATGGCGTTTGCTGGTGACCTGATCCTGGCGCTTATTCCGAGAATTCGAGGCCGCACATGAGAAAACTTGCTATCTCATGCATGCTATTAGGCACCCTGGCGTCTATTATATGGAGAGGTGCTACGCCTTGCCCAGCGAGTTACACAACTAAGAAAAGACCACAAGCATGGTGTAAACGTGGGCGCTACGGGTCGAACGTAGTGAGGCTAGTTAGGTCTTGAACCCTTACCAGAGTAAGGCGATGTTCAAGTGTGAACGGAAACAGGATTGACCTTGGGAATCGAACGAGAGGAACTAAGACAGGGAATTGACGTGGTTAGCATTACATAGAGCTTGCAATATCGAAACGCCCAACGTTCCAACCAATTTTTTTTTTTGGGGGGGGAGGGTGTTCACACGTTTTGCAACTCTGACGAAGCATAAGGAGAATCTGTTGCTAAACAGATCGTGGCACTGACATGCCTTCTGCACAACGATCTCTCGTGAGCACTACGAATGTGTTCGTCATTTGATGCGAAAGCTTTTCATGGCACCTAACACAGGTCGAACCAGGAGGGACATTTCATCCAACGGATATCAAAGAAAATTACACAACTGAAGTACATCGATCAGTAGTAGATCGTCGACAATCGCACAATCCGACAAGCGAAACACTTCACGTAGGCGAAGTACCATAAAAAAAAAGCAATTCTGGCAAAGGCCTTCGACGTTAGGAACGGAGAATAAACCAGCCCGATCTTTTGAAACAGGGATATCCTTCATACGTTGGGCTGGCTGCACAACGTTGAAAATCCATGACCATGCTCTTTCTATAGCAACATTGTAATAGGTCACACATTTTACAGCGTCTGTCACCCGCGAGGCCCAACAGCCTCGCTTTTTTGGGCCCGAAATGATCACTCGCGCCAGAAGCCGTGCGCTCTGCAGGCGAACACCAGCGCGTGTGTGCCGTCGAGGAAGAAAACGAGGCTTGCGACACGGCTGGGCTCTGGAACAATGTCAATCTTGACCTGGCCCAGCAGCTGGTGAATAGCGTGACGCTTTGAGACCGGGTGGTAATTCTGTGAATACGCATCATCGAGGGGACGCACCACATGCTAGCCCATGCAAGGAGCCGTTATTTTGTGGAGAGAACAAAGAGAAGCGGTGTGATGAGACAGCTAAGCCGAAAACATCGTCGGGGCGATGGAGAGCGAATAAGAGTCGAGAGCCACCATGCACACCAGGATCGTTCAGCTCTGCAGCCATCGTACAAACCCGCGATGTTGAATAAAGATCAACTGGCGAGCTTTCGCATTGCGGTACAGCAAGCGCTTTGGTTAGATTCAAGAGAGGGCTATTTTATTCCGCTCCAGGGAGAGGAATGCGCAATGACGAGCGGTGGGCGGTACGCGCAGGTGCGGGCCTGCTCCATTTGCTTGAGATTGGCCTGGCAAATAATTGGCCCCTGAAATGGACATTGAAGGTAGAGAAACGGACGCTTGTTATTGGACGCTGAGCCGGAGATCGTTGCTTAGCGAACGGATCGAGGCTGTCGTTAGACCAGCATATCGATAAGCACTCTAACTTGTGAGAGGGCGTTGATTCATGACTACGGCTGCTTGGTCTATTAGTAGTGAGAATGCAGGCGTACTACTGCCTGCTTTGAAGCAACGACCTAGCAAAAGCCTAGGGGAGGTATATGAAAATCTGCGCAAAGAAAGGCTGGCGCTTCGCTTACTCCTGAACAGGCAGGCATCGCGACCTATTCTGATTAGAGCTGAGGAAGCCGAATCACCCAACGGCTCCCGAACCGCAGCACTGGAAACACCGTGAGAATGATCCTCACGGGAGCCAATTTCGTCTCTCGAACGGTGCATGACAAAGCAGATTGGCAAAGACGTCGTCATCAGCTGCAAGCAACCTTGAGGCAGAAGACATCGGCAGAACGGAGCGGGTTTTTCGTTCGCCAATGCAACACTCAAAACATCTACCCAAGCTAGAACGGGGATGTTTTGCACTTAGAAAAATGCAGCCCCTCTCCCAGCGGTGTTCATCGGCGATCTGAGATGTCAAAAATCAATGCGCGTCCTATGTGATCAACAACAAGAGTAGAAGTCAAATGTTCCTTCGAGAGCCGTCTTTGCATCTGCACTTGCACCCGAGCCGAAGCTGAATTTGTGTACAAGCAACAGATGCTCTACTATACGAGGATAAGCGTGAGCGTGGAGTAGGGCACGAGGGCAAGCTGACATGGCAGAACGATCAGAATGCCTTGGACTCGATTTGATGCCTGCTTCGATCATCCCCTTAATCCCTCGATGGCATAAAGAGCACGACGAGGAAATCAGGAGCAGAACAACAGCCCTCACTGGCCAGGGGAGAGGGCGGGCTTTCGGCGTGCGAACCAGGTGATGGTCATGCGATCACCGCCACAAGCAGGAACGTTTAGCAGAATGGAATGTTTTGATTTTTTTTTCTTTTTTTTTTCTCTCCATGCTGAACCATGTGGCTTGCACGGCAAAGGAGCGAGCGAGGGCAAAGCCCGGTGACATGGGTGGAAATGACTTGAGACGCCTCGAGACCGGAGGGGAAGACAAGCGCTGCCTGAGGATCGTCAGTCGCTGACGGCGTGGTTTGTGTCACCACCTCGTCAGCGCGGACAATCAATGCTAGACTGGAAGCGGTCAAAGGCGGGCGGTATCACCAAGCAGCCAATCAGGCAGAGCGATCGTGGAGTCGACTGGCCATCCAGCCCATCTCACACGCACACCTCCAATTTCCAGAAACAAATCAGCTGCGACGGACACACGTTGCCAACCATCGGGGGCTTGGGCTCCGAAAATCATGGATCCGTCCCCAACTGGCGTCCAAAATTGACCGACGGGTGGTGCAGCTGCCTCATCAAAGACGAGGTTCGTGAAGGCAAAACTCGGTGACAGCAGAGGAGTGATTCACAAAAGCATCTCCACCCAGCTGGCCACCCGGTCCGTGGGCAGCGGCAGTACCCATCCCTCCCAAGATTAGCCATCAGTGCTAGTGACCGCGCGGACTTTTGTTGCTGCTGCGGTGCGCTGCGCTGGGCCTTGGGATGGCCGATGCAGCGCTTGGGCTGCGGGCGGCTTTGGCCGCATAGGAGGTCAACGCATCAAAAACTCGCAAGATCTGCATCTCACGTTTTTTTGCTACCGTAGGCGTCATGCTTTCGGAGGCCGGCGTTCCAGTGGCTTCGAGACGATCTTCTAGCGCCGTTTGGATTTTCAGCAGCGAATGGATCCACACTCACCCATGGCAAACCCGAGCAGTGACATCTTGTGTGCGTGGCCTTCCTGCTCCGCTCCTGGACAAAGGTCCGTCGGGCGTGGAGCTCAAGCAACAAGAGTGCTGCAGCAGCAGCAACAGCAGCAGAACGGCTGGCAAAGAGAGTGGCGCCCGTAACAAGGTCGCACCTTTCTCCCCCAAACGTGTCCGGTCAGGATCCTAATTCAGGCAGACCGAAACACAAGGGCTCGATCTCTGCGCCAGCACTGGGGGGGAGGGCCACCGGTTCTTCAGCGCCAGGTACGGCACAGAAGGGCAGAACCAGGTGGCGAACAGTAGGCGATGGTACAAAACAGCAGACGGAGTGAACCCACATGATGACGAGCCTCGCCTTGGAGGGGCTGCTACACCACGACTACATGACAGGACGCTCAAGGCCGAGCGGACATGCAAGCGATCCAGCGTTAGAAACAATAGTGTGCTCCCAGCAGATCGGCCGTAATTTTAGACGTCTACGACGTGGACATGGGAAAGCCACTTCGACTAGGTGGTAGGAGCAGCAGAAGCAGCGGCAGCAACAGCAGTGCCAGCATCAGAATCATAGCAGCAGCAGCAGCAGCAGCAGCAGCACCAGCGCCAGCAGTGGCGGCAGCCCAGCAGCAGGAGTGAGAGCTTTTTTGGAACAAAACAGGTGGCCTGTTCATGGCTGCTCGTACCAGCCCGCAGCTACAGTAATTGTCTCATAACGACTTGGCCGACTTGGGCAAGGCGCGGCAGGCCACCCAGAGCGAAACGAGAGCCAGATCTGTCGGAAGACGCGCTGGGCGTCGAGCAGCCAAAAAGTTTGTCAACGGCCAAGCACAGGTGCCGCCCGCCGCTGGCACAGGCCTTGCTTCAAGGCGTATCCCGGCCGCGGTGGGGACGGAGCAACCATGGCTGATGTTGCATGACCCTTTGCCGCCAAATGTCTGGCGTCGAGCCACACAACGACTGCCCGCGTCCTTCAATCGTCATGGTGCCCCAGCACTCGTGCATTAGGTGGCCATCGAGCCTGATCCTGCCTATTTCTGGTCCAAGCGTGAAGGCGTGCAGCTCTCTTCGACGGAACCCAGTCGCCTCACTTTAATATACATACATCATCAGCCTTTCCTGCCACAAGCACCTCCATCTCGACCTCACCTATCACACAGTCCGCCTTGCGAACGACCTCCCTCCCACCCGTCCACCTCCACCTCTACCCGTTCATTCTCTACAGCCAAATCCTTCTTAATCTTCTCTCCTCCTCGCAAACCGTCTTCCTCTTTTACACTTCTTCGTCCTCTCTTGCCCGACCACTTTTGTACTACTCCGCCAACGTCAAGTTTGACCCTCACTCCTTTCGAGCGACTTGGTTGTTGGCCCCCCCCGCCTTGCCTATTTTTTTCTGTCCGAGAGCAAAATCCTTCTCGCCTACCCAGGACGGCGTACATCTTCTCTCCCACGGATGTCTTGTTAATTGGTAGTCTCTCAAGGACCACTTGATCCGCGTTCCTGCCGGGTTTTCTCTTTCCATCTCAAGCATGTACCCCACTCCTCCGGCGTCCCCTACCCAAGATGGTCATTGCAATCCGGAGGACCGTTTGGGCCACGTCCTGGCGGGCCGACTGCAGCTCACTAGTGTTCTGGGTGTAGGTGCGTACGGCGTGGTGTACACTGCCGTCGACCTTCAAACCAACACTCAGTACGCTGTCAAGGCCCTGACCAAGATCGGATTAGAACCCCGTCAGCAACGTTTTCAACAGCGGGAGATACAACTCCATTACCAGGCTAGCTTCCATCCCAATGTGCTCTCGTTGTACAAAATCTTCCAAACCCCGGATTGCACCTACGTCGTCCTTGAATACTGCCCTGAAGGTGATCTGTTTTCCAACATCACAGAGCAGGGAAGGTACGTTGGTAATGACATCTTGGCCAAGTCCATTTTCCTTCAAATCCTTGAGGCCGTCGAGTATTGCCATTCCATTGGGATCTACCACCGCGATCTGAAGCCGGAGAATGTCCTGGTCACCAATGAAGGCATGACTGTCAAGTTAGCAGACTTTGGCCTCGCGACCACCGAGCGCATAACTTCGGACTACGGCTGTGGCTCGACGTTCTACATGTCACCAGGTATGGAAGCGATCCATTCACAGCCGTGCTGATTATCTTGTGCTGACCAGCCATAGAATGCCAGCAACAGGTACCAAAACCATACGCAAGCTATGCATCAGCACCAAACGACGTCTGGTCGTTGGGCGTGATTCTTGTGAACCTCACCTGCGGGAGAAACCCTTGGAAGCGCGCCTGTTACGAGGATTCCACATTCAGAGCCTACATGCGGGATCGGGATTTCCTTAGGTCAATTCTTCCCATTAGTCCTGAACTGTCCGCCGTTTTGAACAGGGTTTTCGAAGTGGATCCAAGCAAACGTGCAACTATCCGGGAGTTGAAAGAAATGATCCTGGCTTGTGAGCGATTCACCACGACGCCATCAACACATCAGGTACACCCCGCTCCCTACAATGCCGTGGAGTTCGTCAACGATCAGGGCGTGTGCGCTGCATGTCCACAGCAGGAGACCGTCCAGGCCATTCCCCAAGTGCCAGGTCCTGTCGTTGCACCGATGCCTGAACAGACTGCTGGACAGCTTTCTCCCAGGCTCTCGCAGCTCTCCAACGGGAGCTCGGATTCGGATTGTGCTTCAGTCTTTTCCGATGCGTCGTCCACGTCGTCAGCGTCGTCAACGTCATCGTTTCAGCACATTACGAATACGAAGGTTGTGATTCCACAACAATACGTTACATCGTCGCCTAGTGGCTGGTATACGTTGCCATCTCATCTCCACCGGGTGGCCAATTACCTTCAGTCTTTCCAACACATTCCTATGCCTCACCTTCAAGTCTACTAGACGACACTACCCAGCAATGGCCCCGATCCTTTTCTTGAATGTGTTTTTTCTTTTTCTTTTCCGGTTTCTTTTATCATACAAAGATTCACGATTGGGATGAAGATTACGGCGGAACATTTGTTTTGAGTTCACGCTGCAGCACAGCGGAAGTTTACCTCTAGATGGCGTGCGTGGAAGATGGTGTACATTGTAGACGTACTCGATTGTAATGCCGTTTCTTGTCTGGAGCTTTGTCTCGCTCTATGGGGCGGCACCAGGGCTTGGCACGTACCTTTCTTATTTCTTCAAGATTGAAGTTCGAGGACGCAGAATAGGTCTGGCCATTCGGGGAGGGTTCATTGCATTGTTGAAGGCGTCCAAACCGGAGCGAATTTTCCGCTGCGAGTACCAAAAGGGGGGATTTTCTTTTTTTCGAACCAAAAGGCCGATTTTTCCAAACAGTCACTTCTCAAAGATACCAGAGCGGGAGGAAAACCCCAAGCTCACAGAATACTTTTTTTTTGGTTTGGCACAAAATCTATACATTCTTGTATAGTAGAAACACATACGACATATTCCTGCGTCGGCGCACCTGCGCAGGAAAGAAAACAAATATACGTGAGATGTACGATAGCCGTTCGGTACGGCAGTCAATCGAACAGTGCCCTTCTTTAGGAATCGCCGTGTACAGTCTGATCGTTTTGCTCCTTGGCAGCGACGGGTTCGGATACTGTGCTGATCGAGCAGGTCGAGTACCTTCTTGAGGTTGAAAGGGCTGGGGATGTTTGCCACGCGCGACTTTGCCACGCCATTGGCTCCAAGTCGGATTGCGTATCTGCTTGCTGACTTGCCATCCGAAGAAGTGGGCTGGCAGCATGGCCATGACTTGCGCCCCGCTCGTTCACGATCTTGACGAAGCGAAACAGGATCTGCACGAGGGCCTGAGAAAAGAGTGGCAGCGATGAGCGCGCAGAGAAGGATAGCCCAGCCCACGGGCACGTTCAAGGCAGCCAATTAGCAGGCGGAGAGTCGGCCGTTCTTTGGGGCCTGGTGTTGAAGGCAAGCCGGGCCAACTGGGGGCTTCCGATTGTTGTGCAGGCAACCGCTCATCCACTCACACGCACACACACACACACACACACCACCAACGTGAAACCCTCCTTTCGCCCCCGACGCATTCGCCAATACGGACGTGTGCATGTAGTGTCTGCAGCCTTTTTGCGGGACCGTCTATGGCCTTATCGAGCCAGGTACGAGGTGAAGGGCTGGGCTTTGTTTGCCGGGGGCCGGGTATCAGATGACCACATCCTTTGCATGAGACAGCGCTGCTCACTCTCCGTCAGGCCCAGCAGCATTGGAATGCATGATCGAATCAGCTTGCCCGTCGACGTAGCCGGTGCATTAGTCTCGAGTCTCTATTGCCAGCAGCTGGGCCACTGCGAAAGAGCACGGCAGCGTTGGGCACAGCCCCTCAGTTCGCGCACACTTTGCCCATCCCCCCACCACGGAACAAACCAGCCTGTCCTCTCTCTCGTCCAGTTTCTGCGCATCCCTTCGAGATCTTGATGGGCCCGCCAAGGATTTCTTTCCGAGCGTCCATCTCGGGTGCGTCTTGGTCGCTTTTTCTTTGCTTTCGCGTTCTTTGCACGTTTGGCCTTTTGCCTCTGCCCGGCCTAGGTCCGTCTGCGCAGTCTCTCCGGGCGCCATGATCTAAGATAAAAAAAATTTTTTTTTAAAATAAATATTTCATCCTGGACGAGAGCTGCCGGAACGTTCCGCGAGTCTCGCCCCAACGCAAAACCTTCTGGGCCCCCTCTCTCCTGTGATAACAGCTTCTTTAGCCGGGACGAATGACAGTGTTTTGAAGACATCTTGACATGGTCCATGGCGAAGCTTCTCCACCAAAGCTGGTGGAGGCCGACTGGCGCCTTGCTTCGTAAAAGGTGAGATTTCAGGCTGCCGGCTCACGTCTGTGTCGTGTGTGTGTGCGTGTGTGACAAAAAGGCCGACGCGAGCCGTAGGCTGAACGGTCGCACCCACACACACACACACACACTCTCTCTCTCTCTCTCTCTCTCTCTCTAAAGCGGGCACAGGCATTTTATTTTCGATACGGAGCAGCCTGATGTTACTCTCCGTGTCTCTCCCTCTCATCGACCAAGACGTGTCTGGGCAAGCGTTGATGCGCCTTGACGAGTGATGAGGTACCAAAAAAAAAAAGAAAAAAGCACGGCTGCGGCCGTGTCCGAATGACAAGACTACATTCGTCTCCATTCTCAGAACGGCAAAGTCGGCAAATCATTCATCTGGCTAACTAAGCTTCGCGCGTGTTGGTAGAGAGCGCCATTGCCATGTGTACATGTGGCTTTCCATGCGATTTTGTCATCGGCCCTCGACAAGCGTTGTACCAACGTATACGCGCCATGCAGCCGTGTCCGCCGTCCTGCATACGTCTCCGTGCGTTTTGCGCTCGTCTCGTCCATCTCGGTTGCACTTGACCATGTACAAAGCACAACTCCTCCCTCTCACGGCTGAGAAAGGGCAGAAGCGAGATGCTCATCTCATCGGCCGGCCTTTTCTGCCTAGCGTTGTTTTTTTTTTGCTCGTCTGGCTTTTCGCTCCTCCTTGTGCAAGGCTGCACTCTCGTTTGCGCAGCTCAAGAACGCAATTCACTCCCCCCACCCATCGCCTTCGCGCAGCCTACGCAGCGAGCAGAGTCTGCTTCTGCAAGTAGGTTACATTCCACGCACGTGACTTCGAGCCTTACGTAGACAGTAACTTACCATTTCCGCATGTCGCGAAGGTTATGTTCAGTCGTGCAAGAGAGTTAGAAGCTGGCTCCATCTGCTCTGTAAACAATGATCTTGTGTAGCATCTGGCCAAACGTCTTCTCCAGTCTATCACAGATTCGGAACTCCTGCTGACTTGGCTCCTTCCTCCATTCCCCCATCGTGGTGGAGCATGCTAGTAGAGATACACGCTTCTCAAAGTCCATCACCATGCACTGCAATCGCGGCGTAGCTTTTTATCAGCTCTACATGACCAAATCTCCAAACATCGGTTTAGTCTTTATGGGTTTCTTTTTCTTCCCCCCTTTCCTTCTGCTCGTGCCGTCTTCGTCTCGTTGCGCGTTCAGGAGCTGATTCGGCTGCAAACAAGAGACCAGGGCTTCGCTTTTGCCGCCGTGTTGGAAATGGCTGTTGCCTGACAAAAGTGACGGCGGAGGGCTATGATCCTGCACCGGCAACGAAGTCGATGTCCTCTTGATCGAGCAAAGATCAGGCTCGCTGTCGAATCGCTGACCGGCTCTTTCAAACTTTCCAGCCGCCTGCTTCCTTTTCGCCGTAGCGTAGGATAGAAAGGGTAGGCAGCAAAACACAGCTTGCCGCGGGCCAGCCATGCGCAACAAGCCTGGATTGCGCTGGACAAGACCCGGCACTTGCTCAGGCGACTGTTTCGCCGTGGAGGTTGCGTGGGAACGGATGGGCGAGGCAAAAATGTTTGGGTAGGCAACCTCCCGGGCTGCTGCTCTTCGAAGCTACGCGGACGTTCTTTGCGAGCGGAGTGACTTGAACCGATACAGCGCATTTTAGCGTGTTATCAGATGTCCCCAGTTGGCTTGTTTTCAGGCTTGACGGACTGATATTCGATCATCTCAAGTGAAGTCAACGCATTTGCGGTTCTTATTTCATTTCACATACACTAAAGCACACACACAAACATGCATACATGCATGCATACATACGTACATACGTATACACACGTCAATTTGCTACCGCACCTACAAGGTCCAGTATGTCATGGACTACAATGTTGCAACCCCCACCCGTCTTGTGGGTTCGAGAGATTGAGTCTGTCCTTGTTTCCGTAGGTTCTAATGCACGATGCCATATATATTTTATCAAGACGCGACAAGACAGATGAAGTCGGCCGTCAAGGCTGGTTCAAAAGATGAATCTCTGATCGGTCCACGCTCTGGAGAAGACCATGACCAGCGGCCGTGAAATCAGGCGGAGAACATGACAGTTAAGATCTCGCTTGCTTGAATGTCTGTGTTGCCCCCAGACGACGCTGGCGGAATCTTCACGGATACCCGTTGGACGGGCGAAGAAAAAACGTTTTGGCTTCTCTTTTACGCGGTGGAGCCTTTTGTCGCCATTTTGAACTCTAGAACTAAACTGCTTGAAGGTTGAGCCGTCGGCAAACGAGAAGTTTCGTCTGGCGTGAATGGATTGCAATGCCACGTCTCTTAATCCGCCGTGGAGAATCACTTAAGGAAGACAAGACGAAATGCAAAGTCTGATCAGGTGTTTCAGACGGGATGGTTCTTCGGCGAGTCGTTCTTCCTGGCGTGCGCTCTCTTCGAAACGGCTTCGACCAATCGCAGCAACGCTTCCTACACTTGAACAAGACGCCCACGCGCCCCCAGGCTTCAACCGCAAACGTGATGAGCGAGCCGGAAGTGTCGTTGGCTTTCGCCCGTTCGTTAACTTCGCCAGCAAGTGAAAGAGGTAAAGGGAGCTTCGATTTGATATAAGATGGCTCTTAGCACGCCTACGTCCTCGATGGCTCTGCTGTCCACTCGCTCCCTCTCTAATCATGGTGACGGGCGGAGGAGGAAGCAACTTTGGAGAAGACATCGGCAGAGCTCTGCATGACACGACGAAGAATCGATGCGACCATCCTGCCATCACCCGTCCTTCCACCGTTGCCCGTCTGGTCATTGATGGATCCTGTCTGCTGTTCGCCGTCCTGTTGCTTTGGCTGTGGGTCAGGACGAGACGACGATTACCGAGCGTCAAGTCCTTGCTTCCATGGTATACGTACGGGACTCTGCTAGGCTTGACAGCGCTGTGTGTTGTACGCCTTCGCATTTATGCGATTCGAAGCTAAGACAAGTACAGGTACCTGACCTTGGGCCTAGTTCTCACAACGCTCAAAGCCTGCTTCGTCACCACCTCCTCCAGCACTGTCATCCTCGGCGCGCTCGCCAACGCAGCTTCCGGCATCGCCGACCTGGTCCTTCTCCAGATCGTTTTCTATTCCTTGACCAGACGGCTGCTGCGCCTTGGCGGATGTCAGACGAGATTCGTCTCCATGCTTAATCTCGTTGGCTTGTCTTTGTCGACGACCGCCTTCCTTCCGACAACCGTGCTTTCCACCGTGGCTAGCATCTTCAGACTCACCTCAGGACATGATCCTACCTCGAAATCTCTGCTGGCCAACCTGAGCATCTACTTCTCGGCCGCGTTCTACACATCCTACTTCGCAGAAATCCTAGTCGGGTCTGCCACCCTTGTCTTCGCAGCGTCAAGGCCAGACCCGGGCACGATTGTCCCGTCAAAGGTACACGCTCTCCTCTTGTACACACGGATTGACGAGACTGACGCGTCCACATGGAAAAGAGCTACCCTTTGATCGGCTGCACGATCGGTTTTCTTCTCATCGGAAGTGGTTCAGCCGTCGCACAGATGTTTGCGTATTCTCTTCCCTCAAGGAGGCTACCAGACCTGGCTTGGGTCCTCTTTCTCGCGATATTCAACGTGTGTTTCATGCTCGCCACATTCACTGTTCTGCAGATCGCCAGAGCTATTGCCGTACCGGTCGTCGATCCAAAAGGTAACTCAACTTGTGACTCCGAGGCGTCCGAAGCGATCCGGGCAGTGGTTCATAAACGCTGCACTCATGTCTGTGGCGCAGATATTCAATTGCCCAGGCATACACACCTGCCAAAGAGACGGGTATGGCTACCCGCCGTGTCTAATTCACCTAATTCTTCCCGGTGGCGTCTTAGCTCACCGCTGGTAAATTTACGGTCTCCCCTTCTGCCAACCCGAAATGCACAGTACGCATTCTGAGCGGGATCGAGAAACGATCGCCACGAGTGCACGGAGAGCTCTGAAGTCAGAACACTGCAAACTTCAGCATGTGTTGATGACTTCAATGCAGGCTGTACGAACGACGTTTAAGAGACCTGGGTGATCTTTTTGCCTGCCTTCACATCCATAGATGGATACCGCTGACTTCGGGATCCCACTTGCCTAGTGAGTAGCATTTGCGCTAGGAAACCGCTTTAGTGTCATTGGTGAACGATGGTGATCAAGAGGGATGCTTCTCAAGTACATGTGCATGAGAACGTTCAAATAAATGAAATGGCGATTAAATAAGAACCAATGCTCATTAATTAGAAGAGAAACCCCTGCCACTATCCTACAACAAGTCTCCTATCCACAAGGACAGAAGCTTCATTACCCCGTGCCTTCCTTATACTCCATTCTCATGTATCTGCATCTGTTCCCCGTACAAGGATGGTCTTAAGGCAGCAAATACTCCCAGCCAGAAACGGAAGAGAAAAGTAGCAACCCGAAACGCCATACCGATGCGAATGATGATTGGTAATGGAAAGCAGTAACAGAACAACAAAAGCCAAGCAGAGTGGCAAGACCAGCCATGTTTCTTTTCTTTAACCCGTGAACCGGACACCGTTTCAAAATGCAAATGAGCAATTCCAAGACTCATACACGCCTATACAATGACTGTTAGACCGTTTCACCTAGTTATTACCCGCGCTCCAGGTTTGTAACACAGAAAGCAACTCCGTCGCTACTGTCTTATCGGACTTTCTCAGTATCAAAGCGGGGGCGAAATGTGCATAGACATGTTCGTTTGAGGTTATGGATTAGATGTCATGGTTTCATGATTAGCGAAGACGAAGTCATCCTGGTAATTGTGAAGACTCTGTTCACACCACTCGTAGTAGAAACTTCAAAAGGCGCCCATTCCTGGTGGAGGCATACCCGGTGCGCTAAGCGGTTCCAAGTGCCGCGTGTGCGCCCAAATAACCTCGTGCTCCCTGACGAATGGCAAAGCTTGAAAGTCATATTCTTTGTTCTTTACCAACTCCATGAATGTAATGAGCAAACCCCATGGATGAGGTCGCTTCGGAGTAAGTCGCTCAAGAAGGCTTATCGCAATCATTTCTTGTAGCTGCATATGATTGTCCTCATGACCCTCCGTCGCATGAGCGAACAGCTCCAACAGAGCTTGGGAGAACCAGAACGTGTGCGCGTTCGGGAAGCGAAGCTGATTTATCATCGCGTTTATGAGGTTGCTTGCCCCCCGAGCCGGTCCATTCGCAATTTTTTGGAGGATTGCAAAGTGCGTCGATGATTTGTTGAAGAGGCCGCCCTTAGGATTTGCGGACGCAATGGCCTCATTGGCAAGATACAGGACCAAAACCTGTACCAAATCGAATTTTTCTGCCATCACTTCTATCTTCGAGGACAGCTCTGCTATTGCATTTGATTTGCCCTTGATGGCCGCATCGAGGATATTCTTGATTTCAGCATCTCGCAGAATGCCGTCAAGGTCCAGCTGGACTGTAGGAATTTGGCGAATACCGTTGATACGATCAATTTTTAACCCAGGGGTAAATGGATCTGGCATCTCCATGGTTGGCAGATGGGTCCAATTGATGAGGTTGCGCACCTGCACACAGGAAGCTGGTGTGGCCGCATTGAGCCTGGCATGGTTCTCGATGACGAATTCTGGGAAGTCATGTTGAACAACAATGAGGACTCGGAGGACTGCGATGATGTATCCTGTTGCAAGCGGGTTTTCCAATGTTGACAAAATGTGCTCCGCATTTTTGAGGACAATCTCCAATAGCGAGACGTACGCGCTTGCAGCCTGCAACTAGTTAGTTTCCATGCTTTGCGGTCACCCGAGAATAAATATCTCACCTTCTGATGAGCACCACCCATTCGCAGTATAGGTGCCATGAAGAATCGATGGGACACTAGCGATAGCCAGCAGAATGTGAAGCCAGGGTACCTCGCAGGCTGCAAAAACGTGAACAGCTTCGCGAAGACGAGTAGCATATCGTCGTAAACTTCGCCTAGTGCAATAGAGACCTTGTGAAACTCGTAGAGGAGATCTGAGTAGAATCTAAAAAAAACTTTGTGGTTCGCGTGCTCTCCTCTCTTCTTGATATGGTACTGCTGGAAGAATGCGAATTGGCTGACTAGAGCATCCAGGTACTGTGTTTTCATTGGCTTGACGGCACCATCTGAATCCCCTTGGTAGAGAACGAGTAGGGCAACAAGCCTTGCAAGTGCATCAGTGGGAAGGTAAGCATTGTCCAACGAGCCGCAAATCTCATCTTCGGTATCATAAGCCTGAATACTGTAGTCAATACATGCTCGAAAGAAGTGAGCAGTAGTCTCCAGGTCGGTGAGAACTCTGTACTTGTGAAGCTGCTGCACGAAAGCCACACAAGTCTTCTCAGATGCCCCATTTCGAACCAAGTGGATCCATTCATCGAATATGTGCTCATGCTGATCTTGTTTCGAGGCCGGTGGCGGAGCCGCCGTATCAGCTTGGTCAGGGGCTCTAAGACGGTCAAGAAGAATTTGGGCGGGATTGTTACCCGGGTCTTCAGCAGCCAAATGGCTTAGAGCCTCAATGGTGTTTGCGAAATCTGCCCGGAGGGCGAACGGGAATGCACCTAATAGGACCACATCCATGAGCTCACTGAGAAACTCGAAAGCATGTGGATCGCGTTGGGACAGATGGATGGCGAGCATCGCATCTACCCGTTGGAGTGACAATAGATTTCGACTGAGCAAAGCAATCGTGACCTTCGGGTTGATCAACAGATTCTCATTACTTATGTCGTTGAGATGGTGCCAAACTTGATGTCCAGCTAAGCTAGAGACAGAGCAAAGCTCAGTAAGCAATTGTGTCCCAACTTCAACTTCGATTCGTCGTTCCATCTGACCGGAGAATAGGTAGTGCAAGATACGGACTGCGGCAATTTCGATAGTCTGGTCGACGCTAGCTGGAGGAATTGTGTACTGCAAGAAGCGCATAAGTCGAGTATAGGCGTCCTTGACAAGAGATGCAGATCCAAGTTCACTTGCTGAATCCTCTGGGGCTGCTTTGGCGCTGTCGAAGACGTCTTGGAGCATTTCCAAGAGACGGTTGGCCACGTAACCGTTCGCATGGACTTCTGAGACATCAGCTGGACCACGAGAGGGTTGAAGCTGCGCACGAGGGATAGCTGGCTCGCCTGCTGGAGTTGGCACATTCGGTACACCAGTTTCATATTCGGGCATTTGATGTCTCCCATCTTGAACTGGGCCATGTGAGGCACCAGCTCTGTTCGGGCCAAAGTTGTCGTAGATAGCAAGTTGTTGAGCCGTCAACCCCCCTGGTCCGTCGCTGGGCTTGAACGGCTCTGGCATCATCCGTGCAAATCGATGAACGCTTGGCCATTGGAAGGGCTCATCGTTTTGCTGCTGACGATACTGTGCCCGAGCGAGCAGTCCATCTTGAATGGCCTCGTCAATGACAGCAATCGACTGTCTCTCAGCAGCTTCCTCGACGACTTTGCAGACAATGTCAATATTTTCATTCACAAACATAAGAATGACACCTTCAGCAAGTCCTTCACCAGGTAATTGCCGACCGAGGGCGCGAATGTTGTTCGTCATGCTCATTCGAAGCGGCTCACGGCAGGTTACCAGAGCCAGACTGCCAGCAAGCGATTTCACCATACTGTGAGCGGCGTGCCTAAATTTCTCTTCATCCGGCTCCGTTGCGAAGTCTTTCGTTACTAAGTTCGAAGCGGAGATGCCTGCGATCGTCACAGATCTCTCAACAACTGGGAAGATAATTTCGCGTATGGCGTGTTCAGCCGCTTGCTGGAACACTGATCGCGTTTGCTCAGCCGTGATCTGGTTAGCAGACGGACTTGGAGGATAGAACAAACGCGTAGAGATATCTGGTAGGGAGTTGATGATAGCCTGCGGCGAGAAGCGATCACCCAAACGTGTGTTTTGTCTTGAGAAGTTAGCCAGTGTGAGGTCATTGAATCCTTCAAGACCTTCAGGGATGCTGGCAGGGAAGTCAGCATCATATGGAAAGTCACTCTCGCGAATAATGACAGACGGTTCAATCTTCTTGATGTCTGCACCGATGTCCTTGCACAGAACCTCCACCTCGAATTTCAGCTGGATCTTCATTTCGATATGATGATAGAATTCAAGCAAGATTGATAGAATTTCTTCGGTCCAAGGGTTTGGCGGGGCAAAAGTCTTGCTTTTCGCCACAGCCTTTAAGACGCGACAGACGAATGGAATGACCACTAATAATCGCTTGGACTTGTGCGCCTCAACAAGCAACTCAGCAAAGGCGATGTTGCGGTACATGATGGGCTTATCGCGAGCAAGCGTGAGGTGACCCAGCCACGATCCAAGGTTTTTCAATTGGTTGCGGTCGTTCGCATTGTTCATAGTTGCATCGGCATTGAGTAAGCGTACGCAAGTCACGATTGTCTCGCGTATTACTTCTTTCCATAGCCATTTACTATCAAAGAGTCGAAGAAGCTTTAGGAATAGGTCATGATAATTCGGCTGAGACTTTGCTCGATCCTCGACAAGATGAAGAGCGAACCATTGATGGTATTCATCGGTCACGGCCTGTTGAATATCTCTAAATTTTTCGTCGATGTTTCGATCTGACAAGTTGTTCACTGCAAAGATGACGCGATCCTGGATCTCCTCATCAGGCTCCCTGTAAATATCTGGTCGCAGAGGAGGGTCAACGTTCAAACTTGTGAATGGAGCAGATGATTCGCTAGCAAGCTCTTCGGCGACTCCGTTGGCAATGCCATTGGTAGTCTCACCGTTACGCTCTGCGCCTATTCTACTGCGCACGATGTCGTCAGCAGTCCGGAAGACTTCGGTACCTTGAAGCTCTGGAATTGCGAGAAGCTTTTCGCAAAATGTCGGCCACTCAGTAAGTTTAGACTGGAAGTGGATTAGAGCTTGCAGGCCAAACTTGTACATCTTGTCCTCTCTTGAAGTGGCCGTCTGCAATGCCTCTAAAACCATTGAAAGACCAGCTTGAAGCGCTATGCTCGATAGTAGATTGAAATTGATGATGCTGCCAAAGAGAACGGCAGTTGTTGCCAGAGCATCGGGTGGATATTCTCCAAAGCAGCTGTATTCGTCGAACAATCCTTGAATCATACAGGCAAACAGCTCTTGATCGCGTGGATCTTCCGAATTCTTGTAACGCTGCAAAGCCTCAATCATTGACTTAACATCTGTCTCCCGATTGTAAAGGCTCTTGAAATGGTCTTGCATTGCAGCGTCAGCCTCTGGAGATATTGCGTTTCCATTTTTACTGTTATCGCGGATGATGTGATCAAATCCCTCCCCGTAGTTGATCAATCGTGGGTATGCGCCTATTGCAAGGCGATTGAGAGGAATGAGGATATCTTCCGGCAAAACTTGACCAAGCCAGGTGAGAAGAACGTACGCTGTGTCGACTGTCAAAGGCACGGTTTGTATTGGGGCGCCTGCTTCTTTCTGTGTAAGGATGTCTGATCTCGCCTTCTCTTCAACAAAAGCAGAAAGTGCTGTTGGGAAATGAAGGCCATTCGCATTATGAGCATCCTGCAGCCATGCTTCGATGTCAAAGTCGCCATGACCATGCGCGTAGCAGGCGAGATCAAGCCCAAACTCATTTGGAATGCCTGTCAGCGGTAGTAACCAGCCATGCTCCAGAGAGTGTTCGTATATCGGAGCAATCAAGAGTTGATCCATCTGATGATATTTGACGAGTCGTTCAGCAAGCCACTGGCTATCTTGCTTCCAAAGACCGTGGAAGACAAAACTGTATCCCTCAAGCTGCTTTTTCAGGAAGGGGAAAAACAGCTGATCAAAAGCCTGATCTTGCAAACCACCCCATGGCTGAGGTACTGCTGCTGAGGCGACCACAAAGTAAGGCGTGTGAGGATTGATGACCGCTTCGGGAATGCCGAGCTGTATTGCATGTTTATAGGTGTCCTGGTTCTGAAAAATCTTTTCGAAGAGGGCGGAGGTAGCATCTAGAGAAACAAGCGGGTGTCGGACAGCCTCTTCGGCATATGCCTTAACTTCTTCCGAGGCATCTTGGAAGCTCTCAATGGTGTAGGCACGCCGTAACCGTGGGATTTCATTCGCATTGAGCTCATTGGCTGTGCAGGACAGAAACGCAACCACGAAGCTCAGCTGGGTATCGATCTGATTCCATTTTCCTCCCCACAAAAGCTGAATATCGAAATTCTCGTATTCTTGAGCTAGAGGGAGGAGAGCATGATACAGTGCCAGAAACTGCTGCTTGCTGATGACTAGATTCTCGCGATCGAAGGAGTGAACAACGTCTTGCCAGTCCAGCCTACGTCCGGCCCGATGCTCTTTCAATGCCTGCACAAATATAGCAGGATTGTAGGCTTCACCGTTCTGGGTAATGACCATGAACAACAACACGCTCGCCACTTGTGTGTAATTGATATGCCGCACCTCAGCCGAAGCTAGCATGTCCTTGCATGTGTCCAAGCTGGCTGTCGCACGCTCGCCAGTGCGCTGTACAAGTCTCACCAAATCATTTGTAGGACTAGTTAGTTCGGCGAGCTGTAGCGTAGACATGACTTCACTTGGGGTTGGTCTCCCAAGCTTTTCATACCGTACGCGCACAGCGTAGGTGAGGTTGGATAGTAATTCCTCGTTCCAATTGCGGGGAGGATTCTGGAGGAGACGGTCGATGAGGGACGCGAGATACGCCGGTGGAAGATCTTCACCCGTTTCAGATGTAGGGTTGAGGATGGCCATGAACATGTTTTCGAGGTTATTCGAAAGGATTGCGTCGGCTACAATTTGTCAACGAGATCGTACAGTGCGAATAGTGTTGCGCCTACCTTTGGTTTTGAGATCCGCCTTGGTCGCACCTTTTAAGGCAAGGGCGAGCATGCACTTAGCCACCGGGTCAAGCTTGAATTTTTCCATGAATGTCGACAGGTCAAAGTCACGAAAAGGCTCGCCTTCGTTCACGTCTATGGCGTCAGCGATCTTCTTCGCCTGATCTGGGCTTGTCCTGATAGTTTCCATCTCGTGTACTAGCACAGTCCAGCTGGCGGTTGGTTCAGAGGTGTCATTGCCAAATATACGAGCGGCATGTTGCCGAATGAGCTTGCGCATCGTGTACGCTAGAACCTCCATGTTCTGGCTCACAAACTGTGGAATAGGTTAGCGATGGACGCAGCTAGGAGAAACGGGGTATAGAACATACTGCTTCGAGGGACCGTATGCTCTCGTACCGTTTCTGCGGATCTTTCTCCTTGTCTAGCCGAGCTAGTTGTATGCTGACTTGGGCGATGTCGATGGAAGCAACTCCTCCTGACGCGGAGAAGGGTGCAGACGTTGCTGATTGCTGTTGGGGAGAGCCAATATCGCTCGATTGCGAAAGTGAAGGCGACGCTCGCGTTAACCTTGGCTTGCTTCCGCCGTCACCACTCGCACCTCCCTGCGCAGCAGTGACGGCGGAAGGATGCTGCGAATGCGATGATGGCGGTATTGTACGGCTCCGCGAGGAATACAGCAGCTGATTGCCAGTTTGCTGCTGTACTCCTGTGCTATTGGACGGGGAGAAGGGCGACGAGGTGGAGGAGACGGAAGAGTTGCGGCTGAGGTTTTGTCGTGAGCTTCCGACTGAATTCGACGCTTGGTGCGAAGCGTTTGTTGGCGAGAAGGTTGTGCGCGACGGGCTGCTTGATGGATTCGATGGGTTACGAGTGTTCGACTGCGAATGTAAACTAGACGCGGTTTGAAGCTGCGGCAAGACACGGCGCTGGCTCCAGGGGTTCATCTAGACTTCAATCCATCCGATCACGATACAAGAGTGTGACGGTGAGGAGGAGGTGCGGTGAGGATGGAGAGGTGTAAGTGTCGTCTGTCATTCAGGTTCAGTGCTCAGATTGCACTGGGCCGGCTTTTGCCAAGACTGAGATGTACCGCTTGAGCAGGCCCCACGAAGAAACTCGGCTCACACACAGCGCAGTACGACTTAAGCCTCCAGGTTTCAGGAGCTGCATCTTTCGACAAGCATTTTGATAAGTGCCTTGGTCTCGTAAGACGGGCAGGACTGTGCAACTTTTTGTTTTCATCTTGCAGCCGCACGAAATCAAGGGATCAACAAGCATGCCAGCAAACTATTGCATCGTCCTGGTACCCAACCGCACTGGCTACGAAGCCGCCCAGAAGTTCCTCACGCTCTGTAGGAAATTTCTTTATTCGATCATTACCGATCCCTTCTCTTGGTGTGTTAATCATACTCCTCACGACCTGTACCCTGTCTCCCCAAGACCGTTGTGACGGATCACAGAGTCCCAGAAAGTTTGCATACCAGCATTCGGCAATGAGCATGAATCCACATTAACAACAGACGGCATAGAGTCACGACCGGACGGCTTTGTTTAAACATAAACATATGACCAGAATTATGATTTTATGTGATTATCTCGAGAAGGACCTCCATAAGTGTACTGTTCTTGATCACGTGAATGATTGAGCCTCAGAAATGAATCAAAGACCGATGTATTACAAACGTAGCCCGACGACCATGCTTCCATAGGGCATACTACTCAGTGGTTGAGTATATTCACACGGTTTTATTCTCGGGCAGAAATCAGACACTTTGCAACAGATCACGTCACGAACCACGCCTTCCAGTTACCAACGCATCTTATCATGTTTGAGCACCATATTTAATATCACGTGATTTAAACGAATAAAGTACCTTGTTCTCATTACTTATCTAAAACTATGGAAAATCATAAATTAAGGTAGTTAGCTTCACGAGTGTCCCGGGAAATGAGATACGTTAAGGTACGACGAAGTGTGCAACGTGACAGCGCGGCCTCCTCTGCTCGATTTTGCTGGTTGCTGGGCAACGGGCCGCAGCCAGGGTGAGACAACTAAACACCGAGCAAGCGCGGTCTTGCTCCTTTGTACTCCCATGCACCTGGTTGAAAGCAAAACCCACGCCGTAATCAGGATGGAATCGCCACTGTCAGCTCTTTCGCCGGTCAAAGCAAGTGCTTTGAACTCGAAGATCCCAACACCACAAAGCCTGACGCCGACCAAGATGTCCTCTACACATGCTTCGAGATCACCTCTCAAGGCACAGCTTAGTGCCAGCGGGCAGGCAACCCCGGTGCGCGACAATTGTGACGGCAACGAAATCGACTGGGATGAGGGCACTTCGTCGCCATTTGTTTCTGACCTGGCAGAGGACAAGGAAAACATCGAGTCCGTAATGCCGTCGAGATCGACTTCGTCATCCGCACTAACAGAAGTCATCCATCGTGATACGGATGGGATGGACCTCGACGTCCTATCCACAGCAACGAAGCATCGTACACCATTTAAGATTGCCGAGGACGAGACTTGTACGTTTCACACAAGCAAGTCGATAGTGTCCAGAACTTCGTCCCCATCGAAACCTGCCCTGTCGCGCACATCCACTCAGAGCTCGCAAGACTCGATCTCAATCACGACACACTCGTCATTTGCAAGCAGAAATTCACATCGAGTAACTTCATTCGGCACAGACGCTGGTGATTTCACGATGGTAGAGCCTGACCTGGACGATACGTGCTTCAGCGTCTTCTCAGAAATACCGAACGCGGACATGACAGCCTTTGCAAGACTAGGACAGCAGAGCCCAACTAAGCGAATGGCGGTTGATGAGGTGGGCAATTTCCTAATCAATGTTTTGAGGCTGAGAACTAACTCGAAAGCAGACACCGCGAGCTAGAGCCTTCAATACTCCAGCTACCGCACACAAACATGTCTCTCGCACTCCCTCTCCAACACCGCGCCGTGACATGGCTGCAGGTATTCCTGAGTACCAAGATAGTAGCGACACAACGAACTTGCTTCTTGACTTTACTCAGCAATTTGAGGCCATCACCAAAAACTACAAGTCAAAATCACCAACTCGCCGTTCGCCACAGAAGCCATCTGCGGAGCCAGATCTTCTTTCTTACATCCACAGCCAACGGTCGCCCTCTAAGGCTGGTTCAAGCACAATGACGCCACGACCAAGCAAAAATAACCTACTCACTCTTCTTGACTTTGAATTACCACCAGCCCCTACTCCGCGTAGCGTACCAAGTATCACTGTTCGGGAGATGGAGAGCCTAAAATCAAAGTACAGCTCAGAGATCTCATCACTACGTGCAACACTGAGCGGTCGCGAAGCGGAGGTTGAGGCACTCAAGCGCGCATTGAGCGAAGCTGAGCGCCGTGTTGGAGAAGCAATGGAGAATTCACGTGAGGAGCGTAGCAAGCGTGAGTTTGTTGAAAAGGAAAAGGAACAATGGGAGCGACGAGGTCGAGAATTCGAGGAAGTGCTTCGTAAAGTCAAAGAGGAGGTTCTTGAAGCGGAGAAGGAGCGGTCTGAAATGCTGGCTCGTATTGCAGAAGCCGAGCAACGAGTGCATGATGCTGAAGAGCGAGCATCTGCTGCCGAAGCAAGGGCTATTGAAGCTGCGACCAAGATTGTTGATACTGGTTCAACAGCTACAGATGGTCAGAGAGACGGGCCACTCTTCACAGCCGAACAGGTGCAAAAGCAAATTGATGAGAAGATACACACTTTGAGTACCGAACTTCACGCCATATATAAGAAGAAGCATATCACCAAGGTTGCTGGATTGAAGAAGGGCTTCGAGGCCAAGACCAAGGAGAAGACTGCCGAGCTCCAGGCCCGTATTGAAGAACTGGAACGAAAGAACGAAGAGCTTCAGCTTAAGCTTGACGGAACGTTGAGCGGTGTTCTGCCGGCGGAGATTGCTGAGAAGCTAAGAGCTGCACAGGACGATGTCGCTTCAGAGGAACGAGAAGCGGTGGCAAAGAGGCTGGAAGAACAGAACGCTCTGATCGAGCGACAGAAGGCCGAGCTTCTTGGGCGCGAGGAAGAACTCCGAACTGCACGCGCTGAATTTGCGACGTTGATGAAAGATCTCGAACGAGAGCGCGTCGAGAAGGGCGAGCTCGTGGCCGCAGTTGATGAGATGCTAGCGCTACAGTCAGAGATCAGTACGATCAACCCGGAGGCAGGGAACGCAGTGGAAGACTTCAGAAAAAGCATTTCAAGTTCCATGAACACAGCGTCGAAACCAAGCGGCATTCGAGCTCCAGGAGCGTTCGGCTTCAACTCAAGCGTGTCCAGCAGTAAAATCGCTCCACCCAGCCTGTCAAGGAGTACCAGTGGCGGTAAGAGCAGAATGATGAGCAACATTGAGCGAATGGCCAGTGGGCGGTCAATGGAATAACCAAGGCGTTCAATGTAACTCTGATTTTTTTTGGGCCATCGGCGAGTGGAATTGGAGAAAGGTGGCGTTTCATTCACAAAAATCCAAAGATTCGCAAGAACAATGTAAAGAGCGGATACCAGTGTCGGTAGCGCACGTACTTGATGGGTTAGTTATTTTCTCAGCGTGTTTTGGCTTGTAATCCTAAACAGCTATCTCTCCGTCTCCATGCTCAATTGGAACCACTTATAATACACTCCGGAACGCCATCCATGCAGACAATCATGAGACTAAGTTGGAGAGCCAGTCATTCCACTAAGCCTTGCCTGTGAAGTCGGTTTCGTTCGCACTTGAGCTAATGCCCATGGCAGCACGGTTACAGGTGCAAGAACCTTTCTCCCTCATTCCTACCCAGGCATCAGTACTGTATCAGCATACTGCGAATCACCCAGTTAGGCATACCACAAGCGCAAGCATCAACTGGGACCTGATTCTCAGTTGCCGCTTTCTCGCAATTGCAGTGCATGGCAGGATTCTTGCCACATGAGCACTTAGCCTCGGCGGCGCAAACGCATCCAGCACTACCGCTTCGGCCGCAGCAGTTCTATAAACGGTGTCAATCATGTGGCATAGCAGCTGAGTTATTCAAAATCTCATACCTTAGGTAAAGCACCAGTCATAGTGAAGCTGTGGTTACTTTGGTCGTGTAATAATATCTTCGGAGTGTCTCTCTCTGAGGTTTCGGCCTTATCGACGAAAGTTTGATTAGAGTCAAAGAATGTATCTGGAAAGAAGGGAGAGCAAGTCCATAAATACTACGTAGGTGGTTCATGGATCCGACTCATCCCACGTGCGTGATGCTGGCGTTCAGCCAATCAGAGGAGAATTATTTCCAAGCACCCTGTGCTTTGCCTCAGCAAGGGTGGAGTGATCTGGCCAGTCATGGATTCGCGCCTCCACTTGCCATCACCCTCGCCCACGAGGCCTTTGGCTGCCAATGCGGATGACACGCTAAGTGAGTGTTTCAAGGGTATGAATATTGTTGCGATGCATATGAGTGGAAAATGTGCTCGAATTCCAATGTGTCCAACATATAGGTCGTGGCTCACATCCTGTTGATAAATGTGGTTGGATCAAGTAAATGGAGGCCACATTATGCGGTGTTGATCCCTTCTGTCTGTGCTATTGCTCTCCGTGCTTTTTATCTTGAAAAAGGCAGCCTCATCGTTGCCGAGCAGAGGCACGCTTCAATACAGATCAGTTCACGGACGGCAAGGGCATGTTTCATGCGCCTCCAGGCGGCCAAACGCAGGTAAGATGAGAACAGAAGCTCTGCGTGCTAGGCATGTCCTCCCGTCGCTTGTATCAAGCACACAGATCAAAGCAAGGAAAAGCATGCACGAGCGTTCCTTCATATTTGCGTTGGTTCAAGGAAATACGATATGCTGTCACCAAAGACCTTGGGTAATAGTCTTATATGGTTAAATCATTTCGTACAGGCCTTTCCTTCTGTCTGGACAAAAGAAAGACCAAGGGAAACTTGAAGTACTCAACGTGTAAATAGCAACATGCGAATAAAAGATTTTAAACCGCAGAGAAATCAAGGAACAAGCATTTAGATGCAGAATCCATGGCTGAACAGTTAAGGCTTTTACTCCTAACACCGATGACCAAAGGGGACGGGAAAATGTTTTGCAATAAATTATATCTCTACGGAATAGCTGAAAAATCTAGCTTACTGAACACTTGCTGACTCGAACTGATATGCTAAAACTTGTAAACACGCTCTCGAGACAGTCGTTTGGCAGGATTATCAGCACCACAAAGCCATTGAGAGAACAAAACGCTGCCCAGAAGCGCGGTCCTTGCTTTTCCGCCTTATGGTGTGCGTACGCACATCGGCCATCAAAAGAGCCTAGATTTCATGAGATGCGAAGAAGAGAGCGAGTACAAATCTCGTGCATTTCTGCACTATCAAGATCCATATGCGCTCACGTGTCTGTGCCCGTGCTGTGGAAAGCGGCGCATAACGCTGCATACTGATGCGTCAAATCCAGAACATGCTCTGGTAGAGGTGTGCTTTGGATGATGCTGCGCACTTTGAGCGCACCTTCCTCCTCGATGAGTTTACGCACTGTGTACAAGAGCGAAGGCGAAAACTACAGAAACGTAGTTAGCACGATTCAGTCATCACACAGAGCCGCACCAACGAAGAAATGACTCACCTCTGAGTACCACCTGTATTGCCAGCATATCAACCTGATAACCGCGCCCAACAAACCCCTCACGTCGCCCCTCTGCTCCCACCACCTGATAAGCCCTTTCATAGCCTTTGGACTAAATCGAATCGCCAAGCACTGCTGCCACGCTTCATATGCCTCCTCATCATGATGGAGCCGTTCCGCAAGCTCCCCGAGAATCTCCCACTCCTCTGCGCTCTTCTTGTACTGCATATTTTCCTGTCGAAACTGCGCCATCTCCGTCCGCCAAATGGTATACACGCGCAGATCCTCGTACAGCACCATGAACAGGTTGTCCAGCCAGCGCTCACAAAGCCGCTTGTTACGGAACTGTGTGTAGTGTGTTTCTGGGGATTGAGAGGATACTTCGGCATTGTCAGAGCCGGCATGCACCTCAGAGGATGTTATAGTTGATGCTGGTTTAGAGAGATTGGCGTCACCGTTTTGTACGGCGGACACAGGTGTTCCAACTTCGCTGCTATCATCATCTTCGTCTTCTTTATCTTCTGCTCTGGTCTCGGATTCGCTGTGCTGGGAGGAGCCTTCACCGTTGGTTTCTGGGTTGGGCGAAGGTGATCTCAGTGCGGTGGTCGACGCATTTCTGCTGTGTGGCGTTGCGCTGGCAGCTTGCTTCTCATGACGATATTCCTCTTCCATTACGAAGACCTGGCTTCGTATTCTCAAAAGTTGGTCCCAACCAATTTTCTTGGTTATCTCTGTTAGGAGCATGTACGCTTTTAGGAACGTGCCCTTGAAATTAGCAGCGTGCAATTTCCGCAAAGTAGGATGCACTAGTTCAGACTCCGAGGAGGCCTGAGTATCGTCGATCTCATCACAGATAGTCTCAGCCATGGTGGGCAAGTAGACCCGAAGGGGTTCTGGCATCCGGGGAGCATCCTTGTCTTGGTACGTGAACATAGGACATGAGTTTAGTGTGAGAAGTGCTAGATCCCATTGTTCAAGACCCACGTATATCTCTGCTAGTCGAGCCCACGTGCCGAATTCACTGGGGGCAGAAACCACGCTGCGCTTCGCAATCTCTAGGGCTAGGTCTGATCGCCCCTTTTTGTTCAGGAAGGACGCTTGGCAATCAAGGAGTGAATAGTCCATGGGTAACTGCTCAATCGCGTCGTGGAGAACTTGCACAGCTTTTACTTCTTCATCAGCGGAGATGTAAACTCGAGCGAGAAGCGAGGATATCTCGGGGTCCTTAATACGAAGCTTCTCAAAGAGATTAATGCCTGATGCAAAGCGTCCAGTAGTATGAATGTAATTAAGCAATCCCGTCGTCAAATGGTTCGACACCGTGTTTGGTACCTGGATCTCTGGATCCGAACCGAGTTGCCAGCCATTGAAGAATAACCTCTCCGCCGCGTCAAGGAATCTATGCTCCGCTTCGGTCGTTGTAATTGGGTTGAATCTTCGCACACCAACAATCTTCTTGATGACATCTCCAGAGCCGTCATCTGCGTACGAGTACGCACGAAGAACACTGCAAAGGTATGTCTCCAGCCAAAGGTCGTCAGATGCCACCCGCTTGTCGCCTCGTTCGTCAATGCAGTAACTCTCCACCGTTCCTGGTATTTGTACCTGGACGCGCATGTCCAATCTCGAGAACGCATTATAACAGCTGCCAGTCGTAAGTGTGACGGCTTATGCACGAGCAACGTGTGCCATACCAATATAGGCCAGAGACCACCTTATTCTGCTTGTCGTGTGGTGTATGCGTGAGAGTATTAATGTAAGCGGCGAGACTAGCAGATGAGGAAGCCTCTATGCCGGTAACATGATGATACACGCCCGTCTAACGCACGTATGAGTGTTGCGGATAACGTGTTGCGGGTGAGGGCACATACTTGTCTAGCGGCGCCCTTGATAGGTTGCTTGACCAGGTGTACGAGGTCTGGGGGACCAAGTTCGCGGAGTGTTTGCAATGATTCTGTCCGGGCATCAACTGCGGTATGTAGTTCTTCCTCGAAAATTCTGCAGGCCCATATCCGTCAGTACTCGCAGTCTCGTTCAGCAACAGTGAATGCGACGGCACCTCAGACGGTGTCGGAGGTCCAAACGGTGGACGACCCAGGAGGGGACAAAGTAGTTTCAACGTACTCGGGGACAGCGGTTATGGGTGCCATCGCTGTGGCTACTCAATCGACTCAAGTCCGCGGGATTTGTCAATTAAAGAACTGGTATAACGAAAGCTGGCCGTAAAGGCGATTTATTTTTGGTGAGCTTCGAGAAGGCCAGTTAACTTAGTTCTCCACCAAAGGAAGAGGACCCTTGCTTCGTCCCTACGCGCTAGCTTAACACAACTGTCTCGACAGGTGGTGATGCGCTCGCGCTAGATCGTTCACATCGGCCACTGCAATCATCTTGCAAATAATCACGCAAGGCTGACAGGAAGCTTGTACAGCACTCTGCGCCATAAGACCAGTATCGATGCTTGATTTTACAATTTATCATTCTTTCTGCACCCTCCATGACCGCCCTATGCCAAGTGCTGTTCGTTGACCCATCATGGTAAGTTTAAGAACCTGTGTCCAGTATGATATGATACATGCGCGTGTCACCAAAAAAGACTATACACGACTTTCAACATCTAATGGAGTTGAGCCAGTCGTCCTTTCAAGCGCTTAATATCGACTATGACCAAGTCGCCGCGGAGCAAGACGTCGACGACACGAAAGAGCTACAAATTGAAGACGCGCTAAAGCTCTATCAAACTGCCCTCAAATACCATGCAGAAGGCCCAGCTTCCTATGAGAAAGCTCTCGGCGCGTACAAGGAGCTTTTCGCCTCTGAAATCTTCAAGTATACTGAAGCGCAGTCCGAACTTGTGCGCGCTGAGACTTTCCCTGAGTATGAAGAGATGTGGATCGAGAGTTTCCAGGTTGGCCCCGCCCAACCGACTTCGAATGTCGAGACGGCGCCCAATACGCTGAGCCAGCTTGTGTACCTAAGCCATAAGAATTACGGAAGATTCCTTCTAGATTCGCTGCAATGGATTGTGCAAGGGCATCTTGGGGAGCATTCAGGCGTAGCGTTTACCCAGCGTACTGTAGAAATTGCGAAACAAACGCTCAATGCGTATTCGGAAGCATTGGACAAGGACGATACAGACGTTGAACTCTGGCGATCTGGCGGGTCTGTTGCGCAGATAATAGGATGCAACAGAATTGCGAGATTCTGTCTGGAAGCTGTCCTTGACATGGGTGAGGAGACTTTGGATGATATATTAGGACTTCCCAATGTGGAACAAAATCTTGCCTTGCTGAAATTGCAGGAGATGGCAAGGAGTCTAGAGGATGATTTGTCACGGGCTCTAGCTCCCCTTTCCACAATTAGACGCCAAAAGTTGGGAGAAATACTAATCAAGCGTTTGGAGTCACACACGATAATACCGAAGCCATCCTTTGTGGAGACGGCATATTCAGAGCAGGGACATTACGGGCGCACCCCAATGCGTAATCCGATTTTGGCCGCACGACGCGACTGGGCTGCCGTTGGAGATGCCATTTTGCAGCTCCAAAATTTGATGGAAAGTACTAAGGTAGACGTTGGGCCGGGCATCGGTATCAACATCGTCTTTCCAGAGCGAGGCGCTGATGAAGCCCAAGAGACGGAACATCCCAATCTTCCTGAACGAGCTAGATCGGTTAGCAAGAGTCAGCCAGAGGTTGCGAGAGTCAAACAAGAGGGCGCATCAACTAAGGGCCTCAATGAATCAAATGATGCACAGAATTCAATCACGTCGGATGAGAAATTGAGCGAAGATCTTGCGGCAGAAAAGCAGTTGCATGTTGAGAGTGCCGAAGCGCAAGAGTCCGCCGTAGCGCCAAGTCGAAAGCGGTCACCCGAATCTGCTGAACTGGCTGAAGATGAAGGTCGTGGTCGCAGCAAGCGAGGCCGGACACGAGGCGAGGTTCCCGACGTCAATAAGGCAGACGAAGCCAAAATTAATGCAGACTGGCAGCTCGGAATCTACAAGGATTCAGATAGCTGGTTGATCGATGCAACAAACGCATTTCTGCAAAGACTACATCTCCCTGAGCTATTCTCAGCCACAGATCTGCGAAACCTCGTCGATGGCGAGAGCAGCCATTCGGGCAATGTGAGATTCAAGACTGTGATCAAGTTCTTTTACGACGTGACCACGTCATGCTCGCCGGAGCTTGCGCAGATCTTGACGAACGGATTGAATAACGAGAATATTGATAGCTTTGGTGCCGCATCTCGAGAGTCAGGGCTAAATGCTTTTCTGCAGACTTCACCGTCACAATGCTCACAAGCTTGCGTAAGGCCAATGCTGGCCACCACTGAGGGCTTACACGATTGGGTGGAGGAACTGAATGCGAACTGGTATTACCCAAAGGAAGCTGCTTGGAAGTTTCTGAATGCATTACTACGACCTGGCTGTTTCCCCGGGTCAGACGTGAATGCACCCTCGAGCTATCTACGCCATCAATGGCCGGAGGATCTCAAACGCTGTGTTGTACAGCTCGCCGTACGCTTTGATGACTACATCTATGAGCAGGCTAATACTGAGGTGGCGAAGCTTGTTGCTAGAGAGCTAAAGCATCAGAACATGGGTCTAGATTTCATGCTTTCCCAGGAAGAGAAAAACATGGTAGAGTTCGTGCAAACAATATTTGAATTACACCTCGATGTGTATTCACTCATCAAGCGACCCGGGACCAACGTGGACGACCTCACAACAACATCACAGAAAGCTAGATTAGAGATCTGGTCTTCCCTTGCGAACACGGCAATTAATCTTCGTATTAGTGGTCAGAACGAGCCAGATACAGATGATCTCTCATTAAGACACATTTGGGCGACTGCGTTTCACATATCAGTTTGTGACGATGTCTCACAAACTCATATCTTACAGTGCATGAAGGATTTAAAGGCTTTACTCCACACCCTGGATGGACCTTGCATCTTTTTACACAACAACGCTGTAATACCGGAAATTTCAGTGTCTGCAATCGAGCAGGAGCTAAGCAAGATCAACATGAAAGACTTTTTTGCCAAGATATTTAGTGATCGTGAAGAAGATCCCGTTGAAACGATCGAGAGTCTAGAGCCGTTGCTTGAGGGCTCTGTTGAGAAGTTCAACTCCTGCAGTGAGAAAGATGAAGCCAACGTCGAAGAGAATGCTGGTCAAGAAGGCGACGAGACCAGGGACAGCGAACGAGATCCGACACCACAAGAACAAATGAATAAATTTCTGGGGAATTCGACCTGGACTTTACGACTATCGCTGTGGCAGCGCCTGCGTCAGGCATACAAGGCAATCGATTACAATCCAAAGGTTGCTTCATGTCATTTGCGCAGTATCGAATTGCTGACAAAGGAGATGCTTGCGCGTAATTCAAGCATTATGGTTGAATCGAGAAGGTTGGAGCTGCTCCGCTGGTTCCATGTCATTGATGAGTTTATCCAGAAGGTACTTACTCTGCACCGGTCTTGTCCAGACGTTTTCGAGTGCGTAGACTTGGACCATCTCAAATGTTCCATCACAGCTGTGACTTGTCTACTCCAGATGGTGCACAGCTTTAATTTGTTCGAGGATAAAGTTCGTGTTGGGACGTTGCCCTTTCCAACATTTGAGGGCAAAGTGAAGCCATCGTTTACAATGACAGCGCGATGGATGCATAATTTTCAACTTCGAGGATGGATGCTCCTATATCGCTTGTTCCAGGAAGCAATCGAGCAGGATCCTGAAGCCTTCGAGAATCCTACTGAATTGAAAATGGAGTATCTACGCACGTTGCATTATGCACTTGGCCAGCGTAAAATCTGTAACGAAGCCCACAAAGAACTTCTGCACTTGCTGCTCGACGAGATGCTTGTGCTTTCGGATTCAGAATTCTCGGAAACAGAGCTTGCACAAGTCGTTTTCGACTTGTACGGTCTTAAATTTGCTCCTAAACCTGACGATGAGCTTATGGACCACGGATGCACAGATCACGAGATGCTAACAAGGAAGTCTGCTCTTAAACTGCTTAGTTTCTTCATCGAGCAAGCTAAGAAGGTATCTATGAAGGATCTGCCGAAACATGATATCAAGAATGCAGTAGATAAGGTACAAAGCGCACTAGGAAAAGGCAAGAGCACTGATGATCAGCTGTTGAATTTCAGAGTTTACAGCAACTACATGAAGTCGCCCATCAATCCTCTCGATCTATTCTCCTGCCTGAGAGGCACTTTCGAGATCCCGATGAAGCCGATCCCTGAGTCGGATTCGCCGGTAGCAAGCAAAGGATGGTATTTTCTTCTTGGCATGATTGCACTCAACAAGTTCAAGTCCGTGAAAAGACTTCAGCCTGGGCCGTGTGAAGATCTCGTGAATGCACAGGCATTCTTCAGGCAAGATATTGAGTATTGCAGTGATCATTGGGAGAGCTGGTACCGTCTTGCGCAGGTCAACGATCTTCAGCTTGAAGAGCACGTCTCGTGGTCCGCGGAGAAGTTAAATGCCCATGCGCACGAAATCTTCCACTATCAACGGAATGCACTGCACGCGTATATAATGGCAACGTCTGCTGCCGTGCGTTCAGCAGACCAATCACCAAAAGCGGTTGCCCTCATGGCTGAGATGTATGCCGATTTTGGAAACAGAATATACGCGTCTTCACGGGATCCATTCTCGATGCTGGCTTTCGGATTTCTGGACAAAGAGGAAAGACACTTCAGTGGAGAAGTGATGTATCAAAGGCCGCCATTCAAGCCCCTACAGCTCTTCCAGGCTTGGAGGTTAGCCGCCGTGTTGTTCAGGAGATCACTAGCTCGTGCCCCTGAAAAATGGCTCACGTATTACATGCTGGGCAAATGCCTGTGGAAAATGTATACGTACGAGCTCCCAGAAGGCTCTTCAGATGACAAACATAGGCCTTCCAAGCAAGAGGTTATCGACTGCTTCGTCAATGCTGTCAATAAACTTCCTAAACGAGATAGCAGGAAGGAGCCAATCCTTGAGCCACATTATAAGCTAGTAGCCATCATTCATAAGCTTGTCAAACGAGGCGACCTGAATATATCTGAAGCATACGAGCTGTTGAAGTCGTCTCTATATTCGGCGAAGATTCCCGCTCCCGATGCCGGCCAGGACAGATCCTCGGCCGACTACGTGATGAGTATCCTCAAGTCCCTACGTTCGGCAGATAAGGCAGGTTGGCACCATCGCATGACTGCTCGGGCCGCACACCTTGTTTATGACGACTCACCACTTAACCCAGTCAGCGCTATGGAAGCCAAGCACGAGCTCACACAGCAGATGTTCACTAAAACGATGGTGCTTCAAGTATGGAAACCAGAGTTCGAGCGTCCAGGTCGACATTTTGTGTACACGACACGATATGTGCGTTTTTTTGTTCAGCTGCTTTCCCAATTGAGCGACCGGGAGGGATTGTCTGCCCTTGTGAAGAGATTGAGGCGAAAGCCAGATCAATACTTTGATCACAACAAACTCTGGCATGATACATGCATAACATATTTGAAATTGCTTCGAAGAGCTGGTTCAGTGCCTGAAGGCTATGAGGACGCCGTTTTCAAGAGCTTGAACCATGACGATTTCACTGTCCGAAGCGCGAAACTAGAGATATGGTGTCACACTATGGGAAACCACTCATTGACTTATAGCATACTGACCGACGTCATTGAGCTTAAGAAAGTCAACAATGGTCTGATGAAAGCGATGCTCATCGACGATCTCCTTGGCGATACATACGCGAAACTCTATGAAGAAGTCGGCCCGGAACAGCTGGAGCGCATCAATCTTCCAACAAATGAAGGTACGCCTGCACCCATTTTGCCTCCTACAGCCCCCCCAGTGACTACGACCCCAAAGCCTATGGCTCTCACAGCGGTGATGAATTTGGACGGAGCCGCTATCGCTGAGGCTTCTCGAGTTGCAACGCCACAACCGGAACCTCCAGTTCCAACCAAAACACGTGTCAAACTTGGGGTTGGTCGCCGGGAAATACAACGAAAAGCTGAAGCCGCGGTCAACCGACCCGCTGCCGCTGGAGCATCGCTTCGCTCGAATTCTATCTCAGTGCCGCCAGTGGCGAATCAAACAGCATCTCTTGCTGGTGCAAGTCCGAAATCTTCGAGTGCCAAATTGCCTTCGGTAATACCTCCTGCAGTAGCTTCCACGCCGGCGCCATTGCCTTCAGATTCACATTCCGGCAATCTGGCAGCTCTCAGTAGTGATGAAAGTGAGTTGTCGGAGCTGGAGGAGGAACCTGAAGAGCCCAGTCACTTGGCAAGACCTGCTTCGGCTTTTATGGATCTGAGAAGAGAATCGCCGGCCGGTAGCTCGACTACGGCACAGGATCCCGGGGAAAGCAAGGATGAGGCAGACGAGGATGAAGAAGCAATTGATGATGAGGAAGTAGAGGTTGATGAGCAAGAAGAGAATGACGAAGCTGAGCAGAGTAGAGACGAAGATGGCGATGAAATCATGGCTGATTAATATGCTTTGCCAGGCCTATGTGCTCTATTCAAGATGAAATAAGAAATTCTCATAAGCAAATGCAAGTATTCGCTGTCGTGCAAATTTCCCTCGAGATGAAATCATAAATCACGACTGCGGGCATTCGTGCACAGGCAGTGCGGAAGATTTATATACAATAATAGATATAAGCCGACAGATATAAACAAGAAGCTTCGATGTGCATACTGAACGCTGGACATTGCGTTAAGGAGGACAGAATATTGAGCAAACCGGCTCTTGGGTATTATCCAACCTTTTATCACCAAGTCTAGTCTTTCAGATCTCTTCCGGCTCTACAACTTGGCTTTGCCGCCTTTGCGGCTTACGGTGCATTGGATGAGACCGTTCGGGTTACTCTGAGGAGCATACACCTCAGCGTCCTTGCCAGTATTCTTGAGGCCCTTGTGCCAGCTCAGGTCGATCTCGAAGTAGTGCTTGTTGGGTAGCGAATACTCGACGCTTTCGACCAGTGGGACGCTGGCCAGAATTTGGTCGCACATCTTGTACATGGTGTTCTGAACAGAGGCGGATTCGTCCTTGGCGAACGTGGATAGGGTGATGTCGCGAGATGTCTTGTGCGCAATGTCGAACTCGCTAACCTTGGACTTGACCTCGTCGAGCGATGCAAATGTCTTCCAATTCCAGTTCGCCTTGACTTCCGTGCTGAGGATGCGATCCCACGTCTCTGGTAGCGCGGTGTACTCGTCTCTGTGGAAGCCGTAGAAGGCAGAGCCAGTGCTCTTCAGAACCAACAACTTATCAATGCCGCTCTTTATGCTGATGCCTGCACCCTCGCGTGCCACAAGCTCGACAGTACGAACCTCCTCACCGTCCCGGTAGAAGCTATGAGGGTGGGGCTTGCCGTCGATAGTCAGGCGGGTCCAACGGTGTTGTACGATATTGACATGGCAGGCGTGAATATGTGAATAGGTTGAGATGAAGTGGTTTCCGAGTATGGAGGCGAATAGCTCGGGTGGCTGGATCGGATTTTGCTTTGCGAGGATGTACGTGGTCTGTTTCTGGGTGTCGGTTGCGACGACAACGGAGTTATCAGCTTCCGTGTACCTGTGTATCCTTGTTAGTTATGCTGCTCGTGGAGGAGCACATGGGAGAGGCGTACGAAGTTTCAATGTCACCCTCAAGGAGGATGCGAACGGTCATCTCGACAACTTCTTGCGTGCCATCGCTGTTGCGCTTCACCTTGTACAGGCGGACATTGTCCTTGCCGTAGCGTGCGTAGCTAAGCTGTGACATTTTGTTATGTGGGATCGAAGGAGGTGTTTCTACAATCTGCTTGCACCACTCTGAATAGGCTTAATGATTGGTAGTACGGACGCTCGGTGCAGTGTGAGCTGTTGGCTGTTCTGGTGAAGCGGCGCTGGGAACTCAGAAGAAATGGTTGTCTATATACCCTCTTATCTGTGATCAACAAGGACATAAGCTAATGAGGCTGCAGACGGAGCCCGCCGCTACGTGCTCGAAACAAGCAAAGTTAAAACGGGACGTCGGCAGCATTTGGGAAGGATGGCGTGAGTAGATCCGTGGACGACCTCAACGTCGGAGGTGGCCGAAAACTGGTGCACCTCCACACAACGCTCAGGATCAGTGACTGAGAGCCAATCATGAGTGAAATCGCCCAAATTTTATGCAAACTCCATTGCGACGCAAGACTCTTTACGGATGAACGGCATCGCCTTTGCCAATAGCACATACAATTCTCTGCCATAGACGACCTCGAACTGCTAGATCAGGATGATGACGGAGCTTTGCATTGGTGCTAAGACCAGCTACGGAGATCGGCCAATCAAAGGAAGGCGATAATTATGCTTCAATGATCGGAGAGATCTGGATTCGCAACGCGAAGGCTGGAACAAGCAGCTGTCCAACGAGCAAATAGCTTGTATGCTCATATCAACAGGTCGCCTTCGATCCTAGGCTGACTATCTCGCCTGAAGCGCATGTTCGGACTCTTTGAGCTCACCGTTTGCGGTTGGGGACCGCACGCGGAGTAGAACTAATGCATGAAACTCATGCATATCGCTATGGACAGCGCTCAGTTGCTCACGTGCGATTTAGTAATTCTTTGACCATACAAATGTCTGCTACCACGAACTACGACAAATTGATACGGGGCTCTTGCAAGATGCTGTCAGCGTAATTAAGGTCAGTTTGTACAATAGGGGGCGCAACATCGCAACGTTTTTCAATCTCGAAGAATACCTCAACCCAATTCCGATGAAAACGTCCCTGCTCAGATTTCACCTGCGGCCCTTCATACTTCGGCTATTCACGCTACAAACCGACCCTTTCGATGATGCTGCAGCATTTCAGATAGTCTTCTAAGCCAATCATTTCTAACGCGGGGATTGCGCAGCTCAAATCTTCCGTAGTTCACTTTGTGCGAGTTCAGTGTGTCTTCATTCACTCTCTTCCGTTATTATGAAAGTCGTCGCACATCCGGCACCCACTCCCACAACCTTTCCTGCAACCTTGATCTCATTCCACCTGCCCTTCACATCGCCGTTCTGATCAACGGGTAGTCCGCAGTTCCCGTGCTCTCCCCATCCCCAAGAAATGACCTTACCATCCTCAGTCAATGCTACAACGTGCTCGCTGCCCACAGCAATCTGCGAAAGCTTCGGAAGATTTGACGGTCCAAGCTGGCCTCGGTCATTTCGACCCCACGAGAGCAGCTCTCCCGTCTCAAGAAGCACGAATATACTACCCCAGCTTGCACCGATGTCTCTCCACGATGGCAGTGATTTTGGTGCCTGAGAAATAACGCCCCATCTGTCGTTGCCGATGATGTGGTGGTGCCCGCTTGATCTCGAGCCAACGAAGTACGTGAAATCCTTCCCACAGACCACTCTATCTGGCTCAAACGGGATGCCATCTATCTTTCGAGGCGTCCAACAATCTTGCGCAGGCTCTCCTAACTGACCTTTTCGGCCGCTTCCCCAGCCATACGCATCGCCATTACTGAGCAAACAAACAGTATGGCTCATGCTCGCTGCCAGATCTGCGATGAATGAATCGTCGTTTGGGGGAAAATCTGTGATGATCCTTGGTTTTTCTGAGCTCGTAATGCCATTACCGAGGCCGAGCTCACCTTTGTTGCCAGAACCACATGCAAAAACCCGCTGAATGTTGTCAATCACCGTCGTAGATTCCCACGTTGCGGCACAAAACTGCGATGACACGGTGGAAAGGCGAAACTTAAATGCATCCTCATGCTTCGATTGAGTGTATACGTGCACGATGGGGTATCGACCGCCTGCAATGTCTCCAGCGGCGAATATCTTGCCCGCTGTGTTGATTAGGGTATGGTTGCCACCAGCAGCTATGTTAATAATGGATTTGTAATCAAAATTGATCGGAACGATACATTTCTGCGGCTCATGAGCATCATCTGCGCTCCCGATTCCAAGCTGCCCAGAGCCATTTGAGCCGAGAGCGTAAAGCATGATATCGGCAGAGTCGAGTGAAACAATGTACCCTCTGTAAACCAGGCCGTGTTTCTCTAGCGAATCAAAAGCCATGCCCTTGACAGCCTTGTTGCCTTGCTTACGGAAAAGTGGGCCATTTTGCCAAGCCCACACACTCTCAAATGACTTCGAACTTTTTCCACCTTGGAAAAAGGCGTCAACACCAAAGCCCATCTTTGAGCACATACCGTCAAGATGGCCATCAAGCACAATCAGAAGTTGGTCAAGAATCACTTCCGCAAGGATTGGCGTAGGTTCACTCCGAATGCAATCGAATTCGATATTTCAGGAATTAACACATTGATTCTAGAGCGCTACGTGCGGGTGCACTTTGATCAGGTCCGTCGGTTATTCCCCTCTTGAACTCGCTCCTCTGGAGGCGCTCAAGAGCAGTGGCGCCGTGTAAAAAGGACCATTTATTGACTCAACTCGTCGCAAATAGGCCGGCAAGAAGAAGAGCCGCCGTGACAAGCGTGTCGCAAAGGCTGCTAAGCTTGCTCCCCGTCCAGTTGATAAGCTGAGAGTGAGCACACCCTTCCTTCGTGCCCTGCGTCCTTTTCTCGTTTTGGACATGCTAATTGTCGAACAGCCTGTCGTCCGATGCCCAACCATCAAGTACAACCGTCGTGTTCGCGCTGGACGAGGCTTCTCCCTTGCTGAGCTCAAGGCTGCTGGTATCCCTCGCAAGTATGCCCCCACGATTGGCATCAGTGTCGACCCAAGACGCCAAAATCTCTCAGAGGAGAGCCTCAAAGCCAACGTCGAACGTCTACGAGAGTACACCAAGCGTGTGATTGTGTTCCCTCGCAAGAGTGGCAAGACGAAGAATGGTGACGCCTCCGCTGAAGAGGTCAAGAAGGCTCGTTCTGGCGAGGGTATTACATCCACTGTTGGTGGTATCCTGCCAATCAAGAATGTGGCTGAGGTCAAGACGGTAAAGATTGCGGATGAGAAGAGCGAGGAGAATGCCTACAGGAAGCTGAGACTTGCGCGGTCAGACGCTAGGTTGATCGGCGTGCGGGAGAAGCGCGCGAAGGCCAAGGAGGAGGAAGAGGCTGCCAAGAAGAAATAGAGTCCTAATTGACGTCTCTTTCTCGTATTTTGTCTTTGCATGTGTGCTTGCGGCTGCTTCTGATGGGATCGGATATGCATAGGCGCATGGTGTGGCTGCTCACAAAAAGGTGACCACGACATTACAGCATTGTGCCGGGGACTTAGACAGTCTCGACAGAGCAATTTACAACAGGGAATCAACAAATGTTGCAACGTCTTTGAACTTGTGCATATTGCAAATTTGTGAACGCCAAGGCCAAACAAGGGTATTATCCAGCACACAACATCCTAGCAAAGCCAACCCCTGCCTCCTCAGTGTCTATGTGGCAGAAGGAAAAATATTTCAACCAAGCACACCTCATAACGTCGTGACATGCCAACAAAGGTCCCAGATCCCTATTGCTCATCAACATCCATGTCGCCCACATGCTGAGCCGACGTCTCTTCAACCTCCTCCCGCGGCCCTTCTTGCGGATCTTGGGCGTTCTGCTCTCTCTCCAAATCCTCATATTCGGCACTGACTTCCTCATCTACGAACTGTTCGTAGCTCTCAAGCCCGGTTTGGATGTGGATCTTAAACTTGATCACATCGTTGAGCATCTTCTCAATCTCGGTGTGCAGTTCTTCGCGCAGTGCCGCGGCGCGGAGGGTGAGCTGTTCGTATCTGACAAAAGCGTCAATGAGCGCGATCAGCCCGTGATGCGGCGTCGGGGTACTTACTCAAGATTTGTGTTGATCTCGCGTTGCTCCATCATCTGAACGCTTTCTGCGACACCACTGCGCAACATGCTTAATTCCTTTTCCATCTTCTCCAGTTGCGTATCCATCTTCGTCTTCTGTGTCTGCGTGATTTCTCTGGTGCGCTCAAACTCCTCCTCCGCGGCACGGATGCGATGGCTCAGACCTTCCACTTCAGCCAACTTCTCATCTATGGCTTCCTTGACACCATCTAGCATCTCGTGGTTCTTCATGTCCTCCTCGAGCGCCTTGTTGCGTCGCTCGGAGACGGCCTTGCGAAGTGACACGATGTTATTTTTGACCGTGCCCTTGACATCTAGATTGAGTAGCTGGTACGGCAGATAGCCGGACGTTGAGTCTTTGAGAAGACGGTGGTCTTGCTCTTGTGACTGTTGAGATCGGCCGAGCTGGCTGGAGATGAAGTCGGCGCCGTCTTCCTTGATGGTGAGACTAAGCTCGTAGTCGATGCCCTTGGCATGGATGGCCGTCGAAGGTATGATGCCAATTTTGTAGCCAAGAGCGTTGTATTTTTCAATAGCGCGCTCGAGCTCGTCAAGTTTGCGCGACGCCTCGGCTTCTTTCTCCAAGAGTTGTAGCTTCGTCTCATCAAGTCGCTCTCGCAACGCCCGTCTCGAGGTTTCGAGGCGTTCTGTTTCCGACGTCATGCGGTCTAGGTCTTCGACCGTGATGCCTTGGTTGCTGATAGCTTGCTGATAGCTTCGCTTCTCATCCTTAGTCTCTTCAATTTCAGTCTCGATTTTTTTGATTTCTTCCTCGAGACGCTTGATCTTGTCCTGGTATTTGTTGATCTTGTTTTCCACTTTACCACACCAGTCCTCATGCTTGTCGGTATCCTCTTTTAACATCGCCAATCGTTCGTCGAGTTGCTTGCCCTTCTCCGCGCCTCGCTCAAGTTCCTCAATCTGCTGTAAAAGAGCTTGTTTTTCTCCTTCCAGCATATCAACATCATCGAGAAGGTCCTTGTTGACTTCCTTGAATCTGGCTGCCATGCGATCGACATGGTGCTGGATGACTTGATCGGCTACATCGTCATCGGCACCGTCTGGCACATTCAACCAATCTTGATAGGCGTTTGTGAGGAAATCGAAAATAATTCGATCGCTTGAGACGTCGTGACCGGCCTCCGCGCTAGCATAGTCATAATCGCCCTTCGCATAACCGTCCATCATCTGAGCTAGCTGCATGATCCAGTGGAGGAGGCCCAAAAAAGTGTGCCAGTTATTGCCGCCTACAGCGGCAATCTGCGACTTGGTAATCGATTTCTCAAACGGATAGTGCAACTGTTTCAGCAGCGGCGGGATCTCGGCGTCCATACTCTTCATGAAGCGATAGCCGGGGTCGATTCTCTTGTACAGCCATTGGAACATGACGTTAAACTCCTTCTGTGTTGGTGACGAAAGCGACTTGTTCGTCAGACTGATCTGGGCTTCAAGCTCAAAGTTGTTGTTTGTGAAGTAGTTCAGCAGCTCGTTCGCCATCTGCGCCCGCACATTGATGTCGCGGAGCCTCCTCGGATCCTGCGGCACGCCTGCTGGAGCAGGTGCAGTCGAGAAGAAGCTCTGTCGTGGATTTGAGCCTGGTCCACTCGAAGGGCGCGCACTGAAGCAACTGCTTCTCCGCTGCATACTTGCCGGTCCAGGTGTCGCCAAAACGTTGGCCGGAGTCAGCGCGCTCATTCCGGCCGCCATGGTACTCCTGCGCACGCTCTGACTTCCTGCGCCCAGAAACGTCGTTCCGCCCCGTTGAGCAGACATAGGTGGATTATCGATTGCATTTGCGCCAGAGCTTGATCGCTGAAAAACAGGTTGATTCGGTCGGCCAGGCATGAGCGACAGCCGAGAGCCGCTCATCGAACGCGCATGCGAATTAAACGCGCCCGCAAGGTTCTGTCCGGAGTTGGACCTCTTCATTGCACTCGAAGGCATCGGGATCGCGGAGACATTTGGATTGATGCCGCCCAGCGTCTGATGCGATGTCGTTAGAAGCTGTTGACCTCGTCCGCTGGGGTGTCTACTCACCTCGCGCTGACGACGCACCGAAAAAATGTGCGTGTCTTGCGACATTTCGATGGAGTAATTATCTTGCTTGCACTGCTATAGGAATATATGCAGTGTAGGGAATGCGCGACCGCAACCAAGGGATTGGGGAATTCGATGTGGTAGCCAGGTTTGTGGAGCTTCGCGAGGTTGTAAACAAACAAGGATACAGCACAGCAACGCACGTGATCCCAATAATGATGACGACCAATCAGAATTAACTTAGGTCAACGTAGTAAACGCTCGTAAATTCCTGCCCAGCAAACATTTCTAAAATGAGGAGGGTTCGCGCCTGAACGAACAAGTCTTTCTCCAGAGAGCCTTGCGTCCAACTGCTATGGTATGTCGATGAGGATTCGTCACAGATCTAGGCTACTGTGTTACGATCCAACTGACCCAATTCGTAAGATCTACACTCATGATCGAGTACTTTGTTCAAATTCTCATCGACTTTCTACGCAACAAAAATTCGCCAGTAAAAACCCAAGAACAATCCTCGTCTGGAGTTGCGCCACGATGCGCCAGTGTCGTAATATTGGAGTTTGCTGCTGCTAAATCATCGAATGTCTACTGCCAACAACAATGCCTGCTCTGTAAGCACGAAGTGTTTCATCGGGAAGGTTTCATGAATTTTCGTACGCGGCTTTATGAGTTTGTGTTGAATGAGGGACATCGCCATCTGTTTGTTCCACTTTTGCGCGCAAACGTTTTGGGGAAAGTCGGTTGGTGGGGTCGAATACATAATCAATCACTCATCACATTCTTCCGGCTCTTCCACACGCGAGCAGACAGAGCCCATCATTTGAGAACAAATCTGCACCGTGCCCCTTCGTTCCCGTCGTGATAGTCTCTGTCTGAACGTCTGTTCCCAATTGACTACATCTTCAACAAGCACTTCCGTCTCTTCGTCGCCTTGAACATCTGCAGCTTCACCATGTCGCGATAGTCATGGCGCCATTGCTGTCCACAAGAGGACAGTGTTGGCCCAGCGGAACCAGAAAAGAAAACTGGCTACCGCTGTTTCTTCACCTCACTCGCCCAGCCTTCGATGCCCTCACCTTTGCTCTTCACGGGCACGTCCAGCTTAATATGTTCCATGCCTTTCGTGTCACTAAGCCATTCATGCGCAGCCATCCCACCAGCGTTGGCGCGCTCTGCAGGTGTGAGTTCCAGCATGGGGAGGAGAAAGTCCGAAATCCGTTTGGCTTCTTCAGCGCTGAAATGGTATTTCTCTCGCAAGACGTCCGGTAGAGCCCAATGTCGCAGTCGGTGAATGTTTCTGAGTTCACCCTTGCGATTAAATATCTCTTGACTCCACTTTCCGGAAAGGCAGAGCGACTTGGGGAATGGCCCGAGGAGTTCTATGATTTGTGCGATGTGGTCGTCATCTTTGCCGTATTTAGTCCCTGACTGCGGATCGAACAGATAATCGCCGGTGATTAGTTCAAACACCTAAAATGTGTCAATTTTTGTCATCTTAGAGGTTTGCTCCTTTGGGGAAACAGACCATGCAAGACATGCTCCACACGTCGGTGCTGGCACCCCACTTCGAGCCCAAAATAACTTCCGGAGACCTGTACTGTCGAGTCTGGATATCATTTGTGAAATGATGATTGACCCAGCATGCGTTGCCCAGATCTGCAATCTTAACGGAGATGATTTCAGAAGAAACATCCTCTACTACCTTGTCTGCCGACGCGCTCGACTTCTTCGAGGTGTCGAGGTTGATGCCAGAAATGTCACGTGTGATAACATCACTAGACTTGTGTTAGTGCTGGTATGACCACTTTTGACGTATTCAACATACGCTGATTTCTCTCGCGTCGTTTGCGCATCACCCTCGCCTCCGGGGGGCTTGATTCCGAGAGTCTCAAGCATTGATTTACCGGCGCCCGCATTCGTGGACGAAGAAGCCGAAGTGCCTAACGCGCCGCTCATTGAGACACTTTCCCCTGAGGATATACTTGTATGATGGGAAGAATTACCTTTACTGTCGTTCTTTGCTGCGTCGTGCATGATCTTATTCAAACTCTGAGTGCTGCCAGGGAAGTGCGAAAGATCCGACTGGCTGAAGCTCGTATTAAGAGGACTTGGAAGAGGCTGGCTGCCTGTAATGAGCGTGCGCCTCCTCCTCCTACCGTTTCTGTTGTCCTCCTTCTCTTTCTTGGCCGGATCTGACACGTAGGTTTTAACGATCTCTTCGACGTCGCCGATCTCGATGAGGACGTTTTCCGGCTTGAGATCCGTGTGTATGATTCCGCACTCTCGATGGAGATAGTCCAGGCCCAGGAGAACCTGCTTCGTGATCTGCTTGACAAGGGGCATCGGGATACCCCTGTGATTCCACCGCTTGATGAGGCCAAGAAGATTCTCACCGAGGACTTCGAAGACCATGCAAACGTGATTGCCGTTGGGTCCTTTGTGCGTGAAGGAATCTAAGAGACTGACCACATGCTTGCGGCCTGGGTGGTCTTTATTCGCGCTAACGACTTTATTCAGGAGCTTGATCTCGTCGAGAGCAGTTTCAGTGTAGTGCGCAGCGGAGCGAACGACTTTCAGTGCAACGTGCTTCCCATTTGTGTTATCTCTTGACAGCCAGACGGTGGAAAAATGACCCCAACCGAGCTTGCGTATGACTGTATATTTGCCGTCCTTGTACTGTTCTCCGACCTGCACGGGGTGGTAGCCGCCCTTGCAGTAATCTGGCGTTTATCAACACTTGTAAGCAGACACCCAGTGGGAGGAAGAGGAGGGCAAACTCACCTTCGGTGTCCTCTTCATCTTGGACACTTTGGCCATCGTCCTCCGTCGAGGAGGACGACGGCGAGCGCGAGAGTGCGTTGGTGTATGCACCCTTCATGTGGGGCTGGCTGTGATGCAGAGGCGTGGAGTTAGTCGGCGAGCTCGGCTCGGTCGTGATGATGGGCTTCAATTGATCTCCTTTCCGCTTCTTCTTGGTGGCGCCGTTGTTTCCATTGACGGCTTGCTGGGTAGCCTGAGAAACCTTCGCCTTTGCCTTCTCTATTGCGGCCTTCTTGATGTCTGATCCATTCATGATAAGCGACAAGGAGGCCAGGCACGAAGCGAGGGCTTGGTCGGGGCACTCAAAGCGTCGAGACAGCTGAGGGCGCAGGTGTGTCTGCGTTGGCGTTGTCGCCGCGAGAGAGGGAGAAGCGAAAGGAGGGGTCCGGAGGTTGGGTGCGAAGGATTATCTACGTGCGAGTCATAGATTTGAGCGTGCTAAGGCCGCTTTTCTAAGAGCAGACACAGCGGCAGGCGAGGACGATGAGGCGCGGGAGCGACGTCCCTCAGTGAGCGTGGAGTGGTATAGAGCCGCCGTCAGGGTGAGGTGGTCATGGTTTTTGGAGGGACAGACGGGGAGCGTTGACGATGGGGCGAACCCACTCAAGGATCGCAGGCGGGCGTCAATCGCGACGGGGCCGTGCGCACCACCTGAAGCCTCGAAAATTGCTCCACGAGTGCGCCAGCCCGACGAACCCATTTTTGCTCTTCGCCTCGCGCTGGGCCGACGCTCTGCAACGCTGGATCCACGGCGCAAAAGGGCGTCTGCCGCCCGGGCGTGCGTGCGGGCGACGACCGACGGCTGCCTGCGAACTGCGCGGCCGAGTCTGCTCGCTTCGTGCCCGTCGTCCCGTCTTCTGCGCTGGCTGCGCTTGACCAACATCATCCGTCCGTCACCGCTGTTTGTCAGCGCTGGCTGCGCCTGTGTCGCCGCCCTTCCACCCTCCCCGACGAAGCCTCCGCTTCAAACCTGCTGGCTTTGCTTGCTTCCCTCCTCAGGCTGCTCGCCTATGATGACATGATGGAGATCTCCCTGTTGCTCAGCTTGCAAACGCATCCATGGCTGACGGCATGCCACAATGAGATTCCATTCGCCCCATCGCCTGTCCGGAAGTCGCGGTTACGTTGTTTGGGCCACGTTCCCATCCGCCCATACCGTGGTCCGATTCGGTCCTGGCCATGGGGCGATCTGCGCCAAAGTGACTCCTGCATGACTTTTGCTGATCGCTACATCTTCCTATGCTCAGCAGTCCTTCTTGTACATCAAGTCCTTCCTTTACCTCCATGTCTCTTGTTCCTGACTTGCCGAATTTCTTTTCGGGCTTCCGCAGCACTGTTCCTTTCCCCCACCATTGTGTGGTCGCTATGTATCTGCGTTGCACTATCAAGGTCTGATTCTCACGTACGTATACATCACGCAGTTCGTAACCGTGTCAGCTATTCAGCTTCCTCGTGCTTCAAAGACACGGGCGGGAGACGGCAACTACTACCAATGGAGCGCGAGCTCGCACGTAGCCCAACATAGTCATCCAACCGCTGCAAAGATGTCTGTACAAGGCATGGCCATATAGCAGCAATTTAAACCAGGAGTCAATTTAGAAAACTGCTCTGAATCTGGATATGTACAGGATCATGCGTTAAAGTCGACCACGGCACGACCAGCAAGCTTGCCAGCCCTCAGGTCGGCCACAGCCTGAGGCAACTGATCGATGGGATACACGGTGCAGATCTGTTTGAGAATTCCTCGCTTCGCAAAGTCCAGCGCTTTCCGCGTGTCCTCCAGAGATCCGACTTGTGTCCTGGCAGCACCGTCAGCAACCTGTTCAAGCATCGAGACTGAGATACACACCCTTTGATAGTCAAATTTTTACTGAGGAATTGGAGTGGGCTTGCGCCAAGGATGACATCGGCATCTTTGGGAGGTATGCCGATGCACATCACTTTAGCACCTATTCTCTCACCTACAAGACTGACGGCTGATTTATAGCCCGCTGGTGCTGTTACAAATACGCCGTGGGCGCCAACACCGTCAGCTATGGCGATGACTTCTTTGGCAACATCTTCGCTTGTCATGAAGTCCACAAAGGCTTCTGCACCCATGTCCAGAGAGAGCTTCTTTTTGGCCTCTCCTGTGTCAATGACAATAGGCCGTAAGCCCATTCCTTTGGCTATCTGGACGCCTTGAATACCCACGCCTCCACCGCCACCCGGGAAGACTGCCCACTGGCCTGGCTCCAAGCCAGACTCGATGAGAGACCTCATCATGGTTGAAGCGCTGCACATGATGGGTGCGGCTATTTCATCTGGTATCCCCTCGGGAATACGGGAAGCATACCGAGCTGGCGACACGATGTATTGCTGGTATGTGCCTGTGCACATGAGTCCTGTGTGCACGCAGTTGGGGCAATAATTGTCCCTCCCGCTAAAACACTGCTCGCAGTTGTAGCACACATCCATGAGTGGCTTAACACCAGCACGGTCTCCCACCTTCCAGGTTTTGACATTGGAGCCGAGCTTCACCACGACACCCGCACCCTCATGACCGGGAGAACGCACTCCGAAAAAGCCTGATTCATTAGCACCGCATAGAACGGAGATCTGAGTCGACATACTCATTGGAACAGGGGCCAAGTCGTTCAGCAGCCAATGGACATCTGACATGCATATGCCTGTGGCATTTAGCTTGATGAGGATCTCATCCGGCCCTGGCTCAGGCACAGGCACCATTTCCACCTTCAATTCAAAGTTTGGTCCTTCATTATAGACGACACCGGCCTTACATTCTTTTGGAATCTCGAACTCCGGCATGGTTTACGTCTTTTGAGTGCGCTCCTTCAGATTCTTTTATGCCTTTTGCTGCAGTGGAAATATCACAAGAATGAGAGCTTAAGATTCGCAAGACCAGATCCTTAAATTTGGAACTGTTCTCAAAGGGAAAAACTTAGGCATGTTTTCGCGCAGTTGCTAGTTCTTTGCAGGCTTTCCCCGCGTTCTTCGATGTGCCTCGGTGCAAGTACAGAAGCTTCCCCACACGATTACTGAAAATTGATGTGTGGCCTCGAAATCAAAATGTCATCGCTTCGAACATTTCTTTACGGATGTGGAGTTTCTAAATCAAAAGTCGAATAGCGCCTAGGAACGTTCATCTCGCCGTTAGCGAGACTAAGAACATGCTAAATTTCTAGGACGGCACTGCGGGGTTCGTTGTTAACACATTGCCTCCTATTGTTACAAGGTCGGCGGCATTCCTTACGAGGCGTGAACCTCGTCAGTAAGTGATTGTGAAACCGCAATACTTTACATAGACGTGGCTATGGCTGTACGTTGCTTGCTCTTCGCGACCCGTAAAATACATGGTGTCGGGCACGTTTTTTTGTCACTACATGAACTTCCACGTACGGGAGGTGCTTTGCGTATAAGTGAATAAAGACCATCGGATGTACATATTTGAAGAATGAATCGTGATTAGAATTTGAGAGGGCCGATCCATCTCAAACCAAAAGTGAACACATTTGTCTCCTCTGTACTTCAGCTCCAGCCTTGTGTTGCGAACACATAGCAAATGATGCGGACCACTCACGTTAAGAGGTTTCCGACCAGTTGCTCATCAGCCGTAATCTTACATTGTATTGGCTCTCTGGGCTATCGGAACGGTGATTTTTTTTTTCAGCTGCTCCATTGTCTGTCTCTATTTCAGATGAATACTGCTTCATTGTTTCCTTTGTTCCAAGACAATGTTTTCTACAAGGAGTTCAAAAGCTCCGTTCGTCTCATGCGACGACGAGTTTCTAGATCTACTTGGACCCAGGTCCGAGATGCTGTTGGTAGAGAAAGGCTTGCCTGAATCAGCTTTGGTCACGAAGATGGTGTCTTCATTCGAGAAAAGAATGCTGTCTGGGTCACAGGTGCGGTATCAGACAGGCCGATGCACTTTGAGATGCTCAATCTAACAGACAGCGTGGTTAAGAACGCCACGACCAGAAGCATGCTCGACGTCAACCCTCATGGCGGCTTCCACTTCGGTGTGGATGGGATCCATGTTGACGAGGCGGGCCGGGTTTGGACGGGCGAAGACGAGGGCATCGTAGTCAGGAACTCTGGGGGGAAAGTACTGTACGTGTTTACCGCCCGGTTCTTGAAAGCCGGAACATCCACTTGGTCTTCCATTTGCGATCCCTTCACTCGAATCAGAGGAGCTCAACGTGCAGGGGAGGAACACTTTGGTGGAGGATCAAGCTGGCGAGGACGGTGGCCACAGTGATGATGACGTCGACGACGACGACGACGACGATGATGATGATGATGATGATGATGATGGATAATGTCAAGGAGAGAATATGTTGCTTTGCTTCTCACACAAGCAAGTACGACTACTGTGTCTCGAAAACTTTATCTGATGTGGCTCATGGCGACACAAGCAATCTGATGGCACTACAGGCTCGGAACCCGGCACGTCTTGTGCAAATCTCAATTTAATTCTCCGCAAAACTACTCTTGACTGCAAGGCCGTCCACGAGGGATTGTCCTTCCGCGGGACGAGCCGCAAAATCTGGCCATTGAAATGTAGCCAGCAGCAGCCGAACACGGCGACAAATGTTTCACGACGAGCGATGCGTGTCGCGATGACGTCATCTCCACCAGCACACCGATAAGCTTGCTCGCCGTTGTCTGGATGTGTTTGCAAGCCGTGACGTGTAGCAGCACAACTAGCACGAATCTACGGACGGGGCGCAGAAAGCAGGTATTCACGCACACAATCCGTTGCGGCGCAATTCAGACGAGCTCCACCGGCCTTCCCTGCGATCTTGGAGGCTCAGAGCGTGGCGAACAGCGCCGAGAGCACCGCCAAGGACGAGGACGAGTCAGCGGATGCGAGCGGCTGGCGAATGAATGACGGTCCAGCGCGACGCTTGTGGTGGACCAGACGGCGGCCAGGCACCGCGAGAATGGGAGGGAAGCGATGATGTCGATGCTCTTGGCCGGCGCTCTGTTCGTTTGCTTGTTCGCCGCTGCAAACCAGCCCGCCAACGACGACACTCGTCATCAGACCGGGTTGCTGCTGCTCCATCTCCCAGGCCTCTCCCAAGTTGCGTCTTCCCGGGGCCTTGGTCGCATCATATACTGGCCGTCGTGCACGCCCGCCGCTCCTCGCTCTCCTGCAATTGTGGCACGCTCTGGCCGTCTCGTCGAGCAGACGCTGAGAACCTCCCTCGCACGGCTTCACGCGCACGTTCAAACACAGCGACGCTTGCCAGCCAGACAGCCGCGTGACGACGGCAGATTGTGAAATGCGTGAGTCCGCTCCGTCCCCCGTTGCTCGACGTGGCTGGCGTCTGATCCCAGCATGGCCATCGCCTACAAGTACACCCGCGGTCTAGCGCCGCCCTGGCGGCTGACGCTTGGCGCCAGTCAAACGAGGCGAAGCGCTCATAAAGTCTCTGGGCGCGCCTCAGTCAGCCTCGACTCAAGCTTTCTCTTGTAACCCTCAAGGTTCTCTTCTGAACTCTTGACTGCAACTTCTTGCCTGACGCCCACACGCGTTCGCCAATAGATGGGAAAACCCGCTGACCCTCAGGACACCGCAGACCGTTCTCGTTCATGGGCGCGATCTCTGACCTGGGCGAAACCCCATAAGCGCTCGACCACGTCCCCAACCCAACTTCCCACCACCGAACCGCGCCTCCCCCGCGTCAGCGACGAGAAGCAGCAGCACAGAAATGGCCCGCAGCCCAAGCAGCAGCCAGCTGCCGGCAATGGCGGCGACATCGTTGAGCCCGGCGCCCAAGACGAGGCATCCGCATCTCGACCTGCCGCCACCTCGCCGCCCGTGCATACCGAAGCTGATGGAGAGAAACCTGCCGCCATAAGCGGCGTCGATGCGCAGAACAGTGAATCCAAACCTCCCATGCCCCAGCGTTTGAAAGCCGGCGTTGTGCGCTTCTTCAACCACACCAAGAATGCAATCGTCCATTCGTGGATCAACGTGCTGTTGATATTCGTACCTGTCGGTATCGCCGTCAAGGCTGTCGGTCTCAATCCGGCCGTAGTATTCGCCATGAATGCCATCGCCGTCGTGCCTCTTGCTGGTCTGCTCGCACATGCCACGGAGAGCGTCGCGAGCCGGCTGGGCGACACCTTAGGAGCGCTACTGAATGTGTCCTTCGGCAACGCAGTAGAGCTCATCATATTGTAAGCTTCCAGCGCCCTTTGCATCTTCTCGCCTCGTTGAGTACTGACAGCGTGCCAGTATGTATGTTCCGCCTCATGGAGGCCGTAAGCAGAACGCGTTCAAAGCGCCTCTTCTCGCCCAAAGCTGTTCCTTTCCTTTTGTGCTCATTGTGTGCCTTTTTGCCATGACCGTATGCTTACTTTTTTCTACCACTCCTATAGCATTGCCCTCGTGAAGGTATGTCTCACCCCGCGCAACCGATGCTCTGTCTCTTTAACAAGATTTTGTCCAGAATGAAATTCGTATCGTCCAAGCCTCACTCCTGGGCTCAATCCTCGCCAATCTCCTGCTTATTTTGGGCATGGCTTTTGCTGCTGGTGGTCTCCGCTATCAAGAACAGGTACGTTTCGGTATTCCCTTGACCCACGCAAGAACGATAACGTTGACTCGGCGTCCAGATATACAACAATACAGTCACCCAGATGAGTGCCGTCATGCTCAGTCTCAGCGTGATGAGCTTGCTCCTGCCAGTGAGCTTTCTCAGTACTCATTTTCATTGCAATTTCTATTGACACGCATCTCAGACGGCCTTCCACGCGTCCTTTAGTGACTTGTCCGATGCGGACACCAAAACATTGGAAGTTAGCCGTGGCACGAGCGTAGTATGTTTTTGATGCTTTTTTCTCCCCCTGTGACTACGCTACTGACAAAAAATAGATCCTGTTGCTCGTTTACATCTTGTATTTACTCTTCCAGCTAAAGTCGCATGCGTACCTATATGCGAGCATGCCTCAAGCGCTGGTCGACGAGGAGGCTCAGCCGGGTATTCTTGCAGATGTCTTTGAGACGAGCTCCAGCAGCTCGTCCAGCACGAGTAGCTCTGACACCGACACAACCTCTGGATCACACACCACTGCCAAGAGAATCAAGCGCTTCATTCGCAAGCGCAGAAAGTCGAGCGGCAGCTCCGCGGATACTCCCTCCCTGCCTTCTCACATGAGCTCTCCAAACATAGAAGCAATGTCGTCTCCAAGTTATTTTGACGATCATGGCCGTCCGTCTCGTCAGACTAGCGTCGTCTTGCCAGACATTCTTAGCGGAGACGAGGGGGATGACGAGAATCTGAAGCAAGCGACCAAAACCCAGGACTTCGGAAACACGCACGGTACTGGCTCCAATTCTCTTTCGTCAGAAAGCAAATCTAGAAGGACGTCGAAGAGAGTCAAGAAGAATGAACATAAGAAACACAGAAAGCATCACCGCCACCAGCATCGGACTGTTGAGGCCGCTGAGCCCATTCCTGAGAAGCCAAGCGCCGAAGCTCCTGGTCAGGAGGGTGCGGTCCTTGCTGATATCACAGCACCAGGCGTAGGCTTGAGTAACGATGGTACACCCGCTCGAATTGGGACTCCGAACTCTCGTAAAGGCGGAATCAAAACTTTCGCGCGTCCTGCGCTGCCAAAGCTTCTCTCCCAAAACGTCTTTGTGGATCCACCACCTCCACCCACACCTCACAATCTGACAAAGACCCGCACAGGCCCTGCACTTCGACGCACCAGTTCACTCCCGGATCGCTTGAATGAACGTTTCCGCAACACTCCTGGCAATCGACAGCTTCCAATGGGCAGAATCACTGTCGGGCGACCTCTTCCCCCATACGCTGCCCGTGGGGCCTGGGCGGCCCGCGCCAAGCCAGATGTGCCAGCTGTCAGTGCTGTCGACGAAGACGAACCTATCGTCGCTGAGGACATGTCTCGCACTGCGGCCGTGGTTATGCTCCTCATTACTACTGGTCTTGTAGCTCTCTGCGCCGAGTTTCTAGTTGACGCAATTCCCCAAATGACGACGGACTCGGCCGTCAGTCAGGCCTTCATTGGATTGATCATCTTGCCGATTGTGGGTAATGCAGCTGAGCACGTAACTGCCGTAACTGTCGCGGCGAAGAACAAGATGGATCTGGCCATTGGCGTTGCCGTAGGCTCCAGCATCCAGATTGCTCTGTTCATCACCCCTCTTGTCGTCATTCTTGGCTGGTGCATGGACAAGAGCATGTCGCTGTACTTCAATCTTTTCGAGACGGTATCGCTATTCGTGACAGCCTTTGTCGTCAACTTCCTCGTCTTAGACGGCAAGAGCAACTACCTCGAAGGCGTACTCCTGATTGCCGCCTACATTATTATCGCGTAAGTGACAACCCCAGCTAGCATTGGACAGAGCACGCTGACCAAAACCGTCAAGTGTCGCGGCTTTTTTTTATCCCCCTGGAGATGCAGAAAGCGCCCTTGGAGGGTCGAACACGGATAATTCTAAGCGCGCCGTCGATGCTTTCATGCTGGCACGTGATGCATTCGGCGTTTAATATTTCTTTTCTCACGCTCAGGCGTCAACATCACTGCGGTTTTTTAGTGGTATGCTAACTGGAGTCATTCTTTCTTCACTGTAGGTTCCGATCGCGCTCATGATTTCCGCTAGTGTTTTAGCGTCACTGCGCGTCACGACACGGTGCAGGGTTTTGTTTGAAGCAAGATAGGACGTTGTGAACCTCAAAAATTGACAATGGAACGATTGCAGCAAAGGACCGGGAAGTGTTAGAAGCTTAAAATTGGAATTCATTTTTTTAAAATCTCAGTCGAGTCACAAAAGCCCTTAGCACATTCTACATTTTGTCGTCAATGGTATATAACTGCTGAACTCGTAGTTCTTAACAATCCGTTTCCACCCTTCCTCACGTCTCCCTGAAGAAAGACGACAAGCTTCCCAGCGTCACGAAACCCCTGCTCAGAAAAGCATTCCAAACTGAATGAGGACAGTTCTTTTTTTTTTTTTTTTTTTTTTTCTCACGCCCCTGAACACCGTCCCTCAAGGTCAATTGAGAAGCCTAAGGAGCACAAAAATCCAAGTTGCGCTCGAATTGGAGCAGAAAGTAGACGTGAGAGATAAAAGCAAACAACCGCACAAAGGGGCTGGCCGTCTTTCAGCCGACGGTTTTGACAACTCTCGAGCTCATATTGTGGAGCGGCACCTCCAGCGGCTGCAGTCCGTCAAGGGCTTTGCTTACTGGCGCCAAGCGATCGTGCATCGCCGTCAGGTTCGGGCTCGGGCTTCGACTCGCGCTGAGGTCGTCCAGCACAGGCTGAGGCACGCCGAGAGAGGAACCAGCCGCGATTCCAGTCGTGGAGGGCTCGTTTTCTGCGGTCGACTTGTTCGCGGGCGGGAGGCTTGTCTCGCCAAGGACGGAGTCGACGGGGCTATCGAGCTTCTCCTGGATGCTCCTGCGCTTTGCCCGCGTGCGGGCGGCGGAGGGCAGAATCTGCTGGAAGCCGACCGAGGCGGCGACCGCCTCGATTTCCTTGAAATACTTGATGGTCTTATACTTGAGCTCGAGGCAAGCGGCCTCATCGACGACGAGCATAGGATGCTGGTGGAGCTGCAGACTGGACAGCGTCCACATGTGATTGACGCCCTCCTCGACACAGCGTTGAAGAGCAAGCGCCTTGTGGGCGCCGGTTATGATGATGACAACCTCACGGGCGTCGAGTACAGTTTGGATGCCGACGGTGAGGGCCATCTTGGGTACCTTGGACAAGTCGTTTCCGAAGAAGCGCGAGTTGGCCCGAATGGTGTCGTAGTTAAGCGTTTTCACACGAGTGCGACTCTTGAGGCTGGAGCCCGGCTCGTTGAAGGCAATGTGTCCGTCTGGGCCGATGCCACCAAGGAAGAGCTCGATGCCGCCTGCGCGTGCAATCTTCTCCTCGTACTCCAGGCACTCCGCCTCGAGATCGGGCGCGTTGCCGTCGAGCAGGTTCACGTTGCATGGTTGCACGTCAACGTGTGAGAAGAAGTGCTTGTACATGAAGGTGTGGTAGCTCTCCGGGTGCTCGCGAGGGATGCCCACGTACTCGTCCATGTTGAAAGTGACGACATCGCGGAATGAAACACGGCCACTTTTATACGCCTCCACGAGGCACTTGTAGATTTGGATGGGGGATGATCCTGTGGGTAGACCGAGCACGAATGGCTTCTGGGGTGAAGGCTCGAAAGCGTTGATGCGAGCTGCCAGAAAAGGAGCAAACTTAGCCTTGGGATGTTTTCTTCATGCTGGTTCGAAAGGACGAAAAGCGATGTGTCTCGATCAAAGGCAAGGACAGCATTACGGTGATGCTGGAGAGAACAGAGAAGAATGGAGAGTATGTGAGAAAATTCAGGCAAGAAGGGTAACAGGCACAGAAATGGGCACTGGCGTACCGATTATGTATTCGGCTACATAGTGAGAAGCAGTCTCGGGATCGTCGCGAATAATAAGGCGCCTGTTGTTGTGGGTTAGCCACGACGACTTCCGTAGCCACGACTATGCTTTAAGCTGCATACATGATTTACGGCTCCGCTTCTGATTCTAGTCGTTGCCTTTGATTCGGTAGTAGTGCTACGTTGTTCGGTGTGTGCCTGGGAGGAGTATGAACGTTCGAAAGCACGGTAGAAGTTCGCCTGACACAAAGTTTCGACTGGGAAAGTCCGAAATGATGATTTGAGAAGGCAGAGGATCTAGTTCGTGTGAGGGCGAGGATCTTGTATGGAGGCGAAAGAAGAAGAAAAGAGAAGACGAAGAGGGTCTTGAGAAGCTTAATAGAAGAGTGGTGATTTCTTTCGTCACATAGCACAGCACTGTTGCGTCACGGTCAAGAAACACCTGGCAAAACCGTTTCTCTGTATGAGGGGCCAGGATGCCAACCGCCGAAAGAGTGAAGAAAAAAAATCTGGAACCATGGTACTCCGTACATTGCGATTGAGTCGCCACCTAGAGTGAGTAGAGTGCTAGTGGTCAATCAAGGGCTAAGGGATCGGAAACGTGTGTAGGGCCGACCTCGCCAATTGGACGTAAGACAAACTCGAGCCGGGAAAGCCGTCAAGCTCACGCGCTGCTACAGCTCGTGACATACGGTCGTCGGAGCGATATGTCACGGTGAGGTTCGACTGTTGCTACCGTGCGGGAGCTTGCTAGATGGTAGATTGGCGATAATCACAGTGTCACCAGAACGTGGCAGCGGTTACATAAGCCACCAGCTGTCAACACCAGGGCCGGGGCGAGCACCCTAGGACACGGGTAACACGAGAGAAGGCTAGGCTGGTCCTAGAGAAAAGCAGTCATGCTGCTGTTGGGCGCGTCGGATGGAGGGTCGGAAGTTGCAACTGGCGTTACACTGTTATCAGATTATGTGCTATCTTGGGACCGCTATCTTGAACAGACGAATGTGGAGCTCCGAGGACGCTGTTGATGATATGGGCTGATCAGATTTGCAGCAGGACGAGTGGCCGAGCTGGTGAGGCGGGGAGCTTGCCCTCATTCGATCGCAGGCGTGGACGTGAGGATTCTTGGTTGATGTTCTGCAATCTGCATTGTCTCTGGCGTCTGGAGATTTGATGGCCGTCCAGCAAGCAAGGGGATCGGCCAAAATGTAACGTAACGTAGCGTTACGTTGCATGCCGGCCGGGAGGGTGGCTGCTTCCCTCTTTCCAGAAATCCAGGCCAGCAGCCAGGGTACTTGTAGGAAGGCGCGCTGGCGTGCAGGTGGGCGGGAAGGCGCGCACGTAGGCTGGGCGGTAGGCAGGTGCTTAGGAGAAAGGCAGGAAGGCCGGAAGGCAGCCAGCCAGACAGCAGAACGGCAGGCACAACCGTGCATATCCAGCCTTGCATGTGCTTCTTTGGGCGACTGCTCCTGCCCGCGCGGCCGCCAGAAATGTCCACGTCGTGCACGAACGCCCGCACGTACGCCCACACGTACGCCCACACGTACGCCCACACGTACGCCCACACCGCACCACGCACTGGACCCGTCTGTCACTGGTCGTGCTGGATCTTACGTTGATTCTTGCTCTTCTGCTGGGTTGGCTTTGCGGGGAAAAGCCCGTCTGGGGGAAGTCCTGCGCCTGGCCGGTCATGCCCATGGCGGCCGTCCAGCGCGTGCTGAGGTCGCACCACAAGAGAAGCGTCCGGCACGAGGGAAGGCTGTGGCTTCGTTCCTGCACCGCGCATGCTCACACTCACACCCAAGCGCACACGTCCACCAGCAGCACTGCTGCCATTGCTACGGACACCACCGCGGCCATGCCACCATCACCACCACCACCACCACCACGACGTCGTCGTGCATTCCCAGATCTCCAGAAGAAATGGCACGCTCGCGGTGCGACCTTGTGGCCGCGCCGCGGCCAACGCCACAGCCGCGATAGCGAGTGCAGCAGCAAGATGTGACTTGACATGTCGTCGCGCGTCGGTCCAACAGCGCAGGCAAGGCAGACGGGCCCCTCGCACGGCGATAGAGCTTCGATGCGTATGCGACTCTGCTATCAGTCGAGCCACAGACTGGCGCATGGGTATGGCGGGGGAACTCAGCAGACAAGTCGAGCTGCGCATGTGCGGATCTGCCTAGTCGAAAGCAACGGTGCACTCGCTGCCCACCGCGCAGGGACGAACGCCGCCCGCCGCCGCTCGGCGGCCAATCACGCGCGCAGCCCCAACCCGGCCGCGGTCGCACAGTAGCAGCGGGAGCGTGCAAGCCTCTGGCCCGTTGGGCTCTGCATCCCTCTTGGCCGTCCTGTCCTGTCCTGTGTGCGCTCGCTCTGCTCGCCTCCATCGACGTGAACCCTCGCCGAGCTTGGGCGTATATGTATTTTAGCACTTCACGCTCCCAGCGATCCCTTCCTCCTCCAAGCGTCTTGCTCCTCCGAAGGCATTGCCCCGTCTGTGCTTGCCCTTGCCTTTGCTTCATAGTCCTTTCGCCTCTGCCCGGCCTTGTTCGTCTCTCTCCCCCCATCGTCTGCAGCCGCACGTCCTGGCAGCTGTAGCGGTAGCGGCCACTCTCAAGAGCCGCACCTGGGCCTCGCTTCGCGCTCACGCGACTTCACTTTCCCCCTTTGCAATCACGGCCAAAGCTACCCCGGCTTTTGCCCGCGCCTTTTGTCTGCGCCGCAGCCACATCGTTGTCCCTTCAAACAACCGTGGAGAAAGCAAACAAACAAAATAAACGCCGACTTGCAGACGAAGACACAGACAGAAACCTAGCTCGAAACATCCTGCAAGCGTCGCATCATGGCCGACGAAAAGAACCACGACATTCCTGTCAATGAGAAGGAGTCTCACTCCGAAGCACCCTCCGCCCTCGAAGCAGGTGGCGAGTTACCTCCCCTGCGCGGATGGAAGTACAAGCGGTTGACCATCTTCGGCTACAAATTCCCATTCTACGCCTCGCCCCAGGTCCAGCTTGTTCTGGTTGCCTTTGTCTGCTTCATGTGCCCCGGCATGTTCAATGCCCTGAACGGGATGGGTGGAGGAGGTGAGTAAACGAAAACAGAACCCAACTCACCCTTGCCCCTTCCTTCTGTCCGGTAACGTGGAAGGGGAGGATCGAGAAAACAGATGAAACACGATCCCGTCAAAAAGAAGAGAAAGAAACAAGTTCTTTGGCTGACTGTGCCTTTCAACACAGGAAATGAGGACCACCGTGCCGCTGACGACGCAAACTGCGCACTGTATTCGGCATTCGCCGTCATCGGTTTCTTCGCTGGCACCATCACCAACAAGCTCGGTATCAAGTTTGCCCTGTCGTTTGGCGGTCTCGGCTACTCCGTCTACGTGGGATCCATGCTGTCCTTCTCGCACAACCAGGTCTACGGTTTCACTGTCTTCGCCGGCTTCTTCCTGGGCGTGTGTGCAGGTATCCTGTGGTGCGCCCAGGGCGCCATCATGATGTCGTACCCGCCCGAGAAGTCCAAGGGCAAGTACATCTCCTGGTTCTGGATGATCTTCAACCTTGGTGCCGTCATCGGCGGCTTGATCCCGCTCGGCCAGAACATCCACGTCCACGAGCGCAAGACTGTCACGGACGGCACCTACATAGGATTCTTGGTGCTCACCCTCGTCGGCGCGGCGCTCGCCTGGCTGCTGGTTGATGCCCACAACGTCGTGCGTGACGACGGCTCCAAGGTCATCCTCATGAAGAACCCGACCTGGAAGACGGAGCTGCTCGGCCTGTACGAGACCATCATCGACGAGCCCTTCATCATCCTCCTCTTCCCCATGTTCTTCGCCTCCAACTGGTTCTACACGTATCACTTCAACGAGATCAACGGCACGCGCTTCAACACTCGCACGGCAGCGCTCAACAATGTTCTGTATTACACCATGCAAATTGTCGGCGCCTTCGTGTTCGGTTACGCGCTTGATAGACCCAACATTCGCCGCACTGTACGCGCGAAGGCCGTCTGGGTCGTGCTCTTCGTTCTCACGTTCGCCATTTGGGGCGGTGGCTACAAATTCGCAAAGTCGTACACACGCGAGGACGTGAAGAACGACCCTTCGCTGCTGCTCGACTGGACCAGCCACGGCTACGGTGGTCCCTTGGTCTTGTACATGGTATACGGCATGTACGACGCTGCGTGGCAGACGACCGTGTACTGGTAAGTTTCCATTTATCTCTTTTCCAATCTCCTTCGCTGAACGGCGGCTAACCACATCACAAATTAACAGGTACATGGGCGCCATGACCAACAACGGCCGCAAACTCGCCAACTACGCCGGCTTTTACAAGGGCATCCAGTCCGCCGGCGCGGCCATCAACTGGCGCCTCGACTCCAATGGAATTCCCTACATGAACGAGTTTGCATCATGCTGGGCTCTGCTGGCAGGCGGCCTGCTGTTTGCCTTACCCGTCATCCTGTACAAGGTCAAGGATACAGTTGAACTCGAAGAGGATCTCAAGTTTTCTGACGAGACGGTCGTCGATGTGGCCCCCAATGCCGAGCGCAGTGCCAGCATCAAAGCTTAAATTTCACGTTTGAAAGGGTTAAAAAAGGCTGGAAACATGACGGGGACTGGGCTGGAGCGTGTGGAGACAAATGACTTTGCATGCGATACGTTAGCTTTATTTTCCCCATTTGCTGTATGGACGTTTGCCCAGATCGTTGAACGCGGATATAGGCCCACAAATGAATTGATACCACCACCCCGCTATGCACGGGAAGGTCTGCTCCACGGTGCTCCTTTATGGAGCGACGATAATGAAATTGAATGTAATTCGTCGAATTCACGCCACTAGGCGGCTCGTTTTTTTTTTTTTTTTTTGGCAAACTCGTGTGCCAATTTCTTGCAACCTTTGCAGTCTTTCCTAATCCATTTGTGCATGACTTCGAGCTCCTCTGAAACGTAGCATTCCCAAACATCCTGTTGTTTATTCGTGAACTCGGCTTTACCGGGATCGCAGGTGAAAAAGTCGATTGCCTTGGTTCATCCTAGCAACGGCATGCAGCATACAGGCTCATCTGGCGAGAACGTGACATTGCATTTCCGCCTGGAAACTCGGCGACTCTGTGCCCTTGCCCACGAGCGACGAACATGCAATAATTCACGAATGGGTATTTGGCGTTCTCAGAACCCAAGTGCCCCAGTTATTCATCCCCGAATGAGGCAATGGGACGCTCGGCGCTACGCCGGAATGATGATCTCTGTCGAAGTAAAAGGGCACATTGTCATCCTCTCAAGCTGATTCGAATGGCCCGGGAAATCCGTTTTCGTTTCGTATGGTCAGATGAGAGATGGGAAAGGAGAGAAGAGGGTGAGGGGGGGGAAGAACCATCGCATTGAAGGGCTGTCATAGCTATGTTCATCGACAGAGGTTTCTCACGTTCTGCGGCGAAACGACGACGGCTTTTTTTGCATCGTTATCTGGAAAGCGACCATGCTCTCAAGGGCATTGTCGACAGACCAAAGTCGTCGCCACCAAGTGCAAACCTATACGGCACCTAAATGGGTGATGAATGTCTATCTGTGTACGTCCTCGATCCAGCCGTCGCTTCCGAACCCTCGAGTGGCCATCGGCCGCGATCGCGTCTCGATCCGGCATCAGCTGATGAAACAGCATCTGGGGCTAACTTTGGCGACCCCTCGACTGCTACCCTTCGACTTTGCGCAGGCGAGCTGAATCTGGTGTAACCGTTGCTCAGAGAGACCCGTTAGCCGGGTTGACGGTCCATGACGCGCCGCTTCTAATACGCGCGAGCTGGACGATTTCCTCGCTTCACATCACGACACGAAACGCTTTGGTTCGTAACGACAGTTGCGCGGAGAATGGCGACTTGGGTCCCGTGAGGCACGCTCGCTTGCAGCGGTGACGGGCTGCTTCTTCATCCCTCGTCTTCATATCCCAGGTACGACAATGTTCATAGTTTAAATGGCACAAAGCGAGTGCAACGTTGAGCTATGATTTGGCGCTAACCGTTCATTGCATGGTATTTCATTTTCTTCGATCCGAAAGCTCTTTTTTCTTTTTCCTTTCTTTTCCAGCTGCTAGTCGCACCGGGCGACTGAGCATGATTGAACCATGTGCATAGAAAGCAGATTGACAAGATCGTAATGGGACGAGCCGTCGCCCATGGGCCGGGAAGTGGAGAAAAGAGTGCTTTAGAACGCGAAATACCACTGTACATGCGCTGCAAGGTTCTGGTCACACGAGGTGTCTGGCTACCACCGTTGGGTCGCCCTCATGTCGCACCGCCTAGCAGAGATACGGCCAATCGCTTAGCTGGCGTGTGGACTCCTGGAGACAGATGAGGCTGCGCGCCTTGAACGCACGAAACCCGAAGAAGGCACGACAAGTTGGGTGATGGCTCAGAGTTACGACTGTCTCTGGGAGCGTCAAAGCACACAAGCTTGAAACTGCTGTGGAGAACACCGACGTCGGATCCGCGAGGCAGACGACAGTATGGACCGCATAGCGATGACCCCACGTGGCTGGTTGCAAAATGGGTAGACGGCAAAAAAAGTGTGGGCAATGGTACCCCAGGATTGACCGACGAAGACGGCAGTGGTGATAGTGCGTTGCAATGGGTGTTTGGTAAAGGCTCATCAGCTGAATGCGCACGTTACATTGGCGAAGCTCGTGGCCAAGGCCGAAAGCGGCATAGATCTCCAGCAACGTCGCATTGTCGAAGAGCATCCTCAACGCTGGCCCAGGCTGCGACTACCAGCAGGAGATTGAGTGAGTAGTAGTTCGCTCGTCCAACCAGGTCACGGCATTTGCCAACTGACGATAGCCAGACGCTTCATCGAGTAACCCAAACAGATCCCGGCGCACTGCCGCTGGAGGGCTGAGCGTCGTGAACAGTCCCAGCAGTGAGCTCCACCCGCAGCTGGGCGGGTACCTGGTCGTCAAGGCTAACCCACCTCACATTGCCCTCTACCTGGCAGCATAGTACGCAAATCATTCAACAGTCGGGTTTTCTTTTCGCTCACAGCAGGGCTATGGAAGGTGGCATTTGCGTGCACCTCACTTGCCCAGCCCATTGAACCCGCCGCCGCTCCCGTAGCCTAACTCGTATGCTACAGTCATGCTCCTGCTCGACGGTACCCTGCGAAATCGGTCCATGCTACTCGGAATAGCCAGACCTACCTTTGCGATATCACTACTTGTTTCCAAGCCAGCCTTCGCTCATCCACACTACTCTTCCGCTTGACCCACGTCTAACTCTATATACCCGCATATTCCGGTGCGCCTTGCCTCTTCAGAAGCCACATCTTCGACACTTCCAGCTCTGCATTGTCGGCATTGACAAAGCTCGTAGCACGACAACCAGTTGAAAGCAGAACATTCCCGTCAAGTGACCTTCACAAACGTTAGGCCTAAAATAACCTTCCAATCGGTCACCACCGCTCTCATGTTCGACATTTGGGCATTCATTGTGGACGCGCTAGACTCGCTCATGCTCCTCTTGTGGCCCAAACCCGCTTACCGCTCACTGCGCCCGCCCAAACGGAAAGATGACGTAAAGGACGGAAGGATGGAGGAATTTGCGAAAGATATGAAGAGGCAATTTGAGGGCCACTTGAGCGTAGCGAACCTGCTCGCCATGTCCGGCAGGCTGCAAGAGCAATTCAAGCTTAAACTCGAATCGAGCAACATCTGCATGCTTCCGTCATACATACACACGCTGCCTTCAGGGAAGGAGAAGGGAACATACCTCGCGCTGGACGTGGGTGGCTCAACGCTCCGGGTGGCTGCAGTACAACTGTTTGGAAGGAAGAATGGGCATGGGGGGAGTTGCATGGAGATTTTGAAGATGAATTCGTACAGGATAGACAACTTCGTAAAAAGCCTGAAGGGACATGCATTCTTCGACTGGATGGCGGAGCGCATCGCAGAAGTGCTCGAGGATCCCATCGTCAAACCAGCGCACGGCGCCACCAAGGTCGCTATGGGATTAGCTTGGTCGTTTCCCATAGAGTGAGTTTAAAGCCCGTTACTGAATGAGAAGGTGAGGATAAAGAAGGCAAATGCTAACATGACTCGATCAGGCAAACCTCTGCACGAACAGCCAAGTTGCTGATAATGGGAAAGGGATTCAGTGCGAGTGAGGGCGTGACTGGAGAAGATCTGGGCAGTCTCCTCATGCTCGCTTGTGAGAAGAAGGTCGGTATAGAAGCAAGATTTCCGACGACTGGATGGCATGCTTATGTTACTACGTAGTCTCTGAACGTCCAACTGGACGCGATCATCAACGACGGACAGGCAACGCTGATGACGCGAGCGTACCAAGATGATGCGCTGTGCTTTGGATTGATCCTTGGCACGGGTACGAACATGGCCATCAATTTGCCGACCAAAGCATTTGCGAGATCAAAGTTTGGCGTGCGGCCTCAAACATGGTTCGACGAGGCAGTAAACGTCGTAGTGAACACGGAGCTCAGCATGTTCGGCAAAGACGTTTGGCCGATGACGAGGTGGGACACTCAGCTTAACAAGAACCACGAGCGTCCAGATTTCCAGCCGCTGGAACACATGATTGGTGGCCGATATATGGGGGAGCTGGTCCGCTTGGTGCTCGTTGAAGCCATCCAGACCACGGGTCTATTTGGCGGACATTTCCCACAGGGCTTCCTAGAGCCATACACAGTAGAGACGTCGACCACGGCCGCTTTTGAGGAGTTAGTGATCGTGTCCGTTGTATATGTGGATCCTTATGTGCTGACGTCTGGTATAGCGACGAGACTCCAGAACTGTCCAAGGCGGCGGCAGTTCTAGAAAAGAATCACCCTATGAAGGTTATGCCCATGCTAGCCGAGCTCCGCTTTGTCCAAGAAGTCGTCCGCGCAATATCGCATCGTGCGGCCGCGTATCTGGCCACCGGCATCCATTCGTTATGGTCGTTAAGGCTGTTTGCGGAGGGTTTGACTCCTGCAGACGCCGGTCACGTGACTATTGGTTGCAACGGCTCGATCATCGAGCGCTATCCGAGATTCCGATCTGTCGCGCAAGCCTATCTCGACGACCTGATAAAGTCTTCGGGTGGGACACCGGGAACCGTCGTTCTCGAAGTCGCATACGAGTCGGCAATTTTTGGCGCTGCTGTGGCGGCCAGCTGTCTCGAGGGGCAGCCTTGACGCTACATATTTCCCTGTACAAAACCAAATGCGCGATACCCTAGCGACATTTTCACAGCATGGAGCGGCTCTCATAGAAATTTTTTTACCCCTTCTTCCCACCGCTTGGTGGATTTTCTTTGGGGCAAGTGGTTTTTGGTCTGTGTGGCGCCAAAGCTGCGGACCCTAGTACATGATCTCTAAGCAATCCGTGAACTGGCTTTAGCGTAATGCTGGAGTGCACAGGAGGCTGGAAAATGCTGACGGCGTTGAACAGGGGCAGGGTGCGGACAAGATACCATGAAAGAAAAAGGTTAGGGTTACCCCAGGATCAACGATAGTCATAGAAATAACGGATTGTAATACGGGCATGTAATAGTTTCCAGGCCATCTGGTACTCGTTCTGGTTGGCTGACACATCCATCAATTTTGACCTCCCCGTGGACGAATTTGCATACAGCATCATCGACGTCTGGTGAACAAAATGCGTCGGGAATAGCATGGTAGTGCAGCACCACCGCGATGGAGGGGTTGGGGGGGGGGGGAAGAAATGCACAATGACGAACTTTGGACCCGGACTAGCAGCATTCTTTGGCTAAGAAATGGTCGGATTAGCCCGAAACCCTTCCTTATTTTGGCTCGGTCTACGCGCATTTTATCATTCTCGCTATCTCTTCGAATGGTTGGGCTCTCGGCGAAAGGGAGCCGCAGTGGAGACGCCAGCGGAATCGTGATGCAAAGAACATTCCATCGCGCGAAACGGAACAACAGGCGAGGAGCGAAACCCCCAGGGTGCGATGGGTGGCCTGAGCGTGAGGAGTTTGTGTACGTTGTTATTATTCTAATGTGTCAACCTAAGCGGCGCGTTCCCACTGCCACTAGGAAAAGTTTTTCTCTTCCCTTGTTTTGGGAGTGGAACGGGGAGGGAGGCATTTTTTAATAAAAATTTCGAAGAAACTGTTGAGGTCAAGTCAAGTCTTCCACGCTCTGATTTTCGTCTTCGCTGGCTGCTCTTTCGCTCGCAATAACTGTGGTGCCACAGCATGTTTTACTGCATCGGGATTGCAGATGCGAGCGGCAAAATAATGATGACGACAGCGGAGAATGCCATATCCATTCTTCGCCTTCGTCTTGACCCGCGCCACGAATGATCGGTCTGCGGACATTTTCTTTCGGGGTACTTGTAAATTTTGACGGGAGTGCATCTTCCTTCTTCCATGCCGAAGGACAGGCCCGTCAATGCATGTCCAGATCGTGGCTAATGCCGAAGGTATTTCACTTCGTGGGGAGACGTGAAGAATGTATGCACGCAGACGAATCGATGCAGAGATACACAGTCGCGGTACCTGAGCAAGAATACAATGATTGCGAATGAGCGCACCCTTGTTCCTGTCGTAAACTAGGGATGTGATGACAAACCGCACTGCCCCCTCCCCTCCCTCTGCTAGGAACATAAGACGGAATTAGCAGTTAGGCGAAGCACAAATATGCGGGTCAACGCCTGAGTAAGCAAAGTGGTGGCCCAAGGCGCTGCCCTTCTTACTATAGCCATGATATTGTCTGTCAATAACGGAAGATTTGACATTTGCTGTAAATCGGCCGTGATGAGTGAGTCGTTGCCATTCAGAACAAAAGTTTAGAGTAGCGAAAACTATCTCTCAGCGAGCAGAGCCGTATGCATGCCTCCATTCATGGGGTATATGACCGTCCAAAAGAAAACACTGACTGTAGACCTGACCATCGTTCGTGAACTGCAGCCATATCCATGGCGTCAATGCGTGTGACCAGCCAAACTGGCGTGATATCGTAAGTGCAGAAACACTCTGCCGTCATCAATCATTTTCCCCTCTTCCTGAAAAACAAAGAAAAAAAATCAACCCGCACTGCTATTTTGCGCATCTTTTGAATCCTCGAAGTCTTCGTTGGCCGTAACGGACCGTTCCGCCGCAAGTGGATCTTCATGTTCAAAAATTCTTTACGTGTGTTCTTTTCCTTTGCAAGGATTGCCCAGCCAAACTAACGCTCTGTATCTCCAGCCGGTGTTTCGTCAAAAACGGCTCGTATGAGGCCCGTCACGCAAAGACCGTTTGAGTAACAACGCTTACGCAAGTTCACCCGCAAGTAGCATCTGTAACAGTGCAGGTTGGCCTTACGGATAGGCAGAATGGCATACGGAGTACGAGATGGAAGGGATGATGAATTGATGGATCCCTCGTCAAACCAAGGAATCCACTCATGGTCGTTCAAACTAAGCGAACAGTGTCGCAGGCGTGTGTCTGGACCAAGTTGAGCGCAAGCACAAGGATGGGATAGAGAAACAGTGAGTCTCACGGTTGATCTTCCGAGAAGTAACGTTTCGAGCGATTCTTGACCGCCAGCGCTTTCGGATCCGACGGTAGATTTGTGTGGTGTACCTGTAGATAAATTAGTACATATTGCATTTCCACAAGGATTAGGGGTGAGCATACAACGTGAGGTCTGTATACCGCATCGACGGGTGGCATCCAGTCCTCCATGCCGAGGGGGAAGTATTCGTACAGCAGATCAGCACTTTCGTCTGGACTGCTCATCAAGTTGAGAGAAAATGAAGGCGCCCGCGTGGTCTTGGTTCCAAGCCGTGGCATCTTCCTCGCATAGTCACAAGGCGGACTGGTCTTTCGAGGTTCATCGTCGACGAGAGAAAGAGCTAGTGGCGCCGGTGCGGAGCGCTTGTTTGACGGCCTGGCGAGATCAGGACTTGATTGTGCGTAAGCGTTGGAAGGGTGTTGAGCTGGAAATGAGGCTGGTTCAGCAGGCATGGCCGTCATTGCTCCCATGTGGCCGTTTGGTATCTTCCACTCAAAAAAATCGGGGGAAACTTGTATGTCTGCGGGTTCGTAGCTGAACGGAACCTGGGGGACATCGATGGTTTGTGGGGGGGCGGTTCTTGTCTCTTGCTTGGGGGGGTGTGCGCTTTCGGTTGTAGAGGTTCGTGTGGGAGGCATGGGCATGTTATGTTTCCGAGAGGTGGTTCCGCTACTGATTGGCATGTCTTTCCTCGACTGAAAATTCCTTGGGCTGCGACCTCTAACGATAACAGCCCCTGATCGCACTTCACAAATGGAGACCTTGGCACCATTGGCAAGTGTTGCCATGACCTTGAGGTGTACAATGAAGTGCTGCTGCAGCTCCTTCCGCCGTCCATTGTTTGCAGTTGCCACCCTAAACTGCAGGCGCTTCCAGGCGATGGGGAAGTTGACAAATTCAGTCTCGACATCCTGCGACGACATCAAATCCAGCGGGATGGACGTCGGCTCTTTTTCGGTCTTGTCCTCCACCACCGGGGCACTGCTGGCTGGGGTTTTCCACGGGACGGATATGATCTTCACGGCATTTCCTTCCACCGACTCAGTTGCAGAAATAGTCAGTTCCTGAGAGATGATGGGCAACTGCTCTCCCTGTTCGGTCAAAACGTAGCGCAGTCCACGAGGAAGCATTAGATTCCCAGTGACCTGAAAAAGATTGCGCCGGTAGCAGGTGAGCTCGGTCGGAGGTGCGGTTTCCCCGGGGGTGGCCCACGGCGACTCGGCCAAAAAGAACATGCCGTGTAGCTGTGCCGTCAACGACACCGACATTGGACGGAACGCGTAGTCGAGCACTGTGTAGTTCATGTTCGGCATGGAGAAACTGAGAAGCTTATGGTCTCTGTCGATAGACGGGTTATCGCCTCCACTCTGATCTTGCTGCAGGCCCGTGTGGCTGTCGTAGTTGCTGATGGCATCCGAGAACGGATCGTCGTACTGGCTCGGATAGCGCTTGAGGGACGAGGCTTGACCGTGTATCGAGTGCGAGCCGTAGTGGGTGGCATCCTCGCTTCTTCGCGCGAGCAGTCAGTCATTTGACCAGATCAAGTCAAATAGAGGCAGCATTTGCAACCACTTACCCGATGAAGGTGTCTGCATCGAAATTCGAAGCATGGTCGAGGTCATTCAGCGGCAACAGCGGCATAGACATGGCATCGGTGGACGGCACATTAGACAGCGACATTGGCGGTGCGGCCATGTAGGACATGGTCATCGTATCGAAGCCGTCCATGATGGCGAAGATGTCGAAGTTGGGGCGGACAAAAATAAATAGCGAAGTTGTTCCGGCATGCGATTAGTTTTGAGGCCGTGGGTTCGGTGGTGAGACGGCGTGAGCTTGGGGCGACCAGAGACGGGCGAATGGCAACGGCGGCGACCAGGGCAGCTTTGGATAGGCGTGTTGACCAGCGGGCAGGCAACGGTTCGGGCGAGAAGGGAGCGATGTGCTAAAAGGCGAGAGGGGGTGGGAAAGAATGGGTGGGTGGACTAATATTAGAGAAGGGCGCCAGAGTCGAGGGAGGGGAGGTTGTGATACGGCGGCGCAAGCATACGACAAAGCGGGCTCTGGACTTGACGGAGCCAGGGCAGCATTTAAGGACGGGTGGACTTGGGGAGAGAGGCCCTGTGCGTAGTGCGGAGCAATCAACGATAGGGAAATTGTGAAGGTGGTGGTGGTGATACCGGCGACCCGGGCACGTGGTGGGATGAGCAAGGACGAGCAAGGAGGAGCGATGACCTGTGCGGTGCTGTTGCTGGAGGCAAGCGCGAGGGTGGAAAAAGGCGAAGAAGGTGCGACGGGGACGAAAAGAAGGTGCTGCCCTGCTGAAGATATCCGCGCCTGCCTGCACTACTTGCTCTGCTCCCATTCACACGCACGCGCACGCACACACACGCACACGCACACTGACACACTAACCAACCTCACGCTCGCGCTCGCACTCGCACTCACGCTCACGCTCACGCTCACAGAGAACCACCCAGCGTGAAGAAGCTTGCCGCCTGCACGCTGCACGCTGTTTGGCCTAGCGCTGCACACCCATCCCTGGTCATTGGAAAGCGACCCCTCATTCAAGCCATCAAGTGCCGCACGGCTCTGGTGTGAACCAAACCGCCTCCAGCTAGTGTGGGTCTTCTAGAAAACTGCCTGAAATAGGTCCAGAGTCCTCCCCCTCCAGTGGATCGGCCTCGGCGTTGCCATCTGCGGCTAGCGCAGTGCTGTTCTTGGCTAGACGCTGACGCCAGTCAGACAAGGCCTGCCCTGCTCCAAAGCTCGCTCTGCACAATCGGACAGCCCGCTGTTCGCGCTTTGACGCAATTCGTGGGGGAGTGCTGATATCTGAGCCGCATCAAGCCGGGCACGACCCTCCAATCATGCCGTGCAGAGAACATGCACCTTCTGTTCTAACGACTTTCCTATTTTGGCATGGTGGAGGCGAACCCGCCTGCACGCCCAGCGCTAGCCCCAGCACCAAAGGCTGGTCCGCCAAACAGCCGCTTCTGCCAGCGCGCCCACACCAAATCCCAATTCTCGGCCCACTCTCCTTCAGCGCTGTATCGTCAGATTCGACCCTGTCCCTTTCTCGTCCCCTCTCGAGCAGCGAGGTACGACTTTGAGAAGGCCATGCTGCCCCTTCCCCGGTCCCGAGGCTCAGGTAAGGCCGTCAACAGCACTGCATGAAAAAAAATAGAGCAAAAGCGTAATTCGAGCCGTCTATCAAACGCTACCGACATGAGGTCACTGCCGTCCTGACGGAGAATTTAAAAGAAAGAGGAAGGCCCATCCGTCTCGTTCTGCTCTTCCCCTCCCCCCTTTCTCCCCTTTGAGCCTTCCCCTTTCCCTTTCCCGTACGAGGTTGGACGCTCGCCCTTGCACCGACTTGATACATATCAAACACGCTCGCGCCCTTCACCCGAGCACACGTCCGCACCAGCAATGGCATCAGCCACAAACGCTTCGATAAACGAGATGATGCTGTTTCCCCGCGCCCAAAGAAAAAAGGAAATGCACAATGAACACGCCCTGACCAGCGAACGGGTATAGCCAGTCATTTTCGACCCGCGGTAACGCCTGCCCTCTGTGTGTCAATCTGTCCGTCATTTGGGAAAATACGCCTAACTCGCGGGCAGTTGTGCAGCCTGTGCCCATGTCATCGCATCGCACGCTGTTTCCTCGAAGTTGTGCAGAACGTCAAAGCCCATCGCCGACAGCCCGTCGAAATTGCCGTCTCCGTCAATCTGTCGTCGCATGCGTTAGCTGCCGCACGATCGTCCTGTTTTGTTTCTATATTTTCCTCTCCTTTCGCTCACTGCCTCGTCCCGTGCAAATGTAGGAAATAAACTTACATAATCTAGGATGCATGCCGTACAGCCTTGCTGCTTGATCTGCCGGACGCCGAGCAAAATCAGGCCCTGCAGCAACGTGCTGTAGTCGCCTGCAGATGGGCTAATTACTGGGCTCGAGATGCCTCCAGCCACCTCGTTCAAATCCTTCAAGGCTGGCACGAATTCTGCAATCTGAGAATGAGTGTTGTACAGCACGACAGTGCCCAGCAGTGCACCGTCCTGTGGTCTTTTCGCTCGAATGATGCCGCACGCCGTGGGATCGTTGAGCGCAAGCTTGTACACTTCGGCCAGACCCTGCCGATTGCTTGTTTTAATGTGTTCCAGAATGGGGCCCGAGTAATCCCAACCGTAGACCAGATCAAATTCTGCCCCTGCACTCTGCAAGCTCTTCGCCATACCATCCGGAGCACTCCACTCCCCCAAATTGCGAGCGACCATACTGCACACCGGCCTACTCAGAGCAGTATTCCAGCCCAGGTTGGCAAACCAGCTGCGGAGCCGCCTTCTGTCCATTCCATGTCCGGACGGTATTCCTAAATAGATGCTGGGTAGCCGCGAACCGAGCTGGAAGCGTTTGGCGCCTTCTCGTTGAAGCAACGTACGAATCGCTCGGTGATGAAGGGACCTCCCGATCGAGAGCTTGCGCCGGCTAGGATCAACAAAAAGAGACCCGATCACGCCCGTTCCCGTGTTCTTGAAAAAGTACGTGGCGCAAAATCCATATAGGGCATGCGTACTACTGTTTCGAACCACGAAATGAGCCTCCAGGACTTCCGGATGATGCAAGGAAACTGACGTCGATGTTGCGCCTGACAATTCGGACCTCTGGCCGGGGGGACAGTCTTTGCTCACAGCTCTAATCAGCGCATCCAAGGCATGTGCATCTCGTTCTTCATTGTACGTTTCAACGAGCCAATGCTGCCTTGACGGTACTAGCTTCTGGTTTTGACTGATACTCCCAGGCAGACTTCCCGTTGAGACAATGTCGCCGTACAGGACTTTGACCAGCGAATTGAGTGCAGTCTCGGTAAAGTCATACGTGCAAATGTATGTTCCAATCGACATGTCGAGCGCAAAATCGTATGGCGAGCTACAAGCAACAACGATGAGGGGCTTGCTCTTCTTGTCCCCCCCTGCGGAGTACTGCATGTTGCAAACCAAGCTCACATGCTTCGTGAAACCTTGCTGGTAGATATTCCGATTCGCGTCGGCCGTTACAACAATGACCGCACTGGCCCGGTTGATTAGGTTCTCATGAATTGGCCTGAGGCCGTTTGCTGTGTAAGATGTGTGCGAGACTTTGCCGTTCCTACGACGGGCTAGGCTTCTGCCCAATTCGCGAAACACGCGCTCGCCACTCATTACTGATGAGCTTCGTTCCCATGCTGCCGGTTCGGGGGAGTGAGCTTCCATACTTTCGATTACCGCTCTGGCAGCTGCAGAGGCAGCAAGCGGCTTAACTAGGGGGGTTAATAAGAGCAGCTCCTCTTCTGGCTCAATGATATTGCTCAGTGGAAGTAGATCATCACGGTCTCGCACGACAGTGATCGAGCTATTATAGGCTTTAGTCGACAGACTTGTGTGAGATGGCTGCAAAGTCGACAAGTAGCTGATCCCCGGAGGATTTAGCGCCTTTTCCCAGGAAGTAGTCTTTGCCTTCATTGTTAAAACTCGTTTGAGGGAGCGTTTTATCCTGTCCATGGTGATTGAATAGCTTTCAATCCCGGATTTCAACCCTGCGAAAGCATCCCGTTGGTGTTGGAATGCTACAAGGTATGCCATATTAGCCACGGGCACTTCATCAGCGGCGCATAGTGATTCAGCATATCTGTGGAGAAGTATAAGATGAACCGGGATTTTCTGTATAGGATCAAGTCGCTCTCTTGGGTATACAAATAATGGAAAAATATTACAGACGGCTAGCCACAGATTATGTGAAAAGAGTACACTTACATCTGCAAAGCAGAACAAGATCGCATCCTGCGTTGACAGCCATGACCGTTCCTCCACCAACACCAATGTTATGACTAAGGGCTTCCATTTCGAGACATTCCGATATCACGACACCATCGAAGCGCAAATCTTTGCGTAATAAGCCGTCAACAACTTGATCACTCAAGCAAGCGTGCATGACTAAGAGGCAGAGGGGTCAGCCAAGAAATGACTTGCTCCGGTAAATTTTTGGCTTACTCTCCAATCCTGCCGAAGACATAGCACAACCGCCAACCATCATGGCATCGATACCGTGATAGATGGCGTTCCTGAATGGAATAAGTGCGCTTAGGCTAAGCTGCTCCAATGATTCCGTGATGATTGGTACATCCAGCGCCGAACCCAGGAACTCCAGGTTTCCATAGGATGGGAAGTGCTTGCCCATGGTGGCAACTCCAGCTTCCTTGTAGCCCTTCATGAATGCGATTCCGTAGTCGGAAACCTCTTGAGGATCGTCCCCGGTAGTTCTCACGCCCAGCGGCTGGTTACGTGCATTCGTCAAGACGTCTAAACACGGACCCATTATTAGGTTGACACCACACGCAGCGATCTCTTCTGCGGTGGCTTTAGCTACTTCAAAGGCAAGCTCCTTCGATCCAGTAGCCGCAACGCCCATGGCACTGGGATACTGTCGGATGTAGATTTCGTCGAAAAGGCTGTTAACCCCTCCATTTTCTTGATCAAGACCTATCGTTAGAGGCACAGGGTGACCAGCATCAAAGGCAACCTTTTGCAAGTCGTATATCAGTTGGGTTGTCTCCTCGGCGGCTGCGCTTCGTCAATCAATCTGTCAGGGATTGCAGGCAGGAAAACGATATACATTTCAAGTTCTTTGCTACCAATAAGATGGAGCCGATGTGATACTGCTCAATCAGCTGGCGTATCTGGGGCGTGACCTAGTCAACATGAGCATGTTTCTATCTATCTGGCCTCGTTCGCACGCACTGTCGTGCCTTCAAAGCCGACCTGTGGTCATCGAAACACATTAATCAGGTGATCCCACTGAAAGAAAGCAAAGTCGAGGACAATACCATCATCAACTGGCCCAAGGCCCTGCCATATCATCAGCACCATCTCAGTTCTACAACAGAGAATCACATACCTGTCGACATCCTGCCAACATGGGTCATTCTCGGAAACGACCTTCGGCCTAGCCATGGAGGCGCCGAAACTGCGGAGACGCACGCGACCAGGCTTGTGCGCGGCTCCCTCTAACCCAGCGCTCGCTGGAAGTCCGGGGAATAATCGTCAAGGCGACTGTGGATGCATGAAAGTAACGATTGCATTTAGCGAAACATTGCAGCGTCTCTTGTGACTAATGCTTCTTGGAAGGCGTGGAGGGAGGTCATCCGGGAGGTCAAGCTAAATGTAACCTCGCTAAGCTGTTTTTGTATGCCAGGGCTGGATCCCGAGCTTATGGCAAATCGGGCAAAAACGTTGTGTTCAACGTTCGGCATCGTCGCAATGTCGCACACGAATGGAGTACCGCCAGTGGAGATGGTGCTGTTGCTACCACGTGCTGTCGCGATAAGTCGATAGCCACAGCTTAGGTGGTGACTGTGTTTGCCCTTCGCGGCAGTATGATGTAACGCCCGACCAGTCATAGCAGCGACTGTGCTGGATTGAAAGATTACAAAGGATCGTGATATTCATCCATGACTTCGGATGAGATTTGCTTTTCCAATTTTCTCGCCGGGGCATCTCCTTCGGTTTGGTCTGTCTCTCCGTGTCACTAAACCCATAATTTTCTAAACCTCAACATGCCCGGAAAGATTCGCAGCCTACAGCAGAGTCCTACCCGGACTAACATCACCAAATTCACCAACTGTAGACTCGTGAAGAGTGGAAAACTTGTTCAGGAAGACCTCTGGATCAGCTCCCGCAGTGGCAAGATACTTAACGGACAAGAAGTCTTTTACAACCAGAGGATAGCACCGGACCATGTTGTCGATTTGGGCGGCAAGATACTCTCGCCAGGCTTTATTGATGTTCAACTAAACGGGGCCTTCGGCTTCGACTTTTCCGTCGCGCCGGAGAAGTTGGCAGACTACGCAAAGGGTATGATTAAGGTCAACAAAGGGTTGGTCAAGACAGGTGTCACGTCGTACACGCCTACGATTGTGAGCCAGAAAGCAGATATCTATCACAAGGTTCTTCCCTATCTTGGACGCTCAGGATCCAGAAGACTTCCACGAGATGGTGCCGAGTCTCTAGGCGCCCATCTCGAAGGCCCATTCTTGAACCCACTCAAAAATGGCATCCACAGCAAGACTATACTCAAAGCTCCAGAAAACGGAATGGATGACCTGATTGATTGCTACGGAGCAGCCAACCTGGAAAAAGGCAGCACGCCTGTCGCTTATGTAACAATAGCTCCAGAACAGCCTGGTGCACTCGAAGCCATCCGCGAACTCCGAGCACGCGGAATTCGCGTCTCCATCGGACACACTGCGGCCGACTATGAGCAAGCACAAGCAGGTGTCGCTGCCGGTGCAACAATGATCACACATCTTTTCAACGCGATGCATTCGCTCCATCACCGCAACCCGGGAATGTTTGGTCTTTTGGGACAAGGTGCAGATCCTTCGAACCCAAAACCATACTTCGGTATTATCGCAGATGGAATTCACCTGCACCCGAGTGCCATCAACATAGCGTGGAATGCCCACCCCGAGGGCTTCATTCTCGTCACGGATGCCATGGCCCTGGTCGGCCTACCAGACGGCATCCATGAATGGACAAACGGGGACCGAATCATCAAAAAAGGGTCCACCCTCACTCTCGAGGGTCACGAGGGCAAGATTGCGGGAAGCAGCATCACGCTTATTGAGTGCGTGAACAACTTCCTTTGCTGGAGCGGCGTTGGGGTTGCGCAGGCGCTGGGTGCGGTGACTTCCACGCCGGCGAAGATGTTGGGCATCGCCGATGTGAAGGGTTGCTTAGAAGCTGGCGCAGATGCCGATCTTGTCGTGCTGGACGAACTAGTGGAAGACCATGGTCGGAAGAGACTTGTAGTGGAGCAGGTTTGGAAGTTCGGCGAATGTGTCTTCGATGCTGAAACTGCTGACGACTGAGGAGATTCGTTACGAATTACTTTGCGTGGGTGCGGGTTCTCAGTGCTTATTGATTATTTGGATGATTATCCTTTGTCCAGATTGTTCAAGAGAGTAGTTTGTTCAACTACTGGTTCCATTACTACTACTACTACTACTACTACTACTATTACTACCAGTACCAGTATCAACATCATATACCCTAGACATAATATCGCTAGAACTTATCAATAATAATCCAATTGCTTGTAATTCTAATGTATATGTATAGCCGTGTTTTATATTTTCTCCCATTTGGTTATTTTAGGGGGCGGAGAGGGTCGATGGAGTTCATACAAACCCACACACTACCCGATGCTTCCGAAGCTCCGACATTACAGCGGCTTATCGTGCACCGCGACATCATTCTAGTCACGTTTCATTCACGATCTGGTTTAAGCTGGTCGGAGTTCAGGTAACCTTTTTTTCTTGACAACACGTACCGAAGGCCCTTCCAGATCGCGATATCTCGCTGTCGTCGCTCTGTGAATTTCGGGCTCTGACGTTAAGCACAATCGTCCTTGGTGAAGCGAGCCTATTTCGCGGTAAACATAGAGGGCGTGCTGCAGGCAATATCAGCACGACATTGGCTCGAACTTGAGCTGGATCGTGTTGCATGCCCATCGCTCTTTTTTGTCGCTATGAGCTTAGGGCGCGCGGCGCCGAACGGAGTCGGATGCTCGTCAAAGTCATCTGGTAAATCTTCGCTCGTCAGAGAGATGTAGTCGCATGTGCATTGAAGTTCCTTCCACTTGCTAATGTCACCAACGACATCCTGACTCCTCCGCACGACTGTCAAGAATGGGTTGTAGCCTGCCGTCTAACCCTGTTGAGATGCGTAGGCCGAAAAAAAAAGACGTTCTTGATCATGGTGAAATTTGGATTGTGTCTAGGCGTAAAGATCGCGTTCCCGATGAGGTTGTAGACGGAGGTCATGTGTAAAAATCAAGCAAGCAATTAATTCCATTGGAACTGGCAGCATTTAAGCATTGTTCGAGGCACAATATTGAGTTTCTTCGGGCTGTTGGGTAATCAGCCAATATTTGCCTATTCCGATCGTTCGTATCTTCGTCAAACTTTTCCAAGGGAGTCATAATACTATTCGTTTCCCGAAAATCCGATTCAAAGCAAAAAAGAGGTGACAGATGAGGATTGGAGTGTGAACGAGTTAGCATTAAACTTTTCAATACCTCTCTGCCTTTTTATCCTTGCATACATGCGTCTCGTACTGTGACAAAGCCGACCATTCTTTCCACTCTAGAGTTACCAGTTCCACATGCACTTTTGAGCCAGCAACTTACTTCCTAAGAGATCGTATTCCCTACTCCAAATCCAACTGTCGTTTCCGCTGCTGCTCAGTCTCGCAAATACACTGCCCCCCTTCCAAACTACAACCCCGCTATCTAGCTCCCTCTGAGGGCCCGCGACTATGACGCCCTTCTCGCCAAAACCAGGCACCATCTCTCTCAGCTTCTCCTGCAAGAAGTTCAGGAGATGGGGAATCTTTGCCCCGCCACCGACAACGGTGATGAACTGGAAGAAGTCACGCATCTTGCGCTCATCCGAACGTGCTGCCTCACGGATTGACGTCAGGATAGCGAGATCCAGCGGCATCAGGGGAAGAATGCGATCGCGTTCCTCGGCAAGACGCAATGCCTCAGTTGATTTGTCTATGACAGGGCCGCCATTTGGAAGTACACCTCCTTCGGCTGTGTTCGGCCCAGGTGAAGCACGCGAGGCATCTGGTGTTCCAGTGCCTTCTGGCGCGGGCGAGCCTGCGACTGAGGAGCGAGGTGTGGATTCAGCATCATCCTGAGGGAGACGGGACAGCAGATTAAAAGGTTTGGGCTTGCTAGGCGTGGCCGTGATTGCTGCAGTTGATGCAGATTCTGGTCCTGCTAGCGGTGCCGGTGCCGGTGCTGCTGTCGGTCCTTGTGCTGGTGCTGAGATGGTAAACGGCAGATACTGACTCGTCCAGTTCTGGGCATTGGCTTGTGCCGCCGAGTAAGGGTCGTTAGGGGTGCCGTCATACAGGTCGTAGCTCCGGTCAATGACTGTTCGCCTGCCCTCGAGTTTTGCGGAATGGTCGAGTATCCCCGGATACCAGAATGATAATGGCGCGAGCATGGGCTCGTCGAAGGTCTTGAACTGGTATTTCCGGGTGTCTTGGTTTGCAGCACGGAGGTGGAACTCGTATAACTGTACGACCACATCTTCCTCCTTCATGGACGTAAACTTCTCCTTCAGCTCCTCGGCTAGAACATAATCGTACCGTCTTCGGAGGTTTATGTCCGCATATGGGAACTGATCTGTAAGCATCATTTTGATAAACAGCTCTGTTACATCCCATCCACCGTATTTGAGGTTCATTCGTGAGTCCTCAATGCACATGCCATCTTCAACACAGCAGATCGATGTCTTTTGCGCGCCAATATCAACTATACAAGTCAAAGTCTGCGCGTTGCCAAACGATGCCGCCAAACTTTCCTGTATGAAGCACACGCGTTGAAAACCGAATTCACGCATCAGACTGTCCAGTATGAGTGTGACGTAGTTGCGCTCATACAAATCTGGTATCACGAAGCAGCAGCTGTAGTCTTTCCAGTCCCGCCTCCCGAGTCCCAGCTCCATCTTTAGCGCATCCTCGATGATCGCAAAGAAGTCATCTAGAAGAAGGTTCCGGTCGTGGTAGTCGCGTTCGTTGAACCATCCCTGGCGAAGGGGCCATGTCAGCCGGTAGCGCGGCGTTGACTTGTCCGGAATGCGCAGGGCCGCCATGCCTGTGAAGCGCTCCGGTGCTTTATTTGGCGAGACTTCTGTCCAATCTATCTGGTGGGGGTCATTATGTGCGGAGATGATCTGCGGTTCCTGCTGCATGTTGAATTTCTGAACCAAATCCCGTTGTGCTGGCAAGATCTTGATCTTTTTGGCTCGAAGGCGCACCTTCAGATCTGCTGCCATTGTCGCATACGTGGCCTGGAAGTCTTCACCAAAGATGCCCTGCTTAGACAAGTGCTGTTTGTCTCTTGGCAGGCCCTCTGTCGCCATCTTGAGTCGCTTCGGCGCTGGCTCGCCATCACCTTCTTCTGACTCACTCTCCTTCCATTTGCGTGCTATGCACATAGGCACGGTCTTGGGCAACACGTCACTCGCGAGCCCAATGCGCAGGTTCTGGCTGCCTGGATGAATGACGATGATCTTTGCTCCGTGAGGTTCGTTCGGGTTGCCAGCCGTGTCCACGACGTCGTCCATTGGCACGTCGGTATCCATGGGAGTGTCATTCTCGTTGACTTGCATGCCATTGCGAGCTCTGTCCAGCGCCTCCTTGCGCAGCCGATTTGAGTTCTCCTCTTGCAGAGTGCGATACGCAAGGTACTGGTCGTCTCTCTTCAAGTATTCACTGCAGTCAGGCGCGCGTGTCAGTGCCCATCATCTTCAATGCAATTCGAAGCGTCGATATATACGTACGTATAATAGTTCTTCTGATTGATCATCTGAACCTGCGGCCAACTGGTTAAGGGTAGGTCGTTGTCCGTCTTCTCGAGTCCTGTTCCGTCGCTCATCAGCATTTGTACGCTGTGTCATCGTGCGCTCGCGAAATTGCGCGCATCGCCATCGCAATTACCTTCCTCGCGCAGCAGCGCCCTGCCCGATTTCTTGGGTGGCATCTTTCTACTGCCAGACGCAAAATAAGACACCGGAGTCAACGACGAAGTGGCGGCAACGTCGGAGTCGCGCTGGTGATGGTGGTGGATCGGGGTGGAGGCACCGCTGTGGTCGACGAGCAGGCGCAGCTCGTGGAACAGCTGCTCGGTTCGGTTGCTGTCGCGGATGCGTTCGCTTTGCGCGGCGCTGGCACGTCGCCAGCTGTTGGAGTCGACGTGCATTTCGCTGGCACAAAAGCTCCGTTCGGAGCGACTCGCACCGTGCCGATCAGGCTGAATCACTGGCGAACTTCCTGATCGAGGGCTGGCCTTCAGCAATCAACTTCGTGCCTGTCCGCTCACGCTGCGACTCCTGAGGCTTTAAAATTCATTGTTTCTTTCAACGAGTGATGAAGACGAAGATCTTTTCTGGCCCTTCCTCCTTCGCACTATAAGGGAAACTTTTTGGTCACCGCCCCTAATGTGATAGAGGCTGGCAGCGTTTGTGCTTGCTTCAACGCCACCGACGCGCGTGAAACTCGTGCTAGTAGACCACTCATTAAACTACCCCAACCTCAATATGCACATTTCTTGTATAACTTTACACAAAGACACCGTCTTTCCCGCTAGTTTGTCTGCCTTACCTTAACTTGTCCCGGGCAGTCATTCTCATCTTCAGCATGCCAAACAGCGGCAGAAGGCAGAGTGAGGAGGCGGCTGCGTTCTTCGCTGCGGCGTATGCCGCTATCCAGGAGATTCCCTACGGCAAGGTCACCTCGTACGCCCATATTGCACGCTTGATTGGACGTCGTAAGCTTATCTCGCCCGTGAATGTATACACATACGTGGCCAGTGTTAATCAAAAAGATGAAAATGAGCAGCTGAATGCCCGAGACAAGTAGGTGTTTGTCTCAAACATCTCCCGGATGATCCAACTCAGCGCTTCAATAACAAGACGGTCCCGTGGCAAAGGGTGAGAATTAAGCTTTCTACAAGTACAATATGATAGCCTCTCACTTTTTTCTTTTTCCTTGTTTATTTTCTTTTTTTTTAGGCTAACGTGCGGGGGTTAAATACACTAGGTCATAAACGCAAAAGGAGGAATCAGTCCACGGTACGACGGTCCCTTGCACCTGGCACATGGTCGATCGTTTAGCTGCTAACATGGGTTTTATCAGAGGTCCAGGGAGTACGGCCAGACAGGCTGCGGCATTGAGAAAAGAGGGTGTACAGGTTGATCGTAATGCAATGGGCGAATTCAGCGTGGACTTCAGTACATATGGATGGTTAGCCACCCAAAGTGTACAGCAATGAGTCTTGTGTCATAAGCTGATATTTTTCACATCAATAAGGTTTCCGGACATGCTGCCTAGTGAGGAAGAAGAGCTTGAGGATTCCGATGAAGCTTCCGTGAAGGGTGAGTCTGCAGGATGAAGGATTTGAGAACTGTGATTATTGGGTTCCTATAGCCCAAGCTCAATGCCTGCCACCAAGACCTATTTGAGTCATGAAAGCGGGTTGTTTTCATGTTGAAAAGTCGACCAGCGAACGGAGACTTATTGCCGCTGTACCATTTCAGGCTCTGCAAGTTAATATCGAAGGTTGTTCTCAAGGTCAGGATCGCGTGTCGCAACAGAAAGAGCTCGCGTTGGACATATCAACCGTTTATGCCTCTTTACTTCAAGTAGGTGTCTGCTAATCTCAGCCTGCATTTGTCCAATGAATTGTACAATGAAATAGACGTCTTGTCCTTCCCGTTTAGCCGTAGCCCACATTTCGCAGCTGAGCGCATTTTGACGGAAAATCTCTCCAGTTATATCTCGTGTCCTGCAGGATTGAGGTTAATGCTCCTTACTTCAAAACGACTTGGATACCTCAATTCCGCAATCAGTTATACAGTTGCTATGTTGAATGGCGTGTCTGATCTTACGCTTTAGTTGTTATGAAGATCGTCGATGTCATCCAAAGTCGAAAATTTTCATTGCCAACTTCAACACTTGCTCTATGATCTCCCACTGCACGAGGTCGCTCGTCCATGTGCGCAAGGCGCGTCTAGGGTGTCAAAAAGTCACCAAGGCGGCGTGGCCAAGGTTTGGTCATGTCCTTGGCGGGACCACAGTAGCGACCATGCCGATCACTGTTGACCGTCAGACGAGGTTGCGAAACCCCCTTGTTGCGTCTCGAATTGTGTGTATAGAGAAGATGGCTGTCGGCGTCGACACTTTTCGAGAACAAAGGATACACAGAGAAACAATAATGCCACAGTTCAAGACGACTTTTTGGGTGCTTTCGCAGTACTTGCTCAAGATTTGAAACGCGACACTGCATGCAAGCTCCCTCTATCTTCTCAAATTGAGAGTCGAGCAATTTCGCCCTGATCAATTTCCACCAAGAGACTGCCAAAAAGGGGCTCAAAGGAGCTCATGCTTGATCCAAGAACGGCATGCGGTTCGCAAGTCTGCAGTCCATCTTACATACGGCAGCTCTCCTCAGTCGATAACCACCAGTGCTGATATCTGTGTCCGTATTTCGCGTTCATCAGGTTTTGGTCCAACGGCTTTTCCAAGGCTGCTCAGTCCGCTATGGTTGGAGGGCGGCATGATAGAAGTGAATCAGAAGCATCACTAAATTTGCTAGATAACAATGAATTCAGCAAACTAGGCCACGGGTCATATTTTGTGTGTACATGAATGACGAGACCACACATGATCTACAGTAGAATGAGCATTTCAATCCCCTACTGCGCACGTTCGCCTTGGAATCCGGTTGATATCATCTGAATACGAAGATAAAGCGAGTGAAAGGCACCTGCAGCTTAGACATGACAGGATCAGTGGAGGTAATCAAAGACAGGGGTTGATTTCATACAGAGACTCGAATTGCAGGGAGCCGCGGAGGACATAAACGTGTGTCATATCACGTATTTGACGCGTTCCAAAATGCACAGAACAAGCAGCGAAGTTAGCGTTGGACGTATAATAATCAGGAGTCTTCCAACCTAAAGAAGCCTACGTCATGATAATCAGACTGAGAAGTAGCAATGATTTGTGCACAGCAGTAAAGGCACAGACAACATTGCATTTGTGTTCCAGAAGCGTATACTCTTGTTCGACACTCGCAGCAGTGAGAACGACAATCAACAAACTGGATGCACACAGAACAGTAGCCTGTACAACAAATTCAAGGATTGGGCCTGAGTGAGCCAAGTCCGAGACTCGGCTGAGACATAGCCAGGTAGCACACCGTGGAGAAGCAGGTTGGCCATCGTTCTGAAATGGCGACGTCGAGGACTCGAACTTGGAACGCGTTCAGTACTCGTCGTCAGACTTTGACGCTCAAACATCGGAAGAAGCCAGGCCGGGCGAATTGAACTCGTCTGTTGGGGGTGGGGGAGGGACGTTGGGGATGAGCCCCGTGAGAGGCGTGAGGGTCGGCCGAGGCGCGTGATCGGGCGCGGGCCACCGTTATCGATACGGCGAGTGGACAAATGCGATGACGTGCAGGGACGGAGCGTCATAACTGGCTGCTGGCGGCCAGAGCGTAACTCGGTCTGCCTCCACGTCCACGTCCACGTCCTTGTCCAAAAACGGCCTCCACCGTGTTCTCCGCACGGCCAGGAACCAGCCTGATGTCGTCAGGTACAGCAGCACGCGCTGACGCTGACGCCCGCCATTTGCCTTGTGAGACGTGGACGGAGACACAGCTGGGCCCCCGTCGCGCGCGGCCTTGCTGGTGGTCGGAACAATCAGGGCCGCAGGATGGACGGTCAAGGCTGGTCTCTTGACTGAATCACGTACGAGGCTGGACCACATGGCATCATTCGTGACGAGCTGGGTTCCTTATCAGGATACCAACCGCTCTTCGGCGACCCGGCTTGGGACATCTGTACATTCCAAGCAGTTTCCCCTCTCTGCATATCCTGGGGTAAAGCGTCAAGGCCTGTACTCGCTCCTCTTCTGGCCGCTTGCTGTTAGTCACTGGCCTGCATCACCGCGATTATCTGTCGGTTCCGAGATCCTACTAGCTCTATCTCTGTTGCCGACGCTGGGACCTCATTAGACTGAGCCACCACCCAAACCACCGTCAGCCCTCGCGCTGGCTTTTGTTTGATTCATAGCCGCCTCAGCTCCAGTCGTCGCTTCCTCTTGTGACTCAGACTCCCTCCCACGAAGGTTCACGCTTACCCATCACGCCTTCCCTCATCAGCACTCGCAGCTTCTCAACGCCCTACGACTCATCCACCGGTACGACTTGCCCGTTACCACAACTGCACTTGCTACTGCTCCTGCTCCTGCTCCTGCTCTTTCTCCTTTCACTTATCTTGCCCCCGACCTCACCTCTCACCTCACCCCTCTCCCTCGACGTTACACGCCTACCTTTCTTCAGATCGCGTAATCTGATATTCCTATCGTTCAGATTCAATAAAGCAAAACTCTGCGACGCGTCTGTTGTCTACCTGATCGTCGTCAACCTTTGTTCTCTTTCGTCTGAAATGGCCGATCTCCGCTCTGCTGCTATCGACTTTAAGCGCGACAACACCTCCAAGGCCAAATGGGCCCGCGGCGAAGCGTATGGCCCAGGCAGAGCGAAGGATGGCCACGCTGCTCCTGTGAGGGCGAAGTCAAAGTGAGTAGTCTGCATGCAACTTATTCCAGGCGCAGATACCGTGCTGGCCATGGCCTCGGATACTGACTTCCCCGCCGCAGGTACCCGCGAAGTAACCAAGAACTAAGGCTCGACCGCAACACCAGGACTGCGGCGCGCAACGACATTCTAGACGAGGCGCACGCTCACAACAGCGACTCGTCTGAAATTGACGAGCCATGTGAGCCGTGCGCTGCGCCAGACGCAGAGATTGCTTACTCGTATGACGCACAACGCGGCCCGAGCCATGGCTCGACCATTCTGAGCAACGCCCTCGTACAGGCAGTAGAACGCTTCGAGAGCAAAGTGACAGAGAAGCTGGTCAAGGATGAATATGAGGTGCTCCCGACGAACCCGGAGGACCTGCTCACGCCTGTCAAGAAGGGAGGCAAACAGCAAGTATCTGCATCGACTGCCGCCGAAGAGGAGGACTACGAATTTGTCTAAGCACAAGGAGAAGGCATGAACTGCCTTGGAATGTCGTTCTTTCTAGTGGCGATGCTGCTGATGACTTTTCTTGGCCCTCCTTGTCACTTTGAGTATGTATTCTGATTTTCTCTTGGCTCGGACAAATCCATTTACTGGCGGCGCACACGGATAGATTGGAACATCCCGCAGGACAGCCGGCGGACATTGATACCCCATTGGCTGGAAGAGTGCCGGAGTTTCTGAGAACAAGTAAATTGCAACTGTACTCCTCTTGACATGAACTTTTCGTTTTGAACCTCGTCGTTGCAGTTGAACTTGTCATGAGATCTTGTCCTGCAGGAGTGGGCAACGTTGTAATCAACTCTTTTTTCGGGATTCTCATGTCCGCCAACATGCAGTTCGCCGCTGCCTCGAGCTGCATGTCATACAAATATAATACTCTTGCATACAATGACGAGGCCGTACAACGACCCCACTGATGAATATGAGGCCATAACGAGGCATCTCTTGTCGAGCATGTTGCATTTTCTACGACACACAGCTTACGAAATCAGTCCCCACCCCGTAAGCAGAAATCAGTCGAGCGATGAAACGGGACCCGGAAGGTGGATAAGCGCCGACGGTTGCTTATCCGACGAAGCCGTTGGGCAAGTTATCATCGTCCTCGCAAGTGTAATGCTCTCAGTCCGCAAATCGAACGGCCACACACATTAAGTCGAACTGTCCGATCACATCTGGCACCGGTTGATCGCGATCCTGACCTAGATTGTGCTAGCGAACAATAGAGACAGGAGTCACAGGACAAGGACGGCGGCGACGGCGGAAGATAATTCCATGCTGCTGTCACATGGGGAAATGCCATGCTGAAGGGACGGAAGAGGCGAGCAGGCGGCTGAGCCTGAGACGACTGACTGACCCACTCGCGCTCGCAAGCAAGCATCAAAGTCATTCCCGGACAAACGCGCGTTCGATCAACAAGACCGAAACGCTTCCCAAAAGGCACGCGCACAATTATTGGAACAGCGTCGCTTCAACACAATTGCAATCCCTGCTGATAAGCACACCGCTTCGATTGGTCCTCTGAGGCGTCTCTGTCGCTCCATGGCCGTACGAGTGCAGCGTCCGTGACTGTATTGCATTGAGTCGCCCCGACCCAAGCCAAGTCTTTTTTTTCCTTTCCTTTCCCTTGCCTTTGCCACACCCTGCCCTGTCCAATCTTTCTCGTCTCTTTCTGCCGCACCTGCATTCCTGCCACGCTTGTACATATCGTGCGTATGCCCAGAAACGAGCTCCGACCTTTCTATCGTAGACGTCGATACTACCTCGCTCTAGCGTGCTTTCTCCCTTCCATTCGCTTCGCTTCGCAAATCAGTTTACCCCTCCTTCGCTTAAGCCAAACTGCTGTTTTCCTTCTACCCTCTCCCGATTGTATCAAACTCTTCATACTCATATACACGCGTGTTCCAAAGCTGAAAGAGCGAGGATTGATGTCTTCCTCATACGCTTTCTGAGGAGCCTTGGCCCATTAATCTGACTTCTATCACTCAACCAAACCCCCAACAAGATACAATCGGCGATCACAACCTCGACCGCGCTCTCCTCATAACATGGTTTTCGATGACATGCGAAGACCCCGGGCCTCGATGGCCACGGCCGACATCCCCTTCAGGCAGGCCCCACGGCCGCGCTGGCTGCTCGTCCTACAGGCACGGATGTGGCGTTTCCTGATGTCAATTGGCATGTTCTTGCACAAGCTAGCCAGGCCGCGGCCTCCAAGCCCGGACTTTAAGCAATGGGTTGATGCCACGGTCAGTCCACGACCTGGCAGGTTCAGACTTAATTTTTATGTCCCGAAGGAATGGAAGGAAGCCCGCAGGTTGCAGACAAATAGGAAGTTTCCCGTCGTCGTCAACTTTCATGGAGGTATGTGACAGATACATAGCGGGACAAGAAGTTCTCAAGGCAAGGGAATGTATACAAAGATGTTTTGAGGAACATATCTGGTCATTTATTAACTAACTTCTTGTGCAGGTGGATTCACGTTAGGAAAAGCTACCGACGATTGTAGGTGGTGCAAGACAGTCGTGGACGAAGTGGGTGCTGTTGTCGTCTCCGTTGATTACCGCCTTGCTCCCGAGTGTCCCTTCCCGACCGCAGTCGAGGATGGCGCCGATGCGATCCTGTACCTAGTCAGCCATGCGAACCAGCTGAATCTGGACACGGACAACATAGCCGTCAGCGGTTTTTCGTCTGGCGCGAACATGTGCTTCACAGTACCACTTCGGCTATTGGAAGAGCTGGAGATGCAAATTGCACGGGGCGAAGATCATCGCAAGAGTGTAATTTTGGGTCAACGACCGCCGCTGCAGAAGTCGTTAAGTGAAGGCAGGGTGTTAGTCAAAGCAAAGAAACAGATACGTGTTAAGGCTGTGTGTGCGTGGTATCCGCCCACGGATTACACACGCACTCGGGCCCAGCGGAAAGCAACATGCGCCAGGCTAGATCAGCAGCTTCCAGCCGTTTTTACGGAATTGTTTGACGAGAGTTACTTGTCGCCGCCCACCATGGATATGTCAAACCCGTATCTGAGCCCAGGCGTTGCACCAGACTACATGCTGGCGAGCATGCCGAATGAGATCATCCTGTTCTGTTGCGAGTGGGACATGCTTCTCCAAGAGGGGACTGAATTCCGGGACAGGCTGCGTGCGCTTGGTAAAACGGTGCACTACCACATGGTGCCCCAGGTCCCGCACGGTTGGGACAAGGCGCCCAATCCGCTCAGAGTTACCCCAGGCGTCAGGGAACAGTACCTGAAGGCTTGCACCGAGTTAAAAAGGCTTCTCGTTGCGCAAGAGCCATTGTCGGACGTGGACAGCGGGTTTGCAGAGGCTTCATTCGAAATGCCCGACGAGGCGGGCATCAGTACGCCAGAGCAAGCACACCTGTCCCCCGTGAGCAGCACACAGCCGTTTATCATCCCTGAACAGGACTTCAGGACTTCGTGGTTCAGGACCTCGTGGACAGGCTAATTTTGGCGCCCAATTCTTAAGATGATGTTTTATTCTTTTGCTACAGCGTTCAGCACTTGTTTTTTTTTTTGGTCGTGTGTATGGATTTGCTGATGGCACGAAGTATGATTGGCTCTGATACATATCTTTGCATGGCGCGTAGAAAGGGGGCTGCGTACTCTAGAATAGAACTGCATTCACTGCATTGTAATGTACATTGCACTGCACAGCCTATGTGTAGTGGCCTCAGAACAGAGGTCAGAAGCGGGTAGAGAGATACAGCCTTGTCAGCCTCGCGCTTGGCTCTCTATCTTCTTTGGCTGGACCTAAATAAATAGCTCACCACGAATCCGCAGCCCGAGCACGGCAAAGAAAACATGCGTGCAGCAAGTGGCTTTGATTTTGTCGTCCGAGCGTGCAATTGTCGTCACTGACGCCGTCAAAATCTCGCAATTCGAAGCTGGGAAACGGGACTGATGATGAGGTGGAAGGAAATGACCCTTTGCCGCCTGCTCATCCATCCCTGCTAGCGATCGATCTATCACTTTTGAGCTCCCGGTCCATGACGTGTGCTCTGCAGCAACACTTTGAGGCGCGCATCTTCGTTTGCGCGCTGCACAGCAGACCGTTGCAGGCTTGAAAAAGGGCCACAGATCTGTTTAACCAAAAATTCCAAAGCTCTTCTACCATCCTCATCTGCGCACTTACGGGCGACCCAGTCACCGCTCCTCCGCACAGCCTCCTCCTGCGTTTGTCGTTCTCGTTGCTGTGTCGCTTTTTATCTCTTTCCACACGTCCTCGTTTCAGAGTCGTTGGCTAAGCGTGCGCCCAGCATGGCAGCTCTGGGGAAGGACGCCAACCAGCAGACAAATATGGGTGTGGACTACGTAGTCAGCTTTCGATTCGACCCGTCTGGTATGTTTTACTACACGGCCACTGCGAGAACGGTGCGCTTCGAGCTTGGTGCTGACGGCGGGGAGAGCAGATAAGAAGGCAGCCGTGCAGCAGTTTGAGATGCTCGTCCAGGCTCTAGCGAGCGTGGGGCTGGCGACAGAAGTGCGCAACGGGGAAGGCAACTCACTGCTTGTCTTTGTCAAGGTGGCCAGCGAGGATCACTTGTTCGGCGAGGTCTACAGGTCGAGGTGAGTGTGCTCAGCGGGGGAGCCTGCTACCTCCACGCATCAGGAGGTGAAAGTTGACACCATTTCGCTCAGGGTCAAGGACTGGATCAATGGCGTCCGAGCTGCCGCACCGGAGAAGGAGACCAAGCAGGCCCTCAAGGTCGATCCACTGTACGAAGCCGAGCGCCTACGCATCATATATCAGTTGATCACGAACCCTACAAGCGAGGGTGGAGCTGGCATCACGCCCAAATCTGGGGAGTGGAAGAGCGTAGAGAGCGTGTTTCCGCTGCACGATCATGCGGCGAACAAGAAGTTGATGAAGAAGCTTGCGGGCAGTATGTTCTTCACGACGGAGGATTTGGACGAGATCAGGGACAAGTTTGGCGAGAAGGTAGGGACTGCCCGAGAGGCCGATGTGTGCACGCATTTTCGAAACAGTCAAGTTGCTGACCCATGAACAGATTGCGTACTACTTCGCCTTCACGCAGTTCTACTTCTCCTTTTTGTTGTTTCCAGCTGCGGCTGGTGTGTCGGCCTGGCTGCTGCTCGGCAACTTCTCACCCTTCTACGCCGTTTTCAGCTGCCTGTGGTGCATCATCTTCACCGAGTATTGGAAGCACAAGGAGACGGACCTAGCCGTGCGGTGGGGTGTCCGTAACGTGTCAAGGATCGAGTGCAAACGCAAGGAATTCGTGCACGAGAAGATGATCACCGATCCAGTTACGGGAGAACAGGTCCCTTTCTTTTCCAACAAAAAGCGGCTGCAGCGACAGCTTCTCCAGCTGCCATTTGCGCTCGGCGTTGCTCTGGCACTGGGAAGTCTGATCGCGACGTGCTTCGGCATCGAGGTCTTTATCTCTGAGATTTACGACGGTCCTCTCAAGTGGCTTTTGGTCTTCCTCCCGACCGGCATTTTGACCACCGTCATGCCCGTCCTGGTCAATATCTTCACCTCGGTCGCTACGAGGCTGACGCAATTTGAGAACTACGAGACGCAGGACGCCTACGATACAGCTATGACGCAAAAGATATTCGTCATCAATTTCATCACCTCGTACCTGGGCATCTTCCTTACTGCCTTTGTTTACGTGCCTTTTGGAACGCTCATTGTGCCTTACCTGGACATTTTCTCTCTAACCGTCAGACCCTTCGCGGAGAACAAACAACAAATGGAATGTCCACCTGCTCATGCCTTCGAGATCAACCCAGATCGCCTCAGAACACAGGTCATCTACTTCACCGTCACTGCTCAGATCGTCAATCAGGCCTTGGAAGTGCTCTTGCCATATGTTAAGCGCGAGGCTTTCTCAAAGTACAAGAAGTTCCAAAACCAGAGGGCCATGAGCAAGGGTGGTGCTTCTAGCCTCAGTGACAATGATGCACCAGAAGAAAAGGCTTTCCTTGCCAGAGTCAGGCAGGAGGCCGAGCTTGGCGTTTATGATGTGACGGCGGATCTGCGAGAAATGGTTCTGCAGGTAACACTCAATCGCGCTCACATGCATCCATGTTGCGCATCACGCTAATATATGGACAGTTTGGTTATCTTTCGCTGTTTTCCGTTGTGTGGCCCTTGACTGCAGTTTCCTTCGTCGTCAACGACTGGTTCGAACTGCGTACGGATGCGTTTAAGATCACGGCTGAGATGCAACGCCCCACACCTTGGCGTGCAGACACCATCGGACCTTGGCTTGATTCCCTCGGCTTCCTCGCCTGGCTTGGCAGCATTACCACAAGCGCGCTCATCTATCTCTTCCGTGACGGCGTCGGCCCGGCTGGAAGCCCCAAGGACATCACGTCGTGGGCGCTCCTTTTGTCCATCATTTTCGGCGAGCACCTCTTCCTTTTGACACGCTGGGTGGTGCGCATTGCCGTTTCCAAGATTGAATCACCAGGCCTGCAGAAGGAGCGACGCGAGCGGTTTCTCGTGCGCAAGAAGTACTTTGACGAAAGTCTCAGTCAGCTGAGCAGGTTGTCGCCTGTCATCGACAATGCCGACGAGCCAGAATCGATAACACGTGAAAGTCTCGAAGAAGATCAGAGGAACATCAGTCAGGCGGGTCACGATGGTGTGGAGGAGAAATTCTGGAGGCGGCAAAGGGGATGGAGGGAGACTGCTAAGATCGGGGCCGCTCTCATCGAAAGGGTGCTCCCGGATGAGGACAAGAAGTCACAGTAATCATTCGTCACGATGTGTGCCCTTACGGCAAGGTGGAAGAGCACCTGGTGCGAAGCGAGAACGTTTCTCTCTTAAGATAGGTTGACTGCTGCACGCAATGCTCATCCCTATGGGTCGCTATTTCTTTTTAAACGGCTTCTAGTAAAATACACATACATGGCCTAAAGGGTCACGCCCCTGCGAACTTTTGACGCATTTTTTAGCAACTCTCTTTGGGTTCACGACTGATACCAGCGTGTGTCGTTGCTGCACTCATACGTCGGGTTGGAAATGTCGCTTCACTTCCGCTCGGCACACCCAGATGCGGTTTGTCAGGACTATAAATTCTACGTGCCTTCGCTCTCCGCAACATCTTGCATCTATGCTTTTCGAGAGTTAATTATGCCGCAGCTCGTGATGGTAAATACGCATCTTATCGTCTGAATCCAGGCTCCACTCAAAGCGAAGTGCTTAAATTGGGGACACTAGGTGCTCAACACCAGGAACCGTGGAAAGCTTCAAAGGGCTTCGCGAAAATACACATAGAGAAGACCCAGAATCGGAGATGAGCCATTTTTATGCAACAACTTCCTGTCTTATGGGACCAGTCGAGGGAATGTGGGTATTTATGTATAGACAAAAGAGTTTGCCGCCAGTCTGGGATGTCCGCGGTCAACAGCGATGCCGCTGACGTGCTCTTTTTGTCAAAAGATCAATGCCACATTTTGACTCGTGGATCAAAACCAAGGGGATATTTGCCCCCAGTTCCTCATGTCTCCTTTAGGACAAATTCCAGTGCATCTGTGTAATTAGAGATCACATATAAGTCCTGGCCCTTGGCCTAGAACTTGAAGGCATATTCATGTCAGCATTGGCTATGACCTAATTTTCTTGAAATCAAGAGAACAATAAATATTAGGGTTTCATTCTCAAGTTTTATAACTGCAATCTGCTGAAAAAATGACCGGAACCTGTGAATGTAAGCGGTGGAACCGGTCACAAGTGCTGTTTGCGAAGTATAGCAAACTTTATGCTGCTTCCTCAAACTGCTCTCTTGAATCGCGATTATGTAGGTGAAAGAGACGCGACACGCTATCTTGTGAGCATTCCTCGTCAAGTCCGAGCAGGTAGACCAGTCTCCAGGCCTCCTTTGAGTTGTTCTGGGCTTGGTCAATGTAGCCTGGCGTAATGCATCTCCGCGAGACTTGCATTAAGTTTCGGTACTTGTAACGATCGTGATCATTGATGTCATGACGTAGGGTAGAACCGAGGTACCTATACGTTTCATCACCGCTGAGAGTGAGGTTTGAATTCCTGTCCAAGCCGGGTAATTCTGCCGCCACAGTAACATTATCCTAGGGAGGATCGTCCCAAAACGGCAATTCTACCACAGCATTGCTATCATGTTATAAAAAGCAGTCTGATACGGTTTTTGACAAGTAGAGCAAATAGATCAGACTCGTTTTAGTGTGGAACAGCCACGAAATATAGATACGATTTCGCGATGTCTACAACCAGCGAAAAGGTACGGGATCCAACCGTGGGCGAGGCCATGGAGTAAGTCTTGTTGTCTGTATTTGAGATATGGACATCTCTTTAATCAATTTGGCAGTGTCTACGGGGAGAAGTTCGTTTGGACCTCCGAGCATATGCTCCGGAAAGAGCTTGATCCACTCATGTTCACCTATGACGAACTGGCGGCGAACGCATATGAATGCGCCCTGCAGCTCTTCAATGAAGAACAAGAAAAACTTAAGGCGGAGGAGGGGGGTGAGGCAAACAAGAAGCCAAAACGGCCGGTGAAGCCAGACATCTTCCAGATTGTGAAGGACAATGCAGCCACACAGCCTGCCCTTGGCAAACTGTGGGAGCACGTAAACACTGTTCCGGATTGGGTAGATTGGAACCAACTGGGTCGTGCTCAGAAAGTCTTCTACCGCTATGGCGTAGCTAATCTGATGTCCCTTGGTTACCAAAGTCTGTTCGTGGGCATGGCTGCTTGGAGAATCGTCGAGGTCTTGCTCCGTACTGGTGGTTTCTCACCTGCAGCTGCCAAGAAAAGAAGTTTCGAGACCGCTCAATGGGTCCTAGAGATCATGAGAGATGTTGATTCAATCAGGCCTGGAGGCGCCGGCTGGGAGTCAACAGTTCGGGTCCGCTTGCTTCATTCAGCTGTTCGTTACCGAATAAGCGAAATGGCGAAAGCAAAGCCAGAATACTTCAATACGGAGGAATGGGGAGTTCCCATCAACGATCTCGACTCTGCCGCTACCATTTGCTCGTTTTCAACTGCTCCTATCCTGTCGGGCCTTCCACGGCAGAAGATCAAGATGCGAAAACAGGAGATCGCAGACTATATCGCGCTATGGAGGTATATTGCGTATTTGATTGGGGCACCGGAGAGGTTTTTCGCCACACCTGATTCAGCCAAGAAGCTTCAGGAGAGCATGATTTATTATGAGCTGGACCCTAATGAGAACTCAAGGGTTCTCGCTGACAACCTACTCAAATCCTTCATAGGTCAGCCTCCCTTTTATGCACCCGCCGGACTTATCAACGCCGCCGCTAGGTGTCTCGCAGGCGAAAAGTTAAGCAATGAGTTGGGTGTTGCGAAAGTTAATCTCATTTGGAGAGGGCTATGGTCTGGGAATACCACGATGTACAAAGGTTACGCATACATGTGTCGATCTATTCCTTGGTTTGATAAGGGAAACATTAAGATGATGAGAAAGCTGACGTGGAAAATTGTCGTGGAAGGAAAGCATGGTCTTGGTGGAGAACGGAGCAAGTTTCCCATGAAGTACCAGCCAAGTTACGACAGAACAAAAGCGGATTAGTCAGAGCGAAAAGCTCGCAACTATTGAGTGAAGGAAATGTAATCCGTTAGCTAACTCGACTGACAGATCAGAATGATACCAAATATTAAGTTAGTTGGGTGAATGCTGAATCAAGAATCTAATCCAGAGCTTACAGATTATTTCAATATGGTTTCTCCTTTCTGCCCTTTTCGCGAGTGTTCGCACATGTCTTCGGTTAGCGAGCTGTCGAGTTTGGCCAATTTCTAAACTGATGTTGTCGCTTTGCTGAACTTAGCATTGTCGAAGAGACTTATGAGGCTTTCGAAATAGCATTGCAAGATTGTGCTTAACTTCGAGGCTGAATGCGTATGCGCACGACACTTAGACTCTCGTTGAAGCGCAGCCTTGATTCCAGTTGTGGCCACTATCCATATGCTTGGCTGCCAGACCCTTGAGAACCCTACCTGATAACGAACCAGACAGCCATCGTACAGAGCCAGGCACTCATCTGAGTCAAAGTCCACTCAATTGCGCCTGATGATATGCCTACTCATCTCAAACGGGCTGATTTCACTCTGGATTCCGTCTCCTGATTTGGTATAATGGAGATTTGTCGAGCAGCCTCAATTGCTTCAAGCCCACATGTGTCATTTTCTCCCCCCATTCGTCCCAACGCCTTGGCCTTTCAAGAATTAGGTAGAATCTGTCGCTTCCTTATTTTACATTTTAAGATATTCGGTTTGATATAGCTGTTGCAGAATTAGACTGGCGAGTACGAGCAACTCACTAGAACCGACGAGTCGCTTGTTCATCGTCCTTCAAATACTTCGTTTCGCTCGTGTGGCATGAAGTGTGTGCTCAAAACTATTCATCGGCGAACCCCTCAGCCATGCTCGACTCCAGTGCTTTCCAAAATGTACTCACCACGTAAAGTAAATCTCCAACCACTTACTTGATCAAACATGCAGAAAAATATCCGAAGGATGCCGACGGAAAGGCCGGCTAGGATTATCTGCCAACGGAATAGCCAGGGCTAATGCTTTAATTGAGGGTTTTGGAAATGACAGCAATCATGACACAAAGTACATCATGGCAGAACAACCTCAGAAAAGTATGACGTCGGATGACAATGCCGGATGGATTCCCAATCAAGGCAATTTGACATTAACCACTGACTAAATAGCGACAGAGTACGACTATTTCAGACCGTAGAACCTCTAGCAAAACTTCAACGACTCAAGGCACATACCAAAATTTTTCGGGTAGATCCACAAGCAGCTGTGGACAGAGAAAAGAGTTTCAAGGGCCCCAAAAGTGTTCTTATCGGCTAGGAGCATTCGCAGCTGACCAGCATTGCCCTTGCACTTGGTGTTACTGAGTGTGCAGAGGAGAATGGTTGGTATTGGATGTCAGTTCTATACCTTTACGAATATCATTTCGATTGTGCAACCACCGGACACAAAGATCGTCAGAGTGGAGAGCGAACAGGTCCCAGGATTTCATGACGGAAGGTTACCCTACACTACTAGCATCTCTTCAATTAACTCCATAAGTGCTTTACTGCACGCAGCCTAATTAGTGTTGATTAATCTAGTGAGCCAAATTCTCTGAAAGAGTGCAGATGATGCCTCAGAAGTACCACCATTGGTTTAGGGCGGTATTCCATATTCTAGACCTGAGTTGTTCCAAGCCTCAACGTAGTCGTTGGGTTGCTGCATGAAAATATCGGATGGTGAAGAATAGTACAGACTTTTCACAGCCTGTCATTAAAAAGGCATTTCAGGCATTATATCAAAAATCTATATGACGTACCCGACAGCAGAATAAATTTGTCAAACGCTAAACTTTAATGAGTTGCAATATTATGCAGGAGATGGAGCGACAGATGGAATCTTTTCTAGTGAAGGAAAGAAAAAAGGCAAAAAAAGAAGGTAAACATCAGGAATTGAGCCCGATGCGGGGGTCTAGACTTGTTAGTTGGGATTTCTTTTATGGTTTGCTGGTCTGACTAACCGAACCCGCAACCTTGAGATTGCGCTGTGCGTCTAAGAGTCTCACGCTCTACCGATTGAGCTAACCGGGCGACTTGTTGGGAGCAATGTTGTACGCAACTGTATATATTGCGTAAAAACAAATTTGACAAGCCAATTTTCTCTGCAGTCATTCGATCACTGCCCACCGAAGCGTAAGTTAATCAATGAAAAGCAGAAAGAAGTCCACATTTCTGCGTATCATGTCAACGCCTATCTCTTAAGCCCGCACGTGCATTCCAACGAATCATACTCGTTATCAGTGTCAATCCTGCCTTCACTGATATCGCCGTTCCTTTGTGAAATTTGCAACTCAGTTCGGAGCAATTAAGTATAGGCCGCAAAAATATAAATTCTATGGGTCTTTAACCAGAACAAAGATGAGCAGAATCTACTAGCTAAAACCTAGTTTATGAAAATTTGAAAGGCACACTTCATCGAATCTGAAAACTCATAAGGTGGTACGAGATGGTTTTTCAACATACAAAAGCGATTGCTTCTGATATCACCTTAATTTAAATACCTGAAACATAGACATCGAAAAGATTGGATTTTCGATTATTTACTTTCTTTTCCACTTTATCGCGAACATACATGATTCATTGCGAGTGTAATATCGCTAATGATATGATAGACTTTTTAAAATACCACGTATTTCTTGTGATAGAAATGTCCAACTCGTGCGTATTTAAGCTGGATTCGAAATCAGTTATAGCTCAAGGGCTGGTGCAAGTCTACATGTGCTCAAGACAGCTGAGACCACGCAAATTACTTGCATGACGTGCAGGCGAATTCGAAAGGTAGTGGCAACGGAATACACACGTTGATAACAGCTACGCAAGTTGCAGTGCACAAACCAACGTGGTCAGCGACACAATCAACGAGAGCTGTCGTCACGTGAGACTGGCACCATGGCCAACTGTTGTAAGCATGATAGCAAGAGTCGCTCAGAGACTGACGACTTAGTCATTTGATTTTTTAAGTTCAATAAGTAGACGATCTAACCAACACTCGTCCCCAATCAAGGTTCTTACGACGGACTCGGCTGGGCCATGGAAGAACATTGATGAGCACATGTGATGTACTACGTTACGATCAAGTTGAAATCTAATCCTTCATAGGAAGGTCCGCTAGGGAACTTCTGTTGACAAGATAAGAGTCAGCCATTCATCTCGTTGATACGCAACGAAGTTTGCCTCCGCTGATTAGTGTATTCGTCCCTGATAGTGCTGCTGCCTGTGGATTTGACTTCTGGATCTCTCGCTCCATATTCCATTAAGAAAGCGGTGTCGGACGGGCAGGAACTCTTAAGACTAGTGGCAACGGCAGCTCGACGTCACCGACCACAATGAGTCAAACACAAGTCACGTTCGCCAAAACACCTTCTACAAATGTACTTGTGAAGGCAGAAAAATTGTAGCCTAGCGACGGCAGACTAAGTTCGTATTTCCACAAAGCCTTCTGGACTCCTTTGAGTGTTACTATTAGCACCACCAGTATAGCATCGTCGTCCTTCGCGCCATATTTCCACTTGGTGGGTTAATTTCGGAAACCAATGGGGACCCTCCCGCAGATAACGTGCAAACTGCTCCAAGGAGGGATGATGGAAATTACTTTTATCGATTGCGGCGTAGGCGAAATTCTCGAAGTTGCCATGGCCGGCCGTTCTGGCGGATCCTCAAGCCACAACCTTCCGAACAGGGACGCACCAGACGTCTCAAACGCAAGCCATCGACGCTAGCGCATGGGCCGGAAACATATGCGTTTGAGAATCTCTCCTTTCTCGCTTTTGGCACGAGGTTTCAGCTTGTGTGAATGTGTTCATGCACGTTCGCTTCTTGCTTACGTGCAGGAGAGACGACAGTAAATAGAGATTCGGACATTCCTGTCCGCTTTCGGCCTTTTGGCACATTAAAATTGTTTTCGGTTTCATTTTTTGGGTCTTTGGATCTCTGTTGCATCTGTTTGTGGATTTGAGTGATAATTTGGATCATGTTACCACACAATGAGGATGTCATCTGTACTTGATTTGCATGCTTGGATATCATGGTTGGAGAGGCACCGAGATTATACTTTACCAGCTTCGAAGATCGCCATTTTCTCTCCTCCAAGCATCTTCCCTTACGCACATTAATCACTGTCTGATCATTCTGGGAGCATCATCTGTCTGTTTAGCTGTTGAACTGTGTTCGTGTGGGGAAGATGTTCCGGTACCCGTCGCACGCCATCGGATGTACGACTACGCTGTTTGAAACATGAAATGTACGGGACATCACGTGACTTCTGGCTCTTTCCGACGTCTGAAATTGCCATCGAACAATCGCAATGGAGGGTCAACAGCCGTTCCAGATGTCGGCTGGTTTCTCTGATTCTCTTTGACGCTTACGTTATGCCCCCCAAAAGCAGCATAGTGGGCCAATCTTAACTGAGATGACTATAAGTGCAGTAGACGGTAACGGAAGCGCAAGGCTTGTAAGCAAGTCGTGGACGTGCTGATTGGTGGCTTATTATGGTGCGAGTGGTCAGATTACGGCTGACTTACGGCTGAAGTTTGCTCGCAGACATAAGTTACTAGCAATCAGAATAGTGCTACCTATCACGATATGACGCCAAGTGCTGGTCGATACTGCAATACATACGAATTGTTTGAAAGGGGCTGTGCTGCATGTCTTGCTGTTCAACGGTACGTCTGCTGGTAGCAAGTGGAAAATTCACAGACAAGCGAAACGCAAGGCCTGGAGGTAGTTTCACCCCTGAAAGACGTGTCTTCTCGCTTTGCTGCTCCTGAAAGGTGGATCAGAGAATACACTTTCGTAGAAGGAATGTCGAATTGCGTGTTGAAGCCGCTGCAAGTTCCATGTAGGGGTTCCACGGGGCTCGCGGCAAAAGGGGGCTCAGCGAGGATGAGTGGTGTCGCACAACGTAAAAGGACGCGCAGGGGAGGGTCCGGGTGGTCGCACTAGACCCTGGCCTGCTTGGCGGAAGGTCGAGGAAGAGGGAAGGGGCGACAGGACCCCTGTCATCCCGCTTCCCGAAATAGGGCTCCAGGCAAGCACATAAAGAGAGGCCACGCTGTCCACATCAGCACGTATTCTTTACCACACAAAGCGCCCACCGTTGTCCAGCCTACCATCCAGCAGTAACAAGTGACATCTCAACCACCCTCTTTCTCTCTCCCCCATCACTCCCCGACCCGAGATTGTTACTTCAGTCGCTGCGGCAAGAACTTTCAACCATGGAGGCCACACACAACACTCTGCAGATCATCCAGAACTACGTAAAAACCCCATCAATACAGGTCGAACCACCAAAGACCATCAAGATGGAGGACATCACGGCAACGCCCTCGACCTCGTCGTCATCATTACTCGACCTTCCGCCAGCAGACTCGGTACCCAAGCCCGCCGAATCGAAGCCAGTTAAAAAGCGAAAGTCGTGGGGGCAGGTACTACCAGAACCCAAGACTTCGCTGCCTCCTCGGAAGCGCGCCAAGACTGCCGACGAGAAAGAGCGTACGTATTAGCAAAGCGGATAGGAAATGCCACGTTGTCACTAACACCCTTTCCTAGAACGCAGAATTGAGAGAGTAAAGCGTAACCGGCTTGCTGCTCACAATTCGCGAGAGCGCAAGCGACAAGAAGTCGAAGCTCTTTCGGAGCGCAACGCACTTCTTGAGCGACATTTGAAGCTTATGCAACAACAACTCGACACATACCGCGCAATGTACCCAGACGCGAATATCCCACCACTCCCTAAGATCGACTTGGAGCGCCCAGCATCTCTCGCGCCCTCGCTCCCGAACAACAAATCAACTCCTGCCCCTACAACACAGTTTATTCATGAAGTCAGCACACCAGCTCCGTTGTCTAGTCCTGACTCTCTCCTCTCCAACATTGACTCGCCCGTGGACACGGCACCGTCAACGCCGAGAGCAAATGTGAAGGAAGAATTCGACCGGACACAACAATCTGCAGCATTGTTGTGCAAGACCTGCAGTGTCAGTCGGTTTATTCCCTCTCAATCTCGGCGGCAACGACTCCAACGGCAAGCCCACCACAAGCGGCGGATTCTTCGACCACTCTTCTGTACAACTTCAGGACCTCCACGACGACGGCAGTCCATTTTTCGACTTCGCTCTCTTCCCGGACGATGCGGGCTCTTTCTTCAATGAAAGCTTCGGCGATAGCAATGGCGAGACCGTAGCTCGCGACGCTTACATCTCTACTGATGCCAATGACGCTCTTGAGCCGCTTGACGGTAGTCTCTTCGATCTGCAGCCTAGCGCTGGCGCGCTCCCAAGGAGCTGCGACGCAACGGGTATTGCGACGGAATAAGACTAATTGGTCTAAGCTGCACAAGGTGCTCTAGATGTTTCTGTGAGATTGGCCGTCGTGTAGGGCGTGATCGTCAAAGCTATAACGCCGAGTTTTCAGCAAGCAAGAGTTTCGCACATGTCTAGAGCCACTTCGAAACTGAACGGTTCGCGTGTATGGTTCAGGACTATGTAGAAGGTCATCCCATCTACAATGAATTGTAACAACACTTGAAAATTTTGAACGAAGGACACTAGCTCGGATGCTATTAGGGCAATCGACTACTACGACACATCGAACGGCGTATGGGCGGGCAAAACAGGACTAAATCAACAAATGATGTTCCTGATGGGCGCTTGGGCGGTGAATTTGGGGGTCTTTACTCAGACCTATTAGGATTTGAGATCCTAAACAATTTTGGGTAGCATGTGTATTGAAATTCTAATACATACCATGATAACCACTGTCATCGTGTTCTCTAGTTGATTTGAACAAATCACTTTCCTGGTTAGTTCCCTGTGGTAAATATTGTCGCAAAGCTTTGTCTTTCCCTGATATGGTGTTATTTTTAAGAATGTGGGACGAGACTATCAGGATGAAATATTAGGCTTGCTGTATACCACAGTTCTTAAGATGTATGCTCAGTTCTTCACTCAAGTGATTACACGTACAAATCATCAACTTAGAATGTGTAATTGTCACTGCTCGCATGACGACAAGCCTAAAATGTTTCACGTCCATAATCAATTTTCGACTTTTGTATCCTACGGATTTGCTCTGTGTAATAGCATCTTTCGCTCAATTTCAGCGCGGAGAAGAGATCCCTTATTGTCTAACCGGGCCGCTCAACGTTGATGGAGAAGTCCTCGTCCGCGCTTGCTGGGAGGACTGCCTTCATAGAGAGGAGGTGAGTCATTCGTGCGTTATGTCAGTGCAAAGACATAAATCTTCGCGTCAGTTTTATAAATTGAATTCTATCAAGTTCACTACTATCCACGAGATATGCACATTTTTTTGTCTTATGAGTCACGTGTATCACATTTTTGCCGAGAGTAACTCATGTTGGGTCTTGCATCGCTTCCTTCTTACGACGCTCAGATAGCGAGGCAGTGTAACGTGGTGCTGACTCTTTCCAGGCTGAACGATACTCTTTCATATCCAAATGTATCAAGTTCTCGCATGAAAACGCTCACGCGGCTGCTGATCTTCAGGAACCCACAACGACAAAAGTGGTAACTATGATGTCAAAATGATGAAAAGCGTCATCCTAACCGACATCGCCAAAACCGAGCAAGCAGCATTAGTATTTAACGTCTTGCATGAGCATATAGCCCAATTGACCTCCCGTACCTTGCAAATTGCAAAGCTTAAAATCGAAAGACGCACGGCATTCCTCTTCTCAGAAGTCTCAAGCAAACTCCAATATCCAAGCATTATGCCTCGCCAAGGAAGCGGTCACATCTCTCACAATGCCGAAGAGACGGGCCATGATGTGATCCACGGCACTGGTCAGGATAAGGTATGAAGCATTCTTTCTGCATAAAATGCCGCCGCGTTTGAGGAACCTGGAATCGCTAACAGCTAGCAACAGTCAGATCATGTTGATCGCGCTGACAAGACAGCGCCCATGCCCGAACATGAGAAGGGGTCCGCGATTGAGGGCATGAATGCTAGCGGTGGTGGTAGCTCGGGGATTTCACAAGGACTGGAAGCAGGTCAAGGTGGACGGGGCATGAAATAATTTTGATGATCAAACTACCGGATGTGGTCCGTTGTCTTAATATTGACCTACCAGGTTTGACATTCACATCGACGAATCTGCAAACGGGATGTTCACACATCCTTCAGAGTAATGTCTCACGATGCTTTTGACTAGGCTATAACCTAGTAGCAGCAAAGTACTTTCACGATGATAGCAGATACTTCAGGTCTAGCTAGTCTCCTAATTGGAATAGACATGACCGCATCGAAGTTTTTTTTCTCTCCTATCTACAATGTTTGTCCGAGAATCATGTTACAGGGGGAGAATAAACTTTTGTGGTCTAACAGCCCTAGCGGTCTGACCAATGCGGACTTTCGGTTTCCTACTGAAGACGGTTATTTAAAATAGCCGGAAAGTCGAGAGGAAAACGAAGATAGAAGGATTGAAACCAGGCCGCTAGAGCACCAACCAATATTTTCCTCGGCCGTCAATCCAAAATGCAGCCAATTATTGCACACTTGGTGATCTTTGAACCTTCTCTCAAGAGCAGCGACATCACGGTAGTCTGTCTCATGAAAGTAGTCTTGCCTGTTGGCCTGGACGAGAATTGAATAAGCAATTAACATTTCAAGCGAAGCATAACAAGATTCCATGGAGGCAATAACTAATACCGAGCTATGCTTATCAAGCCTCGGCACATCCGATACGAATTCTTCTGAATTGGCGATTTAGAACAAACATGACATAAGATGAGCGTGATTGAATGCGCTCTAGGCACTTCGGTGCATCCACGGTGGCTGCTCTCTCGCTCTTGGACCGTTAAAACGTAACTTGAACAATGTTCATGAATTAACGCTTTGTCGGGGTTTCACGAATCCAAATCAACTCATGATGACACGGTAGAAGTTTATGTGCAATAGGAAGGCTGAGCTTATGGTGTGCGTCGTCCATTAGCCTGACGATGGCACAACAAAACTTAAATGTGTTCCCGCCACGAGGAACACGACAACCGAAATTTCATGGGCAGTCTGGATCATGAAGATTTTCGAAATGGTCCGTTCAACGAACGAGATTACAGCAGCTGGCGATAGCCTGTCGGCGAGTGAGTATAGTTGTGAGTCAGCAAATCAGCAGCTGCAGTGCTAGATATGCCGCAGTTGCAGAGAGGCACGAATAACTTCTGAGCCACAGTCCAGCCTATCTATCAAATGAAGCAGGCTGGTGTTTAACTATGTTGATTTTCACGTTATGCGATAGATGAGATCGGCTGTTGAGCAGCTGATGAATGCTACAGCGTTCCCCAAAAGAAGATCAAGCAGTATCGGAAGAATTTAGCAGAAATCAGGTCAATTCTAGCGTGATATTTTGGTCTAAGTTTGAGATTTCTTCTCAGCCAGTCCCTACACGCTAAACATGGCGTAGCAGATGTTCTTTATAGTTTGAGGCATGTTGAAGGAGCCTCATTCGTCCTCCGCCTGAGTGATTCAGCTTGGCGCAATATGCGTAATCTGCATTTTATCGTGTCGTTTCACCAGGCTTCAGAAGGGGTCAGTGAGGGATTATTGAATTTATTGTAGATGAACGTAAATTTTTGAGCTTCGTTGTGGCTTTGCTGACGATGCGTTGTGCAGCTTGACCCCCCCTACATCACTCAAATTCTAGAGCTGACCTTGCAACGGCCAGCTGAAGTGTGGCTTTCGCCTAATATGTTGCAGAAATGATTTTCTTCTTATTTTCCTCTTATGTCCGTTGATAAATTTCACCATCAGGGAGTACTAAGCGAAAGCTTTCAACGCGTCATAAGCTGCTAGTTTAGAATCAATGTAACAGTCGTGAGAGCCGTAGCCGCGACATCCTTTGATGAATGAAGAGTAGGAACTCAGTCAACACGGTGAGGGATATAGTAATCGGCTGTCGGGATATCGATCTGGCGTCTTCAGATACACAGATGATTACTGTCTGTTCCAATCATCCAGAGGCCCCGCAAATTCCTTAACGTGCGTGTATACCAGCCAGCGTCTGTCTCGTAAATTCATGGGTCACTCATACAGTCGCAATGTCAAAGTACTAATGACTGAGTCCGAGAATCAACAGTTGTTCCAGGCCAGCATGATACGCTTTGTGGCACAAATGTGCCGGGTAAAGGTCGAATTCACTTGATCCTCAGCTTTTGCGGAGTGATGAGGCGGAGGTTTGGACCCCTGTCACGGTTTCAGCATGTGCACCCAGAAAGCTGTCCAAAAGCAGGAACGTGACATAACACGATTCTTAGCAGCATTCATGCCTCCCATTGAGAGATGAAGGTACTACAGGTAGTGACTGTAGCTTCTGGACTCGTTTGCCATGTCATTGCGGCTTCTGATGCCACTCGGCCTAGAGGAGTGGGCCCTGAAGGTACGGTCTGCCGTTCCATGATGAGCTTACAGGCTCGAATACTAATACCGTGGGTCTCTAGTTGCGAAGTATTATAAGTCCACAGAGGCCTTCAAGTGCATAAATCACCCTGATATCGTTCTTGAGACGTCGCAGGTCAACGATGACTACTGTGACTGCCCAGACGGTAGTGACGAGCCCGGTACATCTGCATGTTCCGGTGTCAAGCAGGGCCAACTAGCCATACCTGGCTTCTATTGCAAGAACAAAGGTGGGATGGTTTCTTTTGGTATCACTATTCATGTACATTAACATGTTGTAGGTCATCAGCCGAGCTATATTCCACTATCTTATGTCAACGATGGGGTCTGCGACTACGAACTCTGCTGCGACGGAAGCGACGAATGGGCCGGCATTGGCGAAAAGTGCCCCGATAAATGTGCAGAGATAGGCAAGGAGTGGAAGAAACAGGATGAAAAGAGGCAAAAGGCCTTTTCAGCGGCGATGCAGAGAAAGAAGCAGCTTGTGGCGGAATCGGCCAGAATACGCAAGGAAGTGGAGGATCGGATAGCGACACTGAAACAGGAGATCAAGGGAGCCGAGCTCCGAGTTGCGGCGATGGAGAAGGAGGTTGGCGAAATCGAGAGGCAAGAGCGGACCAAGGTGGTGAAGGCACCAAAGGAGGGCGGCAAGCTTGGCGTGCTTATTGAAGCGGCGAAGAGGCGGACGGAAGAGCTTCGAAGCAGTCTCCAGCAGGTCATGGAGGACCGCGACGATGCGAGAGCCCGTCTGAAGGAGCTGGAAGAAGTCTTGGCCAGGTTCAAGGAAGAGCGCAACCCAAATTTCAACGACGAGGGTGTAAAACGAGCTGTGCGTGCGTGGGAGGACTACGCTGCGCGAGAGAAGAGGCCTGACATGGAGGCCGCCATGGAGAGAGACATCAAGGAGATTGTGAAGAGCGACGAGGAAAATGGACTCAACTGGGCCGACTTCGCGGAGGACGAGCCCAGCGACGTCGAAGTTTGTAAGTGGCCCCTCTGACGGGACCCGCGGCCGCCCTGTTGCTGACCTAGGGGTTGTTCAGTGTACAGAATCGAAGAGTATCTTCCGAAGCCTGTTCGGGACTGGGTTGACCAGAAACTTCGCGGGCTCCGGGTGATGCTGATTGAGAACGGCATCATCGCTGATCCCGTGGCGTCAGAAGGCGGCGAATCAAAGGCGGTCAAGGATGCAAAGGACAGGCTGAACAAGGTGTCTAAGGAGCTCAATGACTTCAAGCACGATCTAAAGGTGCATGAGGAAGATCTGGTCAAGGACTACGGTCCGGACGATATCTTCAGGACGCTCAGGGACAAGTGCATCTCTACCGATTCGGGCGAGTACGAGTACGAGCTGTGCTGGATGGGCAAGACGACACAGAAGCCGAAGAAAGGAGGCGCGCACACGAACATGGGCACCTTCACGCGCTTTGACGTCGTCAACGTGGACGAGGAGTTGCCTTCAGACGGACGTGGCTTGGGCACTGGCGTCAGACTGGCGATGCTGTATGAGAACGGGCAGCACTGCTGGAACGGACCTGCACGCAGCACGACCGTGATCATGGCTTGCGCCGAGAAGGACGAGATCTGGAAGGTGATCGAGGCGGAGAAGTGCGTGTACAGGATGGAGGTCGGCACCGCCGCTGTCTGCAATGCCAACCTACCTAATCCGGCGCCAAAGGAGAAGGATGAGTTGTGAGTTGTTCAGATGACGATCTTGTAACCTATTGCGCTTGAATGGAGGAAGATTTGTGTCGCGGTGCACACAAAGAGAAGCGCTCTTGGAGGAAACTGCACGAGTGAGCGAGCGATTTAAGAACTTTAGCATATCCAGGCGTAGAATTGCTTATCCATTGGTTCTAGCAGCTATCTTCAGCATCGTGATTCTTAGTGTTGCAGATGGTATTGAAGCCGCATGTATCCAGTGGAGGCGGCCGGGCCATCAATCAATCAATCACATTGACAATGTTTGTCATGACTCGGTCCTTGCTATTGCTGCTGTTATCTCCATGACCGAGCGAGAAGGAAAGGACAGGCACGGGTTACGCGTTGGATCATGTACGATCCCTTGCTAATCAAGATGCAAGAGATTAGGCAGCGGCTTTGGCCCTTTTGCCAAGCGCCATCAATCTGTTCGGTCATGCGTTGGACGATTTCGACGACCGTGAGAGCATCTCGACGCTCATTGCGCATCAATTACGATAGGCACGCAGCGACCCCCAAGTTCTTGGGCTCAGCTTGACACACACACTCAGGTCGCCGGGCCCACAATCTCCGTTGTGCTGTAGCCTTACGAGGCCCCTGCCTGCCATGTGTTCAGCATCTACCATGGAGCGATCCTCATCAACTTGAAACCCCGAAAGCTGCAGTGCGAAGTTCTGGAAAGGTTGTGGGCATGCGAATCCTGGCCGCGCTGACACCGAAAGGATGGTGAAGAGCATTGCCGCCAGCGTTTTCGTCGCTCACGCGAACGCAAAGAAAGTCAATGCGGGCTTCCGACGCCTAAGTTTGGGAATGGGTCGAAGATCTCAACAACGGCCGTACGTGCGCTCAGGACGAGTTGTATCTTGCCCGAAAGATTTGGCCGAGGTTTCCGATCAGGCGACCGATTGACATTGCGGCACAAGACCGCGAACGGCGTGGAAATGGGATTGCTAGTACCAGCCTACGGAGATACTTTCCCCAGATCACGGGTTCTTTTTCTTTTTAAATTTTTTTCCCTTTTTTTTTTTTCTTTAATTTTTGATTTTTTGCTCGCGAGACCAAGAGGAAAAGCGCTCCGCAGCTAAAATAGGCTTCTTTTTTTGAGGTCCTCGTCCCAAAGCGCGTCGGCAGCGGGACTGATGTTGAAGTCATCCAACCCGCGGCGACACGACTGGCCGCTAGAGACGGATCGCGCTAGACGGCGAATTTGTTTAATTTCCTACAGCCATGACACGACCTTGTCGCGTGTCTGACGCGCGATCTGACACAATAAACAATGCGAGAGAGAAAGGAAGTGGAATGGCTCCAAGCCATCAGAAGAAGCCACTGAGATTGGAAGCAGGCTCTGCGCCTTGCCAGGTGAGAACAGTTAGCAACCTAGCCTTTAGCAGTGGAGCGGCGTACGGTAAGATTCGAGTACGGGGAGTTTGTAGCGCGGCGCAGATGCAGAAAGCGAGGCATCGTATTTTCCGAACAGCCCATGCGATCAGAGCCGGAACCGAGCGATCGTAACAGCAAGCAGGCGGGCAGGCGTTTGCGTGTGAATTGTTCAGGGTGAACGGGCGTCTTCCCAAGTGCGTGAGCCAGTTCACGCCGACGAAGCCGCTTCGGGGAGAAGAAGGACATCAGGATTTCATCGCGGATGGCCAAAAGTCACACACATCAGAAGTACGACTCGTGCTGCAAGCGCGCGCACGCATGCACGCACACAAGCATGCACGTCCGACCACCGTATTCACGAGCTCGCGGAACGCACGCACGCACATTTGCCTCGTCCACGACTGTTGACGGTTGTTTCGACATTTCCTATTCGCCTCAGCTCGCTTTCCTCGCCTTACCCCGTCCCTGCAGTGTCCGTGTTCTGGCCAACGAGGCATGATCCTAGCCGTCATTCGCACGTGAGCGGCACGAAAGGCTCAGGTTTAGACTTTCACAACGGTGCCGTCCCACGGGAGAGAGTGGAGAAGAAGAGGGCTGCCAACGTGAAGGCTTTGATTGCCTGCTCCACTATTTACAGTTCAGGATTCTCGCCGTCAAAATAGAGGTGTCAGACAGTGCAACCTGCAGGCTTGAGCAGGCAGTGAAGATCGTCGTTGCCGGATGTCTCGCTCCGAGGCAAGACAAACAATAAGAGTGACACAGTTGTCGTTTCCTCTTCTCGCGCATCGCTTCGCCCCTACGACGATGCGGTTTTCGGGCCTAGCGGGAACGGTGGTAGGGCGAAGAATGCAGCAAGAGATCTTCGTTTGACGCTATCGAAAACATCGTGTGGCCCGGCGCAGCTAGTGGCAGGGCACACAGTGGGAGGGACAAAAGGAGAAGACACGGAAAAAAAAGCAAGAAGAAAAAGAAAAGAAAAAAAAAAACCAGGAAGGCAGAAGAACCAGCGGGTTGGAAGCTTCGTCCCGACAGGCGTTTCCCGGCAAGCCACAGATGCTTGCAGCGCCGGGCGACAAGGTCGATTGGAGCGAAGGCGTCTTTGATTGACTCGCAGGGGCTCATGGCAGCAGGGATGAGAGTCGCCCAGGACGCCGTCTGATGGTATGATACAATCTCAGATTCATGCGGCCGACGAACGAGTCACAAGGGAGGCCGTGGCGAGAAGAAGGCGCGGAGGCGATCTTGTCCGGTCCTTGTGCCTGGCCGCGTACTGCACCGGCAGGATCGGAGACGGTTCTGCAGCGCCGGAGAGCATCCGCCGACTGGGGTGGCGATTGCTGGCGGGCAGCGAGCAGTGCGTAGCGAGCAGCGAGGAGCGAGCAGCGAGCACGCTCTCTGGCCAGGCACGGCCGAAACAAAAGAAGCACCACGGCTGTGGCTTGAACGCCTGCCAGGCAGACGCACTAGGGGAACGCGCACATGGAACCCGATCGGAGCTGAGCCGCGAGGCGAGCAAAAAAAGAAAAAGAACGAGGGAGAAACAAAAAGAGGGAAGGACATTTCGCAGACAGGGGCCGTCAGAAACCACAACGCACAGTGGTGGTGGCAGCACCAGTCGAGGACGCATTGTGTGTCGCATGTCGAACGAAGGGCGATCCAATGGCCGGGGCGATTTGCAGCGAGCGCACGGCAGAGAGAACCGCCAGGGGCGGCGAGTGGGAAGACACGAGGAAAAAAGAGACGAGAGTCAGAGAGCAGTGAGAAGCCACGGGGCCGCACAGCGTCGAGCAAAGCAGAACGGAGACGTGCGAAGAGCACGAAATCAGCCAGCTGCAGGGGTGCAAGGAGGATGAAACACCGCAAGCCAATGTCGACGGAGAGGAGAAGGGGACGGGTCGGGAGCAGGCTGGGAACGGGCGCGTTGCAAACGCGCAGGTGGTGGAGTGCGCAAGTCAATCTTTCGCAGTCGCAGCGGCGCTCCGTGCTGCGGCCCCGAGATCATAACGATTTCGCATCCTCGTTTCTGAGGACGAGCGAAGTCCATGGCCAGCTCGGGCTCAGATGGAAGGGGGCACGTGTGCGTGCGTGCGTGCGTGCGTGCGTGCGTGCGTGAGCGTGTGCGTTGTGTGCAGTTGCGAGTCGTGCGCGCTCTGGTAAAGCAGCAGTTGCAGCATCAGTCGAACGCGGTGCGGTCCTGCGCTACTTCTTGTATCATTTGGTGGTGGTGGTGGTGGTGATGATGACGCCGCCGGTGCTGCTGATGCTGCTGATGCTGCTGATTGCTGTCGCCCGTTGCTTCATCGTACATGAGGGAGCGGCGCGCAGCGCGTTGTACCTTGCATTAGCTCGCGGACTAGCGTCAAAAGCTTCTGGCGACGTTCGACGCAAAGCAAAGACACCAGGGAAAGAAAAGAAAGAAATGGAAAGGGGAGAAGGGAAAAAAAAAAAAAACAACGAAAATTGAAAGAAAGAAGAATAAAAAACAAGCCCAGCAGCACGACCAGCCCGACTTTGCGCTTGGGGGAGCCCATCCTTCGACCCCCGTTTCGCCAAGCCAGGTCGTCGTGAGGTCGTCGTGGGGCCTCCCTACACAGGCCTTTTGATCTTAACTCCTGGTGGCCGCGCAGGCGGACGATGCTCTGTGGAGGGAGAAATGGGACGGATGGATCACACGAAGAGAAAGGCCATGCTCGTCATTAGACAGTGATAGCCGGTCTGATTGGCTGCACCCACGCCCATGGAACTGTATGGTATTTTTGCATCCCGAAATTAGACCTCCGTCACGGCTCCTTTCCCTCTCATCCCCACCCCCTCCCCCTTCAAGCCTCAATTCCCCCCCCCCCCCCGTCCCCTTGGGCCGTTCCTCTGGCTTCTTTGTTAATTTTTTTTTTCTTTTTTTCCATTATTTTTTTTTTGGCCCATTTGGCGTGAGCGTTTGCGCGTGCAGGTCGTCTGTGTTCCTGGCCTAGCGCATCGGACCATCGGTCACGCCAAAATCGAACCTAATCCGCCCTACAAGTCTTCATGCCACACTCATTTCCCTCTTGAAGCAGTCTTCACCCAAAGGAAGAGAGAGGAGAAAAAAAAAAAAGCCACTTCCTGTGCCTCCTTCGCGAACGACGCGCAAGTGCTGTGTTGCTTGCTCGGCCTGCCCATCAGTCCTTTGCTTCCCTTTGCTCTCCACCCTCCTCTTCTCCCTCCTCCCCACCATCCCCCCAGCGCTGGTTCGGCTGTCCTCGATCAAACCTCAAGTCACAGACTCGGCCCGTCTTCGACTCGGAGACGCTGTCGACGCTGCCTCGCTGCCTCCCCACGTTCCTTGCTCTCCCGCGACAATCGACTAGTCTCCCTTCGGCTTGTCAAGACCGCTCCCTCTCTCGACTCTTCCCCAACAACCGGGATTCCCACCCTCCGTTGAAAAGCAAAGGCCTGGTCCATCTCGGTCCAACACACATTATTTCCTCGTTACCCTTCCTTTTGCTGCGTGCTAGCAGCGCCTTGCACGGCCGTTTCTCCCTCACGGCGTTCGCTCGTTTTACCTCTTGCTTTTTGCTTTGCTTTGTTTTTCTGTTCTTTGGGGTCGGCCGCGGCACTTGCAACCAGCTTCTTCCAGCGCGCTCACCATCGCTCCTTCTCACGCTACACCCGGTCCCCTTTCCATCTCGCGATTTGGATGGATGCTCGATCGCTCCATCGCGACAAACTCATCTGAGCACGCTTACGGCCCATACACATACCGACCTTCTTCCCCACCCAGATTTTGCTCTAGGTTTCCGTACGACGCACCCTCGTGACTTGGGCTCACTAGACGTGGACAAACCTGCCCTGCCTTCTGGCATATATTCTTACCATTGCGAGTATGTAACCGAGTCTGTCTTCTGCGCTACTGAGGTCTGGCCGCCCTCTGTTGGTTCGTTCATCGGGTCGTGCCTGGCCCCTTTCTGCCAGTGCAATTGAATGCTCAACAGTCGTGCTGCCCATGGGCGACCTCGAGCACTTCACCCGCAGGCCCCGTGATGTCGACACGCAAAACTAACGAGCGTAGGGCGAAGATGAATCGCTTCCTTACCAAAAAAAAGGCCAAGCGGGTGCAGCCTGAGCCAAAGTTCGAACTCGACCTGTCGAACGCATTGCCATCCACCAATGAACTCCGAACCAGTCTGTTGATGAGCGGGCTGTCCGCGCGGTTCAGCATGCTGAGGGAACAGGACGATCCAAACTCGATCATTGGAAAAGCCAGTGACGACAGCGTGCTCGAGCCGAAGCGTCAGTCACGTCTTCACGAATTCGGCTTCAAGCCAAGCGGCTTGGACGATATCGCAGAGGTCGCGTCCATCAAAAGCTCGATCCGACCGCCATTCGCTACCGAACGCAGCAACTCGTACTCGTCAGAGGCTGGGTACAACACCGACGGAGAAACAGAGACCGGAAGCATCATGAGCAGAGCGCGACATGGCGAGGGCAACGTCTTGTTTGGGGGTCGTCAGAAGATCACGAGAATAGCCGGCGACGGGAAGGGTCGAACGCTGTACGACGACGACGTGGCAATGTCTACCTTTCAAAGATGGCGGGCAGAAGAGCGGCAGAGAGAAAGAGAAGCTGCCAACGCAGCAGGGGACAGGAAGTTCAGCTTTGAGGATGAAGGAAAAAGCCCTGCGAAGCCTGGATCGTACCCTACCTCTGTCGCCGGTTCGCTCAAACGTCAGACGTCCACCTCCACAGCCACATCAGGGCAAGATTCGCGTTCGTCTACCGCCGCCACCTCGATAAACTCCCAGGGCACGCCTTCGACGGCAATGTCACCCCCTACCGGCTTTTCGTCCTTCAACTTCGGCTCTTCCGTCGCCAACGCTGCGTCGACTGCGTCGTCGCCGCAGCCACAAGATTCGACTCGGCAGCAGCAGCCGCCGCCGCCGCCGCCAACACAGTCTCCGACGCCCGCATCTACGCCGGCCATGGAACGCTCGGCGACGAAGAAGAGACTGTATGACCAAGGTCTAAACCGCGAACTCCAGGACCAGCAGAGCAACGCGTTGAACAGACTTCAGTCGTTCAATAAACGTCCGGGCGCCAATGGGCGAACAACGCCGGACCTGTTCCAGCCTCGCAATGGGTTCCCCGCGGTGGACAATTCCATCCGTACAGGTGCACCCGCCCAGCGTTCCGCTAGTCCTACGCCGGTCTCGCCCCTGGAGAAGCTTAATGCTGCGAACGGGCTGCCAGGCAAAGACGTCAAAATCGGCCGGTCGAATACGGGTGCGCGATCGCCGATGCCCACGTCGCCGCTTCCCTCGATCACGCCTCAGGCCAAGGATGGTTCTCATCATGAGGTGTTATCTTCCGCCCTCAACCCCAACGACCGCGGTAAAGCGACGGCAATGGGCGTCTTCAACAAGCCGAAGCAGTTCAGCGAGCAGCAGTTCCTTGAACGGCAAAGGACTCTGCGGATGGGCCGCGAAACGCCAACGCAACGTGAGAACGGCATCGACGCCATCGCCGAATCTCCAAAGGAGGCAGAGGAACCGCAGGTCGACGGATCGAGCGTGCCGTCCCCACATTCTGCCGCTCCAACATCGGTTTCATCTCCGGCGACGATCAAGACGTCGACTAAGACTGCACCTCCTCCAGTAGCAGCCCCGGCGGTACCTTCGGTAGCTGGCAGACCCCCACCTCCGTCAGCCTGGGATCGATCACGATCTGTCTCGAACGGACCGTTCAACCGCTCGCGATCCGCTTCCAACAGCGATCAAACCGAGACCCCAGTCAGACCTTCGCCATTTTCAGCTTTTCAAAAGGCTGCCAGCCAGTTGAAAGGAGGGGCCGGTCTTCTGGATGAGAAGAACGACTCGCCCCAGATGCCGCCGAAGAACAAGTTCACGTTCATCGACGATAGCGAAAGTGATTACGAGGATGAGAAGGCCGCCCATTCCGCCCAGGCGCCGCGCAACGGACGCCTGCCACTGAATGCGTTGATTCCCGACAGCGCTCCGCTGGCTCCACCTCCGGTACACGAGCATCCCGCGTTCCGAAATTCGCCCCAACCATCGCGAGAAGATTTGCGAGTCGACGTACGCAAACCCGCTGTGGAAACAGAGTTTCGCTCGGAGAACAAATCGCAGCCCGCTGGCGTGGACTCGCCAACGCTGCCAGCAGCCACCAGCAATGGCCTGAGTGGCATGATCCGTCATCTTCGTAACACCAGCGCAACGTCGACGTATTCGACCATGACCATGCAGACAACCGGGCCAGGGGCCACCTCGAATTTTCAGACCAGAAACGTCAACTCTCTGCAGAGCGGTTCCAACAGCGCTGGTGCTGTGAACACTGCGCATTCGAGTTACAGCCATTCCAATCCATGGGACTTGGAAGATTTCAACGGCGAGTACAGCGTACGGGATTCGGCTGTAAGTCCAATCGAGGATGAGGGCCCCAAAGATCCGGTCGCTGAGGTGGCTCCGTTGAGGACGGCGCAAAAGCAAGACGGTAGCCAAGAGAGCTCGTGGCAGCATGAGCTGAGCAAGAAAACGCACACTCGGGGCGGCAGCACGGAGACACAGCACGAACGAGAGGCACTCGCGAATGAGTTGGCCTTGCGACAGAAGGCCATTCAGGAAAAGCTAAGAGAGAGGGCCGAGAGCGATATGAGGTCAGCAAGTCCTACGGCTGGCAAGTCTCAAGGTCCGTTCATGGGCATTCTCCGACAGAAGTCAAGCTTCGACAATTTCAGAAGCCGCGACAACTCGAGGACCCGAGACGAGTCGCGGCCAAGGGCCCAGTCGAGGTCGCGAGGAGAATCAAGACCTCGCGGTGAGGACAAGGTGTCGCGTATTCTCGGCGTAAACGGGTCTTCCACGACTCTGGTGACCGGAGCATCGCCGTCGATGACTGGTATGCACGACCGTCCGTCGTGGGACACTGATCGCGGCTACCCGCCCCCGCGATCTGTGCCGATGCCGATGCCTCGACCTTCCAAGGAGCTTCAGCAAGGAGGCTACGGATCGGTGCCAGGTTCGACGCCTGCTTCGAGACCAAGCACTGGCCGCGACAGCAGCGAGGATAAGGTGCGCTCCAGATCCAACTCTAACGTGGGCACGCAGCAACGAAGTCGCTCCAACTCGGAGCAGTCCAACGGCCGGTCAAGAAGTCGACAGGGCCGCTACCGCGACGACATGGCGCAGGCGGGCACGGAAGCTACTATTCCCGAGCACGTCCCTCCGCAAGGTCCAGCACCGACGCAGCCGATACCTGAGGTCCCCGAGAGTCCCACGCAGGTAAGAGGACTGCGGGAATACAAGCCAGTTGACGCCTCCACGTTCGAGCAGAAGGGCCTGTGGCCCCCTCCCCAAAACCCCATAGTTCACCCCCTTGGCGTTCCGTCTCCGCGACCGTCTCCGGGACTTGCGCCAAACGGGACGTTGTCTCCAGCTCTTAACATGTCGTCGCCTCGGCCGTCTCCCGGCTTTGCTCCGGGTCTGTCGCCAGGTCTCAACCAGATGAGCCCCACCATCTTCGGATCCGGACGTGCCACGCCGAATCCTGCCTTTGCGAACCCAACTCCTCCGCTCTCATCTTCGTCCACGCCCACGGCTTCGTCCTTCTCCGCGAGCACGCCAAATCTGCTTGCGGGCGCTAGCATGAAAGCCGCTCGTCAACGAAAGATGTCGATCAAGAAGTCGGACATTGGCGAGCCAGTGCTCATCTCAACCACCTCAGTCGTCGATACGATCGATCTGCCTGCTGGTGCTTCGCTCAAAAACGGTATGGAACCGCCGCCGGTACCGCCTATCAATCCTCGCAGGAAACGTTTTGCTTTCGGACGTGCAGACACCGAACCGCCAGAGCCTCCATTCGCTTCGGCTTCGTACGGCTCAGGCTCTCAGTCTTCTGACGAGGCACCCAAGCCACCACGCACTCGTCACAGGCTGAAGAAGTCGTCCTCTGACGGTGCCAAGATCGGCCTCTACATCCGAGCACAGCAAGAAGGCTCGGCAGTCAAGTCGACCCCTGCTCTGCAGCATCTGCAGTCCTCACCTCCTCGCATGCAAAATGGCATGTTCTAGGTCGAATCACCGTCTGCTTCCTACCGTACTCATTCACCTCCAAGCCGGCGGCTGTACGGCTCTGACCTACGCCGCAACAAAGTGTACAAATAAAGAAGAGTTTCTATTCTAAGCGTCGTGCTTCGGCGCACGCGTGTCAAAGGACGGGTAGAATCCGCGAAGGATTCCTTCTCTTGACGCATGACACCAATCTTTGCGGCATGTTCGCTTATCTCGTTGTGCCCTATGAGGTGGGCAGCTTCTTACTGAAACAGGACATATTTTGCTTCTTTTAGGTCATCGCCGTGATTAGTCCACACTATGGGTTGACTGCAGGCGGGCTTCTGTATAATCTGTAGTGGCTGGTCACCGACGACGTTGACCGCGAAATTAGGTTTTTTTTTTCCATATCGTCTTTTCTGGTCATGTTTCATGGGTTATGGAATGTCAAACGGGCACACTACACGGTAGCAACAGAGTAGAGCGGTTGCTCTCGCGAATGGGATAAGGAATATTACGGCCGTGCACTCGTTAGTGTCTATCGTCTCTTGTATTTAGTTTTGATTCCGACTTCCGGAGGAGCTTGGTTCTCCTCTTTCTACCCGATCTGGCCTGGAACGAGAGAGAGAGAGAGAGAGAGGATCATCGGCTGAGAGGGAAATAGGAAGTAGCATCGGGGAGATATGGTTCACGAAGAATGTTGTCATCCTGGCTGACCGGAAGCTCGACCTTTGCGGAGTACTGTGGACTGAAAGGAGCTTTGTACAGAGGAATTCAAGCAATTGACCAACGAGAGGACGTTGCAGGTTCAGATACCTAGAGTGACAACGAAGATGTTCGTCCGTCCCATGTTGCATCGTGCACGAAGCTCAAGCCCCAGACTTGTCTTGCCCCGCACGGACCGAAGACGGGGGTCTTCACATGACTTTCTTCCTTTGGTGGCGTAGTATTACTTGAAAAATTGAAGATTCCCACTCAAACTTGCCCATGGGCATGTGAGATGTGATCTTCATGAACCTCGGCCAGGATCAATTGTTTCTAGAAATGCTCAGCGGCGCGGATCTAAGGCTTTCTTTTACTGGATCCTTCTCTTTCTACTCGTTCCAGGCCCCTTGGCCCCCATTTCCCTCCTCTTGGGACTGCCGTGACACTATCGCCTGCTCGTTTGTGAATCGCGGACCTTTGATCCCGTTGGCCGATCTGAACTTTGGAACGGTTGGCAGGGGAGGGGGGCAATGTGGGAGAGGGAGAGGGAGGAGGAGAAGAAGAAGAAGAAGGAAAGAGGGATTCAACGTATTTTCACCTCTTTCTCGCTTCTCTCTCTCTATTTTCTGGTTTTTTCTTTATTTTAATTTTTTTAAATTGTTGTCCTCCCAGGATGGACTTGCGAAATTGAGCCTTCAGGCCAGCCTTGCAAAGGGCTTGAAAAGGAGGCTTTTTCTCCCAACCCGGCCAGGGAGGGTTTCCGAGAGGGGCCTTCTCTGCATTGGATTCATTTGAGAACCCGGCCGTACAGACATAGACTTTCTTTTCTTTTTGCTAGGATTTTCTTCCTTCGCCCTGAAGAGGGCAATGGAGAGAAAGAGGGGGAGACAGAGAGTATTGAGAGCAGTGGAGTACGGGGCAGCAGGAGTTGCTATTTGCGCATTGTCGCTGTGCTGCTCGCCACTGGCTCCTTGGCACCTGTGACCACGATTCGTCCGGCGTACCTGGTTGTCGTCCACTGCTGGAGCTCTCGTTCGCCCAAGCGAAGAATGATGTAAGTACTCACAGACGAGCCGGGCGATTCCTCGGCCCCCTCATCGTACTCCGCAGAAACGATACGAAGAGCGATGCGGGCGTGATCAGATGCTGGTGCAGCAAACGAGATGCACGTTCGATCGCGGCCGTCCAATCTCGTTGTGGCCTCGGCAACAAGCGCAATGCTTGGGGAGCATCGCCAGACGTTCTCGTCTGCGGAGAAAAAAAAACCCCCCTGCGGGTCGCGGCAAGGGCTGGTGCGCTGTCGACTCTTAACACCAACCAACAACCGGCCCTCGCCTCAGAGAAGAGTGATGCGTGAAGGGGAGGGGGAAGGGGAGGGGGCGGAGGGCGCGTCTGTGTTGTGTACGTGCATGTGCAGGATTTCGTGCTTCTGCCTATCATCGAATTTGCCATTTATTGGACCTCGCAACCTTTTCCCACACCCGAACAGCGGCGCGATCGGAATGGGAATCGTGGACCGAAGTTGCATGCTCGACAGGATGCACTGCTCCGTACACACACACACACACACACACACACACACACATACGCTGAATACAGAAGTAGAGGCAAGAGGAGCAGCGTAGCTCGGTAGGAGTAGTAGTAGGAGTAGTAGTGGTGGTGGTGGGTTTAGCAGTTGTAGCACTCGCTGTATGAAAAGAAGCGAAGAAAGCCATGTGCCACGCTCCAGCCAGAGCGTTTTCTTTTTTTTTTTTTTTTTTTTGTTAGTCGACTGATTATTGTTGACTTTATTTTCGTTTCAGTATAATTCTGCTCATGACAGCACAGCACTGCACACTGCACTGGTACGGAGCAGCAGCACCACCACCATCACCGCTACTACTACTACTATTACTACTCCACCACAACTATTACTACTCCACCACCACAACCTGTACTATTTTCCCACTTTTCCCATCCTGCCAATAATCCGGGGCTCGGCTGGGCCAGCCCGTGCCACGGCTCCCATCCCTTTCCGTCTCGCTAAGCCGATGCGAGTTTAGGTCTGCCGACACTTACTCAGGTACCGTACGCTGCTCGTTCGCCCGAACAGGTTTGGGCCGCTGCTTGGTCAAACAAGCCTCCTCCCTCTTCTCTCCCTCGCTCGCTTTCGTTCCCCAAACGACACTGGCCGTTCAGGTTGCATGACCTTTCGGCACCGCTCGTCTCAGGACCAGCGGCCGGGGGGGGGGGTTGGGGGGTCGGCGCCCGTATAACGCCCCATGAAACTTTTTTGTCCCATGGCGCCTCTTACATGGTAGACTGGATCGTCGTCCGGGAACCCGGCGTGCTAAAGAGATGTGCACAATCTAAACGGGCCTTTTGGCACCGCCTGCTGGAGTGCTCAAGAGCGATCTGTTGCCTTTCGTACAGGTATATAGGTTTGAGTCGTGACGCCCATGCCTCGCCCTTTCTTAATTGCTCCCTCGTTCCCTTCACTCATCCGATCCTCTCACCACTTCCATTGTTCCGTGTGGATTTGCCTTCTCCCTACTGTTCTTACTACTTCGGGCCCTCACTACCCTCACCAGCTCATCACCATCGCATCAAAATGAAGTACGCTGCCGTCCTTCTCGCCCTTGCCACCTCGGTCTTTGGCCAGGCTTCTCTCGCAGACCTGCCTACGTGCTCAGTAAGTTAATCCCATCCGTTCCGCCGCCCGGGTCCTCGTCGAGATGCCATCCACTTCTCTCCTGATTCGTTGCCAGGGTGCTTGATACCCAGCAGGGAATTAGAGCGCCCGTGTTTCGCGCGAGATGCTCGTGCTGTCTGCCTTCGTTGTTCTTTTCTCTCGGGCCATGAACGCAGAAAGAACAAGGTCAAAAAACAAATTGAGTAACACGGCTCTTCAAGACGGGACGCGGAGGAGAATACACAGGGCACCCAAAATTCCACCACCTTAAGAATTGACGGCTGACTCGAAGGCTTCACACAGATTTCGTGCCTGACTAGCGCGGTCAGCTCGAGTGGCTGCGGCGTTACGGACTATGCGTGCCAGTGTGGCGCCAAGAAGGCCGACATCACCGCCGCCGTGACGCCATGTCTGCAGAAGGCCTGCGACGCCGCTGACCAAGCTAGTAAGTCCCAGACAACGGCGATGTTGTTTCATCGTCCAGGAGCAAGAACCGTCTCGCTAACCGCGGCGCCCCCTTCTCCGTTTCAACAGAGGTCCTGTCCATCACAAACGAGATTTGCGCCTCCGTCGGCGGCTCATCCAGCGCCGTCGCCAGCGCGACCAGCGCCATTGCGTCCGCTGCCTCGTCTGCCTCCTCCGTTCTCTCTGCATCCGCTGCTTCGGCGTCGTCCGCGGCTTCTTCCGCATCTTCTGCCTCATCTGCCTCGTCCGCCTCTGCCGCCTCAAGCGCGGCGGCTGCGACGACCTCCAGCAGCGCTGCTGGTGAGCGCATCGGTGCCGCTGGTGCGCTCATCGCCGCCGCAGGCCTGCTCGCTCTGTAAGAAAATTTGTTCTTTTGACAGCCCGCCAGCGGGGGAAGGATGGATCGCTGGGCTAGGGGTAAAACCGCTCAGCATATCTCGAAGCATACTTTGTCCGACGGGAAAGGGGATGGTAGCACTTCAGTCCCGCATGTTCTCTAATTATTTTTTTTTTCTTGTCGGTCTTGCAAGAAAAAAATGTAACAATTTATTTCTACTGGGAGGGCCACGCCAACTCGCCTTTCTCTCCGCCCCAAGCGATGCTGTCTTCTTACAACCAAGAAATGCGTGTCTGATGTCCTTCCGCCACGTCGCTCTTGCCTTACTCGCGCTCTTGCTTCCTCATCGTCTCCTTCCACTTCTTCGACCAGCCCGTGAACTCGTCCTCCCCGTCCTCCCACGACCGTTGCATGCTGTCGGCCAGAGCGTGCGCGCTGACGACAAGGCTGTGTAATTGCGTCTTGGCCTGCTCCGTGTTGAGCTCGTAGAACGCGCCCGCGAGCTCGTCCACTCCCTCTCCAATGGCCTGCATTCGCTCCAGAAGGTCGTTCGCTCTCGTTACGCGTGCGATCCGTTCGGACCGTCGCGACGCATCCTCGTACTCGGGCACGGTGAACGTCTTGGCCCGCCGTTTGATGATGGCCTGGAACAGCATGTTGACGAGCTTGAGTTGTTTGAACGCCGCATCGAACAGCTCCTTTATGTCCTCTCTGTGAGCAGGGAGCCTGCCGCCCGCGAACAAGTCTTCTGCGCTGTTCCGGTCGTCGTCGTCGTCGTCGTCGTCGCTGCCCGCCACGAAGCCTTCGTCTTGCTCTTCCTCATCTTCGCGCCATTCCTTCAGCTCTTCGAGCGCATCCTTTATCATGTCCTCGCGCTCCTTGGCCTTCTTCAGCACGACGTCTACCAAACCTCGCCTTTCGAGTTCCACCAGCGCATCGCAAGCCTCCCATACTTGCCCGGTGCTGACCAGCGTCTTCTCCTTGTGCTGCACCGACTCGACCCTGACGGTTCCCCCTTGACACTTGCTCCTCACATCTGCCAGCAGGATACCGAACGCGCCCGTCGCGGCTTGTACTCTCAGCCTCGCCTCCTTCGCAAGCGACTCCGTCCACATCTGTGGGTGAACCACCCCCACGGCACCCACCATGCTCGGCACGCACAGCTTCTCGCATGCCGCAAGCTCCTTCTGCACCGCCGACGGCGTGAACGGCTCGTTGATCAGCAGCAGTCCAATCTTGGTGGCGTGGGCGCGCAGCAGCTTCGCCGTGTCGCGCAGGACGAGCAGCGGGTTCGGCGCATCCGTCGACGGCGTCGTCGAGCTCTTTGCAGGCGTGGACGAGCTTAGCGTTTGATTGCAGCGCGCGAGCAGCGCTTCGACCTGCGCCACCTTCGCCAGCAGCGTTGCGCTCGTGGCCATCTCGTGCTTCGAACCCTTTCGACGTCCCCCGCTGCTATCTCAAGAAGCAAAGGCGGGAGGGGATAAAATTTAAAGGACACTGGGCTCGGAATAGTAGAACTTCCGAATATCGCGTCTATCAAGGTGTGCCGTTACATTATCTATCTTGTTGTGCAGGAAAGTAGGGCAATATGAAGCTGCGGTGTCCAAATAAGATTTATGAATGACACTGCTCTCTCTTTTTTTTTTTTGGTCCGCAGTTTTACCTCCAGTGCGGGCAATTTTACGCGAATGGTTGTAAAACGCCACTCACGTACCGTATCAAAAACTTTGTTTGCGCTCGCCATCTTGAAATAACCTTGACTCGTATATTCCAGGGAGGATCAGAGATCTGAATTGAAAATATCTGCGTTCGAATCTCAAGAGTGCATTTTTTGCTTACACGTCAGGGTAGTCATTATATTTGAAATATTTTTTTTCTCCTGGGATTTTCTTTCGATTCATCGTGCGGGATTCTTGCTCCCGAAGCGGTCTTGGAGAAATAAGAAAACATGCCGACGGAACTGGAAGAAGTAGGTAGACTATAGAGACAAAAAGGTTCAGTCTGTTGCTAACGTCTGATGCACAGCTCGTCGAGTTCCTACATCACGGCAATACGCAAATACGTCAACTAGCTGCCGAGAACCTTGTGGGATATTCGACTGCTCAACCGGCGCTCTTTAAAAGCGGCCAATTGACGCCAATAAAGGATCTCAAGCTATTGGTCAAAGACTACACCGTAAGCTCGTTGGCTTGAAATTCTGACAACGGAACGTGTTTTGACGACCATCAGCCCATAGCAAAGAATGCGCTGATAATGCTCATCAATCTGTCTGACGACCAAGAGGTCCTCAAGTTTCTGGCTACCGACGATGAATTCCTCGAGAGCCTATTATCGCGGATAACAGTATGTCAGTCAGCCAAGCAAAAAGGTACAAGAGCATGCCCTTTGACCAAGCCCTGAAACTAGAACGCGAACGAGCCAAATGCAAACGAGATGTGCATGCTGCTCGCCAACCTGGGAAAGCACGAAAGTTTGACCCGACTGCTGAAACTCGAGCGGGCGTTGCCGAAGACTAAGGGACTGTCTACGTCAAAGAACGCTTTGGACCAACTGATGGACTGTTTCGTCAAGGGCGCGGACGGCTCGCTTAACAAGAACGCGGACTTTGACTACCTGTCCTACCTGTTCGCCGACGTCGCGAGCAAGCCGGAAGGCCGGGCGTACTTTGTGACGCCCAGAAAAGACGACGCCGACATCATCCCGCTGAGCAAGCTCACCGTCTTCACCGAGCACAAGTCCGACGTCCGGAGACGGGGGGTCGCTTCCACCATCAAGAACGTGTGCTTCGACACGGACGCGCACGCCCGACTGATGGCCTTCGACGGCGTCAACCTCCTCCCGTACATACTGCTGCCCATTATGGGCTCGGAGGAGTACAGCGACGAGGACATGGAGGGCATGTTGGACGATTTGCAGCTGCTGCCGCCGGACAAGACCCGGGAGAAGGACATGGAGATCTTGAAGACCCATCTCGACACGATCCTGCTACTGACGACGACGAGGGGTGGCAGGGACGTGCTCAGGAACATAAAGCTGTATCCAATCATCCGCGAAACACATTTGCATGTCGACGACGAGGGCGTTCGGGAAGGTTGCGATAGGATCGTGCAGGTCATCGCTAGGGACGAGGCACCCGAGGGCGAGGAAGAAGCGAAGGCAAAGGAAGTGGAAGAGGAAAACGAAGACGAGATGCTCGTGGAGGTATGATGTAAATTTCTTACACATGAACTAAACGATTGCTGTACAGCAGATATTTGCAACATGCACGAAACGATCACGCTGATGCAACTTGAGTGGTGATCTTTCGCACCACAGTAAAAACGCCATTCGCCTTTCTTTATTTATCCCCATAAGATTTCCTAAGCCGGAGTAAGCGAAACCTTTGTGCCGTTAGCCGAACACAATGTCAAGGTCAGACCCTCTTTCCAAGGGCCCGGGTCTCTGCTCTCGACGTTCTTGAACTCCTGGCACAAGCGGCATGTTACATATCCAGCTTCTGTCAGTGCGTACTGCTGGCCGAGGCAGATACGAGGGCCACCGTTGAAAGGGAGATACTCCCAGCCCGGTCGCAAAGTCTCCCATCGCTCGGGACGGAACTCATGTGCGTCCTTGCCGAAGAATCGAGTGTCGCGATGCATGGCGTATGTTGAATATGTGACAACATGACCTTTTGGAACAAAGACAGGTGACCTGCCGTCGATTCCACCACCTCGGGGGAGCACGGTGTCACGGACGGCAAGGCGTGAGTTCACCGGCACGACAGGGTGGATTCGGAGAGCTGCACGTTGTTAACCTTACATACAGGAGACAAAGGTACCAAGTTAAACTCACATTCGTTCATACAGTACTTGAGATACTTCATGTTTCGCAGCTTTTCGTAGGTGGGAAGCTCGCCGTCCGGAAAGGTCTCCTCGACTTCACGGCGTAGCTTCTCGTAGATGGCTGGATTCTTCGCAAGCATAAACCACATATTGGCAAGCAACGAAGCGGTCGTGTCGCGGCCGGCGAGCAGCACGTTCAAGATTTCGTCCTGGAGCCTGGTCTTGTCTTGCGTGTCTTGTGCTAGCGTGTGCAGGAACACGTACTTCTCCTCGCCGCTCTTCTCGACGTCCACTTTCTGACGATATCGGATCGCCTCTTCGACAAACTGGCCAACAAACTTGTGGCAGAATTTCGTCGCCTCGTCGGCCTCCTTGTCACTGACGAACAAATTGAGGATTCCTCGCCGATTTCGAGACGCACACGCATCTTGGGCGATTGTGAACGCCTTGGCGAACTCTGCGCCACTAGCATCATCTGCGCCTTCCTTGAGCGTATTTGTGGAAACGCCAAATAGGAACTCGGTAGCGCTGTCGATAGTGAAACGGAAGAAAAGATCTTGCAGGTCTACGGTGCTTCCGTCCCTCGGGATCTTCTTCCAGAGCTTTTGGATGTGGCGCTCGAACGCTTCGAGGTCTGCAACCTGGTCTCGAGTGAAGTTTGGTCGGATCATTGCTCTTGAATGAGCCCAGAAGTCGCCGTCCATGGTGAAAATACCCTTTCCAAGCAAAGGTCCAAGCGCGTCTATTCGGTTTCCAAGGCTGTAGTCTTTGAACTTCAGCGACAGAATGGTCTTCACGTTCTCCGGCTCCCTTGTGACGATAATCTTTCGCTGGGCCATCTTCGATCCAAACGTGTTACCGTACTTCTCGAAGTTATTCAGGATACGATCCAGAAGTCTATGCTCATTCTTGGCGCGCACGCTTTCGATTATGTTATCGATGCCAAAAATGGGATCTTTTATCGGGAAGTGGTGCAAAAGCGGTTGGCATCCATTTTCTTGTTGAAATTTGCGCCTCGCTAGGTACAGAGAGATCTGGTTGTAAGCTATGGCAAGGGCGACGGCACCGGCGAAGGCACCGGCAACCACGCTTGGATCTGACGAGACATTCGAAAGCATGATGATTTAGAAGGTTGTTACTGTTCAACAGCTGGTGCGAAGCCACACAGGTGAAGTAGGATCAGACGTAAGGATATAAACGCGTGGAAGCTGTGTTTCGCCCCGACTTCCCGACGGACTCGGAGCTAGCTCGTCAGGGGGTCACCGATCTGTGGTGCGTAAGTTGATGCTCTTTGCGGGGTGGAGATGAGCCGCGGCTTTAAATTCTGGATTGCGATGACATGAGATTGCATACATTCCGGCCGCAGACTGGCGGGGCACCAGTCATCTTAAGCTCACGTTGGGCGGTCGCAAAGTTGCTCCGACCTTCGAGCTTCGGGAGGGTCACTGGATGGGCGTAGCCTGCGGGCGTCTGGGGTGACAAGGGCCAACGGAGAGACCGATTCGTACAGGTTACGAGTGCTCTCGGGCGTAGTTGTCGCATTCGACCAATGTTTCCGTCGTAATATTTGCTGCTGTAATGCGTGTCCACCTGCCCAATAGCCATATCGATCGTCCAGCTGCTGACTGCTGAGCCGATCCATGGCAACAAAGTCGAATGGATGAGACTCTCCAGCGAAATGCGCTGTACGCGACGTCTGATTGGTGTAGTAATATTTGGGGACAGCCTTGACGTCAGCAAGCCCACGTATCCAGCGTGCCTAAACTTAGCATTCGAGCAAAGCAGTAACAGATTGCTGCCAAGCGAAGAGGAAAAAATAAAGAAAAAAAAAAAACAACTGGAGACGTGTCTTTAATGCTCGCTTGCAATTCCATCTATGGCTGCCTCAGCTCCATCACACTGGGCGAACAGCTCGGGAACGTTGTTCAAAAACCCATGGCCATCCGCAGAGGAGGTCTCATGGAGTGAGCTGTACGACGGAAAGTTGCCGGTTTCATGGCATGATCGGAAGGCTGGAAACGAAGACATCAGCGTCGTTAAGCCTGACTGGGGCGATGCTGCACTTCAAGCAATCTCTCCATCCGAGCGAGACTCAGGACGGTATTTGATAGGAACTTGGCTAGGCCACGCTGGTGCACTGGCCGAAATACCGTCTTTGAGTTCCGGAACACACGAGTCTAGGCAAGCCGCCGCCAAGGACAGTGTATATCTGGTTTTCGACCCCATCTTTTCGTACCGTGCAGGGCCAACGCCATGGACAGGTCCTGCGCGGCTCCGTCAAAGCCCTTGTGGGGCAGAGGACTTGCCCGGTTGTGATGCAGTCTTCATATCGCATAACCACTTCGATCACCTCGACCTACCCAGCGTGACGGCACTGTTGAAGGCTTACCCCGGCACCCTCTGGTTTGTTCCTCTGGGTCTGAAGAAATGGATGCTTGAGACGGGTGCAGAAGACGAAAACATCGTCGAAAAGGATTGGTGGGAGTCGTGGACAGACACCATCAAAGGGCAGCGCGTCAAAGTCACCAGCGTCCCGGCCCAGCATAATTCTGCGCGAGCAGGATTCGACAAGAATCAAACACTATGGTGCGGATGGGCGATCGAACGCTTTGCCGGCTCGGCACGCGAAGGGGCAATCTATCACGCCGGCGACACCGGCTACAGGCGATCCAAAGACTCGACAGTGACTTGCCCGGCGTTCAAAGAGATCGGCGCCAAGTTTGGCGGCTTCGATATCTCCTTCATCCCGATCTGGCGAGGTGGCACCCTTGGTTTGATTTCATACTGGGGCCTGAAGTTGAACCAAAGTGCCATCGCCATGGTGCACCATGCCTACCCAAAGGACGCCATTGAGATTCACAAGGATGTGCGCAGCAAACATACAATTCCGGTGCATTTTGGCACTTTCGTTGGAAGTGCGGATGAGAGTCAAGAGAGCATCCAGGAGTTCAGAGAGGCATGTGAAGCGGCAAAGGTGACGGGATTCGCAGACGAAGACGTTGGGAATGGTCGTGCGGATCTCCTCAGCATCGGAGGAAGCGGTGTGTTCACTATTCAGGATCGAATTTGAGCTTATTGCTTCATCCTGGATGAAGATACCTCCATGGTAGTAAAGAAATACTTCTGGTCACGACATAAGAATAGAATATCTAGTTTGAATAGGTCAGGAGGAAGTTCTATATTGTCCGTGGCCGATACTATTGTACAAGTACAACTACTCTCGGGAGCGCCATCGACACTCAACCGAACGAGTCAGGGCTACATGTTGCAGACGGAAAGAAGAGATAACCATGGGATATCACGCGTGAAAGGGGGCTTGAGACTTTTATCCACCCGATACAAGGAACAGGAAACATAAAACGCAATGGAAGACCTAACCATAACACTGTCAAATGCCGGGGTCGAATGTTCCCTGGAAAGCAACTCTTTCGGGCATTAGCGGAAAAAGGAGGTCACGTCCTTGCTTCGGCGTCGAGCAGCCCTCCAGGCCTTGGCTGCCTTGCTGCCGACAGCATCGCGTAAGACGGTGTTGGAGCTATTAGTGCTTTCGGAGCTCCGGCGATCGAACTTCTTCTCTTCTTCCGTCTCGTCGGCGCGAGGCAGTCCGCCCCAGCCGCTGTTGAGTGTGCGCCTCGAGCGCGCCTCCAACAAGTTCTCAGGCTGGCTTTCGAAGTATGTGTCCACACGGGAGTTTAGTGCCTTATTTTTCTCGCCCGCAGAAAAGACAGGGCTGCCGAGTGCTGCGTTGGAGATACTTGTTTCGCTCCCGCTTCGAGCAAGGTTGCTTCGTTTGGAATCCTTCCGCGCAACGTTGACGGTCGTACTCAGGCTTGGTGTGCGTGACAAAGGCGTGCTGATGGAGCTGCTGCGAGAATGAGGGCTACCCCCAAAGAGTAGAAACTCTCCGTTTTCAAGTGGCCAGCTGGAGCAGAACGGACAGAAGTCGCAGCGAATTTCCCATCCCTCGATCGCTAATTTTCCCGGACAAGAGTTGAGGTTGCCCCCTGGGATACACGGCCTCAGGAGGTGGTACCATCGGTGCTGACATTCGTTTAGTGAGACGTTCAGCTCTGCCTTACACATGATGGAGGATGCAGGCCGTGGATGCCGGTCACTTAGTGCTTCTCGTAAATCTGTATCGATCTAAGATGCAGTCAAGAACGTTCGATATCAAGTAGATATAGAACGACGACGGCTCGTGCCGGACCTTGGGATCACCGCTTTTTTTTCTTCTAGAAAGGGTGCTGCTGTGACGTGCTCGGGACCTCGTCCGTCCCTGTCAGCAATCTGACTGGACAGTCTGTCCGTTGCGAAAGCACGTGGCAAAGAGATAGGCGGTATGTGATTGATGGGACGACTGCTTCCGAAGAGAAAAGCACGGTCAGCAAAGGCGAAGTCGCACAGGATAGGCACAGGCGGAACTCTGTAGCAGATCTTATTAAATGTACCGAGCCGAAACCTTGCGGGAGGAAGCGCGGTGCTGGCTAGACAGGCAAGATGCAGGTAAGGCTGGAATTAGTCGAGGACCGGGTACCGGGGAAGTAGGGCAGCGGTGACGTGACGGGCTGGTGTGTAAGGCATGCGAAGTACTTTGCTCAGGATTCGTAATGATAGGCGGAGAAGAACAATCCGGATGCGTCCTGCGTGGAGTGGCAAAGGATAAAAGGGCAACTTCAAGCCTCTCCACAGATCGAGGGAGCACACACAAACAAGATATACAGCCAGTGAAGCAACGCCACCCGGATCGGCAGGGGCTCTATCTGAAATGCCGTGCAACAGCAACAACAATGAAGCGACGGCGAAGCCTGCGATCAAGGCTCGGCAGGCCGCGTGTATGGGTCTGCCTAGTGATGTTCGGGACGCTGCGGCCGGAGCAGTCATGGTTACGTGGTCACCACCAAAGCGGCTGACGTCTAGAAAGTCAGACGTGTGGACGCTCAGCTGTGATTGATTTCATGGAACTTTGACCTTGGCTTCCATGGTCGGAAATGGTGGAAAGCCAGCTAAGGACAGGCTGCAGCGAGCGGCCCGTTCTTCCCTTGGCCTAGCGCGTGTTCCGGTACCAAGCAGTCGGAGCTTTTGCGTGCATCCCATCTTGGAACTCCTTGGGTCAGAGCCTCGGGACAGGCGGTGGGAGACTGATGAGCGAGCGGCTTCTGCTGCGTTCTTGGACGACTGCTGAATCGCTGGATTATTGCTGTGGCACGGCTATGGTGTTTGTGGATGCGCTGCTCACCGTACACAATCGAAGACGTGCTCTGCTGGTTGGCTGATGATAAGGCAAGACTGCACGTTCCCGTTGGGTGCTGCCAGCCTTGATTTCCTTTTCTTCTTCTTTCTATTCTTTCTTTCTTTCTTTCTTTCTTTCTTTCTTTTTTTTTTTTTTTTTTCCCTTTTTTTGTATTTGTGTGTGTTGTGTGGTGTGTGGGCGAGCGAATGTCTCAAAATTGCAGGCAATGTGCTTCGCCCTTCGGTCAGCACAGGAGCTACTCCGTCCCGTAGCAACAGCATGCATGCCAGAGCGGCAACAAGTTAGCTTTGCCGTGCTTGAAGTCCAGGAATGCACAAGTTCCTGTCTCTCGCTGTGCAGATCTTCGAGGTTCGGTGTGTCTGCCGAGAAAAGATCGGCCACACGGGCGCCAAGGCTAATCTGGTTCTGATAACTCTATCATGACCTACACAAAGTCCCTGCACAGCGTTACTATTCTACATGCTTCTTTGACATTCTCACGTAACCGCTAGTCGCAAACAATGAAGACGTTGGCACGATGCAATCATTACTGTCCCCGGACATTTCTCCCCAGATTTGGAATCATATTTCTGTCCAAAGTGAACCAAAGGACCAAGACTTGCACAGCCACGAGACCAAGAGTAAAAGAAATAGGGGACGTTTGAGCGCGCGTGGACGTTTGTCGTGCCAAGTCGTTGGATACGGACGAGACTCATACACTGCTGTCGATCACTTAGACAACTCGCTTTATTGCCAAGCTGGTCGACTATAATGAATACTTGAATCGCCATGCGTCCTCTCCCTGTCTGTCAGATTGCAATTAGTACGTGATGATCATCCTGTTGTCTTTGCGCTGTTCATCCGAGTAAGTTTCCAGTACTTCACGTGCGCGCTGCTCCCAATTCAAAACCAGCCCTGTTCCCGTAACCTCCAAGACCGGCCGTCATGTAAAAACGCGTCGAATCTTCGTGTTGCAACATGTGTGACAGAGTACAAACCAGGGCTCCGCAAAGTTGAGGCACACAAAGACTCAATAGTGCTACTAGCTCGAGGCCAGGCATTGCAAGCAATGCGTTGGTGAGGTAGCAAAAAACACATACACGCAAAACTCCTTTGTGTCTCTTGCTTATCCGGTGTTGGCTATTGTTTCATCTGAACTTGGCACGGATCAAGTGAAGAACTTCACTTCAGAGAGAAGAGTCTGGAGAAAGCCGAAGAACACTTTAGACCGCACCGCTGACGTCCCATAAAATTGATTGGTGTGGTCATGCCTTCGAGTTGGTATACTTTATCCACGTCAAGCTGGGTTACGGCTAGCTGCTTTCTACCTTGCAAAGAAGCCAAGTCTGATGGACAAATCGCAGCAACCACAAGCCATCCCTTAGACAGTCTTGAAGGACGATAGGCGGAGGGGTTTGCAGAAAGTCGGAACCGATTCCGTTCGTTGATGACTTGTCATCGAAACAGAACCCGTGAAGCACATGCGACGCTGCTGAGCAGATAGTAGGGTGCTCTGTGGATTTTGCAACGACCGTAAAATGGCGCCATTCGTAAATCCGCGAACGCTATATATGCAATGACAAAGGACTCGGACATGTAGTCCTAGTTTTCTGTTGGCCCCATGTGCTTTGGAGGGCTTGTACGGTCATCTATTTCCCCAAAACTACAATGCGAACTAGACGTTTTCTCGACCTCATTGGGCTTCGGCTTCGTGATTAGATTTATCGCTAGGTCGTCTTCGCCCCCATGGTCGCTTGTTGAGGCTCCTCCCCCCCGCTTTGATACACCTCTTTCGCGCTGGGGAGTCATTCCTCGAAGAGTCCTTCGTGCTCACACTCCAAGCTCACTCCAGCCACTCCTTTCGTAAGCCCAGCAACTCTCGACTCCGCCGTCGATGCCCTTCACGGCGCCATCCTGCCAGCATGCACATATGCTCACGCGGTTGTCCTGCCCGCTATACATTTCTCGAAAGCCCTCTTTCCTGCATGTCCTGCGCTCAACAAGATTTTCATACCTGCTCTTGCGATCCGCGAAGCCGTTGTCAATCCATTGCTGCGGTAGGAGCTTAAACATCAACGTTGAGGAGATGAAGCCCAGTAAAAGCCCCAGCTGAAAACCGAGCAGTAAAGTCACCACGACCTTCACCCAATTGGTTTGTTGGGGCATTTTGGCTAATTGTGTCCACACCGCCGTCCGCCTCTTGTTCTTCTTCTTCTACGTTCCACGCGACTTATGTATGTAGTTGTAAATACGAAGCCGTTCTTCGTACGCGTTGTGAGATAAGTTCCCGTTTCGTCGGATGTGCATGCGGAAGGAGACCGGTTGCGCGCGCCTCGTAAAAGGCGTTATGCGCTCATAGCCGCGTGAAATTTCGACCTTCGTCGAACTTGCCTGATCAAGCTTCAATTACACGAACTTGGAAATGTCGTTGGGTGAACTGGAGTGTTGTGTACCGCTCGCTGAGATACAGGCTCCTATTAGGTGAGACCCGATATCGGCACTTCCAAATTCATGGTCCCGCCAAAAGTCTACGAGAGTCTTGCAAGCATCTTGGAACAATCTTATAGTCAGATACGTCTTATTGAAGAATGTCTCAGAGCAAGGTGATCATAATAACAGGTGCCTCGCGTGGCATTGGCCTCGCAGCTTCTCAATATCTCCTGTCGCAAGGCCACAAAATCGCCGCAGTAGCGCGCAGCAAAGAGCCATTGGAGAAGCTCGCTGCCCAATCCCCCGACCAGGTGCTACCACTTGCGCAAGACCTGTCCAGCCTGACGATTGGCAAGGACATCGTCGATGCCACTCTCAAGAAATGGCAGCGCATAGACAGTGTGATTATCAACCACGGGACTTTGGATCCGATCAAGCGGGTGGCGGACATGTCGCCCGAGGAGTGGAGGAGCGCTTTTGATATCAACGTCTTCAGTGGCGTAGGATTGGTACGCATTGATTCCAAAATCAAACTCGGTCGGGGCTCTTGAGCTTACATATTTCGTGCATTCAGATTCAAGCAGCTCTTCCCTCCCTCCGCCAATCCAAAGGCACCATTATTCTCACCTCGTCGGGCGCCGCTGTCTCCGCATACTCGACCTGGGGGACATACGGAGCCGCCAAAGCCGTCCTTAACCACCTCGCGCTGACTCTCTCCGTAGAAGAACCGGATGTGACGTCAGTCTCTATCAGGCCTGGCACAGTCGACACGGAGATGCAGCGTGAAATACGAGAAAAGCATCACACTTCTATGGACGCGCACGACGTGAAGAAATTCGCCAGTCTCAAGAGCGAAGGGAAGCTCCTGCGGCCCGAGCAGCCAGGTCATGTCATCGCAAAGTTGGCTGTTGGGGCGTCGAGGGAATTGAGTGGGAGGTTTTTAAAGTGAGAAGCTCCATTTGTTCAATATCATTATGATGCTGAGCTTTATGCTAATTAAGTCACAGCTGGAACGATAAGGATCTTGCCGCTTTTCAGTAAGAGAAGAGCTGTTCAAGAGCCCAACTAAAGCAGACCGATCCACTCAGGCTGAGAGTTTTCCCTCTTCCTTGTCCCACCCAGGGGCAAGCACAAGGATGAGAAAAAGTGCGCTACACAGATGGCAGGCAACCAAGATATCACATCTACCTGCTCTGTGTTCAGCGCAAGTCGGTAATCCTGATAGCGAGGATCATTAACCGATGCAATGTTTCAATATCCTCGCACTGAAATAACAAATTTTCAAAACTGTTGCAATCATTGGTTATCATTCTAGGCTCATCACCCTGTGACGTATCGTAAGAGTTAGTGTAAGTCTGGCAAAAGTACCTACGAAGGCACATTACATGGTTCTTGTTCGCGGCAGTCGAGGAAAATAATAAAAAAAAACAATGGAAAAATGTACGCTACACGTTAGGTCCAAGATAAGAAACAAACGAGAACGAGGCCCGAGAGTCAATCGTCGTCAGTCATCGCAGTCGGTCCTCGGCTCGTCAGTTACGTCTACAGTGTGTGCGACACTTGCATTCGACTGGACGCCTTTTGTCTGGTCAGCATTGTCGGAAAATGTGCCTCCAACATATGATCGCGTAACGTGCATTGAACATGCCAGTCCGCACTCTCCTAGCCACCATTTTCTCAATGCTACCTCTTCTATGTTGATGTGTTTTGGACTCGCCCATGAGTCGTACTGGGTATCTCATAGCGTAACCAGCCTTCCGAAACTCCATGTGTCCCTTACAGTACCAAATTGCGGTCGATAAAGCCAAATGCGTGATGTTACATGAAAGCTTCCAACGAATTGTACATCAAACTATACAGTCGCATACAGGCTAACAGTTGTCAGAAGTCGTCACGGCAGTAAATTTGAAGTGGCCGGAGTCTCAGGTTCGTCAACAGGGCCAAAGTTCTTCCCGTAAACCTCGCGAAGGATGCTCCGCTGGAGAATAACACGCTCGTAATTGCCGCCGATTATCAAGCCAAGGAGTGTTTGACCTTTGCGAAGAACAGGGCCTGCAACTTCCAAGGATCTCATCGTTCTGATCAGGATAGAATAAGTCTCCGAAAATTTCCTTTGGATCAGACGAGCCTGTGATGAGCCAATGGAAAGGTCATTGCTCGGATTATGAGGATCGATAATGGTCCATCTATCGTCTTTCCCGATGCCGTACTTAGCCTATAAATAGTCAGTCGGTTTCACCACCATTGGGCACAGCTCGACATTTCCTGCTGATCCCGAGAACAATATTTGGTACGTGGTTGCATAATTTACCTTGTTTATATACTCTGCCGGATTCAAAGATATACCGACTTTGTTCATGTTGAATTTATTGCCGTAGAGATCAAAGAATTGAAGTAACAATTGGCCCAAGCACGGCGTGTCTTCAAGATTGGTGGTCTGACCATCGGCTTGCATTTGCAACATGCTCACAAGCATGCAAGTCAGAGAGAATCCGCCTAGTCCGCCAGTGTAAACCTCATTCACACCTCTCATAAGCAGCCATTGCTTAAGCACACTGAGCAGCTTGGGTAAGAATGGCCACGTGCGTTGCCACTTGCCGAATGTTGTCAAGGCCTTTAGGCCACTATCGTTGTCTAACGAAAGATCGCAATTCAAACCGGTCAGTGTATCGACAAATTTGATGATTGGAACCTTTGCCCTGGCGATCACCGTGATGTTTTGCTCCGACGAGATGCGTGAGCGCGTGAGTAGGTTCCTGATGCGATACAAGGTACTCTTGTTAAAGCTAGGGTAGCCCGTCCGTTGGAACTCTGGAGAAAGAAGCACGAGATCCATGTCTGACGTTGGCAAGAAGATGCCTTGACCGTATGAACCAAATGGATGAACCTGCGCACCTCTGAATGAAGATTGAAGTGCTCGCTGAAGTCTATCCACCAAATCCTGCCGTATTTTTGCTTCATACGAACGAGGTTTGATGAAGTCATAGAAATCATTGATCTCCTTATGAAGCCTGGTCTGCTGTTAAAACGGTCCACGAAATGCAGGAGAAGAGACATCGACTCACCAGGTGGACGTCTTAGCGACCGCACTGTGATCAATATACCATGGTACCGATGAGGCACGGTCTTTAGCTGCCCAAGAGTCTGTTATCTCACCATCTGCCCCAAGCTTCCTCTTTTTGCCGTGTTTTGTCGAAACGTGTCCATGTAACTGCAGTGCGGCATCATCCTCGGCGTTGATTTCCGCTAGTAGCTCGCGGGCTTCATCTAAAGCCTCTTCCGATCCCTTAGTCGTAACCTGCGGTGCTGAAGCCAGAGCATTCAAATCTTGGGAAGGCTTTGGAGCTGGCATTTGGTGGAGATTTCGAAGATGGCTAAAATGTGATTTTGAACTGCTCGAGGTTGAGGCTCCCATGGTGGTAGAATTAGCAGGATCGGCGGCCAATTGCTCGTCGGAATCAACTTCACCTTCCTCAGATGGTTCCTTAGTTGAGCTTTCCTCATCTGCATCAGCATCCTCATTGTCATCATCACCAAAGCCAATGAAGTCAGCATTTTGGGTAACAGCGTTGGCCGGGACTGCAGAAGCAACTCTATCAATCTCAACTTTGGCTTTGCGGATGAGCTGAACCACGTCCTTCCGCTTCCCCCGTGATTCGTCGAGAGGTGGTATCAGGTAGTACGGATCAGGATTCGACCACTTGGGTTTCTCTCCCGGAGCCGAATTGTCACCATCAGTTCTTGTTCGCTTGGCCGACGGCTCGTCATCGTTACCATTGACAGGGTTCTCCAAGTCCATGGCTGCCTCTCCTTCGGACTCGCTCTCAAACAGATCGTCTACTGTCTTGAAGCGCGAAATCCCTTCGGCCATGCCGGTCAGCCTCTCTGGTGTACCTTCTTTATCATTGTCTGCGTGTAGGATTTTACGCTCATGCGCAGGCTGGGGACCGTGTCTTCGTGTCTGAAAGTGAGACTTCCCCTGCGCACGCCGATCATCTCTGGTGCGCTGACGTCTCGGCCCCCGTGGCGGTTCACGCGAAGGAGGTTGGCCAGATCGAAACTCGCGCTGTTGTCCACTGCGAAACGTGAAGTCACCGCGCTGTCCATGATCGTTCAGGCCATTAACTCCACTCTGGCGATTGTCGCCTCCGAAACGATACATGTCGGTGGCTCGGGGACGTGGAGAATGTGCGCGTCGATGCGGAGGTGAGCGCGATTGTGAGCGCGATCTGTACCATTCATACGGGTGCCTTTGGTCGTCACGTCTACTGTCATATCGGTCATCGCGACGGTTGTAATGACCTGGTCCACGGTCGTACGAATCGCGGACGTCATCGCGATCTCGATAACCACCGGGGCGGTATATGTCGTGCTGCATCTCCTCGATACGCGCCTACCGAAAGACGCTCGAGGCTTTCGCACACTGCAACGATGTTTGTGCCGTGGATAGTGCTGGCCAGGAAGAAATTGGCCATGTCGCGGCGACGACTTTTTCGTTTCGATGCACAGAAGGCGCGCTAGTCTGCATTGGCAGCAATCAGCATCCGTGCTGCCACCCTGCTCCCGTCTCCAGAATTCAAGGCGGCAAGGCGACAAGGCTGCGCTTGATCTCAACTCCACTCCTGTACTCTGGAGGGTCCAGCGCTGGAACACGTATACGGGAAAGGAGCTGTGCGGAGCTTGTTTTCGCAGGGATCTTGAAGATGGCGCCCTCTTTTCCTTGATCAATATCTCGGCGTAGGAGAATGGGGGCCAACAAGTCACATGTACCTTGGAGTAGACGTCACTCTAAAGAGAAAGTCCATACACACCTTCGTACGCTTGACCTCAACTACACGCACTTTGAATGCCTTAAGATGACCAAGGACATGGGACTTAATATTTCGCCATGACCTAACATGGCAACCACCGCGAAGAAGGCAGATTGGTCCAGGCAGTCAAGTACTATGTGTTCACGGCATTTGCCGCCGCGGTTGAGCTGCATTGCGTCCGATCCGAAGAGTTTGTTCAGCTGTGAAAATGTGCAACGTAGCGGCATTTATAAAGCCAATCCAATCCATCCCAATTTGCACTCAACGAGGGACGGTCGGAAGTGATGGGAAGCTCAAATTCTAAAACAGGACCCGAACAGCAGCCTTTGAGCTGGCGGGAGGCGATTGGGCGCCGCTTACGGCTCTGGAGAGAGTTTAGACCCTTCGTTGTTAGAATCGTGAACGCTGTGGGCTTCGGTGAGCGCAATTGAATGATTGCTTTCTCATGTTAGAATGCTTGAGTTAATTGGTTATTTTGTAGCAGGGCGAAATGTGATTGCTGGGCTGTTGGAGTCCCGAACTGAGCCAGAACGCGGTTCAAGAACCGAGAGCGAAGATCGAATTGAGAGTCAAATCGAAACCCAGGTGACGCATGAAAGTAGTAAGAAGGAAGAGCCAGTATCGAGCTCTGCGCTCGCCAAGTATGCTACCACTGGGTCTGGTCATGAAGATTTGATCCCAGTAGAGTCAAAAGGAAATGAACAGGACGAGCAAGACGGGGAGGATAGGACGGTAACCGTGATTGAGACTCTACTTGCAGAGGCTCTGCGAGCAATCTCTGTTGAAGACCTTGAAGATATTGACGATGACGGCGACCAGGATCGTTTGGCACCTGTCTCAAAAAATCAGACTGGAACCGTTTCGGACATTCAAATCCCAAGTGAAATAGCTCACAAAAATCTAGGTAGTAAGGGTAAGCAAGAACTCATGGCAAAGGCTCCAGATTCGGAGCATAACTTGAAGAAAAAAGTCGCTCATGCGAAGCTTGCCTTGACGAAAAGATTGCAGAGGTATCCAGCAGTTCCGGAGGGTTCTAAAGGACCTGAGCCAGATGAAGAAGAACAAGGTATCGCAGTAGAGGTTGTCCGATCATCGTTGGATGTTGCGCTTCCAACTTACATCAAGCGCAAAAAAGCCGGATCTAGCGAATTTTCTCAGCCTCGTGTGCCTTCTGCGCTATCCTTTGAGCGCCGGGAACTGACTTATGACATGGTTTTGGAGGAATCAGAGAATCTTGGCGACATCTGGATGGACAGTCCTGACGACTTTGCGCTTGCGGGGGATGAAATCTCATTCACTGTTCCTGCAAACATTCAGGAAGAGCGCACCAAGAACAGACGCAGCGACCTTCAGTGGGCTAAGCAACTCTATTCGCGTTCACGCCTTGATGGTAAATCCATTCGACTAATCGATATCTTGCCGGCTCCCTCTGGGCCAGTCAAGGTCGAGCTTTCTACGAAACCTCTTATTGAGGTGAAGAATGACTATGAAGCCTTGTCATATACTTGGGGCGACCCAAAGTGGGGTGGTAGGATAAGGGTTAACGATATCGAAGTCCCCGTAACGGGCTGGTTGGCTCTTGCTCTGGAGTCGCTTCGCCTGCCAACCGAGAAGAGGACTGTATGGGCCGATGCAATATGTATCAATCAAGCAGATCTGGTGGAAAAATCTCTAGAGATCCCGAAAATGGGTGACATTTATCGATTTGCCAAACGAGTTGTTATTTTCCACGGCGCGCCTTCGACGACCACGCCCGCGGGAAGTCTAATCACGGCTCTTTTTAAGTTCTTGACGAGATTTGACCAAGAAGATGGCACGGAGATGCCGAACAGAGCAGAAGAAGATCCATTTGTGGGGTTTGATAAAGCATACGTGTGCAAAGGATTCATTGACTTTTGTTGCAGGCCCTGGTGGAGGCGTGTATGGACAATGCAGGAATTCTACCTCGCAACTGATGAGCCAATCTGGCAGTGGGGTGCCACAGGTGCGAGCAACGCGGCGTTGAAGCGCGACATTGAAGCTCTAATGGAAGCCTCTTGGGACTTATATGGAGGGAAACAGGTGGAACAATGGATCCATCGGCAGGTCGAAGGAGCTACTGGAAAGCCGGTGACACAGTTCGGTGCGGAAGTGCGTCGAATCTCCGAGCTGATACAACGACGGCATACATCACACGGCTTCGACATTCCAAGTCGACTTTATAGGAGTTTAGATGTGAACGCGACGAACCCTCGAGATCTAGTTTACGGGCTTCGCGAGATGTTCGATCCGGTGTTCCGCAGGGTATTTGTACCGGATTACCGAATGCCCGTACAATTGTTATATGCATGCCTCGCAGTATTTTTGATTCAGTTCGAAGGATGGGCCGATGTGTTGTGGTGGTATCCGCATGGCTTTGCGGATGAAAATCTTCCAAGCTGGTTGCCAGACTTCCGAAAGCGCGTGATTCCAGATGAACTGGAGATTTTGCCTCGAGACTCCGTTCTTACTGAAACACATCACTTGAAACTTCTCGTTTTAGACCACGCGATACATGCAGAAGGATATTTCGTTGACACAGTAGAAGGTGTTATAGTGGTCGACAAGGAGGACACTCATGCTATCTTGCGTTCTCTTTGGGATTTCGACAAGATCTCACGCGAGTCACCATCGGCCCTGACGGATGAAATGACAGGAGGCGAACAGATAATGTCACTCTTTAGGACGATTCTCGAGCTCTACAATGCTTCATCATGGCAGCGTCCAGGCTATGTTCTCCATCGCCAGCGATCTGTTCTAGCTTGGACGGCTGATTGGACTAGACAGGACTGTATTCCTTCACATGTGATCGATTGTTTCCCATATGGAGAGAATCTCATGTGGAAAGCGTTCAAGCATGGACAACCCCCATATCCTGAGCCTCAAGGCGATTTGCGTACCGGTATCCTGAATGAAATATTCCGTCCCGAGGTCGCTGAGATTTTTCGCAAAACTATTGCGCAAGACTTCATCAGTGATTGTATTTTTGACTGGGACGCTCTGGATTTCATGTTGAACCATTTGGCAACTGAATCTCCATGGTCTAGTCCAGACGCTCGGCGCTGGCAGGCCTTGACTTCTCAATCTGGTGAACAACATACTAGTTGGATACAACACCGCGCCGACGAGATACAATCGTTTCTAAACGAACTTGCGCGAAAAGCAGACCGAGTACGGGATGGGTTTCGATACCTTCATGAAATTTGCGCTCTAGTTATCTTGGGATCCGATTCTTACTCGTCGTTTGTTGACCTCGTGACGGCTTTGAGATCAGCAGGTGAAAGACTTAAAAGGCTAACAGAGAATTTTGAGGCTAATGTGATGTTCAATGACCCTGACCCCACCGACGAATCGTTAAAAAAGAAGATGCGTATGTCTAATGCGATCACCACTCATTACAGTGGGCGCTATCTGTTCTGGACGCGCCGAGGACTTCTCGGCATGACCAGCCCAGGGGTTGAGTTGAAGGGAGGGGAGACACTCCTAATGCTGGATGGGTTGTCATTTCCAGTCGTGGCGAGAGACTTCAACGAGAAACAAGGTCGCGGGAGGCTTTCGGGCTGCTCAATCATTCAAGGATTTGAATTGAGTGATCGTATTGACATTTCTGCCAGTGTGCCTGACGGCTTTGAGCTGGGAAGTAAGCGTCTCTTCAAATTCATATGATTAAAAATTTGTTATCTACACGTATTCGGAAGGGCTGGAACGAAAACACAGATCAATTCACTTTATATACCACTGGACAAGTCCCTTTTCAAGAGCATCTGCGAGATGTGTATTATGTGCATCCTCTTTGAAACTTACCCGATCTGCTAGGTCCCACTGCAGCCATTCTTCGGCTCTTGCACCGCTGGGCGCATCTAGTAATCCCGCAGCAACGTCGATCAATGTTGGTCTCTCCTCGCCAGTCCATAGTACAGTTGCGCCACACCTGGAACATGACCATCTAATTCTCCTCTGAGGCTTAGTCGAGGACTCGTACGACCGAAGTGTTCCAAAAGGTAAGTTAAAAGGCTTGCCATTTGCCAGCGAGAGCCCGGCGGCGGGGATGAACGCCCATTGTTGTATGTCAAAACCAGTCGTCATCCGGCACGAGCGACAAGCACAGTTGCCAGCCAGATATTTGGTGTGGTCTGTGGACAGCCACCATGGCTTGTTTTCCGGATTCTGGGCAGATTGTCCGGAGTTGTACGGTACCAACAGATCGGGTAGAGGTGACGAAGCTTTGAACGAATCTTCGCTTGGTCTAGAGATGAAGAATTCAACGCCGTTGCAATGGCAATGGACGCGAAGCTTTTCGTCAGCCTGCTCTGAGACTTTGTTTGTGGGCTCAATATGATCTGACGTCCAGTTTAAGGGCACTTCTGGACTCTGGTTCCATTCAATAAGCCATCTGCTTAATGGCGAACCTTTGTATTCCTTCAGCCAAACACTTGCACCGCCATCCTTCGTGTCTTCGATCCAACCGTGTGCTCTGAAATCGAATATATCGTCGGTACTGCCGTCTACTGAGCCATGTGACGCTTCAAAATGACCGTCATCATTGTAGCGGCAGTACAGGTGTGTGCTGCACGTGGAGCAGAAGTAGCGGCTCAGTATATCCGAGGACTTATACTCAGTGAGCCCAGTGAGGTCAGGTGGCGGATTGGAGGCGGGGATGGCGAAGTAGGAAGTGAAGAGACAACCGGATATACGGCGCGAGATGTTACAGTGACAAAGGCGTTGTTTGATTGGTAGGCTGGACACCGGTACTGTGAAGCTATACTTGTGCTTGCCGCAGTGGCAGGCGAGTCTGATTGTTCTGTCTTCAGCCATGGCGCTACAAGCCTCACAGAAACATAAAGTGTGGAACGTGGTAGGATAGAGCCATAATCATGCCCCGACATGGATGGCAGCTCTACCTGTGTTCACTATGGATGTCAAGGCCTCGTACAATCGAGCAAAGGGCGTGAAACGTGACCCCGCATTGGAGCTGTTCCTTAGACGGCGAGCTTTCGTGGTTCTACCACAACACAAGAGGACTGCAATGGCGGCCAGAGCAAGGATGACAAAGGGCTTGGGATAGACGAGTTTTGGGGGGGTGGGAAGTCTAGCCAATTCCACAGTAGCGACTCTGAAATCCAACGGGTCACGTCCCGGAATCCCTTTACGATCGGCGTCTGGAGTCTCAGCTCGCAGTCGCTCCACTACCTATACTAGTATGCGTGGATAGTGCGACGGGGGCCCAGGAAGCAGGACGTACGAAGGCACAGGCTGGCATCGTCATGCGGACTGCAAACCTAGATGCTTTTTTTCCCAGTTAGCGATTCAAGCGCGCGAGCGTCACGGCCGCTACGGTACGAGAATGGGGGACGGCGGAGAAGGATACAGTGGGCAGGGTGTCGCTGTCGGTGGTATGGCTCCAGGATGCCTTCACTTCTGGCCACGGTTGATCCTCGTGCCGGCGCTGTGATTTGCAGACGAAGCGAGTGGAAAAATGGGGACTTGCAGGCTTCAGGCCGGGCTTGCATGACTGCTGCGGGACTGACCGTGAACGGCGGCGAAACACGCGCAGTCACATCTGATGATCAGGTCGCGTACATCGCCCGACTGCGGCCAGGTGCGCGGAGCAGCCGTGGGCGACAAGAAGAGGGCCAAAAGGTCTAGTCAGATGCGAGATTTCTGCCCAAGGACCCATTAGCAAATGGCCTGCTTGGCGCGTGCCTCTAGAGCCTTCGCTGCGTGATTATCGCGCCCACGGCTTCGAGAGGGTCAACCGTGGTACAAGGACGGCTGAAGCAAAAGACGCAAGATCCACGGCGCGCAGGACCAGAAGTGGGAACGTACGTGCCGGGATACTTTGTCCGTCCTTGAGCCCGTGAAGATTCGCTCGTGAGCATAAAAGCCTCCGCTGGCCCTCCACCCTTCTCCCCCTCCTCAGCATCCATACGCTGACCAGCAAGCACATCCTCGAGCACACTCACAAAAGCGACTCTTACACCCACGTTCCACGCCCTCTGCCAAACCAAAATCAACATGTCTGGCTGCGGATCTTCCACCTGCACCTGCTCTTCCTGCGCTTGCGCTCCAGGCTCTTGCAACTGCGTATGTTCCTCGCGGCCACATGGCCATCCCTCAGAGCCGAAAAGGACGTTGTGCTGACGGCCGGTGCAGAAATAGACCACTCCTTAGCGCAGTGTAACGACGTGGCGAACTTCCCACTCCCGAGTCAATCATTATCTGAACATGATACCAAGCCCATGTCAGCCTCGACGAGGGTATACGTCGTGAAGAATAGCTGAGACTATATCTGACCTCATGAGAAAATCCACAAAATCGAACTAGTCATGTTAGAAAAATTAGCAATGAGAAAGATATAGCCACAATCTTGTCGTCCGCGATCCTGGTTTCCCATCCTTTCGTGATTGCTCGTCGCGCCCGGGTGAAGTGAGATGACCCCCCGTGCCCCTTGGTCTACGTGCAGACGTCGGTGGCTGGACAAGGTAAAGGTTACGCAAGAGAAATGAAAATGGACGAGAGACGAGAAATTCAGCATCTTAAATACCCGCTGTCAATAATACCGTGATGGCCTTCTAACGCTTGAGCAACAACATATATAGGAGCTGACTAGTCCAGAACTCATCATGCCTAACCTTTGCCGTCGCCCGAAATTAATGGTACATGGGTATCCGTCTCGCTTTTGCACTTTTACTTCCTTCACACGATCCTCAAACGCCGAGTCAACCCTCCTCACCTACTGTGTCGCTACTCAGTGATGAAGCTTTGGCCGATGTTAACTCATATGTGTAGTCCAGGAGTTCCAGCGAGGCTCCTTTCCTTGTCGAAGAGCCTTTGGAACCCTACGCTTACTCCTCGCCAGACGTCGTGGTCTTCTTCTTCTTCTTCCCACCTGCCTTCTTTGCTGAAGGCTTAGATTTCGCAATCTTTTGGGCTCCATCTTGGTCTTCTTCATCACCGCCAGGCTTTGGTTTGCCCTTGTCTTTGGCCATCGTTTTGCCTTTCTGGGATTTTGTCTTGGCCTCGTCTTTCACCTCATCCTCGGACTTGACCTTTTTCGTTGGAGCCTTCTTCGTAGGTGCTGGAGCAGCGATTGCCTTGTCGGGCTCCTCGTCTTTACTCTTTTTTGCACGCTTTTTCGGAGGTGCATCCTCGTCCTCAGCAGGTTTTTCTTTCTTTAATTTGCCACGTTCTTTCTTTACCGAAATTGCCTCGTCATCGGTATCTTCGGAATCCTTCTTGGCCTTGCGCTTCTTTCCCTTTGTTGGCGAGCCTTCATCGCTCTGTTAATGTCAGCAAGCACCCAAAGTAGAGAGCGCATCCACTTTTGTGCTCACCTCTGACTTTTTGCCAGAATTCTTTTTGGGCGTCTTTACTCGATAGCCCCTTTTCCCTGGACGATTCAGCTCTACGTCCTGCGCACCTGTTAATAATACCGCCGTGCCGAGCATAATCAAGATTGAAGGATAAATATGCTTACACCTCGCCAGTCCGCGTCGTCCACATGACCTTGGTCGATGGCACGCTTTACTCGCTCCTGCTCTTCCGCGGGGAGCTCGTCGTAGCCATCGAACATGGACAAATCACCCTCAATCAAGTTCTTGATGTTTTCAATAACCTGAGGCGTAACACAACCCCTATGGAGCGGTTAGTAAAATCTGAACGTATTCACGTGGTTTTACAAAACACGAGACGGACCAGTGTTTATACTGCCAGCTCTGGTGCTCCTGGATCTCAACAAATGTACCGAAGCGAAGTTCGCCCTTTGAAATTTTGATGTTGTTTTTCTTGCATTCAGTGTTCTTGCAACCAGCGCGGTTGTTAGGCGAAATCTCGATTCTATAAGACGGCATTTTTGCAAGATCCTTAGAACGCGTCACACGCGTCTAATCCATGTCAGCAAGTGCATGAAAGTGCATACGAACGCGTGGAAAATATGGTGAATGCAAGAATCTGGAGAAGCTAGATGAACAAGCTATTGCGATTAATTGAGCCGAGTGATAGCTCCGAAGCATTCCCTTTCCCTATCATCTCGGAGATGGAGGAACACGTAGCATACCTTATTTTTGAGTTTTCGCGCCGGATATTGCAAGATTTCCTCCGTATACGTTTGTTAAATGGGTGGTTGCAGCCTCGAGCCGCGAGGTTTGAGATCAGGTCAGAAAACGTGATGTCAGTGACACCCTTGCAAGGCTTTCCAAATTCGTCGCGAACTTTTTGATTCACCTTCTGTTGACCCATCTAAAACCACCACCTGCTGGATATGAATTCATGCAGCAGAATGTCCTTCTTCTTCAGCGACGGGCATCCAGCATAGTTCGCTTACGCCCTTATTTAAGACTTCTTCAATGCGCAAACTCGAATCGCGTGTGCCAGCAGCGATGGTTCTCGGCCTCTTCACCACGAAGAATAGAGCGAGGCCAGCTCCTCGGTACGCTGGACTTCCCACATCTTAGTGGAGGCAATGACTTCCAGATTGAATTGCCTCGCGGTCCAAAGAAGAACGATGTCGATGCTTGGTTAAAGGCATTGGACTCCTGCCTTCCAGAACATCTACGACAAGACGAAGCAAACACTCAGCTCAATCTAAGTGCCAATGTTAGTATCACACGGAAAAACATCTCTCTTATCCTCATAGAAGCGCGGAGAAAAGCCTCAATAGATGTACTAGAGCATCTTGGCATCGTTCAGCAGCGGTGGGCCGCCGTTGCTTGGATTGTCGATACAGTTGCTCAACATGGTTGCCCTCAAGACTATTGGCCAGAGTACTCATCCCACACTCCGTTACGCAATGCCAAAGGAGATCTTACTCTAGATGAGTTCACGGAAGGGATATTTGCGGCACCCGCGGATACATTGCAACGGACTTTTTTGCCTTTGAACACTTTGACCGTCACCTCCGACCCACGATTCTACGATACGCGGCTCCAACGTGGAGCACTCGGGCAGATATGGCAAACTCTAGGCAACCTTGTTGTAAGAGCTGCCCACGGCACAAGTGACAATGGGAACTTCATGCCACATGTCCTGAGTCTTCTTGCCACACTTCACCACCATGGAATCGTTCCGGATTCTGTCTACAAGTACTTCCCAAACCAAGACATCGGAACTATTCAACAACCTCCTCTCCTCTATATGTTATGCGCACAAATATTCACTGCTCTATCCGATGCGGCTTGGGATGAGAAGAAGGCGATGGACAAAAGGGCAACTCAGAATAGCCGCAGACTGATTGTGCCTTGGAAATTTGGTCTTGAGTCACCTGGAGTAAGGTTTAATGCCTCATCTCGAGACTTGCGCCCAGAGGTCTGGCTTGAGCTGATACTTTGGTCATGCTTGCACGGCGGTTGGATTGAGGAGGGAGCGGCGGTTCTGGAGCAAATATCTGACAACCACAGTGAAGAGAGAGCGCCATGGTCTCTTATATCATGGCAAAAGGTTCTTGAGGGCTCTCAGAATGGACAAGAAATCAGCCCCACTTTCGGTTGGCGAGATGCTATCGATATTCTCGAAGGTGCTAGACCCGAGTTACAGCCTCGACCAAGCTCCGAAGACAAAGCTGCTGTTGTTCGGACTGTCAGCAGTGAACTAGTATCTGCCTATGTAGACGCGACGATCAACAAACTTCATGTTGGCGTTGGGCAACGAGGGTCTAAGATTCGACAGGCTCTTAAGCGTATCAAATTATGGAAAGATATGCTAGGAAAGCAGAACTTGGGGTTAGGTTTTGCTACGTGGGATCTGGTTGTACAGCGACTGGTGGAATCGGGAGGCTTCTGGCTTGAACGCGACCCAGCGCTAGCGTTCGAAGTCTTACAACTTCATGAGCCTTTCGGTCGTGAAGAAGAGCTTGTGGGCACAGTCTTTGCCGATGGTCGCGAGTCTCGGTCATCGCCATACTTTACTTGTTCTTCGGCCTTGCCATTGAGCCTCCTCCATCGACTGCTGTATACTCATGCGCGCTCTGGAAATCCTGAAGCCACGATGTCGGCGATGCAAGCTCTGCAAGATTTCACTGAGAGAAGTCAACGAAGTTCGATTGAAAAATTTTTTCAGAAGTTAAAGATGCACAGCGACGGTGGCGTTCAATCATCTCCAAGCCGCAATCTTCTTTTCGACACGAGTCTCGCAGCAGCGCAGTACTCATCGTTCTACCCACGACTACCTGTCCACGTTCTTTCGGAATTTCTAAACGTTGCAAAAGATATTGAAGACCCGGACTTTTATCGGTGGATCTTCGATTCCAACTCCAGCGCAGTTGGGCCCTTTATATCAGAGTCGATGTATAACGAGGCAGGGCTTGCGCCTGCCCTCGTCCGCTTCGCCGCCGCCACCAACAATCAGGCTGTTCTTGAGGAGGTAATGATGCGTCACAGTAGTCTGAGCAGAGATTCAAATGGCTTGATTCCCACGCCTATTTTGTCGGCTCTTTTGGAGACCTTAATCGAGCGTAGGAAATGGGTCAGCGTTAGGAATGTTTTCAAGAGCATTGTAAACGAGCCTAAAGAGTATGGCGGTTCCTATATCTGGGAGAGACAGCTCTTTGCAGTATTTATTCGCGAGTTGCTGCGCATAGAGCGAGATAGTAAACGTGGAGAGGTGAAGACTCCCAATGAGCTATGGGAGGCATGGAACCTATTCACGGACATGGTGGAGACATGTCTGTCGAGGTCTCGGCTTTACCAAGGTACCACTGAACGCGAGAGACTACTCTGCAACGTTGCGCTCCTGGCCAGCGTTGACAAAACTTGGGCTCAGCTCTGCTACGGTTTGCGTATATTTCCTCAACGGAGCTTCTCGTTGAGAGTTGAGACCGCGATATTCCGCACTGTTCTCCAAGGTGTTCTTGAGACGCGCGGGCTTCGTGCTGCCCGCGCATTTTGGGAAGTATGGTGCGACACCTCGGCGTACGTTCACCGCGCTATCGTCAACAAGGCAGGCGTACTTCAGGTCTCCCGCTGTCGAGTCTCACGCAATCGATCGAGGGATGAGCTGAACCGTATCAACATCTCCGTACCAGTTCCTCAAACCCACATTCAAATCTTTGGTAGAATTGGCCCTGACCTGGCATGCGCGCGAATGATGATTGCGGCGTTACGGGCGGATGACGAACGGGAAATTGAGCTGGACTATGATGTCGTTGAAATGAAGTGCTGGCTGAAATCATATTTTGAAGCCATGAGCCACGTCAAGTTTATGAGCGAGGGGCAACTAGCAGCACTTGCTGACGCGCTGGAGAAATAAAACCCAGTTTGTACTATATGTGTATTAGACTGTCTAATAGAGACATAGACGGCTATACCAAGAATTTCATGGCGTTATGTAAATGTAATAATATTAGGCCATAGTTTTTAGCGGCTTTCAACATTGATCCATTGTGGTTTGTCGTATTCTAGTTACCAGAGACTCTGCAATACATCAAAAGGATTCGGATGGCCGACGAAAGTTTTGAAGACTCCTGGCAGGGAAGCAGTTTTCATAACCCTGGTGAGATTTTCATCCAAGGTGCCCTTGCTCATCAGTACTTGTGGTATATATATATATATATATATGACATTCACGTAGCCTTGGTAAAACGCTGCCCATTTATTTTACACCCGTTCTCTACCGCCAGCTTCTTCCTAGCACCGATCTGTTCATATGTAAACACATCCAAATGTCCAATGAGCTAGTGACTCAAGTCTACATGGTATCCTGCTCACGGCTACTGCTGAAATTGATGCCGGTTCTCATAGGCAGACGTGATTTGCTTTCTTTCTTGAAAATCTGCCGCAATGTAGAGGGGGGATATTCTTCCAGCTCGCAAAAAGCTTGTCCATAAAAAAAAACCAAACAATATGCAGATCAATCGACGCCGGCCGCATGCACATATACACACACAAGAAGAGTAAAATACACGTTTTCCACCCGTTATCCCGTGCACTCTATAAAGATGACGTTCCATGAAGCCACAGGCGAGGCCCGCCGTTTCGCTCTTTCTTTCGGTCTCCGTCTCTTCGATGAGGTGCCCCGATCTCATCACCTGTCCTTGTAGATTTTGGGGTTCCAGCCTTGCTTTGCCTCGGCAGTCTCTTCGGCAACTCGTGCCCTCTCATTCACTTCGCTGGTGATACGTTCCTTTGCCCTGACAATCTTGCTCTGCAGGTAAAAGCTGCCACCCTTCTTCGGATCGTTGGCGTCGAACATGCGCTTGAAACGCTCCGTCACGAGCTCCATGTCCACCTTGCCCTGCTTTGGCGGTGACACGTTCAGAATCTTGCACGCTTCCTCTAGGGTCAAGCCCGAAGCGCTGTGGGTCAGCGGGTTGTGCTTTCCAGAGCGAGCGGCGGCAGCTGCGTATTTTTGTGAGGCGGCAGCCTGCTTGTAGGCTTCGCGAAAGGCGGTGCCCAGAATGCGAGCGCCAGTTATGGCGGCTTGAGTGAAGACGCGGTGGGCCATGACAGTGCAATCAACGGGATTGAAGGAGCGCCCGATGGCGAGGTGGTGAGGAGGTAGTGGGAAGGGAGGTGATGAAGGGTTGCTTGTCTGATTGTCCGCAGTCCTGGATCTGATGGATTCTGCTACTTTCCCATAGTCCGCAGGAAAATGCTGTACGTGGCGAGGGCAAAGAGCACGAGCAGGGTGAAAGGAATGGTTGAATTGGATGACAATGGCGACCGCGCCAGAACTGAAATCGGAAGTGCTCAAAAAAGTTTCGGCCCGTCACGATGCCACCAGCCACATTTGTTCCGGAAAGAATCATGCGCCACACCTTCCGCTGCCGACGGGGCGAGAACGAGAACGACGATGTTCAGCTTCCAACGCGCCGTGACTTTGCCGCGTCCACGGGCTGGAGGTGTCTATACGATTGCGGTCATCGCTTCCTGGTGTCTGACAAGCAAAATCCGCCAGTGCCTGCGTCAGTTGGCGGAGAAGACGGGCCGCACAGTAGCCTGCTGGGCTCCTCTGCGTGTTGCTCCCGCAGGCCACCGCCCAATGTGCCTGTTCCCCGCCATCTTGGTTACTCCATCGGGGCCGCCTTCACATGCTCCAAAACCCGGTTGACCACGCGCCCATCCTGACTTGACTTTTGCACCAAAGTGCTCTTGCGCCCAGGTAATGCTTCAGTCCACCTCTTTGTTCTCATCCCGGTCCTCTCCTCCGTCTTGTCCGTCTCCTCGTCGCCTCCTCCGTCCTGACCTGCCACCCGCCATTTGGTGTTCCTTCACTATACGCTAAATGATGTAATATGAAGTAGACGAAGCTTGTATGGCAGCAATTGGCAAGCGCACTCCACCTCCGTCTTTGTCCTTCTGTAGCTGTCTGTCGTGTCCAGAACGCAAGCGCTAACACTTGTCGAATGGCAGATCTTGACCTTCCGTGGCTGGAATACCAACACATGTCCACCCCAGAAAAGCCTTCCTACAACGATGCTTCGTCCATTCCTACCGGCAGTAGTAGCGGTGTTGCTAGGGACCCGTCTCCAACTGTTGCCGCCTTCTCTCCTCCCTCACTAGGGCGCAGTGATCCTACTTCGCTACGCCAGCGCTCCACGATCCTAGTGCACCAGAAGTCACCTCTCCTAGTTGCGACGCCGCCTCAGGTTACACGTACCTTGGCATATTCGTACCCATTTATTCAACCTCTGAACAAGATAGTCGGCCTTCTGACATGGACCTCTGGGGATCCGTGGGAGAGCTTTCTCCTGCTCGCGGCCTTCTGGGCCGTGACGCTATATGGCGATCCCGTGATGCGATGGGGAGGCCCCGTCGTTGTCGTCATTTTGCTTATATTGGGCATGTATTCGCGTCGTTTCTCCTCGCTGTCGACGACGGCGACTGCAGGAGCAAAAGGCCATCACCGGACAGAATCGGAGGCCATGCGTCATGCAAAGAGCCTCGACGAAATTGTGGACAATCTTAAACTATTCACCAGCAGATGCAACATCTTGCTAGATCCGTTTCTGCGCCTAACAGACCTTCTTTCGACCCAGAGGACTGCCACGAGTGCGACGACGAGACCAGCGTTGATAGCCATGTTTACGCGGATTCTACTAGTGACGCCTATATGGATCTTGTTAACTCTTCCGCCGTTCTACATCATCACTACCAAGCGTCTGGTTCTTTTCGTCGGAACCGTAGCGCTTACATGGCACTGCAGACCGGCCCGCGTTACGCGAACGATCCTGTGGAGAAGTAGGCACATTCGACGCGCAACAAGCATTCTAACTGGCTTGCACATGTCTGATCCACTCGACTCGGAAAAAGGCAGCGCAGGGAAGCGGGGTCTTCCGCCCGGAACGAACAAGACGGCGAATGACATTGCCGCAAGTTTAAGGGCAAAGAGACAACCTAGCTCGCCGGGAATTCGCTTCACGTTCACGCTGTACGAAAATCAGAGACGTTGGCTGCTGCTCGGTTGGACGAGTTCCATGCTAGCGTACGAGCGCGCTCCGTGGACAGACGAGCATCTCAACCCGATGCCACCAAAAGAACTGTTTGAGCTCCCTGACGTTGAAGGAGGACATGCACGATGGAGATGGGTTGAAGGAAGCGAGTGGCATGTCGACATGGGGGGTTCGCACACTAGGAAAGACAGTGATGACGATGACGATGAGGAAGGTTGGATCTACTACGATAGTAAATGGAAAGATGGGCGGCGAGGGAGAGATAGCTGGGGAAGATACACACGTCGGAGGAAATGGTGCAGAGATGCCGAGTTGGTGGAGATTACGCCAAGCACAGAAACCACACCGTCACCGACGCCAGCCCAGGAGCAAAGTGAGACTGAGGATAACTATGCTCGTATGGCAGAATCGACAGCCACTGTCGTACCTTCCTCTGCGAGTACTTCCACCGCAGTGGAAGACGAGACGAACAGTATGAGCGCCAGCGCGAAAAAGCGAGGGAAGGGGTGGTTTCGGCGAAGAGCAAGCAGCAAAGCCGAGAGTAGTAAGAGCGTCGGAGGGGGAACGACAAGCTCTGTGGGAAGCAGTAGCTTGAAGAGTTACCCGGATGAGGAGGACGAATATAGACATGCGACGTACTACAACCAGCAAACTCGGGACGAGGAATGGGTGAGATATGGAGAGGATGTGGGCATGCAATTAGGCTAGGAGAACTAAAAATGATATTCGTGATCATGACGCTGGAATTTCTTTTCTTCTGCTGTACGAAGCGAATCTAAATCTTTGCGACGACAACGGAAGAGCATATCAGTACATCCTTTAGCGTATCGCAAAGGACCTTGCCTGGTCTGGTCTCCAGGCTTCGCCATGCATTATGCCGTGCACATATGAATCGCCGACCAACCTCCAGCCGTTCTCATCTGCACGGATCAAAAGCGGCATTCGGGCCCCTTTGAACAGGCCAACATAGTCGCCTTTACGAACACAATGCACAGCGAGGCCGATGTAGCCCTCCTTTGTCCGTATTATGCGCCGCCCGCCAGCCTGATTACAACGACCCGTGAACGCCAACCCGGCCCCGCGATGCCACTTCTTGCCGTCAATCCCCAGGCCGCGGATGACCATGCGGATGATGTAGAAGAGAGCCCACAGATGTTTGCTCCAATGCAGCCTCAAGGTTTCGACTACGACAAAAGGCTGTCGTAAGGTGGCGTAAAACTCTTCAAACTCGACGCGCACGGTTTCCTGCTCTTCCGGCTCGTATCCGTGCTCCCCAAAGACGAGAGTCTTCCAGTACGCGTCACGGAAATTTTCGCCGGTGGGCTCGTACTTCTCGACTTTGCCGAACCGGACCGTCTTCTCCCAGTTGGCCCACATCATCTGGAACCAGAAGGCCAAGGCTAGCGCCGAAAAGCCGAATATTGTTTCCGATGTGGTAAAACGGCATGTCACGCCGACGGCTTCAACGCGATCCAAGAGATGTCCATTGATCACGAGGACCTCGTCGCCGTCCTGGAAGCTAAAGTCCGGCTCCGCCGGTATGGGCGCAGCCTTGAATTTCTCTGACGGCCAGGCAGTGACGTGGTGCGAGGAATTATTGTCCGTCTCTCTCCAGTCAGGAACCCAGCTACAACGAAGCTGCTCGCCGACGGTCTCGTATCTGTTCACCATGGACAGCATCTCCAGAGATTTCTGGTCTCGCATGATGTAAACCGTCCACTGTCGGTACGTTTCTTCGACAGACTGCTCGTAAGAGAGGGTTGGTGCATTCGCAAGGTCAAGGACAGCACTCGACAAACTCACAATACCGTAAACCTTGTCCCGCGGATCCGTCGCCTTCGCGTGGCGGATGAGATTCAGCAGCTTGTGGAGCAAAGGCAGCCTCCTCGCTGCAATCTGTTCGCGAATGCCTTCGATAAAAAATACCATGCCGATATGAACCGATGCCTCCTCCGAGGCGTACGTTGCCATTCTCAGCTCCCAGATGAGCATGGTGGCTGCTGAAAGTTCTTGCCAAGACGTTTGAAACTCTCCTTGCATGACGATGCTTTGTCGAGACACTGCGACTTCTTGTATGATCCACAATCGTTCGAACCATTGCTGTTCAAGTAGGTGCCAGACGGCGCGAACCTCTTTCTTTTCGAAGAGTGCAGAAAGTCCATACCGTTCCTGGATGGCTGTCGTGTCGGGAATCCGGACGTACGGAGTCCCTGACGCGATCAACTCGGCACGAATCCTGGCGAGTTCAACAATGCATTCGAACGCCATTTTAGTTTGCTTGTCCGATTTACCAAGCCATACGATTGTTCGCACAGCATTGTGGTAGATTAACCTCATGAAAGGAACCTGACTTGCGCGCTCCAGTAAATTGTCTTGGTCGATGCATACTTGATCAATCCAGAGTCGTCGGCGCTCATTGGAATGACGAAGCTGAACGAGGACATCGAGCACGCTTAGCGTAACCGGAAGCAAACTACCGTTGCATATGATCGAGGTGTTCTGCCTAGAATCTCCCCAGCAGTACGAGATCGCCTCGTAGGCAGGAGGGTCGGCTATGCTGTGGGTTTCAAGCAGGCAATGTACAGGCTCGGAGGGCAAGCCAGGTAGAAGCTGCAGAACTCTGAAAAAACGGTGCGCCGCACCTTTTGATGGCTGGTCCAAAGGGCTGTAATGAAAATGTGACGATGTCGTAGCCTCTACAGCTTTGCTGGGCTGTCGAGATCTAGCCCCCGGCCAGCGAACGAGAAGAACCATGGCGGAGGCTCGTTACTACCTTAGACCTGTGCGCCCATTTGTAAGCCTTCCTGAGAAAGTATTGAATGGGTTTGACTGAATGATAACATGTTGAGGATCTCTTTCAGTCGTTCAGAGAAGCGCGACGTTTGATAACTTTACGGCTGAATCTGCACACCTGATACGATCGCGTCCTCATGTTGGTCTGTAATAGGACTAGCGCGTATAAATCCACATGGCCTTTCTATCCTATGGCCCAAGCCTTTATTTGGGTGGTGAAGTGATTTTTCTCGGGAGGCAATTTTGGTGAGACCTGTTTTTTAAGATATGCATCGCTTGCTTGATCCTCAGATTTTTTTTCAAGGTTTCGTAGTCTTTGTGAGTGCTTCTCACGGGAACGAGTAACGACAGCGAAAAGGTAGGAAACATGATGGCGACCAATTTGCTCCAAAGTCCATAGCGTTCAAACTGTGAATCATGAGTTCATCATGTCGATCTGGTCTTAAAGGGTTGACTGACAGTTTGTCAGGTGAAATGGGGTGACGCGGTACTGCTGAATCCTCTATCCGCGGTTAGTGATGATAAGAAATTCTACAAAATATGGCTTCATCCAAGATTCTGGACAAAGATTTAAGTCCATTTCACCGCGGCTTACGTTGCTGGCTTCATTATTAGATGCTAATTACTTACAATCTTCGACCAGAGCTTAGGGAACAGGTCGAAGCTAATCCTGATTTGGACATTTCCATAGCCGAAGCGAAGCGCGGACGTCATTGTTGGATCGGAAAGCTGCTGATCCCAATGGTAACAAGAAACTCACACCACATCTTTGTTGGCCGTGCAATGGCATCGAGAACCACATTACGATTGCTGACGAAGCCATCGTCAGGGTCGCTCTTTCAGCGGAGATGTATTTCAGCGTATGGCTACGAGCAGGCGAAAGCGCTCACATTCAAGAAATATGGTGAGCCTAAAGACGTACTATCATTACATGGACACTCTATATCACCCGCGCATTCGAATCTTGTCACATTGAGGTTTCTCGCATCGCCTATAAACCCAGCAGATATCAACCAGCTGCAAGGCGTCTATCCCTCAAAACCTACGTTCACAACCGCGCTCGGAACAGCGGATCCCATTGCTGTTGGCGGTAACGAGGGTGTTGCCGAAGTGATTGCAACCGGTGACAAAGTGAAAGGGCTAAAGAGGGGTGATTGGGTGATCCAAAAGAGCCCAGGATTCGGAACATGGCGGACACATGCTCAGACCACAGAAGAAGGGCTGTTAAAGATTGAGAACAAGGACGGCATCACCGCCGTGCAAGCGGGGACTGTATCGGTCAACCCATGCACAGCATACTGCATGCTGAAAAACTTCTCAGACATGCAGGCCGGAGACTGGTTCATTCAAAATGGAGCAAACTCGGGCGTCGGCCGAGCAGCCATCCAGCTTGGTAAGCTTTGGGGCTTCAAGAGCATCAACATTGTCCGAGATCGTCCCGAAGGGCTAGATGCTCTGAAGGCAGACCTCGAAGACATCGGCGCGGATGTCGTTATCACCGACACCGAATTACAAGGCGCTGACATCAAAGATAAGCTTGCGGAGTGGACAAACGGTGGTCGTGAGAAAATCAAACTTGGCTTGAACTGTGTAGGTGGAAAGGTGGTGACTGCGATGGCGAAGCTTCTCTCCTCTGAGGCACATCTCGTGACCTACGGCGCTATGAGCAAGCAGCCAGTCACCCTACCCACCGGACTCTTGATTTTTAAGGACATCCACTTTGACGGGTTTTGGGTCAGCAAATGGAGCGAGCGAAACCCGGAGGAGAAGAAAGTGATGGTGCATGACATACTTGACCTTTACAGACAGGGCAAATTCAAGGACACGCCCTACGACGAGGTGAAATGGGAATGGGAAACCAAGGGCGAGACTCTCATTGACGCTGTACAAGGCACTCTTGACGGTTACCGGAAAGGCAAAGGCATTTTCGTGTTTGGAAAGACGTGATGATGCTGACGTTCTTTCCCCAGTGGCTTCTACGCGATTGAGCCGCCCGTTGAAGCACCAGGAGTCATCACATCTTGCCAGAGATATACGAACGCAACAAGCTTAAGTCATGTCTTCGCATGAATACGTAACAAGCCGGTTCGAGAAAAAAAAGGTTGCGTCGCAGGTGGGCCGCTAATATAGAGCGTCAAAGTGCGGTCCTCGATCTATGTACTCTATGTATTGATAAGCTCGTCTGCACAGCCCATGCAATCGAAAATATATCTGTAATGTGGCGGAAAATAGCTGCTTAATCTTTTTGAACAACACAATATGTCATTGCATCTGTCCCCCGGTATCTCGGATATAACCACGTCCGCAAAGGCTTCGAGTGTTACCTAGAGTAGTAAATTGTTATTTGATCGCCGCATTGCCGATGAGCGATTTCGGATGGTGGGTGGTAGTTATCTTTCTTCAGCTCCAGACCTGCACTTCTGCGCGGATTTAAAGACGACCATGCGGGGGCCTGCGTTCTTAAAAGAATAGCCACATGGTGAAGTCTACGAGAAAGGTTCTGGTGGTCGTCTCTAATCACGCTTAGATTTTGGCTCAGAATTGTTGCTTTCGAAAAAATTTCCATCACAATACTTCATCTGGACATGACGTAGTTTGGCTCGCCCCGGCTCGGAAAGGTTTGACTCGGGCTAATTTCGTTTCTCTTTGCTATAAGCCCAGAACGGATCAAATCAATTCGAATATGATGGATACATCTAACATGTCCCTGCCAAATTCATCAGAAGATCCGTTCTCCGACGGAGCGTTCACGAGAGAGACGTCGCTAAATGGCTCCCGAAGGGCGTCTGCCGCTCGCTCTCAGACAGCCGGAAGTAGATCGCGTCGCGGATCAATCAAACGTGTAGTAGCGGGAACAAAAAGTGCGCTTCGACAAAAAAAAGTCCCGACTGCTTCTTTACGTCCGCGTAATTGGAGGCCGAAACATGCGAGGTTCGAAGACAACGGCGATTCTCCTGATCAAAGAAACGGCAACGGCAACGGCAGTAGCAATGAGAAGCAACATCAGGGCAATGAGGATGAATTTCGCGCCGAGTTAGAGGCTTATCTTCCCGCAAAGCTCAGCTTTAAAGAGCGCATGAGGCATTTTACGTGGACGTGGTTCACCATGACGATGGCTACAGGGGGCATTGCAAATGTTCTGTAAGTAAAGCGTATGAAGCAGTTCGACTGCCGATGCTCAAATTGCGCGGTGGTACTGATTGTCATTGTTTAGCTATTCTATTCCCCACGAGCTACGCTTCGACTCACTCTATGCTTTAGGATGCACCTTTTTTTTGCTCAATATTGCACTTTTCATCTTCAATGTCACCATGATCAGCATCCGTTTCTACCTATACCCACATACTTTTAAGCAGTCGTTTTTACATCCCACAGAATCGCTGTTCATCCCAGCAGCAGTAATATCGGTAGGGACAATCCTGATCAACATTACTCAATATGGAGTGGGCTATGCTGGCCCGTGGCTTGAGCGAGCAATCGTGCCTCTATATTGGATCTATTGTGGACTCGCCGTCCTATCTTCGTGGGGAATTTTCCTGACCATCTGGTCTACGCAAACCTTCACGATTGCTAAGATGACTCCAGTGTGGATCTTTCCAGCATACCCGCTGCTCATAGTTGGGCCTCATGCAGGAAATCTTGCCAGGAAGCTGAGCCCCGAGAAAGGCTTGCCCATCATAGTTGGCGGCTTTATACTTCAAGGGATTGGCTTCATGGTCTCGCTCATGGTATATTCTGCATTTTTATACCGACTAATGACGCAGAAGTTGCCCAAAGAAAGCCTACGTCCTGCGATGTTCATCAGTGTTGGGCCTAGTGGATTCACAATTACGGCATTTGTCCAGATGGGCCAAGAGCTACCCCGAGTGGTGAATAAAGATTTTATGGGTGCGGGGTTGGGAGACTTTGCAGCAAAAGTTACTATGGTCCTGGCGAATTGGGCAGGAATGTGGTTGTGGGGTCTAGCTATATGGCTGTTTTTGATCTCAGTCGGAGCCCATTTTTCATGTGCAGCACGAGGGAAGATGGATTTTGCAATGACTTGGTATTCGTTCGTATTTCCAAACACGGCCTTGACGACAGCTACGTTCTCAGTGTCGTACGCTCTCCATGGCAACCTGACGGAGGCTCCTGGATTTTCCCGCGGCGCACGGCCGTTCCAAATTCTCGGCCTCATCATGACAGTTGGCATCATCGTCGTCTGGTTCTTCGTTTTCTTCATGATGATTCGGGCCGTCATATTGAAACAGATATTGTGGCCTCAAAAACAAGAAGACAGAGATGAGGGAGGATGGGGCAAAGACGAGATTCTGCGCAAAGGCGAACTCAGAAGTGTTTTTCCGAGTCGCCAACTCAGTCATATCGGTTCTGGTGCGATGGGAAGTACAATGCCACATCTGCTCGTGACTCCAGCGGGAGAGGGGTTGGGAGAGGGCATCGCGGCGCATCCTTCCCAGCCCCTGGAAGCCTTGGCGGAATCAGACGCAACAGTGGAACGTCAAAGAGATAACATAGAGTCGCCAGATGGGCAACAAATCGATGTACAGGCAGATGAAGAAGGCTTGTATATGACGATGAGTGGAGTAGAAACTGAGGATAAGAAATCAATAGACGAGAAGCAAGAAGCATAATGTAATGCGACAGAATGGTGAAACAAGGGAGCGTGATGCTACACTGTCGCAAAAACAGAACAATTACAATTTAATGAACAGATTAAATTCAATGTGTACTTATAAGTCGTCGCATCATGAGGATCTCGTGTTTGGTGACGAACATACCAAAGTTCCTTCCAAGTCCATTACTGGAATCGCCATCCAAGACAGCCACAAGATCACGCATTTTAGCACCCTGCCACTTACCGCTGGCATTGGTCCAGAATACTCTGCGTATGCCGACCGAATGCATGTACAAGACGCATCGATAGCAGGGCTTGGAAGCGCAGACGGAGGCGAGAATAGGCGGCTCCTCGACAGATTCCGCAGAGCGTTCGTCAGATTCTGGACATGGGTTTAGTAGCTCCTCGTGGAGACTTCCATCCGAGTTCGACGAGCATGAGAAAGCTGGGGGCTGCGAATCTTTCAAGACGGCCGACATCGGGTCCGTCGTGCGCGGTTTTGCTGGAGATCTCAGCCTGATCTCTCGCTCCCTGCTTGCGTTTCCAAGACCGCTGAATCTAGCAACGTAAAGATCAGCCCCGTTCAGCTTTGTATTTCTCACGCGGTCAGCAATCGTGGCTTTTGCCCGCCGCTTTGGCATCGGAACTGGCTCGGACGAGTGAGCAGCAAAGCGGTCCTGAGAATTGGCCAAGCCCGACTATAAATTGATCAGCCTTGCACAGATCTTCGACGAAGTGCTTTAACATGACTGATGACATGATGGTGGTTTTTCCTAACCGGGAACCTTACCTTGGTTTTAGTTCGACGCTCTTGGTCTGAGCCTGAGAACTTGATCGTGTGGTCCATACTCGACTTCCCTTGACCCTCAAGGCTGGAATTGCATCGTCTACGAGTCTTCGGGGCCTCGGGACGAATGTGCATGGTGCTAGCATCTGAGAAATGGCGAAATCGATGTCCTTCCCGAAACTTGTCGCTCCTCGAGCTTCTATCCCGATCTTTCCTTGCCGCCTCCTGCTCCGGATTCTGATCTTCCCCAAGCCAAAGCTCCTCCTCCAGCTTGACAAGGTTGAGATGCAAAGGCTCCAAAACGCCACTCCTGCGCTTGGGACCTGGCGCCCCGTCGCGACACTGTCCGCGCTTGGAGAGCAGCGTCGCAGATTGCCTGGACATGCTGCCGGAGGCGTTCGCGTCGCACTTGTTTGTTGTGCTTAGATGAGCCCAGCACTTTGAAAGATGGCTTAGAGGACCTTATCGTGCTGGAGGCTAGAGCCCCGGAGCGTGAGAGAGCAGAGTGTATTGCCATGATCTCGGAGTGCATTGATAATACAATGTTGCCGTGATAACCATGCCCAGGACTGCTCTCGAAAGATACAAGAGAGTTTCCGTCAGTCGCACCACAAGCATGGTTGATCGCATGCTTGTGCTTGGGCCTGTTCTTCATGCTGTGCTTCAGTTCGGCAATGGTTGGGCCGTCGAATGTGCCCTTCGCAATCTTTCCACTCTGCAGGGCTCCGCCGTCGAAGCCGTGTCGGTAATCATTGAACCCTTGCCCGATGATCTTCCCTCCGCGAACAATGATAGCGCCGTGACGATAGTGGAGGGAAGAATGAGCAGCCTGCTCTAGGCATAGGGCGAGATAAGTGTCCGTCTTCATGATTTTTTTTAAGCGTAAAAATTTAAGCTTTGCAGTGTTTTGACAGGGATATCTGTTGAAAATCCAGAACGAGAAGTCAGCAGTCTAGTCTCTTTTACGTTCACGAGTTGCGAGGTCCAGATTGAGTCACCCTTCCATGCTCGCGGTGGTGGCGACGCACGAAGCGCATAACGAGAGTGTACGACCTAACTGGGTATAGTGTCACTTGCAGAGAACCATAAAGCCAGGAACGGCTTGATCTTCGAGTTTGATGGTATTTGTTGACATTATCTAGTCGTTACAAAATGCATTCATCCAAACCAGTTAGTGTCGAGCCGAAGCGAGCGAAGGTAGTCCGTTCTCTCCTGCACACAAGAATGCTTCATCTAGAGGGGATAATTATTCTGAACGCGATTATGCTCGGGATCGTACAAAAGCCAAAGTTGGCATATGCAAACACTATATGTGGGGGTATTTCCTTCCAAGTCAAGAGGCCAACCAAGAAAATTAAAAGGTCGCGCCTTTTCATGCGACTTTGATCATATTATCTGAACCCAAACCTAGGTGATGTGTTAGTATCAGACATCATTGAACACACGAGGGTGATGATCTAGCTTACCTCCATCTTGCCCATGTCGCTCTTCTCCTTTCTCGCAATTGACTTTGCAGACTCGATAGCCATGTCGAGGTCATCTTGATCAGCCATGGTGATCATGTCCTGATCGTCTTTAATTTTGATCTTGAAGCTCTGGCGTATGCCGAACTTCTTGCGGATCTGATCAACGAAGTCTCTGAATTCGACAGCTGATCCGACAAGGACATAACGGGTGTCGTCGGCGTGAACCTTAACACGTATTTTCTTCATTGTTGGTCCGGAGCGGCGTGTTGAAGCGGATGATCGTGCAGACAATGCGGGCCTCGGTCCGAGCATTTCGAAATCACCCTCATCGTAAGACATGGAGTACTCATCCTCTTCTTCTTCAGAGATATACTCCTGTGCGCGTCGGGAGCCTATAGACTGGCGACCGTACATATCGTAGACGTCATCCGCATATGTGTTAGAGCGCTGCAATCGTGTAGGCGGGTCTTGCGGTCTCCTGTTACCTGGACGCTCCGACTGAGTTCGTTGTAGGCCACCGCTCGGTTGGCGAGATTGCTTTGAACTCTGGAATCCTGCGACGGTAAGATCAAGTGGCTGAGGTCGTGGACCAGCCTTAACGGACTCAGCTCTCGAGAGAGGCTTGTTCGCGCTGCGCACCGAACCAGAACCAGGGCTTGATGGTGGTTTATCACTCTCTGGTGGCGGTGTCGGTGGGAACATGTTGCGGTTAAGTGGCGGTTCTGACTGTTGCCTCGCTCGACTCTTGATGTCTGTTCGCACAAGATTGCTGGCCGCAAAAGATATCTTCTCTTCTGGCCGATCATCTAGAGCCGTTGTGCCCTGCTTCTTGATCTCGGCACCTGTAAAGCCAGTGAAAGTCTGGTTCCTGTCCGTTGCAGCGACTAGTTTTGCCTTGCCCAAGTAGTCCTTGGCTTTCAGGTTCTTGACTTTGGCTTCATTCGGCCTATAGACAATGCCCACGGGAATGGAAAAGACGGTGTAGCCTTGCGCTTGTTCCCGAATGGCCTCGTCGATCACGTCGTGGTCCGGCACGACCTTCTCTTTCGCAGCGTAGACCAAGTCCTGCATGCCTTGTTCCATCTGCTGAAGGTATATGTAGCACAACCCACGATTGAAGAGGACTTCACAGGAAAAGAGCTTGAATTTTAGGCCCAGCTGTTCGTAGTCGATGTTGTTGTTACCACGCAAGTACAGGAGAGTGTCGTTGAAGTTGGCGAGGGCCTCCTCGAAGTCACCCATCAAGAAGTTCGAAACGCCTTGCTGGAAGTACGCGACGGCAAGGTAGTTGTCGAGCTTAATTGCTTTTATGTAGCACTCAACCTGCTCGTGGTCAGCCGCATGTTTCGTGGACACAGTCGCATCATCACACATACCGCCTTTTCATGTTCGCCGAGCGTTGCGTGAATCACGCCGCAGTTGAACAAGATCTTGGACGTGTCCGCAATCTGGTTGAAGGCGTTCAATGCCTGGTCGAATTCGTTGTTGTCGTACGCCGCGAGGGCCGCGACCCACGTCTCGATTTCCTGTTCCCGTGTTCAATAGGTCGCTCGAACGACACACTTGCCACGAAGGTACTGACCTGTTTCAGCGACATTGCGTCGAAGCCTTGCGATTGTGTGCTCCCGGGCTAGCAGCGTCGAGCCTGTCGGCGCCCTCCTGAATCTCTGATCAGGATATGCAAGCTGGGGCACTGCGTAATCGAAGTGCGGACGCCTCCTTTCTGCGTGCGAAGAGCGGGGAGTTCGACGATGGGCCGGACGAATGACAGGACGGTTTGACTCCGCGAGGGGAGGGGGAGGTTGTGCACACCTCGTACGAGAGCAGCAGCAGGCTTCTCAGACGGAATTATACGGTCGTCCACGCTCTTTTACCGGCGCAATTGGGTCGAACAGCTGGTTGTTGGATAGCCGCCAGGGCAGGTTTTGCGCTGACTGTGCGGACGGAGTCCCGAGGCTTGCGGGGCTTGGACGGGCGGCGATCGCTAGTATTTCTGGAGTCTAGACACTTACTGTCGAAAAAAAAAAAGTCTGGTCCGCCCAGGGAGGCTCGGAGCGATCAGAGAGGCACGAAGCGCTGTGCAGCAAAGCAGGCGGGTCTTTAGGCAGAGGGTGTTGGGCAGGGAAATTGGAGGAAGTGAAACACACGAGGGAAACGGACGAAAGAGACGTAATTATCTCGCGCGAAAATGACTTGCCAGGAGCGCTCGTCTCCGTTCCTGGGCAATACCAGCGCTGGGCATGTGGACGACAGTGGTGATATCGACCTGTTGGCAAATCGCCCGTGGTACGGAGCCGGGCGCGTACAGAGCGCACCCCAGTGGATGGCTGCAGGGGGAAGCGCCTCGCGGGTATCACAGGTTGACCGTGGCAATGCGAGTGTCAAAGGCCTTCACGCTGCTGCGCTCCGAGTTTCTTGCTTGGTACTTGATCATTGGGCAAACAAAACGCAGGACGGGCTCGTCGGAAGCCCACTCGTCATCGCCGCGTCTCTAGGCTTCAGCTCTTTGGCCGACCAAGCCCACCGCTACTGCAACGCCATGACTTTTGCACGCTAAAGGCCGTCTTTTTGCTGTCGTGACCGGCGGCAGCAGGAACGCGCACTTCGGCCGGTGTCGAGAGCACCAGGTCGACGGCAAACACCTCGACCGCCCCTCCGCCATGTTCGTGCTTGTCGGCGAGCAGAAGCGAGCACCAGAGACACAAGAAACGCACATGCGCACAACCACGCTCTCGCTCGCTCGCCCGCACACGTTCGGCGCATCAATTTAGATTGTTTCGCACCAGGCCGTCTTGGTCGGAGTCACGACAAGCTTCATAGGCGTTTCAAGACGGTGGGTTCTAGAGAACGCTGCGCAAACAGCAGCCATACGGACGTGAGGCTCAGGTGAACACCTTTCGATCGCCTGGCTTGCATAAAGGAGATCTTCGTTGTTTCCTCGACGCCAGTTTCGTCGCCTCGTCGCTGGCCTGAAGAGCGGAAACCGTACAGGCTCATGGCACTGGACGTGAAACGACGCGTACTCTGCTGGTGCAGGGGGCTCAACATCTGGCAGGTGAATCGGATCGGATCTGACTAGCTGTAAAGGAGCGCTGGCTACCAGTGGGAGGGGGTGGTGTGATCTGTGGACTGGAAAGGCCTCTGAATTCTTCCCCTGCCACGGCCGTCAATAGCAATGCAACCCGAGCAAGCGAAAGTCGACAGCTCTCCGGCTCTCGTCCCGGTGGACGTTCAACCCCCTGCCGCCATTGCCGAGATCTGTGCAAGGCGGGGCCTTGTCGTTGACCAGGTGCAGACAAGACAGCTGAGCGTTGTTTCTGCCAACACCGTGCGAAGTGTCGCAGGACATGGAAAATGCACGGAGCGCACGCATAGGTACTTGTCTCTACCGGCACTGTCTTAACACTGTATGTGTACCCGCATAGATGTCACACACGGGCCGTTCCCGCATGGGCTACTTACACGCACCCTGGGCTTATGAAGGGCGACCGTTGGCACAAGATCTGATACCGTGGCTTTGGACCAGATAAAAGATGGCCTAACCTCCTTCTCGCATGAGCGGAGGCCCCCCTTCCCCAGATAGCAATCTGGTGGCATGATAATGTACATTCCTGCGCCCTAGACGCACAAACTCACTCTCGGATTATCCGTAATCTTTGCGTGACGCGGTCTCAAGACTCTGATGGGGGAGTGAACACGGTAGGAACTACACCACCCATCTCGACCAACGTGCTCTTGTTACGCACCCAAGCTTCAATGCCTCGAGTACCATTCTCCACACCGACGCCACTCTTCTTCCAGCCGCCAACGCTCATTTCTGCAGGACTCTCACCCCAGGAATTGACCCACGTAATTCCCGCCTCTAACCTGGCTATCACTTGATGGCACAGGTTGATATCGCTGCCGAACACACCGGCTGCCAAGCCGAGCTCGGTGTTATTCGCTCGTTTAACGACCTCATCAATCGTCTCATATGTCAGTATGGACATGACGGGACCGAATATCTCCTCCTTGACAATTTTCATGTCATCCGTGCAATCCGTGAAGATGGTTGGTTCCACCCAGTAGCCATTCTGTAAGCTCGCCGGAACATTTCCTGGCTTCGATAATCCGCCATGAATAAGCCTAGCTTTGTCATGCTCGATGCCATGTCTTATGTAGCCCATCACCTTCTTGTAATGCACTTCTGAAACAAGAGGACCGAAATTGGTCTTTAGATCGTATAGGTCTCCTACGCGGATGTACTGCATCTTTCCGAGGAGCGTTTTCTCAAACTCGGATTTCATCTCTTTCGGCACGAACACGCGTGTGCCATTGGTGCACACCTGACCCGTGGAGTAGAAGTTTGCCATCATTGCTCCATCAACGGCCTGATCGATGTTCGCTCCCGGGAGTATTATGCAAGCACTCTTGCCTCCTAGTTCCATGGTTACATACCTCATACCGCCAGCTGCGGAGGCAGCAACTTTGCAACCAGTCGATACTTGCCCGGTGAATGACACCTTCGCTATTGACGGGTGATTGGTCAGCAGCTGGCCAACAGCTCCGTCGCCTTTTACCACGTTGAAAACACCCTCTGGCAGGCCTGCGTCTTGGAAAATCTGTGCCAGAACCGTAGCATGAGCGGAGGTAAATTCAGAAGGCTTGTACACCAACGTATTTCCTGCCGCAAGGCAAGGTGCCGACTTCCACAGTGCAATCTGGATAGGGTAGTTCCAGGCGCCAATAGCAGCACACACACCAAGAGGCTCCTTTTTGGTATAAACCCACGCGGTATCACGCAAACGGACCGTCTCGCCGTTCAGTCCGCCGCCCCCAACTAAATTGGCAAAGTACTCCAATACGTCTGCCCCAGTTACAATATCAACAGTCGACGTCTCTGAGAATGCTTTTCCAGTATCGAGAGTTTCCATCCTAGCAAGTTCGTCATTGTTTTCCCTCAACAATGCTGCGGCCCGCTGTAGAATGCGCGCCCTCTCAATTGCCGGAGTGGAGGACCACGCTGGAAAGGCTTTCCGTGCTGATGATATCGCCGCTTCAACATCCTGGGGAGACGCAGACTGGTGCTTCATGTATACGACACCTGTAGAGGGATCATAGGAATCGAAAAGAGGGCCAGAGCCTGCCTGCGGGCGACCATCGTAGTACAATCCAGATAGTGTTCCTTGCAAGGCAGATCCAGACGACGGCTTCCGAGAGCGAAGATGGTTGAGGACCATCTGCAGTCGCTGCCTTGGATTTTCTTGGGCCATGATGTGCAACCGAGCAGAGTGTTCAATTAGAAAGCTGCTTTATCTCCAGCCTTTTAGACGTTCGCAACACTGATCGTGCTGTGGTCCGATAGTTGAGAGCTCGAACACAGTAGGAGGGCTGCAACATCAACGGACCGCGTGGACTCCGGGCTAAGACAGTCGGACCGGCACCAACTGCCGTTGATCCCAGCTCTGCAAAAAACCCAAGGAGCGTATCTTGAACCGAGCAGAGCAAAGCGGTTAAAAAATTTGGACAAAATTTCCTCCCCGCTTCTGTACTGTGACGTCCCGCAAGGCCAGGGTGGGGGTCTGTGCGGGCGAAGCTCGTACGCTTGACCGTTTATTGCCCGTTATTCCACACGTTCGACGTGAGAAGCCTTTAGGCACCTAGTCGCATATCCCCAACGGGCTGGAAAGAGCCGTGGTTCGCTCATGGGACTGCTGGACGTCGGATAGGCCCTATCAACCGTTAAAGGTGAAGGTTTGCCTTGTGGGCACCTAAAATGAATGGGCCCCCAGGCTCGTCTCAAGGCTCAGGTCGTGTGTCGGAAGCAGTAACCCTTCGAGGCAATCGGCTTCTAGCGGCAGCTGGTGGATCACCGACTCCGTTCTCTAGTGCCTTTTGTGGGCGACTGTGTGGGCCCAGGCCTAGGACAGGGCTCTTACTGAACATGGTGAGCTTTTGATATGCTCGCATGAGACTTCGGAGCCGCGAGTTTTTGGACGTCAAAAGATCAGTGCCAGCAGGAAAGTCAGGCGAACAAAGTCGTGGCCTTGCTTCTTTCTTATATCTCCCTGGTTGTGTGCGCGGCTTCACATTTGTCCACAACCTCCACGCGTTCTGCACCAGTAAAATCAAGCGCTTTGTAAAGAAGATCTTAGCGATGACGACCACAAACCTGTCATCCTCGCAAGTCGATGACTTCGACTTCATCCTCGTGGGCGGCGGTACCGCAGGCTGCGTTGTCGCCTCGCGTCTCTCGCAGTACCTGCCAAACAAGAAGGTCCTGCTCATCGAAGCCGGTCCATCAGACTTCCAGGAGGATCGTGTCCTGCTTCTGAAGGACTGGCTCAGCCTATTGGGCGGCGATCTGGACTATGACTACCCGACCACAGAGCAGCCAATGGGCAATTCTCATATCCGGCACTCACGTGCAAAAGTCTTAGGAGGCTGCTCAAGTCACAATACCCTCATCTCGTTCAGACCATTCGAGTACGACTGCCGGCGGTGGGTGCAACAAGGCTGCACAGGCTGGGGCTTCGATATGTTCACACGCGTCCTGGACAATCTGAGGAACACCATTCAACCAGTTCACTACAGGCACCGGAACCAACTGTGCAGAGATTGGGTCTCAGCCTGCTCTGCTGCTTTGAATATACCCGTTGTTCACGACTTCAACCACGAAATACGCGAAAAGGGCGGTTTGCCGGAGTCTGTTGGGTTTTTCTCTGTAGCATATAACCCAGATGACGGACGCCGTAGCAGCGCTAGCGTTGCGTACATCCATCCTATCCTTGCTGGCAAGGAGGAGCGGCCAAACTTGACTGTGCTCACCAATGCTTGGGTGAGCAAGATCAATGTTGAAGAGGATCGCGTCACTGGCGTGACTCTCACTCTCCAAGACGGTCGATCCCTCACTCTACGAGCCAAAGCCGAGACCATTCTTTGCGCCGGCGCTATCGATACCCCACGTCTGATGCTGCATTCGGGCCTAGGGCCTAAGAAGCAGCTACAAGATTTGTCAATTCCAGTGGTGAAAGACATTCCAGGAGTTGGTGAGAACCTGCTCGATCATCCGGAGACGATCATCATGTGGGAGCTCAACCAGCCCGTACCGCCCAATCAAACAACCATGGACTCAGATGCAGGGCTCTTTCTTCGCAGGGAAAAGACAAACGCAGCGGGCGATGACGGTGACACTGTGGACATTATGATGCACTGTTACCAGATCCCCTTCTGTCTGAACACGCGTAGATTGGGCTACGACGAACCCACGAACGTGTTTTGCATGACGCCGAACATCCCCAGGCCAAGGTCTCGAGGCAGACTGTACCTCACGAGCAAAGACCCTCAAGTTAAGCCTGCGCTTGACTTCAGATACTTCACGGATCCGGAGGGTTACGACGCCGCTACCATTGTGGCAGGCTTCAAAGCGGCCCGTAAAGTTGCCGAGCAAGAGCCCTTCAAATCTTGGATCAAGCGGGAGGTTGCACCAGGCCCTGCGATTCAGTCGGATGAAGCCCTCTCGGAGTACGGACGCCGCGCAGCACACACGGTATACCATCCGGCGGGCACGACGAAGATGGGCGACGTCACGAAGGACCCCCTTGCAGTCGTGGACCCCCAGCTCAAGGTGAGAGGACTGAAAGGGCTTAGGATTGCTGATGCAGGCGTCTTCCCAGAAATGACAACCATCAACCCGATGCTGACGGTCCTTGGTGTGGGTGAAAGGGCGGCGGAATTGGTGGCTGAGGCTTGGGGCTGGAATGGACCGTATCTGGGGACGGAGAACGTGGTGGGACATGGACAGCCGCCAGCCCAAGCAGAGAAACTGCAACAGCAGTTGGGAATGAAAGCGAAGTTGTGAAATATTGGCGTTGGTCTCTGGTGTCGTTCCGGACTGGATTTGAAAATGGCGTACTTGCTCAAAAAATAGTGCTGTTACCGCTATTGGATGGTGACTATCACGAAATGCAATATATACAGGTTCTTCACCTTGGTATACATCCCATCATCATGGAACACAGGTACTTTCCTACACTCGACAACGTCAAGCTCATAGCATGCCTCTGCCCTGCTGCTCCACCCTCTCTTCCCATACTGTCTTCCCACTGCAGCTGCACACAGTCTTGTCATTCTCCCATACACCAGCACTCCTTGCAATTACCCCTACAAGCTCATCCGGATCCTCCTTGTTGAATGTGATCTTTCCCTGTTTCGCTACAACAATACTCCGCCCAATCAGCTCCCAGATGGCAACCGGTTTGTCCAGAAAGACGGAGCCTACTCCGCCCTTGTTTATGGATAGTGTACCGAGCACGCCTCGTCCTTTCCCCTCAGCATCCCATATCGAACCAGTACTCTCCGCACCGTAGCTAATATTCCCGTTGTTCCGAATCGTGGCGTCGTATGTCCCTTCGCTTAGGCCACGAATAGCAACGTCGAAAATGGTCAATTCATCGGCGACCTGTACCATGCGTACAAGGCCCCGCACTTTTTCGCCAACGTCGCTACGCGATGTGTGTGTTTCGAGAATGCACACTGCTGCACTGTCGGGGCGACCACTACCTCGGAGGATGGCATCTCTACCAGTAGACTGAATTGCTGAGACTATGGAGGAGGGTGCGGCTGTGCCGGTGATGTGGACGAGGCCAGAGGACACGTCACCAGTTACGTTGACAATTCCTGGCAGAGCATAAAGAGATTTTGACACGTCTTTCACACATGATTCGCAGGTGAGAGGGACTGCGAAGGTAGTCTAGACAAAGTGTTAGCGGGGCACAGTGGGGGCATCCTATATATGTATTGAACATCGAGAGCAGATGGGCTGACCTGGAAAGGAGGGATCGAGTTGACAGTCATTATGGAGTAAATTGTTGATTGCTCTGAAGCGTTAATCGCATTGTGGTGTGATGACTGTCGCTTGAGCTTTGAAATCAAACCATGACCGAACTCGGCGGTACGTCATTCTCCTAGGTATTGTAAGATCTCCGAACCTAGGACAAACAATGATGGCGACGCAACAGCTCAAAAAACGTCGAACTGCACGAACTTTTATGGTCTCTTCTGATTCTCCCGTTCACGTCATTACGCACCACTATCGTCCGTTCTTTTCCTATTTTAAGGTGATGCTAATCAAGATATACTGTTCTGGTCTCGACTTTATCGCTAGCTTCGCCTTGCCTAAGTCGTTGTGCTCGTCACAAAGTCTGCTAGATCGAGGAGGGGATGGGCCATCAACAGAGTATGTGTTAGTTGATCCAGTGGGTCGCAGCTTTGAAAAGCATGAATATCGTAGGGAAGACCGGCCACTCCAGAAACCGAGAGATGTTGCCTGCAACAGCCTTTAGCCATCAAATACTGGCCATCAAATGCAGGCTGTCAATGCATCTACAAGGGCAAGCATCCATTTTCATGGGACCTTCAGATACCTTCTCATTAAGCATTTATTTGCTCATCGTGAACCCTCCCGTCATGAAATCGCGGCTGTTCTTAACGTCCACCTTCTGCTCCCTATTTGTAAATAGGCCTTTCAAGTTGGTATTTTCCTCGACCTTTCTCTTCTTTCGCTCTTGTTCCTCCAGAACCTTTGCAGTCAGGGATGCGGTCGCAGAGTTCTTGATCCCGTTGCTTGTTGGCGTACTCGTCCCACTCCCGTTGAGCTGATTTTTTGCGGGCACTAAGTCAGGCGCTCTTTCATCATCCCCATTAGGAACGTTGTCAAGATCTTTGGCCTTCCTCTTCTTTCCTTTCTTCAGACTGTGCGTGAGACCTTTCTCTTTTAGTGTTTTCATTCTTAACGACAGCCGCGCGACGTCTTCCTCGTTCATGGGCACAATGGGAATGATATCATTAGGTGCATATGCCTCTCCGCATTGCAAACACTTTTTCTCTGCATCGCCGACTTCCTTGAGTGCCGCACTGGAAAAGGCGTGTCCACAAGGGACTAGGTAAACTGCCTTCGAACCTGGGCCCAAGGGTTTATTTGTGATCGGGCAGATCCAGCGGTTCTTCTTTTCTCCGCTCGCTGTTTTTGTTACTGCGCCCTTTGAGTATGCAGTATCCTCCTCGAACTTGACTTCAACAACGTCTTTCAGTGTCTTGATCGCTCCAGCCGTCGCTTTCTCCGCCTCGTCTTTGTTGATACTCTCGTCGCTCGTGAGTAATTTGAGTACGGATTCCTTATTGTACAAACGTCCATTCGAGTCGGACACTATAGGCGGCTCTAGCGGCTCATTGGTAATTGGGTCAGTAGTCCAGTAGTATTCCTGCTGTTCGGCTTGCGATTCTTTGAGTTCGGTCGTGGTCTTGTTGCGGGCGGCTTCTTTGACGAGCTCGCGTCGGGTGGGGATGCTGCCACCGTCATTACCCATTTTTGCGCTTCAGAGACTAATTCTGGAACCCGCAAAGTAAAAACTAAGATGTAAAAGTTGCAGCAGTGAAGTGAGTTGCGGCACTACTCGATTCCACCAAGACTACAATCTGATTGGCTGCGGACACCTTAGCCCCATGTCCGCTTTCAATTGTGACCTCCTTCGGAAATCGATACTCTGTCTCGACCTGCACGTTTCGAAGAAGTATGATGCACCGGTAACGAGCGATACGACCAGCAGGAAATGTACATCCAAAAGCATGGAAGATGGCGCGACGATCACGCTGAACGGCGATAGCACCTCGAGGGGCCAAAACCCCCAACGAGCGCGGGCATCCTCCGCTTCGCAGCAGCATAAGAGAAGCCCATCCGGCGGGATCCTATCTAGACTTCCATTTCTTCGCTCAAATATTGAAGGGCGGTCACCGACGTCGCCAACGAAGAAGTCAATTGTCAAGGACCGATTCGAGGCTGGTGAAGAGCCATTGTTTCTCTCTCCTTCGCGACAGCCACACAGTCGGGAGATGGAACCGTCGATGGCGGCGGCTTTGCGCCAGCATAAGTCTAGAAAAAGAAAGGGGAGTCTGAGAAAGGCGGCACTGCTGAGCACTGGAAGACTCAAGTTCGAGCGGCGACCGAGCGAGGAATTGGAACGTGGCGAGCCTACGAAGTATTCTATGAAAACGGCTCACGAACCAAAGGAAACCACGTCGCCTTCGGATATAGACTCCTCAGGGACACATTACGACGCGTCAGCATCTTCTTCGGCAGCGACTATTAGCGAGCCTTCCAATTGGTCCCTCCCACCCTCATCGCAAGTCCTCAAGTTAGACACAATAACTCAAGCCAACGGCGGCCTTTCACCGCCCGCCGGCGCCCAAGACCTTAACCTGTTGTCACCCGAGTCAATAACCTCACCAATCTCCCGCTATGCGTCCACGACCTCGGATGAAGACGGTGGAAGCGGCATTCACCTCTCCATCGGTGCGTCCGCGGCGGAGCTTACTCGTCGCCGCTCGACATTGCGGAATCCTATTTTGCCCTCTCCGGCACGGTCGCCTTCGATCCCTCCACCGCATTCTGCTGCCGACACGGAGTACTGGGGCTGGATCATTCTCTTCGTCACTTGGATCGTATTCGTTGTCGGTATGGGCTCTTGTCTGGGCGTCTGGAGCTGGGCTTGGGATGTGGGTGAGACGCCATACGCACCTCCGGAGTTAGAAGATGATCCAACACTCCCGATTGTTGGCTACTATCCTGCGCTTATTGTTTGTACTGGTGTCATGGCCTGGGTGTGGTGTTTGGTTGCATGGATAGGCATGAAGTACTTCCGGCACGCGAGATTTGACGCCGGAGGGGGTAGTGACGAAGGAGATTAAAGTGCATGTCCTCAAAATCATTGCATTTTAGCGGTCCTTTTGCAAGTAATTTTGGTCCGTAGGTCTATGTATTGTCGATGATACCCCATGCATACACGCGTGCTCTGAACACTACTCTCTACTTTGGCTCCGGTGGCTATGATAAAGACCAAGATTGGCGTAATTTTCGCTTTCATTTACCCCAGCCACTGATTGCTTCATTAATAGACTTCCGCCACCTCTGCTGATCCTCACACTGCTGCAGGAATACCTTGTACTTTGCATCTAGCAACTTCTTCTCGCCCTCGTCTTTGGTTGGATGAACGGTCCGACCAGGCTTGCTAAGTCGGTCCATGATGTCCCACAGTGCTTCGCCCTTGCCGCCACCCTCATGGCTCGCTGCTTTTGCGCCAAGCATAGCTGCGCCATGCACAACGGCCGCATGCACGTAACGCGGTACGAGCACCGGTACATTGCATGCAGAAGCAATCAAGGACATAAGGATGTCATTTTGGCACTGAGAGCCTGACATAAAGATGCTCGAGATCTGGTGCCCGGATTCATTCATACGCTCGATGATCTGCCTCGTTTGCAGTGCAATCGATTCAAGCGTGCCATAATAGTACAACGCAAGTCCGTCTATACTCTTGTCGCTGCTGAGGCCGACAACGCTACCCTTCATCTCCGGATCAGCGATCGGCGATCGATTTCCGAAAAGGTCTCCGTAGAAGAAGAAGTGTCGTCCAAGCCACGCCACACTGTTCATCGGCGCGTTCTGCAGCTCCGCCATTTCTCGCAGGTGGCTGTTGAGGTAGTCATAGATATTTGCGTTGAAGGTCTCAGCGATGGTGAGAGCCTCCTGGTGCGCTGGGTGCGTCTCAATGACATGCTTGAGCAGCTCGCCTGTGGCCGACTGTCCACCTTCTGCCATCCACATGTCGGGAATTAGAACATCGCGATAGGGACCCCAGACACCTTTAACGAAAATGGGCTTGTCGCTCATGGCGAGGTGGCAAGTGGACGTGCCGGCTACGGCAGCAAGCCGCGTCTTCGCCTGGGCAAGGTCGTTCTTAGGGACCTCGCTGTCAAGCTCATCAGACGAAAGTTTCACCTTAGCACCAACGGTCCCAATCCACCCGGCATAGGCGTCGATCACGCCGGAACCGATTGCAATACCAGGCGGGAGGCCCATCTCGGCAGCAGCCTTTTCGGAAAGCACTCCAACGGGCTCGCCAGCAGTAAGATAGTGGCCGTTCTAAAGTCGTAGTTAGACTTTCTTGCGTGAACACATGGGACAGGGAGGAGTACTACACCGTTCACCCCTCCGAGGCGTTTGAAGTTGTCCTCGCATAACTCCGGTAAACCGATTTCGTTGAGGAAATCCTCTTGCCAGCCCTTGACGCTGCCATCTACCCCGACGGGTATGTAACCTTGCTTGCACACAACGGAGCAGAAGCTTCGTGTTTCGTTGCCAGTAGCAAGATGCGTCAAAGCGTCCACCAAGTCGTAAAACTTGCACCTGTCAAACTTCTCCTTGGGCATGTTGTTCTTCAGCCAGAGCACTTTTGGAATCTCCATCTCGATGCTCATCTTGCCACCAACGTAGCGAAGCAAGTTGTGGTTCGTGGCATTGATTTTTTTGGTCTCTTCGACAGGTCGGTGGTCCAGCCACAATACCACGTTGCGGTCGTTCCCGTCGCGGTTGTCAAAGTCAGGCCCTGTCACGCACATTGGCTCATCAGTCTCGGCATCGAAGACTGCAAGAGAGCAGGTGGCGTCAAACCCAATGCCCCGAATTGAGGTCGGATCTACATTGTGCTGCACCATGGCCTGCTTAATGGAGGAGCAGATGCATCGCCAGATGTCCGTAGTAGATTGTTCCTACGGAGCGTGTGAGCCTGCTGTCTTCTCGTCCGTTGTACGTATCGCACGTACATACCAGCCCGTCTGGGGCTGCCAAAGTCCAATGTTATGCGACGCAAGACCAACAATGTCCCCTTGAGCGTTCATGATGCAAGCTCTTGCACTGCCGGTGCCGACGTCGACGCCGATGTAATGATCCTGCTGCACATTGAGCTCATTGTGAGGGTCAATGGAGACCTTTCGAACGGGCACCAAATTTGCTCCGGACATGGCAAATCAAGGCTTCAGTCAGGGCAACTGAGAGAGCAAAGAGAAGACGAGCGAGATAGCAGGAAGAGAAGGAAAGAGAGAAGGGGGGTGGGGGGGCAGGATCAGTCAGGGAACGGCAAGGTGCAGGAAGAAATTTGGCTCGTTAGAACGGCCATTGCTCGACGAAGATCGGCCTCTTGGTGTACTCGAGCCCCGCCGGGCGAGCGAAAATGTTGAGCGAACAGCTGTGGAGGATGAACTCATAGCACGGGGGCGACATGTGGGGTCGAGGGGCAGCTCCTGGCGAGTTCCGCGCTCCGTCGTCGCTGTCGTCGCTCTGGCTTTGGAGCAGCGTCCGCTACCGGACCTGCACGCCTCCGGCCCCATCAGCAAACAACGCCTTTTTCTCCCTCTCCGCGGCGTGCTCGTGCGTAGCCTGGATCTCGCACGCAGCAATGGCATATCTTGCCGGAACGCCTTCGGGTCTCGGAACCGCTGCCCACAACGTCAAAGCCCGTAGCTGGCAATCAAGCCGCTGTGCTCAGTCTTTACCCCACGCTTTGGTGGCACAGTGGTACAAATTTACCCTTGGGGCAAGATCTCGGTCCTATCAGCAGCTCATTATCCGTCCAAGGCTCGAACTAGCATGGCGTCTGATGCCGTCGTCTGGCAGACGCTACGGGCTCAGTCAGCTCTCTGCCGATAAGAGATCTGGATGCGCTGTCACGTCTTTTGCGCTTTAAAGAAGCGACCCCGACATGTATTCTCGGCAGCTGTGAACATCGAAACTTACGCAAGACGGGATTTCATACATAAGGTCGTTGGTTCATTCAGTGAGTTGAGCACCGCGGTCGGATGTTGACATTGAACATCGAGAAACCTTCCTGAATTAATATAGTTCCCTAAAACGCCTAAGAAAATTGACCTTGCAGGTAAAGCCGCAGTTGACTGAATACCTGGATTTGACGCTTCCGACGACAGCCTCCACTGAGCCGGAAAACTTCCATAACCAAAAGAGGTCGAGCGACATTTCCCTCGTCCAGGACACGGAGAAGTGATCTGGGCTTAGCCTTCGATCAACATCTACTCATCTACAACGCTTTGAAGATCATATCCACCCAATTCGACTAGGTCTTCCACGGTGGGTTAAGTGCCCAGTTCCTCTTGCCATCTTCCATCAGTCTACTCTGAATCTCTTTAGCCATGTCCAGCTCGTCTTCTTCCCAAACCTCTCGATCCATCTTCCAGCTACTGACTGTAGCCTGGATCTCCCTCAGCAGTACATCGGCGCGATGCATTTTTTCCTCCAGGACTTTACGGTTTGCTCGACGAGTGTCGCGCATGCGCCATATCTCCATATCCAATTCATACCTAGAGCGAACAAGCTCGCGAAGGTGAAGCAAGGCTGTTGGAGATGTGCCCATGCGCTTTAGTTCAAGTTCACGCTCTCGTTGTTTCTCCATTTCTATTTGAAACCGGCGATTCTCTTCGTCTTCTTGTTTCTGCCGTTCTTCCGTAGCTATCTGTTCATCAAGCTCCTCTTTTAGTCTCTCCGCCCGTTGTCTTTCCTTCTTCAACTCCTGATCAAAGCGCCTCTCTTGTTTCAGCATCTTCGACTCCTGGAATCGAAGGGCGCGCTGTAACTCCTCTCTCTCTTGTTCATGACGTTTCCAAAATAACTTGGACTTCTTCTCACCAGAGGACAACAGGTCGCCATTTGGTGGATAATGTGCGCTCTTAGTTTTCGATGACAGGTGAAACATGTCCGCATCGAAGCTATCGTCCTTCGTAGCGTAAGTCATTTAGTTCAATATGCATGGCGATGCGGTATACTATCAATATTCTATCCTCCAAGTCAGGGAGATAGTTCGAATGCTGGCCACCGTCAATACTTGATTTGTAAAGAATTGAATCAATCTTTGAGGTGGGCTTCTTTAACTTCATGCTAAGATCGATCAATTATATGGCATTATCTTTTAAAACGTTGACATAATCGTAGTCTTCAGAATGATTTCGATCCACGGCGAAGGATGCGAATTTTGATCCTGAAGAAGACAAGTCTTAAATGATAAAATTGCTGGAAGCAACATGGAAGGAACTCTATCGAGTCTGGAGCATCAAGATAGTCTCATCTCTCATCCTCAAACTAAACCCCCCACCCCGGTTGCCTTATGCGAGCGAACTTCAACTTGTCCACGTACGAGTTTGATTAGCGTGCATGTTGCCCAAGACCGTTCTTACCATCGGGCATCAGTGCAGTGCTTGACGGGGGATTACACAAGGCTGACGACGCACTAGACCCTATCCAGAAGCTCTTTGCCTGTCTGATGCTATAACAAGTCTCTCTATCGATCTTGTGGGTGGGTGAGAGAGTTGATTCAATGGCGTGCGTATATCACATGCGCATGCCAGTCAAAGATACTGTCGATTATTTCCCGCATTCGGTCCGCGTATCACAAAATGGGAGGCCGCATTTGCCTTGAGAATCCCACGACATAACAAGGCCTGCATGAGCATGATCACATTGTCGACGTTCAGTTCTGCCATTGGTTGACGTGTTGCTTCATCCCGATCATTTTCATGCGAGCTTGATGTGGAAAGTCAGGATATGTAGCCTGAGTTCGTTTTGGGGCACAGGTCGTTGACCGCCTGACATTATCTACATCTCCGAGCCTTCACAGAAACGGATAGTAGGTCTCAGTCACAGAATCTCCACAGTCACGCATTTACATAATATCGTCGGTCTGGACACGGTACAATTCAAAGTCTTACTTTGTTTTGAACAAATGATTAGTCTTAGGTCCTACGACTAGATTATTCCGGTCTTCTACAGGCTTTTCCTGACGCTTTGATAAACAACTCCTTTGATCAAGATTTCTGCCTCAAGAACTCTATTCGCTGTGAACTTTATCCGACACGATGCTCTCACTTTAGAGCACTGGTTTCCTTTCTCGTCCTTGTACTTTTGCACAACATCTGGTGGTAATTTATCCAGTGGGATCATCAATGTAAGCACCTCTTCGAGTTCTGTGGGATGTTAGCAGCTACGTGCGGAATTTTGCGAGTAATATACCTTCTCTGGAATTCTGATACCATTGTGGTACATCTTTATCCTGATCATAAGAATAGATTGGTAGATAGAGCGAAGGTTCATTGTGATCCGTGCTTGTGAATATGAATTCCTTCTCAGCAACGCGTGGCTCTTGGGCAAGCAAAAGGTCACCATGCTTGATCAACCAACTTAGCCGTCCAGCAGCTATTCTTTCCCTCGCCTTGGGGTCTGTAGGCAAATCTTCATACTGATTCTCTATTGTCCTAAAGTTTCCGGTCAAGTTTATACCAAAATTCCACGGGCAACTTTGCGTCTCAAAAGCGCTTTCCGAGCCTTCAATGCCACAGAGGATAGCTCCACGGAGGACTGCTGACCATCTGAAAAGCGTCAAAACCAATACATGCAGAATCTTCTGACTACTTACGACGTTTTCGGGCTCCTTAGCGTGATTCTGCGCAGGCGTAGTGAATCGCGAATCTCTTTTTGTAAGTATTTTGACTCCGCAAATCCACCGACCATAATCACGTTCTTATTTTCGCTGTGAGTGATGTCCTGAAAAGCATAGCCTTTTACCATACCTTTACTCTTCTTCCCTCATTCTCCACTAGATCGACATGGTCCATGATCAACTCAACCGCATCGTCGACACAAGGATCAAAGAAGCTTGCCATTTGCTTTCTGTTTGGTGTTAGAACTGTTTTTCTCCCATTCTATAGCGCATGCCTTGATATGTGTAAACTTCCACTGTGGATAACATCATTGATTGTAAGCCCTGATAAAGGATCTGGCAATTTGATCTCGATTTCTTGGTGTCTGGCGTCTGGGTTCCCAAATCTTCTCTTATATCGATCAAATTCTTTCATTATTTTGCGCATTGATTCGCCCTCGCTTGTATACGGCCTTTTTGTTCTATAAACCGCATTCGGATCCAGAATCTTCCAGTATCGATATTCAATTTGGGATCTGAGCCAATTCTTGAAGTTTGCGTCGATGAAAGACGCGCCACATTTCTTGCCTGATTATAATTTAGAGCATATTAGCACTACAACGATGGGATAAGCTCACAACTTGGCGTTCCAATTTGTCGAAGCTCGAGTGGCTCCGTTCTTACAACCTGATACGCCGTAACATCGCTGAACATCGGCTTTAGTTGGCGTAATTGTTCACACGGCTGTGAATGCACTCACACTGTACCACCACCAGCATCACACAGGACGAACGTGTCTTTAACCTACCCTTTCATTAGTTAATGAGAATCAGAAGCCACAAGACTTACCTTCAAGAAGTCTGAATCCTCTTCCTTTAAATAACGCAAGGTATACAGGGCGGCTGCCTCTGGCTCCTTTATCATCCGTATGCTATCTAATTTTGGAAAGTTTTTCTTGTTAAATCCAGCATTCAACACCGCCTGATAAGTTGAATTTTTCGCCTTATACGACCAATTCTGGAAACAATTAACAATGTTTCTAAACCACAACGACAAAACTTACCGCGGGAACTGAAATCATCATAGTAATTGGGAGATCCCGAGCTACTCCTCCAATTTGGTAAGTAGTATCAAGAGCATTCAAGAACGGATTCAACAATTTTGAGAGGTAAAACGTTGCAACTACCTCTGCTCCATGGACAGGATACGATGGAGAGCCTCTGCAGTTTTCTACATTGCGAAAACTTAAGTTTTTCATAGCCTCTAATGCGTGAAGAAGAGATTCCAGCTCGTCCCTTCTAGAGTTCTGCGCGTCAAGCTCGAGTTTTGTGTTGACCATTACTACAGCGTCTTCACTCAAGTCAGACCCGAATTGCTGAGCACCATTCGCCCTGCTGTAAGAAACGACACTGGGGATTTTGTCGGCATTCGTCATCGTGCCGCCGAAATCCCTCACCAGAACAATCTCGTCAAGCTGAGCAATATGGCTATCTGGGCGAGAGAACGCCATCCCTATACAACACATTTAATTTAGTACTTACATGACCGGAGAGTCTCCCAAACCTGAATATGTGGTCCCAAAATCTATTGCAAACACAAGTCGATTGCCTGTCATAGGTTTGCCGATTGCAGGTGATAAGGAGTCATCATCAGACTCGTCTGAAACCGAAGACGATCTTCGTCGATACGCATCCATGGGTTCCGTCTCAAACGGCCTGCTCTGTCTTTTGTTGCTTGCTGGTTGAGTATCAGAGAGCAAATCGTTTTTCAGATAGTCCGCGCTAGATGATTCTACTGGCCGATCTCTATGTGAAGTTCCCTCAGAAACCCTAGAATTTAGAGGTGTTGGAATTGTTACGTGAACACAAGGTGGTTTAATTTTTTTTCGATAAATGCCGTGCATCTCTAGAAGCGTTTATATCATTAACCATCTTGTGGGCCAATTAAAGAAAAACTCGAAACCAGGCCGACCATCAAAAGTGCTTTAATTCATCTGCGCTCACGACTCAGACGAGTTCCGAAAATGAAAAGGGTACCATAGAAGATCTCTCGGGAAGTTATGGTTTTATGTCCTTCGAAGTAGGAATAGAATCAAAGGTTTGAAGATGTCGAATGTGAAAGCTTTCATCCAGACGTCTTATCAGGCTGAAGCAATCTCAAGGTCGTCAACCTTCGCCGACGGCCACAAGTGCCAACTCCCTGCATCATTGAAATCGACATGGAGCGGGGGTTGAGATGCATGCGCCTTTTTAGGGACACGTAAGTCAGGTATGTCAGCCTGATCAGTTTCATGCACTAGCTTGAGCATGCGAGAGCTTTTATCCTCGTCTCGCGGATCAGGCTGAGGTCTGCGAGTCCGTAAGTGTGATGAATGACTGCAGCCCTTCTTCCAAATCATCGGCCTGAGTTGCTCTCATTTCAACGAAAGTAATTACGCAAAACTCAAGACTGGTCAAAATCAAGAGCTACCGACACAATGGGTCTTCTTGAAATTGTTTTGCGACGCCGAGGGGGGCAAAATGACGAGGCGGGAGTGATGGACGCAAAAATGAAAATTATGAGGGTTTTTTCACAAAAAGAGATTGAAGAGAAAATAGGAAGCTCCGATCCGAATAGTTGTTCTTTGCTGAAATTAGTGGACTTAATTGTGGAGGAATATGAGATAGCAACGATATCCAGGCTCGAGCGACAAACCACCCAGGCAACCGGAATCGAGGATCTATCTTCGCCAGAAGATATTTACAAAACTTTGATGAAATTATTGAATTCTCAAGGTCAGAAGACAAGTGATATGGATCAAATCCTGGAGCTTTTCAAAAGAGCGGAAATGCTTTGGCGTACCTCCCATGAAAAATCAGAGAGCAAATATCAGGATCGTCCTCAGGATCTTCAAGAAAAATTGCGTGAAACTGAGAAGCACGCTAAGAATCTTGATAACCAGCTTCGTGTGGCCGTTCAGAATATTTCCAGATTGGAGTCCCAAAGTAATCACGATAGGATGCAGTATGAGCAAAAACTCAACCAGCTCAATAACGACCATGCGGAGGAGTTGGCCCGCGAGAGACAAGAGAACGAAGGAAAGCTTTCTCAACTTATTAAATCAAATGAAAAAGCCAAGAAGAAATTCGAAAGTGAAGTTATGGCTATGCAAAGAGCCGTCTATGCGCGAGACAACTTCACACCAGTTTCTGACAGAGAATTAGGTGAAAATTTTGAATCATTATCCCATGACATCAAGCATTTGGCCATGAGGACGTGGAAATCTGATCAAAGGATCTGGTCGCATGAGATCGTCAAACGTGTGGCATCACATCCCATACTTATGAGAAGGGAGTTACTGCAGGATTCAATATGGTGGATCCTGTACGAGATGATATTTTGTTCTCCGTTCCGGATTTTCGGCGAGGAAGGGCGGCTCCTGGAGAAGCAATGGAGTGATTCATTCGAGAGAGGTATATTATCCAGTGATATTATTTACAAAACTGACCAGGGCAGGTACCGAGTCAGATGATGGAACATTCTCCTGGCCGTCACCAACTCTTCAAACTGAACGATGGAGATACGAGACTGTGAAGCAATGCCACGCAGCTCTGAAGGAGCCAACTTCAGAGCTCGATCCACGAGCTCGAGTGAAGAAGGGATTCAAGGAAGCAAGGGATTCCGTTATTGCGGCAATCGAAGATGCAATTATGGACGTTGCAAAGATCGATGAACGCGTCACTTCGGATATCGAAAGATTGGTGAAAAAGGCGATTAACATATGGTTGGAATGTGGAATTCAAAGATGCAGGATAGTGATCTCTATGCCCTCAAGTGGACGCAACTCTGAAGAGCAAAAATTAAAGCTTGTTAATGGACCTGGACTTGACCTGGTATTGGCACCACTTGTGACGCGGTACGGGACTGGCGATGGCCTCGATTTGAAGAAAATATCCATTGTATCCGGCTGTACTTCTGAGGTTCAGAGGTATCCAAACAAGTAGTGAATATACAAAATTTATACGCATTTGGCTGTATCATGGAAATTGGCCAGCCCGGGTTCGATTGCAGCCAAACGAAGTGTAATAAGAATTTGCGCCGCCTTCGAAGAGACTTCTCGAACTACAGGATTTCCCTTATTTAAGATATTGACATCCTTGAGCGGGAGCGTTATCTCATCGCAATAAAAAAAGATGTTTACATCTCTATTCAGTAGAGACGTTTGACCGATGGCCATAGACTTTGAAGTCAATTTTGGGAAAGCTTATCGACTGTGGTAAAAGGACACCCTAGTTTCGGATATATGCGCCCATTGTCTTAGCAACAAACACCGAACATGAAATCTTCTCCACTGTCTTACCATTAGAAACCTAATTACAATGATGATTCTTCACTTAATATCTTTGTTTGTGATTAACTTTCCCGCCGTTCTCGCAGCCTCTCCTCCTATCACGATCTACGCATGGCCGCTCTCCGCGCCTTCGCCGAAGCCATTCGCTGAGATAGTACTCCCATCTGCTACTGACGGTACCGCAGAAGTGCGTACCAAGAATATACCGAACGTATCCGACGGTGAAATAGTTAGACTAGGCATACTCGATGATAAGAAGGCATGGAGTGGCATTGCGACGAGCGCAGACTCATTCAGGCCCGGCATAGCTCAAAGGCTGTCGTTGCACACGAATACAGAAGGCCAAGTCGTTCACATTGGCTTTAGCTCATTTAAAGCTGTTCCACAAAACAAAGGAATTCAAGGCGACGATATTTTCGTAGAGATAGTGCCTATTCAGATGGGTGTGCAACCTGTGCTGAATAAGCCAGTCATTTTGAACGCCGAAGGAAAAGTGGATAAACCTGGTCAAGAGGATAACAGGACCTTCTTGCAGAAGTATGAAGCAGGATCAAATCTCCTAACGCGAGCTAAATCTCTGATAGGTACTGGTGGGCTATCCTGCTATTCCTCGTCCTTCAGCTCGCCGCCGGCGGAGGAAAAGAGTAGAACACTCTATGATCATGCACAATCAGATGCTTTGTATCGTAGGGTGCTTTCCAAAATACAGCTCTCAACACAAGATACCCACAATAAAATATCGACGACGTTGTCTCCAATTCTTGCGAAATCTACTGCGACTTCTTTTTCATTTATGCATACGAACAGCATTGATCGGTAGAGTTTTCCTCTCTTCTAGTCATCAAATATTTTCCAACAAGAAGTACACTACGGCCTCCAAGAGACACTAGATGCGATAATTGCAGCTGCGAGACGGCATGTGATGACATAGAACGGATCACTTTTTCTCAAATGGCCATACGGACACCAGTTCATTTTGGTTCTACTATTACACGCCGTTTTGTAAGATGCGCCTCATTTCCTGAAGCCTTTAAGCCGACTTTAAATATGCCTGAAATGGCATAGGATCCAGCAGACAAGACCAAAACGCTCAACCCGAGAAATTGAGCGCCCATGAGGGACAGATGCAGACGTAAACAAGCGCATTTAGGTATCTGATTACAAAACCAAGACACGCTTTTCTCCGCGCTTCTGATCAGATACATAAAGCGCCATTAGTCTTCGTTTGCGCTTCGCGGGATTGGTTGAAATAACGTGCAAGCGACAGTGAGGTCTAGCCCTCGTACGGCCTCTTAACTTCAAAAGGTGCACGTGTCCGCTTACATGAGACCTTTTTTTCGTCTGTTAGCTTTTGAGAGGTCGAGGCTTCTCCTGATAGCATTGACTTCAAGTATACCTCCGTGAAATCATCAGAGATAAGCTCTAACGTCGAGCGCAGTACGAAGCTTGTTTGCGATTGGCTGCAGTCTTGGCTTTATCGCACCCTCGGAGATCGGCCCCAAAGCAAGACTTTCCTGGCTCGAGCTGCATACGAAATGCACTTGAATCGTTTTCGAGCAATCAGACGAACGTACGGAAATACGCATACCCTTGATTTTGCGGGGAAAAGTGTGTGGCGTGAACTGGCGGTATGCTTGAAGAAAGTAGTTCGCGCAAGTGACGTTTCAGTCAAATTGGCCACATGGCGCGCACTTTTCTTTTTGTTGACGTCGAAACTTGGACTTTAAGGCTTCAACGATAAACATTCTTGTACCCGACAGAAGGACTAGAATATAAGAAGACCTTAGCACCCTTGTGCGAACTTCGCCGCATATTCTACAAAGTCAAACGTTAATCTATTGAACAGACTCGAAACTATGTCATTCGTATACTCCGATGACGAGACGTGCTGTCCAAGCTGCACGTCTTTCGAAACAGACCGAACGCTAGTTCACGATGCTCTAGAGCCGAGACCTGCTTCGATCACGGAGTCAGCTCACTTCTGTGGACGTGGTGGAGCAGGAAACTTTCGTCCGTTCTCAAAATTTTGGTTTCAAATTCAAATACTGACACGTACTAGACAAGTCCTCGTCGTCTATAAGTTCGAGGCACTCAGTCACCCGAGCTATCCGGAGGTTATCAACTATCAGTATTTCTGGAGTCTGGAGAAGAAGATCAATTACAATAAGCGCTAGAAATTAGCCTAGAGACTTTTGTCGTCTTGACGAGTGCTGCCACGCCAATGGATCAAGTTTTGAGCCACTGTCATTTATCACTTTGAGGAATTTCATTTTGTTTTGTGAAACCGGAATGTACCACCGCTTGCTCGAAATTAGCGTAGATTCATAGCTTACCCCATAGGATCGTCTCAGACTGACACTGGACTCAAGCGGCCCAAAACTGTGAGGATCAATGTCCGCTGTTGCTATGTTTACTGCGAGGACACAGCTCATCACTATGGCAGTGAGCTAGAGGGATTCACGAGAATTTCTGAACAGAATTTTGTTCATGGCTTGGATATATTTTGCAAATGAAGTGGAGTCATGTCTTAAAGAGTTTTCAATTGAGTCGTCTTGTTACAAACAGAAGATACCGGATGTCGTCACTACTTCTGACCCGAACGCCCACCAAGCTTCAACTTTGAGAAATTCCGTTTTCCTAAGCATCCTGTAGCTATGCTTAACTATATTTTTCTAATACCTCAGAGAATTTGTCAATGTAATGGGAAACCGACGAAACTCTTTTCGTAAATGGCATCTTAACCTCAATTATTTTCACCGGAACTGATTTACCGTCTTTACGCTTTCATTACTATAGAGCCTTCTCTGAAGATGGCTCTCCTCTTCTTTCCACGGTGCAGGATTTGTAACAGCAGCTGCAGAAAACTCGAATTCTTCAACAGAGACGTTAAAGCAACAATGAATAATCTCCTTGTAAATTCGACACAAGCCATGTGAAGTGGCTTCTTAACTCGATTCTCGACATGCGAGTAACAAATTATGGTTTATATCATCGAAGCGAACAGACTGTTTAACCTACATACTGTTCTTGTGCTTTGGCACACAGCAATCACCTGCTGCCTTCGCCAATCCATCTGCGAGACCTTCCGGGCCCTCTCCGATCATACACACGTCACCGCCATCGTCAAGCACTCCCAACTCTTTAGCGTGTTCATCGCAAAACATTGCCATCGCCACGTCTTTCTCGCTCAAACCTTTAGGTTGATGGGTCGTCCAGCGAATGAACACAGTGTTGTACACATTGGCCCACTCAGGATGATGACGGGCTGTCTTACACTCTGCCGCAACGCGGTCCATGAATGACCAGGCCGCTTTGAAGGTCTTAAATTTGAAAGTGCGTTGGATGCCTTCGCCAGAAGGGGTGAGTCGCCAACTAGATTGGGGAGGGAGTAATTCAAGAGATAGGGTATCTGCGATCATCTTTTCGTTTGATCCAGCGGAGAACTTTGGGTGCGGCGCAGATGCCATGGTGCTCCTTAGCGTATCGTAATTCAAAATACGAGATAATGGGAAAGATGATATCGAGGAGCGGCGTAATGATGTGAGGAGAGAAAGTGAAGGAATTTTGATTAACACTCGTGCCATCTTTGAAACCGCGCGCCAGTTGACAACCAGGCTTATAGTATTGCTGCCTTCAGTCTTTTCTTAATGGCGGATAACGAACATGTTTAAGAATAGCAATACGATTTTGATGAAAGCTGATCGCCACCACTTTGAAATCTCGAATTCAAAAAGGCATCCTATCTCAGGTGATGATGCGAGGGATGAATATGCATGAGTACTCGGAGCAAGAGCACCAACCGGAATCAAGACGAACCAATCCAAAACAGGAAACCAGGATTTCTTCGGGCTTTGGCAGACTTCGACATCCAAATTCTGCTTAACATCGCTAAGCAATTCACTTCTCAACTTTGTGCGACCGCTCGCTTTAGGTAATTACAGCTTTGTTTCCAAAGAGGCCGAATAATTATCAATTGTGCCCGCTCAGGGCATCAGGACCACCGCCATGTCTCAAACTTTAGGCAAGGTACGACCACCATCAACTGCCGTAGACGTCCTTGAAACCTGGTTGACTCTCGATGAATAGACGCGTCTGGCATACGCTCGTGCCTGGCATCATGTTCCTATTAGCAGCACACCGCTCCCACTTGGCCGAATAGCTTCGCGGATCGCTCAAACGCTCATGGGCAAGCACAAACCGATCTATGATCCATCGACGGACTGCGGCGATTACGTTGTTGCGACTGATTGCCAGTACATACGAGTAACTGGCAAGAAGGCTCAACAGAAGCTATACTATAGCCACAGCACACGTCCCGGAAGCTTGAAGAGTGTCAGCTTCGAGAGGATGATGAGCAAATGGGGAGGGGGTGAGATCTTGCGAAGAGCCGTAAGAGGAATGCTACCAAAGAATCGTTTAAGGGATGTAAGATTAGCGAGGTTGAAAAGTAAGTATAAAATTACGTGCATGACCGTGTTGAATGATCTTAGACGGCTAATGGAAATAGCATTCGAGGGCCCGGCGCATCCACATAAAGCGAATATTCTCAAGTATCCGGGCCAGAAAATATTTGATATCTCAGCAGAGGAGGCAAGTCGAATAGACTTGCGGCTAGCATCAAGAGCAAATAGGCCGAGTGACGTGCCAGCACGATAATAGCGACAAGAAGTTGGCTGGATTCGAATGGCATATCTGTTTTCAGGAGCACTTCCAAAGCTTTTGTGTTGTTATTACTTTGAATATGTGTGCCATATTGTAAATGACTACCAACAGAAAGCAAAGAAATTCAAAAGAGCATAAGAGGCGCACTCGCTTTTTCAAATCTTACACTTGTTCAATTTCCCTTTCAAAAGGCATCATCCGAGATTCTAATTTGCTGACATGTGTGGTTCATATCGTCATTGCGCTTCTCCCCCGTCTGTTTTAACTCGTAGCTTCTCAAGCACACCTCCCATAAGTCCAAGTCCATCCATACTTCCTCTTCTCCCCCATCCTTCTGGTTGTCTCTTCAGAAAAGCACCCACGGCACCCAGATACCCCTCGTGCCTTAGGAATAGCGCATGTTTCGTGCCTTTGCTCCAAAACTTGATGGCATATGCCAGCGTTGCCATCGTCTGCCAGTGCCCACCGATGAAACTTCCCCCAAAGTAGATCTGAGCGCAGTTATGCTTCTCAGCATGAAGAAAAGCCAGCTGCCCAATGTTGTTGGATATGGCATATAATAAGGAACGTGATATGTCTTGCGGCCGAAAAGGCTGGCGATTGGAGTTGTGGGGATCGGCATCGGATTTTGGGAAGTAGTTGGAAGCTGATGTACCTGGGTAGTCGTCATTAGAATTGGTCATCTGAGGCCCGCATTCAGTTCTGCTGGTAGTGCGCGGTGAGGTGGAAGACATATACTCTCTCGCAGAGTCAATATGATCGCCATTTGCGAGACCACCATAGTCTTCAGATTCTCGTTCTGCCCTTCGTTTTGTGCGATACACCTTTCCAAATGTACTGGCAATAGTCGTGCTCTTCAAGCCGATCTTCCCGTATCCAGTCCCATAGATATCGCCAACTAGCATGTCCACGTTCGTGTTGTCGCCGCACTCTGCCATAGCCAGCATCTCGTCAAAGTTGCGAGCCCCTGTAAGGAGCGACAGCAAGCCCCAGAGTGTTCCTCCCCCAAGAGAAGTACCGCCTACACGCTGAAATTCTCTAGGCCCACTAACTTTGATCATGGATACACCAGAGCCAATATTGACAAGGAGATATGGATATGTACGGGATGATGGTGGCACAAAAGCCATCGGGTTAGAATCGCTGTAACTGAAAACCTCGCGTGGAATTTCGGATATGAAGAAGTCAAGTCCTACAATTTAAAGTCAGTCAACACAAGTCAATACGTACGCGATCTCAGCACAAAGCTCACCAATGATCAAACACTCCATCTCATCTTCCCGCATCACTTCCACACCCAAAGCCTCCTTTATTCTCTCATAGTACTTGTATGCACCACCACCTGTTGCCATAACGCACAGCTCATGATCGCTACCCAGGCCATTCCGCTGCATGTGCTCCTTCTTTAGTCTCTTCATAAAAGCAATACATGTGTCTATCTTGTCCGTCTCAAACTTGAGGAAGTTAAGACGTCCACCTTGTTCGTCTCCTGGTTCGAAGGAGAAGTAAACCAACTTTGCGAGAGAGCCGCCAATCTGTAATCTCACGTGTGAGCAAGTGTGCAGGTCAGGGCTGAGTAGTAGTAACACACATCAACTGCGATATGGCTGACCACAGCTTTATGATTCGGTAGTCGTATGCCCCTTCGCTCCAGCTGATACCCTTCAGTGTCAAAGTCGTCTTCCGGTGTTCCTGGCTCATCGTCATCTTCCACGATGAAGGCTCCTTTGACGTTAATTCTCACGTCGCCAGGCTTCGGCACAGCCGTGTGCTCTGTGTTAGTGAGCTTGCGCTCCAGCGTTGCACCGCCGACATCGTCTGAAGTCGCGCTATCGGCGTCGTTGTCAACATCGGCGCTGTTAGAGGAGTCAGTGGGGCGAGAGTCGGGTGCGTTGTGTTCCTCAACCGTGGCCATGATGTGGCGCGAGCTTCTGCAAAAACGAAAACCCGAAAGAGCAAGAGAGCATGGACGATTGAGAGGAGGCCAAAGGCACAAAAATCATGTTTTGAAAAGCTGGTTGAGTATTTGCGAATACGCTCAGTGATGGTGGCTACAGTGAAGGTTACATCCTGCGCTTGCTAGCAGCGAGCGGCCGTTGATCCCATAGCCGAGAGCAAGCTCGGAAGCGTGAGAAAATCGAATTGCCATTTGTGGCTCTAAGGTGGGGGTTACCCGAGGACATGGAAACTGAATGCCACCCGCTGGCCGATTAAAATCGTCTGCACACACCCAGAACACATTTGACAAGACCGAACCTCATTCCATTGATGTTTTGAATTAACATAATAGCATCCAGGCCACATTGCTTTCGAAAAGGATGGCAGCGTAGCAAAGAACATCTCGGATCACGACGAGAATTTTCAGAGCAAAAGGCATCTTGCCGATAACATGGTCAAAAAATATACTCAACACTTCCAAAGGCACAACGCTTTCGTGGTCTGAATCAGTTTATCCTGGAAACGTGATGTTGTCAAGCAGTGCCTGTGAAATACCAGTATTCTGCAGCTGCTCCTTAGTGACACCGGCATCTGCGAGGTCTTGGACGTTCGCACCAGCTTCGCACAGCTGCTTCAGGCCGACACCAGCTGCCAACAGGCGTTCGATATCAACGTTACCGAGTAACAGTCGAGCCACGGCCTTTTTATCCAATGGAACAAGCTCCCAATTGCGGGGGAGAGGGTTTAAACCGTTTCTGACATTGCGTTAACACTTTGCTCTTTAAAGGCTGACATTGCAGTGACGTACAGAAGAAACTGTATCTTCATGTTCCTAGCCTTGTCTTTGAGAGCTACTTGATCACGTCCATCAAACAGATTATCACCTTCTTGATCAAGGCTCTTGAGGTAGGCCCAGCTGATCCCATGTTCGGCAATGAGCTCTTCAAGCCTCATTTCTGATGCCGCATTCCATCTGGTTCGTCCTAACTGGGTTCGCGGCCGTGATTGCATAGCGTGACGTGTTTGCGACGTCATAATGGCCTTTTGCTCTTCATATTCACGAACGCGTTCGTCTCTCACATCAGAGTCTGTTTGATTGTTAGTCTCTCCAAATATTGGCAATCATTCGTAAGACCAACCAGGAACTGTGATGCGAACGCGCTTGGGACTTTGACTAAGACGTGGTGCAGCTCGACGGCGTTGTGACATGTCAATTTCTCGCGTATCAAACTGTAAGCCTTCGTCTTCCGAAACATCGTCATCGGACGAGGCATGCCTACGTTTCCAAGTCGGCTGACTTGATATTGCCTTGCTTTGATTGGGACGCTGGTCCAAAGCTGGCTGTGTCCCGTCTTCAAATTGTGAAATGCGCTCTGCATCATCCTGCTCGTCAACAAATTGTCGTCTACGTGCAGGATTGGCGCTAGAAGTAGGCGTTTGCCGAATGTTTTCTTTGCGCTGTTTCTGACTCTCGGTGAACTTGTTCAACACATCGGCTAGCTCTGCATCAACTGCTGGCGCTTTTTCGCTACTTTCCTCATCGATATACGCCTCAACATCTTGCGCGTGGCCATGAGCGTTAGGCTCACCAATTTCGGCTTGAAGCTTCGATGGTGAGCTCAAAGACTGTGATGACCGAGGTGCCTCGCTTCCAAGCTTGTTAGCATGTGCACAAAGACTATTTAAGTTTTTTTTGGATCTAGGAACTTGCCTCGTACTGATCTTGGCCTTTTGTTTCACTGGGCTGCGCCTGGACGGCACTGAAGCATTGGCATCGAATGTGTTGTCTTTGGACAGCTCAGTTCGAATATCGTCCATGAGCTTTTCGATCCCACCAGCGCCGTCAATTGATGAAGTAATTTCTTCCATACGCAGCTTCGCCCATCTAAGCACGGCGGCTCTGAACTCGGTCCAAGGGAAGTTCCTCGTGAGAATTTGCAAGCCTTCATCAGAGCCATCGGCAATTTCATGAGCATCTTCCTCCAGTGCGTTGAGTAATCGCTTGATCCGCCGACGGATCTTTTTCTCGAACTCGGGTAATAATCCCAATTCTCCACTACCCAATCCGTTCACATCCCATGCACGTAAGTTATCATGACTTCCAGGGACTGCGTAGAACATCTCTTGGATAAACTCGGTCGCATTAAAACCATCCGCCTCAAACTTGAGCTGAATTTCCATCACTGTGACCTGTAAACGAATCGCAAGAGCTACCTCAAAAGTTTCTGTTTGCAAATAGCTATTACCAACAACGTGAGGGCTATCTTCTGACATGTTGAGGTCTTTGATAAAAGGGAAAGGGAACTGGGCGTCTAACTGGCGAAGGTTCTCGGCCAGAACCTCTGTCTCTATCGGTGTGCCTGCCAATTCTTTGGAAATGACGGCGAGATTGAGCAATTGAATCAACTCTGTAAGTCGCCAGCATTCAGATGTCATATGAGGCAACGATTGTTTGAACAATCTTTCCATGACGTGGTCCGGGCTGAACAAGCTAAGCCTATGACCGAATGCCTCACCAAGTTGTTCCACGGCGTCCTGAAGAGCTTCAACATCTTTCCGGAAACTAATCGCCGTTGATGAATCCGCTCGATCAATGCCTTTTAATATCTGGAGAAGGATAGGTTTGTGCTGATCAAAACGTTTGATCAGATCGATAGCTGCGCGATAGACAGCTGGGCTGTGCGCCAACAGCAAATGGGGGTTCAAATTTTCATCTTCGTCCTCCGACAGCTGATCCTGAGCAGTTGTGCCTGACATGGAATGTAGGGAACGTTCGCCGACAACGTCATCATCTTCATCTCCTGCTGTCGCACCGAGGTCTGCTACCTCATCAGGCGGAGGAATATCTAGATCCTCGTCTTCATTATCAGATTCCTCCTCCACTGTTGTAAGGTCTATTGTCGTGTTAGAATTTTGATAACAATTTTCTAGGAAACAAGACTTCTGAAGGATGAAGCTACACTTCGGCTCACGTGCCTTCGCTCCACCTTCGCGGATTGCGTTGCGTGATGTATACTTGGAGGTCACATACCAATTTGAGAAATCGATTGTGGCGCATCTTCGCGTTGTAGAATTTTTGACGAGCGACTTTCAGAGCTTTCATTACTTTCAACGCTTTTTGCGCGTGCTGAACGTCGTGTTGTTACGCGTTGTGTTCCCGGTGGGGGATTTGTTTGGTCCCCAGCTTCGACGCGCGATCTTGTCGGATAGCCAGCGGGCGCAGTCGACAGCGGCTCAGTCGCTTGCGCAGAGGGAGTCGTCTTTCGACTACGCGCCATTGTTAGATAAGGCCGAAACTGAAAAAATAAAGAAGGCCGCTTCAGTGTTCTGGATTGTGATCAATGATGACGATACCCTAGAAACCCTAGTTGCCTTGTTGCCTCAGACCCCTACTCTCGGTGGCTAAGCAGCTAGGTGTTCACGGGAATGAAGACTAGAACTAAATCGTAAAGTTAATTGGGAGATCGGAGAAATCAGCTCACGGCGCAGAGCCCACATCGTCCTGTTTTCTCATCGTAAACAAAATATGCCATCCTTCCTCCTTCTCCTTCTTCTTCCTCTGTGGAATTTGCAGCAGGGAAGCATAGTTATCTGCCTCAGAACTTCTCGCATGCTCATTGATCTGCTAGAATAGTACTCAGCCTTAAGCGGCCAGTCATTTTCTCAATGCATATTTGCAATTTCTCTCCCTGAGGTCAATGGACTTGTATTGATCAACTAGTAACAAGCCTACACCCGCTGCATATCTCACGTGCTCTATTCCACTTCGCAGAAATTACAATCTATGCAGTTCCGCCCTATTGAACGCGTGTTCCAAATCGTCTGGCTCGGGAAGGAAGCTCGATGGATATCCTCCACAATCATCATATGATTGCTGATATATAGCGTTGCTATCGAATGTATACAATCTCTTTCGCGGCTCGTACCTCTGATCAAACACTGTATGGTTTTGGAGAGCCGCGCCCGACATGATTTCTTTGGTAGGCGAGTAAAAGAAGGGCATTTTCTTCGACGGTTTCTTTTTTACCAGCTTGACCCTCTTTCTCCTACCAGATCTCTGATCGCAAAAAAGGCATAGGAATCCCGCAACTAAGCTGAGTATAAACAGTCCCGTGATTACGACTCCGACGATTGCGCTTGTCGAAAGTATGCCGTGCGATGTTGATGCAATAGCGTTCGAGGGCACAGGAGTGCTGTGGTGCGATATGTTCAAGGTGCTGTTGTTTGAGGAAATCACGACAGCACTTTGAGTGGGCAAGATAGAGCTCATCCGTGTGATTGTAGCTATGGCAGCGGTGCCATTTCCTGCGACATGGCTGATGTTTTGTTCATCATCCTGTCGCAGAGCTCTGGCAAAATTTAGCACGGCTGATGAGGTCATGACTGCAGCCGATCCAAATTCTATCAATGTTCTTCACGAGAGATTTTGAATTAATAAGTGAGCTGCGGATTCGAGGAGAGCGGGGAATTGAACAATTAAAATTAAAACTTTGCGATGGTGCGCTCAGAGAGGTACAGAAACTCTAAGTCTTCTATTCCTTCCGCTGTGCAACGTTGCGCAAACCAATGCGCCCTTCTGAAGACCACGGCCAAAATATAGAACACTTGACCTCAATACACAGTCAGACTTCTTCGTTTTTGCAATGACAGGGAGATTTGAACAAGTTACTCAGAGATTGCTCCATGTTGTAGTGTACAGTTTGGCTTTATTCTCAGCGTCATGGGTACCTCAAAAATCGGACATCGGGGAACTTCGTAGACAATTTGGATATCGAAGTTCTGCGAATGACTGACTCAGCTCAACTGATATTACTTGTATAGCCGCACTTTCTTATCTAAGGTCTTTTTCATTGTTTGCGATCAAGTAGCTGATGGCCGAAAGGATATACGGTATTTCTGGTGTCACAAATGTTGTAACCACTGTTCGGCCCCACTTTTGCCGCACCGGACCATACAAACGCGTATCCACCGTCGACCTCGGGAGCTTTCCTTGTCCACTTCTCCTACTGCCACAGTCCTTGTTCAATGAAACTTAAAGGTTTTCTCTCCATCAATAGGGAATTGTGGTGGAAAAGACGAGCGGACCTGAAAAGGACAGCGAAGACAAGCAATTCGTCCAGATGATCGAACGAAAAATACAGGCTGTGGAACAGATATACAAGCATCCTGGTCAGCAATGGTTGACCTGAAACCTTATAATTGGATTATTTGGATTTGATATCAAATGCATGAACTACCAGGTGACCTGATGTACCCGGTCTCAGGACATTAGACTTTTTGCGGTTCAAAAAGTTTAGTACATTGCATCTTCTTGGCCTCAATCCTCTTAACGAGAAAGTCATATCTCTGTGCAGACATGAGGGACAAAAAACGCACGCTTCTTAACCTATCGACGGGCTTCTCGCAGGGTGATGCTTCCCCTAGGGGACTGAAAAGACTAATGTCCTTCACGCGTCAGCATTAACGTCCTTTCTTCTCAGACATCCTTCTCGTCTCTCGTCAACTTCGAAAGAGATGCGTGTCCACGAGAAGAACTTCAGAGAGGCACCATGACCTACTGGTGAAAATTGATAATGTGAGGCTGGAAGGCAGTGCTTCTGCTGGACTCAGGAAGATCGCTTGGCCGAAACGGTGGAACGTACGGCGAGACCGGTTAACACGGCCCTGTTGCTCGGTCCAGATTCAAAATTGATCAGAAACTTGGCGTCAAGGTCGTGCAGGCGATCTCATGTTCTTCTTGACATCGGTCTTCTGAAGCTTTACCTTTCTGATCAACGGCCACGACAACCCTCCCACAATCTAAGTGGATTGCATGGACTTTACACGCTTTCTTGTTTGGCATAACTTTAATCCGCATCCCGGAACCAAGCTTAACATAATCCAGACCACACCTTGAGCATCGATCTCGTAAATAACCTTTTAACAGATCACGCCGGAGCATGGGCCTAGGAGACAAATGCGTCTCAGAGCCACACCCTTACGATGGATCGACATTCAAGTCCATGTTGTCAACCATGTCGCTTGCACTCTATTTCTCGGGGCTTGGCGGGCTTGGAAATTGTGGAGTACTTTGGCAGGGTACGTGGAATGCTCACGCGCCGCAGTTCGAAGCCTGAAGTTCCTTGCTTGCACACACTAGCCCCTTTCTCTGCGTCTTGTCCGGTGCCCTGAGTTTGAGAATTCCTCAAGGAGACCGAATGTTCCGTGACTCTCCGCGCTCACGCTGTTCAACTGCTGTCACGAAACCCCGACTACGAACGCCCTTAGTTATTGTCTACGACCCTGAAGAATTCTAAGATCTCCTTCGCAGATATTATCATACGAAAGGAAATTTCAAATTCGTTTGAGCCACTCTGCATATCGTCGACAGCACGCTTGCGACATACCGTAGCTTAAACACACAAATAACCACATTTTTCAATCGGTTACAAGCACGTGCTTGATAGTAGAGATGGTCCAGCCATTTCGAATACGCTAGGTTGTCCGTTCTATATCAGTTGCCGATATGAGAGGTGGCGCAAGTGCTCATCAAATCGGTCTATGTATATCAAAGTGTGGTCAATGCTCAACGATAGAATCGGCTGAACCCACATTCATCGTTGGACAATCAAGATTCTACTTAGCAGAGAAAGGAACTGTGAATTCGAAATCCGCACTGTGACCACAAAAGTTACTTTGATTAGAGCTTCTTGGAGGTTCTGTAAGATCTTCAAGGGCGTATGAATATACATAAAGTGAAGTGCAGAGTCGCTTATGCTGAGATCGGACGGATAAGAGCTGTCAAAGTTCCAGATGCTGACGCCATGCCAGATGCGCACAAATCCCCGAGGTACGCACTGGCCTCATGTCAAACTACCTAGTCTTCTCGGGTAACACGCAAACCCTGGTAACTGCATGCCCCTGCGTCAAGACAGCACAGCCAGGTCTACGAAGTAGCAGGGGATTCTTGAGTCAGATCATGCACATGAATTTGAACAGTACATCTTGTGTCGGCCTGAATAATGCACCCTGGAGCATTTGTTCAAACAGAAAAAAAAGTCGGCAAGATCGCTAGAATGTCAACGGAACAATATGCGGAAACGAGCGAGCAACCCATGCATTGAAATCAGCCTCCCCGCAGATTGGACAAACACAGAACGCAGGTTAGCACTACCTCTACATACTTCATTCACGTAAGGACCCCGATAAGATTTACTTGGGTAAGATCGTCTCACGTTTCTTTCTCAAAGATCGTCTACAAAATTCTTCTGGATTGCTGCCCACACCTAAATATTGTTCAGTATTTGTGGCTGGAGATTGTTCGACTGCATATTGTGTGTACTTTTCATTATGGCAGCACTTACGCCCGCTGTTATAGCGACATGGTACCAAAAAGCCTTCAAAATTAGCAAATGAGCCATCCTGATTGATCCAGGCCAACTCCGAATTATGATGATCCAGCCCATACTTTGAAACCAGCTATCTGGGGTATTGAGCTGTCGCTGGGCATATTGATGACAATATTCATAGCAGGACGGTTTTACTCGCGGACTGTCTTGGTAAAAGGTGCTCTTGGTGCAGACGATTGGTTCATACTATTTGCCTATGTATGTCTGCCTGTCTTTACTGGCATATTCACAAAACTAATGACTGTGAAGATACTTGCGATATCACAAGTAGGGTGTCATGTATGGGAAGTGAACGTTGGAATTGGACGACACCTCTACGACGTCAAATTCGAGTGGATCTCCAGTATTGGTAAAATCACCCTTGTGACTCAAGTGCTATTTGCTCCGACAACTTGTGCAACGAAGATATCAATCTGTTTGACATATCTTCGAATATTTCCGTCCAAGACGAACAAGTGGTTCAACTACGGGGCTATCGTACTTTCAGCATGCTGGGCCATTGCTTGTCCTTTGGTGATGATTTTTGAGTGCTGGTGAGCATGCATCTGGCGCACATTATTTGATCGGTTGTGGATGCTAAATACGACGGGCAGGCCGATATCCGATCAATGGAACGTGTTCAAAGTGCACAAAAACTGCATTAACATCCAGGCCTTTTTTATAGCAGCGGCTTCAATCAACGCAGCAACTGACTGTCTTGTATATCTGTGGCCTATCCATTATCTGATAAACGTCAACATGCCTCTCCGCCAGCGGGTCGGTTTGATCATTTGCTTCAGCGTTGGTGTTGTGTAAGTATTGATGGACATCGCCGTCCAAGGCATATGCGGTGAAAGCTAATCATTTTCAGTGTCTGCGTAGCCAGTCTCGTCAGGGTGTTCTATATGACAGAGTTCTTCAAGTCCTGGGATCAAACATGTAGGTGTCCGGCTTCTCGAAGAGTTCCTCTGACTAAATCTGACGTATTCAAAGGGTATGGCGGCATCGTCTTTATGTGTTTGGCATTTGAGACATACTTGGGTATCATTTGCGGCTGTTTACCTGGTGTGAGGCCTATTGTTTCTAAATTGTTCCCGAGAATCTTCAAAAGCACTATTCACCGTAGCGGTGGAAACAGTGGCAACCAAAGCTGGGGTAAACATCTTAAGCCGAATCAGTTTTCTTCAACGGCAAGCTCGAATGGCTACCGAGACATCGAATCCATTCAAATAACAAAGGATGTTGAGCTCTCTGTGACAACGAAAGCTGCAGAAGGCAAAGTCCAGCGCAGCGGCAGTGACAGCCAGCGGCCGTTGAAGACAGCGGGCAACGAAGAGTGGACGCATCATGATTGGAGTTAGAAGCGTAACTTAGTCGAAGTAATGTTCGAGGCAGTTCTTTGCATGTAGAAATTAGACGAGCAAATGATCTCTTCGCAAGAATTTGAAGAGGCCTTGCAAGTCGAAAGCCACGGCTCACCGACTTTATCAGCTGACCTCGACTGTGTACCGATGCCACGGCGTTTAACTCATCGCTTAACCAAGTCAACAGGCATCAGGCCCGAATTCGCCAATTCCAAGCTCAGCAAATACGTTGTCTGCCGGTCCGGGGAGACGGGCCATGATACCGTTGAATGACCCTCCTGTGGTCTGTGCATTTCTTTGTTCCTTCAAGGCATCGGCCTGACTCGCTGCCGCTCTCGTCCCCGTTCTCCCCTTTCTCCACGCGCCGCACCGCTGCTGCGACATGTCAACGACGCATAGTAATATAGAGCCTCGACGCGGCAATGCGCATTGAACCTGGTAAGAATCTCCGTGATGTGCGCCTCTGGGCAATCTATTTATGCTACAACGGTGAAACTAGCAGCTGTCACCCACGTGGAAATTTGAGATGGAGGGATCAAAGCCGGGTGTAAAACGCTCATTTAATACTTGTAGAAGATGCAAAATATCGACGCCTCTGTCAATTAGCTTTTCGATCTACAAGACTTTCACTCGTTCGCTTTCCTTGTCCTTGCTCATCTTTGTCACTCCTTTCAACCAGTAGCAACGTCTACTAGCCGCTCATTTGTTTAAATTATCGTTCAACATGCATCTCAAACAAGGGCTGAAGAGCCTGACATTGTCTTTGCTGCTCTCTTTCACATCCGCAGATTTTATCATCCCTCTTCAGAATCTCGGTCTCCCGGGCTTACCGGCGTCGTATGACTACATTGTCGTTGGAGCTGGCACATCTGGCCTCGCCCTTGCCGCGCGCCTTGTGCAAAATGGTAATTCTGTAGCCATTGTTGAAGCTGGTGGTACCTATCAGATAGAAGCCGGTCTCACCGCCATCATTCCAGGATTTGCAGCGGCAGCACAAGTTGGCACTGATCCCTCGGATGACTCTACACTAATCGACTGGAATTTCGTCAGCACGCCACAAAGTGGTGCGAATGACAGAGTGATTAGATATGCACGAGGAAAGTGTATTGGTGGAACGTCAGCCAGGAACTTCATGCTCTACCATCGGTCAGTCACGAGTCTTCTTGAACCATTTTCTAAAAGCTAATTTCAGCAGTGCAACGCAAGGTGTATTTAATCTCTGGGCATCTCTTACCAATGACGCATCCTGGTCGTGGAGTTCAGTATTTCCATACTACAAGAAAAGTCCAACCATTACTCCTCCAAATACATCTGTGCGCCAAGCTAACGCGTCTGTTGTTTACAATCCTTCCGCTTTTGACAATTCTCAGAATGGGCCTCTCCAAGTCTCCTGGCCTAACTTTGGATCTCCCCTTGGAACCTGGATTGAAGGCGCACTCACTGCTCTTGGTATGGCACCAAACGCAGACTTTCAGAGCGGCAGTCTCAATGGAAGTGCATGGATTCCCTTGACCGAAGAGTCTGCTTCCGAAACAAGAGAGTCCTCCGCAACGAGTTTTTTGAGCGCCGTCCTCGGTTCTAGCAAATTGAAGGTCTATGCTCATACTATGGCTCAAAAGATTACATTCTCTGGAACCACAGCAAATGGAGTGAATGTACAAACTCTTGGCCTCAATTACAAATTGACGGCAAAAAAGGAAGTCATTATTGCCGCTGGAGCCTTCCAGTCGCCTCAACTACTTATGGTTTCTGGAATTGGACCACAAGCTACATTGGCGAGTAATGGCATTTCAGTGGTGAAAAATCTTCCTGGTGTGGGACAGAACCTTCAAGACCATGTCCTCTTCGGCGTTACCTATCCCGTCAATGTCATCACTGCTACTCGCCTCGTAACAGATGATATCTACGCAGCCCAAGTTCTTCTGCAATATTTAAGTCAACAAGGACCTCTAACAGCACCTGGATTCGGTATTGTTGGCTTTGAGAAGCTACCAGCAGCAAGCCGCGCGAATTTCTCTGCTACAACACAAGCAGCTCTGGCGAACTTTCCCGCAGATTGGCCAGAGGTCGAGTACATCACTGTCGAAGGAATTGTCAACGGCCTGAAAAATGCAAGTGATCAAGAAGTCCAGGACGGATACAATTACGGAGCCATTGCAGGTGCACTCGTTGCTCCAGTTTCTCGTGGCAGCGTTTCGATATCGTCTTCCAACATCAATGATCCTCCAGTCATTGACCTGGGCTACCTTACAGATCCCGCAGATCAGGAAGTTTCGTTAGCTCTTTTCAAACGAATCCGCGATGCATGGGCTCAGACTACTGTCCAGGTGGGTCCAGAATATACTCCAGGTGCCGCTGTGCAATCGGATGCAGATATCCTCAACTATATTCGCGAAACAATAACTCCAGTTTGGCATGCAGCAGGTACATGTAAAATGGGAAACAGCAGCGATGCTTTGGCCGTTGTTGACAGCCACGCCCGCGTTTGGGGGGTTCAAAATTTGCGTGTGGTGGACGCAAGTATCTTTCCGCTACTTCCGCCAGGTCATCCTCAGAGTGCGTGTTACATGGTTGCGGAAAAGATTGCGGACTTCATCAAGAACGGGCAGTAAGAAGTTTAGCGCCGCAGTGAAACACAGTCCTAAATTCGAGAGGTTGAGGTAGAAACTTGCAACATGTCGAGCTTCGTGTGCCTGTGTAACTAGAAATAAATCAACTACTAATCATAAATCTGTCGCAAAATGTTGTCAAAGCCGCTAATGGAGTCGGCATTGAGCTTAAGAAATGAAATAACGAGGTCTTCGGTTAACGGCATGAATTTCCCGTCCTAATAACCATTCTTACAATGAGAACACAACAAATGAAGTCCTTCGGAAAATGGCAAGAGCCTCGAAGCTGCCTAACAAACAAGGTAGGGAAACTCGGTTATCTGAATGAAAACTAATTTCGTACTTGTGATGTTCCACGGATGCCTCGAGATAGACTAAATGTAAACATACTAAGGGGTATACAGACACACATTTGCATAATATGCAAGTTGTAAATCATATGCAAATCATAGTACCTTCCATTTTATTTGATCATGGCAAACAGTTGATCAGATGAATCCAAACTTAATAGACTGTCTAGGTTGGCTCCTGGTAGGACTTCAATATTAGGCGAACATGGTATTCAAGTCCGAAAATATATTGTCCCAGTCAAAATTATCGAACATATCGGTGCCTTCTTCGAAGTCCTTGGCGAAGTTAATGAAATACGTAGACTGGCGCTGGTCTTCTATTCCAACCGTTTCATCGGAATTCGCTCTACCACAATTCAAATCTGTGAAAACGCTCGAGTCTGGAGTCATCAATGCATTGCAAGTTCTATTGGAGAGCCGTGACAAAGTAGAGTCCCCTTGCGTCACCCTCTGATTCGCGTGCATCGACTGGAGAGCCTCCTTCGGTGATCTGATCTTATGCTTTTGCAAAATTTGAGTCAACGAGTCAACGAATCGAGCAGTTGTCTCTGATTCATGTCGCGCACTCTCAAGCAGCCTGAAAGCCTTGCATATCTCTTCACGGTGCAGATCGTCTCGACCTTTGGACCTACCCATGCATAAATCTACAATAAGAACCACATTGGCCATAAAAACTCCCAGGAGCAATCCGCAAAAAGGGAACATGGTTCCGTTGAGCGAGCCCATCTCAAGCAAATGAGACTGAGATTGGATCAAAAGGCGCGCAGACATAACGCAGATGTCTTTCGACTCCGCAAACGCACTTGTCGTGTATCCTTTGATAAGAAACGGAATGTGCAATTTGCAACGTAGTCCGTGAAGTAGAAATCTGAGGGTATGTCCTTGCTGGACAATATCAGCAGCTTTGTCGCGGTGCAGTCGATAGTTTCTTGCCAGCTCATCTTGAGGCAGAGAAAAAAAAAGTTGGACCTCATTCAACAAAGCCTGGAGCTCAGCATCAGTATCCATGAGAGCATCGTGAGAGATACCACCTAGGTTTGCAGATGCCAGAGGATTGCGATCTACAGCACGGCGACATATCTCGGACAGCTTGATTCGGTGAAGAGGGTAAGACATGGTCGTTGGAATCGATAGTGGGAGCTCTACTAGTACATTATCGTCGTCAGAGTGCTTAGGCAGGCGTGTTATTATTTGCCGCGGGTGAAATGTATAAACGCCTTCGTCCGCACCGTCGAATCTTGCTGCAGCTTGCCAATCACATGAACATATGTACCAGAAAACGCGTCTCGCAATTTCAGTCTCGACAGATTCTGCATCCCATGTACTGTTCGGATGATCTAAACGGTGCAGACCCAAATTTCTCGCCATCCAGATCGTATGCGAGAATAGATAACGACATTTTCGAGTGAATCCTTCCAGGTGGACTAACAGGAAACTGAGAAGAACGCTTCCCGATATACCCTCAATTGACAGCGTGGTATACTCTCGAGATATATCCACTAGATCCTGGGCTGCGTCAATCCAGAATCTTGATTGCTCCGCTGCTGCCTGTACTGTATTGTACAGACCTCGTGTCTCACAATCTTTAGATGTCCACGAACTGGTAGCGCACGCAAATATGGCCAGCGCTAGAACTAATGGGCCAGGCTTGATCTGAGATTTGTGGCTTTGCGCCGTATAGATTTCTTCAAGCATTTCCGGCAACGATGGAAGATATGTGATCCAAGGGAAATGTGCAGCCACTTGAGTGTACTTCTGTAGCAAGGTTTGAGCTTCGGCATAGGTTGGAAGCCAGATACAGCGAACAGGTACTGATTGAGTTGAAAATTCCAGGTCATGACCGCAAAACCATTGTTTGGCCTGAGATATACGTTCGACGGAACATGTTTTGTACATAACGCGGCTAGACGGAATTTCGGATGTCTAAAAAGCTACTTAGCGAGTGAAATATCCTAAGATAGATTGCATTTCACCATACATTTGGACCGATATCACCGAGATATATGCTTTCCAGCAAAGCAACATCTTGGTTGAGACTCTGAACTTGTGATGATGCGTCTCGGGTTAGTGATGGCTGGACAGCAGTCTCCCGCGGCTTCCACGTGCTCGCGATGGGATTGTATGCACTCGCCTGCTCTGACTGCCGTCCTGCAAGCAATTGCTCGAGTCTTCCAAGACGTTCGATAATTTCTGACTGGGAAGACTCAGCATTATAAGGCTTGGGTTTTTCTTCTAGGTCGCATGGAACGGCACGTGAAACGCAGTTCGAGCACGGCGCATCGCGGGAACACCTTAACTTGCGCTTTCGACAAAGGGTGCATGACACAGGTCTCTGGCGAGAGGAGCTATATTGGTCTTTTGGCATGATGCAGTGGAATTTCCGTGGACTTGGTGTTGCACTATCCGGGCTTGAAGGGGTTGGTCAATTAAACCAGTGTCGACGGAAAGTCCGCGGAACGCACTGATTTTGTCAGTTATTTTGGTCACGAACTCTTACGGCGGCCAAATAACACACTGGGAAAGGATATGCAGCACATTCCCAATCGTGTCATAGTACTTCTAGGCGTGGTCGCTCCTAACAAGATGCTGATTTCCCTTTAATAGATTTGTATTTGAAGATTAATCGGAGAGCAAATGAAGTTGTGACATGACGGAGGGACCAGAATAGAACGGGTTGCCGATGCCGGCCTTTGCGCCATTCCGTCATTGTCGCCATCCGTCACGATCACACCTTCAAACTCATTACGACGATATCGTTTGAACACGCTCCAGTATACTTGCAGATGTTCTTTCCAAGTAATTCTCCATAAACGATCCAAGCCGACATGAACGCTCCGCGAATACGTGGTTACCCTCGCATGGGTTGCTATACGAGACTCAAAGCGAAGACGAATTCATCAACGATGTCTTATTGCGCAGCCACGGCCATGAGCTGGAAAGAAAATTCTTGACTGCGTTTTTCCCGTAGATAGGGGAATTCACGTTGAAACTGCCCCTGACTTCTGCTGTGTCCTTTTCGCAAACATCAACATCACCCTACAAACTTCACAAAAGCCTTGGCAGATTTCAACCTGAACAGCGAATTTTAGAGTAGTGCGTTGGCTCTTTTATAAGTTACTAATGCTAACTGCATGATTCGATGCTCCGTCTTCTTGTTCTAGTCCTTCTTCTCCCATGTCATCCGAGCCGCAAAGGTCCAGAGAAGATCTGAGACACGGTCGGAACTCATGTCACAAAGACATGCTGAATTTATCGCAGTTAAGTGATAAAATTAGTAGCAGAGATCAGCAGCCGGTCATTCTTTTGTCTTTAATGAACTTGTTAGGAATCTTCGTGCTTGCATTGAATACTTTGATCTCTGAGGTTTTAATGGCTACATGGATCAATTAGAAACCCGAGAATATAAAAGCCAATTCACGAAGTCGTCATCTAGACTGGAATCAAGCACGAACATGAGGGTTGTGGCTTGAATTACATCGCGGAAACCCCTTCGATCTCGGCCATAAAGTGTGCCCGGCCCTTGGTAGCTTTAATTTTTCTAGTTCTTTGCACGTTGAGAAGAAGGGACCTTGGGATTGACACAAACTCGTAAGCCTATAGCAAAGACAATGATATTGTTTGTCCTATGGAAAGTTAATGTTTGAGAACCGTGTCTTGTCGTATCTTGAGTTCAGATATTGAATTTACCGCGATGGCAAGAAAAGTTTAAATGCTGTTCACAAAGCTTGTTTCATCGTCCAAACCATGCTTGTTGTCTCGTCCCATGATTTCTTGCGAGATCGATTAAATTATCAAGATGTCCCGACAATTTACAAGTTATTGCGCTAGTGTTTGATTCCTCATCTTACGCATAACATGTGGTGGTTTCAAGCATGCAACGAATATGGTTACCGGGCCATGGAAGTCAAATTGTGACCAAAGGTACCCATCATTCAATCTAAGATCAAGAATGCAAAGCCAAACGAGCAGTGTGCTCTACCAAGTCAAGTAACAAGCTAACTGCAAATCAAATAATCGTATGGGCTTGAAATGGCTTGAATTTGTCTTTGATTCCAGCACAATGGAATCACTAGGCAAAATGGAAGGTCGACTTCATACGGTTTTCAACATCGTCTTAGCCGTTCTGCTCATGATCGTGACGCGAATAGAAGGAAAAGTAGGTTTTCCACAATCATTCTCGTAACGAAATGGTGCCAAAGACACTTTCAAACTACAGTGCTAATGACAAGAAGAATGTAAATGAGTGCAAGACTTGCCAAAATAGCACTCTTAACCCACACCACAAAGGATTCTCGCAAGCTATTACGTACCCGTCTCTCCAGAATCATGCAAATTGCACCAAAGGGATGATAGAGGTGACAATTCCGACTGCACGATTGTCGAATGGAATCATCATTACCAAAGAGGAGCCCAATGACCAATTCGACGTTGTCGAATACATACAACAATTCCTTTTCGAGAACGAGCAATTTACCAACACATCTCGACGAGATCTCAAGGGCGATGAGACGACATACAAGATTTTTGGCGAACTCTGTGTGCCAAAAAGGCATTCAGTGAAAGGCAATCCAGTTGGGGTACAGTATGATACAAATGGACCATATATGCCAATCTTTGACATGCCACTTCAATTGCTGGTTCATGGACTAGGCTTTACCCATGACTACTGGCATTTCGATGCTCAACACAGCTGGATCGACCAGGCTGCACTGCAAGGCTTCTCCACCTTCTCCTTCGATAGACTCGGGGCTGGAAAGAGCGAGGCACCCAGAGCTGGATTATCAGGAGTCCAAGCTGATATTCAAACGCGAATTGTCGAAAGAATCGCAGAAATGTTGAGATCCGGTGATATTGGTGGGAAAGCGTTTCGGCGAATTGTTGGAGTAGGTCATGGACTCGGAAGCGCCTCACTGGTAGCAGCGACCGCACAGAGGGACTGTGCAAATTTGTTCGATGCTTTGGTATTGACCAGCTGGACGCCTGAGCCCAAATATGCATGGAAGGAATACATGCTTCCAAACCTTAAAGTTGCAAACAACAAAGTTCAAACCGACGATAAGTCGAGACGTTCAACACAAGGTGTGATGCCGAAGATAGAAACCCCAATATTCGAAAAGTTGTCCCCGTCTTATCTCGTCTTGAATGGCGTAGCAGCGAGCACGTTTTTGAACTTCCGAGGAGACTTCAAGCGCAATATAGCCAAGGATGCAGATCTGAGAAAGGGTGCCATAGCCATGGGTGAGCTCTTTACCATGGATAGACTTCCCAAACGGACCGAATCATTCAAGGGTCATCTTTACGTTACCATCGGAAGCTTGGACATTCCATTTGGACGGCCAGGTTTGAATGAAAACGACCTTGCGGTGCTCATGAATGAAGTTTTCCCAAACAATGAGATGCGTTGGACCGAACAGACGTTTGCAGAGGTTGTAGATAGGACCGGTCATGCTTTAAATCTGCATGACAGTGGGACGGCGACATCGAAGAAGGTCAATCGGTGGTTATTCGACAACTTATGTGACATGGAGAAAAAGATTGCGGGACAGAAATCACGATTTCTCTTTAGCCATACGAGTGTCAGCGATTGGACGGCAGGCGGGGACTGGCATGACGGATGGCAGCGTGATCGACGGCCTGGTTCTCGAAGAAGATGAATATTCAGAGGCGTGATCCCGAGGAACGACGGCTACTGATTACCAAATTTCCACGTTAGAGCCAACTAGTTGCAACACAGTATATCATAATGATAAAATCTGCTAGGTACTTGGGACCTTGAATATGCAGCTACTGGATTCGCTCGGTCTGTAGACCAAAGCTCTGCGCAAGCACGCAGGCATGCCACAATAAGAAGCATTGTCGAGACAAGCCGCGCGGAATATCTGCACACATTCCTCTGGAACTACTTTTCACCCTGATTTGAGCCGAATTATGAGGTGCGGGAAGCAAACTTCAAGTATTTGACAACTCAAGCCAGAAATTCTCATCAATGGCGAGCTACGAAGTAAGCTAGGACCTGGTGCATTAAGATGAGGATTTCAGGATGGAAGCAGGATAATCATAGGAGTGTCCAGAGGACATTATGTTGATGTCGAGAGAGAAGCAGGTGCAATGGTTCGATTGCTAAGTTACTTTGTAAGAAACGAGGACGGTTCACACGCCTTGAAAGCAGTGACGTGCTGATATAGAAGCACAAAGTCTACTGCACTTTTGCTTCGCATGCGGGAGGTGCGCGAACACAGACCCACAGAGGCGGTCCGAGCTTCCAAAACTCGAAGCGCGTGCGCAAACAATTGAATCAAGATCGCGACGTGCTCTCAACACTTGCCTGCGCGATTCTTCATCTGCGGCCTTGCGCATATACAGTGCACAGTATGATGTTGCATCATCAAAATGCAAGTACGTATATGTTTTTTGTCATTGAATCTTCGAGCGGCTTGCGCAGTCTGCCCTGATTTGTTTGCCGATGTTAACACCACGACTCCAGTCACCCACCGATCTCAACGAATCGGACACGGACGACAGTTTCATGAAACGTCTCATCCTCCACAACAGAAGCATATCGGAAGATAGCATGCGGCCCCAGGCTTTCTCCAAGGCCCAAGTCCGGCCGCGCAATAACCGCCTTACCCTCGCCAATCTCGAGCGTTTACCAGTCCCAGAGCCGCCCCAAGTCACGACCAAGTCGGATCTGGGCAGTATCGACTCTCAAAGTAGTGGCGAAAAGCCGCGGAATAGGCTTGAGGCCATCCGGCAGCGCGAGCTCGACATTGGCCGTGAAGACGACTCTGATGCCAGCGAAGCCAACGTTCAAGATTCCCCCTCACGACCTCCTACGGCTGCCCCCCCGCCTGTTCCCCCGCCAGAGTTGGAGCCACACGTTCGGGCAGCGCATGGTGACGAGAGCAGCGATATAACTCGCATAAGAAAAATGGGTAATCACCTTCGTAGCTTAAGCGCAAACATCGATGATGTCAAAACGGGACTAGACAACATTACCAAGTTAACCCGCACCGCTCAGAACGGATCGGCGATTGTTGGCTCTTCAACAGCTCAGTTGGGCGACGATGAAGTCTTTCAGGCGGTCAAAAGAGCTAGCCTTGCTCGTTTATGGGAAATCCGCTGGTGGATCCTTATAATGGCGGCGATACCACTGTATGCCATGCTAGAGTGCGTCGCGTGCCTAATATGGTGTCGGCCAGTCATTGCCGATGGCATGGACGGCTTTGGGATCTACCCGGATGCTCCTGAGCTGCCATTTGTCATTCCCACGATGCTTTTAAGACCATTTGCACCCATTTGGAAGCCTTTGTTATTAATAATCAAGCCGCTCATCACGTGGATAGCACAATTGTGCACGTATCTAATTGGAGGAGGACATAAGGACTATGTATTGCTTGTATGAACGTAACGACTGCTTATTTAGCGACGGCGCCGGTGGCATGATCATACCCGATGTACCTGTTTTGGCACGAGCACACTATGCAACGTACGTAGGCTATGTGAGCCTATGAATAAATCACTCATCGAATCCCAAGAATCTTTTTTTGTCGCAAATCGTGATCTCGTCCAGCCCCGACATTCATGTGAGCGATTCATTTCTTCCACCACTTGGCGATCGCCCAAACATGATAATCACTCCAACTCCACTTCCCCGGACTACACTTAGCGGAACGCGACACATGCAGGCTTAAATCTTACGACCCAACTTGGGTAGCCGCTATCCTCTGCTTGGACATCTCTGTGCTTTGTCACCTTGAGTTCTTGCACGGGGCTCTTGGGCTTGGTCATGCTAGTTGATCACTTTCTTGGCATTCCATGGGTCCAAACATCGAACACCATGTTTTGGAACAACAGCGGCATTACTAGCTCGGCAGAGGCCATTCAAATGCTTCCACACGGGGGTCCAGGTGCATTTTTTTGCTGATCACTACCATGAATTTTCTAGAAGCTGGCCCCTTGATTGTACAATGTCGCCATAGCAGTCCAGTCATTCGGTCGAGGTGATGCTGCAGGGTCACACTGCATGGATCCCCAAGTCGAAAACAACGTGTTTTGTCCCTAACGAGATTCTTCCTCCGCAATAGCTCTTGGCATGCGCAAGCGAAATCCATCTCGAGAGAAGGTTGCCTCGTGATGCTTTTCGCCGAACCCCAGTGAATGTACTTTTTAGTCGTGAAACTCATAAGATTTAGAGGTTTGACGAGGATGGCGGGAAGCGACAGAAACGACTAACTACTGTGTGACATTCAGACACGTTAGTTGATCCGGGACCTATACCGTACGCTTCATAATGTTGGATAGATAGTTCGAGAGAAGAAATGTTGGAATTTTCCCCAACGCCAATTTACCAAATACGTTTCCAGGATATTTCGCATGTACACATATCGTTCAAATCAAGTTCTCTTCCCGCTCTTTAATTTTCCATCTCCACAAGGCCTGGTTTCATGGAGCAGCCTGGCGACGCTGATCTGGCGGGGGAGCAATAATCCGGGTTGACGGAAACCACGAACCCGATACCACGCCGTGTTACTCTGGGGTAGCACCAAATCGAACCAGCCATGGGGTAGGCCTTGCACTCATGTCTGATGGCTGTCTCTTGGAATATCCCTCCTCAAATTGAAGTCTAGCTACGGCGTGAAGTCGCAGGGGCAAGAGGCGAGGCTAGGCAGAGGTTACCCTACCGGGCCGAGAGCAAGGAAGTAAAAACCAACTACTGGGCTTTGTACAGCTTCCATACGCTAGTCATGATCCTTCTTTTGTCGTGAATGGAATCGTGTGTGAGAATCATTCTGCATGCTACAGCCTGTTGTGGCCTCTAACCTTGAAAAACGAGCGGTTTAACTAGGTTTTCCAGGTCTGAACCGCCTCTGTTCATGGTATTATGCACCATTTGGCGCATCTTAAGGAACTCACAAGACAACCCGCACTGACGCTAAGGCTTGATCACGCTTCAGCCTTTAGTCACAGTCTGTAGTAACTCAAATACCTCCGATCTCTCTTTCTCTCTCTCTCTCTCTCTATCTCTCTCTCTCTCTCTCTCCCGCCTCTCGGCTCTTTCATCATCAGCTTTCGCAAGTCGAAGGCATAGTCAGTCCACATCAACTTCTCGCTGTTCTCTTGACGGTCCATTTGGTTCTTGTCACACCGTCAAGATGTACACCACGTACAACACGTACGTGATTTGCGCCTTTGCCGCCCTCGGTAGGTCTAACATCATGTTTTCCGCATGTTCTCTTATTAAATTCTGAGGCGGAAAGTTCTCTAACTCAAATTTATTTCAACTTTGTGTAACGTTTGGGCTGACATGCTTCAGGTGGTGGTCTTTTTGGCTTTGATATTTCCTCAATGAGCGGTGTCTTGGGCACCAAAGCTTATATCAATTATTTCCATAATCCGAGGTCTTACGGCCAGGGAGGCATTACAGCTTCTATGCCGGCAGGCTCTCTTTTTGGAGCTTTGTCTTCATCGTTCATTGCCGATCGGCTTTCGCGTAAGGCTGCTATTCAGGTCGCCGCCGTGATCTGGATGATTGGTGGCGCGTAAGTTGCGCAGCTTAATTTTACAAAAAATTCTCGAAATTAACTCACGATAATGCAGCCTTCAAGCAAGCGCCCAAAACGTCGCACATCTGTGCGTTGGACGTGTGGTTGCCGGCGTTTCCATTGGTATTTGCTCGGCAATGGTTCCTGTTTATCAGGCTGAAATTGCTCCAAAGGAGATTCGTGGAAGGGTCGTTTCTCTCCAGCAATGGGCAATCACTTGGGGCATTTTGATTCAGTACTTCATACAATATGGTTCATCCTTCGTCTGTGGTGGCCCGAACGATCCCAATCAGTGCACTGCCGCATTTCGCATTCCATGTTAGCTGAACGCTTTAAGCATTGAAAAATTCGTGCTAACAGCTTACAGGGGGTGTCCAAATCATACCAGGTGCAATTTTGCTCGTTGGCATGTTTTTTCTCCCTTACTCTCCACGTTGGTTGGCTGGTAAGGACCGCTGGGATGAGGCGCTTCAGGTTCTAGCCAACCTCCACGGCAAAGGCAATAAGGATGACCCTAGAGTGTTAGCCGAGTACGAGGAGATTCAGGAGGTCATCCGATTCGAACGTGAGGAGGCCATCTCATCTTACCGCCAGCTCGTCGCCCCATCAATGCTCAAGCGTGTGATCCTTGGCATGTCCATTCAGATGTGGTCCCAGCTATGCGGCATGAACAGTAAGTTAACAACCAGTCGCCTCATGCAAACCAACAGTTTCTGACATGCTTCCAGTCATGATGTACTATATTGTCTACATCATGCAAGCTGCCCAAATTGCCTCACCGCTCTTGACTGCATCTATCCAGTACATCATAAATGTGGCTCTGACCCTTCCTGCTATTCTCTACCTCGACAAGTTTGGTCGTCGTCCAGCTATGATTCTCGGCTCCTTTGGCATGATGTCTTTCCTCTTCATTAGTGGTGCCTTGCAAGGTGCTTATGGGGAGCCTAATCACAATCCCGACATCGATGCCACCTGGATCATTCCAAAGAGCAGGTCTGACGTCTCCAAAGCTGTTGTCTCGATGTCGTACTTGTTCGTAGCGACATTTGCGACAACCTGGGGTCCAGCTTCTTGGACCTACCCATCTGAGATTTTCCCGCTCAAGATCCGAGCAAAGGCCGTCTCCCTTGCCACTGCATCGAACTGGGGATGGAACTGCGTCCTGGCCTTTGCTGTGCCTCCTCTCCTAACTAATATTAGCTGGAAAATGTACATGATATTTGGCACATTCAATGCACTTGCTCTTATACACATGTTCTTGGCTGCACCAGAGACCAAAGGCCGAACACTCGAGGAAATGGATGAAATATTTGATAACGGCAAATGGCCATGGCAGCAAGAGCGTATCCAGACCTCTAGACTCGACAGACTGGCAGCAGATATTGAGACTGGTCAACACAAAGTTGCCGGCATCCCCGGTACAGCAGGACACGGTGGGGGTGAGGTTGTAAAGGTCACCCAGGATGTTGAGAAGAAAGAGTAAACCAGGCTATGTGCGGGACTAAATTTCGGAGTTTGATGTTTGCCATATGATGAAATCAGTGCGCCACTCAATAGCTCAGCTCATTCATCATCATGGTTGATCGCCTCCCCTTGAAGTCATTAGCCCGATATTGTGTGAGCAGACAGCGAAGGCGATACTTCACGTTCTTTTCGTTCCGAAACATGGAAGCATGATATGCGTCGTATTTTTTTCAGAGCTCTTTTGTACGATCAAGTATATGTGAAAGGCAATAACGAATTAGTCGGAGTAAGATCTTATGTTGCAAACAATGAAGAATGAATTATTACTGTGCTACGGATCCCAGCTTCAGGCTAGCGACCTTTTGACATCACCGTAACCAATTCTGCCTCGCCTGACTATGAAGTCCTACCCAGAGAGCAAAGAATCCCGCCGTCAAAGCCATATACCATGCCCGCCATCCAGTTAGAAGTAGTAGCATAACATGTAAGTGTCAGCCATGCTTTGATAGCAGTCGAGAATTTCGTTCGATATGAAAGCCTACGTGTCAAATAGGTCAAGACCACATAGCATGCGACCACTGCCTTTAACATGGAAATGCTTGAAAATGGTAGCTCGTTCCTAGGAAGAGAGATACTTAGCAGACGTTGACCAGTCTCAAATTATGATTTGAGGTCTCGAGTTAGTAGGATTGTTTTACAATTCCTCCTTGACATAGTTTGTAGCACGCTGAGCTTGCTCAATGATGCGGTGTTTAGCTTTTGTGACGGATTCAGCTGCAGCATCTCCAGCCTTCTGTGCCGACTTCGAACCTTTGGCCGAGGCAGCCCTCGATGCAGAGGATGATGCCTTTGACGCTTCCGAAGAAATACTTGAAAGGACTGAGCTAGCGGATTTGGAAGCAATCGAAGATGCTGAGGAAGCGCTCTTTTGCGCCGCGCTAGCAGCTGACTTAATAGACTTTCCGGCGGCATCTGTAGCGGAGGTGAGCGATTCATAGCCCGCACTTGTCATGGAAGTGGCCGATTTGCTAGCCTGGGCAGCACCGAGTCCAATTTGACGCCGAATCCACTCAACGTAGTCCCAAGCGGCAGAAGTGGCGTGCGCAAATTGATTGCCTGCAGAAGAGGTTGCTGCTCCAAAGGCTGAGGAAGCCTTGTATGAGACATTGTCTCCAGTGAGCTTAGCGCGGTGTTTGCGAGCCAGTGCTAGCAATTCGTTACGTTTGCTACCTTGCGGAACCGGTATTCCGTTCTTGTCCGCCCATTCTTTGATCTGAGAATCACTCCAGGAGTCGAAGAGAGCATCGGATAGACTCTGCGTGGCAGAGGCAGCCGAGGCAGAAATAGAGGATGAAAATGCAGCGAGGTTGTTGGAAGCAATACGGCTATTGCGACGGACTGAAGCGATGAGCTTGTCCCGAGATGATGGTTGCGGGACAGGAATGCCGCGTTCGTCGCACCAGGCCTTCAGTTCTGACTCTGACCAGGTGCTGTAGAGCCAGTCACCTGGATATGAAGCGGTCTCACCAGCCTTCGCGGCGATTGCGTTGAAGTTCTCTCGTGCAGCAGCCAACAAGCTGTCACGAGTGCTCGGCTGGGGGTTAGGAATACCGTGCTTGTCTAAGAAGGCCTTGAGTTGAGACTCTGACCAACTGTAAATCAACGTTAGAGTTTGCCGATTGAAAGCCAAGAATGTACTCACGTGTCAAGGATCCAGTCCTTGACGCTGGTATATGCAGACGCAGCCGAGTCTTCAGTTTCGGTCCAGGTTGACTTAACCTGCTCGAGCAGCTTGTCTTTGTTCTTTTCGGCACCCTTAGAGGCCTGGTTGCCTTTAAGTGTCAAGTAAGCCTGAAGCTGCTTAGTGTCCCAGCTGCTGTAGGGCTCGACAACTTGATTCTTCCAGCTATCCTTGATCAGGTTTTCGAGATCCTTACGATCTGCGGGAGTCGGATACGGCACGTTGTGATCTGACAGCCAGCGCTCAAGCTCGGTTTCATGCCATTTGTTATATGCTATCTCAGATCAGCAAGCTATCTTGATACACTCACCAAGCATCTTGGGCTAAAACAACAATTTTGGGTCGAAGACCCTCCAAGATCCGTCCCATAAGCTGAACTTGACTTACCAGCTTTGCCAAACCATGTGCTTGCAGTAGCAGTGGCCGTCAGGGCGGCGAGAATGAAGGTGATGCGCATTCTGAGCGTCCTCGCAATCTCTGGCCGATTGTGGGGGTGAGCAGATGGATGAGTTCACAGCGCAAAGATAGTTGTGTGTGTAAGGATAAGACTTCTGGGATTGCGAGGGCAAATTCTGCACTGAGGTCATGTTTTGGTTGCTAGAAAAAGAGTGCGGACAGCGACATCGTGATGACGTCGGTGCCTCTGGTCTAGGCAGCGCACCGCTTGCTAGGCGATTCAGAACCTGTACATCCCTTTCAAGCCAAGGCCAGCCAGTCATCTTTCGCCTGTGTGGCACGGACAATGACATTCTCGGGGAAATGCTGGTCGAGATCGCCGATGTGGTCTGGAATCAGTGATCTCATTGTCACCAGGTTAAAGAGCTGTAGCTGAGCTGGAACCATTCTACGCCACATTCAAAACTCCAGAGGCAGTGATGCGCCACACGAACATGGCATTCTTGCATTTCCCATGCGTCCTTGCCGACAAGCCCCGACATGGGACATGTCTGCTTTCGTCTCAGTTACTCAGCGTTTTTTTCCACATCTGTCGCTCGTTTGCCGGATTATATCTCCAGTTATCTTGTTCCGTTTCGAGCTCTCCTAACCGCCTTGTGCCAGTCTTCCATCCAAGTCCAAGCACAGCCGCGACAAAAGAGTTGAATATCCTTGCGCGTCACTTGGTAACCTTTAGAAATCCCCTACCCGAATTCGCCTCCTTTAAAGCGAAACTTTGTCCATCCAGACTCCAAAAGATGGTGTCCTGAACGGACGAGCACGCAACTCTCGTATCACTCACTCCACACAGCTTCTTTGACCACGGTTAAATTGCACAACGTGGATTCTCAAGTATGCAATTTTCATTGGCCTTTCGAAATAACTGCTATGACTGCCTAAAGCTTCAAAACATGTTTTCACCCCCGCATTCAGGGGAGCTTTCTCTTTTTTTAGTTGGATGGAGAAAGACGAAGGGGAGGGGGAGGTTATACAACGGCGATTCCACTTCACGTGCTGTTTCGAGGGGTTGTTTTCATTAATTTTGACATATCGAGTTGAAGCCACCGCTATTTGAGTCGTAGTATTCCGGTATAGACTTTGAATTCATTCAACACAGACTCATGTACAGCCCTCCCTCGCATTCTCATGCTTCTGTATAAAGACGGCACATGATGGCAGTCTAGCTTCTCTTTTTTACTCCTGTGGAATTTTCTTGCTCTCTATGTTGTTAAACGGCGCAGCCACCTACACGTTTGCTGTCCGTAAAACCGAGTCTGGCGACATCTTAGTAAGGACCAGTATCTCACTTCCGATACGCTTCCGTGTGCTGTCAACCATGGGCTCAAAGTTGATTGTTTCTACATATCTTGTTGCTCCACGTCTGACAGTCTAGTTGTCCTGATCTCTATTCATAAAGCCACTGGCTTCCGCCACGGTATGTTGCAAGCCGTCTGCTGGTCCTTTTCCACGCAGAAAAAGGAGCCAGAGTAGATTCTTAGTAAGACGTATCGAAAACTGAAGAACAGATCAAGTTCCAAGCAAACTCCATCGAAGATATTGCCTACAACAAACTTTTATGGGTAGCGTAAAAGATATAATTATCACACGTCTTTCGAGTGTGTTCAGGTCGATGTCCACACCCTTGCTGTGAAGCTAGAACCTTTGCGGACACAAAACACATTTCAGGAGTTCAAATCATAACGAGAGCATCTCAAACAGAGCACGATGATAGGCAGAGAGCTCTGAACTGGAAAGCTTCCAACAAGGCCAAGTGGAGTAGTCTGATAACAAACCAGCTAGCAGCTGAGTCGGTCGCTTATGGGCTTTGGGCGGCAATTTCGCCAATTGCCAGGTCTCGAATCACCCCCACCAGAACCATTGCTCGTTTGGTAATAGTTTCACCGGGGGTCTGGAAAGTCGGAGGCTATTAGATTGCCTTCGATAACCCGACTGCGCGTTCTGTCGCCTAGCTTTCATCTCTTGAACCTTTTGTCTTGGTTTCAATGCGTACAAAGCCAGTATGTTAAAGCTAGAGCTTAGTTGGAGCAATGTTGCGGCCGTCGCCGGCATCTACGCTGTTTACAGCGTCGCAAAGGCGATTTACCGAGTCACTTTGCACCCCCTCGCACGCTTTCCGGGCCCGTTGCTGGCTGCGCTTACTTACAAGTATGAGTGGTATTATGATGGGTTCAAAGACGGCCAATACACCGCTGTGATAGCTCAGATGCACGAGAAATATGGTCTGCCTTATACTTCATAGTGCTGCTGGCGATTAAGTGTATGCTGAGTTCGCCATTTTAGGCCCTGTTGTCCGTATCAACCCCGAAGAACTTCATTGCAACGACCCAGCATTCATAGATACCATTTACGTGAGCGGCAATAAGAGAAGGCATAAGTCTCAGTACTTCCTCAGGGCTTATGGACCGACGTAAGACTTCTTCTCAGCAAAGGATGCAATACTCACTATTTTGCTGATCATGATTCTAGATCGGCATTGGTATGGTTCTTTCCAAACTTGACGAAGCTCTCACTTCCCCATCAAATATTCTAACGTCCTGACTCAAAGGGTGGCTTCGCCACGGCAGACCACGACCATCATCGACTTCGTCGCGGTGCTGTTAATCGCTTCTTCTCCAAGGCTTCCATCACAAACCTCAATCCAACAATTCATGACCTAACGCAGCGTCTTTGCAACAAATTGCTAGAGCGCTCACCGGAACCATTTGATATTACCAATGCTTATAGCTGCTTTACCACAGACGTCGTGACGTTCTACTGCTTCGGGCAGAAGAAAGGATTTTTGGATCAGGATGATTTTGTACCGAACCTGCGCAATGCGATCATCGGTGGCTGTAAAATGCTTCCTACAGTTCGACAGTGGCCAACTATTTTTGGGCTAGTCCAAAGCGTGCCAGAGTTCGTACCCCTTTATCAGGTTCGCAACAGCTCATATTGACAGTGCCATAGCTCTGTTGCGAAAATGATCTCATCTGACATGGCAATGTTCAATCAAAATATGAAGGTATGAAAATATGCAGGTCGGGAGTTGAGCGAAAACAATGGAGCTGACAATCTAGATCATCACCGAGGATATCAGGAAAATAAAAGATGCATACGAGGAAGGCCGGGAAAAGGCCATCATGGAGCAACGAAGTATCTTCATTGATATACTCGAGAGCGACTTGCCCCCGAGCGAGAAGACTGTGATACGTCTTGGAACAGAGGCTACCACAATGATCAGTGCCGGTACAGAAACAACGGCTTGGAGTATGTCCAACTTCACGTGCATGTTTCAAAGGAGTTTTCTTCATCTAACATCTGAATTGTAGCACTCACTGTTCTTACTGTTTATTTGAAATCTCAACCAGAAATTCTTGCGAAGTTGACGGATGAACTTAACCGGGCAGTTGAGGATCCTAAGAATCTTCCGAGCTGGTCAGCTTTAGAACAACTCCCATATCTGATATGTACCCTTAGCTTGCCTTCTGAGATGCGCATGCTAATTCAAACTATACAGTGCCGTTATCCTCGAAGGCATTCGACTCTCATATGGAGTGGCGACTCGACTAGCCCGCATTGCCCCTGACGAAGTCCTCGTTTATGAAGGGACTTTCAAGAACCCCAAATCATCAACAGAGACACATATCAAATACTCCATTCCGAGAGGCACACCAATCGGCATGAGTAGTGCTCTGATGAACGTGCATCCCGACATATTTCCAGAGCCACACGAATTTAAACCAGAACGTTGGCTTAATGCTGATGGCACACGGCGAAAGAATCTTGAAGGCTATCTTCTCAGCTTCTCTAAAGGTAGCCGACAATGCTTAGGCATGAAGTAAGTATCTCGTTGAAGAACAACTTCTGTTCTCTTGCTAACATCTATGCTTTCTCCAGCCTTGCATATTGTGAGCTATATATCGCCTTAAGTGCACTTGTGCTTCGCGTGTTTCCTCACTTGAAATTGTATGAGACTTCGGTCGCAGATGTTGAATTTCATCATGATTGTTTTGTTGCAGGTGTCAGGCCGGAGAGCAAGGGAGTCAGAGTTGTTATCGAGTGATTGTGGAGACAAGTTCGTTGTGAAAATCATAGAATGATCATCTTCATGGCCCCAATATTCACCCAAGTTGCGAAATATCTACTCAAATGTCAATTGTTGAAGGCTCCTTCACCTACAATGTCTAGGTTGCTCGTCACCTAGATTTCTTTCTCTTCCGTTATTCAACATTCATTGCATCGCGACTCAAGAGGGGGCCAGTTTATAATGGCGTGATTCGCAATTGAAGTAAATTGGACATGGAGTGATTATTACGCATGTCACAATGCATCAATCAAGCTCCGCAAAGTTGACCGGTGAGGCACAAGTGTATGTGTGGATGGGGTTGGAGATAAAACATACAGGCGTTCATGATGGCGGTCCACAAGACAGCGCGCTTCACCAGTACGCGATGCTTTGGTATAAGCGCTTAATTCTACTTCATAGTCAATTATGAAGGTTCTTCAGGCACTGTTACTGTACCACGTGTTTCGTGGCAAGCAGAGCATCGCGATCCATGACTCAGGGAACCAAAATTCATGCCTGGAAGTTCCCGCGCCGCCGTCGCTAAGCTTATGCGAGGAGCAACCCTGTCCACTACCTTTGTACGTTCACGGGTGCCGAAATGCACAGATGGGGATCACGTCGGCCCGCCATGCCGGCGTCTTTAGCGCCGCAACGATAGCAGCGGTGCGGCCCATGACAAGAATATATTTATCCGGCAAAATGGCGTGTCTCCACTTCCAGATTTCTATACTGCATTGAGCATCGCAGGACGGGTTCGTGAGCCAGGCGAGTCCCTCAACAGCATCTACGGCCAATCTAGGGACAGAGTAATGGCAATATCCCGACGCTAACAAATCTCTCGAATCCGTGTTCTTGGTCTTGATCTCCATTAAACGCACGACTGGAAATCCGTGAACGAATCATGGAAGATTCAAAGCCAGGACACAGCCAAGAGCCCCAGCAAGTCAAACAAATCACAGCATCTCCGGGAACCAAGACAGCGTCCAAATCAAGCAGTGCGGAAAGTCTTCGTGGCACCGTCACTTATCCTTTTGGTAGCGAACAGCCTGTTATTGAAGCCGATCCAGAAACTCTTGTGGGTCTTGACTTGCAAAAGATCATTCTATCTGGGTTGCTAACATGATCATAGGCGGTTGAAAATGATACCGACTCTACCTTTGGCCACGACAGGTAATCTCATAGCCATGTCTCTATGGTGTTAGACCACAGAAAAAGAATAGGAATGTTTGCTAATGTTAACATCCCAAAAGTGCAAGCTCAACGCAGTCTATGCGGCCTTCGCAATGGGACTATACATACGAAAATGGTCGGCGGTATCACTCATATGGATCAACCCCGTATTTCTCTCCCAACGATGAGGTGCGACAAATGAGTGTTCCTTTGAATATGAGTAAAATTCTCACCTTATCACATGCAGCCAGAGAATGATCGACTAGATATTTGCGCGCACATGTTCTCCCTCCTGATGGATGGTGAATTGCACTATGCCCCCATTGGCAATGATCCGCAGCGCATTTTAGATCTTGGAACAGGTGAGCTCTATCATAATTATGAGTTACTGCCCCGTTGACCAGACATGTAGGGACCGGAATCTGGGCTATTGATATGGGTATGTACTTCAGATTCTATAGGGTGGTTGGTTAGTTGACTTCATTGAACAGCGGATAAATATCCTTCTGCATTTGTAAGGTGGCACGAACATTGATACCAGCCAAGCTTTAGCTTAGCTTTTCGTCAAGGTCATCGGCAACGACATCAGCCCTGTCCAAACAAACGTGTAAGCAAATACTGATTCATTTTCTTGATGTGGTCTAACTTTCGTCTCTACCGTCTAGAATTCCACCAAATTTGCAATTCGAAGTCGATGATATTGAACAAGAGTGGCAATACTCCTATCAATTCGATTTCATTCACTGCCGGTATTTGAATGGAGCGATCCGAGACTGGCCAAAGCTAGTTCAACAAGCGTTCAAGTAGGTAAATCCAAAAGCTTTGTAACAGGCTCTTGAACTGCTCGTACGCATGGAGGAATTTGGCTTACCATCTACTGTGACAGGTATACAAAACCGGGAGGGTGGGTAGAGTTTATGGACTTTACCATGACATTCTACACAAACAATGGCGAGTTTAAGCCTGGTTGCGCGATAGATATGTGGACGCGCGAATTGAAGGCATGGCTCGCCTCTATAGGCGTAGAAGCGGAGCCTGGGCCCAAGTTGAAAGGTTGGATTACAGATGCGGGTTTTGAAAACATTCACGAACGCAACGTGGCGTTGCCGGTAGGGATGTGGCCAAAAGATAAAAAATTTGTAAGTGTCCAAAAGTCACGCATATGCTCAATGCAAGAGCCACCTGGGTAGAACGCTCTCTGATGATTTTCGCAGAAAGAGATTGGAACTTTCAACCTCATTCAATTTCTTGAAAACTTGGAAGGCTTCTCACTGCGAGCGATGACATCACGGGGCTGGGACATTGATGAGATAAAAGTGTTTTTGGCCACTGTGAGGAACGAGTTCAAGAATCCCAAGTTTCGAATGCAGCACGACGGGTAAGTCTCAGAATAATCGTAAGATTACAGTTACTGATTTGAGCAGCTACATTATTTGGGCACAGAAACCAGCGAAGTAGACGTTTCATGGCCCCGCTCGAAATAAGAGATACAAGCATTGCAAAAAGATAGGAAAGTTAGACGTCCCATTTCGGCAGTCAATGCGTGCAAGCATAACGGAGCTCGCCTAGAGAATATGAATAAATCCATGCCATGAGCTTCTTATCATGCGTCCCAAAGCTACGGCATATTATCCAGTTTATAATATGCCCAGCCGACCTTCACGAATCGAGGCAGTGCTAGCTCTTGCAATCCGAGTTTCAATTCAAGTGCAAGTTGAACGAATTTGTAGATGCATAAAGCTTGATGATTAAAATCCGCTCGAGTCATCTCTCAGACGCCATGGTTACATGCGTGTCATCAGAATCATGCAATATCATAAAAATGCGATTTGACACATATCACTAGCAACACCCTTTCCGTTGCGGAGTGATGTTTGCGGAGTCAATTTGAGTGTCGCCATCTCCATTATAGCCTGGAAATTGAGTCAAACCCAGCCAGCTCCTTCTCTTGTCGCCTATTCCAACCCGAAAGCTACCGTTGCCGTTCATGTGCGGATAAGAACCCTCCGTGGCATAGTCGTTGAAGAAACCATTCCGATCATCCAGACCTGGCGTTATTCCCCCGAGTTCTTGCATAAGTCTCAGCTCCAACGCAGCGCGATTGTTCCGCTGTTCAACCAGTCGCCTCGTTATAACTCTGAAAACCTCCTCGACCCCTTCACCTGTTGATGCTGAGATCTCGTGGCAGCAGTCCCAGCCCAGATCCTGGCCCCAGAAATTTATACTCGATCGGTTCGAGTTTGGTGAAGCAAGGGGTGGGTCTGGACGAAGCTCTTGTTTAGACTTATTGGCCCCTCCTCCTACACCTAGTATTGAGCTGACTGTGCGTTCAAGAGCGGGTGTGTTGACGGGCGGTGCTTGGCCAGAATTTGTGGCTTGCTGGTTTTGCTGCGCCGAGCCTGGATACAGATTCTCTGCCACATAAGCTATGACACGCTCGAAAGGAACCTGCCGTTTCGAAGGATCTTCTGCTACCACGTCTGCCTTTGTACCAACGACGTGAAGAATGGTATCTTCAGGGAGATTGGATCGCAGCTCAACCAACCAGTGGCCCATCTCGGTAAAGGAAGCCGCGGATGTGATGTCGTAGCATAATAGTGCAGCGTTGGCCCCTATTGCCTAAGAATCAGCCCATATCTCTATCGTAAAATAAGTGCTTCAACAAACCTCTGTAATAGAGCTTGCTAATGCTCCTAAACCTCTCCTGCCCCGCTGTGTCCCAAATTTGCAGGCGAACAACACTTGAGCTATCTATGTCCACGACGCGCTTCGTGAGAAAGGACGCGCCAATAGTCGAGTGGATTGAGGGCGCGAACGCATTCTTGACGTAACGATGCACCAGCGACGTCTTCCCCACGCCTTGAGATCCCAGGACGACGATCTTGGCCTCCAGGCTGCTGCTGCTGCTGCTGCCGCTCATGTTTTACAGACAGTGAAAAAGCCGGATCGAGTTCGTGGCTGCATCGAGGCCGCGAGGTGCAAGGTTGCGAGGCGCAAGGAGTGGACGGGCCTGAGACAGTCCCAACGATCGATTGCGAGTCTTCTATAAACGCGAGCGACGGCTATCAAGCGCAAGTGTGAGGCTGCAGGTCACGAGAGGTGATAGGCTGACCCACCGACTGAGTGTGGTAGGGGCACACAGAGTTGTTATTGGTGGCGTTGCGTCCTCGGACGAGATTTAGGCACTTTCAACACGTTGTGGCGCATTAACATCAGCGAGATGCTCACGGAATATTGTCATGGCATCTTCTTCTTCGCCTTCCTCTGGCTATAAGGTATCAAGCCCACCCAACCGCCCTTTGAATAATTGCGGCCAAAATTTATTGACGCGTTGGAAGTCTGAACCATTGCCTGCTTAAGGCCATGCTTGGCGTTTTTGTAAACGCCCACCAGATTGCTTTGGTTCATGCTGTCGCTCATACAAACTTAGGTGAAGAGTCACCATCCAGGCCCTGGATTGTTTTCTTCCTAAGTTGCGTCCAAGTAACGTCGACATTTCAGACCAAACACCGTGTTTACATGCCTGGCCAAGATCTAGAAACAACGCGAGGAGCGAGATGTGCCGAAGGCTCCTCCCCTGCAAGGCACCCCGCTAACCAGCCAGAGAAGACTCAGTCTACGTCACCATACGAACGACCAGCTTCGACATCTCACGAAATGGCTTGTTTCTTATTTTTGGCTCTCTAACAATGTTCTTTGAAGGCGTGTAGACGGCCACAAAGCTCCTCCTGTGACTTAACGCTGAGTAAAACGAACGCGTCTGTTCCGTCCAAGCTGCGTCTGCACAGTCCTGAAAGTCGACAGGCTGAACTGACACTGTGGGGCGAGATCTGGGCTCCTTTGAACCGAGGCGACGCGGAACACTTTCCCCAGCCAACAAAAGCACGTTTAATTCAAACCTCTCTCTCTGTCTTGTCTCTGCATGAGTTGCCCAATTGCCCTGCCACAATCCGTATATATGTCCACATAGTTTGATTTTTGCATATCGTTAAGTTTTCACCATGGCATCCAACAAATTATCGGGCGAAGAGATAGCAAAACACAACTCCACAGAGTCTTGCTGGGTAGTCATTCATGGCAAAGCTTATGACGTGACTGACTTCCTGCCTGAACATCCCGGTGGTCCCAAGATAATACTGAAGTATGCAGGCAAAGATGCGACAGAAGAGTACGAGCCGATTCATCCTCCGGACACGCTCGACAAATATCTAGACAAGAGCAAACACTTGGGACCGGTTGACATGGGCACTGTGAAGAAGGAGGAGAAGGCTCGCGATCCCGATGAGGAGGCCCGGCAGAAGAGAATAGAGACTATGCCCGTTCTAGAGCAATGTTATAATCTTATGGATTTTGAGGCCGTTGCGAAAAGAGTTATGAAAAAGACCGCCTGGGCGTACTACTCGTCCGGGGCAGATGATGAAATCGTACGTTTCGGCCACCTGAAGCAACAACCACAAGTATGGATGAGTGCTGATATTAGAGTACAGACTATGCGCGAGAACCACGCGGCATTCCAAAAAATTTGGTTCCGTCCCAGAATCCTTGTCGACGTAGAAAAGATAGACATGTCTACAACGATGCTTGGAACACACGTCTCGATACCATTCTACGTGACTGCCACTGCGCTCGGCAAGCTCGGCCATCCAGAGGGCGAAGTCATTCTCACGCGTGGTGCCCATAAACACCGTGTCGTACAGATGATCCCTACTTTGGCATCGTGCTCATTTGACGAAATATGTGATGCCGCACAGGACGCGCAGCCGCAGTGGCTACAGTTATATGTGAACAAGAATAGAGAAATCACCAAGAAAATTGTGCAGCATGCTGAGAAAAGGGGAATCAAAGCTCTTTTCATCACAGTTGATGCACCGCAATTGGGCAGACGAGAAAAGGACATGCGTTCCAAGTTCGATGACGTTGGATCCAATGTCCAAAATAAAAGCGGCGAGAACGTCGACCGTTCACAAGGAGCTGCGCGAGCTATCTCAAGTTTTATTGACCCAAGTCTGAGCTGGAAGGATATTCCCTGGTTTCTCAGTATAACGAAAATGCCGATCGTTCTGAAGGGCGTGCAAAGGCTCGAGGATGTGCTAAAGGCGATCGAATATGGCGTGCACGGTGTGGTATTAAGCAATCATGGCGGGCGCCAGCTGGACACTGCTCCTAGCGGTATTGAAATCCTGGCTGAGGTCATGCCAGAGCTCAGGCGGCTAGGCCTGCAAGACAAGATTGAGGTTTTCGTAGATGGTGGCGTGCGAAGAGCGACTGATATTATCAAAGCCGTGTGCTTAGGAGCAAAGGGCGTCGGAATTGGACGACCGTTCCTGTACGCCATGAGTGCGTACGGTCTGCCTGGCGTGGATCGCGCTATGCAGCTTCTAAAGGTGAGTCGTGACTTCGTCATGGGAAAACTTGCATTTCTCCTAATTATCCATAGGACGAGATGGAAATGAATATGCGATTGATTGGCGCCGCAAGAATCGAGGATCTCAACCCTTCCATGGTGGACGCGAGAGGCTTGATCGGCCATGGCCATGTGCAAACTGTTCCAAGTGATACACTTGGCTTGACTGTGTACGACCCGCTCAGCGGACCCAAGGAAAATATTTTGACACACAAAACGAGCCCCAGAGCGAAATTGTGAAGCATTGTATATGGCGTCTAGAGGTAAAGCGAAGAGTGCCATACCTTTGGATCGGCATTGGCCTATAGTTCCGACGATGCGAATGCCAAACACGAAGCGGGCATTCACCGCTTAGCGTAATGTCGAAGGGGTTGGCACAAAACAGATAGTCTACTCTCTTGTTCTCCACATAGGCATGTCGATAATTGACAGGTTGTACATCGCAAAATGTGATAACTATGACAGAAGTCTTGTCACAAGACCATGTACGGTCATAATCAAAGAAAAGCGACGAGGCGTAGCTCGGCAGTAATATGAACAGGAATATTTGCAGCGAAACTCCAAGTCTTAAGATATCTCTTGTCCCAAGTGCGCGATAGGTCAGAGTACGTCTTGTTGTTTTGAAAGGGTTGTATAAGTCTCATGCCTACAGCTGCCAGTCTCCAAAGGCGAAGGGTGGCGCGGGTTGGCTTAATTTAGCTGGGTCTTCGCAGGAGTTCTTGGTGCTCGGTTAGCAGTAGTGATTCCTCGTTGATCTGTAGGTTCAGGAGTATCCAAGAAAAGCGGATGAGACACAGTGCAGAGAGCAGAAAAAAAAATCTAAACCACATAACTTCAGCGTAAACAGCGGGCACCTCGTTTGCGAACGAGAGACCTTCGAGGGTGCTTCTAACGGGATGACGGGCTTTTAGTCTTTGTGCCTCGTGGACGAAACTCAAACAATGTTCTGAGCGATAGAGATCGTACAGAACAGATACGGAATCGCGATCATGCCGCGGGCAGTATGCTAAATGTGCGACCGGCATTCGGATGCCGAGCAGATGCAGATCATGATGGCCGGTAGTCATGCACAAGCCGTGACCTAGTAACGAGAAAGCGGCTTCAAAAGTCTGGGACGGAGGTGCTGAGGTTAGCCAAGATGTCTCACGGTGCTTGTGCGGGCTTGGAAAAGGGACGCGATGTCAGGGAACGGCGACGCTTCTACTTCTGAGAATTACAAGCCCTTAAAACTTTATTTTCCTCCGGCACTCACCAGCTTCAGATCACTGATACGCTCCTCTAGCATTCGCGTTACGAGTGCCGGTGTTCATCAAGGAAATCTTTCGTGTGCGTGGAAAATTTGCAGGCAGCGCATGTCGGCAAAACTTCGGCAAGCCGATCGACCAGGCGTCTCTGACTTCGTCTCATGTTTCGAAGCAAATTACCAATCCAATGACTCCTCCAAAGCAACCATGAAACTTACCTTCCTGTCTTCCTTGGAAGCACTGAATCGATAGACAACACCATGAGTGGGCGTCAAACTAGACTGACAACCCCCAGACCATCCTTTTTGGACCTCTATTTGCATCACACTTGACAATGCTTGAAACCAAGCCACCATCCGTGCATTGTGATATTTTGCAAGATCAAACATCACCGCAGACCTTTTTTTCTTGTCAAAGATCTTGGACTGTAACTTTGCCAACGCTTGCCGCTGCGACCTTTCAGGCTCCTCTCATTTCCAGTCACCTGAACCTGTTTCCTTAGTCGCACCATGTATGAGCAAAGACTGAGCCTCATTGGATGCTCTATTCCGCCTAGACCTGCCTACCACCTAAAAGGTAGGCCTTGAACTCACGCAGTTAGTTATCTGGAGGTTTGTCATGTTGGCTTGGCTCAGGTACCCGCGACGTTTTGAAATCGGCGTTTACTTGGTAGCGATGTTTACATCTCTTTATCCCTCTCCTCCAAGGCCCAGTCGTGTTTAAGATCGATCTTGGCGGACTCTTTACGACCGTAACTCCGTAAATAGTATGGCTTGTCTATAACCGCGGTGCAGCGGTGTTGCAGACTCAGCACCAAGAAATGCTTTGTGACGAGGACTGTTCTTGTGTACACTTTGACAGGCTTTGCGGTCGTTCTCGTAAGTAGGACTCTTGACAGGTATAAGAGCAATCAGCATCTCAACTACGAATCACTTCTTCATCACTCCGTCTCATAAGAACATTCCCTGTCTCAGGATCTTCATTTCCTATCATCGTAAACTTACATTCATTCACTAGCTGGTCTACCTAACTTTTAGAATTACCTGCTGGTACAGGATGCATTTCCAAACTTCAGTCACCATCAGCCTTCTGGCTATCATCCATCTCGTGGCCGGCCACGGTGCGATCGTCAACGCAGTTGGTGACCAGGGTGGTCAAGGTATGGCTCTTGGTAGTAAGTATTGCAAACCCGTGGTGATCAATCACGGAGCAACTCACGCAGCCCACAGTTGATCCAAGCACTCCACGGGATGGCTCGAGGAGGAATCCATTCCAGAGAGACTCTACTCGTTTTCGAGGGGCTGCGAAGGCTACGTGTGGTGAAACTCTTGCGGTACGTTGGAATTACAGGTTCTTGCTTGGGTAAGCTAATAGACACCAGGGAGGCGACAACGATATCCAGGCCGGAACCCAAGCTATCTTGCAGATGACTGGTGGCCAGCTTCCTCAGATTTCGCCTGGCGGAGAGATCACCATGACCGTTCATCAGGTCAACGGTGATGGAGCGGGTCCTTACACCTGCATGATTGACACCTCGGGCACTGGCACGAACTGGCAGGCAATCGACGTCACACAACAAGTGCCAGGCAATAATGGTCGAAGCCAAGCGAGAGCAACTGACATTCCTCTCAAAGCAGCCATCCCAGACGGTACTACTTGCACTGGTACAGTTGCTGGCCAACAGAACGTATGCATGGTTCGCTGTCAGAATCCTGCTCGTGCAGGTCCATTCGGTGGTTGTGTTCCTGTCCAGATGGGAGGGGCCGCAGCTCCAGCCACAGGTAATTCCACGACGCCGGCAGCTGGCGCTGCCAACGCCGCGGCTGCAGACGAGGCTGCTGCAGATGCAGCTGAGGAAGACTAGACTAGACATCATGCGGTGATGAGTCTCCTGCAGAGTTGGCGGGCAGTAGACCAAGAGCAGCTGAAGAAGAGACAGGCGATGTTAGCTGTCGAACTTTAGTGATTTTTAGGATTGTGTATGCTAGTGTCTGTAGTTGCTTATGCCAAGGATTTTGTTGATCACTTCTGCGACGGCTTTTCTAGCTATCGTTTCCTGTAACAACTATCCCGACCAAAGAACTTGTGCTCGTCATTTCGAACATATTAAATTCTTTTTATAACATGCAGGTCGTTGAGCAACCCCTTTTTCCGGGAAAGTGTGAGGATATCGACACACATATAGGGTACGAATATCTTGTGTATCACATGATTTATTAGAGACGGGTATATATTCAACGCACAGCCTCTAGCTTAGTCTGATTCCTCAGTTGTCAGTCACAACATAATCCGAGCTGTTGTTCATCATCTTGCTGCTGCCTGTTATAACAGATAAGGGTAGAAGTTATGTGAGCAGGAGTGATTATTTTCATCAGAATAAGTAGAATAAGTATACCAGCTAATTAGTGATTGAATAAAGAATTTCAATAATATTATTATTTATCAAAAATCCTTTATTTATATAAAAATATATCTTTTCTTTCTCTAGGCCTTGTTAGGAATACTTTCCCAATACCGACTGGCTTTTACTAATGTAACCCACTTCGGAAGGGTTTAGCTTCCTAGAGCAAAGGAATAAAGTATAACTAAGGCTTATTATAAAAGGAAGTATAATAAGATAGTTACATTTACGGTTTAGATGTTAAGCTATGCTTATTGGAGGGCGGAAGCTTAGTAAGATTTATATAGAAGAAAACTTATATATTTAAGATATATATTTTGTTTTACTTACATTATAAAACTGAGGTAGGTCCTATTACTTATATAGACTGATTACCCCGCTTTTCATACAACCTCGGTTAGTTAAATACCTCAGTTATTATCTAATACCTAAATAACTAATGTTTTTATTCTATTATTTAAGAAATATATTATAGATCTCATTCTGGATTAACACACCCCCTTAAGCTATTATAAGTAGGACAATTTAGGTACTTATATATAGCTTATTTTGATCAGGCATCTTATATTTATTTTAGGTTAAGACCTCTAAAAAATACTTACTATTTAGGTCCTGTAAGTATTTTAGTAAATCCATCAGCTATTATTTTGTTAGTAGTGTTAAGCTTTGGTATTGGAGGGCGGATGCTTAGTAAGATTTATATAGAAGAAAACTTATATATTGAAGATATATATTTTGTTTTACTTACTTTACAAAACTGAGGTAGGTCATGTTGCTTATATAGACCAATTACCCCGCTTTTCATACAACCTCGGTTAGTTGAATACCTCGGTTATTACCTAATACCTAAATGACTAATATTTTCATTCTGTTATTTAAGAAATATATTATAAATCTTATTCTGGATTAACATACCCCCTTAAGCTATTATAAGTAGGACAATTTAGGTACTTATATATAGCTTATTTTGATCAGGTATCTTATATTTATTTTAGGTTAAGATCTCTGAAAAATGCTTACTATTTAGGTCCTGTAAGTATTTTAGTAAATCCATCAGCTATCATTTTGTTAGTAGGAATATATAGAAGGTCTATATTATTCTCTACTATATAATATCTGATAAAGTAATATATTATATCTATATACTTTATTCTAGCATAATATAATGGATTTTTAGATAATACTATTAC